GGGTACAGAAAGTACTCCCACCTCGAGCTTGGCCAACATTTTTGAAGGTTTTGCGTTAGGGCTCCAGAATTTCTGATTCTATACCAAAGGTAACAGCCAAGCCGTTAATCGAACTTTCTGGCCCGCGCTAGCACTTGAAATCAGTGTCTATACTTCTTTCATCGTTGTTGAACGTTGACCGCCAACTTCTTTCTCTCTTTCCACGTATCAACGCGTAACGAAATTTAACTTTATGACGCGTAGCTGGCGAGATATCACTGCTAAATTGAACAACCTAAGAGCTAGATAATCAAGCCCACTACTCTTAAATCGAATACAAAGACTAAACTCATAGGGTGAATCATTCAAGATGTTTAGGCAGTCTAAGAGAAGAGTGCTCAGTCGAAAGAACTTTGATGATCAGTCCACTTCATCATCGGGTAAATTCATTATGAGTGCTACGTCCTCAGAAGAGGAAAAACAATTATACGAGAGCTTGTATCAATCCAAACTATCGTTCTACAATGCCCCTCCAAGGGGTGAAATCACACTTGAACAGTTTGAAGTATGGGCGATAGATAGACTCAAGGTTTTGCTAGAAATCGAGTCGTGTATCCAGCGGAACAAATCGGTAAAGGAGATGGAAATGATTGTCAAACCACTTTTGCAAAAGCTTCTTCCTTCCTCAACGGCCAGTTTGCTGGAACGCAAGAAGGACTATTACTCGCACTTCATATTGAGACTGTGTTTTTGTCGATCTAAGGACTTGCGTGAGAAATTCATTCGGTCTGAAACTACCCTACTGAAGCTGCGCTTCAACATGATGACCTCCCATGACCAGGCGAAATTTGTGAGGACTTTAGACTTGCCCTTTCTACAATTCATTTCAGATCAAGAAAAAGAAGAATTATCCGCGGAACTCTACCAAACCATTTCCAGCGCTTTGCAATTTCAATTGAACCTTACCGATGAAAATCAGCGCAGACAGTACTTCAACCAGGAAAAGTTCATAAAGCTGCCTTTTGAATCGGTAATCGATCTCGTGGGAAGTAGACAAGTTTTTATCAAAAAAGGATATGCTTACTTACCTCAGTTTCAACAACTTAATCACATCGCTAATGAGTTCTCGAGTATGTTATCTGAAGCATTGTTAAGAACGTTTCAAAACATACCGCGTTTGAATGAAGATGATCGGTTGCTGCCTATTCTCAGCCATCTCTCATCTGGATACGACGTTTCGAATTTCTTGCAGCAGGACATGTTCAGTCAAGCTTCTCAGGGAGACGTCAATGCGACAAGCGTTTATTCTGAAAAGATTAGAGAGAACTTTCCCCTTTGTGCTAAAAACCTCATGGGAGGTCTAAAGGCTAACCGTCATTTACGCTATCAAGCACGTCAGCAATTATCCTTTTTCCTCAAGGGTATTGGGATGAGCGTAGACGACGCTCTACAGTTCTGGTCAGATGCCTTCACTAGTGGCGGTAATATGACCACTGAAAAGTTCAACAAAGAATACAGGTATAATTTCAGACACAACTATGGCCTCGAAGGTAATCGAATCAACTATAAGCCTTGGGACTGTCGAACGATTCTTTCGAAACCTAGGCCCTCGCGTGGGGAATTTCATGGCTGCCCCTATCGCGATTGGAACGTTGACAAGCTAACTTTGGAGCTGTCACAGGGCATGAATTTAACTCCTGCTCAGGTTACCAGCGTTCTAGATAGTGTACAACGTACTGAATATACTGTTGCGTGTACCAAGGTGTTCGAAATTACACATGGCGGTTCGACTAGTGTTGAGGTGAATGATCAAACACACATCTCTCACCCTAACCTGTACTACGAAAGATCACGACAATTCCAAAAAAAGCCGAGCCCTCGGTAGGGCAATAGTATTTAAAGTGTATCAAATGTATTTAGGGCGGATTCTAATGAATTCAAAGCATCGTGTCAAGATTATGCACGTCCAACCACTGGTCGAACCATTGTAGGTGAGCAAGAACATTTTCAGTGGCATCCTCGACGGTGGGAAGAATTGGGAGGGCCATTTCAATATTGACAGGCTCCTGGCTGGATACTTCTTTGTCGACTTTACCAAATTGGTGAAACTTAATATTATTCACGGCGTCGTTTGCATGGTCGAGACCAATTATGCTTTCGAGCACGTTGGCAGATAACTTGAGTCTCTGGCAGAACATATGATTTAGCATTTTCAAGCACCATACGCATTCAGTTGCCATACCAGGAGGATTTGGTGGTTTTGCACGTTCGATGTATCTCCAAATTTTGAAGCTTTGCTGAAGTAGCGATCGCGCCTGCAATTGCTTCAAGCCGCTCTGGATGAGAATCAAACAGATGATGCTTGAAATGAACAAAAGCGACAAATTTAACCACCACGGCCGAAAATACAGCCCAGATTCGACAATGGCATCGTACGCATTGAGGATCTGGCCAACTAGGCTTAATAAGGTCGGAGTGTGAGTAGGGTGTGTAGTGAGGACACCATCGTCAACGTGACCATAGTTTTCATCCACGTCTAAGAAGGGAAACAAGCCTTTTATCTCTAAGGCCACGCGGACGTCCCAGTAGGTAAGAAATACTTGTTTTGTACACAAATCTGCACCGACAAGCTGAGGACCAACATCGGCTTGCCATTCAAGAAGTCGCGACTTAACGGATTGGTAGTCTTGCACCGAGAGTTCTTCCCCATAGCGCTTTTGACAGTCAGTTATTATTAGAGCAAGCTGATACAAAGCAATAGTTTCTGTACTTAGCCAGCTATCACTTGCACTACTAGGGTGATCCATGAGAGGACCAGGTAATGATAGTTCGGGCAAGCGGCCTATTTGGAAGCCTATAACACGTTCCAACGTAAAACAGGCCCAATAGCAGTTTCTTGCTCTACATTCGTCGTAAGCATTGTGATATTCGGGATATCTATTCAGAAATAGAGACATCCCATTGCACATTTGTACAGCCCGACTCAGGGCCTGCCAACAAGAGACTTGTCTATGGCAAGTTCTGAGGTAAAAAGCCATCAAAAGCCAGGATTGTATCAATTCAAAAGATTCCCATTCAAAAGACAGTTGTGTCGTCACGGTGTAAGCATAATCAAACAGTGATTCTTCTAGGTTTTGGTGAGTGTCGATCCAAGCAACTTCCGCAATTGTCAGGCATTCGTTGATCGATTGTTTAGATGCTTGTGCTGCAAAATTTGTATCTCTAGTGTGGCTGAAGCGCAATGCGATGGCTACGATGAGATTGAGTATCGCCTCGAATAGATCACTGGAGCCGTGTGGATCTCGTTTGACAAATCCAGCTCTAAATTGCTGCCAAAAAGCCTGTTCATGGATGATGGAGGAAAACCGATTAACATTTGCGAAGTAGAAGTGAGCGAGTTTCTCCACAATACCTTGCTGTATAGGGTCACTAAAATCCCATTGCCAGTGTGATGAGTCATTTGAGGGCAGCGTCTGCCTCTGTTTTAGGTAGTGTCCCCCAGACATATTCCAACCATAGAATTGCAAGCGCGGAGGTCTTAAAGCGTGTTCATCGATTATGGATTGCGTTAGCGAGTTCATCAGCGTCCTTCCCAAATAGTATGGCAACAAGTTTTGGTGTCTGCGATGAAAGCGATACTTGTGAGGTGAATAGCATTGCCATGGTGAGAGAATGGAATGATGGAAGGGTATATTGAGCTCTGGAGTTTCCGTGGCCGGCTTCAGTAAGGGTTTTGAGTGGTCAGATTTGTAAATGCAATTAATGGCATGCTTTACGCAATTTTGGCAAGGGTTTTGTCCATCGCACTTAACTTTCCGCTTCTTACAAGTAATGCACGCTTTGCGCACTCGCAGACGATTGGATGTTTGCATTGGACGCAGAATCAGCTACGGAAAGTATGTCGTAGCCTATGTTTGTTTCTCTACTCAAGTCCCTGTTTACGTTAATGTGTGATGAGCATTAATTATGGAAAATCGTTGTAGTTGATCAAAACATGAAAGTCGTATTTTCCATGACTGGCCCACAGCGTCCATCGATTGTATTAGCCCTAATAACTGATGTCAGAGTAACCATCACACTTGTGATGAGCATAGTTTTACTAAATTTTAGTGTGAAATTGGTGGCTGTGTTTTGATTTTGGGTGCGAAAGAGAGAGTCTAGTCAAGACCGAGGACGACAGATCTGGTGCTGCGAGTACTGTCAAGATGTGGGCAGCTACCGCTTGTAGTTGGAATCCAACAAGCTATTGGTTGTATGGTTTTTAAAACGCGTGACACACGCGTTCAAAATGATAAAGGGTTGAATCCGAGAGCGGGACTGACGACGAAACACGGTCCACAAATTCACTCCTTCATAGCGATTATATCGCAGTAAGTCCAATCAGTGATGGCTTGGAGTAGGCTCGAGTAGCGTATTTGCTGCACAAGTAAAAGTCGTGCAGCAGGATAATGACACTCTTTTAGCCACTTGTACATCTTATCTACTCGTGAATCTACCCGTGAATCTACGCGTACATCTACCCTTAGGTTCTCCAGTCACCCTATATATGCATAACTGCTAAAACGCTTGTACGCAGATCCCGTCCGAGATGTAATATACATGTCAGATGTCACCAGAAACGAAGACGCAAATTAACCCCGAACTAAATGTCAGCGGTTAAAGACAGGTTTCTTCCCTTCTACTAATCACACTGGGACTGAAAGGCAACCCAACACAGGAGGATGGACAAGTTCGTGTTTTTTGGAGCCACTTCTAATTCTCGCTGGCGGTGTTACCAACCTCTGACTGATGCGCCTAGTCCCTCGAACTCCGTGCGCGTGCGGACGAAGGCAGCGGCTAAACCAGCCGAAGAGACACATGTTAACACTACTGACGTGAAAGCACCCACTAGGGACGAGCAAGCGTGACACCTTCTCAAACGGGCCCTCGGTCTGGAACACACGCACCTAACAACGGATAACTGCGTCGTCGTGGCGCGCAAAGCACGTGACCCACACACGTGACCACATACCTAGCTCAGCTCTCCACTACCACGTGACCGAGGGGGGGGGGGCGGTTTCCGATGCCGCGTGGTTTCGCGGCCGCATGTTCGCCACGCATGCAAACTGCACCGCCCTGCCGAAAACTTTTTGACACGCTGGTGCGTATTTAAAGCAGAGATGCAGCGATGCAGGGTACATTGACCATACTGGGCGTCCAACGAGCATCGACCAGCGTTTTTAAAACGTTTCCACACGCGTTAAGCGATACTGACACATTGCAGGTACGCAACTACACGCCCGCCCAGCTCACGAAACGCTCACGAAACGCTCACGGTCCACACTCACTGGCCGTTGCTCTTAGCCTGTGTTCCACCCACCATCCAAATCATCCCAACTGGCCCCATACCGCATACCATGAGCGAGCATCCTCACGCTGCGTACCACCATCAGCACTCCGTCGGCGTTAACGGAGATAGGGGAGTTGTAGGCTCCGGCGGCGCCGGCGCCGGAGCCGGGACCGGAGCTGGAAGCGTGACCAAGGCCACCAGCGTCGGCACCGGTCACGGGACCCCTCGCAGCCGCGAAAACAGCGCCGCTGGCAACTCCAACAGCGGCGCGGTTGCCGCCGGAGCACCCGGCGGCGGCGGCCAGGGTCACGTGCACCAGGGCTCCTCCCACGGCACGGCTGTCGGAACGCCGGCTTCCGGTCGCGTGGTGTCCGGAGTTTCCGCTCCCGGCGCTGGCGCCGGCGGTTACCCGACCTACGGCGCCGCCTCTCACGAGCCTTGGCAGCAGCCACAGCCGCACCAGCAGTACCAGCATCATCAGCAGCCTTACAGCCCGCACCAGCATCAGCAGATGGCCGGCGGCTATTACGCATCGGGCCCAGTGGGCTCCACGGGATCGGTGTCGGATCCTTCCGCGGGATCAGCAGCCGCTCACGTGCCGCAATATGCGGCGTATGCCTATTACCCTACTGCGTCGGCCCAGCAACCACATATGCAGTATGCGGACGGAAACCAGGGCTACGGAGCTTACGGAACCACTGCTGCATATGGATACTACCCTTATGCAGCGCTGGCCGCGGAGGACCCTCAGCAGCAACAACAGCAGCAGCAGCAGCAGCAGCAGCAACAGCAACAACAGCAACAACAACAACAACAACAACAACAGCAGCAGGCATATGCTTCGTACTACCGCCAATACAACCAGGCACAGGCCTCGGCCCAGCCGTCGTACCAATATCCAGGGTTCCGGTCGTCGACCGCCAACGAAGAGCTCGGAAACTCTCCCGTCGGTGGCACTGGTGCAGCTCCTGCCACTGGCGCTGGCGCCGGCAGTGGCTACTACAATACTGCGAACTCGGAAGAGTTTGCCGCTGCGGAAAAACGCCGGCGCATGGGCTCGGTGATGGGCCCTTCGTCGGGTAAACACACATCGAGTGCGTCTGCGACGTCAATGGATGGCTCTGCTTTGCTGGGCTTGGCTGCTGCAGGAGCCATGGATCCTGTCACATCCGGAATGCACCCTTCGTATGTGCCTGCGCCACATCCCTACCACATGCAGGCCGGCACGCCCGGCGTCAGTGTCGGTACAAGTGCTCGACCCAGGGTTACGACGACGATGTGGGAAGACGAAAATACACTGTGCTACCAGGTGGAGGCCAACGGCGTCTCCGTGGTTCGCAGAGCGGACAACGATATGGTCAACGGTACCAAGCTTTTGAACGTGGCCAAAATGACGCGCGGACGCCGCGACGGAATCCTAAAAGCCGAGAAAATCCGCCACGTCGTGAAGATTGGATCGATGCATCTGAAAGGTGTGTGGATTCCCTTCGACCGCGCCCTGGCTATGGCGCAACGCGAGAAAATCGTCGATCTACTGTTCCCACTGTTTGTGCGCGATATCCAAAGCGTCATCCAGCAGGGCGCCTCTTCGGTACTGAGCGGGAATCCCTCCGTGGCCCCTGCAACTGCCGCAGCTTCCGCCGCCGCCGCCGCCGCCGCCAACAGCGCCTACAGAAATAGCTACTATGGAGAGCCAGTCTCGGGATCAGTTTCGGCACCGGCCCCCATGGCGTACCATCAACCGGTGGGCGCCAGCGGATACGCCCACTATCAGCCACTGGAATATGGCTACGCCCCGGGTCCTTTGATGCACTCCGGAATGCCCTCCGCTACTCCCATGGGCCCGGGTCAGAGTCACAACTCAATCTCGGGCCCCGGTGCTGCGGGTCCCGTCTCTACATCCTCTGCAGGTATGCTAGTGTCGGGTGGTCCTACCGGTGGCCCTCACGGTGGCAATGTCTCAGGCACCACTTCAGGTTCCACACAGGTAGGCGGCCATCCATCCAACTCTGTAAGTGACGACAAATCTCTAGAGCCTCTGAGAGCAGATGGCTCTGACGCTGTCAAGAGTGATGTTGCCTCTAGGCAGGCCGAATGACTATCAGAATTGGTCGTTCCTGTGAGTTGGGCAATTGCCGACATCGAAACGAGGCACGAGCGCTTCTCGGGATAGTGCACGGTATATAATCATACATATACTATTAATATAATAATCAGCGCAAGTGTTGGAGATAATAATGGGGGAAATGGCCAGGGAACTTGCTTCAAGAATGAGAAACAGCCTCAACAGCTACCGATCTGACTGATGTCTGTTCGTGGCGTAAAAAATAAGCGTTGCTCCATATAATAGATCAAACAGTTGGTGCTGGTACACAAATATTTACGTGAACTCAGAATACTTGGATTAGCAACACACATCACACACCCACGGTCCGCTTTACTTGAACTCTTCATATTCACCTACTTCACTGACACTGGTTTATCACTTTTAACAAGACTGTCATGTCTTCCTGGCGCAACGACAGAATAATACGAGTACGGTTAATTCGTTCCAACGAAGTTCGCTACAAAGCGATGAAAGTGGATACCTTCACCATGGCTACCAATCAACGTCCGAGATGCAACGACAATGACTAGCACGCTGACAAGGCCAGCAGAAACGATTATTCAGTGGCCCATAAGCATCCAATTCTCTTAGCATTGCATACGAGATTTTAAATTGCCGTTATTGCTCGTCGATAGTGACTAACTTATTTACTTCTAAGATACCTATGAACGAAGGAGCGCGCTCTAATTCTGACATTAATTAACGTCCCGCGGACGCGTCCGCCCATCACTAACATCATCACAAAACCGTGATCAGACGTCAACGAGGAACCAGCTTGTCTTTCAGCCCAAAACTTCTACCAATGAACCTTTCTCCTACACCGCGTCGCTACAATTCCAGAGGCTACGACATACCGAGGGCCCAAGATGAGCTTTTCCATCCCTACAACAAAGAACCACCCATGATGCCCTCAGATCGAATTGTTCCGGAGGAATACCGCGTCAACTCGCAGATGATCAACAAGCTTATCAAACAGAACAAAGACCTAACATTGCAGCTGGACCGAAAGCAGGACGAGATCGACCGACTCAACGTGCTGGTAGGGTCTCTGAGGGGCAAGCTTATCAAATACACAGAGCTCAACAAGAAACTACACACGCAAGCGCAATCTCAATCGCAACCGCAAGTGCAATCACCGGACTTCCCGCCCGTCGAAGCGCTGCAGATTAAAAAGACTCGAGGATCCCCGGAAGAGGCTTCTCACTCTTCGGCAGCCTTTCGCGAGTCCCAGGTCGAAACACGCATCGGCGATATATATTCAAAACTTGAGGCTCTGACTACGCTGATGACAAATTCAGTGGGTGCGACTTCCGGCACGGTGCCGACGACACAGCACCCCTCGCGTCCCGCGTCAAATTCGCCAGCGGCGCCAGAGTCCGTGCTGCGCAGAGCAGTCCACGGGGCCTCCGAAGACGACATTTTAACACAGGAGAGCGCAGAACTGAAGTCGTTGGAAACACAGATCGACTTTCTCAAACGTAAGCTTCTAATCAAGCGCGAAAACGAACTGCGCAAGCTGTCCCTCAACAAGGAATTGTTGGATCTCATGGATAAACTAGACATATCTAAGTCCACTATTCCGTCACATCATTCGCCGCCCACGGTGGATGACCCCAACAATACACCACCGCATTGTGACCAGTGTCACCAGTCCTCTTCTTCGTCGCAAGCGACTGCCAATGGGAAACTGCCGAGTCATTCAACAAGCCAAAACCATTCGCGCCATCCACCATATATGTCTATGTCCCAAGCTCTAGAAACTCCCACGCCCGCTCGACGGAACCCAAACAAGGCGAACGACACTCTCTGGTGAGAGGGATTACCTGAGAGTCCTCTCACCATACACCGACATGTGCAAGGAAAGTCAGTACTGCGCTGACCGTTGCGCCCCATACTCACATACACACATACGGACGTCGCTACCCAGCATGATGTCTGCACCAACCTCCCGACCGGCCACCACCTTCGACAAACTCCGTAAGACGATCAAGATCTCTCTATACGGGTCAGGTGCCAGTTCTCGAGCGTCTTTTTCACGCAGCTTGGATTTCCTTCGTACAGACCGTCGTTTAGCGATGTTCCCATCATAACAGGCATTTTTTTCCCATATAAAGTTTCCGATAAAGCCAAACGATGCTGATGGGTTTACTACAACGCTGTGCTGTTTATCGGCTATCAAAGTGAAGATTTCGGCAATTGAGCCTTGAACGAGCAGATATATAAATCGAAAGTGGTCAAGGCGATTACTTGTCGGTGGATATCGTTTCAAGAGAAAGAGAAGGATTGTTTTCGGAAAAAACAAATCAGTTGCAGGTGTCAATAACAGGCGAAATGAATTCAGTTGTTCGGGACGTTACAGAATTTGCGAGCACGCAAAATAGCACAAGCTCGTTGGCGGGGCTCCAGGGTGTCGTGGAGTCCTTGCAGGCGATTTCTTATTGGAAGGTGTTTTTCACAGTGGTCTGCGTCGGATTGGTATGGGACCAAATTTCGTACCAGATCAAGAAGGGCAGCATTGCGGGTCCTAAATACAAGATGTGGCCTGTGATCGGCCCGTTCCTGGAGTCTCTGGACCCTAAGTTCGAGGAATACAAGGCCAAATGGGATTCGGGTCCGTTATCATGTGTGTCCATTTTCCATAAATTCGTGGTTATCGCATCCACCAGAGATCTAGCCCGTAAAATCCTTCAGAGCTCCAAGTATGTGAAGCCTTGCGTCGTGGATGTGGCTGTTAAAATTTTGAGACCTTCCAACTGGGTTTTCTTGGACGGAAAGGCCCACCTCGACTACCGTAAGTCTCTCAACGGTTTGTTCACCAAGAACGCATTGGCGCAATACCTGGAATCTCAAGAAAAAGTCATGGACAAGTACATTGAAAAGTTTATTGATTTTTCCGCCGACAACGATTATAAACCTCAGGTTTTCTTCCACGAGATGAGAGAAATCATGTGCGCTTTGTCCCTCAAGGCCTTTTGTGGTGACTATATCACCGAGGATCAGATCAGAAAAGTTGCGGACGATTACTATTTGGTCACCGCGGCCTTGGAGCTGGTTAATTTCCCGATCATTCTGCCCTTCACTAAGACCTGGTACGGTAGAAGAACCGCTGACATGACCATGAAGATTTTCGAGAAGTGCGCTCAAATGGCCAAAGACCACATCGCGCAGGGCGGTAAGCCCGTTTGCGTGATGGATGCTTGGTGCCAATTGATGCACGACGCCAAGAATAAAGATGACGAAAATTCCAGGCTATATCACAGAGAATTCTCTAACAAGGAAATCTCTGAAGCCGTGTTCACCTTTTTGTTTGCTTCTCAAGATGCTTCTTCCTCCCTTGCCTGCTGGCTTTTCCAAATTGTGGCCGACAGGCCCGATGTTATGGACAAGATTAGGACTGAGCAACTACAAGTTCGTAACAACGACCCCTCTAAACCTCTTTCCTTGGATCTTATTGACGAAATGAAGTACACTTACATGGCTGTCAAGGAAGCACTACGTTACAGACCTCCCGTTCTAATGGTTCCATACAAGGTCAAGGAGAGTTTCCCAGTGACTGCAAATTATACTGCGCCAAAGGGTGCCATGCTTATCCCAACTTTGTATCCAGCTCTTCAAGATCCTGAGGCCTACGAAAATCCAAATGAATATATCCCAGAAAGATGGGTTGAGGGTTCTCCAGCCAACGAAGCGAAAAAAAACTGGCTGGTTTTCGGCTCGGGTCCTCACGTTTGTCTAGGGCAAACCTATGTTATGATGACCTTCACTGCCCTTATTGGTAAGTTTGCCATGTATACAAATTGGGAACATGAAGTAACACCACTAAGTGAGAAGATCAAAGTCTTTGCCACTATCTTCCCTCAAGATGACCTATTGTTGTCTTTTAAGAGAAGGGACCCTCTCACCGGAGCCGTTAAGGCATGAATATTTCCTCATTATCATTGTTATTTATGATGTAAACTGTAGTAGGGGCTACAAGATATTATTCAATGTTCTATAAAATTTTAATCACATATTGTATAATGGTATCAATTCAAAACACAATCTTTTTACCTTGAAACTTGGCAGCTTTTTGTTTCTCCTCAGCCTTCTTCTTTGCCTCCCAGGAAGGATGCATAGGCATGTCTTTGGGCTTCTCTTCCTTTCCCTTTGAAGGCTGTGCTAGCGCCTGTGCAGCCTCCCTCTCTTGAGCCTTTGCAGCACGCTTGGCAGCCCTTTGTTCATATTCAACCTGTCTCTGCTGCCTCTCAGATTGCTCTTGGGCCATTCGTTTTTGGACATGGTTGGCAGTCTTACCGAACTTCTTCTCCCAAATTTTTTGTCTTGCACGTTGACCTCTTCTATTCTTACGTTTAGGCTCCGTCGCTATTTGTCTGGCGGCAACCTCGTCTTCAGAAAAATCTTCGTCAGAGTCGCCGCTATAGTAACCCGTCATCAATTCCGGAAGGTTGGCATTTTTTTCGCCCTTCTTGTCGCTCTTCTTGCTCTTATCTTTTTTATGTTTCTTGTTAGGAGGTTCCTCATCGCCTTCTTCATCACTCAATGGAACGTTGTATTCAGTTTCTGATTCGCTAGGCTCCTCATCTGTAACTTCATTGTAGTTTATACTGGGATCCAAGGCGGGTGCGTCACTGTCACCCTCCTCTTCATCGGAGGCCACGAGCATGCCCTCGTATTGCCTCATTATCTCCTCTTCGTCAATGTTATCAGTTGCGCCTTCGGAGAACTTCGAATCTTCTTTTTCCGACTCAGATTCCGACTCAGATGCAGAATCGGAGCTCGACTCATTAAATGCAGGTACAGAGGCACCTATAGCGGCTGTCGGCTGCTCGATCTCCTTGGCTTTTCTGACATTTAGGAATAGATCCATGCCGCTGTCGAACGCCGCCAATAACTCCTTCACTTTTTGTCCCGCCATCGCTTGACTAAGAAGTTTCTCGCATCCACGAGTAGGAAGTACCACTTGATTCCACACCCGGCCAGGGTTGTAGGTGCTGCTCTTGTCTTGGAAAGTCTGGAAGTATTCACTTTTCGCGAACCACTTTGGAGGGTTCTCTTTCAAAGCTTTAGTTGGTGCAAGTCTAGCAATAACGAGCTTACAGGTCTTAGACCTTGAGAAAAGTTTGGCAAAGGCGGGAATCGAATGCCTGTTATCCAGTTCAGTCAATGCTTTCAGTTTATCTTCGTTTTTCTCGGTGGGCTTTTTCAAAAGTGATGCGTATTGTTGTTGTAGCGTCTTTTCCAAACTTGAGGTTAGCTTCTTCTCGAGATAGAAAGCCTTTTTCTGGATAATTTCCGCACGTAAGGAATCCAGTTCACGGGAGACATCTTCAATCCTAGAAGACTCTAGTAGTTTGCTGATCTTTTTCGATGTCTTTTTACCTTTGGCATTGTATGTCTTTGCAGTGTTTTTTAAGCGAGGTTGAAAGCCAGCCAAAGAATTATTCAGGTGGTGGTACTGGTACTCCAGATTATCCAACTTGAAAATCAGGTTTTCTTTCGGCATCGTATGTATGGGATTCTTCTTTTGTTACCTTCTGGCACACCTTCTGGCACTTGATAAGTTTTCAGGTGATGAGCATCAAAAAGTTGATCAAGTAGGTAAAATTTTCTTAATTAACAGATTCAACGACATAGCCAATTGACCAGCCCTACATACAAATTGTGCTTTGACAAGGGCTGGGGCTTAACACTCACACGTTAATGTGATAACGTTTCGCTTCATTAGTTCAAACTTGCATTGGTACCAACAACGTTGGTGTTACTTAGCTTAAGTATTACTTCAACACCTTGAGATCTACAGGATTGATACTACACGCAAGATATATGAGCACAAGAAATTAAAACTGGGGTTCACTTCATCAGACTGACATGCAAATCGAATTTTTTGGAGTCTTTTCATCAATAAATTCAACAATCTCGGTTACTTGTCATCATAAAATGCAAGGATGTGCTTCGAACAAAAGCAGATAGGTAGCTGTGTGTTGTGCTTGCCCTCAAGCACTGTAAATCGACTGCAGATATGATATACCTTCTCTAAACTGTGTCTTGCTCAGTACCACGCCCTGTCACGGGCAGATTATCATCAACATTCCTAAACCAAACAAGTTAAGGATGAAACAGTTGACCGTCGTGAAAAGTGGAAGATCATCATAAACAAGAGATAGAGAAAAAAGCAACCTCTATTTGCAGCTTCTTTCACCAGCTATCAATCCGTCTGTTCAAAATTTTAAAAAAAAAAAACTTCAGGCGATGCTAAAAAACCACACATGTGCTCTAATACATTGGATCAGACGTGGGAAACTTATCTTCAGTTGAAAATCAGACATATGCTTGTCTTATTAGTTTCTTGAATATCATCTTCTGCAACCTAAAACTTAGAACACAGTGTGATCGACAGTAGCGCCGCCCCCTCAAAGCATTCCCGGAAAATACTACAGGATTATTGTCTAATAATCGGGTGGCCATCACAGTGCACAACAAATCTCCCGCGCGACAGCTCTCAATGTCAGAAATGCATGAATGGAATATTATTAGTTGTGTCTTCAGCGAGAAAAACCTCGATTCAGACTCGTCATCTAAGGAGATCATCACTTTGAGATATCACGCAAAGCGAGCTTGGATTTTGTCGAGCAAGCGGGAATGATCTGTAATATCGTCCGGGAAAACCTTGAATGGTGGTTCATCTCATTTGGCTTACTTTTTCTTTCTCGTTTTCGAGCCTGGCATTGGCCCGCCCCGGTCCTGTCTTGCTAGAGAAACAAAAAATCAGTAGCGTGGGGTTTCTAAGCCCACTAAAAGCATTGTCACTCATGATTTTTATAATCAGTGCCCAGTGCTATACCTCGTCATTTTTATAAGCTTCCTGCTAACAAGCACGGGACTGAAAGCCAAGGATCAACTACGTCAAAATATTCGCAAAGGTCCGAAGAAACATCTGTTAACTCCCAATAAACCTTCTCAAACACTGAAGAACAGAGCGCCACAGTTTCTAACGAATTTCTAGAGGATCCAAGCCAAAAAAGGCCCCACGCGCATTTTTTTCGAAAGGTCTCAAGTCTCATTTCAGAAGTAGTGCAAAAACGTATCAACATATAATCGTTCAGCCAGTAATTCCAGCTTTTGTTTTTGTTCCATCATCATTAAGAAAACAAGATATCCTCGCAGACGCGACTTCTCGAAAATCATGCACACGCAACGCCAGCCCAGCCTAGAGAGGAGGTAAATAGTTCGCGCCAGTACTGCTGTACTGAACCTAGAACAGCCTCAGACAATGCGATTAGTTTCTAATCACGAAAAAATAATTCAGAAACTCTAGTTTGTAAATTTAATTTTTGATCATCAGTGTTTTGCCTCTAGCTTCGCTTCCTATTAAACTCCTCCCTTCAGCTCTCTCGCTAAGGTACAATTTGGATGGGTTATTGGTGAAAACTGCTTGGCGCTCGTTTCTCAGTCGAGTGTCAATATGGTGAGCAGTTAAGTTGGTCAGGTTTTTTTTGCGAGACCCTCCTCCTTTTATATAATTCCCGAAGAAAGTGCGGGTAACCATTTTTGACAAATCACGATAGTAGGGCTTCGGCCTCTGTGAGCTCTGTCGCGGCGTCACACAAAAGAGCTCTTTGAGAGAGTCTCGAATGGGTTTACGGATGAGAGCACCTGTTTATGAGGTTATCAGAAAAGCCACTGGGTAGCAACTGAGCAACTCGGTGAGTCAATTAGTGACGTGTCTACCACAGCAAGTGGTACGGATAATATTTATTGTGCCCCCGGCTCCTGTACTCCGAACAAGCTGAAAATCTCCGTACCATCTGTGGCCTCTTTTCATGATTGTTTTCAGAGACAGTCTCGAACGGACCACCAGTAGCTTCAAAAGCGAAGCTTTCCGTTATTGTCCCCTCGGCTCCTACGTTCTCTCTCTCGGTGGCTGTGCTTGATTTTGTCGGAAAGATTGAGAGACGCATTATGCAGGAGAGAAACTACACACCCGCTACCAAGTTCGGGTGCGGAACATGACATACGCCGGTTCAGCTCGGGATGCATAAGTGAAGTGAAAACAGGTGACTCGCGTTTTCAGCATATGGCAATTGCAACATATACCGACCCTCCATCGAGCCACGCGCACCTGCCTTCTGGCTTGTGTCTTTTTTTTCTCATTTCGTGTCGGTCTTCATGGTCGAGTTCTGTTATGCCACGATCGGACTTAATATATAAGTATGATAGAGAGATATATAACAAACAGATCAGTCACGCCTGGTTCTGTCCACCTACGACTAGCTACCAACTATCAGGGAGTCTCCGTTAGCTCTACGCATACGTGAACTTATCCTGACACCTGGAGGCTTCCTATCGTCATATGACAAGTCATAATTTGGCGCCAGTAAAGTATAAAGTGACAGTAGCGAGGACAGACCATGCGACGCCTGGTCCACTCGAGAGGTCCCCAACGGCGCGCGTAGCCATAAGAGACATGAAAGCGAGAAATTCCAGTTAGTTGGCAATGCTTCTTCCATACTGAACGCTGGAGCACAACGCACCTGAAAGTCATATGAGCGCTCGTATAAATGGATATTAAGAAATTTCATTGGGCCACATCTCTAACACGCGTTGTGACATGGTCGAACGCGCAAGGAACTTCAGGAAGTGAGTGCGAATTGGCGCGATTCAAACACCCTCGTTTATGACCAGTCATGGGGAATCAGACCAGTGAAGAAAGGGAAGCGATTGAGCTGGAGAATGCCGAATTTTCGGTCTTCGACACCATAACCCCCGAAAAAGTGGCACAATTGATCATTGTTGGTAGCACGGTTCACTTGGCTGCTATGAAGTACATGGAAACCGAAAGTGACACGGATTTGTTCTACAGCGTGCTGAGTACAGCCGTGGCAATTTTGGTTGCGTTGGGAATGGCCTATAGAAACCGCGTTGCAGGCAACGGATTCGATGGATCTGACATCGCACACGTTTCTCAGTTTCTGCCCGACTTCAACATCCTTTACTTGCTTTATTTGCCTACGTTCCTCTCTTTGCTATTTGCAAGGCACCTCACCATCATCAACCTGGCTTTGGCTTTCAACTGCTCAGATTTGGCTCCATATATGCGCCTCCCAATCCAAGCAATCTTCGTGTTGTTCAATGACGCGTACTACAGGGACAGACATGTTTACCTGAAGGCCATTGGACTGAACTGTGGGCTCGCATATGCCATGCAACGCATAGGCCAACTTAAAAGTTTTGATCTAGTTGAATGCAACTTGTTCAGCATCCTGCTAACAAATGTCTTATTTTTGATCGACTCCCCTGTTGTCCATTTCCAGGTACTTCAAAACGTTCTCAGAGGCTTCCTGATTGCAATTACTCTCAATTATCCTTTGGTGAGGTTGACATCCAGTTGGAACAAATATGCAAGAACGATGGTTCTATTCTCAACGTTTGCTTCCGCTTTTCCTCTTGCAGTGGTCCACCTTTTCGAAATACAAGGCTTGAACCCTGCAGTTTGGCTCTACGATTACATCATCTCGAGCCCCGTAAGGATGAAGATAACCCTCGGCTGGTTTTGTGGCTTGGCACTACTTATCCCCAACATCATGATCTTAAAGTCAAACTTCTCTTTAAACTCCTCCCGCAAAATTTGGCACTTCATTATCCTAGGCTTGATTGTACCCCCACTGAAACAAGACCCCGAATTCGTCAAGATTGCCCTTGCAGGCACTACTGTGATTTTTCTAGCTGTGGAGTATCTCAGATATTTAAAACTTGCTCCTTTTGGTGAGTATCTGGACACTAAGTTGAGATCGTTTGCCGATTTTCGTGATGAGCGCGGCCCTATCATCATCTCTTATATTTATCTGATCATTGGTGTCGCAACCCCCATCCTTTTGAATGACTCTCTAGTTGGCGTCATCAGTCTAGGCGTAGGAGATTCCCTGGCGTCTATCGTGGGGAGCAGATGGGGTCGTTCTAGATGGCCCGGAACCAACAAAACCATCGAAGGAACACTTGCCTTTATATCGGCAACTTCAATTTGCAGCCTTGGGTTCAAGTACCTCTTGGGTGAGTTCAAGGACGTCCCCTCTTTAAAGTTGGTCCTAATTTGCGTATTTTCCGGTCTCTTAGAGGGCAATAGTGTCTTGAATGACAACATTCTTATTCCTTCATTCATGTTGATAATTCGCGAAATCTTCAAGTAATTGATGCTGAGAACGCTGATTGTTTGATAACTGCAGAATGAGAAGGTTTTACCTATCAAAAACATGAGAGACTGCTACTGTATAAGTAAATGAGGGGTTGCGTTGTATTTACAAGTTATTTTATCTTTAATACGTTTAAAATAGTGCAGTCGCATGCATCTATTTCTTCTTTTTCTGCTTTTTCCCGTTACTCTTCTTAGAAGAGCCGCCTTCGATGAAAGTCATTAATTCGTCGACAGACTTGTTGGCCAACTCTGGATTAGACGCCGGTTCTTTTCTCGAAGAATTGGATTTTTTGGTAGGAGCAGGCTTTCCTGTGTTTACAGCAGTCTGAGTTTGGGTCAAATTCTGCTGCTGTTGTTGACGTTGCAGCAAGTTTTGCAGACCCGAAACCCATTGCTTACACTGAACAGTTGTTTCGTCATTCAGTCCCAATTCTTTGGTAAATATCTCCTTCGCTTCTGTGATTGCCTTCAGAGAGTTCGTGTAGTCATTCAAAGTCACGTACAGATCACCAAGGCGAGACTGGTTATAACCGTAGGCCAGCGAAGGCTGTCCATTTTCGATCTCAAGTACTGTGGCTGATATTTTCTTCAACACTTCAATCGCTAACTTGGCATTCTTGGAAGCTAATGCAGCTTGTTGCAGCATGGTGTGCACATTAACGACAGCAGGATGAATTGTTACACAGAGAGAATTCAAGGTGTTCAGGATACGTTGCAAAACTAGTGCACCATTGTACGGGGATTTGTTACTGATTTCCAGGATGGCCAAGTTCATGAGACACCTGATGACTTCAAAGGAGTCAACACCTCGTGTTCTCTCATAAATTGTGCAGGCTTTACGGCAAAACAAAACAGCCTCGGGGACTTTGTTCAAAGTGTGATAAATTGTCGACATAGCCATGTAAGACTCAGCAACAGACGGATGCATTACACCGTTAACTTCTTCTTTGATATTCAGCGCCTGACTCAAAAGCACAAGGCCATCTTCTTGTTTCTCATTCAAGATCGCAGCACCCTGGGCCCAAAAATTGTCTCCTGAAAGTGATTTGTATTCACCGTCCTTGATTACGGGGATGATGGTAAAGTCGTCAGACGAGAAGGTATGCTTAGGGGCAGTCAGTTTGCTTCTTATTTTCTTGTCCTGCGCTTGTCTGAAATTATCGAAGGATTCTTTAGTGAAAAAGTACTCTTTGTTTAACAGTTGAATGCCAAACTTCTTGGATACGGCTCTCATCAGAGCAAAGCGTTGTTCTAACAATTCAGCAAGAACATCGCCCTGTAGGTGATAATTGAATCTACGACGGGCATTGTTGCAAATATTATCAATCAAATTGGCACGAGTTAGCTTGGTGAATGCAAAAGCACTTTCAGCGTAAAATTCGTCAGAAATCTCTGCCTTAGGCTCCTCATTATAGGTGTTGGCGAAAAGCAGATTGAAAATGTAGGTGACCAGACTGGAAACAACTGGAACTGGTAAGTTCTTAGCGTAGTCTCTGAGCACGTGTTTCAAAGACCGGGCAGCGATCTCCAGTTGAGAAACCTTGATTAAACACACTAGCTGATCGCGGTTCACTGCAACAGCTTCGCTTTTTGTAGGCTTTCTGATGTCGTTTTCGTCCAGTTTCAAGTTTCCCTTCAAGTCTTCGGGGATATCCTTTCCTTCCTGTACTAGCTGATTAATTTTGGCTTGTCTCTCTTTGATAAGATTTTCGACTTTGAGCAAGTACTCTTGCTCCCATTTCTTATGATCCTCATTGCCCACTTTGATTTCGGCCAGTCTAGACTCACGATTGACTTCTTGTTGTTTAAGTTCTTGTTCAGCCAGCTCAATAATCCTGCCCAAGTAGCGCATGTTGATACCGTTTTTGTGCAACGTGTCAGAAAGGTGATCACCATCATAGGGTGCGGTAGAGTTACCTGCCGCATAGTCTCTGACCACACTAGGAACGACTTCGTCAGAGAGATAATTCGATATTTCATCGACCAAAGGATCCTCGACACCGTCCACGATATAGGCATCGGGATTGAATGCAAACAATTTTTTTTCGAATGCGTCTTCAAATTCAGCGTTCACACTCTCTATCTTGCTTGCCCACCACTTATCAATCAGCTCACTACGAACCAAAGTCTGCCTATGTGGATAACGGTCAGTTTCATTGACGTTATCGTAAAACTCTTTGGCATAGCGGACATCGAGGGGATGCGAATTGGCGAGATCCAAAACGTACTTCCGTTTGTCAGATCCTACAATACCCTTTGAATGTGATGATATTTTTATATCTGATGATCCGACCTTATGTTTCTTCAAATGAAGCAGCTTCGCAAATGATTCTAATGCATCGTCAAATTCCTGATTATACAGGATATCACCAGTGGCTTCGTCCAGCCCGTAAACAACATTGACATCTGAATTCAAATCTTCAGTAGTGGTCTCTCCAGAATCTGGATCTTGTTTAGTGACTGTTCCCATAGCACCCAGTAGCCCTGGGACAGGTGTCTGAGCAAGCACTCTGCGGCCAGCAAAATCTATAACAGCGCACAATAGGTAGTGAATTTCAGATAATGTAACGCGGTGCAAAAGTTTAACGGTTTGAAGGTCTTGGTTCGAAGCTGCAAATGCTGCAGCATCGCCACCAATAGATGAGTAGGTACCATTAATATCACCGACATACGAATAAAACACATTGTTCTTCAAAAAAATCTGTTCCTGAGTTGGGGCTTCTGGATTCATGGGGACCAAGTCATCGTAGAAAATTGACATAGCATCCTTAACCGCTGTAGTCGTAAATTCATGATAAACCTTGGCGGTCAATTTTTCAGTGTCAACGATAGACTGGAAGTCACCCGTTGTCATGTCTTTAATGGCTTGAAATTCGTCGTTGAAATTACGCTCGGTGTTGAAATCACTTTCGTCAAGTTGGAAACGAGAATAAGTTCCATTGAAATTTGGGGCAGTGGAAACCAACCATGGTTTACACAAGAATGTGGTGGATGGTCTGGCATGGCATATAGAGTCCACAGCGCTAACTTTCTGCTCCAATCTCTTTAGGTGCTCATTTAACTTTCTAGATTGCGAAGTGAGCAGATCAAGTAGTGACACGAAGGTCTTGGCGGCATCTTCTCTCCGGGTGGGATCAAATTTGTTTGCAGTGGACTTATTAACGTAAAAGCCAGCGGTGGTAGCAGTAATATGGAAAACTTCACCCTCCAAGGTGACGGCTTGCAGGTACAACAAGTGGCCTTTGGTTCTGTAAAATGCCGGAACAGGATTGTAGCCGGAAAGATGTAGGGAACGAATGCAAGGCGTAACGAAGGGACCCTTTGTCTTCATGACTTCATTGACAGATTTACGTTGGGTCAAAACATCTTTGACAGCATGCTGGAAATCGCTGGCCTCTTCTGAAGATAGGTCGAAGGCAGAAGACTCGGTTTTAGATTCGTCGGTCTCATTTGTTTTGTCAGCAGCAGCAGCCTTGACTGGGAGAAGCGGCATCTCGCAGAATTGATTTCCTGTAGCTACAGCAAAGGCAGAAACAGCGTCAAGCGTTTCGGAAGCAAATCCGATCGTGTCCCGCAAGATAGTGACATGTCTGATGACGTCTCTGGCAGTGTACGGTTTGTATTTGACCTCTAACTTGAGGGCGTTTCCCGAAGAAAGGTCTTTCAGCAACTCTTCACCGGCCAGCCTCGTTCCCTTGACATACAGCTCAAGGTTTGTTAGCCCTCGAGTAGCTGGCGAAAATTGTAGAACGTCGTACACATTCTGAATACTCGAGGATTCCACCAACTCCAGCGAAACCTCCTCCTTTCGATTAGGAAGTTTCACAGAAACGGCAATTGCATCAACACGCTTCGTCTCCATTGCGTGTGGACTGTAGAGGTGCTGTACTTACTGACTACATCATTCGACTTTTTAGCTGAAAACTTTCTCAATTTATCGATCTCGAGCTTCTTATCACTATTTACGCCAGTGACACTCCAGTTTACAGCTCAGCGTAGATACTCAGCCATTCACAATACTAGTACGCAAGTAGTTCAGCCCATTTCCCAACAAACAAATAGCTGTACGTTCGCTCGAAATTTGTATTAAAGTAGCAACCTCTAGCGTGACCATAAAATTATTCAAAAGATACGCAAAAATTCATAGATCTAAAAGTGGTTATTCTAACTTACCATTTCACTGCTCAATTCACTTCTGGCGCAAATTGAGACTCGCTCAAAGCTCAAGGTGGTCCATTGATGCACCAATGTAGGACGCACAAAAGATTTAGTTACTGGGCCCAGAAACTCAGCATTTCCTGCCCCTGACGGTAGGAACTTTCGCAGCTGCTTCAGCAATTGGCATCCTTTGTGCTATTATTATTGGGATAGTAAGTGCACGGAAGTATAAAGTGTGCCAATATAGCAAAAATGTGTACAGCAATCTCGACAACCTGTTAGGCACCAAACCTTACTTTCCTGGAATAGAAATCCTCGCCGGATGCTACAACGCTATTCACTGCACTGCTAGCTTACGCTGGCTATGAACTATCCATCGTGTCTTCAAGAAGCACTCGATACTTATGTAACTATCCACGAAGGAAAGACGTCCTTAATAGCGATATCAGACCTTCCCTGATGAAGCTACCAGCGGACTAAGTGGAACACTGATCATTCGCATTCTACGGTCTCCTGGAGAATCCTCCAATTTCTAAAGCGACTATGGATTATATGAAGAAAGTGATTTGGGGTCCTGACCCAAAGGAACAGCAGCGCAAGATTCGGCAGCTGGTGAGGAAAAACGGTAGGTCCCTAGATAAGTCACTAAGGGAATTGAGTGCTTTGCAGGCCAAAACTCAAGGGCTGATCAGACGTGCTAGTAAGCAAAATGATACAAGGACAGTTCGAATATATGCAAAAGAGCTTTACCAGATCAACAAACAGTACCAGCGAATTTACGTTTCCAAGGCGCAATTGCAATCGGTAGGTATGAAAATCGAAGAAGCCTTCCGAATGCAGAGTCTACAAGAGAACATGGCTTCATCGGCCGTCTTGATGCGGGAGGTCAATTCTCTGGTCAAGTTGCCCTATCTACAGCACACCATGATGGAACTGGAAAAAGAGTTGGTCAAGAGTGGGATGATAAGTGAAATGATTGATGATACAATGGAACTAGCGGAGGACGAAGAGATGGAAGAAGAAGTGGACCAGGAAGTTAACAAAATCGTTGAGCAATACACCTCCAACAAGCTGGACAACATCCAAAACATACCGGCCGCTGAACTACCTTCAAAACAAAAGGCAGACGAAATTGTGGCCGAAGAAAATATTGATGACGAGGCGGACCACATGCTGAATGAAATGCGGGAAAGGCTAAAAGCTCTACAAAACTAGATGAGAGCCTTTGAATTATTTTTATGTACTATAGTATCGATATTTTAAAGGCGCATGTAATTACTTGGGCACTTTCTTGTAACTTTTTTCGCTAAAGTACTGCGCCTTTAGCAGCTCCTTGATCTCTTGTTTGTGCTTAACCCACTCCTCTGCTTTGCCCAACGTGTTGTCAACCACGTCCATAACATTGTGAACCATCCCGAGACTTTCTTGAGCCAAAATGAGAATTTTCCCATTTGGACTTAGACTCTTGGAATTGGTGTATATGGCCAGTTTCTCTGAATTCATGGACGTTATCCAATTAGAGGGCAGTTTTAGCAGGGTTTCCCGGACCTGGCTGCGCGCGGGTTCTGGTAATGAGTTCCCCGTGAACTTGGAAATCAAAAAGTAGATTTTCTTAACCGTTCCCACGATTTCCATCTTTACCACATTGGACTGCTCGTCAAGGTTGTCAGATGCATCGTAAAACTCTTCCTCGTCATCGTCGTTTTCTTCAACTCTTCCTTGGTCGCCATCACTTTCTATGTCATCGTCTTCAGACCCGCTTGGCTTCTCGTTGCCATTTGGACTTCTTCCAACACTTCTTTGAGTCTTGTTAGGATTCTCACGTATTCTTCCGCGCCGAAGTCGCTGCTCTTTGTGAATCAGATCTTGCAAAAAGCTAACTCGGTTCGAAAGCTGGTAATTGGCCAGCTTCAATAAATGCAAGCAAGTTACCAACCGCTTCTTGGATTCGATTGACATGTTGAGTTGGTACCCTTTCAGATTGCTTTTGGATTTGGCAATCGCGTCCGATATTTTTTGTTTTTTAGAAGTCCTCCTGCTTCCGGAAGAACCATTTTGGTAGTCGATGTCAAATTCGTCGTCGTTATCATTTTCGAGTTCTGTTTCGGTATCTTGGACTTCTCCATGGTCGTTTCCTCCTTCTTCCAACGCCTGTTTGCTTTCGACCAGTCGCCGCTTTTTAACCCTCCGCTCTTCCAACCGCTTAACCATCGGAATCAATGCCTTCCGTTCCACCATTTCCGCTCCTTTCCTAAAGCTGGGATATTGATTCTTACTCTGTTCGTAAACCTTCACCGCATTGTGAATCAATGAATTTGACCTGACCTTATTAAGGAGACTGTTCTGTTCTATAGTATTTTGTTGCCGCAGTAGCTGTGACCGTATCTCTGACTGTTGGTATTGATGTTCATGTTGTTGTTGTTCTTCACCCCGTGCATGTGAATTCTTTAATTCCGTGAGGGCCTCGACAGCCATAGCGATGTCCAACGGAATTTCGGCCTCTGCAACTTTTTGTGATTCCACAACTCGCATTTTGTCACAAAAGCTCACGCTTACGCGCAACGAGTGAAAGTTCCTGAGCTCTTGACGCTCATGTTAAGTCAAGTTTCTGGTCTGAGATGAGCTTTGATTTATCAGTAATAAGCTTGGGCACTTGACACGAAATGACAGCTGCCTTTCGGACAAGGACAGAGGTGAAAGATAGCAGTTTAAGCGAACGGCTGGTGAGCTTGTCAATATTTTGCCACACTATTCGAATATTCTACTTTTGAAAACAGACCTGGCTCTATGATAGGGCCTCAGAGTGTATCAGAAAGCTGTTCGTCTGAGAGCTGTCAACTTCCAAAAAAGAGTCTAAAGCTGCAAGACTGATGTTTCCACTGCATTAGACGGGAGGGAACTCAGAAAATACCTATTGGCTGCTAGATTTTTACTCTTTGTTCAAAGTCTTCGAGAGTATAAAAATCGAAGCATCTTTTACAGGTACGTTTCTAAAAAATAATGAGTTTATCGTCATTATTCTATCAAAAAAGAAGCATTTTGAACTCGTTACGTTTCTTAAATTGGCTTTTTCATTATTCTCCTATCTCTGCAAAACTCTACAACTGCTCGACGAACCCTGTACAGATCTTTGCAATTGTAATTAGAGGATATTCCGTGAATTATATATTCTTGAGCCTAAAATTTGGCGGGTATAAATACCAGTTTGGAGTGAGAGCTTGAACTCGTTACGTTCATTTTAACTTTTAGCTTTTCTTCGGCGAAGCTGTGATACCTTTACTTTGAGCCCATATGTGCACGTTCTCACTTGAGTTAAGAATTGTCAGCCAGACCCAGGGATTTTTCCAGGTCTAAGCCCTTGGTGTTTAAGAAATAACTAGAATGAATACCATCAGCCACTAGAAACAGTCATTTAGAGTGCGTGTAGCATTTCCGTGCCAGTTTGCTGTAATGTGATCGATCCAACTGATAATTTTATAAGTAACGTGATCCAATACAGTAGAATAAACTACCAGTTTACAGAGCTGAAGCATCGCTCGAAGCATTTAACCGCTACTTTAAAACAAGCTGTGGCCATCTGTTACGAGCTAGTATTCTAACCATAAAAAGAAGATACAAATGAGAATATTACAGCTGGCTCTCAGACGTGGAATTGGTCGGCGTAGCTCGAGCAATTGGTCTGAGTTGGCTCAAGTTTTCCAACGCACGGGCGGGGACAAAATGCCGGCCAAACTGGACCTCATGGTTCGGGCCAGCCTACCCTCAAAACTGCGAACTGTGAGGTGTGGGGTGATTTTAAACTCTCTGAAGTCAGAGCGAAGTGCTGCTTTCCTCGATGCTCTTTTAGCTGACGTTTATGCCACAGACCAATACTGGTACAATGAATTTCGCAACCGTTTCAAGAACAACTCGACAGGCCCGAGGATAATTCGGTATTCTTCTACGCTAGATATACAGAAAGATGGGCAAGCAACATTTTACGGTCTGCCGTCACCATGGCTTCGAAAACATGCAGTTGAACTACAGGAAATTGACCATTCTTTGACGACAGACGATTCTACAGATGGCTGCCACATATATCTCAAGACGACTCCTCAAGTGATCGGGTTTTCTCCACAATGGCCGACCCTGGAAATATCTGATCTAGACTCTGATTTCCCTATCGGCTCACGGGAACTGAACAGCTCCAAGGCTTTATCAGGGGTCCTTGAGCTCATCGAAGATAAACACAATGTGAGTCACTATTTGAGTTGCTTGGAAAGTTCCAACTTTTTGACGGTCACTGAAAAATTGGGGGATCGACTCGATGACAAGGCGCGCGTTTTTCAAGATTTAGGTCGGGCCGTTATTCAAAACATTTATAACACTGATGCCTGTATTTTGAATCATCAAAAAGTCTGTTTACAAAATGCGAAGACTACCCAAGAGATCGAGGACTGGGCCACGGATGCCCATAGCTATTTACTGTCACGCTACAAGCCTCAAATAGAGGAGTTCATTAAGGATCAACTCTCAATTTTCAAAATTTACACTTACTCCGAGAGTAGAACTGAATTAAAACTGCGTGAACTATGTGATGTCAGTGAGAAGACGGGGATCCATGAACGCATAAATCATCTAAGAGGACGACTAGACTTACCACAGACCTCAACGAGTACGAAGCTAGACTCGATGTATTCAAAAGTACCAGCTTTGCGTAAGGGTATCAGCAAGGTGATTTATCAACAATTTTTTAAGCTTCAGTTGCCGCTATCATTGTGTGCTATCGGCGGTGTTTTGTCGGGCCAGTTTTCTGCATACTCTATGGGATCACTCGCGTTATTTGGCATCGTACTGGGTGCCTGTCGAATAATGAAGAAATGGTCATCTATGCTAGAACAGTTTGAAAGTGAGATAATGAATATAAACAGACTTCAAATTGAACATGGAAAAATGAAGATTGAGGATGAATGGAAGCAATCATTCAAGACACATGAAGCTCTTGTACAAAGAAAGATCAAAGCTTTGGAAGATATAGGAGAAACCTTGAACAAGAACAATGATACATAATGCATGGAAATAATATTAATGTTACATTCTCGAGGATAAAGTTATTCATAGTCCTTCAACTATATTTGGAAGGCGTACTCCTGGTCATTGATCGTTTTATATCTCACCCAGGGAAATGATTGATATTGCAACTGATTTTCCTCGACTTTCAAATATTCAACTTTCAATCCGCTACATGCGTAATATGGAACTTCAAAGTCGAGGAGTATCAGGTCGCAGGTGTCTCCCTTAGATACTTCGCCATTCTGCTGCACCTGGGCATAGAGCTGGTCTAGTTGTATACCTGTGCGCAAAGGTGGAGGGTCCATTGAAGCTTTGAGTTCCAATATTCTTTCCTGCTCCTTCACTTCATCGAACAAGAAGAACTCGACCTGCGCAGAATACTGCTTTTCGCCATGTCCACCTTTCATGCCCTCAGCGTCCCAGAGTATAGTGCGCTCAGTTAGATTAAATGCGACGCTTCCTATGTCAGACTTGAACCGGGGTTGGCGCCTTAAATCAATTGTGTAGTCTCGCATAACAGAATCTAGAGGTATTTTGATCTTCAGAGAAGAAGCCGAGTTTTGCGCTTTGAAATGAGGCTCAACAGTCACCACTACTTGAATCTTATTTTTCCTTTTATGCTTTATAACTTGGTGATTAATGACCTTGACAATGGGTGCGTCATTTATGTGTCGTTTTAACTTGTACTCGCACAACTGGAATTCCCCGTCTGGAGGAATGAAACCTATGAAATCCTGATTATCAAGAGAGTCTAGAGCAACGCATTGATGAAATTTCGTTCTTTCCAGAAAAGAGGTTTTGTCTTTCAACATTTTGTTGATGCACATCTTGACTTTAGGCATGCCTGATAGGTATGATCGGCAAATAATTTTGCCCTGAATGAAGTTTTTTCTCACTTGGTTACACTTCAAATCTACGAGGTATACCTGTGACTCTATGATATCCACGAATAACTCATTTTTGGCGTAGTATATGCCCTTCGGTCTCCATGAAATCGCTTGAGTAGTAGCTCGAAGGATGAAGCTGTTCATATATTGCTCATCATCCTGCAAGCCATGTTTGTTGGACTTGTCTTTGTTTTCTTTGATTATAGAAGAGACTTTCTTGTCGTTATCGTCATCGCTTTCTTCGCTCTTGGAATGGTGCGAGTCCGTGTCCTGGACAGAAAGGTTCGGCTTGATCTTTATAAAATCGCGGATAATATTATAGTCTGTCAGTTGAGGAATTCCGTAATCTGAACTTTCATCCAAAAGCTCGTATACGAGATTGAAGTTATCCATAATGCTTGTTTTGTCAATCTTTCCAATCCGGAGGTATCTCTTGAGTAACGTATTCAACTCGCTCAGATATACCAATATGGCCATCACGTTGAATGCAAGTCCATTAAGGACCACTGAAACATAGAAAAGACCGTCACGACATATGCTGACATATACGATTCCTCTATGTGATATAATGGGTCCGGACTCTTGTTTGTATACCTTTTTGAAATAATGTGCGAATGCTTCGCAATTATGAACAGACTTAAAGTTCTTGAGGATTAAAGGATTCAGTTGTTCATCTAGTATAAATATACACGAAGACATTCAAATGTTTTAGTTACCTCGGAATGTTTTCATGTGAAGTATGTCTTTACACACACTTTAAGTTATGTGTATTACTAGTAGTTTAGCTAAATTTCAACAAACTAAGATCAAAGGCCAGGCAATTGATGTACAACAAGTTAACGAAGATAGCAGGAGTTCGTTCGGGAGCTGCTGAAATATCTCAACTACTGGTTAGATATCCACGATGGAGCTACGATGGTTACAAGCTTGTTAGGAACCTGAAATTTAGAGATTTTGAAACTACCTGGACATTCTTAAATCAATTGGCGATGAGAAGTCATCTGTGGGGCCACCATCCCACGATCACAACTTGCTATAACAGAATCACCCTAGAATTGACAACGCATGATGTTGGTGGTGTTAGTGACATCGATATGAAAATGGCCGTCCGCATCGAGAATTACGCAGCGGGGCGAGAGAAAGACGAATAACGGAAGTATTTTGAACATTAGATTGGAATTAATATATAGTAGCAGGTTACATAGCTACACGTACTCGCGCGCGTGCGCTTCGGAGTGTGCAGTGATTCATCTTGGTTACCCAAGGCCCTCAATTTTGTCCGAGCCTGTTCTCCAGTTTTTCAAATTCCTTGAGTGCAATTTGCTCCTCAGGATCAAGAATCTGTACAACATTTTCCACTTCTTCAATGTAGTGTTTAAGCATGGATTCGATTCCGTGTTTAAGAGTAACCTCACTGGACGAGCAAGATTTGCAGGCGCCTTGAAGCTTCAAATAGACGGTACCGGCCTCCGGGTCATACCCACGGTACTGTATATCCCCACCATCATCCATTATCGCTGGCCGAATACGGGTTTGAATCAACTCTTCGATCATATCGCTGATTTCTTGTTGATCTTCATTGTACTCAAATTTAGGAACATTCACGTCGTACCCCACATCTTGTTCCTGAACACTAAAGAATTCGGACGTCAATGCCTCTTTACCGGAAGCCAAATATTGCGTCAGGAGGTCGATCATCTCGCCGGTAATCTGGGTCCAATGAATCATTTCGTCTTTATTAATCGTTACGAAATCGTCACCAATCATCATCGATTCGACCCCCGAACACTGCGTGAAAATACGCTGTGCTAGTGGCGAATGCTTGATGAGCGATTCGTCCGTGTTTTTGATCTCCACGCTGGGCTTACCACGGTCTTGGAGGAGTTCGCCATCGACTGAAACGAACTTTAGAGCATTTTCATTAGGTGTAGAGACGGTTTTGACGTGCAGAAACCTCGTCAGAGAAACTCCACGGCGAGCCGACGCCCATATCCCACGGTTAGAAAGCATAGTGCCAACAATAAGCTGCTTTTTTGTCCTTTTATCGCAACCACTTGAAGTTAAAGATGAGATGTCATAAGTCGTTTTTCTAAATTACTAAGGTGTCAGTTAAAGAGCACAACGACGGCGAACAAGACGAACGTCAACAGTCACGAACCCCGGTACAACAATTGTAGCTTATCTGCTTTAATAAAGAGCCCAGTTCACCTGAGTTTTTGGCCATATCTTAGCCATCAAAGCCGGTTATACTGAGCATTTCGGGGTTTTTTCTTGGTGATCAGAGCCAGCCGACAAGGCAATACAGTCTTCTTAAGCTTCAAGTACAATCTTGGTACAGCTCAGAATCAACCGTAAACTTATCATAAAAGGTCATTCCATCTACCTGTCGGGGAGAGCATTCTCAATTAGGTTCAGATTAAGTTACCAATTCTTCACACCCTACCACACATTTTGAAAAAAACAAGCATGTAGTACATTTTGTTTTAGCTTATAAGATGAGGGGGCATGTGTATATGCGCTTTCAGGATCAGCACTGGCCAACCGTAAGTCAGGCAAATCCATCAGACGGAGTTTCTCAGAGAAGTTTCTAAAAAGAATATTGGTATTTTCAGCTCATAAAAATCATCAGCTATATGCGTTATACAGAGCTGTTGAGCCTCGATGCTGCTGTCGCTGGGAGGAAGGTGTCGTTTCATGGATTGTACTCGTTGTCGTCGTTGTAGTCGTTATTGACGAGGTGGAGTTTATAAGCCTTGAAGCGCACTTTTCTATTATATATTAGTAGAGTATAGGAACTTATTTCACCCAAAGGTCGCACTGCTCATTTTAACAAGCCAGAAACCAGATAAGTGGCACTGCTGAAACGGGAACGGACATTCGTGAGCGCAGTTATCTATCCTTCAGACCAGTATCAACTTTTTGGCTCTGTAGTAGCAATTGACAATGCAGTTGTACATCCCGTTTGCCGTCCTTTGGATATGGGCGAACCTAGTTACAGCCAACAAAGCAGTACTTTCTGACAAAAATCCGCAGGCATGTAGCGGAATGTATTCACGAGAAGACTGGGGAGGAAAAATCGACCCGTACATTTCTTTCAACCTAAGGGAACTGTCTAATACAAAGGGTGTGTCAGTGGCCATCTTTGATTTTAAAGACTACGAACACCTCGGAGTTTATGTCGATTCATCTCCGTACTATATCTGCGACGATTATGCTATCGAAAAGGGTGCTTGTAATGCAACTCATAAAAACGAATACATCGTGCGGAACCTGATAACAGACCCAACGACCGGGGAAAACGAGACCTTGTCTGCCCAAGTACAGAGCTTTTACCAGACCGAAACTGGGCTCCACGAAACCCGATACTCCGTCAAATCGACGGGCTACTACTGTGTGGTCGCATCGTCGATTGACAGCTCATCCCCCAAATTCTCTGCGACTATCAATTTTAGAAATGCCTTTGGACAACTTCCAGCCGCAGAGATCAACAATTTACCTCTCTACGGACTTTTGGCTATCTTCTATCTCGTGGCCATGGCTTTGTACAGCTTTGCCTTCTGGAAACATAAGAACGAACTTCTACCCTTGCAAAAGTATTTGTTAGCGTTTTTCGCTTTCCTTACAGTGGAACAAATATTTATCTGGGCATATTATGATATAAAAAACGAAAAGGGCGACACGGCGGGTACCAAGGTTTATATGGTTTTTGTGTCCATTTTGACTTCTGCTAAAACTTCCTTCAGTTTCTTTCTCCTGTTAGTGATTGCCCTAGGCTATGGTGTCGTGTACCCAAAGCTTAACAAAAAGCTAATGAGACGCTGTCAAATATTTGCAGGTGTAAACTTTGTTCTGAGCGTGGCCTATCTCATCCAAAACTACCTAACAAACCCAGAGTCCGTGACTCTGTGGCCATTAGCAACGTTGGTTCCTCTGGGAATAACCATGCTGGGGTTTTACTTTTGGATCCTAAGGTCCATGTCCCAAACACTACGCTACTTGCAAGAACAAAGGCAGGTTGTAAAGCTGAAAATGTACAAAAAATTGTTGTCCACGATCTACTTTTCTTTGCTCGTTTTGTTTGCTGGTATTGTTCTATCTTCTTTTGTTTTCATCGGAATGAATTCTATCGAGATGGTGGAGCAACACTGGAGGACAAGGTTTTTCTTTGTAGATTTCTGGCCGTCCCTCGTTTACTACTTCGTATTTGTGACCGTTGCATTTATCTGGAGACCAACTGATACTTCTTACATGTTGGCATGCTCCCAGCAATTACCAACAGATCCTGAAAATGTCGCCGATTTTGACCTAGACGATCTTCAGTCTTTAGAGGGTCCATCTGCGCACATAGACGATGACCTTAACTTTTCAGATGACGAAGAGCTTCCTCGTAGAGACTCCGACTCCAAAAAACCAGATAAATGAATATAAAGCATAGTCAGCCGAGATATCATAAAAATTATGTACATGATTAAAAGTTGAACAGGATTATATTCGCGAACAATTCTCGTAGCAGATAGCCTCAAAGTTTTGCAGGATGATCGACCGAGTGTCGAGTTCAAAGTATCATTTAACGTGAGTTTAAATTATATTGTTCCAATTATGAACAGCCTAACCTAGTCGACAATGGCATCAATATTCGGCTCATCCGACTTATGTCTTGAATGTAGTCGCGCGCTGATTTGAGATTGCACAACGTGCATTCTTTCCGGATGGTCGTTTTGCCATTCTCTGAGCTTGTATGTTTGACCAGATAAGTCCCAATAAATTCCTCTAAAAGTCGTGTACAGCCCTTCCCTACCTTCCCACAACGGAAAGATGCACACCGCAAATCCCGTGAAGAAAATCCAAATGATGAGCACCACAACCCAGCCTGTAAAGAAGCGTTTGCTAAAGACATAGCTCGAACCATACATTGGCATTGGCCACACAACAAGAAAAGCCAAAGCAAAGAATATTGTCAAATATGAACCGAATTTACTGGCCCTGCGCAATTGACGGGCCTCCTCCTCTTGCAGAGAATCGATTTTCTCCTGGGGCACATCTTGGGCAACTGAAACTACTGATCTAACAGCCCGAAGTTTCTCTTGATCTGACACATTGTCCGATCCGGAAGATTCCCCTCTTCCATGGATTTCACTGGCAACGCCTTCAGCGGCTTCGATTTCGGTATTTTCCTCAGCTCTCTTGATGCATTTCAACAGTTCCCAGTTAAAATTTTGAGGCTTGAAAGCGTACGTCAACACTGGAATGATCACAAGCGGTGATAATAGCGCAACGACGTTACCTGTCAACATAGGATTATCCTCAAAAGTTGTTGCGACCGTTAACTCTCCAAACTGTTTTTTAGTAACAACTAGCCATGACATAATGGCAAGGCCAGTGCCCAAGATAGGAGACACCACTACGGCCACTAGGTTTTGCTTGCTCCAAAAGAGCGTCAAGGCAGCTGGTAGTACTGCTGCGGAAATGATAATTCCCATGAGTTCGTAGAGGTAGCCCATGCTAACTTGACCTTCGTAAAGACCAACAGAGAAGCCTGCCATCGCAAATCCAAAAATAACGCAAGTGGCATGCGAAGACAAAATCAACTTCTTGCTCGAGGCATTAGGGTTGATATATTGGCGGTAAATATCATAAGTGAAAATGGACGACACGGAAATCAGTTCAGCAGACATCGCAGAAGTGACTGCCATGAAAACTAACAGTAAGGCCGCAACCGCACCACCTTTACCAAGGATAGCCACTGCTGCTGAAGGCAAAACTAGTCCCGCCGAAACTTGATCAGATGTTAGTCTATTAGGAAAGGTGGGGAAGCTTGGGCTGGATTCTAGCGCCAGGCATGCGAGACCCATAACGGTCGAGATAAGAGTAGGAATAGCAAACCAAGCAACACCACCAAGAGCGTAGCCGGGCAAACTGGCTGCGGGAGAAGCAGAAATTGCCTTGTTCCAGTAACCGTTATCCAAAAAGACAGTTCCGAAATTGCCAACCAAGTTTATGACAAAGAAAATACCACCGGATCTGGATCTCATTGTTAAATACTCTCCGCCAGCGTTGCCCTCAATCGGATGCGAGACAGCTGCAGCTCGCACTAAGTCATAAACTTTCGACGGCGAACCAAGATCGTTACCAGTCGCATACACAGTGAAAGCGAAAGTGAGAATGATAACGATAATAACCACAGTGTGCACATAGTCAGTTAAAAATGTAGCTTTGATACCACCGAACAGAGTGTAGACAATGACACCAACTGGAAGCAAGAAACAGGCGGCGATCGGGTTCATGCCGGTCAAATCCGTGACCACAGCAGATCCACCAGTCAATAACATCGCAGTGACCAAGATATTTGTAGCCAATGCAAAGAACAAGTATGTTATATGTGCGTACTTGCCGTACCGAGCATTAATGATTTCCAGATACGTATGAGCATTTGGAGCACGCTGCTTGGCTTTGATGGCCAGCGTTGCGAAGGCAATAATCTGGAAGCATGCGCCAGCGCCGTAGTAGTATCCACCAGAAATGCCCACTTTATAAACCATCGAAGTTGATTGTAGCAAAGTAGCTGCCCAGGTCCAACTGGAGACCACAGCAGCAGCAATAAGACCAGTCTTCACTGTCCTACCTGCCGTGGCGAATTCCTCGGCTGTCACAATCTCTTTTTGGTAGCGCTTCAACATGTATGTGGTCATGATCATACCGAAAGCGAACACAAAACCCAGTCCAACCACAACGGCATAACCGGCGCCTTGAGGTAGGGGGACTGCTATATCTGTCATATTTCAATCAGATCCTTGCAGCTCCTTTCAGTCAGCTATTAGCCCAAAAATGGTTAGTTATCTTGAGCAGTACTTCGAATGAAGAACGACCTACACATAAACATGTATATATTTAACACACGCTCACACGCACACACACACACATATATATATATATACATATATATATGCTGATTTAACATCTCCAGCAATTACTCGACAACTTATCAATCCAAGTTGAATCTAAAAAGAGTGTTAATCAGTCTATCATCGCGAATGACTTGATGACTGCCGAGAATAATCTCTTCCCGGAAGCGCCATCACAACTCCGCACAGGTCTATGAGGTAATGATACTAAGATTTTCCCTGTCATAAAATTCTGTTTCCGGTCTTAAACATCAAGGCAGAGTTTGCAAAAACCGGACATCGCTCCTTGACAGTCTCGATGGGTTGTATTGATGACCTTATCTTTAAACGCAAATTCCAGGTAAAATGCCCATCCCATTAAGTTCTTTTCTCACGCATATTTTTTTATCTGGATAAGGCTTCCTGATGTGGAAATGTGCGCACCGATAAGACAAACGTAGGTTAAATGCGGAACGGCACCTAACGAATTCCGGGGGAAACAGGGTAGGGCCCCAGCCCATTCATAACGAACATCTAGCTCCTTTGTATGGATGACGACAATATCATCAAAAAACAGTCCCGTCGCTGTGCAGTTCAATGGGGGGTCCTTTGCTGTCAGGTCTGAGCTCTGCTGCGATTTCCCGACCGGCCTTCCACGAACCGGCTTCGATGAGCTGTGGTAAAGATAGTTGGTAGCCGAGCTTGTCATTGACAATGGGTAACAAGTAGTCCAACAGTCCAATAGTGAGACATCTCCATTCGACTATGGCACCGTCTTGAGGTTCAAAAGTGGGAAGATCAGTAGATTTTTGCAAATGGGAAGATAATTGTCGTCCTCTGGCGAGAGCGTCAGGCTTAAGCTTTAAAACTCCAAAGTCGTAGAATAGGCCACCGTTGCGGTACTCGGGCAGTCCTGTCTGTAGTTGCTTGTTTTTAATGGAGAATTGGTAACCGTATCGTTCTAGTGGAACCAAAAGCGAGTAGCAGAGCCATTGCGTGAGCTTATGGAACGTTACGATATCTGTGGGGATTTCTGGCGCTTTAGGACCTTGCCCAGGAAACTCTGCGGAGGCTTGAGCTTTGGTATCAAGTGTCCAAACGTCCCCGAGAGGCTCACCGTTGACTACAGTTCTTCCTGCAGGCCAGATACTAGTCAATCCAGTCATGAGGGCGTTCCAAATATCCTGCAAATCGATGGAATTTTGGGTTTCACTTTCTAGGTGTGAAGTTTTGGTGTACAGGTAGTCCACTAACCCTCCCGGACGACCTTCAGCTCCGAAAATTTTCGGGTGCGCATTCAACGCGCGGCCCAGCCTTTGCAACAGCTCCAAACGACCGTCAAACCCATCCATGGGGTTGGAGTCCGAGATTTGAAAGCCATCCGCGAAAGCTGCTCGAGTAAACTGCTCCAGGACGGACCCCTCGACTCTGTAAGGGTCCGTGGGGTCCTTGGAGAACTTGCCATCCACGAAAAGATAGTAGGAAGCAACTGCCAAACCTTCGGAACGGCCAACCCGCTGCGCTGGAGCATCTTCTGAATTTGAAGAAGAGGGAATCGTGTACTGCCACACATTCCCCGCACCGGCGTCTATCAGCACGCTCAAAACGAACAAATCAATCAGTTTACGCGCGATTTCGATCTCATCGATTCCCGAAGCCGTCCAATCCTGGATCAGGGTCTCCACTCGGGGCTGCGATCCGTAATTCAGGTGCTGCCATCTCCCGTGTGGTGGAATCGCAGCGTAGTCAGATCCATAATCCCGCTCGATTATCGAGCACAGATAATCGGCCACCGCGTCCATTGCTGACAGCTCCAATTCAAAGTAGTTGCCGCCGTGGTGCTGGCATGCGTATTGGAATACTTGGGACGACGTTTCGCGCACCGACCCGATGGACTTCAAATATTCAACAGCGTCCATGATAATTGAAGACTAGCTGCTTGCTGTATCCCTAGTGGTATAATGTGTATGCGTCGTTGCTAATTTGCCCCAACCTTGCAGATAGATCTAAAGGGGTGGAAACGCCTGAACTGAGTATACCGGCGGTACTAATACGTAGATATATTATATATCGAGGATTTATATAGATTGTGAAGAGTCACCGGTTGGTCAATGGTTCAATTGAGCCAATTGAAGGTATCTATCTATCTATACCCGAGAGGAGTAAGAATAACAAATGATAAAGCCCACCTGTCCTATTTGTTGATGAATACCAACTAACTCCTCGGGAAACTCGTCACTTGTTATCTCCAGCGGCGGAAGGATAACCCGTCGGAGTTGGGCCAGACCACTAGCCGGACTTCGACCCACGACCAGATAAACGAGTGAAGCTCCGAGGGCAGGATATCACGTGAGGCAACCAAGCACGTGGCTGAGGAGTCGATTTTTTAGCCGATTTGCTAGCCGATTTGCTATGCGTTTCTCTACCCGCAGGTCGTCGTAGTGGTGAAGAGGTTACCCGACGCTGACCGTGTAGCGGTACAGACGCAACTTTCGCTCGCGGTTTGGCCCAATTTTTCACCATCTCATCGGTACGGGCCAGGGCCGGCAAATAAAATTTGTTCAGTTGTAGAACCACTGTTCTCAGTACAGTACACTCTTTTTCGTTTTCAGTCTCCAAGAACTCCAAAAGGTATATATCAAAGCACAATGTCTGACTTCCAAAAGGAAAAGGCCGACCAACAAGACCAACCTCAGATCCACAAGATCAGAATCACCTTGACCTCCACCAAGGTCAAGCAGTTGGAAAACGTTTCTGCCAACATCATCAAGAACGCTGAAAACTACAAGTTGGTCAAGAAGGGTCCAGTCAGAATCCCAACCAAGGTCTTGAAGATCACCACCAGAAAGGCTCCTAACGGTGAAGGTTCCAAGACCTGGGACACTTACGAGATGAGAATCCACAAGAGATACATCGACTTGCAAGCTCCAGCTCAAATCGTGAAGAGAATCACCCAGATCACCATCGAACCTGGTGTGGATGTCGAAGTCACCGTTGCTGCCTAAACAGTTGGCGATTCGGAGTGCCTGACAATTTTCTATCCTTCAATTTCTCTTCTTTCTGCGTCCTGCAGTTCTTCTACCTAGCTTTGATGCGGTCTTCGGATCCAAATGTCAACGAACCTTACCGTTGATCAACATACTTTTGCTAAGCTATTCCGGGTGCGAGATTCACTCCACCCACTGGCAACTTGTTTCTCACCCTTTGAGCGGCCCACTCTAGGTGCAGCAGTTCCTGATATACCTCTGCTGTGCTATCAGTGGTAAAAAAATAAGACGGCATAATCTTCTAGGTTAGCGAGCTATTGACTGCTCGAATGAGTAGTGTTCTCTGTCGTCTCAATGAGGTGAAAAGTCGTTGCAAGGCCATGGTCCAGGCGAAATGTGTTTTAAATGTGTAAAATTAGTATTTGAATCTAAAAGACGTCAATAAGCTAACTTAAACCAGATGGAGAAGCTCTGTGCGGTATAATCGGCGCTAGCTTGTTAAGCCCTACTTGTCGAGTGATCACAGCCGTTGTAGGTGATGGTGGTACTGGGCTTTTTTCCATATAAATTTAACTTCGCGATGGAACGAACACTTACGAAAACCTGAATCATTCTACTGCTAGTGATACCAACGCGCACATTCGCAAAACCAAGAACGATTTCGGTGGAAATCAGCGGTCAAAGCCGTTCTTATTCTTTGAACTATCTTCTGAAGTAGTTGCCAATTTATTCAACTGTGTCTGTTTATGATGAGAACAAGTCCTTAGAGACAATGCTATAAACCCAGCTCTTCGAATTCATTAATGAGAAGAAGAATTGTCAAATGCTCTGATACGATACAAAGTAATGGCCAACGTTCCTTAAATTGTAGTAGAACTCAAGGGAATCCATGGCATGCTATAATCTATTTACAAGTGTGGATAATGCTCTCACCTTAAATTCCCCTTTGCAGCTTTGAAAAGAACGACATCTCCGTCTTCGATCAAGTACTGTTTTCCAGCCCTCTTGACCAGTGCATTGGCCTTTAACTGCGACTCGTTTAATGGGGCAGCCAGCTTCTGCAAATCAGCAAATTTGGTAACATCGGCAGAGATGAAAGTCTTTTGCAGATCAGAATGAATGACGCCGGCAGCCTCGGGTGCTAGTCCACCCGCTCTCAAAGTCCATTGTCTCGCCTCTAGAGGTCCACACGTAAAGAAACTGATAAGTCCTAGGCTTTTGCGCATCTCCCTAATAAGATCGGGAAGGCATGAGTGGTCGTGCAGCACGCTGTGTGTAGCGTCACCGATGAGTGAGCGAAAATACTCGTAAAAACCTTGCTTATCTCCCACCGCCGTGAATCTATTCCAGTTTGTCTCGTATTCCGCGCTGAAAAGAAGAAGCTTGTCACCCGGAGAGTTTTTCGAGATCCAGTCAAAAACGTCCTTCAGATGAACGTTTTTCTGCAGCAGGTAATCCTTCGGACTAACATTTAACAGCACAATAGAGGGTTTCGCTGTCAAAAAGTTGTGCTTGTTGAGAATAGCAGCCTCCTCGTGGGTCCATTCAGATTTGAAATGGGCGATCTTCTTTCCTTCATACATGTGATCCTCCAGCGAGTTTAAAAGTTGCACCTCGGTCTCCATGCTTTTGTAGTCCATTGAGTTCTTGGCCGTCTTTGTCATTTTCTTCTCTAGTTTCTCGCGTATGCCCTCCAGAAATTCCAAGTCCTTCAATACTAGCTCGTCCTGAACAATGCTGAGGTCTCTAGTGGGGTTTACCGAGCCCTCGATGTGAGTGATATCAGTTTTCGAGAAACCGCGAACAACTTGAAAGATGCCGTCAACGTGTCTAATATCATTTAAAAACTTGTTACCCAATCCCTCTCCTTGCGACGCACCTCGAGTGAGACCTGCGATGTCATATATTGTTAATACCGCGGGAACCTTTTTTTTACTGTCCCACAACCGTTGCAAATGGTCTAAACGTTTCGAGGGCACTATTACTTTGGCCTCTTCCGGGTCAATCGTAGCAAAGGGATAATTTGCCGGATTGCCTAGACTAGAGTTCGTTATCGCCTGGAAAAAAGTGGATTTGCCTACATTAGCAAGGCCTACTATACCGCTGGTTAAATTGTTACTTGGCCTTCCCAACCTGGCCCCAGGGACCACCGAACCAGAAGCATAAGCGCGCTTGATGATTAAGTTGAGCATTCAAAAGCGGAATTTGAGAAGTCAAAACACTGTTCTCAGCAAATTCGAAGGGCATGCAATACTCACCACACTGGAGTTGCTTCGACTTATAGCTTCGTATGAGCGATGAACTTATCTACCTCGCAATTCACACATCACGAATAACGAGTATCATCATTCGTTATATAGCTTGTACAATGTGGTATTCAAATTAACCAACCACGAGAAAAAGGATAGCTTTGCATGACCTCTGGAGAAACTTCTAAGCTTAGGAGCCCTACTCTAGATTGGCTTTTATTAGTACTCTCTATCACTTTTATGTTTCAGCTCTCACCATAATGATAGCTCGGCGGCTAATACCGGATCTGCATGTTCGACGTTCCAACCTCATGCGAATATATACTTCACGCTGTGGAACGGAATAATAATGCCATTATATTTATAACTCATGCTCGGCAATGTAAAGGTGTCGGAGTCTACATAGCCATGTTCACGCTGCTCTTAAATACGGGCAATCACATGTCGCGTAATGAGTTATAGTGCTCACCGAGAGCGTAGCTATGTTTATAATAGACGAGCTTGATCTCTGGGTTAGTTTTTTCATCGGCGTTCACCCGGTGCGTGGCCCTACCACTCATCATAACGCTAATACAGCAATTCAGGACCTTGGCAAGAGCCAAAATTTCAACCTCACCTCCCCACTGAGCACTTTCCTCCATTGTTTTAGTGTACTCGTCGATGTCTTTGATGGTCAGTGTGGCCTCGTCAAAGAGATAGGGGACAAAATTCTCCGCGTGCTCTCGTATGTATGAGGAAGACAGCGACCTAAGGGCATATACGTCAAAGTCTTGGGGGTCCAAGGACTTGTGGTAGCCGGAGGGAATACAATAGCTTGCGTTTGACTGATGGCGGGCTCTCATTTGGTCTAAGATAGAAGCAAACAAACAATGGCCGTCCGGCTGAATGTCATGTTGCCGAAGGTTATTCACCCTACACACCTCCTCGAGAGCGTCTTGCTCCATTTGCTTCAGGTCTGGCTGGTTTGCGGCCTCAAGAGCTGCATCTTTCCTGACTTGGGCGAGTTCTGCCTCCCGCCTGGCTATTCTTTCTTTTTGACGATTGCGACGTTTTTTTGGCTGGACTGGGGGCTCAACCGGCGTATTTCGAGGAGCCTCTGATTCCGTTTCTACAGCTGGCGTTGAGCCCAGCTGCAGACTCTCGAGCAGAGATTCCGGTGTCACATCGACATCTTTAGATTCATTATAGTCAGTCTGTTTCTGGGACGCAAGCTCGAGTCTTTGTTTCTCCAACAGCTGATGCTCGAGCTCCTCACAGCGCGCATTAACCTGTTTTCGTTTGGATTTTGTGGCTTGTTTTTTCATCCCGGTTATCTTGTTCTGCAGGTCCTTCCGCTCAGCGCTATGTCTAGCCAGCATAGATTCTTCGCTTTCTTTGGTTACGTTAACGGTACCCATGGTGTCGAAGAGACGTAAGAGAGGTAAGAATTTGAACCAGGGCGTCTCGAAAACCTTCCTTAGGAATGTGCTTGCTTAGAGTACACTCTTCAGTCTGGAAAGGATTAACACCAAGGCTATCAATCATGTTCTATCTTACAGATCATCAAAGAACCAGCTGACTTCAGCTTGAGTGACAACATAATGAAAAAAAATTAATAGCGCCGCTCGGTTTCGATCCGAGGACATCAGGGTTATGAGCCCTGCGCGCTTCCACTGCGCCACGGCGCTAACCGTTGGGATTAGAGGAAACCAATAAATTATACATCCATCAGCCAAAACACGTGAGAAGCGGACGAACGGTAACGATTGTCCGCCGATCAAATCCATGGTTATAGAAGTTATCTCAATCTTTTGATATCGAAAAGCACACGGAGTGCTCAGGATGCGATGAATACATGTAGCCCTTATTTTGGGCCACTCAATTCTTTCAACATCTTCTTCGGAACGTTTGAGCCGATAGCGTTCAGTGGATGTCTTGGCACTTTGAGTGGCGTACATAATGACCTTTGCAGTAGTCAAGTTGTGGGTTCACAGGGACTATAATAATTCCGGGGTGAGGGCCGACAATAGCACGAGAGAGAAGTTTCGAAAACCACGGAGATTAACAGCTTCGGGCCAAAGACCAAGTAGCTTTCGCTCACCTGATAGTACACCAAAAATCTTTCTGCTGAAGGAAGATAGCTCGAGCTTACGGCGGATATTGAGTTTGCCAGCTTGAGGTTGAATACCTTTCGAGTTGCAATATTGAAAGCTTACAGCGAGGTTGACTACTCTAAGCACGTTCCCCGCACGAGGTATACGGCTGCACGAAATAAACTAATGGATGGGCTAGCTTCAATCTCCAGGAATGGCGTACCGCCGGAGTTTGATTCCAATAAAAGTGTAGATGACGCGGAACGCATCTCGGTAGAGAAAGGTCCATCGCAAGTAGCTACCACCAGTACGCAGGAAAATAAGCGAAGTAAGACATCTCGAGCCTGTGATAAGTGTCGCGAGAAAAAGACCAAGTGCGATTTTGACGAAGATAATAATGCCACCTGCACTATGTGCCAAAAGCTGGGAAAATCTTGTACGTTTGCTCGTGCCCAAATGAAGAGGGGCCCGGTGAAAGGCTACACCCGCCATACTGATGTTTCGGAAACATCTGAGTCCAGTCGCAGGGGGTCTCGAAAAAGAAGCGTATCAGAATCATTGCAAGACGACGGTGCCAGGAGTATCGCAGATCCTGTTTCCCTCCCGCCGCTGAACCAGTACTGGCCCCAAAACCCTGCCAGCATCACGCGAAACCATCATGTGCTGGCGCCAGGCTCGCAGCCGCAAACCCAGCCGCAGTTTTGGAAAGTTCCGTACCGTGAGTACCAGCACCAGAGACGTGATTCTGTGGATTCGTTAATCAGTAATACGTCCAACCGCCGTAATTCTGAACAAATGGCCTATCCGGGATCTAATGCCTCGTCTACGTCGCCGTTCTATTCTATGGGCCAGTATCACTTACCATTGCAACCACCAAATTCAACCTTGCTTGACTCAGATCCCAATCTTTCGAGCTCGCCAGTGCTACAGAGAACACCTTCAATTCACGGCAAGTCGTCACAATATCCATATTCCCAGTTCAACAACGTGACAACTCAGCAACAACAACCCACTTTGCAGCAGCCTTACCTTTCAATTCAAAATCACTTACAAAATCAATCCCTTTTCAATAACCAGCACTTCAAAGACTTTGATCAAGGTTTTTCATCCCGAAAGAATAGCAATGTAAGCGTTGCCCTGTCTCCCAGCTCATCATTACAGATACCTCCTCCCCAGGCTCCTGCGATTATTTCAAATGACAATGAAGAAGCTGCGAAGGATAACTCAACCCAGGTTACGTCGCAAAATGATACGTTTGCATCCCAGCAACAATCGATTGCCAATCCCAAAGAAGCGACAAAAGCCTCCGTGGCCCCATCAAGGAAAAATACGAGACGTTCCACCTCCAATAGAAGTGTGTCTCAGAGCTCTGTGGACACTCACAACACCTCTAACCATTCGATTGACACTTATGGCAAAATTCCAGACACTCAACTGATTGACATATATTATGAGTTTATCCACCCAACATTTCCTGTTATTCCAGTCAATAAGCGTACATTGACAGACGATCTACTGTTGATTAACACTCAGCCTGTAAGTGGTATCCACGAACTTAACTGCCACATTTTGCACTGGTTCAGAAATTCTCTGGAGCTTCTTGTTCGGGTTGCATTGAAGAAACCTTCAGGCTCTGCTTACGATTACAGTGATGGGGTTGTTGATGTATTTGACTCTCAGGTCACATTTATCGCGGCGTTGAATGAAAGCTTCCAAACTGTGGTCGACATTCATCCCACGCTTAAGGAGAACGAGAATATTTTGAGCTCGAAGATCAAATTCATCTACCTAGCTACTTATACGATCTTGAATTACATTTTGGCGTTTGTGGGATACGACAATTCATTCGTTCTCGGGATGTCTGTAACTATCTACAATGAGCTGAAACTGTTTCGGTGTTTGGTGTACGACGACGAAGAAGAAGAGCTGGGAGAACAAGAAACCGCAACAGAAAGTGATTCCAAGAACACCAGCAGCGATGGCACCCAACTATTGTTTAAGAGATTGTATGTGCTCCTTGTTGTTTTTGATTCATTACAGAGCTGTACATTTGGTGTGCCCAAGCTGATGAGCGTCCCTCTATTGCGTCTGATAGAAGAATGTTTCGCATACGATACCGGCAAATGGGGTGTGGAGTACGACAACAACTCCTGGAAAAACATCTATCAAAGCCTGCTACTAGGCCACGCATTGTCCCAAGTTTCGACCTCACGTACATGTATGAGCCAAAATTTGGGAAAGGCCTGGTACAAGATGGACCAACATGGGCAATCCAAAGACTCCCCTACGGGTCTCTTTGTAGAATTGCTGAATGGAAGACATGAACTGGTGCAGAGTTACTTTGCCCTGACGGAAATGAACTCTCATATCTTGCTAGAGTTATGTCACAAGACTTGCGGAATTGTCACAACCATGCGACAGTTACTGACAGCCGTCATGAAGGCTAATCCAACAAACAGCATTGACCCAAATAATAGACCGCCGGCCGGCACCAGTGAACTCATACATAACCAGGAGAAATTGCCCGCCCCAGTGACCAACAGCTCTACGTCTGACTCCGAGATGTACAGGAAGCTGCTGGGCCTTAACGCTGGTGACACAATAGACCTGCGACGTGGCTCTATATCCCCTTTTGTAGTCGCGATGGTCGTGGAGGTTTCAAATTTTCTGGAGTTGATAAAGAACTTACCGACCATGCTAATAAGCCTCATCCTCCAGGGGCCGTCTCAGACTGGGCCCAGCACTGGCCTCGAAAATGATGTGTCAAATTCTCAAGATGCCGTTCTTGCGTTGTCAAATGCAATGAGCGACTTGTGCCAGATCACCAGTCTTTTGGGTGTGCTCAAGCCGCACAAGATGTTTGAACTGGTACCACGTGTGCAACGCGCCGATTTCAAGGCCCATACACGACGAGTACGCTACAAATATGCGCTTGGAGCGCGCAAGACTGGTACTACATGGAGCGCCACATGGGAAACGTCACTTGAACCATTTTCTGACGCCATATGGGGGCTTTTTTGTACAGAAGAGCTGGGCTGGTTGTGAAATACATTTTTACTGCGTACCTTCACCAACGGCCAAGAAGGAAAGAAAGCTGATGCTCAGGAACAGCGACCTTCTCGAGATGGAGATGAAGGTTGCTTGATGTTAGATTTCTATATATTTTCCCGTCGCTCCCCTGCACACATCGTAAACAATGATATCACATATCTCTGAAATTTTTTGGTAGCAGATTCGAAATGTGGCCCTTTGCCCTTAGGTTCTGCAATTTTGCTTAATTGTTTACTCCCTTTGTGCTTGAACAAACATTTATATATAAGAGCTGTGGAGGTTTATCAGGGTTTTAGACTTTGATCTCATCTATCTAAACGATCTCTAGAAGGATACTGTATCAAAATTGAAAGAGTTTTGAATTGCGAACTCTCGAGTAGAAATAAGGAAGCAGGACTTTTTTTGGCGCTCTAGACAAGAACTTAAGATCTTTGAGCGAGGCAAGCAACAAATCAATCGAGCTCAATGCAAACGACCAAGAAGCATACTAAGACGCACTCAACGTACGCGTTTGAGAGCAATACCAACAGCGTTGCTGCATCGCAGATGCGCAACGCGCTCAACAAATTGGCGGATTCCATAAAAGACGAAGAGGTGCGCGGCAAGTTTGAAGCGGAGCTAGATTTGTTCTTCACGCTGTTTAGACGGTACTTGGTCGAAAAGGCTTCTGGAAGTACTCTGGACTGGGACAAAATCAAGTCTCCAAACCCGGAAGAAGTTGTCGACTACTCGGTTATCGAGCAGCAGCCAGAGAACGTGGCCAATTTGGCGAAACTCGCGGTCCTGAAGCTTAACGGTGGCCTCGGAACATCGATGGGGTGTGTGGGCCCAAAATCTGTGATTGAAGTGCGCGATGGAAACACGTTTTTGGACCTTTCTGTGCGTCAAATTGAGTATCTCAACCGTCAATACGACAGTGACGTGCCACTGCTTCTAATGAACTCGTTCAACACTGATGCAGACACTGCCCACTTGATCAAGAAGTACTCGGCGAATCGTATTCGCATCCGCTCTTTCAACCAGTCACGTTTCCCACGTGTACTCAAAGATTCTTTACTGCCAGTTCCCTCATCTTACGACGAGGACCTCGATGCTTGGTATCCGCCAGGCCACGGTGATTTGTTTGAGTCGTTGCATGCCTCTGGTGAGTTGGATGCATTGATCGCCCAGGGCCGTGAAATTTTGTTTGTCTCCAACGGTGACAATCTAGGTGCTACGGTCGATCTCAAGATTCTCAACCACATGATCGAAAGTGGCGCCGAATACATTATGGAATTGACTGACAAGACCAGAGCAGATGTTAAAGGTGGTACTTTGATCTCCTATGATGGTCAAGTTCGTTTGCTCGAAGTTGCTCAGGTGCCAAAGGAGCATGTCGATGAGTTCAAAAATATCCGCAAGTTCAAGAACTTCAACACCAATAACTTGTGGATCAACTTGAAGGCTGTCAAAAAATTAGTAGAGTCCAGCAGTTTGCAAATGGAAATCATTCCTAACCAAAAGACAATCAGCAGAGGTGGCCACGACATTAACGTTTTGCAGCTGGAAACCGCTTGTGGTGCTGCTATCAGACATTTCGAAGGAGCTCATGGTGTGGTTGTGCCCAGATCTCGTTTCTTACCAGTTAAAACTTGTTCGGACTTGTTGTTGGTGAAGTCAGACTTGTTCTGCTTAGAGCATGGTGCCTTGAAACTTGATCCTACCAGGTTCGGTCCAAACCCATTAATTAAGTTGGGCTCTCACTTTAAAAAAGTGTCTGGTTTCAACGCCAGAATACCCCATATCCCAAAGATCGTCGAGTTGGATCATTTGACAATTACGGGTAACGTATTCCTTGGCAAAGGCGTCACCTTGAAAGGTACCGTTATCATTGTCTGTTCTGAAGGACAGAAAATAGATATTCCAAATGGTTCCATTCTGGAGAATGCAGTTATCACAGGAAACTTGCAAATCTTAGAGCACTGATAGGACGTAACACGCCGCAGGGAACACCCATAATGTGTTAAAAAAAAGTAAGCAAAGACAAAATACTCTCAATGAAGCTTGTGATTAAGATCATTATCCTGTCCATTTAATGGTCAATTGATGCAATCAGTTATCTGCTTCTTCACTTTAAACAACACGTAAGATGATATCTTTTTCTTTGCGCAAAGAAGCAAGCATATATTCTCAGTTTAGTTCAGTGAAGAAATGTAGGTCGTTTAAATGCAAATGATGAATTGCAGCTACAATCGGTTGCGGTTTGTCCAAGTTTCTCATCTCATATTCCGTTCCCCATGATTGTTTTGGTCAAGGTTCGACTGCAAGTTTCAATTAGACAGTGTTTAATATATAATAAGGTCAAGATGTTGAAACTTAAAGGTATTGCGACAGCGATTTTCGACAACAACTGAAGAATGGAGATTGATGGTAACACCCTGGTGTTGCTGTTAGTGTTCCTTTTCATCTTTTATTCGAATCCATCTGGCGATGGAGTAACCTCTCAGTACGAATATAATCAACTCCAGACTCTGAAAGCGCAATACCAAGATGAGTATTCCTCCTTCGACAACTTGACATATAACAGTAACTTCCGCAACATAACTGGCCTTCAACTAAGCTATGGGGATGTGCTTCGAAGTCCAGAGCTGAATGCTTCTTATCCCATAGAGGGTAAAGACTATGTGCACTGGCACCGTGATCAAAACTACACCCTGGTTCCTAACGAGGTCCTTGACGAGTTGACGCAGCAAACTTGGAAAAGCGAACACGATATATACCCTGCGAATTTGAGCAGTACGTTACGTGGGCAAATTGTCAACTCGCGCGAAGAATACCATCGAATTCCCATGCCCATTCCTGAATATTACGCGCCTGCACAAGAGTTAGTCCTGGATCGGCCTGGACTCGATGCTCCTTATTACTCTGATCCTTCAACCCATGATGTACCACATAATATTACCTTCGAGGAAGGGAACATTATTGTTGAAATCAGTTCGGCAGACATTATCACTTCGTCTAACGGAAGGGAAACTCCGTTCCATAACAGCCAAAGTGATAAGTGGCGTTTCTTACACATTCGAATCCAATTTTCTGATGCATTTGATGCCGAAAAGTACTCCTTCAATACCAAGGGGATCTACGATATTCAGAATGGCCGGATTCTGGCGATTTCAGAAAGCGCAAAGTTTCACTCTCTTTTCGCTTTACCTCACTACATGAACTTGAAGAATGATGACGAAACAACTTACAACGCCGTAAAGCAGTTATTGCAAGAATACTGGAACGCCACCGATTTTATTGAAACTCGGACGATGCCTTATTTACAAGATTCATTTACCACAGCCCTTGCGAGATGTGAATACTTGGTATTCTTGCAGCTTGAGCCGTGGTCCCAATATTCACATGAACAACTGAAACTCGTCGATGAGGAGTTGATGTGGCCCTTGGGCAGACGTGCCAATATCTCCGATCTGCCCCCAGTTAATGTCTCATCGGGTTTAATTTACTCACCTGATTGTGGGATCAAATTGCACGTCAACAATGCTTATGGTATGCGATACGAACTGAAGGTGCGAAAAATGAGATCTCTGTTGTTGGCCGGCGTCGCCTTGCTAGCCGCCCAGATTTACCTTATTTTACATCAAATGCAGCACACAAATACACCATCAATGGTAAACAAAGTATCATACATGTGTTTCAATATGATTAATTTTGTTGATGGCTCTCTTGCCACAGTATTTTTTGTGATGACTAGCTCATTCCCGGTTTTGTTTTTGCCCTTAGTGGTATGTTCTTTCGCATGCGTCATTCTTGCTTCTGTTTTCGAGATACGGTACCTGATATCGATTTATGCCTCACAGGCTAATGAGCAGAATGTTGGAATTATGACATTGCTGCGTCGGAGCACGGATGAAGAAGCACAAACAACCCCCACTGTAATACCCGATGAAGCAAGTATCAGCTCCTCCTTATACCGAACCTACTTTGTCAAGATGTTTTTGTCAATGATAGTAATCGTGGCCGTTTTCAATACTTGGCCGCGGGATCTAAGGGAAATTACAGAGAGCATAGCTGTATTTGCAGCCAATTCTTATTGGGTTCCCCAAATAGCGCGTAATGCTATTAAGGGAGGCCAGCCAACAAGGAGGTCCCCTTCAAACGATGACACTCGCCACCAGCGTCAAAACAAGGCTCCATTACTGAGCAAGTTTATTATAGGGACTTCCATCATACGTTTCCTGCCAGTGGTCTATGTTTACGGTGTCCCTGATAACATTTTCAATCACCACCAAGACCGCAAATTCATCATTCTGGTATCAATATGGCTTGTCATTCAGATTGCACTGTTGTATTCACAAGAATTTATTGGTGCGCGTTGGTTTCTTCCTAATTACACCATTCCAGAAGGGTACTCCTACCACAAGGGCATTTCTTCGGGTGAACTACTGGAACATGGCAGCTCTGATAATTATATGGTAGACTGTGCCATTTGCATGACGGATGTGGCTGTCTATGTTGAAGACATTCCCGAAACTCACAAAGTTGACCAGAATGGTTACATGGTCACACCATGTGGACATATGTTCCATACTCAGTGTCTGGAGAGCTGGATGAGCTATAAGCTACAATGTCCAGTATGTAGGGCACCTCTTCCACCGCTGTGAGCTACCGACGAACAGCATCAGTCTAATACATTGTCTTTGACCGATTAATTTAGGGCTTGATTATTAGGGCTTCATGACGAGGGCTTTCGACTTTTAGTGGGAAATAAAAATTAGGCTACTACTAAAGAGCCACGATTCAGGTGAACATTAATTCTTCAAGCAGAGACACGAAGAGACATCGCAATAATGAAAAGCAGCTCAAGGTACGTGATATAATGTGCGGGAGACCAAAAGACAAAAGTGTTATTGAAAACTGACCGTTTCTTGATACGCAGCATTAAGGCATGCCTGTTCGACATGGATGGGTTGTTAATCAACACCGAAGACATCTATACTATAGTAACCAATGAAGTGTTGGCTGAATATGGGAAAGGAACTTTGACTTGGGACCTCAAAATCCAGCTCCAGGGCCTTCCAGGAGCACAAGCTGCCCGCAAGGTTTTGGATTACTTCCAACTACCATTGACAATGGAAGAATTTGAGAGTAAAGTTATTGAGCTTCAGTACAAAAAATGGCCCACATGTACTTTTTTGCCAGGAGCCTTGGAACTTATTCAATACTTGCACACTAAAAAAATTCCCATTGCCCTATGTACCTCGTCCGCCAAACACAAGTTTCAGGGTAAAACCGATCATTTGAGGCATGGCTTCGACCTCTTCGACGTTATCATAACAGGCGATGACCCACGTATTCCTCAAGGGAGAGGTAAGCCATTTCCAGATATTTGGCAGCTAGGCCTAAAGGAATTGAATGCCAAGCTCGAAGCCAGTATTCACCCCACGGAATGCATAATATTTGAAGATGGTCTTCCTGGCGTTACATCTGCCAAAGCCGCTGGTGCATACGTTATTTGGATACCACACCCAGAGGCTCTTGAGTTTCTGGGGAATACCGATGCTGTTTTAGATGGCAAAGGTGAGCTGCTAGGGTCCCTAACGCATTTTGATAAGGAGAAATTTGGAATATGATTGTGAAAACTCGCCCAAATTTCATGTCAGTTCCATAGTCTGTTAGGTGCTGGCTATCTATGAAGTGAATAGACCTTATATATGCAGCATGCCCCCACTACCTTCATAGGGGAGAGTGCTTAAACAAATATGAAATACTCTCACCATTATGCAAACGACGGATACTCTCTGCCAAAACGGCACTAACATCAATCACGGCCAACTTTGGGCACGACTTCATTTTCTCCTCAAATGGAACCGTATTAGTGCAAACGACACTGTCAAGTTTGGAGTTATTGATATTTTGAATTGCCTTGCCAGATAATACGCCATGGGTTACAATAGCAATGACTGATTGAGCACGATTGTCTAGTAAGACCTCGGCAGCCTTGGCAAGAGTCCCACAGGTATCCGCCATATCATCTACGATGATACAAATTTTATCTGTCACATCACCCACCAAGACCATCTTGGAAACTTCGTTTGCTCTAGCTCTTTCCTTGTGAATTAAAGCAAAATTTAGATCCAATCTATCGGCCAAAGCAGCGGCCCTTTTGGCACCACCTGCATCTGGAGAAATTATTATGGCTTCGTTAAAGTTAATGTGTTCGCGGATATATCTTACGACACTTGGCTCAGCGTACAGATTATCTACGGGTACATCGAAAAACCCTTGAATCTGAGAAGCGTGTAGGTCCATGGTTACAACATGATCGCAGCCCGCTGTTGTCAGCATATCGGCCATTAGTTTTGCCGTGATAGGAGCGCGGCTCTTGTCTTTCCTGTCCTGTCTCGCATAAGGAAAGTTTGGAAGTACTGATGTAATTCTTCTGGCAGAGGCAGTTTTGCAAGCATTGATCATCACTAGCAGTTCGAGGACACGGTCATTAACAACGCCAGAATCGATTTGCGTGATAATGAAAATATCTTGGTCTCTAACAGACTCTTGAATAGAGAACGATACCTCGCCCGTAGGGTCCCTTTTCAGTTTAGTATCGGTCAATTTCAACCCAAGTCTTTTCGCAACTAGCTCAGCGAGCCCACGATTTACGTCAGGAGCCAGCAATTTTATAGAATTGGTGGCCATGGTGATGGAGTTTTCGAAATTTTAGAACTTCAAGTTGGCAAGGTGCGAAGGAGGATGCCTTAAGATAGTATATCGACCAGAAGTGGATGTATTCCACTCGGATTTTTAGCAGAGGTTAAGGTTTGTAACCCAAGATCTTATTTCATTAAAATTAACAGAATCTTGACCTAAGGAAAAGCCAAAATACTCTCAATGTCAAAAGGATAGAGTTTACCGATGAGTTGATAAAACTTTTCGATTGTAATAAGAAAGAAAATTTTCCAGCCCAAAATGACAGTTTGTAAAAACATGATCGGATTTCTAACTCAAACGATGCTTCAGCATAACAGAAAAAATGTGGCCGCTGGTTGACTCAAGGAGCTCCTAATCATCATTGATCAAGAGCTTCCTGTTTTTTTTGCTCATTTGCGTTTTTTTGTAGCTTTTTTGGGCTTTATTATTACTGTTCCTTGCTTCACGTTTTCGTTGGCATCCTTAAACTTCTCTTGTGAATCTAGAAAAAACATCAGATCCTTAACCTGCTCTTGTAAGTCATCCTTTTCAGAGGCATTTTTCTTTAACTGCTTTTGAAGATCTTCGATTTTGTTGGCTGAATGGTCTAAATTGGTTTGTAGTGCTTTGCACAACATCTTTTCTTCATCTAGCTGTCTCTGTACCTCTGCCAGTCGCTGTTCTGATTTGACGCGGTACTGAGAGGCACTGAACTTTACATCTTGAATATTCCGCTGCAAGCTACTCAGCTCGATTAAATTTTTATCCGCTTCACGTTCCGCCTGCACTTCCTCCCAGTCCTGTCGCAGTTTTGTCTCATAGTATTCACGTTGTGACTCCAGCTGTGATAGAAGTACATGGACATACTCTAGATGATATTGTTTATCGCGCTTTGATGTATGGTCTTGTGAGGAAGATGACCCGACCTCGACCAGTTTGCCATCCACCTCGTTTTGCACCAGTCTGTGAACGTAATTATCACCGGCATAGTCCCAAACGCGCTGCGTTGCGACCTCCATTGCAAAAAAGTGGCCGGTGTCTGTAAAGTGTTGTACAGCATGCTTGAAATTGTAGCGCCCACAACCTATATTCCCACAAATGAGGCAAATCCATAGGTTTTCGTTGGAGCCGCACGAGCTGCAACGAGCTGCTTGGCGCATGAGGGAATTTTTTGAAAGTTTAAGCTCCGAATGGCGACACACCGGGCACCTGCTATCTTTCAAGTTATTCAAACATCGGCAATGGAAAGTATGTTGGCAGGGGATGGTTGCGAGCCCCGTAACATCTGAATCTAGCCGTTCTAAGCACACCGAGCAACTTGGTAATTCTACATCGGTAATGACCTCTTGAGAAGTAAATGGGTCTCTCATGGGGAAAAAAGAGCCCTGAGTCCCACCTGACGGGAAAAGCCTATCTTGGAACACGATTTCCAATACCTGGAGAACTTTGCAAGTCCCTGGATCCATCTTGTTGAAACGCTTCCCATTGAATTTATCCTTGAATTGCTGGGCAAACTCTGAGGTCCGGAACTTGATCAATACCATAAAGTTGTCATTACTGCGTAGAATTCGAAAGTGGGAAGCTTGTTCGACGACAGTTTCTCCTATGAACGAGAATAGCATATCACGGGCAGTTAAGTAGCTAGGAACAGACAGTAAGCAAACGGTGGTTCCATTTCCAGCGATTTTGTACAGGCTTCCGTCCTGACCGTCAACCCTGCTGAACTCCTTCCCTGCTCGAAACAAGTGGACGATACCCGTTCCGACCAAGCTCGCCTCCAAAAACCCCGTCTCGTTCACGCTCATCTGCAATCGCCTAAAGTGTATTTGGCCAAACCTCCAGTCTTCTGGTGCTGTGGAAAATGAGTTTTTTGTGAGTACGGGTTTTTCCAGTGAGTCGTCAAATTCAATGCCGTTCCAGAAGCGGTAAGCCTCTCTAGTTTTCTGCGCTTCTCCTAATTCGATGACAAGACGGTACCAAGTATCCATCTGACACAAACCCTTGAGGAGGTACCGTTCGGCGTATTCTGTCTACACAAGTGCTTATTTTCCACCTTAAAAGCTGATCTGCGTAATTAATTAAGTATTGTATATTCGGATAGCGCTCAAGCAGTTCATCAGTGTACAAACCGGAGGCTCATCTCTCAAGCCCCATCTCTTAAGCTCAGCACAAGTAGGCCACTGGGTCTTCAGCCACATTCTACTTTACTACTTTGCAGGCGTTGAGACTGGTGCGGTATGGCCAGGTCTTTTGACATGTAATCACATACAAAAACCCTGGGGCGATGCGTCACCCAGAGAAAAGAGAACTATTGGCATTTTAGACCTGTAGAGGAAAAGAACTCTGCATGGTTCATTTAACGTGTGGAGGTGGCGCTTTTCCTGCTCCTTGCTCTGCACATCAGTACGGCTCACCTCCGAATGGTGTTTATTTGAACTTACTTCAACTTTACCACAGCTTTTGAAAGCTGTAATAGCACGACTTTCCTGTGTCACTGTGCTTTGACCTCAAAGAATGTAGAATTTAGAGCATCGTATCGTACACGTACACATATGCTTCTGATATTATTCTATTCATCCGTTTTCGCTGGTCAAAAAAACTCGGCTCAACATCCCAAACTCTTTAGCACACTCACTTAGGGTGTCAAATTACTTTACTTGAAGGATGAGCTTGTTCTTTGTGAGTGAAATGTGACAAATGAGAGCAGGTTTAAGTTTACTTTCTATTTAATAATACCCGGTCGAGAAGTACAAAAAAACTGACTGTCTTCTTTCCATTGCACGTCCTGGACGGACTATCAATCCCACCAGATGCTTAAACCACCATTAACGCTGGGAGCCATCTGTGAGCTTCACACAGGTTGACACATTTTCTTCATCACCTGACAAATCTTTTCTTTGCAGAGAGCATCTCAAAAAGAAGCCACACCTGCAGAACAATGGAAGGAACGACTGGTAGAGAGTGAAGTTTCTTCACCAGAACTTACTAATTCTGCATCAGCTCATCTCTTCCATGTACAACTATAAGAAGAGCTACAACAGAAGCACTTACCTGTGAAGGTTTGGCGAACTCTCCGGTAAGCCTGTTTCCACGAATTTTAAGAGTCATGACAAACAAAAAGGAAGGAGAACAGGTGGTGGAGTCTCTACAAGTGAGTAGAACGACAGACTCGTCTTCTAAGTTTCGTGATGCCGATCTGGAAGCGGATGGACTGAGGCCGGATCATGTAAGAGAAAATTTGAACCGGTCGCTAACCCCACGTCACATTAATATGATTTCCATAGCAGGCGTGATCGGGACAGGGTTGTATTTGGGTACCGGAAGATCTCTGGCTAACGGTGGCCCAGCTTCGCTGTTGATCAACTACACAATTATCGGGTTTGTTGTCTATCTCACGATGTTGTGTTTGGGGGAGATGTCGACGTTCATGCCGATCTCTGGGTCTTTCTGTTCGTACGCAAAAAAATTTGGATCAGGCTCTCTGGCGTTCACACTCATGTGCAACTATTGGTTCAATGATGCAGTTTCGGTTGCCAGCGACCTAACTGCATTGCAACTGGTTTTGGATTACTGGAAGAGCTCAGATGCTCACTTCCCTTACTGGGCCGCGTCACTGCTATTTTGGGCTTTCCTTTTATTGCTCAACGTAGTACACGTTCGCGTATATGGCGAAGCTGAATACTGGCTTGCCGTTTTGAAGGTGGTTGCGATCGTCATTTTTTTCGTCATTTCGATTGTGGTAAATGCGGGCCACAACCAAGAACACACCTATATAGGGTTCAAAAATTGGACGGTAGGAGAAGCTCCGTTCGTGAATGGTTTCAAAGGTTTTGCCTCTTTATTTGTTTCTTCAAGTTTTGCATACGGCGGTACGGAATCGATTACACTAACAGCTGGTGAGGCTAAAAATCCCATTAGGAACACTCCAAAAGTTGTTAAGACAGTTTTCTGGAGAATTTTGATTTTCTATGTGTTCACTGCCTTTTTCATTGGAATGAATGTCCCTTACAATTATCCTAAGCTAAGTGAGAAGTCCGTCATCACCTCTCCATTTACTATTGTCTTCCAAATGGTGGGTTCGAACGTGGCAGGATCATTTATGAATGCTGTGATTATGACTAGTGTCATCAGTGCCGGTAATCACGCTCTTTTCGCTGGAAGTCGGGTCCTTTACAATTTAGGTTTGGAAGGCTATTTCTTCCCAAAACTTTTGACCAGGACCAACCGATACCAGGCTCCATACGTGTCTGTTATTATAACATGGGCTGTTGGTGGTCTGTGCTTCGGATCCAGTTTCATTGGGGCTGGTACGTTGTGGACTTGGCTCCAGAATATTGTCGGTGTTTCCAATCAGTTGGCCTGGCTTTGCATTAGCGTCATTTCGATAAGATTTAGACGTGGCTTGGAAAAACAGGGCAGAACCCACGAACTTCAATTTTCTAACTGGACGTACCCATATGGGCCATATTTCCTCGTTGTGTTCGTGACATTTATTATCCTGGTTCAAGGGTGGTCCTCCTTTGCTCCTTGGAGCGTCTCCGACTTCTTTTCCTACTACATTGAACTATTTGTTTTCCTTTTCCTATGGGTAGTCTGGTGGGTATACAAACGGGACTGGTTTGTGAGAAGCGAAGATATGGACTTCAACACTGATAAATATATTCAATCTGAGGAGGAGCTGATACTTAATGAGCAGCTAGACAGTTTAAAAGGGTGGAAAAAGGCCAAACTAATGGTGAGTGAGTACGTTATGTGATTGTTGCACAGCTGTAATAGGACTTTTTGTCAATGGTTTAGGTATTAGTTTGATGTTACATAATTCATAATGTTATTTGTGGTCATGAAAGAAACGTTTTTAATTCAAGTGTGCTCGAAGACATCCATTGAGGTCCAGAACATCAACCTTGGGCAGATTTGTTTGAGTAAGTCAATTCCTGGCATCACAATCCGGTTTCCATGATCTGTCATTCACTTCTCAGTCACGTGTATGATTCTTTGACGCATTAGAAGTATCTTAAAATACCACTTCCATCCTACAACCGCGAAAGGGTCGGTTTGCAAACTCAGAAATGGCGAGCGCGCAGTCCACTGCTTTCCAAAGAGTCAGGCCATGCTGCATTGAACTATCTAGACAAACATTTTTACCTAAACAGAGTTTTGACCCGAACTCGGCCCAATTATTGAATGGATTAAGAGCTCTTGAAAGAGAGTTAGCGGAACTGGATGACGGTGTATTACAACTTAGTCCCAAGTTCGCAGACTACGTCTTTGTTCCGATTGCGAGTTTGCTCAAACAAGACTCCCTCGGCGTGAGCCAGACAGAGGCTCTTCTTTTGGTCATAGGGCACCTATTGTCGCTGTGCTGGTCATCGGTTGGTGCCCTACCTCTAGTTTTGGCCCAACAGCTCTTTCCGCTGTTGACGTTTTTGGTAAGTACAGATACTAAGAACGTCGAACTTCTGAAAAAGCCTCCTCATTTTCAACTTGCTGGATGTGTGGTCTTTGCCAAGCTATTCAACGCTTTAGCGGTGCAAAAGAGGCACTCTTATTTCGACTATTTCTGCGATCCGAAAAGCTTGCCATCACTGGGTCACTCCGTTACTATCTTGCTGGATATTCTAAATCAAAATGAGACCGAACCTGACTTACAACTTGCCTCAGTTAGGGCCCTTCATATACTGTACAGAGAACTACTCACTGATGGTGAAATTGTGTCTTTTATCTTGCCGGGACATGTTTCCACATTTTCCAAACTACTTGTGAGGCCGGGCATCAGTGTTAAATCTAGTGTTGTTTGTGCTACCATGGAGCTATTCGGAGATATACTTGCCTTGGTATATCGTGATTCCGATTTGCATATTGCTGAGACACCTGTTTCCGGCCTACAACATCTCATTGCACATTCCTTGAATGAGGAGGGTAGAGCTCCGGCACGTATTGAAGAGAGCTTGTCTAGTAGCAAGAAGATGCATAGAGATTCTAAATGGCTGAAAGCAACGACAAGTCAAGTCAAAATCGCACTTGAAGCCGTGCTTCCAAAGCTCGTTAAGAGAAAAAACGCAAGCATAAATTTAGCCATCAGAGATTTCTTAGCAACGGTGATGGACGCCGCAAATGGCTCGCTGGCCAATTGCCGCGAGCTCTTTTTGTCTACAATGCTGAGTATAAGAATCTCACTGCCACATTTGCTACAATCGCAAGAAAATTCTAGGACACTGAAGCATTTGCTCATTAATCAGATCTCACAGCTGCCACATACACTTCTTTTTGAAGTTCATGAAGACTTAGAAAGGTTCAAATTCGCGCTTAGCATTACAGAGGATAAAAAGTTGTCAGATATCCAAGTTGTTGGTAAAGCTGTTACCGAATTACAGAGAGCTCTTGCAGAAACGTTGGAACAGAAAAACATCCGTTTCAATGGTACGAAGGTGGTAGAGCAAAGTACTCTTGTAATAATTGATGACAACTTTTTTGATCACTCGGATGCTAACTATCGTTTACTTTCAGCGATCTCAGCCTCCTTCGAAGAGACATTGTCATCATTTCTCTGTACTGCTGGTGTGTATTGTGGATTAAGTCATACGGAGCAATTGGTTGCGACACTCTTGTCCTCTAATCAAGATGATAGTAATTACAGCTACGTTACATCCATCTGGATTTCAAGCCTTCTGATAAGTAGTTCGATGGCATCAAAAAAAGAACAAACCACAGGCTCTATAGAGTCTTACCTTACATTTGGTGATCAGGAATTAGATTTAACAACCTCTGCACCCTCTGACGCTTGTTACATGCTTATAGAAAGCTCGCTTGAGATACTCAACGATGAAGCCAATAATTTAAAGACTTTAGACCGCGTTAGTGAGTCAAGGACGATCATTAGTCTGGAGTCTATTAGGCTCGTTGGCAAGGCTATGGGTGAAGCATTCAGAGAGGAATTGATTGACACAATATTTCCTATTTTGGACTGCTTAGCCTCGCCTTCCCCTGCTATCAGGCATTTTGCACAGCTGACAACACTATCTATTGCCCAGAGCCTTTACGGAGGCTCTGTGCACGATTTAATATGGGACAACATGGATTACTTGGTGGACTCTATTTCCATTAGGCTGACAAATTGCATGACCCAGCGGATGCCAACGCTGCTGATGGTCATATGCCGCATTGGTGGTTACGAGAGTATCAAAGGATTCAAGGACGTACTGGAGACCATATTTCGATTGCTTGACTTTTACCACGGATATGACGAACTGTGCGCTGAGTTCTTTCAGCTCTTCGATATCGTTGTTACGGAGATGAGGAAAACTTACCTACGCTTAGAACCTGATTATCTCGCCTTGAGTGATAATCATACGGTTCCTGGAGGTTTTGTGCCGTGGGGTATGCGAAACATGAATCAAGTTGTGCAACTCATGGGTGAGAAAAAGAACGACATTTTGGCTGAGGACCTGAGTGAATTGGAGTCCGAGAAATTTGGTGGAAAGGATTTCGGAGAATTTTTGAATCGTAAGCTGGAAGAAGTGGATAGTGATGATGAAGATGAAGATACAAGTGAACTCGACGCCGATGACCAAACTTTTGCAGAGCATGCTCATCCGGCTGAAGATAGCTCTGAGAAATGGAGTTCTCCTATACCTAAGGAGTCGTACCGCTTGCTGCTACAAATAATAGGATATGGAGATCGGCTATTGACGCATCGCTCTCGTCCCCTGAAGGTGCAAATTTTGCGACTGATGAGTAAGATATTTCCGATGCTTGCTACTGAGTATGATATGCTTCTACCTCAAGTTGCGAGGTCTTGGGATATACTGGTCGTAATTTCATTGAGTTCAGATTTTGCTGTAGTTAAGCCGGCGCTCGAATGTCTTCAAATGATTATCCGGCACTCCGGTGATTTTATCACGAAAAGATTCCTCGATCTTTGGGAGAATTATCAAACTAATTCAGTACTACTGCGTCATGTAGCCACCAAGAGGAGCGTCACGTTGCTTGACACCATGAATACGTCGCTTTCTGCTTCTAAACGATTTCCATCTACGATCTCCGAAGCTCTTGGCGCCCTCTCCGAAATGCTTCTGGAAGGTATATCTAAGGCTGAGCTTTTCATTCCGGAGGATCAGCTACAAGAAATGGTGTACTATTGTCTTCTTTCCTCATCAGCTCCCAAGATAGAGTCTCGTTCACTACACTTGGGGGATGTTTTAACATGCTTGTTACTCCGTGACGAAGGAATGACCCTTCAAGTGCCCAGGAAACAATCAGAGTGATGGTGTCGAAGTCAATCAACCGTCGATCAGGCTCCCGGACGGAAAACCTTGGTCTCCAGCGACGACTAGTTGTACCAAAAAATTTTGAAACTATTTTGGATATTAATCGATGCGGGTCAACGGAAGAGTGATTTGATCGACACCATAGGAATACACATCCATTCGAACTAAACTGGTTACCCTTGCAAAGTGCTGAAGTACGTTGGTTTTTCTTCGCGTGCTGCGCATTTGTTCGATCGTCTAGCTTGCTTTATCTTGGGGAATGAGCCAAGATGCTTATTACATAACGCCCAATGATGCTGCTTTGGCCGTAGTGGCGACGTCGATGAAGAAAGCTAGGCTGAGGCCAGAGGCTTTGATTTGTAATTCCATCATGGGTGGTATTTTTTTCACGGCAGGAGGAATGTTAAATACCGCATGTCACTCCTTAAGTCCTGAGATTGTTCATCAAAATCCTGGCATGGTCGATTTTTTAGGTGCTTTGATGTTTCCCATTGGTCTCTTTTACGTCGTAATCAATGGTACTGACTTGTTCAATTCTAATGTTTTGTTCTTTTCCGTCGGTGTGCTGCGAAGAGCCGTCTCGATTTACGATCTCCTGATAAGCTGGGCTGTCAGCTGGTTCGGCAACTTAGCTGGCACTCTATTTGTTGTTTACGTTATCTGTCATTTGTCTGGAAGTACCAGATCCGCCGAGTTTGTCAACTACACGCGTCTTCTCGTTCAGCAAAAAGATTCCTTCTCCTTTGTAGAGATTTTCATCAAAGCGATAGCAGGAAATTTCTTTGTTTGTCTCGCGATCTACCTACAATTGATGGCCAAGTCTCTTCACGTTAAATTTTTGATGCTGCTTTTACCGATTTTTACTTTTGTCGCTTCCGGTTTTACACACGTAGTGGCTGACATGTTTCTCTTGACAGTGGGGATGCTAAACGGTGCCGATTTGCCAGTCTCGAGATTCATTTGGAAGCACATGATTCCGAGCACTCTTGGTAATGTTGTTGGAGGCAGTGCATTTGGTCTAATAGTCCCGTTTTACTTGCATTTGGTTGTGGTGGAGGCCGATCGAAAGCGTCTTTCCCTACCTCATTACGAAATGAGGGACGAGCAGCCTGAGCTAAATATGGATTCTAGAGTAATACGAATTCCAACGAGACAAGCTGAGAGAGAGGAAGAAGAGGCTGAAGAAAACGAAAAGTGCTCTCCGGTAGAGGAAGACGACTTAGAAGCAATAAGTACCACCTCATCGTCAGACGACAAGAAAAATAGGCAACCTGTTGAATACCGGCCGGTTTTGAAAACCAGCTCTTTTTCAAAAGCGGGCTCGAGCCTCAGGAGAGTGAGCACAAACAAATCAGTCATGAGTACCCGTTCAACCAGGTCTGTAACTCAGAGAACTCCTATTGGAGTTTTTCCAGTGATGGGCATGGCTTCTCCCTTTGATCACAGGGCAAGCAAAGTCGAATTACGGGACTTAGAGCTCGATCCGCGAGAATCGCGTAGGTCTCAGCATTCTATCCCAAGTTTGAACTATCTGCGAAAATTGACAACTTCCGACTCAGGTCACAGTCTCGAAGCAACGCGACCACGGTCGCACACAGGGGTTTCAGAAAGGGGCGATTTTGGTGTTGGAGGCAGTCAGGGTCGCGAAATTGGCACCGTTATCGATGAAAAAATGGGCACTAGGCTTGAAAGAACTTTGTCCAGAGTCGCATCGCGAGTATACAAGGATAAGAGGCCGTCGGCTGCAACTCTGCCAAGCACAAACCAGGACACCATACCACATAAACCGGTAAGACGTGGTAGCAACGTGCTGTCCAGCTCTTTGCCCCAAGGCGGACAGCGCAATAATAGTTCGGACGACTTACCATACCGCGATAAATCGCCTACGGACCCGGGCCATGTTGGTGGGTATGTACCGAAAAGTAGCGGAAATTCTTCGCATGGCGTCCGAACTTCTCAGTGGGCCAGTCACAGGTCTTACAATAAATTTATGCCGCTCCGACCATCTGCGGCATACAATCCATTAGCATCCAGCTCTCGGGGAACAACGGCACATGTCGTAGGCCGTTATGACGGTTCTCGATATATCCCTACCTCGGATAATGATAATGAAGAAGAACAGAGCATCAAAGACTGAATATTTGCAGCCTTCACTATGTTCCCGGATCATCAACAAATAGCATTCTCTCTCACCAGAACTTTTGGGCCTTTAATGATACAAACACCGCTAAGAGCCATAGGCTCCTTCAATATACATACATTCAATACCTATTCCCGCTCATCATTGAATAATAGCCACTCCTGCCGGTGGTGGTCGAGTTGATGAATATCGGCGGCTAAATATCTATAGACTTGGTTCGTTCAATGTGATTTAAAGGTGGACACGAAAGCTGACAGGTTTCAGGAACGCGTCAGTTTATATAAATGAACTGAGGAAACTACAAACCAAGTGAAGCCAATAAAAACGTAAGTAAGGCACAATCGACCATTATCCGTGTCTCCTGATAGCAGGTTCTCATGGTGAGATCAACCTCGAGATTGGAGTTCAAACATTCCATCATCTCAACGATAAAAGATAATGTATCTACGACGCAAATACTGGAACGGCTCGCGCAGTTACAAGATGAACTGTCTGGTCTGCAACAAGGCGTGGTCAACCTGGCTACTGTTAACCGGTACAAATCTGAACTAGTCAATAGGAAGGTATTAAAGAGCAAGGACCTTGGTATAAGGGCCTTCGCAGCCTGCTGCCTTAGTGACATATTGAGACTCTATGCACCAGACGCGCCTTACACGGACAAGGAGCTGGTGGAAATATTCCAACTGTTTTTGGAGCAGTTCAGTCTTCTTCAGCAGCCTGAGAACGGGTACATCATGCAGCAAACATACCTCATCACAAATTTACTAGAGTACAGATCAATTGTTCTCATTACAGACCTACCGAACTCTTCTCAGCTCATCAACGAGCTTTTTGAAATATTTTATGCGCCAAAAAATGCTGCGATACCTGAGAAACTGTTCGCGGTAATCAGTGGACTCATGGGTGAAATTATCTCCGAGTGTGATTCTATGCCCATGTCAGCACTGAAGCTGGTCTTCAACAAGTTTTTATCCCATAAGCGAGGTGTATCTTTGAGTGGACTCAGCTACAAAAAGGACTCTGGGCTGGCGCTAAGTCTTGGTATCTGCCAAACTTACTCAAACAGACTGGGGCGCCACTTCATCAAATTCTATTCCGAGATCATGTATGAAGTTCTGGCGGAGGATGAAGACGAACAAGAAATCGACAAAGATTCGTCTTCCTACAAAACCCTGGTGAAGCTTGGGAGGTTGACGACCGAACTCTGGATTCATGCCCCGGATCTGGTCGGCTCTGTCATTGGTTTTCTGTATCAATTGCTCAATTCAGATAACGAATTGTTCAGAGAAGCCGCGACACGATGTGTCAGTGAAATGCTAAAGACTTCCTCTTTAATCAACTTTGCTGTGGCTCACAGTGACACTTACAAGTTGTGGTTAACGAAGATGGCGGATATTAGCTCACAGGTGAGGCATGCTTGGGTTTCCGAGATTCCACAGATTTTGAGCGAACGTAGCGACCTTGCAACTGAAATCGCAAGAGGTCTGGCAAAGGCATTGATAGACTCCGATCATTCTGTTCGTCTACGTGCAGTTCGTGTATTCCACGAACTTCCTGTCAAAAGGCTTTGGGGATGTATTTCAAATCCAGCTGTCTTTACGGGACTCTTGCATTTAACTAGGGAAGCTCGCCCGGATATCAGAACTGAGTGCATAGAGGCGGTCGCAAGAATTTATGATGAATCATTGCAAGAAATTCCAAGAAATGACGAAAATAAAGAAGCTTGGGAGGTAGTAGACTCCATTCCTAGCATTTTTTTCAATCTTTACTACATCAACGATCCAAATATCAATATGCAAGTGGACCGCCTTCTTTTTGAGCGATTTTTGCCTTTGGATCTTAGCAAGGAAGCGTTTGTCAATAAGTTGTTGAACATGATGGCAAATTTCGACGAAAAGGCATGCTCCTCCTTTTACGCTTTTAACAAACGGCAGGAACAAATGTCTGTGGTGCTTTCGAAATTCCTTTCTTTTTGCGAGAACTCATTCTCATCTGATGTGGGTGTTGCTAAGTTTTCCGCTGAAAAATTGACCAAAACAATCGATTGGTTCTGCCAAGGCTTCTCAAAGGAATATAATGTTCAGGAGATTTTGAAAGTGTTCAAAGAACTGAATGATCGCCGATTGCACCACCTCATTCGGGTAGCTATTGATGAGGCGTCCAACCATACCACGGTTCGCAACGCAATCACCGAGCTTTTTAAAAGGCTGGCAGACCCTGAGCTTTTTAGGAAACGAAATCTAAAGATCGATTCACGCTTTACCAGAGAGCACTTTACTTTAGTGATAAAAGTGCTAGTTTACCGAGCTGCTTCGGTAATTTTCAATGTTTCTAGTCTGGCAGTTTTACTAAAAAACGCAGGTACGTCACAGAACTCAGAACTTTCGCTTAAAAGACAGTTGATCGAAAATATATCTGTCATAAAGCCAGGGGCTTTCAAGGGACAGATCAACAGCTTAGTAAACGTCATCATTAAATTTGACGAACACACATCCGATCCTAGTGCAACACTCAGCTTAGCAGAGGCAATGAGAACACTTTACAAGATTTCAAAGTCAAATCGCCAGCATCTGAAATCGTCAGATCCGTTTTTTTTTGATAAATTAGAAGACTATGCCAAGCATGGGAGCATCATAACTGCAAAATATGCTACAAAGCTGTTGAGCCTGCTATGGGACGCTCGAGACTACTTCATGAGGATTAAAACATCTATTCTACCGCTCAACCTTGAATCCAAATATTTGGCTACTAATGTACTTGTTCTTTCTGAAATTATTAAGTCAGATCCGCAACTTTTGGAGGAAGAATCGACCGAAGTCGTCAGTTTGCTCATCAAAGAAGTTCTACTGACTAACAAAACCGTCGGCGATACTGACGGCCAAGCATCTTGGATATCGGATGATGAGATTTTCTGTAACGAGGCGAATAGCTTTTTGGCGGCAAAGATCTTTTCTTTGAAATTGTTTGCAAGGAAACTTCAAGTGATGGCATTAGATACCGAACAAAATGAAATGACCAATGCTTTCATTGAAAGGATTCTGAAGCTTTTCTTCTATTTGATTGCAAGCGGTGGTGAGCTGATATCAGAGTTCAATGAGAGATATTATCCTACTCCTAGCAACTACCAAAGCAAACTCAGATGTTATTCTGGACTTCAGATCTTGAAATTGGCTAGACACTCCACCTTGAATAAGTTCATCAGACCAGGTGATATTGGCAAACTGGTAAACTTGATGGAAGATGAGTCTTTCGAGGTAAGAAGTTTGTTTATTGGAAAACTAAAGGATTTTGCGGGGGACGAGGTCATATCAATAAAATACCTTCCACTAATATTTTTCACCGCTTATGAGCCTGATATGCCATTGAAAAGCACTACCAAAATGTGGATTAGTCTGACGCTGACAAAGGAAAACTTCAAAAAAGGAACCTTTTTCGAAAGAGTGCTCCCAAGATTGATTCACTCAATTGCACATCATCCAGACATAGAAGAAGGGCTCCAGATAAAGGGGGAACAGTTCATGAGCAGTCTCGCCACTGCTACTGGATACCTGGTTTTCTACTTTCATGCAGTTGCAAATCCACATAACTTATCTCTCTTGTACTACCTTGCAGGCAGAATAAGACAGTACAAGGACAGTCTACTTGACGAGAGTGTGGACAACGACAAAATGGCTAATGACGAAAAGCTACGAAACTCTAGCATCAAGGGCTCTGGTATATATATAATATCAGAATTGGCCCAGCTCATTCTTGGACAGTTTAAAGAACAGAACACTTGGACACTGTCGTCCTACCCTGGAAAATTAAATCTGCCGTCGGATCTATTTGAGCCATTTGATACTATTGAGGATGCTCGGAAGAATACTTTCGAGGTCTTCGTAAAACCCAATGAGCTTGAAAGTCTCAAGAAAATGATCAGTGTCAAAGTGACCCGTCTGTACAAACAGCGGGGAACAGTTCTGAAATCGTTGGGCCAGAAAAGACCGCTTACCGACGAACGACGCCCGACGAAGAAAGGGCGTCAGGCTGAACAAGCACCTATCGATGGCGATGACAATGGTAATGATGATGGGGACAACGCCTATGTTCCGCCCAAAATATCTACAGATACCAAATCAGAGACAAGAAAAAGTTCCAGGCAGAAGAAGGCTGTGGATTACGCAGATGACAACAGTGACGAGGATTGAATTTCTATTTCACATGTTAGGTTGGAGATACTGGAAAGCTTTATGAATTTGATGGCCCGCTCTTATATACAATCTATTTGCTTATACCAAAGAAATCCATAACTTCCCCTTTAGATTTTGACTCTAGAATTTTTCGTAATGCAAGCAGTTCGGAAATTTCGTCGCTTGGTAATTCAGACCTTATGAGTTCTTTGTTCGCCAAGTCGCAAAGTTCTTTGAAATCCCATAACTTTTGAAACGGTCCGTTTTTCTGCAGTGTGAAATAAAGAAAGGAACCTATTTTAGAACCTGACAGAGACGGGCTTGCAGCGGACGAAAAAGCCTTATTAATTAAACCCTCCTGGTGATGAAATTCCTTGTCCATAAGAGCTGCTTTCGCTCTATAAACTTTGTCAACGAAATCAAACTTAATGGAATTCTCGGGCAATTGCAAAACTGCCAAATCTTTATTAACTTTAGCATCATGGATTGACTCTTTTGATACGGGTGCAGAAATCTTGTCCAGTGTTATGTCAATGTCGCCATTGTTGGGGATTCTATAGGTTGAACTAGGCGTAAACATTCTCTGATGGCGAGCGAGTCTCCTTTTGCGGTGATGTAGCATGTCATCAGCATGCAATGGGCACATCCATTTGCTACCCAAATTTTTGAAAGATGCACGCGGCGTATCTGGTACGCAATCTAAATGCCATGGAGTTCCACAATAGTCACACTTAGTGATAAGCCGCTCCTCCTCTGGGTGATCTACAGTGCCCATTTTGGTTTTACGGCAATGAAAACAAATAAGCAATTCACCAGACTCTGCATCTACATGCTGATCAGGGTTGTACTGATCCATTCTGGTTAAGCTTTGACCATAACCCGCGTTCAACACTTGCTTCTCACTGAGTGGTTCTAACAACGAGTTATCGTTGTATTCTCCATGGTCCCCGGTTTTTACGTCTTGGAAAGCATCCCTGATGGGAACTGGTGGTAGAAACTGTCGTGGATTTGTAAATTCTAGTTTGAATAGTAGTTTCCCAAACACGGATCCACCTGGGGAGCTTTCGAGTGTAGACAGATACTCCTTTTCCAATTTGTGCGCGACCGACTTACTGGGACACCTAAATTTATAATGGCATTCTGCGCAAGACCAGTCGCCTTCCGGCAAATTGTCAGGATCTAATGGAGGGTTGCAGCATACAAAGTGAAACGATTTCGGGCAAGTGTCACAACATAGAAAAACACCCGGTTGGTGACAACTGGAACAAAAATCATCATTCTCTACAGCGGAACTAGCAGCCGTTGCTACCACAGGCGCAATGGCTTTTTGATTTGTGATGGAGTTCTGGCCAAAAAGCTTATTTTCTTTCGTTGTAGAGGCTTTTATTTTGGTGTGCACTGGGAAATGCTTGTTCTTGTGGTGGGAACTATCGTGATTCTTTTTACGGTACTGTCTCTTTGTCCTGTAAATGTCTTTTGGCTTTGTTGTGGAGCGCAGGAAACTTGATTTACTCAATGTATCTGATTTGCTGGTCTCTAATTGTTCTTGGTAGCCAGAATATGGTGGATCAAGCATTTGCATACTACTTTCGTGGTTACCGGATGCACTGTTAGAATCTGGTCTAGTTCCCTTTTTGTATGACCAGAATGATTCTTTTTTGACCTTTTCAGGAGGTCCCATACTCAGTGGTAGACCGGTCATACCATTAACGGGATCGACCGATTCGGGCTCATTGAAATTAAGTTTCCCATCAGGATCAAGTTCTATTATACTCTTCACCGGCTGTGGTTCTTGTGGAGTATTCGGAATCGCACTGGGACTAGGTGCAGTCGCATTAACTTGATTCTTGGAGCCTTTTCGTGATTTAAAGTCCTCGGCAGGAATTATTCGCCTTTTCTTCAAGTTGTAGTCTACATTTAGGGTGATTGCACGTCTGGCTCTTCTCACACCATTCTCTCCTGACGACTCTACAGCTGGTGATGAAGATTTGCTAACCTTGGGCGTTGAGATAAGTGGCTTTTCCGTTGTATTATTCATAAATTTCGGTTTGGGAAATATCAGGAGGTGGATGGGATTGTGATGAACCCTAGGTCAGAGTTTATCTTTGGGCAAAAAACCTCTGTTGGGTAAAAATCAAGTGGATTATTGAAAGGTCTTGTACTTCCCAGCCTATCTTAGTTGACCAGCAATCTTGATCCTCCGGATAAATATGTGATAAAAATTGCAAACACAGTCAAGCAGCAAGGAGGAGAACCGGTCAATTGAAAATTGGGTTTTTCGGTAGTTTCAAATTCTCGCAATTCAGTTAACTGAAGTGGTTAAAACTACTTTAAGAAGGCGGCGGTGACCAGGTAGAAATATATCGCGTAGAGTAGTTTAATTGAAGTAAAATTGTAGATGCCAGATGTTCATCATCGTTTCTTATGACATTTGATATTTGGCAGTTAGGATTACCAAGGAAGTGATAACGGTTTGTGTTCGGCTTCGCTAAGGAATGGACTCATTCGATTGCCGATGCAACCGATTCTGAGACGTTTTTTTTATAGTTGAATATTCTTTAACTATTCCCTTGAATTCTCGAGCCCCTATAATCAAAATTCTATACAACTTTATAAAAACCCTTGGAGCTCTGTTAGATGCTGATGGACATACTTGCAGGGTTGAATTTGATCTCCAAATACCAACTGTATTGCATGTGAGTGTAGTTTTTGTTTTGGTAGATGGCTTGGTAACTATTGCGTTTACGAATTTTCTCTACATTCTCCTCGTCAAGTGAATGAGGCCTCAAACAGTATTGACCAAGTGTCCGCTGTCTATTATAGAACCTGAGAAAGATTACCGAGAAGAAAAAGCTACTAGATGTGGCTCTATGGCACGTACTTTCAGAAATGTACAAATACGCAGTAGGATGACAGTACAGTACAAAATGATAATCTTGTAGCCAATGACTAGTTGCATTCAAAGAGGAAACCATTGGAAAGCGATCCGACAGAATGGGACGATAGTCAGGAAAAATTGACAGTGATGAATTAAACTCCATATAGGGCTCCAATAAGTTAATAGACAATCATTCCGCAGAGAGTCTCGCAACTGATGTAATTATGCAATACTGACGAGGTTATTTTATGGTATGCACAAGCACAAAACCTCGACTAGGTAAAGGAGTATGATATAAAGCTAATAGCCAGTAAAGACTTTGAGAGGTCAGTATTTCCTAGGATTTTCGAGTATATCAGCCTTGATCTGCTGCAAACACAGCACGATTCCTGATCACTTTGTACTGCCTTGTCATCAAGCCATTTTTTTGACTAATATGGCCAACGCCAGGGCTAGCCGCCTACACTATATACTAAACCGAGCTATTTCGATAGCGACAGTTATCTAGCACCCGCATCGAGTGTCCACATTCATTTTTTAGAGATTCAATCGTGTCACGTGATGATGTTGATTAGACTCTTCTCTTTTAGAGCTTTTCTGAAATCAGTGCTAAGATCAGTATCACCCCACCTTCGCCACCACTTGCACCACTCTCGCGTCTTCAAATCTTACCTATGCTGCTTTGTCAATTCTCGGACACCATATTTTCAGAAAGAAAAATAAAAAACCTATCAAGTTAATCTTGAATCGTTGCCCATTAGAGCTCGCCGAAGACATAACAAGAGCGCCCCGCAAGCCCAGTCTTCGCATATTTATCTGTGTCATCATCCCGCAATGGATTCAGAGCTGCAAGCCATTCGTGAAGCCAGGTTGCAAGAGCTGAAACGAGGCTCCAATGCCGGTGCTTCTGATCAAAAGTATGTGGATGTCATTGTCTACGATTACTGCTTGACATTTTACTAACAGTTCATATTTTAGGCCCGCTGGCGACTCTGTAGCTGCATTTCTCCAGCCGCAGGCGCTGGAACGTCTTTCCCGCGTTTCTCTTGTCCGGCCAGACCGTGTGCGCGCCGTGGAGTCTTATTTGCAACAACTTGCCGCTCGGGGCCAAATCACTCGCAAAGTTACAGAGCAAGAAATTGTAGAGATTCTCAACGGTGTGGCGCGCGACGAAAACCGTAAGAATAGCACCAAGATCATCTTTGACCGCAGAGAACTTGGCACGACGGAACAAAATCATAACTCATCCGGCCGCAACTCCCAGATCGTCTCAGACGGCGACGACGAAGACGACTTCTTCGATTAAGTCAATACGTACTTGGACAGCAGCATATAGAATAACACCCTGAACATCGACATCATCTAGATTGTACTAGACCCCAGCACAACTTCCTTCCCGCCCTTTGGAGCCATTAAGAGTTGACTCAAATTGCATTACACCCGGGTAATCTCAGACTTATATACCCAATGAGGAAGTCCGTATCGGACTGCCTATTTTGGGTTATCTGGCGTAGATAAGCGATTTCCCGCCAACAATCGCTGAGATCCCACCATATCTACTATCAAGTTATCTTGCACAGGATGCCAACACACACAAAAAGCCTTGCTTTCAAAACGTATATATATAAGCTAAGTGAATCTGGAGGTGTAGAGAGGACAAACTATCCTAACTGTTCCTCAAAGACAAACATTCAGCTAGTCCTTCAATTTTCCCCACTTTCCAGGCTCATCTACAAAATATGACAGGTTTACACATTTTCGATCCTATCCAGGATTGTGAAATCAGAACCACCGCCAAATTGGTGAAAGATTTGAACGGGAGCTCAAAAGTCCATTTCATCCAGATTGATCGTTTGGATCCCCCAAAGAAGCAGGCGATCCAGTATCTGAATGTAGAGAGGTACGGCAAACCAGGCGCGCAATTACCTTACATCCCTAGAAGAACATATGCTTACTACTATTTGAACGATGAAATGCCATTGTACAAGGCTCTCATCAACGTGTCAGAAAAGCGCGTTATCGCGAACCAGGCCACACCTGAGGGTACCGTGGGCCCATTGTTGCCAGAAGATATGGGTGCGGTCGAAGAAGCTATCATGAAGCACCCACGAGTTCTCGCAGAGATCGCCAAACTCAAGATTGATGAGTTGTCTTACCACCATTCTCGGCTCGGGAAACTTGGCTATTCGGTGGTGTGTGAACCATGGATGTACGGTACTGACTCACCCAACGAAAAGATTCCACTCATCCAAGCTTACATGTACATGAAACTGGACCACCCAGAGGCCAACCATTACTCCATTCCACTGCGTTTTTCTCCGGTTTTCGAATACTTGACTCACAAATTTGTCAGAATCGATTTCCTACCCGCGGGCGCCGACGAAAAATATATCGCGGAGACTATGGCCTACCAACAACTGGAAACCGTTGAGTACCACCCAGATCTAATCCAAGAACCCGAGCAAAGAGAGGGTTTGAAGCCCCTCATCGTCTCCCAGCCAGAGGGCGCTTCGTTCGAAGTCGACGGCTCAAAGATCAAATGGCAAGGCTGGGAATTTAGAGTATCCACCAACGTGAGAGAAGGTGTGGCCATTTACGACGTCCATTTCAAGGGAAGATCGTTGTTCTATCGATTCTCGCTTCAAGAAATGACGGTCCCATACGCCGATCCAAGAGCGCCATTCCATAGGAAGCAAGCGTTCGATCTCGGTGACTGTGGTTTCGGTAACACCGCTAATTCGTTGGCTTTAGGTTGTCACTGTCTTGGTGTTATCAAGTATCAAGATTTAACAAGAGCTGACCAAGATGGTAACCCTGTTCTAATGCCTTCTACAGTCTGCATGCATGAACAAGACTACGGCTTGTTGTACTTGCACAAGAATTACCGTAACGGAAATACTGTCACAACGAGAAGAAGGGAATTTGTTGTTCAAACAATCGCTACTGTTGCTAACTATGAGTACATTATGAATTATGTCTTTGACCAGGCTGGTGCGATCACTGTTCAAGTCAGGGCCACTGGTATTCTCTCGACCATGCCCAATGACGAGAGTAATGTGACTGATTTTTCCACTATCGTTGGTCCAGGAGTTACAGCGCCATTCCATCAGCATTTATTGTCTTTCAGATTCGATACTAGACTCGATGGTGATGATAACACAGTTGTTTACGATGACTATGTTCCAATGGAGGAAAACACCGCATTGAACCCTTACAATGTCGGGTACTGTCAAAAGAGAACGTTCCTCGAGAATTCTGGATATATCGAGCAGTCTCCATTTACCAACCGTACCTACAAGGTTATCAATGAGAACTCCATTAACCCTGTCACCTTGAAGCCTGTCGGTTACAAGTTTGAGATGCCCGCTAGACAAATGATTCTTGCATCAAAGAATTCTTACAATGTCAAGAGAGCCCGTTTTGCTACACAACAATTTTGGGTTACCAAATACCATGATGACCAGTTGTATGCCGCTGGTGAGTTCACCAATCAATCTCAAGAGGACACAGGCCTTTCCAAGTGGGCTGATGGTACCGAAAGTGTCAGAAACACTAATACAGTAGTATGGCCAACTTTGGCCTTGACACATGCACCTGTGACGGAGCAATTTCCAGTTATGACCTCGGACTTCCTGCAATTTTTGGTAACGCCTGCTTCTTTTTTCACCAAGAATCCTGCTTTGGATGTCCCATTGGCTAATAACAACTTCAACAAATCCGTTTATTACGAAGACGCTCAAAAGTCTGCTGGTCTGGCCTCCAAGGGATCTTCAACCGCTGCTCCCTGCTGTAAGAGCAATATCTGATTAAATAAATATAATTACTGATAAATTTATGATTAAATTATATTCCTGAATAAAGAGGTTTGAGGTCATCAGAAGTTCTTCAGTTTGAAAAGGTTATCGTAGGCCAAAAAGTTGACGTTTCTAGATGGCTTTGATTATTTTTTCGGTCCATCGAACTTTTCGTTTCATTTAATGCACAGAGCTGTACTTCTTGCTTTCCTTGAATCTTCAATTACTCTGGTCGAAGCTGTTCGTTACAGTAGCATATGAGCTCAGTAATGAGGGGAAGGGCGCTTCACAAGGTGAAGTGTAGCGAGCAGTGGTCACCGAAGCGTCAAGACAGCCGCATATGCGTGTTGAGTTTAGTTTTTCTCACAAAACAGCTTGCTTGCGCTTTCTGCTTGAAGCCAACAGCAGAAGCAAACTTTACTATTTGTGGGGTTCTTTTCGCTCCATTCTAGTAGGAGGACTGTGATTGGCGTTTGAACATTCGTGGGTAGTGTCCATCTGATCTCTGATTGCGCTTTCTTCTAGATCAAAGCATTTATCGCGCCAATCTTTATATTATGCATAGAGCAGCTGGATGCAACTTTCATCGTCCATTCGTTATGAAGAGTTTTTGAGTCGGTCTAACTGCGGATAACCATGAGTTTTATTCAAAGTATACCTAATGACCATAGTGATGCCGCTAATTTTTATAATATGTGGGCCCATGTGTAGCTGCTCCACTTCACTGCTGCTGGGTTGGTGGGCAATGGTAAATCTGCTATTGAAGAATACACAATTCCAAAGAGTTTGACATGGAGGTATCGTCAGAATAGGAATCGCCCGGCCACTGTCACTTACACTAGTTGAGTTGGCCAGGGTATTTGGCAGTCCCATTCCAGAGGCCCTTCTTTTAGATGTCAGTTCAACGAATGATTGCCTCTAAAAAAGGTGAGCTGCGAGCTCTGCCTAGCCAATAAAAGGAGCTATCGCATGCATGAATTGCTGTTAAAAGATCTGCTGATGAACCTAGAGAAGAATTTTAACAGGACGATGCCATCGGAGCTTTCGTTACGTCCACCTCCCCTGGCCGTATGTCTAAAATTCTTGACCGGAGATAATCATATCTGTTTCAATATCCCCATCTTAGAAATTTGCTCGAAGGAGGTGTGATTTATCAGGAATTACTATCGAAGAGCCCAAGCGTAATGTTTTGAGCGATCCTATTACTTCCACTATGCTTACTTGTACCATATCTCAACGACGAATTTGGTTTGTTTCGCGTACTTGAATATCTGGCGGACGATCATAGCGTATCACTCATAATCGAGAATAGTGGTAGAAGAGAAAGGACACTTGTCGGCCTTATTATTATCAATGTGTATTTCAACTTTCTAATTTAATTTTCTCAAAGAAGGATTTATAATTTCATAGTCAGTTACACTTCCGAGTTTGACATCATGCTGACTATACGTACACTCCATAAAACACCTTTGTATGGCATCAGATAGCAATCAAAGGTTGTCTACCCCTGGGGATGGATTTCAAAGGCCTAGTTATCCTAAAGTGCATTCGCAGGAAGAGAGTGGTCCTCAGGTGAATGCGAGACTATTAAAACCTTCGAGTTCAATTATACAAAATGTGCCTACTCAGGCCGGGTGCAGTACGATACGAAGCGGAGGTTTCAGAAACAAAGTGGTTCTAAAACCTGGACATAGTGCCATGGATTGGGCTATATTATCTAGTACTAAAGGAGCTAAAGGATCTCTTATAGCCGGTATTAATAAATTGGTAAGCGATCCTGAAATTCAAAGGATCAACACGCCTAGTGCATTGATGTGTCTACAGCACGGGGTTCCCACCTCTAAAATATATCCCCCTCTGAAGATCAGTATGAAGCACTTGGAGCAGCACAATTCGAGAGATGATTGTTGGTGTGTTCTTCAGAACAAGGTATATTGTATTACGGGCTATATGGACTTTCACCCAGGTGGTGTGGACATTCTGTTGAAAAGTGCAGCAGGCAAGGACGCTACAGCAATGTTCAGCAAGTACCACAGATGGGTAAATTTTGAAAGACTTCTGGAGTCTTCATACATAGGTAATGTTGTGAAATGAAGGAAACTCGAAAGAATATTACAATCTGTCTCTTAATTTCCAAGAGATCAGGGTTTTAGTATCCTTCTGATTTATTACTATCGCTTGTGCTATGTTGATTGATATCCTTATTTTTGAGCTCATGATGACATGTCAGGTCCAGAGATTATCCATTGTCGAGCTTTATGGTATAGCCAATAACTTTAAATCAATTTGAATTATGTTGAAGATTCGATTTTGGCAGTGGTCTCTAGACCCTTTGGCTCTTCTGGGTAGTGTTCCTCCCATTCTTTGAGCTTCCTCTTGTAAGTATCGGTATAGGCTTGCTTGTCCGATTGGGACAGCGAGCGCCACTTCTCACCAATCAATTTGGTTATTTCAATTAGATCCTTGTCAGGATTTTCGCTGATAATCTTAGGGCGAACCTCTTGGGTAAATTGGATAAATGGACCAGAGGGCCTTTTGGGGGGCAAACTAGCTTCATATTCTTTCCTGGCAACTCTGTACTTCTCCCAATTGACCTTAAATTTTTCATGAAATGGCTTTTTGTCATCTTCAGACATCTCTTTCCATTTGGCAGAAGCTAACTTGGATAGCTCGGGTACTTTGGCATCGGGATATTGTCTTACCAACTCCTCTCTTACAGCCATAGAAAACAAGAAGTAAGCAGAAGAAGGCCTTTTAGGCCCTTGTTTCTTAAGTTGCTTTCTCTTTTCGATTCGGCTTTGGCTCGCTGACATCTTCTTGGCCACTACTGGATTAGCTTGCAATTGAAATTGTGAGGCCGACTGCATCATGGAGGGATGGCTCATCTCCATCAGAGAAGGTGTATTCATGGCAGCATGAAAATACCTCTGGGCTGGTTGATTGATAGCAGTGCCTAACGCAGCCGTCATACCGTGGGCGGCAGGCTGAAATGTGTTCATGACACTGTTCATTGATCTTTGACCGATCTGAGTCAAAAATGAATTGAACATAGCGTCTGAATACTGTTGTTGAGATTGTTGGGGTGCTTGCGTCTGTGGTTGCTGTTGTTGAGATTGTTGGAGCAAGTGGTAATCCGGTTGTTGTTGTTGCTGTTGTTGTTGTTGTTGTTGTTGTTGTTGTTGTTGTTGAGGCTGCTGTTGGTGAGTATGAAGACGTGCGTGAAGGTGTTGTGGAGGCTGCTGTTGATGTTGGTGTTGTTGGAAGTGGTGGCGTTGCTGCTGTTGCTGCTGTTGTTGTAGTTGTTGATGATGTTGTTGTTGTTGTTGCAGTAGTAGTTGTTGTTGTTGCTGTTGTTGTTGTTGTTGAAGGTGGGACTGCTGAAACTGAGGATGCTGCAGATGCGATTGCTGGTATTGATGAGGGCCCTTCAGTTGTGGTTGGAGTACCTGAGAGTATAAATCAGAGGGTATGGGAACGTCCTGGTGCTGTTGTGAGAGCTGCTGCAGTGGGGCCTGTGCAAGAGGATGACCTATGCTCTGAATTTTGGTCCTGTCTTCCGGAGGCGGCGATAGGGGCTGTATATGATGGCCTTGGTGAGCAGTGGGATCTAGTTCAGGATATGGTAGCAGTTGGTCCTGCAGACTGCTTGTATTGGAAATAGATCCGGTATTTGAGAGGCCCTTGGAGGCAGGAGGCGAGATGCCCGTTCCAATGTTAGGGATGTTCATGTCAAAGCAGACCACCTGGGAATGTGTGTAATCACCGGCGTTCGATCGGTGTCTGGGGGTAGGAGGTGCGTGCCAGTAGGATGCACGCGTATGTCTGGCCTGTCAAGAACTGGGCTCTAACTAGGCGTGTGTCCCTTTTGCGAGAAGCAGAAAGGGGCGGTGGCACAACAGATGAGAACGGAAGGAGCCAACAAATGTGCGTTACCTCAGTTCGTCACAGAAAATCCGAGGGTTGTTGTGCAAGTGATCGGCGCTCTGTTTGTTTACCGATACCTCACCGAGCAAGCGGGAGTGAGTGTACGTGACAAAAGGCGGCGAGAAGCTCGAGAGGCAAATAAACCGAATCCGAGTTCCGGCAGTTTGTGAGGCAGACAGGAGAGCAATGTAGAAACTAGCTCTGATGGTCAAACGAGAAGCAGGAGAACAAAACTTGATTCCTGCACAACTTTCTGAATCGCGAGGCTAAGCCAGAATGCTCAGATATGCTTTAACTGTGCTGTGGAAGCTACCAGAAATGGGCGTATCGTGTGTGAACCTTAGTTGTTGATGTGCTGTGCTTGAGAAAAAAAAATTTTCCCCCTTCTTTAGTTTCTCGTTCAAAAGTTCCCTCCACAATTTCTCGCCAATCGCTGATGGCGCTCTGCCTACGGTTGCCGCAACATCGCCGACCAATTCACATGCCCGGAAGTTTATTTTTTCCACCTACGGTGATTTCATCTTCTGGCGTGCCACATCCAGCGAAGAAGGCGGATATTGCTAAGCACGGGACAGTGTCAATATGCCCGCCACAGGCGCAACTGTGCTGCAGCTACATCCGGACAACAGATGGCACCTAGCGTCACGCGAGCACACTATTATCGTCAACAGCGACATGCATTTTCTCTGGCGTCCTTGGGTAAAGGACGGGTTTTTGCTGTCTCAGTCCGCAGGGCCTGGCAGGTGAATGTTGAAAGCTTATCTTGTAAGCTGCTACAGCGACGTAACCTCAGGCAGCAGACGCCTAAGCTTTCAGGCTCTTGCTGATAGCTTGACTGTACTATCGTCACCTCATACGTAATGTGACTGAGCGCATCTTGTACGTAAGCCCTCGGATTCCGGGTAATCTGTCATTTTGGTGTTTTGTGTCACAACTCAGGAGACATTTAAGAGGGTAAAACGCTCCAGCAAGGGCGGCTACCGGAGAATATCAGAAAGAAACCGGCGAAAACCAACCTCTTCGAGCACCAACTCCACACACGTACAAAAGTCTCGGAACCAATAGTAGAAACGTATTCACATACCTGGCAATCGAAGCGCAACCGTGCTTTTCCTGTGAAAGATGATTCTTTCCCCCCATCGAGTGGTAGGTTTCCAGATAGGAGATATGAATGCCAATAAATGTCAAGAAAACAAACATAAAAATCATTAAATACGTAGTATTATCCTACATAGAGCGTGGCCACTGAGTGAAAGGTGGATTACTAGCTCCAGAAGAGCACTTCTCTTGGTGTTGGGGCTCCCGGGAGTTTGCGGGTTAATGCATGACTTTGTAGGAGTTCAAGTCCTTCCTTAATGCAGTCTTACGGCAGACTAACGCTTACCAACGAAAACATTCGTTGGCCCATTTTTGCCGTCTGTTTTGTAATTCTTGAGAAATACGAGTTCAGTTCTCTGCGCTGGCACCTGGTGAATCGTTGACTGAAGTACCGTCATCTTCATCTCCGGATGACAGTCCCTGGTGGCTTCCTTGAATAAATTTCTGAAATGCGTCGGAAATTGACAACTGTGGGGGTGCATCATTGATAAATTGTCGAAGTCTGTCTGTCAAAGACGGAGCTCTTGCCATGCTGGAGCTAGCAGTTGAAATGGTGCAGTCAGCTCCCCTTCCTTCGTTATCCACGTTGCTGGTCCCGGGAGGAAGGTCTGGAGTTGACTGGCCATTGGGCGCTTGGGCCCGCTCCTGACGGTGCTTCTCATATACATTTTCATTTTCATGAGCGCCGCCACGCTTGTTGTTTGTCTTGAAGAAGCCCGCTGTATTGAATAAGTTCTGCGAGCTATAATCCAAGAACTCTCGTTTCCTAGACTTTGCACCGTCCTCGGGCCCGTCCTGGAAATATTCATTCATATATTGCTCGATGTTGGAAAGCATGCCGCTATGTTCCATAGTGATTAGCGGGGACACCTCTTCACGCTGGAAGTGACCCTGTAATAACTCCTGGCGCATGACGTTAAGATTCTCCAGGGCATTGGCATCGGCCAAGTCATCCTCTGTCGTATCTTGGACAGCTGGTTCCTCCTCGGGCTTCACTAGCCTTATCTGGGTGGTGTTGTAACTTATGCAATTCCCGCATCGAAGCCCGAGAATATGATACCTGCAAGTGCTCTTAGCTTTGCAATCATTACAAGACACGTAACATATCCAGTCACAATAGGGAGTCGGTAGCGGTTGCTCTTCAATTTCCTTATCTAGGACCCTGAACTGTGCTTCCATATTCAGAATGGAGACCTGGCACGAAGGGCACTTGTAGGAGTGATTAGTATACTCATCAAAACAATGCTGATGTATAGCATGGCCGCAAGGTGACATGTACACGACCGGTTTTACTGAAGTGAACATGAAATCCCCGCAAATTGGACAGCTTGACATGGTTGCTCTTTCGATGCAGTTGTGATTCCCCTGTAATTCAATCGACAGACAAGCTTGGCACCCATCGCAATGAAAGAAGTCAATGCCCAATCCCAACCCAAGCCTACAAATTCCACATTTATCGCAATGATAGATATCTTTGGTCTCGTCATTGTCAAACAGCTTGCATTCATTGCAGTAATATAACGCTAGCTCTTCGTCACAACTTTCGCAGTACTTTTGAGGTTTTTGAATGTGCTGGCATCTCATGCATATAATATGCTCAGTTTTAGCGCGCTGAAACGAGTGAGGAATAGCGCCTTCAATTGTCTCTGGCGACTCGTCATGACAGAATCTGCACGTGTACCATCCTAGACACTGGTGACATTGTAACTTGCAATTCCTCTGGTAATGCTGACAACCGAAATTACCCGAGTCGTGGTGTGTCGGTGTTTTTTCCAACTCCGTGGGCAGTGGATCTCGCAACTGCTGTTGAGGCTGCGGAGTCGGCAGTCGGCTTGTATCTTCCACATGCTTGCCCATCATGAGCCTTTGTACCATGAAGGCTTTTTTCGCGGGTATCACTTCTAGACTTTGGATTTGTTGAATCCGCTGTCGCAGCGCTTCTTGATTGCTATTCTGATCCTCCGGAAGTTCTGTCAGTCGGAGAAGGTCTTCTTCTAGCATATACGGGTCTTTGTCTTGGGGAATCACCATGTCATTATAAGCAGGTGCATTCTGTGGTTTGACTGCTGGTATGAGCCCAGCTGGCTCTTCCTGCTTTAAGGCGCCGGTGTCATATTCCCTCGAATCGCCGCCCTTGCTCTTCATAGTGTTGCTTATGGCCTGTTCAGTGATGGCCTTGATAGTCTGCAATCTATTCAGTGCGTTGGAAAAGCTGAGGCCTTTTTGCAGGTCATTAAGGAAGGTGTTCATCTGGAACCTTCTGCTCCAATGTCCGTAATCGGGTTCTACAACCGAGGTTATAGAATTATCTACACCCTTCCCACTCCATATGGAACCAAAATTAAAATTAGGAAATCCGCGGCCAAGTTTCTCGAAACTAGCGTCGAAGTCACTCATAATCAATTCATCTTCGCTTTCCTCATCGTTGAAGGAAGATTCGGAAGCTATTTCGTTGCTCGCAGCTTGCATTCTCAAGCTACTTTTCACTATGACCACTATTCTGGCTCGTGGCGGTAATTTGTCGGCCCGCGCGATGCCAAAGAGACGGTTGGCACGGTTTGGTGCTTGATCACTGCTTTAAGGACTAAAGGTGATATTTTAGAGTTTGATGTACCTTTAATTAAATTTCAACAATTTGATTGTCTCTTCACGGAGAACCAAACAAGAAACTAAAGAAGATCCCTTCAATAATGGCATTGAATATCAAACAGTTCATTAACTTTGGTGGCATCGCGCGAGACTTGAAAAGTTTCAATTTCAGGTATGTTTGACTACGAATGTCTATGAAATTAGTGCCCTTGATAAAGGATGGGGAAAACGACACACCTTACTAACAGTATTTGCCTTACAGCGTTTATGGACAGTGGTTTGGATTTATAAACATTCTGCTATGCATAGCACTAGGCATTGCAAACTTGTTCCATGTAAGTGCGGTCATTATTTTTGGAATCATCAGCATACTTCAAGGCTTGGTAATATTATTTATCGAAATACCCTTTTTGTTGAAGATTTGTCCTCTAAGTGACAATTTCATTGAATTTATCAAACGCTTTGCTACCAACGGGAAGAGATCTTTGTTCTATATTGCAATGGCTGCGATACAGTTCTGTTCCATACCGGTGATGCTCACCAGCCTGGTAGTTGTGGGAGCAGGGCTCACCATTTCATCGTTGAGTTATGGGGTGGCATTTTTCAAACATCAGCAATTCCAGAATTCCAGTATCATCAAAAGCCCGGCGGACGACGATTTCCCACACGAAGCCGTGGTGCGCGAAATGTTGTGAGAGAGTTCCTAGCTGCCCTTTCTCCGTGTGCTAGGACCTTCCAATCTGCTATGACTACATAGTTTTTTAAGTTGCAGAAATCCACTTATAACCGTCTTAGTGCAGTACTAAATATCTACAGAATCACCTTGGGTTCGGCTTATTATGTCGTTGAGAACTGTCTTGACCCGATCCTTACGAATTCTTCCCTCGTCAATCAAAATGCGAATGCTTGAGCTGGATGGGCCAACGGCATCTTCCGTGGTCGACGCACTGGCCGATGCATAGTGATCAAGCAGGGAGGAATCTATCTGGTCTCCAGCTCGATATAGCTCCTGCAAAACCTGTAGTACGTGCTTGATCTTCATGTGTTGAAATAAGTTGTCGCGTCGCTTGTGACGGCTCGAACACCAAGGACACTTGTAGGGCTTGAAGTTTGAGTGCGACAACAAATGGCGCTTGAGCCATGAGCGCCGCCGAAAGGATCGCTCACACATGCCACACCGATAGTCCGCATATGTGACTGCCGAGCTCCAATCACTACTGCTATCCACAAAGCTGCGCGCTGGTGGGTCGTTTTGTACGTTTTCTCGATGGTTAGCAGCTACAAACTGTTGTTGTTGTTTTTGTTGTTGAAGTGGCGGTAGAGGCCTGGCCGAAGGCTGTGCCAGCATCGGTAGACCCATCGAAACGGAGCTAGGGTTGCCGCTGCTAGCCACAGGCCATATAGCGCCTGTGACGGACAAATTTACGGGCAGGTTCGTTGCGAACGGCTGGGCGACCATGTATTGTCTGCCGCCCGTGGAGCCACCGATGTATTCCGGCCCATATGCGGATAGCGGTAGCTCTGATGGCCAGGCCGAAGTCTCTGGCAGGATCGACCCTTGAGAACTCGCTGTGTGGACCGGTTCCACCGGCGTTTGTGTCACGTGCGATGCCCATTTTAGCGCAGGCGGAGCCGCTGCAGCTGGGGGCAGCACCGCAGCCGGCGCTCCAGCGGTTGCCAGCATGCTGGGATACACGCCTTGTAAGGGTGTGAGCCCGCCCGTGGAAACCCAAGCTCGGTGTTGGTGGTCAAACTCGGGCACCACCGTCGAGGCAGCGCCAGCGCTGGACGGGCCGACGGTGGCCAGGTGGTTGGCTGTCAGGGCGGAGGTGTCTGGGTGTTGGTGCGAAGTTATGGGTGCTACCGAGTACATGGACGAGTACGAGACCGGCGGCGGGTGGCTGGGTGGCTGCGGTCCACCGGCTCCGCTTTCCGGTTCTATCCGGGTTCTCGTTCCGGTTCCTGCCTGCGGTGCCGTTCTCGTACTCGTCACTGTTCCTGTTCCTGTTGGTGCTTCGGAGGAACCGGGAACTCCGGTCGCAGTTCCCACCCCGGAAGAAGTCGCTCCTATGTTATACATGCTGTCACGAGTTCTTTCTCGCTCGCCTTCTTTTTAGCTCTGGGTGTGCCTTTTTTCCTCCTTCTCTCTCTCACACACGTCTCAGCCGTTCCTTGCTGGGAGTCACCTCAACCAGGATTTTCGTTCTTTTGCGGGTCCCTAATGTGACGAGCCACGGACATCCAGTTCCGGCAGGAACAGGCCGTTGCTCTGCGATAAACAGCGTCGTTCATATATATATATTGCTGCCCGGTCGTTTTCACATAGCAACTCCTCTTCACCGAATCCCTTCCTCGCCAGGACTCGGAGGAGTGCGGAACACCAGCTAAGGAAGGAAAAAGCCTAGTTATTCTTCCGTTAATAAGCAACTGCAATGACGAATGCGCTGTCAACTTATGTAAGGCTCAGAAGACCCCGCAGCATCTCATGTTAATGCAGATGTATGTTACTATATAGCGTAAGCTCCCAGTAAGAAACACGCATGGGCAAATTGATGCCGGATGTCGCGTTCCCGCAAGGCACGTTCGGCATTCTGAGGGTTCCTCGTGCATGGTCGCTGTCAGAAGCCGCAATGCACTCGGGAAAAGAGTTGTTCCGGACCACGCAAGCCGCGCCTGGTACAATATCGTCCACTGTCGTTACTAATGAGCTTGTGAATTCGCTTGCTCACATGACCAGAAGAGAATGTGGTACACAGGCGTGGAATGCCGTCTTTGCAGCTTGACAGCAGCAGGCGGCTGGTAATGGTAAATGGAAGATCTGGTACGGCGCGAGTTTAGCGGTGGTAGCTGCGTTTGAGCAGGGAAATCAACCGGAGCCGACCATGGCGCTACCGACATGCGTAGCCGTTTCAGGTAGAACCGTATGGCAGGGGCATTTGCCGCGAACACGGTGAGCTCCACACCACGAAACCCGGGGTGCCCTGGGAAGGCCTTCTGCAGACGGGCCATTGTCCGGGTAAGCACGTCACGCATTAGCCACGTGCCCAGGCCGTGACCCCGTGCGCTATCGGTCACGTGGATTTCGTACACGTACAACACGAGCGGGTTGCCGGTGAACTCGGGCTCGTGGGTGAGCAGAAGGGAGACGAATGCCACCGGCGTGCGCGCTGGGTCGTCAGGCTCGTGGTACACCACATACACCAGGCCCGCGGTGTGCATTTCTTTGACTTTGCAGTCGCGCCACTCAGCGGAGGGGCCTTGCAAATCAGGGTATATGGCAGATCCGTAGTCCTGATAGAAGTGGCCCAGATTGGCGTCGATAAGTGCCAAGAGTTGCGCAGTGGCAGCCTTGTTGAGCGTTCGGACTCCCGGGGTCACAGCCTTGGCATCCGTCACGTACACGGTGCGCTTCAAAGTCGTGGGTGCGTTGCTGGGCGCGGCCCCACTGGTGGTCACGTGCGTGTCCGGAAAAGTTCCGATCACGTGTGGTGCTAGCACGTCACATGGTAGATCCATGGTGCTCATTCTGTACGCAAGGGCAACCGCGTGTGAGAAAATAAATACACAGAAGGGAGAGAAAACCCGGAAATTTGGAAAAAATGTGACACGCGAGAGACATGGTAGCTGTATACGAATCTGTGTATGTCACGCGACCAAGTAGGCGAGTCGCGTGTGGAGCAGAAACGTTACAGGAAATAACCAACCTGGTGTCATAATAGTACGTAGTGATGCTGGAAGCATGGGTAAACACCGGCTGTTGGTCCCATTTACGGAACTGATTTACAATCCAAATAAGCACAGAGAGACGAGTGTAGGTCCTCTAATAACGTTAAGATCTCGTTTTCATAACTCGGAATTTAGAACTCGATATCAACCAAAAAAAACGGACGAACAGGTTGGCAAGTCAACTACTGCGGACGCTGGCTTGTTCCAAATAATAAAAAAAAAGACGTAGGTCAAGGTTGCGGTATCTCACAGTACGTTTGGGGGTGAAGCGGTGTGTCTTCCTCACCTTGCTACTGTGCTCATATGTCTCGAGCATAATGCTCATGCTAATTATCTTACGACATACACCACCCTGCCAAGAACATAAGTTCAGATAGGCGTTGTAGTTACCATTGTAGTTTTGCTTACAAAGTCCACTCTGCTTACATTTCTAATCACTTCTCGGTCTCAGAATAGACGTCTTTGTCCTTCCAGATATTTGGTCAATAGTGTATTACTAAGTGTCGAAAAAGACGCTTAGCTGCTGTATTGAGTCGGTTGAAACACAGTTTTGCCGTGTGTGTCTCCTATCTAATACTAGGTGAGTAATGACAGTCAACCTAGTAGCGCCCCTGTTTTGTTGCTCTGATCGTTAAGTGATGTCACAGTATAGCTCGAGGTTTTCAACGAGTGCTCGAGGAAAACAAGTGCTTACACATCTCGAAGCTGACAGTTGACGATCCTGACGCCACAAGTTCTCGAGATTAATAATGATACGGTGTCTCCAAACTGTATAAAAGCCGGGTTCAGTCTACTCCAAGTTATTCCAACTCCTGTCCTAACACAGCAGATTCAAACACTTGAATTATCCACCCCGAACATCATTCAACTAACACTTCAAAACCATTAACATGTCCAAGACTTATTTCGTTTCAGGCGCTAACAGAGGCATTGGCTTCTCATTCGTCAAAGAATTGAGCTCAGACTCCACCAACACCGTCATTGCGACTGCTAGAAACGTGGAAACGGCGGCAGAGTTGAAATCGTGGGCGGACGCTCACTCGAATGTCAAGCTCGTGCAATTGGATGTCGCATCTGCGGAAAGTGTGCAAGCGGCCGCGAAGACTACGCAGGAAATTACCCCAAAGGGGATCGATGTCCTGATTTCTAACGCAGGTATTGCCAAGTCTTCTGATCCAGTCTTGGGCCTATCGGACGATCTTTATCTCGAGCATTTTGTCGTAAACACCTTGGGCCCAATAAGACTGATCAGGGCTTTCAAGTCGCTTCTTGACAAAAAGGCGACGAAGGAAGTTCTTGCCATTACTTCTATTGTTGGATCTGTGGGTACGGTAATGCCTCTTTCTACCTCAGGCTACGGTTTGTCAAAGGCCGGTCTCAACTATGCTTTCAGACAATTGCAGCAAGAGCTGTCGCCAGAGGGATACAGTTTTGCCCTAGTCCACCCTGGTTTGGTTGGAAGCGACATGGGCAACGAGTTTGTAGAGGGCTTGGACCCTGATGTTCGTGAGCAATTCCTCAACACTCTGCCACTTATCACCCCAGATCAGTCCGCCTCTGCTATCAATAAAAATGTCCTGCAAGAACTTAAGTCCAAGAACTTTGGCAAGTTCTTGAGTTATGACGGCTCAGAACTCGTTTGGTAGATGTAATTGTCGGGCGTCAGCAGCACATTGCAGCACGAAACTCAATCTATGCTTACATACTTTTTATACAATAAGAGATTTCAATTGTGGATTAACCTTCGATCACTATTGATTGTAATAAAGTATTCAGATACAGGAGTCCCGGGTCTTCAGTCAAACCCACTTTGCACCTCAGTGGCATTGATCTTGCTGACAACCAAATAATTAACTCCTCTGCTAATCAGAGCTGACCCAGGGCCTACATACTGGGCTATCCGCGTGCCACGGCTAAAATCACATAATCGAAAACGAGTCAAAATATGGGGAGAGTGAGAAATTTGGGGCTTCCACGCGCCATTGTAGAACAATTATTCGGCATGCAACTGCAGAAATATAACGGTTTTGTTTTCTTCATTCTGAAGCCATCGTCATTTCAACAACGTCACACGGCCAGTAGTCTCGACCCACGAATTCCGCACGATACCTTCAATCAAGGTGGTACGATCTAAGCCCGTGTTTACCATCCGCCTAACAGTATCCAGCGCTCCTCGCCGAGGCATGTGCTCTCTGTGGTCCGGTATTAGGATCGCCCACAGCAGCAGCGTTACTATTCTTAAGGATCATCCCTTACGAGTTTGACGCAATCTAGATGACGGCTTTCGTGTAGCTCAGCGCTATACTCCAGACACGCGACCCTCGCCAAGCCACGCGACCCTTGCCGTCCAGATGGTGGGAGGCGCTCTTTTTGGCCTTGCCTGTGCCCTTGCGTTGTCCGGCACTCGCCGGCTCTTATCACTTCGATTGGATTACTACAGAAGCCAGCTGAAGCTCTGCATGCCACCCCTCGCCACCTTAGGCCAACCGAATCTCGCACCCCCACTCAATGGTGACGTTTGGAGCGCTGCCTTCGACTATCAGCTCTCTGCCTCGGTAGGACCGTCACACAACTCAGAACGACACAGCGGACCTACGAAAAATAAAGGCCCGTGTCCCGAGGCCCTGTTCACTAGGAAACCCTTGTCGATCGGCCTGAGTTCCTCTGCCGACACTCCCGATAGACTCCGACGGACTCACTGATTCCTGCCGCACTTGCAGCCCCTGTGCCGACACGGCCGATAGACTCGTTAATTCCCACCGCACTTGCAACCTGTTAGGCTGAGGCCTTCGTGATTGATCCCTGACGTCAAGACTCTGGCTCAAGCCTAGCATAGAGTGCCGGCCGCCCCACATATGACCCATGGCTACTCTGCTCCGTTGCCACGGAGCTTTGCCAAGCAAAACCCAAACGTCCCCCTCTTGCCTTGTGTCATCCCCGGTTGAAAAAATATGTCACTCTGACGCTCTCCTCTCCGCTCAGTATACGGCACATCCCTTGCTATAACTAGGCGTAATTGAGCTTCGTTGTGCAGGACAGTATCGCGACGCCAACGCGTTGGTTTGGACCTGCATAAATGGGTTTTAGGCTACCTGGCTTATAAGTAGGGATGGGCCTGGTCAATCCCAGGCCACTTGGCAGATTCTTCACTTGCTACATTTCCACAGTTTCTACGTTATACCTTGGAAATTGGAAGCTGCACTTTTGGCTTTTCTTCGCTATCACAGAAGCGATAACGTACAGTACGCATATCCTTGCGTAGGTTGGGTAACTTTTGTGATCTACGAAACCAGAGCAGTAGACAGCGTGACCGACCTTGAGTAGAGCCATCCCATTCCTGGAGCTCTCCAGCCCAATAGGCAAGAGGACTCTCAGGTACACGGGTCATCATAGATGAGAACGGGGCCTGCCACTCTACTGCTAGGGACAAAGCACGAACAAAACACGCGGGCGATCAAAGCGGGCTGGCAACCAAGTTCACTTTTTTTTCGCTAGGACGTTGACTTTCGCTCGTAACGACGGGTTCTATTGCATACTATCTCGGTGGATTTTTTCAGAGCTGTACCTCGTGCATCGCAAAGCGCGTGGTACACTTTGCATACACAATTTACACGACTCCCCACAGACGGCACACCCGTTTGGCGAACGGCATCTCCACTAGTAGTGCGATCATTAGGAATCAAACCCTCGATCATTAGGGTCGCTGACGTTAACTTCTGTCATAAAAAATTCGTACTTGTGTTAGCTCCCACCCAAACCGCATTCGAGCTCAACAGCGAGGGGGTTGGGGCGAGCAAACGATAAAGCTGAACGAGACAGCCTAGGCATAAGATCTTTTGACCTGGTGTCGAAACGGTGGCTACACTGTTATTTTGGGCGTGGAACTTTAAGATTTCGTGTGCTCGGCAGCCAGAGTTTTTTCTTTAAATAGGCCCGGAGCTTATCAAAGCAGTCAAGAAAGAGGCCACAAGGGCAAAGAGACGGGACAGCGCCAACGCTCGTGCTCTTGCGACGTTCAAGGAGCTCGCGTGTGACGGGCAGTCAACGGTTCGCTTGCAGCCATTGATCTGTTCATGAGCCGAGAAGAGCCCTCTGAAGCTCATTGGCTCGAACCCTCACCTGCGGCTGGGACGCCGCCTGTGCTGGAAGGTGAGTCCAGCACCTCATCGGGATTAGACCTGGGCGCTCTCTCACGCTCGGGCTCCATTTCCGGCGGGCCGAGCTCCGCGCGCACTTCTCGCAGAAGCTCCAACTCCCGCTCTCAGCATTATGGCCACCAACCGCATTTGCATTCCTATTCTCGCCCGCAGCGGCATTCCCAGTCGAATGTTCTTTTGACAACGCTGCAGGACAAGTTCCCGTATACCCACCACTTGCAGGACTCCAGGCTATCCTCCGCGCTCTCTATCGGGACTGGACATGCGCCGGTGAGTGCCGCCTTCGAAGGTCTTGAGACGAATACAGACCCTACTAAAGCAGCGGAGCCACTTCCTCACACATTGGCGACCGCATCTGCCGCACATTTTCCCATTTCCGACTCCCAGCTACAAACTCAGCACTCCCGTGCCGTCAAACCCCCGCACCCTGAATCGGAAAGTGGACCGACGACGGGAGGTTATGTGCCTCCCATTTCCGGGTTCAGTTTCGCGCCTTGGCCCCCTTTTGTTGCTGCTGACGCTGCGTCGCTGGGCCTAGGTGGCAGTGCTGTCAACATATCAGAGATGGGCCGGCGTGATACCAATTTCTCTGGCACGGGGTATCGGGCGCAGCCAACGGCAAAGCCTCCCCGTACATCCTTGGCCCCAAATGTTCTCTCATCAGTTCCTGAAGGGCCTACGTCAATGCATTCGATCCAGCCTCCTTCCTATCCATTGCATCCATTTGGCTCTTCGACCTCGACCTCCACACTCAATTCTTCTTTCGCACCACCACCACCCCAAAGCTCTTCGGATTCCGGTCCCCGTCCGCGTCACCATTCTACGCCCCAGCCGTCTGCCCGGCGCCACGCACAACCTGATCACCTCCGTGTGTCGAGAAGACAATGTCCGCAGTGCTTCAAAGTGTTCTCCAGTATGACAGCTGTACAAGTCCATGCATTGGTACATTCAGGTGACAAACCCTTCCACTGCCCGCATGCGGGTTGCAACAAAACTTTTAACGTCAAGAGTAACATGATGCGTCACTACAAGCTACACATCAAAGAACCAGCTAATGAAGCAAGCGAATTACCCAAGGAGCAGGACCCACGACGGGAGTCCGCCTGAGCGTGGAAGGCTTGTTTGGCCACCTTTCATCAGGAATGTTCCTATCGTGATCCTGAGGGTGATTCTGAGTCATGTATACCTTTTTTCTTTGAAGTTCTGCCAAGGAGTTCGTGGTAGTGCCTATAGGACACAATCATCTATTTTCAACAAGCCTCTGAACTTTGAACGATGTCATTTGATTTTCTTCGAGCGTTAATTGTGTTCCTGGACTTAGTGGTGTGGTGAAATAGAAGTCGACCATGAATTGTTTGAGCGTATGTTGGCTCGATTCTCCCACTAACTAAAAAAAACTTGCATTTCCATCTTACACCAAAGCCATTTATGACCTGCGTGCATCATTTTTCCGGACTTATTAGGAGAAAAATGGTGACGTACCAGTATTAATCTAATATCTTCCATCCCATGCAATTCAACCTTAACAAGGAGGGTTGAACATCAACTATACCCGAGGATTCCATGCTTCTCTTTAACTAAAAATAATAAGTTGATCCTATAGAAAACTGTCTTAATTCGCGCTAATCGTATTACTGCGGCCGTTAGATTAGCGTATCTACATGGCGGTCAACTGTTGAAATGACGGTTGGCACCGGACCGGCAATTTTGTCTGGAAGGCCGCTCGGCGCTGTCAAAAGCGAGGTCCTAGAGACTGCGGACATTCCAAAATAATGGACGCTGGTCCAGCCTATTGCGTCGAGGTGTGTTATCCTGGAATTCGGAGCTGCCTCTTGCCGAAGTTCCATATGTGCATTGCCTTGAAATGGGGCAGTTTATAAAACACGTAGGCCAAAAGACCTTAATTCTCTCGCGCAGAAGTGCGGCTAAAGGGCTGCTGTATATAGTGTTGGTGATGTTTGTAGAGAATATTTCGAGACTTCTTGGTCGTGGATTTGCTCTCACGTGTATATGATAGGATCGTTAATTGCTCGAACCTTGGTTTTGATGTGAAGAGCTTGGGCCGCAGCTGATCAGGATTGTGCAGGGCACATAAGAAGCATTCCCGTTTAATTGATCTTGTGAGTTGCCTATCGGTTAGCAGTCAACCTAGGTTTTTGCGAGAGACGCTTCCTCCGGTAACTTTAAGGCTCACGCTTAGGTAATGAATGTTGTAGCGTACCTCACCAACAGGTCATCGCCGCCCAAACACAACGACAAAGGCGCTGCTTTGCACAACACAAATGGTTCAACGGGGGATCAAGCCGTTATTGTGATTAGAAGCAATTCAGAGGGGAGTGCCGAACAGTCAAAAACAAATACGGACGTGAAACGCCAACAACCAGTCTCCAAAGTAAAACAGGTGGTACGAATGATATGGATGGCTCTCATCTTTGTGCCATACATGTTGCTAGTAAAGCCCACACTCTTTATCTGGTCTGTGTTGACCTTTCCACTAAGCTTTGTTGAGAGTTCTGGCAAAGAAAAGATCAAGGACGAGGCAGCTCAGGATACCAGCGAGAACGCAAGCACGAACTCCTTGGGCTTTTCGTCCTCAATCTCGCCAATCAACACAATTACAGAGGAGGACGACGACCTAGGTGGCGATGAAATGATCCTACAGCCCGACACCGTGAAGGGTTCCCTAGCGGCCAAGGTATCTGCGGCCGATGATACCACTACGGTGCAGCAGCAGCAGCCACAACATCTCCATCAGGGCTCGAGACAGGAGCAGGACCATGAGCGGATCTTGACCCCGGAGGGCCTGCTGGAAAAGCAGGCTAAGAACCTAGCCAAGCCCGCGAGCGTGCGGTCTGCGACTAGTAGTGCTGGAACCACACTCGGGTCAAGGCGTATGGGAAGGTTTCTGTTCCCGAAAAAACTGATTCCACAGTCGATGCTGAATCGCGCCAAGCGTCGTACGCTCGTCTTGGACCTGGACGAGACCCTGATCCACTCCATGTCGCGAGGAACGTCCTCCAGCAACTCGTCACAGGGACATATGGTGGAGGTCAAGTTTGCGGTAAGCGGCATATCTTCTCTATACTACGTCTACAAGCGGCCCTACTGCGATCTTTTTCTTACCAAGATTGCCAATTGGTATGATCTGGTCATCTTTACGGCGTCTATGAAAGAATACGCAGACCCGGTCATCGACTGGCTTGAGGGGTCGTTTCCGGGCAGATTTTCCAGACGGCTCTACCGCCAAGATTGTACATTGCGAGACGGAATTGGCTACATCAAAGACCTATCGTTGCTTTCGTCCACCCATGCACCTCTCAGTGATATTTTTATTATTGATAACAGCCCCGTCAGCTACGCTATGCATGTGGACAATGCTATCCAAGTCGAGGGCTGGATAAGCGATCCCACTGACACAGACCTGCTGAACCTTTTACCATTTCTGGAGGCCCTGCAGTTCACCACCGACGTTCGCAACGTGCTGGCTCTTAAAAACGGCGAGAGTGCGTTTGCAATGTGAAAACATCACACCTTATTCATCCTATCGCTCCGACATTTTCCTCGATCAGCCATCGGCCAGACATGGTTATCCCTCTACTGATGTCTCGTAACCAAAGGCAGTGGGCCTTGCTCACTATTGTTTTTCCCGTCGCACACGTGCTTGCGTTTTTATACGCTTACCTAACCTGAGACACCTAAGCTGTTTCTATCAGAAACCAGCACCGGCATGAAAAAAATTGTAGACCCTTCGGCACAGCAGAAATCCGTAATGGTGTGAGAGAAGAGCTTGTGTCTTGGGATGCGTCCATGTCGAGTCTGTGGCTGTTTGTCCTGGCGAAAAAAATGTTTCGCATTAGGGACGCACCACTCCCTATTAATGTAAGTGTCGCGTCGAACTGTGGTGAGTCAGTTGTTCTTCACGGCTCTCTTCTCCAAGAGCCACAATTTATCAAAGCCAAGAAGATCAAAAGCACTGTCTAAGCTGATTTGGTATAAAAAGCTCTTGGCCAGGACTATCAATGAGCGGGTTTAGATTGGCTATTTGCGGAGAGTTTTCTCGATAAGATAAGATTTTCTCATTATCTAAATAAGACCGCCATTAGCTGTTCAACATTCTCACTGGAAGCGATAAGCGTGCGAAAGTCCGTGGGAAAGATATACTGGAGATAGCGACGGATCAAGGAGCCTGAAATACACCGACGCCCTGATTTAAATACATATAGGTGGCAGCGTTCCTTGCATTAAGATCCCATCCATACCTAGTGTGCACGAATTTTGAGCTTCAACAGCAGCTAGGATATGTCGAGCCTTCACAATAGGTTCAATGACAATGTGCAAGGTGAGACTCTGGAATTACAAGAAGGTCGCGAGATGGTACGTCAGCTGAGTCCATTAACGAGTGTGAAAGACCCCAAGAACGAGACGGTTTACGTTGTGGATGAGGCCCAGTCCGATATCACCGAGGACGATGAGGAGACGTGGGAAGGGGACGTCGAGAAACTAAGCAACTCGCCGTACCCAGAAGTCCGCGCAACAGTTCCAGTGGAAGACGACCCCACCATTGTGCTCAACCACTGGAGAACCTGGTTCCTCACTACCGTGTTCGTGGTGGTCTTTGCGGGCGTCAACCAGTTTTTCTCTCTGCGGTACCCATCTCTGTCCATCAACTTCCTGGTCGCACAGGTTGTGTGTTATCCCGTTGGTAAGATCTTGGCCCTTTTGCCTCATTGGGATTGTCCCCGCGCACCATTTTTCAACTTGAACCCTGGCCCCTTCACTAAGAAAGAGCATGCAGTGGTTACCATCGCAGTGGCGCTGACCTCTAGTACGGCCTACGCCATGAATATCCTGATCGCTCAAACCAACTTCTACAACATGCAGCTGAACGCGGGATACCAAATCATGCTTGTTTGGACTACTCAAATGCTGGGCTATGGGGCAGCCGGTTTGTCACGTCGCTGGATTATCTCTCCAGCATCTTGCGTCTGGCCCCAAACTCTCATCTCAGTCTCGCTCTTTGATTCTTTGCACAATACCGCGATTGACAAAGCTCTCGTTAATGGCTGGAACATGTCTCGTTACAAGTTTTTCATGATAGTTTTCATCGGAAGTTTTGTGTGGTTTTGGGTTCCAGGCTTTCTGTTCCAAAGTTTATCTTACTTCAATGTGGTTCTTTGGGGTCCAAAGACAAGACACAATTTCGTTGCTAATGCGATCTTCGGTGTCGAAAGCGGTATCGGAGCCCTCCCTATTACCTTTGACTATACCCAAGTTTCTCAAGCCATGGCGGGGTCAGTATTTGCGACCCCATACTGGGTGTCTGCAAACACTTGTGCCTCTGTCGTTATTTTTTTCGTCATCATCTTGCCAGCATTGTATTTCACCAACACTTGGTATGCTAAGTACATGCCATTGATCTCGGGCTCAACGTATGACAACACACAGCAACACTACAACGTTACCAAAATTTTGAACCCTGATTTTTCAATCAACCTCGACAAATACAAGGCCTATTCTCCTTTATATGTGCCTTTCTCTTACTTGCTGAGTTACGCCCTCAATTTTGCTGCTATTGTTGCTGTTTTTGTTCACTGTGGTCTTTACCATGGCAAAGACATGTGGGCGAAGCTGAGAAACAAGAACCACGGTGGACACGATATTCATATGCGAACCTACATGAAAAATTACAAAGAATGTCCAGATTGGTGGTATATTGTTTTACAAGTTATCATGCTGGGCTTAGGTTTTGCAACGGTATGCGGATTCGACTCTGGACTGCCCGCCTGGGCATTCGTCGTTGCTTTGCTAATTTCCTTTGTCAACTTTGTGCCCCAAGGGTTATTAGAAGCTGTCACAAATCAGCATGTCGGATTAAACATTATCACAGAGCTCATTTGCGGTTACATGCTACCGCTCCAACCAAGAGCCAATGTTTTATTCAAGCTGTACGGATTCATTGTTCAGAGACACGGATTGGATATGAGCAGAGATCTCAAATTGGCTCTTTACATGAAAATCTCCCCGCGACTAATTTTTGCTATTCAAGTCTACGCTTCTCTGATTTCAGGTCTAGTAAATGTTGGTATTCAAGAATGGATGCGATCCAACATCACAGACATCTGTTCGTCGGATCAATCCAGTGGCTTCACATGCAATGATGGTCGGACCATTTTCAACGCTTCAATCATCTGGTCCATGCCAAAATACTTGTTTTCACCTGGTCGCATTTATAACCCATTGCTATGGTTCTTTTTGATCGGTCTGATTCTGCCGCTTCTTGTTTTTGGATTGCAAAAGATGTACAAGAAAAACCAATTTCTGAAATATATTCACACTCCAGTGTTTTTTACGGGGCCTGGCAACATCCCTCCCAGCACACCCTACAACTACACCCTTTTCTGGGCTATGTCCTTTGCTTTGAATAGTATTAGAAAGAGGTGGCCCAGGTGGTTCAGCAAGTACAACTTCGTGATGGGTGCTGGCGTGGAAACAGGAGTGGCCGTGGCCGTAGTCATCATCTTTCTTTGCGTTCAATACCCTGGTGGTAAGCTAGATTGGTGGGGGAACAGTGTGCACAAGAATACTTATGATCATAACTACAAAAAGTTCTACACCCTACAAGAAGGTGAAACTTTTGGCTACGATAAGTGGTGGTGAGAATTAAAGGCAGAGTAGATCTCATGGCTACAATTTCACGAGCTTCAAAATTCAATGGTATAATTAGTAACTATAATCAACATAAATAAGCTCGTATCGGTCTGACATAATTATTATTGCGTGGCTGCGATTGTGGTATGGAGCTGTCGTAGCTAGCATAACAAAGCAATCTTTATTCATGCTTTTAAATCGTGACGATGCATTCGTTTATTGATATGAATGTAAACTGAAATATGGTCCTAGTACTCTATAAATTAATTAAACCTTAATACTGGTGAGTGAAAACATTGGGATCATGCTGCACTTTCAGCATTGGTCTGTATTCAGGCTTCCACATTTGCTTGGTGACCCACTTCAAGCATAAATCAAAGTCTCTAGGCACTTTGACTTTTTCATTTGTACCTGGGACATCTTCCGTTTCAATGCGAGCGCTACCCTCTTTCAGAGCTTGTAAAATGACTGCGGTTGCCACTTTTGCCGAGGTGTCATTGATGACTTCTAAAGGAGGTAACAACCCTGGTTTAGAGTCTGTCTCCGTCATTGGGGATAAAGACGCTAGCTGATCAACTGCCGCGGAGATCATAGTGTCAGTAATAGAGGTGGCGCGTGAGAGAACCGCACCCAAACCGATACCTGGGAAAGAAAAACAATTATTATTTTCTGAGATTCGATAGCCATTCACGGGGGGGAAAGGAGAGCCCGTGGCAACCAAGGCCTCAAAGTTTGTCCATTTCATCAAATCCTCAGGCACGGCTTCGTGTAACCTTGTAGGATTTGACAATGGGAAAATAATAGGTCTAGGGTTGTGTTTGTGCATCTCTTGAACAATCGCTTTATTGAAGGCACCAGCTTGGGTAGAGCATCCAATCAAACAGGTAGGCTTTACTTGACTGACAACCTCTAGCAATGAGGAGGTGTTGACACTAGACCAGTCTTCATCGGGCTTCGCATAGACGTACTGAGCTGGGGATGAGGAATCTTCCATCGATTCCATGATCAAACCACGCCTGTCCATCAAATATATCTTGGACCGTGCTTCTTCTTCGGATAATCCAGATGTAACCATGTGACTTTTGATCTGATCAGCGATACCTAACCCAGCGGAACCCGCACCATAGACAAGGATCTTGGCTTCGCCTAAGTCTCTCTTAGTGTGCTTCAAAGCAGCCAAAAAGGATGCCATAACAACAGCACCTGTCCCCTGGATGTCATCGTTAAAACATGGGACCTCGTTCCTGTAGCGGTCTAACAAGGGCCTTGCGGTTGTGACTCCAAAGTCTTCAAAGTGTAGCACGGCAGATGGGAACTTCTTCTTGACGGCTTTGATGAACTTGTCGACAAATTCATCATACTGTTTACCGCGAACTCTAGCAAAACGATTACCCATGTAAAGTTCGTCACGAGCCAGCTTCTTATTGTTGGTACCAACATCAAGACAAACCGGAAGAACGCGACCAGGGTGAATACCAGCGCACAAGGTCATTAGAGCTAGTTTGGAGATTGCAATTCTGATTCCTCCAATGCCCTGATCACCAATACCCAAGATTCCTTCAGAGTCACTAACGACTATGTAGTCAACGTCCTTACTGGTACCGTATGCCTCCAATCTACGCTCAATAGAATCAGGTTCCGTGATATCGAGAAAAACACCTTCGGGTCTTCTGAAACGATGAGAATAGGCTGCGATGGCATCACCTTCCGTAGGAGTGTAAATAATTGGCACGAGTTCACGAATGTGACGCCTCACAAGCTCGAAATACAGCACTTTGTTTTGCGTTCTCATGGACGTCATGAAATCGTTTTTCGCTAGAGGAGTCTTGAGGTAACAAAGTTGTTTGTACGCTCTTTCCACTTGCTCATCCAGGGTGTTGACCATGGGGGGCAGCAAGGCTTCTAGACCGAAAGCCTGTCTCTCTTCTAACGTGAATGCAGAACCCTTGTTGAAAAGCGGTGAGTTTAAAAGCTGGAACCCTTCTAGAGGGCATTCAATGGGCCCCTCAACGAAAAGACGAGTCTGTCTCGGCACTGGATCATCCAGCATGGCTTTCGCCTGGGAGCCCACGGGTCTGACCTTTTTGTGAGGGTCATCACTCCCCACACCCTGTGAAAACGTAGTATCACGAGTAGTAGATACCAAGTTCCGGGGCGACTGTGCAGTGTAAAAACGGGCGGATTTGCCCAGTTGTAGCGACTTCTTTAGCAAATCTGAACGAACAACCATAGTGTCGATTTGTTGATCTTCGAGTCCTTGTTATTTAGTGCTATCTTGTTAATCAAAAACCGTTAACAAGGAATTGAAGCAACCTGTGTGATTTTTGAGAAAAAGTGGAAGAGCCAGGTTATAATGAACGGCGGAATGGAATGCAATGACTTTTTTGTTCTCCAATCAATTAGTGTTTAAACATCTAACAGGATGATATCCTAGCAACTATGTTCCAATTGTTGGCCGATCTAGTCTGTTAAGCGTTAGCAGAACACTGTGTCAGTTGGCGAAGTTGGCGGTCAACTTATAATACTCTGGCCCACATATCGTGCTCCGGTTTTCTCCGAGCCTGAATCGAAATCGGAAAAATCTCTATCCAAGAAGTGCCTGCAGGGGCTTTCGGATAAACCTCGTGCATATTATATATGCGAGAGTTTTTCCGAGCCCGCTAAAAACAAAAAAGGTGGAAAAAAAGAAACTGCAGCAATTACAACCTCGAGTGTTGAACTACTCGCTACCCACCTTTTGCGCGTGCAGTGGGGAACCAGCAATTATCCTTGACTCTGAGTCAAATCGCAGTAGCAGTGCAGTAAGTAAGTTAACACAATGAAGGATATGCATCGTTAGGCTCTAGTTTTAGCGTTGAGTTTTCATGGTAGCTACACCACCTAACGATAGGCTTAAACGAGTAGACCAGCTTGAGGGAAAGTGTGTCACTTATGGTGGCAGGTGTTCGTAGCATTTGACAGCAGCTGGAGGGAACTAGATTCAGTAGAGTCGCTACCTTCTGTCGACTAGTATTGTCCGTGTAAGCTTTACACCCCTTCTTGAAAGCTTTGATTGTCTTAGAGAGTTGCTAGTGCACAAAATCGGACTGCTTTAGTTTCGTGTATAGTCCGTATATTGTGATGGCGGTTAATTATACTTTTGATATTTATTATACACAAGTTAACTTTACACATAGACTGGTTGAGTTTACGTTGATTAGGCCCAAGGATGATTGAGGATAAACAACACTGTTTCAATGCTCTCGATTGACGCCATTCTCCATGGACAGATACAGAGGGCCACGAGACTTGAGCGTTCTGAGTGTGCAATGAGTTAGTTCATTTAAATTTAGCCGCTCACTCCCCGTGCTGAGTTCCCGAGAGAAGTTTAGAGGGTTGGAAAAGACTCGTGTCAAGGAGGGGCTAGGCGATCTAGAGTGCTCTGTCGCCAACGGTACAAGAGTGATATTTACCAACGCCAAACCCAATGTATTGGAAAGTGGGGGAGGGTGGGGCTGTGTTGAAAAAATCGTGAAACACAAGCTGAAAAGAGTTGCATACAAAAATCAAAGCTAAAGTAGATTCCTATGAGGAATTCGGGATCGACTTACATCAGACACATGTTTGGATTTCTCCGACTTTATCCTTTATTATCCACTCGATAATTTAGTCACTTTTCTCGTCGCCTGTGTTTATTTTTGTTTTTCCTGTCCCTAACTGGACCCCTTGCCCAATGTTTTTATGAACGAAACAGATGAGCACTTATAGATCACATTCACTTTAGGACATCATTTTGCTCGAACAGAACAGCACGATTTCGAGTTTACACGAACCCCTCGGAGGTCTGGAGTTTCTGCACTTTACTCCACAGTGATGACTGCTTTACTTTGGATCAAACAGCCGAGTTTGCAGGCGAACGATGAACAACACGACCATCAACATCATTACAGACCTGTGACAGGCGTCACAGGTACCTTCGCCATGATGGGCGATCCGTCCAAAGGACAAGCTGAGCCTGGGTGTGGGGAAGCTGAGGCCGAAATACAGACCACCAAGAAAGGAATCATTTTGAATCCCCAGCCGTCCAAGAACAAAAGAGACCCTCTAAACTGGCCCATTTGGCGCCGAGATATTGCATTGATTGTTGTGGGGTGGCACTGTTTTGTGGGCGGTGGTCAGACTTCCATTCTGGCTGCGGGTATGTCTGGGCTTGCTCATGAATTTGGGCGCCCTCTGGGTCAAATTTCATATCTGGTGGGTGGTATGATGCTAGCGCTAGCCGCGGGTTCGGTATTAGCATCTCCAACCGCTGTACTTTTTGGTAAAAGAGTCGTTTACCTTGTAGGGATTATCGTTTTTTTCGCTGGTAGCATAGGCTGTGCGTTGTCCACAAAATATGAGAGTCTCCTGGCCTCGAGAGTGGTATGTGGGCTCGGCGTTGCCACCATCGAGTCTCTACCTTCTGCAACTGTGGCAGAAATTTATTTTGCGCATGAACGGGCTTACAGGTTAGGCTTCTACACTTTACTGCTGCTCGGAGGGAAAAACTTGGTTCCATTGCTCGCGGCCTTGGTTTTTCAATATCTTAACAGGCATTGGTTGTTTTGGATCGTCGCCATAATCGTCGGGATGAATTTTTTTTTGCATCTTCTCTTTGTTCCTGAAACTTTTTGGGATAGAGCACCAGTTCCCAGCAAAAGGTCACTTGAGGAAACTGAGGTCGCACGAGCTACTGAATTGGCCAGTATCACTCAAATCACTTCGGATAATAATAACCGTGAAATAGACGGGCTATTCAATACCCATGATGACGATACTAGCCTACATCACGCTGCCTCTCCGGTACCGCTGCAGGCGGATATGACCTCTGGTACGCATAAATCTCGGTCACGTCGAAGTTCTCTATTCAAGGTTCCTTCAGCGGTCAACTCTCTTGCGCACTCCCACTTAACAGCTGGACTGGGGATTTTTCATGGCCGACACAGCAACGACAAATGGTATATGGTTATGGTGCGTCCTTTCATCCTTTTTGCATATCCCGCAGTATTATTTGGGTCATTCCTCTATTCCTTAGCAATTGTTTGGTTGATCATGTTATCACAGATAGTTGATGAAGTATTTTCTCTTCCTCCTTACAGCTTTTCGTCGACATCCGTAGGTCTAGTATACGTCGCGCCTTTTATAGGGGGGATTTTGGGCTCAATGTGTGCTGGGAGTTTAAGTGATGTCCTCATCAGGATCATGGCCAGACGAAACTTTGGGATCTACGAACCTGAATTCCGTCTTCTAATGGTATTTCCAGCATGTTTAGCTACAGCTCTGGGCTTAATAGGGTTTGGGTGGTCCGCTCACAACAGGGATCCATGGATTGCCCCTACAGTGTTTCTCGGGGTGGTTGGTTTCGGTTCTTCGTTAGCCAGTACTACGGCAATTACATATACTGTTGACTCTTACAAACATTATGCCCAAGAAGCTCTGGTTACCTTGAATGTGCTCAAAAATGTTATGGGGTTTGCCTTTTCCTTTTTCAACGCCGATTTTAACGCTAAAAATGGGTATAAAACAGCGTTCGTTGTCTATGGCTGCGTCGAGATTTTCGTTGGCCTTTTCGCCATTCCACTTTACCATTATGGAAAGAAGTGTCGCCACTGGACAGATACTCGCGGCCTACTGAGTTTCTCGTATGTTGGTAAAGACAATTTAGATTCGTCAAGTAATCAAGAATCCGCTTACGAAAAGCATGAAATGGTGGCAGAGTCTATTTGAGAGCTTTTCCCCGATATATCAATATTGCAATTTATGCGCTGCAGATCGTCCACACCTTGTACAATTCGCTCCAAAATAGCATTGAAAACCATATTGGGATGTTCTTTCAGCAAAATTAGTGAACTACCGACCAATGCCATTTGATATGCGCTGTTTAGGACTAAGATCAAGAAGTTTTTCCAAGAGCAGTATGGTTGAATCCCGATGAAATGTGGCCTCTGAGAACTGGTAAGGTCTCTGTCAGAGCCTGTCAGCCATAGGAGGGTGTTCTTCAAAAGGATTCCATCGGACATATTACGTTTATAATGATCTGATCTGGCTTTTGAGTATATAATTTGATGCAGGTTTAATAGGTATGACATGAATAGCATGTAGGTGCCAGCAGTTTGGTACTCAATAACCACCGAGTCGATAGAGTGTGAAAATATGGATCGCCCCATTGATGACATTGTCAAGAACCTGCTGAAATTTGTTATCAGAGGTTTTTATACAGGAGCTTTCGTCTTGGTAATTGATGGCATTTTATTTCATTCTGTACTTTCGGAAGAGGACTTAGCACATCTGCTGGGCATTAAGAGACCAGAATTACGAGGATTATTGACAACACTTCTCGAAGATAGGATGATTGCGGTACACTCGCAACAGGAGTTCCATTTCAACACCCGGAGCATCAAAAGGTATTATTATTATATCAAGTATCCTCAGGCCATCGATGCCATTAAGTGGAAGGTTCACCAGATTGTCTCCCTGCTCAAAGATGACCTTGATAAAAACTCTGCACCCCAAGGCTACATGTGTCCCGTTTGTCAAAGCAAATATACGCAATTGGAAGCTGTGTCATTGTTAAATTACGAGAAAACTCAATTTCTCTGTAGCCTTTGTGAAGAGCCATTAGTCGAGGACGACTCAGGGAAGAAGTCTAAAGAAAAGCAGGTTAAACTGAATCGGTTGATGGACCAAGTACAGCCTATCATTGACTATCTAAAAAAAATCGATGATTCCAGAATTGAGGAAAATACATTTGAGACAGCCTTGGCTAGACTGATCCCACCTCAGAATAACTCTGTTGCGTCCTACACTCTAAATCCAAGATCCAAGAAAAGTAAAATGTTCACACCTGGTGATAATACTAATGCTGCCTTGGATAATGCAAGCAGTAGACGCGCGGGTGCTAAATCACAGGCTACTTTGCATGTAAATATCACGACAGCCAGCGATGAACGAGCCAAGAGTGAACGCCAAGAAAGAGAAATGGAAGAAAAAAGAAAGCAAAATGCCTTACCAGCCTGGCATGAACAAAGTACGGTGGGTAAGGTGGCCTTGGGTAGACTCGATAAAGACGAGGAAATCATACCTTCCGTACCACAGCCAAATGGCGATGAAGCTGGAAATGCTGATGACATCGGTGAAGCTGATGATAAGCCTGTTGATTTTGACTTCGTGGAAGCTGCTGCTCCTTTAACTCAGCAAGAAGTTGAGGAAAGAGAGGCAGAAAAAACGTTGGCAGACTATTACGCTCAACTGGCCAAGAAGCAAGCTCTTGAGGACGAAGATGACGGAGAGGATGAAGAGGGTGATGAGGCCATGGACTATGACGTAGAGTTTGAGGACGTCGTTAGTGAAAATGAAAATGACGCTAATGCCAACGCCAGTAGTCCTATTAAAGGAGAATCCCTCGAAAAAAATGACTCCAGTGGTCCTCAAGGAGTTAATTTGGAATCAGATGAAATGCACAAAGCGAAGGGCTCGAATCAAGGGGAAGATATTGAAGATGAGGATATGGATGCTGAGTTTGAAGATGTTTGAGCGCGAGAACACTTTCGTTACTAATGATATATCAAATTTTTTGGAATTAACACATGCTGGTAGCTCATCGCTGACTAGATCATATTCGCTTTCTGGCCTAGTGAAATTCGAAGGATTGCACCTCATATTTGTTCTCATGTCTTCCAGTCAGCAATGGAGAACTATATTAGCTACGGCTGTTTTTACAGCCGCAGCTACTAAAGTCATTGACAATGCATATCAATATTACAAGGCAAAGAATGATGGTACGCCGTCTAAAGGGAAGTCTAGCGCCCGGAAAATGGAAATTAGTGATTCCGATTTTGATGAAGGACTGATTCGGGAACAGCTTGCCCGAAACTATGCCTTTTTGGGTGAAGAGGCCATGGAAAAGTTGAAGTGCCAATCTATTGTAGTGGTGGGTGCCGGTGGTGTAGGATCGTGGGTAGTCACCATGCTTGTCAGATCCGGGATTTATAAAATTAAGGTGATTGATTTTGATCAGGTCTCATTGAGTTCTCTGAACAGACATAGCTGCGCTACCTTGAATGATGTAGGGACTTCAAAGGTTGGGTGTCTGAAAAATCACTTAATGAAGATTGCACCTTGGTGTCAGGTAGATACGGTGAACGAATTGTGGAACAAAGAAAATGCGAACCGACTGATTTTTGGTGAAGATGGCAGGGAAAAACCAACTTTTGTTATTGACTGCATTGATAACATTGACACGAAGGTGGACTTATTAGAATTTGTCTACCGCAATGAAATACCAGTAATATCATCAATGGGAGCTGCAACTAAAAGTGATCCCACACGCATTAACGTCGGGGATTTGACCACAACTGAGGAGGACCCACTTGCACGCTCCGTTAGGAGGCGTTTGAAGTTAAGAGGTATCAATAAAGGGATTCCTGTTGTGTTCAGTGCAGAAAAGCCAGATCCCAGAAAGGCTTCTCTCCTCCCGCTTCCGGAGCAAGAATTTCAGAAAGGGAAAGTAGATGAACTAAGTGCATTAAGGGATTTTCGAGTCCGTATTTTACCAGTGTTAGGTACTATGCCCGGTGCATTTGGGTTAGCAATTGCCACTTGGGTCCTCACAAAAATCTCCGGTTATCCAATGGAACCCATAGAAGGCAAGAACAGAATCAAAGTGTACGATGGCATATACCAATCATTAGCAGGACAAATGTCTCGCATTGGCATGCCTGATCAACGCGTTCCCGTAGCTCTTAAGGATATTGGCTATCTATGCGAAGAGGTTTTCCGAGGGAAGTCACCTATCAGCGGCTTTTCCACAAGGCTCACACTCTCTAAATGGGATCCTTCGCTACCTGTCTCTTTACAAAATGTCATTTTAATGACCAAAGAGGAACAGAAAGAACATGAAGAGCGCGTACTTAATGGAGGGGAGAAAATCACTGATGTTTATGCACAAGAGGTGCTAGACTTAGTAGCAAAGAGGCTCGAAGAAGAGAAATATTACTCCAAGTATAGATAATAGTGAATCTTAATGTTAATTGAAAAGGAGGGCCACAAAGGTCCTAAGAACTAGATCATTTCAGTGCATTCAAATACCTAAGTACCATTTCATTCGTTCGTAGACGAAAAAACTGCATGCAACCATGGGCGTAACCTTGATATATCCTATGCTTAATCCCACAAAAAACCCTCTCCAGCCACGCTCCATATAAATAATTTTTATCATGTCAGGTATAGATTGGAAATCGTGAATAGCAGTAGGAGAAACGACACTTACTTGAAGTCTGCGTCTAATTATTTCAAATGGATAAGAAGCAGTTTGAGAAGCCATCCCCGCCAACCCTCCCGCGGTTAGTTCTGCCCAAGTCCTAAGCGGTCTATTGCTTGCTTGCTTCGAGCGCAAGTTTAGCTCCTCGTCAGGAACTTGTAAGACAGAGTACGCCTCGAGCAACGGGCCTCTGAAAATATCCCCACATAAGTCATGGGCAAAAAATGACACACCCGCGTATGGAATCATACCCAAGATAGTAGGGGTGAAGCCTCTATAAAAATTGCACCAGTGTGCAAACCAATGTGGCACAAAATGCTTTGATGTGAGCGACTCCGAAGCCCGCTCGGAATAAATATGTTTTATGACAGGCCACATTTTGATGCGCCTATGATCTGTCAAATATGCCAGTCTGACTCTTATCAGATCTAATGGGTATGTGAAAAAAACGCTGCACAGTCCGGCGAGCGACCCGCTTAATAGGCGGCGTGTGTGTGTTTCGTAATCTTTGGACGGTATCATGAAATGTCGTATCTGTTCATAAGCGATGAATTTTATGGCTGCATAAGGAAATATTCTGATAAGCGTGGCCGAATGACCTTGGTAGAAACCTCGGATACCGTCATGGGTTTTGATATGGACGCCTGCCTGGACAAGTCCAAGCATCGAGCCGGAGTATTTCAAGTAGTGGGGGTTCGAGGTCTGAAAAAGGATCTTGATCCTGTCCAAAGGTGCGATCAAAGTCTTGGCACAGGATCCCGCTACACCACCTGCTAGCCCTGATCTCATGATGTAATGCGCTGACCGTTTGTCAATTTTATCACGTTTCGACGGTGAACGACCTTCGTCGTCATTATCGTCATGTTTCATCAATCCTCGATAATGAGATAAATCACTTGAGTATAGCACGAGCGGACTGTTGGATCTACTTTGCCACTTCTTGTTCAATGCTTATTTTACACAGTTTGGGTTCATCACTGAGCTTATAATTTTTCACCGAAATTATAGTGTTTGAAATCATAGGCGAAAGCTGCAATAGTAATTCATACTAAGCGAAAACACAGATACCATGATTGGAAACAGTTCTTTTAGCAATTTCATTCGAGTGCACAAAAGGTCGACGTAACTGCGCTGAGCTTCAAAAGACCGGTGTGTTTTCCACACCCCTGCCGGCCTGTTTTCCAACGACCATCATGCAAAAAATCATTCAAGAAGAAGAAGGTCATCTGATCGAGAGTCTGCCATGGCGGAGGCCATGCGAGCAACCCTATTCCCTGATGTTCTGATAAGGAATTCTCAGCCTCAAGATTTGAATCATCAATGTGTATACCGATGTTGTGCACGTGATTAAATAAAATTCACACAGACACGCACACACACTCGACCTCGGCGGTTACATACTATTTGTGATCACGAAAGCAGTTTCTGCGCATAGCTAGAGAGCTGGGTAAAGCTAACCACCAGCTCGCTCATCTTCTTCAACTAATCCTGTGACAATGAGTTTTGGAAACCAAACGAGATACTGCCTTGCGACTCACTTATTCGTCCTATCCGATCGGAGGAAAGATCAAATTGGCCAAGACTGTGATATTTATAGCCTTGAAGCTCCAAAGGGAGTTGCGCTTGGTAATGTTGCTGGAGAGTCAGCCACACAACAACCACAAACAATTAACCACAATCCCCCGAACTCGTCAATGCCCACCGGAAAGGCGATCCTATGTGCTTTGTTTGTTGGTATTAACGTAGAGTCTTAAACTCTGGCTTATAAAGCATAGACTTCATAGTGAAGGTTTCTATAACGATCTAGCGAACATTAGGGTATTGTATTTGTGTCCCTTGATTGATTGAAGTTTATGGCATGCTTTTTCATGGTAGAGAAGAATTCCTTTGGAAAAAAGTGGACTAAATGAAAGGCTCACAATATAAAAAGGTGCGCATTTTGAACATTAGGACACTGAGTAGACACTCAGCGTGTCATTAGTGGACCATCTTACATTTTGGTCAGGAATCAGCTGTGCCAGAAATGTCCCAAAAAAGGCAGGTCGATCCTTTGCATTCGTTATTGGCAGGTTCCATTGCTGGCGCTGTAGAGGCTTCTATCACCTATCCATTTGAGTTTGCAAAAACCAGACTACAATTGGTTGACAAATCTTCTACGGCATCTAGAAACCCACTCAGGCTTATATACAACACCGCCAGAATTCAAGGAGTAGGTGCACTTTACGTGGGATGCCCGGCTTTTATTGTGGGAAACACGGCAAAAGCAGGCATCAGATTCTTAGGTTTTGACGCCATCAAAAATGTGTTAAGAGACCCTGTCTCAGGAGAACTGAGTGGTCCAAGGGGGATTATAGCTGGTCTTGGAGCTGGTCTGTTAGAGAGTGTTGTGGCAGTAACGCCCTTTGAGGCAATCAAGACGGCTCTAATCGATGATAAACAGAGCTCCAACCCCAAGTACCACAACAACGGTCGTGGAATAGTCCGCAATTACGGCAAGCTAATATTGGACCAAGGGTTCACGGGCCTCTACCGTGGTGTCTTACCAGTGTCCATGAGACAAGCAGCCAACCAAGCGGTCAGGCTGGGATGCTATAATAAGATCAAGACCATCATTCAGGATTACACGAACACCCCCAAAGACAAACCTCTATCATCGGGACTTACCTTCGTTGTGGGTGCTTTCAGCGGTATAGTCACTGTGTACACTACCATGCCAATCGATACCGTTAAGACCCGGATGCAGAGTTTGAACTCCTCCAATTATTCTTCGACTTTGAATTGCTTCACGACCGTCTTCAAAGAAGAGGGATTAAAGACTTTCTGGAAAGGTGCTACGCCAAGATTAGGTAGACTCATTTTGAGCGGCGGAATTGTCTTCACGATCTATGAAAAAGTTCTGGTGGTTCTGGGTGCCTAGTGCCAAATAAGTTTCTTCCAATTTCATTCAATACCATTTTATAGACCATTTACCTAATAATTAGCATGCATTTATCAACCCTGCTCTTGTGCTAGATAACGTTTTTCTTTCCTTTTGACGACCACATAATCAAAGACGCTCTTCGCCATTATCAAAATCCCACTGCCAAATAACACGATGGCCAATAATGGTACGCTCTCCCGTTTTTCGTCAACACCGTGACTTAAGGTGGACTCGAACCCATCCCGTACAGCGCTGCCTGTATAAAGATGTGTATCATCAAATTCGTCGGGGTCCAAGGGTTTTAGTCTATCAATGCTTTTTGTCTTACCGACTTTAGATGTGATATCGTTGGGAATCATAGAGTATCCGTAACTTAGAAACGTCATACCTAAACCAAAACGAGAGCCTTGCTTAGCTGCATGTGACGTGTGGAGGATATAAGTGAGAAGGAATCCCACGAATTGAAAGCTGACGCTGACGATTATATTCCACAGTAAGTTCACAATATTGCCTACTGGTAGCCCCTCGAAACATATTTCATTATAATACATTCCAAGGTTCTCTTCATCCATGCCAAAATATGAAGGGGCCATATCCAGAGCCGCTTCGTCGTAGTTGGGTGGTTTGTCTTGCGCCTGTAGCTCTGTCCCGTCGCTTTGTTCCGGCTTCGCCGTCAGATTACTGAACACTCCGTCAGCATTAGCACCGTATTGTAGAGATTGAGTCCTATTTTCCGATTTGAATAGTCTGTCCAATATGTTGAACTTGATCCCGACAACCTGAAGCCGGCTGAACAGGCTCTCCTTGAGGCTCGTGCCACTGCTTCTCAACGTCTGGTCCGAGTCTTGACTTAGAGATGCTTCACTGGATACAACATCCGAAGATCTCCCTACAGCCGCTGAAACCGAACCCTCACTAGACATTTCCATGTATTATTACTTGACCTATACGGCTTAACTCGAACTGTAAAGATTCCAGTTTCATCGATATATGTAACTATAAATATAAGCCTTCAAACTTCATTTCACTTCTTATTAAGATCAGCATTACATACGGAAAGTGGAAGAACAGCGCCACTCTAAAAGGGCGGGCAACTACATAATCTGCTTAACGGAATCAATTCCCATGCCCAGTTATATATTATTGAACCCATTTTCCAAGTGATGCATCCTTAAATTTGGGCTCCGTTCCATATTGAGGCGAATCTGATTCATCAGTAGAAAGCTTACTAAATTTGTCTTGTAAGTCGGACATAGTCATTGTAAGATGAGTAACTTGGATCTAGGGAATTCTATTTATCTCTCCGTGATTATTTTAGGCATTAGAGTTGGTTCAGTTACCTGAACAAAAGCCTGGTATTTATACAATTCTCACTCGGTGACTCTGGTCAACATATTTATTAATCACCAGTTCTAGATCATTCTATTACCCAAGGATTACGGCTTCAATGCCGTACACTACCGATAACTTATCAATGGCCAATCCCATTGGACAATAGTCGTTCTCTTCGGTTTGTCTTAGCTTGTAGCTCTATTTGTATGGCCTCGGTTGTGTACTATCATTCCGTACCACTGTGTCACATATTTACTGACGCTGATTATGCGATTAGACGCACATCACCATCAGTTTATTCACATCATTCCCGACCCGAAATTAAACGAATCGTCCTCAATACCTTATATCACACACTTGATTCAACATTGCTGATTCTGCCACGGTTGTTTTTAACAGGAAGTCTAATTTCCACCAGAAGGCTCTGTCCTGGCTCGTGGTCTATGATGCGACAGTAGGCTTGGGATGGAACGATCTCCGTCAATGTCGGGACATGCTGCAAAGGCTTATATTCAGTGGCAGTTTCCAAAGTATATGAGCCTGTAGAATGGTCTAAATCAATACCTCCCGGGAGAACTGAAGACGGAAATGGAATACGGAAAGTTTTGGGAGTGTCGGAAAGATCTGGCAAGGCGCTGTCAATCTGGGAAGCTGTGGCATTCGGTCCAACCCCGCGTCTTCCTAGCCTACCCTGCCGTCTTTTGCGTCGCGTGTCCCTATCTTTGTCTCTATCCAACCGTTCGAGCTCAGAATGTGAAACTTTCAAGAGGCTTGGTGTGTACACTTTAGATTCTGTCGAGCTTCTAAACACCTCATCGATTGTTATTAGAGGAAGTAGTCTGCTCCGGATATCCTCATCCTCTACAGCTGTGCCATCGAACTGATAACCAGTGAGGGCAAGGGATTTGTGGTAAGTGTGCACTTGCTCGCGGATTGAATGAGCGATCGCTGTAGTAAATTCGCCCGGGAGCTCAAGGTCCTTGCTTAGTGCTTCTGCAAATTCCTCTGGGTTATTATCAGGATTGGAAATGTCCCATTCAAAAGCATCTATCAATTGATTTTGACCGACCACGACGTCCAGCTGTATACGAATACGAAGGTCGTCACCTCCTTCTTGATCGCGCTCATTCTCAATGAAGGGGTCAGGTTGGAATTCATTTATTTGTTCCTTTATGCTTTGCACAACACTTTCGAGAAATTGATCGTTATGGACAATTCGGTAATCTCGCAGCATTTCCATAACCATATCCTCAATCTTGAGTATGCTTTCATTCTTGTTCCACACAAAGACGTCTCGCAACGAAAAGTTATCGCGCTCAGCATCAAACTCTAATCGTACTGGAACCAACTGCTCTTCAGTTTCTGTCATGGCCTGTTGATAAATTTCTTTTAGGTTGTGGAAGCTTCTTTTTCGTCCATCCGGCCCCACTAAACCAGTCGATACATTCGTAACTGTATTGCTAAAACCATTACCATACCCAGCATAGCCGTCGCCCCATATGCTTTTGGATGTTACCCCTTGTGTGGTGTTAGTAATTGATTTCATTCTGGCAGCTTTTAGCTCTTTAATATAGTTGAGATCCTGCAACAGTCTCATGAGGTACTCTTTGTGACTGAAGCCATATTTACTGAACGGCTCATAACCATTGCGCTCCTTGAATAATTGTTCGGAATTTTCTCGGTCTCTCTTCAAAACCTGTTCGTAGAGCAGGAGATTTGCATCAGGCTCCTGGATGTCCGCCTTCCCTGCCTTAACAAGGTCGGACCAATAGGTAAGTGGACTCAGAGCTCTCTCTGGGGGATCTTGGTAAATCGTCTGATATTTTGGAAGTGGGGTCTGCGAATGTACAGCTGAGGGTGTAGCAATGCGAGAATTAGTGAAGTCTGCCACATTTTGAGGTGAATTCTTAGCAGCAGATTGCGCTTCAATGGGTTGAACCGTCTCCCTCGAAGAAAGTTGCTGTTGGGCTGCAGTTATGGCTGCAATAGCTGCAGAATTGTTTTTGGTCACTGCTTGTTGTTTCAGGTTGGCGAGAACTCGTTGCTGAACTTGTGGCGGTAGCTGGGCAATCTGAGGGGGAAGATTGAGGGTCTGTGCTTGGGAGCTTGGAGGCCCTGCCTGGTTAACTATCTGCTGAGGGTTCATTTGCTGTTGTTTAGCTTTTAAAAGTTGGGCTCTTTGCGCAAGATTCAGCTGCTGGGCGGGAACACTATTGGGGGCCATGTTGGACGAATATGGCTGTGCTGAAGTGCTTTGGGCATTGCGATAATGTTGTTGTTGTTGTTGTTGTTGTTGTTGTTGTTGTTGTTGTTGTTGTTGTTGTTGTTGTTGTTGTTGTAGCTGCTGCTGCTGCTGTTGATGTTGTTGTTGTTGTTGCTGCTGCTGCTGCTGCTGCTGCTGCTGCTGTTGTTGTTGTTGTTGTTGTTGCTGCTGCTGCTGCTGCTGCTGCTGCTGGTGTAATTCGTGCAGTTGCTGCCTGCGTTGATTCTCCTGAGAGCCTTTACTCGCCCAATCCCGTTGTTGCTGCTGCTGCTGTCGTTGCTGCTGTTGCATCATTGCCGCTTGCCGTTCCATTAGCAGCTGCTGATGTTTTTGCTGAATCATTTGTAGCTGCACAGGCGTAAGATTCTGTAAGATGTGCTGTGGAACCTGCGAAAGGTTGAAGCTTGACGTGCCGATATTGGCAAATGGATTGGCTTGCAAGTTGTTCATACTGGCGTTCCTTATGCTTGATGAAGGCTAATTCGTTTAGAATAGTTTATAGTCCTGCATTTGGCTAAGCGGGCCTGATACTTCCTGTCGCGGTTTTACCATGTCTTGAACATCAATCGTGTTCCCAGGATCATTGGCAACGAACTAAATAAATTATGATATGAATGTTCACCTACAATGATTAAAAACTACCTTCAAAACCACAACGGATGCCAATCCGACGAAAGGAAGGGCTCAGATCACGGTTGTTGCAGTAATTTTGGTAGCCCCATTCGGGACTGCTTCTTTCTCTAGTGGCGACAATCCAATCACGCGCTGCGTCGTGAAGTCATCACACGGAAACATTCGAGAGACTATAGGGAATAAAAAACCAAGGATAATAGACAGAATCTGGGCAAGAAGCTAGAGGGTTGTTCTAAGTTCTTTTAATCACATTGTCCATTGACAGGTTGAACAAGCATCTTAGCAAGATACTGGCTGATGACGTCAACCAAATCACATAATTCTAAGTGCTGTAGAAAAACACTGTGGTAAACGAATTACCATCTTATAGTTCGCGCGAATCTACTCGTGCTCCAGATACTCTAATCGAGTCTCTCTTTACGCCCTAACGTTTTAAGGATGGATATTGCAGTATCTTCGGTGCTCCTTTTATCTCATGACATAGTACATTCAATCTTGTTAATTCGTGTCCAAAGCGCAAGTGGTTTAGTGGTAAAATCCAACGTTGCCATCGTTGGGCCCCCGGTTCGATTCCGGGCTTGCGCAATTTTTTAAAACTTTGGTAGAAGATGCATCTTTAGCTTCTACACAAACCGGCCTGAGACGTTGATCTCACTAATCTTTCTCTCTTGCCACTTTGCATTGCAACCAGCTTCTATGATCTGTTGCCACCTAACGCTGTTGAAAGTCTAGTAGCATGAGTGACAAATTCTTTGTCATGCATTTACTTCCTTGATGTTTATCACTCGTGCATGGGTTTTGATTTTCAAAAAATTGAATTGATTCTAAAAGCGACTAGCCATGGGCGCTATATTAGCCAACATCCCGTCATATAGAGCTCCTTTACCATGTTTCTCTCCTTTTATATCACTAGTTTGAAGCATTCTTTGGTTTTTCAACATCTACTGAGCTATGAGTCGCCATCTTTCAAAGCTCTTTGGACAAAAGTTCAAGTAGTCGCGCCAGAGTCGAAGAATGAAGAAATGTGGTGCAAGGCAGATCTCGGTAAGAATCTGCAAGTTTATAAGGTTCTTTCTAAGTCGAGTGATCTGATATTTTGGTGTTTAGTTACTCGGCAGCCAAACCCGTTGGAGCCAATGGTGTTTTTAGAGACGTTCGAGAACACGTTGCTGAACTACTTTGACAAAGATCGGCTTACAATAGCCAAGGTGATCAACAATCAGGACCGCATTGCTCTGTTATTGAATTGCATGGTAGATGCCAATGAGCCAGCTATTTTGGACCTAAATAAACTGAAAGAAATGGTCCCCAACCGTGAGGATTTGGCAAAGGTGCTCAACTCCACCGCTACAACCCTGAGCCATCGAATGCAGATCCGTGAGCCTTCGCATACAAAAGGCTTCGGTATCACGTCGACTAGTTCACCTGCGATGAAATCTGCCGACCTTCAAGCTGTTCCTTGGAGAACTGCCGCTCTAAAATATTCCAACAATGAGCTATATGTTGACGTGATCGAGAAGATTCATTTCGTTCTTCACAAAAACCTCAAAACAGGCCGACTACACACCGTGCGAGGAATACTAGAGGGCTCTATTGACTTCAGGTCCCAACTGACTGGAGATCCAGTGGTCGCTCTGAGCTTGAACCTTGCGGGGCATAACCTTGGAATTCCCGCACTTCACAGCTGTTGTCAAGCGCACAAGGAACACCAAAGAATAGATGAACTGCAATTTATTCCGCCTGATGGCAAATTCCAATTAATGAAGTACACCGTTGATCTCGAAAATGCTGCGGCCGGGGGAAAGTCACAGACCAATATGGGCCTCGTTGCGGTTGATTACGAGGTAGGATTGGGATCCGTGGGGGATGAGTTCGAAATTCGTGTCAACATAGCAAGTTCGCAACATACTAAGCACATAGATGATCTGATCATTACCGTCAACTTCAACGCTCCATCTCTCGTTTCATCTGTGTGTAAGTTGAAAGTGCTTCGAAACACTCATGGGCATTTCGAGAATTCTGTAGACATTGCAACAGGGCGCTGGATTTTGGACCAACATATGTCAACAGGTACTTTACCTGTTTTAAGAGGGTGTTTGGAGCACGCCTCTCCGGAACAAATCAAGTCTTTGAACCTCGCAGTTAGTTTTTCTAACAAAGGTGAGCTACCTAGCGGTATCAAGGTCAGCTCTGTAGACATTATCTCGGGCATGCCCCGCAATCTCAAACCGTTCAAAGGTGTCAAGTACATTGCCAAGACTGGCGACTTCCACTTACGCTAGGCGTGGCATGGCACAAAGTCGGTCATTACACTCATATGTCGATCACTTTTTTCCTATGCGTCTTTCTATGTCAGTCACCTGAACATTTTACTGGCTCCGTTAATTGGGGTTAAGGCGCCTGACCGAATTGGAGACATGCAGCGGCAGTCATGTCACAATAGTGGACCGAGAAGTATATAAATGGCTTGCAAACAGCAGTTTATTTCTCATGGTAGCCAAAGCTGAAGTAAACAACAACAGCAGTAACAACAACAGCCACGATTCAATTGGCTTGAAATCACGATTTAGGTGCAATAGCGAACGGCGTATTTTTGTCTCTGTTGTTAATTTGATAATACTCCGGCATAATGAGTGACAAACTCAGTTTTAAAGGACGAGTGGTTGTAATTACCGGAGCTGGTGGTGGTCTAGGCCGTGTGTATGCTCTGGAATTTGCAAAGAGAGGCGCCAGTGTGGTTGTTAACGACCTGGGAGGATCTTTAGGAGGAGAAGGCAATAACATGAGGGCGGCAGATGTTGTGGTGAGCGAAATCCAGGAGAAGTTTAAAGCAAAGGCAGTTGCGAATCACGACTCAGTAACGGATAACGCTGAGGGAATTGTACAAACGGCACTGGATAGCTTTGGGCGTTTAGACGTGATAGTCAACAACGCGGGTATTTTGAGAGATTCAAGCTTTCTAAAAATGCAGGACCCAGCGTTCGGCGCGGTTATTGATGTGCATTTGACTGGTGCTTTTAAGCTCACCAAAGCGGCATGGCCCCACTTTAGGCGCCAGAATTTCGGCAGAATTATCAACACCTGTTCTCCTGCCGGGCTGTATGGGAACTTCGGACAAGCCAATTACTCGGCAGCAAAGTTGGGTTTAGTCGGATTCTCCGAATCGATTGCCAAAGAAGGCTATAAGAATAACATTAATGTCAACTGTATCGTGCCCCTGGCGCGCTCTCGTATGACCGAGAAAGTCATACCACCCCATATATTGAAAAACCTGGCTCCAGAGAAAATTGCACCCATGGTTATCTACCTATCGCATGAATCCACTAAGGTCACAAATTCAATATTTGAATTAGCTGCCGGGTTTTACAGCCAAGTGAGGTGGGAGCGGTCTTCCGGGCAGATATTTAACCCTGATCCCAAATCTTTCACCGCAGAGGCCATTTTTGATCAGTGGTCGTCAATTGTTGATTACAAGGACAAAACTTTCAATAAAGTCACACATCCTACCCAATTGAGCGATTACAATGCACTGATCACTAAAGCTCGGCAATTGCCACATGCTAGCCAAGGTACGAAGACGATTAATTCTCTGAAAGGCAAGGTGGTGATCATTACAGGTGCAGGCGCGGGACTGGGAAAGTCTCATGCACTTTATTTTGCCAAGTATGGCGCTAAGGTAGTGGTCAATGATATTAGGGATCCTCACACTACTGTATCAGAAGTAGAAAAACTATATGGCAAAGACGTAGCAGTGGCAGATAAACATGACGTCGTTACGCAGGCAAACGACGTGGTGCAAACCGCTCTTAGTAGTTTCGGAAAGGTTGATATACTGGTCAACAATGCTGGAATTCTCAGGGATCGTTCTTTTATCAAGATGACTGACGAAGAATGGGGTATCGTACTAAAGGTGCACCTCTATTCTACATTTAGACTTTGCAAGGCGGTTTGGCCTCTCTTCATTAAACAAAAGGGTGGGTATATCATCAACACCACTTCTACCTCGGGAATATATGGGAATTTTGGGCAGGCGAACTATGCTGCCGCAAAAGCTGCGATTTTAGGATTCTCAAAAACGTTGGCTTTAGAGGGACTGAAGTTGAATATCAAGGTAAATGTTGTAGCTCCGCATGCAGAAACTGCGATGACCAAGACAATCTTCTCCGACAAAGAGCTGGGCAATCATTTCGATCCAAGTCAGGTGTCGCCATTTTTTGTTCTACTGTCCGCTGATGAGCTTAGTCAACACGTTGGGAAACCTGTGACAGGTCAATTGTTTGAAGTGGGCGGTGGCTGGTGTGGCCAGACCCGTTGGCAGAGAAGTAAAGGTATCGTGAGCTCCCAACCTTCCCCGGAATTTTTGCGTGACCATTGGCAAGAACTTGTTGATTTCAGAGAATGCACTCACCCTAGCTCTACTCAGGAAGCGTCAATGCAGATTCTACAGAGCGTTGCACAAGCATCTGAATCCAGCGCGTCAAATAAGCTCTTCAAATATACCGAGCGCGATGTTATACTGTATAACCTGGGCCTGGGTTGTACAAGTGATGAATTGAAGTATTGCTATGAAAACGATCCCGGCTTCCAAGTTCTTCCCACTTTTGGTGTCATTCCCTTTATGTCTAGCGGAAATTCAATCAAGATGCATACGCTTGTGGACAACTTTAATTATACTTATCTGCTGCATGGAGAACAGTACTTCAAGTTAAGTCAGTACCCTCTTCCAACAAAGGGCACACTGAAAACTGTTGGCAAACCAATTCAAGTTGTTGACAAAGGTGGTAAGGCTGCCGTCATTGTGGGAGGGTACCAGACTGTTAATGCAGATACTAACGAACCGCTCATTTACAATGAAGCCACTTTTTTCATCAGAGGAGCACATGTTCCTAAGACGAAACAAGTTGGAGGTGTGAGAAATAAGTTTGCTGTGAACCCCTTCACAGCACCTAGTTCTAAGCCTGACTTTGAAAAGGAAATTACAACAGACAAAGATCAAGCGGCCATCTACCGCTTGTCAGGGGATTTGAATCCCTTGCATATTGACCCAAACGTTGCCAAGATTGCGAGGTTTTCGAGACCTATTTTACATGGTCTCTGTACTTTAGGTGTAACGGGGAAAGTTCTTTACGAGAGGTTCGGGCAATTTGACGAGCTCAAGGTTCGCTTCGTGAATGCAGTCTACCCTGGAGATCGTTTGAAGGTAAAAGCCTGGTGCAGAGGCAACGGTACTGTTATCTTTCAAACGATCGACCTTGATCGTGGTTGCGTTGTTCTTAACAACGCCGCACTCAAACTGGTTGGTGGAAAGGCCAATCTCTAAAACATCTCTGGCACGGCCTAAAATGGTCTTGATTTCAGCCTAAATGTTTTCCAGCAGCGGGAACATAAAGGTACAATCCTGCCGCTAGTTACGCTTATGTATATTGTGAAAAGGTTTTCAATTTAATGATATGTAAATGAATACACGAATATTTGCTGAAGTACGCGAACGTTGGAGTTTCATGATGAAGTGCAAGTTTATTGTATGTTGGTTCCCACCAGCCGGAATGACATGAGATGAGGGATAACTTTGGAAATAAATATTATATTCTAAAAAAGCCACTCAAAGTCACTTACTGTGGGCTGTCCTCTGGGGCAACCTCCTTGACCCAATGAGATCCGAATACTGGAAGTTTCTTAAAGAAGGTGTCTTGGAACAAGGGCCAGCCTTCAGTGAAGACAAAGATCCCGGCGAAGGATGCACCGCCCCAAATAGCCAAGTTAGGGGTGTAAGAAAGCAGGTTGGACAAGTTTAATCTGCCAAAGTGTGGGGCCGTTTTAGCGGCCAGTTTGGAGACGTACTGGATTCAAAATGTTAGTTAACGTTTGCACAATGCCCAGATTAAAGTGAATAAGGTCATCTTCTAGAAACCAAACTACTCTAAACAATTAAATTTCCCTGATAGACCTAAAATGAACATACTGCGACCATGATAGTTGTTTGTTGCTATTTCAAGGACCGGTCGAGCGTAAAGGTCCACTGGAGGTGCTACTATTTACAAGTTACTTTAAAAACTTCAGAATCTCGATTTATCATTTAAAACGAACATATATTATGATCTCATTGGTTATAGGTCATATGACATGTGTCAGCGACAACAGCTAGTCTAGCAATGCTTGATAGTTCCAGCGTTATTTGCCTATATAGAAGCAATATCGTTGTCCCCGGCCATCTGAACTTTCAACTTTCATAATCCACTATACCTTCCAATTCCAATTTGGTGAGACACCAGTTACATATTGTCGCACTCATGTTCGCGGATACAAGGTGTACCAGAATAATACGAGAGACAAGTTGGGCCCCGCATTATCGCAACTTTTAGTGACCAAAAGAAAAATCAAACCAACGCACTAGTGAGTGAGGTAAATTAACTTTGGAGTTCACGGCAATACCACGATCCATATCTTCAGTACCTCAAAATTCCCGTTATTAAGATCCTCGCAAGTAAACTCCAGGAAATTATTACCTTCAGATAAACGTACCTCGAAAAGTAGTGGTTCCATGAATTCCTCAGTGGGCATATTAGGAGAAGGATTTGCCCGTTCTTTATTTACAAATAAGCTTGATTGTGTCCTTTTATTGGGTGAATTATTGGTGCGAGCCGATATCGTTACGGCCGTTTGCACAGGCGGCAAAGTAATGGAGTACATATTACTTTTATCTGTCATGTCTTCTCCTTTCAAAACAAATTCAACCCATTTCTGGTTCAATGATGGTAAAGCTCCTTGTGCAGGTTTTGTTTCTTGTCTGTAGAAAGACCTTGATGATGATACGCTCAGTTCTTGAATTAATTTGTAAGGTGAACTTTCCTCAGTCTTCACGTCTGGGTCGGGGGCTAGAGACTTGAATAAGTTATATTTTGACTCTTCGGGTAACTCGTCTACCTGTTCGAGCGCAATGCGCTTCGAGCTAATTTCCCCTATCTTCGATCTGTTAGGCCTCAATAGATAGTCCCCTGAAAAGAGGGTTCTATTATAACCGTTTCCTAAGCCCTCGTAACGATTGAAGTCATAGTCTTCTAAATCAGGCACGTAGTCTTCTGCTTCTGCGGTCTGATGATCCCCTCCATCGGCTAAATATTGTTCATACTCGATTTTGTCGTATTCAAGCCTTACCTCCCCTCGCTCACTATACTCTTTCAAGTCTACAAAAAATTTGTCTCCCATTAACTTTCTGAAGAACTGCAATAGCTTTGCTGCATCTTGGTATATCAAAGTTTCCGGACCATTGAACACAAGGGCATTTTCGAAGACCAGTTCCACGTCAATATAAAAGTCGTAAATTTTCAAATAGTAATCCATCTCCAGATTGTTCTTCACCAGCTTTAGAGCAATTGGTCGGTGAATAACTTCGTAGTATTCTGGAAGTTCATCTTCCAAAACTAGTTCCATAAAAGGTTCACAGATGTGCATGGAGTCATCTAAGCCCTCGGTCGAACTCTCCATCAATTCAGCAATAGATCTATCGGTAGCGTTGAGAAGTTGATTCATCGAGTCAGTGAGAAATTTCTTAACTTCTGCATTGATCAAATAGTTTCGAGTTACATTTTTGGCCTTCAGAACCTCATATTTGACATAATTGACAACTTGCATGGAGTTTTTGGCAATTAGACTGTCTGGCTCATTGTACGAGACACAGTTTTTACGAATCAATTCGACGTCTAATAAGAATGTCCTATGGCCATTGAGATACTCATAATCTCTCGATTTGATTTCATTGACGGAAATAGGCTGATCGACCCTATAAAAGTACCCTGGATGAAATTTTCTACTTGGAAGTTTAATAAAATCTTTAAACATGTCTTTGTAGCTTTCAACTAGGTTGTCAAGTGTGAAGGAAATGAATAAGTTGAATTTCGGGATAAACCAGTCGTCCTGTGCGAAAAGCTCGCTGCCAGCATCCAACGGAATATGATACTCAACTAGTGGTAGCTTTTCTTCCGGACGTGGTTGCTTCCCAGCAGCATACTTCCGGTGTGATCCAGTAACCTCCTCTGTAGAGTCTGCTTCTTGAGTCTTTCTCTTCTTGGGCGCCATATAATTCTTTGTTACGTCGAGACGTTAGTACAGTAAGCAGTAAGTTATACATGAATTGTCATTTCTCAGAGCTTCACCAAACAAGTAAAAAGCTCAATATATCTATTGTCACGTGATTATCTTTCACAGTCCCCTCCTACTCCGACCTAGCAACCAGCAGCCTTGTCTGTCATGGAGAGCCGAGCTTCTCACCAGTGACAAACTGATGATGGAATCTAAAGATTCACGATTAGTTCAGTACTATTCTCCAGTGATAGCTGCGTTTCCAAGTGTTCGAAAAATCTGGTGTACAACCTTCTCACCGCTTTGCGTTGAGAGTCACTTAATTCTTTCGTCCCTACCCTACTTAGACAAGGTGGTTCAGACGTGCTGAGTGGACCTCCTGCGGTATCGTCAGAGGTAGCATCACAGAGATCATGGCTCTGTATTACTATCCCGCTGTTGCTCATCATGGAGATATCGATCAACTTGTCGTTTGTATTATTCACAATTTCGGTAAGTTCCTGTTCGCGGGCCAGAATTTTCTGCTCCTCCTCCTCTAGTTTTCTCTTAATGGCATCATAGTCCTCGTTACCATACGACCCATAGCCCTTTTGAGCATTCTGCACCAAAGAATCTGTTTCGGAGTTTGCCCCGGTAACGCAACAGCTAATAACACCTCCCATGAATTGAGATGTATGGAGACCGTGTGGGTAACTGTCAACTAAAGAATAGCGGCTTTAGCAGGTACGTCAAGGTTTCACTGCTACCAGTTATTGAATAAGTCGTTAATATGTTCCCATAGCCGGGTAATTTTTACAATAGGCGATCACTTGCCTGGCCGGCCCTCAAATCAAATGGCTTGACAGTAAGGTGAAAGCGGTACTGACGGTATAGATAACTATGGAGCACCCATTCATGCCAAATAACTAGATCTACAGATTTGCTTAGTTTTTAGGCTTTCATCAACAAGAGTAGCATGCAAAATATCAGATTGTTGTGTGCAGTGTTCACCAGAAATTATTTATGGGAATTTCGTACCTTTGAAGTTGATTATGGCCTCTAGTTAGTCGATTTTGAAACCAAATAGCGCAAAGCATCAGTCATATCTAGTGTCAAGGACAATAATTTTCGTCCATTATCGAAACCTTAAGCAACTTCACATTTGCAGCCATTTTGAAATTCGTGACGGTGAATTCACACTGTCGTGACGCTCACATACGTCTCTATATTGCTGAGTTGCAGAAGGCCCGGCTCTCTTGACTTTCAACTTTGTTTTCGTGAATGGTGTTCAACAAGGTCGTTACAATTTTTTGAAAAAAACCATCACATATGGTTGAGAACCGTAATACCATATTCTAGTGCCGCTCATCTGCATTCAGACTAGTCATGCTTGCTCAGGCGACTGTTAGCGTATGTTCTAAACGTGCGCTCCATGTTTCTACAAGAAACTACGACTTTCTGTCGTGGTTCAAGAATAAGCAAAATGCCAAGAACAAAGAGCCAGCAAAGGACACCAAGCAGGTTATCGAAGATATTGAGTCTGGCAGAAGCAAAACGAGACAGTCTGCTAATAGATTAAAACTCACAGAAGACTCTTTTATTGGTCAAGAGTTACAAGTAAGCGATAGGGCGCGTCGCGGCGATCTTTTGCAACAAGTCCCGTTCAACATCTGGTTGTCGTCCCAAAAAGTTAGGACTTCAGAAGCTCTTGATAGAATTTTGCTGGATACCTACGTTTCGACGGTTCCAGAGAGCACCATCTCTAAAATCGAAGATCCAGAACTGGCTTTACCCTTCTCAGATCTCTCCGTTAAGTTTCAATTTACAAAGTCATTACAGGCAACGACTGGCATCATGGTACCAGACTATCAATCAACTCGCTTGCAAACGCCATTGCAATTTCGTGAGTTCTTTCTGAAGGAAGTGTTGAGCGGCAAGGCCAAATTCAACGACGCAGAACCAAATGCCATTGATATCGACGAAAGCTTTTACGGCGCTGAAAGTATTCATGTAGTTAAAACGCCTGCGCCAAAGGACCAAAGGCAGAAGCTTTCCAAAATACTGTCAGAGGTGGAAGCTTTAGAAAAGGAAGCTGCCAGGCAAGCTTTAGAAACCGCAAGGCGTGTGGTTTGATCTTTCAGGTAAATAAGCATATAGACCTTATCATGTAAATAGCGGGCTTAGAAGTGTCCTTCGGAAAATTAAAATTTGCGGTTCTAGTCATTGAGTTCATGATTAGCTTTGAGTGACATAGTGGGCGCTACGTTACAACTCATCCAAGGTGGATTTCTTTAATCATGCACTAAATTGCCGCACATAGCATTCAAATTTTAGTCTGATCCGCCTTCGTAGTATTAAGTGGATAGCTAATGTTTTCACATGTGTGACAAGGACGATGTGCAAGAGTATTTAAATTTTATCCAAGGGCTTCTACTTGCAGACACCATGAGTGTTATCAAAACTGTATAAATTCGAGCACAAACGTGCAACTACTTCGAACTAAATTGCTGATGGCTACATGAGAAACATAGACTGAGCTCAGCGGCCTGTAGGCTGCTGCAACCGAGATGAAAGAAAAATGAACATTGGTGGCAGGAGGCTTAAATAAATTTTTTGGAGTGGTCAATATTACATTCGCCCATGCGATATAGTAAGCAAAAACACTACACTCTTGTCAAACGTGATTACAAAAGTTCAAAGTCGAAACCAAAACATGAAAAGTGCTGCCTTAGGCTTAGTTAAAGAACTCTTCGATCACCTTTCCAACTGTCGCGTTAACCAGATTACGACGTTCACGGTGCTTCCTGACGAATTATACCCTTACAATGAGTCAAAATTTCTGCATGTCAACGAAACCGCTGTTGATGAAATCATTTGCTCAAAATCAACATATTTAAACCTTTTCTGCGAAGGTCGCCAATTCCTGAACAGTGAGAGCTCTAAGAACGGTATGTGTTTGAATGCTACCTGTTTCGCCAACAGTAATTATGATCACTAACTCAAAAACCTTAACAGATGACGAAGGTAATTACCTTGCTACCTTCTGCATTTTGTCCGTGACACCAGAAGATCGTAAAGTGCTTCTTCAACATGAGAATTTGGTACTTAGACGTTTGAGAGGGAACTCATGTAATCAATGGAAGGCTGACAAAGTGTCTCAGGCCTTTTTCCAGATAGAGTTGCAAGCAATCACTCTTCTGCTCACTTGTTCAGTGAATAGGGTGAACAAATCTTCGTCTCTCTGGCTTTATTTCAGAAAATTGTACGTCTTAGCCCACGAGTTGTTTCCTTCAATAATAGTAAATCATTCTGGCCTCTTCCTACAGTCTGCCTCCCGCCACGCCTCAAATTATTACTGTTGGAACACGTTTCGCTGGATTTACGATTTACAGATTCAGAAAACCAAGGACGCACTCTTGGACACGCTATGGAAATTTTGCTTTAGCCATTCAATGGACAGTTCTTCTTGGTGGGCTCTAGGACATGCGCTGCTGGGCTCAACAGACCTTTCACAGCTATCAATTGAGGACTATAGTGCGTTGAGGGCAAAGTTGAACTTACCAAAGCACGATAAATCTTATGCTAAGTTGAGACTTGCATCGGAGACCACTGGATGGACCTGTATGCAAAAGATTGTGACCTTTATCGACTCAGCGGAGGTACGGCATTGGCCAGCATTTGGTTGTTTGGCGAGGCTGTTACCGTCACTAGATTTGTTGTCTCGAAATCAGCTACTTGAAGGGTGGTCGTCTGCAATTCAAAAGTTTGAAGGCGAGAATTTCAAGATAGACGAAAGGTCCATTACAAAAGCTATTTACGGCTCTGAGAATGACTTGTTGTTGCAAAGATCACTAGAGACACTTCAACTCAAAAAAAAATACTTGATTTCAACGACAAGTTGAAAAGCGGTTCCGAAGGTTGAAAGATTCCAATGACCACAATTGGTCCCTCAGGTCACGAATGATTAAATTGATGGCATAATTAGCACCGCAGTTCGTTATGGACCGACATGTTTCGCTTGGTTTTGTGCCTCATGTTTTTCATGGCCAGATAGGCTGAACTTTTCTGTAAACTCCTGGCCAGGCAATACAGGAGCAATTTCCAGAATAGCTCTTATTTGATCTTCATGGCTTGAACTCGCGGGGATATCCTTGTAGATGTAGAACTCCAAGTCATCACTAGGATTATGCGCCGGTCTAAATAGCTTAGGATGAAACTCATCATTCTCATCTTGTCTTTTCTTGGCCTTCTGACGCTGGTCATCTTCAATGGCAAACTTCTCATCCGTTGCAGTGGTGTGGTCGCGCCTACCCAAAGCATCAGTCACCTTTTTCCAAAGATTTCTTGACTCAAATTCACCTTGCTCGTCCAACGGACGAACTAAAGGCTTGAGTGGTTGTGCTGACTTGGCATCAAATAAGATAGTTTTCGTGGATTTTTTTCGTAAATCCCTAATATACATCACATCGTTCCACTTTCCACTGATCTCGTAGTACTCATTACCCGCATGATCCTTTACGATGCCTTCGATAGCATCATAAGTGCCCGAAATAAAGCCTTTTGTTTTGAATTCAACATCAACCTTGTATTTAGATGACTTGATAATCATGTGGTCGCCTAGCTCGATTCTCATTTTACCAAAGAGAATTCCCCTAGCGTACATATTTGGTTGACTCAGTGTGTATTTTTCCGGATTCCCGTGGGAGTCCTTAATGTCCAGAAATTGCAAAACAGTTGAACCTTCCATCATTGCAGCAGTCGAATTCCCGAGAAACTTCGATTTTGGAATATTTATACCGTCAACTCTAATGTTTGACTCTGGAATCATGTAGAAGTAGGAAGATTTAGGAGGATGATGACTAGTCTGTTCCGAGAAGTAAAATGCTTGTTGTTTGTTGGGCAAATCCCAGTAGCAAGTAAAAAACTCTCCTAAAACAGGATTCAAAGGCTTCTTTACAGCCTTCGGAGATATGTGCCAGCCAGATAGATACCATTTGACAACTTGTACAAATCTTTTGAGCTCATCTTTTTCCTCGTGCGCTTCCAGTAGTATGTCTGGGAACTGAAGTTGGTTAGTGATTCTTTCAAGCATCGATTTCTTCTCTAATATGAATGTTGGCAGAGTTATCCTCGAGAGATCACATCCAGGTTTGAGTTGCGAGATTATACCTAGCAGTATGCTTTGTCCGGATTCATCATTCTCATCAATATCATCAGTGTCAATAACTCCTTTACCAGAATTGCCAATACCCGACTCAGGATCATGAGCAGAAGCTGCAGGACTAGTACCTGACTTGGTCTTTAAAACACTGAGGGGCATTGAGCGTCCTACGAATCTTTTGTATCCTTTAAGTCAGTCCAGCACTTGACCTATTCGTTAATTGCAAATCTCTGTTTTGGTCCCTGAGTTTTTCCACACAAATTGGAGACCGTTAGTTAATTAATTAGGAGAGCACGTCTGGAGAGCAACTTAGTGTGAGCAAAGATAACGGTTGTGTATAAACTCAAAAACGATGAACTTGCTATCTCTGTCATTGACAATGACTCTTTGAAATCTTAAGGATTCGGGAAGTACGCAAAGATTAAATATAATGCATTCTTTTTCAAGGGAAAATGTACATAAGTCATGAGAATGTTTAGTTTAAATGTTCGTGGTCGTGGCACTCGTAGCCGTAGGTAATTGAGCAGAAGGCTCATTTACATTTGAAGCTACTGGATTTGTAGCTGAGACGCTTTCCTCGGTACCGTCCATTACGTCGTCATTTTGTTTCTGAGCGCTTGATTTGGGTCGCTTGGCTTTCTTGCCTTCCTTGTCCTGTTTCTTTCTTTTGCTAAGTTTGATAGGTCTTTCCTCACCTTCCTCGTACACGTTGCTAGGTAGGTCATGAAGCTTAACGTATTTGATCATTAGCGAAAACGTGTCAGCATCGTCGTATTCACTAAAGGAGCGGCACAAATTGAAGAAGTCTGAACACGGAACATGAATATCAACCTGCTTTTTGCCATCCACAGCAACATCTAATCCAATGTACATGGTGGTGATGTGCACCTGCTTTTTGTCCTTGACCACTTCAGAATCCTTATTATCTTGCGTTACTTCCGTATATTGGTCAAGAATATTTTGTGTTTTGTATGTCCCATAATTATCAATGATGTCCTTGCACTGAGCATCGTTATCATAAATGTATGATGACTCGAAAGGCTTTGTGAATGGATGAGCCAAATTGATGCCACTCAAAACTTCTAATTTCTGTACCAACAATCTGAGCTTACTCTCTACTAAACCACTCCACTTTAAATGTTGCTCGTCTGATCCTGTGGTCGAGGCCATTACCGTTAAATAGAACTTGTAACGAAAGAAGAAATCATGCTTTTTGAATAGATCATGCCATGATTTTTTGTTGGTAAATATCTCATTCGTTACCTGTGCCCCTCTTTCCAGCTCAGCCAAAATGACCTTCTTGGTGGAGTCACTTATATTGTGAGTAGCACACATTGAGGGGTAGGCAGGAGTGATGACAGGCATGCGATGTGATCTATCTTGGGCATATATCCTGGGGTTCCACACCCGAACCTGTAATGGTCCGTCTTCGATAGGTTTCAAAAGAACTGGCTGCGGCCAATTCCATTTGGTCAGAATATGAAAAAAGCGCGCCAAGATCACAGCACTACAGGCATTAGGATAAAGTTGACATATTCTGGCCACGAGCATAGCCCATGCTACACCACCCGGAAAACCAAAGACGTTCGCATAAACAGCCCTTCGCTGTGCCCATAACTTAATTGCTCTAAGAGCAATCTTAAATGCTGTTGGTTTTGGAACGAGCTGCAGAATCTCGTCAGTTACTCTTGTACCATTTAATGCCCTCAAGTCTTTTTCGTCCAGGTTTCTTAGCAGGTTTTTATCGGCAAGCGATAAATTTCCAGGGACTTGAGCAACATCCAACCTTGCACACAGTAAATCAATCGAAATTCCGCTGAACTTAATTTTTATAACCGGCACGAAAGCATCGGGCACAGGGGCTATTTCATCCAGTTCAGGCCTAGCTCTCAGAATCTGGTCGAAGGTTGTGAAGAAGTCTTCTCGAGTAACGTGTTTCGGCACCACAACTAAAGTATCTATATCACTGCCAGGTCCATGGACGCCTAACCTGTAAGATCCGAACGTGAAAACCTTACCGCCAGCATCCTTCGCCATACCGTCTGACATGTTACGTTTTTTTGAAACCTGGAAAACAAGAGCTTGAGCCAAGTCTTGCAAAATTTTGAGGATCTCCACTCTCTTTTGCGTATCTGCGTCCGATTCAAAAGATTTCTCCTTCTTCAGTTCTTGAATCAATGAATCATTTAGCCGGTTCTCGGCAGCTGTTGGACCTGCTGTTGAGATTGGACCTGTAACACCGTAAACTCGTTGTTGGTTCATTGGAAATTGGCGGCTTTTTGTAAAGTCTCTTTCTACTAGATGAAACACTAAGTGCCGAAAGTGCTACCTACCTCTAAAGATTAACGAATATGGGTGCTTTTTTGGGGCCCTTATGACAATGGAGATTGCGATTGTGAGTCGCCCAGAAGGTTTCTTCGAGTAAGAGGAGACTCTTGGTATGCAAAATTGTAGATTAGCGTAGTCCAGTCTTTGACAACAGCGGGCAACTCAATTGCTTGGATTCAAGTGGAGCTATACCAAACCTTCTGTTAAGCGTCTTGTTTTGTGCTGTGCTATGAGGCGTCAAAAAAGCTTTGATGGCCGGGTAAAGACTGAGGCGAATTTGAGAATTAAGTGAAGAAACCAGGATTTCTGTTGTCTCGAGTGGTGGCGAAAAGGGGGCAATTGTGACACTTTAGAAGAGCAAACTAGGTCTACTCAACGCAAGTTAGCCAACGTGAAGATATGGATGAAGCATTGATAGCCACCATCAACAAGCTACAGGATGCGCTGGCTCCTTTAGGCGGAGGATCACAGTCGCCTATCGACTTGCCTCAGATCACTGTCGTGGGGTCTCAGTCGTCTGGAAAGTCATCGGTTTTAGAAAATATTGTTGGTCGCGACTTTCTCCCTCGTGGTACTGGTATAGTTACTAGAAGACCTCTTGTGCTGCAATTAATCAACAGAAGGTCTAAAAAACCCAGCAACGATTTGCTGGAATTGCGGCATGATGATGACTCCAAGGACGGACAGGAAGAGGATAACGTAGATGAGTGGGGTGAGTTTTTGCATCTTCCAGGCAAAAAGTTCCATAACTTCGATGAGATCAGACAGGAAATCGTATCAGAGACAGACAAAACCACTGGCAAAAACGCTGGTATCTCTTCAGTTCCTATCAACATGAGAATTTATTCGCCTCACGTTTTGACATTGACCCTGGTTGACTTGCCTGGTCTAACGAAGGTGCCAGTTGGCGACCAACCTGCGGATATTGAAAAACAGATCAAGGACATGCTTTTGAAGTATATTTCAAAACCAAATGCAATTATTTTGTCCGTTAATGCTGCTAATACGGATTTGGCTAATAGCGATGGGTTGAAATTAGCTAGAGAAGTTGATCCAGAGGGCACCAGGACTATCGGTGTACTAACTAAGGTTGATCTGATGGACCAAGGAACAGATGTCATTGACATCCTGGCCGGTAGAGTGATTCCTTTGAGATATGGCTACATTCCGGTCATCAATCGTGGTCAGAGAGATATAGAGGGCAGGAAAACGATCAGATCGGCGCTAGATGACGAGAGAAGGTTTTTCGAAAATCACTCATCGTACAGCTCTAAAGCACACTATTGCGGTACCCCGTATCTAGCCAAGAAACTGAATTCCATTTTACTTCATCATATCAGGCAGACACTGCCTGATATCAAAAACAAGATCGAAATGACGCTAAAAAAATACCAAACTGAACTCTTGAATCTGGGACCTGAAACAATGGACTCTCCCAACTCAATTGTGTTAAGTATGATTACTGATTTTACAAAAGAGTACAATGGAATACTAGATGGGGAGGCGAAGGAGCTGTCTAGTCAGGAGCTTTCTGGTGGGGCGCGGATCTCGTTTGTTTTCCACGAGATCTACAAAAACGGGGTGAGAGCTTTAGACCCTTTCGATCAAATTAAGGACTCTGACATAAGAACCATAATGTACAACAGTTCGGGTTCTGCGCCATCACTGTTTGTTGGAACTGAAGCCTTCGAAGTTTTAGTCAAGCAGCAAATCAATCGCTTCGAAGAGCCTAGTTTGCGCCTCGTGAGTTTAGTTTTTGACGAACTAGTGCGCATTTTGAAGCAAATCATATCTCAACCGAAATACGGTAGGTACCCTGGTTTGAGAGAGGCTATGTCGAACTATTTCGTTCAATTTTTAAAGGAGTCTATTATCCCCACGAATACATTCGTGTCAGATATCATCAGGGCAGAAGAAACTTACATTAATACTGCTCATCCAGACTTATTGAAAGGTTCTCAGGCTATGGCGATGATCGAGGAGAAGCTTCATCCAAGGCAGGTTGCTGTAGATCCGAAAACCGGGAAGGCCTTACCTAATCAGCCACCTCAACAGTCTGCTCAAACGGAGGATAAATCTGGGTTTTTTGGTGGTTTTTTTTCCTCCAAAAATAAGAAAAAGCTGGTTGCTTTGGAGTCACCTCCTCCGGTACTGAAGGCCACTGGACAGATGACTGAGCGTGAGACTATGGAGACAGAAGTCATCAAACTACTGATTGAAAGTTACTTCAATATAGTCAAGCGAACTATTGCAGACGTTATTCCTAAAGCGGTCATGTTGAAGCTGATAGTAAAAAGTAAAAACGACATTCAAAAAATTCTTTTGGAAAAGTTGTATGGAAACCAAGACATTGCGGAGTTAACGAAGGAAAATGACATTACTATTCAGCGTAGAAAAGAATGCCAGAAAATGACTGAAATTTTAAGGAATGCTAACGAAATTGTTTCCTCTGTGTAGAAAACACGTTTGTTGATATCTTACCGTTATTGCGAACAATACTCAACTGAAATCTTGATAAATATGTGTTGCTAAAGAGTGTTTAATTAGTATCTTTTTAAGAATCTGACAATTCTAAAACGAGAACGTAGGAGCATGTGAAGCTATTGACATTCAACAAAGAAATGTGTCTACTAGGCTAAGAATACATTCAAACAGTTATTAACGTTTCGGAAATCATATAAAAATAGTTTTTGAAAATGTTACTATGCTTTGCTTACAAAAAAGCTAAAGTAATGAATTACTTTTAAATTTAATAGTAAAAACCATGTTGAAGTATCAGATGACAGTAAACATTTAATATTTTATTTTGTTTTTTTAAAACATTTAATATTTTATTTTGTTTTTTTTTAAAACATTTAGCATTTTGTGGGTAAAAGGGATGCTATTTCAGGCTATAAAATCACATACATCAATTTTTAGAGTATGTCAGTACTTGAATATGAGCTGATAATTTTCTTCTGGTTTACAATTGTGGACTCGTTTTAATTGAGAGCTTAATGATCCTATTGTAACCCTTACTGATCGTTGAATTGGCTTCTTCTCTTCCGTTATTCTTTGTCATTCAAACTTGTGAAAAGCCTGAGATTGATTTGATGCGACTGCCGGCAGAGCGTACGTGAATAGCGTATGAAAGTGATTTCGTGATTAGAGTACGATGGTGGATTCATCAGGTAATGTCATGTGACTAGATCTCACTGTGGTGGACACAACAGACCTCCATCAAATAAAGCTGTCAGGTATAAAAGGTGTGTCATAATACAATAGACATGCAATAGGGCTGTGTGAATAGGCCGACTGCGATCCAAAATGGCAACCAATATCACTTGGCATCCAAACCTCACTTACGATGAGCGCTCAAGCTTAAGAAAACAAAAAGGCGCAACAGTTTGGCTAACAGGTCTCAGCGCTTCAGGTAAGAGGTATGTAAAGTGAATAATATTACCAGTGATTCACCACCGCACATATGATACTAACTTTAAAAAGTACTATTGCATGCGCCTTGGAGCAGCTATTACTTCAACAAGGCATTTCGGCCTACAGACTAGATGGCGACAATGTCCGCTTTGGGTTGAACAAGGACTTGGGGTTCTCGGAGAAAGACAGAAACGAAAATATTAGAAGAATATCCGAGGTTTCTAGGCTATTTGCTGATTCGTGTACCATATCAGTCACCTCTTTTATTTCCCCGTATCGTGCTGATCGTGAAAGTGCAAGAGCTCTTCACAAGGACAGTGATTTGAAATTTGTTGAGGTTTTTGTTGACGTCCCATTAGAGATCGCTGAACAGAGGGACCCCAAGGGACTGTACAAAAAGGCTAGAGAAGGCGTCATAAAGGAGTTTACTGGTATATCTGCTCCTTACGAAGCTCCAGAGACCCCAGAGATTCATTTGAGAACCGAGAAGCAATCGGTAGAAGAGTGTGCACAGCAAATCTACTTGTACTTAAAGAAAGAATCTATAGTTTAAACAGAGCGACTGATAAATTTCATACAAGGTTCATCTTTTGAGACTATTAAGTCTTGCTTGGAGCTCATCATCCGGACTGAGAGGACCCGCGCCCCCATGGGCATCTAGAGACTCGGCTACCCTTTCAACATTATCTCCATCAGCAGAATCCAGCATCTCCTGCGGTGAGCTTTGTAGTTTTTGATTCAAGTCAACTCCAATTTCGTCCAGAACTCTGTTGACGATCTCATCCGCTTCCTCGTCCTCCTCCAACTCATCACCCATGGCATCATCAATAGCTTCGTCCATAAACTCCTGACGTTGGTCCATGAGGTCACTCTGCTTTTCGAACTCAGCCGATATACGCTGAAGTTGGGGCAGGTTCATGGACCTGTTCATTGAAGATAATAACCCAGTTGCCTCCCTCATAGAAGTTGTCATTTGGTCACTACTACGTACTGCCTGGATTCTAAGGGCAATGGCCTGGAGTTGAGTCCTCATGTTGTTGAATTTGCCGATGTACTTTTTGGTTCGTACCAGATCTTTTGCCTGTATTTTCGCTGCTGCAACCTGTCCATCTCTAGCAGATTTCTTGATATCAGATATGAGCTTCTTCTCTTGAGCCTCCAGTTTCCTTCTTTCGCGCTCTAGCTCCCTCTGTGTTCTTTCTAAGGCCCGTTGGTTCTTTCTTGGCTGTCAGTCAAAATCAAGGAAAACTTGGGCAATACGAAATTTGTCGAACACATACCTTTTTCAAGCGCTCCTGTGGCGTCAAGCTTTTCCCAAAAACCCAGTCTAGAATTGCCATTGCTATTTGTCAGTGAGTAAAGATCCGTGATAGCTACGTTTTTCGTTCTTTTGGCCTCTCGCCATGGCGTCCTTTAGGGAGAACTGATTACTTGGTGTCTTCACACGATATAATTTTATAAAAAATTTGAGCACACATCTATTATATCAAGCGTTTACAACCGCTTTAAGCACTGTGTTGACGAGATATGCTTTATGAGTTAGTAAGTGTAGTTCGTGTCGTTAATCCACTTGCGGCCAATGCTGAGGCTAAAGAACTAGCAACGACCATTGGCAAACTTATTATTCAAAACAGAGGGGTCGTGCGAAGACTGTTACCGATAGGAAACAAGCTACTTCCAAAAATCATAAAGAAAGACCAAGAGCAGCACTTTCAAGGCTATCACTTTCTCATGCTTTTCGATTCGTCGGCAGCTGTTCAGTCAGAAATTTTGCGAACTTTAAAAAGGGACCCCCGTGTCATTAGATCGTCAATCATAAAGATGGATACAGCGAAGCAACTTGACGTGGCGTCGTCCATAGAAAGAGCGGCAGGTTACAGCAGTATTTTGGAGAAAGCTAAAAAGGAGTTTTATTGATCCTAGGAAAGCGCGTTCCATCATTACAGCAGCATAAAAATATCTTGTTTTATAGTTTATTAATTATATATCCCATTAGGTACCCTTTTGAAGATTCTGAGCTTCAGCCCAATATTAAGTTTAACTGGTGAGGTTCCGCCGAACATAGAAGACTCTAAAATCGGTCTATTCTTTCTTATTGGTTCTAGATGACGTTACCAGCTCATCTTGCGCTTCGAGAGAAGTGTTGGACGTAGCAGAAGAGCGCGATACTGACCTGTTATTGTCAAAAATAGATGGTGGCTCACTGTCTTCCATTGAATTCATTTCAAAGTCATTTTCAAGTATCGTTGGCACAAAAATATTCTCCACATCACTGTCGTCGGCATTCAACGGGTCGGCAAACCATAAGCTGAACTTCTTTATTTCGACATAAGTCCATCGAGAGTACACCGAAGTTTCTGGAAGTGGAAGATGATAGTATTTGGTGTACTGGAATATAGCGTACGACAAGACAGAACCGGCCATGAGATCGACAAAATAATGATGTGTCAGATACATGGTTGACCACCATAGCCAACACACGTAGAATATGAAAAGCGGCGTAAGCTTTGGAAAAACGTAAGAAAAAAACAATGCCTCCATCGTGGCACATCCAGAGTGTAAAGAGGGCAGAGCGCCAAAGATTACTGCCGAGTTCGAAAATCCATCTGAATAAAGGTTGATTCCCAAGTATTCGTCAATTCTTCTAAGCCCACCAGGTGATCCTTTCATACTGTAGTTGGCGGGTGTGAGACCATACAAGATCTTGTACCAAGGGGGGGCAGCTGGGAATAGGTTCTGTGAAATCACACCTAAGAGATTCATGTAGCCGAAAGCGAAAGCATACCCTCTTAAAATAGTGGGTGGTCCACATAAAAATAGTATTATCGCAACAACGAAAGGTGCGCCAAAATGAAAGAGCCCGTATGGAACCCAAGCAAAAAAATCCAAAGGTTTATTCAAGGACGCTGCCAATATATCACTGAGATTATCCCCATATAAAATAGTCTCGATAGCTGGAAGGACTTGGACTGTTATTGGCGGTCTGTGTGCGGCACTGAAAGAGGAAGAAGTAAAGTAGAGAGCAAGCCATGTAAAGATCGGCAAAGCGTTGAAGAAAAATTGAGAAGTCGCAGGTATTAGAAAAAGCGCAGCGAAAACCAGATACAGTGCTATCTTAGCAAGCCAGCCGGCGGGATTTATTATGAAAACAAAAAGGAGCACGCTTCCTAGAAATCCGTAGTGACATAGATCAGCTATGGTGAATTGGTAGTTTCGCAGTTTCCGCATAGACAGAGATGGATCCAAGCTCGTCTCGAGATCAGCTAGCCTTGAACCAGCAGGCCTTTGAGAAAGAAATAGTTTTCGAAATAACCTGGACATTGGAAGTACCAAATCTATGAAAATGCCTGAGAGATATCTGGTGACGTTCGTTTCTTTTGGCTGATATCCTATCCTAAAATTCGAGTAACGCCCTAGGATCTGTTTATTTGAAAATGCTGTCGCGTTTCTAAAAGCGTACCGACTGGTTGGTAATGGCGGAAAATTTGTTGCAGCAGCAAGGCTTTTGAAACTTATGAAGATTTTATGGAATTACTTGAATGTTATTTCATGGTATTATTTAAGATGAAGTTTCAACTTGACCAATTGTGACCATTCGTATGAGAGTACAATGATCTTCGGACCACGGAAATCTTGATCCGTCAGATCTCTGGCCATCTCTGTTGGGAATAATGTGAGCTACTAGGGAACTGATGGTGGTCTGCGCCTAATCGCATAATCAGCGTCATGAAATTTGTGACACAGTGGTACAGATTGATGATACATAACAGAGGCCCTACAAATCAACTTACCATCTAAGACAAGTCGAATAGACCAACTGTTGTCCAATGGGATTGGCGATTGATAAGTTTTCGGCATCGTACGGCATCGAAGCCGTAATCCATGGACAATAGAATGATTTAGAACGGGTAATTAATAGGTGTGTTGACCAGAGCTACCGAGTGAGAACTGTATAAAAACCAGGCGTTTGTTCAGGCAAGTGAACCAATTCCAATTCCTAAAATAATCACGGAGAGATAAATAGAATTTCCTAGATCCAAGTTACTCGTCTTGCAATGACTATGACCGACTTACAAGACGAATTCAGTAAGCTTTCTACTGATGAATCAGATTCGCCTCAGTAAATCTCCCATTTGACATTGGGCGCTCTTCGACCGCAATCCTGTTCATTGGTGTATACAAGGCATCATAAGAGTGTTGAATTGTTATAAAGAGGGGTTTGGACAAGCCGTGGCAGGTTTCAAAGTCAAAATGTTGCTAGGCGCCTACAATATACACGTTCTCCTCTGCTATCCGGATGATGAATGTAATAATTCAGCAACTATAGCGCCCGTGTAGTGCTCGATTATCGATTATTGGTAGACGATATGAGCAAACTAAATGTCTTGAATTTTTGTCGGAGCGTGCGGAGCTAAGATTTCTTTGTTGGTGGTTATGGCATGCGGTTCCCTTCTTTACTCGAACATTTTGAGTGACAGTTCTCAGTATACACGATAATATTTTTTCTCTATCTGGGTTCATGGGGCCGATATACCCATCATAGTTTCAGGATTACGCGAGTAGACTATCCTAGTATCAGACTCATCTCTGTAGCATGAAATAATGCGCTATAAATCTCGTGAGGTGGAGTTCCGAAGCCGAGACTCAATAATCTGTTTATGTCTTAAATGTTGGTTCTGGTTACATTATCTAGGACAATAGAAACATGCGCCATTTTGGATACACAAACTTTCAGCATCTTTAACTGTGCCGCAGCATCGCCGCGATTGAAAGTCGGCAAATCTCCATTAAACATGGTTGAACACCACGCTCTGCTGTTTCGAAGGTCATGTTAGAGAATGACTTATACACCCCAGCCTGCTAGCCTGCTAGTTGGTTATTTGCTTGAATCTAAGGCGCAGGCTCTCAATTTCCATGACGAGTGCTTATGGGAATATTTTGGTATTCTTATATAGGTGCACAGCGTCATAGATGGCACGAAGCTTCATTTCTTTGTTATTTGGGAATACTTTAGTCCAAATCTGGCCCTATAGTTCAATTTTTCGATTGTCTCGTCTTCAGTTGTGACAACAACATACGCATCGTTTACTGCACCTAGCGCGGCTAACTGTTTATGTTATTCAAATATCAATTATAACCGTTATCTCAAGAGGGTAAATGTCTGTCTGCCAACGATGGCCCGTCGACGTGCAGAAGGATATGCGAAGATGAGCTTAAATACTGATGATATTCTAAAAGGTAAACGCCCTTGGGCCAACTCAAGTACCGCGGACGTTGAAAAAGCATAATTTATAAAACAAGATGGACGAAGGGATACGGCGATCTTCGCGAAGTAACAAGGGCACCAACAAGTTTTTACAGAGCCAAAGGTTGGCTGAACTGGAATATGTCAAGACGAGAGATGAATATAACCAAAATGGCGAGCCTAAGGATGTTGTTAAGTGTCTTCCTTGCGGTACGAACGACGAAAATTACGACGAGAATACTGATCCTTATGGAGATATGATTCAGTGCGATACTTGTGACACTTGGCAGCACATCAAATGCATGACTGGAAAGGAAAGTGCTGAGGATTTGGGGACGTACAATTGCAGTGTGTGCTCCCCGTCATCATTTCCTAGTTTAAAGCCCGCTACCATGGCAAGCGCAGTGAACACTGTGAATAGAAATAAGAGACTTAGTTTTGAGGAGCAGGGTGGAGACGAGTATGCCGCAGACGATTTGCAAAGCACACAACACAGGAATGATGAAGATCTAGACGAGATACCTGCAAAGCGCAAGAAGCGCAGCGTATCTACCAAAAGGGGAGAAAGGTTTGAAAGCGATCAGAACAAACTCCGAGATTCTGCGATGGGGATGTTTGAAGAACTATTTGTGAAGTACGTTATTCCAGATACTATCGCTGCTGACACCTTCAAACTGCCTTCTGAAGCATCAGCAGATGAACTTTCGAGAAGATTGGCACAGGAACTGGAAAGGGAATTGTACCGAGCAAATGAAAATCGGGACACTAGTAAAGTGAGCGACTTGTACAAAGAGAAAGTAAGGGTCCTTTACTCCAACTTGAAGGACAAGAAGAACATCAATATGAAGTCGCTTGTGGTAAATGAGGCTTTGCCTTTCAGCAAGCTTGTGATGATGCCGGTGAATGAACTTATAAATCCTGACCTCCAACAATTTAGAGAAAGAGTAGGCAGTCAAGCTTTAAATCAGCTCATTGTTGAGCTGCCACACAAGCCGAGGTACTTTAAAACCCATAAAGGAGATGAACTTATTGAAGATCCTAATTCTTTCGAACCCGAGGATATCATTTTCAGCAAGGACAACATTGCTGCAAAATTGGACGAGGAAGGTTCTAAAGAGGAAGGTGTTTCGGCGCATTCTGACAAGCCAGTAGGGACAACTATAAATGGTGCTTCTGGCGTACAAAGGGCGACAAAGGACTCAAGTCAAAGCCCACATTTAGATGCGGGCCGGAAGTGCAGTATCGAGTACAAAGAAATCAATGTAAAGTTTTTCGGTGTCCTCAAGTATGTTGGTTCCTCTGCGGATGTCGATAAGAAGGTGCGAATCGATGCAACCGGGGACAACATCTTTGTTGTAGAAGGTCGCTTAAAAGAGAACGATGCCCAAGAGTACATTCAGCAGATGTCAACCAGCAGAACCTTTATTGCATACGCGTTGAGGCCGCATGGTAATGCAGAAGACTTCCAGCGTTTTGAAGAGCTTTTCGAATTTTTGCACAGCAGACAGCGATATGGTGCGTTAGAGGCCAAGAAACCTTTTGTACGACACGTCTACGTGGTTCCATGCTCCGGGGAAGTTAAACCAGATATTTTGAAGTACATTAAAAGTGAAGAAGCTGAGTTGCTGTCAGGTAAGGCACTGATGATTGTAGCAATTATCCGTCCTGAAATGGTAGCCGTTACTTAATCTATAGGTAGTTTGATTTGTACGTAAGGGAGCTTAACGAATTTGCTGACCGTGATTCCCTACACTCAAACTCAGTAAAAGGTTTTTAGATATACATTATGTTACTGAAATAATATATATTTCATGTCCCAGGGGAAAATTTCAGATGAAAAGAAGTTATGTGCCGATGGCCGGATGAATCGCGATTATGCTCAAAGTGAGATTTTAAGCCTTGGCGACAGCCTTCTTAACAGCGTATCTCTTTTGCTTTCTCAAGACCATGACTTGGAATCTTTCGAAGTCAGTCAAAGCGGCACGTCTTTCACGCTGAGCAATCTTCTTAGCCCAAGAAGAAGTAGCCCACTTCTCAGCAACACCAGAAGCAGCCCACTTTTTAGCGACAACGTTGGTCTTGGCACCTCTTGGCAAAGCGTAAGTCAATGGAGTTAGGACAACGTGACCCAAGCTGATAGATTGACGTGGAACACCAGTTTCTGGACCATCGATCAAAGCCTGTAAAAAAAGTTAGTAATGGGTTCTTTTATAACACTAGTTGAAGGACGCTAGCGGTAAAAATAAACAGCAGTTCGGTAAAGCACAAGCTAGCTCAACATCAACCACTTTTGCTCTCGCTTGATTCTTTGTCTACAGACACAAAGCCTGACTGCTGGTGATCTTATCCACATCCCACATCTCAACACTTTATAGTCGCTCCTAGTTCACCTAAAACATACTCTGCTTTGGTCAATAATTTCGACAATGGTGGCCAAGTTGCCGGCGGATGGGCCCTTCTTGACCAACACAACACGACCAACTTCAACCAATCTCCATTGAGAGTTCTTAACAGTAGATTCGGACGACATCTTTATCTTGTTGTTCTACTGAAGTCAGGTACTTTAGTTCGCGTATACCACCTGCCTTTCAACAATCTTGTAGACGGTGATTGACCAAAGTTCCACAATCCATCGAGCTGGGTCCGGGTTCTGGCGCAAGCGTCGCTTCACAATCCGCTTGGGTCCCGCTTGGATGCTTGTTATGATTTGGCCCAGAAAACTCGTGGAACTTTCATTGTAGAGTTTTTTTCATTTTCTTCAATTATTTTAAAAAGTTCTTGAAAGTTTTAGTTTTGACTGCGATATCTGAATGATTACAATTTGTCGATGATAGTTATGTGGTGCGTGGGTGCATATTAGACAATCAGCTCATGTGTAGTCACTTTGTCCCGTGGAAAGGATGATTGGGACGAAGTTGTACCGAAGCGCACGAGATGGATCGAAAATCTTAACATATAAAAACTGTGCCGGTTACATACATCATCTAGTCACTGAAACTTGTTTGGACAACAAAGTGGGCGTACGCAAAAACCTCAATTTGACAATAGTGGAGTCCTGGCCTCGAGCTAGCGGCGATTTGTTGTTTTCAAATGATGATATAATTTGCGATTGAGAGCAAGGCATCCTGAAGCATGCCTAGCTTCAATACGGGATACTTGTGGAATGCGATAACTTTATTTATCTGACAATTAATTAACGCACAATAGTAGCTGCTCTAAAAGCCGGTACTAGCACCAGACGGACTGTTTCAGGAGAAACATACCATTATTGACAGATGAGGCGCGCTTCATGAAAGGAAGTATTTGCGGGACTCACAGCGGCAAAACATTATGTAGTTCTACTCTAAGATTGGGGGTGCTGTAAAATGATGAAAAAAGTTCGCCTTTGTTGATTTCCGATGAAAACTCAAAAACTTTAACACCAAGATCTACTCTGATACAGCACTCGCAGAACGTAGCTATTGTCGCATGGTAGAATTTTCAACGACGATTGTCCGTAGCTGTTTATACAACTCTTGCTGAGGTCGCTACAGACGATATGGCATATGTGGCGGTTTATGTGTCTAAGTAATGATTTGATGCTGGCGGACGGTGAGAAGGGTTGCTGAACCAGGGAAGGAATGTCAAGCTCCAGGTATGCTCAGGTCGAGAACAGTGTACGTTGTCTCTTTGGATTTCTAATCAGTTTGATAGGCGCTTCTTACTAACATGCACTTTTAGAACAATCAACGCTTGGATGAACTTGCGAACAAACTTTCCACATTTCGTGGCGTGAATGAGGAGATCGGTAATGACGCTCGCGCAGACTCATCAGTGATGAACCAACTCCAAAATCAGTTTGACACTATGATGCTGAAAGTAAGAAACTCATCATCGCGACTCACCAGGTCCATAAATTCAGGAAATAGCATATGGAGGATGGTGGGCTTGTCGCTTTTGGCCTTTTTCATTATGTACGCTTTATTCAAATTATTCTAACTCGCTCAAGTTTCTTGCAGTCAAGTGTAGACCTAAGTGGTTCGCCGTGCTCCAGCGTTTACCGCTTTGTCGTAGCAGTTTTACTTGAATTGATTTTCAGCAGAATCCTTACCTAACCTGTAGGTTCCTATTCCCTTGCCCCATGATATTTTGGAGCGGGTTACTGGCAGCCTCCTTCTTAGCAATTTAAAGTCCCTATCATTCATTTGCGCGAACGATGCCCCCATCTCCTCTTCAAGCTTTGCATCCAGTTGCTTGATCGACACTATGGCATCAGATGTCGCTGATTCCTGGACCTCTTTTTTGCACTGGAAACTAACGTTTCCATCCTCAAAGTAGTGTATGTTTACTTCGATCACTCCGCGAAGATCGTGCGTCTCTAAATCGTAGTGGTAAATAGATCTCCAATGGCCATTCCAAAAGTTTCCGGGGCTGTATTTTGTACTGACTATCGTTAAAATGACCTCTTTAGACTCTCCACCCTTCGAATAAACTGCATAGGTAAGGTCGCCGGGAAAAGCTTTGCTTGCGTAGTTTTCCAACTGCACATAAAGCCTTCTCTCTTCATCACTGAGGAACTTTTCACATTTCTCAATGTCAAGGGCTTTACGGTTCAAATGGTCGACAGAAAACATGGTAGAGCTCTCTGGATCAAAAAACTTGGAGCCCTCCTTATTGTACGGTGAGATTATGACCGACTTACCGTCGACATCAATAGGAATAAAGTTCGAGACATTGAACTTCGCAATCGCATCTAAAATTGTATCTTCCGATTGCTGACCCGCAATTAGTTTCAGGTCTTTATAAACATGCTGAATTTCACCAGAAGGTGTGCTAGAGATTATGGACTCGATGATGTTATCGAATTGGGATGCCATGGTATTACGGTTCCCTAAGCTCGTGGCCACGCTTGAGTTTTACTTTTCACTTTAAAGGGATATATATAATATAGTAAGCTTGAATATTTTCGAATACGAAAATAAATGCCATGCGGTACTTCGTGCAAAAGATGAAAAATGTTTGTGACTAGAGAACTCACTGACCTTTAAGGCATGATGCCTGTTGATAATGATTAACTCTTATTGCACCTTGTTGATTTTTTGATACTTGCGGTCCTCTATTAAGGTGGGGCTGAAATCTTCAATCTAATTTTCTGCTGTATAGATAATCAATGATGGCGGTTAGTAGGATATGTCGGTTGCAAACTCATACTTACTTCTTGCTGAGTCGAAAAGGGTGGTTGTGCAAATCGCTGTGGGCTTTGTGAAGGATGGCTCACTGCTTGTTGACTTTGCGAGGGTTGCAGGGTACCATGCTGCTGATTACGTGACTGTGAATAGGGCCGTTGCAAATCTTGCTGAGGCCCTTCTCCAGTGAGGAAACTTTGAGCATGCACGTATCCTCTGTATGGGCTTTGTTGATTAACCTGCGTCACTGCGGCTTGCGATTGCTGCTGAAGCTGTGGGATTGAATGCGGCTGTTGTGAGGATAGCGAAGTACGTGATGGCTGGAATTGTTGCGCTTGCGGTGTTGTATAGACTTGACTTGCACGATCGAGTAGTTGATTGTACGACGCTTCTGCGTCTGCCAAAATTTTGCGTAAAGAAGAATAATCTTCACGCTGTTGCGCGTATGTCCCTATAAGTTTGGTCAATTGAGGTCGCAGAGGAGTAATTGAACTATAAAGGTCCGTAACGTTTTGATCCTGCGTCACGCCAAAGTTATCATGGGACCCTCTCATAATAGCATGCAACTCTTCGACCTTAGAAACCTGGTCTAAAAGCATTGCCTCTTGAACACGATCCTCTTCCTGCTCATGTGAAGATTTTTCAGCGACGGGTGTAACATAATTCAACGGAAAGATTCCAACTTTGCCCCGTAGGCTCCCTCGCCACCAGTCGCGGTAAACTTTCTCTATAACGCTTATCACATCACCATTTCGAAAAGAAAGCTCCTCAGAATCCCTTCCATTGAGGTCGTGAAGAGCACGAACTTTCCTCACGGCTGTAGAGGTTTGTCCAAGGGGGCCCAGAGCTGTGGTCGATGCTCTTGTTTGTGATGAGTGAGCTTGTCCATTATCAGTCGTAGCTATTTTTGAGTTGTCGCCTCTATTCTTATATTCTAAAATTGACAATCTGAGAGCTTCCTCTAATTCCTTTTCCTCGTTGCGCTGACTTTCTTCCGATAGCTTACTTTTTTGAGGGACGTCTTGTTTCTCTAGCAAATCAGGGTTTTGGTCTTGAATCTTTTTCTTCAAGTCTTGCATCGCTTTCAAGGAAGGGTCGTGCTTGAAGGAGTCACTTAATTGTGTAACTGTTTTCGCTATTTCAGTTTTGACAATCCAATGTACGCCGGGGTTATCGATCACAGATAAAAGCTGCTTGGTGAAACTCTTGGAACTAACGGCCTGTTGCAAGCGCGAGCCGCAATTCTCTGCTAATGATACTACTAGGGATAAAGTGCGCAAAATAACATTTGCATCCTGTTCGTTGAGCCTCTCCTGAACGATTTCGACGGCCAACTGGCCACCATCCTCAGGATCTTCTTTTACAAGATCACAAACATCTATCAGGTACTGCCAATTATCTGCACGCAATTTTCCATCTGTAGCCCGAAGAATTGCGCTACGTAATGTCGAGTTAGATCGCATGATGCCGCAAATGGGGTTTTCGTCTTGGAATTACGACGAAAGGGATGAAAGAAATCAATTTAAAAGTTAACATTTACTCGGTAGATATACAAAGATAAATATGTCAATTACAGAATGGGCCAACTTGAGTGTCAGTCTGCCCGAAAAATCCTTTTAAGCATATTTATATCTTAAGCAGGCAGCTAGTGGCCACGTCGTGTTCAATAACTTGTAGCATGTCAAAAACCAGGGGGGGATTGACTACCTCTCACAATTCATTTCCCAGTCATTCGCACGGAAGCCTAAATAGATGTGGCAAATCTGCGAAGCACTTTCTATATGCTGCAGGTGGTGACAGATAAGCAAACCACTACAATGCAGGAGGCAGTTGGAGGACCACAAGCAACAATGCAGATTCTTAGATCACGTCACATCTTGTTTCCAATCAAGTGACAAAGCCGATTGTTGTCTCAACTAAGCCGGTAAGCAGCTACAGCCTTCACCTACTTCTTCTTCAATCTTTTGAGCTATTGGACGTGTGTAATGCTATGGCAAGATTAAATAAATTGAGCTGTTCATCAGCTGAGAATAGGATCTAGCCAGAAACAACAGTGCTATACTATTCCACGAGGGTCAGAGTTAGAGTCTATATCATGTCATCAAAGCATCTGCAGCCTCCAGGACGCCAGAGACGTACGTCCTCTGTTGGCGCCATCAATCTCGGCGACACCACGGTTCCAGGACTCACAACCATGCAAGAGAGTGTGGAGTCCAAAACGGCGGCTCAAGCACGATTGCGTGCCCTTTCAGAAGCCCCAAAGGGCGATGCGGACTTGATGAGAAAGTTTTGTCTAACTTATCGCGAAATGAGCTATAGACATACATGGTTAACTCCGCTTGTATTACTTGCAGCTGTTTACGGTGCCTACTTCCTCTCCGGCAACTTGACACCGTCAAACCCATTGCATCCATTTGTGGCAGTGTCGTATCAGGTCGGAGACTCCGACATGTATGGTAAGGGTATTCGTGATCTATGTTTTGTGTTTTTCTACATGATATTCTTTACGTTCCTTCGCGAGTTTTTGATGGAAATGGCTTTACGCCCCCTAGCATCTCTCATGGGCATTGTTGGCGAGCAAAAGACGAAGCGTGTTATGGAACAGACGTACTCGATGGTATATTATGGAATATCGGGGCCATTTGGCGTTTATATCATGTATTATACGGATTTGTGGCTGTTCGCGACCAAGCCGATGTATGCAACATACCCCGACCTGACAAATCAATTTCTTTACAAGGTTTTCTACCTTGGCCAAGCTGCCTTCTGGATGCAGCAAGCTTGTGTTATGGTGCTACAGCTGGAAAAGCCAAGAAAAGATTTCAAAGAACTGGTTTTTCATCATATTATTACTTTGGCTCTCATTTGGCTCTCATATGTCTTCCATTTTACGAAAATGGGCCTTGCCATTTATATCACGATGGACATCTCTGATTTTTTTATATCCTTATCCAAAACTTTGAACTACATGGATTCTATTCTAACACCACCATTCTTTGTCTTGTTTGTGATCAGTTGGACGTATTTGCGTCACTACGTTAATCTAAAAATTTTATGGTCTGTTCTAACTGAATTTCGCACTGTTGGTAACTACACGCTGGACTTTGCCACCCAACAATACAAATGCTGGATTTCGCTTCCTATCGTTTTCACCTTGATATTTGCTCTACAACTTGTGAACTTATATTGGTTACTTTTAATCTTGAGAATTCTCTATCGGCTATTGTTCAAAGGTATCCAAAAAGATGAAAGGAGCGATACGGAATCGGAAGATGAGGGAACAAGCGCCGAAGCTTCAGCCAGCGGCACCATTGAGAGCTCACAGAAATCAGACAAAAAGAAGGAGAAATAAATCTCTGGACTCATAAAGATCTCAGAAGGCAGTTTTATGATATCAACGACGCATTCCCCAGAAAGCGACACAACCCGTTGACTGTTGTTTTTATTTTATTTTTTGCGTGCGCTATAAGAATAAAATTTCATACAACAGTCCGGCTGAACAATCATTTGACACCGTTATATAGGTACATGCATCTTTTAATTATTATGTACAGGGATCTTCACCACTTTATGCTTTACTGTGAGGTCACTTTAGCCAAGCGCGCTTCAAGACCATTTTGTCCGGCTTTGGCCAAAACGCTCAAAATTAGATTTACCGATCGTAGGGAGTCATCATTACCCGGGACTGGGTAGGTCACCAAGGATGGTTCTGAGTCTGTATCGATTATGCCAATGGTAGGAATTCTGGCCTGCATAGCTTCATTTAATGCGTTTCTGTTCTCTGTCGGATTTAGAATAACCAATAGGTCGGGTTTGACGATCCCGGCCTCTTCGTCAGCAGTAAGCTGCCGGTTGGTTGGAATGTCAGCAAAGTTGACCTCATGTCTTTCCCACACACTGGAAATTTCGGTTGGATTGGTTAGCGTGCCGGGTATCCATCTGGTGGACACATAAAACCCGTGAGTTCTCTTTGCAGCCGCTTGAAGGGCTCTTTTTTGTCCTTCTCTGGTCCCGAGAAAAAGGATCGTACCGCCCGCCTCTGCTATACCTTGCACGACGGCTGCAGCTCTTTTTAAGCAAGCCAAAGTTTTATTAAGATCGATCACATGAATGCCCTTATACTCACCATAAATGAAAGGTTGGGTACTGGATCTCCACAAGGAGGTTGACTGGCCTAAATGAACACCAGCAGCGAGTAGCTTAGAGATGGAGAGTTGATCGACAGTTGGTGGATTGAAAATATCTTTATGAGGAAAATACACATTTTCCAGCGTAGCACCTAGCTTGGCAGTTTTATCAGCGTGCTTCATCTGACGCAGATATAATTCCTGCTCAGAATAAGGCTTATCTTTTGGAGAAGGCACAAGGAAAGGAAAAGACTTTGTGCGGGATTGAAAGGATTGTTTGTGGGTTTCCTCGTTTTCCAGTTTGGGCTCAACTACCTTATTTAGCTGAGAAAATTGTCTCAGAAAAGAGGTGAGCTCTTCATCTAGTTGCTTCTCTTTCACTCTCAACTCTTTGCTAAGAGATTTTTGAAAGTCAGGAATCTCATCAGTATTTGTTTTGGAAAACTTTCTCAAGATTTCCTTGACTTGATCATTGTATTCTCTTTGGCGCAAAACTGATAGTTCATCTTGAGGTTCAGAACTGCTCTCCTCGTTGGCTGAATTTGGGGCAAGTGCCGATTCAGTGGAGATGTTTGGTGTGTTCAAGGTACCGATGCTTCTGGTGTATACACGCAACGAATGACCAGATTTGAGAGTTAGGGAGCGCGTAACAGCTCGTAAACTCGCATACATCTCACCAGGAGTGAATTGACTCGCGACTTTTAACCTTTTTGTTAATGCTTTCCAGTTTTATTCTTCGATCAACTTCAAATTTTTCAGAAATTGAGCGTAATTTATAATGAATCTTATTTACTTAGCGCCAGCCAGAGATATCCTCCCGCAGGGTCAAGCACGATTGAGACATGAACTAAGTTGAGTAGTTGTACATTTGTATTGATGGAGACAGTCCTATCTCAATTGATACTGGAAGAATGTGAGGTACCCAGCACCTTGATATTTGCATTAGGAAGCACTGCTCGTGAGTTTTTTGAAAATGATCTCACAAGCTCTGCAGGTACGATGTCCAGCGTCCGCGCTGTGGTAAATGCTCAGCAACACATTAAAGTTTTATTCTTGAATAAGTTGCAATATCTGTACATGTACTTGACTAAATTTGAAGTTGAGGATGGCGAAGGCAAACTCACATTCAAGAACCTGATAATATTTGGGCTTGACGAATCATTGGGCCTTTCAGATGATCAACTAGCCTGGCCGCAGGTTCGACTTTCTAACCTCATTTACAATCTGGCTTTCAAGATTAAGTCAAGATATCAAGTTGAAGTTCATTTTGTTCCTAGTGGAGATCTTCCTTGTGATGCGCTTAATCAAATGGAACAGTATTGGAGAGAAGTGTGTTAATGACTCCTCGACGTATAATAGAGATAGCGTGCACAGGCTGCCACTATGGAGCAATTGGAAGCGTAGTGGCTTAATTTCGATTCGGCACCCCCCGTTAGACTTAAATTACATATGTAGTTTACAATGAATTGTTTATGCAGATTCCATGTTTATATTGACCTTTTCAACGGCAGTGCTCTCGTTGTCAAAGTACGCAGCGACCTTGACTTTAAACTCAGCTGCAGCAATGCCAAATTGTTTGAGAATTAGCGCTTGACGCACGTCTAAGGTTTGGCCCTTTTCGCAAACTAGATAAGGGCTCTCTATGGTAATTTTACCACTCTTGATTTTGGTGGGAATCTTATACTTGTTCCTCATGGTGGGCTCGAGCGAGTGCACCATCACAACGTCGTCTTGGATGGGAATCTGCCCACCACGCGAGTAAACAATACCAGCCGGTATCTCGAACGTCAACGGAGCTTTAGATTTGGGCCTGGAGTAATCTGCCCTCACATATGACTCGAAGTAGTCCTTGACAACCTGGGGTTCCTCATCGGTGAATAATAGGCCCGTTACACCAGTGCAGTGCTTCGTGAGTTTGGATAAGTTTTCTTTATACTCATCCTCTCGTTTCTGACCGAGAGCCTTTTCCAAAACCTTCCGCTTGCCCATGATGAGCTTTGATCCTGTCCACGCTGAACGAATCTCTTGGAGAACAGGGGTACGTACATCATCCAAATGAAGCACCCACACAAATCTGAATGAGTCTAAACCCTCACGGATTTCATCGAAGATGCGCTCTTTGTTTTCTCTGCCTTTTTTATCGGTTTGAGCGAGAGTAACCAGCTTAGAACGTTTAGACCTTGGCATTGTAAACAATCAAACGAAGCCCTAAGGTATTGTGGTTCCTTTAAAGTTCTCCTCAAGTGTGAGAAGATAAATACTAGATCGGAAAGCCTACTTTTCTCAGGGTTTGTAATAATACTGCGTTCCGGCTTGAGGTATCTTCGAAGCGATGAGCTAAAATTTTTCAGAAACCATGCTAGCTCATCGCCGCATGGGCGGCCAACAATCATTAACCAAAACAATTATTCGTAGAAACGTCTAAATTATCCTTATTAACGACATCATCATGCACGCAAATAATTATCACATGATAGGTTTCAGTGTCAATTAATATCAGCATGTACGTAGTTTACCTTAAAGTAGTTTGGTGCCAGAGCATGGGACATTTACTCCACAGCACAGACTACAAAATACCTTGAGTTTACCAACGAGTGTGATTGCTCCCAATTATAAAATTGAGAAACTCTTGCTTGATGGAAGGTGGCTACGAAAACGAGGAGGATTTTGTGATCCACGCAAATACTTCGTCCCTCGAAGATGTGGAAAGCGGGCTGGAAGAGTCCACTGAGTCTCACGAATATGAGTATCCCGATGAGGAAGAGGATGATGATCTCGATGGGGACGAAGAGTCTTTGCACTACCAGGATAGTCGTGACACTCGTTATCAAGCAGACGACGGCGGTGAGGAGGAAAGCTCCTTCCAAACTGGTTTTTCCGACACGGATCGTCAGCATCTACATAATAGCATGAACCGGCCTCAAGCATCATTGCATCAACTTCTTGGATTTCTCTCACAAGGCATGGAAGTTCATGGCATCTCTCGCGAAGCTCAGGCTGATCGGGGTGCAACTACAACTAATCGCCATACTCGTGGAGTGGACATCCACGATATTTTCCCAGAGATGTTTGGCTTTGGAGGCGCAGGGCATTCTCTATCTTCCAATCGATCTAATGGACGTATTACAAGACTTCTGGATAATGTCGCTTCTTGCGAAGAAGATCCATACATGGCTCAAGAAAGCCTGCGAGAGATATCCGAGCAACTTCTTATGATGAACTCTCTGACAGCCGAGCGTCTAGTACCACAAGAAGAGTTACTGACTAGCATTATCAAAATTTTAAAGGACCCACAGTTACAGGAGCAACTTGAGTTACAGATGATCGCGTGTCGATGCTTGTATAACTTGTTTGAGGTGAACCCGGGTGTAATCGATCTCGCAGTTGATCGACAGGTTATAACTTGTTTGCACGCGAAGCTTTTGGAAATCAGCTATATTGATCTCGCTGAGCAGGTTTTAGAGACTTTGGAAGTCATATCCAAATCACACGGACGAGAAATTCTGGAGGCTGGCTGTATGATGGCTTGTATCCAGTATCTAGATTTTTTCACGTCGCATGCTCAAAGGAAGGCGCTTACCATTGTGGTAAACTCTTGTGCTAGAATCCGCACTGAAAACTTCCAGCAGGTAGCAGACGTAATGCCTACCTTGAAACAGGTATTCTTAACTCACTCAGATCATACACTACTACTAAGAATACTAGACGGGCTGTACGGTATTTGCAGTGGCTTTCGAAAAGAACTTTATCTTTTGACGAAGCTGTTTGACTATGGGTTCGTCGAGAGAATAATGCAACTTATGATTAATGGAGAAACGCGCCTTGAGGCTCGACTTAAGGCATTCGACATCTTATCTCAGGTAGCCATCAGTTCGAACAATCTCGCCACTCAAATTATCGCATCTCAAAAAGTAATGGACGTAATTATGAACTCTATCAATGACTTCAAAAAAACGTCGAAATCACCATTGCATGAGAGGATAATGTTTGCTCCGAAGTCACTGCTGCTAAGCATTGCGAGATTTTTAGTTCTTCTATTGCCTTTTGAGGATGATCCTGTATTTTCGATTGTCGACGGTGATGGGATTAACCTGAATGGTATTGGAAATGAGCTGAAGCGACTCATAGACGAGATCACTCCTATAATGATTGAAATTTATGTCAATACTGGTGACTTTCAAATAAGAAAGTTAATACTCATTGGGCTAGCTCGTTCCAACTCTTCACAATTACCCTTCGTTTCTACAAATATTGATCGACACGTAATATCCATGTTAGCGTCCACTTTCGCGAGACAGGGCCCAACCTTTACAGAAAGTGGATTCAATGATTTGGAGTCAGGTGCCTTACTGCTGGGTTGCACATCTTTAGCCAGAGCCTTGATAGACAAGAATCCCGCTCAATATTTACCAGCTTTTAGACGCGAGGGTATTTTCAGCGTGCTCACTTCGATTTTGGAGAAGCTACCTTCACACTTTGATTCAGGCCCTTCTGATGAACTAGAACGAAGGGAACAAGAGGCGAGTGGTTCAGATAATGAGGATCTATCTGAAGCTAGCATAGACTCCGGGACAGATGGTGATTACGATATGGGTTTCGATGAATTTGAAGGTGTCAGCCAGATTAAACCGAGGAAAATATATTTTAAGGTATTTTCTCGTTTGAATATGGCCAGTGTCAAACACGACCTATATCGGAACTTGAAGAAAATCACGGCTATATCCACCGACGAGAACAACAGTAACATCAAGGACCTGAACGAAATTGGCTCATTGGTTCAAGAACTTCGATGCGTGCATGTCGATTCAAAAACGTATGAATATTGGGTTGCTGTATGGAATGACGTTAAAAACAGGTTATTTTCGACCAATTTTACTATCTCCAGCTTTGAGTTTATTAGTACTGGGCTAGCTCGGGAGATGGCCAAAATCATTCATGCAAATGGGGAAAAGAATTCTATTTGCCAAAGAGCCATGGTAGGTGCGTTTTCTGATAAAGTGAAACAATTTATTCAAATTCTGCAGGCCGCTTTGACCAGAATTGAGTCTTTTCCCGTAATCGATTGTGGTCTAGCTGGTGAAGAGGGAAAGGCAGCATCTTTGGGGAAACAGGTTAAAATCAAACTTGAATATGCTGGGGATGCTGAAGAGGACCAAATTCCGATTAGCTTACGTTCAATTACTATTTTTATTCATTGCATTTCTTCATTCAAAGCTCTGAACGACTTTTTAAAGCATAGATTGCTGCAATCACACTTGATCGACTCGGCAATGCCACAAGCTGGCGTTCGAGCAGAAGAGGTCCAAACATTGGACAAATGGGATCTCGGCTTCACGTTTGAGGACAAAGAGTGTCCTTATCATTCGACTATATTTGGTTCGATCTTTAACCCAACGGCAGATAATTCCCACTTTTGGAACGAAATTCATGTGGTAAAATTCAAAAAGATGAAAGACAACGTCAGGGACCAGATCGAGGACCAGACAATCGGAAAGCTATATACTGAAGAGGTCACTAATAATGAAAAGAATCCAGTATACGACATTCTTATACTTTTGAAAACTTTAAGTGGTTGCATTGAGGATGAATCTTTTGTGAACTCAAAAATAAGCGCCAAGCTGGCGCGTCAATTGGAGGAGCCGTTGATTGTTTCTGGAGGCTGTCTTCCAGGTTGGACCTTGAGCATAACAAAAGACTATCCTTTTCTGTTTCCACTAGACATCAGGATATTCTTTTTACAAAGTGCCTCATATGGATATGGAAGACTAATACAAATATGGAAAGATCGCTCAAATGGCAACAAGGGGGTAGGAATTGATACTGGACTACACCAATTAGGTAGGCCAACGCGTCACAAGCTAAGGGTTTCTAGAGATAGTATCTTCTTAAGTGCTCTGAAAATTTTATCGAAATATGGCTCTTCTCCCAGCATTCTGGAAATCGAATTCATGCATGAAGTTGGAACGGGATTAGGCCCCACAATGGAATTTTATGCCATAGTGTCGAGAGAGTTCGGGAGAAGAGTATTGGGCTTATGGAGATGTGATAATTATAGTGCACATGAGGATAATTTCGTCGAAGGACTTCTGTTTCCTGCACCGTTGGCTGCTTCGAAGGACCATGATCGTACTTTAGAGCTATACAAGCAATTGGGTTTGTTTGTCGCGAGGTCTATGTTAGACAATCGTATTTTGGATTTTCGCTTTAATAGAGCTTTTTTCGAGCTTGCTCACTTGTATGCAGAAGAGGGGAATCTGGATTTCGGAGATACAGAGTTTATGCTTCATCTTTTGGATATGGTGGACCCGCAGCTTTCCAATTCTTTGAGGTTTTTGCTCGAGCATAAATATGACGACCTAATAGAGACTTTGTCTCTTACGTTTCAATTACCTGGCTATAATGTAGAGTTGATTCCTAATGGGGCAAGCATTGCCGTTACCAAAGAGAATTTCGGTACTTATTTCCGTTGTGTTTTGAATGAAACTATCGGGCCCGGAGTCGAGAATCAAATTCGCAGCTTCATGAGTGGTTTTTCGCAGACATTTCCCTACCGCTCCTTGTTGATACTGAGTCCGGTTGAATTGACTGAGTTATTTGGACGGACCGAGGAGGATTGGACTGTATCAACACTTGTTGCGAATGTTGAGGCTGACCATGGCTACACAAATGACTCGGAAACAATTCGTGATTTGATTTCATTAATGGTCTCATTCTCGTACAAAGAACGGCGACTATTTCTACAGTTTTTGACCGGATCGCCAAAATTGCCCGTTGGGGGATTCAAAAGTCTCAATCCAAAGCTTACTATTGTTCGCAAGCACACGGAAGGAGATTTGGGGCCCGACCACTATTTGCCTAGCGTCATGACATGCGCCAACTACCTCAAACTGCCAAAATATAGCAACAAGAATATCATGGAATGTAGAATCAAGCAGGCAATGAAGGAAGGATCGGGTGCTTTTTTGTTATCCTGAATTTTTAGCCCCCCCCCCCCACAGTAAGTGATAAATACTGCCGCGTAGCCTTAGCGTAGGATATAGCAGAATACTTTTAGTAATCTATTGCTCTCCTGAGGTATGTACTTTACGGGTGCTTTAATGATACTTAATACCTAGCAGCTACGAAGAAACTTGAGAGCTAGGGAAAATGTCTGGCGCTTGTATTGTGTCGACCTGATGTAGCTAGACAACTGAATATGTGCATATTTTCATATCTGTATGTGATAAATTTTCTATTCTTGTTGGTTCACTAAATTGTGATAATCCTTTCGTTAATCTTCGGGATGGTTCTTGAGATGACTTTGAAGCTGTGAATATTCTTACATTGGACTTCCTTGCACTATGGCTGCATACATATTACAAAACTGATTAGCTTCCGGTTCCTGTGCATAATCATTAGAATAAAACGACACCTTAGACTTCGCGAATATCGAAGAGAATTACCCATATATTCAATCTATAAAAAGTTTAACTAAGATAATGCCATCGAAATTGAGTAAGGTCAGTAAGTATTAGGTTTTTGAAGTGGCTATCCTCAAAGACCACGTCTTCTCGGATACCCAACCAAAGCAGATCTTAACACGTGACCGTTTGGGTATTGCTTCTCGACAGAAACTAAAAATTGATGGTTGATACGGTATAACGTGCGCAGAATAACACGGTTCAATCCTGAAGCCTGACCAGTACGTTCCTTTACCGCGATACAGGCCTCACTGTAGTAACTGTATTTTTGTGGCTTTAGGATCTAGGTGAATGTTCAGCCAACATTGCCAGCAATTGATAGATCAATAAGAGAATTCCCTAGCTCGAACGTTATTTCAAGACACCAATACTCTTAGGCTAACTGCTATCATAATTTTATCACAGCCCTATCAAGTTCCGGAATGGTAGATAGCGGTGCGGAAATGTTTTCAGCTTCTCCGCATGAAACTGTTGCTGAGAATCGTGTAACTTCTGCAGCAACGTCACCAACAGCAAGCGAGGATGCAAGAACTAGCTACGAGTTGCCACGAACACCTGCAACACTGAACGTTAATGCTCTACAAGGAAAGGAAAGTGTATCTGTAACAGATATGTCTGAAATTCCTGACTACAAATCCATGGACCCCGGTAAGCGCAAAGGTCCTCAGGTTACAAGTGTAACCGAAATTTTACGAGCTACTTCCCTGGATGACCCAATACAATTCACCCGGGTTTCATCGTCGTCAGCACTCAGTGGTAGCTCTATAGAAGAAAATGATGCTTTCATTGGAGATCCTGTGGAGGAGATTAGCGCTACTAAACCCCCTCCCTCTCAACAAAACAAATCGGGATATGACTCAGGGTTGCTCGACCTTCATGAGCAGAACACCCTTGGTGATAAAACAGAGTCCACAATACGGGCGTCAGATCACTATAACGCTGAATTGACAGCTAACACAAACGACTCTATTATATTGTCGGGGGACCATGGCACTCCAATATCTCATGATTTCTCAACGCGAAATAGCTCTGCAGCGAATGTAGACAGCCAGCTCAAAGTAAGCACACCAAAAAGCGATCATGCCCGCGATATCCCCAATAGAGATGCACTCGAGCAGGTCACAAATGGTGCATTGAACCAAGAGCCAGATAGCCATATATCTGAGGACAGCCATCGACAATCACAGGTTGATCCTTCTCAAACAAAAATCCATCAAAGTGCCGCTGAGAAACAACCTTATGTAACACCAACTTTGACACAGGGCGAGTTTCGCCAGTTGCAACAACCCAACACTGGAAATAAAAAGCAAACTCCAAAATCATCATTCCAAGTAGTCACTTCACCATTCAACAATGCGAGAATGAGCTCTCGGTATGGTGAAGTGACTCCTGAGAGTCTCAAATCGCAATCCCAAACTCCTTCGCCAGGGTTTGACGATAAAAAACGGAAGAGTGGTGGCAGCAGAATGAAAGGTGTGTTTTCATCGCTGATGCAGAATATGAAGAGAACCTCACAGGGGGAAAAAAGACAATCCAACTCGAGTCTCAAGATATCAACGCCATATAATCCTAAACACGTTCATCATGTAGGAGTTGATACCAAGACAGGAGAGTATACCGGCCTACCTGAGGAATGGGAAAAGCTTCTGACGTCAAGTGGGATCTCCAAACGCGAACAGCAGCAACACCCACAAGCTGTCATGGACATCGTCAAGTTCTACCAGGATGTAACGGAAGCGAATGGCGAAGATAAAGTTTTTAAAACGTTCCACGTTGGAAATTCTGGAAAGAATATATCCAGTACCTCTTCTTTCAGAACACCATCAATGCCGTCCAAGGGGGGTCCTGCTACTTTCAAACCTCAGCCTCTCAATGGCATCAATCTCGATGGGTCTGCTGCTGAACTCCAATCGCCGATTAATCTGAGAGAAGTTGCTAAGTCAGGTACTTCGGTGGGCAATGAAAGGTACATGCCGAGTCGTCCGGCCCCCAAACCTCCAGGAACGCCCAGCAAGAACGATATAACTTCGCCTCTCGCACATCCAGCTTCCCCTCACTTCTCGCCCCAGGTGACTAGAGCTAGCAGTATTACGTCAGGGTTCAAAGCTCTTTCTCGAAAGGGTACGTCGACAAAATCCGACCAAGCGCAAAGTGCTCAGGCTCCGAATAAAGTCAGCACTTTTAGCGGAAAATCACAAGATTTGCCCGGTGTCAGTTCTCCTGTAAGGGCTGCTCCTCCCCCACCTGTGCCTAAGGATGTGCTTAAGGAAGAAGGTAGCACCAATGACATGCAGAAGGTTATAGAATCGAAGAGAGAAGACAGAAGAAAGAAGATACAGCAATTGTACGCAACCCTTACTGAGATATGCTCTGACGGGGATCCAAGTAAGCTCTACAAAAATCTCATCAAAATTGGACAGGGTGCGTCGGGCGGTGTCTACACTGCCTATGAAGTCGGCACGAATGCGTCTGTCGCCATCAAACAGATGAACTTGGAGAAGCAACCCAAGAAGGAGCTTATTATCAATGAAATCTTGGTCATGAAAGCAAGCAAACATCTCAATATTGTCAATTACATCGATTCCTATTTATTGAAAGGAGATTTGTGGGTGGTCATGGAATATATGGAGGGGGGTTCATTAACGGATGTAGTGACCCATTGCATACTCACAGAGACCCAAATTGGAGCAGTGAGTAGAGAAACGTTGAAGGGCCTACAGTTTCTCCATTCTAAAGGTGTTATACACCGAGATATTAAGTCTGACAACATCTTATTGTCCATGACTGGAGAGATAAAGCTGACGGATTTTGGATTCTGTGCACAGATTAACGAGACTAACTTAAAACGCACGACAATGGTTGGTACGCCATACTGGATGGCACCAGAAGTCGTATCTAGAAAAGAATATGGACCTAAGGTGGATATATGGTCCCTTGGTATCATGATCATAGAAATGATTGAAGGGGAACCGCCCTACCTCAACGAAACTCCGCTACGTGCTTTGTATCTCATTGCCACCAATGGCACGCCAGAATTGAAAGACACCGAGAACTTGAGTAAAGACATGAGGATTTTTTTGGCATGGTGTTTGCATGTTAATCCTGAAGAGAGGGCATCGGCGTCGCAGCTTCTTGAAGATCCGTTTATTGCAACATATGCCGACGATGTTAGGTCTTTAGCCCCTCTTGTAAAGCTTGCAAGAATGAAAAAACTGGCGGAAAAGATGGAAGAGGATGATGAAAGTGGTGAAGAAGACATTTGATTTGTAATTTAGAACACCTTTGGAAGCAGTGCACTAATAATGAATACGAGGTTTTCGCTATCAAAGGGGAATGGGCAATATTGAATTTCTATTGTATTATATGTTCATAGATTTTAAACTAAGTGGCTTTGTAGTTAATTCTGCATGTTACCTGCTTCAACTTCTGGATATGCTCATATCACTTAGTGAATTTCTCGTATCTTTACCATCGCCAATTTTGTTGTATAATTCAACACCATCAGAGAAGATATTGACTTGCACGAAATACATTTTCGCAGTGGTTCTCCCCTTATTATCAAGAGCATAGTCATTATGTGCTGGAACTTGAAAGCTGCATCCCTCGGTACACAGAAAGCTGTTATCGTTGATTGTAACTTCAAGGACTCCTGTTATGACGTAAAAATTTAGGAAAACATTATTGGCATCAGAAGGCCTCTTCCTTGATCCTATAGGTATTGTCAGTATCCCACTGGCAAACAAGTGGCGTTGTTTGTCAAAAAGTGCTTTCAACATAAATTCTTTACCGCCATTTTGAAATTCGGGCTCCAGTTCTGGAGGCTGCCTTTGTGCCAAGACCTCTTCTCCTTCTTCACCACTTGCAGAAATATGCACTTGTCCTTTAAAAATCCCCTCAGAAAACCACTCAGAGCGCTGTATGAAGCCCGATTTAATTTTTTCTATCAATTGCTGATCTGCGGATGTGCCCACCCTTGCGTTTGTGAGGCTTTGGTTTTTTCTGGGTCTGCCTCTAGGTCGCCCTGAAGGAGCGTAATTGAAGGGTCTAGTATTTGCTTTTTTATTCCTTTTCATTTCTTCTTCCTCATCGTCATCTTTCTCGAAAGTAATAACTTTGTCAATTTCCAGCACAGGTTTCTTCGACTTACGTTTGTATACTACTCTCTCGTTCCTCCAGTACTCTAAAGGTGCTATCTTAACGCGATTGGACTTTCTTACACCATTGACTTTAGAATAATTAACATCCTCCCCCAGCGTTCGAGCCTGATTCTTCATAAAATCTTCCTCGGAGCTACTATCCGAGGCTTCTTCTTCAATAGCTCTCCTAACATCTTGTTTTTTCGTGGACCTGCCAAGAAGGATACCGGTGTCATTTCCTCCCTCACTATCATCGTCATGGGAGGAAGCTGCAGAGCTATCGTCGTCGCCGTCTGAAGAGGAAGGCCTCGTGCGGCCAACTTTATGCTGAACTCTTTCTCCGATATGGTATTGATCATTATCGTTGTGGGGTTGATAGTCATAATCTATCTCATCCTCCATTAAAGCATTGTCTGAAGTATTGAAAGTCGTATTTCCGTGAGAAGGTTCATCCTCCTCGTCAGCAACTAAATCAGGGACGTCGCGGTAGCTCTCGTTTCCATAGTCTGATTCTGGCGTTTTTGGGATGGTAGCACCGTCATCTTCTTCCTCGTCGGCTTCGGTATCTCGTCCCCCCACATATTCATGTGTGGGGTGTCCAAAATTGACGGGCCGTCTTTTGGGTCTGTTTGACTCTTCAGGAAAGTTGACAAAAGCCGGTGCAGGAGAAAGCTCATCATTTATCCCGTATTCGACAGTATTGCGCTCCTCGAAGCTTTCACCGTCTTGTAATTGGCCTAGCGAGTGCTCGTTTCCGTCCTCTGGAATGGTCGGCACGCTTGGTGGAAGAAAATTAGAACTCCTTCTCGACGTATCTGCAAAGCCTTCAGGTAAAACAGATTTTTGAAAAGAAAGTAAAGACGATTTCCGGCTCTTTCTTTTGATCGACATTGAGCTTTCTTCATCCTTAAAGAACTCGTCCACATTCTCCATAGAATATTCATCCTTACCTATGCCACCCTCTATTTTGATGCCTGTCTTTCTTGAGGTTACCCCAAGATTCATATAATCCATTGTAAGCGAAATTGTTATATCTTGTCTTTGTCACAGCATCAATCCGCACATTAGTCTTCGTTGTGGTATCTGATGGCTGAAGGTCAATGATAATAAACACGAAAACTATCATCACCAGAAACGTGACATTTTCGTCCTTCTCTAATCATCGACTCCTGGTTGGCAATTTTACAGTACGCCGCCCTTCAACCACAAAGTACGATGCCTCTTCGGTGTAGACGTAGTTGTATTGATCTAAAAAACTCTTTATTGTGTTTCGCACTTTTGAAATACCTCCCACACTGTGCAGGCCACGTCCTGTAATGATCTTAATTGGGGCGATGTTTTGGGCCCTTATAAGCCTAGCACGATCAGCATTGATCTCGCGTAAGCTAATTTCCTCTTCCCACCAAGTTTCCAAGCAAGCTTGTGCTACCGCTTTCGCTTCCTGTGGGTAGAAACCGTGCAGATCAGCGGAATGAGTATTGAATAAGTCGTCGAAAATTTGCAATGCCCTTGCGTACTTATCTTTGGTATCAAAGCTGCTTTGTGAAATAGATTGTTTGTCTGACGTGGAAGAGGGTGGCCGCAGTTTAGAGGTCACATTTTTTTTAGTGCCCGTGGTAGATTCGGGAAAGCCAGAAGATGTTTGCTTAGCCACAGCGTCAATGAAAGTGTACTGAGAAGAGTTGTTATTGAGGATATATGAGCCAACTAAAGTTGTTCTTAAAATATCACCACGGTAAAACCTCAATGCAGTCTTCCAAAATAACGGATTTATGGCCTTAAGTGGTGGATTGCTAGCTATCGTCAAATTCAACTCGTAGCTGGCTCTGATTAAACTTTCTGAATCACCCTTATCCTTATCGAGCTCCTTTGTGTCTAGCCTATTGTGAGCTTCATCTCCTTGTTCATTAGATCGCTCTTTAAATCCAAAGTTCATATCCTTTCGATGCGCGAGACCGCGAGTTGATTGTACGCGTCCACCCACTCCAAGAATAGATGTACTTGGGTAAGCCGTGGTAGATTCAGGGCCACCTGATTGTGAGGTAGGTGCTTCAACTCTGAAGACATGGCTTGAAAAGTGATATATGATGTCAATTATTGCCCTAGCAGGGTTCAACGCTTGTTTATGATAAGCGATCTGTGCGATATTCTTTGGCACATCAGTGTGTTCTACAATCTCGCGTATGTGGTCGGCTGATGCATTCCATGCCTTAGTGTTTGCAGCTTTGTTTGATAAACAACCAGTTGGCTGTAGCTTCTCAAAAGAATGGATCGGCCTATATAAGCGCTTTTTCAAATTGACTGGGCCCAAGTTTGGAGACCGGGAGGTATTTTCTGTCTTCCTAGAATCCTTTGTTTCGGCTTCTACGGGGAGAACTTCATTGGTAAGCTCATCTTCGTTGGAGTGACATAAGGCTTCTTGTTCACTCAGAATCATGTTGCAGGCAACGCCGACATCGCCATTTGCACTCTCTAGAGTTTTTTCAAGTACTGATTCGTTGACATTCGGAAACAGAACGACTAATGAAGATATGGCCTCTGACATTGTTAGCTATTTTATCGTACATTGATTGGTAAATAAAAGGTCGTTTTGCAATCTTTTTCCAGCCATCGCATCGCCGCCATAAAAAACTGATAACTAGAAAATGGATCACCTCTCAGAATTAACATGAGAAACATCCCTTAACTCTGTGTCAAAATACTACGTCACTTCTTAAGACCCATTTGACACCGTCGTATACTTCCTGAGCTTCATGCAACAAACAATCGTCCCCATGCTTGTGTAAAAGGGCCATTCCAACCTGAGGATGCACAGCAGGATATTTTTGATTACTAGCTGAATAGAAAATCGTGTCCCCGCCTACTAACTGATCCCCACCAGTTAAATAAACTAATAGAGTCCATCGCGTGGTTCCTTCATTTGGAACCACCACTGAAGAATCGTAATGCTTGGCAAACATGTGCCCCTTTCCATACCTATATGTTCGTAACTGAGGGTTGAGACCCTTTGCATTCATGAATCCTAGAGTTTCCATGACGTGGTCGTCTTGCGAGAGGCACTTCAAGAGTCTTTCCCATAAAATTCCAGCAACCTTGGGATTATATGATGCGAATCTGTCATTTATTCGCTCCGCATATTCTTTTGTGCCACGCTGTCTGAAAAGCTCCATTACCCCTGCTTGTGAGAAGCTACTACATAGTTCTTGGCTAACTAGATCTGAAAGGAACTTGTTAATGATGATAACTTTATCGTCCATTATGCATTCGGGTACCGGAAGATACTCATAACGTTTGAGGCTTGAGTTCAGGCTTAAAACTGCATCAGGAAACTCGAACTTGGTAGCCTTCGTTTTTTGGGTCAAGTTCTTATCAATTCTGGAGGGCTTTCTCCCCATTTTTTTTCTTGAGATTCGATTTCGATGCGATAGCGACTATTTTACAGCTCTCTTAAGGTGCAATAAATTTGCGTTATAATCCTGTTTGAACTTCCCAATGAGTAAAGTACCAAGGTCACACGCGCATCTAATAGTCGTAGTATTTACTTTCTAAAACATCCATATTATCCTAGTCATTATGTTCCTGTATATATATGCCACGAGATTGTCTTGTACCTATGTTAAACTGTTTTACTTGCACTGTCGCACCAAGTCATCAACCACACTTTTCCGGTACGCTGGCCCAAGGCCATGGCAAACCTCGAGGCCCTTAAGGTTCTGCATCACATAATACACGTCAAACTCTTCGTCTTGAGAAAGGTCGTGGAGGTACTCCCAGGTGGCAGGCAAAGTAAGTAACCTTTGACCAGCGTGTTCGTAACTGACGCTCTTTAGCGGTAGCTCCAAAGGAGCTACATGGCTTTCGACAGCAGATTCTAAGAATTCACTTTGACTAGGGAAATGAAATTTTGGAGCTTTGGGTGTGTCTTTTTGTAAACCAATTGATGAGCCTGAGTTATTCCTGCGCAACAGAAGACGGTTTTCTGTAGTTATTTCCATGTTCTGTTGTTTTAAATCGTCAATCTCCTTACGAAGTGCCTCCTTGTCTCGTTCACTCGTCATAAGCTTTGACTCTAATTCCTTTAACTTCGCTTCTTTGCGTTCCCTGAACGCCTTCTGGGCTGCTCTGTTCTGAGCCTTTTTCCGTGCTAAAACCTCCTTTTCAGACAACGAATCTTCTTCTTGCAGGTCGTTGTGTACCATGCCAGTGGCGTTCGAGCCAGCCCTGTGACTTTTACGATCCGAGCCATTGTCATTAGAGTTTCCAGGTGAATTTGACGATGGAGAGGAAATAGATAAATTACCACGGTCACTCCAAGAAAGTAGCTCCTGAAATGTCGGATTACTTAGCTCTATGCCCTGAACCATGTTATCCCCGCTCTTAATGGCTCTTTGAAAGCTTTCATATCGCCCGTGAATGTCACTCAAATCAAATCTAATGTTACCTTCTTCAGCCTCAGGATTGCCGAGGCTCCCCTGATCTTTGCAGTCCGTATTGAACAGATCACAGTCATTACTATTGGTTGGGAACTCTACTTCCATTACTTTCCACGGTTATGGTATCACCTCGATATCGAAGATGTTCGTGCACGTCCAAACTTTAATAGCTTTTGACCTTCAAAAGTCATGACAAAAAAATAACTAAAAAAAACAATGATTTCGCCCAGGATCGAACTGGGGACGTTCTGCGTGTTAAGCAGATGCCATAACCGACTAGACCACGAAACCACCTTAAAGAAAATGAAGAGTGAAACATCATCATAAGATGGCACACATGGCATAAGCTTAGGCATAATACTAGAGTGTAAGGGCTTCACGAACATGAGACTCATACACCTTAGACGTCATACATGTTTTAGCCTCACTATTCATGAAATGGTAATGCTTAAGACCTAATGTATAAAGGCAGTGCCGTCAGACTATGCTATTTACATCTACTAAGCTAGAAAGAACAAGTCGTAATTGTAAGTTACAAGATCCCTACAGGTTTATAATCGTTATTGTGCTAGAGTTAGTCTATAAGAGCTATAGCATAATTCCAAGCTGCTTTGGATCGAAAGTACTCTCACTACCTGATATCAACGATAAGCCCGTGTGACAGATGTCCTGGAGTGACAGGAATAGTGACAAGTGACAGGACTAAGAACAATGACAGGACCTCGGTCAGAGACTATTCAGCAAGTCTGCATAGCCATGAGGCACTGATAAGATAGCATGTGGCAACCTCAGCTGGATTCGGTCGAGATGGCACAATGCCTCAAGACCGTAGGTCAAAATGACGTTCCTCAGATTTAAGTCAGAGTACAGGAAAACATATAAAGGAAGACCGATCGATCAGAACTACGAAGGTCAGATATAGATAATCGAGTTAATAGTGAATACTCATAAGGTCTACTGGCTCTCCTATTCTTTATAGAAGCTTTTTTTTAAGTTGAGGTTATGATAATTGTTCACGACTACAGATGCTGTGGGGCATTTACCACGCCTCAATTAGAAGATCAGAAGCTGCTTCAAACCCACAGACCTACTTATTCTGCATATTCTTAACTATTGACTTACTTTCATCTATGAATAAACTCCTATTTGTCCCGGTTGTCTGGTCTCTCTTCAGACATTTTCCCTCGACTTCACTAAACATCGATAAACGTCAAATTGACACATAAGCTTCGAGTCATCTTGATATCTCCAAGGACATTACTGGAGAGCCTTCATGGGGAGCTAGTAGTGCATCATGGCTGCCCCGCTTCATTTAATAGACTCTTAATCAGGGCCTGTCAGTCTTATACTTCTGTCAATTTAATATTTTCCTGTAATTCCACGCTCTGTTGATGCAGCTAATAGCCCGTTGTCGTGGAAATTTTTTGAGGCAAGTCTGATTTATTAGTAGAAAGTATTGAGGCGAATCTGATTCATCAGTAGAAAGCTTACTAAATTTGTCTTGTAAGTCGGACATAGTCATTGTAAGATGAGTAACTTGGATCTAGGGAATTCTATTTATCTCTCCGTGATTATTTTAGGCATTAGAATTGGTTCAGTTACCTGAACAAAAGCCTGGTATTTATACAATTCTCACTCGGTGACTCTGGTCAACATATTTATTAATCACCCATTCTAGATCATTCTATTGCCCAAGGATTACGGCTTCAATGCCGTACACTACCGATAACTTATCAATGGCCAATCCTATTGGACAATAGTTGTTCTCTTCGGTTTGTCTTAGCTTTTAGCTCTATTTGTATGGCCTTGATTGTGTACTATCATTCTGTACCACTGTGTCACATATTCACTGACGCTGATTATGCGATTAGACGCACATCACCATCAGTTTATTCATATTATTCCCAACAGAAAGATTACTAAATCTGTCTTGTAAGTCTGACATAGTCATTATAAGATGAGTAACTCGGATCTAGGGAATTCTGTTTATCTCTCCGTGATTATTTCAGGAATTAGAATTGGTTCAGCTACCTGAACAAACGCTTGGTATTGATGCAATTCTCGCTCAGTGACTCTGGATAACGCAATTATTAATCACCCGTTCTAGATCATTCTGTTGTCCATGGTTTACAGCTTCAATACCATACAATGCCGATAACTTTTCAATCGTCAATCCCATTGGACAACAGTTGATCTCTTCGACTTGTCTTAGATGGTAAGTCGATTTGGATGGCCTCTGTTACGTACCATCATTCTGTACCACTGTGTCACATATTTCCTGACGCTGATTATGCGATGAGGGGCACATCACCATCAGTTCCCTAGTAGCTCACATTATTCCCAACAATTTGCATTTCAAACCTTTGGCGATGGTTATGAATTCAGTGTATCTCGTTTGTTCGTGCAGGCTGAGAGCTCATTGCGTTTTTAATAACTGTTTGTTGGTAATTTAAGTTTTTATCAGCCAGTGTCAATTTCGTAGTTTTATGTTTCTTTCCGCTTCCTCAAATAATCAACGAAAACTCGAAACATTCACAAGTGAGGTAGCATCATAATGATACGTACAATTATAAACTTAGCATTAGCGGTTTGACCTTAAGAATATTTTCTTTGAAAAATCTACTCCCACAGTGAACGCCACGTAACATTCTTCCTGACCGCGTCTGAAAAGCCTTCTTTGTACTTCACCCAAATCTTTATGGGCTCCTGGGTTGAAGTTACCCCCATTTTCTGTTCTGATGAAGGTGTACTAGTTTTAGTCAGTACGTTGGCATATTGTGACCTGAAAAAATCTGTCGATTTTGACGTAGATAGCCTCTGCATCTTCCTAGCACTTTCCAAATCCTCCTTGTCCGCCCTTGCTACCTCGATTGCTCGTCTCTTCAACTTATTTTCCTGAACCTTGGCGACGATAATGTTTAAAAGAGCCGGCCGCTTTGATAATACCTCTTTAGCTCGCTTTTCATCCATGATAATAACCTTATCAAAAGGTGGTTCTATACACGTTACCCGCGGTAAGTCAGTATCGATTCGTTCACCAAATGAAAGGTTAAATTTGATAATGGCGAGAACAATGCTGTCCAGCAAAGTATTCTTGGTGGACACATTTCGTACTTTGGAAAAATCAGCTGCTAGGATATAGTCCAAAAGCGGTAAAATCTCTAACGTCAGAGCATCTTTTGTCATAAATATTTGCGATCCGGGAGAAGCCCGCTGCATTGTTGTCATTACAATATCTGCGTTTCTCTGCTGCATTTCCCTCAGTTCAAATTCATTGTTTAGCATCCTGACATCGTCTTTATTGGCGATATCACTAAAAAGGTAAAAAAAAGCCAGTGGCACTGCTGAGTTATAACGTATGAGTTCTCCATTATGCTCGAACATAGATTTAAACATGCGATCATTAAAATACAGCCAGTCGGCTGCAATGCTGGGCTTTTGAAGTCCATGATCAGAATATTTGACACTAGGGTATATGGTATAACAGCCATGCACAATTTTTTGGTAGCTTGAGTTCGTTTCAATATCTCGCAAAAGCTTGTTAAACTGCCTTCTTGTTTCAATGTGTGGATTCTTCTGAAATATTTGGTTACAAATTTTGTACCAGGAAACAGTGATGTCCTTCACCTGCTCCTCGAAGGTGGCCGCCGTAGCATCTAATTTCGACGTAGACATGAACTGCATATTGTTGAGGCAGCTTCTCACATCGCCTTGCGACAAATCAGTGAGCTCTTTCAAAGCCTTTTTCGTCAGTGGTATCCTCTCCTTCTTGCTGACATGAAATAACCTCTCGATTATGGCGCTTTCGGAAGGCCTTTGAAACGTAACGATCTCACAATGAGGTCTTAACTTTTCCAATGCCGATGCATAAATATTATTGCAAATCGCAATGACAGGCCGAACTACAACTTGTTCACGTTTCTTTCTACGGTGACGCCCGCTCTTTGATTTAGCAGACCCTCCGCTCAAAAGTCTCTGTGTTGCCTTGTAATCGTTATTAAGAATGTCCACTAATATCTTAACAAAGCCAGTCTCCATGCTACCATCTACTTCATCTGCAATCAGACAAACCGGTCGTTCCTCAATTGTATTGGAGAACAATGCGTTGTGTATACGTTCTTTGATGTTTGGGCCAGCTCTTTCGTCACTAGCGTTTATTTCTATAGCCGCATAACCAGCCTGTTTGGCAACGACATGAGCCACTGATGTTTTTCCAATCCCAGGTGGGCCGTTGATTAAGAGAATTTTTTTGTGCGGTCTTTGCAATGGATCCAAAAGTTCAGCCGAACCCGCCAGTCCATTTGTTGTAGGTCTCCAAGATCCTGAACTCCTTTTCGGGAGAACTTCGCCAAAAACAAGCGGTGACCACTGCCGCAGCCATTTAAGAACACGACGATTGGTTTTCTCGTTCCCTACTAGGTCAAAAAAATTATTAGGTCTCCACTTCTCCGTCCACAACTTCCCCGAGACGCCTTCCCGAGACCTTGTCCCTTCTCGAACATGGTTGCGAATGTTCCCACACTGATCGAGTAGCCTATTAATATCAATTCCATATGCTTCATCGTGTCTCCAGGAAATGTCGTGAAGTCGATTGCCCTTCTTCCTCTGCAGCATGACAGTTTTCCCATCTGAACTCCTAAAGCTCAAAGAGGGACGTTCGTGAGTTCCTAGAAGCAAACTGGTGCCAAACTGGCCATTAAGGTCAGCCTCCATCTCCCTCGCTAGTGAAAGCAGTTTTCTGTTGGTGATGATGATACGCGTAGACTCGGTCATAATTACATTTACTAAACATACGTACAGAGTGAGAGTGATACATATTATCAAGCATTCAGGTGAGCTTTCTTCTATGGGCCAAAGTTCAACCTCTTCGTAGCATAACAGATACTCGGCCCCATGTAATAACAGTGCTAGTCCAAATCTGGAAACTGATTCTTACATGCCCTTGAAAGTGGGTTCTTCTGCCCTAAAATTATGATGGATTTTTTGTGGGCGTGGCCATCTTAAGTTCGCCAAGGAATCAAAGAAAAGCGCTCAATACAGCAATAATGACAAACACCAGTAACCGATCTAGCGATAGGGGTGGTCTTGGTTTACTTGAAGACTGCGAAGAGTTTGTTCGTATATAGTGCAGAAGGGACGATTCAAATATCCAATAACAAAAAAACACAACGTATCCTTAACTGCACACACTGTTGAGAAAATTGAAGGCCACTGACAAATCAACAATGGTATCGGTATGTTTGCTAACATGTTTCTGTCACTGAAAAATGTCGTACGGAATACAAATCAAATGAATTATGCCAGCGACAGGATGAACAGCTTGCGGGAAAGGGCCCCCCCCCCAGCAAACATTGAGAGTAAGAGGGAAAATGGGCTCTATTAGCAACCTTCCCAAACTCGGAGGGGGAGAAATCGAGGCAAACACAGAGGCGCAACAATTCCATCGAAGAATGTTACGGTGCTAGTCACTGCTGTACTTGCTGTACTAGAAGGTGTATAGTCCGTCGCAAGTGTTTTGAATGTTCCCTTTCCTGCTCTCCATGATATCCGCGCTGGTGATTCGTTGCCCTGCACTTTGATATGTGTACGGCCCGCCCATCCCTGGGCACATCATCATCCACCATGGAACGACGATGATAATGTATAGGGTACAAAGTTTGCAGATTCATTCCTACAAGTTTCAGGTGGCCGATAATTCCAAAGTCTTCTGGGCCCGCAGTCATCGTACTAACACTCAGGACAGGAAAAAGAGTTTTTGGCTTCATACCCACAAACGTGCGCTCCTGGATCTGTAAGTGGAACGCCAGGCAATCTTTCTGACATGCAGAAGCAACAACTGCAAGAATTACGTGAAGTATTGCAGAAAGGTGGCTTTACCGAGAGACTAGATGATTCCACTTTGCTTAGATTCTTGAGAGCTCGTAAATTCGATATTACAGCTTCAAAGGTTATGTTTGAAAACTGCGAAAAATGGAGAAAGGAGTTTGGTGTTGACAAAATCTTTGAAGAGTTCCATTATGAGGAAAAACCATTGGTCGCTAAGTTCTATCCACAGTACTATCACAAGACTGATAAAGATGGCCGTCCTTTGTATTTTGAGGAGCTAGGTTCTGTTAACCTAACTGAGATGTACAAGATCACCAAACAGGAACGTATGCTAAAAAATCTTGTTTGGGAATATGAATCATTCGTACGTTACAGACTACCAGCTTGCTCAAGACAAGCTGGTCACCTTGTCGAAACCTCATGTACGATCCTAGATTTGAAAGGGATCTCTATTTCTGCTGCCGCTCAAGTGCTAAGCTACGTTAGAGAAGCCTCTAATATTGGTCAAAACTACTATCCAGAACGTATGGGAAAATTCTATCTGGTAAATGCCCCTTTTGGATTTTCAACGGCTTTCCGTTTATTCAAGCCCTTTTTGGACCCTGTCACAGTATCCAAAATCTTCATCCTTGGCTCGTCTTATCAAAAGGAACTGCTCAAGCAAATTCCAGCCGAAAACTTGCCGACCAAGTTCGGAGGCAAATCTGAGGTCAGCGAGGAGCTGGGTGGGCTTTACTTATCCGATGTCGGGCCTTGGAGGGACCAGAAGTTCATAGGGCCCGAAGGTGAAGCCCCCACCGCTTTTAAAGTTTAATTTCTGCTTTTGAAGAAGATACATTCTCCTCCAGCACCCCTTACATACTTTAAAATCTATACGCCAAGTACCTCCTACCATGCTTTCACTTTCTCACTGAAATCATGGTGCAGTCTAGTTAGTCTGCTCACGATAATTTTTTATTATGTCTTAGAATTTATATATGCTATGTGCAGGAATAACGAATGAAAAATGGAAGTAACGGCGTGCCCTCACGCGTTCAGAAGTTAGAAGGTCGCCAACTGTGGGCTTGGAACAGGTTATGGCTAGCTCTCAATTGAATATATCAAATCCTAAACCAATTTATAATCGACGTGCGAATGGTCAATCTACTTCGAGGTCAGTACAATCATCAGGGATGAATGATTTAAAAACTACCTTAATTTCGAAAATTCAATCGAACAGAGGCTTGTTCAAAGGAGAGATTCAATGGTGCAGCAATATATCCCTCAATGATTGGAAAACGCATTATCTCGAAATCAATAGTTCAGGTGGGCTTTGTCATTCGGTAAGCCAAGAGAATGTGGCTGGTTTAAGTGCCACGACCGCAAGAACTGAGACCTTCGATAAGCCGATTATAAAGCACTTACAGTCGTGCAAACTTCAACTGATAGATGATACAAAAAATATGTGGCCAATAATAAGAATCGAGACATACTATACCACAGTGTACTTGCGAGTTGAACGGAGAGATGCATTTTTGGATCTGTTTACAGCGTTAATTTTCTGGACGAGCTTGAAGGATAGAGGTATATTCAACAAATGCTCTGTTATACAGCCTATATTTGCAGAACAGCAAGAACCAATGAATCTTCTAGTATGTCAATTCAACGTTTACTCAACCATTCCGCGCAATAGAAATGTTTCACTTATAAATAACGGTACCAGGCCATTTTCGTCAGAGGGGTTAGCCGCAAATGAAGAAATGGGCTGGTATTCGGCGATGGGTAAGCTTAATTCGAACGGCAAACTAGATTTACTGCTTCAGAGTGATGGTTCATTACTATGGACGTTTGACATTTCTGAATTATTGAGATCAGAAATACAAATTATGGATCCTTCTATCCTTTATAATGATACTTTTCTTTACCTAGGGATTGTCCCTAAGCTTCGACAACAGCTCAGACTGTCAACTAATTGCTCCTTTCAGTCGTGTTCCAGTAAAGACAAACACTCTCCTACTACTATTGTACTTCAATTTCCACTGCGTATTGATCTCGAAGATTGGTTTGTTGCGCTAAAAACATTTGCTAAAGAAGAGAAAGTTTCACTGATTGGTACCGATAAATCTAACGAACTCAGAATATCCAATCGGTTCAAGATCTCAATCTTGGAGGCGGATTTTAGCGCCGTAAATTTAACCAATTACGACAACCACACAAGAAAAGAGGTTTCAACAGAGCTATATGCGACTATTTCAATATGGGACCATTGCTGGGCCAGAACATCTATCGTGACAGATTCAAAATCTCCATTTTGGCGTGAAGAATTCGATTTCAACTTTTCGGTAAAGACATCTCCGGTGTGCATTGCTGTCAAGATTGCTGTAAATGGACGAAAAGAGTATTCAGACGAAGATAAGGTCCTTGGTGTGATTGAAATAACTCAAGAAATGATTAACGATGGAAGTCTAAGCGCAGAAACAAGGGTACCCATCTTCGACATAGAAAATAAGCATTTTCAATTGGGCACCTTATGCATTAAAGTCACCTCAAGTCTCAATGCGATACTTCCTTCGATCAATTTTTCTAAGTTGGAGTCAATGCTTTGCAGGGTGAATCTCACCAAGATGACTGATTACCTGTACGACTTATCGATTGCCGAATATCTCAAATTGGAAGACCTCTCTGTGGTATTCTTAGATATTTTTCAGTCATTGGATAGGACCAATGATTGGTTTCAGGCGTTGATAGAAAAAGAACTGTCGAATTTGGACCTGAGCGTATCCAAAAACACCATAAAGAATCTTTCGTCCGCAAATATCTACAGTTCACTATTCAGAGGCAATTCCATTCTAACAAAATCGATAGAGAGATATTTTAATTGTGTCGGACAAGAATATCTTGAGAAGGCGATGGGTCCCATCATACAAAAGGTTGTGGTATCTGGTGTGTGTCTTGAGCTAGATCCTAGCCGAATCAAAGAAAAAGATGCCCAGCTAAAGGATGAAATTCTCGAAGAGAACTACAGTCAGTTCCTGAATCTAGGCGAAGAGTTGTGGTCTCGCATATATCATACGAGTAATGACCTACCAAATGGTATAAAGGAGCAGTTAAAAGTTTTTAGAAAAAATTTGGAGGGATTTTACAAAAGTGATGAGCTCAAGAGTACTCTCAACTGTGTTTCAGGATTCCTTTTTTTGAGATTTTTTTGTCCTGTAATTCTCAATCCCAAACTTTTCCATTTAGTAACAAATCATCCTGATGAAGGACCGAAAAGAACTCTGACGCTACTAGCTAAAGTTTTGCTCAACCTTTCTAACCTTACCCTATTTGGGAAAAAAGAACCATGGATGACGAAAATGAATGACTTCATCCTAAAACATGGTGGTGAATTGACAGATTATATTGAAAAGGTCACAGACAAGAAACTTGATTTTTCCACTAAAACTCTCAGATTGAGCGACAGTCTAGCGCGACCTAAGATTGTGCTAAACCATAGTTATCGAAGTGAGCTTCCCACCAATCCTTATCTCATCGATAAGCATCTGAGAGAAACGGAATTGATAACTGTTTTGGCCATTTCCAATGGCCACCGAGACGAAGGAGTTCGACTTCCCAGCAGCTTGAGCATGAACGGCCTATCTAAAGAGCATTGTTCTTCTATGCCCAGTCCTAAGATTGGCCAGAACATTGGAGAGCTGGAGTTCGAGAAGTTGACGGAAAATAATGCTGAAATATTTGGCGAGGATTTGATGAAGTATCTAGCGATCGAACCCTATGATAGTTCAACGGGTAAAGAGAAGAGCAGTTCTAAAGCAAAGGAATCAGATCTCACCAAAACTTTAGAGCAAGAATCAATTCTTCTCTATTATAGACTCAAGCATCTTACGGATGTCTTATCGGATTACGAATACCCTAACGAAATATTTTTGGGCAAAACTGAGTTTGCTCTTTACCTGGTAGAGAATCTATACCTCGACAAGGAATCTAACGTAAGGCTTGATCTTTCAGGCACGTTTGCTAAAAATGATGGTCTGAAGAAGTTGCACGCAAACCTTTTTCTATCAGCTAATGAGCCAAATGGATCCTACAATCAGCGTTCCAGTGGTGATTTATCGCACTCTGCGTCACTAAACCAAATACCAAAATCGAAATCAAAAGGCTCTAATGCGCTTTCCAGTAGAAAGACCAAAGGGGAAACGAACGGAGAAAATAAAACGAGTTTTAAGCTTCTCCGCCTTTTCAGAAAGTAATGGTTAGCGTTTCCACTTCTTAATGAGGCGATATTAGAATTATAGATACCGTGCTTCGTTGAGTGCTACGTTTATTGATAATTGCATGTATGTAGTAATATTATTTAAATGCGCAAAGTACCCATAGCTTCAAGTGCTCTTGCCTCACTCTTATCAGTTTCGTATTTGGAGGCTGCGCCATTAAAGTTTTGTAAACCGCGCGCGAGGCTGGAGTCAAACTTCAGGTTCACGTCAAACTCGTTGTTTTCTGCAGTGGCCGGCGCGCGTGCTGGATGCCCAGGGGGCCCAGATTTACCTAAAAATGAGTTTAATTGGTTGTTGGTCCCAAAATCAAGCCCGTCAAGACCACCATAGGACATCAGGCTCTGAGTATCGAAATCAGTGAAGCTCATTTGACCGAAATCAGAGGGATTGCTGAAAGCTGCGGTGCGTGGGTCAGGTCTCCTTGAATGTCGAGAACTGGTGGTCCGAGTAAGTTGGACAGTACAAAGCTGCAAATTGTCCAAAGCACCTTCCACTAAACATCCTTTCTCTCTGAAATAAACCAAGAGGTGACTCCACAAGCTATTTCTTGAGAGTGAGCGAGGATTGCCCAAAATAACGAGCCCGTACTTCGAGCGCGTTAAAGCGACATTCAAACGTCTAGGATCGCTTAGAAAACCTATCGCCTGCTGTTCATTCGCGCGAACGCATGACAAAATAATATAATCTTTCTCGCGACCTTGGAAGGCATCTACTGAAGCCACTTCCACATTCATGTACAATTCCTTATCCAAAGATCCACTCATCTGCATATATTGAACAATATACGCCCTCTGGCCCTCATAGGGTGTTATAACACCAATCTGATCCGGTTTCACTCCATCCCTGAACAGTCTAGTGATGACACGCTCACAGTTCATGGCTTCAATTCTATTCAAATATGAAGTGCCGTTACCAGAAATTTCTTCCCGACCATAATTTGACCAAAACATCATAGGAAGGTCATAGATGGGCCACGGGAAAGTACTATTCGCAACTGTACGTTGTTCAATAGTAACACCATTTTGTAAGCTGCCTTCATAAAACATGTTGCTTGGAAATTCGCTCAGGTGAGGATTCATACGATATTGGACCTCTAGACGGATAGGAATGTGGCCCAATGAGATTAATCTTTCAAAGAGTGATTGTTTAAGGCCTGCATCCGCGGCCTTTTTATCAAGAATAACAGGGCCCAATTGTTGGTGATCTCCTACGAGAATCACCTGTTTAGCACCTTTCACAATTGGGATCAGACATTCAGGTTCTGATGCTTGTGTACTTTCATCAATCAGAACGGTCCTAAACTTCGCTTCTAGTCTCTTATCACCCGCCCCAACACAGGTACAGCAAACGACGTCAGCTTTTTTCAAAATTTCAAGTTCCGATTTTCGAACCTGCTTTACAAATTTTTTGGTATCAATGGAGGACAGTTCGCCGACATCTTCCTTGAGCTTCAGGAGTTTTCTGAGCTCTCCCTTGGCAGAACGAGAAACCAAATTGTGAAGCCCTAGATTAGAAACTGAACTTTCGACGTCTTCACGACTCTTAGCGGTCAGACGAACAACTTTGAGCCCTAGGTCACGGAGCTTTGCAGCAAGGTGATCAACTGCAACATTAGACGGAGCGCAAACCAAAATTCGCTCGTTATGTAGCTTTGAAAGGTGATAGACAATTGTGGCTGAAGTGACCGTTTTACCTGTACCTGGGGGTCCTTGAATTAAAGAAAGAGGGCGCTGAAGAACGTGTCTAATCGCGCTGGCTTGGGAAACGTTTAATTGTGTAAAGTGAGGGATAGAGAACTGTTCTGGCAGGTCCACATCAAACTCAAGGTCAGGGACGTCATGGCCGAGAATTCTGTAATATAAAAACCCAGAGACTGACTTTTTGACAACAGCAAACTTCTTCATAGCCTCTTGCATTCTATCATAGGAGGTCCCCTTCCAGACGAACTCCGCAGTGAAACCTGTGTTAAGATGTGTGGGTGGCGCATTTTTGTTCGGTTTCAGTTCCAAAGTCAGTTGATCTTGAAAACTATTGGGCAAGCGTACAATGTAACCACGTCCTTCCCAAGGTGGATGTTGAACCCCAGAGTACCTCAAAATCATCTCATCACCTACTGCAACCTTCAAACCATTTGATTCAAAAGTTGACAATGCAAAAGATGCCAGATGTCTATTATTAAGTGCCAAAGTCCATGATACTGAAATGTGCTCCAAAGCTTGTGATTCTTTCAATTGCTTATCATAGTCGGCCTCAATTTTCACGAGCGGTGCAAAAGATCGCTGGTATTGGTATGCGTCCGCATATCTCATTAAAACGTGAGGTACTTCTTCCTTTTCATCAGGAACGTCAATGTCACTAATCGTTGCATCCTTATTGGATCGCCACTTAGCTTCAAGTTTGGATATTTGGCTGGGTGATATCATCTTTGCCCGCAGAAGTCCCTCATCAGTGGGCTCTTCCGCAACCCATGGCAAAAATTGTCTGTTGTCTATCAGAGACTGCCACTGATCTGTGTCCCAGCTGACATTCTTTGCTTGGGCACACGGTAGGCGACATAAAATAACGACTACGGCTTCACTTTTGGCCGGCACGAAGCCTAGAACGAATATGTTTCTGCAGCCGCAATTGTAACATTCAAGGACTGTATCTCCTAGGTCTGAATCGGGATGTAAAGAGACGCTATTATGATGAGATAACACAAAGTGGTTGATGATGTGTGATGTCGATGTCCCATTTTTGGAGTTGCAGAACCACTTATTACAAATATTACACTTGACAACACACTTGGAAGAGTCCAGGTTGCAATAGGAGCATGCATACGGGGAAAGAGGGGCTTCCAATGCCTCCCCCATTTCATCGATTTCGTTCATGTTAGAGAATTCCACTTCATCTGGAATATAACTCTCATCCAAAGGCAGTCCACTGGTAGAGACTAAGTTCTCCACATGATGACGTGCTTCATCATAAGGACTGCTGATAGATGCCATCGTCAGTTTCAGAAGTAGAAGGATCTGAACCTGAACCGAGCCACTCGTCTGATATTCTGATCTTAAAGAAGGTTGTGCTTCGCTGTACAGAAAACACTATGCTTACCACTTTTTTTAAGTGATACAGATCATGAATGGAACCGAAGTCTTCTCAATCTCGAGAAGAATTAGCTTGAGTTCCTCTAACATTGTAGACGTCAAGGCTTTATGACGACGAACATTAGATTCATAAAAAATTTCGTTACGTGCAAACGCATAAAGATGATGTCAGTTTTGTATAAAAATGATTTACTAAACCGCTATTATTTTGGTGACAGGAAAGTGGGACATAACGAGAGAGATGGAGGGACATTATAATTTTGGCATGATGCGCCTATGCTGCGTACCCAACTTTGTTGTGAGTATTCGCATCTGTAGAAAGAAATACGCAAAGCTTACTTGGGTATTGTATTGAATCACGATAATGACTTGAGTAGTGATAATTCGATGGAAGATACACGAGATCTTCTTTTCGTGAGAGAAAATGGGATATGACCGCCGATATCGGCTGCCGTGTCGGTTGCATGCATGGAGGCAGAATGCATAGCTAGTGAGGGAGAGCTTGGAGACCCGGAAGACGCCGGTGAGGAAAGATTTAGATTTTTTTGATCCTTTTGGAAAAAGCTTTCGGCAGCAGAGTCTAGCTCACAACTCACAAAGCGTTCTAGACAGTAGAGGTGCGACGGAATAGCAGACGTGGCTCCGAACGAAGACCGAGAACGTGACCTAGAGCTCGCGGCCGTGGGCCCTATCTCCACAGAGCCACCGATTAGTAACGGCTCGGGAGAACCAGGCAGCGATTGGCGAGAAGCTTGACGCGAAAGCTGTGACATGATGCTATTCGCACGGGAGCATCTTAGCACGGGTTCATCCAGGTCTTGTTGGCCATCATCGCTGACAGTTATCCACCGTCGTTGCTTGTGGCACTTGGTGCAGATACTCGCTTTTGGGGGACTGGATTTCCCTTCACCATATTCACCATGTTGGTCAACGCCCTTGCGCGTTGTGCTTAGAACCCCGCCGCTAGCAAATTGTACCACTTGGTCCTCACTTTCATTAGTTGGCCCTTTTCCAATGTGCTGGCCATCAGCCCCGGCGACACCTTCATCCAGGTCTTCCCACGAGTCTATACATGGGTCCTGTACGAATCTCTCAAAGATATCTAGTGTATCTTCACAATCACAGACACTATCCTGCGTTCCTAGCTCTCCTCCATACTGAAACCTGAACCTTTGAAAATTGGATTGCAAATCGTCTTCCATTCTCAAAGACTCAGTAACCTATCGCCCAGCCCACGTAAGCGCCTCAGTTTGTGAAATGATTGGTAGAGCCCTCGAACTTAGGGTCTAAGCGATCACAAATGGTTCTCTGTCTCTCCATCACCGGCCAATTGCAATGACCATTGCTAATCATCATCACCCTACATCATAGAATACGTATGCATAAAAGATTATCTCATCATAAATAACTATAGCAACATATTTGACACGATATGACAACTCCGGACGATAGTTCCATCCCAGGCCTAGCCAATTCGAATATCCAGCGAGAGTCCGCATCCAGTATTCACAAAGTTCACTCTAAAGGAGCTTTTCTTCATGGGATTAGCCCAACAGTAAGAACTTCACGCTGATGCAACCACCGACTGTTCCTTCATTTCCACTTTCGCCACGATGCTGAGATGCAGAAACCACTGCCACAAAAACAAATGAATTTTGGAGTAGATGGCCCTTCACGTCTCATTGATTTCATGCAAGAAAGCAAACATAATTCAACAAAGAGCCCGCAATGAGGACAGAAGCCCCAAGCCTGCCCATGGAGCATTGATGAGAGCACAGGTGTTACTCAGACTGTAGTCACCCTTTCGCTGATCCACGATTGTAACTCTTCCACCAACTGCTCGAAAGTCTCATCAGTTTCCAAGCAAAGTGCGTGTCGGGCTTGTGGGAACAATCGCAAGCGTTTGTCAGACACTGGGCACAAGTCATAAAAACTTTGGGATCCTATAGGATCGTTAATTGTGTCGTCTTCCCCATGAAAAATCAACACTGGAGCGCGAAATTGAGCAACATGGGCTCTATCGCGTGCCAATCTTTTCCCCCGCTCCAAAAAATCGTATATCTGCCGAAAGGATCCATAAAGGGGAACCGTCAGCGGGTCGTGACTCAGAAATTCACGATATCTCTCGTCTGAGGTAGTGGCCTCGAGGTCGAGCCCTGTGTCAATACGGAAACGAGGCAGAAACTTGGCCAGCAGTGGCGAAGCTAAAGTGAGGAAAGCGCTCGGTGCTGTATGTGGATGAAGAGTGACAAGCGGCCCCGTGCAAATTATTCCGGAAATCTTGTCTTTGTATTTACCGTTGCACCCGTAGTTCAAAACAATCCCTCCACCCATGGAATGACCGAAGAGAAATAAAGAGGTGGCTTTCTCCTTATCCTGAAGGTTCCATTCGATGAAATGATCCAGATCTCTGAAAGTGTTGAATTCGTCAGTTACACCTCTTAGTTTGCCAACAGAAGTTTGACCAGACCCGCGTTGCTCAAACACAAAACACTCGATTCCAAAATGAGCAAGATGGTCCATTAGACGGCTGTATATTAAAGCGTGCTCGTCAAACCCATGCAAAATAAGCAGACGAGCTTTGGGGGCACCCTTTACGACAGACTCTTCTGATGAGGCTGGGGAGCTCTTGACGCACACAAAGTCTACACCGCCAAAGCTATGCCTGTAACTTTTAAATTCTATGGTTGAGCACTCATAGGGAAATGGAATTGGCTTGGAAGGCTCTTTTGATCCAAAAAGCATGTTTACGGCGTTTGTAGAAGACCTAGCCAGTGGATTTAGGGGCAGTGTTGTACATTCATCGCAGCTGACAATATATAAGAAATTGAACCAAGGGCAAAGCAGGGTCACGTGGCTTAGACCATCTGGAATCGTAGTTGTACGATGATGGGCACAGTATACTACTCAAGAGGTGGCGAGTCTGACCAATCTTAATGGAGAAAAGCTCACACTAGTAGTGATTTTTGCACCAAGGAGCAGTAGTTCACGGCGCGGCGCAAGCATGGAAAAACAAACTACCGATCTAGTCAAATCGAAAAAATTGCCTGAATGTTGTCCACAGAAACAAAAATCTGATCAAATTCGTCGAGGAGAAAGTGCAGAGTTTCACTCTACTTAGCGAGAGAGCGACCAACAATTTTAGAGGGCGCAGTTTATGGATTAGGTCTTGTTTTTCCGTTTTTTGACAACTCCCAGGACATTAACCCTGGACTTTTTCTTCACTCGAATGCCTTGCTGTATCGCTATGCTAGTCGAAGGTGCTGAGTTTTCTGCGTGAGAAGAAGCGCGTGACTCGACCTTCACCGCGGGATCATTGTTATACGCTTTGAAAGCCTCTTCAGCCCTCTTATCGTCTGCAGATGATTGGTTTCCATCGTTGGCATGAAGCAGTTCAGCGCGCTTCATCTTGGCCCTGTTATCCTTTCGCAAGGCCTCAAGGGCTTCATAATCCTCTTGCTCTTGCTGTAGCTTAACAAGTCGCATTTCAATCTGTTCCAGCTTATTTTCGTTTTCATTATTTGTCGATTGATCCTTTTCTTCTTGCTGCTGCTTCTCCAGTCGTTGCAACGTCTCGTCCAGCGTTTCGTGCCTCTTGGAATCAGAAGAGCGGGATTCTGCTACAAAATTTTTAACTCCACCAATTTCCATCACGTAGTCACCACTTTTTGGGTCAGTACGAAACGAAATCATGTTATTGCACCGCGGACATTTGACGCTTAACCTATATTGCTTGATGGTATCCAAATATCTTTCTGGCAGCAGTTCCTTTTTTCCGTTGAATTTCCTACTTTTAGGAATAAACTCAGAACACTTCAGGCAGCGCATGCTAAATGGTGTCATAAGTCTAATCGTGACTGAGTCTTTGTTCATGGTCTTTAGCTTCTTGGACATCTTGCGTGCCGCCTCCTCAGCTTCCAACGGATTAAAGTCTGGAGGATAGTATTTATTAACAGCTTTTCTCTCGGACATGTTTAGTAAGTTTGGGCCTGCTTGAGTTGGTATCCTCTATTGAGATCTTTAACGCTGCTTGTTACTACTCATCACCTCGATGACCTTAGGAAATGTAATTTACTTCGGCACGACGAAACAGTTAAAAGTGACAAGATAATGAAATGAACTGTTAAATCGATAGAACAACCATATAGACGAGATATACACGGAGTTGAACGTTGAATTGTTTTCCCAATCCAACAACTCCTGCGAAATAAAAAACTAGAATCGCGATCGAATGATCCGATAAGAACTAATAAGGCACTGATATGAAGTGAGCCGTTCAATTCAAAGAATTGGTGAATTCGCTGCGAACTTGGGTTATCCAGTCTTGGAGTCGTAACTTTATATCGAAGCGGGCTAAAGAGGAAGAACGAGGGTGAATTCATTCAAACAAAGATAGCAACCACAAATAGGATTACGGCTCCTAATCCAGTACTTTCCAGCCGACCAGCTCCATTGTGTGATCCAGAACTCGAAGGTGGCCGGGTCCCTGAAATGGTGCTACTTGTCTCAATTGATGTTGTGAGAGAAGCTGGTGTAGAATGACGAGTCGAAGTAGATAGGGTTGGAGCAGATGTCTGACTCGACTCAACACTGGAAGGCCCCGTTTGAGAAGGCTGGCTGATTGATTCTGAGGGTGCAGTTGACAAACTGCTCGAGAGGAACGATGCGCTGAAGCTGCTAGATGCTTCAATTGGTGTGGACGTCACTTGTGGCATATTTTCTGTACCATTGGCGGCAGGCCTCAAGGAAGAAACTGCCATACTCAGAGGTCTAGATGATAAGGCGGGGACGCGAACAGTACCAGTAAATTCTGTGCCCTGGGAGAGAGGTACAGATGGTGCTTTGGCTATCGATTTTACAATGGTGACAGTGCTAGTAGCTGCTTCGTAGGTCGATGTTGAAGAGATTGGCGAAATCGCGGGAACACTGGTGATAATTGAAGATGTTTTAAGGCTTCTCAAAATCTCGCCAGTAGATGGGTGAGCTAGCTCTGTGCTGTCAGCAGTTGTCGGGTTGAAACTGGTTGAATAAATCGCCTGCGATGATGTCAATTCTGTCCCAGTTGAGAGTCTTGGCTTCGATGATGGAGAGGTAAGCTGTTCAAAGGAAGTAGGCTTGATGATGGCAGCTTCAGAAGGAGAAACAGATGTGATCTTGTTGGGGCACGTTGGTTTTTCATTTGGGCAAACTGTGACGGTCATCGTGCTGGAAAATTTCAACGTGGATGATGTGATGCTTTTCACGCTGCTACTGGGTGAGCTAGAGGTCAACGAAGTAAGGGGCGAGGGACATATCACCATACTGCTGGTTTTCAAGGAGGGAACTTGTTTCGTCGTTCCTGGCGAGACTGGTGAGGCGGTCGTTGCCTTTGGACAGTTGACTGGTAATGGAGCAGAAATCTGAAAACTGATTTCAGATGAGCTGGCAGAGGTAGCAATTGATTCAGTGCTATTTGATGATGTCATAGGAAAGTTTTTCTTCTCACACACGGCCAGCGTGGTAGTCGTTGTTGAATATTGAGTAGTGGTCACAAAAATGGTTCCATTAACATATCCGGTACAAATCGGCATTTTCTTCATGGATGTTGGGCGGTAATCAGGAACAGAATTGCCTTTGGGAATTATAGCTTTGATGATAACCTCGAGGTCGTCAGGTTTTTTCATGGCTTTGGAAAGACGATATTCGCCATCATATAACACACCTGAAAATCCAATAGATCCATGGTAGCTCAAATGTCCAGATATAATAGAAAACCCAACTGATGCCATAGATTCATCTCTGGTCTCCTGGAATACCCCACCCCGTTCAACAACAGCGAAATTTCCATCAGAAAGACGAAGCTTACCACTGTCAGTCACTGTCGCGGAAAGTCCGACGTGAGAGCTTCCGACATACAGACCTCCATTCTCGACGTACACAGAGGCATATTTCACAGGCGCCCCCGAGTAAATAGCCAGCATACCAAACGTTTCTGAATCGGCCATGGCACCTTGCGCGAAGAGGAAACTACTAGAGATTAGTAGCGTACTTAACTTCATGGCAGTGATTCAACAAGCGTAGGCGAAATGGATTTAGTTATATGATCTCTTTGGTTCTATAAGACACAGTGATCTGATAGTATATAAGCTTAAAAATTGTCTACCAGATAGGTAAGTGCTGTAAGTGCCATCCGCAACTAATCTCCTTTTTATACACTGTTGAATGGGGCCCGACGTTTTGTGACATTAATGCTGACGTTAGTGCACTTTGTGTCCACCCAGGAAAATTAGAAACCAGAATTCGATAAGCGGAGTACTGAAAACACTACAAGACCACATCTATTTCATTAATATAAATATAGTAAATTAGAAATTTGAATAAAGACGTACGTGGAGTCCTGGTCATGATAACACTTCAAAACGGCCAGATCACTTCCCATTCTAATGGCACCAGCTTCGCAAGCGTCATTAGGTAATGTAGGCAGGATAAATAAGATTGTCGCCAGACAGCACTTGAAACTACCAGCAAATAAGTTCTGTTAGAATTTAGTACTGTTTAAATAGCGTCGAGTTGAATCTTAGTTAGTGTCAATATAGTACGAAGTGATACATCGACGTCAGTTAAACAAAAGGGTGTCAGGTAGACAATCAGCAAAAAGTGGATTCAGAAAAAACAGCGATCTACAGAAATAACTTAGCCAGCTATTTGAATTATCCAAACTTCGCCTAAGCCAGATCGTTCTTACCAAAAATCTGCATGAATAGGGGCCGTGTGTCCCAAGTATAGATTAGATGTTTATTACGGAGAGGCAACCAGGTGTGTTTTATAATAGGCGAAAGATTTAAAATCAACTAACTACTCATAATATTGTTCATTCACGATGCCTACCAAAATTTTGAACGGACAATACACCAAGTTAGCTACTGCCGGTGTTGACTCGCTCTAATGTTGCACTACCCCTACTACTTAGTCTTATGGAAATGAATGTCTTGTTGACGCTAAATAACGGGTACCTAATGCCAGGAAGCTATAGACAGTTTTGTTGAAAAATTTAAGTTCCTCCTACAAGAGTAAAGCAGCGCATACTGCAAAGAGTCCTGCTCTTGGGCCAGATACAACACGCCCCACGCCGTTCATAGATTGAGTCTGGATTTCAACTGAAGAAACGGCTTGAAGTTGCCCGTCAGAAATTTCGGAGACTGCCTGTTCAGAGTTAATTGATTGCACATAGTTGTCTGAGGAACTAGAGCTCCGTTGAACTTGGGTTCCTCTCTTGAGAAGCTCAAAATAAAGTCATAGAGGGAGCCAGCGTAGTTGTTGTTGGGGCTTGAACTTGTCCGTCTGAGATGTGCGTAATTGGGAGCAGTGAAGCCGAGTAAGTTGTAGTGGGAGCTTGAACTTGTCCGTCCGAGATTTGCGTAATTGGGAGCAGTGAAGCCGAGTAAGTTGTAGTGGGAGCTTGAACTTGTCCGTCCGAGATTTGCGTAATTGGGAGCAGTGAAGCCGAGTAAGTTGTAGTGGGTGCTTGAACTTGTCCGTCCGAGATTTGCGTAATTGGGAGCAGTGAAGCCGAGTGAGTCGTGGTGGATTCCTCAAGCTTCCTTTCGGAGGTTTGGACGTCAAGGAACAAGGTAGCTGAATAAGTTGTGGTAGGTTCTGTAACCCCTTCGTCAGATGACTGAGACGAGCTTGGCAAAGATGAGGTTGCACTTGCAAATGTAGTAACAGAGCCACCGGTTGGCAGATAGTCATCTACTGCCGATCCAGAAGATGAGGTCGGCCTAACAGAAACACCGAGATCGTCGTCAGACGATGGCTCGCCGGTGGATACTTCATATTTGTTGCCAGTAAAGACGGCCGTAAATCCACCCTTACCTCTGAAGCCCAGATAACCATTTTTGATATAAAAACCAAGGGCTGCGTCAGATTCCGAGCCCTCCACAAGGGAGCCGTCGGAGCTTTGGACGGCATACTTGCCCTCTGAGATATGGAGTTTGCCGTCGTCCGTGATGACAGCAGTTAGAGATGGTGATGATGAGCTACCGAAATACAATTTGGAATTTTGTGCATAAAGAGTAGCATATTGCAATGGGGATCCCGATCTTATCACTAAAAATCCGAACCTCTCGGAGTCAGCTAAAACTAAGCTCGCAATCCCCATTATCGCTGCCACGAGAATTGTAAATTTCATTGTTTTTGTTTTTTTTTGGTGCAGGAGTATCGCCAAAGGAACGAAAGTCTCTTCTTACTCTTGCAGCTACAACCAGAAACAAACTGGAGAATCAACTACTGTTCTGAGCAGTATTTTGGCCCCAATTTATAGCTGATCAGCTCCTGTCACTATTAGTTTTTCTGTCACCGTCTATCATCTTTTTTTAGAAGGCTACGGCATCTCACATTCGCCGAAAACCCTCATGACGTCAGGCGGCCGATCTCCTCTATAGTTGGAATCGTGCTCTTGGTGAGATGACTTGCCACAAATATCATATGATGACAGTTCCACCACACACTCTACCGCGCAGAGCTTTGTCATCATCTCAAAAGCTTTGTGGTGGAGCTCGGTTCTCTTACAGGGTAGCAGATCTCAGGGAACAACCGTTGCTGGTTTCCATGCTAATAGCGGCGTTGGAGTGGGCTACCAGAGCAATCGGTACGTCAGTTAAGGGACTTTGAACCCTTCCTTTAATGCGGTATCTAAACCTTATGTGTGAGTAATGCAAAATCTTGGGGAAGTCAATGTACATCAAAGAGATAAAGCAAAGTCCACAATTAGAAATTTGCGTTGGTGGAAAAAATGGTATTCAGATTATCCTCAAAGCCCGAAGCCTTAACGGGTACCCTTGAATTTAGTTGGCACTCATCTCCTTAGTTCATTATTTTCGTCATATAGGGGGGACAACCCTGTGTAGTACATCCCTCAACACCATGTATTGGAAATACAGCGGATATTTAGTTTTTTCGGCCCTTTGGATGGAGAAATCTTGGAGTTTGTAGAGAACTTGAGCCACGATGTCAGGATCGGACCCAAACTGAAGTGAAATCTCGTGGCTCGGGTCCTGAATCAGTTCGATGTGAAAGGGGAAATACCACTGTGCTGCAAGCCTCACCAGGTCCGGAACCACGAACTGTCGTTCTTGTGCCAACGCCAGCGTTTGGCACAGATCTAGCATGTCCCCCAGGGCACGTGAGGAGCACCCACCACCCGTAGCCTGTTTCGCGAACCGGTGCACACGCAGGTGGACGACGACGTCGAGTATATACCGGCGTATAGATGGCTGGACGTGTATTTGGGCCAGTGCTTCTCTTAGAGGAGCCAATTCCTGCAGGGACAGCTCTACCAAGTCCTGGATGCGCGGTTCTCCGCACGCAAACCAAAATTGTCTTTTCAAGTACGCCGTCATGTTTGCGTACGGTGAAAAATCCAGAGAGACTGTGGCAATAGCAGTAAAAAATGCGGTTTTCTGAGACGCCATAGTCTGCAAATACTTGGCCAGTTTGTCTTGTTGCAGAATGAGGATCTTGTCGATGTTGGGTAAAATTAGGACAGTACCTACATCTGGCTTATTTTTCACATCTATGCAGTCGTAATCATCCCACAATAGGTATTGTAGTTTCAGGTTTTGAAGGTACTCCACAACAGTGCTCGCGTCTTCTGTATAGCAAACAAGATTCTTTCGAAAGGCCAGGGCTGCTGGGAGAGCGGCCCCAATAGGCGGCAGAGTTAGCTGCGTGTCCTCCATATAGATGGTTCAAAAGTATATCCCTTTGGTGACCCTATCGCTGAGGAAAAGTCTCCTCGAGGTGCTACACTTTACCTCAAGTTTCCCTGACCAGCTCAGTTGAAGATTCTGGCTTTCGAGATGAGCTCGTGTATGACGATTTGGATGCACCATAAAATTTTCGTACGTATTATTAGCCATAGAATTTAGTGAGTTAGCTCATCGAACCAAGCTCATCGCCCAGGACTTAGAGATAGACAACAGGCCACGAAAGACAGCGGTGAACCTTTCAAACCCCACGCGACTATTGACATTTTATTTATACGAGAATGGCAAAGTTAGTACATAATGTGCAAAAGAAGCAGCATCGGGAGCGTTCGCAAGTAGCGGCACGCTCCAGGTTCGGGTTCTTGGAGAAGCACAAAGACTACGTGAAGAGAGCGCAAAACTTCCATCAAAAACAGGCCACTCTCAAGATACTGCGGGAAAAAGCCCAACAGCGGAATCCTGACGAATTCTACCATGGCATGCACTCCAGAAGCTTGGATGGTAAGGGAATGCTGCAAAAATCAAGACTGGCCAAAGATGAAGATTCTAGTTTATCCACAGAACAAGTGAAGCTGTTGAAATCGCAGGATGCAAATTACGTCCGCACGCTGCGCCAGAATGAACGCCAACTCTTGGAGAGACAAACGCAGAATACGATGTTCAAATCCAAGGGTGCTCACACCGTCTTCGTCGACGATCAAGATGAGCTTCGGTCGTTTGACCCGGCGGAATACTTTCAAACTACTCAGGACATGCTGGGCAGGCGCGAAAACCGTCTGACTCGTGACCAGCTGTCTAGCCAGGCTCTACAAGCAGGTGTCAAACAACTGGGTCTCGATTCCGAGACCTTGGAACGCAAAAAACTAAAAAAACTACGACAGCTCCAGCAGCATCAGGATCGCGAAAAGCAGCTTTCAGGCGTTCTACAGCGTATGGAGATGGAGCGCGAGGGTATGAAGAAGGGCTCTAAGAAAAAGATCCAGGATACTAATGGGAATGTGGCGTTCAAGTGGAAGAAGCAGCGCAAGAGATAAAGCATCCCAAAAGATTGTGGTGACATCCCTGAATTCTTCACGTTGGCTAAAGCACGTAGCATCATTTAGAATTGTAACTACAGCGGATGCTCTAGCGGAGTTCATCCACTGACGAGACCACCGTACACAATGCTACAATCACGTGACATTTATGGTACAATTGATATTCATTAATTTTGTTTTCGGCTAGGAGTTTCCCACAGTATGAAATTTGGTTTTGGACGGATCGGAGAATCCCGGACTGTCGCCGCTGCCTCCAGGGAAAACCTGGGTGAAGTAATTGTGTTATCGAACTAGTTACGGGACGGAAAACCCATTGCAAGTTGGATCAGAAAGGGTGGCGGAAACATGAGAACCAGGAGTCATGTATGTGGGTGTTGCATTCACATGTGGATGTTGCCTGAGGGCGCTAATGCCACTGCCCCAGTAGAAGTAGAGCCAGCGGAGCTACAATTATATATGGAGGGAAGATAAGCCGAAAAAAAAAACATTTAACTGAATGATTATTGGACTGATGCATATATAAGAAACAGGTAGTGGCCGTAAGCCCAACGAAAAGGAAGTGGACGGGAATACTCCAAAACGTGACTTTAGGTTAAGAGCCGACTACAAGGCAACCGGACTTAAGAGCACCGCTGCATCAATAACATAATCACATATCCATCGCAGATTGCTAGTGGACACCATGCATAGAAGTATGCGTAATAACGCAGGCGGGCTGCTTATGCACACAACGCGCGCATTGGGCCTTGGCGGTTACTCTAAAAAAGTACTCGCGAGTGACATTGCTAGAGGTATCCCTGGTCCAAGGTCCATCTCCTCTATACCAAAAACACAGAAGGGCGTGGTTTTCTATGAACACAGTGGAAAGCTCCACTACCAGGATCTCCCGGTCCCTAAGCCCAAGCCGGGTGAGATATTAGTCAATATCAAATACTCTGGCGTCTGTCATACAGATCTACATGCGTGGAAAGGTGATTGGAAAGAGTTGCCTGTTAAACTGCCTTTGGTTGGAGGTCACGAAGGAGCCGGTGTCGTGGTGGACAAAGGCGAAAATGTAACGAACTTTGAAATTGGCGACTTGGCCGGTGTCAAGTGGCTCAACGGCTCTTGTATGTCGTGCGAACTTTGCGAGCAAGGTCATGAGCCCAACTGTGAACGTGCTGATTTGTCTGGATACACCCACGATGGCACCTTCCAACAGTACGCGACTGCAGATGCCGTCCAAGCAGCTCAAATTCCGCTGGGGACCAATCTAGCAGAAGTGGCCCCCATTCTGTGTGCAGGAGTCACCGTTTACAAGGCTTTAAAAACTGCCGAGCTAAAACCCGGCCAATGGGTTGCGATTTCTGGGGCTTCTGGCGGATTAGGATCGCTGGCTGTCCAGTATGCGAAGGCGATGGGGTTGCAAGTACTGGGTATTGATAGTGGGGAGGACAAGCGAGCGCTTTTCCATAAGCTTGGTGGAGACGTTTTTGTAGATTTTACAACTACTGAAGATATGGTGGGAAATATTCAGACAGCAACCAACGGTGGTCCCCATGGCGTTATAAACGTCTCTGTTTCCGAGACCGCCATTTCACTGTCTACTCAATATGTTAGACCTTGCGGGACTGTTGTCTTGGTTGGGCTGCCGGCCAATGCATTTGTAAAGTCCGACTTGTTCTCGCACGTTGTGAAATCCATTTCCATCAAGGGCTCGTACGTCGGAAACCGTGCAGACACCAGAGAAGCTATCGACTTTTTTGCGAGAGGTCTCGTGAAATCTCCAATCAAGATCGTTGGACTCTCAGAGCTCCCAAAAGTCTACGAATTGATGGATGCCGGCAAGATCTTGGGCAGATATGTTGTTGATACGTCAAAGTAAAAACTAGTGAAATAACTCGAGTAAACACAACAGGTAATGGTAATAGACAATTCTTTCCGAAAAAACTTCTCTACATAGGAGCATGCCGATCACGCCAAGAGATATATATTATCTTATAGTACAAATTCAAACTCGAGCATCGAATGTTTCATTGTTTAATCAACAGCCGCCAGAACTTTTGCGACATCGTCGTTGAATTTCTGGAAGGTTTTTGCATCTTGCTGGCCCTTCTTTTTGATGTGAATGGTAGTACCGCGTTTGTCTCCAACAATGCGAATTTTGAAGCGGAACCGGCCCTTGATAAATCGGCAGTTGTAGTAAGCACGGCTGCAGTCGCCGCGTTTATCGAGACGCTTGAGTTCATAATCGATAGAGTTTTTACCAAACTCTTTTAGCATCAACATGTGCACAACTTCAAACTGCGCTGGTGTGTAATGATCTTCGACGAGTGCTGGTTTCCCTACATACTTTGGGTTTAAAGAGCGGAAAAACTTGGTGAACCAGGTTTCTTTCACTGTAGAAGGGGGAGGCGGGGCAGGTCTGAGTGATTCAGGTCGTTTAGAAGGTGGGGAAGGCATATCATTTTCGGCCACAGTATCAAGCTTGCTTTTGGTAAAAGTTATGGGTAGTGTCACTGATGATGCCTGCTTGGGCCCTGCATTCTTCACGTTCTCTTTGGTATGTACCTTGATAGGTGATTGTTTGAATACGTTTGGCGCGTCGTCATCAAAGAGCATTGTGACTCTTTTCTTATTGTTGGGCTCTTTGTTTAACACGGCCTCGTTGAGACTACCCGAGGCATCTCTAGGTAAGTCATTGCCACCGATCAATCCATCAAATGCTTCCATCATGTTCTCGTTACCGTCTTGTTCGTCGTCAAGATCCTTGAACATGGACATAACGCTCTGGGAGATGGAATTTCTCTTTCTTTGATAAGAAAATCTCTTCTGAGGTGGTGCTGATGATTTTGCTGGAGAAAGCCTGAACTTCGACAGTATTTCCTCCGTAGTCTCTCGCGGTAGCTTTGCGGAGGATGTCATGTTATTTGCGTAAAGCGAAACTCTAACGTCGGCTGACGGTGCCAGAGTATTGGTGTTTAGGGTATCTATCGAAGTTGCCTTTCTGTGTACATGAGGTTGAGAATCAACTCCGGAAGAATTCGTTGAGACCGAGACGTTGTCTTCGGGTGCATCTTCAAAAACATTAATATCGTCGTCTAGTCGGTCTTCCTGGAGTAGAATAGGGCCCTTAGTTTTGTTGCTTTGGCCCGAAAAGTTTTCTTCTGAAATGTGGAATGCCTGGGCAGTGAAGGTATCGATTGGAACATCCAAGGCGAATGACATATCAGACAACATGTCAGATCGCCCTTCATTATTACTTGCAAAGCTCATTTTACGAGAGCGCTGTCCAACAAAATTAGCCGATTTAGATGGAGTCTTTGCTGATGCCTTACGTGAAACATTGAGGCTCCCTGAGAACATTCCCGGGACAATAGAGTTTTCTAACGGACGCTGCATTGTGGACGATGATTGGCCCTGCGTCCCAGCATCTACCGACATGAACTGCTTGAGGTTTTTGAAAGTCGTCGAGCTGTTGAACCTAATGGATGGTGAAAATCTTGGAATATCCGCACGCACGCTAGCAGTCTCGCTGTGTTCGTCCGGTAAATCACTATTGTGATGACCGTAAAGATCCTTCTTCAAAGCGGATTCATTCAAAGTGCTAATGGAAGTTTCCTCTCGGACAGGAGGTAGCTCAGTACCATTGCTATGAAGTTCACCTGTGAGTTCCTCATGCTTGAGCGTGTCCGGCAACTGCACTTGACTACGGTCAGGGCGATTAATTCGCTTATGAATGGATGTGGAATCATTGATCAAGTTTGCACGTAGGCTATATTTGTTCAACAACATCTCGATAGAGTTTGGTTGAGAGACGTTTCTTCGCGGATCTAAAGACGTCATGTTACGAGGCTGATGCGTGGGAGCAGAGGTTATCCTTAGGTTCCGAGTTGATTGCGTTGGTTTGAGCTTGCTAATCGATGGGGGAGGTTTGTTCTCGACCTGCGATGATGAAGCCTGCTCGCCATCGCTTTCGCTGTTGTTAGCACTGGAAATATCTTGCTGCAACGAAGAGTCAATGTCTAGGTCGGCCTCTGAAGCGGTACTAGTGCCTTCCTCTGGAATAATATTTTCTAAGTCCTTACCAAACAGAATTTTCTCACAAAGCGATTCAAATTCCGATCTCTGAGGCAGTGGCGGTTGCTCATCTTCATGGAGTTGATCTTTTAAGTTAACCGAGCGCTTTGAAATTGAGGTAAGTGAGTACAATGATCTTTTAGAGGGAAGTTGCGTTTTTCCAGGGGATACCTTTACGCTTTTTCGAGACGCCGAAAATGGCACAGGAGCTAGTGACTCTTTTGAGGCCAAACTACCCAAGGACTTTCTCGATGAAGACACATGAATTCTTTTTCTGAAAGACCTGGAAGTAGATTTGAAGACACGAGAAGACGACGCGACATGCTCCTTGTGAGGGGAAGTTTGGGACTTGATAGAAGGGACGCTAAATTGCGATTTTTGTAATATTCTTGGGGCGTTAACCCCAACAGGATCCTGACCCTGGTTTGATTGCCGCTGCTGATAAGCAAGTAGCAGAGCATAAAAAGTCTTCTCTTCAGTTTGATCAGGGTCTAAAAGCCGTCTCAGGATGAATTCCTTTGGTGCGCTGTGCCATAGAATTTGCAAGTTTTGTAGTATCGAGGGATCCACGTCTTCCTCTCTAAGAGGCATCACAATATTGGGCCGAGTGCGACTCAAAAGATGCAAGTCTGAGTTAGACTTGCTGCGCTTACTGCTATATTTGGTGATCAACGGATGAACCAATATCTCTTGAATCGTTACTCTCTTTTGCGGGTCTACTATGAGCATTTTAGCTAGGAGATCTTTGGCTTCCGCAGAAATGCTTTGCGGCATTTGAAACCTACCGGCCTGCACCTTCAACAGTAAGCGTTTGATGTTGTCGTCATTGAAAGGCAGATGCCCCGTGAGTAGGGCAAAGAGAATAATCCCACAGGACCACACGTCACTGGGCCCGCCGTGGTAGGACTTGCCCATAACGATTTCAGGGGAGGCATAGTGCGGCGAGCCACAGGAGGTCTCCAAGAGCCTGTTGGACGTTTGCAACGCGGCCATTCCAAAATCAGCGATCTTGATGCGCTTGTTTCTTTTGTCCAGCAGCAGGTTCTCAGGCTTCAGGTCGCGATGGCAGATGTTGAACCCATGGCAGTATGCCGTTCCGTCTATAATCTGTTTGAAGTAGTGGATCGCCTCCTTTTCGGGAAGTCTGCCGCGAGAAACAAGATAGTCAAAGAGCTCGCCTCCGTCCACGTATTCCAGCACCAAGAACAGCTCGAATTTGTTTTCCCACACTTCGTACAGCCCCATGACGTTTGAATGCGAGATCAGCTTCATGATGATGACCTCTCGTTCAATTCCGTACGGCAGCGCGTTGCTCCTGGCCGACTTTGCTTTGGGTACGATTTTCACCGCCGCAAGTTTCCCGGTTTCCATGTTTTTCGCAAGGCGAACTCGCCCGCTGGAGCCCTTTCCTAGCGTCTTTCCCAGTTTCCACGGCCCAATGGTGTCTCGCGACCGTCGTTTTGACGATTGTGTGGTGGTGGTCGTCGTGCTCGCTGATATTTGCGAGAGCCTCTTGGTGGCATCGGTAACAGAATGGACAACTCTATCTATGTGCCCCGACGGAACTGTAGCCACCATCGCTGCTTGCCGGGCCATCGATGCTGACATTTGGTACACTGGATCAACTCACAAGTAGAGGAAGTAAGAGTGTTAACAACCTAACGCGAAATTCTTATTGACCAGTCAAAACAAACATCAACACAAATACGTACACCGTGACATCAACACCCGGACTCGAAATTTTGGTTTTGGAATTCGCGTTCAGCACGGCACACGAGAAGTCATCGCTTTGGCTCGAGGCCACGTCGAATGAGGCGGGACCCGCCGCGCAACGGTCAGTCACGGTCCGAGCGCCCTTTACACGCCATCGAAGACGCTGCTCTGCAAGACACGGAATTTCCGGGTGAAGCTTTGTGGAAAGCAGCAAAGCAGCGTTTATCGAGTGGTCATCGTGGTTTATTGGTTCAGCAGGGCCAAGGCCCACGCGGGGGCCAGCGGTCGGAAGCGTGGCTGTAGGCTGGGAAACGACGCTGAATCGCGAGGCCGCTGCTGGAGCAGAGGCGCTGCTGTGTGTAGTTTAGCCTTTGGTCGAAGTTCGGTGCAGGTCACGTAAGGTGCCGCAACGGCATGGGTGGAGGCACTACGATCCTCGCGGGTCCACCTTCTGGGAGGTCTTCCTACCGAAAAGCAAGATTAACGGTGTCGCGGCAGCAGGCCTAGTTTCGGAGTCCAAAGCACCGGCAGTCGTTTTGCCTCCTTGCTTCCTTTGCTGACTTGGGTGCTCCACGACGCTGCACAGCTACACACCTGCACTGGGCCCCAAGTACATCAAAACTCGCCATCACGGCCCTTGGCACCCGCTGCATGACGCTCCAGTCAGGATCCCTGCGTCGTGCTCGAAAGACATACGGGCGCAAATACACCAGAGACCAAGCCACATTGCACCAGACATTGCCCTCCACGCCCAGCTCCTGGTGGGGGACGGCTAACGGCCACGTCCATTAGTGGGTTCAGTTGGAGCAGGGTCTAGCGCTGGAAGCGGGAACTCTATGTCTTTATCCGAAACCATGGCATACTGAGGCTCAGCTACGATAACCAGCGGCGAGGACCACCCAGTGCCAAGGAGTACATTGAGTGTCCTCTGGCCTATCTCTACGTTATGCCGCTCGGTGATGCGATACTGGTTTACCAGACAGCAATGGCTGGAAATTCCGCTGGTTTATTGACACCACCGAGTACCAGTCCTATTTTTTCCAAAGGGGAAACACGATTACTCGGTCCGGTTATTTGGTATATAAAGCGTGATGATAAGGGCCGGGGTCCACTACAGGTCGAATAGCCAATTGAGCACTAAGAATACCCTGAAACCTTGCTACACATATGTCGGACCCAACTCAGGAAGCACTCGCTCAAATCAAAAAAACTCTGGAGCTTCTAGCACTTCAGGCCACCAGTTCCAATCAGCCCAAGCCTGCAAACCCTTCGGGAAGGGAAAACAGGTCCCCGCTAGCCGGGGATTACTTCAAGGCGTACTCTCAGAGTTATATCGATTTCACCTACGAGAGTCCCACCATCTACCATGTAGTGGAATATTTTGCCAAGCAGCTCGATGAAGCGGGCTTCACGTACCTGAGTGAAAAATCATCGTGGGCCGATGTCAAGAGCGGAAAATACTACACCATTAGAAACGGCACCAACCTGTCGGCTTTCGTGCTGGGCAAAGACTGGGACTACAAGTCCGGGGTGGGCGCGCTGGGGTCGCATATCGATGCGTTGACCGTCAAACTCAAGCCATTGTCCCACAAGCCAGACGTGGAAGGCTTCCAGTTGCTGGGCGTCGCGCCCTATGGTGGCACGCTGAGTGACTACTGGTTCGACAGGGACCTCGGGATCGGTGGCAGGGTCCTTGTGAGAAATGAGTCCACGGGCAAGATAGAATCCAGACTCATCAACTCGGCGCCACATCCGATCGCCAAGATTCCGTCGTTGGCGCCGCACTTCGGGAGCCCCGCGGTTGGGCCCTTCGACAAGGAGGACCAGGCCGTCCCCATTGTGGGCTACGCCTCCGCTGACGACGAGGACGACGAAGAGTACGATGCCGAAGATGAGCGCAAGAGCCCGCTCTTTGGCCACCACCCCATTGGACTGCTGAGGTATATTGCGTCGCTGGCCAAGGCCAAGGTGAGCCAGCTTGTGCAGGTGGATGCCGACCTATTTGACGTCCAAAAAGGGTCTTTGGGCGGCTTGAAAAACGAGTTTTTGTTTGCACCAAGATTGGACGACCGTGTATGCAGTTATGCCGCGATTCAGTCCCTGATTGCCTTCGCCAATGAGGGCGAAATCCCATTGGGATCCTTCAACGTGGCCACCCTCTACGACAACGAAGAGGTCGGTTCTCTGTCCAGACAGGGTGCAAAAGGTGGCCTCTTCGAGAGCGTCGTACAACGGGTAACATCTAACGTGCACGGCAACGATCCATCGTTTGTCCGCACCGCTTTTGCCAACTCTGTTATCCTTTCCGTGGACGTGAACCACATGTTCAACCCCAACTTCAAATCGGTGTATCTCGAGAATCACCGGCCCAAGCCCAACGTCGGCGTGACTCTGGCGCTCGACTCGAACGGCCATATGGCTACCGACGTGGTGGGTACTGCTCTGGTCGAAGAGCTCGCGAGGCTGAACGGAGACAAAATACAGTACTTCCATATCAAAAACAACTCTCGGTCGGGAGGTACCATCGGGCCCTCCATTTCCTCCCAAACTGGTGCCAGGACAGTCGACCTCGGAATCGCTCAGCTCTCAATGCACAGTATCAGAGCTGCTACTGGGTCCAAGGATGTTGGGCTGGCCATCAAGTTTTTCAAAGGCTTTCTAGCCAACTGGAGATCCGTCTACGATACCTTCGGCGACCTTTAAAAGAAAAACCGGAGGAGCGCGTAGAAAACCAAAAAAAAAATCCTCCCAAACAAGTAAAGAGGTCCTGGGCCGTCACTAGAGAACTGCCGCTGCAGCTATAGTCCACGTATTGACGAGAGAATGTGTTTTGTTGGTTTCCAATATCACTATATACTATACTGTCGCTCTATATATAGTTGACACGTCGCGTTGAAATAATTTTCATCAAGCTATTTTTCACGAAGGTGAAAATAACCACTTTGGGGATATATATATAAACATTGGGATCAAAAAAATGTAAAGCACAAAGTAAAGCCATCACAGAGTATTTCCGTCTGTCATCGGTTCAGTTTTCGGGGACCATTCGAATTTCAAGTCGTTAAGGTTTCAAGAAGACGTAAGAGAAATTAGAATCCATCTCAGCTATGTGTGGAATTTTTGGGTACTGCAACTATTTGGTGGAGAAATCCAGAGGAGACGTGATTGACACGCTTGTGGACGGTCTTCAGAGACTAGAATATAGAGGCTACGACTCGACTGGTATTGCCATCGATGGTGACGAGCCAGACTCCACACTGATCTTCAAGCAAATCGGAAAGGTGGCCGCCCTGGAAAAGGAAATCCAGGCTCAAAATCCTGAGAGAGATGTGACGTTCGTGTCACACTGCGGTATCGCACACACGCGTTGGGCGACGCACGGTGAACCCAAGACCTCCAACTGCCATCCACAGCGGTCGGACGCTGCCAACGACTTTGTCATTGTACACAACGGTATCATCACGAATTTCCGGGAGCTGAAACAGTTGCTGAGCAACAAAGGGTACAAGTTTGAATCAGACACCGATACCGAATGTATCGCAAAGCTCTTCAAGCACCTGTACGACACCAACCTACAGAATGGCACCGAGTTGGATTTCCACGAGCTGACCATGCAAGTGCTTCTGGAGTTGGATGGTTCTTACGGGCTGCTGTGTCGGTCCAAACACTATCCTAACGAGGTTATCGCCACCAGAAAGGGGTCTCCCTTGTTGATAGGTGTCAAATCCGACCGCAAGCTCAAAGTTGACTTCGTCGACGTGGAGTTCCCCGATTCCGATGACACGCTACCAGACGTTCCTTTGAACACCGTTCGCGGTGAACAAAGAAACTTTTTGCCCATTGCCTCCAATGAATCCGCTTTGAGACGCTCGCAATCCAGAGCGTTCTTGTCCGAAGATGGTGCTCCTAACCCAGTCGAGTTTTTCGTGTCTTCTGATGCTGCTTCGGTGGTTAAACACACCAAGAAGGTGTTGTTCTTAGAGGACGACGACATTGCCCATATCTACGACGGCGAACTACATATCCACAGATCCAGGCGCAAAATGGGGGATTCCGCCATCAGATCCATTCAAACTTTGGAAATGGAATTAGCACAGATTATGAGGGGGGAATACAAACACTTTATGCAAAAGGAGATTTTCGAACAGCCGGACTCGACATTCAACACCATGAGAGGAAGAATCGACTTCGAGAGCAACAGTGTGATGCTCGGTGGGTTGAGCTCGTGGCTGCCGGTCGTTAGAAGAGCTCGGAGGCTGATCATGATTGCTTGTGGAACATCCTACCACTCATGTTTGGCTACGAGGGCCATTTTTGAGGAACTGTCGGAAATTCCTGTAAGTGTCGAACTGGCTTCTGATTTCTTAGACAGAAAAACTCCCGTTTTCAGGGACGACGTATGTGTCTTCGTGTCACAAAGTGGTGAAACTGCGGACACCATGCTGGCTCTCAAATACTGTTTGGAGAGAGGTGCCTTGACCGTGGGTATTGTTAACAACGTTGGATCTTCGATTTCAAGAGTAACACACTGTGGAGTTCATATTAACGCGGGCCCTGAGATTGGTGTAGCATCTACTAAGGCTTACACGTCCCAATACATCGCCCTGGTCATGTTTGCCCTGTCGCTGTCTGACGACCGGGTGTCAAAGATCGAGAGAAGAAAGGAAATCATTCAAGGTTTGAAAAAGATCCCCGAACAAATCAAGACCGTGCTACAAATGGAACCTTTGATTCGTCAATTGTGTGAAACAGAACTGAAGGATCAAAAATCTTTGCTACTTTTGGGTAGGGGATATCAATTTGCATCTGCTTTGGAAGGTGCTTTGAAAATCAAAGAAATTTCATACATGCACTCCGAAGGTGTTCTCGCTGGTGAACTGAAACACGGTGTGCTTGCTCTAGTCGACGAGGAATTGCCTATCATAGCCTTTGGTACCAGAGACTCTCTTTTCCCTAAAGTTGTGTCCTCCATCGAACAAGTTGTCGCACGGAAAGGTCGCCCCATTATTATCTGTAACGAAAACGATGAAGTCTGGACCGCTAAGGCAAATAATGGTAAGCTGCTCACTTTGGAAGTTCCTTTGACCGTCGACTGTTTGCAGGGTCTACTAAATATCATTCCTCTGCAATTGACATCTTACTGGCTAGCAGTTAACAAAAACATCGATGTGGATTTCCCCAGAAATTTGGCAAAGTCTGTCACGGTAGAGTAGAGTAGCAGTCCAACTTGAGGTCATAGAACTGATCACCTGGTATGTGCTCCTTATATACCATTTTAGTAACTGAAGAAAAGGCTGGAATTTATTGTTGTAATAGGTGCTTATTTAAATGTTCTCGTCATTAACAAAATGAAATTGAAAAGTGATCACACAGATCCCTGATATCAAGCTCGGTGTGTGTTTTCTAGCAATCAAGCTCACTGATGGGGGTTCAGAAGAACTTTGAGGAAGCTGACTTGGCGCACTTTGAGAAGCACCTTAAGATCGTGATAAAAAGTACCTTGAGCGGCTAGAGGCTAAAAACCTGGCACAAGGTATGATGCATCAGGAAACTTGATGCTGGTATATTGCTGGCACATGAGAGGTCTTTACATATAGGAGCTCTTGAGACTCGAGACACCATCCCATTATATCCTTTTTTTTGTCTGCACAAAAGAGAGAAGGGACACGCGGCTTCTTCGCTTAAATGGTTACAAGATTCTATTAAGAAGGCATTGGTGATTCATCTGCAAACCTCTTACCTCCTACTTTAGCTCGCTCTGGATAATTGTTCCAAATTTCATGTTGAGTTGATCTTTTATAAGCGTTAGCGAGCTACGAGGCAGCCTGGTGGAGCAATGAAATATGATTGGGCCACGTTACGTTGCGAAAGCGAACCCATCCAGCAACATACAGAACGTTACGCTAACCAGGATTTTGGATCTTTAGGAGAGCTGAGCATGGATTAATGAATGGTGATAAATCAACGTCGTTACTAAGGATGGTGAGATAGCGAGTTCTTTAGTTTGTGAGCCTGCAAGCTCCGGACTGTTCGCGTGATGTTCTCGTGATTTGGTATTCTCTTTAACTTTGGTAAGAATTATCAAAATAAACCAAATAGTAAAAAGTTTAACTCGAAACTTGACCACACTCCCCTTTTAAAAAAGTTCACCCAAGTAAAGCATCGAAAACAAGGAGGGCCGTACCTATTGCAATGTTCCAGTCAAGGAGATCTCGTGAGAGTAAAGTGGTAGACTCCGAAGCTCTAGCTGCTGCTTCTGCTATTGGAAAAGCATTGGATCAAAGGGGAACGAAGGTTGATGTTGACAAATTGCCGCATTACAACAGCATCTCTAGGTCCAACTCTATAGCGCGCGCCATGTCTATAAGTGGAAGGAACAATAGTTTACGTCAAAACCGGGATTCTCGGCGGAGTTCAAGTCTCCAATACAAAACGCCAAGACCCAGGGGGAGCTACGACGAAAGTGAATTCGTGGATGCAGAGGACACGTTCCAGCAATTTGGCGGGCCCCAGGCACAAAACAAACAAGTAACGGTCAAGAAATACGTGCCTGGGCCAAGTGGGCTCAGGCTAGTGGAGGTGCCCGTATCCGATGTGCACCAGCCTTCCAGTGGTCGATCGAGTTTGACACGACGTTCGACCTCTATGCATAGTGGTTTGTCTGTTCGCAACAGCTCGTTGCGGAGCAATTCATTGCGTAGAAAATCGTCTTTAACATTCGAAGCACCCGAAAACCGTAAGGGCCCTGTAACGCAAACCAACGGTGGTTCTACTAAGAGGGCCCCCAGCCCATCAACGCCCTCGAGAGGGTCAGTTCTGCGAAAGCCTCTGGCGCAGCAGTCACTTGAGGAAGAAACTGATGAGCAACTCGAAGATGAGCATCGCAAGCCAGATGCTATCAACCCAACAGCAATGTCAACATCCCCTGTGAAGGTGGCGCGGGGTAAGCCATCTGCTGAAGCTAGAGATTCATCCTCTTCGGCAGAGATCGCCCCACCTAAACTTTTGGTTTCGCCACCCAATGAAGAACACCTTGGCGAACAGCGTGACTTCACAAATTCCGTTTCTCCCCAGAAAGATGAACCAGAGAAGCAAGCCCCGAAGAAGACTGTCGAAGATGTCATCAATGAAGACGTTGGCACAGGGCAGGAAGATACAGGTCGCAGTAATGGAAGCAGTATGGCACAATACATACGCTCAGCAAATCAATATCTTAACAAGGCTCATGAACTCCCCGAAAAACACGCCCATGATATGGAAAATTCTTCTAACGGGAATTCTGAGACTGTTGAGAGTGGTGCAACGGCAGTCGAAGCCCAGCCATTAGCGAGGGTCAACTCTCCAATGAAATCGGCTCTTAAAAAGAGAGTCAGCAGTCATTCGATAAATGGGCAATATGCAGAAAGACCTAACTCCACAGCACACGATGCATACCTATCTCTAACCACAGCCGAAAATACCAGATTAAATGCGCAGATTGCCAACGACCAGAATAAGCGACAACCTTCGACCATTAAATCTCGCCCCCACTCAGTGATGAATGGTCGTCCAAAAGTTCAAAACAAGGAAAATGTCGATGCTAAGCTCAAGCATCGATCTGTTCAGGGACTCCCGTCGCGGGCGGATACGCCCCCCGTCAGATCTAGCATGCGGCCAAACTCCTCTAAAGTAAAAAACATCCCTCCACAAATGCAAAGTAAAGCAAAGTCGCATATCCAGGGCGCAGCTTTTTATCCGCCAGAGCCTCCGCAGAAGCGCTCCAGCTTTGAGAGGGAAAGACCAGAACATAGTCACATGGGATTCAAGAAGCTTTCATTAAGAGAGGCCTTGGATAGTAGAGAAGCCGACCAATTTGACGAAACACAATATCAGTCTTCTAGTGTCCAATCGGGAAAAGCACAGTCACCACAACGTGTTAACCAGTCGGTTCTTCCTTCAGGTAGCGTCTGGAAGTCAAGATTTCACGACTCGGACTCCGAAGATGAGAACGATCTTTTTGCTGTCCCCCCACAAGGATCTAATAAAGCAGCAAAAACAAATGGAGTATTTCCATTCACAAGTAAAAACAATGACGATTCGCTACAACCTCCTCAGCCTCGTTATGTGCAGTCGGCAACCGCCCCTAATTCCAGAAACAACACACCGAACAAGAAAAAGAGCACTTTGTCCTTGAGGTCAGCAAGCAGCATGAGCAATAACGCGCCTGCGAAACGGGGGAACAACTTGAGTAATCGATTCTTTAGTGAGCAGCTGCCCGCTGTGGAGGCGGAACAGGCAGAAGGTCCTAAAAAGAAGAGCTTCGGTAAGAAGCTCAAAAAGATATTTGGTAGAAAGAAATAAAAGTGTTAGATAGAGATGAGTTGAATATTTTTATTCATTGAATGTTTTTGTGTGAACAATCTCGCCTTAGGTGCATGCCGCCATAAGTGACCTACCATTGAGTTTGGGCGTCATGCTTCTTTTTCGTTTAGGTGATGGGAAACGTTGCGCAACGCTTCACAGACGTAGTCTATATTTGAGTCATTCAGTCCACTTAACGAGAGACGTCCGTCTTGCAGTAGATAAATCGAGTACTTTTCTCTCAAGATGTCAACACAGGATCTATTCAGTCCTGTATATAGAAACATGCCATGCTGTCGTGAGGGGTCCCTTAGCGACGCCCACTCAAGCTGAGCTGCCAATCTGGATTTCACCGATTGCAGGCGGCCGGCCATATTTTTAACATCTTCAACCCAAAGCTCTTTCAGATGTGAAGACGATAAAACCAAATTAGCAATCCTTGAGCCGTATCCTGGGGGGGACGAGTACATACCTCTGACAATTTTCTTCAGCTGAGAATCTATGTTGCGCTTAACGTCAACACTGTGGGGAGTGACCACAGACAAAGATCCTACTCGCTCTCCGTATAGTCCCATATTTTTGGCAAAAGACTGGCAGAGAAAAAGTCCGTTATTCCAACGATACCTGTTGCTGTCCAAGCACAGTCTCAACAGGTGAGCATCTTGGAACAAATCACCAGTGTCAAGGCCCTGGTAGGCCATGTCAATAATAGGAATAAGTTGCAGTTCATGGACTTTATCCATGATTCGAACCCATTGCTCTGGAGTTGGGTCGACACCTGTGGGGTTGTGACAGCACGCATGCAGCACTATGCATTGAGGAGCGTCCGTACGCCCCGCACCAGATTTTCTTTCCAAGTCCAGAAGCCAGCCATCAACGTCCAGTTCTCCATCCCTGTAGTATGTGTAACAATTGATTTCTTTGAAGCCGTTATTCCAGAAGACGTTGGAGTGGTTGGCCCAAGATGGATTTGGGATCCAAACTGAGCGTGATATAAATGATGAGAGGAACTTGGACGTCACAGCCAAAGCGCCTGTACCTGACAGCGTCTGAACAAAGCTGACCAGCTCTTTGTCCAGCAACTCTCCACCCGCAGGACAGCTTTCTCGATAAAGAAACTTTAGCACATTTTCTTGGAATGCAGGACAACCATTGATAGGCAAGTATGAAAGATCTATATTCAATTCGATATGCTCGTCCAGAATTGCTTGCGCTTTGGCGACGCTCGGGAAAGTTTTAACCTCGCCAAAGTTATCCTTATAGATACCCACAGTAAGGTTAGTCTTCTGGGGATTGGGATCTGTCTTGTATTGTTCAGTCAGGCCCAATATTCTATCTGGTGGGGCTCTTGGGATGCCAATAATAGAACCAGCGAACTTGTGAAGGTGGCGCCGGAGAATGGAAGTCATAAATACGAGAGTCCTATTAGGACTACGCAACCTTGGAGTTTGGTACACTAATTTGAGATTCATTGGCGGATGGATGATCACTATTTTTTCAAATCTTCTTTGCATATAGCGCAGATCTGACAATACCGAATGACCCACAATTTAGCGATAAGTAATAACCCGATCCTTACCTTCACTCGGATAACATGAAGGTGATTCTTGTGGATAGCAATCTTGGTTTGGTTAGGTTATGGCGTCAGAGATTCAAGGACTATAAACATGTTACGGTCTATTCATGTTCTTTCATTTCCCTCGATAGTCACTTACAGCAAACGACAAGGACATCGGCTGTGGTATCGCCCGGAAATTCATTTGGATGGTTGGGAGGAGGCTTCGATTTGGCCTTGAAAAAATATTTTGGCGGTTCAAGTTTTGAACAGTTCTTTAGAGATAAGCTAGGTCAGCTATATAAACCAGTGGGCGCGGCGACCGTTGTGGACTTAGGGAAGTGGCAGCGTGGTACATTTCGATATATAGTTCATGTGCCAACAATTGTAGCACCGTCCCGGCCATTCTACGTTGAAGAACGTCCAGTGGAAACTGGTTATAACTTGGTCTTCAACGTGACATGGAATGCTTTGATGAGTCTTCCTGAAGACGTCGACACCTTGGTGATTCCTGGCTTGGGCACAGGCTATGTTGGAGTTCCGGAGGAGGTCAGCAGTAAGTCCATGGAGTTCGCGATACGTTTGTTTTTCGCGCGAGACACCATTTCCATCGAGCTGATGAATGCGGTCATTCAACAGTTTTTGGGCTATCGCTTTGATGGCTTCATTTCAAGGAAATGTTTGGACGAGTGTACCGTAGTGGGGATTGACCACAAGGCCTTATTAACATATAATGTCTGCAATGATCCGATATCAAACCTCCTGCCTTCGGATTCACTCCTTGGTAGAACGACGGATGCGTACCAAGTAGAGCGCTAAAATCAGAGCAGCGGCACCACTGGTTATGCCGGGATAGTTGGACCATACAAAGCACTGGCGGTAAATGTCCAGGAGCGAGCTCAAAGTTTGACCGGAAAAGTGGTACCTGAGGTATCCTGAATCGCGCAATAGCTTCGGGTACGATTTAGCTAGGCCATGAGATTCCATGTAGGTCCACAGCTTGGAAACCAAAGAAAGGTCGTATGTAGTCAGGGTGATTGACGTACCCAAAACACTACCAATAGATCTCCAAAGATAGAAAATACCGGTCAGTGTGGCTTGTTGAGACTTGGGTACCGTGAAGACAATACTGACAAGAACCGAAACCAGGAGGCAACCGTATCCAAAGGAATTAAAGATTGTGGAGACGACATAAATGACTTTCCAGGTCAGTCCTTGGGAAGCGAACGCCAAGGGCGCAACAAGTTCACTGGCACCGGCAAAATGAACCTCGTTTGGTTTGAGATTAGCGATTAATAAAGTATTCAGAACGACTCCAACTAGCTGCATGAGCACTGCAGCAAGAACTATCAAAAACGTGCACCTAACAAGCTCCATCTTGGTGTGTCTAATGATGTAGCCAGTTATCAAAGACGAGCCCGCGCATGCTGTGGATCCAAAAAGAATGAAAACCCCGCTTTTCGTTATTGATATATCTTGAACCACTTGCAGATAGATAGGCGATCTGAAGATGTCGCCAAACATGATGAAAGCAGACAGTATTGTTATCAAAGAAGTGAGTCCAAAAGTTCCCTTCAACAGATCAAAGGGGATTATGCGTTCAGAGGCCCAGTATTTCTCATTGTACAAGAATAGAGCAAAGCTGATCAACGTTCCTATCAAAGTTGCCCATTTATTCAAGTTACTCGAAAACAAAAACAATATCCCGCTGATGGTTGCAACTAACGTGGCTGATCCAAGTAGATCCAAACGTGACAAATTCTTGAGCGTAAACCTCTTTTCAAGCGGTTCCAGGTGAGCGAGCTCCACATTCACATTGCGATTAGCCAAAAACATGCACAGAAGCACCATTGGAACCTGAACGGCGAAAATAGGCCTCCAGCCCAGTGTGGTGATCAGAATTCCTCCTAATGGGGCTCCGAGAAGCTGACCGGTGCCAAAGACTATATTGGCATAGCCTTGGTACATGCCTCTCTCCTTGGCCGTGCATATGTCGCTAACGGTGATGCTGCTCATGGCGCTGATTCCACCACCGCCAATTCCGCAAACAGCTCTGGCCAACGCAAACTCCGTAACGTTCCTGGCAAAACAGGTCAAAAGACACCCCAATCCAAAGAACAACTGGGCTGTGAGCAGCGCGAATTTTCGGCCCGAGATGTCTGACAGTTTCCCATAGAGGCACTGAAAGGCAGTGTTAGTCAGCAGAAAGCTTGTCGCTATCCACTGTTTCTTGTCCGATTCTTGAAATTCGGCAGCTATAGCATTAGTGACGTTGGCCACTATCGTTCCGTCAATCGAAACTAGGAAAGAGCCCAACCAAAGGGAGACCAATATTGGACCCTTTGCAAGTTTCAGGTTATGGTTATGGCAGCGTTCTTCTTCCCAAATTTCTTCTTCCGTTGCCCCACTCCGGGAAGCAGCTATCAGTGCATCATCTTCTGTCGCTTCTCTGGACGACATTATTGGCTATACGAACGATAATGATGGATGTACATCCGCAGAACAATCTCTTGTACAATCTTCAGGCGGACACTGTTTATATAGATATGTGCATACACTTAAAACTTGATGCTACAGCCATTGTATGGCTCATCTGGTCGGCAGTTCATGTCGAATGAGGCCTATCGCGTACTTAACGTAAAATCCATCGGAATTTTGGTATATCTCTGATATCTTCCCAATCTCGTCCAAAATGCTTTACAGAATTGATGGTCAAAAATGTGGAATCTGAGTAAAGAAAGTATCTCGGTGCCCTCTCTCTCTACAGCCTCATCTCGAGAAGTTTACTAAAACTGTACCTTCATCCGTTTAGAATCAGTGGAAGTAGGAAAGGAGTGACTATGCTTGACGCCCGGGCGACTTGAACAATACCCAACTTTCGGCAATCTACAAGGGACCTTCGGCGGCTAAATCTCAGCGGCTGCCAGATTGCGAGTATGCCATTGAGTAGTGTATCTGCTTTTTGCATTGATATTTGAATTAATAGATGAGCTAGTGTTATCCAGTACTTGTCTCAAGCCACAACTACTAGCGTCCAGATTTGAACGTCCACAAGTGCCAAATTCATATGAACGACTGTACCTTCACAAAGAGCAGAAAGTGCATACGTGTTGGATGCTAAAGGGCTTTACATGCATAGAATTATACGTTATATTTACAAGTGGTTATAATGTACAGATGGAAGCTATCAGGCTCAAGTGCTCATTCCTGTGTCTTTTTCCTCGTTTCTCCGCAGTCTTTCGGTCTCGCGCTCGTTAAGATATTTGTCAAATGCATCATTCCGTTCGGGAAAAGGGCGTTTGCCCAACATGCGAATCATATCCTCTCGAGTGAGGACCTCTTCCTTGAGCAACTGCTGAGCGACCGTTTCGACTTCGTCGGCCTTCTCCCTCAGCAAAGCCGCACACCGATCATGAGCATCCTGAACTAATTGATAAACCTCTGAATCGACGATCGCGGCAGTCTCTTCGGAAAATGGCTTCGTCAGATCGCTCTCACTCTTCCTTTGAAAATTGATCCATCCAATTTTATCGCTCATGCCTAATTCGGTAACCATGGCCGAGGCCATGCGAGTTACCTTCTGGAAGTCGTCAGAGGCTCCGCTTGTCACAGAAGGGAAATGCAACTCTTCTGAGACTCTACCGCCGAGGGCCATGGTCATCCTGTCCTTCAATTGCTGTTCGCTCAACAGGTAAACGTCCCCTGGTAAATACTGAGCATATCCCAGAGCACCTTGACCGCGGGGAATAATACTAACCTTCAAAAGTGGATCCGCGTATTCCAAATACCATCCGCACACAGCGTGTCCCGCTTCATGATAGGCCACGATTTTTTTCTCTTCGGGCGAAAGCAGTTTAGACTTCCTTTCAACTCCTCCGATGACTCTCTCAATTGCCTGTTCGAAATGGTTTAGCTTAACAGAGGTACAGTCCTCTCTTGCAGCGGTTAACGCTGCTTCATTGCAAACGTTGGAAATGTCAGCTCCCGAGAAACCGGGAGTTAGCGCCGCCAGTCTATTTTTCAAATCCTCCATAGATCCGGCAATTTTTATTTTAGACAAGTGAACTTGGAAAATTTGCTTGCGTCCTTCCAGCTCAGGTCTATCAATGTTAATATGACGGTCGAACCGACCAGGACGCATGAGAGCCTGGTCTAGTACGTCCGGGCGATTCGTGCCTGCCAATACCACAACGTGGTCCGCTGACGTAAATCCATCCATCTCTACGAGCAGCTGATTCAAAGTATTTTCTCTTTCGTCATTGGCGCCAGAGAAGTTACCCTTTTGTCTCGCCTTACCGATAGCATCAATTTCGTCAACGAAAACAATGGCTGGCGCGTTTTCGCGGGCCGTTTTGAATAAATCGCGGACTCTGGATGCACCCACGCCGACAAACATTTCCACAAATTCAGAGCCGGATACCGAAAAGAAAGGAACGCCCGCTTCCCCAGCAGTTGCCTTCGCTATCAAGGTCTTACCAGTACCAGGAGGTCCCGACAGAATAGCACCCCGCGGGATTTGAGCTCCCATTTTTTCATAACGAGAAGGATCTTTCAAGAAGCTCACAAATTCCATGATCTCTTCCTTAGCTTCATCACAACCCGCCACATCTTTGAAAGTTACTGCCACATCCGTCTCTTTATTAAATCTCTTAGCCTTAGACTTGCCGACATTGAATATTCCACCGGGTCCACCACCTGCTGCACCAGAAGCAGAACGTTTGGTTATCCAAATTAGACCACCGATCATCAACGCGGTGGGGAGAATTTGGTACATCGCCTTAGCCCAATTTCCCTCTTGCGTGTAGATCACTGGTATCTTGAAATCATCTGAAATACCAAGCTCTTGCTGAGCCTTCTGTAGTTTGTGTTCAAACGTATCGATTGAGCCAATTGTAAAGAAATAAAAATCATGGCCACTATGCTCAGGTTGGTTCTTGCCGTTGTCATTGAGAATGACCTTGACAAATGATTTATTGATTACTACCAGCTTTTCAACGTAGTTCTTTGCCAGAAGGTGCGACCGAAATTCTTGCCAGGTTATTTCCCTTTGCTCCTCAGTGTTATACAGACGATTCAAGACAAACGACAGAAGGAAGAGTAAAACCCCTATTTCTAGAAACCCAATGTTCACGGACAAAACGTTGGCGTTGGGGTCATTCAAAATCTTGTTAAGCTTCTCTTCTTCGGCCTTCTTACGCTCGTTAAGTTTTTTATTTTGGTCAAAGGCTTCTCTCTTTTCGTGTCTAAATGGATCCTCGGACTCAGGTTGCTTATTCTGTTCATCAGGCCTTTCGGCCGTAGGTTGTTCAGCAGACGAGGCGGCCTTCTTCTCTGCTTCTTGCCGCTGTTTTTCCTGTTGTCTCCCTACTGTATCTTCCAACCTCTTAAGTCCTTCGTCTATCCTTTTCTTGCGAAGTTCCCACTCGCCAATATTGCCATCTTTAGCTTCTTTGATATACTGTTCCACATCTTTCCTGATCTTTTCGAGATCTTCATCATTGGCATCTCCCTCCTTCCTGTCCGCGAAGCGGTTGAGTACTCTGGAATGGGAATGTAACCTAGCAATATTTTGGTATGATGCCACAATGGGACGAGACGATAGCTTCAGAAAAGTACCCCTCGCCCGTAAAGGTCTCAAATGGGGTCTTAGTATTGCCAACATCATGCCTTCTACTTGACCCTATGAACCTAAGTGGCGTTTCCGTTAAGAATAAAGATTTTGCCACTGAATATCCGCAACCCTATCAAGAGTGATCCAACGGTGTGTATCCGATTAGGTGCTGTGTTGAAATGAATGAGAACAGTAACTTGATTTCTCGCAGGTGTATTCGCAGCTTCTAACTGCTCGCTTAAACTACGTAAGGCATAGCTAGCTGCCTCCAATCAAGCTAATACTCATTATAAAGATGCCTTTCTTTCGTAGGAAGTTACAATATCGCAGCCTGTCTCTTAGGCTACTATGGCGAGTACGTAGATCTACACTTTCTGCTCAAACTGTTGTTGTTCCAATATGGCGAGCTTCACGTCGTCATCTACCACGTCTTCAAAGACATCAAGTGGTACATTTGTCAGGCCAATAGAGCGTCGCGTGACATCCTTGTCTTCTATCAGGGTTTCGTAAACCAAACAGTTGTCCCGGGGAGCATTAGCGGAATCTTGGATATACCGAAGGACCTGGGTCGATTGCGTTGATTGTGGAATATGCAGAGTATTAGTGTAAGGATCTCTGAGACCTTGGTGCTCGATCAACAAAACCCTCTCGCGATCATAAAACAAATCACTGTTAAATCTGCTACATGCTGCTGCGTGTTGATAGAGCCAATTCGTAGAGCTGATGTTATTCCCAGGAGTGATGTTGTGATTGCGCTTGTCGAAAAATTCCACAGCATTTTTCGCCGGGTTTATACCAGAACTGGAAAATTTGTATCCACTACCACCCATTCCTCTAGGATTTGACGAAGATTCCCTGGCAAATGTGCCCTCTACAACCCTTCCTTCTTCACGAAGCCTTGCAACGTAGTAGTCGTCGGTGATATTCCTACCGTCAACAATTATCTTGGCGCCAAACTCTTTGAAAACGCCCCTCGCAGATACCAAAGTAATGGTTCTGGTACGGTAGGAGTACGGTATCACGCCTCTGTGAATAAGATCATTTCTTTCGTCTTGCGAGATAGTCAACTTGTACAAGTTTGGATGGTATTGGAAAAATAGGTACGAGTCTCTGAAGCCCACGGCCCGTGCAGGTTCTGTCGACAGCATGTATTTTCGCTCTCCACGCGTAGTCAATGTGAACGACCGGACTAGAAACTGCCGTCCACCCAATAGGTCGCCATCCCTGTTTATTTTGGTGTCACCCTCTTGGTCGTCGGGAAGCGCATATTCATCGTTCACGACAGGCAACGGATCTCCATTTTCGTCAATCGGGAAAGAAAGGTGAGGCCGCTTGGGGGCGCCATTGGTAGCACCATCTGCATTGTTCTTGGTATCTATGATCGGTAAAGCGGTTTCAATAGCTGTATTCTTCCGTTTTGGTGGACGACCGCGTCTTGGTTGCGATGAAAGCCGGGTCGTGCCGGCTCCTGAGTCCTGAGGAACTGATCGCACATTGGTCATTTTACTCGAGCTACTCTTGGATCTCCCAGGTGCAGCCTCGGTATATGCTTCGTCATTATCGTCTTCATCTGGTATATCTTCATCTGGTACATCTTCATCCGGTAAATCTTCATTGTAGTCTTCATCGTTTTCATCGTCTCTCATATCTAGGTCATCCTCTTCAATAGCGTAACTCACCTTTCTATGGCCAGATACAGATCTTCTCCCTACTGGTGATTCACTTTCACGCACTGGCGAATCAACACTCATGATATCTCACTGCTGTACTGGATTCACTTTCGCTATAAATATTGAATACTCGAATTAATGTGAAGATGTGAAGGTACGTATCGTAACTAGTTCAAACAACACCAGCGTATATAATGATCTTATGTGTCGTGCTTACTGTTCACCATCTATCGGGCGATGTGAATTGAGCGCTTTCCATTATTCGGACAGGAGCTCCCACCTCTTGATGAGAGCATCAGCTCCAGCTGTGAACAGTGTTGAGGATCCCTCCCAGGCGACACAATTAATACCGTCTTTATGAGCATTCAATTCTTTTATGGTTTTCATCGGCCTCTTGACAGAGTAGACAATGAGGTGTGTATCCAAGGATGCTGTGGCAATTAAGTTCTCTTCATCTTCGTCGTCGCATAGCGGTCTCCAGGCCATGCTTGTTATTTTTCCGCTATGGAAGGCCCATCTGGAAGTCTTGACTGCCTTAGTTTCAAGGTCGAACAGCAGGATTTTGCCCATCACATCACCTGCAGCGAGTAACGTCTCAGAGGGCGAGAGAGACAAGCTCGAAGGAACAGCTCTCATGGCGACAGATAGTGTAAAACTTACGCTTAAATCTGACAGATGGAACAGCTCGATTACCTTGGTATGTTCGTAGCCAACAGCAACATACTTGGTGCCTAAGCTAATTGCCGATACCGCTGAAGGCAGCTCCTTGGAGGCAAGTATTTCACCTGTAGCACAGTTGATTATATCAAGCCGATTTTCTCCAGAAATAACCGCAGTAGAGCCCTCGTAGGCGGACGCCACCCTGGGTGGGTATTCAAACGTATGTTTGGTTTCGTTGGCAACTTTGAAAGTTGTGTCCCATGAAGTCGTAGCGACCTCGTCAGTGCTGTCGATGGATACAACGGTATTCGAGTGCTCGCCACTGACAATGGCAGATTGCGTTCCGCTGGTACCCCAGGTCACAATACGTCCATCGTAGGAGCCCGATACTAGAGGGTGTGCAGTGAGGGCTGTTATCGCCTTGTTATGGCCCTGAATTCTCTTTACTGGAGAGGATTGGCCGCGTTCAAAGATATTCAAGGTGCCATCGACTGAAACAGATACAACATGGTCTTCATCAATAGTGGCCACACCTACCTGTTGATTCGCAACAGTGCGTTCGAGGCTCCATTTATGCACGCATTTTCCCATTTCTACGTCCCAAATCCGCAAGGCCGCATCGGCACTAGCAGTGACGAACTCCCGGGAGTCAGAACCTTTATCAAACCAGTCCAGAGCAAACAGACCGCCTTCAACAGACTCCTTCTCATCCTCTATGTATTTAACGAATTGCCCGGTACGGCCATCAAAACAGACAATCTTACGATCGCTACCGATGGAAATGGCAAAGGTACCTGGACCAGGTGAAAACTTTATGTCACGAATGAATTTTCCTTGATCGTGGTGAGTCCTGTCACTTGCAGCAAATTTAAAAGGTGGACCCTCGAAAAAAACACAGGACCCGTCATCCCCTGCAGTGAAGCAGCGCATTGGTCTGCTTAGCTTTATGTGGCAAGCATTCACACGTTTGGACGGTCCACTGAGTTCACCCAACGAATTGCCACTATCCCAAGAGATGAAAGCTCCGAATTTATCACGTCCGTCACCCACGACGCATAGTCTGCGGCCCTCCATATCCCAGCTTATATCTGTAATGGGGCCAGAAAGAACCTGAAATTCACTTTTTATCGAGGTGGAAGTCACTGTCGTCGATGTATTATCTTTGGTACCTTCTTCGCGCAGCCAACTCCACACGATAACGCGTCCTTGATCATCGCCTGAGCAGACGTAGTTGGAACCAGCCACGGGCTGAAACCGCACAACAGTCACTTTAGCAGTTGTATGCCCAGTGAATTGAACTTGGAAATCCGAATCCAGCGATCTGATGAATGCAGACTTTCCACTCCCGTATGCAACACATTTCGAGTGCTTATCATATGAAATCTTCGTTGAAAAATTGCGTTCTGCTGACGGCAAAGGAGCAAAACTCGTACTCCAGTCTAATTTAGCCATTGGTCTTTATTATGAGCTTTCGCGAAAGCTCCTTTTTTGGATATAGGGGCAGAAGGTTGCATTTGGATCTCATATTTTGAAGCTCATATATATATATATATATTATAGGCATACAATTATTACTCGAAAACGACAGCCACACGTAGAGCCTATTTCTTCATTGAGCTTCAGCTCCGTTGCGAAGATCGAGCAAAGAATCGACCATATTATTTGACACAATTTTCTGGAGTTTCCTTTTCGTAGCTTCCAAGTTGCGATTTAGTGCGTTCAAAGATCGCTTCAAAAGACCTCATTTCGAGCAAGCACCTTTAAATTCCTAAAGTAAGGCAAGCGCTTGAAGCCAATTCAGAAAATCTCTTTGGGTCTGTGAGAATTTGGGATAAAGCTATGGTACGTGCTTTTGTCGTTATGAACATTAACGTCATTTTTAGGAAGTGGTAAAACTCAACTTCCTGTTACTCGCAGAGAGAGGAAGAGTTTTTCGAGTACATTATTTGATTTTATAGTAGTGAGTGAGTCACCCAGCCGTACCATAACGGTTGGAATGTTTGTGTAACAACAATCCATCTCTCACATTTTATTACTCTTTTACTGGTTTTAAGTATCAATTGTAGATGGGTCAACATACAAGTATTATCGATGTATACAGACCTTAACTGATGGCCATGGGCTGTCTAGGAAACTGAAAAACTGAGCTTTATCATCATTTTGTGCCAGTTTTGTAAAAAGTGATGTTCAGGATCAGACGTGTGAAAAATTAGGCTATATTTCGAGAAAGCTTCAGCAGCTCATCGCTCTGAATTCAAGCTATAGTAGCAGGCCTTCTGATCCTAATATGTCTTCAACAAGACCCAGAGCCACTTTGCTGCGCGCACCAGTGCTTCCGGAGCAAACAACTCCGGAACAAAGGTACTGGAGAGCTTATGGTGCTACTCAGCTCGTGAAAGAACACAATAGTGTCACTAGCATCGCCTTCAACCCCCAGCAGCCCAACGACTTCGCTATTGCGGCGTCTACAAGAGTGCAGCTGTTTTCTTCGCGTACCAGACAGGTCATCAAAACCTTTTCCAGGTTCAAAGACGTCGTTTACGCGGCGAACTTCAGACCAGACGGAAAACTTTTGGCCATGGGTGATGCAACGGGGCTGGTGTCTGTCTACGACTCCTACAACCCTCGGACGCAACTCTTATCGATACGTGCATCCTCACACCCTACCCATGTTGCTAAATTTCATTCCACAGATCCTAAATCCTTAGTGACCGCAAGTGATGACCGTGTGGTCCGCGTTTGGGATATATCCCAGGCCCAGCAGCCGCTTACTGAGTTGACTGGTGCTACAGACTATGTTCGTAGTATATGCATGGTGCCTCAGGCTCCACATTTGGTCGTCACAGGTTCTTACGACGGTTTTGTGCGTCTCTACGACACTCGAGTGGGCTCCAATTCTAAACCAACGACCCTTGCTCAAGGCCTGCCAGTGGACGATGTCGTCGCAGTATCTCCAACACAATTGGTGTCATGTGGCGGTCCTAGCTTTAAAGTGTGGGATTTGACTGCACAAAGACAACTTTTAGAGCGGACCAATTTCGCCAAAACCGTTACCTGTCTTAACCACGTTTCACTTCATTCTGACTCCCCTATGGACTCAACGCTTGTCGCGTCTTCTTTAGATGGTCACGTCAAGATATTTGATCCCCTGGATGGGTACAAGGTGAAGTTTGGTTGGAAGTTTTCTGCTCCAGTTTTGAGCTGTGCTGTCTCGCCTGGCGATGCTCAAGGAAATAGACACTTGGTTGCGGGTCTTTCTTCTGGTCTGTTAGCCATAAGAACTAAGAAAAAATCTGACGGAGCTAATAAGGTTCCAATTGAAAAGGTCGCAAAGAGCAACAACTTTCAAAGGATGATGAGAGGCTCCGAATATGCTGGTGATCAAGAACACATAATTCATAATGATAAAACCCGTCCGCAACGGAAACTGAGGGCCTTCGAACGTCATATGAACCAATTCAAATGGGCGGAAGCTCTTGATGCTGCTTTCCTTTCAGGTATGGCTAGGGAATTGACACTTACCGCTTTGCATGAACTACGTAAAAGAGGCAAAATTAGAGTTGCACTTTTAGGAAGAGACGAATCGTCGCTTGAACCTCTGTTGAACTGGTGCCTAAAAGGTATTGAAGATGTCAGAAGTGCAACAGTTGTTGCTGACTGGATTGCAGTTGTGCTCGAACTTTACAGTGATTTGATCGCACGCTCGTCGGTCTTGGAAGAGATGATCGTGGCGCTCAAAGACAAAGTCAAACAGGAAGTGCACAGGGCGGAGGAAGCTCAAAAAATAGAAGGGATGTTGCAGCTTCTCGTAAGTTGATGATGCCACGCCATGTAGCGCATATGTAAATTATAGAATTTAGTCTTGAACTTGAATCAATTATCTCCCAGAGTTTGTTGTTGATTAACGGCGGCCCCATCTCTTATTTCCCCTACCTTTAGACGTTGGCAGCTTCAAACGACGGAAATTACTGCTGACGAGATTATACTTCCTATTTCTGCTGCGCTTGGGGTTGGCATTTGTTGTGGCAGTCTTTGCCGTCGTTGCTTGACTCACCGCTGCTCCTGAAGGTTGTATTCCACGAAGCTCGTCGAGAGCTTCTTGCTTGAGTCGCGCCATTTCCTCTTTGATGTTTACTTGAGGGGGTTCTGACGTTAAGGCCAAAGCATTCTTAGCAGGGCGTAAAATGTGCTTACGCTTAGAACGCTTGGGCACAATTTTTTCTTGCTCTTGCACTTCATCCTCGGTATCTAAATCGTCTTCTGAGCCATCTTCGTTTCGGAAAACGTCCCTGACATTTCTGGATACAACGTCCTCGTCACTAAATTCTTCCATTTCCTCCAATATTTTCTCTGTTTCACGAGCAATCTGCAGTAACGGCTTTCCTAATGGCCTCTTGATGATTGGAGAAGGGCTCCCTACACTTGAGTCCCCGTTCGCAGCCAGTAAGCTCTGAAGGTTGCGTTTTGGAGTTCTGACGGATAAATGTACATCGTCAAACTTCAACGGTGAGTTTGGTCCATATTTGCTGGTACTTTTCGGAGATTTCCTTGGAGTAAGCGTGTATCTGGCGTAAATTGCTGAACCTGTGGGTTTCGGGGGCTCCAAGGTTTTGTTTCCCTGTCCAGAAAGTAGTCCCGGGGAACGCACCGTTGCGTTTTTTATAGGCGACATTCGCAGGTCGAACAAGCCCATAACTTTCCCGTAAATTTGAGGTGTTGGGCCAAACTCTACAGATTGTTCTTTCTGCGGCGTATGTTCGGTCACTGAATTCTCTACTGCGCGTTTTCGGTCCCTGTCCACCTGAAGTACCGCGTACTGCTTATATTTGTTCTTAATGTCAGGCAAAGACCTTATGTCTTCGCGAGTCGGAGTTCGCCCATACTTGCTCTCAAACTTTCGTTCAAATCTCTTGAGCTCCAACTTCAGTTGATCCATGAGACGACGTGGTTTTGTGTGCTTTCTAATCTCTCCAGCGTGAAGTTCATGTTTGGCGATTTTTCAATAGTTTACGTGAACTTGGAATATAAGCGATGAGCTGCTAGTGATTAGAGAAAAACTCGCCTATTATCGGCATCAATGATCCAACCAAGCATTTGGGATCCTCTGAAATTTCTCGAACAACCAATCTTACTTAGAAAGTGCGTTTACTGGCATCTGGACTCTGAATGGACGAATTTAAAGCCCCCTTCGACTTATGACCTCTTTACTGGCACTTTTCCAGAGAACGAGAGGACGATGCGCAGGGCCAATCCTAAGCACTTGGACAAGCTCCGAAAGCGCCTGGGGTGGTTTTTTGAACTTTACAGCTACCTGCCGAATCTAGTGGATTCATGGCTGGCATACGCGGAGTGCTTAAGATACGACTGTGTGGCATTGGACTACTTACGGATGAACCGAGAATTGCAGGGTTCGCTCTCACTATTGCAGTGGGTCTTAGTGGGTGGCCAGCTACAGCTTGGACTTTTCAGTACAACGGGCTTACTCCAACTATGGTTGTCTGTGGACGAATATCAGCAACTAATAGACACCGAGTTTATGCCATCGACTTGTGTGAACTTAGAACACCTAGCAGAAGGAGAGCTGCGGGAACTCAATGACCAGCTACAGAAGCTAGAACTGAAGGACACAGTTCAACAAGTGACTTTTTACCAAGAAGAAGAAAAATGTGAATCTAAGGAAACCCTGGAGTTGATTGCCACGCTAGAGAGTTTCAAGTCTCTCAAAACATTGAAAGTGACTAACGATCGACTTTTTGAACGTCTGGTAAATTTTCATGGATTCAGAGACTTCCCAGGCCACACCGTTGGATACCTAGTGAAAAACAGGGTCATGGAGTTGGAGCTCGACCGATGCGGATCGTTGGGAACTCCCGAGAACATAGCAGATCTCACACGATGGGAAACGGTTGGAAAAATTACACTGAACAACCTGGACACATTGGATTTGAATCACTTCTCCCTGCCACCAGGATGCCGATGGCTGCAATTGAATAATATAAGAGTTGTCAAATGGTGGGATTTGAAACAAATACGTGTACTCTTGCGCAATATTTTACAAGTGCAAGAGTCTGGTATACATACTGTGCCGCAAAGACCTAAAATATGGGTCGCAAAGAAGAGTGCGACAGTAACACATAAGGACGTGATCTACTTATGTAAAGCGCTTTTGTGGGAAAACCTCGGTCATTTGAACCGAATTCAGCTGAACAACATAGCCCAAGTGCATCCATCCCCAGTCCTGCCGAAATCGCTATACAGCGAGAGCCAGTTTTGCTGGTTTGGAAATACACATAATGACTCGGAGTTCATTCTTTTATGACAAAGTCGCGCAAAAACCAGTCGTGGAAGCGGTGGTCGTCCGCAAGTTCTGGATGGAACGACGTGCCGAGAATATTGCTTTGCCTAACTGCAACCACCAGGTTGTCGCCTGCAGGAGTGTCAATCTCGTACAGAACCTGGACCTTCTCCGGATCCAGCACGCGGTCAATCACCGGAGCACGGATGAACACGGTAGAGAATGGGCCTGTCTTGCTTGTATGCTTATTGGGTGTCATAAACGAAGAAAAATTGCACTGTGCCACAAAAGAATGTGATTGACGCCCAAAAGCGTTGCGCTGCACGGCAACGTGCAATACCCCCAGCGGGCGAATCAACTTCTCATCGCTGGTTATCTCCCGAGCCAAAAATATGAGGCCCGCGCAAGTTCCCCATACCGCCTTAGCCGGATCTTGGACAAACTTCTGAAGGTGTTCAAAGAGGCCACATCTCTGTGCGATAAGAGATATTGCCGTGGACTCCCCGCCGGGGATGATCAGCGCATCGCACCGTTCCAACTCCTCCCGGGTCTTCACCTCACACACCGTTATAGGGTAACCATGTTCGTGAACACACGTTTCCACCAATTCAGCATGCTCTTTAAAGGCGCCTTGGAGCGCCAGAACACCAACCACTTTCGTCGCTTTCGGCCTTGGCATTTATGTGTGTGTATGCAGGGTGGTTCTTCTGTGCAGTTCTTTGATTATGTCAGCTTACCTAAACGGCTACCGCGTTTTTGTGTTATGACCTTTTTTCACCAGCTAATTTGTTGCTGAGTTTGGGCACCGTCAGCCGTGTAAGGAAATTTTGATTCAGTGATGATTCAAGGATGACTCACAGGCAATGTCTTGTGATTTGATCGGTGGGATTGGTGGGTTCCTCCAGCGCCAGTATCCCGCAACTTCACGCCAGCTCTTACACCAGCTCTTTATAAGAATCTCATTGCGGCCTTCACGAAAGCTTCACGGCCTCACTACACTCTTTCTACAGTTTTCCTGACTCTGCCCTGTACGGGTGATTTTGATTTATGACTCTTAATCGCATGTGGTGAGAATAGGAAAGTCGAGGAAACCGCTAGCTATACGCAAAGTAGCTAGAAGCGACGGTGCGATTTTTTTCTGGAGAGGGGGTGTTCAGATGTACCAAGCAAAGTCAGTTGCCAAAAAGAGGGCGGGAATCTGAATTCGATAAGGCATTGTGAGCACATATTCTGTTAAGGTAGAACAGCGCCCTGTGAGTCAATGATATCTGACGAACTTAGCCCCGATAGGGAAGTCATAATTTCAACTGCGGGATTCTGGACTACGATGACTCTGTTTCGTGAAGGCAGTTGAGTGGAGGCAGTGTCTAAATTGTATAAGAAGACTGTTCATCGCACAGTCACAAGTCGGATTGATTCTTCTATTTGCCAACATCAATTGGTGACAATATACTAAATAATGTCCGATTTCAAAGTTAAGGCAGGTTTGGCGCAAATGCTGAAGGGAGGCGTGATCATGGACGTGGTCACAGCGGAGCAGGCGGTAGTGGCAGAAAGGGCTGGTGCCTGTGCCGTTATGGCCCTGGAAAAGATCCCTGCGGACATGCGCAAATCAGGCCAAGTATGCCGCATGTCAGACCCCAGGATGATTCGCGACATCATGAGTGCAGTCTCTATTCCAGTGATGGCCAAGGTCAGAATTGGTCACTCCGTAGAGGCCCAGGTGCTAGAAGCACTGGAGGTGGACTATATCGATGAAAGTGAGGTGTTGACGCCAGCAGACAAAGTTAATCACATCAAAAAGAGTGATTATAAAGTGCCATTTGTGTGCGGTGCCAAAGACCTTGGCGAAGCGCTCAGACGTATCAACGAAGGTGCTGCGATGATCAGAACCAAAGGTGAGGCCGGGACCGGTGACGTTTCTGAAGCTGTCAAGCACATCACTCAGATTCGGGGAGAGATTGCTTGGGTGAGGGAATATGTAAAAAGTGACTCCGATTTTGAGAAAAAGGCCAAAGAATTGCGGGTCCCTGTGTCTTTACTGAAAGAAGTCGTTCAACTGGGGAAGCTGCCAGTTGTGAACTTCGCCGCAGGCGGTGTTGCCACCCCAGCAGATGCTGCTCTGCTGATGCAACTAGGTTGCGATGGCGTCTTTGTTGGTTCAGGAATCTTCAAGTCATCCAGTCCAGAAAAATTAGCCAAGTCTATTGTACAGGCCACCACCCACTATCAAGATCCATTGAAACTGCTAGAGTTTTCCACCGACCTGGGTGATTTGATGGCAGGTACCAGCATTGACAGCATCAACAAGGCCAACGGTAATAGATTGTCTGAAATCGGTTGGTGAAGGAGTTGCATGTTTATGTGCATATATGTATAATTATACCCGGCAACTCGAAAGCTCCCGTTTTCAATAAAGATCAAAGTCAGAAGAATACTTTGCTCCGGTTCGCAAAGCAATGAGACCTATGTGTCTTGATTGAATTCGAGTGACGGACTCTAACACGCCTCCCTAAATAACAAAAATTCAACTAAAGAATATATTATTTTGAGTTGTCTAAAAAGCGCTACCACACTAATTATACTCTCGACGGCTCAGGTAGCTCCCTACCCTGAAGGTCGTAGCGACCACTCCTCGATACCTTAAAAAAAAAACTAAACCAAAATTTGGAATATATCTTATCGTAATCGGAATATGGTATCTGTATCAAGCCAAATCCCGTCGTCATAATTCATTTCGTAACATCATCGCATTTCAAATTGCATTAAGGTCTTTCTCGCGTTCGAGTTTGGAAAAAACGCAAGTCATGCAAAATCAAAAACATTCATCCTGGACATATCATCGTCGTCTTCACGCTTGATTTCCATTTCTATACGGTCAGGTTCTTGCTCCCCCATTAGCTCTTCCAAGGAGGGAGGTATATGAAACTCCTGTTTGAGTATTGTTGGCTCGGGGCCGGCCTCTTGGAAGACATTCAAATCAAGCGCTTGTTCCCCCTCTTTAATAACCCACCGAGGGATTGTGTTAGTGACAGCCGTGGAGGTGGTAGCATGCTCAACTTTAGAAGGGTGATTCTCTAAAAAATTAAGTATGCTCATATCGTCATTACCAAATTCTTGATCAAGTTTGAAATTCATGTCTTCTTCTTTGATAGAATCTAAATGTAAATCGCCTGGTTGATTTGACATAGTAGGTGATACTGTGGAGCTACCATGGTGACCCGAGGAATTTCTAATCTCGAACATATGGCGATGTTTGTGGTAAAAATCTTGATGTTCGTAATCATCGATAAACTTCAATCCATCGGAGGAGAACCCAGGAAGCTTTGCAGATATGATGCTGGAAGGGCTTGTGCTCCCATGATAATGAGGGGAATATCCGGGCGTCCCAGAAGAGTTATGTGAGTTACACTGCATGTTGTGGTGACATTGCTGAGATCCCACAAAACTACTATTGGTAACCGAACGTTGCAATTCTGCCGAGAACAGAGAGCTGGGGGTCGAGGACGAAAAACCGGGGTCCTCATCATCTGTAAGATTCGTCTTAGAACTGTATTGAGATGAAAATGACATGGTTGGTCTCATCATTACTCCGCCTCTAGCAGAACCTGGCATTTCTTCTTCTTCATTATCATCTTCAAACTTCAAAAAACTATCTGTACTGTCAGCTGCGTTGTGGCTCTCTGACGAATCCAAATAGGGCCTTTTCTTGCCTGCGACGGTACCAAGGCTCGTTGGGCTTATAGCAGATGATACATCGTTAAGAAACGTAAACTTCTGCTTGAGATCCTGCAAATTACCCACCAAGTGTCCCATTTCCTGTTTCAGCTTGAAGTTCTCGAGTTTCAATCTTTGAACCTCTTTCTTCAAGGCAGTCTTAGTAAGTTTTTTCAACATTGGGGTCGTGGATACTGTGGGGTTTACGCCAGCATTGGTAACCGTCCCGGCGGCTGAAGGGGCATTGATGATTTCGGACACTGCCGCCGCCGGCTTACTGAGTTTATCTCTGCTAGCGGTATATCCCTCGGCACCCGCAGTCGCGTCAGCACCCGCGCCTTTTACACTCACTACAGTCTCCGCGTGAGCCCTGGAAGAGTCAGGATGACAATTCGAGTGGCCTGGTAGGGACGACGAGACAATCTTGGTTGATTTTCCATTTTTTCTTTTAGCTTCAGATATCGACTGGGAAACAACAGGCGATTCCTGTAAGACCTGAGCTAGCGGCGTATCCTGGGGTTCAATCTTGACGATGGATGGTGGAGCTGAAGCTCTGTCTTCGTTGTTAGCGACGTGATGTTGAATTTTCGCACAACTGCCGGACTTGGCAGTAGCCGATTTGTCCGAAGGATTGGCAACTGCCCCTGTATTGGTCTTCCCATTCTTTCCGGTTTCTCCAGAACCATTTGCAGATGTGTTTCGACCCGGCAGAGCACTCAGGCTCGGCTTCCGGCCCGGTTTGGGCCGTGGGGGGAGGACCCACTGTCTGGAAGTACGAATGACCAGCCCATGGCTGGCACCCGTCTTTCGACTGTCGCGAGTGAAGTTAGTCTGCGGATTCGGGGCAATCGACACGTTGCTAGTATGGACGCCGGAGCCATTTGCTGGTGCCAGATTCGGCTGGATCGGCAAGTGCTTGAGTGGCATGGAGTGTGTGAAGAACAATTGATATGCCGTGATTATTCGATGACTTTTTAATAAATGAAATTCTCGCTGCGCTCGCCACCAATAAATAATTCAAATCAAATCTAGAATCCCTATGACCCTGGAGAATAATTCGCCCTTCAGAATTCGTGGCTATTTTTCCACAGGTGTCAGCGTAATAAATATCTCTGCCAATATGACCACTTACCGGAAACAATCCCCGATCTTTCCAAACGAAACAAGGGAATTGACAGTTACAAGGCTCCCGATCACAAACGCACAGAGCCTCTTGTTTCTTGCTCGAACCCTCTCGGCCTCTATTCAACTTTTAGTGCGAATCCCAGACCCCGTTCCGGCTCGTAAGCAAATGCGAGCGATTTTTCTTTTGTGGGCGGAGTGCGAGGCTGAGACTAAGCGATCGATGTGTAACACAAAGGAGAGTTGTTGGCCTTGGAATTCCACCTGTTAACCTTGTCTTGGAATGCTTTAAACGATGAGTTTCCTGTCTCGGGAATACTTAAAGTACTATAATGTAGGGAAAAGATAGAAGAAGACCCAACCAAGCAAGAAAAAAAACCGAGAGATCGAATTTCTCCGTGGCTGGTGATCTGCGACAAAAGGCACCTTTGGTCGCTCTGTACGTATGCACGTGTCTGGTTACGTAATAGTATATATTTATATCACGTGTCCTGGGAAAATGAGAAGTCAAAAAAGATTCGGGACGAGTCACGCTTTGCCATAATCGATCGTTTAGCCACATTGAGTACGTAAGATGCATGTGTATGCGTCTGTATGTGTGTGTATGTGTGTGTGTATGTACATGAATGCATGGAATCTTCGATGCCGCGCTTGGCGAAGCTCTCTCTCTCTCTCTCGTAGCCCTACAAGTGAAACAACTGGTTACTGTTTTTCGCTTTCATCGCAGACTTGGACGTTTTCTTGCTTACAGGGTTGTTCCCATCACGAGGCACTGAGCCCAACCTACGGTCCCAGCTGGTCCAACTCTCGATCCACCAGCTCCCGGTATGAAAAGCTCTCGTCGTCCAACAACGTTTCCACATCAAAGGACACTTTATTCTTGTTCCCGCGCTGGCCCTGCCGCCACTTGTCTATCCAGTGGATGGCTGCACCGTTGTCATCTTTGATGCCTGTAGCCTTTCGCACGCCTGCGAGAAGCTTGTATATGTTATTGGTTGGCAGCCCCTTGGTATACTGCGAATAAGCAGCAGGCTCTTGTAGGTTCATCACGTAGAGTAAGTAGTCGGCCTGAATGACAGGGTCTATCAGGTTGTTTTTGACGCATCCGCACTGGCTGAGACTCAACATCTTTTCACGAGTCGTCACTCGGCCCGGAAGTGAAACGCCAGGAGTGTCGTACAAATACACCCCGCCTCTGTGATCTGTGATACGGATACACTCGCTGGTTGCTCTCGTTACGCCGGCCTGGCCACCCGTTCGCGCGACTTTCCGTCTCTTGTGCAATACCGAACCATGAATGCTCTCACTTGCATTATTGGTCTTGGCCGATCCTACAAATCGCAGGGTGTTCACCAGTGTTGATTTACCCACGTTAGGCATCCCTGCAACTAAAATGCGATACCCTAGAGGAAGCCCTTCGTTTCTCTCAACGTGGCCCAAGCTTTTTTCCACCACCCGATCATACTTCCACTCTAGAACCTTGATCAAGTTGCGCACATCCTTGGTCGAACGGCAATCCAGTGTCATGAACTCGTCATCCATTTGTTCATGCCATGTCCTCAACTTATCAATCGTGGCTTTCGGACACATATCCGATTTCGTATACAACACCAGCCTTTGTGTATTGTCACCGCGTCTATTTACCATAAGGTCGTCGAAAATAACGTTCCTGGTACTGATAGGTGCTCTGCAGTCCCGCAGCTCTAGAAGCAGGTTCAATTGCGGGAGTAATTGCTGAAATCGCTGAATAGCACGCATCTGATGGCCCTTGAAATCCGTTAAAGCAATCCTGTAATCTGGGAAAACATGCCGAGGCACAAACGTTGTGTAGAGTCGTCTTAACATGAGTATATCGAAGAATTTCCTTATAGCCCACCTTTCTTTATTGAATAGCGGTTAGTTATAGTCTTCGTATTTTTCACTATTGGTTTGCCAAAAAATCGACGAAAAGCGATGAGCTTCAAGTTCACAAGACCAACACAATAACATCACTAAAAAACTCTCAGCTCGATACCTCTAAGGTTATGCCACTAGTACTTTTCAGTGGATTTCCAGCTTGCGGGAAGACTACAAAAGCACGGGAACTATGTGCTCTTTTGGAGACGAAAATTCAGGAAGAACCAGATTTGGCCAAGTACTCGATTGTTTACCACTCGGACGAAAGTCTAGGGATCAAACATAGTGACTACTTGACCTCTCAGGATGAACGTAAACTGCGTTCAAAGATCATGTCCGCGGTGAAACGAGATCTGTCAAGATATAAGATCGTAATTGTGGACTCACTCAATTATATCAAAGGATTCAGATACCAGCTGCATTGCGAGGTAAAGAATCTTATGACCACATACTGCGTGATGCACGTAATGAGTCCTAGTGCCAACATTTTGGAGTGGAACGGTTCCACTGCAGATGGTCGGATTCCTTGGGAGCATGATCTTCTAAATCAGCTGATACAGCGCTACGAGGAACCAAATCCGCAAACCAGATGGGACTCGCCACTTATTCCAATACTTGCAGCCGAAGATTCCATCAAGGGTCTTTCTGATCCCATTTTTAGAGCGCTGTTTCCTCAGCTTTACAAAGGTACCAATGACCGTGAAACTGACCAGTTGTTGAGCACTTTAAAACCAAACAATGCCACGATATTGAAGCCGGCCGCCCATACTAACTCACTCCAAATTCTGGATGCGGAAACATCAGCTGTGGTGAAAAAGGTCTTGGCTGCCCTCCAATCTAATGTTGTTTCTGGCGTAACGAGAATAATTATATCTGAGGTGCAAGACATCAATGATGAACGTTGTATGTATGCTGAGATTCCTCCCCAGGGTGTGACTGTAGCCCAATTGCAGAGAATCAGACGGCAATTTGTAGCTATGAATCGTCTAAGGAGTCTTGAGAAAGAGCGGGTGGCCCCACTATTCGTGGACTATCTGAATAAGAATCTCAAGGACTAGAATAAAATTATAAACGTATTTACAGGTGTGTCATCAAACAAGTTGTTTAAAAATTCAATCCTGGATTAGAAACTCTTTCAAATCTGCGTAAGCAATGTTATCAGGATCTGCAGCACCAAACAAATCGTCCAGAGCGTTTTGAAGCTGAGGTGAGACGTTAATATTATTGCGCTTTAGCCACAATAGGTGACCTTCATTCAATACCTTCCTCATAAATTTTTGATCCTCAGACTTTGCTAGCGTGTGAATAAAGTAGGCCCATGGCCTGTGGTCTTGTGTTCCTTGTATTTTGATGCCATTCTCCCAAAACTTCAAAATTTTCATATATTCCTTATTCTCCGCCAAAAGCTGTAGAACTGTAGTTATCATGCTGGTCGTAATATTTGAGGAGTACTCTGTGCATACGAAGTCGATCATCTCATTCAAAGCCTTGAGGGATCCCCTTGAACTGCACATTGTTCGCAGTATCAAACACATCAGTTCTTCGTCCATAAAAAATGCTGGGTCAACTCCCTTGTAAAGTTGTAATGCTTTTACTACAGCTTTGTTGGTGGTAGCCAGATCTTCATACTCACTTGGCCCCTCTTCCAAGTTAATACAAGCCAATTCCAGAAAATTTACCAAGTCTGATCTCGTAATGATAACGCCACTTGCCATTTTGAACTCCAAGTAATTTGTGAGTACACCTTGAATGCCAAAAGAAGAGTGCGTGGAGCAATTGAGGAGTTTCATGAAATGAAATCTCAAATTCCAGTATTCCGGCAGTTGAGCTAACTTTGCCGACCATACCTGATTGAAAATAAGTAGCCAGTCATCGACTCGTAAAGATGTAGTTACTGGCATCATTTCCAATGCTGCAGCGACCGTCTTAGCGACAGAAAGAGAATGGACACTTGAGACCAGATCATACGCTCGCTCAAAATCTTGCTGTGAAAGACTTTCCGCAAGCATTTTTTGGCTCGAAACGGTGGAGTAGAATCTTTTCTGGTTACGAGCAGCCAGCCTTTTCAATCCGGCTAGTACATTGTCGTCTTCTTCATCCGCAGCAGTAACATCGCGGCTATTGTCACTGTCTCTCCTGTACAAGTGCTTTTCCTGGGGTGGAGCGTATAATTCCTCTAGATTAAGTTCTTCTCTTCTGTTCTCTGTCAAAATGTTGACGAAGATATTGTCCAGATGGCAGTCGATCATGTACCAGGATTCCGTTTGAGCACCACTTCTAGTTACAGCAGACCTAGTACCCATTGATTTGCTCAAGTTGGTATGTCTTGCAAGTCTGCGTTGACGTCTGCGCAGCTCATTGGCACTGATATTGCCCTCCACATGTGCTAAAACCTGATACTTTTGCTTTAGCAAGGCATTGACTTCAATAAAGCTCTTGTGGCAATGTTTGCCCGACCTTGCTGTGGCCATGACTATGAAATCGCTTATTTTAGCGACCGCAGTAGTATGAGAGTCCTTAGATCCTCTCAAATCAAAGATTAAAATTTCGCTTAATCCTAAATCGTCTCTGAGAAAAGTAGCCAAGAACCGCAGCGTTTCTGGAGAGTTGGCTGGAAATTTGAGTTCTTGAACCTGAAACTGAGTCTCTTGGTATTGATCTTTTACAACATCCATATACCAGGGTTGTGTAGTAGACGTGTGTTCCTCAGACTCGGTCGCGTCCGGCTTGTAGATGGGGTCATCGTCCTCAGGCCCTTCGGATGGGATTGAAACATTTGAGTATAACCGGCTCGAGTTTGAACCGCGCCAAAGACGCGACACCCTGCTCGAACGACTGGCAGCTATTGGGCAGGATCGGGTGGCTCTCAAGGCCGTGCTCATTCTGGCGGTGAGCATTTTTGTCTTTGACCAACAGAGCCCGCAATTTACGCAGCTGAAATTTCACACCAAAATTTATTCCAATATACAGTGAGACAGACATAGATAGATACACAGTTCAAAGACGTTATACAAATACTTAGAATACAATTTAAAACATATACTGGACCCGAAGAGGTGCCGAAAATAACCCTGATGGATTATTCTCAAGATAAAAATTTTGAGTAAAAGCCTGCCGTTGGCACAAAAAATGTGTTGGCCCAACTCTAGACACCCTTCTGATCACCTCTTTTTTTATTTTTGATATATTTTATTTTACCAGCCCATCATTCTATTGCCCTCTCAATTCGGGCTGAATGTTTTCGTCATCCTCTTCACGCTTGTGGCCAGGACGACGTGGTGAGCGAAGTTGGTCGTGGCGGTGGTCGTCGAGCGGTTGGTCATGATATGAATGGTGGTGCAGCTGATGGTGGTGATGATGGTCTTGGTCGTGGTCATGTTCATGTTGCTGCTGTTGCTGTTGCTGTTCAACCTCCTTCAAGTGTGAGCTCAACAAACGCAATTGCTCAGCAACATCTTGAGGTAATTTGTTGTCCTCGGAGTCGTGGGCATCTTCCAACTGAGCCAGACCCGGATCATTGACCAACGAAGAGCGCGTCCCCATTTTCACGGCGGCGGAGATCTTGTTGGTACGGGTACGTTTGCGAGAGTCGAGGTCGTCATCCTGGTCAGAAACGCCGTCGTTAGGGGCATAGGACCGTTTCTTGTCCATATCAGGTGATCCTATATCGGATTGCCGCGACAATTGGTGGTGGTGGTGGTGATGGTGGTGATGATGATGTTGCTGTGGGGTCGCGGAACCAGAACCGTGGCCATTCGCATTAATGGCGGCGGCGGCGGCGGCTGCCGCACTCATGGCGGCAGGCACGCCGTACGTACCGTTTTTCTTCTTTTTCAACACAAAACGAGCTTTGTAAGTGGTGATACGACGCGCAATGTGAGACAACAATTTTTTGTCCAGATCGTGGTCCGTTAGACCGTAACGTTCTTTCAAAATATCCAGGATACCGCTCTCGTCCACGTATTGGGATACGCGAAACTTGGCCACAGTGTTGTCGTCTTCGTTGCATAGAGACTCCAAAATCGAATCGAACTTCAGGTCGTTCTGCAAAATACGAGGTACTTTGGTCAGCACGAACTTGGAGAGAGACAGGTTGGATTCCAGCGGGTGGTTATGGTATGGGTCGATCTTAGTCACGGTGAAGGGACCACGCACGGAAGCAAGACCTTGTAGTTGAGAGTCCTCGTCGTCTTCGTCCACGCCAGCCGAACCGCGGCCATTCACACCGACACCCGATCCCGGATGCGATCCACCAGCGCCGTGTCCGCCAACGGGTGGCTTGGTGTCGGTAACAGCTGCCACGGCGGCAGCAATAGCTGCGCTCACGTCGTCACCCTCGCGGCCGTGAGGATGGTGGTGGTGGTGGTGCAACGCGTCGCCGTCCACCTCGTCGTCCTCATCGTCGCGCGAGGACTCGAACGGGCCGTCCTTGTTCTGGCCCGAGTAGCTCAGCAGCACTTTGAAGGGGCACGACTTAAGGTGGCATGCGAACGTGAAGTGTTTGTTGCGGTGCGAGTTCTTCAGGATGATGGGACACCTGGCCTGGAACTCGTAGTCGTTGACCACGTCGTACCACGCCTCGAGCGTTGGGAATTGCTTACGCGACGCGGAGTCTGGTCCGGAACAAAGTTCTTTGTTGATGATGGGGTGCTTGTATTCGTAGAGCGACATGTTTGGGACCAAGACGTGTTTGCTGTTCTCGACTGCCGTCTGCTGCTTGCGTGTGTTTATTTCTGTATGTCTTGACTGAGAGCTCGGCGTCTAATTTCGAGTTTGTATTTCGTTAGACGTGCCTCAAGGTTCCAAGTGATGGTGAACGGTTCGCAGATGATGATGTTTGTTGTTGTTGTTGATGATGATAAAAGGTTGGCAAGTCTTGTAAGACGAGAGAAGCATTGCTTTGGGTTTGGTTTGTTGTTTATAACGAAAACGAGATTCGGGAAAAAGGGTGAAAAAAAAGACGAGAGAGGGTAATGACCAGCGAGTACGAGTACGCGTGCGAGTACGGGCACGGCACCGGCACCGGCACCGGCACTCGTACGTGCTCTGCTACTCAGGTGTGTTATCCCAAGCGGTGCCATCCGCCGACGTTTGTGTCGTGTGAACTTCTTTGGACGGACGGCGGGGCTTCCCTCTCTGTGTCCAATGGTAGCCCAGAATGTGTTTCTCTAGAGCTGTTCGCTTGTTCGCGAGTCGCCGCGTTGAGTTCAGCAGGGCGCATCCCAGCCGTAAGCGATGAAGATGCGATAGACCACTCGGCCTATGATCCATGGTCTTTTTTGTGGAATGGCCTCGCCTTTGGTGTGGTTATTCAGCGCAGCTGTTGAAAGTGACGCAGAAACGGAGTGGTACCGACACTTTGAGAAGCGTGCTACGCCACGAAGTGCTCGATCTGATGTCCACGCATTTCGATATACCACCAGCCAGCAGGAGGAGCGCTTGCTGTAGTGGTTCAAGTGGTAGGGAGAGAGAGACAAGGGCTGGAAACACCATTAATTTTTATTAGCCGCCGGAGGGGTCACGTGTCACGTGTCACGTGCCTGGCTAGTTTGCGAGTACTGCAACGAGTACTCTCTCCAGCCAACGAAGCAGCGGCCATGCTCACCACCCGACAAGACGGCGGTGTCGGACGAGCAGAGTGGCAGCTGGGGGTGAGTGTGAGGTATGGCTGGTGCGAAATTTTGATTGGTCTTTCTTGGATTGTCCCACTGCTAGTGCCTAGATTCACCGAATAGAGGACGGAGGCCCCGCAACACCGCAGGGCTGCTTCTCTCTCCGCAGGGCTGCTTCTCTCTTGATAACCAGTCGACGGCATCGCGCCTGTAAGCTGTGTTTTTTTAGAGACATCCCGACCGCATCAGAAGGATTGTCTGTGACACTGCGGTAAAAAGTGATGTACGAGAATCCTATGTGTTTGGCGGCGCTTTGACACCACACACAGAGGCACGCCAGGCCAGCTTCTATCTTACCAAGCGACTTGGTCAGGGAGGTTTTCCCACAAATAGTAGGTTGACGGTCGTCCGTGTCGGCCTGCCAGTGTCTCCTCTCTGTCCGCCAGGTGGGGAACTGCCAAGTGGCGCAGAATACTTCCCTTTCTATGTCATTCTGAACCACGTCCAAAGCGTACAATTATCCGCCTACCTACATATTTCTAATCGGTGGTCCTTTCCTTGGAAGAAGGTATTTACATTGCTTCTCCGGATGGTGGAGACAACTTATCAACGGCAGAAAAGTATACTTAATATCATCTCTCGTGGCCAAAACATGTATAAAAAAAAGCCAATCCGGTGAGGAAGAAAAACCGACCATTGTACGTAGCAGAAGCGCGCCCTCTACTAATGGTTCGCGGTCCGTTGCCAGGAACATGCTCTACTTATAAGTGGTTGAATAAAGATTCGATAAAAGCGCGTTCGCTGCGGGGAAAAAAAATCGCAGAGAAGCCAATCTTGACATCGCAGCTTGTTCCTCAATAGCTCTCCATTCTACATTCGATTTCAAAGCGTTTGAGTGTTCCACTTCTGTTGTATGGTATTACGCGTTTTAAGCTTGGCCCTTAACAACTAGCTTTACGCGTGCCATTGGAAAAATTAATATTACCGGCTACCGGCTCTTCATCCTTTACACATTCAAGCCATAGATAGACACACTCAAACACTGAGAACGTTGCGGGATGGGTATCAAGGGTCTCAACGCCATCATTTCAGAGCACGTACCGTCATCGGTGCGTAAACTGGACATCAAACATTTTTTTGGCCGTAAAGTAGCCATCGATGCATCGATGTCGCTATACCAATTCCTCATCGCTGTGAGACAACAGGACGGGGTACAGCTATCAAGCGAGTCAGGCGAAACCACCTCACACCTCATGGGTATTTTTTACAGGACTTTACGTATGATTGACAATGGTATAAAACCATGCTACGTATTCGATGGGAAACCGCCCATTTTGAAATCGCACGAATTAGACAAAAGAAGCGCAAAACGAGCATCCACGGAAGAGAAGCTAAAGGAGGCCATCGAAGAGGCAGAGAAACAGAAACACGAGCGTAGACTGGTGAAGGTCACGCCAGAACACAACGAAGAGGCCAAGAAGCTGCTGCGATTGATGGGACTGCCCTACGTGGAGGCACCTTGCGAGGCAGAAGCGCAATGTGCAGAGCTTGCTAAAGCTGGGAAGGTGTACGCCGCTGCGAGCGAGGATATGGACACTTTGTGCTACAGATCACCGTACTTGCTGCGCCATTTGACATTCTCCGAAGCCAAAAAAGAGCCTATCCACGAAATCAATGTGGAAGTACTATTAGAAGGCTTGGAGTTGACCATTGAACAATTTATCGACTTAGGAATCATGCTGGGCTGTGACTACTGTGAAAGCATCCGCGGTGTGGGCCCTGTGACTGCCTTGAAGCTCATTAAGGAACACAAGAGCTTAGAAAACATCGTCAAGTACATCGAGTCCGGAGAGGCCAATAACAAATGGAAAGTGCCAGACAATTGGCCATATCAGGAGGCCCGAAAGTTGTTTTTGGAGCCAGATGTTGTGAAGGGGTCGGAAATTGATCTCAAATGGACGGAACCGCAGGAGCAAGACTTGATTGACTTCATGTGCAAAGAGAAAGGGTTCAATGAAGAGCGTATCCGTTCAGGGATCAAGCGGCTACAAAAAGGTCTCAAAACAGGGGTCCAGGGACGCCTCGATGGCTTCTTCAAAGTGAAGCCAAAGACCAAAGAACAACTTGCTGTTGCCAACGAGAAGGCCAAATCCGCTAAGGGCACCAAAGCGAAGGGCAAAGTCAGCAAAGTCGGTAGACCCAAAAGTAAGTAATTAGCACGAACAATAAACTCGGTGATTACGATGGTTGAGACTCAAAAATCGTCATCCATTACCCACTCCACCCGTGCGTGGTGCGAAACCTCTCTGTCATGGAAAATTGGTCCAAAAGTGACAATGATATTTCAGTTCACTGCTGACTCGTAGAGATCTGCTCATTCCACATTATCGCCATGTCGCAGTTTGCAAGATGCTCAACTTCCAATTATAAGTTTGGAGCTCACATTTCAACCGCGGGGGGAATTTCCAAGAGCGTCACCAATGCCTACAACATTGGATGCAACGCATTTGCCATGTTCTTGAAGTCGCCCCGGAAATGGGTATCGCCTAGCTACAGCCAAGATGAGATAGATCAGTTTAAGGCCAACTGCAAAGAACTCGGGTATGATCCACTCACGGATGTCCTGCCGCATGGACAATACTTTATCAATTTGGCCAATCCCGAGCATGAGAAAGCTGAGAAAAGTTATGTCAGTTTCTTGGATGACCTTCGCCGATGCGAACAGCTGGGCATTGGCCTCTACAATTTCCATCCTGGATCGTCACTCAAGGCGGATCACGAAACACAGCTCAAACAGCTGGCATCCTACATCAACAAGGCCCACACAGAAACGAAATTTGTGAAAATAGTGCTGGAGAACATGGCTGGAACTGGTACTTTGGTAGGTAGTGACCTTTCAGATCTCAAGAAGGTCATTGAAATGGTCGATGACAAGACCCGAGTAGGCGTATGCATCGATACATGTCATACTTTTGCCGCCGGCTACGATATCAGCACGCGGCAGGCGTTTGACGACTTTTGGGCCGAGTTTGACAAAATCGTTGGCTTCAAGTATCTTTCTGCCATTCATCTCAATGATTCAAAAGCGCCGCTTGCTGCCAATCGGGATCTACACGAAAAATTAGGAGAAGGCTTCCTCGGTCTTGAAGTATTCAAACTTGTGACTCAAGCTGATTTTTTGCGAGGAATCCCAATCATCCTCGAAACACCACAGCCCCAGGACGAAGGTTACGGCGATGAGATAAAACTCCTAGAGTGGCTCGAAAATTTTAGCGAGGACACACACTTGTCAGAGTTCGACTTAAAGAGCCAGAATCTACAGGAAAATGGATCGAAGTCTCGAAAGGAACAGTCGGCGAAATTTGACAAAAAAACTCTCAAGAAAAACGCAAAAAGCACGAAAAAACGTCCCAAAGATGCTGAGACTGATATTGCAAAACAATTGGGGGCTAAAAGGGTAAAATCCGACCAGCGTTAATTGACCTCTACGTGAGCATTAAGTGTCAATGGATACGTACAAAGTGACGATAGTTCGAATAAGAAGGGAAGATTATATGTCATAACGATTAGTTATTTACCAGCATCTTAGATAACAGATTCGAGGTCAAAAGGTCCCAAGGACTGGATCGATAAGCTTTTTGATAAGTCTACGTTGAATTGTGGAAGATATGGCGGAAAAGGAATCACATCACATTTACCAGCACTTTTTGCAAGCTCCAAAGCTGACGCAACATGAGTTCCCACCGTGGGCAGAGAATCCGGCTACAGAAAATGAAAAAGACTCCCCTTCTACGCCACCAAAGCTCGAAATTCAGCAATTCACTTCAGGGGAAATGAGCATGTTGCCCACGCCGCTTGTTTACACCCCTTCCTCTCCAAACATGGCTACCAGATCGCCGTTGGAATCTAGCGCACCCAATGCTGCGCCGAGCTTACCGCCAACGAATGGCGGTCGTCCTAAGAAAAGCTACGGTTCCTTGAAATCACCGCCAGTGGAGACATTCAATCGTTCTAACGTGTTGGAGGACATGCAACGCATGTCATCGGAATATCCTCCACATAGTGCACTGGCTCTAGCGACTGCTAGTAGTCGATCACAAAGAATTGCATCCCTGTCAGGAGTAGATCGGACTTTGCACACTGTGGACGTGCCATCGCTTTCGAACATACCGGAGTCGCACACTCCAGATTCTTTGAGCCCAAGCACCGACGAGTACCTCACCGCGTATTTAATACATGATGGGCCTGAGACACTGAAATTGCGGAAAGTAAAACAGGTTGGCGTCGGAAATTTCAGTGATGTATTCCTCTACGAGGCAGTGGACTCCAGGCCCACGGATGTCAAAGAATTTGCTGTCAAACATGTCAAATATCCGGAACCATTGGTGACTTCGGTGTCTCCGAAGTCACCGAAGTACCGCGAAGTTTTATCTCGTGTAGAGCGCTCCCTTACGCGAGAAATTGAAGCGTTGGTGGGCATATCGCATCCTTGTATCATCGATTTAGTCGCTATTAATGATCTCACCTTCGTCAACAGCTCGAGACCATTGAGTTCGGGAGACGCGACTGGTGTGCTCCCGCCTTGTGATATGATAATGTCTTATTGTGCAGGTGGTGACCTCTTCGAAATGGCCAGTCAGAAAGTGATGCCGGCCTGGCTACTGCGAAGAATTTTTACTGAGCTGACTTTAGCGGTCAAATATCTGCACGAAAAGTTGGTGGTTCATCGGGACTTAAAATTAGAGAACGTCTTGCTCAAATATCCCTTCGACCGGCTAATAGTCATGAACGAGCAAGGATTACTGGCCTCGCATCACATTGTCGAGCTAGCCGATTTCGGTTTATGTCGCCGTATCCAGCCTGATGAATTGTGCACCACGCGATGTGGTTCCGAGGACTATGTTTCCCCTGAAATTCTCATGGGAGTGCCATACGATGGACGTCTTAGTGACACATGGGCCCTGGGCGTTATTCTATATGCATTACTCGAAGAAAGGTTGCCATTTGATCCTCTGCCGTCACCTATACCCGGAAAAAGGCAAAGGAGAAGTTCCGTGGCCCACAGAATATCGCGGTTCGAGTGGCGGTGGCTGAAGATGGCAGACGCGGATAATCTACCCTCCAAACAGATCGTCGAAGGCTGCTTGAGTCGGAAAAATCTCCGGTGGAACATTCAACAGATCTACGAAAACTCATACGTGAACGATACTGTTAACACTCTCAAATTTGCTGCATGACGAAGTTGCCCTATTGGATTCAAACGGTTTAACGCAACATCAGCCTACTATTATCATGCAGTATTGTCTTGCCATCAGATCGATCGCATTAGCGGTTTTCGCTTCAAAGATCATACCAGACGTGCGATTACACTTCTCATATCATATGTAATAGTAATAGTACAATTAGTGGAGTAAATACATCCACTATAAATCATACATGAAGTAAGGAAACAGTGAATAACTGCGTAAACTTGAGGTTCATACACATTTGAGCAATGTCCGTCGAGGAAACTAGTACAGAAGTTATATTGACGCACCCGGAAAACAAGCAAACTTCGGTCAAAGTTTTGAAATATGGTGCTACAATCTTTTCCTGGATTTTGAATGGCAAAGAACAATTATGGTTGTCGTCAGCGGCCAAATTGGACGGATCGAAGCCCGTACGTGGTGGTATTCCATTGGTATTTCCAGTTTTTGGTAAGAATGACGACGATGAGTATTTGAGCAAACTACCACAGCACGGATTGGCCAGAAATTCTACCTGGGAATTCTTGGGCCAGGTCAGTGCTAATCCGCCAACTGTTCAATTTGGACTGGGCCCTGAAAACGCGAATCCAGAGCTCAGCAAACTCTGGCCTTTAGACTACTCTTTGATTCTAACAGTGGAATTGGGAGCAGAACATCTGAAGACCCACATTGAGGTGAATAACACTTCGAGTGATCAATTGTTGAAGTTCAACTGGTTGTTCCACACTTATCTTAAGATTGCTGATATAGAAGACACCATGGTTTCGAATTTGACCGGTACGAAGCTGTATGACCAAATGTTAAAGGAGTCTTACGTTGACAAGCAGCCCGTGGTTTCGTTTCACGAAGAGCTGGACAGAATTTACCAGGAGGTGGACAGCGACCGTTTGATCCAGGTCATTGACAAGGGTCACCCGGTGCACACCATCAAGAGACACAATCTACCAGACGCTGTGGTTTGGAACCCATGGGTTAACAAGTCGAAGGGAATGGCTGATTTCGAACCTAAGAGTGGGTTTCAAGAAATGGTGTGCGTCGAGCCAGGTCACGTCCACGACTTCATAGAGTTGCAACCAGGCAAAACCTGGGAAGCTTACCAGCTGCTCTACAAGGATAGTCTAAACTATCAAGTAGTCTAAAAGAGCGACTCTCGTGCAGTCTTGTCGACTTTGCACGTTTTGGAGACGAAACACACTAGGTAGACGTATTATATGCAATTGAATTACGTTTTTTATACACTTCACACTGTGAATGTGTGAGAGAGTAGGATTCCGGACCATGCCATCAGATGGCTCCTGAGCCGGCTCCCAAACCCTCGAGACCTTCTAAGCCCTGACCCCCTCCGTTTTTGAGTAGCTCCTGCAAAGCTGCGGCCTGCGCGGCTTGACCGCCTTGGAACCCGTGGTCCTCCTCTTGCGCTTCTTCCTGTTCATCCTCGTCGACCCACTTGTTGAAGTCGGTCTTGATGAAGTGGTACTTGAGTTTCTCCTTAGTCAAACGGGGCCAGAATTCGGCATCTAAGTCTTTCTTGTACAGCTTTAGGAAGTAATCTCTGCCGTTGGCCACTCTACTCAGCGACTTATCCACGTCAATCTCTTTGAAAAAATCGATGTGCAATTGATACTTGTGCTCTTCTTCGTCACCAACATGGCCTGGAGACCTGGCTTTGAACTCCAAATAAGACGACTTTAGTTCAAGCTTAGGTTCCTCACAATCTGGAATCAAAATGGTCACTAATAGGTAATTGCGTTCTTGGTCCGATTCGCTGGATCTTTGCGCCCACAAAACTTCAGGAGTTAAAGACATTATTGAATAGTATGAAGATGGTGATTGTTATAACACTCTGCCGTGTGTGCCAGACGTTTTCAACTGGTAATAGACCTATAACCCTTTATGCTATTGCGCTTTATATAGCGATTAATGTAATTAGAACGGACGTCGAACATGACCCAAGAATTTTCTAGAAACCGCTAGAAACGACATACGCTGAATAGTCGCTCAATCAGTCTTTGATTTTACACTGAGGAAGACGGTGTAAACCGTCATCCAACATGTAGCCAACGGAGCATAGACAGCTCTTCGTAAAATTCTCTTGTCTTTAGCAGACTGCTCGCAAGACGGTTGTTCATAAATACTGCACCAAAAAATTATGGACGAGACCGGAGTCGAACCGATGACCTCTCCCATGCTAAGGGAGCGCGCTACCAACTACGCCACACGCCCATGTTGTTATTAGTCTCCCTTTGGAGAGGCCATCTCATTCAGTGCAAGAAAACACGTGCTATTAGATTAAGGTTATCACTTTTGTAGTTGCGTGGCGTGGAGGTCTTTTCGCCAGGCTGTAAAGAGGCTGGTAGAAGAGCGGTATGGCAGCAATCTTAGAGCACTATGGCCGATTGAACTGGTGGGGCAAAATTTATCAGCACGTAGAGAGTGGGTGTGTATGAATGGATTTCGAAACCTGGAAGTCGCTCAGGCTCATTGAAACTGCCCTCCCAAGCGAATGATCACAATGATTAATTTTCTGACCACTAGAAAAATCTCAGCAGTATCATAATCCATTGCTCTGCTCTGCTCTCTGTCGATTATTTGACTGGAATTTGAGCATTTACTCAGTATGTCCGTACAAAGGGATCCACAAGTGCAATCACTATCACCTCACCTCTCCCAGACGTCAAGCTGCTTATATTGGAATGATGATGGTAACTGCACCAATAGCACTATTTCCCGCCACCTTATTGTTGGTCTAGTGGTCGCATCAGTATCCTGGACAATGCTCAATCCTGTATCAAATACTCAAAGTGGGTTTAACTTTTCCGTAAAGTCGCTTTTTGAACCCCCGATGCGGGATCAAGACGGAGAGGCCATCAGTTTCGTGTTCTTAATCAGTCTATCGGTCACATTTGCCGTACTGATGGTGATGCTCATAGTAGTGGCTGTGTACGTGACTTTCTGCAGTGCGGACGAAACTGAATATGATGAAGAAGTGGCGTCAGCAATGCCCAACCTATTTCGCAAAAAGCGCAGTTTGGTACTACTAGACGGCTCGTTCCTCACTCCAGGCCAATTCGACGACAGCCAGGCGCTTCTGGAACAAGAAGCTGTGGAACTGCCCCGGATGTCGCGGTTCGAAGTCGAACTTTATCGGCGTGCTCAAGAGTTTCAGAAAGTGTGTCCGCCTAACGTCAAAGAATTTGGCACCTACACAAACGCAAGCGACAAGCAGTTCATAAAGGACCGTGGGATACAAAGCTACTATTTTTTGCCCTCCATCAATGATAATGTCGACCAATTTGGTAACTTTCTGCCCAGTTTTATCATTCAGGATAAGCTCGATATCCTGTTCACCAAGTTTAATAAAAGTGCATCTACAATCATGAACTACCCTCTTCCGCACAATAAAAAGGACGCTGTCTATTTCGAAGTGAAAGTTTTCAAGTTTCCTCGCAAACCGAACTCCATATTTAGCTGCGGCCTCGTTACGTGCCCCTACCCATACTTCCGCCTTCCTGGAGCTTCTCAATTCTCCATAGCTTACGAGTCTACGGGAAAGCTTCGCATGAACAATCCTTTCTATGCCAACACTTTACTGCCGAAATTACAAGAAGGTGATGTAATTGGATTTGGCTACCGCTACAGAACCGGTGCAATCTTCATCACACACAATGGGAAAAAACTCATGGATCTGACACATAACGTGGATATTGATCTATTCATTGGAGTTGGGGCTATGAACGCAGCCTACACGAGGACGTACACCCGAGAGGGATTGCTTGAAGACTGTGACAACGTATCTCTGCGGGAAAGAATTTTGGCCAGCGACTTGGATCTTAAGGCTCCCCGCGCGATTAACGAACAGTTGGAAACAATTCACGATCCGTCAGAAGCAGACTTATCGTCTGATGAGATCGAATTGCACGTCAATCTCGGCCAGCTGGGCTTTGTGTATGTGGAGGCTAACGTCAAAAAATATGCATTTGGAAGTGTTTTCGGAGACATTGGTATTCCACCATCCTACAATGGAGACGAAATAAAAAAGGATGTGGTGTTGCAAAAGGGCGAAGAACTGCCACCCAAATACCCGAGTGACGAACTGGCACCGATGACCAGCACTTCAATCACCGTGCAGGACGGCGAGCCCAGTTCTGCTGAATATGAAGGACACGAGCGTGGCTCCTCAAACGACAGGCAAAATAGTAGCACAAGTGAACCGAAATCCAAAAACGGCAAGAAACGGCATCGCAAGAAACGCGGAAAGCGTGGAGTGAGGCGAGGAAATAGGTGAAAGGGATAGTTCCAATCGCTCTCCGGTCATTACCTATACTCTTATGTATAAAAAACACACGGGCGGCTGGCCCAGGGTGGCCTGCCATTATCAAAAGGATAACTAACAGGGAGGATATTAGGATTTAACTTAGAATTTCGTTTTTAATATTTAAAAGGGTTGGTTTTAAAAGGCGTACTGTGCATACCCAAGCGTCTACACTAGCGCTTCTTATTTTTCTTCTTTTTCTTCCCTACCTTGGGTTGTGGAGCCTCTTCGATGGCCTCCGGGATGTCCACGTTGGCCATCAAAGAGCTCATGCCGTTCACGTCAATGACAGATGCTAACTTGGAGTTTTTGCTTTTACGCTTCTTGGCTACCTTACCGGGCATTAAGGACACGCCCCGCGGTCCAAGTGCACTTAACAGCCTCGAGACGTCTTTAGATTTGGAAGTGCTATACTTGTGATTTGCCAAGAGATTCGGGTTACTTGTGCTGAAGCTTACCTTCCCAGCCTTAGCTCCGCTCTGGTACTTGACGCTCACTAGCGTCGATGATGGATTCGCTTCAAGCAGCGCTATCGAACTAGTAATGTAACTGTCCAAACGATCTGATGACATTGCGAAGGGTCAAACGGACGTTTAGATAACCAATGAATAGTTCTCCGCTCCAGGAAAAGATTGATGTGAGCCTCTATAAGTTGTTTAAAATGCTGTACAGTTGAAGGCCACCGATGATTTTCAATCTTCATTTTATTATTCTACTAGAAAATTGAACCCGTAGAGATGGGAACGAACACCCTTTCAATTAACCACACTAAAAAAGCAGACTGGGCGGGCCGATTTGACTTGATTTCAACGACTATCTGAGACTCGAATGTCTTCTCAAAAGCCTAACTTTGAGATAGAAGATGCTTCGACTGAGGATCTCAGCCTAACCAAAAGGTTAAGCAAACATAGCTCCGATTCCAGTGCGAGCAGTGAATTGTTTAATCGGGAGGTAGACTCTGACGATAAAGTTAGCCGTGACAGCAGAAATAGTGGCGAGAGTAGCGGCAGCAGGTACATCGCGGACAACAATTCAAAGGCTGATTATGGGCCAGTACTTAGACCCGTAACATTCGACACTGCCAAGACGTCTTACGATGGGACAGGGTTCTCCGACACAGTGGCTCCAGAGGGAAAATCGAATGGAAAAGTTGCTGCGGAGGTTCAATCGCCACTGCATATGGCACTGCGATCGGTTTTTGGTCGTGTCGACCGCGGGCAATTTGAAGACTACCTCAAGCAACCAGACTACCTTCGGATCTATAAAAGACAAACCAAGATTAAACAACTTAGGCGCTTGTTTTTGGCCCAGGAGCTAGTGACTGGAGGGGATTCCAGTATCACAACGGGAACTTCGTACTCTACCCAAAGCAGCTCCGAAAAGAACGCCCGTGCTATCTGGGCGACCAAATTTAGTCGGGACGGCAAATTTTTGGCGACTGGCGGTAAAGACTGTGCATTGCGAATTTGGAAGGTTATTGCATCACCGTTGGAACGTAACGATTTGCAAGTTGCAACGGCAACACCACAGGCAAAACAGATTTCCTTTCGCAAACCGCCGGGAAATTCAACGGGCAGAGGAGCGAATGATGCAGACATCACACAATCCCGAGCCATGAGCTTATATGCGCCTGTTTTCCATCCACGCCCTTATCGCACTTATCAGGAGCACACCCAAGATATTTTGGACTTGGATTGGTCGAAGAACGGTTTTATTTTAACAACGTCGATGGATAAGACAGCTCGGCTGTGGCATCTGGACCGACCTACAGCAATCAAAAAATTCACACACCCAGACTTTGTGACTTGTGCCAAGTTCCATCCAACTGATGATCGCTTTTTCTTGAGTGGATGTTTGGATCACACATGCAGATTGTGGTCGATTTTAGATCACAAAGTTTCGTTTGAATACTCTTGCGGTGATATCATAACTGCTATTGATATCTCCTTGAGTGATGGGAAATATACAGCAATTGGTACTTTCAATGGTGAAGTCTCGATTCTCTACACAAAAGGGCTCGAATTAGTGACCTCGTTCAATGTACAGGACGCGTCTAGAGATACTGCGAAAAAGAAGCATACGAACGGTCCAAAAATAACGGGGATCGAGTTTTTCACATCGGAAACAGATCACGATCTCAGGATTCTAATTACTTCCAATGATTCCCGGATACGCGTCTTCAGCATAAAAGAAAGGCGTTTGCTGGAGGTTTTGAAAGGCTTTGAGAACACAAACTCTCAAATCAGCGCACACCTAATGAAGACAAGCAGACAAAAAATGCTCGTGTTAGCTCCGAGCGAAAACGAATGGGTTTACTGTTGGAAGCTACAATCTAATTCGCTACCATCGAAGTCACCCGATTATCTCGAAGTAGAGCCAAACCCACACTCGGGCTCACTGAGGGGTTTACTTCGAAGAAGCCTAAGTATAGGCAGCAATCACTCCTCAAATAGCGGGCGAGGGAAATACTCTTACGGTTCCGGGCCACAGATGTGCCCTACGAGGGGTAAAACTGATCACCCCATCAAGAATTCTCGTTACGTTGCATTTCACGCCCACCATCACACTGTGACTACTATTGAGGTGGGCCCCTTAAACACGTCAAAAACACTAGCTTTATCTGACGATTTAATTTGCGAACTTACTATGGCTCTTAGCGAAAGTGATGAAGATTTCGCCATCATGCGAGAGCAAGCCGATAAATCACGCCAAGCACCAAAAAAGCAACAGCGCCAAAGGGCGCAAGAGCTAATTGAGCAGCGTTTCCCGTCAATGATCGAGGCTATTGGTTCTATCATTGTTACCACAGATAGCTCTGGCGTGATTCGAGTATTCCGCTCGGACATATCCACAAACTTACGTAAAAAGGTCTTGAAGTGCTCAGCTGAGCATTTCCACGGCACGCCAAACAACCCTATCGAGGCGTACAGCAGCTCTCCGCACAACCATGGAAGTTTACTGTCTTCCACCATGAAAGTTGCCCACTCGACATTGGCAAAATCCAGACATATCGGCAGTTCTACATCGTTGAAGAGTTTGTCGCCGAATACTGAAAGTGCTGTTGAACCACCAGTGAAATCCAGGTATCCATAGAGCTGCTTGGGAAGATTGTGGACATATGAGAGTTCGTTAGCATGGAAGGTCGTCTATATAACTACATACGGAATAAGTGAAGCTTATATATGGTGATAACCGTACTTATCTTTCTACTTAACCGCCCACCGTTTCGCGAAGTAAAGGCCATAAGCAAATGAGCGCAACGAAAGAATACCTTCGGCGTAGATATTTAATCATAATACCTGTAGCGCTATTCTATACTGTATTGTACTAACGCAAAATATCATGAACATGAGTCTCTCATTTGGTGACGCGCTAAAATTGAAGCAAAGAAGGGCCGCAAGAAGTATTGATGTTTCAACTGACTAATTTTAACGCCTAGAAGCGGACGAGACATATCTCTAAAAGGCTATAGTTGACGGTAAACGAAGAATCTATCACACAGATTGAACAATGTAGGTACGAAGAACTCGGTAGTTTTGCTACACTTTTTCCTGCAACAAAAGGCTACCTCACTGGCAGCAAACCACATCCCTCCCTTCCTTTACATGGACTCTCCTGATCACTTCCGAAGATGGTCCATTTACAGTAATCAGCATGTTCACAGAGCACTGCTGTCAATGTGCCAATATGTGTCAACTCATTATGGCGTTAAGTTTAGGCACAACGTGACGTTAATAATAACTGTTTGGGAAAGGAAGAAAGTGGCTTTCTTCGGACTTTGTCGGCCACTACAAACCTTTCAATACTCTCTAACGAACTGCTTTCCTGCTCTAGAGTCTACAGTGCTGCGCCGCCCAAGTGCCACGGCTTCTGACCGATCAGCTTCTCGTCGCTCGATCATGCGCTCCCGCTTAAGTGTGGTCACGAGGAGTCAAACGAACACGGTTCTCTACGCTGCGTCAAAAAAAAAAAAAGCGCCGGAACCGGTGTTGACTTTAATGAGTCTTGCAAATTGGACGATAGCGGATAAGATATACAAATAGCCAGTTTCCGAATTTACTGCTATTTGTATTGGTGGCAATAAATCTTTACCAAACCTTAGAACGTAGTATCTACGACGGACTGCCATCTATGTCAAGAGAAATCCAGGCTTCTAAGGAGCCTGCCAATGCTGATAAGCCAGCTGCTCAAAAAGTGTCCAAGGCCGGATCCTTCATGGCTGGTGGGTTGGCGGCGTGTATTGCGGTCACCGTTACAAATCCAATTGAGTTGGTGAAGACAAGAATGCAACTGCAGGGTGAAATGACCACACATGGCCAGAAAATCTATAAGAACCCTGTGCAGGCGCTAGGTGTGATTTTCAAAAATGAGGGAGTGCGCGGCCTGCAGAAGGGGTTGTCGTGTGCATACATTTACCAGATTGGTCTAAATGGGTCTAGGCTAGGATTCTATGAGCCTATAAGGGCGCTACTGAACCGAACATTCTATCCAGCATTGGATCCACATAAGGTTCAGAATGTGGCAGTCAATGTAGCCTCGGGCGCTACATCCGGTATTATCGGTGCCATTATGGGGTCACCATTATTTTTGATTAAGACTCGTATGCAATCGTATTCCAGTGCAGTGAAGGTCGGCCAGCAAACTCACTACACTTCAATTGCAAATGGTCTATCTACCATTTACCGCGCTGAAGGTATAAAAGGTCTATTCCGCGGTGTTGATGCCGCCATTTTAAGAACGGGTGCGGGTTCTTCCGTGCAGCTACCAATCTATAACACGGCTAAAGGATTTCTGCTCAGGAACAATATGATGAAAGAGGGCACGGGGCTGCATCTTGTGGCCAGTACAATCTCCGGTCTTGGGGTTGGCGTGGTCATGAACCCATGGGATGTGATTTTGACAAGAGTTTACAATCAAAAGGGCAACCTGTATAAGGGACCCCTAGATTGTTTCATCAAAACAGTCCGCATCGAAGGTATAGGTGCTCTATACAAGGGTTTTGAGGCTCAAATATTTAGAATCGCCCCGCATACCGTACTTTGTTTGACATTCATGGAACAAACAATGAAACTGGTTTACGCCGTGGAAAGCAAAGTATTGAGCTCTTAGTTCTGCATTGATAATGAATAGCCTGTCCGGTGGAGTAGGGATTCTTGTAGAGTGGTTTACGCTCTGGTATTGTTGAACCTGTTCACGCCACAATGGGCCGAAAAATTGATAGCGGAAGAACCCAGACTCGAATGCCTACGAAGAAAAGTCAAGATGCAGATTGTTTGGTACTAAATGTGCGTACAAACTATGATCACTCTGGCAGAACAAATCCATATTTACTTCTCATAGTCACCATTTTTGACTTTGATAGCCGAGGTTCTCGACTAGCCGTCCATTTGTAAACCAGCAAAGTGCTACCACTGGCGGGATTCCCGCATTGCAAGGTTGAATGAGCATCTTCATAAAAGGTGAAGGCCATGAACTTCGATAATGACAACACGTACATGATGACACTATAGTACTGCTGATAGAAATGTCAGCGGCTATTCCACTCAACGCCAAACACAAACACCACACTGCTTTATGAAAGAAGCAAAGGCTAATTGGATATCGGAGAGGCTCAAACCATCAGCCACAATGACAGGGACTGACTGTATCCTAACAAGCGAGGAGGTGGTGGAGAAGGAGACGAAGCAAGTACAGAAGCGATTGAATTTAAGTAAACCCGAACTCCCCAATTGGTGGAGCTTTTCTGACATAAAGAAATACCTATATAGATTGAAGCTGTGGGTTTGGTCGTGTTTTTTAAATCTGGCTTTCGTTCACTGGATTACAATTCAGATTCGGAGCGGCCTCATCTGCATCTTACGGGTTGGTCCTTTGCCCCAGCATATATCCTTTATAATGGACGGCAACAGGCGTTTCGCACAATACTTAGGCGTGGATAAACAATCTGGCCATGAAGCCGGTGCTTTAACTCTATTGAACGTATTGAGCGCGTGCAAACAGCTGGGCATCAACACTGTCTCCACTTTTGCGTTTTCTATTGAAAACTTCAACAGACCTCGCGAGGAAGTTGAGATACTGATTAACATGATGACAGAAAAGCTCGACGAGGTCGCTCGTATGGCACAGAACCGTGAAAACAAGTTTTACGGGCTTCGCATTCATGTCGTTGGTGAAAGATCCATGATCTCGAAATCGCTCAATGAGAAGATCTCTTATATTGAGAGATTGACTAACAGAGGCGAATCTATGCTACTTTACGTGTGTTTCCCCTACACGTCCAGAAATGAAATATACCATGCTGTCTACAACTCCGCGGAAAGCTGCAAATACCATGGCAAGTCATCTGGAGACACGACAGTTCACACCTTCAACCAACATTTGTTTTTTGGAGAAGCATCTAGCAAGTGTGACTTATTAATTAGGACTAGTGGACACACTCGTCTTTCGGATTTTATGCTGTGGCAAATACACCAAAATGGGGTGGTTGAGTTCACCGACACGTTGTGGCCGAAATTTGGATTCCTGGAGTTCTTCACCATATTACTGAGATGGAGTTTCTTCGCGAGTCTACAGCGCCGTGAATTAGCCGATATATCACTCAGCTCCAGAGCTTGGAGAGCTCTCAAAAGAGGCCTAGTTCCATCTAAACGGAAAATTGTTCGCTATGACGATTTACCTGAACCCCCAAAGACAGTATCAGTAGCACTCAAGGGCTGAATCTCACACCCTGCTTGGATTTACAAGTTTTTAACAACTGTCTTTTTCTCGACCTTGCTTCTTTCTCGGCGCCGTGCTTCCTCGATTTTTTGCAGATAGCTATTATACACCACAACTTCCGCAACCAGGACGAGAATTCCACTGAACAAACATAAAAATATTCTATTGTGTGGCTTCATTCCCGCTGAAGAACCCGACCAATACCAGGCGGCAAAAACAACCGACACCACGGACACGAGTATATTGAACACGGTCGTGATCTGCTCCTTTACTTGTTTACTCATTTGGGCCGGCGTCAGGTTCTCTTCGTCATGTAACACGCCAATAGCATCCCTCCTCACCATTTCCTGATAATCTTTTTCGTCCTGTTCCAATCGCAGACGCTCGAGCTGTTTTTTAAACTCAGGAGTGTAACTAGATCCCTTTGAGGGCTTGACCTTAAATGAAAAGTCTAAGTTTCTTAGAAGGCCGGCTAACTTTGTGCTTTCAGGTTTTTGCCGGCGAATCTCTAACAGGTTTCGTATGGGTATACTGCCCTTCCTCAAAAACGTTTCGATTTCATGATCTTGGCTGGCTAGAGGCTTTAGAAATGCAATCAATTGCTCATTCAACTTAATATCAAACATCCTGTGACCACTTATAGGGCCTATCTACCTTTGAGTGTATCCCCCTCCAAATGTGGGACATTCTATAGCCTCAGAGAATTCATTTATCTCTATTCTTTATATGGTCATCTTACGTTCAAACTCATCACTTAATCAAAATAAGACACTGAAAAGTGGCAAAACAAGGAAAAGTGAGGCAAGAGGCAGTTGCAAGGCTTTGGTCAATATGCGAGACTCAAATCATCGTTGCATTTCTTTGAATAGGTCTAGTGTTACTATAACGTCTACTGTCTATGATCGGAGGGGTTTGAATTGCACTTCAGAAATTCCTCTGATAAATTCGCTTAATCATTTGACGTACCTTACGTCCAACTCTGCCAAAGTGCGGGAAACTTTGGCTACTGATGGTGCTCTAATAAGGTTGGTTTCTATCCTACACGATTGCCATGTTTCGCTGGACGAGTGGCCAGCACTGGAGATAAAGAACGACTTAAATATTGTGCAACAAGTGGAGAGGGAAAGAAAGCTGGCAATGATTGCGTGGAAATGGACGCTTGCATTTCAGTGTCTTGTATTAACAGGGACGAGAGGTACAGAACAAATTCGCAAACAGGTCGTCTCCTCAGGGGTGATCCCAATACTAGCAACCGTTCTAGATAATTACCTGCTTATAGAGAAAGGGCACGATTTTATTAAGGACAAACCACTTCGTTTTGACTTTAAAAACTCACAGTTTGATCAAGATTGTGATTTATCCTCAGAAATAGATTTGGAGGGGATACTCCTTAGGTACAAGCGTTTGGCTACCCCAGAAATTATGCAACTCAATACAAGCTTTAGTGAATTATGGGAGTCCACAATGAATAATTTAGAGAGCGGTAAAGAGTGTGATACTTACGAAAATATTGCTGTACCGATACCGAGGACATTTTTCTGGGGCAAGATTGTGCCCAAAGCGGACGACGTAATTTGGTCTCTACAATTATTGGCTTTCATCTCGAAGTACACCCACCTGAAGCCACATTTACAAAACGTTCAGCTGGTGAAAACTCTTTCCTTACGAGGCGCCTTGTCCATTGCAGAGAAAAGATATGAACCAGCTTTTGGCATCTCTGGTCTTGAGATTTCTTCCAAGAATGAAAAAATGCCGGAGTTGAAGCCGCCTTCTAACGTCAATACTGACGAGACCCCAATTGACTTCACTGATCCACTGCTCATTGACATGCAGTCACATTGTAAAAAACTTGGCCAGGTCATCACTTTCCATTCAGCAAATTCAGCGCCCAAGAATTGTAACCAAAATCGCCACGGTATAGATAAAAGATCCGAAATGTACCATTTGAAACAAGAATTCGAGCACAAGTGGAATTACGCGACCTATCCTAAAATTTTGGACGACCAATCATTTCAGCACATAAAACATGCTCCCACTTTGAATCTTTTTCCTCTGGTAGAGCGTTTCACGGTTAAAAAAGAAAATGAGAAGGACATGACTTACTGGAGTTCAGTGATTATGCGCAACTCCTGCAGAAAAAACGAAAACACAGGAGTCAGGCAATGTGCGAATTTTGCTTGCGGCAAATGGGAAGACTTTCCCAAGAGATTTGCAAAATGCCGGAGATGTAAAAAAACGAAGTACTGCTCACGCGAGTGCCAGCTGCACTCTTGGAATTATCATCGCTACTGGTGCCAGGAAGTTTCTTCATCTGCTGGTCAGGTTGCAGGAGCGACAATCGGAGAAGGAACCACATCAAACCAACCACAAAGCGCAACCGATTCGATTACAGAGTCTGCAACTGCGGAGACACCAAATGTGGATAATGACAGGGCTCTTCTCACGACATCTGACGATAACACGGGTATGTCGCATAGGATGGAGCATGGGCCCACACTACAGGACAGGACCTGATGGGGCAGCAAAGTTTTCCGCGAGTTATGGTTAGTTCCAAGGTAATTTAGTAAATCGTTGGTAATCGAAGGTTCTGGGTAGCTAAAGGATTTGTGAGGAGTTACATATTTGACTACAGAAGTATATCCTCCCAAATGTATTGCTTTCAGCGAGCAGTCTTACCCTCTCGCGTAGAATTCTAAAATGATAATTAATGCATTTTGTTACCTAAATTTCCCTATTTATCTCTTCGAGTTCGTCGCTTTCGTCGCTTTCATAATCGCGACTCACATCGCTCCACTCTATGTAATAGTCCTTCATCATTCTTTTGAAATTATGAAGGAATAGTGGATCATATGGAAAGTAGCTTTGGAGGTCTATGAACTGCTGACGTGTAGCCAGAGACCAGCTGCTCACATTTCCAGTTGTGTTCTGGCTGTCAGACTTACCCATTATACCCTTCAATCTCTCGTTGTTGTTGTTTTCAATCACGCCAAAACAATAAGCAACGCCCTCATGCTGAGATATACGCGCAAACATCATCATAACATTTTCGTTGCAATATTTTAACGGATTAAACTTTGAAAGAATCATCCTCTGAAAAAACTTGTCTATCTCACATTCCCAAGAGTCACCATCTCTGAAAGTGGCATGTCTGAAGCAGAAAACGTAGCATAATGCTTGGAAAGCAGCGTAGAAATGCTTGAATCTTTCCACACCTCCTGGCTGATTGACCTCTTCTTCCCTCTCCAAAACATAACGGTTGAGCCACGATGTCAAGTAGCTCGCAACGAAAATGATTTGAGTATTCGAGAGCTTCTTAGCACGAGCAATAAACGACCCGATGTATTGCAACGATTTAATTCTCTTTTCAATCATCTCATTAGGTGAAAATGCAATATCAATGAGAGTGACTAAAAAGGCGTCCATGAGTTCCAATTGCTGCTGCGAGACATGGAACAAAATGTACTGAATTGAACGAGTGTAGTAAGTGGGGAGAATATGAGACTTGAAAAGACTGATCAAGGTATTGAAGATGCTGACACCGTCTCCATTCTCTATACTCTCTGCAGTCAGGGATTGTGATAATCTTTTAGTTATGAGGGAAAGAATTGCGTCTAATTTGGAAGACAGTTGTTTTATGTTTTGCGACACGACCACATTGTACTCCTCTTGGCCGTCCAAGAGATCCTCATCGGCGGACTCACTTTGAGAGCTGTCGTCATTGGTATGATCAAGAATTTGGTCCTCTTCTTCCATATCCGTGTGGGCGTCATCCTCGATCTCGTCATCAATGTCATTCTCTAGGTCATCGTCCAACTCATCAAGTTCGTTTTGCAACTCAACGTCGATGGAAATTACCTTTTCGATGACCAAGGACCATGCCTGGAACCTAAGTTCATGGCAGTAGTCTGTCAATTTCAGAACATTAGACATGTAGTTTACCAAATTTTTCTTGGAATCGTTTTTGTTCGGGAAGAATCTGGCGAGGTACGAGTCGATGAAACCCGTAGAGGTGGGTATTGTGCGGAGGAAATATTTGAGCATTTGATGATGCGATGTTGTCTTCTCGATCGGCAAATTGAAATTGGCGATCAGCGGTAGCGACACATCCTGCCACCACTTCGGCAAGCTGGAGCAGAGGATTTTAATGAAGAATATATACGTACTTAGAGTTGCGGCAGGAAGTTCCCACCACTTCTCAAAGTTGATGATGGACTGGATCAAAGATGTGCACAGGTGCGTATCCAGTCTGCTGACATTGTGCGATAAAATTCGCAGCAGGCCCGACAGATTCTCGGAGGATATCCGGTCGGAGCTGGTATGCGGAAGGGACAGTTGTGCGGCTAGAGATTCTACCTGGGAAGCATCGTTCTGCAAAAGTTAGTAGACTGAGATCACATAGAAACATCGCCCTGTACTTTTTAACATACCCTTTCAAGATCCTCCAGAGCGTTAAGCACAAAGTTACGGTAGAGTTTCGCAGAAAACTCTTCATTGGTTTGGACTTGGTTATTTTCACTGTGGACCAACACCTCGTCGGCAAATTCAACCCGCCTTTTTTTGCTTTCAACGGGGACGCCAAGTTGGCCATCCGCATTTCGCTTCGAACTCTGCTCGATGGCCATCATGGTAGCGTTATCTGTAAGCACTGAGTACACTACCAGTGGCTGAACCTGCTTGTATAAAGAGAGAGATGAGGTATTCTCCAGATGAAGTAACCCATATAAAAGTTTTCAAAGGGGAACTAAATGATCCCGCGTATATAATGACAATATAAAGTCAAGTAGCTGCCATCTCCACCATGATTGAGTTTCAATGGCTTTCAGTCATCTATCACCCCTGTTAGGAGCCAAGGAGCTACCCAGCTGTTCACTCCCAACGTAAGTCCATCCACCAAACTGCTGTTGGACACTCTCACTCAGAAAATCGTTAACGACGCTGTCGACCGGCAACTCTTTGGTGAACTCTTGATCAAAATTGCTAGTGTCTAGCGACCCAAGAACTGGAGGCTTGTAAGGTGGAATATAGCCCTTCATCCACAGCCTTTTCCAGTTCAGTTGACTGAAAAACGGGTGAGACTTGATCTCCTCAGCGCCGTTAAAACCCAAACGACGTTTGGGATCTCGGCTCAGTAAACCGATCAATAGATCCTTTGCGTCTTTGTCAAAGCCATCAGGAAAACGGAGGGGCTCTTGTAAGATTTTCTTGTACATCTTAGGGACATCTTCGTCATAATATGGCGGTAAGCCAGTCATCATCTCATATAATAGCACGCCAAGAGTCCACCAATCGACGACCTTTGAATACCCTTGCCCCAGCAAAAGTTCAGGAGCCAAATATTCAGGAGTACCGCAGAATGTACTAGTCTTGTCTTGGCCCTTCATATTTAGTTTGCACAGCCCAAAATCGCACAGCGCAATGTGGCCCTGATGGTCCAGCAGTATATTCTCCGGTTTCAAATCACGATAGATGACGTCGAGGCTGTGCAGCGTTTCCAGCGCACACAACAACTCAGCCGTATAGAATCTTGCCCGCGAGAGTGAGAATCGACCTTCTCTTTGCAAGTGGTAAAAAAGTTCACCTCCATTTATAAACGCCAGGACGATGTATAATTTGTCTGGCGACTGAAAGCTAAATTTCAAAGGAACAATAAACGGATTGTCAACACGCGCCAGCACAGTCCTCTCTGCCAGAGTATGTACCACCTCCGACTTTGATACGATATACGACTTGCGAATGGCTTTCAGTGCATATATCTTTTTGGTGTCTTTCTTTCGCACCTGCATTACCTTTCCAAAAGAGCCTTTGCCAATAACTTTCAGTAAATCAAAATCATCAATACTGAGAGAACGGTTGGTTGCAGGCTTGTAATCCACACTGATGTTAAGTTTACCGTTCCCGTTTTCTAGACTAATCCATTGGTGGTTGTAAAGACGAAAAGATTTCGCCGAGTCGAAATTTAGCGTCAAAGGAAGATTGTAGGAGTCTAAGTGTATGTCTTGGTTATTGTTAATCCGATCCAAGACGTCTTTCACCAAGGGATCGGAGGAGTTCGAGAGTTGCCAAGCCTTGGACGGCAATAAGATTGATGGGATCCTGGCCAAGACATCAATCTTTAAAAATGGCAACTTTCGTGTGACGTCAAAGGTGGATATCTTGCTGAAGCTTAGATTGGAAAATGTTCCCGACTCAGGATCGATAGTTGCAACTGTATTGTCGAACTCAATTGTAAAATACAAAAGAGGGTTGAGGTCCGGAGAGCTCGGCAGCGTAATAGTGGCAGGAATAAAACGCGAGGCCAGATCCCCTTTGATCAGCATCTCCTCTTCACTGCTGTCACTCAACTCCAGCTGCGCGAGTGAGGATACAAGATCGTCTGCACTAGGATCTTCGGGAGATGAATTCATGACACCAGAGTACAGTAGTTTCTTCAAAATCTGCGCATTAGAAGTAATGGGAAAAGGGAGCTTGAAACCCTCACCACCATAAACCTTAATAGTCATTATTCCGGAAAAGGACGGCTCTGTACTAAGCGCTGCGTTTCGTGCGCTTCCAGTTTCGGCGAGAAAACTTCCATTTCCAGCATCAGCACCAGTTTCGATGCCGCTACCAGCCCCATAGCCAGATCCATTCTCAGTCCCAGACGCACTGTTATTGAATCCGTTGCCGTTCACCGCGCCGTGGTTGAATTCGCTCGATGTCCGCTGAGAGTCTCCATCAGTGGAGATGGAAGAATTGGTTGCTGAGTACTTATTGACATCTGTGGAAAGCCTTACAGGTGCTATTGACGAAGTGGACGGTACTATAGTTTCCTTACGATCTGTGGAATCCCTTGGTGGCTCCATGTATGGAGACTCGCTACGGTGGCTTTTGTGATGGAAAAGTCCATTTTTCTCCTTCTCTTTGCTCTTTTCTCGTTCTTTCTCTTTCTCATCCTTGGTTCGCCCAAATCTGAACTTACCGGTGATCTTCCAGGAGCACATTATTCGGGTATCACTCGAGATAGGCTATGGTTAAATCTGGCAGACTACCGTTCGCAGCTCATCAATATGAGCCTTGTTTAAGTCACCAATATGATCATTACAAACGAAGCGCGTTACACGCTCAACAAGTAAAACCAGACCAACTTGGTAACTACGCACAGCAGATCGAGCTAGTTCTGAACTTTTGAACACGCCGAAACGTGCCAAGCTAAACATCGTTATATTAAGAAGAGACTTTTTTATTTTAGTTCGTTCCCTGGCGTTCTTACAATATCGCAAATAGCTTTGCTAGTCCAGTAAATTAACTTTGTCAGCCCTGGCAGAGAACAAAAAGGCCGTGAACGAGACTGGATGGTAGGGCTCAAGTCTTCACTGTAGGTTCCTCAGTGCCAAGAAATTCCTTGAATTTCAAAAACTTCAAAACAGCTGCAATGTCAGAGTGCAAAAATTGATCGGCAGTTAAGGAGTACTTGGAGGAATCGTCGGAGTAACGTTCCACATAGAGCCTAATAGTGGCACCTGACGAACCGGTACCCGAGAGTCTCACAACGAATCTACAGCCGTTTGATAACTTTGCAAAGAGCCCTTGATGGTCTGAAACGGAACCGTCCAAATCGGTGTAACTGAAGTCTCCGCAATCAGAAATCGTCAAGCTTTCGTCCCCAGGGAATGGCTGGCCAATTGCACTATCTTTGCTCTGGACTAGATCTTTGAGAATCTGTAGCACCTCACCAGCAGCATCATCAGAGACCTGTTCAAAATCATAACGGGTGAAAAAGGTTCTACCATATTTTTGCCAAAATTCATCCTGGATAGTCTTAATCGACACATCTGCACCAGGGTGGTCTCTGTGATAGATGGCTAGAATATTGAGCCAAGCAACAATAGCCCAGACCCCATCTTTCTCCCTGACGTGATTAGACCCAGTACCAAATGATTCTTCCCCACAGATGGACAGCTTCTTAGCGTCAAACAAGGCGCAGAAAAATTTCCAGCCAGTCGGCACTTCGTAACAGTTGAGGCCCTGGGCCTTGGCAACACGGTCGATAGCAGCAGAAGTAGGAAACGAACGGGCCAACCCGTAAATTCCTTGTTTTTTGAAGTAGGGAATCTCAGAAGCGTACTCGGCAATGATCGCTACCGAGTCACCTGGAGATACAAAAGCAGGCCCGCATCCGTAAATCATGTTTCTGTCACCATCACCATCAGATGCAGCCCCAAAGGCAATTTGCTCCTTGTCCACCCTCTCTACCAAGGTGTGAGCGTACGTCAAATTGGGGTCTGGGTGCAAGCCACCAAAATCTGGTAGAGGGACGTAGTTCTGTAGCACTTCATCAGCGGGTAACTGTAACTCATCTACAAAAATAGCTTTACCGTAGGGCCCAGTGACTCCGTTCAAGCAGTCGAATAGAATCTTGAAACCCTTGGTAGATCTCTGAGTATCGATGAATTCCTTAATCAGCTTGAAATCAAAAATTGACTTCATTTGTGCCACGTAGTCCGCGGTGGAGTCCACGATATCAATCAACAAACCGGCGTAATCTTGGTCTTGTGCGATCTTCGTGATATCGACCGTGGGAAAATTCTTCACTATCTTATACTCGGTAAGCTGTTTAGACTTTTCGAACATTGCATTCGTTACGGATTCGGGAGCCGGCCCGCCATTACTCAAGTTGTACTTGATTCCAAAATCATTCTCGGGACCACCAGGGTTGTGTGAGGCAGTGAGAATGATCCCACCAGTGCATTTTTCGTGGTAAGTCCTGATAATATTTGATGCTGCAGGAGTCGACAAAATACCATTCTGGCCCAAAATCAACTTTCTGACACCATTGGCAGCCGAAATCGACGCGATTAACTGGATCACTTCATTGTTGTAGTAGCGACCATCCCCCCCAACAACGAGTGTCGCATCTTTGCACCCTTCTGGAATTGCCTCCAGGATCGCCTGAATGAAATTTTCAGTGTAGTTAGGCTCATTTTCGAAAACCTTCGTCTTTTTACGCAACCCCGAAGTTCCCGGTTTTTGGTCCGCAAAGGCCTTGGTTGGGACAATCTCAATCGAAGCTGACATTTGCGCTGTACGGTTATTTGTTTTCGTCGAGTGTAGTGGCAATATAATGACTTTTCGTCGTTTAGGCAATCAAATGGATCTCGAGTTCTTTGACTAGGAAGTAGAAGCTTGCAATTGTTTGAGCAAATGTAAAACGGAGTGAAATTCAAAGGTCAAAGCTGCTTTATGATTGCCCAACCAGCTTCAGCGCTAGCAATAGTCTAGTGATCTTTTTATACTTTGAGACTCCCCCCGGTTCCTTTGTTTTCAAAGGTCATCACATTGTCAAAGGGAAAAACTGTGTTCCACTCTTGTCGTACATAAATATATCAGATTTGGCGGGTTAAGCCCTGCCGCGCCGCAATAGGCTTTCGAGAGACGGTATATCCTGATATCCGTCATCTTCATGCTGTTCATCACGTCGTTGATCATTGGTAGTTTTAGATGTGTTCAATTTTATGTCCAGAAGCTCCTGTAGTCTCTTTTGCGACTCTTTCACACCCACATGTGAAGGATGGAGTAGATCTTGATATAGAGCTGGAAGTTCAGGGATATCAAAAGTGGTTGAGCCACGCACAACTTTTTGATGCATGTACTCAATCAAGAGCTGTTGCTGGCGGTGGATTCCTATCGCAGGAACAGTCCACACGTCTACCTCACGTGACCCAGATAGTCCTGGCAGTGGTAGTGAGGGATCCGCTGAGACCACGGCGTCCACGGGTTGGTATAGTGACGTAGAGCACCAAGATGTTGCTGGACCTCCTCCAATACTTCGCGATTCGACGAAGTCTTCCATCAGGGTGTCAATTTCTGCGGTAATTTCATTGTTTTGGGCATCCGAGTTATTAAGTTTAGGGTAATCAGACACTCGTTCATCTTCTGCAAACGGTAGTCTGCTTAGCACAAGAGCTCGTGTTTGGAAGTCCGTGTCACCGCTTGATTTTCGTTTTTTCAAAACCAGCAGCGGACACAATGTGCACATCTGAACTTCGCTGTCTGTTCTTTGCACGTATCGCACAATTGCAAGTTTTTCTAAACGTATCATAGCGTCTACCAGAGCAGCGAGCGCGAAGGAGTCCGCGGAGGTGCCATCTTTGGTGGCAGGAACAATGAAAGTAGATTCCGAATTCAAATAATGTCTGGGCACGTCTTCCCTGCTGATAAACCCACGAATGTCGATACCCGAAGTGGTGTGATATATGCGCTCGGCTTCAATAGTTTGTGGTAATACAACGTAATCTGAACCGTAACGGTAAGCTTTTGTTACAGATTCTTGTGCCACAGACACCGTTCGCAATTCATGTTTGTCAGCATTTGAGTCAGGGCCATCGTTGTGACCAGAACTATCTCGTTCTTCCTCATCATCGCGATCAAAAGCTTCATATTCAATTACAGATTTCACGGGTTCGTATTCGTTTTCTTTCGTTTTGGATACTACTTGACGATTGAGACTAGACACGGATTTGGTAGCAGGATAACCCTCCACCCTGATAGCAATTGAATCATAGCTCTCCTTTGAATAATCTGAGTCGGTGATGGGTGCGCCAAGTCGTAACTCCCCTTGAAATACCCTAACCGGCTTCACAGTCGGTGGTGCTGGAGTGGTGATCTCCTGTAATAGATTGGCCATAGAAACCTGCATGGATCCAGGAATCGCGTTTATGCACTTCTCCCAAATAGTCGAGTCTTGTTTCCTCGATCCCTCCTGTTGACCACATACTGCGAGTATAATTCGAGAGTCGAGCTCTTGTTCCAAAGTATGCAGTTCTTCTTCCGTCAAATCAAGACCCTCAAGATCATTGGTAAACACAATTACCTGTTTTCTAACTTTACGTTTTTGGAATGTATCTCGGGCACTCATGGAGGATATAAGCAGAGACTGAACCATAGAGTTTACATTACTTTGGGGCTTTGTTTCTTCACTTAATATCTGCTCCAATTCTTGGAGCGCTGCTACAATGCGACCCGCAGAAATTGGGGCAGTGAACGGCAGTAGTTCATAAACGTTATCCGTTTCGTGATTATTACGAGTCAATGCACAATTGGCTAGATAGCATTTAACCCAATCTGTCTTCCTCTGTTTTTTGGCCTTCATGAACATGACATACTCTAAGTAAGCTAATGCTTGATCCGCGAACCCGCTTCCAATCATGGAAGGAGAAACATCTAGTATGAAAGTTGTTGCCTCACTTCCCATCTTTGGTTAGTGATAGGATGCGAACATAGGCTTCTATATTTAAGAATAGTTATGGTCTACTCTCTAGCTAGGTTACCTTAACGAGGTTGATAGAGCTAATTAATTGATATTGTAGCTAAAAAAAAGCCCTGTAGGGGGCTCGAACCCCTAACCTTATGATTAAGAGTCATACGCGCTACCGATTGCGCCAACAAGGCTCTTGATGTAATAAATATAGTTTCCAGATCATATATGGTAATATTAGGACCATTTGATTTCGTCTGCTTGATGTCAGTTATTGATCATTTCAATTGAAGCAACAGTAAGTGGTCTGCGATTTATAAATATGTGTTTGCGTGCGTGTGTTGACTTTATATAAACAAGATAGAATATACTTCTTAATTTTGGTTGTGGATTTGCGTCGGTAACTGCTTATTCTGTCCTTGCGACTTGTTAATTTTGCACCTGGAGCGACGATGGTTCAACGTCTAGATGTCTTCCGTGTGGCCAATAAATCTCATGGCATTTTCATCTCCATTGGAAAGCTCTGGCTTATCTAAAGCATCTGCTATGCACTCCCAAGGATCTCTAGAGCCTCCCCATTTTAGGATGCTGCCCTTGAATTTTTCGCCGTTTTTTCGACTAAATGGATCTTGGGCGAACAGATGGGCCCAAACTTTGCTTGCGATGGCCCGATCAAATAGGTAGCTGTAGTAGCTAGCTCCATATCCAAAAAGGTGTCCGAACCTCCCACACCAGTTGCTTTGATCGTCTGCCAACACTGCCATCTCTTTTTCGAGATTGTGATACATCTCGACGATATCGACTGGCTCGTCACTCAACATTATTGAGGAATGCACCTCTTGGTCTAGCATGGCCATTTTCGCTTGCGAGAATGTTTCAGTGTGTTGAAGGTGGCCCGACTGTGCTTGATTAAGTTTCAGCAGATCGATAGGGACAGGCTTGTTGGTAATATAGTGCCGACCGATTTTAGACAAGACACGAGGGTCTCGCGAGAAGTGCTCCATCAATATGCTCGGAAGCTCTACAAAATCAGTTGCGCATCGAGTTCCACTGATATTTTGCAACGAAGTTCTTCCTAGCATTGAATGCATTGCGTGCCCCATCTCATGAAATAACGTGTCAACATCACTCAGTTGCAACAGACAAACATCCTGCTCGCAAGCTTGTGAGCTTTGGAGAAAGCTACAAACTAGGGATATAACAGGAAGTTGGAACTTCTCACCTGTTGAGGATAGTTGGCCCACTTGAATTGTCGACAGATCAGTTTCTCCGGGATATATCTGACGTGAGCAGCATACAGTGAAGTGCGCAGGGTTAGTAGTCTTTCCGTGTCTTTCGAAAAGATCACAATATACTACGCCAATTAGGCCCTCCGTATCACTTATCACATTAATCCTGCGCACTTCAGGGGACCAAGTCTCTCCGGGAACTGCCACCACCGGTTCTAATGTTATACCATATATGCTTTGAAACAGGTCTGACAAACCCTGCATGACAGTTCCCACTGAGAAATAGCAGCTTATCTGCTCGTCTTCTACGCTCTTGCGTTGTCGTTGGAGCGCGCTCCACGTACTATAAAATTCCCTATCCCAGGGCCTCACCAATGCCAGTACGTCTGCGTCAGACTCCGGTGTTTTCAATTTCAGATGTTCACTCTTAAAAGTTGCTATATGCCTCAACTCCTGGGTCGCCAGTGGTTTTGTTGCCTCCACCAGTGATTGCACAAATCCTCGAACGTACGCTGGTGACTTCGCCATTTTACCTTCCAGCTGGTACTCTGAATAACTTTTTATACCCATAATATATGCCAGATATCCCCTGATTTTAGCCAGCTGCTTGAGTCGCACAATTTGGTGGTCGGGACAGCTATGCATCGACGTCCATATTTTCTTTCTGATATTTTCATCCGGACAGCTTCTCAAAATCGAATATGCAATGTAGCCATGTGTTGGAACTTTATAATACATTCCTCTGGAATCGCGTGAAAGCTGGTCTAGCAGCAACTTGCTCAATCCACTTTTATCAAGATCTTTGCAAGGTACTCTTACGTGCGACGATTTCGCAAAATCCGTATTGCTGATAAAATCCTGTCCAATCAGACTTATCTGCTGTGATAAGCTAATAAACTGCTCTGCTACCCCTGGTTCCATGTCGATTCCAGACTTCTCAAAATCTTCAAGTAAAATGTTTCCAACACGAATTTCTTCTTTGCTGAGCTCTGCAGTCAGCGCCCTATCATTCAAAATTGACTTCAAGATCTCGCACAAAGTTTTGTCGGTGTTCAGAATGTTCATAAACTCAAACATCTCCTCATGACACAGCTGGGCGGCTTGTACAAAATGCGGATCAGGATGAGATGCTCTGACGAATTCACACAGGTCAATCACTCTACACAAAAGGTCACTCAGCCTGTCTAGTCGTTGAATATAGCTCAAATAGCCTTCTCTGGTATGGTCTGTGCGCATATTGTCAACCAAAGTCTGAGCTTCTTCCAACGTTCTCATGCTAAACTGTCGAAGTCCTTGACTTGATTTTAAATATGGATTTTGAAAAAGGCCGGTTTCTGGAAGGACAGAAGACTCTGTAAATCTGCTTATGATGCCTTTAGACTTCGAGCTTTCCAACCTGTAAGCTTCGCTATTGATCTCCCGCCAGTATCTTGGATTGTCAAACACCTTTCTCACGTCATAGTGGGCCCCTAACCTTGAGGACGATGCTAGTAATCGTATTCTTCCCACAAATGGCGATCGAGAGACTCTCGACACGGTTAGTGATCGTAACATCATAACCGATCTTCGTTGAGGTCGCAATATGTGAGGATTGGTGTGCAAGCTAAGTCTTATATATCACTACACATTTGCGTATCAGATGACACAAATCCGTGATGACCAACCAACCAGTTCTCGATCTATGTACATGGATAGTTGCCCTTGTCTAGGTTTGTGAAATATTAGGAGTCGAGTCTTTGGCTAGTTCAAGTTTGCGTAGTTCTTGATGGGCTTCGGTGAGTAATTCTTGGAAGCCAGTTTCTTCGGCCATACTAATGGAATCGTTCAAGAGACGTTCCGCCGTAGCCAAGTTCCGCTTATGAAGGTTTATAACTCCCATTCCGTAAATAGAAAGAGCTATCGCTTGGGCAGCTGATGGGTCCATGAGCTCTTTGGCGTTGAATCGTAGCTTCTTGTTTTTCTTGGAGAAGGCGACGATACTGCCATAGCACTTGGTAGCCATCTCAAAACACGAATCGCGGTTCCGATGCAATTGGCGCAGTGTCCTGATAGTTGTTTCGTCGTCTTGCTGATTGGTAAGCGAGTTTTCGCGCTGCAGGTTGAGCTGATGGATCTTGCTTTCGAAGGTTTCCGCTTGAAGATATAACAACGAGCCTAAGTTAGCCTGAGACAGCAATATTTGACCTGGAGGCATGTCAGCCATGACCATCCATTCCACAGTGGTCAATTTACAGCTCAGGGCCGAGCCGATGTCCTTCGTGGACAGACAGTACGCTGTGTACAAGTCCCTTGCAGTAAAAAACTCTTCCTTGAAAGGCTCCCAAGCACTACTATTTTTGGCCATGTCCACAATCATGTAAGATTCTTCATTCAGCTTGATGTTCTGCTCGTTCACAAAACTTTCAAAGTTTACTCGGTCACCAACTGGTTTGCCTTGAAATGGGTTAGTGGCTCGTTCTTTCCGTTTGTCAAAGTACTCTTTCAATTCAGGAGATCTGCTCAATATTTCTTCTTGAGCTAGAAGAAGGTGCGCCAGGAGATTTCTTTTACCGACTTGTACGTCTTTATTCATTTCGAGCGACTTGATCAGAATTCGCAAATCTTTTTGGATTAAGTGGGGCCTCAAATCGTCCGCCACACGGCCTGGTGTGTGAAGAGCGTCGAAATACCGATACAGCATTTCCAGGTATAACTCGTGTGCGTTGTCGGCCATGTTGAGTCGTTCGTACATTTCTGCTATTTTGAGCTCGATCCCCGTGTATTCGTCACTAACGGGGTCCATCGACAGTTTCTCGCACTCTTCCAATGCCTCTAGGTAGTATTTCAGCGCTGATTGGTAGTCATGGTCTTTCTTGTCGCTTTCTTCCCATAGCGCTCTTCTCAAGATTTTAGCCACGCTGTTGGGAAATGTGTGACGCGGCCAGTAGTAATAGTACCCCCCCAGAGACAATGCGCCAAAAGCTCCAATTGCGTACACCCATGTCTTCCAACTTTCCTTTTTCAACCCTGCTGCTACATATGGGCCAGTGGCGAGATGACGAGAGGGAAATCGAGCGTGGGAAACAGCTCGCGGATACTTACGTATTACATTTCTTGTAACGAGCCTAGGGTTTAGGATTTCCAACAGAGCTTTGACCATTGTTAGTTTTTGAAGAGCTCTCTTTTGATCAAGTACTAATTATCAGTTAACCAAATGGCCAAATTCCAAGCTAACAACAGATACCTTCCGTCTTAGCTTTCAATCTAAAACAAGGCAAAATCTCCTTTATTAATCCCAATTCTTCTGAAGTGAGTCGTCCTAGTAGAAAGATACGCAAGCTCAGTTTTTATTTGGCTATTATGAATAGGAATTAATGGTAGAAGTAAAGTGATGAATTTCGATAATTAAGGCATATATCTATCTCTCTTTGCATGGAATCAAAAGCTAGGGGTAACAACACATCAAATTTGACTAAGCCTTATGATCATTGCCTTGAAGTACCAATATAACTATTGATCTAAATTGTGGCATTGGCTGACGGAACACTATATTAGTCTTAGAGTATCTTTAACTATCAACCCTTCAAGAGAAGCTCAAAGGTTGTAACAACGGAAACCATTGATCGACTTTGGTACATAACACTATGTGTGGAAGATACGCTTTAGACTGTACGGGTGGACAGCTGGAGCGTCGCTTCACAGAGATGGGACTTGATTTTACCAACGAAAGAGGAGACACTTACAGTAATCAACCTTCGTACAACGTCGCACCAACAAGCGCATCACCAGTGTATACACATCACAAGGTGCTTAGAGACATGAAATGGGGCCTCATTCCCTATTGGGTTTCCGATGTTTCAAAATCTCAACCTTACAAGACATTCAACGCCAGGTGCGAGAATATCTCATCGAGCAAAATGTGGACGGCGCCCTGCAAAAGAAAGAGGTGCGTGGTTCCTGTGAGTGGCTATTTTGAGTGGCAAACGAAGGGAAAGCGAAAAATTCCTTACTACCTGACTAGAAGGGACAGTGAACTAATGTTTCTGGCTGGGATGTATGACTATGTGCAGTCGGAAAATTTGTATACGTTTACAATCATAACCGCACCAGCGCCGTCCAATCTAGTGTGGCTGCATACGAGGATGCCCGTAGTACTGAATCGGGGGTCAAAAGAATGGGCTACTTGGCTTGATACCTCCAAAACTGATTGGGACGAATCAGAACTACAAAAAGTTCTAGAGGCACAGTGTAACGAGGATGAGCTCGAGTGGTGGCAGGTAAGCTCAGACGTGGGAAAGGTGTCCAATAATGGCAAGTACCTCATCACGCCGGCAAAGAGCTCGATGCGTGACTTTTTCAAGAAAGAGAACAAGTCATCCAGTACTTTAGTCCACGAAGAGAGGAAGCCTCATGTCAAGGAGGAAGAGGAAGAGCCTCAATTGAAACCCAACAAGTCAAAGTTTGAAGTTAAACTTGAGGAAGCAGAAGAGAAGGAGAAACCAATTATTCGTGAAGAGGGTGACCAGCTTGAAAAAGGCCTAAACGAGCAGATCATCAAGAAGAAGGACAGCCAAAGTGTAGACATGGTGAAGCAGGTAGAGGAAAATGGGGACGGTCAGCAGAATCACAAGCGGAAGATACGAAAGGCAGGGATCCAAGACATGCTACGAAACGCACCAAGGAAGCGGGTAAGGAGATAGGATAACTGGTACCAAGCTCAATCTTCATACTTTAAGTCACATTATCTAACCGCAGTAACTCGCCGCACAAGTACAGCGACCCACATACGATTATAGGACTTGTGCTATCGGCGGAAAGGTCGTTGAGCGCGGCACATACATCGCGCTGCTCGCTGACGTTTTCTGTGTATTTCCGTAATTCTGGTATTAAATCAGATGGCTTCATAGCAGAGATCCACGGCATTCCTTCGACGGGCCCAAATTCCGTGACGACTACACGGTCCTGTCGCTTGATCAAAGGACCCAACAAACTGTCTAACGTCTTGCCCTTGGTTACTGCTATCACAAATGTCACGGGTTGGCTTTCGTCACCGCGTATTCTTTGTTCAATGTGTCTAGCAAGGGCAACCGCGGCATCACCATTATGGGCCCCATCTATCAGAAGTTTAAGTTGTTTGTGCCCTATGGCTGTGGAATATACTGCATCTTGTAGTCGACCTGGCCAGCGTACATTTTTCAAACCATGTTTCAATTGGTCTTTTGAGATTGAGATCTTGCATTTTCGTTGAAGGTAATCCAACATCGAGAGGGCAACGGCCAGGTTAGATGCTTGATAGTCGCCGTTCAATGGAACCATCTTTCTATCTATAGAGCCCCAGGAAAAAGTCTTTATTGCATCGTTTGCCAGCTGAGGGTCCGAAAAGGCCGATGAAGCTCCGACCAAAGCTATTTGCTGCCTGATAACATCGAGCACTTTTGTATCATTGGTGCCATCTACTGCCACGAATTCTACCCCAGGAACAATTATCCCTGCCTTTTCAAAACTGATCTTCCCTAAAGTATCTCCTAACAAATTCTGGTGATCCATCCCAACTTTGGTGATCCCGCAGATCTTGCCGGGACCTGAGCAGCTATTTGTCGCATCCAAACGTCCCCCCAAACCAACCTCTAGGACACACCAGTTACACTCTTTGAGCTGGAAATATCGGAAAGCTGTGCAGGTAAGAAGTTCAAACTCAGTGCAGCCGAATTGATAGTGTTCATTAGCTTCCCGGATTTGCTCTTTGATGCCATGAAAGTCGTTTGTGGTAATTGGTCTTCCATTGATACTAATGCAGTCTGTAATGTGAATTAGGTGAGGCGACGTGAATTTTCCAACCTGATACACGGAGTTCGTTTGCAGGACAGATTGTAGAATAGAACATACCGAACCTTTCCCGTTGGTCCCAGCAACGTGCAAAACGTTGAATCTGTTTTGAGGATTTCCAAAATAAGCCAATAGCTTGCTAATTCTTGATAGACCAAGCTCAATTGCCATTATGTTATGAGCTAGTCCTCTTGCCGACTTTTATTGATCATTAAGTAGTGATATGTAGAAGCTCATTATTTGGTTTAATTTAATTAACCTCTACTCATAAGATTAGAATTGAGCATAAGTCACATTTGAAACCCCTTTCTGTTCCTGTCAGTTCTTATTGTGCGATGCCACAACCAGAATTCATTCAAGAAAGGCTTAAGAGCCTGGACTCTATCGACAGAATGCTTCTGTCGACGTTACTGCACGCTTCACAATCGGTGGGAACTTTAGAAGAATTGAAAAGAGGTAACGAAAACATGAAACCTCAGTTCGAAAACCATGCTCGGAACTTCTACAGTAGTCTAGAAAAAGCGACAGTTGCACTACGGCGCGAAATCAAACATCTCGATGATAATGTTGGAACGAGGTTGTTGCCGATAAATGTCAACAAGAAGGCCACGGGCCAGGACAATGACAAGATACGAGAGCAACTTGACATTTTGACAAAAGAGATTGAGGGTGGTGACTGAACAAACCACGGGTACCCTCTCCTTGAATGTACTGCCCGCTTTTTCTATAAGCTATTTGCTGAAGATAGGCAAACGGAGGCTACAACCGTTGGCTTACTGTCGTATTCCTTACGATTTTTAGCTGTTTGAACCGGCCATAAGCCTCTAGTTTTGGTATTCGATGACATTTGATGTGAATTTAATAGCCCTGTATTGAGCCAGCATTTTTGGCCAGTACACTACGGACAGAAAAGCTTATTAGGTAGAGAGCAACTTAGAGAGGGCATACAGAGAGTACTCAATTTTGGGAATCTAGTAGCGTTTCTATAAGTTCATAATGGAGGTCGCTGCTGGTACAGGGCCATCGTGTGTAATGCTAGCTGAACCAGATTATATTACGACAACGGATGGCATCGCCAACCGTTCTCTATTTTATAATGTCTCTGGGAGCGTACAAATGTCTTCCAACTCTAATGTGCAACGAGTATCAGCTGAGAATGCCAGCCTTGATGATGGTGTAGCGCCCAACCAACAACCGCCGCCTGATCTCAGCTCCAACGCGTTCCGAACGTTGGTCTTAAAACAACTGACTAGGATCCAGGAACAAAACGATGCCCTAGAGGCTCGTATTCGGCAGTTAGATCAGGACCAACAGGATTTCTATGTTGATACTTGTGAGAAGCTGGACAGAGGGTTCCGGAGGGTAGATAAGGGATTCGAAGAGTTGGGCTCAATGAAGGAAGTGTTCAAAGAGATTGTGGGAATTATGAGCGGCGAACGAGTGCGTTTCATCGACCATTCCAACGAAAACATCACAGCGGATGAGGCTGAGGGGGTGGGAGAATCTTTACTGCTGGCGTCAAATTTCAATCCTGCGGAACGAGTGCAGCAGGCTGCAATGAGGTCAGGCAGACGAACACGGGAGCCTAGCGTCAAACAAGAAGTTAGTGAACCTTGGCAAAGTCTAAACTATCCAAATTTTGGAGCCCCTTCGGGCTCGGGCAACCCAGGAGCCGGTGATGAAGATGAGCAGTTAAATGATAGGGCGGTCAATTACCGGCTCAATAGACTCCTCAAAACTGTCACCGACGTGGCAAGAGAGTACTTCGAGGGTCTTCCTGGGCAGCCCTCTGTGGCTGCTCTCGAAAGGCGCTTTGGACCCAGTTGGCGTTGCCAGGCGTCAGAAAGATCCTTTTTCGCGAAGCGAATGCAAATCATCAACCGCATCATCGACGTAAAAGACCATCCTGAGAAATATAACTTGCCTGGCGACATAACGAGAAGAAAAGCTGTCCGTGTGGTGGAAAACCTGCGATTGGGAAACAATTCGTTTCACGGGCGAGCTACGCGAATGACATTAAACCAGTTGTACATATATCTAGCCAAGAAGATGGACAAACCCGAAGACTACCACTTACATCTGCGAGAATTTGCACGGCCCAGAAGAGACTTACTGATTGCCCAACGGAATGCGCTAGTCAACACCATGCCGCTCGTGAGGGATTCCCAAAGTCCGCAGGGTTCCCTTGAAGAAGGAATTGACGGCACGGGCGGGGCAGGAGGAGAATCCGAGCACGCGAGGCAAGAAGACTCAGATTCTAATTCCAGCGTGGGGGCCGCAGGACCATGATATCACGAAACGATTAATAATGAACGATAAATAATGACAGTAACGATTTTTCTGAAGTTTTCCTTTCCACTTTTCTGGGGCATTTACTTGCGGGCCTCAAAAACTTCGGCCCAACGTATCAGCTCCATTTCAAATGCCTCCGAGAGGGCCGATTTTTGATCTAGTAGAACCTTACACCATTCCACCAACAAGTCCTCGTATTCCTTGGCGTTCCCGACGATGCCCACCTCTTGCAGTAAAATATCTTCCGTCTCTTCCACATCCAATCCATCCTCCTGCGCACATTTGCGGGCAAATTGTAGGACTTCTACAGTCAATGTCGGATCCTGAAGATCGAGAGATTCTAACATCCATTGTGTGAATTTCACAAAATGACGATATGTGAGCTCAACAGCAGCCACGCACTCCAAACTCACAACAAGATCATAGTTCAAGGTCTTGGAAATGGTTTCGTTTTTAAGTGCTTGTGTGAGATAGTAGTTTAGCAAATCAATAACTTCGAGGCATCGGATGAAGAACGACGCGATTAACGAAACTACTGATGTCAATGGCTCCTCTTTCCACCTAACGCTCTCAACGAGCTTCATTCTAGTCAATTGTTCATTAAAGAACCGTAGTTTCTTGACATATTTGATCAAAGTGGCACGTTCGAACCGTAGCGTAGACACTCTTCGCTGATGGCTGATATACTTGTTCAAGGTCTCAATATAAGATAGCAAATAGCCTGAAAAAGCCCCTGTCGCATCCTCCAAACATTTCAAGGTACTTATACCACTCGGAAGCTCGCGTTTGTCCATTGCTGGGCTGTGAGCTTATATATATAAGTCAAAGTTGTTATTGAAAAATAAGGTATTCATTAGTAACTTATAAAGCCAAACAATAGCTAGAAATATAACCATTACTCACTCATTGCTATGAAGGCCAGTTTGGAGTACACGTCTTTGGATGATATCGACAACATTGTTCAGGATAGTAAGAGAAGTTCGGAGGAGAGACAAAGGAGGTTGGCCCATGCGGAGAATCCTCGGGCCGAAGATCTGGCATTAAGACTCAAAGAGCTAAGGAGTCTGTATTTCGGCCTTAAGGATCACGAAGAAGAGATCATAGATGCTTTACACCAGGATTTACACCGCAGCCGGCATGAGAGCTTAGGTCTTGAGTTGATTCCGCTGTATAACAATATTCTCGCGCTCATTGAGAACTTGCCCCGTTACATTGAACCGGAAAAAGTCCAAGAATCAAGTTTGCTATTCAAACTGAGTTCGGTGAAGGTGGAGCGGATTGCGTTGGGGTCAGTGCTGGTTATTTCTCCGTTCAACTATCCGGTCTTGCTGGGAATTGACCCCGTTGCAGCTGCGATTGGAGCCGGGAACTCTGTTGTTTGGAAGCCTAGTGAGCTAGCTCCAGCGACTGCAGTTGTAATGGAGAGAATTATTGTCTCCTCAGTAAATCCCTCGTGGATCAAGGTAGTTCAAGGCGAAATTCCTGAGACCACACGTCTGATTGAAAACCCTAACTTTGACAAAATCTTCTATACAGGCTCCACGAAAGTAGGACGCATTGTTTCCCAGGCAGCAGCCAAGAATTTAATCCCCGTCATCCTTGAGCTAGGTGGCAAATCACCGGTTTTCATCACGGAGAATCTTACATCAGCAGATCTAAAAAGAGCGCTGAAGAGAACCTTCTTTGGTGCATTCAACAACAGTGGACAAACTTGTGTAGCCTCGGATTACGTTCTGATCCATGAGTCCCAACTTGAAAAAGCTCGTGAGCTGACGTCTGAAATATTGGATGACTATTGGCCTGATTTTAACCAAGATACGGAGTTTTCCTCAATGATTAACGACCAAGCATACAAGAAAGCGATCGAGAGGCTCGAGAACACCAAGGGAACCATTTTTCAACCTTCGAAAGTTGCCGGTGAATTGGCAAAGAGATGTATCCCACCCTCCGTTATTTTCAACGTTACGTGGGATGATTCTTTGATGGAGGAAGAGAACTTCTCGCCTGTTTTGCCTTTTATTGTATACCATGATATTGATAATGTGATGGAACAAGTGGTGACACGGCACCCAGACCCTTTGGCTCTTTACATTTTTTCACAGAACCAGCGTGAGATAAACAAAATCATGAATTCGATCAAATCTGGCGGTTGCGCGATTAACGATACGATCATTCATGTCGGAACTATGAATGCTCCATTTGGTGGTATCGGTCAATCTGGGCAAGGAAGTTACCACGGTAAATGGAGCTATCAGGCTTTTACGCACGAACGAACCGTACTCCAACAGCGCCTGTGGATGGAATTTCTTGATGACACGAGAAACCCCCCATATAACTCCAATAAGCTAGCCATTTTACGCACTGTACTGGAAAATGATCCAGGCTTTAATAGAAGTGGGTCAACAGTTTGGTTCCCTGGAAAACTTGTTGTTGTTCTGGCGGTTTTAGTGGCTTTGGTAGCTGTAACATTGCGATTAAAACTTGTGAACTTTTGATGGGGTATCGATTCTGGAAAATGTGTTTTCGGCTTTTATAAACATTCTTAATACTGTTATTTATGGTAATGTTACTGCCTGTGTTTGGCGTCTATAGCCTTCCATTTATTTGTTCAGATAAACTCCATAAATGTAGAGATGGATCCTTTACCAATCATCTTCAGAAGCTTCAGCTTCTTCATCGTCACTTTCCAAGCGCATTTTGTTGGCCCTAGCAGCGAGGGCAGACGTCAAAGCATCCGCCGATACGTCCGCTGATGAGTTGGCCGATATAGAAGCTGATGCGGCAGTTGAGCCAAATGCGGCAGCTGAGGATGCTGCTCCCATGTTAGTTGCACTAGAGGATGTAGTGTTGGTTTGCTGTTGCCCAGCAGCCTGTGAGATCGAGCCTTCATACTCAGTCATGTACGCTGTGGGCACCCAGCCTTCTCGAGAACCGTCCAAGGTTTTGGCGAGCGACCAACCACTCGGTTCTTGTGAAGATATAGTGACCACGTCACCACGGCTGAGTGGAAGTTCGGAGGGGCTTCCTGTCCCGACAAAGTCATAAGCTGCCATATACTTAGGGATAGATGGTTTAGCAGCTGGCAGTGGTGGAGGAGGGGGCGGAGGATGCGATTTGACAGTTTGTGTATTAGAAGTCGCAACTGTCGGCTTTGATATACGAGATTGCTCATGCGCCAAGTTCGTATGCACAGTGTGGCTCGCAACAGTCGGCGATGTACTCTGCTGAGGATGATAAGCAGCTTGAGCAGCAGTTGCGGCAATCTTGACATTCGCACTCGATACAGCGGATGCTGGTATTTGTTTCTTTGCGGGGGGAGCAGGTGGCATCTTCCTTTGTCGAGATTGTGGGACGGCCGGTTTACTGGGCACCGATTTGACTGTAGTTTGATGAGCAATATGATGAGATTTGACATTTGTGGTCCGATTTGAAAGTGGGGAAGGGCTGTAGTCACTCAAAGTGCTATTTTTCTTTGGTTTTGGTTTTGATTTAGAGCTTCCTGGATGGCCCTGGCGCACAGATATTGTGCTAGATTTGTACAAGTCCCCATACTTTGGAGCTGTTTCACTGTGCTGACATTTTACCAAGTGTATCTTACCGGGCTTTTTTTGATACTCCAAGGTAGGGCCAACCTTGATTTCGATTGCGCTGTTGATCTTTTTCAAGTGTGTGATTAACTCCGTCTTGAAACTTGTATTTATGAGAGGATCAGGAAGGGGGGAATTTGTAACGAATATGCCGATCCAATCATCTTGTAAGTTTGTTAGACTAACGAACTTTATTTGCCGGACGTCAATTTTGTGGTCAACAGTGTAAGTGACCTGGTTCTGAGCAGCCGATTGTCCAACGACGTAGAAGGTAGAAGGCGTCAACAACAGTGTCTTTCGAAGTCTGAGCGCAGAGCGCCCGAACTTGGTAAGCAGCGACTCTCCGTGAATGGAAAATATGACCCTTTCGGTGATGCCGGCTTGTTTTTTGATAAACGCACCCTTAGATTTGAACTCATTACAAGAAAGGTAATCCCCCATGAAAGCTCTGTATCCTAACAAAGACATCGATCTCCTTTCTTTTCGACCCGCCAAGAGCTTGGTTCCATAGTCTCGGAGTTGTTCAAACTCATTCCCACCTTTCTTCTCTTTGATGGCCCTTTGAATTCTGCTTGCGGCATCAACTCTCCTGAGAAGGAACCTACGCCAGGCCCGCTGAATTCTCGCCGCCATGTTGAACCAGAACTTGTCCCTCATATTTTCTAATGCAAATAACGACTCCGGAGTTTTAATAAAGACCTTGCTCACACCTAGTTGATATTCTGTAGCTGGGATAGCAGCGTCTCGCAGAATAAATTTCACTGCATCTAAAGAGTCGCCCTGCCAAGTATAATCACCAGCGTAAGAGCATTGTGGAGAAAGCAAGTAGAATCGCTCTACAAACTTATCAAAGGTTTGTCTGTAAGCGAAACCTGCTCTTCTGATGCGTACGTTTTCTTGCAACCCCAGGTACTTAACCTGGTGAAGTACTTGACGGTCGTCATAATCATTTGGAGACTTCGACTGGTTGGGTTTGATTGTTCTGATATACGATGGCTGGGCCTTCGACAATGTATCTACCAATTCGTTGGCGCTTTTTATTATTTTGTCGCCTGCAGTGGGAGGTCTTTTTTTAGAGCTTGGATCCACTGAGGTAGGAAAAATGCTAGTCAGAAAGGTGTTTGAGGACGATGCTACTAAATCGACTAAATCCTTTTGTAACTGATCCTTGTTTTTATCGGTCATTCCGAAAGTATCATAAGTCACATCGCCCGCGTAATGTTTTATTATAAATTTGGAAGATCTGAGTTCGAAGTGGCGATTACTGTTGAAAAGATTCAATCTCTGAGCAAAGGCTTGATCTGCCGCATCAGAGTCAGCGTGAGCAGTTGCTACAGAATCGTTCATCGCCGCAAATATACCAGGTGGGCGTTTAGCTTCGATTAGGTCGCACACGACTTTGTTATCAAAATACTTGATCGGTGTCCATTGAATTTGCTCCCTAGCATATTCCTCCTGTTCAGACTTCAAAGTCAATTGAATGAAAATTTGCTGTAACTTCTCGTTAACATAATTAATGCAAATCTGTTCAAAGGAGTTGAAATCGAAAATTTCAAAACCATAGATATCCAAAATACCAATAGACTTATCGGCACCAGGGAACGCTTGTAGTGAAACATTGACCCTTTCAACAACCCAATCGAAAAGATTATTGTAGATTGCCTTCGCGAGGGCATCTCTTACTGCTGTAGCTTGAACAATATTTAAGGGGACGTGATAAACTGAGCCTCTTCTCATGCCGTGATTTGTTTCTAACACTCTTTCAACCAGGCATTGACACAGTAGTTGTGCATCCACCTGTAGCAAATACGCGACGAAGTCCGTAACTGAGGTATCGCGAACTTGTGCATTGCCCTCCTCATTTTCAATAAAAGAGATATTACCGATCCATAAAATTGAGGCTAAAAAGCGAAACACTTCATCTTGCTCCTGCTGGGAGATTCCAATAACTTTCATGGCGTTCAAAGTATCCTGGAAATCCTTCAAATCATCTAAAGTATCCACAGAGGTACACCCTGACGCAGACGTATAGATGTATTGTTCAGGAAGTTGCACGCCAAAAGTTTGTCTATAATTATCGGAAGCACCCTTAGTGAACTGGTAGAAAATGTGAAAATTTCTCTCATTCTTAAGCTGGCTGACCACTCTCTGCTTTTCCAGTAGATAATTGGTGATGTGCCCGGCGCAAGGCTCAAACTGAGAGTTGAACCTGATCTCGAGGTACTTTCCGTGTCTCGAAGAGTTATTATTTCTCAGGGTTTTAGCACATCCAAACGATTCTAACAGGGGATTAGTGGCAAGAACCATATCCTTAATCTTTCCGATTGAATCGGAATGCGTGTCAGAGGCCGCTGCGATATACTGCATGATCCTCTTTGCGGCCTCAGTCTTACCGGCACCTGATTCGCCGGATATGATGACACATTGGTTCTCATTGTAAGCCTTCAAATTATAATACATCGACTCCGCAATCCCGAACACATGTGGCGAAACTTCAAGCCTGTTTTTACCCATGTAGCTGTGTAGGACAGCGTCGGTGTAGATTCCTAGATCACGGAATGGATTTACACTGATCAAGACATGCCCAATATATGTGTAAATGGTACCATTTAAAAACCTTTTCTTCAAGTTGTCATTGATGGACTCATCTGATATCTTTGACAGAAGCGTCAAATCAGAAACACCAACTTCCTGTTTCTTGTTAGGCTCAAAGGTAGCCTTCTTTATTTGGCCTGATCTTTTGGCAGGCTGCGAGGCGGTTTTATTCCTAGCTCCTCTTTTAATAATTGCCATGATGAGGAGAGTGGAAAGGAAACTTCTGTGAGGTCCTAAACTTCAACTCAGTTAAGTTTCCTTTAATAAAAGTTGGCAAGCTATTTCTAAAGTCCAATGCCCCTATAGAAAAAAGTGTTGATATTACTTTGTACGAAGTAACTCTAAGTGTTGAACGTGACCAACTCTAATGTCAATTTGACTCCGACTAAATACAGAGTAATAGGGCTTGATGATAATCTGCTAGGTGATTTCTTGGTTGTATGTTACATGAGGTGTAAATTGATAAAGAAGTGTGTTAAATAATAACAAAGAAACTTTTTGTTTTGACGTCTCAGCAAGGCTCGCCACATTATGCCATTCCATTTAATAACGAAACAATAAACAAATGCAAAATTGAAGCCCTACGTGCTTAGTTTAACGATTAGGTCAGTGCTTATAGTCAGTGCTTACCGCCAGTACGTTGACGGCGCAGCTCATTTTGTTTTCTTTCGGTCTCGGCGTCGAAGTTAATAAATTCGTGCAAACCTTTACCTCCGGGCACCATCGGTAGTACAGGCACCTTCTTTTCCACTTTCACTTCCAAGAGGACAGGTCCGTCATGGTCAACGAATTCCTTCAAAGTGGCATCCATGTCCTTTTGATTCTCAAGTCTCATACCCTTCAAGCCCATAGCTTCGGCCAACTTGAGAAAATCTGGGTTCAATTGATGGGTATGCGAGTAACGATGCTCGTAAAATAGCGATTGCCACTGAGTGACCATGCCTTGCTCTTCATTATTCAAAATCATAATCTTAACAGGGGTTTCAGCTTGAACAGCGCTGGTCAATTCCATGAGAGTCATATTGAAAGAGGCGTCCCCATCAATATCGATAACCAAGGCGTCAGGCTTAGCAACCTGAGCACCAATGGCAGCCGGCAGTCCATATCCCATCGTACCAAGACCACCGGATGTGATGAAAGTGCGGGGATGTCTCCATGTCCAGTGTTGGGCGGCCCACATTTGATGTTGGCCAACACCAGTAGTGACGATGACATCTCTTCCCGTAGCGTGGGAGATGTCCGATAGTCGAGCAATCACGGTCTGGGGCTTGATCTTAGAGCCAGTTGTTTCTCTTTGATAATCGTATGGGTAATCTCTCTTCCAAGCATCAATCTTTTCGAACCAGCTCTCGCGAGACTCGACGGTGTCGATTAAAGGCAGCAGCTTTTGCAAGTTATCAGTCACATCGCCTTCGACAGCGACTTGAGCCTCCACAACTTTATTGATGTTTTTAGCGGAGATCTCAAAGTGCACTATACCACCTCTGTTTTCCAAAGCGGCTTGACGAGCCTCAGGGGCGAATTTGGCAACGTTTCCGGTAACACGATCATCAAAACGGGCTCCCAGAGCAACGATCAAATCAGCATTTTGGATTGTCAAATTGGCAAAAGCAGAACCATGCATGCCCAGCATGTCCAACGATTTGGAATCTGTTTGGTCAAAAGCACCTAAGCCCTGAAGGGTGGTGGTGACGGGAATTTGAGCACGCTCACTGAGCTCACGTAGCAGCTTGGGACCTTCTTCAGATCCCAAAATACCACCACCGACATATAGCACGGGTTTTTTGGCCATATTTATCAAATCGGCAACCCGTTGGATATTGGCCGTTGTGAATTCGTGGGCAGCATTTTTGGTTAGTTGCGCCAGGGCATTTGATGGCAAAGTAGTATTTACCGGGATTGGGGTCTTCAAAACTGCAGCGGTGATGTCCTTGGGAAGATCAACAAGAACAGGGCCCGGCCGACCACTGGTGGCAATTTCAAAAGCCTCATTGATGCGACGAGGGAGTTCCTCGACGGTTTTTACCATCACATTCCATTTGGTGCAGGACCTGGAAATACCAATCACATCAGCCTCCTGAAAGGCATCGGTACCGATGGAAGAGGTGGCCACTTGCCCTGTGAAAACCACCATGGGCACACCATCTGCCAACGCGTCCGCCATTGGGGTGACAACGTTGGTGGCTCCGGGACCTGAAGTCACGAGAACAACACCCGGTCTTCCGCTAGCTCGAGCATAACCTTCCGCCATGTGGCCAGCACCTTGCTCATGCCTAGGAAGCACGAATTTGAAGTATTCACTGTTGTAGATAGCGTCGTACACCGTCAGGATGGCACCACCAGGGTATCCAAACACGGTATCAACATTGTGTCTGCGCATCATTTCATGGAAAATTTGGCCACCACTGAGTCCGATGAAAGAATCGTCCATGGCGGGTTGTTCTTCCGCCAATTTCGGGTTTCTGGAACGCAACTTGGCGTTGTCTGCGTTCTTCACTGGTTCCATGTCGAAGCTGGGAGCTGGCCGCGGCCTGGCTTGATCCTTAACGGACTCAGAGGTAGCGCTGGCGCTATAAAGCCGTAGGACACCCGCCGAAGTATTTTTGGAGGAGCGCATGGCGGAAACGCCGCGTCTAAGCGCTATTCTGCCGGCGCCTTGTCTCATCATGCTGAAGGCTTTTCGATATTCACTAAACTGTTACCGTTGCAAATCAAAGAAGTAAACGTATCAAAGTCGCTTCAAAAAAAAGCTCCTATTTCTGCACGATATTCAAATAATGCCACTTCAAATACACAGTGTACTACCACCAAAGTCGTTAGGAATATATAATCGGTTCCGTCTCTGCCTTAGCAACTCATCGTAATAGAGGTTCCTTTAAACATGGATGAATCACTGAAAAATTTTATGAGTATTGAGTCATGCGCTGGAAAAAGTGTATGATTCATTTCGTGTGTGACGATATATAAATTAAATGCGGAGTCGTGCGTGGAAGGATCGCCCAGGTGTTCGGTGCATGGGACAGTGTCTTACCGCATGTCGACCATGATACGTTAGTGAGCCCTGGCAGCCCACAAGGGCCCCGATGGAAAGATTTGGACACAATGCGAGGGTTGAGGGCTTCACGGAAGGCAGTGAAAGCTCGGCGGCATTCAATGGATGGCGTTCATCTGCTTGTTTTGCCCCTGCAGCTTAGTGCTAAGACATTCAAATCGCAGCCCGAAGTAGCGCATGCTGTCTTTCCGTGTCGTTCTCCTACTTCGAGAACCCTAGACCCGTTGCAGGTAACCATCGTCCTGCGCACCGCCTTTCTAACCTAGGGTGTGGCCCTCTGATAGCGTGTGATTTATTTTTCGCACGCCTCCTGGTTCTGCCCGCGCATAACCTTACCCATAACCATTTGCAAGTGAATACATATATAAAATGCTATCTAACCGTCATAAATCCCTCAGCTCCTCAAAAGTTCACCCGGTTGTTGGGCTCCCCCTTGCGCAGCCCCTTCATCAGCTCTTCGAGTTCGTGTTGGGACATGTGCGAGATATCTACCATTTTGTCAGCAGGTAAGCCTGTCATTTTGGCGCTTTCGCCCATCGACTGTCCCAGCAGCTCTTCTTTGTCCATTTTTTGCTGTTTAGGAGTGTAATGCTCGCTGGAGTACAGATAGTCAGTCCTGGTGCCCCCAGTGTTAGAGGTGCCACCAAACATCCGCGGGTGTGACGAATGTTTATTCTTGTTATATACTTCAAAAGCTTCGAAAATACCGCCCATTTTTGCCTAGTGATTAAGTTAGCAGTGAAAGGTGGCTCTTTGAATTGAAATTACTAGATCTGCAATGTTGCTTGAGCCTGTAGCGGAAAGTGAGCCTGAGCTCCTATGTCCTTGTGCCACAACGATGAGCCTTTATATACCTGAAAATGCGGGGTAACAGCCCCTTGCTCCCTTAAACTGGAGAAGAGAGGTGGTGTGACCTAGTCAGGGCTATGACATCAAGCTCTTTACTACCTTATGAAGCATAATCTTGCTGTAGATGGTACGATCAAGAAACGTAGCTGGGGAGCAAACTACAATCTGTTGGGGGCCATGGAGACGTTGACGTATTAATGGATTAGCTAAGGCGCAATTTGCATAAAACATGCGGGGAAGCTGCATGGACGCATATATCCGGGTAACGATAGCGGGATTTAAACGGAAATAAACGCCCTGTCGGGCGCCCGTCATATAAGAGTGTTCTAGGTTTAGAATAACAGTTGGAAGCACCTAAGAGTTCTTGCTATGCAATCTAATAGCGCTAGATTGAATGTAGACAGAGGTTGTATGTGCCAGTATTATACAAAGCGATCATAACCCAAGTGGCAGTTGGATAGATGGTAGTTGATGAATATATTTATTTGTTGGAGCGGGCTCAGCTCAAACAGTGTCAGATCGGTTCCATCGGTGTTTCCACCACTTTTGATAATATTATGTCTGTTCCGATCAACTTAATTGAATTTAATAGCCGGCAGACATTGCGCGTATTTAATGATGGATTTGCGCGTAGCTGGACAATCTGATCTCGCGCCTCATAATTTTTGTCGGCGCAACCCGATCTAGTAAAAGTAGGCCGAGGATTCGAATGGTGCTCTTATTACGATTCGACACATCGTCCGACGACCCCCACCGAGGCTCGATAGGTTACTTTAGAAGCTCTGGTGAAAATGTACATCAAGTTTAAAAGTTTTGTTTAAGTACACGAACTAAAGATTGTATCGTAGTCAAATGATTATAGTGAAAAGCTGCTGTATTTTCTTTGACTACTATTAATATTTCAGGCAATGGCAACTGAACAAGAGATGCTCACAACGAAACATGGATCTTATATCATTCGGGAACCGCGTCCGGGTGATATGGGCATGATTGTACACCAGAACGGTGCACTATATGCTGCGGAATACGGCTGGGACATGCAGTTTGAAGCGCTGGTTGCCCAGATTGTTGCTGAGTTCGTCAAAAATCAAGTGCCTGCCAGAGAGAAGTGCTGGATTGCTGAGAAGGACGGCAAGGTCGTGGGCTCTGTATTTGTGGTCAGCGAAGACGACGAGACCGCCAAGCTCCGTGTTCTGTATGTGGATGAAAGCGCCAGGGGATTGGGAATTGGCAATCGGCTGGTGAGCGAGGCTGTAGAATTCGCTCGCAAAGCCGGATACAAGCGCATGGTCCTGTGGACGAATAGCGTGCTGACCGGCGCGCGCCGGATTTACGACAGGGCCGGCTTTTCGCTGATTCAAGAAGAGCATCACCATAGCTTTGGGAAAGACCTTGTTGGTCAGGTGCTGGCGCGTGACCTGTGAGCACGTGAGTGTCAGCAGGCTTGTAAGTTAGTGACACTAAATAAACGATACAGGGACCCCCATACGGGTCTTATAGATAAGAACGAGAACAATGTATATACTCTAACGCGAAGCGCAGGAGGGCTAGTTAGGGGCCCGACGGCGCGGCAATTTCAGCTCCAATAGCGTATATCTAGGTTGTTGAAGTTAAAAAAAAGATCGTGGTTGAACCTTGCGCCTGGCTGGCCGGTCCGATATTATTCGTGCACTGGATCCAACGAGGTCCTTCTTTATGGCTAGCCTTGAGTCACCTGTGGCCCTTGGCTAACCAGGAGTCTTGCTTTGGTAAAATTTGAGCGTTCAAAGCAGCAATTGCTCGAATACATAAGCACGGAGTACTAGTATAGGACGTGTAGAGCTGTCTCCGGCTACTGACCAACCTTTCTCAGCATATGGATTACAGATAAGCTAATGTCATTTCCAAGAACGCCTATGGCTTCCAAACCTTCATCCTAGTGCTTCTCTTGCTCGCTAAGAAATTCATTTCCCATCGAAGTTATTAGCGTTCAAACCGCAGCATGGGCGGTACTCGGTTGAGTCCTTAGGAAAAATGCGCTTATTACCTCCACTGCAATAAGCTTGGCCATATCTGGCTTACGTGGGCATCTTCACAACAAACCATAATAAATGTTCAAATTGAGTAGACTACAAACACTAAAAATCCTCTCTATACAGGTGAGATTTAGTTAGCAGTCATGACTTGCCAAACTCTGATGACGTTGTCGGTGTAACCGGCAAACAAAGTTTGACCGTCAGCGGACCAGGCCAAAGAGACGGCGTGAGGTTCGGCAGCCTTGGTGTAGCCAGCGAATTCTGGTCTTAGCTCGTCAACAACCTTTCTTTCTTCCAAGTTGAAGATCTTGATGCCGGAAGAAGTGGCAGCGGTCAACCAGTATCTGTTTGGAGAGAAGGCAACGGCGTAGACTTCGTCTTGGGCGTTCAAGGTGTACAAGGCGGTCTTGGCGGCCAAGTTCCACAACATGATTTCACCGTCCTTACCGGCGGAGGCAACTAGGGTTCCGTCTGGAGAGGCAGTGACGGTGTTGACGTAGTTGTTGTGGCCGATGAAGTCAGCTTCGATTTGGAAAGAGTGCAAGTTCCAGACCTGTAGGAGAGATAGTTAGTAAACGGTTGGGGCATGAAAAGGGGATATAAGCACCCTCCGTGTTGTGGCAAAGTGTGCGACATCAGAGATCTTGGTGATAATGATATGTCTCATTCGAGCGCGAAGCCCGTCCGAAGTAGCAAATATAGAATAGCATCATATGTCGCATGCACGAGGGCGACAACACGGTTGGATTTAGCTGGGACGATTTTTTAAACATACCTTGACGACCTTGTCCATACCGGCAGAGATGACGGTGACGGTTTCGTCTTCAGCGTCCTCGTTAGGAGCAACTCTGACTTGGGAAACCCAGTCGTTGTGGCCCAATAGAGTGACCATACATTCACCCAAGGTGTTCCACACTTTGACGGTCTTGTCACGGGAAGCAGACACGATTTGGGAAGCACGTCTGTCGATGGTGACGGACAAAACGTCGGACTTGTGGCCAACGAAACGTTGGATACACTTACCGGTGGCTAGTTCCCACAATCTGACGGTCTTGTCCCAAGAGGCAGACAAAGCGTATTCACCATCTGGGGTAACGGTACAGTCTTGGACGATGTGAGAGTGACCTCTGAAAGATCTAACTGGGACACCGTACTGTTGGTCGTCACCGGTCAACTTCCAGGTGATTAGAGACTTGTCACGGGAACCGGACAACAATAGGTTTGGTTGAGCTGGAGAAGTGGCCAACGAAGTGACCCAGCCGTTGTGACCTTCCAAAGTACCTCTTAGAACTAGAACCTCAGCAGAAGACATGATAAATGTGTAGAAGCGATTTGGGGTTATGAGAATGAAAAGGAATCCAACTTCTTACTAGACTCAAAACTAGTTAAGTGTGAAGTTAGCTTCACTCGGATGCAGAATTCCACTGCCAGCCTGTCGCTACTCGATGCACCATTAATTTTCCAGTGCGTGGGTTGGGCCGACCTACACGCTAAGCGTAGATTTAGCGGTCCGCTCAAAGGACCCATTTCTACGCAGTAAATATCCACGTCGATGGTGATACAATTATCACGTGGCGCCCAGACTGGAATATACGCCCGAGGGTGAAAGGGTGCAGAGGTCCGGTACAGCAATCTTCAGTACGGCTGAGTTGTGACTGCTCAAACCTTAACATCCAGTGGACTTTTTTTGTCGGGTGTGAAAAATTTTTGAGACTGGCGGAAAAAAATGAACTTCCGCTCTTGGCGAGTACGCAGTCCAGAGTACTTCTGTGAGTACATTATCTACGAGTACACTGTCATTCGTGTTTCGCGATTGACATATTTGCCAAGTCTGTACCACATTAATGACATTTAATTAAGGATAGTGAAGTGGTTGGCTACAAGCACGGAAATCGTATGAGTGCATGGGAGTAAGTAACTTGGTTAACAACAGCCTCCGTTGCCGGAAGGCCGTGCGGTCAGTAGTGTATAGAGTATGCTAGTACGTATGAGTTTTTGCTAACGGCTCGAACTTTGACCAAGGAAGCTCTGGTAACACTGCGCAATTGTGGCACTACGCAACAAAAGACATTTCAGCCGAACAGCTTTCTCGGGTGACAATCATGTATGGTAGGAACAGTGAGCTGGATCTAAAGTTTTGGGACGGCGCGAATGTCTCAGATGGGTCCAGAACATAGGTGCCGGTATCAACAATTCCTGCGAGTGAGTTGGCTAGCCAAAATGTGGTTGTGACCAAAGTGAGTGGCATCAAATCTGCACATACGATTTTGTTCTTTATATTGTACGTCGCGCGTGGGTCGTATCGCTATGCGAACCAGCAGACATGGTGCGCGTTTATAAAACAATATCTGTAGGGGGAGTTACCGTTGCTCGTGTTCAGAACGGGTAGCATTGGGACCCAGTTGGCAAAGCATAGTAGGGTACTTGGCGGAACTGTTCATCCCCCACGTATTTCAATAAGACTGTTGCCACTGAGAATGTGAGTTCGATCCTCGACGACGTTCGAGTTATCGTTGACACTATGCCAGACACGGAAGCAGCGGGTAAAATCTCTAATGCAGCCTTTCTTGAGCAGTTGAAGAGCCTTGTTCTCTTCGCAAACGTGAAGAGAGGAGGAACTGTTCCCAGAATGCGTTGATTGCCGCCCTGAAGCAAGGAAAAATCAGACAGGCTTCCATTGATGTAACAAGCCCCGAACCGTTGCCGGATGACAGCCCGCTGTTCAAGCATCCAGAGGTTTTGCCTACCCAACACACAAGCTGGGGTGAACACAGTCAACCCTAGCGACCCGATCATCGGTTCTCAATATTTGCCCAAAATTTGCCGTCATACTTGGCTCGCATAAGAAGGATTGTTACAGAATCAGCGCAAAGTCTTGGAGCTCCTCCAGCCTTTGTTCTTGTAGAGGATAATAATATGTCGGTCACTAGACTGATTGCCCACCCATTTCACTTTTCAACTTGAAGTGACTGACGGTGATAGTACCTGTGGCGCAAACTACAACTGAAACGTACACCAGTGGCTTGCGAATATACACGCATTAGTGTGTGGCCCTAGTCTCCATCCACTAATGTTTTGAAGTGAACAGTAATTTGGGATATAATGATATGGCTTTCAACCATTAATAGGGAGCCAGAACTTACCAATAGCTTGAAGCTGCAGGCTCTTATCTACTTGCCTCTTTCTATTTTTTGTATCACGGCTCTCTCGATAGCACCTCTGTCCTTAGGCATCGTGTCTTCGCGCTCGATGTGCCTGCTTCATAGGTTAAATAATATTATCTTCACCGGATACGAGGTAGGAGCTACTAGTACTTCGAGCTATTTCCAATGGTCAGGATGTGCCAATGCTTAAAACTGTCTTAATATTAATGACTCGAAAGTGCGTAGGTTCGCTTAAAACATGAAAATTGTTGATATCAATGAATTCAGACCCGCTCTTGAGAAGCTTGAGAGCTCTCACCGAGTTTAGTTCGAAATTGAAGGTCAAGTCCCGGTAAACTTGGGCTGCTTTAAAAATAAAAGGTGTTTTCCTTAGTCGCGATGGTTGTCTTGAGTGACACAACTGTAAATAGTGATTTACTAAAGAAGCATTTGTAGTGCAACACCATATTACGCTTGAAACTCTGAATCTCGGTAAACTAAGCTGCTTTTCATCTGTGCACTTTTTGTTCAATACTCTTTTCGTTCAATACTCTTTTCTGGGGACTACGAGTGGCCGGATCTTCAGATTTTCCAGAAATTTTACAAATTGAGAGTATAAGGTGAGGTGACCCTATACCCACGGTGGAAAAAGAGAGATACTATGCGCTATCATTATCCAATTCGCGAAATTCCTTATGAAAGCGGTTTCAGCAACGCCTCAGTCAAATGGGCGCCCAAAAGATTATAAAATGTCAGTCTAACTTATAATCCAGGATAATATCATCCTGACAAAATAAATTTAGACTCGCTCATCAGTTTATATAAACTGGCCAATCTCTCAACCGGTCGCTTATCGTCTTATTACATTCCTCGCTAGCAACGTTTGGTAAACAGTCATCATAGGAGACCTCTAATTCTTGGAACAGTATCATTAAAAACGGATAATTACATTAAACAAGTTGACACTGATCCGATTGACATCGCTCTCGACACAGCAGATAATCAATAGGGGCTTGAGTGCAGCTGGTAATGGAGAAGAAGCTCAAAAAGTTTTTGTCAAATGCGACACGCGTAGCGCCTAAGATCTCGAAAAAGGGGGAACTCTTCGAGCTTAGGAATGGCCTCGTATCTCCATACCCGCAGACCCGTAAAGATGCTATTAAAAAGACGATCCAACAAATGACGTTAGGTAAGGACGTATCGTCGTTGTTTCCCGACATACTGAAAAATATAGCTGCATCGGACGTGGAGCAAAAAAAGCTGGTCTATCTGTATGTGATGAACTATGCAGAGACTCATCCTGAATTATGCATCCTAGCAGTCAACACGTTTGTGAGCGATGCCCAAGACTCGAATCCCCTTATCAGATGTATGGCTATTAGAACGATGTCGATGATTCGAGTCGACAAGATTCTGGAGTATGTGGAGATACCTCTGCGCAAGACGCTACAAGACGATAATCCGTACGTGCGTAAAACAGCCGTGATTTGTGTGGCTAAATTGTTTGCTTTGAATAAAGAACTTTGCCAGGAGCTCGGCGTGTTAGAAGACTTGGTGAGTGCTCTGGAAGACTCAAATCCTATGGTAGTTGCAAATGCCATTGCCGCGTTATCAGACATTTATGAGACAGACCCCTCCGTGGTGGAATTGCCAAAGCTCATCCAACAGCATGTATCTCAATTTCTCTTGGCTTTGAACGAATGCACTGAATGGGCTAGAATTGTCATCCTAGGCGCGCTGGCTGAATATACTGCAAAAGATTCGCTTGAAGCGGAACAAATCATCGACCGAGTAACCCCACACCTTCAACATGTAAATGCAGCTGTGGTGCTAGCAACTATCAAGGTTGTGATTGCTAATCTGCCCAAAATTCAAGTGAACGTTGATTCCCCAATTTTTTCCAAGATCTCCTCAGGGCTAGTGTCTTTGATGTCAACGCCTCCGGAGATGCAGTACGTGGCGCTGCGTAACATTCGCATCATTTTGGAAAGGTACCCGCTCCTACTTTCACGAGAACTACGAATTTTTTACGTGAAGTTTAACGATCCCCTCTATGTTAAATTGGAGAAGATCGACATTTTGGTGAGATTGGTAGATCCTTGCAATCTAAAACAATGTACTCTTCTTCTCGCTGAGCTGAAAGAATATGCGATGGAGTATGAATCCGAGTTCGTATCCAAGGCCATTCTTGCGCTGTCTCAGCTAGGTGTTAAGTTTTCCGAGGTGAAGTTTGTTCGTAAAGTTTTGGACATCATAGTTGACCTGTGTCAGACGAGAGACTCTTTCCAAGATGATTGCATGGTGGCCATGTGCAACCTTATCAGACACACGGGTTCCGAGCAAGATGATATGATCACACAGGTGTGTTCTCTCGCTCAAGTATGGGGTTCTACGGAGTCGGTTTTTCAAACGGATTACGCCAAGTGCAACTATATCTGGCTTCTAGGCCAGTATTCAGAGAAGTTCTCTAATATTGACAAAAGTCTTCAGGTTTTTATCGATTCTTTCACTCACGAAGAAAGCTTGACCCAGATGTCATTGTTAATTACAGTAGTAAAATTGCATTCTGTCCTACCTGGTGCAATGTTGCAGAACCTGCTCAATTTGGCAACCACGAGCACGGATGAACTGGACGTACGAGATATGGCGATCATGTACTGGAGGTGTCTGTCACTCGAGGGTGAAAATGAGACTCTCATCAACGAGTTGTGTAATGCTCAGCTACCACAGGTCGCTACAACTTTGGATGCTTTTTCTCCTGAGCTACTAGAAACGTTGCTACGAGAATTGTCGCTTTTGAGTTCTATTTACTATAAACCTGTCTCTACGATGACGAGATATCGCATGCGTACCACTAACGCTGTGAAGGGCAAGCAGCTGAATGAACTGCAGTACATGGCTCGTGACGAAATTATGAAGAACATGAACGAGGACAACCTGCTAGATTTTGATGGTGAGTCGAATTTCGCAGCGAATGCGACGCAACCAAGCAGTTCGGTGCTGAGCGATATCAACGACCTGTTTGACTTCGCACCAGTGGTACCACAACACTTACAACCGCAGAGCCAGCAACCAGTAGATGAGTCAATTCAAGGTCTCTCGCTCCACGAGAAGCATGGTTCCGCCAAAACTAGTCAGAACAGTAATACTCAGGATCTACTGGATCTTTTCTGAAGGCCGATTCGCTCTTCCCAATGTCAGTATTTAGATACCATAAAAAAACCACCAACTATCATTTGTATCATTAATACTTATCTACAGGCCCTACTTTCTAAAATCCGGTCGTGTCGTTCATATCATCATTTTTTGGCGTGTGTCTCTTGTTGCTCTCGCAATTGCTGCTCAAGTTTGCCAATTTTGCGTTGTACTATCTTGTCTCGTTCCTGGTCCAAAAACGAGTCGCCTTGATATGACAATATACATCCCGCCATTCTATCTCTCTGAGGTTGACATGCCGGAAAAATCTTTAAACCATGTAATTTCGAACACTCCACCATAGCCTTCACATACTCCGAGCATTGATCGTAGGCGAATTTCTTGAGGTTTTGACGAGCCTCTTTCTCTTCTCTCGGACCCAGTACCCAGATTGGAAGTCTGCGAGATGTGGAGGAGCTCAAATCATCGGACATCTCTGTACAATACCTATTAATTGTATAAGTGAAAGGGAAGCTCAGAGGAGAACGCTGGATAAGGTTTTAAGGTCCTATGGATGGTAATCTGACCGGGCTCTCTCACTGTCGAAGTAACTAACACTTATAGTTGGTTAAATATTATGAAAAATTTCAAATACTAAGAGGATTTAACTATTTGGTTGGAAGTAGGAAGACAGTCAATAAAGAGGACAACCTCAGTGGCATAGACGACAGTTCCACCAAGATGTTTGGTCCCTTTAAAGCTAGTAGCACATTACTGGGAGGATTGCTTTGGAAGATTCCATGGAAAATGTCCCGCCCTCAAAAACAAAGACAAAGACGCAGACTACAAGACGTGGATGCCGTGATCAAGAATCTGAATCTTGGGCTTCACGCGACCAGAAGTATGGCGAAGGGTGTATCATTTGAAGCTGCCATGAATAGCACAAAATTACTGAAACCCGGCGTCAAAGGGCTCCGGTTGCTCAACAAAAACTCACTTTTTCCTTCAGAAAAGCAGATGTCCTACAAAGACAAGTACACCTACTTCAACAAACAGGCGAAGGGATACCGTAAAGGAACCCACAAACTCCCCAAATGGACGAAGATCTCTCAGAGAAGAAACCCTGATTTCTTCTGAGATGACCGCAGTAGATAGGCAGGTGCACTAGTTAGATACCGGTTGAACACATGTATATAGATACGGCCCACGGAATGGCTAATCGCATTTATTAATGACAAGCACGTATGTACTGCTTGGTAGAGATGTTTGCGCTTTGTGCGCTAAGAGCAGAGGACCAGCCTTTAAATTCTGTCCCAGAGGTACTTTGTCCGGAAAAAATCGTCCGACGCATCGTCCAGTGGCACCACATCTAGTGTGCCAGTTTTGTTTATCAAAGCATTGCGGTTCGAGAGATCGAGAGCTATACCCAAGGACCGATAAACCTGGATCTTCAAAATATCCGTTTTGTGGCCACGGTCCACGGCATCTTTCTCAGGAAGAAGCTCCGGGCTTCCTTCTCGGACCGTTTCAATTGCTACTAGCTCTTTCAGACCCTCATCTACTTGGCGTCTCAAACCCACCAGTCGTTGTTCTAGGAGTTCGAGTTCTTGCGACAGTTGATCTGCACCGTCAGCGTCACTCAATGCGTCCGTATTATCTCCTGTCCCATTTCTAGCGCGTCGCAGAACTTCCAGCCTATTTTGTGTCTTTCTCACGGCCAGATCTAGCTGTTTCGCCTCATCCTCTTTGCGCATTAGCTTTTCCTCCACCGTGCGCTGTAGCTCTTCCAGGTTCTTGGCCACATTTTTCAGCGACTCGGAATCATTTACAATGGAGAAATTGTTTCTAGTCTCTCGCAGAAGGCCAGTCGGATCCTCTAGGAGCTGCTCCTTCGACATAACCCTGGCCGATGATAACGTCTCCCTCTACTGTCGATGATGTCCTGTCACAACTATGTTTACATTAGGCAGTATAAAAGCATGAGGGCCACGTGAATATACGACACACGTTAAAAGACACAGAATGATGCTTTGCGAGCCGAGATTCCCGAAGAAGAGCCAGCAGATGGCAGTCTCCGATTCGAAAGCACGAGAGAAGGTTATTTTAGTACCAATCCGTGAGTCTATATGCTCTTTTGTAGTAAAATGCTGTTCCAGTAAAACTTGCGCAATGGCCAATACACTCCAAAAGGCGATGCCCTTATAATGGCTGTTTCCCACAATAACAGACAGAAGATACCCGTCTGGCTCATTTTTAGAAGCTTCTCCATATATCAGAGTTTTTGCCAGATGTCAGGGCTTCCAAAATCACTTGGCGTGGCATTCGACAAAAACCCTATGAACATCGGTTTCCACCCTCGAAACTGCACGGAGCTACTAAAAATATTAGGCTGCTACCATCCCCAGAATCTAAGAGCTTGGGAAAGACGAGTGTTAACGGAACGTTTCCTTCTTACCATGGCACAACTTTATCGTGCCAATATACCAACTATCACGTGTAGTGATGTAGAAAATCTGTCATCAATTGGTAAACAAGAGACGTATAGGGTGGCCTGGGACTCATCACAGACAGTAAGCCCTCAGCTACAACTTCCACTCGGTATCTCCCGCAGGTTTTTGTTGCCTCATGAATGAGACAAAAGCGAGACAGTATGCACATTTGGCGCAGCAATTGAAAACTTTGCAAGCGAACCTCGCGCGGACTGGAGCACAGATGGAAACTATGTCTCACCAGTGCAATGAGCATTTGGTGGGCCAGTTGGGCAAAGTTCACGCCTCGTGGTTCATAGGTGGAAACAGGTGTTTCGAAGAGGAGATGCTGGGAAAAAAATAGAAGCCCAGGGAGCAACTAATTAATGTTGTTATTTATGATTGATCGAAGTATTTATGCCTTGTACCTTGACGTGCTGCACTGAATGCACAATTGGACAGCACTTTAACACACTTGAGCGGGCGTGAGTGTTATGTGAACTGGACTCACCTGTTTGCGTATTGCACTGGTGATTACTTACATGTTGCTTTTGCCAATGTCACGGAGATTTTGGCTCCGATTTCTCACGCCGTTTTTGTTCTTCTCTTTCCTTGCGCCTGTGTCTTTTAGCCTCAAACTCGTGCCATCCGTCGAATCCAGTGAGGTCCAGGGGCTCGGGTTGCGGTTCCTCGCGAAAATATTGGTGTTTAAGGGCTTCCTTCGCTGAGAGCCTCTTCGCTTCATCGTAAAGAAGTAGCCCCTTGGCTAAATCGCATGACGCGCTGGTGGGAAGCACCTTTCCATACAGCTCGTCAAACTTGGATTCGAATTTGCATCCTTGTTGCGGAACCATCATGAAAAACCATGGCATATCGAACAAGTTCGGCCATTGCTCAACGCTTGGTGTTCCCATTACAGCGAAAATGGCATTTAGTTGCTCAACTTCGTTCGTGCCCTGGAAAATTGCCACTTTTTGGAACAACTCCACCAGCAAGCACCCACATCCCCATAGGTCCACCGCGGTTCCATATGTTGTCGACCCCATCAGCAATTCTGGCGGTCTGTACCACAGAGTAATGACTCGATTGGTGTAATCTGAATCGTCCCGCATTTTCCGTGCCAGCCCGAAATCCGTGATCTTCAGTTGCCCCTTATTGTTTATAAGTATGTTGGAGCCTTTTATATCTCTGTGCAGAATGCCGTTGTCGTGCAAATAGTGAATGCCTTCCAATAGACTTTTGAAAATGTGTTTGCAGTTGGCGTTCGACAGTCGAATCTGCTCATTCATGAGCAACCCAGACAAGTCATTGTCTGCGTACTCAAAGATCATGTACACAGTTTTTTGAGATTCGACCATGATCTCGGACAGCGTGCTGATGTTCCGGTGGTCAAAACTTTGCAGTAGTTTTATTTCACGAATGGAAGTGATCGGGAAAGCTTCTCGTTCGCCTTCGAGCCTTAACCGCTTCAGAGCAACAAGTTGTCCTGTCACAGTGTTTTTGGCCTTGTAGACTTTTCCGTATGTACCCTCTCCGACCTGTTGAATTCGTTCGTAGACGGAGGACTCTTGTTCGCGCACCAGCACACTAACAGGGGCAAGTTTGGGCTTCGGCGGACCTGGATCGTATCGAGAATGGTTTTTCATGAGTTTAGGACCGGTAGGCAGCTGTAGGCCATTAACATGGCTTTTCTCCCTCGGTAATTCTGTGGATGTATGTGAATCTTGATAACGGGAACCACTGTACCGGGACTGACCTATGCGCTGCCTTTTAACATCTGGTGGTGCAGTATCGCTTCGAGAACCACGTTGGATATTCGAGCGATCGAATACTTCATTGCGGTTTGAGTGACGTGTGCCGATTGGTGCTTCATTTGGACCACCATGTCCGCCTCTTTTCCTGAAGCCCTTGCGCTCTAAACGACCCCGAGATTTGGTTAGTAAGATTGTCGAGCTTCTGTAAGATCTTGCCGAAAGCTAACATACGATTGAAGGGCATCCTATTTCTATGCATTTATGGATTTCACACTATAACTGATGTTTGTCGATGAGCAGGACATTTTTTAGTATATTAACCATAGTAGAAGGACAAAACTCAAAAACGAACAAACCCCATAAACACTCAAGTTCCCATCTGAAAATGTACCTGCTTGACCATTAACAACTTCAAATCTCAAATGGGGCACTCGCTAAAAATTGGCGAGCTTTTGACATGGAATTAAGGTCATATATTATTATGTAGCTAGGTAATTATGCCTCTTTAGTGGAAGCGCTGTCACTGTAGGTCTTGGCAAAAGGGCTGGCAAGTTCTTGGGTAGATCCCATCGCCGTGTCAGCTTCGAGGGTCTTGATGTCCTTGAAAAACCATATGAAGCGCAAAACGTTGGGAATAACAAAATCACCGACGCTGCGTCCCCATAATAAGTCCAAATGCTCGTGGGATGGAATCATGACGTCGAAAACTTGGCTTTGCGGAAGATTGGATTTCATTACATCGATATCGACCAGCGAATCGGTGCCTCCATATAAGAGCAGGACTGGAATGCGGATGTTAGTGCGGGTTGGAAAAGAAGTGATTTGATATGACCGTGTAGGATTCCACGAATTCATCACAATATCGTGCTCCTCGAACATCTGAAACTTCTGGGCCTTTAGAATCTGGAACCAGTGGACAACGCTCTTGACACTAGTAGTTGAGTATAGTTTTGCATATGAAGCATGCTTCTGCTGTGGGGAGATATTCAAGGACTTCCAATTGAAAAGAAATCGATTGGCAAGGTCGATGACTACGTTGAAGACCGTAGGAGGTAGTGTTTTCTGCCAAACGGTAGCGCTGGGCAGCAGTATCCGGTTTCCAAAGAACAAGTGCATCACTCGGGGGCTGGACTTCAGCAGAGTGTCTGCAATGCGGTTGTGAAGCCCTTGCGGGGTCATGGCCGGAGCAATTGCGACAAAAAGGCTGATCTTGTCATTAAGATCTTCACGCACGCTCAGTGCGGCAAATGTTTGTGAAGAGCCTTGTGAGAAACCCACACAGATGAGCTCTTGCGAATGGGTGTGTGTCAGCACGAACTCGATAGAGTTAGGGATGTCGAAGAACGCAAACTCGTCAATGGAAAAATCCCAAAATTCATGAGACCCCGGACTACGGTCCAAGTGCTGAGTCGAGTATTTATTGCCCCTATTGTTGCCCATCCAGACGTCGAAACCCAGCGAATACAGAACTAGGGGCAGATTACATTCCCGCACGGTATGGCACATCCAAACGTCCGAGCACATCAGCAGACCGTGATGTAGATATACCACCTGGCCGTTGCTGTTCGCTGGGTTTGGTACTAGACGGTGCAGTGTAAGTAGATAGTTGTCCTCTGTCCTCACAATGTGGTCTTCAATTTCCACTCCAAAAACCTGCGCCATCTCATGTATATCCTTAGCGTCTCGGAGCTGCTGAGCCATGCTATCCATGGGACTCAAAGTCCTACGGGTCACCGCATTAACAATGGTGGTTCCAACATCTATCCACATTTGAGGGATACAGTTGAGCACCAGTGTTAGTACCTTCTCCATGGCCACTAAAACCACAATGACATAGTCGGTGAAGGAGATTCTACCCAGGAAGGGAATGAACGCGGGCATTTGGACGCTGTATGTGTAGCTCGAGCGCGGTACCACTAGTGCTCTTAAATTTTCTGTCTTCAAGATATCTTGAAGCAAGGGTGTATCACGCTCTGTATAATATAGAGCTATTAGCTAGAGAAGTGAAACCCCGGATAAGTACTAAGAATCTTAGAAAGACGCTATATGGAGCGATAAATAGTGCATAATAAATATAGTAATATATATGGTCGTTGGCGTGGTAGAATATTAACAGTCCCGACGATCATTTATTCCTTACCAGGTAAGCATAGCAGTACCGGCAATGGCCATGAAAGCGAGAACAGCGTAACCGGTGCTGTAAACACCCTTGAGAGTAAGGGCTTTACCGGCGTCCCAGATCAAATGTCTAATACCATTGGCAAAGTGGAAAGTGAGGAAGTAAGCTCCAGTAGCCTTGGCAGTCCAGTCCATCCAGGTAGGCACTTTCTCGTGGTACCACTTGGCCAAGTTGTTGGAGTTGAGACCGAGGCCGAAAGCAGTGGACACGCCAAAGGAGATGGTAGCGACGAAGAAGCCTAAACCGAGAACAACGCCGGTCACACGGTGCAGCGACGACAAATACCAGGTCAGTTGAGGCTGGTAGATGGTCAAGTGGGGGGAGACAGGTCTGTTCTTACGTTGTGCGATCAAAACCTGTTGCTGCTCAGTCGTAGAGGTCTTAGTGGTCGAGACCAAGCGACGAGACATCATTCTTAGAGGTTTGGACCAGACAGCTGGCTTGTTCAATCCCAAAAACAGCATTTTTTTGTGAAGTGGTGTGAAGCTTAGTGTGTGTAGAGGAAAATTCGGTTTCAAAGATCGATGATATCCAATCTATAAAACCTCGCACGCTCGAGTAGTCTTGAAAATGTAGTTCAGCCCACGATTCACCTGTCTAAGCCGTAGCGTTCGTCAGTTATACAATCTTTTGGTTGTTCCAGATGGATGTAATAATTCAAGAATTTGGATTTTTAGTTATCATTTTGACATTACCGGACCCGACAATAACCGAGCCAAGGTGACAACTCATGTAAAATAGTAAAAGCACCCCATTCAAGACTACCAGGGCCCTTAATGGGCCCGGAAAATCAGTTTACGTCCCCAGCAGTCTTTGAATCTCGAAAAACCGCCGATATTAGCGTGGAAACTGCGTCTGCTAGCAGTTAAAAGCGTAAGCTTTGATGGTAATAACGGCCGAGATGGGTGAGAGACCATTGAGAGCTTGTGGGGTTCTGTGGAATGGTTTCCAATGGCTGTTCTTTGGATGCGTCGCAGAGTTCCTGCAAGCTGCATCCTGCAATTCCGTGGAATCAAACTTCCAAAGGTCAGAGAGTGTGTTTTAGTTGTCGTAAATAGTCTATGTCTTGTCGTTAAATGATTAGGATTCTCTATCAAGTGACCGGATGCGGTTCTTGAAAAGGGGTCGTAGCTTCGTAATGTTTTAATTGAGAATTCGTTCTGGTGTTCCAAAGTACGCGCAGCCGCGGCTTATCGGAAATGAGTCGTTTCGTTTTTATTCCATCTCAGCCAGCACGTCTTTGAGCTTGCTCATCAGAGCCACGTCGTCGGGCCCCAGATCCGGGGCTCTCGGCGCCAGCATCACGTCTGCTTCTGTGTTTCTGAGCACTCCAGGGCCGTCGTCATGTATCCAGGAATCTGTCTCTATGTCGCGGCCCATGGCAAAATTGCTAGGGTCGAGCTTCTGGCCCCGTTTGCGCCGTTTGGGAGTATTCACCAAAAGCGTCTCCATCGGCGGTAGATCGTCGTTGGAGGCCCCGGAGGGTGCCTCCGCCAAAGTCGCACTGCCTAGTCCCGCCCTACATGCTATACCAGAACCATTCTGACTCTTGGATGCTGCTACAATCAGCCGGGTGTACGAATCAATATCCTGCTTTAATCGCGCCACCACTGATTTTAACCGCGAGTTTTCGCTCTGCACCGTCTGAAATTCCCGCTGCAGTTGCTCATTCTCCAGTTCTCGCTGTTTGCGTCGCGACTCACGCTCCTGTTTTGACAAAGAGGCTCGCTTGGGTCGATTTTCACCTTGGTTCTTGGAATCGTCTCTAGATCCTTTTCGGTCGAACACCCACTGCTCAGAGGTGATTATTCGCTGTTGTGGTGACGAGTTCGCCTCTGAGTGCATTTTGGGATGGATGACCGAGGCGTGGCAACGACAAGTGGGCTATTGTGTTCCCGATACTGTGAGATGAGATACGAGATTGATGATAGAGTTCAAACTTCTCATAATATCTTTAAAAAACTCGCTGCAGAACGTGATAAGCTAATTAAACGACAGCGGAACTTGCCATAAAATGTTCAACTTTGAAGAGAGGCAAAGGCTTAAGATAAATACAGCGTGGCTTTGAGTCTAGCGGGGTGGGTAACGGGATGGGTAGCGGGTCTAATTTCTGGTTGTTATGGTTCTTTCAAAGCCATCTGAAGTATGGCCGATGAAAATTGTCCCTGCAAGCCTCTCTCGAGCGAAGTGAACTTGGCATATGGGCTGTAGAGGAGCTTGAAGAGCCAAATGCTTGTAATAAAATAGCGGCGTCTCTATTCCACTTTCCGGGATAAGAGCAGTCAGTAACCACACAGGAAAGAGACATATCTCATCAGAGCTTTCTGTGCTAGTTTTAGAAATATATCTGGTGCGCCCAAAGTCTTGCAACCCACCTTCGAAATCCATCTTTGATGTCTACCAGCGGGAAATATCCTGGCTCCTTGGCTTGCTGCTTCAGTTACAGAGAGGGACATTCGAAGCGCTTCCATATATCACTTTGTACAGAACTGACGTGGTCTCCACTATGGCTATTGGAATCTGGTTCTGGTACTCAAGCCGAGACGCCATAGTCCACACACTCTTGATGCAATCCAAGACAGTGGTTTTGCCATGAGGCTCCTCGAGGCCAAATGAAGCAGCAGAGCCAGTTTGTGTGCAGCTTCAGAAAATATTTTTGGAAGAGCACACAATGCTCATTAAAAAGAGTAGCAAAACACAATGTTAGGCTTTAGCGCCTTTCAGAACTTACAGGATCCTCTTGACGGCTTTTTACGCCCCCAGCACGAAGTTATTTTTCCCACTGCAATATTGTGATTGACACACAGATTATAAAAATGAAATTACAGCGCGCCCGTACCACTGAGAATTTCTATCAATTCTAAATCCAGAGCACCTTGTGGACACCGGTAGGACACTCCTCAACTTTCAGCTCTGCTCTTGATATGGATCAACCTTCATGTCATGGATACGTATAAAATGACAACTAGATGTAATTACAAGTTCTTGAACCTCCCGAAATGGCCCATTCCATCGAACCTGCAACCCCGATCATCTCTCAAAAGCGGCTCTAAGCTTTTCAGATAAACCTGGCCTGCTTCCTTCTCGTCAAAACCTGCAAACTACTCTCTAGTGACGATGTGGTCGTACCTATTTGGGTCGGGAGCCTCCAGCAAGAATAAGGACGCCCCCAAGAAAGCCATTTTGGACTTGCGGGAGCATATAACGCTCTTGGGAAAGAAAGAAGCGCACTTACAAACACAGGTTACTACTCAAGAGCAGTCTGCGCGACAACTGCTGGCCAAGAACAACAAGGTGGGGGCCAAAAATGCGCTCAAGCGTAAGAAAACGTATGAATCTCAGCTGGTGAAGATCCAGGCCCAAATGGACTCGCTCGAACAACAATTATATTCTATCGAGTCCGCGAACTTGAATTTAGAGACCATGAAAGCTATGAAACAAGGCGCATCTGCCATGAAGAATATCCACAAGGGTATGGACATCGATAAAGTTGACGAAACCATGGATGAAATACGCGAGCAGGTGGAGCTGGGCGAAGAAATCTCGGATGCTATTTCCAGGCCACTGCACGCTGGTGCAGAAGTGGATGAGGATGAAATAGACGAGGAACTGGCGGCTTTGGCTGCCGAAAATGTCAAGGATGAAGTAGTACCACCGCAGAGGCTACCATCGATACCACAGGATAAGGTTTCCGAATGGCACAGGCCGCAACAGGCTCCACAAGAGGCAGATGGAGAAGAAGAACAAGCACAAGAAGATGAGGAAGACGAGGATGAACGGGCCTTGCGTGAATTGCAAGCAGAAATGGGCTTATGACGCGCTGGCGTGCAAAGCTTTTTTGAATGTTTTTGGCTCCTCTATTCTTATAATTAAACGCAAGAGTCCCAGTTACCGTCTGTAGTTTAAACTTCTAGTACATTTTGTAAAGTGCTCTATTATTAATCTTATTCAACCCTATTCTTGTCTTATTTATCTAATTTACCAGGACCCACACCAGAAAGAATACAAACAAAACGGCAAATATCTTAACCGCCAGCCATCTATTGCTGCTCACACGGTCAAAGTATTTGAGAAGCTCACGTTGAGCGCCAGAAATATTCAAATCGATATCGTCCACATTCGCGTCTATTCGCTGAATGACTTCACCTTGTTCTTGCACCATATGGGCGAGCTGCTGAAACAAATTACCAACCTCTTGAATAGTCGACTCAATAGTTTCCACTGCACGATTACGTTCTTGCAAGTAGGCAGACGATGAGGTCTGCTCCTCGAGTAAGAGCATCTGAGAGTCTTGAGGAAGTGCTAGCTGATTCGAAGCTCCGTCTTCCTCGTTCAAAACCGATGACATAAATGGATTTGAATTATTGTACGAGTGGTGTTGCTCAGCTTCCGTTTGTGCGCTCAGCTGTTCCCATCGATCACGATTGGCCAGTTCCATCTTTTGGCGTTGCTCGAGTACGCTTTTGAAATCGCCACTAATGTTTTTCATTTTTGTGTTTAGAAGATTTACAACGTTTCTTGTGTGCTGAACCGGTTGCGAAGAAGCGTTTTGACCGCCGGTAGATTTGGCCAGATTTAACATATTCTGTTCAACTGCGTATATCTTGCGCTTTATCACGTACGTGAGCTCTGCTATTTCAACGGGGTTATCATTAAGCATAGGCTTTCTTTTGGCTAGCTGGGCAAGCTTACCTAGGAGCTGCGCCGTCTGTGCGATCTCGTGTGCAATAAGAGAGGCTTGTTGTTGGAACTGAGATTTTTGTACAGTACTTTGGGTTTTAATGACATCTTGAGATCGCTTGTTATATTGTAAGACCGAACGTTGGAATTCTGTGGTTCTGTCACGGACATCGAGCATCTTAAAAGCGTGTCGTTACGCTTCGGCAACGGCTGGCCCTTGAATATTGTTGTCTTAATATAACAGCATAACACTTAATTGAAATTCTCAATAAACAAAGTCACCGTGGACGACACAGCGACTGGCCAACGAGGACCACAGCATGAGGATACTGTAGAGCCCACGGACTCAGTAAGCTTGGGTACCAGGAAGTCTGCCGTAGAATTTTGCGTAATTAAATGTGATCAGAATGAGCTCAAAACCAGCAATGTATGGCTTGAGCAATATTGTACGACGCATCGTGGATCGATTAAGCATTGCCAAAAAAATGGCCAGTCCAATCAGCAAGACCGCCCAAAGTGTAAACAAAGATGCACTCTCAAAGTTCAGTCATCCCAAAGAAGGGCGGCAAAAAGACGTTACTTTGTGTAAAGGTAGGGTCTATGGTCTGAATGACAACAAGTGGGAGCTTCTGGTAATTAGCGAAAACCATGACCCATTGGCACCAGGTTACCTTATCGTGAGATTTGGATATCACCGAGTCTTGGTATAGCCTAGGGTTTATTCCGGGCACTTTCAATGGCCTTTCGAAAGATTGATAATAAAGATGCGGTATCTTCAAGACCAATACTTACTCTGACAAGGTACGGATTCACACCATACGCTAAATCAACATGTTCTAACTCATCGTAATGTGCCAAGAGTGTGAATGGCACTGCCAGAGTAAAGTTTGTGCCTAGAGAAGGGCCCTTGTAGACCTTTAGAGAATCGTAAAAGCGTCTGGCAGTGTCTTCATCAAAAAACGTGAGGGACAGTAGAGAGCCATACCCACCCACACGAGACTTGACTAAGTCGTAGTTTTTCTTGGTCTCCGAGTGCAGTGAAGGATAGTGGATCGCCTTGAAAATGTCCCCCAGTGCAGGTTTCAACACCAATTCCAACAATGTTGTAGTATTTTGATTGGTCCTTAGTGTTCTATCTTCGAAATTGCGCGAGTTTTCTTCCAACTTACAGGCATCTTGACACCACAATAGATCTTCAACCTCGGTGCTTGAGAGATACTCCAGAGCAAATTCATAGAATCTGGAATTGGGATTCAAGGCGAGAGAACCCGCAAGTACGTCACTCGAACCATTGAATAGCTTTGTCAGAGAAGTACAAACCATGTCTGCATATTTCAATACCTCAATGTTCAACCCACCAATTGTGTCGTCGATGACCACGAAAAATTCATGTCTGTCGGCAAGTTTCCGTAACCGCCCCAGATCGGTCATTCTCAAAAGAGGGTTGGAGGGAGTTTCTGTAAAAACCGCAGAGACTCTAGTCCCTTCTGCTTTCAGTAGCGTTTCCAAATTATCCAAATCCCTAGAGTCTCCTACACTAAAAGACTGATGGGGTCCTGTAGCTTTCATGATCATCGGCGTGTCTTTGAAAGGAAATCCTAGCACCACTGTCGTATCACTGGAAGCACGCCCCTGTAATGAGCTCCACGCCAGGACCACCTGACGGGCCGTGAATATGGAAGTAATACCGCTGGGGAATAAGAGGACATCATTGGGACCAGTCCCAGTTTGCTTACTCGTCAATCCCTTGCTATAAATTTTTGAGATCCGCTCTCTGATAATGAGCTTTGCCTGCGCACCTTTTTCGCGTTCCAATTCCCATTTTGACGTGAAAGAGTCCTCTAGCAACTGGCCATTCAGACCTGAGAGTGCAAATGTAGCCAAGCGAGATGACATGACTTCACCTGAGAGCTTCCAGTATTCTTGCACAAGCCCAGCCTCCTCGCCCGAAGCCATAATGACCGCAACTCTCAAACAACTATTCTCTTTTTGCGAGGCACCGTTATTTCCAATTGCGAGCTCTTCCCTGTGCAATTGTAAATTTGGCCCTAGTCGTTGCTTCACATAATCAACGCACTTTTCCGCTGATCTAGGGGACGCAAAGGGTCGAAATAGTTCGTATTCTCCTTTCCCATACCGAGAAAAGAAGTCACTCAAGGCTCTTGTTGACGGTTGAAGAAAGTATCGTGGATACCCTGTCATCATTTTTCCCAGGTAGCATGGGTGCTTCTCCCCAAAAGCAACCACCTCATCCCATTTCGGCATGCTGACCGACACTGCATGGTCCAAATCTTGCGGAAGACGCTTGCCGAACTCAATCTCCATGCGCTGTCAAAACTTTTGCTGGCTTTATGATCAAAATGTGATACTATTCTCGTGTGTATTTCACTGACTTCTGATCGGCAAGAGAAGATAATGATGAAAGGATAAAGAAAAGACAGTTTTCAAGCTCAGCAACTTTCTCCAAGCTTCACTGCCTGTAAGCGGTTTCTTCATTGTGGCCAGTTGGCCTTCATCCAAAAGTCGTTCAAGGAATGTGAGACACTGTTCTAACGACTATTTGTATAACATTGTACCCATAGAGTAAATATATAGCTAATATTTCGCGCACTGAACATCAGCGATGACTTTTCTGCAGTACACTTATGGACCCATACTAGCTCGCTGCTGGTGCCTGTTGCTGCGCACCGGCATTCGAACTCATGGTAACGTTTCACTTCTAAAGTTAACTATATACATCTTGAAAGTACCTGTGTGTTTTTAATAGAGTAAATCGAATGCTCTCCGGCCCTATGTTTTCTGAGGCATTGTGAATATAAGGGTCTCTTGTCAGGCAAATTGGTGTTAACAAGTTCAAGAGTAGAGGTACTTCAAACATCAGAATACTTCATATCTCGGCCCAATTGGTTAATCTTTCAAACTCAAGGTGCTTTTTTTTAAGAGCTGAGGACCGCTAGTCTGTAAACTTAGAGTGTTACTGGACAAACTTGCCAATAGTAAATATTCTCGTCATAGACTGGGCATAAAGTAAAATCGATCAGATCATATCAAAAATGGCAGTCCGTGGTGTAATACCGGGAGTCAAAAACATTCAACACACGAAGGGACCCATTTCTCGAGCTTCGAATTCAACATTCTCTTATTAGCAGAGTAGATAATTGATACAACGATTACTCTTTTCGTTCGTACGAGTCATGTTTCTTCCATTCTAGGAGGATGTCTTACCATTGAATGCCCTATTCAACCGCTCAAGCATATTTATAAGCTTGGAATAAATTCTTTGGTATATGTTAGAACCACCGAATGAAAGTGGTCCAGTGTTGTTTGGATAGCATCGAGTTGCATCAGCCTGTGTCATTATAGTACACAGTGATAAATATGATGTCAGTAAAACGAGAATGTACAAGGAGAATGATCAACCAGTGGGATCCAGATGAGCAGTAATCTCCTAGAAACGCGCCACCCAGCCACTTCAATAATCTAATAAAGCAACATTTCATTTGCTATGTGCAAATGTTGGATTACCAGCCTAGCCACCGGTACCCAAAGTATCCCCGCCAGAATTATGTATAAATACCGACTACAATCCTGATATAGACCAAATTTAGATCTCAAGTAATAACGGAGCGACAACCAGAAGTCTCTTTACAAGCTCCAGATTTAGTATCAAGTAAAAGAGTACCATGCCTTCGCGCTCCGCGTACTCTCCAACCGGCGACGCCACGTAACAAGGCGGAGGCTGGGCAAAATTGTTTCTCGATACAGGCTAATAAGCTTACAGTGCATATGTTAAGCGAAAGCAGTCCTTGAAGAAATTTATAAAATTATTAAAAAGCAGAGCTCGCAAAGTCAATCAGCGAGGACAAGAAGTAATTACCCAAAATTCATGTAAGAAATCAGAGAGCGTATCTGAAGTTTGGATTCTCCTTGTCAGTCAAATCAGCAAATTCCATGTTCTCGATAACGACATGTTCTGGACCTCTCTCAGCCTGAACCTTGTCTCTTCTCTGGTTTTCTCTGTAGTTAATTACAAACAAAGCCACCAGCACGACAACGGTGGCTGCGTAGCAGACCAACATGGCAATCTTAGCGCCAGTGTAGCCTGGGGCCTGCGAGGGGATGAACGTTTGTGGTCCTGCCAAGTTCGACGCAGCATAGGAAACCAAGTTGATTGACGACACACTCCATTTCTTACTGAACCCAATAGTGTTGGAACTGATAATGGACAACACACAAATGAAAGCCACGGGTGCCACGTATAACAAGTACGCACCGGCAAGTCTGGCCTTAGGAGAGTCGTGGGCAAAAGCTAGCAAACAAGTCCCTAAAACACTGATCAAAGCAGCGATGATACCCCAGGCCAATCTGTATTGCAGGAATGGAACCTTCTTCTTAGCACACACCACAGATAGGTACCCAAATAAGGGGCATGCAACAAGTTCAACAGCACCAGTTGGCATAGTCATCAGCAAAGATTGAGCAGTGTCGTAACCAAAATCAGACTTAATCAAGATGTTCATGAAGTTAGTTAGACCACCATTGGGGATATTAGATCCCACGGAGAATGCAAAATATAGCCAAGTCCTCACATCGGTAAATGCCTCTTTGACCTGATACCATTTGATGTGGTGGTTACCGAAGCCTTGCTGGTTGGATCTAATTCTTTCAACCACCATAAACTTCTCACGCTCTGACAAAAACCAAGCCTTGGAGGGGTCATCTGGAATGTGGAAGAAAATGGCCACACCAACAACGATTGTGATCAAGCCGGTGATGATGAACAACACTCTCCAGGCCTCAATGGAGTACGAATCCTGCCTGGTGTAGAGGCCATAGGCCAAGGCGTTCGCCCAGATACCACCAAGTCCGTTGAAACCAAACCACAAACACACACGCATGAACTGTTCCTCTTTCTTCCAGTATTGGGAGGTAATGACAGTGAATGTTGGCGTCACCATGGACTCAGCGCAACCTAATAGAACTCTCAGGGCGATAAAAGAAGAATAGTTAACAGAGGGAACCGAGTGGAGGGCCAAAAGCATACCCCAAACAATCACAAACCCGGCTAGAGTCTTGGCCAGCCATCTAGATCTCTGGAAAATAAACTGTCCAGGACCCATGTTGAAAAACAGGTAACCAAAGTAAAATGCAGAACCGACCCACGAATATTGGTCGCCGTGCATGTGCAGGTCGTCACGAAGACCCATCACGGCTGCGGAACCGTTGGAGATTTTGTCCATGAATTGGATGGCGTATAGCAAACACAGCAACGGAAACATGTACAGGTCAATCTTGCGGACCAAACGGCGATCCTCCTCGGGTGTGACCACGATTTTGGGCGCGTCAAGTGCCAGTCTCATGGCATCGTCCACATTACCGGTGAGCTTGACTTCGCGGCCTGATGTGGAGATGATCGTGGACACCACATGCTCCAAGTTACCAATGTCTTCGCGGTTGTATGACACTACGGTTTGGATGTTTTTCTGCTCCTGTATGGCCTCCTCCTCGGAGCTGGAACGTTGGATCACGTCATCGTGGTGGGTGTCTTTTTCGTAGCTCATCTCGACTCTTGCCGCTTGACGAGTGTTTGTATATTGTCGTGCTCAAGTCCATCGGTGGAACTGCTTGGCCCGTTAGTATGTATATATACGTTTTTCGCTAGCTCTAAGGGTTCACAGATAAGATATGCTCCATAACAATGACCACTTCGTCTCAATCACCACTGTCTACCGTAAAGTAAGCTGATTTCAGCGATGTCGTGCTGGTTCAGAGAGCTCATGCGATGAGATACAACGACAATAGAAACGCGATATGATAGCGACAGGTGGAAAAGTAGCCGTAACTGGTTTTTTCGGCGAGTTCCGATTGGCCATTGCCACGCTAAATCCTCGAACTACATTATTTTCGGCCTCGATCGGGCCCTGATTTCCCGATCCAGTGTCCTGGAGCATACTTTAGCTTGGCATCTGTATATGTTATCTCTGCCGTGACTTCTAGATAACTCTATCAGCAGAGGGTGAAAAATTATATCAGATATACCATGGATAAGCTTAAGCTGAATGGATGAGCCAAAAAGGAAAGATGGGCGCGCAACGAGTGCTCGTGGTATCTAGATTACACGTATTGTAGGCAGGCCTGCAGAGTCTCAGTTGGCAGCGGTAAAAGCACGAAAAAGAAAGGGGAGCAATACTGGTGATCCTGGATCAGCTGGAAAGCGGGCGGTGTGGAAGGTGCGATGGTGGGGAGAGTTAACATGTTTTGTAAAAGCGACGAGATGAAGCTTGGTCCGCAGGGTCCCGGGCAGGGCCACGGAGAATCCAGGGCCGTGGCATTTGAACACCGCCAATTCTGACATCACGTGACCATAGCGGACGACGGCGAAATGCGTAGATCTCGTATGCAATGACAGATAGGAAAATGCTGTTATCTGTCGCGCTGCACGGGTGTGAAAAATCTTATCGCGGGCCCTCTTCGCTCATCGACTGATGTACGGACTCAACGGCCTCTGACCCTTGGAGGGCCCGACCAAGGGTTAAGAGCACTCTCGTATAAATTGGCCACACTCACATTATACTATACCTTCCCGCAAGGTTGCTGCTCTGCCAGTAGCTTTCTCCTGGTGCGCAAATGAACGAAACAGATCCGCTTTTGGCCCAGAAAATCACCCGCAGTGGGTCGGTCTTCGACGACAATACCATGCAAGAAGCACGGCGAGCTTCTCTGGCGTCGCTGCGCTCTGCGTCGCTCCGCCAGAATGCTGCAGACAACGATGGATTTCAGGGTTCGTCCGCGGTGGACGATGGCACTGACGCTGAGGACATGAGCGTAATGAGTCCTCGCAAGGCCCGGGTTATGGTGGCCACGCTGTTTGTGGGCAGTTTTCTCGCAGCTCTGGACATGACGGTGGTGACCACGCTGCTGCCGAGCATCGCGTCGGACCTGGAAGCCAGTTCGCAGATGTCGTGGATCGCCACGTCGTATCTGCTGTCGTGCAGCTCATTCCAGCCCATGTATGGGAAACTATCGAACGTGTTGGGCCGTCGTGAGCTTTTGGTGGCCTCCAACCTGTTTTTCGCCGTTGGGTGTTTCCTCTGTGGTTCCCGTTTCTCGTGTAATATCTGGACGTTGTCCATTGCTCGCTTCATTGCTGGTATTGGCGGTGGTGGCATGTCCACGCTCATGACCATTGCTGTGAGCGACATTATTCCTCTTAGACAGCGGGGTTTGTACCAAGGAATCGGGAACATTTTCTTTTCGCTTGGCTCTGCTTCGGGTTCCATTCTCGGTGCTGCTTTGCAAAAGACCGTCGGCTGGCGGTGGGCTTTTCTCGTGCAAGTGCCCGTGGCCCTTTTTAGTGCTGCTCTAGTGTACCGTGTGCTGATCCTTCCCGACCACTCCCCCGGCCGAGGTGTTGTATGGCTCGAAATGAAGGAGAAGGGCCATTTTGACTGGAATCGCATCCCACAAATGATCGATTTCCTAGGTTGTGCGTCGTTGGTATCCACTATGCTAATCCTAATGATTGGAATCACATTTTTGGACCATCCCGAAGCACTGGGGATCACCAGCTGGTTGGCGTTGCTAGTCCTTCTTGTCCTGGCAGCTGCCATATTCGTGCGTACCGAATTGACGGTAGACAATCCCGTCGTTCCCTTGCGCCTGGTGATGCGCAATAGAACCGTACTGTCGTCCTCTTTTACCAATTGGTTCTGCACTATGGCTACTTTTGCTGCGATGTACTACATGCCAGTTTTCTGGCAAAGCGTCTACGGTCTAAGTCCCTGGCAAGTGGGGCTGAGGTCCATTTCAAACTTTATCGGCATTTCCCTTGGGTCCATGGCCTCGGGAATCTACATGAAGCGCACAGGAAAGTACCGTCTTTACTCGTTGGTCATCTACACCCTCTTTGTCTTTGGCATGTTCACTCTTCTCCTGTCCACTTTTTACAAAAAGCCGTTTGGGTACGTCGACTACATCGTCATGTTTTTGCCAGGTTTAGGGTACGCCACAATGTTGACGGTAACATTGTTGGCGTTGATCGCCAGTGTGGATTTCGCCCACCAGGCCCAGGTTACGTCTATCCAGTATGCTTTCAGAGCAACAGGCTCCACGTTCGGCGTGGCAGTAGCCGGTCTAGTCTACCAAGCAGGTCTTAAATACAGACTAGGCAATGCAGTCTTGAAAAATGCCGAGCTTATCAACAAATATGGTCTCGATCAGCTCAAAGTGTGGTGTCAAGAAATAGTGAATGACAATCTCTTTGATACGTCTTTCGATAAAACTCTGCATACTACGTCAGTGGGCTCTTTTATGTTCGGGAGTCAAGCAGCCATCGGTTTCGCCTTAGCAATGGCATTCATGGGCCTCTTAGCCAGTCTCTTCACCAGAGAACATGTTTTGCATACCTCGATTCCCTCGAATAGCTCATAACCATCCATAGTCGAAGTCTAAATAAAATCATAGATATCATTGTAAGTGCTGGAAAGGTATTCAAAATTTGGAAAGATATATAATGGAACCACCACAGAAGTGCTGTCTCTGTAGTCTATTCATACATTTTAGGTAGGTCCCAATGTGGCCTTAATAATTGACTTGCCTTATAGAGGATCGAGCAACCCGTGTTTATCTGTAAATTTCATGAGTTAGTGATAGTTTCGCCAATTCATACCTTTAGAGGCTAATTGTTATATAGTTAACGGAAGCCCACTGCTATCATTTCAGTGTTTACGTTTAAGAGTAGAAACGATAGTTTCGAGGTGATAAGACTAGGGGAGAACTATGACATACCAGTAGGGTGGAGAAATGATATTATATATACTGAGGATGTTGGTTCAGCTGTCAATTTCCCAGAAAGAACTTTTTAGACACTTTGAATAAAGCATCATGCTGCCTGTTGCTTCCAACTTTTCCCATAAGTTATCCATTGAGGCCCGAACCAGGGTTCCTTCTCCAATGGAGGGACTCAACATCTACCTTCACAAAAAAAACCTGGTCTTCTTGGCAGGCGGAATGCCAATGGCTGAATTCTTTCCATGGGACGAAATCACAGCGAAATCACCAATTCCCAAAGAAGGCAGTACCATAGAATCCATGCGGCTTTCGGCCAATGCTGATGTATGCATAACTTCTGTGCGAAAATCAGGGTCTGAATTCCCCGGCGATATTCCTTTGTCAAGATCATTGCAATACGGCGCGACAGAAGGTGAGCATGAGCTGTTGAGCTTTATCAGAGAACATACGAGATCATTTCACAACCCCAAATACTCGAATTGGGATGTTGTGGCGACGACCGGAAGTACTCAGGCCTGGGAAGCAACCTTGAGGGTTTTTTGCAATAGAGGGGACTCTATACTTGTTGAATATCATTCTTACACGTCTCCGATTTATGCTGCACAGGCGCAAGGGATCAATGTTGTGCACGTCCCACTAGATGAGGAAGGCATTGTCCCCGCAGCCCTCGAAGAAAAACTCCGAAACTGGCATCACAGTTTACCGTTTCCCAAGCTTCTGTACATCATCCCCACAGGCCAGAATCCAACTGGATCCACGCTAGGAGGAGAGAGAAGAAAACAGGTGTATCGGATAGCACAAGCTTTCGATCTTATCATAGTTGAGGACGAGCCTTATTACTTCTTGCAAATGGACCAGTTTACCACCGATGTTGCGAAGAGAAAAAACAGGGAATGCCTTTCACATGAGCGCTTTAAAGAACTCTTAGTTGATTCCTTTCTTTCGATGGATACAGATGGCCGTGTCATTCGACTTGAGTCTTTTTCTAAGATTCTTTCGCCAGGAGCACGACTGGGCTGGATTGTAGGCTCTCAAGACCTGTTACGTACCTATATTCACTTTCAGGAGCTTACAGTCCACTCTCCTTCAGGCTTCGCGCAAACGATGGTCGCCGGCCTGTTAAATAGGTGGGGGCATCAAGGTTACACAAACTGGTTAATCGCGCTTCGGGCGGAATATAGCAAACGCCGTGATGTTGTTTGCGATGCTTTATTAAATCATCTTCCATCAAATCCTGCTTTCCGATTTATGCCACCAACCGCTGGGATGTTCTTCACGGTCAAGATTGATGCCTCGTGCCATCCGGGGTTTCAGCAAAAATACGACGGTGATCCCATCGCTGTTGAAAAGATGTTATTTGAAAGGTTTAGTGATAATGGAGTGCTGGTCGTGCCAAGTCATTGGTTCAAAAAGATTCCAGAGGGTCCTGACAAGAGTCGACAGTGCGAAAACAACGCAGAAAGCGCAGAGATCTTTTTCAGAGGAACTTATGCTGCCGTGGATTTAAATTCTTTGGAGCAGGGTGTCAAAGCATTATCAGAAACTTTGAAATCGGAGTTCACCCTTTAGTTTGGTTTTACTCCTCCTAACTCTCCTGCAATAAAATTTCGTGGCGAAGGAACTGTGAGCTTTCATCCATAATTCTTGATCCTGCTTTGATGAGGACTCACATAGAAATTTGCGCTGTGGTGCTCTTGGTTGAACAAACTCACCACCATCGTACTCGAAAGGCATAGCTCAAGAACCCACTTTATGTAATGGATCTGATAAATGAAAACATATTCGTAATGCTATGGAAAATAGCGATTAGACCGCAGTTTATATATATGACTGTCATATACTGTCTTTCCGTTAAAGCACCACGCAACGGCTATTGGTTTGAGCTCAACCGGACGCATCGAGGCGAGGCGGGTCTTTTTTTGACATCTCATGACAACTTTGCTGTAACTATTTGATGTTAAAGTTAACGTACAAAACCGATTCTAGACCAGGACAAATCCGCACCCATAACGTCATAGTTTGGAGCTTCCAAAGTGGTTAACCACTTCATTGATAGCCTTAGCCACGTATTCGACGTTGCTGCTATTCAAACCAGCAATGGAAGCTCGCCCAGAGCTCACCATGTAAACAGCGTGTTCCTTTTCGAGTCTTTGAACCATTTCAGCACTCAATCCTGTATAGGAAAACATACCTGTTTGTCCAACGATGTGGTCCCAGTTACCTGGTGTGTTAAGTTTGACCAAATGATCTCTCAATTCATGTCTCATTTTGATGATCCTTGAAGACATCGTTACCATATCGCTATGCCATTGATTGGTTAATTCTGGAGTGTTCAAGACGGTTGCTACAATCTTTGCACCATAGGCAGGTGGGTTCGAAAGTTCGCTACGGGTGATCTTGGCCAATTGAGATGTGACCGCAGCCTTAACCTTCTCCGTATCGACAGATTGGTCTTGGCGAGGGAATACAACGTGGAAGCACCCAGCACGTTCTCCATACATACCAACGTTCTTTGCAAACGACTGGCATATAATCACTGGGCTGGCATCAGACAGCTTTTCCAAGCCTAAACGTACTGCGAACGCGTCTCTGTCTAAGTCACCCGAGGCAAACCCTTGATATGCCGAGTCAAAAATAACGATATGATCTTTTTCTACAATAGCATCCAGGATGGAAGTCCACTGGTCATGGTCAGGATCCAAACCAGTCGGGTTATGGGCACATGCATGAAGCACAAAGATAGACCCTTGCGGTGCCGATTTAATGGCAGAGACGTAGCCCTGCAAATCCAAAGATTTGGTAGCAGGGTCCCAGTATGGGTAAGTAGCCGTTTTGAAACCCACCATCTCAAAGATGGCTTTGTGGTTTGCCCAGGTTGGGTCAGATAAGTAGATGAGCTTGTCGTGACCCACTTTTGCTAGGAAAGTTGCGGCCATGTGTAGCGCACCGGTACCGGATAAGGATTGAACAGAGACAACTCTGTTCTCCTTGAGCGCAGTAGACTGATCTCCCAGCAGAACTCTAGATGCACCTTGTGTCAGAGCACCCAACCCACCAATGCTCAAGTATTCGTGATTGTAGTCGGTACTCTGCTGAATCAACTTCTCAGCTTTACGTACACTTGGAAGAACCCAGGGTTTACCGGTGTCATCACGGTACGCACCAATTCCAAGATCAACTTTCACTGGTCTGGAATCTTTTGCCAATCTGCTCTTGATGTTAAAGAGCGCATCAGGAGGGAGTAGCTCAACGTTGTTAAGGAGATCTTTAGACATCTTTGGTAAGAACAGTTGCTCAAGGCTCTGACAAGTTGCTTAGGCGCGATGGATGGAGCCCTGATTCAAATAGAAAATTTCAAGTAGCTGGAAGAGTCACAGCATGATTCTGTACGACATCAGGAAAGCAAGAACATGAAGGGATCTTGGTGAAAGGATAAGTGACCTTAACCTTGAAGTTTTTCCATCGACAACGCACTGAGCAATTCATATTTGTTAGTAGCCACCAATGTCCTCACAGTGAACTCTTTTAGATTTGCTCTGCGCGATTTGCTTGTAGTGCAAATAAAACAGAAAAACCCGCATTGATGGCCCAAAAAAGATACAGAATGCCTAGGGCATCAGCGTATAGCGTCCGTGGCAGTGTTATATTGACTGTGGTTTGAGGAGTCTTTTTTTTTCGCTAGGAGTCTCCCCATCCTCAATGCTGGTAACTCTTGTTTCTTGTTTGTGGGAAAGTTGATCCTGCTGTTACCGCCAAAGAGCTTATAGCCCGTAGTTTTTCAAAAAAGCTCTTCAGAACTGAAGCTATCAACCTTGTTTCTAACTCTTCTCTCTCAATTCCCCAGAGAGTCCTCGTGAATAATCCATATATGCCCTCAGAATCAACAAAACACTACCGTATAATAAGCAGTAGCTAAACAGAGACCTTTCAAATACTCCACTTCTATGCCCCTAACATCATTCAACTTCAATACCCCATACTATTTCTATGCCACATCCATGATTAGCCGCCGACACATATAGCGGGACGGCCTGAAAATCCTAAGACCGCATCATCTTGACAAGTCTACATAAAAGCTATTCAGAGGACTTTAGGAAAGAATGGAGCACAAAAGTACTCCATGCCTATGGCTGCCCTTCCATAAATTGATAGTGTTGTTGGAAGCCATTGATTTACACTGTAGTATTTGTTTATTGGGTCGTAGAACGACGGAAAAAAGTTATAGTGACAGGAATTAGGTGATAGACTAGCCTTAAGCCCACAAAGCTATGAGACCCTAGTTTAACAGCACGAGTTGAACCACAACAGTTTCCCTAAAGATTGCAAGATGAGTTGAGGGTTGTATACCAACGTGACGTTTGTGAGAGTTGAGTCAAAGCACAGGGAAACATATGAAAAGAGGCCGATAGATCGAAAAATAGGAAGATTATATATACAAAGAATGAATGCAAATCAGGTTCACTTATTGTAATAACCATTGACTGACTTTAATTCCATATGTGAACATTGTGACAATTACTGACGCAAACTACGCAATAATATTACCCACTGAACATCTAATCTTAGCATATGGTTGTTTGGCCGAGCGGTCTAAGGCGCCTGATTCAAGAAGTTTTCTTCTTAACGCTGTACAACAGCGGGATCCTCAGGTATCGTAAGATGCAAGAGTTCGAATCTCTTAGCAACCATAATTTTTTTGAAAATGAATCCCAGAAATTTATTTGCTAGACTACTGTCAAGGTAGGAAAGCCTTAATTGTTGCTAACTTTGGGTCTTGACGTTGACCACTTTAATAATGGGTAAATAGAGTTCAAAGTCCCCGTTTCTGGACCCCTTTTTATATTTTTTCCGATTTTTCACCGTCGCAGCTTTTGCTGTTGTCGTTATTTAGCTGGTGTAACTGAAAAATGCTAATCAAGACACATACTTGTTCTCCCTTGAAAACTTAAACGCTCGATAAAATTTTAGAACATTCGGGGACTGTGCGTTCAAACGAACATAGTCGACCTTCGTATAGCTAGCTACCTTCATTTCATCTCTAAAATAAGCTTCCTTCGATATGAGCGTTTACTTGAGTGTTTTATTCGCGTTGCTTACGTTTGAGATGGCAATCCTGTTCGTGCTGGTGCTCCCGCTGCATTATAAGATGCGCAAAGTGCTAGTCTCCACGTACTTCCGGTTCATGAGCTACACGCAAGTTAAAACTGTAATCTGGATTGTGATAGGTCTCGTTTCGTTGTTGTTTGTGGACTCGTGGAAAAGATCGCAAATCTCGGTGTTTTTGCACCACCATCAGACGGCCAGTGGGGCGGATCCCAACGCTGTAGGAACTGTCACACCCGTTCAGGCGCTAGCCTCCAGGGCTTATAATCAGAGAAACATATACATCTCTGGTTTCATTCTCTACTTTTGCTTCTGCATCCCTACGGTTATCAGCGTGGTGAAGCGACTGGTAAAGTACGAAACACTCATGCGCGAAAAATCATCTGATCCCACCACCAAGTCTGAAGAAACTGCTGAGGTGACAGCTCTTCGCAAGGAATTGGCGGAGAAACAAGCCTCCATCAAGGCTTTGAGAAAGCAAAAGGCCAACCTGGAGGCCCACTTCGATAAGAGCGTGGCAAACGAGGCAAACTCCAACACTTCCACCGATGAAAAAAAGGGCAACTGATGTAGCGGTCTTTATCCATATGTCTATGTATCTACCTGTATACACTCGGCGTTGTGTCCGCCTGGCACACTATATCTCAATGAGGAATACCAGATTCCCATGTTTCATTCATGTGCTTTCCGAAAATGTTCTTTTGGATATGGTCCACAAGCAGAATATCCGGTGGGGCTAGCGCCCCATTGCGATCCACGACATCCCAATAACTTTTTAGAGCGATTTCCAGCTCTTGGACACTGCTCACACCTAAAACAGTAGGCCCCGTTTGCAGCCATTCACTATATGCGTACCGCGTGGCTAAACTGGCCAAATCCTGGCCATTGCGTGTCGCGTATTTGGCTGCTTGGGCCGCTAGTTCTCGCAGATCCGCAGAACAAGGGTGGAAAGCCTTAGTTTCTTGGGCGCGGAGCAATGACATACTCAAAATTGACCCATTCTCTACAACCTTCACCCGTGCCTGCTGTTTGAATCGTAAAGCATAATCGCGTAGCGTTACGTTCTGTAAGTTGAGATTAGCATACGATAAGACGACATCAAGAGGGCCAATGTCCTCGTCATCTAAACTCTTCAACGCGATGGAAAACAAAAAATCAACAGGGTATCCGCTAATACCGAAATTCAAAATCACACCCTCGTCCTTCAACCTGCGCAGTTCTTTGAGCGCTTCTATTACCTGAACTGTTTCTACAAACTCCACATCGTGTAGAAACACCACATCCAGGTAATCCGTTCTTAGTCTTTCGCATGACCTCATTACGCTGGACCTAATACTGGCTCTCGAGTAGTCAAATTCATCAAGTCTGATTCTTCCAACTTTAGTACAAATGAAGTATGTCTCTCTGGAAAATTCCTGTTTGAGTGCTTCCAATGCCTTGCCATAAAGTGATTCGCTACTCCCGTAATACGGTGATGTATCTATGGCTCTAATTCCAAGCTGGAAGGCCATGCGAAGCATTTCTACGATTGGCAACGAAGCAGGATCAGTGTTATATTGGGTGTTCAGCGTGGCACCGCCCAAGATCAATTTTGGTAGTTCCTGGATGGATCTTCCGCGAACTACTTCATTGAAAGGCCCAATTGGTTTCAGCATCATGTTTAGTGGCTCTATTATTTTGTTGAAAACACACCGGTGCGAGTTTTTAAGTCTTTGCTTTATAATTATTATTATTCTGAGTATTCTTTATTTATTGATCAATATAAATTAGCCCTAAAGTGCACTATTGTTAGCCAACCGTTCAAGAAATAGCTCATTGGTGAAAGTTAAGCGAAAAAGCACTTTGAAGTGCCGGAGGAGCTTTAGAACTCAATAAATCTTGACTTCTTTTACTCAGGAATAATGTCTTACTATAACAGATACAGGAATCAGCGAAGCTATACGCCTCAAGCCGACTCCGCTGCCGCAGTGGACGAACCAGATGCTATATTCGAGTTAGGAAAGAACAAAAGAGTTACGGTCCGGCAGTTCAGAAACATGAACTTGATTGACATTCGCGAGTACTACGCGGACTCCTCCTCGGGGGAAATGAAGCCGGGCAAAAAGGGAATTTCCTTGACCGAGGAAGTGTACGACGAATTGTTGAAGCATCGCCAGAATATCGACGATGCGCTCCGGAGATTTGGATCCAAGAGGCCAAGAACAAAAACGGTAAATGTTCTTTCGGACAGTGAGGAGACTACTGTTGATATACATACGCCTAATAAGGCCTCTTTCGAGAAATCAGATTCTAAGACGAGGAACACGGAAAAACCAAGAAAAGAGCGTAAGAAACGGGAGCCTGCGCCCCCTCAGGCCCAACCAGATGAGAAAAGACGTCGTCACGATGAATTAGAGTCCCAAACACGATTAGTGATTCCTGGCGGGGACCCACAGCCTTCCGCTCTGCCAGATAAATCGGTTGGGAAAACTGCGAAAGCGAAAAAGAAAAGTACGGAAATCAAAACAGGTAACAATGGCGGTAAAAAGAACAACAAGAACAATAACCCGAGACTCGATGACATGTCATCCACGGTGCATGCGGCCAATCCGCGTTTAGACGATCATTTGCATAAACTAACCTCACCTACCAAACCCGAGAACGACTCGGGCCTCGACTCCAGCGACGAAGATTTTGCATTGGCACTAGAATCGGAGTTCAACAAGGACGATGACGACGATGACGAAAGCATACTACACACAGCAGAACCAGAACAAACGGATGGCAACATCAGTGAGGAATCTTAGATGTTCCACACTCGCGTCAAGACGTATAAGTGATATGCAGCTTTTGCGTCTGGTCGCTAGAGCCTCTGAAGAAAGTCGCACGCAGAATAGAATCAAGCAAGCTACGAGCACATTTACGGTCCCACGATATAATGGCGATAATGGAAAACATCAAGCATCTCTTGAAAAATTCAATAGTCGCTGCTGTGTTTGGGAAACAAACAAACTTCTTGTTCCCGTCCATTAGTCCTTTCCATTTTCTCAACATTATAGCTATATCACCAGGGCATGGCATTGAACCACAACATATATGTATACACACCTTCGATCACTAAAACAGAAAATATCTCAATGTCGAATTTGGCAAAAACAAATAATCAGCCTCTGATTGAATAGGAGATTTAGTTCTGGTCAAAGTTCCTCTTTCTCGCATCTAACTGACACTATGATAGCCCGTCACAATGAACGTGCGCTGGCCAGTGTAATATATGGCATCTATTCATGATTCAATGATTCCGTTTCCCCCAGTACCAGGTCGGGCAACAAAGGCGACCTGTGGAACCATGGGAAGTACTTGACCTTCAATCTTCAACGAGAAATTACCCAGTAGAACCAAGGCAGGGCCTTTTACCGTGTCACTCGATGGCGGCTAAACGCAATGCCTACATGCATTACCAAAGACCAGACAAGTAAGGGTAGCATACACTTTGAGTGCACGCAAAAATAATTGGGGGGAGAAGTAATTGTGTCTAGGTGATGATTGTATGTTGAGAGGGCGTTGTTGCCACAGAGAAAGTGATGTGTATTGGCTAAGCAAGGCTTCTGTTGTTGTACAAGAATAACCAAACCCCCCAAGAGGAGAACTTAACCGGCTCTCGGTGAATCCTAGGCTTCTCGGTCCATGCTATGACGGCTCATGTTGAACAGAACGGGGACTACGACAAACAAAAAAAACACCCGCAAATGCCCAGGCCCTCGACCAAATCTAAGAAAAACACGAATAAGATCGCCTCATCTGGTATTAGTAGATTAACGTTGAAACTGAGCCTCTTGAATTCCAGTTACTGGGCCGTGCTGTTTGCGAAATTGTTATCGATTGATGTCCGAATGACACATCGCTATACACGTGAATGGTGTTAATTTGGGCAGCAAACCCGGGCAAGATATCAACTCTGCATCTTTTTTGCAAGAAGAGGCTTTACACAACAATCCTGATCTCATAAAAAAAGCGGCACACCTTGCCGAGCTCTCGCATACCCTCTATCTCCAATTTAATCGCCAAAGCGCCACCTCACTGGCCACAGATACTTAAATACAGCAGAAGATGAGCGACGGGAAAGATCAAGAGCACGCACCTCTTCTGGGAAGCAATAAGGCAGGATCAAAGTCCCGTTCAAAAAAAGCTGCGAACAGAAGACGCAAGCGGAAGTCTGCTTTTAAGACTTCATCAAGCTCGGCTGCTCCCGGACGGGCTCATGCTGAAATGGATCACCACAAGGGCCACCCTACCTCGTCAGCTACTGACTTTGATAAGACAGACTCTTGGGGCATTCTTCATGAGGGTACAGACGAGGAAACGACCAATACCCGCGACTCATCGGATCTGAATTTGTCTTCAGCTCATCACCCACAGTCGTACTTTGATCACCGACCATCGATTGCCGTCATGGAGGCCATGAACTCGACAGGTAGCGTTCGCAGGCCCAGAAAGGCTAGTGTATCAAGGGCTAATCGTGCCGGCTCATTTAGCAGCTCTAGTAATACCAACAAAAGGAAGACTGGAACCGAAGTACTCTCGGGTATTTCACCACACGAGGCAGAACGATGGGCAAAGGCCGCGGCTAAAGCGTCCAGGACTAGAGCACACTCAAGGGGGGATGATGTTATTATAGACGTTGATGCACTCATGGATCATGTTAATCGCTCGAATCTCAGCCAGTCGCCCGGTGAATCATCCATAGCAAGCTCCGGCGACGGTTATAATTCTCAACCTTCATCCAAACGGACGTCGAATGCGTCTTCACTAAATGACGTATGTCTCCCTCTAGACGATGAGGATGTGGCGGGTACCAAGGTATGGCCTGATGTCGCTGTCTTGGAAGAATTTTCTAAAGCTGAGACTGAAAGGTTGCGTAGTCAAGCAGTTCAAGATGCGGAGAATTTCCACTTTCAGTACGACGACGAAGACGACTATGACGACGATGGCGGTAATGACGGGGTTTTATTCTCCAAACCCATCGTAACTAATATTGATGTTCCAGAACTGGGAAACACGCGAATAAATGAAGCAGAACACATGGAGGCGGGGCGGTTAAGACCGAAAAAGATCACACCTTGGCATTTGCGCCGTAATGGTAATAAAATACCTGGCTTCAGCGGGCAGACAGACGCTAAAAATGTTAGTGTTGTATCAAAGAAGGAGCCGAAGCATCACGAAGAATATCTTGTGGGGAATAAAATACAATATCCCCCCCATATTGTGTCTAATAACCCAGAACATTTTCGGTTTACGTATTTCAGAGAGGATTTGGATTCTACCATTCATTCCCCAACAATCTCGGGTCTGTTGCAACCGGGCCAGAAGTTCGACGAATTATTTGTTAATGCTGTTTACGGCAATAACAACCACACTTCTGTCGCTAGTGACACAAAGAGCAGCTCTCCTCAACCTCAACCCTCTTTACAGAAGCTCACTACTACCCAATCAACTTCGATAGACGATTTTGACTGTGAGCCATTTTGGCTGGACGTTTCAAACCCGACCGAAGAAGAAATGAAGGTTTTGAGTAAAGCCTTTGGTATTCACCCTTTAACGACTGAGGATATTTTTCTAGGGGAGGTGCGTGAGAAAGTAGAACTTTTCAAAGATTACTACTTGGTGTGTTTTAGAAGTTTCGATATTGTAGCCGAGCGGTTTACAAGAAAGAAAAAAAAGCAGCAGCAAGAGATGTCATCTGCTAACTCGTCGGACAATGATCATGCAGAAAGTTCGAATGGTTTGTTTTCGAGATTTTTCAAGAACCGCAGAACTTCGTCTCCAAAAAGTAATTCAAGTTCGAGTTCCAGTTACAGGAGCAAAGCTAGAAAACAGATTGAAGAAAACGAAAAGTATAAACGTAAATCTGGTGACAGACGTAAGCCCCGTGACGGCGAGCTCGAGCCATTGAACGTTTACATTATTGTTTTTAGTACAGGTGTGTTGACTTTTCATTTTGCCCCGACACCCCACCCTATCAACGTCCGGAGAAGGGCGCGTCTTTTGAAGGACTATCTTAACGTGACCGCTGATTGGGTTGCTTATGCGCTCATTGATGATATTACGGATGCATTCGCCCCAATGATTGAAATAATTGAAGATGAAGTACACGATATCGAAGAATCCATCTTGAAAATGCATCATTCTGACGACTCATCGGACGACGATGATAGTTCGGATGACGAGCTCTACGATAACGGATATGCTAGCATAAACCGTTACCCCAGAAGAGGAAGTGCAATTGGCGACACAGCAACCTTTTCATCACGCACGAGATCGTCAGGTTCATCAACCTCTGCCTCGAGCATTGACACCAACATCATAGGGTGGAAACGCAAAGGGGATATGTTGAGACGTATTGGTGAATGTAGAAAGCGAGTGATGAGCATAGTTCGGCTTCTGGGTTCCAAAGCTGACGTCATTAAAGGGTTTTCTAAGCGTTGCAACGAACAATGGGAAGTCGCTCCGCGGTCTGAGATTGGGATGTATCTGGGTGATATACAAGATCATATCGTAACGATGGTGGCATCGCTCAATCACTACGAGAAATTGCTCAGTCGATCTCATTCCAATTACCTAGCCCAGATCAATATCGATATGACTAAGGTTAACAACGATATGAACGATGTTCTTGGAAAGATCACTATTTTGGGTACAGTCGTATTGCCTATGAATATTATTACTGGTTTGTGGGGTATGAACGTGTTGGTCCCGGGCCAGGATACTCATTCTCTCACCTGGTTTACTTGCATAACAACATCCATGTTCATCTTTGCTTATTGCGCTTACATATACACCAAGAAACGCTTTGGGTTCTAGTGGATGCTACATATGGCGTAAATAGCCGACGTGGAATAAAAGTACATCTGTTATCGTTCGTGCTTGTTTCATTTATCCCAGTTTCAATCACGTTTTTTATGGAAGAATATTAGTAAAGTCATCGTTTAGGCCTACCATGATTATATAAAGGTATAAAAGGTCAAGGGAAATCAAAGTCTTAGAGTCAGGCAGCCTTAGGCAGGAGCTAGTACCCGAAACAGCTGGTGAGTTAATTGGAAAACTAACATGACAGTTCAAGCGCCAGAGGAATCCTTTGAGGCGACGTATGCTGTTGAAATGCATTGCGACAGTTGTGTCAAAGACATAACATCCTGTCTCTCGTCAATTCCTAACATCATACTAGACTTCCACATCTCGGAGCAGCTACTTGAAGTAAAGGGAACGGCAGCCCCATCTACCATTATATCTGCATTACAAAGGTGTGGGAGAGACGCCATTATCCGTGGTACAGGTAAAGCCAACAGTGCCGCCGTCTCTATACTTGAGACTTTCGCACCCATTGCCACAAATGATACTCCTGTAAGAGGTTTAGCTCGAATAGTTAATGTTAGTGAGGCGAAAACGTGGGTTGATATCACTCTGAATGGCTTAAAGACGCCAGGCACGTACTATGCTTCCATTAGAGACTGTGGTGATATCTCAAAGGGGGCAGCATCCACCGGCGGCGCATTTTATAAGTTTGAGCAGCCGATCGAATGTCGATCAAAAAGTGATTTGGGCGATGGTTTGTTCAGTGGACAAGCGTTTGTAAGCACACCCTTAAACATTTGGGAAATGGTGGGACGAAGCTTCATGGTCACCACAGACTCCCAACACAATGTGGGCAGAGAAACTGAGATTTGCGGTGTCATCGCTCGAAGTGCAGGTGTATGGCAGAACGATAAGCAGGTTTGTGCGTGTAGTGGACAAACAGTGTGGCAAGAAAGGTATGATGCTATGAAACGGAACATCACGAAGTGAATTGCATGAGGGAGGCAATATCAGTCTTATTTAACACATTCTGAAAAGATCTTTGTTTGTTAATTAATGTGCATTTGAAGTACAGGTGAAATTATTTAGAAACCTTAAATGGTGAGAAGTTGTTTTGATCCGGCTTCCCCTTTACTTAATGGAGGTGATCCACATAAGAAACCATCGTAAATCAAATAACGCCCTCTTCAAGTTGTCCAGCTGCTGCAAGAGCGGCTTTTCCGGCGGCAGCGGCTACTTTGTTCCCACGATTCTTGGTATCGTCAGTGTCTGTCTTTTTGTAGGGAGCCTTCTCGTTGATTTTCTTGGCCTGCTCGTCAACTTCGACGCTTTCGTCCGTGTCGGGCACCTGTTTCATGGCCTTGACGTCGTTGCCCACCTCCTGCTTGTTGTCCTTGGCAGATGGTGATTTCGTCTTCTTATAATCCATTTCGTGTTCCTCCAGATTTTTTACCTCTTCTTGTCTGGCAACTTCGTTATTAAACCCCTCCTTCGGCACCTTGGCCTTCCCTTTGGCGTCTGCTTGTGATCCTTGGCCTTCCAGTGATCCAGAATCAAACCTATCTGCTTCATTCCCATTTTCCGGTAAACCTAGCCCTGAGTCCGCAGACTCTAACTCATACCTGGGTTCAGCATTCCTTTCCGATAGAATCACCTGAGCAGCAAAGTACAGTGCCACCAACATGAGAATATATATGAGAGTCTTTTTCATGGGCGTGGTCAACAAAGATTTTTTGGCTCCAGATCCACTCTGGCCACGATATCTGGGCAGGAGGTCATTCTTGCGTCTAACCCCACCTTGCATTTTGGAATCGAGTCTAAAAACGAAAAGAAGGGAGCCTTTTGTGTGTTACTTCGTAAGTTTTGGTTAGTTGTGATCCGTTGGTAGATTGTTCTGTTATGTAGGTACGAGGCATCTTCGATGTAAGTATCACTCTAAACGGGTAGCGATATTGTACTTCAAAAGGATATAACACGACTCTATCCCAAGAAGCTACGCGAGGGGATGGACCACCGGGGACATTCTATATGAAGCGTAAGCTGCATTTTTAATTTTTTAACCAAGAAGTTGTTGTTTGATTAGAATTTTATTGGTTAGGATAAGCGTTGTTATTAAATAACTTGTCGAATGCACTGTTCAAGTCATCGATGAAAATTACGATTTACCTGATATTGGGTCCCTGAGTTTTGGCTGTCTTTCCGTAAGTGGTACGGATTAAACCGAATCAGCCTCGGCATTAGTTAACTTGCTGGATTGCTAGTGCAGTTTGCCGTTAGAGATAGTAGATTATATTCTGACTAGATGGTGGAATACCAGAAGCACTTCGGAACCGCTTCCAACTTACTCTCATTTATTAATAGAACCGTACCTGGGACATGAAGTCGGCACCTAATGACTTGGGTACGCTTAGGCCCGGATGATTTTACAGGCCATTTGTTTAGCTTTTGGGTGATTAAATTGGCTGAGCAGCTCGATTACATGCAACTACTATCCCTATACATTCTTTTGGTGGATTACCCACGTTGGGCATTCGTCTTGAACTGATCTCATTAACATCACTTTGTACTATTCTGACACCGCCGCGATTTTCCGTTATGCAACTCGGCGCTGTTCAAAGAGTGCTGGATCTCTCCCTTCCGAAAGTATCATCTGTCTTGATTTTTCCGAGTTCATAATACGCCCTCCTAACTTCATGGCTTGGGTGGTCAGGTTATTTACCAAATGCTCCTACTGGTGGACCTGGGGTGTCGCTTACATTCAAAATGAAATTTACGGCTTAGTTGTTGGCCGAGTTCAAAAAGGCTACATTCACAGTAACGCGACGTCAACCTAGATATCTAAGTCCTGAGCCGCGCCTTTGGAAAAACACTTCTTCGAGCAAGGTTTGCCAGTATTCATTTAAACTCGCTCAATACATGCTGCACCAACTTAGGGCAAAGTACAATCCTTCTACTATCTTCACTACTAATAACTGCGGGTATTCACGTTTTGTTACTACTCTCAGAGCACCGAGTCTTCCTACAGTGCCCATAATACACCCCTCACATTGGTCAATTGAATAAATTCACCAGATAGTCCATTGATCTCTCTCTCTCTTTCGGTCAAGGCTATCTTACCTCTCATAAGATGACCAGCTTCTCGGAACTAGTTCTTTTACCGACGCACTCCCCTACCTCTCATCAGAATTACAGCAGGAATGAAAAATCATGGGCTCGACCCGTCCGCCATTGCCCTTTTTCACCACACTAAGGTCACAATGACTTCGGTGAACCCGCTATCAGAAATCCATCTGCTCTTTGACCCAGAGTACCCTAAGCGCGACAGCTTGACAGTGGTGCACTCCTCAAAGTAGTATACGCATAGCCACTTACCTATATAGCCGTAATGATATTTTAAAATCGTTGACTTGACACTTCAAAGCGGTGGCTTTGGTGGCTAATTGCCGACTAACTTCGTCGCAGAATTGTCCAAAATTTAAAGTGGTAAGCACTTGATCAGGACTTTTGCGAGGCGGGATAGTCCCGTTGGTTTATTTATTCGTTTGATAGAGATATCATTTTTGTCAATTTTGGCATATTCACAGTTATCATCATTTACTTTGTATGCAATACAAAGTAATTGTTGCAAACCAAACTACATTCCGATAAAGGTCAACACACAAAGGTCTGTGTTTGACGTGTTAACGGGTATAGATAACTCACAGACCAATCAGTTTATATCCGTGGAAGAAGCTAGACTCGCGTTTTGATACTGGCCAAAGAGCCCTCTACCCTTTGACAACTTAGGTCATGACTCAACAGAATTACCAACGGGACTTGGAAAACCACCCATATCAGTCGAGGAACTCCTTAGATATTCGTAGCGAGGGTGGACTTGAGTCCTTACCTGCCACAGGGACCGTCTTTGGTACACCTAATCAGGGCGGTGGCGCCACAGGCCCCACTTCGGACGACCACACCGCAAATTCACACTCAAGTTCGGTTCTCAAGGCCCATCCTTCCCACAAACAGGGTAGTCCCACAGTGGTCTCAGATCTTCTGGCTGTGCTGGATGATCATGCAGCACTGCACGACCCACTACATTCCATGAACGCGACGGCCTTACATCTGCCGCTGGACACGCATTTTTTAGCGCAGCCTTCAGATTCTAATTCAGTTTCAAACTTGAGCTCAAACTTGAACTCCAACTCACATTCGCATTCCTACTCAAATTCCAATTCGGTGTCCAATTCCTCAGGACTTTCACCACAACGGATTTTACAGGATCCCACTCTGTTAGCCCACGACGATGATCCATTTGCCGCAATAAGCCATCCAATAGGTGAAATTGGCGCGTTGCAATTCCAATCCATGGATGCAGCTAACTTGCGGAGCTCGTCGATAACGGCGTCTTCTAACGAGCAATCCCAACAGCCACCACCACTAGCAGAACAACAGGACCGACATCAACAGTTGCTCCAATCTCAATACCAACAATCTTGCATTGACCCAAATCTACTAAGCAATGCAACTGCCAGCTTTGTAGATTCCGGGCTGGTGCCTGACCGTATATCGCCCGACAATTTTGCTGACGATGATAATAATTCAGCATTTGACGACTTCGCCTTTCAAAGAAGACCAAGTGAATTAGCCTCTTCACATGCAGCCACTCAACCAGATTTACATGCTCGCAATTCTATTTCCTACAATACAGATGCGTGGAATTTGCCGACCTTGACGTCAATACAAAGGTCCGGTCCGAAGCCACGCCGCTCATTTGGAGGTATTTTACCTTCCTCAACCACAACTATACGACCTTCCAGTACGGGAAAACGCTCAGAGTCGCTAAGACCCCTCAGTCTATCTACTTCGCCGTTCAAAATTGATAATGAGCTCACAAAATTACTGGATGATTACAACCTTAGCTATTCTGTTCAAAAGCCATCAAAAACAAGGGCTGGTTCCTTTAATACCTTGAACAATCAGCGTAGGTCATCGGCAACTGAACCCCAACACCGTGTACAAAAACAACGTGCCTCGATGTCTCTAGTGGATGGTAACAATCAAGATTTGATCGCAAAGCTTTACGGCGATGTTAAGGCTCCAAGGCCCAGGCTGACAAGTCTTTCATGGGAGAACGCCATCATGTCTGATGATGAGGACGATGAAGACGTGACGGAATCGAATCCCAAAACCACTGAGGGAACGATGACCAACTCTGTTCAAGTGACAATACCTGAGAGCAAGCAGACTCGCGAGCCTTCCGTCAGTAACGAAATTGCGGGTGTAGTAGATAGTAGGGATTTACGAGCTGCTCCCATCCAAGGCGGAAGCAAGTCATTCGAATCTGAAGATTTTTTATCACACGGCCTCAACGCTAATATAAATTCCAACGACGTTGGATATATGATGCCAGATACTGTTGCAAATAGCCAGAGTCCTGACCTAGAGTTTACAGATATGGCTTCAAGTTCAACAGGACATCAAATAAATACGTCACAACTGACGTACGCTTCATCTGCTTCACCCTCATCCTTCCACTCTAGTTACATTGGAAATAACGGCAGCAACAGTCAGGCTTCTGGTAAGTCCCGCAAGTGGCAGCCGTTTTCCAAGACTCCACGCACTAAGTCAACGTCACCTCTGGACGAAGACGAAAAGCCCTTCAGGTGTCAGGAGTGCCCAAAGACATTCCGCCGAAGTGAACACCTCAAGCGACACATCAGGTCGGTCCACTCGTCCGAACGCCCGTTTCATTGCTCCTATTGCGATAAAAAGTTCAGCAGAAGCGATAATTTATCGCAGCATCTCAAAACCCACAAGAAACATGGAGATTTTTGATTATCTTAAGAATTTTGTTGATAGAATTTAAAAGGTGTCTACTTTAGCATTTTGTAATTCTCTTTACTGCGAGTGTGTATTTTTTTAGGTTTCTTCCGCTGTAACGTTTGTTAGTTGGTCGATCATATGCGTCTAATTTGCTGGAATTTATCGAACAGGTACCAAGTGTGGTGATACATTAAATGGACGAAAGCCCTTTACCTACCCCAGTAGTTGGTGAACTACCACGGTTGATAGACTATCCAGCAACTCAAAAGGATGAAGACGTACACGGCTCCAAAGAAACAGGTGATAAATGGGGGCATTTATCTTACCAGCACATAGTGCAAAATCACCAAAGGTCTGTCGAGCAACACTTGCGGCCTTTTGTTACGTATGTGAGAGACTCAGGCTCAAGTAGAGTGTTAGGTGAGTTCACGCTTGTCAGGCGCATCGGCAGTGGCCAGTATGGTGATGTTTTCATGGCAAGATCCTCTACAGGGGATTATGTTGCGGTCAAGTGCATCCCAAAGCGTCCTAGAAACTCTCACCAATACTCGATGAACCAGGTTCTACGCCAAATACGCCGTAATAAGTTTCTGGGTAGGACCTTGATGACCAGCGATGAGGCAATTGTTGAAATGAATATGCATAGAATCAGGTGGGAAGTGTTCGTGACCAGCCGCTTTCAGCACGCAAATATTTTGGGAATTAACTCCTGCATCGATTCGCCGCTAAGCCAGCAGATCTGGATTGTTTCGCCCTTAGCAAGTTTGGGAGAACTACAATGGAAAAGATCGTACAAAAGTGAATCACTGGGACAGTGGAATCAGGTCCTCCGGCATAAGACCGATGCCAATGAGTTTGCCGAATTTGTTTTAAGGAGTTTGGCATCTGGGCTACAATATCTAGCGGACCAGGGCTGCGTACATCGGGATATCAAGCCCTCAAATATTTTAGTGAATGAAAGATACTCTAGGGTCATGCTATCGGACTTTGGAAGCTCTTTGCTAATACCAGAGAAGCTTCCGTTTTATGATACAAAGTTGCCTTCGGCCTACAGGGAGGAAATAAACAAGATTGCGGGTACTCCGGCTTTCACGGCGCCTGAGTTGTGTAACTTTGAAAAGGATGATCAAGTAACCAATGGCTTTCAATTAGATATTTGGTCCTTGGGCATTACCATTTACTGTCTTTTAGAGAATAAGTTACCATTTCGCGGAGATAACGAATTTGACACCTTCCATAAAATTGCGGCTAACAATATATCCCCAACCGGCCATTGGATCCATGACTTGGTAGTTTCGGAACTTTTGAACAAGGAACCTGGGGAAAGAATCACTGTACAAGCGTTAATGAAGCTATTGAATCAACCCAAAAAAGAGAAAGGAATGAAGCGATTTGTCTCCAAACTGCGAAGATTGAGTTTTAAAGGCACAAACAAGACGAAGCCCAATGAAGAAAAATTAAGCACACCTTTTACTGCTTCGCCTGAGGAGCGATTTGTAGATCAAAAGTCCAACTTGTCGTTTTCCGGATCTTCCTCAAACGATGAGCCAGTACGAGTTATAGACTTTACAGATACCGAGAGGCTTTCTTGTCGGCTTGAAAGTACGGGCTCTCTAGTGGAAGTGTCTGGAAGCTTGGATGATTCACCAGAAGACTGCAAGAATAAAAATTTAGATGCGCCTCTTGAATTCCCATCTGGTATGGATGCACGCAGTAAACACTCCTCTCCGGTTAAAGTTGATACAGCGATCAAAATTCAAGAGACACCTGAACAGTTGCAATATACCGTAACTGAGGATCATCAGCTTCCAGACAGTCAACGTAACACCAAATTGATGCCTTCCAGCGGGACCTTAGATTTTTCAAAATACTTGGAGTCCGCATCACAGAAAGACCTAAGTGCCTGTAATATCCGCGTTTCTGCGCAAACGTCAAACACAATGGATGATATTAGGCGATATATGAACTATGCCGATGGGATTTAACCTTGATAGGGCATGAGGGTTATAGAGTAATAATTAATGATAGACAAATGCTTGTAACTTGGTTTAAGCGTTTTTTAGGCTTTCTTCACCAAGGTTTCGGAGAGGCACCGATCGCACCCGCAGTCAAAAAACCAGTTATCTTTCAAAACGTTACGCCTTTCTTGGACTGGCAAGTGTAATATTCCTTTGTAGTCCACGCATAGCTCTTGATTCTTATGCACAGGTGTGGTTAACTTGAAGGTCATGCAGTTTCCTCGACGACATTTTTCAAGGTTCGGGGCGCACGAATGGTTGAAAAAAGAGGCCTCGGGCAGGACCCAATATCCTAGATATTCTCTGCTGTCACTATCCTCTTCTAGTTGCCATATACCAAAAGAGTTCCCGTATTCAGATCCCAAAATATGTCGAAAGATTTCAATGTTCAGTGCAGAATTTAGAAAAGGCGGTAGTAGTATTTTTAAGGTTTTGTATACATTCTGCTGAAGTTGCAACAGAGGTGGAAATTTCTGGATTTTCGGCAGCTCATTTGACTGGAGGCATTGGAACGCAAGTATCTGGGGGCTGTTCTCATCCGCCGTCAGAAGTGTAAATAGGCAGTTAGTGACAAACCTTGCACAAGCAAATTCGGCCTCGTCGATAACAGGCAAGAAACACGACCTCCGGGAGAGTTTGAGAAGAGCAACCTTTTGGACCCATTCACACTCTAACCGGTTCCATGCCCTATCGACGTCTGCAGCCGTGATCTCGACGGCATACTCAATATTTTCGGCGGACTCTTCCGCTTTCCTTTTTGATCTCTGGGATACCCAATTTTGTTCTAAAGTTTCATAGGCCTCGACTAGGTGTTTTATATGGTCTTGACTTAAGAACTGACCTCGGCAACCTTCGTTGCAAAACCATAAACCAGCGCCTTTTGGGGCGATTTGAGAATAGCCTCGAGGGAGCCTCACCTTCATCGTGCGACCATATTCGTACTGAAAGCACGAACTACAAACCTCCTTGCGAAACTCATGACATATAGAGTTTCCCAAACTACGATTTATCACCAAGACCTCAGTATCTGCCGGAATGTCGCGCGTCGCAAAACAAGCACGGCCCCCATAAGAAGTTGTTCGAATTTCAAACAGATCTGATGGCCAAGATTCTAGCACATCGCCAACTTGGTTCATCTTGAAGCCATTCCGTATTCCATGTAGATTCTCTTCATCGAACTCATCGCAGGTATATATATTGACAGCTGGCTCTTTTATCACTTTTTCCTGAATCGTCGTAAGGTTGTGCAAGTGAAGACGCGACGTATGTGCAATGGTCTAAAAGTTAACGTCGACTTTTTTCAACCTACTTAGGTACAGCCTGGCTCACGTATAGTTCCCTGACTCCTCTTCGCTAGGCAAATGGTCCCTTACTACCACAGGGGAAATATGTAATCGCTAGTAAATGTGACCAAACCGTGGCCCCAATGACCAGATAGTTAATAACCACACTTTCGACTCCACATTTGCTCATTCGCTATCCGTAGTAGACCGAGGTTTTCCAGTCGCAAGATACTTCATGTAAAAATAGTGTCATTATGGTAAGAAGTGATACTTGGGTAAACTAACAGCCAAGGGAATCCAAAAAATGGAATCCAGACCAGGTTTATTACATAGATTTGGACTATTAAGCCATTCAACCATCCAACTACACCATCTCATTCAATTGCTGGATTATCTGGCTCTAACAGTTCCCGGATTATGGCTTCCAAAGTGTTACATATCTAGCAGCTGTATTTCCCTGACAAGGTCCAATCATAGAATCCATAGAGTGAAGAACAAATTGATAAAGGTCTCAAAGCTCAAAGTCTTGTAGGTTACTCAGAATATAAAATACAATGTCTATCAGAGATTGTAACGGACATTATAGCGTTTAGATTACTGCTGTCGGTAACTGACCACAAAGAAGCCAGGAAGTAGCAAGGTGCCCTGATATAGTTTGCTCTTCATTTCGCAAGATAGCCAAGTCTGATACATAAGTCTATACTGATATACATGTTCAGATTCTTCTGTAAGTTCACTTCTGACAATGGGCCTTATAATGTTCTACTGCAAAATCGTTCATGGTGCTCGATATGCGAACTTGGGTAAAGGTATACAAGCCGTCTTGAACTTGTGTGAACCAACTTCAGCTACTTCTTTGCAGGAAACTGGAGTCATGAGCAATCCTAAGGGCTTGGTGAAGAGGGCCAAGAACTCTGGACTCGCCATGAGTCTACAGGAGGGTGGTAGCTTTTTGAAGAGTATCAGCTTGTTGAAAGGAATGGGTCGCAAACCTCACAAAGACAGAAAGTCTGACAGTACACAAGCTGACGGAAATGCAAATTGTGATAAAATCGAGTCTTCCGGTTGCCTCTTTGTTGATACAAAATATTCGACGACTTACCGAAAACCAAATTTGGAACTCGAGACTCAGTCGATTGAAGTGAGCTCAGCTGAGTCTTCTCCGTCATGCGATGAGGATGCATATTGCATATCTCCTGTGGTAAAACAAGCATTTCCAGATAGCTGTCAACCTTCCATGCAAGGACATCTACCTTCAAAGGACACCCGCAAGCCGAAGCTTAGGCGAAGTAACAGCGGAACCGCTTCTACGACATTGATCGCATCGAGGGACACGGGAGCTAACTCGTTGCGATCCAAAAGGCAGTTCAGAGGGCAGCAACATGGGATTAAAAAGGATTCCACTAATCCTCAAGGAAGCCTTGTGCGAAGCAACCTGAGAAGAATTCATTCGATGTATGCGTCACAAAAAGAATTTTCTCAGGGATATAGTGCTACCGAGAAAACTCCTCTGGATGAATCACAAGTTTCAACCTCACCAGAGTGTCCCACATATCAATCTAGACTTGAATACAGTGGTATAAGGTATCATATTGATGAAAAGACAGACGACAAATTTCCTCGAATTGATGTCGAGACTTTGGTCGAAATCATGGATGGAGGGTTTAGACAACATTATCAGGATGTCTACGTTGTGGACTGTAGATTCGAATACGAGTACCGAGGCGGTCATATTGGGGTTGCCATCAACATAAATTCTCAGAGTGCGTTGGAATCAAAGTTCATACACAACAGAAAAACGGTATGCACCCATGAGCTCCCGCCCCTTATAATCTTCCATTGTGAATTCAGTTCTTATAGAGGTCCTATTATGGCCTCCCACTTGAGAAATTGTGACCGTGTTTTAAATTATGACAGCTATCCAAAGTTACACTATCCTGACATACTCATCGTTGATGGTGGCTACAAATCTTTTTTCGACAAATACCAGTCACTATGTTTTCCCCGACGCTATATAGGCATGGATTCGCAAGAGCATATCGATCTATGCGAAGCAGAGATGGAAAAATTTCGCATAAACTCGAAACGCATTGTTACCAGGGCCAACTCATTTCAGTCATTAAACAAGAGCTTCGTATCATCTAGGTCCAAGCTTGTCCTCGGTCCTAACGAGAAAAATCCAAATCAAACACTGTTTTCGAACAACAAGTGGAATTCATCTAACAGTTCTAAACCAGCACTACCCTTTCCCTATGAAGCCCCACCCAAACTTTCACTATCCCATTATTGCGACGCAGAGGATTATGGGAGCCCCACCAGTCTCACTAGCAGTAACAATAGCAGTGGACCGATGTTCATGGAGGAACTTCGCGACGATACGGGCAGTACAGACTTGGATAACATTAGCCTTGACGAGTCCAACGTAGCTCACCCATTTCGCGGCGCCATGGCGTCCACACTTGCATTTAAGAGCACAAAGAGATCTCTGTTTGGCTCTATCTTGAAAGAGGAAGATGACGACAATGATGTCTATCCGAACCTCAAACACAACACTAAAAACTAGCATATCATTCATCTTTAATTGCTATTCGAAATGCATTCTTTTTCTATTGTATCTATAATGTATATGAAGAATCTTGTAAGCACTATACAACAATTCCATTCATTCTTGCATCCTCGCGCCCGATCGTTTCAGAGAGATTCGAGCCCCATCGGCTTGGTGGCCAAATCACACCTATGGCTTTTCCGATAACTAGTCCAGTAGATATTGGTCCAAAGTTATTTGAGTCTGTAGAGTGAAAGGCATTATCTCCCTCTACCCAGACGTGATTGCGAGGAATATTTACTACATCTTTTGGATAAGGGTGTCGTGTATGTAATGTATCGTACTGCATTCCCTTTATACGCTTACAGTACACTTTTCTTGGATTGGTAGGTGCCTTGAACAAAATAATGTCATTGTGATGCAAATTGGAGGCATTTTTGGCGCCCCACTTCCACAGCAACACCCAATCTGTGTGGGTTATGTCGTTGGGGTTTAGGGTCGGCCTCATCGACTTTCCCTCTATCTTGGCTATGTAGCAGACATTTTCGTTGAAGCACATCGCTACAGGAATCCAGGAGATGACAAGTAAAGCTCCTTTGCCGTTCAGAGTCAGCCCTCGCAAGTTCATCATTTCTCAGTAATCATATATCAGACCAGCCTTGCGTGCTAGGATAGCAGCTGGTCCCTTTGAAGAGCGGTAATCGTTGGAACTATCGAGATGAGGATGCCGTCTTGAGGAAGAAGTCGCTAACGACGGATTACTACATGATACTTGATTACTGTACAATAAGCTACTTCCTTTTCATGTTAAGTACTGTGATGTCTGTTGGCCAAGTCTTGTAAGTAGTGCCTTGATCTGCCTCGTAGTCTTGTTGACGGTGATTTCCTTCTTGGCACTTACCAACGGATATTTGCGTCGCTAGTACTTCGAGCAGCCCCACCAACCGAATAAACAGATGATTTCGCGCCATATAGTGTGGCGAGTATCGATGTAATTACAAGGAGTGTCAACCTCTTTTTCACCTGTCCGTATAGTTCAGTAGAATATAAAGTTGGCAACATTTTCAAAATAAACAGGGAATCAATGTGATGTTAAACTCTTATGTTAAGCGTCCGGAGCAATAGACGCTGTTTACAATCGAGATCCCTCACTTTAATCTGTGACGGATACCCTCCTTTTTCAAATGATCAGAATGTCACGTCCCACATGGCTGAAGGTCCCTTCTTGTCGTATCTCTCTCTGGTTATATAGAAGCTCTCATTGGTATGACCAAACCCTTGCTTGGCGACAATCTCAGCCCCTAGGAAAGGCAGCTCGCTATATCCATGTTTTTTCCATTCGGGAAAGTACTCTGGATATTTAGCTAGTTTTATCACGGATGGCACTTGAAGGTAGTCAACGGTGCTCCGAAAAGCGATCTTGGCCTTTTTCTTGTTAGCCGCCTGATATTCCTCTTCCCTGGTGGCTTTTTCGGATGCGGGCTCCTCAACCAAATGGTCCTCAACAAGCTTCTGTACCACAGCCTCCTTGAAACCAGATATTGACGATGTGCCTCCTATAATTACGATATTTTCCCAGATAGCCCTCAATTTGTGGAAGTCATCGATTTGAGCCAGCACATTCCCGACGCACTTAGATATTTCGGCGATCAGTTTTTCGCAGCCTCTGAATCTCTGCTTGCCCACAACGACTTGCTTCCCATTACGCTCGGCGAACACATTAGTCTCTTGATCGCTGTTTGACAACTGTTGAGAGGCCTGGTTTTTTTCCCGCTCTTCTAGCAGTTCTCGAGTATCACGATCGCTGGTAATTAGAGCAGCCACGTCCAACGCGCCCTCGTCTTCTTCACTCTGAAAATTCAATGTGGAAGTTTTCTTTGCATCCTCACTCAAAACTTCAAAAACACTAGACTTCTTTAAATCTTCAATTTGTTCAGGGGTCCACTGTCGAAGTAGTCCCGAAAGTGCTTCGTCAATGCAATTCCCACCGAACTTTGATTTCGCAGACAGATGTGTCAATTGAATATAGTCTAGAATTGGCGTAACGTCGGTACCAGTGGCGTGGATATCAATAACTACGCAATTTTGTAGAGATCCAAGTGCATAGGAGCACGCCAGGTTTGAGGGTAAGAGCATGAAGTTGTTAATTTGCAGCTGCTCGAAAACAAACTGGGTGATGGTCTCTAATTGAAAATGCGACCAAGAAGAATGGCTCAAGAGCAGCATAGGGATGTTAGATAGTTCCATGTCAAACACCTCTGGACTGGCTCCAAACCTTGAACGCTGCGCCAAGTATGATCTGTACACCAACTTGATGAAAAAGAGGAATGCATCCAAGTCCACAATTCGACCGTCACATAACGGGCTAACGTGTTCATTACCTTCTTTCTTTGTAGTGAGCTTACCCTCGCTTGTGCGATATACGTCGACTGGGATTTTCAATTGTGGTGGGTACAGGGTTTCTTCTCTCATACCAAACTGCACCAAGGCATACTGCGACCCTGGATATATGATCTTAAGAGGAGGTGGTTAGTAAATTGAGCTGATATACAACAGCATCCTTAGATGTGGTACATACGAAATAGCTATCTTGCCTAAAAGGAGCCATATCGGTACGTATTTGAATGTTTAAGATTTTCAGATGAAAGTCGAAGGTGATAACAACATGCTTGATATTAATTTGAAATGTAAACTAACAAAAGCATCACCAGCTAAATAAGTAAACGAAAAACGCCAAGCTAAGACCTATGAATACCAGTATAGCTAGCCAGCATGGAGCTAGGACTTTGAGTAATACTAATAGACTGGCTCAAGACATTAATGAAAGAGCTTTTTCGCTTCTCCAAAAAAATCGACAAAGAAGGCTACTACTAAGCCGATCGGAGGACCGTAGGCGTTATGTTCCATCTGAAGAGCCCTCTAGAATTGAAAGCACTATACCAGCGGTCACTCAGATACGTAGACGGAAGGTGAAAACAAAAAGATACCGCCCCAGCGATGTGGCTCTACAAGAAATACGAAAATATCAGAGAAGCACTGATCTTCTTATATCTAAAATGCCGTTTGCACGTTTGGTCAAGGAAGTGACCGACCAATTTACGACCGAGGAGCAGGAACTTCGGTGGCAATCTATGGCTATTATGGCTCTTCAAGAAGCCAGTGAGGCGTATCTGGTTGGGCTCTTGGAACATACCAATCTCCTTGCACTTCATGCGAAAAGAATCACTATCATGAGGAAAGATATGCAACTGGCGCGCAGGATACGTGGTCAGTTCATTTGAAGGAGAGATATCTGATGAATGAATTATCGCATAGTTGTTTTTCCAGGACAAATAAAGGGCGCGTTCTTGAATGCTGCATTGATAAATTTGAATTGCGATTTATAGTGTCAAGAAAACTCCAATGTCATTAATACAATATTACAACAAATATACCTCTAATTTGAAATGTAGCCGAATCCCCTTATGTGAGACATATGAGCTTCTTCTAATTCATGGCAGTAGCTCGATGTAGTTTTGTGGAATAATCCCATACCGATAATCAGGATTGACACTTTTTGAGGCATCAAGAACTTCACCAATGAACCAGTCGTTGTCAAGTTTCTCTGTCAGAAGCAGATAGTCGCCAACGCGAAAGTTGACGATACATTGCTCATTTGCCTCCATGAAAGTATATAGGGCCCTTGCGTATTGGATTACCGTCTCGCCTTTACTGCTTTGAAGAGGAAGCTCCACGTAATGATCCACGTCCATTACGCGTTTCTTCGAAGGAGTTTCGTCATCCCCAAGAGTCGCATGTCGAGAATGTGGAAATGGTATCAGTGGTTTCTCAGTAGGTTTTCTCCTGTTTTTCGTAATCATTGGGTCATCATGCTCGTCTGATACTTTCCTCATTTCGTCTAACGCTTGTTTGAACGGATTTGAGCCCGATTCCGAACCCACCATGGATCTCCGGTTTTTGTGGAATGATTTTGTTGAGGGCATCTCTTCGTTTACGTGGATACGGGTTGTGTCCATACTAGCGGATCGTGAAGGCACATCTGCATTTGTCTCTGTTGTGGTCTCAAACACTTGAGACCGAGCTTTGGACTTACGTCTGTTTTGAGAATTCCAGGACTTGGCAAACCTTCTAGAATCTTCAATACTATGCGCAAGTGACGAAATTGAAGTGCTAAGAGACTCGGCACTAGGATGGCGCTTCATATGAGAGGTGAAATCAGTTGGATTCGAAGATTCGTTGGAAGACTCTGATGTTGTGTACGCGGCAGACGTTGTTACAGGCGGCTCTAAAAGTCTAACGTCATTGTGCATGCTTTGGGTGGTGGGGAAAAGATTCCGGCCTGAATAATCCGGAACCTGTGGTTTGTCTTGCCACGAAGAAGCTGGTAGTGAGCCAGAAGGAGATCTTTGCAATTCTTCAGTTATCTGGCTCGAAATCCTAGTTCTCTGCAACTGTGAGGATAACCGTCGTATATTTTGCGCGTGCTTGCTGGAACTAGACTGCAATTGTGACTGTGCTTGTGATGGATGTGGTAGTGGGACGCTGGCCCGGAGTCGCCCGGTGCCGTGATTGTAAGCAAAACTTGTTATATCTTGGTCCGCGGTATACTTTACAAGTTGTTGTGTTAACCCCTCCATACAAGCTTGCTCCTGAATGGCCATGTCCGAGCAATGCTTAGCGAAATCCTGGATTTTCAACTGTATTAATTGAATTCGAGATTTTTCGAGCTCTTGCAATTCTAAACTTAGTTGCGACCACTCATTTAGCCAATGCTTGGTTGAAGCTTTGTATTCCTGTTTCAAAACGTCCAACTTCAGCTGTAGCTCATTAACAATGCTTTTCCACTTCAGCAAATGACGATCGTTTTGGTCCAAATTCCGCTTTCCTAGAAAGTTGTCCTTATTCAATTGGCAGTCTCGCAGCTCGGTAGTTGCATTGTTCAGCTTTTCCTTCAGTGTATCACAGAGCTGACGCTTTGTGATCTTGGCATTGCAAATGTTGCGGATCTTGATGTCAATCGTCTTGTACCGGGCTTGAAGCTCCTGAACGCGCTGCTTGAGCTCTGCGTACTCGTCCTTGTGAATTGCAACTGCTGCTTTAGAGTGGGCTTGGCAGTTTCGTTCCTGGGTTGCTTGGAGGCTCCTAAGGCAATGCGCCAATTTGCCGTAGTCCGGGGTCTGCTGTAGGCCACTCTGCAGTTTCCCGCTGATGGCACTCAGCCGGCGGGCGTAATCCTTCTCCAGTTTGCTTCTCTCCTCAAAAAAAGCGACTATGTTACTGCACGACTCAAGGCCATGGCTGACATGTTCAAGCAGAAGCGTCGCACCTGCGTCTTGTTCATCCCAAAAACTCAACTGGTAGTTATAGGTGTGCGACATGACAATTACCGATGGAGATACTAACCCGTGCTAAGGAGAATTTCAGCTTGATACTGTGAAAACTAAATACTAATCGCTTGTACTGCAGCGGCCTTTTCGACGTTGAGTTCTCCATTTCTACGTCTTTGTTGATTGATACTTTTAGATACTTCACCTACTGTTTATGATTTTCCTAAAGAAGAGGTCTAAACTCAAATCATGACTATTGCCTACTACGGTAAGGGAGTTACCCTTTGAGGAACGGTTGAAGAGTGACATGACACGGCCCAAATGTAAGTAAGGTGTCCACTCACTAGTCGCACAGTATGCCAATGACTTGTCTACTTGCACTCACCTCAGCTTCAGCGCAGCTTTATGTTCTCATTGAACGTTAGCGAATGGTCATTTTGTACGTCTTCCATATGCACCGAACACGTCCGTGTGCTTCCATTTTCGGTAATGACCTCACAAATATGGTATTCTTACCAATTATGGATATAACTTCCGATATAGGTAATGAGAGGACTAGCTTTCCTCAATAGGAAAATCTCTCTTCCCTTCCGCTTTTCATACGGCGGAAGGTCTGTATATCAAGGGATTGGGATCCCCTGGAGTTTTGAACAATCTTTCAAAGACCTCACTTAGTGCAAAAGTAACTTCAGAAAGTACAGCGTGTTGAGGTAGGACAATTGCCTTACTGACATTAATATTTGGCAAGCATCTTAGCCTCAAGTGTCAAAAAAAATCAGCGATTGAACCCTAGTTTTCACTCGTGTAGATTAGCGTGTCTGGCAATTGGCAAGAGCCCCTTTTCTCAAGTTTAGGAGTCATGTCTTTGATCTCAGCGGCCGCTGATATCGACGATACCAGCTCTATAGCATCAGCTGGGTCGACCAAGGCGCCGCAGGCTTACCGCAGAGACGGGAAAGCCCTATCAAAAGAAGCAATCTACAGAGCTAAGCAAAAATATGGCATGTACCAGTCACCAGCCAGGACCACAGGGTCGGGCGTTTCGGACGCCAAGTACGCATCTGACGTAGCGGCAAACTTGGCCAACAACAACAAAACGACCATCGAGGCGTACAAAAGACTCATGGTCGACTCCAACGCTTCCAAAGCTGCAACAGCCGTGTCCAGTCGTTCTCGCGCGTCGAGCGTGTCTTCGAATGTGACGGTGGTCTCTGACAAGCGCTCCACCAGTGCTGCAACTAAGGCGTTGGCCGCGAAGCCCGTGGAGGCCCCTATAACGTCCGGCAAGCGGGAAATGGACATGGCCAAGATACTTTCCGGCGCAGAGGCGGCGGCTGGCAAGCGTATGGACATGCGTTCCAATCCTGAAAAAGTGGTGTACGTTGGCTCTAAGGACTCTGTTAAAGCTGCTGACCGTAGTTTTTCCTTCACTCCCGAAATTATGGAGAGGATCTCCACCAAAAATCAGCTGGAAGCAGAGGCCGAACTGGAGGCCGACCCTAAAAATTACGCTTCGCGTGCAGCATATGCAGTGCGCGATTTTGACCCTAATGCTGTATCTGAATCAGAATTGTTGGAGCGTGAAAAGAAAAAGCAAGCCTATTTTGGACTCTTGACATCTCCACAGGTCTTGGCTTTGGCAAAGAGCAATGCTCAAAACCAACTAGCCTCCATTGATCGGGCTGCACCTGGCAGCTTGTTCAGAAATGAGGAATTTAACAAACTGGCTGTTGCGCTGGCCCAAAAGAGCTCTTCTCAGCGCTCCGAAAACAAAGGAAAAATCAACATGGGCGGCGGTTTATGGTTAAGTCAGTCGGATGTCCAGAACATTGCACAGGGCTTGATTACTCCCGTCTTGGATGAAGTGGATAGCAGAGCCTTACAGCAGAGGGCTGTAGATGAAGACATCAAGCAACGTAAAATTGACTACAAAGAGCAAAATAGCGCTTGGGCCGAATTGCAGCGCAATAAAATTGCGAATGACAAGATGTTCTCTAGGGAGACTCGTTTGAGACACGCGCGTGAAACTGAAGGTTTGCATACTAGGACCGAAAGAAAATATCAAGAGCTGCTCACCACCAAAGACGCGCAGGTTGCAGATGTTGAGAAGGCCTTGCAAGACACCAAAGACAAGTTCGCTGCCCTCCAAAAACTGGTGGAGCAAGAGTTACTGGATGAAGAGAAGCGATGCGAGACTGAACTGGCGCATTTGGCGCAGGTACAGGAGGATGCAATTGTAGCAGCAAGAAAGGAGCAAGATTTGGAGGTTCAACCTTACCTTGACGATGTAATTGCCGCTGAAGCTGAACACCAAAGACTCGTAAATGAGCGTGAAACACTCTCCCAAGCCATCTCTGACTTGCGCACGTCAATTGAAAATCACAAGATCAAAATTGAACAACTTGATCAAGAATTGGTGGACTCTGATGCTAAACATGAAGAGGAAGGCGTGAAATTGGACGGATTGGCAACCGAAAGGGATGAGTTTGAAGACAAGATCGAGTCGCACTATGTCATTTTGGTCGAGAAGGCCAAGGAGCAAGCGCAACAGTCATCAGAGGAATCCCGGTTGAGACAATTAGAAGTTGACACCATGATCAATGAGCGTCAAAGTGAACTTAATGCCACTGAGCTACGCTTGAAGAACGAAAAGTTGGTCTTATTGGAAGCGATGAGAAGCGTCACACAACTAAAAGGGGAAGAGAAATTGGACGAAGGCAAAGTTAAGGCTTTGCTAGGTATGACTTCAGACGAATTTATAGCTCAACAACAAAAGCCTACAGAGACTATAGCTGAAGCTGAAGACGGTTTGGAGGATGGTAAATTTGATAAAACGGAGGAGCCATCAGTCTCCACCGAATCGCTAAAGAATGTCAATGGGGTGTTGGATTCGGACGGCGAAGCCAACAGGGCACCGGCACCCAAGGTCTCCACCTCAAAACCGGTAGGAGCTAAACCTAGTATGGTAGATGCGGTGTTGCCGCCTGATTTCAAACCTGAGGTGAAGCCTAAGACTCCAAAGAAGGCTAACCCTACCACTTCTTCGTCCAAGAAAGGAGAAGTCGCATCTCCTACCAGCCCCAAAGGATCTTCATTGAAGAAGAAACTTTTCGGAATTGTTCAGAAGGACAATGCAAAGTCTCCAGTGAAGGGTAGTTCAGAGCCAGTGGCAAAGCCTGCGGGAAAGCCGGTGAGCAAGCCTCCAAAAGCTAAATCGGCGTCGCAAAAGCCTGAGCCCACTGAGAAAATCCAATCTGAGGGTAAGGTTGAGGAGCTTGACGTGGAGAAGCCTGAAGTAAAAGAGCCTGAAATAAAAGAGCCTGAAATAAAAGAGCCTGAAATAAAAGAGCCTGAAATAAAAGCGCCTGAAATAAAAGCGCCTGAGGTGAAAGAGCCCGAGGTAAAAGAGACCGAAGTGGAGAACATTGAAGCCACTTCGAAAGCTGCTGAGGCCGAGTCGCCACCCCTTAAGCCGGAGAGTGTGGACTTGAAACCAACTTTTAGTGGTTTTTCCCAAGCCAACCAGATCAAGATCGTTGATAATTCCGATGACGAGGTAGACGAGCTACCTGATTCCAGCGAAGTTGGAGAAAATAACGCCGCCGAAGAAAGCGGCGACAAAAAAGGCAGTCTTTTCAAAGAAGTCTTCTGATAGGTGCGCTCGAATATCCAAGTTTGTGTAACTATTAAAATTACTTAGACCGAAAAGATAACTGGTCACCATGACCAATTGTATGTAACAATATAATCTTACAGCCGATTTAGCAGTGGAGTCGCTATTTTGAACTTATTTCAAAGTGCTAGTTAATATACATGAATGATGGGTACTGTTACATCGTCAAAGGCGGCAAAGGGAATATAGTTCCGAGATGGTAAGGAAAAGTCTGAGCTATCCGGCTTCCTCCTCCGGCTTGCTTTCAGACCACGGGCTCCGTCTGATGTGGAGCTGGCACCAACGTGTCGTACTTGTAGTAGCCTTCGAAAGAGGTGACCTGGTGGAAGTACTTGGACACTCTATAGCGACCACCCAAGTAGAAGTCAATAGAGATAATGACGAATATCAGTCCAAACCAAAATGCTAGAAGCCACTCGAAACACGAACTTTTAGAGTTATCTTCGAGTCCCGCGAAACACAAAGCCCATGTAAGGGCAGCTGCAAGCCAAATCATCTTGGCAATGGCGCTGATGGTGTATTTGTTAAAACTATGGCCGACCCAGTGGTTCCAGCGTGTCTCCACCAACTTGTCCTGCGGATCTGCCAATGGGTGCAGCTGAGCGTAATGCCGGCCCATCATTAAGTACTCAGCGGTATTGCAGCAGATCGACAAGAACATAAAGGCGCAGAAGAGGCCCACCATGGTCAAATGGACCGTGTGGTAGTCGACCGTAGAGAAGATAGTGCACATCAGCAAACAGACCTCGCCTATGACTCCAAGTACGAAGCTGGCGAAAATGCAATTCCGCTCATGGCGGGTGTAGTATGGAGGCATCAAGAACTTGGCGGACCGCAGCATGTCGCCGTAGCTGGACTTCAACGTTTCGTGGGACACGGACGACGAGGCATGGTCTGCGGTAGATGAACTCGCCAGCGCTGAACGCTGGAAGGGCCATCTTCCACTGCGTTGGAAATACTCGCATGCAATCGTGATGCAGTATCCCAGGCCCTGCCAGCCAGCACAAGAAATAAACAGCGGTCTGAGATTGGTGGCCCCGATATGAGATATGTAAACGGGGAATTGATATATGTGAACGAACCAGTAGATGGGGTGGCCCTGCGCGGCCCAGCACACAAGCATCGCTATCAGCATACCATACCAGGGAATGAAGGCAATCCAGGGAACCAAAAAGAAGTAGTTTCCCGGTTTATACATGACGCTTGAATCCCCAACTGCTGAGGCTATTCCTGAGGCTATTCCTTAGGCTATTCCTGCCTGTGGTGCTCTCCCATCCCCGACCGGTGCTTTACTTATATGATAGCGATCAACACTACACACCTACAAACGTAATGAGCCGGCCTAGTTGCTGCCAGTTTGCTGATGGAACGCCTCCAGGACGCAATTGAATCCGGCAATGCCGGATTGCCTAGCGAGACCTTAGTCAGTACTGGGTGGATAACTAAGGAACTTTTATTATGACGGCATCCACCCCCATCACCATTGGTTGTCGCTTTCCGTTTCCGTTCGCCCAACTTTCTTAGGCGTCGTTTTAGTCTTACCTGGGCCTGTTCGTGTGATTGCCACCTTGCTTGCTGTCGCTGTAGAAAACGTCCAGCTCTCACCAGACCACGACCACGCAAAAATTTTGCACGGTACAGCTAACACCGTCCAGCTATGCAGGACCCGGGCGAAGCAGTCGGGGATGAGGCCGCAGCAAGCTAAGCTTTTGCCAAGGAGGGCTCAGCTAATACCTGCAACTCGATGCCATGGAAGTCGTGAAGAAAAAGCGGAGTTGTAGGAGTTGTTTTGTCAAGCAGCAGAGAACTAATTACGATAATGTGTGTGACATTGGGAACAATGGACTGAGCAAGTTCCACGCCACGCACTTGAAAATATATCAACGTCACTGGAGCGGATCGGAAGATCAGCGAGAGCGAGAAGCGTTGGTTTCGAAGAATACGTCAAGAAAACTTTTCGACGGAACACACTGTTTACCAAAGATAGGAGAATTGCAGATGGAAATCACATGGAATAATAAGAGTAGGGTGTGAACCTTTTGTCTTTTGAAGTCGGGGAGAACGGCCACACGCAGCTTGGCTGATGACAGGCAGTTGAAGATGACTTCAGAGATGAGGCGTGGGATTAAAGCTTTTTGCTTCTCGTGACATCTAAATATCGATCGAGATGGCTCTGTGCGACGCCTTTATAAGATATCTGAGTAGGTTGTAGACCGCAAAAGTTCTCACAAGACGATATTGACTATATACAGGCCAGGTTGTAACGACTGTGATCGGTGCCATGGTCTGTTTGTTGCACGACTAATTCGCCAGTTAGTAAGTAGTGCTGTAGTATTTATGATTTAATTAATGAAACGGTGAATTGGCCCATTTAATAATGTTTGACAAAAAAACACGCAACACTGGCCATTATGGAACAGTCGCTGGAACGATTGGACCAGGAGATTACGCTACACTTACAGCAAATAGACTCCAATCTCAGCTATTGCTTCAACAAGATTTCGCAGGATGTTATCCCGCATGTCACGAAATATGGCAGCGTGTGCGACCAAGTGATGGACAGTAGCAACTGGCTCAAAATCATGTTCCAAGAGGCTGGAAACCTCCAGATAGACGCTGTCGCGGGTAATGAGCCCACTGCGGCGACCGCAGGATCACAGCTGCAAAGTGGCGACCAAAACTCTATGCAATCGCTGTTCCCCGGGAAGCCCCGTCTAAGTCCCGACTCTTCGAGCGTGATGGTGCCACCTTCATTAGTTCAGAACTCTATGGGTGCGCCGGACGCCTCTGCTACAACCACCACCACCACTGGCCAGATTCTACGGCTACCAGACTCAAGCGATGAGGAACGCGATGCCCGCGAAAACGACAACCACGACTCTAATTCCGCCAGCAACACCGAAACAGCGCACGTAGGCGCTGATCTCAATCCTAGCCGCTCCGCAGACCCGGACGGTAGTACCATACAACGTCAGCGTCGCAAACGCAAGCTTTCTCTCCTTTTGCAACAACAGTTTGGCTCCAGTTCCAGCAGCGTGGCCCCGTCACCCGCCCAGCTTCAAAGACCTGCCACGACCAACAATCTAGATAGCTCGCCTATCCGCAAGGAGAGCACCAAGCAATCCAACTTCGTGGAGCCAGGGACTGTCATCTACTTCCCAACACGGGACGAAACCTAGCGCTGGTCACGTGTCGACCCGAATTAGTTCTCATAATTGGTTTTCGTCGTAGTTCTCAACCAGCATTTTAAGCCGTTCTTGCTCATCCCAAAGTCGAGAACCAGAACGGCTGACTTTGAGGCTCTAGTCTGTCCCTGAATTGCAGTTTTTGGCGCCCTGGATCGAGCAAATGGGAAACGTGATGTCCGCCAGCTTTGCACCCGAGTGCACCGAATTGAAACACGAGTACGACAACTGTTTTAACCAATGGTACAGCGAAAAGTTTTTGAAGGGTTTGTCGATGGAGAATGAGTGCAGCAAACAGTGGTACGCGTATACCACTTGTGTGGAGTCTGCGTTGGTCAAGCAAGGCATCAAGCCGGCTTTGGAAGCTGCCCAAAAGGAAGCCCCCTTCGAAAATGGCGGAGAAAGCAGCGAGAGCAAGTGAAGGGATCTTGATATCTGCGAGACTCCTCGCTGTGTTTTAGATTCGCTAGTATCGTATCGTGTTCCTTTGAAACGGCCGTGTCAAAATTGTAAATAGCTTGTATATGATAGTGAGCGAAACGTGGAAAATTGGTCAGAGAATTGTATTGGAGTGTTCGGGGTGTAAGTACTTCATAAATAAATCACAGCTACGCTCACTCACTGGCGTAGTCACATACTGGCAGTTTCTCCCTAGATACAGCTTCTGCTTCAGATCACTTCATACTAATGTGACGCATTTGCACACACATGAGTTTACAATCCCAACACCAAGCCTATCGCTCGATGTTTTGTGCCAAGTCATTTTGAGGGCAGATTCTGGCATCCGTATAGGGCAAAACAGGTTCTTCCACAATTTTTAGATTAAGAAATAAGAATTCTTACAGTCGATAGTCCATAAGGGCAACAGCTCTTGAAAAAGCCCGCCAGTTTCACCGTCTGACTCCAGTTACATGCTAGGCATTGGCGGGGCCGGTGGCCATGGGCGCTAGCTTTGACATAAAAGATCAACAGTCTTCAGCTGGTAAGAGATATCTACATCACGTCCAACGATAAGATAAGTTAATTTCTCACTTACAAAAAATTTTGCCACCGGTAAAGTTGATCCTGAGCCTAATCTTCGACTTCAGAAACCTTTGAATTTCAACCAAGAATCGGTCAATCCCGGAAACTTGAATCTGAAGAACTTGCCTGGGCAATTGAAATAGCTTGTTAACCTTTGCACATCGTGACCATTTTTCAATTGTCGTTTTTGAGCGTTTTTCTTCCAAACAGGTTTCTACAACACTTCACAAAACAACCTGCAAATCCACGATCATAAAACGCTTTCGAGCCAGTACGAAACTAAAGAATGTCCACACAATTGAGGAAAACCAATCACAATAAGCAGCCGCACAGCAGTCACAAAAAACTAGATCCAGAGCTAAAGTTCAAGCTGGAAACGCTTACAGAACTATTTCCGGATTGGACCAACGACGACCTGATCGACCTTGTGCAAGAATATGATGATTTGGAGACTATAATTGATAAAATCACATCTGGGGCAGCCACCAAGTGGGATGAAGTTAAAAAGCCATCTAAAAAGGAGAGACAGCAACAGCAAAAGCAGCAACTACAGCAGACTCAACAACAACAACAACAACAGCAGCAACTACATATAACGCCGGCTACTTCTACTGAAGGTAGCAATAGCAACACTAATAATTCGCATAATAACAGCAACAGCCATCACACAGGACCCTCTGGCGACGCTGACCACTCGCATACCAAGTCTAAGTTTAGCAGGGATTCCAACTCGGGTTCCAGGTTCCACAAAAAGTCCGCTGGTAGAGATCGTGCTGATCGTGGCGACAGAAACAAGGTCTCTTCCACGTCGGCTAGCTCCGCCGCGGCCTCTGCGGTCCAGCCAGAGCACTTGAATCCCGCTGTGTCAGCTGCAAAGAGTGCATCTTCTACTTCCTGGGCGGCTATGGCGTCCGACAAGAAGGCTGGTAAACATGTAGCTCACTCGCCTCACAGTGCATCCACCAAGAAGAATCAAGATCAACTAGCAACCCCGGAGCCTACACAAGAAACTGAAAATCTAGAACCATCCCAACAAGTACTACAACAGCAGCAGCAGCTCGATGGTGAAGCAGCATCTGTTGATGCCACTATCGCCGCTGTATCAGCCGCCGGTGTTCCTGTAGAGGATCTTGAAAAGCCCAAGAGAATGACCTGGGCCGCTATTGCCACCCCTAAACAAAAGGCAGCTATGATTAAAAAATCCGAACCATTGGAAGAATTTGAGGATATCAAGAAGGAAGTTTCCCAGATAGCAGAAGACCCAACAGCAGCCCCTGTTGAGTTTCAAGTTGAGGCGTCTGTGTTAGAGCAACCAGAGGAAGTGCAACCTCAGTCACAGGAGCAATCTGAGCTTTCTACTGTTCGTGACGAAGCTCTTGAGGAAGCGACCGATCTTCCAGTACATTCAGAAGAACCCGAACAGATCCCTCTGGAATCTGCAACTAAGCAGATTCCAGAGTCTCAAATTCCTCAGGAAACCGCTTCGGAAACCACAGAGTCAACAACAGCTGCATACCCTGTTCAAGAACCACAGCAACAGCATCAGCAAGAACAACTACCAACTTCCAGTTATTCTGACGAAAAGTCTGCTCAAATTCAAACTCCTGCTGAGCAAACACAGACTTTCTATCAATCGCAGCCTCAACAGCAATACTCTGCTCAAACGCCACAGCAAGCATCCCAGCCACTACAACAACAACAAAGTGCCGCTGCCGCTGCTGCTGCTGCCCAACAACAATACTATATGTACCAAAACCAGTTTCCAGGGTACTCTTACCCTGGTATGTTTGATAGCCAAAACTATCCCGCTGGCTACGGTCAGCAGTACATGCCGCAACAAAGCGGTTCCCAACCTCAATCAGCTTCTGCTCAACAACCACAAACCCAATCTCAAGCTGGACAGTATGGCATACCTCCGGGCTATGGCGGTGCTACTAGAGACTTGAGTGCGGCCTCGCCCATGGCAGCTCAGGTGCAGCTACAGCAGCAACAGCAGCAACAGCAGCAGCAACAACAACAACCTTATGGTGGCTCCTTCATGCCTTACTATCACTTTTACCAACAGTCTTTCCCATACGGACAGCCTCAATATGGTATGGCAGGCCAGTACCCTTACCAAGTACCTAAGGGTTACGGTAACTACATGAGTCAATACCAACCACAGCAGGGCGGTCAGACCTCTTCCTCGCAATCTCAGCAGGGTGAGGAGGCCCAACAAGGGACACAGCAGGGCCAAAGTGCTTCTTCTCAAGGTCAAGGCCAAAGTTCTGGTAGCCAGGGCCAGGCCCAAATCAGTGCTCAACAACAAGCCCAACTGCAGCAATATTATCAGTTTCAGCAGCAACAGCAACAGCAGCAAGCCGCTGCCGCTGCTGCCGCTGCCCAACAGGGCGTTCCTTACGGATATTCAGGATATGATTTTTCTTCTCAGGGAACTAGAGGCTTTTATTAAAGCGGGAAAGGTTGTTGGAGCTGCGTGTGGAATGTTGCACACTTGGACCATTGGACAATTATAGTTGCATGTGTAAATAAAAGCAAAATCGTTAACGTTTAGAATAATCACACAGTACTGTTATCGATATAAGTTTCGTTGTATCGATCAAGCTGGCAAGCTAGTAACAGGGAGCGAGTAGAAGTTTGTTCGCGACTGATTGTTTCTTTACTACACCTGTGACCATTCGGTGAATATGCGCCAACGACTTTAAAGGAACTCAGTATTAAGGAAACGTAGCATGAATCTGAAAGAATAACGTAGTGGTGCCATTAGCAGTCTTGTTTGGTTATGTGCCCAGATCTCACTATCACCTGGTACGTAAACGTCGTTGCTAGCATTTCTGTCGTGAAAAGATCAGGCTTAATATATAAATATGATAAATAAATCAAATTACGCTTAGTACTCTCTACCTATGACTAGCTAACAACTATCAGTTAGTTTCCATTAGCTCTACTTGTACATTAACTCCTAGTAAAGGCAAAACCTCAGCTGTCCCTGAATTACTTTCTGAAACCGATTGTTGACATTATCCTGACATCTCGAGGTTTCCTATCTTAATACGACAATTCCAATATATGGTTCAAGCCAGGAATTTCTGTTGTCTTCAGTAGTGAAGATCGCAAGAGATGCGACTTGTGAGACCTCGCTGAGCTGGCCACCCAAACGCACCTTAGCATCTGAACTTCTGAGGTGAACTAGTGTTGGCTGCGCGAATTTGGAGGGCCTCGGACTGTAAATCATTTTATCAAGTGCCACCGGTGGATCATGAAAAAGATTCCGGTAGCTATTGTAACAGGCGCTACACGAGGTATAGGACGTTCGATTGTAGATAAGCTATCAAGTGAAGGAGTTTGTTGCATTATGGTCGGTTCCAAGCTGGAGAGCTTTCAGCACATGCACAACAACCCAGTACAACTCAAGGGCCAGATGCACTGGAACCGAGGCATAGCCATTGATTTGTCGGAGTGGCCCAAGTGGACGCAACAAACAACTTATCCCGGATGGCATTTTTCAGAGAGCCCTGGTCGCCGTTCGCAGCCGCAACCAGGGTCTTGGGCTCTGCTCGATTTTGACTATACCTTGTACGATTTGGCTCTGATGGTCAATTGTGCTGGGGTTACGCAAGCATCGCCCTCAATCCTTTACGGAACGGATGCAATGCAGCGCCTAATGAACATCAATTTTCTAAGCGCGGCGAGTTTGTGCAACATTGCCTCGAAACGAATGGCTAGATCGCGCAGGTACTTGGAGTATGCGCCTCACATCATAAACATATCTTCCGTCGTAGCGAGCCCGACAGTGACTCCTGTACCTGGGACGTCTCTGTATGCCGGCTCCAAAGCAGCCCTCTCCCAGTATTCCAGAGTCTTGTCTGCAGAACTGGCCCGAGCAGGTATTCGTGTCAGCTGCGTGTCGCCTTCGCTGGTAGCGGAAACAGACATGATCCGGAATCTTCCGGCCAAGGCGAAGTCTGTACTAGAGTCGTACTTTGGTGCAGAGCACCGGCAAAGTCCTGATGATGTTGCATCTCAGGTTTGGGATCTCTACACTTCAGCTAGCTCATGAGATCAGCTTGTGGACAGCTCTTCATGATGTCAGCGATACAAGACAGCCTCCTGCCCGGTGTAAATTGATAAAAAAACCAAAAAACTGAGATCCACTGAAAAAGCTGGAGCTAAGAAACTATAAACCATTGCTTTAGTATGCAAGAACGCTCTTCTTACTGTGCTGCTGTTGTAAGCTGGTTTCCCATATCCTCGGTGTCACGAAATTATAATGATGGTCCACTTTATTAATCAATAAAACAATCCTACTATATAAACCCCGCAAAATATAAATAACATTGGCGTTGATATCACGCAGCTTTATTCTCAATCTCTTGGTCTGTGAATGAGGCTCTGACTTGGCCGACACGAATCCTGTCGGTGCTGTCGGCTTCATCGCTAGATTCACGTGCTTGGATATCCAATTCGCGTTTTATTTCTTTTCAGTTCATCACATGGCCCAAAAAAAAATTTTCCAAGTATATAAACGGCGATGAGCTCGGCAGAGCCCTCGCACAGTATTGTTGATCTTTCACACTGTTGGAAAACTTGCAAGCTCTATACTACCATGATTATCTACAAGGACATTATCTCCGGTGACGAATTGTTGTCTGATGCTTACGACCTAAAATTGGTCGATGGTGTCATTTACGAAGCCGACTGTGACATGGTCAAGGTTGGTGGTGACAACGTCGATATTGGTGCCAACCCTTCTGCTGAAGGTGGGGATGACGACGTTGAAGACGGTTCCGAAATGGTGAATAACGTTGTGCACTCTTTCCGTTTGCAGCAGACCGCCTTCGACAAGAAGTCCTTTTTGACCTACATCAAGGGCTACATGAAGGAGATCAAGAACAAGTTGCAAGAAACCAACCCAGATGAGATTTCCACCTTCGAGAAAGGTGCCCAAACATACGTTAAGAAGGTGATTGGCTCTTTCAAGGACTGGGAATTTTTCACCGGTGAATCTATGGACCCCGACGGAATGTTGGTGCTATTGAACTACCGTGAGGACGGTACCACTCCATTCGTTGCCATCTGGAAGCACGGTGCCGCCGAGGAGAAGATCTAAGGCGCACACGACGGTTCCGCGGTCCTGTGGTTTTGGATTTCGAGAATCGCATCTGAGACCGCTACAAATATAAAAGGGTGTCTGAAAGGCGTGCCCTTTTGAGGTTTCGCTTCCATCTCGCGTCGTTATCCAGGCCAGGAGCATTTGATTAGTAGCATCAGATGTGGGATGCAGCTGAATTTATACTTATAATTATAATAATATTACTAACATCGTGAACATTTTGAGAATATGGAGACGCTTGCATTGCGTCAGGGTAGCCGTTCTCTCCCAGGGCCGTGGGCGGAGGTCCTTGGTTAGAACACTGGGTCTCCAAATGTGGCACGCATGCCACTGTCGTGTGATAGTGATCAGATGAGGGTCACACTCAGAAAGAGAAAATTAGGTAGCTTAACCACAACTAGAAGAAGTCTGCAGCTGTCGGCTTCTTCTCTGCCTCTATCTTTTTCTGCTAATTTCTTGACACAACTCTGCATATCAAAGTCAGTCCCGTTAAAACACCATAAATTTTCGAAAAGTCCTCATAATAACGTAGGCTATTCGAGGTAAGTGCTGTATTTGTGTATCTCCACTATTTTCTCTGGCCTCATCTGTTTTTGGGCATATCTAGTGGTCCGGTTAGAACCAACATCTTAGCACTCTCCATGCCTCAGAGTTTGTCGTCAATAGTGCACAAAGTAGAGAGCTTTAGGTTATGATTAATATATAGTAGAAATCTGGCCAAAATGTCAACCTGCTGCGAAGGTAAGAGCGTAAACTTTACCTCTAAATTTACACTGATTGATCAAAATGGGCACACCACCAGCGTCCGCTATATATACGCTGCCGGGGGTGATGCATTATTTGCAAACAGAGTTCACGCGAAATGAACGGGATCGCATAGGGTGGGAACTGGAGAGAAGTGAGATGAAAACGCGAATTGCGCAATTGGAAGGGGAGAATAGGACGTTAAGATATGAGCTTGCTAAATTAAGAGATTCTGAAAACGCTAAAGATTTCAAATCTAGCGATTCATCGATCCAAGAACCATTGTTGTTAAAATCAAAACTTGCAGTGCAGGAAAATGTAAAGGAAATAGTGTATCTTTTGCGAAGCCCCCACGTTACCGAACAGCTTCAGGGCCTTCGCGACACCAAGGATGCTGTTCATCAACTAGCTGCTTTGAATTTGAACACCAAATCTCAGCCTACGGGAAAACAGGCAACGCAGGAGACGTTACAGCATGTGACACAAACGGATCAGCCTAAGCAGCCGCAGGAAAAGCAAATGCGACAAGCTACCGTATCCTCTTTTACTCCTGATCCTGCTTCGCAATCGAGGCCCATTGAAGGTGATGTGAGCGTCCCATTTGAGGCAGATTCTGGGTACGGCTCGGACGCCAACACTATAATTCCTGAAGAGGCCCCTACGCGTAGAAATAGAGCATCTTCGCTATTTACGTCTGCACCGGGCAAACCAACACCAGATACGGTACTTCGTTGTAAACGCCTCAGATATCATCTTGCCGGCATTGAGAAGCTAGTCATTTCCCAGTATAATATGCTCTCATATGCACGAGATGGTTTAATGAAGCATTGGATGATAGAACCCAACCTCAACTGCAACGAAAAACTCACGAAGAGCTTTCACGGCCTAGCGCCGATCGTGTTGGGCTTGTTTTGGCTTGATAATCAGAGATTTCTCACAGTTGATAACTTTGGCCTGAAAGTTTGGAGAGTATCTGAAAGCACGCCCTGCTTGGCCTTGGATTTATTTGACGAAAACTCAGATGTGAACTTCTCCAGTATTCAAAGTGTCGATTTAAAAAACTCTTGGTTGATAATGACCAGCAATGATACCATTCACATTTGGGAAGTTCTCATAGATTCCAAGTCGATTAAAATTGGAGAAAAGTATTCTATTGCAGACCCTGCCCGCATACTCGACTCGATACTGGGTATGACGGAAAAATCACTAATAGTTTTCAAGCGAGAACCTTACGAAATTGTCATCTACACTTTCCAAGGAGAACGGTTACAAAAGGTTCGTTTGCAAGGAGAATTGGATAAGACAAAGGAGTCAACTGAACAGGTAGATGGTACGGGTCGAAAACTTCTTCTCAATAAGCAAACGTCAAAATTAATGATACAATTAGCAAACTTTGTGGCCGTCTATTCTTTTGACCGCAAACAACTGATATTTTCGAAGCGTTTGGATATGGTTCCCACAAGTCTGATATTCAACTCACGTAAGGATTACGTGATACTTGCATTCGATGATGGGTCAGTGGAGGTGAGAAATTTGAAAAGTTTTGAGACAGTTTTGAAATCCTACAATCACTACGACGACGAGACGGAGTATGAGAAGGAGAGCATCTCCAAGCATCCCAAGCTGGATGAACAAATGGCGGATGAGACTTTGGGGGAATTGCGACAAAGCGCTCACAAGGGGGTTATCATCGATGTTGCTGAAATCGACTCCACAGCTGTCGTTATCTCAGGAGGTGATGATGGCATGATAAGATTAGAACTTGTTCCAGAATGTGTTTAGGTAGCTCGGGTAATGATCTTGGCCACTTCTATGTTCAGTTATATGCATTTACGAAATTTTGTTGTTACGTAATTCCCAAAGGTAGCTACTCATACCTCTAGCTACAGCACAGAAGGAACCTCTCTTGTGATTTGCCAGGAAAGTCCCAAACTGGAAGGAAAATACCCGACGTGGGGTGTGGGGCGCTGTAGCACAAACATATGTATTAATTAAGAGGCTAAAGCAAATAGCCGCCGAGCTTATTGACGGCATATGATGGTAATTTGATTCTTAAGTTATATGAATAGTGTAAATTATTCATGACTAAGTAAGTGTTCGAATCGTTAAATCCCCGGTTGTAAGAGGAAACGTCTGTGAGGGCATTAATGCTATGATAGGTTTGCCGTACTGGTAACTCAACGTACAAAATGCACCATAACTGTCGTCTACTACGAGGAAATTACCATCGAACATCTAGCAGTCTCTGTTTGAATATCCAAACATCTCCCAAACATAGGTATCGTCGCTACTGAGTACGAGCCCGAAAGATGGGACTTGCCGGAACGAGACTCTCGAAGATTGATGTTAATCTTCAAGGCTTCAAAAAAACATGGCAAGACCATAAGGGTGTGGATCTTTTTCTAAACTCAGACACCAAGCCCAACAAGGTTAAGGACCAAAGCAGCGATTACTCGAACACCTTGAGGTTGATCAGCGAGGACTATGTGTGCTTTCATTTTTTGGCAGGATATTCGGTGCTATCTCTGTATTCTCTAGGTAATGCGGTTGCCGGAAGAACTCTTAATATACACCTGCCGTCGCCTATGTTAAATTCACATCACACTTTCACGATTCGAGAGATAAAGGGGAGTCTGGTCATGGAGCTCATTCTTAATGACGGATTGTACCTGCTTCTTACAATTCCTGTGAACTGTGTGATGGATATGATCACTGAGATACCCGAAAACTGGTTTAAAGTGTTAAACCCATATGATTTTACCATTAGACGGCCACACTATATCTACTCAGTGTCCGAGATTTTCACAGTCGCTTTTTTGGAGGACGGAGGTCTGGTAGGACTCAGCAAAATAGAAAATGAAAGTGGAGAGTCAGATGTGACTCCGGCTCTGTTCAACGACAATAGCTATCTCCAAGGACTGGGCAAGATTCTTTTTTCTAGGAGGAATGCAGTAGAGAACCATATTGTGGTTAGCTGCGCTTTGTACCGTGATCGCTTTCTGATTACCTTAACACAGGGCTGCAGACTGAAAATTTGGGATCTAGAGAAGCAAGCTGTAATGTTCGAAAAACATTTGGCTGTCGATGAGAAGCATGCAAAGAGAGTTTATGAAACGATGGGTCAATTTCTATCATTACATGATGACATGTTGGTGATTTTTTTGCCCTTTGAAAACGGAATTTTTCAAATGTGGGATTTGAGGCTCGATACCAGAGGTGACCTCGTATTGAAAGCGGGCTCCACATACCGCAGTAATCTGTCATCCTCATCTATTTGGTCATTGGTTGATATGAAGTTGACCAAGCCTATGGGGGTATGTGATTCTAACAGTTTCCTGGACCTCGTGGTACTTTGGAGAAGTAATCGCGTTGTAAAATTACAACTTCTGGTTTTCCTGGATGATGCGCTTCAAAAGCATGAATGGATTGAAGCCACCAATCAATCGTTAGTGGATTTACGGTCAGATTTCAATCTTTTGACTAATGGCGATACTAATCAAGCCGTCATGAATTTGAAAGCTCATTATACTCCAAGTCTATTTAAAGTTGCTCAAAGGATCTTGAGTGACAGTGGAGTGCTGATGTCTCCCGACTCTCCGTATAGTCAGGAATATCTTTTGAATCTTCAGTCCATACTCAAAGATCTCAAAAAACGTAACGAGGAGCCATCCTCTCTTACTATGTACCAGGATGGGCTGTTGTTGGTGAATTCTCTCTCATTATATTCTCACTCCTTTTACAAACCTCATTCACTACTCGAAAGCAGTTTTTACAATAAGGGAATAGATTCGAGCTCCGGTAATGATTTGAAGATGTTTCTGCGAACAATTGACGGCTTTGCGGATACTATCTCGCCTAGTATTCTTGCAGATATTTCTCGGTCTCTGGTGGAAGCCGTTTCAACGTGTTTTCCAACTGAAATACCTATCAAAGAAAAGTTTACAGAAATCTACTCTACTCACTTGAATGGGCATACTCATCTGGCGAATTTAAAGAAGCTTTATGAGGACTTGAACCAATTTGATGTCATTGCCATACTGGATACTTTTCTGGAGCAGACAACAGAAATGGTTGACCTGGAACGTCCACTAATTGATGCTATCTACCCCAACAGTCTATTAAATGCGGCCGTTATGGAAAGTACCCATCAAGCGATATTGATTCAAAACAATTTTGTCATAAACATTTTACTGATATTTGCATTCATGGATTTCGATTGTTCTGCATTTTTGCGACAGATAAATACGCTTCTTGCTCTTCATTATAAGCAAAGTTTGTGGATCCATCTATACCGATTGGACAAAGATCTTCTAGCTTCTCAAACTTTCTCGAGAACGAGCAAATTTGGCAAAGGAACTAAAATCAGCACATCTGCTGAGTGGTCATCAACTCTGGCGGTAATCCTAAAAGAGGTTTATAAGATGGCTGTGTCACCAAATCCACTCTTCATCGAAGCATTTGACACTTTTGTCACCTCAGGCGCCAAAAGCGCTAAGTCCTGTGAATTGTATTTAACGACAGTTCAACAAAAGTTTTCAATTCATTCCAATGTAGCTCATGAATTTATGTTGGGGTTGTCATACTTTATGTGTGGAAAATACGATAGGGCTTTTGAGTTTCTTCAGAAGCATTCTTACCCAGATGTACTACTTCAAGAATTGCCCGATAGGCTGTATATGCCTCTTCAAAAAGATGGACATTTATGGTGTGACGTCATTGGCTCATTCAAATTGCCTAATAAGCATTCGGCTTACTACTATAATCTTGCAAAGTTATTCTCTGTTGTTAAAAGCTTTGAATATGCTCTACTTTGTGCCAAGAAATCAATAAAGCTATCTACCGAATATGGAGACATCGAAGAAACTCTTGTTTTCAGGAATGCGCAACTATTACAATATTTGGAAATTCTTATGGTTTTCTCAAATTATGAAGAAATTTTAGAGGTGCTTAGTTGCAGCCCCGAGATAATCTCACAAGACGTTAAAGCTTCTTATTACCGTAGGTTGCTTTTGAATCTTCAACATCGGGATGCTTTTTTCTCCATTGTATTGAAGCTTTGCTGCAATGCAGATGGCTTATATTTGCCCTCGCAGGATTATAGTATATTGGATACAATACTATGTGGCGAAGTAGACAACAAAGACTGGGATACTTATAAAAGAGTCTATTCTTTCAGATTAATGAATGGTCAAGATCGAGCCGCTGCCGAGATACTCTATGATTATCTCCAAAAAAGTGGGGACCTTAACAAGAGAAAGCGGTGTTACTATATCATCATAAACATTTTGAGTTCATTCTCACATGAAAACGATCATTGGATTCTTACAAATGGTCGCCCAGTGACATTAAAAGATCTGAAGGCAGAACTCGCCGTTCTAGAAGCTCAATAAATGTAATAAATCTGTATAAAGTAATGGACTGCCGAGCCAACCAAGACCCAAAAAAAGGGAAGAAACAAAGCATCAAATTGAAACAAAACTAAACCTTTCTACCTTAGCCCCGGTTTATAGTATTCCCGCTGCCCTTTGCATTGGCCTCCTTGAACTCATCCCACTCCCTGGCCTTATAAGTCTCTTGATCTTGCCAATCTACGTTGTCTTCATCTGGCTCTAGAGCTGTCTCTTCTCCTCCTTCAAGTACACGGCCCTCTTCAAATTCTTTTTCCAAAAATTCCTCTACAGACATGGTCGGGCCATATTGTCCGTATCCAAAAACTTTTTGCTTTAGTTGAGTCTTTTTATCTACAAGTGTGAAATTTCGGAGCACTTTACCTGTCTTGGACATTAAGGGAGTATTGAGGGCTTCCAGCTTTTCTGTGTAAGCCAGTGGATCTGCTTTTGTATCGTTATTCTCATCCTTGTTTTGGAGAAGAGGTGATGGCTCTTCCACAAAATTTGAAAGCAGCTCTGTCTCGTAAAGTATTTGTTCCGTTTCATTGACCGCTTTATAAGCTATTTGTTGCAGTTGATTTTTCTGCAAATCTCTCAAGATTTCATCGTTGGTATCATCATGGCGTAATCGCTGTTCCAGTGTCGTTATTTGAGCTTCAACCTGTTTGCTTGCTTGAAATATTTCGATTTTTTGTTGCCTTTTTAATTGAGCAGTTCTTAAGTCCTTGGAACTGCTGGGTTGGGAATATAAGTCCTCTAACTTAGGTTCATAAACGTTTTCCATTCGATCTAACTTTTTAGCATATTCACTACTCAATATCCCATAGTTTTGTAGTGATACTAGATACTGCATGTACAGCTGTACCGATTTGCGTAAAAATTTGATTTTGACGATATTTCTATCCTTTGTGGATCCCAATTGAATCGCTTGCTTCTTGGAGACCAGCCATGCCAAATGGTAATCAATAGCTAATAAAGGCATCGATGTGGTACTGAGATCTTCAAAACCTTCATTGTCACTAAACAATGCCAGCTTCGAATAAACTGTGGTTTTCAATTCTAAAAGTTGAGCGATATTTTGGGTGAGAAGCTCTTGGAAAGCATGAGAGTCTTGCCTTAAGCTAGTGGAGCCAATCTGCGTACCAAGCTGGTCAACTAACTGGTTAAATTTATCCCGTATGGATGACATAGAAGCGCGATGCGTGTGTGTGTCTGCGTGTCTGTCCTGTGGCAATTGCTAGTTTCAGGAAACTACATAAACTTTCGAAATCAACCATTTTATATTATTAACTTGTCATTATTATTTTGCCGAATATACATTTTTTGTAAAAGAGCCTCCCTATTCGCCCGTCTTCTTTGAATTACAGGCTACAATGCGAACCTTGTCCACAATAACCGTGTTTCCCTGTGGGTCTTCGGTTTGCTCCAGTTTCACGCTACAGTTTTTAATGATAAAAGTCCAAACATCATCGCAAAACCTATAAGTATCTAAATGGCCCTTGAAAGTGAGTTTACTCTGCGTTTTATCCTTTAATGTCTCTGCCACGACTCTATCAAAAGTATCTAGGACGCGCATGGCCAGTGAGGCCTCAATTCTGCCATCACTTATGAGTGTATCCAGAGCATCCACCAAAGTGGCCCCCACGGTACTCCGACGATACAGTTCGTAGAAACCCGATGTGCTCATGAGAAAGAAGGGCTGGTGGTTTATGAAGTGAAGTGGGATGAATACAAAGTCCTTCGAATAGGTGAAGAGAGTGGTCTCTGGTCAACTTTCCTTCTAATTTACCTTTAGTTTTCTTCCCGAGTGTGTGTCCGAGTACTTTAGTACTCGGTGAATAGAGGAAAATGTATGGACCAGGCGATCAGCATGTTAGTGAACTGGCTTCTTGGTGAAATCCACAATGAGTTCCTTGAACCTTAAAGCTTGTCTCTACATCCCCCTAGCCCTGTATGTTTTACAAACGTGAACTAGTTTGCTGAGGCAATACTGAAATATTCAGGCAAGTAAAGAACATACACATAGTTATAGTGGTAGATTTAGATGTGGGGTGGTTGCGTATGGAGATTGAATATATGTTAAATGAAGAGAGTCGAGCATCTTTTGAAAGTTTGATCTATGATGACCGACCACTGTCTGGGATATCTTAACTTGGTGTCTTGGTCACGTGGCTTGGAAACTGGTCTTAGTGGTGGTGCTCGTTGTTGCAAATAAGCGCAGTTACGGCCAGCAGAAGCGAGCTGCGAGTATCGGAGGTGCTTGGATGAGGGTGCTAGAGTAACGGAGTAATTTGAAGCGAAGTTTGATAGGACAACTCAAGGGGGGTTACAACGGAGAAGGTGGCTTACCGTGGGGTGATGAATCCAGCAAATTGATTAGATAGACGTAGGGCAATTCTTTGGCAGGTGTTTCTTCTGAGTTGAGACTTTTCCCTTTCATTGAGTCAGGCCTAATGGCCCGGCAGAGATATTTCTGTTTCTCCTAGCACTTAACTAGGACTAGTGACAGATTTAAAGTGAGGATATGGATAACTCTTACAGTCCTACCATTGTTTAATGTGCCCCAAACCATGGCCACTTGTTGTTTATCAAAATCTTTCAGCATCTGGGGCGTTATGATAAAGTTGCATCTGTCACTTGTACCATCTGACTTTCGTACGACCATGAGACTTTTGGCATGAGTTGCACACTCTCCAGGGTAGACTCCGATCGCAAGGAACTTGTCCCCATCGTGCCGTACTCTTGGTGCCGCACGAATAGCTGCTCCTTACAGGACAAGAAACAGATGGTACCCAGGGACTGATATCGAGCTGGAAACAATCAGTGGCTGCTCTGGGATCAACTGCACGCACGCGGCAACGTGTTTCGATACTTCCGCTTCGTCTACACGTATGTCGAAGGACTTGGACTTGGCCTTCACCAGTTTAAATGTTACGCCGTCGCGCACAACATGGTCTACTAGTTGGTGAAGAAGGATCACTCGTTTGCATTTGTCCTGCCTCTTTACATCTTTTTTTTTCACTTGAAATGTTGAGAACAAGAATAACTGGATCATTGCACATACACGGCTGATTAGCCAAACGGTTCAGTGCGCTTTGGATCGCGCTCACGGGCCGTGTGCATGTGCACTGTACGCTGAATGCTTTTGAGGTTTCTTGAAAATTCTCCGAAACTTCTTCAACTTCAATAGTTGCACCATCACACGTCATTAGCTGATCTCCTGGTTTGAGACCTTCAACGGCCGTTTTATTTCCATCGGCAAGATACGAATTGGGTCCCCCTTACAAACCCACCGGCGCGATGCGGGGTCCGCGGTCCAAAGTTGACATGTCCATGGACACACTAAATACATTTGTCCTAGAGCGGGTGGACTAGACAGCTGGCCCTCTTATACCCTTTGGGTGCTACCGAGGGACATTGTGTTGGCGTAGATGTGACACATTACAATGTTCACGGGAAAATGCTCGACGGTTGTCGCCCGAAACACCTGGCCCTCTTATACCCTTTGGGTGCTACCGAGGGACATTGTATTGGCGTAGATGTGACACATTACAATGTTCACGGGAAAATGCTCGACGGTTGTCGCCCGAAACACCTGGCCCTCTTATACCCTTTGGGTGCTACCGAGGGACATTGTATTGGCGTAGATGTGACACATTACAATGTTCACGGGAAAATTCTCGACGGTTGTCGCCCGAAACAGCCGCCCCTTGCACATCCATCCCGGCCACCTTTCGCCCAACATGAAACCCATCGCGGACTGGGCACTCGAATTCCACCAAATGATCTCCGTCACGTGCTCGAACCACTCTTCAGGATCAACAACAGCCTTAGTTGAGACAGACCACACGGTGCGCACACCTGGAACACTAGCCCGCAACTTGCATGATACACCAGGGTATTTATTTTTGCTGAAGTTTCGGGGTCATTCAGCGTCTGACTTTCGGTTCTGCGTGTTAGGTAGTTTGAGTTGGCTGTTGATTGATCAGATTTCGGTAATTGGATTTAGGAATAGACCATCATAGCTTTACACGAGTGATGGTCCATGGAATTGATCAGCCGCACCCAACTCTTGGCAGCCACTCGGCCGTAACACTGGCTCGCGCTATCGCTTAACATATCGCATTAGACATAAAAATACGTGATGATATATATATATACTAAATCACACTTACAATTGGTTGATGGTGTGGAAAACTTCCAAGGCTTCGGTGACTCTCTTGGACATGGTCTTCTCACCCTCTCTGACCCACACTCTTGGGTCGTACTTCTTCTTGTTTGGCAAATCGTCGCCGTCTGGGTTACCCACTTGGGCTTGTAGGTAGTCCTTGTACTTCAAGACGTAGTCTCTGATACCCTCCAAGTAGGCGAACTGGCAGTCAGTGTCGACGTTGACCTTGACGGCACCGCTGGAGATGGCGGTGTTGAAGTCCTCTTGGGAGGAGCCGGAGCCACCGTGGAAGACCAAGTACAAAGGCTTGGCGCTGGCGGGCTTGCCGATCTGCTGGGCAGCGTACTCTTGGAAGCCACCCAAGATTTCGGGTCTCAACTCCACGTTGCCGGGCTTGTACACACCGTGCACGTTACCGAAGGCGGCGGCAATGGAGAAGTTAGGAGAGATAGGGGCGAGGGCCTTGTGGACGGCGAAGACGGTCTCGGGCTTGGTGTACAAGTCCTCGCGGGAAACGTGTTCGTTGTTGACACCGTCTTCCTCACCACCGGTGATGCCGATCTCCATCTCGAGCCACTGGTCCATCTTGGCCATTCTGGTGAAGTACTTGACACAGGTGGCGATGTTCTCGTCGTCCGACTCCTCGGACAAGTCCAGCATGTGGGACGAGAAAAGAGGCTCGCCGTGCGTCTTGTAGTAGGCCTCGTCCGCCTCGAGCATGCCGTCGAACCATGGCAGCAGCTTGGCCGCGCAGTGGTCCGAGTGCAGCACCACGGGGATGCCGTACGCTGGCGCCACGGCTCTGATGTAGTGCGCGGCCGCGATGGATCCCTGGATCGACGCCTTCTGGCCGTCGTTGGACACGCCCTTCCCGGCAAAGTACGCGGCACCGCCGTTGGACGTCTGCAAGATGATAGGCGACTTGTTGTCTCTGGCGGCCTCCAAGGCGGCCACCACGGTCGACGACGTGGTCACGTTGATGGCTGGGATCGCGAACTTGTGTTCGGTGGCGTAGTCGAACAACGCGCGCACGTCGTCGCCGACAATGACACCGGTCTTTCTCTTTAGAACTGATTGGACACCCATTGTTGATTGTACTATACTGGTTTTGGTTTGCAGCTGCAGTAGTGAGTGGAGAAAGGAGACCAGGAGCTGAGGGGAGGCCCTAACTTTTTTTTCACCGCCTGTTTATATACATTTTCTGGTCTTGAACCGATTGCGTTGGGCCACTGCGCTGGGCCACTGCGCTGGGCCACTGCGATACGCAATGGGTGGGACCACATTGCCCACACCGCCAATGGCTGGAGCGAGCAGAGAGAGCGACCCACCGAGGAGGGCGCCCGCCGAGACTATCACATTAGCACATTAGCACATTGTGTATCGTGAGCGGTGTGCTGACCTCTACCACCGCCAGCATCATCAGCAGTTAGCTCTGCTTCCCTGCGCCGATTTGGTGCGCTGTTAGGACGGAGGCCTTTTTTTCTCCCCGGCGGCCTTCCTCGCGTGGTGGGAGCACTCTGGACGGGCTTCCGCGGGCTTCCTGACGGCGCCGGCAGGAACGGAAGCCCGCGCTGACGTAAGCGGGGGCTTCCTCGGGCTTCCTGGGCGTCCGCGGACGCCGCGGACGCCCGCGATGACGCAAAACGGCCGATGACGTGCGGGGCACGTGGCGCGCGAGAGTGCAATGGGAGCGCGCGAGGAAAAAGAAGCGAGCTCTCCAGAAAAGTGGTTACACAAAAAGGGCCCCCCGGCCCTAAAAAGGGAAGCAAAAAGAAACACAAAGAGGATCACGCCTCCAGGGCTGGGCGGCAGCAGCCGGGGTAAAGCTGAAGGGCTGGGCGGCATCTCGGCGCGGTGTCCTGGCGAGCGGCGAGAGGCGCGGTGTCCTGGCGAGCGGCGAGAGGCGCGGTGTCCTGGCGAGAGACGGTGAGAGGCGGTGAGAGACGCCCGCGGTGGTGTCCTGGCGGCCCGTGTCTTCACCGGTAACACGCCCGCGAGAAGCTTGAAAGCCCAGCGGTTCGGCTCCCGAAGTCCCCGAGGGCCGTCTCTGTCGGAAAGGACGAGAGAGCCGAGTTCGCGATGCGCGGTCCAGCAGTCCCCGGGACACGCGGTGTCGCTCGCCCAGTGTCGCTCGCCCAGTGTCGCTCAGTGTCGCTCGCCCAGTGTCGTCTGCTCGCTCGTCGCCCGCTCGTCGCCCGCTCGTCGCCCGCTCGTCGCCCGCTCGTCGCCCGCCCGTCGCTGGCGCTGGTCCCAGTGCCCGTGCAACGTGACCCGCCGCGCAAGGGAAAATGAATGAAAGGAACCCAATATCCACACAACGGCTTGCTCTAGCGGCCACACCCACCAACAAGACCAGACTTGGAAGGCGAGAGGCAGACCCAGAGGGAGGCCTTTGCAGTTAGTTTTTCGGAGTTCTTTTCTGCATTCACTTGGATTGGAAACGGAAGAGTCCACACGCCCCACCCCCGCTTCTTCAACCACCATCGCTTCCCCCACGCCATGGGTAACACCAGTTCCAAACCTTCGTCGCGAAAGAAGAAAACCGAGCATGACAGCAGCAGCGCGCCCGCGTTTGCCCGCAGCGACACCGCGCAGTCGGTGAAGTCGTCACGGTCCGCGAAGTCGGCGCGATCGAAGCGATCGCAGTCGTCGTTGGTGCAGGCCGGCTCTGGATCGGACACAAACCTGACGCCGGAGCCTCTCAAGACCACGAGCTCCTTCTCCAGGCGAAATAGCGCCGTCTCCTCGGGGCTGCAGCCGCCGCTGTCGAAACGCGGCAGCAGCAGCAGTGTGTTTCGGGAGTCGCCGACCCAACTGCAGGTGGGCGGAGATTTACCCCCGTCCATGATACAAATGGAGCCCAAGTCGCCCATCCTGAAGAACTCCCTCTCCGTGAGCAACAACAGCACCACCTCGTACCGCGACAGCGCCATCGCGGACGACGACGACGACGACGACAACGAAAACGACGAGAACGACCTGTTCCAGCAGCAGCCCCACCACCATCGTCGCCGAAGCAACGACTCCCGGCGCTTCACCCAAAAGTCTCCCAGCTCTGGAAGTAGGAGTAACAGTGCATCCAGCTCCAAGCGCAGGAGCGGCTCCCACCTGGACGTGCCGGACAACAACGCGAGCCCCATACAGCCCAGCAGGACCTCCTCCCATTCCTCGATGGGTCTGAGCAGCGGCAGCGCGGGCAACGGCGGCGCGGGCGGTGCTGCCAATGCTGCTGCCAATGCTGCCGGTGCCGGTGCCGGTGCGGCCGCTGGCAGTTTTGGAGGCGGCAGCCATAGTCGAAAGTCATCCTTCGGGAGTACCGCCGGCAACAACAGCACCTACACGACTCCCATGAACTCTCCCGGCTTTTTCAAGAGTTCCCAAGACGGCTATTTTGCATCCGAACAATCCGAGCTCAACGCTGCCAACAGTCCCCAAGTATCCCGCCCCAGGAGGAACTCCGTCGATGAATATCCTCATGAAGTTTCTCACAGCATCGATATCGATGACGATACCAACACCTCCATCACCACCAAGACCGTGACACGAAAAAAATCCATAAGACCCATCGACATCGATGAAACTATACAAAAACTGTTAGACGCAGGCTACGCTGGTAAGCGAACCAAAAACGTATGTTTGAAGAATTCCGAAATTGCACAGATTTGCAACCAAGCGCGCGAAATATTCTTGTCCCAACCTTCTCTGCTGGAACTGTCACCCCCGGTCAAAATCGTCGGGGACGTACATGGTCAATACGCGGATGTCTTGCGACTATTCACCAAATGTGGTTTCCCACCGTCGGCTAACTATCTCTTACTGGGGGACTACGTCGATAGAGGCAAGCAGTCGTTGGAGACTATTCTGCTGTTACTATGTTACAAGATAAAATATCCAGAGAATTTCTTCCTATTGAGAGGCAACCATGAATGTGCCAACGTTACACGGGTCTATGGCTTCTACGACGAATGTAAACGTCGGTGTAACATCAAGACTTGGAAAATTTTCATCGACACTTTCAATACGTTACCGTTGGCTGCCATTGTAGCCGGGAAAATTTTCTGCGTGCATGGCGGTCTTTCTCCGGTTCTAAATTCCATGGATGAAATAAGGCACGTTAGCAGACCCACAGATGTGCCCGATTTCGGCTTGATCAACGACTTACTTTGGTCGGATCCAACCGATTCTCCCAATGAATGGGAAGACAACGAAAGAGGCGTAAGTTACTGTTACAACAAAGTGGCCATCAACAAATTTTTGAACAAGTTCGGATTCGATTTGGTGTGCAGGGCACACATGGTCGTGGAAGATGGATACGAGTTTTTTAACGATAGGAGTTTGGTTACCGTATTTTCAGCTCCGAATTATTGTGGGGAATTCGATAATTGGGGGGCGGTTATGAGTGTCAGCGAAGGATTACTCTGTAGCTTCGAACTACTGGATCCCTTGGACAGCGCTGCTATAAAGCAAGTCATGAAAAAGGGGAGACAGGAACGGAAACTTGCCAATCAACAACAATTATCACAGGAGTGATGTTGTTATTCCACCAACGATTACGAATCCTCTCACTTGTGGCAAGGTTAAACGCTTCATGTTAGACAATGTGTACATAGACAGCTATTGTTTTCTTCGTTCAATTATCTAAGTTTAGTGGTGTACATAAGTAAATACTTGTTTGTCGTTGTATACTGTGTATTGGGTCTGATTCCTAATGAAAAATATCTAAACCAGTGATTGAATCGAATTCCCCAGGTTTTTTTTTTGGGTCATATTTGGACAGAGCAGAGGAATGCAAGAAGCTCATCTATCCCGGGAGTATTTTGGTTTTTCTCAGTTCTTCGCCGTCACATTCTTATTGGGTTTCATCATATTTTGGTCGTTACTACCGGACCTTAGTATCTACCAATCTGATGATTCCAAGAATGAATTATTCACGTTTGTACATGAATTGGTAAACCTTCTGCCGCAACGCGCTTGGATTATTGTAATCAACTGTGTAATACTGATGGGTATGCTGTTCATTTACCTAGGATTGTTGAGCTATAATGAAGATGTCTTAACAGCTCCATTGGACGATCTCACAACTGTTACCGATTCACGCGCGAATGTCGTACCCTGTTCAACACATGAAGAATTTTTACAGAAATATGCTTTTCAAGAAACAAGCGGGGTACTAGATGTGCCTATAACGGAAGTTTGTAAACTATTGTATGGACGACAATAGCGTCGGGCTTTTCGATATCATTTAATGTACACATAATGCAGAAACAAACTATATAACAATAACAGGAGAAAAAAAAAAAACTAGGAAGCATTTATTTACTTCCTTGTTTCGCTACACTTCATTCCACTCGTTATGCTTGTGTGAAGCCACCACGGCGGTCACCGTGGTGCCCGCCAGCGCCACCTCTACCGCGGCCACCACCGCGGCCACCTCCTCTTCCACCTCTAGGAGTGCTGTTCACGTTTTCTCTCAAAAATCCACTAGCAGGACGGAATACCGAGTACGGATTGTCATCTCTAGTGTTTTGAAACTTACCTCCACGGCCCCGAGTCTCATCACTCCTGCGCCCGAAGTCACTACCCCCTTGTCCAAATCCTTTACCGCGAAAGCTTCCTCCGCGGTCGCCACGTTCGGAACGGTCCCCACGGTCTCCGCCGCCGCCCCGACCTCCGCGACTTCCACGACCTCCACGACTGACACCACGACCGCGGGCACCTCCAAACCCTCGGCGATTAGTCTCCTTGAAGGTGAAATTGTTATTTTCTTGTGATTGATCATCATAGTTTTCGTCTTCTTCCTTAATCTCACCTGGTGAACATTTTTCATCTTTCTCATCCACGCTTTCATCATCAATCGCCTCAACTAAAGTAGATTCTTTCAGTATCGAGGGCGGTGATGGAGTAACGGGAGATGGACTTGATGCAGCATCCACCGACCTCTTTAAAATCGCAGAGTAACTTAGCGGTTTAGGCGTCACCACGACCGGTGGTTCATTTTCATTCGAAAGTCTTCTTAACGTTTTGGTGTCCTCCACATGAAGTTTTCTGAACTTTTCTTCAATATCGTTGGTCATGGACTGGGTGTCGGTGGGCTTTGCCGAGCCAAAAGGGTTTGCCTTTGGTTTATGAGCACTAGCCTCGGTTTTTGGGGACGATTTCACCGGTATGTAAGGTCTTGAAGGGTCATCTGCTTCATTCAAAAGTTTGGTTTTTTCAACATATGTCTTAAAGTCCGCAAAATCAGCCGGTGTAACTAAAATACCATAAATTTCACGTAATGGTTCTGTCCAATGGGTTAAAATCTTGTCCATGTCTCTGGCAGAGTACAATTCGGTAAACGAAACCTTGGAGTCCCGAGTGAAATTGGCGTCAAAGAAGCTAGAGTTTTTCAAAGCAACCCCCATGGACGGTTTTTTATTCAGCTCCCAAAATAACTTGAATTTAATGAATTTAGTGCTTTTGGTTTGAAAAAGATCTTCAATTTCCGGACCTGTGAATTGCGATGGCAGGTGAGAGAATTTCACTATGTAGGGAGGCCCTTGAACTTGTGGGGAGCCTGGGAAACCAGTTGGAGAAGCTGAGTGTGAGCTACCAAACGGATCTTCGGACCCACGGCCCGCGAGCCTAATGGGTGTGTGCTTCAACGCGTCAATACTAGTGGTGTTTGTGAGTGGCGATGAAATTGCCTCTAAATTGATATCTTCTTCGTTCCAGACCGAGTCCCCCAACGAATTATCGTTGAAGAACTCTTCTAGCGACATTTTCTTTTTACTAGCACCGCCATTTGTAGCTGAAGCTATCGTAGGTTTGAAGTTAGTATCAAAAAGGACTCACCAATCTTATTAGTTTCCCGCAGCTTCACGGTTCCATTAAAGCCGGTAGTAGTGAACCTAAATTACATACCCATTCTATGTCACCTCAAACCAGGTTTAAGCACTCGCCTGATTGCTGACTAGTATTACCAAAGTTTTGGTGGAGTTCACTGTCATATATATAAATATACATATATATATATATATATATATATATATATGTATTGGCTTTGAAAACAAATTATTCATTTCCCTCTGTCAATTCATACGGATCTGACACAACTTGAACCGTAACTATCGCCAACAAGTTTACATAAGAAAAGATCAGTTGTCACTTCTCTTGATATCTAATTATGACTGAACGCTCAAGTGTTCACAAGACACAATATTTCTTTATAAATCTTTAAAAACTTTATCACTGCTAGCTGAGAGTTTTCCCTGCCATTACCATAGCATCACAACCATCAAGAAAAAGTACAAGATATTTTGTTCACTCTATTTAACATTACTTATCACATCAAGTTGGGTTAACTGGAATATTGCATGTACAAAGAAGATGCACCATCCCAATAGCATATCAAACGCATTACGTTTGGGCATTGATAGCAGCGGTTAGCTGAGCTTGCTTTACTAAAGACGATGGCGCGTCCATGACATCTAACATCACTTCAATCAAGCGAATACGGTGATTTTTATTGAACTCTGGGTCATCGGCCAGGTTGTTCCATTCGCCTGTAGTGGCCACCCTTATAGCCTCATAGTCGGTGGCTCCGAATGTTGGTAGTAATTTCAAATGCTGCCAATTCTGAATCTCGTTGTAACTAGCTGTGGGACCATGAATCAATTTTTCTATAGTGTAGCCGTCATTGTTTAAGACGAATAGATACGGTTTCAATCCCCATCTAATCATTGTCGAAATCTCTTGGACGGTTAATTGTAAAGACCCGTCTCCAATAAATAAGATTACCCTTTTATTCTTATCAATCTCTTCAGCAGCCATAGCTGCACCCAAGCAAGCACCTGTTGTATAACCTATGGAGCCCCATAGTACTTGGGAAATACCATAAGTGTTATTAGGGAAATGAGTCTGGTTTATTCCAAAAGCAGAGGTTCCAGTTTCAGTGATGACAACATCTCCTTCTTGTAGGAACTTTCCGATCTGATTCCACATCCACTCTTGAGTAAGTGGTGTTTTCGCATTGGCTTCTGGATTTGGTGCAGGCTTTTCGGGAACGGCTCTAGGTTTGTAATCTTTGATATAGTCAGGAATTCTGGCGAGAATTTTCTGAAGTGCGGACTTCATGGACACATTAGAGAAAATGGCATTTCTAATTTTCATGTGGTCCGAGTGAAACTCTACAATGCTTTTAGTTTTGTAAGAATACGAGAATGAACCAGTATTGAAGTCAGACAACAACGCCCCAATGGATAGAATCAAATCTGCGGCTTCGACGGCAGCTTTAACCTCGGGAGAAGAAAGTGTTCCCACATAAACACCGCCAAATCTAGGGTGTCTCTCTGGAATTGAACCTTTTCCCATCGGTGTCACAAACGATGGAAATTGCGTAGCGTCAATCAAATTCCATGCTTCTTGTTTGACATCGTGGCGCGAACAGCAAGCGTCTGATATGATGATTGGATTCTGGGCTTTACGCACCAATTCCAAAATTTGAGAAACCACCTCTTCTTCGGCTTGCTCATCATTGGCCTCCAGGGATAAATCTATTGGCGTTTCTAAGTGTCTAGCGTCTACCATCTGGTCAACCATATTAGCGGGCAGTCCCAGATATACGGGCCTTTGACTCACATATGTGGTTCTAATACAGCGGTCGATTTCTTGGCAGGCAGTGGCGATGTCAGTGATCATGGCGGTAGTTTTGGAGATATTTTGCGACATTCTATGGAAAACACCGAAATCACCGTTTCCTAGAGTGTGGTGCAATAGCAATTGCTTGGCTTGGGAAGATATGGATGGCACACCAACCACATGCAATACCCCGACGTGTTCGGCAAAAGATCCAGCCACACCATTCAACGCCGACAATTCGCCCACTCCGAAAGTGGTGATGAGACACCCAATGCCCTTCAATCTAGCATACCCATCCGCAGCATACGCGGCGTTCAACTCGTTTGCATTACCTGCCCACCTCATTCCTTCCACTTCGTATATTTCATCCAAGAGTCGCAAGTTAAAATCCCCCGGTAGTCCAAAGATGGTTGTGCATTGGACCTGCTTCAATCGTTCAAAAAGGAAGCGACCCAAGGTAATTTCAGACATTGGCAACGACATAATCAGTTATTTGATTTAGATATTCTTATTGTTCTCAATAGTTATAGATGCTTCAAAACCAGGAAATGAATAACAAGCGATCCCTCACTGAGCATCCATTGATTATTTATATAGCTCCAAGAACTCCATGACTGGCCACCCGCCGTCCACTCACTCAGCGCCCAATGCATTTGTTAGAGTGCATTTAGGTTACTATTCTTCACATTCGAGTGACACAAATCATCCCATCTTATGCTGACCCGTTTAACTGCCATTATAGTAAGTGGTCTGACCTGTTAAGACATATTTGCCATTAAACGCATACAGCTGTATGCGTTTAAAAACTTCATGCGTTTACCGGGTGTGCTCGCCAGAAAGATTTAATATGAGCGACGGTGTAATCGTCCTAAATGTAAATAAAGTTCTGTATAGGCTATGGTAAACTCACAATTGCCAACTCATGCTAAGAGATTATCACGCTGACTGTTCCACATCATGTTGCTCGCCACTGAGCCGCTGTAGCCAAAACTCAGCCGGACATCACTAAAATAATTCTACATCAATGTTATGGCGCACGTAGGGCGATGTATATCTAAACAAAGCAGGGCTCCAGGACTCAAGGTAGTCAGTAGGCTCTGATGTCAATAAGATCAGCAACACACGGTCCGGTTCTACACATGTGTTTTCGTCGGAGAGTTTCGTACCCTAATCTGGAAAGTTCCGCTGAAACTCTTGGCTGGAGGGCTTGCTATGTGCTGGTCAGCGCATGGGTTATTGAAAACATAGATTGCAGCTCTTCGAGGTTGGTCAGGTCTTTCTGACGTTATCCGTATATCTTTAGTGTCATTATTAAATTAGGAAACAACCGAGCTGCGGGTAACGTGTGTTATGAACAAGAAGCTCTCCCACAGCGTGACGAACTCGACAAGGTTACTTGGCAAGGTTACTTAACCTCAACTTTTCTTTTAAAATGCAATACAATTGGTGCCGAATACCGATTTTAGGCTGCAAACCCTGACCATTCAAGACGATTCCAATGTCTCTACCAGAAACTTTCAAAAACAACGACGAGGGCACCTTCGGGGCATATACTGCCAGCTCGAGGTGGCCAACTATTGTGGACAACGCAATTGACGATCTTCAAGCAGAACTTGATACCTTGGAACCTTCCACCAAACACTATCAAGATGGGAAATTGATCCAACAGCAGCTGATTGACCTAAAGGCTGAGATCCAGGACGACCAAGCAATCAGACCCTTCACGGAATCTGAAAGCGCAATTGCAAAGATTCCCGGGTCCTTTAATGAAGTGATCTCTCGAAGCCCGCAGACCTGGCAAACCGGCGGCTGGCTGTTTTGTGAAGTCTACTTATATCGCCGGATCAATTTACTCTTCAGGAGCCTCCCCTCCTGGGGCCAGTTTGATATCTTCAACAAGGTTAAACAATCCACTTTTCAAAGCTCTATGATTGGAGTTGTTGAGCTAGCCACTCGCTACAGGAAACTTGAAGCTCAATTAAAACCTGCGGATGAGGAAACGCTACAACTTCTTTTCAAAGAATTTATCGATATCTCATTGTGGGGTAATGCCACAGATTTGTCGCTTTTAACAAATGCCACCTTGGAAGATATTAAGTCCCTACAAGGTGAAGAGGCGAGGAAAGCTTCTGAGTCCAAGATCTTGATCAACGACACTTCCAAGGCTTGGGCTCAACTTAGGTCCTCTGGTAGTAACAGGGTCGATTTCGTTTTAGATAATTCCGGTTTCGAAGTCTACGCCGATTTGATGCTCGCGTTGTTTTTGCTAGATACGAAAATTGTACAACAATGTGTTTTCCATGCTAAAGATATCCCATACATGGTAAGCGACTGTATGATCAAGGATTTCGAGCTACTACTACAGGACATGAGTTCTGTGGACTTTTTTGATCTGAAGCAATTGAAAGACGAAGAGCAATCTGGACGGCAATCTCTTGATTTTTTGGTCAACACTTTAAAGAGCCATGTCGAATCAGGTCAGATTTCTTTCACGCAAGACTCCTTCTGGACTCTAGATCTAGACTACAGCAATATTGATCCATCGGAAACAAAATTTCATGGTGCTGCCATTCACAAAGAATTATTGCAGAGCGATTTAGTCATATTCAAGGGTGATTTAAATTACAGAAAACTCACTGGAGACAGAAAGTGGCCACGCACAACCAAATGGGAAACTGCCATTGGTCCCCTGGCCTCAAATGGCTTGAAAACTTTGAGTTTGAGAACATGTAAGGCCGATGTGGTTGTTGGTTTGGCCCCTGGAGTTGATGAACAGCTATGTTCCGAATGGGAGTCACAGAAGAAAACTGAACCCGGCTCCTGGTGGTGCTCGAGCGGCAAGTACGCCGTGATATGCTTCTGTGACGGAAAAAACTGAAAGAACCGAAATATTTACATGCACACACGAGACTTTATATACCATACATAATATAAAAATCAGGATGGTTTAGAGGTGTTCATGTTCGGTAAAAAGGGCATGGGGAACATGGGGAAAGGCATACCAAATGGAGGTACCGGCATGGAAACATTGGGTTTTTTCAGCACACCAGTTTCGTCGTCCTCGCTACTGCGCTTTACACTATGCTCGTCTAAGAATTTTTGCACCTGAACCTCTTTCTCTTTGTCGGGGACTAGAGAATCGAGCAACGTTTCTTCCGCATTGCAACCGGGGCACAGGAAGTCGTTTTCAACCAAAAGATCTTCTAGAGGTTGTCGCGAAAAGTGCTTCTTACAACACTTACTTGTTGTAACGGGATCTTTCAACAAACCGCCTGAAATGGTGCATTTCAAATCGTCGGGTAGATCTGAGAAATGGCCCTTGGCCCATATGCTATCATTTTGGTTCATCGCGCGCGACTGCTGTTTGCGTTGATAGTCTTCCCAGGAATGCTGATCTGCGACTTGAACAACAAAACTGCCATCGTCTGTAACCATGATTTTACGCTGTGCCATCTCTTCAGGAGTCATACTTGAAGGATCTACATCGACAGACTTCAGAAATTTTTTAGGAATACCAGTAGTTCGACGTATCCTCTTTCCTTCAAAGTTAGGGTCCGAATTTGTCGGACAGTTTTTAATCCAGTGATCTTTACCACCGCAACGATAGCACATGTATCCTGGAGGCGGGGGGCCATCATCTTGGCCCGCGGCTCCACCAGGTTTATGGAAAACAGGGGTCGCTCCTGACATTTCTTGTTGTGTTTGTTGCCATTGACTTTCTTGATTGGCAAACATGCTAGCAATTGCATCTTCTTCATTCATTCCTTTCGTGGAGACTTGAATATTCGCTGCTGAAGCTGTAGTCGTGTTTTTGACAACTCTGGGCTTACCTGTGATGTAGCGGGTCGCGTTTCCCAAAGAAACCCTTCCATTGATACCATTAACTTTAATCGCCGGCGATCGCCTTACTTCCAAATTTGAAGACCGTGGAATAACATGAGCGTCGTCTTCTAGCTCTTCACCAGTATCAGGATTGTAAAGACGGAGTTGGAAGTCTGTTCCGTCTCCCAGTCGATTTTCCTGTATTATTTCTCGTTTCAAATCGAAGACAGTTATCCCCGTCCCATCAAATAGAATCCTTGAACTGCCTTTTTGCGACCGGAACTTGTAAAATATAGTACTTGACATCTAGATCGGAGGCCTATAGTCCTGGCCAGTGGAGCTTGTGTGCTGACTTACAAGCAGAGCTGAGGAGATGGCAAGCAATCCTTCAGCAGAGACCATATTCGTCAATAGTGCTTTTATTAATTAAAAATATTCGTACAAAATGTAAGACATTGTTTATGTTGGTCTGCAAACTTAAAGTACTTAATCCTCATAAAATCATTATTTGGTATGAGATACCAACCCGGACATTAAACCTTGAACCATTGTAGTTTTGAAAATTAAGTTGGACTAACATATTCAAAGGTGTTATTATTGTTAGTTACAATCAGGACGATGCTCTCCTTTCCTGTAGTTCAAACAGCCAGATACTACAAGAGGGCTACCATTCGAGAGCATCCTTGACAATATCTGGGTCGCCTGTGCATCAGATGTGGAGCTGTAATATAATATAATTCACTTTGAGAAGTGTTCCAAACAGTGACTTTTTAACGTAGCGGACCAACACTGAGTATTAGGATAATCGTTCATACGATTGGGCCGGTCATGGCATAATATTAAATGCTACTCGCTCAGTGAAAGCTTAAAACCAATAGTTAAAAGTAGTGGATGGTACTGTTTTAGTGTTGCTTAAAAATCGACGAGTCGGATAGACAGTGTCGCCTTAGTGCCTTAAGAATACAAAGTGACGTTGGTCACGTGATACAATCATGAATGGCAAGGGTGACGACTCAGAATGGAAAGCCAAGTTACAGCGGTTACATGGGAACAACCGGGTAGCCATTAGAACTATCCCATGCTTTGATACAGTGAGCTGAATTGTGGTGTTGCTGTTATATAGCTCTAACTGCGCTCAAATTATTATCGCCTGAAGTTTTTATACATTTTGGCTTTTCGTACCAGACATGGACTAGAATTACAGCCCAGATATGAATAGATAGATGGACTACAAAAAAGTCATTTTTGGGACCCGGGGTGTTTCATGAGATATTTAAAAGAAACGCTATGAGGCCTATCGGTAGTTTTACCGGATAGTCCAGCAACTAGACTGTTCTCGAATTGGACTTACTCCCATCGTGACTTAGGTATTATTCCCTATTTGTCGCACAATAAAATCCGGACTGCTTTTTCTACCAGGTATTGCTGGCACCCTCGTATCACTCTGCACCAAATTGTCGTCAATTCTCAATTCAACAACAATATGTCAATAGACAAAGAGAGAGCCATATATCGGATGACTGCAAGAGCCAAAATTCAATGGCAAACAATGTTAGAATTAATATTCATTTTAGCTAATTTTTCACCTTTTTAGTTATTTGATTTACGTCTAAACGCTAGATTTGCCCTTTTCGTTCTATTCAATTTCTTGTGATAGTCTGTGAGGGAAGACCTAAAATGTTTTGGTCCATTTCTGATTATGTTGAATGCAGGAAACTGACTTATAACCCCACCCCCTCCCTCAGCTGCTATAAGAGAAATCAGTAAATGGTTGCGTACGTACAAGAACCACGATTGAACATCACTTTGAAATAACGCAAAAAAAAGTACAGTAAGGAACTGCGGTATTTGGCCCGAACTCAGAGTTCTTCCCTTGAATCGCATTACGTGGACACCAAGTTGAATAACCTTCTACAAGTACCAGCGTCAACGTGACAAGACGTAGGAACTGTGGCATTCGTACATAGAGACCTGGATGTTATCTTGAGTTTTTCAAAACTTATGTACTGCGGATTCTGTCAAAACCATCGTCATCATCTCAGCCCGAACAACATCCGATTCGATCACACCCATCTCATGTCTCGGCTTGCACATCGTCGATGGACATTGGGCCTAATATTTTTAGCCATTGTTGTCATCCTATGGGTTTTGTCGTCATTTCTAATTAACATGATCTTTGAAGATGGATCTTACCGAAAACCTTTCCTTCTGACGTACATCAATACAGCTTCATTTGTTTTCTATCTACTACCCACCTTTAAGGCTATTTGCATCAACTACTGGAGAACTGGTAGCTTCCAAATTCATCGCGAGCTCGTAATTGAAGAAGAAGGACGCACGCCGTTCGACGTCGAAACTCAATTGACCCTGCGATCCCAAGCTCAAACACAGCAGCCTGAGTCCAGCGCACAGCTCAACACGTCCACTTCCCCGCTTATACCCAAAAACAGCGATGATGTCCCAAACGACGTCTTTACCGGCGCTAAGCTTTCACTGCACGCGACCATACAATTAAGCGCTCAATTTTGTATATTGTGGTTTGTTGCTAATTTGGTGACCAATGCATCCCTTTCCTACACTTCGGTTGCATCTCAAACCATACTGTCGTCCACGTCTTCGTTTTTCACTTTATTGGTGGGCTCGTTATTCCAAGTTGAACGCATTAACCGAGTTAAGATTTTGGGGTCGTTTATTTCTTTCATTGGCATTGTCCTTGTTACTAAATCAGACGCCAATTCTACCTTAAAGACAGAAGTACACTCGGCAATTCCCTACAAATTTCACAATGGCATAGATTCTACTAATACCCAGGCCTTTGTGATATTTTGTGGAAATCTATTGGCTCTTGCTGGTGCCCTGTGCTACGGACTGTACTGTACGCTATTGAAATGGCGCATAAAAGATGAGAATAAAGTAAACATGAAAATATTTTTTGGGTTTGTGGGGTTGTTCACTTTAGTAATGTTGTGGCCCACCGTGGTTCTTTTACACGTTCTTGGTTGGGAAACTTTTGAACTACCCAAAACTCCTAGGGTTGTGTTCATTGTGGTTTTCAACTGTGTGATAACTTTTGTAAGTGACTTTTGTTGGGCCAAAGCAATGCTTCTTACAACACCATTAACTGTCACTGTAGGTCTAAGTACCACCATCCCGTTTGCAATGCTGGGCGACTTCCTTTTCAAAGATAGGCCAATGTCATTCATTTACCTGTTAGGCGCAGTCCTGATATGTGGGAGTTTTTTCATCGTAAATAAAGAGTCCGAGGAGGGAGAGGAGGGGCTTTTAACAGAAGCTTAAGCCTCTGATAGACATTATGTTCTCATATTTCCCGAGGAACTTCTTTCTCATATTCCATTTCTAATCGCATTAGCTCTAATCATTCAATACCAGTTTATATGAATTGCATACTTCAAACAAGTGACGGATAATCGGGTTGTTTAATCTTGAAACATTGTGTAAAATATGCAAATCCATAAAATCCAAGTACTAATAAGATTATCGACACCAAATTGAACATCCCATTATTGAGCTTCAGCCTGGGCAGTAGAATCATGCCAACAGTACACGCCCCCAATCCCATATACATTCCTGTAACGCTGAGGATCTCGATCCCAAATTGCCAACCCATGCCACCGCTGAAAAACATTATCTGACCCTGGCCGTCTTTGGCTATAAGAGGAATGTTATTCATTTTGGTGAACTTGTAGCCTGTTATTGAAGTGAATATGATCGCCAAAGTAAACACCAAAGAGAAGAAACGGGGCTTATTTGGTATCCGCGGTAAAATCTTCTTTTTTAAAACGAAAAATGACACCAAAAACGCCGAGAAATAGCAAGCAAACTCATTTACGTCAAAATCACGCGTTACCTGAATGTAGACGTTCAGGATCTTGGCGAAGTAGTCCGCAAACAAGAGAGGATCGCGCGCACTTTCATCAGTTATATGAAATTGATAGAATTGACTGCTTGACCAAGCAAAATTGTCGTCTTTAGTGTATGGCGGATAAATAAGCATGTGAGGTATGGTTTTCAACCCTATTTCCTCTACAAATGACCTGCACTTTGAGATGTCCAGCATGAAGAAAAACACTTCTCGGCTGGCCTCCTCCGACAATTGAGTTAACATTGCGAGCGACACTTTCCGAGCGTTGCCTTCAAACAAATCACAATATTTACAGACTTCTCCCTCTGAGTTGGCCTGCGATGTAGTCACATAGAGTGCGGAATAGAATTCTCTCGGGCCCTTCGAGAGAAATTGGTAGTTGTCGTCTGTCACTTCAATCAAGCCGTCTGCATCTCTTAAGCCACTAATATCATCCCACTTAAGACAATTGGCCAAATGTATAACCGGAAACAGTCGTAGGAAACTGTGCAAGCGCATGTTTACCAAGTAATCGATAAACCTGGCGATCGTCCATTTTAATAATCATTTTGACATTCCATTATTTTTTTGCCTATCGAACCTTAATACAACAATTAATATATTATGATAACACGCGACAAGCTCCATCGTGAAAGGCAGCAAGTGGAAAAATTATCCAATGAGCACGGCATTGCAGCTTCTAGCACAATACTATGAAGCTGTTATTGAAAGTGACAGAATCTATCATGAACATATTTCTAGCAACCTGACCACAGGCGCTGACGTCAATGACGAGGCCCAACAAGATTCCATACTTATGAAGGAAACGATCAGCTTACAGCGGCAGGTCACCCAATTAATTGCAGAGTGTAACCTCTTAAAGCAGGAAAATGAGAAGCATAAGCAATTACACAAGACGCAGATAGCGCTTATGGAATCCAAGTTGGAAAATGCCAAAAAGCGGGCCACTAAGCCCAAATCAACCTCTCCCAAGGATGGCCCTATTAACACCCATAAAGTTCAACTATTAAGTCCTATAAGCAAGGATAAGTTGCAAGGCAAGGAAATAGTCGACAGCCAAGGGGTAAGTAAAATTGCGGGTGCCCTTGAGATGGCAGCGAAGCAAAATGAAGGGTTACGCCATGCTATCAATAAGAATATGCCCACATTGTTTGATGACGACACCAACGATTTCGCAGAAAACTCTCACGAACATTCCAATGGAAACTCCTTTTCCCATACCGTGAGAGAAAAAGGCAAATTGAATAAGGTTGTTCTCCCGAGAGATAACTTGCCTCATTCTTCAAGCGATACCGAGGAGCCTAAGCATAGCCATGACCGCGCAAGTATTAATGAAGCCGAAGGATTCCCGAAAGCAAAACAGAAAAAACGACGTCTGATAAAAAAAAGGGTACAAACAGTTGAAACGGATAGCGAAAATCCTTGAAGAAATGCATAATCAGTTACAGTTTAGACCTTAGACCATTAAGTCTATATTTCACATCCTTCAACAATTTTGTTTCTGGATCCCACTCCTCAAATTCACGAAATAAGTCGATAATTTGATCCCGGCCAATATGAACTCCGATATCAAAAAGCAAACCCCTCATACACCAGGGTAAGTGGTATGGGTTTGATCCCAGCTCATCCACTTGGTAGGTTTCGTAGATGACAGGTTGCTCAGTGGGCAGGTTGCAGGTCTCTAACGCAAACTTAATACCCAAGTCATATACCTGACCTTCATTATAGATTTTTGAGTGCCCACCACCAGTCAAAGTTCCTGCCAAAGAGCCACTTACCTCTTTGATGATCCCATGATCATTGTAGCCCAAGTTATTTAATTGATTGGCAATCCCCACAATCCGGCTTATAAAACTAGGAGTCTTCGAATCCTTGTCAATAAAAGTAGCCTTGAAGATATTAGGATGGCGGGCAAACATACACGTAGAGGAGTATAAGGGCACTAATTGGTCGTTAATTGATCCAACAAAAGCAACTTTAACGTTGCTAGCTATTATAATTCGCAAGCTTTGAATATATTTCCTTGCCAGCGTTGATTGAAAATTTTGAAATTGGAAAAGCTCTCTCAAAGAATCATTCTCAATGGTCGAGTATGCTCTCACAAATAGTGTTTGATCAACACCGTAAAAGGGACCGTTGTTCACACCAGCCATTGCCAGAATGCTTACGATTTTGCTTCCTTTCATGCTTTGGCCGTTACTTGGCTCTTCCCTTGCATGCCCCGGCGCATCCAACTGTATAATACCCGATTCAACCAATTTTGCCAGCAAAATTATAGAAACTGGACAGCCCTGAGAATGTGCCACAAAATAAACAAAATCGGCCTTATTTATTTCGTCAACCCAATTCTTCAAAACTTCCAAGAAGAATGCAACACGGTCCATAACTTTACCTTCTCTTTCAAGTGCAATTTTGCTGATCTCAACGGGAGTGTCTTGCTCTCGAAACCAGCGTATCACAGCTTTTTCTGCTTCTGTAATAAATTTAGTGGAAGTTCCCGTGGGCTCACCTATAAGCGGTCGTATCATCCTAGTAGGAAAAAACCCGTGAACACCTATTATTAGTACCCTTACAGGTGCTGTCGTGTCATGATTTATCGAACGCAGTACACTGACGGGTTTTCTACGATATAGGGATTTAGGTTTCATAGTGTCTTTTGACAAAAGGTGCCATCTGTGACCATACTTAATTAAGCCAGAGTAAAGTGACGCCATTGTGGTTAGCTCAGGTAAAACTTCGAAAGCAGGTGTTAAGATATTTCTCATATGTCCTTGTTGTTCATTCTTGTTCTCCAGGTTTTGTTCCCCAGCCGTATCGTCCTTAGACCTTTTCTTGTACAGAATGGCATCATCGGTAGCTCCGGTTATCAACTCATTGATGATAGGTTTTATAATGTTTGCACCACCACTTGTTGGGGATTCAATGACATCAACAGCAGAAGATTCTTCATTTTCAGCGCTTTTCCGATTCCAAAAAGACCAGGCCCTCCTACGAGGTTCAGTCATGGTGCCAGCTTCAGAATTCTCTTCGTCTGCTTTAGCATTGCCCGAAACTGTGACTACTGTACCCTTGACTTCTTGGTCATTGGGGCAGCAGTTATCAGCTTTCGTAACACCACGTAAAGAGGTTATGGAAGTTTTCCTCCACCACGTTTGTTCAGCAGCTTTTATATTACTGTTGGCTCTTTCAGAGTCTTCGTTTGTCATGTCATTGGTGCCATCGGACTTTCCTCCACCCCAAAGCGTCCAAGGCGTAATCGAACTCGACGGGCGCCGATCTGGCTGCTCAATAACCCTTGTACTTGAAGGATCCTCAAAAAAATGCTCATTATTCTTCGACTTTGTGGAAGAATTGGATGATTTGTTGCTAGATGCTGAGCGCATGGGGCCCCAGAATATAGGGTGGTCTTTTGAAATTATTATTATCTCTGGAGGGGGCCGTAGATATGGGAAACAATCTTAGCTTTTAGTTTATGTCGAGTCTATCAGCCAGCAAGTTTCCTGAAATTATGTGACAAGAAAATTTGACCGCAATAAGTAACTGTTTTCTTTTGAGCTGTGTTATAGTATCCGTTTCTCTATATCTCAGATATTAACATAATTTATATAATTAATGTCTACCATAATCCATCGAAAATAAGATTTCGCGAAAACAATTACACAGCGCCTGTTGGATCGGTGGTGGTTGAGAGTTTCCATACACCTCGAATTAATATGACTGAGATTAAGCGCCCGAGGGTGGACCAAAAGAGTCTCGATGGAAGCAAGAAACAGAAGACATTGATGGACTTTTTCGGTGACAGGAAAAGTGAAGGTGCTACGCTCGAAAAGACTGGAGGACCTGGTACTGAAAAGGCCGTGGAGGCGTTAGTGATTGAAGAAACGAAGGAAGCAAGGAGTACTTCGCTGGAAACTAGCGGAAGGTTCGACAAAGAGCTTTTTCGCCAGCAGTTGTCACAACGCGAAACAGAATTATTGAGTCTAGAGCTGAATACGATAGAAGATGCATGGTTCAACAAACTAGCCCCTGAATTTCGTAAGGGTTATTTTTTGAAACTGAAAGATTTTGTACTTGATCAACAAAAGCAATTCACTGTCTTTCCCCCAGCAGAGGATGTTTATTCGTGGAGTAGACTAACCACTTTTGAGCATGTCCGGGTGGTCATCATTGGCCAAGATCCCTATCACAATCACAATCAAGCTCATGGACTCGCTTTTAGCGTCCGAGACCCAATACCTGCTCCACCGTCCTTAAAAAACATTTATAAAGAACTGCGGGAGAATAACTATGCGGATTTTCAGATCGACAATAAGGTTGGTGACCTGACATCATGGGCCAAGCAAGGGGTGCTTCTTCTTAATACGTGCTTGACAGTCAAAGCTCACAACGCCAACTCTCATTCCAAGAGAGGTTGGGAGCAGTTCACCAAGCGAGTTGTCCAATTGATAATAGAAGATCGGAAGAAAACGAAGCAGCCCTTGGTATTTCTCTTGTGGGGAAATAATGCGATGCATCTCGTGAAAGGAATATTGGGGACGGTTCCTGACAACTTCCTGGTACTCAGTTCCGTACACCCTTCACCGCTATCTGCGAGCAGAGGCTTTTTCGGAAATAAACATTTTAAGAAGATCAACGAGTGGCTCTATGAGCGGAATGAAAGTATGATAGATTGGAGTGTGGCTCCTGGGAGCTCAATAAAAGAGATAGAGAAGAAGAACCTTGTATTGAACCTATAAAATACTGCCAAGCACGTGACGAAGAACAGTTTTGATCTCGTCTTATTTTTGAATAGTAGACGGCCGACTGACGTGTATTCACCTGATAAACTGTTCAAAGCATTAGGTGGCCAGTAATACGGAGGTCGAAGAACAGCGTACTTGGGGATGGCTTACGAATCATCATCTGCTGGGGAGTCTATTATGTCCGATGTTTCTCGTTCTTCTACGGTCGAAACGTCGGCCAAGAGCGAAGATGAAGGAAGACCCGCGTTGAAGGGACCCAAAGTTAAGAAGAGTGTTCTTTCTTTGCTCGATGATGCATTTAGGTACTCAGCCTACGATGAATTTTCGATGCCAGATGGGTTTCTGAGAAGTAGGTCCAGAAAGGTTTGTGATGGTGATCAAGACGCGACCACATTGCGTCCAAATGCCAATAAAATCGATGAGAACGACAAGCTGGCAGGAAGGATACGAAAAGGGCGAAAAGTTAAAATGACGAAAATGGTAACCAAGGCTACGGTTACTGCTCAAAAGACAAAACGCAGTGCCGCTTACGGTCGAAAAAACACTGATGCCCAGCAGGTGATAAAGCGTGAACCTGGCCCCGGAGTCAAAAAAGCGACAAGCTTCTCTAAAGGTACGCTCAGAAAAAGTACTAGTTCAGGAGTTAAACGCGGCAAAAATGGTGTTACTGTCGCCAAAGGGCGGCGTAAGAAAGCCGACATACCAAAACTGGACTCATTTATTACCAACTGGGAGTCACACTTGACCAAGGTCACTGGCATAGTTGATTTGGATGGTTTGAGAAACTCAAGCGGATTTAAGGAAGAGCTGGTGCATTCTTGCAACGTTCATAGGCCGAAGTCAACTCATAATCGAACTGTCAAACTACGCTATATCCTGTATCCCGACTATTTCGAAGAGTTTGTGGTGAATTTCAAATCTGATCTGTCAAGGTACAATCCAATGAGTGAAATCGGGCGAATAATAGAGTTTACTTGCTTGGTGTACGTTCCTCCTAAATATCGTCCCAGGATGGAGACACAGATCATCAAGCCTTTGAACCACTCTTTCGATTTGGAAGATCAAGATGAGTTTGTTAAATTAATCGAACTGTACAATGAATTTATTTCAGGCATCCCAAGACCTGAAATCCTTCAACAGCTTGCATCGCTTCGGGACCTTCCGACTTCATTCTTACACACGATACTCCATATGGTGTATGTTCGAACGATTCATCCCAATGCTGGTGCCTTGAAGAAATATCAGGCGTTCAGCAACTACGTTTATGGCGAGCTTCTTCCCAAGTTCCTCACAACAACATACGAAAAATGTGGTCTCAAACCTGAACACATTTTTATGGATCTGGGATCCGGAGTGGGAAATTGTGTATTTCAAGCAGCCTTAGAGTTTGGGTGTAAGCTGAGTTTTGGGTGTGAGCTTATGCCCAACGCAAGCGCTCTGACCGAAGCTCAAGAAAAAGAACTGAGGGCACGATGTAAACTGTATGGCTTGAATGTTGGATCTCTTCAGTTTTCCCTACGGAAAAGTTTCGTAGGTAATCCTGAGGTACAGGAACTTTTGCCGCAGTGTGACGTCCTTCTTGTCAACAACTTTATCTTTGATGCGAAGTTGAATGAGCTGGTACGAAAACTCATACAACCGCTGAAAGTTGGATGTAAAATCATCACTTTGAAGAGTTTAAGGCCATTTGGCCACACGGTCAATCATGACAATGCAACAGACATTCTAAACCGATTAAAAGTGGAGAAATTTGAACTTGAGGAAGACAGTGTTTCATGGACTCACAGGGGCGGAGAGTTCTTTATTTCGACAGTGCAAGAGGATATCGAAGGTGAAATTTTTACCACGCATTCCAAGGGCCGCACTAGAAGTAAACGTGTGGTTAAGTATACAAGGTGATACGATAGAGAGCTTGGAGGCATTCTACAGTCCCAACAAGACGCAACGGTCAATGCTGGACTTCAAGTAGGTATATACAACTTTGAAAATATTGTTTGGTGTACATTAATGAATGTGTAAAAGTGAATAGTCTGAACAACACGACGATAAAGCGCGCTTCTAATTCTGTAGAGCGTGCTCTTGTCCTGTCAAGAGAGTGAAAACAGGAGCTTGCAATCTCTCCCTACCCTTCAGAAAATCTAGTTCCATGAAGAAGCTGAATTCTAGGATATTGGCTCCCAATTTCTCGATTAGTTCACCGGCAGCCAACGCGGAACCGCCAGTGGCAATGATGTCGTCCATGATCACCACATTCGAGCCCTCTGGAATTGACTCTTTCTGAACATCAAACACGTCTTCGCCGTATTCCTTAGTATATGTAGCGTGCAAACATTCACCAGGTAGTTTCCCGTGCTTTCTAATTGGAACAAAACCTGCACCGATCGCCAAGGCCACAGCAGGTGCGAAAAGAAACCCACGAGCTTCTAGAGCCACGATATAATCAATTTTGGTGCCCTTGAACTTGGTCTCGAGGTGTTCTTTGAATGCTGCTACCAGTTTACCAAATAGTTGTGGGGATCTGAAAATCGGTAAAAAATCTTCAAAAAGAATACCCTTGCTAGGAAAGTTTGGGTACTGGTGAAGAGCAGATCTCAGCTCTTGCGCGATGGACTCAGCTGGCATGACGGCTATAGTCTTTTGAAGTATCTCAATGGTCGATCAATCTGGCGATGCGTCGTCCCGTCAAGAGTATTATTAGGATTAAATTTTAATTGGATTTTTTTTTCACTAGGATTTTCGGGAGTTGAACTCAACATATTTTAAAATATAGAATGAAGGTGTTGGCACACAAGGTATCTTCCCTGAACCTAGAGTATTCACCCTTGTGCATTGAACGGAAAGGGAGCTTTTTTTAGACACCTTTGTCATCTTTTTTGGATGGAATTCGAGCTCAGCAATGTTGCACCCAAGTGACACGCCCTTGGAACCGGGGCGAAGCATGGACCCGATTCCTTACGGCGTAGAATTGAAGTTTGAGAATTTGCGCACCTTTGAAATGCTCAATAGCTTGTATGGCGTGGAAAATTATGCTCAAATGTTGTTTTTCTTTGAGGCACAGCTGCGGCGGGTCGAGTACGACGATTATCCGACGCCGCCTGCAGATGTTCTAATAGTGCTGATAACTTTGTCAGTGTTACCAGAATTTGGTACTACACAGCTAGTGGCAGAATTAGATCCTTACAACGTAACCAGAGCTTCCATCAGTTCACGTAGTTTGAAGATATTACAAGAGCTCGCAGCACGTTTGCGCAATCCCAAAATGTCGAACCTTCACAGTACCCAACTGCTTCGCAGCCAGTTTTTCCTTTTGCTGGATCACATAAACTGCTTGACTTCGGAACCCTTCATGCACAGTATGGGCGATCCAAAGAAACGGCGCAAAACAAACTCAGGAATTCGGATCGAGCCCACGCCTGAGACTAACTCAAGTGAAAATTCCCGTGCAGGGTATCGTAACCCATATTCTGCTTACGTCAGTGCTTTAGATCAGAAAAACGAGATTCTTAAGACCACTGTCTTGACCACTATACTTAGTCCTGAAGGCGAATTTTGGAATTGTGTAGCGTGGGCACTAGTGCTTTCGATTTCCGAGGACTCACATCTTTACGAAAGGAGCAAACTATGGGTACCATTACTGACCCTACTTTTCGGTCTATTTGAGTTGCAAAATGACTTTTACCTTGGAGCTCGAGCTAGTTGCCACGCCAGTGATGACATATCCATGATCCAAGACAGCCCTTTAGCTTGTTTGTTCAAATCCCTCAACTCAGAGTACTTACACAATGCATTCTGTGATATTCTTCTGCTGGGTTTAGACTACGCAACAGGAAATTTTACCGTACATCCGATCTACCATAAAGAACTGAAAGTTCCTGTGGAGTATGCACCAAGAAACTCAAAAGTAAGATCGCTGAAGATTTTAGAATCGATGCATTTCCGCCACCGTCTTCTAAATCTACTCTACGCTTTTTTGAGGACGATACCGGAGGGTGAAGAGTTGATTGAACCAAGGGTGTCCGAAGCAAAGTTTATTCAAAGTTTAGGATTATCTTTGAGTAGTATCGACAACCTCACTCAGCTGAGGCAATTTTTCGCTGTATATGAGATAGGGCAATGTCTGGAGTATATGCCGCTAATCGCTCAAGCGACGTTAAACGAGAGTTTCTTAGACAAAAATTGCAAACCTGTTAATCTGGTAGACAACATCGGTGGAGTTGAGTCCATGGTAGGAGAACTTATTGAGATGTTCACCCCGAGTTTTCCTCCTCTTGACAGTGATTGTGATCTTTTACCCGAAGTGCTTTACAAGCTGGTTGAAAGATGTGATATATGCTTGCTGGTCATTTTGAGGTTTTGGGAATTCGTTCACAAATCAGCACATCTGAGAACTCGACGTTCGTTAGAAAATCTTTTCCACGCAGTTGCCGCCAGTGACAAAAGACGCCAAGAATTCATTAAAGAAATGGGCTGGCACAAAGAGGACCATATGATGCCCTCTTTATATCCACACATGGAAAAAATACTTCAATTAATCTAAAAGTCGGTCCACAATCTAAAATTTCCTAGGTATCGTCTGTGACCTTGAGGTGTACTATAGCATTTATCATTTTTTTCACGGCCAAGACATGCCAAGGTACAAAGCTCGATCGGGATTTTGAAACTCCGAACCACGAATTCAACGTTGAAAGATTCCTGAATTCTTGGAGAATAATTCTTAGCAACTTTGTGCTGTCCGTATGCGGGCAATTTAATAGGCTGACCTCGAATTTGTCGACCACATTGCGGCTACTGCTTCCTTTGAACCTTATTAGTGCACCGGTGTTAATAGCACATCGATGCTGTGAATTTGATAGTTGTAGTGGCCGCTGAAATATAATACCATGAATTTCACGCCCAATATCAACGATTTCGTAATTGTCAAGATTCGTCACATCGACATTTTGAGAAAGTCTGTCATCCTCAAAAATCGGCTTAAAGGAGGGATACATGCGATCTTCATCGAACAGAGACAACTTGGTGTTATCTCCGACACAAACTACCGCCAAATGCATGTTTCGGGACGTCGATGACAGCCGTCTCCAATGCATGAGCTCGTCGTCAGGTAAAACACTATCAAATCTGGTTAAAATCAAGCATGCTCTACCGTAATTGTTTGTAAGGCACGCTGAGGTGATCTGCCACATTTGATTACATACATCTTCGAATGCTGTAGTTGAGTTCCCGATATACCAAGTTTTGGCCCCACTTTCATTACCAGAAGAACTGGACCACGCCGCAGAAACCCAGTTTCTATCTATGCTCCTCGCATAGGCCAGGTGAAAGTATACGTCGAAATGGGTAGTTTGCCCATTCAGTTCTTTGTTCGTTCTAAATTCGACTTTTTTTGGCAATTCATCCGCAATGGCCGTGTATTTGATGTTGTGTGGCGAAATAGAGTTGTAGACACCAACGGAAAAATCATAGTAATCTTTAACCGACGTCATGGGATCCGTTAAAAAATCTATCGGAATAAGTTTCAGAACTAACCTGACGTTTGGTAATTTGGAAACAATTTCTTCTCTTAAGAACTCAAACTTCGCTGTCATTAAAACAACGTCCGCTAGGCTTTTCTTGGAAATAGGCAAGAAAAGCACGAGAGGTACGGACAGTATATTCTGGGTATTTGTGGAGCAGTACGACACAATTTGAGCAGACAGCAGAAGAAGTGTGTCTTTTTCTAAATTTATCAAATAGATTAGACCCGGTGTATCCGCAAACGTGAGTCTAACTAGCTCGCAAAAACCCAATTCTTGACTCTGGTAAATCTGGGACATTGTAGAAAGAAAATCAAGACAATCATCCTTAAGTTCAGTCGTTAAAAATAGACACCTGAAATTTTTTATACCTTTGTATGGCTTCAAGCGGAGTTGTGACGAAAAATAATCAGAGTCCCCTTTCACTTTGATAATTTCGTCACTTTTTTTAACGTACACTGCAGGTTGAGGAATATAGTTGATCTCCTCAATCAATTGCCCGCCATTTAGTCTTTCAAACTCGGAAAAGCTGTCCTGCATACATTTTTTAATAATGCCATCACCACAGTCCATAAAAGCGCTGTAAGTGACAGACTCACTTCCCAGGTCACCCAATAAACCTCTGTCAAATATGATTTGTTCCACAAGTAGATTTACTACACTGGATAACCCCTCTGTGGCAGATAGTGAAGGGTTGTTATGAAAGAAAATGTCAGGTATAGAGAAGAGCGGCATGTGCCGCAGCAAAAATGGCAGGCTGTTAGATGTTTCTGGGGCTGAAACGGAGTCAGTTGCGCCTATTACATCAAGTTTAAGTTTTCCCTTGTTTTCTGCCTGCTTGGCCGCTGGGTCATCTAGAATTTGGTTAGCAAGTGGGGATTTACTAACGGTGTCCAATAATGGTGTGAAGTTCTTGATTATTGAAAGTTCATCAGGCCCATTACTCTCAGCATTGAACTGAACTGGTTTGACGCTATTGGAATGAGAAGAATACGCTTTTGAGGGACTAAAATCATACGAAGCGCCTTTTGGATACCTCCAAAATTCAGAGTGCACCTCTCGCAAACCTTTCTCGTCTCCGCTCTCATTTTCAAAACTCTGGAGAGGTGAAGGGTCCTGGAAAGCGATTCGTTGTATATCATTCGAAGATATAGGTGGCTGATTCTCGATGGCAAACGTTGTTGGTTGAGTGTTTGATTCTAGTGCTGGACCTACATTACTGTTAACAGCAAAGTCGTCGAGGTCTTCATCACTACTTGCCAAATCCTCTTCCTCTGAGCTCGACATCTTGGCAGATGAAATGTCAAATTTCAAAGAATCCTCATTCTTTCCGGCGTCTAATGAAAACTTACCACCATTCTTATATTTGTTATCAACATTCGACTCGATTATTGGGTTAAAATTCAAGGGTGCAAACACACTCTTCTTTCTCTCTTTAGGTGTTTCAATTGGCAAAGGAGCTCCAGGGTCCATATATAAGGGGGTTGTGGGTAACGTCATCTCGTCAAGCGGAATGTCCAGATATTTACGTTTGAAAGGTGATTCGTCCGTGCTAAAGGGAGAAGGCTCTTTAAGCTGCATTGTCTTCTCGCGGGAAGTATCGCTATCGTCGATCATGTCAAACATATCATCCGTTATCTCCTTCGTCTGTTGAGGAAAGTTCACCTCATCTGAACTCAACTGCTCGTCATCTTTATCATCCCCAAAAAGTTCTGCATCTAGTTCTGCATTATCTTGGTCTACAGAAGATTCAGAAGCTGCCGCATGGTTTGTACTGAGACTTTCTGATTCGTTTTCTGAAACCCTATTCTGTTCTGTCCAAATGTTTTCTCCTCGTTTGTAAGAGGTACCAGAGATGAGAATCTCTTCACCTGTACCATCAACATTTTCGTTCACATTAGGTGTTGTTAAAAATCCTGGTGTCACATTCTCAGCCGATTGTGGAGCCGATCTGTTGTGCACCGGTGTTACATTGGCTGACGGACCACCTGGTGATCGTCTTGAATTATGGTTACCAAAAACATTCAGGTTGTATAAGCTACCAGCTTGGAAGTTCTTAGGTTGTGCTGTATAATGATCTCCATAAATTCCGCCAGTGCTCAGCGCATTCATTCCCGTCACGGTTCCCGAACCTAGCGCCCCTGTGGTGCTGCCTGGAGTTTTAAACGCAGAGGTCAGTTTCAGCTGAATAAAGTCATCGATCAGGTCGAACGTTTCTTGTAAATCAGGTTGTAGCGAAAGCTCTCGTAGCGACTTCGAGAGAGGAGCAGAAGACTGCGAAAAACATAGTTCTAGCGGCCATATTGCAGTCTTTGTAGCTCGAGGAGGATCCAGATAAGACGAAACTGATGGGGTATAACCATTGAGATGATCAAGATTGGGAATAACTCTGACCCAGGTCAAGTCCTTTTTTTTGGTGAGGTCAATTCCGTGCGATACCAAGAGAGTAATGAGCAGGACGGATGCATTTTTGGGCGGTGGGGAGACGCATTTCTCAAGTTCATGCGAGTAGAGGTATGCACGAATACCTGAAGGAGCTAGGTATATCGCATTTTTTTGAAGAAAGGATTCGTCGATCATCTTTGTATCGAAATTACAGAGACGCATGTTTTTGCAAGAAAATGAAACGCACAGGTCACCATTTTCAAACAACTGGGGCTCACAGTGTACTACTTTTGTGGAACGACTCTCACCTCTAAATAGGCAGGAGTTTCCAAAAGGGATCAAATGCTGTCCGGATTCTAAACAAAGGCTGATGTGCATCATGCGCCTTAAGGCTTTTAAAAAAACAGCATATGCAGTAGGTAAATTTGGTTTCGAAATATCTGGCGTAAAATACCCCGTCTTTTCTGGTGCGGGGGTGTTTCCTAGATGATCTAATTCCAGAGTTGGAATTGGGTCACTATTAATGCTAAAACACCACAGTTCTCGCGAAAAGAGCGAAACTAAAACCTTCGAGTTGCGTTTTCGTAGAGCCAGCTCTGCCTGAATGCTCCATTGTCCTTCAGGTTTACTAGGAATATACTGCACGTAGTTAATGCGCTCTACCCTTTCCAGTCTATAGAAATTGGTGAGAAGTTCCTCTAACCTGTAAGGGAGATCTTTCTGTTCCATTTTTGATGCAAGTTTGTCCAGAATATCTTCTCACGAGCGAATTCAGCCTCAAATGTGATGGTCCAGAGTGGCCTTCTTGATCCCTCTCCACGCCACTGGCGTTTAAGTCAGGCGTTAGATGATAATTATACCGGTCATCAAAGTAATATCGACTAATTAAATTGAAGTGTCGATGTAAAGAAAACACATGGCAAAAGACCATGACCAAGGTCTACTTTTGGTGGACGACCAACTGAGACTTGGTTTGGGTGAATTGGCCCGCTACCAAATTACTGTTGACACAAGTTGCGAATCTTGGAAGCATTTCCGCGATTCTCAGATTCACCTTACGTTCAAGAATACGGAGAGCGCCCTTTTGAGACCTGTATATTTGACAGGCCCGTATTCGTTCTATGTTGATGTACAGCCGCACAATTTCAACGAGTTTGAGAGGTTTGACGAAGACATTCAATTTTTCGATGATGTTAAACCCAACGATATTTATCGTGCGACGTTGAAATTCAATGATAACTCTAAAATCAAAGGAACTGAAAAGTATGCTTGGCAGATTAATATCTGCTCACAATTATCTGTAACGAAAATTCCTACGCTTGGATATAGGCTATGCGTGAGCACCAACAAGACTCATGAAATGCCGCGGAAGTCTTTAGATTCTGTGAGAGGTTTTAGTTGCGAGAAGTGGGATACACACAGCTTGTGGGATTCTCCTCCACGCTTTCCAGATCGACCAGTTCACTTGGTTATTCTTACACACGGAATATTTTCTAATATAGGCTGCGATCTCTTGTATCTAAAAGACAAGATAGAAAGTACATGTAGGGCCCATAGTGAGACCGAAACGTCAAATGTCATTGTAAGAGGTTATACAGGCAATCAAGGTAGGTCTTCAAAAGGTATAAAGGCAAATGGGATAAGGATGGGCGACTACGTCATTAATACGATCGACGAACTGAAGGAACTTTTCAACCTCAAATATATTTCATTTGTAGGCCATTCTCTCGGTGGTCCTACTCAATCTATGGCACTACGCTACATCTGTGTCAAAAGGCCGGACATATTTGATGAATGCACCGGTCTGACGCCAATACATTTTATAACCTTAGCGAGCCCTTATTTAGGTGTCGCCGGAGAGGTCCCGCCCTTCGTCACAATCGCTTTGGACATAGGAGTTTTAGGTCAAACTGGTGCAGACCTAAATTTAAATCGATCTTTTTTCATGTCAAATGAAGGGCTCGTCAAAAAAGGTGAGCATCTTGGCCACTACAAGTATAGACCGCTTCTCGAAATTATCCCTTCTGAGCCGGTAATTAATTTGATAGAAAGATTCGAGAATCGAACAACCTATGCAAATATCCTTCACGATGGGATCGTTCCACTCAGGACAGCAGCACTACTTTATTTGGATTGGCAGGGATTAGGTGATGTTAGAGGTGTCCGAGAAGCTGGAGGGAAACAAGATGAGGGAGGTCCTGACAGTTCTAAGAAGAATGACACAACTGGAGAGATTCCGGAAGAAAAAATGGATAAGAAGTCGGCGCTCAAGTATATTATGCCACAAGCCGCTTTGAGACGGGGATATAAGAGGTATCAGAGAACTCAAACCCGAACCTTTTCATCGTCGGAAAGCGGAGCAAAGACCCAGGACAATCATCCGATAACCCCACCTCCCCATGCTAATCCGCTTACTTCAGCGGCTAATATCATTGTTGCGCCTTTACCGACTCAAGAATACCTTCGGGATCCAAGTGTCAGAAAAGACGAGATAATACATGACAAGGTATATGCACCAGATGAATTGCCTCCAGCACACTATCACAAGCGGGATCTTTTAAAGAAAATCATCTATCCCAATGACAGAATATACAGGGTTCAAGAAAGGATCGCAAGACAGTGGCAAGAAACTGCTTCCTGGAGAAAAGTTTTGGTTAGCGTCGCCCCTGACTCTCATAATAATATTGTGGTCCGTCGCAAGTTTGTCAACGCATTCGGTTGGGTCGTTGTGGATCATTTAGTTAAAAATCACTTTGGTGGAGGTAAACGGCTGCAAGACGAGAGAAAATAACAGTTTATACTATATCCTGCTTGTATGTATTATTATTTATCAAGGTCTGGCTTTCAAACTACTGAGCTTAATTACTTGACAAATTTGAAGGAAACCTCATAAATGAAACCCTCGGAACTTTACTCTATAGATTTGATATTATCGAGTGAGTGGTGATGCTACTTGAAACTCTTACTCGTCGCTTTCATCCGCGGGGTCTGTCTTGAATACTTTGTCTGGATTGAGTAGGCGCTTAGGATCGAGAGCTAATTTTAATTTACGCATCATCGAAATGGTATCTTTACCAAGTTCAACTTCCAAAAGAGCCCTTTTCCCAGCTCCTATCCCGTGTTCTCCAGAGCAAGTGCCTTCATTGGCGATTGTGAGTCGGGCCATTCGGTCGACAGCTTCTTTGCACATTTCGTACTGATCTGGAGTGTAGAAAATATCATAATGTAAATTGGCATCCCCATGACCTAAAACCATATGCTGCATTGGATATTCCTTCATCATTTCATTCAGCTGCTCTAATGTAGAAGCTAGTCGTGAAAGCGGTACAGCACAATCAGTAATCCACATTTTGGCATCGGGGCTGATTTCATTGTAGGCATAGTCTAACATCATATAAAGGGCATTCTTTCTCGCTGAAAACAACTCTTCTGCAGCTTCAGCTGTTTTTGCGAACTCAAAAGTAGTGCAGTTATTAGCTCGCGAAATGTTCTTGATTTCCTTCACGTATTCTTCCACAATGACTTTATTCAAGCCTCCAATTTTGATGAACAGGGTAGATTTGTTTTCATACCTTTTGGAAACTAGGTCGCTATAGTTGATGCAGCGCATCATGTCGGAGTCTAAGAGTTCTACAGCATTTAATGGTATGCCACTTCTGAAAAACGAGGCCATAGACTTGGTACAGTCGTTTACCGAAGGAAACTGGACTACTGCGACAGTCTCATAGGCGGGCTTGACCTGCAGCTTGACAATCACCTCCGTCACTATGGCAAGCGTGCCCTCGCTTCCCACCAAAAGTCCGGTTAAATTGTAGCCTGCACTTGATTTTCTTGGCCGGTGCTTAGTCTTAACTACAGTACCATCAGCTAAAACGGCCTTTATTGAGATTACGTTTGAAGCCATAGATCCATACCGAGTAGCCCCAATCCCGGAGGCATTCGTGCCTATCATACCACAAATGTGGGCTCCTGGCCCACAGTCACAACCCAACATCAGCGTCTCCATTCCTTGAGTTTTTAGCAAGTGTTCGTTCAATTGTTGCCAGCCTACTCCAGCTTGGACCACTGCATCCAGATCATCTACATTAACCTGCAAAATCTTGTTCATTTTAGAGGTGTTCACGATGATCCCCGGTCTTGTAGAGTAGGTGTGACCTTCTAATGATGTCCCCCCTGAATACGGCACAACTGGAATGCTATACTTGTTGACAACCTTCATGATATGTGAAACGTCTTCCGTGGACTCTGGATACACAACATATTTTGGTTTCTGATGATGCAAAGGTTTTGAAGGATTGAACCCGTTGTCGGTGTGGTGGTCAATTTCGACTGCCGAGTTCTTTACAGAGCTCTCGCCAACAACAGTCTGTATTTCTTTTATGCACTTTATCAAATCATCGTCGTTGCCATATCGCGGCGGATCTAATTGACCGAGTGGAGTAATAGAAGGTAAGGGAAAAACTTGTTTGTCTGGCTTCAATGTGGGTGCTATGTATAGCCCCAAGGAGATTCCCGCAACTAGAGATAAAGCAACGAGAGCTCCCTTCGATTGGCGCAACGACCTCCCATCATCTCGTCCTGCTGCAGAAGAGTTGCTGCGATATCTCCAGCTGGGTCGTTTTGTCCCAACGCAGCCGATGGATCTTCTAGAGCTGGCCACGAATCGGAACATGATTATTGTCCGTACTTTCGATGATTCGAATTGAGCATTGTGAGTTGACTTTAATAATATCTTATGAGCCTGTAATTCTAATCTGAATTGTGTCTAATTCGGGAGAACGCCACACTTTTTTTCTGGAAAGTTACTGACAAGATATATTGGACAACTACCTCCAAAGTAAATCTTGCCGAACCTCACAATCATCGCGGCATCGAAGCAGGCCTTCGAAGGTCCAATGAACTCCTTTTTGTTTTTGGTAGAAGGGTTTAGAACTTTGTATGGGTTTATCACGTCAAAAATTAGGTAAAAGCGTAACATCCAAGGAATATGCCAGGCAAATAAATCTTCACCAAATTTGAGCAGAGTAGATCGCTGGGATTGTACATAGTCTTCTCGTTGCACAACTTTACCGTTTCAGATTTCTTGCATAAATGCCCACATCCTGGTCAAACTCGACCGTTGGTTGTGCCAAAGGCGGTAAGAACGTTACTGTTCAGAGTAACCCTACATCATACAACTTTGAGCAGCTCAAGCGCCGATGGCATCTTTCGTTACATTTGTCTTACGACCTTCATACATACCGAGTCTTTTGTATCAACATGTTATAAGATGCCTCTCATCACTTTTGACTAATCTGTCCACAGATGACATTATATTGATCTGTACACTGGACTTAACAATAAGTCCATCATCATTATAGGAAAATGAAACCACGCACTCCCGGCGTATAGTAGTAACCAATACAGTTCCGTGTCATGGAAGCAGTAAAATCTGAGCCTGAAGTCAAACCCGATTTGTTAATGGAGGTTTCGGCAGAATGCGCTGGAGATAATATGAAATCTCAAGGAAAACCCGATAGCCGCCCACCTTTGAAGGAGAAAACAATGAATCGACAACAGCTGAGATGCCAGAAGTCAGAGGTAATTGAAGATGCCAAGAGGAAAAGTATTGCTCAATTTTTCCAATCCACGGAACTGAACAACAACGGTTTCAGCGGCCGCCCTCCCAACGGCGATAAGAGGAAACCTTCGATTAAAGCCGAGCATCCAGCTCCATTAGTTGTGAGCAAGCGTGCAATCGGGGATGCCAAAACGGGAAACGGTTTTGATGGAAAGGAGAAGATGAATCAAAATGGATCAGCTGCCGTGTCAGTGTCGCCGATTGCGAAAAAACTCAAGGTAGATCAGCACCAGTCATCACCTGTAAGAACCGACTTACCCTCGGCTGCTGGCGAGGATAAGCATGCCATAGATATTGCAGTTAATGAACCACCGCCTTCCGCCCAATGCCTACCCACCAACCCAGGTCCCTATGCACCGGTTAAGGCGGGATTATACGAGCAAAGCTCCAAAGGTGAGGATAAGAAGTACTACGAGGACGTTTTCCACGAGGTTCAAGATCAAGAGGAAAAGCATTCTTGTATCGCGTTTGCGGAAATGAATCTCAATACCTGGATCAAAGCCGGCGAAGAGTTACAATTAGAACACAAAAGGATTCTAGCGAGGCTGATTAAAGCTCGAATGGGCCTAAGTGAGAAATTTAGAGTAATCACGGATTTGATCAACAAACGCGCCTCTGCATTGAATGCCCAAGGTCAGATCCTGGACCTGAAGCTACGTCGTATCCAGGATTTGGGCAAGGAAATTCTTGATATCATCTGAGCAAGAGCGGACAGACAGCTGCCTCCTCGTCTCAGTGGCTATTTACCTACATTCGCGTTCAAGTAATAATTTATGAGATTTCTTCGTATTGATGTGATGTTAACTTAACTGTACACATATGTGGGGGGTTTTTTGACAAAGAACTATATAACAAAAAGCACCGGAGGAGTCGAAAGCGAGCAAAGTGATGAGGCTAGTAATAGGAAACCGGCGGCATAATTATTACAAGATTTTCGCCGAAAACCTAGCATCCACCCAAAGTCACCCGATCGTTCCGCCGGCTAGGCTCTCTGCTTAGTTTCTTCTTCTGTAACGTCTTTCTCTTTGAGCAGAGACGTTGGAGACGGACAAAGGCAATTTCAAGCCCAAGTTCTTGACCAAGTCGGCGGTTTGGTTGTCAACGTTCAAGACACCCTTAGAGTGAGACAAGTCCAAAGCGGAGACAGCTGGGACGTATTGGTCCTTTCTCTCTCTTTCTTCTTCTTGTAGCTTGAAAGAAATACCTCTAACTGGGCCCTTTTGGATTCTCTTCATCAAGTGAGTGGTGTAACCAGCAATCTTGTTTCTCAATCTCTTAGATTGGATGGTGGCGATCTCGTCACACATTCTCTTGTTGGTTTGGAAGTCCATGGTCAACTTTGGATAGTAACGTTCAATCAAAGCCTTGGAGGCACGCTTGACGGTCTTGGTTCTAACTCTACCCTGTCACAAAAAGATTACTGTTAGTAAAATGATAGCTGGCATACTGGCTAGACGAGAAAGCACTGAATGATAAAGCAGAAAATACGGCGGAAACTTTGACTGTGTATGCTGTATTCAACGAAGATTCTTCTACGGTCAACTCACTATCCTTGTAACGAACACAAATTTCAGAAGCTGACTACGCAAATGCATATGGCTGCTTGAGTTTCAACTTCATTCATATCGGGCTCACCAAACCCACGAATTCAACTGCTTTTCCGCGTATTCGTCCTTGCCATTCTGTTCCGCAGTTCACGTCTTATTACCCATATTTAACGTACCATTTTGGATTATTGCTGGTCTTAGATGTCTGAGGTCCTGTAAAACGTCCAATTAAGCGATGTTTAAGGTTTTTCCAGTCAATAATGATCAAGTTGCAAGATTCTGGACACCAATTCCCGGGCGCATGAGATTCCAGAGAGCTGGCAGGTGGGTTGGGCCAGGCGGAACGGTGGGTTTGCTAGGCAGAGGACCTGGGTAGGGCCCGCCCGCTGCTCCTGGCTAGCAGCGGGCGGGCCCTTTGCCGACACAGAAAGGGCTCCGCCTGATTGGGCTAAGCAGAGCTCTGCTTGGCCTACGACCCGGCCAGGATTTGTGACAATTTTTCATAGACGCACTAACATTAAAAAAATCAAAAATGTTAAAATGTCTGGATGTTTCATTTTGAGCAGTCACATTTAAATACCACTCTCGACGTAACAATAGGTCATGTGCTTCTGATCTAGCGTATGAAATATGTTGAGTTGGAGTGGACACACTTAAGGACCCGAAGTGGGTGAGGTTTACATAACGGATTCTCGGACATTCAAAGGAAGTCTGTCAATGATGTACGAAAGTGTCACGAAGCTGAAGGGTGGAAAGTTCTGTATAGATGAAATAAAGCTGTATAAACCTTACCTGACACTGCTGTAGAATGGAAGGCGCAGGAATACCTCTGAGGCGAACCCGGTATCGCTGATCTGGATGAAGAGGGTACTTGTGAAATTCATTGGTGAATAGGAGCTTTCGCGATTAGTGGGCGGGTCACATGACTCATGTCCATGTACAAGCAACTGGTGTATGGCCATATATTTCAGTTGCGGAACTGTAGGTTTTTGGGTTTACTGAAACGGTCGGCTGGAGCCTGTATATCGCTACAAAAAAATGCTGCTCCTCCGCATATCACGGATTGAGAGCTCAACTTGCACATTTTTGTTTTACTGACGGAGCCAATATCACTTTGTACTACTATGACATTGCCTGGATGTTCCTTACCATGCCACTTGACGCCACCAAAAGTGTGCGTAATTGTATCCACCTAGTAGCTCTAAAGAAGAATTAAAACCAATGCTCTTTCGCGTTAAGCTGAAAGGTGATGTGGTTGTTAACATCACACAACAAGCGTGTAGAGTGATTTATACGAAATTGATATGAGATGTAAACTAATAGTTGACATTTCATAAGCGTACAGAATCAGGACCCTCAAGGGCGGCTACTTTCCTCCTCAATAATAACCATTGTTTGTTTGAACTCCATGTCGAATAAATTTCATTGTGACATTTGTTCCACTGACTGTACGCATAGAGTTAGAATATCGTGCGCGGAATGCCCCGAATATGATTTATGCGTACCATGTTTTTCCCAGGGCTCCTATAGCGGTGAACACCGCCCAGACCACAAGTATCGTATTATTGAGACCAACTCGTATCCAATTCTGTGTGCCGACTGGGGTGCTGATGAGGAGCTGGCTCTCATCAAGGGCTCTCAAACATTAGGACTCGGCAATTGGCAGGATGTCGCGGACCACATAGGCAGTAGGTCTAAAGAGGAAGTTGAAGAACACTATACCAATTACTACCTCAACAGCCCCCATTACCCAATCCCTGATATTACGAAAACTATTGACATCTCGCAAGAACAGTTTCTTGACGAACGTAAACGTAGAATCGAGAGATTCCGCGAAAAGCCTTTGGAGCCTCCACGCAAGCCAATGGCTTCGGTGCCGAGCTGTCATGAAGTTCAAGGCTTCATGCCTGGGAGATTAGAGTTTGAAAACGAATTCGAAAATGACGCTGAGGGTCCAGTCAAAGATATGGTATTTGAAACAGATGACCAACCGCTCGATATTGAGGTCAAATTGGTAATACTGGATATTTACAACTCGAGGCTGACTACTAGGGCGGAGAAGAAGCGTCTCCTTTTTGAAAATGGGCTAATGGAATACCGTAAACTTCAGGGAATTGATAAGAAGAGAAGCAAGGAAGCGAAAGAGCTTTACAACAACCTGAAAGCCTTTGGCACAATAATGACTCCTTCCGATTTTGCCGACTTCACCAAAGACATCCTGGAGGAACTGCGATGTAGATCCAGAATACATCAATTGCAAGAATGGAGGAGCAATGGAATTACTACACTTGAAGCTGGTCTCAAGTATGAACGCGACAAGCAAGCTCGAATGATGACTTTAGAGCGGTTTGGCAGCTCAACGTATTCTTCTTCTAATGGCAATGGTCGTCATAGGGCCACCTCAACCCATCGCACAAATACCGATTACGGACAAAATTATAACGATCCAGGGAGCCGCAAAAAGACCCTTACGATCAGTGACGTACAACATGGTGCTGATTATGGTCTCTTATCAGCAGAAGAACAGCAACTTTGCATGCAATTAAAGATCTTACCAAAACCATATTTGGCCATCAAGGAAGTCATGTTTAGAGAGCTTCTGAGGGCTGGTGGTACGATTACCAAAAAAACATGTCGAGACTTACTCAACATTGATCCTACGAAAGCTAACAAGATTCATGACTTCTTTCATTATCAGAGATGGCTATGAAGCCCCTTTGTTGTACAACTAAGATGGTCATATATCATAGTAATCTTTCTTGTCTATAAATTACTTATAATTTTTTGATGATAGCGTTGATTATCTTGAATCTAGGATCCTCCTCCTTGTTCATTTTCGAAAGGATGCAGTCTTGCAGATACTCTACATAAGACGCCTTCAATTTTCTCTTGATACCTTCACTGACCTTAACGTTGTATGCAATAAATTTGTTGACGGACAACTGCAATTGGTCGACATCCAATTGATCGACACTCATGAACCTGATATTCAAAGTGATATCTAAAATCAGAAGCTTCACATAAATATCGGGTAGTTCTTGTTCCAGCTTAACATTGTAAGTGTTGTTCTTCCAATGTTGAATAACATGATTGGTGAGGTAATCTCTGTGTAGATCAGAGAAGCTAGAAAATAGAGAAACGTAGGTCAAGGAGATATTGAACAGATGACTCACCGACCCTACAATTAGCTCATGATCTGGTGCCGAGCCCGAAGAAGCGTAGTAGCCTCTATGTTTCTTCAAGTAGTGCTCTCCTAAGTTTTTCATTGCCACATCGAATATTGTGAGAGCAATATCACCCCGCAATGCTGGGTTGGTATCTTCATTTCCCAACATATCCATGTCAGCCTCTGGAAGTTCGTTTAACTTGTCTTTCATTGCGTCTCCAGTTGAAGGTTTCGCAAAAGCAAGGTTATCATCGTCATCTGCGATTTCATTCAACCTTGTTTCGCTCTCCTCCTGTGGAGTTGACTCTTCCTCTTGAGCCTGTAGATCTAGCGCTTGTTCACGCTCATTGATCAAACCCATGACCTTGCGTCTGTTGATCAACTTTGTGATGAAATTGAGTTCAAATTTCACATACTCAAACCATAGCATGGTTGAATCGGGGTTGAATCGCAGTCCGTTTTGGAATACTGTTCTGCAACTTTTAAAATTTGCGTGAACTTCGTACTCATACTTAGCACAACTCACCCAAATATCTATATTGGTAGGATGAAGCTTGAGTAATTGATTGTAAACGCTATGAATCCTGCGATAAGAAGTCTTTTGTCCCCGGTTTTTTAGGTAATTCAGGTAGAATGACCAAAATTTCAGCTCCTTAGGGAACTTATTACATCCTCGCTGAAAAATAAACTGTATTCTCTGCTGAATGGACCAGTCGGATATGCTGCTGGGTTTGGACCCTTCTAATATGCGTTGAACTCGTTTACGGCGCAGTTTTTCAACATTACTCTCAAAGTCGACGTACTTCTCATAATCCTCTATCCTAGAACCTCTAGAATTTAACCTGTGCTCGAAATCAGTCCTCTTCTTCATAATAGAACTGACCTCATTTTTTGTGAAGAGGCCTTTGGCTACTAAGTCGTCGACCTCAGGAATGGCCTGTTCCAAGTAGTACCTCGCTTTCGAAGACATCGACCAAGTACTAGCAATTCAATCAGTTCGTAAATATAACCTGGCAGTTAAGAGGCACTGGTGAGTCCTGGAGTGATGCTATGCTTCGTGTTTCTATGCGATGAGCTGCGATGAGCTGGAAAATTTTCTGATATAGGTAATTAATTAAACGTATATTAAACCGAAAATTCACAGGATCAAGTCACGTGTACATACCTATCTCAAGGCATAGCCCTCATCCTTTGACTTTGAGACAAGCAATTAGAGTAGAGCTCGTTGGAAAGGGCTTGGCCCTTTGAATCAATCTCTAATCTTTAATTCTTACAAACTGAATCCAATTCTAGTCGTCAATTAGGTGGTTATTAGGTCATATGATACGGAAACACATGCTTTTGTCAAAAATTTTAAAGATATCTCAATGGTTGAAGATCGATTTGATCGTCAAGTAGCGCTATTGATCTCTACAAGGTTTCACTGCTATAACGAGCTGGCTCTATGGTTTTGTGTGGTCATAACAGACTTCTTCTAAGAGTATGGTAAATTTTCCTGGGAAACTTCTTCGTTTATCACCAATTCCAGCTTATATACTAACACCACTGCTACACAGAGAATTGCCAATATTCGTTTCAATTCTTCCCAAACGCCTACCAAAAATATTCTTCCGAATGCAAGCCTACCTCCCCTGTTTACTTTGGCAACTTTGAGGTCCTTTCCGTCGCTAGAGCCTCTCACGTTTGTCCCGGTCCCGGCCGTGGTATTCGACGCGCCCTTGAGAAGAGACTTGTTGTGGAAAGCCGTGGTGTACGAAAATGACAATAAGCGTGTTGGCTCTTCAAACCCACCCAGCAGAAGTGAAAATGGGTACTCTAGGCGTAAACTACTCCCCCAAAAAGGCTCTGGTAAAGCCAGAGCAGGTGACGCCAACTCCCCCACGAGGCACAACGGGTCCAGGGCGCTTGCAAGATCTGCGCCAAACGACTACACTACAAAACTACCCCAAAAGGTCTACTCACAAGCGGTGCTCAATGCTTTGAGCTATCAGTACAGGCGCGGGAATATTTTCGTCGTTGGCGGAACTAATGCTCTATGCCAAACACACGATCTTGATGTGAACGAGTTGGATCTGCTGCCCACCTCACTGGAAACCGACAATGGAGACTTGGTTTTCGAGAAATTTTTGAGCGAGTATGACTTAAACGGCGATAATATGCTGTTTGTCATAGACGCACCAAGAGATGGCCTATTCAGGTACACAGAAGCCTACAAAAACGATGTGAATATCGTACAAAAGGAATTTCTGGATGTCAACGATATTTTAAAAGCACGCCACATTTTCATCGAACTAAGAGCTTTGGAGTATCTGGCCGTTACTCACACGATTTAACTTGCATTTAAACTTGTACATAATAACAAATTTTGAATATGACTGCGAACATTGGTTCATTCTTTTTAGACTACTACAGTGACGCCGTTTGTACCCGTCATCATGCTCGGTGGGCTCCGACATGTTGGCAGATATCCAATCTCACGGTTGTGACTGCTCATGACAACACCCGTACATTGTCCAAATCTTCTTTCAAATTTTTAACAGCTGAAAAATATTTATATATATCTGTTTTGCGTCGGTGCTCGAGGATCGGGCAGAGTCCCTCTAGCTCTGTTCAGGCCTGAGCCCACTCCTAGGCAGAGCCCCTGCCTACGTCGTTAGGCTCCCCGGTCTAGCTTTCCGTCGGTCACCCAGTGCGGCTTGTCCAGCCCAGAGTCGTGTAGCTTCACCGTCTCTGGGCCCGCGCTTCCCTCGCTCCTCAACATGTACGGTCCTGTACCAGGCGGAAGGCATTCTGCTGCGACGAGCTGGAACTTTCAGTCAAAATTTCAAGACCTAAATACTACCATAATATCAAGTACACGCACTAGATCCACGTAAGCCGGCAAAGATGTCTCTAGTTATCCAAGAACAAGGTTCCTTCCAGCACATTTTGCGGTATGTGAATAACAACGGCGTATGAACCAGGTCAGACGAATAGAGCGAGAATTAAGCGAGAATTAAGCGAGAAATAAGCAGATCCTGGTTTTGAATATTGGACAAAGTGAGCGCGAACTCCCATATGAAAGCTCACACTATGCTAGAGAAGAAATCGCGATGGTAACTTTGGGTGATGTTCAAGATATTTTGATGTGTCAGCTCTTGTGTGGGTCTTTAGTCGCGGGTAGGTCGTTGGCGACCTTGTGCCCGCCGATTGACCGCATACATCACTCTCGAATCTTCAGCATGACCTGGCCCCACGTCTACTTTACCCTTATTATGATTGGTATATGTTACTAACATTAAAAACAGTTTGTTGAACACTAACGTTGATGGTAACATCAAGATCGTGTACGCTTTGACCACTATTCGTGGTGTCGGTCGTCGTTACGCCAACTTGGTTTGCAAGAAGGCTGACGTCAGCTTGACCAAGAGAGCTGGTGAATTGACCCAGGAAGAATTGGAAAGAATTGTCCAAATTATGCAAAACCCAACCCAATACAAAGTCCCAGCCTGGTTCTTGAACCGTCAAAAGGACGTCAACGACGGTAAGGACTACCACAACTTGGCCAACAACTTGGAATCCAAGTTGAGAGATGACTTGGAAAGATTGAAGAAGATCAGAGCCCACCGTGGTATCAGACACTTCTGGGGCTTGCGTGTTAGAGGTCAACACACCAAGACCACTGGTAGAAAGAGAGCTTAATCAGATCTCTCGATTAAGACTAAAATTACTATCATTACTATATAACGCTTTCGAAAATGTGTTGAATTTCCATTATTTGATTGTATTTTAAGAAACATCAATAGCTTTTGAGTACTTTTGTAACATAGTCCAAGTGCTTGTAAGGGGTTCTCCGTCCAGAGATGTTGTAGCAGGGAACGTGGCATGGTGAGAACGGTACAGCAACCATGAATGGCGACTTTAATGCAAACCTTAAAACTCCTTTAAAATGTCTATTTATTTCATACATCATTACTTCAATTGTTGATCGTGTTGATATCAAGTCTTCCCAAGGGCGCCCTGTCCGGCTTTTGAAAACCTTTTCTTTGACGCGTGGGTGATACATCTGCACTCGTTCTAGGTGTTGATATACCATTGATCAGCTTATTGACCCTGTTATTAGGTGAAGTTTTAATGGGAGTCAACGTTTTGTTGTCTGTCTTCAAACGAAATGTCAAGGCTTGTCCGCGACTCATTTGTTGGTGAGTGGCAGTCTGTAACTTCGAATGCGTGGGACTTGTTGTCGATATCATGGTGCCAGGTGTGGAACTTATGGTGTCTAAGGTTGTCGACATTGGCGTATTCAGATGGCTCTGATTTTCAACTTGAAGTTTCATAGCCGCCGGTGTCAAGAAATGAGAGGTGGCAGGGGGGACCGAATTCGACGTTAAATCTTCATCGTCCTTATCGGGTTCGCAGTGAATGTCATTATGATTCTTCTGCTGCTTCTTGACACTTTGACGCTTGTTTTGAAACCATATTTGAATTGCCTTTTCGGACATAGAGCACATTTCAGCCAACATGACCCGTTTCTGCTTGTTCGGTGTTGGACACTTTTCGAATTCAGATTGCAAAATATTGAGCTCGTGCTTGGAGGTCCTACGTCTTTTACGCCTAGCCAATGGAGCGTTATCAATTGCTGGTTCTTTGGTTGGGAAAGTGTCTTGAGAATGAGAAATGAATGCAAAGGCTTTTTTGCTGTCCGCACTTGGAGTTTTGACTGCAGAGATTGGTGTGAGTACACGTTGTGGATGGTGTACCTTTTTTGCAGCTGATAATTCGGTGCCCGTTTGAACGTGTTTATAAAGGTGTAGAGTTGGAGAGTTTTCTAGCACAGCATCACACGAACGGTTCCTTTTCAGCGCGCTTCTGGGAGTACTCATCACAGCCGAAGATTCGAGCGGCGCTCGCACCGCTTGCGGAAGAGATGTACCATCGTGTGTGGAGAACGAACCTGTCGTCGAACTAAGTTGTAAGGGTGGAAGTTTGATGATACCCTCTGCGTTGGTTCTGAAAGATTGGCACCGACTCGTTGTAGTACCGAGGAAAGGTGAGTAGGGTTCCGAGTGGGATCTCTGTTGCAGGGGCCTGTGTTCTTGCAAAAGCACGTTGATTCGTGGCAGCATTCTCGATTCTGATAATAATGCAGCTTTAAATGATGACAATGTCCACCGACCCTTAGTTGTAATGGCCCATGTTGCCGGTAAACGGTTTTGATTCACCATATATACTCCTACGTTAGGTTAGCCATTTCTGCTGCCAGAAACCTATACCTGTTACCTTACCAAAACCTGCATCTAAAGTGGTAAACAATACGCCAACTACGACAAAGCTGAGTCTCGTGGCTTTACCACTTCAGGCTAATCCCAAGGGCCACTACCGAACATTGGCTTATGCGACTCTGCTAAATTGAATGGCACTTTAGCACGTCGGTACGTTGTGATGGGCTACGTGTGTGTATGTTTGTCACTTACGGTAAGTATGTCGCGTTGATTTTTCGCGTTTTTTCAGACGCGACACGCTCGGAAACTCCAACCAAAGCGAACGAACATGAAACCGTTGTCAGTTCGCCACAGACAAGATGGCGGAACGAACCTAACGTAAGCACTTTTGCCAAGTATCTATCCCGAACTGGGCCCTGGACCTAAGTGTTTTCGTGGCTTCGAGATGAACGCTCGGCAGAAAAGAATGGGAACACTTCATACGATATACACAGCGACACACAGGGTTAGAATAACTGAATCTAGAGCGCCGATGACTTCAGAGTACCTGTCTAGCTGGGCGCGCTACCTCCACTTGTCGTAAGCTTGCGCAAACGGGCAATCGCAGAAGTTTTCACGTGACTTCCTCTGCCAGGCAATTTATAGCAGGGCGCCTGTAAAATGATTGGCCTCGTCTAAAGCCTTTAGGAACTATGGTTTATCCGAGCTTTTCAACTTCATGTCGTTAGTGACGTGAATTAGCTGCTCGAGCGGGCGTGCAGGTGAACTCAGGGCGTTACTGTTCTACTTTTCTTCGATTCTTCAAAGTGAAGAATCGTCGCCTTCCTATGACATTGTCTCACTGGAATGGAGATCGGGTATTTGTAGAGCTAATCGAAACTACTCATTAGTGGATAGTTATACGTAGCAACAAGAATGTGATTTGATCTCTTACTTGATATTCATATATATATATATATATATATATATATATATATATGTGAAGCCCGATCACATTATGACGGTCGGTATCCAATTTAACTTTCAGGTATATTGATTCCGTATCCTGTGATTAAATATTTCAAGTTCTCTCGGCAGTCATTATTTGACCTATGGAAATCGACATAGTAGCTTTAAGTAGGTACACAACACTCCTTGGCAATTGGTATTTGATTTGTGTCTGAATTGAAGCTAGGAAGGGCGATATTTGGTGCAGGCTGCTGTCCTTTGCTCTTCAAGACCATAGCTGAACTCGCAGAAATTTTACGGGGAAGATGCTGAATGAACAAAGCAAAGAGACATGGAAGTTGAAACCGAGGGCCGGGGCGGCCAAGTCATTGATGTATGTGGTTGTTATGATCTTGTTTTTGACGAGTTTTTGGAACAAGAGTGGTAACTTGTGGTCTAGGTTCTTTATGAAGTCCAGTCCCATTAACTACCAACGCATCGTCGTTGAGGATGCGCTGCAAACAGCTACAGCAGATGAGCTAGCGGCATTAGGATTGAGTCGGGATTCGCCTGTCAAGATTCTGCATCTTCCAAACGGAAAGTCAAAGACTTTGCATGGAAGATTCCTTCACATTACAGATATCCATCCAGACCCATTATACGAGGTGGGTTCGTCAGCATCGGAAATGTGCCACAGAGGCAAGCCCGACAGAAAGAACGATTTTGCCACCAAGTTTGGCGTGGCAATGAATGGCTGCGATAGCTCCATGGAGCTCATGGAACATACTCTGAAATGGATTTACGACAACTTGAGGGACGAGATTGACTTTGTGGTATGGACGGGCGACAATATAAGACACGATAACGATCGGAAAAATCCCAGAACTGAATCACAGATATTCGATTTGAATGCCCAAATGGCTCAAAAGTTCGAAAAAATGTTCAGAAATCCCAACAGCATAGACCCTCGCAACTTTGACGTAGATGTGGTGCCTAGTTTGGGTAACAATGATGTATTCCCCCACAACCTTTTTTCATTAGGCCCAACTCTGCAAACGCGGGAGATCTACAATATGTGGGGGAACTTCATTCCTCAAGAGCAACAGAGGGCTTTCGCTAGAGGAACCTCTTTTTTTGTTGAGGTGATTCCTGGGAAGTTGGCAATTTTATCCATTCAAACCTTGTACCTCTATAAGGCCAACCCTCTTGTTGATACATGTGACTCCAAGAAAGAGCCAGGTTATCAGCTTTTATTGTGGTTGGGCTATGTTTTAGAGGAATTACGGAGTCGAAACATGAAGGTCTGGCTTACTGGTCATGTTCCGCCCTTAGAGAAGAACTACGATGGAAATTGCTTCCATAAATTCACTCTTTGGACTAACGAGTACCGTGATATCATAATTGGCGGCTTATATGGGCACATGAATATGGACCATTTTGTTCCTGTCGATCGCAAGAGGTCTTGGAAGGCCGTTACAGGGTCTAAAAAAGCGAGCGGGAAAGCGTTAGTTGGTGACACGGCAGATGATTCTCTGGGCGTATTGGATAGTGCTGTTGAAGCTAGTGGTTTACGCATAATGGGTGCAAAACCCGTGAACAAGGAAGCATACATGAATACCGTTCGTGAAATGTACTATAAAAAAATAGCCTCAAGATTAGGCGTACGGATGAACAAGAAAGGCAAAAAAGGTAGAACAGACAGAAAAAGTGGAAATGGTGACCGTTACAGTATCGTCAACGTTGCTGGGTCAGTTATTCCAACTTTCAATCCTGCTTTTAGAGTGTGGGAATACAATATTAGCGGATTGGATGTTGAATATCAAAGCAAAGATTTTCAAAGTCAAGGATGGGGAGCATTTTTTGAAGAGCTAGAAATCAAGATGGAGCGCGACTTACAGGAAGATAATATTTTCTCAGGTTGGAGGCGAACATTTAGTGATAGCCGAAGAACCGACAAAACGATACCTCGGAAGATGCCCTCTGATTTAGCTCTGGGACCTGCCTACACTCCACAACTCTTTTCGCCTACTCGGTTCATCCAATATTACGCAGATCTTGCAAGCATTGAGAAGAAATATAAAAAGGCACTGAAAAACGGTTTAGGGGAGGAAGAGGCAGCAGTGGAAGCCTTCAGTTACGGGATAGAATATTGTTCGGATGACCAGCCATACGCAATGAAATCCTTATTGACCAAAGACTATATTGACTTGGCTGTGAAATTAGCAGATAATGATAAGCTGTGGGAAAAGTTTACCGAAAGGGCATTCATTTCCACAGATTACACAGATTAGCATAGCACAACGTAACGGGCACCCGCACCTGATGTCCGCTCCCCCGAATAGCGAGATATTGCGTAGGGAAATATTGCGCAACAAGTACCTGGAGAAATAAGTATTCGTTTATTTGACCAATTTACAGCCGTGTGCATTCTCTATCGTATCATCAATTAAACTAGCACGTATACAATACAAAGTAAGCGAGAGCTTCCTAACTTTAGGCCTCCCTTTCTTGCATTAGATAGTACCTTGGACTTATTTGTGGGCCTCGGAGAAGTATTCCTTGGAAGCATCGACTTCAGGCTTAATAGTGGCTGAGCCTGGGGTCCAGTTGCATGGCAACACGGTACCGTTCTTGTCAGTCCATTGGAAGCCCTCAACCAATCTTAGAGCTTCCTCAACGTTTCTACCAACTGGCAAGTCGTTGATGGTGATGTGTCTCACAATACCTTTAGGGTCGATCAAGAACAAACCTCTGAGAGCGACACCGGCGTCCTCGATAAGCACACCGTAGTCCTTGGCTAGAGAGTGGTTGGTGTCGGCAACCAATGGGATGTCGACAGGACCTAGACCACCATCCTTTCTGGCAATGTTGGTCCAGGCGAGCAAAGAGTACTCGGAGTCAGTAGAGGCGAACAAAACCTGAGCACCGATGTCACTAAATCTCTTAGCGGCGTCAGAGAAAGCAACAATTTCGGTTGGGCAAACGAAAGTGAAAGCTAGAGGGATGAAGGCTAGCACAACGTATTGGCCCTTGTATTTGTCCAAAGAAACTTCGTCGAAAACACCGTCGATAACAGCAGTTTTAGTGAAAGCTGGGGCTGGCTTTTGAACTTGGGCGACCATTGTATTTTGTATTTATGGGTGAATGAAGAAAAACTTCTCTAGAAACTTGTTGTTCTTGGTGGAAGACCATCAGAACCGGATACGTGTTCGTTTATCAAATCGCCGCCCTTTATATACTTTTTTCCAAGGGCCACCAGGTGTGATCCAGACTATGTTAATTAGTAAAATACCTTATACGTACTACACGACAATCGAGTTCTGGCCCGAGCAGTGTTACTAAAGTGTAATTCGGGAACTTATGGTGATAGAATCGTTCTATTAGACAGCTTGCGCCAACATTAAGCTCATGCTAAATGCTGGACCTAATTTGGGTTTCATGGTATAATTTGAACGGCGTCTGCACCAAGATTTTTGAGCTATAACGACAGTTGCGACGATAATTTCGATAAAATAGTGCGAATTAGATAGGTATACGTCGCAGGTCCCTAAGATGACGGTAATTCCATGCTGGTATGCGGTACAAATGTCTTTCTAATATATGGCACAGTAGTAAAGCAAATAGAAGCTGATGCTACTATTCCCGAAAAACAATAAGCATTCGACCGCCGTGAGAGTATCTCCCCGCCGTATCAAGCAGACTCTGTAATAGGCAGTGTCACTTCTATATAAGTCCTTTATCTGTGTTCTTGTTGACCGCTGTTCCTCCGGCAGCTTAGAACGAATAACTTCGGAGTGTCGGCTTGGGAAAAAACGACGAGGTCATTTCGTGAGAAAGTCACCATGAGCGAGGGAGACCCCACGGTCTTTCCTTACTAATTCATGTCAATTCGTTAATCGTATTTAATCCCTATATTGTGCTGTGAGGCGGTTCACCTCCAGGAGTGTCTGTCTTTGGAAGCGTGGTACCAGAATAAGCAAGAATAGCGTGACTAGTCTTAGAAAGTCGACAATTCCACGTTGCAGCAATCTAAAGCCGCGCAATCGACGTCTGTCACCTTGTACCAGTGCCCTAATAAAGGCGCCGTTGTTGATTTTGTCGTAAACGTCTGACAACCAAAGTGTTGCGCTGCGATACCATGGCAAGGCAGATCTCTGGTAGACGTACCTGCGATATTCAGCGAGGATACCTTTGTTGACGGCATTTAACCTTGGTATATCCTCTAGGTATTCAACTATCTCGTGCATGAATGGGTCAAATAGTTCTCGGAGAGGAGAGATATCTACTTCGTCATGCTGTGTTGAATTACATTCTTCCAGCAGCTTAGGGACCATGATTTGCAACGAGTCCTGGGGATCCATTTTAAATGCACGTATCAGCTTCAGCTTCAGGTCATTATTTCCTCGTAGGCGTTCGATGAGAGCTTCTGTAATTGCTGGACTATTGGCAAACCGGCTGTAGAAAGACCGCGACAAATCGCCGCCGCGATATATTTCTTGCAGCTGTTGAATTTCCCCTTCATTAAGCTTCTCCTCTTGACCAGGCCATAGTAACTCCCCCCAGATTTCCCAAATTTCTGATGTGCTCCATATTGTCTTCAGGAGGATTAAACCCGTACCAACAAACAAATATAGAGAACGCACATAAGCAGTGACTTGAAAGAAGATGACAAAGTAGAAAACAGAGTTCCTGATAATCAAATATATGGTTCGCATGATTGTTCGCGTCCATTGCCTTATGCGCGCGATACGCCCTACTTCGTCAGCTTCTGCTGGCCCATCGGCCAGGTCGCTCACGTTTTCGTCCAAAGCAGGCTCTTGGGTAGCGTTGTTCTGTAACAAGGTCCATGGTACATGATTAGCTAGCTGGGCTGAAACTTTGACACCATAGGAGGTCTCGATTCTTGAAATAAGTCGCTGAGATAGCAGAACCACGCCTCGCAACTCCGCCACCTCATCTGGAAATACTTCAATTTGCTGGTCATTCAATTCTATGAAAGTAGAGGTCGGCTCAAACGAGGATGTTTTAACAAAGCTTTCTTGGCCGGATATCACCACTTTTTCGAAAACTTGGCCAGTGCGTTCAATTAGGGCGCCGGTTTCAGTAACGAACTCGGCCTCAGTGAAAAGATTTTGAGCTGTTTCTTGAGTAGGTAGTATGGGCTGCTGTGCTAAATCAGGTGTTTGAGTATTCTGTGTGTTTTCAGATAAGCTTCGGTTCATGAATGAAAAGCGATCAGAATTGTTAAACAGCTCGCTCCAAAATCCAGGCCCTGGCTCGGTGTATTCTTGATTAATCTGAACATGCACTTTCGCACCTTGAGTCTCTGAGATGTAGTCCAATACTTTAGAAAGCTGTCCGGAAGAATTGGTGTCGCGCAGCAGGTGACCCTTGTAGATTAGTTTCACGTCAGCATTTGTCAAACGCAGGGCGTGTCCATAGACGGTGCAAATAAATTCCTTCACGTCTGACACGGTCGTATTGGGGTCTATGGCCATCTTGTTCATAGAGAGCTGAGCTTCTGATATGAACGTTATGGTGACGCCATTCTCAGATAGTTGATTGTGCTGCGTTCGAAACATCACACAGCAGCTCCCGGTTGCACTAGGAGCAAAGTCAATCGCCAACAGGTCGCCGAGCCTCAGGTCGTTGTTGGAGTCGTCGGAGTTGAGGGGCGTGGGATTTGACCGCCCCAAGAGATCAAACCCCACCAAATCATCGACGGTGTGTTCGCGGCAAGTACAAATATTAGTGGGGTTGCAGGCCTCGTACTCGTTCAACATGTTCGTGGCTAGCTTTTTGAGTCGTGCTAAAGTGGTGTCCCATTTGGCCTTCGATTCGGTGCGTGTCAAGATTTTGTCCGACGACAGAACGTTGACTTGCAATTCCACGTTCGTATACCCAAAATCATCATCCGGAGTGTAGTCAAGATTCAAAGCAGAGCCTGTGTGTACCGTGACACGCTCCATTTTCAGCGTCAACGCACCCACAGCATCGGGCTCTATTTCTTTGACCACTTGCTCAAGATCCAAACTGGTACCCTTGAATGTCAAATGGAATTTCTGAACAGGGTCGATTTCGGGGCATGTAGCTTGCTGCGAAGCTTGCCAATGCACGTACTGCAACAAACGGCCGACTGAAGCCTCTCCAGGTGCCCGTATAAAAAGGTTAATCTGGCGGTTGCAGGGTTCCTGCTGGGTTCCCGGATCTATAGCCCAGATACTCAAACTCACACCACAATTAGCCAAGTACCGCATACCCTAACTGATCAAACAGGCTGCTGCGTTGTCTCGATGCGGACTAGTTCTTTTGACTTGATTCTGCTGATTGTTCCCTGACCAATCTCAAAATAAAAGATCGCACTCCGAACGATATACGGAACAACATCCAATGCCACAGTAAAAAGCTTAGTATTCAGACAGTCCGGGCGGGCCCCGGCCCACCTAGCTGCATTACAACATTACTTGCCTTGCCACGATATGTACAGTAAATATCTCCGGGTCCAGTTGGCCCTGCCGTCGTTTCCATCTTATTTACCACGGCCCTCTCCCGCTTGTAATTTCTGGGACTCTTGTTCCAATTCCAAAGTCTTGGCCCGCGCTAGTTCGGCGCGAAGCTTACGCTGCTGTGTCTCCTGGTCGCGGCGTTCAAGCTCCTGAATCCATAATTTTTCTCTGAGCTTGGCCTTTTCTCTGAGCAGCTCGTCTTGCGACTGACGATCTTGCTTGGATTTGCCATAAATGAAGCTTCCCGCAACTAGAGCCAGCAGAGTAGCCCCTTGGAGGCCCACACGCCACCGGAAGTACTTTTGTGCCTTGCGCTTGTTGCCGGATCTTACGTTCTGCGCAGCTAAAATCACCGCGACAGTGGTGGCCAATGTACCCAATGGCACTAGAGGTTGCTGTTTGCAGTGGAAAATCATCTTTTCATAGAAAGGCATGTCGTTGACATCTCGCTCAGCGCCATCGAAGCTTGATGGCAGTTGAGACATCTGAAATGAGCCAGCTTTATATGTGCTTTGCCGAGAAGAGATTACTGTCCATCGAAGTAGTATTTCTTGAATTTCACAATAAATATAGAGCAAAGGGCCCACATTATAAGGGCAAGGGCAAAGAGCAGATAGAGGACGGCCAGGACCGCTAATGGCACTCTGGTAGCTTATTCATGTGCCATTCCAATTTGTTCCAAAAAAATGTACCACACGCAGGCACTAGTGTTGTGACTGTACTGCTCAAAGGTGGATGCCGTCAGTCTCTCACTCGTCCCTTCCTTGTTTCGTGATATTACTATGGAATAATCTATTTAGACCGCACGCGGGACTCAACCGACCAGCTCGGGATTGTCTGGCGAAACGTTTTACTCTGCGAGAATGAATTCCTTGAACTGAGCGTATGCGTCCTCAAGCACGTCGTTCACTATAACTTTGTCGTGAGCGCCAGTTTCCGCATACTCCATCTCCGCAGTGGCAGCGTCTAGTCTCTTCTGCAGCGATTCTGGGGTCTCTGTGCCGCGGCCGGTCAGTCTTTCTCTGAGACTTTCGACCGAGGGTGGAGCTACAAACAGGAAGCGCGCGTTCAAGTCCGTTTTCTTCACGGCCTTGACACCTTGCATGTCGATGTCCAAAATGCACCTCTTGCCGGAGTCGCTTACTTGCTTGACCGAGGCGACTGTGGTGCCGTAGTAGTTGCCTGAAAACTGGGCCCACTCTATGAACTTGTCGTCTTTAATCATCTGCTGAAACTCCTCGACGGTCGCGAAATTGTAATCCACCCCGTTGACTTCACCTTCTCTAGGTTTGCGTGTCGTGGAAGATACCGAAAACCCAAAAGTGTCTGGGAATTCTTCGAAAAGCTTCTTCAACATCGTGGACTTACCAGCACCGCTGGGGCCGGATAAAACAATAGGACGGGACATGATTGTACGTGTTGATAAAGCCACGATTTGTCGGGATTGCTGGGCACGGTTCAAGCTCAATAGTACTCCTGCACTGCGAATAGCTCGAGCAAATGCCATTCAAAAAAGGTGCTTCTGTTGTCAAAAATCGTTTGGCCTGCTGACTTTTTTCACCAACTTTTTTTCCACATAAACTGACGCGTTAAAAATCAGCTCATCGCCGTTGGGTTCCACCCGTTGGACATAGATTGACATACCTATGGAAAGAGCTTTGGTCCTCAGTGTCAGATCATTATGCTCTGTTTAAAGTGTTGATCGTTCGCCTTGTGTTTTTGCTTTTCATTGACGAGAGAACGGATTTCTATGTCTGGTGCAGGTCAAGCGACGTAACTACAGGACTACCTGTGTCTGTGAAGCAAATCGATGTTGCGACAGAGAGGCGACAGTGAAGCGACGAGTCGCACATAGTAATTTTTGTGCGACGCCAGAAGAAGTTCGGGGCTGGTTGGTTCTAATTTGTCTTTCATTTTCATATTGTTGATGCACTCTCGTACTACTCAAACCTTGCTTTGCAAAAGCTCCATGGAGTGCGCACGCAGCGTTGGTGGGAAGCACGTATCGCGAACGTCGCAATCCTGCCTGAACCCGTACGTGCTAGTCTCTTACTTGAGGCAAAAATCAAAGTATCAATATTGAAACCAACACGAGTGAGATTTCGCCATCGTTCGCAAAGCATCCGACTGATCAGCGGCGAAGCGCCGAGAAGTCTGATCACGGCACAGCTGGGATGGGCCTTGAGAATTAGACATTGAGCATGTGAGATGCTGTGTCACTTGTTACGTACAGAGGTTTCCAAGCCAGGTTGGCTCACCAATCTATGCCATGGTTAACACCCTGAAATACAGAGACGACTTGTTCAAAAAGGGCCAGGAGAACCTCACAACAACCACGTATATCAGCAGCCCCGCTTCGGTTTAGATATACTGTTTTTGGTGGGCTTCGAGTGTGGACTGTCAATTTTTGGTTCGTCAAAAAATGTCAGCCGGTGGGGTCGCTCAAGTAGCGCTCACGTTGGCGCTTAAGACGGCTCTTTGCTGGGCAAAAAGTGTCAACGCGGATCCTGACGATGCAGACGATTTTCCTTCGACGCCTAATACTCCGGCAGATGACAATTTGCCAATTGGGCAGGAACCGGGAGACGACGTGAGTCCCGTAACAGAAGAGATATTCTCGTCGTGGGCTCTGTTTATCATGCTGTTTCTCTTGATATCCGCTTTATGGTCCAGCTATTTTCTCGCCCAGAGACGGATCAAGGCTGTCCACGAAACAGTGCTTTCAATTTTCTATGGTATGGTCGTGGGTCTCATCATTCGGCTGTCTCCAGGCCATTATATTCAAGACGCTGTGACCTTCAACTCCTCGTACTTTTTCAACATTCTTTTACCCCCCATCATTCTAAATTCGGGTTACGAACTGAATCAGGCCAATTTCTTCAATAACATCGTGTCAATTCTGACTTTTGCCATTCCGGGCACCTTCATATCGGCAGTGGTACTTGGTAGCATCCTTTACATTTGGATCTCGTTAGGTTTGGAGAGTGTCGATATTTCATTTGTCGATGCTCTTTCTGTGGGCGCCACGCTGTCGGCAACAGATCCTGTCACCATTTTATCCATTTTCAATGCCTACAAAGTCGATCCCAAGCTATACACTATCATATTCGGCGAATCTCTCTTGAATGATGCAATTTCTATTGTTATGTTCGAAACCTGTCAAAAATTCCATGGTAAACCGGCCACGTTTTCGTCTGTTTTCGAAGGTATGGGGCTTTTCCTTATGAGCTTCACGGTATCTCTGCTCATAGGCGTCATGATAGGAGTTTTGGTTGCATTATTGTTGAAGCACACACTTATTAGGCGTTATCCTCGGATCGAAAGTTGCTTGGTTTTGTTGATTGCCTACGAGTCCTACTTCTTCTCCAACGGTTGCCATATGTCCGGTATCGTATCCTTACTGTTCTGTGGTATTACTTTGAAACACTATGCTTATTATAACATGTCAAGGAGGACTCAGATCACTATCAAATATATTTTCCAGTTTTTGGCTCAATTGTCTGAAAATTTCATCTTCATTTACCTTGGACTCTCGTTATTCACAGAAGTTGAGTTAGTGTACAAGCCGATGCTCATAATTGTTACTGCGATCTCTATTTGCGTGGCACGCTGGTGTGCGGTATTCCCGCTTTCAAATTTTGTCAATTGGCTGTATAGATTGAAAGCCCAGAGGTCAATGGGGCTCTACGCCAATGATGCCTCCATTCCTGACGAAATACCATACCAATATCAGATGATGACTTTTTGGGCAGGTCTTAGAGGTGCGGTCGGTGTTGCGTTGGCAATGGGTTTACAAGGTGACTTCAAATTCACACTGCTGGCTACAGTCCTAGTTGTCGTAGTTTTGACTGTAATCATATTTGGGGGGACAACTGCGGGTATGCTGGAGGTTTTGGGGATTAAAATGGGGTGCGTTGACGAAAATGACGACTCTGATGATGAGTTTGATATTGAAATGCCTAAACCCATGAATATTAGGTCGAGCCCTGCTCCCACTTATTCAGATGCAGCGCCTCAAGGGCATCCAGCTTCTTTAAACTCAGTACTTGCTGAACAAATTGCTTCCGAAGTTACGCATTCATCGCCCCGACTTTCTCTAGAGAGACAACATATAAAGGAAACGTTGAGTACAATTTTCAGCGCAGATTCCCAATGGTTTACAAATTTCGACGAGCAGGTTCTAAAGCCTGTGTTTTTGGATAACGTTGGGGAAGGCTCGCAGCCAAAAACGAGCGGATCAAGTACGCCCAATTTTTTCGGCAATAGGCGTTGAACATTCGCAAAGGGCCATGGCATCGTTGTTTAGAATCTTTTATAAAAATTTAAAAGAAATTATAGCATGCAGCGACAATTTCTCTTTCAGTTATGCGCGTATTTATGCTTGTTCATTACACATTTCCAACATCCATTTGCTCAACTTCACAACGTCGTCTGCCAGGTAGACGTCACTCAGCAAATCATTGTACTTGAGGACAATCTCTAAAAATGCATTGATCGATAGATCGTAAAGAATGGTTACGACGTCTAAAATTGAAGAGTCCTTGCTAGCTGAGGACGTATTCCATTCCGCGAATGCTCCAAGTGATGCTACAGATCTCTCTAGAATTTTGAGAATCTCTCCAACAGAAGAAACGACAGCTCCCTTGGGATCTTCCTGTAGCGCTTTTACTAACAATGCCATTAAAGACACTGTGCATTCGGCATGACAAACTGCTAATGGTGATAATCTTTCAGCCTGCAGCTTTTTAGAAATTCTCCAGATTTCGAACGATGACAGTGGAGCAGTAGCATCTGTGCCCTGGATGGGAAAGAAAAATGCGATAAAAAAATCTTTCGCCTGCTTTACGCAATCATAAATAATGTTGGTAATAGTGGTTTGATGCGTTAAAATACGGTTATTCGCCGCATTTGAAAACTGAAATGGACTCGAGAATTGAAGATTGTGGTTTTTCGCAAAGACGTTATTGTTCTGTACCTTTATCCTGTGAGTCAGCTGCGAATCTTGCGTTTGCGGGGTCCCTGGTATTCTCGACTGTGTGTTGGCTGTAATAACATAATCGTTCCCAAATAGATCATTCTGTTGTGTTCCATCCTCTAAATAGTCTGAATCTACCGAAGGTTTTTTCGTGTAGAGTTCTTGCTTTGACTCCACACTTTTCATGAATATCGAAACGGCAGAATTGGTGGAGTTGAGGGTAGTTATGCACTCCTTAAGAACGCTTGGCCACACATACACATTTTTATAACGAGTATGGTATATGGGTAGCCTAGCTTCTATGTCTGGCGATGTAGCGCGGTATGAGAGCTCTTGAAAGGCCGTGAGTTTGGTAAACGACCTTTTGGAAGAAAGGCCAGTGAGTAAGGTCTCCATGGGAGTCGAAGAGAGAGAGGAAATGGGTTTGCCCTTGTGTAAACAACCCATGGACAAGTAGGCATTAAACGACAAGTTGACGAGGTCCCAAAGGGCGAAAGTCAGAAGAGCAGATAGCTGGATGTGGAAAAATGACATCCAGCTCAAGTAACCAGTGCTAGGAGCGAGGTGAAATGTGCAAATTGGAAAAATGATGGCCAGAGCTAAAGTTAACATGAAGGACTTTGTCAGGGAGTTTTTGATTTTTGAGCTTATGAACCGCTGAGGGTGCTGGTGCTGCGCACCATATTGAAACGAAAGCTTGTCCAGATCAAATATTACATGCTGCAACGCATATAAAGCTGGCATCAGTATCCATATAGCAAAACGATAAGCGAACATGTTTTTCCTTGAACTAAGGTGTCCCAAAATGGCACTTCCGGCAGCACCATTAAAACAAGCACTACTCGCACTGTAAATGAAAAAGTATACCAACAGTTTCACAGAAAATAATTGCCCGTAAACTTGGGTAATAATGCTGGAGTATCCGGGGAAATCAACGTGCAGGTAGTTTTTACGGGTCACCACGACTAGCAGCATCCCCAAGTAGCATACCATGCATTTCACCGGCCACAAAAATAACTTATGAATCAAATTGGTCTGGTTTGAGCCACTAACTAGTGCTAGTATAAGCCCAAAAACCACTGCAAGTGTCAACAACAGCCTTGTCGCTAAGTGGTTGAACCGCGTTTTACAGATATCGCTAAAAATTGCATGATAGCTATATCTGGAGTTTAATGGTACCGGAGTATCCATGTCCAAAGCCATACGCTCACAAAAGAGGGTCTTCTGTTTATCCTGTTAATATTAAATCGCCATCATAAGTGTTATATTTAAAAGTCCACAATTTCGATATTTTTCGTCAACAACCGCTCGTAATGTGTGATCATAAATTTCCAGCATTATAATTTGGAATGGTAAATACATCCAGCTAAACACGTATTTGATTTGTCTGTTAAAAGTGGACCGGAATACCTTTAGGAAAGCGCTTGAGCTTTCAGATTCATAGTAGGAGCTATTTGAAAATTTTGGGGAGAGAATAGAATGGAAGATATTCAAGCCAAACTGGATAAAAAACTGGGGCCTGAATATATTTCGAAGAGGGTCGGCTTTGGAACGAGTCGCGTAGCTTACATTGAAGGATGGAAGGCTATAAATTTAGCAAATCAAATTTTTGGTTATAATGGCTGGAGTACAGAGGTAAAAAGTATTACGATCGATTTCATGGACGAAAAGCAAGGTAAATTTTGCATAGGATGCACTGCGGTGATAAGGGTTACTCTGACCGATGGGACGTTCCGAGAGGACATAGGGTATGGGACGGTGGAGAATGAGCGGCGAAAGTCGTCAGCGTTTGAGAGAGCGAAGAAATCAGCGGTCACTGACGCGCTAAAACGCAGTTTGCGTGCATTTGGGAATGCCTTGGGTAATTGTCTTTATGACAAGACTTTCTTAGCCAAGATCGACAAGGTCAAGTTTGACCCACCTGATTTTGACGAGGGCAACTTATATCGCGCCACGGAGGAAGTCAGCGAACCGGTTCGCTCTCATTCCGCGGACCGCGATGGAACAGGACCTCCATCAAAAAGGCGAAACACACTCAATTCGAGACCAAGCTCCTCAAACACCGGCTCTACTGCCCACGCTAACGAGATAAGCCATCAGGACTTGCCTCACTCTAATCTTCAGCATTCAAACCAGCATTCACGTCTTGCTAAAAACCTGCCTGCCAACCTGCACCTGCATAACGACCAACCTTTGCGGCAATATCAGTCAGATCCACAGCTAGCTGACCTACAACGTCCCCCGCAACCTGATCTAGATGCCGATGAATTGCTGGACGATTCTTTCATGTTTAGCGATGAGTTGCAAGATGACGAAGCCGCTGTTCCCAGTAACAACAATCCTTCCGTAGCTGAGCAGGACGAAGCGGCTCCTCTCTCACATGCCCCACACGCCCCACTTACCGGATCAACGATTGATGAAAACGTACCCGTGACCTTTGTGACAGCCAAGGCTGCCCCGAACCTTCAAAATAAAGCACCAGTCCCCGCAGGTAGTTTTTTTGACGCTAAATTCCAAGCCCAGTCAATTAAACATACCGTGGATCAAACAACGTCGTCGCATATCAAAACTAGTGTGCTCAAAGAAAAGGGACTGCCGAACCATCGAAGTGATATCTACAATCGTTTCGCGCCTAAAGGTAAGTTGTTGGATGACACAAATAACTCCTCAAACTCACTTGCAAAAATCAGGCAGCCACAGATTCCGCCAGTATCTAACGCACCTCAAGCAGTTGCTTTGAAAGAGCAACGTCCTCAAGTCAATCCACCTGTACGGCAGCTGCCTCCTATCGCTTCAACGCCATTACCTGCTCAAGAACTACCGCCAAGTATAAAGCCTGTTGGAAAACCTAGATCTGCCCTTCCTAATGCCAGGCCTCCTGCATCCCCGTAAGTCAGGTTTTGTTTTTTTTTTTTTTTATGAATAGAACGATGGTCCAGAGACTGATGGCATTTGTTGAAAGCGCCCCCAAAGATCTAATGCACTGGAATTCCTAAAAAGAATGGAGAACGGGGAATGGGATTGAAGATCTCTTATTAGTCTTGGAATGGCCTACGGGCTCCATCATTGTATACGCCATGTTCGCCATATATATTTCGCTTAGTCTCAATCCATATGTATATAACATTTATATATAATGGCAAATAAGCTACCAAACGTAAGAAGCCCGCGCTGACTTTCAAGCCCAAAGGACCATTAGCGTAAGGTTTGAGCCGTATTTAATAAGAAGATAGCAACCGTTTTTTCCAATACTCTTAGCTGTGGGTATATCGCAGGTTCAAGAATTGACGTGAGTTTGAATAGCAAAAGGGACGCACAAGTAAACCATGGTCACTTTGACTAAATTGGAAAGAATTAAGAAAGAGGAAAAGGCTAAGGAGTTCAAGCCTTTACTCGATGAGCTCACAAATTGCTCAGATGGTGAGTTCGTCCAAAAGTTGGGCCGAATTGTGGTTTGGGACAGGTCAAGAGATGATCTGTACACATGGATTCCGGTTTTGAACAGGATTGACGATCTTTTAAACAAGATCCTGGATCGATACTCGTATAAAAGCTCCAATCGCAAGAAGGAACCGGTGAAATTGCTGTTGATGAGCCCTGAAGATGAAACCGTAGCTAAAGAACTGCTATGGTTCAGTTGTCGTCTACTTAATAATACATGCAACCGTTCCTTATACTCTTCTCTTGACGTCATGAGTTATCTACTCAACTGTCCTAACTACAAAGTTAAGCTAGGGGCAATGAAGGTCATCGCAGTAATGGGCGAACAGCAAGTCATATCTCGTCAAAAGATCGATAACAAAAACTTGCTGGGGAACAAGGATCTCAAAAGAAAAGCCCTTGATTTGGCTCTGGCCCTTCCTTCTTCTACAACGGATGACAGTATGGATCACTATTCTCTGGTGGATATTTACCTGAGTGATAAAAAATACCCTTCAAAGTGGTCAAAACTACACTTCAGTTACTACACGGTCGCCTCCAAAGCAAATGCATCTACCAAACCAGGAAGCGGTTCATTGAAGCAGTTTACCATGGATTCGGAAGAACTTGTCGAACTGTCTCTTCAGCAAGTGTTCGACAAGGGTATGGCTGAAGTTCCGTCTGAGAAATGGTTGGATTTTTCTCTGCGAGCATCTATCGCTAAAGCATTTTGTGAGAGTACAACAGAAAGTTTGGATCTAAGAAACGACATAGTTCAGGCGAAATTCAATGCCATGGCCTTTGTGAATGCTGTCTATATTCCAGCACAGGTCAGCTCTCAATTGTTCGAAGTTGATCCATATGCCTTCAACAATCTAACAGATTTCATTTCTTTATCTGAACGAAGGCTACCGAAAGACCTGCGGATGGATGCGCTTTTTTGTCTTGAATGCGTCTCTCTCAAACATATTTGGTGTTCTGATATAGTGAGAAACTTGGGTGGTAATATGTCGCATGGCCTTCTTTTCCAAATTCTAAGGTACATTGCCAAATTACTGAGGGATAAAAATAGTGACGAGTTGGATGAAGAGTACAATGTTCGCTTTTTTTATTTGGTCTCCAATCTAGCTGATGTAAAGTCTCTTCAAGAGTCCTTGCTCACAGCAGGCTTGATTCCAAACTTACTAGAAATAATATCTATTAAGGACTCCTCGTTCAAGAGAACTTTGGCATCAGCAACTCATCTTTTAGAAGTTTTCATAGATGATGCTGACGCTACCACTGAATTTATTTCCAACAATGGGTTTACGATATTGATTGAGTGCATCAATGAGGAAGTGAACTTTGCCTTAGAACATCCTGAATTTGGAGAACCACCGAAATATCCAGTCGTATACTATTCGATCTCTTTCCGACAGCTGGGCTATATCAGAAGCTTGTTGAAGCTCGTGCTAAAACTTCTGAAAACAGATTCAGGTGACCGGATCAGAAATCTCATAGATTCTCCTATTCTGTTCGCTTTGAACAAAATTTTGGAAAATCGGCCTGTATTTGGATACACCTTAGTTACCTATGCACTGGATGTTGTTCAGACAATTATTAATACTGAGCCCACAATATACCCTATTTTGGTCGAATCAAAGACGATTCCTTTCATCTTTGAGCACTTCGAGGATTTCTTAGGGCCATCCGCAGAACTTCTCTCACTTTTGCCTGAGATAATTTCGGCTCTCTGTTTGAATACGGAGGGATTGAAAGAAGTCAAAGAAAGAAGGCTACTGGATTACTTGTTCACGATTATGAAAACTCCTGGACTGGCAAAAATCCTCTCGTGGGAGGATTCTGCGATTGATCTGGGGACCTCCATCGACGAATTGGCGAGGCACTATCCTGACCTCAAACCAGTTATTGAAGAAAAATTTGCAAACACCATAAAAGAGCTGCCGAACATTATTGAGTTCAATCAGCCGTATGTTTACAAATCTACAACTGGTGGTGGCGAATTTTATCGTTCAAAGAATGACAAAGTCATTGACCATGAAGAAAATGGCTTTGAGATTGAGGGAGGTGCCGTCGAATTACCAACTTTGGTATTAGACTGTTTTTCTGCAGTATTTTATGGTTTAACCCTAGAGAACATATCATGGGCCAGCCTTGCTGATAAAATTGATATTAAAGACATGTTACAAGTAGTAATTCAAGAGCGACCACCATTTGATTACGTGGGATCCCAAACGTTACTCAACTTTTCTGATATTTTGAAACTCTTCGACGATGAGCGCAGAAATTATGCCCTTCCTGCGTTGCTGACTCTTCTGTCAGAAAAATTATCGGAAGTCGAAGACTTCCTGGAGTACAAATTTGATCAATCTTACGTTCTTTCAACATCTTATGACAAGCTCGAGGAGACTTTGCGCAAACTTTCAGTGATAAACGTTATTCTCTACGTTATCACCGATATTTACATCAACATAGCGTCGTTATTTCCTATTCGCGTCCTTCAAATTATGGAGTACTTTGAGCACGATGGGCTCAGTCTGATCTCGAAGCTACGTTTGCTGTTTCAGAGAAGCGCTTTGGAGGAGTTGTATATTCGCGAAAGGCTGCCCGAGCAAGTCGCGGGCGAAACCACTGTCCGGCCAATTGGAAACACCCCTCCTTTGACGCTGTATACTGAAAAACCCAAAAAAATTGATACCATTCCAACTAAAACATCTGCAAAGTTCAAAAATACGCTGCAAGAAAGGCATCTTTTTGTAAAGATGCAATCATGGGTATCTATGCTTTTCCGCTGCTTCTTGAGAATGAGTCACGCAAGGAAAATGACAATAGAAGCACCTGACAGAGCTCTGGAGATAAGAATATTTGAGACGGCGGTGAACGAGATTGTCAAGATGATGGACCTGAGGTATTTAGAGTCGCACTTAAGCTACTTTTTGGTGATATTCAATTTTAACACGTTTGTGTTCACATTTCCTAATGTCACAAATTCAGTCGGTGGAACGATTCAGACAATTCCAGTGTTTTTATTTTATCAGGCTCATGGCTTCAAAATTTACGTTGAAAGTATAAAAGTGCTTTTCGCTAAACTTCAATCTTATGAGAACGTTGAGAATATTGAGAAATTCGACTATGTTAAAGACTCTGAGGATGTGGTTACAGCCAGTGCTATTATTAACGCGTTGTCATTTTTCAATAAATCTATTCAGGTGGATACAATGGAAAATATCAGAAACACCAAAGAATACTACCCCTATGATGAAGTATATTATAACTTGACTACGGCAATCATTGTGCCAATCAAAATTTCGGCTCTAGGGCTGGTCGATGAAGTAACTAAAGATTTTTCAATATTTGAAAACGGCTCTCACAGGCTACCTTACTCCGTTTTCAAGCAGCTTTTGAGCATGGTTAAAAATGTTTACAATAGCCACCTTGAGGGCGATGATCACGAAATATACGAGCTAAGATGGGATTTGATGCCACCCTCTCACCGAAAGATAGAAATGCTAAAGGAATGCGGCTTAACGGAGGATATTGCGAAAGGCTACCTGGAGGAGCAAAAAGATGACTTGCCTATTCATGTGAAGCCCGGCGTTTTTTCTGAGGATGAGTGGGCTAACTACAAGGCTCTGCGAGAAGCTGGAAAATGGAAAACAGATCTTGAAGTGCTTGAGCCCCAGTATAAATCGTGTACCACTGTCACTGATTTGAACATATTGCGGTCAGATTTCTATTCTGACGGTTTTGTGAATCGCATTTTAAGATTACTTCCCTCATATCCTAAGTTGATAAATGCAATATCACATATGGTTTTGCAAATATTGAAGGAGGTTGATGAATCTCCTGTCCATATTGTGGCTAAACTACTGGATATGATGCGCGCCATCCAACTCGATAACGCCACTGTCCTTGCTCCCGTAATTCATCTTTTTGGGATACTTTTGAACAATAAAATGATTTACGAAGAATGTAATGACCACATGAATGATTTTGTGATCTATCTGAAAACTTCACTACGTCCAGAGTACGTCAATACTGCCTGGTTTTCAAAGGCCCTGTATGTTTACGAAATCATTTTTGCCAAATCTGAGGCACCGAAGGCAGAGGAGAGTTCGAAAGTTTTCGAAGACAATTTTCACGTATCGTGCCCTCCACTTTTTAGTGCCTTTCTTGTCCCAGCTGAAGCCAAGTCTGAAATTTTTAACTCATTGGTCCGTGTTCACGAGATCACCGACTTTTACTCTGCTCTTGCGATATCCCGTATCCTGATTCTATACGCTAAGGATCAACAGTACGCATATGAAGTTACTCAGTCTGGTGTGCTGCCAAAATTGCTGAAAACCATTGGAGTTTTCCAAAAATCCGAGAAGATTAACTATCTAGAATCATCGTTTTTACTGTTGGCAAGACGCTGTTTTGAAAATACTGACACGGTTAAAAGCCTTGTACAGCATGAGCTCTCTCGGGCGTTCACCACAAGAGCAATTGGCGATCACCGGGAGAAACCTCGAGAACTCGCCGGATTAATATCAGAAAAAGCCAGTATTGTAATGCGCGACCCTGATGTCTTTGTCAACACAATATGCGAGACAGCTAGGTTTGAAGAATTCGAAAGCCCTCAGGTGCTACAAAATATGAGCGTTCGCAGAAATATGAGTGACCATGATGAAGAGATGAATGATGTCAACAGTCAATCAGAAGAAAAACTCACGTTGAGCAATAGAACAGGAATTGTCCACCTACTTCTTTCACAATTGATGGCAGCGTTCAAAAAGGACTGGACATCTGAGCCACCTAGAGATGATACAAACGCCGTTGAAGACCCAAAGAAAAAAGATGAGGTTAATGTCGGAAGAAATCCTGTTTGTGCTTACATGATATTTTTGCTGAAGATCCTCATCGAACTTATTGGCAGTTACAAACAAAGCAAGCTTGAGTTTTTGACTTTCAATAAGAGAAACGTCTATGTTGAGTCTCCCAAACCAAGAACGACCGCACTAAACTTCATTCTATATCAATTGCTTGACACCGAGAGCCGCGATCAGGACAAGTACTACACTGAAAGGAAGGACATAATTGGTAAACTTGCTCGCGACCTTGTGGTCGGGTTTTTATCCTCCGTCCAGGATCAAGCAACACAGAAGCAAGATCCTAAAGTCGCTGATCCGGACTTGACCTACATCAGGAAGTTCACGATTGAGTCGGTCGCCAAGGCTCTAAAAGCCGCCACCAAGACACCTAAAACTCTAGAAGCAAATGTGGGAAAACTTTATGGTTGGATGCATCTTGTGACTTCCTTTTTAATGACTGATAGGAGTTATCTCCACGCCATCCTGGACTCCAACAAAACCTACGTTGACAAATATCAAATAGGTAAGCTCATGATTGAGATGAATATACCATCAGTCATAGGGGAATGCATGGCATCGTTGGACTTAAATTATCCATTCTCGAAAAGGCTCTTTAACAAAAGCATAGAGCCGCTGAACGCAATGAATGAAATCCGAAGCAGATTTGCCGAATACTTCAAAGTAGAGAACACGGACGAAGATGACGACGTAGAGGATGAATCCGATAAAGAGGAAAATTCCGATATGTTTCGAAATTCGGCTTTAGGAATGTACGATGTGGAAGATATCGAGGATGACGAGGATGACGACGCTTCATTGATCGGCGAAGATGAAGATATAGCATTTGTAGAGGGCGAAGATGGTGAGATTGAAGTAGTTTTCAGTGACGATGAGCACAGCCATCACCATCATCGACATTCTCTTCACGATACTGATGGATCCGACTCGCGTGATGGCAGTCAAAGCGATGACCTCAATGATCCTGACGAGAGCATGGAATATGACACGGAGGATGGTGTCGACATAGAGATTGACTCTAGTCATAGCTCTGTCGATCAATCCGCCGATGACATTGGTGGGCATACAGCTCACGATGACTCTTCTTATTATACCGAAGATGACGACGTTATGAGCCTCGTAGGTGTAAGCAACGACGTTAGAGGTCAAGTTCTTGATGTCGGCGCAGATGGTTCAGAGCTTGATGAAAGCGACTGGGAGTCTGGCCTTTCCGAGCTCTCCGGATCTGATGACGATAGCTCCGAAGAAAACTTCAATGACGATCTCAATGGCGCGGGCAGGTGGCTAGTGGATGAGGTCAACATGGAAGATGACTCTGATGAAGAAGGTAGAGGTATATTCAGCGGTATTCAGCACGTATTTTCCCCGGAGCCGCAGTACTTCCGGATCCATGGGCATGCCGCAGGCCACGGTGGCCACAGGAGTCAACATCAGCACGGGAATCGTCGTTCGGATTTTTCGATGGTCGCACCATCATTAAGTCTCTTGAACGGTGGTAACAGGCGGACCCAGAGCATTCTAATGAACCCCTTGGGCCCCTCGGGACTTGAAGAAGTTGAAAATGGCATATTAAATCAACTTAACAGTGTTGGAAATACTAGCCGCCTGCGAAATGATACAGGATATCTCTCGGATGTCCTTTTTAGCGGAGAATTTCTCGACGAAAAATCTTCTGGCATCGTCCTGAAATCCACGACAGCCAGGTGGAATGACATTTTCGAAATGTTTTACGACTCCAAAATTTACGTCAACAATGTCATCCCAACAATTACAGAGAGAATATTTCATCCTAGTTCCGAGCTTTACGTTAAGCAGCGTAATGAAGCATTGGAAAAGGACAAAGAGCAAAAAAAGAAACTGGAGGAAGAGACTAAACGTGCTGAATCGAAGAAGAGGAGAGTCGAGGAAACTAATGGCAGCGGATCAGAAGACAGTGGCTCAGAGCGGGAAAACGAGCAAGAAGTTGAAGAATTGGAACCAATAATGGTCGATATTGGAGGCGAGCAAGTTAATATTGCGGGAACCGACATTGATCCTGAATTCCTTAACGCTTTACCTGATGATATGAGAGCTGAAGTATTCTCTCAGCATATCCGTGAACGCCGCGCAGAAGCTTTGGAGCAAACAGTGGAATCCCGAGAAATTGACACTGACTTTTTAGATTCAATTCCTGAGAATTTACGTGAAGAGATTCTAGAACAAGAAGCTGCTGAATCAAGGTTTTCTAGGCTGATGAATAATAATGACAGGGAGCGTGATGAAATCCCTGACGAAGATGAACAATCTGATGTGACTGGTGACAATCGTATGGGGAAGAAGAAGCCAGGGAAAATTTATTTCTCCCCTCTGGTTGACCGCTCGGGTATTTCAGCCTTAATGAGGTCGTTATTCATATCTCAACCTTATCTGGCTCGTGAAGCCTATCATGAGCTTTTCTTCCGCCTGTGCTCAAGTAAGCAAAATCGAAGTGATATCATGAACATTTTAATGTTAATTCTAACTGAAGGTATTGATGACAACAAATCTCTGGAGAAGGTTTACAACTTAATTTCAAACAAGGCACTGGGAGTTGTGAAGGCATCTACCAGTCGAGTACTTCCGGTAGAGTGTACACCCTTGAGTGTAGCGAATCAAACAATTGAAGTGTTACAAAACCTGATCGAAACAGATAGTAGGTTGAAGTTTTTCTTCATAACAGAACACGAGAATCTGTTGATCAACAAATCGCCTCTTAAGACCAAGAAAGATCTCTTTGCGGGCAACGTCAAATGGCCGATCAACTACCTCTTCAGCCTTTTTGATAAAAAGATTATCACCGACGAATCTGTGCTCCTTGATCTGTTGACGCGAATACTGCAAATCATCACCAAACCAATAACAACGATAGCTAAAACGGTCAGCGGGGGCTCTCAAAAAAAGTTCACTATACCGGATATTGAAAAAAAGCATTTGGAGGCTGTGGTTTCCGTGATCCGGCTTGATGCATGTAACACGAAAGTGTTTCAGCAGACGTTAAACATCATGACCAATCTATCAACAATCAACTGCGCGCAAGACATTTTTACAGAGGAGCTCTGTTCGCTTGCCATAAAAACAGTGGGCGTTTTGGTTCCCGATCTCGATGCCCTGAATGCTGAGATAAGTGGGGTTGAGAATGGAACAGAAATTGATTATGAGACAATACAAAAGTTTACCGCTCACAGTTCTGATCAAGCAAAACTTTTGAAGGTTTTAACAGCAATCGACTATATTTTTACCAACAAGAAAAAGCCCTCAGAGGTTGCGATCGACCGTTTGATGGCGCTTTACGACAAGGTAAAACTGGGTGCCGTCTGGACGTCTTTAGGGTACTGTCTGGAGAAATTGGAAAAGAGACCGGCATTAAGCTCTTCCGCTAATATACTCTTGCCTTTGATTGAATCTCTTATGGTTGTTTGTAAGCACAGCAAGGTACGGGATTCTCGTGAGAATTTAAGATATGAAGAAAGAAGTTCGGACTTTAGTGAGATTGCGGCTGAGAATACATTTTTTGCGTTCACTGATCTGCACAAAAAACTGCTGAATCAAATGATTAGGTCCAATCCAAAATTGATGAGCGGACCATTCGCTTTGCTAGTCAAAAACCCAAAAATTCTAGACTTTGACAACAAAAGATATTATTTCATTGCAAAAGTACGCACAAGTGCCCAAGAAAAGCCTAAACTGTCTATCTCGGTGAGGCGTGACCAGGTTTTCCTAGATTCTTATCGCTCGCTCTTCTTTAAGTCCAACGAAGACATCAAGAATTCAAAACTGGAGATTACTTTCAAAGGCGAAGCTGGCGTTGATGCTGGCGGCGTCACACGAGAATGGTATCAGGTTTTATCGCGTCAAATGTTCAACCCAGACTACGCCTTATTCTTGCCTGTTGCCTCTGATAAGACTACTTTCCATCCCAATCGAACTTCGGGAATTAATCCAGAACATCTTTCCTTTTTTAAATTCATTGGTATGATTATCGGTAAAGCTATTTGTGATCAGTGCTATCTGGATTGCCATTTCAGCAGAGAAGTTTACAAGAATATTCTCAGTAAGCCAGTTGCTCTTAAAGACATGGAATCTCTCGACCTTGATTACTACAAGTCATTGATCTGGATTTTAGAGAATGATATTACAGATATCATTGAAGAAACATTTTCTGTCGAAACAGACGACTACGGTGAACACAAGACTGTGGACTTAATTGAAAACGGACGTAGCATTCTTGTTACAGAAGAGAACAAACAAGAATACGTGAAGAAAATCGTAGAGTTCAAACTTCACACGTCAGTTAAAGAGCAAATGGACAACTTTTTGCTAGGCTTCTACGCCATCATTCCAAAGGATTTGATTTCTGTATTTGACGAACAGGAACTGGAATTATTAATTAGCGGGTTGCCTGATATCGATGTTGATGACTGGAAAAATAATACGAATTACGTCAACTACACGCCCACTTGCAAGCAGATCAATTATTTTTGGAGAGCTGTGCGTTCTTTCGACAGTGAAGAGCGTGCCAAGTTGCTGCAGTTTGTTACAGGAACAAGCAAAGTTCCTTTAAGTGGATTTAAGGAGTTGACAGGCGTTAATGGAATCAGTAAGTTCTCAATTCATAGGGATTACGGCGCCACTGACAGATTGCCTTCATCGCACACGTGCTTCAACCAACTCGATCTGCCAGCGTATGACTCATATGAAACCCTGAGGGGCTCTCTTCTGTTGGCTATCAACGAGGGACATGAAGGTTTCGGAATAGCTTAATGGTGTTAGGGCGGCTGTAAACTAGTCAAATAATGACATATAGAATATAGCTTCATTACACATCTTTTAAAGAGTTCAATAAATCACAAAACGCAGTGCTGTTTGTGATCTGAGTTAATGCTCCTAGAGTCTTGGACTGCTGAAATATTAATTAATTGGAATGCATAATTCGATTACAAAACATTAAAATTCACCATGATGACAATTGCAAAAATTAATATGAATGTTGCCCAAATACCATCATGCAAGTTGAAATATTAGTTTTTGTGTCGTTGTTGATCATGGCTTAGTATTAGACGAGCGTCGCTCCAGCTCTTTCACATGCAACTCAAGTTTTCTGACTGATCTGCTTAGTTCAGAAACACTGTCAGCCCAGTCCATCTCCTTCCTCGTCCGATCCACAATTTGGACCGCCAGGATTGATGCTAAAGAGATCCCTACCACAAACCCAAGAAGTCCACTCTTAACATGTCTCACCCCGGCGACTCTTGAAAAATTTCCGACTCTCCCCAAGTCTGACATTGTGCGTAAAGGAATTAGTTCCAATTGTAGGTCTCTGAGTTTGCACAATACGTCAAAATGAATATGTTTTATACCTCCTACTTTACCCTTTCCCCTAGAATTTAGTGTTTGCTTCTGTGCTTCTCTGATCAGCTGCCCGTGATGACCCACAACTGTCATTTCATAGGTTGTTGTCGCGGTGTCAAATATGTGCTACTTGAAAATAAAAAGTTCGTGACATTGATACCCTTCCACAATCCCAGTAGCTTGTTGAGCCACCAACGAGCCGTTGACTGTCACGAAACTCCACATTTGCCTAGCGTGTCCTTTGAAGATCGCTTCATACCAGAAATTTTGACTTCAACATTAGGAGTTAGTTCGACTGCTTTCAGTGCTTTAAGTAGAAGAAACGAGGTTGGCTTCAGTTGTCTTTTTTTCATTCCCTTGCCTGTCAACTATCTGGGAGGACGTGGCGCTCTATTTCAAGTATCGGTGCGCCAAGTCTTTCGTGTTGTATAAGTTCCATTGTAGGCGCAAACCGAAGTCGATGATGACCTGGCTGCTAGAGCCTGAGAAATTGGGGCTAAAAGGTATGCTCATTGATATTTTACACAAAACTATATTAAGATAACTTATGAACTACAAAAATACAGACCATCGCTGTTGCGATCACCCTCCGGACGGTCCTACCCACTCCCAACACTTCATAATTTCACCATGGACTTCCATGAGAGTGCTCTTGACATTTGTATTATTCTGTTCTAGATTTTTCATAACTAGCTTCCATAGCTTATTTTTCAGCTTTAAGTCAACAATATCAGAAAGAAGTACATCTCTCAACTGGACTGTACTTAAGTAGGCCGGTGAATTGGAGCTCTCGGAGGCCCTCGCTGTGTTTTGTAATTTGATGATTACTTGTTGCGTCAGTTGCTCGATCTTCTCTTGTCTTTGGTAATAAGCACGCATTTTGTGCGTAAGTGTCTTGATTATCGTCAGTAATCCCACTACTGCCCAAATCACAAATTTGAATTTTTGATAAGTTTGATGAACTTCTCTTTCGAATTTGCATCGGATCCCGATGTACTTCTTGGATGACGAGCGAAAAATCCCGTTTTTGCCGCCGAGTTGAAAATGTCTCTCCTGTTCCGGAAGGTCATTGGTTTCAACGGAAATGTCGCTGTCTCCTCCAAAGTCAAATCTAGTGGTTTGTAACTGTTGTATTGTTAGTATAATTGAAATTGGAAGTGATGGCTTAATATGTGGCACCACAAAAGTAAAATTAGAATTAACTCACTTGCCTCCATGTAATTTCAGGTTCATTCTTCAAGTCTTCTACGACCTGAGACCATAGCTCTTCAAACTCTTCACTGTTGATCGATGGCGCACGAGATTCATAAAAAATGGTATACAGATCCGCCTCTGTTATACCGCTCTCAATGTCATCCTGTCCCTCACCACACTTTATGTTTCCATTTTTGGTACGCAAGAGCTCCAATGATTTAGCGATTACTTCTGATATCAACTTCTCACGCCGAGAGTCCTTTGTGCAATAGTCACTGATGGGGAACAGTCCTTGTAGGCTCCAGATAGACTTGGTTACGACGTAATCAGGCTTACACTTAATCTTCATATAAGGGTAACAAATGGCATTTTCCGGGCATGCCAAACATTTAGGCTTATGCTGATCCAAGAATCTCTCGACGTTATTGATCCAGGGTTTGTTGTTAGCGTTGTCAAATGTCGGCAAGTTTATTTCATGCCCACAGTAACCTATTTGAAGCCTTTCCTCACGATACCAAAGCCCAAAGAGGATAGGAACCATGATCATTATATTGAAGAGAAGTTTCCATAATCCCATGCTAAACTTTTTGACGAAACGGACAGGCGCTCTGGGGAGCGAAGCACGTTTGCCCAACTCCACATTGCTTCGCCCATCACTTTGGCTCTCAATCATACCCTCCACTCTTTTGACATCATCTGCAGTCGCCAGCTCAGGTGTTGTGATCTTGGCTTCACTTATCTCGTGGTCGAGGTCTTCAAGGGTTATCGATTCTTCGTTATCTTCAACTTCCGACGATTCAATAGTTTCATTTTCCTCCTTGATGTCTGCAGAGTTCTCATCTGAATTTTGCTCTGAAATGCTGGTGTCTTCCCTGTTCAGAACGTTTTCCTCAGGTGCTGCGGAATCGTTATCTTTGATCGGTGTTGAATCTTTCGAAGTACTTGAAGGAGAAGAGCCTTTTGAGGGTGTCGATCCTTCCGAAGGGGGTTTTTCCTCCAGGGTATTGCCTTGGGTGTGGGAGAAGGCTGGCAAATCGTGAAACGAGTTTTCGGTGGATTCTGCGTCCTCAGAGAAGCGTTGACTTTCCTTGACAGGTGCCTTCAGAGGAGTCTGGGAGGGATTCCCTGAAGCTTTTGCCAATTGTTTAGCAAACTCAGAGCTCACTTTAAGTTTCGAAAAATCCGGCGAGGCCGTCCTTCGTTTGACAGAGAAATCCCAGATATCCGCATTGGACGAGACATTCCCGGGGGTCGAAACCGGCGAAGGCGAAGATGACGACTCGAACTTATCTATGATCAAGGACCTATGTGGAGAGCCTTTCATAGGGCTTTTTGAACGAACTTTATTTACCAAAGGTGACCCAACTGGCTTGGAGGTTTCTTCCTCAGAGTCCCACGATGGTGTGGCCATTTTACGTTTACCTCGTTTTTTAGTCTTTGGAGCATCCGTACTGACAGGATCCGTGTCTTCAACCTTACGTTTCCGGGAGCTCTTCCTGCTGGAGTTGCTTTTCCTTTGAAAGTCGTTGACGTGGGAAAAGGCCGAGTCCTCCGAAGAAATATCTCGTGAGAAGCTCGAATCCGTTGTAGCCCGTTCAATCTCATCTTTCACATGCTCGCTGCTCTGCTCTCGAAGAAGCTCGGCTCTTTTAGGTCTGATGTGCTGCTCAAATAAAGCGCATAACTCGGCTTTCTTAAGTCCTGGAGAAAGTGCTACGTCGTTTTCCACCAGGATACGACGCAGTTGTGCCACTTTTACACTTTTCGGCTCAAAATTTTCTTCCAGGTACTCTATTTCCATCAAACTTGAAGTTGTTAACAGTTGTTGAATGTTAAAGGTTGTGCTTACGCGATGTTCATCAATGTAAACACAAATTCGACATTGATAATCTAGGACACTGCGATATCATTACATACGTAGCCAAAGTCTGCACTCCACAATTGCCTTGCATCTCTCAAGAGGATTAAAGATGTTAGAATCACCAGCTTGTGGTGATCTAGCACTGTTTGAATACCATCGGCTTGCATAATGGCAAGCATGGCCCTTGTGCCAGTATAGTACAAAGTGATACCAGCGATGTCAGTAAAACGAGAGTATACAAGGTGAATAATCAACCAATAGTATTCAGAGGGACAGCGATTGCACACAAAATTCCTGACCACTTCAATTATCCAACAGCTCAAGAGTTTTTCTGTTGGATTGAATTGTTAAATTATCGAGCCCTAACTGCACCCAGATTACGCGCGTCACAACTTTGTTCAAACACCGGCCATGTTATATAACGTTGGGAACAATGTGAGTTACTAGGAAACTGATGGCGATGTGCGCCTAATCGCATAATCAGCGTCAGTAAATATGTGACCCAGTGGTACAGAATGATAGTACACAACCGAGGCCATACAAATCGACTTACCGTCTAAGACAAGCGGAAGAGAACAGCTGTTGTCCAATGGGATCGGCGATTGATAAGTAGTCGGTATTGTACGGCATTGAAGCCGTAAATCCATGGGCAATAGAATGAGCTAGAACGGGTGATTGAAAATTGTGTTGACCAGAGTCACCGAGCAAGAATGGTACAGATACCTGATGTTTGTTTAGGTGACTGAACCAATCCTAATGCCAGAATAATCACAGAGATAAATAGACCTAGATCCAAATTGCTCATCTTACAATGACTATGAACCACTTACAAGACCTATTTAGTAAGCTTTATACTAATGAATCAGATTCGCCTCAATAAAAAGATGGTGATGAGGGAGAGAATACGTAGTAGTAGTGGCAGTAGTATAGGAGAGAAGGGATAGAAGAATAAATAGAGGAGAGGGTAGATATGTGGGTGGGGAGAGTCTAGTGGTAGTAGAAGAGAGAGGAGATATGTGGATATAAAAAAGTAGTAGAGAAGAGAGAAGGGTAGTAGAAGGTGGGGAAGGATATGGAAGGAAAGTGAAATAGAAAGTTAGGAGAGGGTGATGGGTGTGATGGGTGGCATGGTGGCCGGATGGCTCCATGAAACAGAATTAGCTAAAAAAAAGTGCTAAAGGTTACTTATTGAACTTTTGCTTCCCTGCACATAACGAACTCAAAACAACCAGATAGTACTAGTCTGTGAAGTTGAATGCCTCAAAACGTTCTCAAATTTACTTGACACAAGGTGCAAGTGCACGAGCACCTCAAATGAGCGCAAAAAATGAAAAAATCATTGCCACAAAGTTATAGGCTACCGACACAGCAGCTCCTTCATACTCTGACACTTCAGCTGCAGTACTTGTAGGTTTCACATGAGATTGTGGAAGGCCTGAAGTACTTCCATATGGACAATAAGTGGTGTAGACTGTATAGACCCCCGAAGACACTTCTGAAATGGCAACCGATGGACTGACAGTGGATCCGGAAGATATAGACAAAGAAGTCTCCGTAGCACTCAATGGACAGAATGTTGTGTATTCAGTCACAAGGCCGCTTTCAGTTGTAGTGATAGTAGATACTTGAACGACGGTGGTCTTGTCTTTGCCAGTACATATTGGACAAGTGGTAATCACCGTGGTTGAGATATCTTCGGTAGTGGCAGTAGTCACATACTGAGAAGCATTTGAAGAAGCCCAAGTGGCAGACGATAGTAGTGAAGGCGAGAAGCTAGGTAAAGTCCAGGTGGATGCTGAAGAGAGTTGCGAAGAAAAATTGTACGAAGCGGAAGTACTACCAAATGCAGAGCTCAAAGTGGCGCTGCTACTTGAAGAAGATGCCTTACCAGAATAACTGGAGGCAGAGGAAGAACCAGTGGAATTGAAACCAGCTGTAGAGGAGCTCGAGGCCAAAGAAGAGGAAGAAGGGACGGTGCTCGAGCCGGAAATAGGGGACGAAGATGGGGCGGTGCTCGATCCAGAAGAACCAGTGGAATTGACACCGGCTGTGGAGGAGCTCGAGGCCAAAGAAGAGGAAGAAGGGACGGTGCTCGAGCCCGAAACAGGGGACGAAGATGGGGCGGTGCTCGAACCCGAAGAGGAGGACGAAGATGAATCAGAGCTCCCACTGGAAACAGACACAGAAGGAATTTCAACAGCATCCAAAAACCCGGGGCCGTAGCCGTAGTTTTTGAAAGAGTACGTCAAGTCTTGTTTCCCAGAGTTGCCGCTGAAAGCTAAGGTGGCATCCAACTCAAACACATTCGTACCTGTGGGAGGTGTAACCTCGAATTTGATATAGGCGCCAATGTAGCTAATATCAGAACCAGCTTCGCTGGTGGTCTCTGTGGTGATGCTCCCATTGTACCGGAAATCGACACCGCCAGACGCAGTATCGAGAGTATAATACTGAGGATAGACACTGTCCAAGGTACTGGCCGTATTCGCCGGGTCGTTAAAGCTGTCAGAGCCATCTGGGGTTCTCACAAACCCGAAGTCAAAAGAATCGCTGATGTAAGAATATTCCTTGGGACCGGTGGTGTTGAAAGTGAAACCTCCGAGATAGGCCGCTTTGGGAATGTTCAAATAGAAGTACGCCTGTTCTTGCTCGGCGTCATACTCAATGCTATTGAATACGGGAGTGTCGCTTGGCATTGCGACATAATCAATAGTGTTTTTCAACGCCTCATTCCCGTATTCAGTTTGGTAAGTGTGCTGGCCCTGCTCCTGGTTAGAATCCTGGCCTATGAAGCAAGGGAAAGTCAAGTTATAGCGTCCCGAAGGTGGAACGGAGGTGAAGTTGACAGTGACATTTCCGTTGTCGTAGACTGCTGTGCCATACTCAAACTTGAAGGTATCGCCTCCATCGGATACCGCTGAAGGAACTCCTCCGAGAGCAGGATCGATTTCGAAGGTTATGCCGTTGACAGGGCTAGTGAGCTGGATCTCAGTAATCGACAGGAAGACGTACGAATCGCTGTAGGAAGTGCTATTACCAGTTGTAGTTGAGAGGATATTGTTTGTAATCTTTACCGCACTCGAAGAGTTGGATACCACAGCCCTAACCTGCGAAGCGACACTGGCAAGTGCCAAAAGGCCGCTGAAACATCTCATGGTTGGTGAAGCCTGAATGTTGATATTTTTGACAAGCGAGTGAATAGAACTTCGTGAGGAGTCCCGAACTTGCAAGAGTAGAACTGATGAAGCGAATAACGAGAAACACCTAACCCACATTTTTCGAACTCGAGTCAAGTGTAAGCGGTTTTATACTATTTTTCGGCTCATAAATCTGCTGCCAAGCCTTCGAGGACGGACAAGGCACCCTCCTATGCCCAGCCCACACTTGGAGCGAGCCTGCCAGGCCATGGACAGGAAAGGAAGTGCATATACAGCACGAAAACGTACCTTTGATGCGGGGACATGGTGGGTGGAGCTTGCTGTCCAAATGTAAATCAACACTAGCGTCAATTCCGCAACAAACTCCGATGAATTGTGCATCATCAACACACACAGATGATGCAAAATACCCGCACGCATTATGCCGGACTGTTTATTCCGCGTCCGCGCTAAGAGACTACGAACTACTAGCAGCTGGCATAGCTTGCAACACCATAAATAACCATAATTACCGCGGAAGGCAAGCTTGGAAGCTCCCGCATGAAAAAATTGAAAATGACGTGCAAGAGTAGTCCAATAGTACAAGGTGATTAGGAAATATACCACGACGGTGTATACCAGCGCAGCATGAAATTTGGCAAGAGAAGAAAACCCGATCTCATGCAGCGACGGTCAGCTCGCTGTGCATTTGTGGATGTTGTGGGGGCCTGTAGCATTTTCCTGGTTGAACACAAACCAAGTCTTTGTGCATAAGATGTCTTCCATAAGCGTAGTCGAGCATATCGGCAGATATGTGCCTGCATTCTTTCAGGCAAGCTATGCCTCTGTTGTCTCCTTCGCCGTAAATTTCATATTTCGCGTGCCATAAGCAACCTCCAGGCCGAGTTTGGTCCCAGACTGCCTTGAACCGTTCGGAAGTTGGTCTTATGCGCTACCTTTGAATGGGCCTTCGGCGCACTCCGCAATGAAAAGGAGCGCCTTTCCTGTTTTTCTGAACGGAACACGCCGGAGAATTGAAGGCGAATTGAAGGCCAATCGAAGGCGCAAGCAGCAAGCCGCTGGTGCTACAGACTCGTAACACGCCACCCAAACTTGCACTACGAGGGCAAGGTACGCAGCACGCAGATCTCTAAGTTCACTTTCATGCAGCTGCACTTCAACATCGCTTTGTTTTGATTGGCAAGCACTTCGCGCAGGAGAGGGAAATAGCGGAATGCGCTGATGTCGTTTCTGGGTATCAAATGTCGACGCTGGTCAAAGGAAACAAGGAAACAAGGTCGGAACGAATGAAACTCTGGCAATACTAAATATCAGTCACTAGCGTTGTTACTGTCTGCACTGCAATTATTTCAGCGACAAAAAAGCACAATAAAATTAGTCAGTAGCGACTGTATCCCAAAGTCCAAAATCCTGTTTCATGCAGATACTCAGCGTGAGGTGATGACTGAGGGTAGGAACACCTAGTGATGGAGAATGCACTCGTCCAGGACTCTGACAAGTTGGCCACAGCTAAATCCTCATTCTATCCTCAGTTATCCCGGCGGTGTCCTTGTATACTGAAGCTATCCAAGCACCCACGTCTTATGGAGGAAGATAACTCCTAATAAGCAGGTAGAGTTGAACTTAGATTCACAAGGTAGCATCTGGAGGGACTGCGATGAATATCTGTTGGAGGAGCAAACCTTCTTCTCGGTTACAGCTAAAAATGCCAAAAGTCAGCTAGAGGAATTTTCAACCTAGATGCACAGTATGAGATTCCGCAATCCTCCTTGGGTCACAGCCTCTCGATTTGGCTTACGGAAATACGGTGAACGAAATTCCTCTAGAGCACCTTCAGGTGGCAAGTTGGGTGAGATCAACTTTGAGGATCTCTGAGGAATCCCCTAACATGCTCAGACACCAATCCGGTCCCGTTTGGAGCATATTGATTTAAAGTGGGAGAACCTCAGTAAGAATAAAGTCACGTCGAAAATGTGTACACCTCCAATTGGCAAATATGATATATCCACAGCACTGAAGGGCTTTTTCAAGATGGAGACCCTTAGCTGTTTTAGCAAAGATCCAGAGTTCAGGCCCTAAACTGCTTGTTCCAGCGAAGATTCAGACCCTGCATTACACGATTATCCCTCGTCATGGTCCAGCTTTTGGCCTTGAAAACGAGCCACCCTAACCTCTCTAGGGTGTAGACCTAAGAATAGGCTTTAAATATAAGCTCTGGGGTAATAAAATGTGTCTTCGGTCTTTGATGCATCAACTATCAAGCTGGACTGGTCCGGGCCGCGCCTTTCTTGTAGTTTTAAAAGCTCTAGGGCTGAACGTATCATACATACATAAGCTATCCAAAATGGTTATTGTAAGCACATCACGTGGTCACAAACCTTTTAGGGCCAATTTTACGGGCTGATACGTCTCCTATTGAGGCGAACCTGATTCATTAGTATAAAGCTTACTAAATAGGTCTTGTAAGTGGTTCATAGTCATTGTAAGATGAGCAATTTGGACCTACGTCTATTTTGGCATTAGGATTGGTTCAGTTCCCTGAACAAAAGCCTGGTATTTATACAATACTCACTCGGTGACTCTGGTCAACACAATTATCAATCACCCGTTCTTGATTATTCTAATATCGATGGATTGCGGCTCAATGCCTTACAGTACCGTTCACTTATCAATCGCCGATCCCATTGGACAACAGTTGTTCTCTTAGATGGTAGGTCGATTTGTATGGCCTTTGTTATGTAATATCATTCTGTACCACTGTGTCATATATTTCCCGACGCTGATTATGCGATTAAGCGCACATCACCACCAGTTTCCTAGTAACTCACATTGTTCCCAATGTTATATGTGCCAGATGTGGACCAGATTCATAGCCCTAATAATCACGTAAGACAACCAGAGGTCGCTTTACAAGCTGCAGATTTGGTATTAAGCACCCAACTTATTATACGCGATCTCTATTAACAAATTGAACAAATAATTCAGCAAGTTAACTACTGCCGACGCTGACCCACTCTAATAGACACAAGAACTTTCGTATTCACAATTTTGAATGCACCGGTTCGATAGTCTCCTTCTTATCACCTTCTTTCTTGGGTACCTTGTGTTTGCTATAATTGGTGTTGTCCTAACTACAGACAATTTTACTCGAGCGAAACGACCCTGACAACTCGTTTCAACAAAACGAGCAGACATTTTTTTTCTCTTTCACATGGGAGAGGGGTAGTTCGAATGGTGTACTCTTGAACCCCCTAGGGATTCTGATTTCCTTGTTGAGGGTCAGTTATCTTCAAAATGCGACAGAATAGTGAAAAGTGATATAAAGGTGTTTAAGCTACGCAAGACAAGCACCGCAAAGCTAGAGGCACCCAATGTAGATATTCCTTCAACGTCTGTCAAAGGAATAGTTTGGTGATCATAACGTTTCGACACGTAACAGAACTCATACCGGTGAGATGCTTGCAATGCTTTCACATATCATCAACCACGATATGTTAAATATAAGCACGACTCGTACATTAATTACTGATGGTAAACCCTGAGATGTGTGTACGTCCGGCCCTTAAGTTAAACGGTCAGCCAGCTGAAGGTCGATCCAAGTTTCAATAGTAGGTGCAGAGGATATTGCTATCAACCTTTTGCTATTCTAGAAACGGTCACAGATCTGATTGGGACTTTGTCGAGCGATACAGATAGGAAAACCTTCGTATCCCGTTTTGACATGGCGAGCTTACCACTTGTGCGGGAGCTATCAAGCGAGGAAGCTAGCCCTGGCCCATTTGATGAAGTAGAATCTGCTGGAAAAGGCACCCTGGAATTGGAAAAATTAACCTTGAGAGATCCAGTTGGTGACGACCACGATGACCACAATCAAGTTGAGCCCACCAACTTGTCATTCCACGAGGGTAAATCGCTCTTTGACATAGATAGCAAAAGGTCTGCACTTGATCACCTCAAACAGCAACCGGCATCTCCTAGTAGAAGAAGACTGTCGGTCATCGCTCAGGTAGCCGTTCCGGAGCCTCCTTCTCTGAAATTTGCGCAAAATAACGACCGCCATGCCTCTGCCCAATACAAAATGGGGATGGTTCTCAACGAGGATGAGCAATTTTCAGATGTGCCACCTGATGAACTGATTGACTTGTACTCTAAAGTTCAAGATTGCCGCAAGCTTAGAAGCAAATACCAAAAACTTTCATTGCAGGAGAATCCTGATCAGAATCCGAAAAATCAAAATAGTTGGGTCATTTACCCAGGTCCACCCAAACCTACCTACAATGCCGAAACTAAGACAGTCAAGAAGGTGCACAATCGACCAGATACCGAAGTTTTTGACTTTTCACAGATAGATATTCCTGGTGAAGATCCAGACTGGAATTTTCAGATGAACGCAGATGACGCTTATGTTGTTGTTGCCACCGATGATTCAACAAAGTGTTTCTCCGAGGTTCCATCGTTGAAGCAATACTATAAAGATTTAGATGCGTTGGTGGCAATATCGTCGGATGGTCCTGCGAAGTCTTTTGCTTTCAGAAGACTTCAGTACCTCGAAGCACGCTGGAATTTGTACTCTTTGCTGAACGAATATCAAGAAACGTCAGTCTCTAAAAAAAATCCCCACAGGGATTTCTACAACGTGCGTAAGGTTGACACCCATGTCCACCATTCTGCTTGCATGAACCAAAAGCATTTGTTACGCTTCATAAAGCACAAGTTGAGACATTCCGCTGAACAAAAGGTCATCTATAGAGATAACAAAGTCCTAACACTCGAGGAAGTATTCGACTCTCTAAATCTCTCTGGCTACGATTTATCTATCGATACCCTAGACATGCACGCCCATAAGGACACTTTCCACAGATTTGATAAGTTTAATTTGAAGTATAATCCTATTGGCGAATCTCGTCTTAGAGAAATTTTCTTGAAGACTGACAACTACATCAGGGGTACTTATCTTGCCGACATCACTAAGCAAGTCATTTCCGATTTGGAGAATTCAAAGTATCAAATGTGCGAGTATAGAATATCCATTTACGGCAGATCTATTGACGAGTGGGACAAGTTGGCCGCATGGGTTGTCGATAACAAGGTCATTTCACATAACGTTAGATGGCTAGTGCAAGTACCCCGTCTCTACGATATTTACAAGAAAACCGGGCTTGTCACGAGTTTCAATGATATTACGAGAAATTTATTCCAACCTTTGTTTGAGGTTACCAAGAATCCCCAATCACACCCAAAGCTGCACGTTTTTCTCCAGAGGGTCATTGGATTTGACTCAGTTGACGATGAGTCTAAAGTGGACCGTCGCTTCCACCAGAAGTATCCCAAACCCTCTTTATGGGAGGTTTCCCAAAACCCACCGTATTCGTACTACCTATACTACCTGTACTCGAGTATGACATCGTTAAATCAGTGGAGGGCCAAGCGTGGCTTTAATACTTTCGTTCTTAGACCCCATTGTGGTGAAGCGGGTGATCCAGAGCATCTGATTTCTGCCTATCTTCTCGCCCAAGGCATCTCCCACGGTATATTGCTCAGGAAAGTACCCTTTGTACAGTACTTGTATTACTTGGATCAGATAGGAATAGCAATGTCCCCATTGTCCAACAATGCCCTCTTTTTGACTTATGACAAAAATCCGCTTCCTTACTATTTTAAGCGGGGGTTGAATGTTTCTCTTTCGACTGATGATCCACTTCAATTCTCTTATACCAGAGAACCATTGATTGAAGAATATTCAGTAGCTGCTCAAATTTACAAGTTGTCGAACGTTGATATGTGCGAATTGGCCAGGAATTCAGTTTTACAAAGTGGCTGGGAGTCGCAGATTAAGAAACATTGGATTGGCAAGGATTTTGCATTAGAAGGCATTCGTGGTAATGATGTTGAAAAAACCAATGTTCCAGATATCAGAGTTAATTATCGTCAGGAAACATTGAGCACCGAGATTGAACTGGTTGATCATTACGCTCAATTCAGAAACCAGGATGCGCGCGCCGACGACTAGTTTACATGCAATTATATATATATATTTTCTCTCTATGCCATCAATTGGCTATTGAAATTACTTGTCTTTATCACCGTAAGCCTCGAATGTCGCTGCGAAATCTCCATTTGCAATCCTGCTGTGCAGAAGCTCCCGTAGCTGATCAGAAGCGACTTCTTGATAAGGTCCTAAGATGACTTCATACTCAAAAGAATTCGGATCGTGGGTTTTGATGTTAGTGCCAAGGGGGACAAGCCAAAACCAGTATTGCGGACCCAAAAACTCCTTTATGTTTGCGAGAACACCTCGCTTCTTCCAATAGTCTTGAGTATCCAGAGCCTTGAATTCGAAGACGTAACGGAGCCCATCAACGGGGTTTAAATAACAGAGCCAGTTTTTAGTAGCTTTTGATCGGCGTTTGGTGGCTATTACTTCCAAAGAAGTGCGATTCTTCGCCATGTAGTAGCAATGAGACAGAAATAGAGGGCCTACCATTAACATGAAGACACAACAAAGGGCTAGGAGCACAAGAATATTAGGGTCAACGCGCGGTATGTCTTTTCTCGAGGCAATCATGCGTCTAAGAAAACTAGCAATGGAAGCTATAACAAAAATGCAAAACCATCCCGCGTACATCGTGAACTGCATGAAAAGGCGATAGTTCTTGCGTCCTACCACGGTCCCAATCCAGACGCAGTAGTGATCAAACCTTGGCACACAATAACCCAAAGTTGAAGAGTGATGGGTGCGATTGCCCTTGATCGTCTGGCATGCAGTACACCACAAAGGATATCCCTGAGGATCACATTGGTACAGTGAAGGGGGTACGATGGTCATTGGTGGGTGCTGTGGCGACTTTCCAGACAGTTCTTCTTCACCATCAGAGTTCACGTTTTCTGGCAAAATGCGAAATGGCAAAACTTTGGGTTGCCTTCCAGGCCCAATCGCTACCAGCTGTGACCAGGTGCCAATCAAAACCACCACCAATACCAATTGTCCAAACATGAGCCCCACTCCTATCGACTTTTGACCAAATTTGTGGTAGACTTCCCTATAGCAGAGCGCATAACAGAAAGCCCAACTAGCGTAGCAGAGTAACCCGAGCAAAACTAGCGGGACCAAGCATCTGAACCACAGATGATGCTCCAAAGCCATCCAAGAGCTGTTGCTAATTATCAGAGCTCACCAGGAGAACTAACTTCGGGCCAAGTTTCGCGCTGCTTTTTATAGGCAGAACTAAATAATTAGTTATTTAAATTGAAGCCCAATGTGAAGTTCAATACCATTCACTCAGCGAAGAGGAGATAACCAAAACGCAGAAGGGCAGGTCCTGCTGCTTGAGCTGCTAAGACATCAGAAAGAGAGCTCAGAAAACCCTTTTTAGGCTTATTACAGTAAGTGTCACACGATGATAATGGATGATGATGAAAAGAAGGATATGTGCCCGATCTGTAAGACAGATCGGTATTTATCTCCTGATATGAAATTTCTAGTGAACCCTGAGTGCTATCATAAAATCTGTGAATCATGCGTGGATCGTATCTTTAGCTTAGGACCAGCACAGTGCCCATACGAAGGTTGCGACAAGATTTTGAGGAAGAACAAGTTTAAGACACAAGTTTTCGATGACGTTCGTGTGGAAAAAGAAGTAGACATCCGAAAACGGGTGTTTAATGTATTCAACAAGACGCTCGATGATTTCGATGGGGATTTGCCATCTCACAATAGGTATTTGGAGGAAGTAGAGGACATTGTCTACAATTTGGATAACGGCATCGACGTGGCAAACACGGAAGAAAAACTGCGTACCTACGAGGAACTGAATAAACAGTTGATTATGGCGAACATGAAGCGCAGTCGGCAAGATCTAGACAATTTTGAACAGAGACAAAAGTTCGAGAAAGAAATGAAATTGAGGAAGAGACAATTGGAACGTCAAATTGAGGAAGAGGAGCTTGCGAACCGCGAATGGGCGCGCAAAGAGATCGTCAACCAGCTTTCCACCGCAGACGATCCTGATGATGTGATTGCACATGTGAAGAAAACCGTGACGCTGAAAAAGTCGTCTGCGAGACGGAAACTGGAGGAGCTCAACAAGGTTTTGAAAAACAACCCTTACATGACTGTATCCAACGGCCAGATGAAGAAGAAGGAAAACGTACCTTTCACGCCTTTCAACGGTGATCGCGATTTACACAAGCGTTACGTTCTATCAGAAGCACACTACGAAGACCCGTTTATCAAGAGTCTGCAGACCAAAAAAGAATATATTGCATCGGGTTTCCGCGCAGATTATGTGTACGACCGAATGCTAACAGAAGCATTCATGGGTCTTGGTTGCATAATTGGCGAAGAATTGCAAAGCCCTTTGCCCAACAGTGTTCCGGGATAGACTTTACAGACCTCTCAACTGAATCGCATTCACTAGCATCTGGGAAAGCTCTGGCATGGTGAGTTCCGAGCAATTGCTGCTCAGCTTGTAATTCTGCATCAATGATTAGTTAGTAGTTGTATCTCAACTGAAATTGCTTAAGTAGCCCTGTTTAAACGAACCTTTTTGATAATTTCCACATCGGCCCTGGATCCCAGGGTGCCATCCGAAAGCTCAATTTCTTCACCTTCCACGCCTTGGAATAAAACATGCTCTGTACCTTCAATAACCCCACTTTCCTTTCCTTCGGTTATTGCCAGACAAATGATATTCGTGGTGGTTTCTTTGATCCCGAACCTTTTGAAAGCTTCACCAATGTTCGACGTCGGTGACAGTGAAAGAATGCACTCGGAGTTCAAATTTTTGGTCCTTAACCTATTGTATGTATACTCTAGGAGGGCTTTATGCACAGCGCAAAAAAGCTGCTCCAAGCTGCAAATGCAAGCGGCATCGATCATCGCAAATGGCATGGACGCCACTTGCTGCCGTAGTAGCTCACCATTTTTCACGTCTTCAAAATAGGCAGCTTTTATTTGAAAGCCCTGAAACTGTGGAATGGAATGAGTGAGCATTTGGTGACCCTTCTTCTATCATCAGATAGTAAGGTTTGATGCTCCTAGACCTGAGAACTGTTAACTAGAAATTATAATTGGCCTGATGATCATGTGAGGTGTTTAGTACTGTATAGTTTACAATTGAATCATCTATCTTAACTTTTATCCGATATAGTGTAACGGCTATCACATCACGCTTTCACCGTGGAGACCGGGGTTCGACTCCCCGTATCGGAGTAATTTTTTGCAAATGGTGGTTTATACTACTAACACATGCTGGGGAGACGACAGAAAGTCGACCGGCTGGTCAACAAGTCAATGTTCAGAGTTGTGTGTAGGTCAACACGATAATGAACTATGGATGAGACAACTGATGTTTGGACTAAAGAGCTTAATAGTTATAGCTACCAACACGAACAAGAACTGCATGAACGTCTAAAAGTGCTTACAGCCACGGGTGAGAAACCTAAATTAAGCGATGAGCTAGAAGGGCTGATAGACAGAGTTCTTCCTCGCAATGAGACCGAAGAGTTGCAAGAAGAAACTACTCCGAGGACATTGTATGGACTTCTGGATGTGGCACCACACGGAAGGAAGCGTATGAACCAGCTTCTTGCGGGCCCTCACGGTTCGGGTGATGTATTTCAACATTACGAAAACAGTGCTATACACAGGACTCTGGCCAAGACAGTAGATGAATGGATTGTCAGGCAAGAAGATGTAGCAGGTGGGCAGCGTCCAGGATCTCGTGATGTATCGCAAGGCGAATTCTCGTCAGCTATCTTTTCATGGAGTTCTGCGAACCGAGATAAAAAGGCAACCAGCTCATCGCAAGGAAGCGGTCGTATTGGGGATATACACAGGCAATACTCGCTGAATCAGCAACTCCGTAGCAAGGCCTACGAGGGTATCGCCGATTTATTGGCGCGGCGTCGTGACCAGGAGCGACAACGCGAAATCGACAGCATCGCCAGTGTTACGAAGACGCGGATGACCCCTGGTGGGTTCAAAGTGGATCCATTACAGAAATTCGAAGCGCGAGCACTGCCGAAAGAGCGAAAGAAAAAGGGACCCAAGCAGGGGAAGCAGACGCAATCGCAGAAACGGTCGAGCTTGCTTTGGTTTTGGAAAAGGAACGACCCCGAAACTCACACGAGCGAAAAGCCAGCTTCTGCTGGGCGCGATGTGAACCCCCAAGATTCCCAGCCTCCGACCAACGAGGCACCGGCCCTACAATGCTCGCAGTCTGCCGACAATGGTGTCACCGGAGCGGCCCTTCAGCCTAGTGACGATGGCGAGGACGACGATGACTCTGTTTTTGGCGACTTCAAATCGACATCACAGCGACCTGTCGACATGTCATCGGACGACCAAGTCAGTCTGCACAAAGTACCGGACTTCGAACCTGTGGGAATGGGCTCGTTCGTGCCGCTTCAACCCAAAAAGAAGGACTTAAATTCGACATAGCATTAGCATTACACATTTACAAATAATAGACCGCGCCTTTCATCACGAACCCTTTTGGGAAGCTACAATCGCTTTCTAAAGGTCAGAGGCTTGTTTCCAGGAAATGAAGTGTGTACCTGTGCTCTGTTGGGCTTAAAAACATATGTATTGGAATTTTCATCTTGAGAGCCGTTACTCTGGTTGAAATCATGAGCTTGCGCTTCTCTCTTAGACTGCTTCATGACCTCCTCATACGACGGAGGTTCTGGTGGCATTGCAGTATCCTGAAGTCCCATTTTTAGCTTCATTCGTCAACAGCTTTTGGGTGTCTCTAGGGCTTTGTACAATATCATCAGTCTTTTGATTAATTTACTAAGCCGGGGATTTTAGGGAACTCCGCGACGCTGACACTAACGTGACTGATCGCCAAAGAGCATTATGATAAACAATGGAAAATCTCCTTGAGCCACGCCTTAAGAGCTGAATGCTGTGAATGGGACTCAAAGGTATGTTTGCCTTTACGTTTAATTTACCAGCGAGCTTTCCGGCAAGAATCGCTCATAAATATTTCGAATGGGCTTCAACGGAAAGCTCAAGATGACAAGAGCTTCAATACATATGATCTAAAAAACAGATTAGAAACCATTTCAGCTCGCAACGAAGTACCTCATGACACGCAAAGTAGCTTGCACAATGGTGGAGCGTTCAGAGTATTCCTAACTTTCAAGGCGACAAAAATTCCGTGAAGTTCTCGACAAAAGACTTCCCTGAAAGGGCATTTTGAAGGTAAGCTGACAGCCATAGCCAAATATCAAACCACAACTACAAAGTTCAGAGACAAGTCAGTGCTTTGCCAACGTCAGCGCCCACGCCTGGCTCCAAGTTATCGGATCAGGTAAGATCACGACACACGAATAGCTCACTGGCTCAAAATTTGATATAACATGTAGAAAACCGTGAATGGGTGAACTTAGAGAACTGGCTTCGAACGGCACTAGGACGTCACTTCCAGAATTCTGCAAATGCTACCCGTGAGACAGCCGACTGCTAAACGGACGGGACAGCTGGTTTTCCAGTTTGTGCGCGGAAAAAGGACCAAAAGCAAGGGTACGCTGGCTCCTGCAATTCAAAGAGCTGTTACTCAACTGAGCGTGATGTCTGCGGGTAGAAAGCAACCAAAAATGCTAAAACTGTCGCAAGAAGACTATATCAAGCACCAAACGATTCAGACTTGCTGGGCCATGTATCAGAAAGAGCTGCGCGACAAGCGCAATGAACAACTCAGACTTCAATATAAAAGCACGGAGGCGGCCATGGAACTGCTGCAGAAACTAGATCCCGAACTTTTCGAGGCGGCTAACGCTTCCGAGGCTGGAAAGCGGTTTCCCCTAGAGCTGAAAGTGCCCACGGAATTTCCTCCTAAGAAAATTTGGTATTACAACTATAAAGTCAAACAAGAATAGGCAGCACCTTGCATTTTTCGACGATTTGGCTGGACTTCTCATATTTCTCGTGCTTCTGTCCCAAAGTCTCCAACAGCGATTAACGATGGCATCCTGTATATATATAAAACAAGAGTGAAAGGGGCCGCCATTTCATAGCGCTCCTTTCCTTCTCCACTTCACATAGAATTTTAGATGTTAATCTATGGAGGCAAGCAACTCACAGCCATTGGAAATGGTTTTATAGTTCTGGTTGTAGGTTTAGAGCGACGAGTCACTCTGCGCTATGCCTCAAGCCCATACACGTGCCAGACGATACATCTATGCCATAACATAAACTCTAACCTCGAAGCTGAAGACCGCCAGGGCACAGATCAGACCACGAGGCAGCGGAGCACCAGTCGTCTGTATTGTTACTATGAACCAATCCATTTTGGGTTTCATCGTTGGCTGGTATGTCTGCTCAATAACGCTGTCGCTATACAACAAGTGGATGTTTGATCCTGAGCTCGGGCTGAGCATTTCATATCCCATCCTAGTGACTTCTCTTCATCAATGGTTACTATGGGCAATATCGGGAGTATATCTGAAACTGAAGAATAATGCCCTAGACGCCGGACAAATCGCTACTCCTCAAACATGGAGATTTTACCTCAAGTTTATCATACCCACTGCTCTAGCATCCGCAGGAGACATTGGACTGAGCAATGTATCATTTAGGTTTATTGCTCTTGCAATCTACACGGTTGTGAAGTCGTCCAGTATAGCTTTTGTTCTACTTTTCGGCTGTATCTTCAAGACCGAAACTTTTCATTGGAGGTTGTTGGCTATTGTTTTGGTGATGTTCGTCGGAGTAGTGTTGATGATTTTTAGACCAGAGTCGACCGAATCTACGCAGAATGACGATGCCGCACTTTTGGGAGTTTTGCTTGTCCTTGGGAGCAGTGCTCTGTCAGGACTGCGCTGGGTTTACACGCAGCTAATACTCAGGCACGGTGATAACGCAACGCCCAGCAAGCAGAATGGTCCCATCGAAACTATATACCAACTGGCTCCTGTGATGGGTATTACCCTATTTACTACTTCGCTGTTACTCGAAGACCCATTTCCAGGTGTGTTCCACTCTCACCTCTTTCAAATGAATGATCATACATCAGCACTTTCGGTATTTCGGGGCATCTTGCTATTAGGAATTCCCGGTTTTTTGGTATTTCTGATGACACTTTGCGAATTTGGTATTCTACAACGTGCTCATGTCCTAACTTTGTCGGTAGCGGGTGTTGTCAAGGAACTTCTCACTATCGCGGCCAGCATGCTCATCCTTAGGGAAACGCTAACGGGAGTTCAGAACTGGCTTGGTATGATTATCATCTTGCTTGACGTATGCTACTACAATGTTTATCGCTATAAAGAGAAGAAACTGGACGTGGCATCGCTGAACGATCAGGAGTCAGACGTTTTCTTTCAGGAGTTTGAACTAGAATCGATAGCCCCAAGCTCAGAAGCGAAGTAAACATTGTTCTGTCATGATAAAACATCAATGAAGCGGTGAAGATCTCATTGACCAAGAGGCAAGAGAACGACGGTTAATTACACATAACAATACACTGCCCTTTGACTTCAGCCGCTACAACACCGTTTGGCCAATTGGCAGCAGGATTTCCACAACAAGAGGGGCCCAACTGAAAAACCGCGTTGAAATAGACATGAACAATTTCAATAGACCTCGATAGTGGTAAATCGTCGCGAGCTTTAGTACGTGATGGTCATCTCAGAAAGACGGTTTCGTATCAGATTACTTATAAAATTTTCGTCCCTAAGTCAGGAGAAATAGTAATCTTAAGTCTTTCACAAGTACGGCCCATCGGGAGTTAAAACCTCGCATTGCAGAGTTCCTGGAGTCAAAATGCCAATTGTTTCACTCCTATACTCGACTTATTCACGATTTGTGAAATGCGTAGTGGATAAAGTCGGGTGGGTAATCAGAAATCTGCTCAACCATGTTGTCACCGATGGGTCCAACGACAGAGAAACCGAAAAAAAAAATACTAGAGAAGGTTCAAAGACGGCACACTTAAACGGCCAGTCACTTTTCCCAAACAAGCCCAACGTCGATCGCTCTCTTGAGCATGGGTCAGGGGCTGTTCCCTGCTCTTTGGACTTTTCTACACTGAAAAGTACCTCGATGATGTCAATGGTCAAGTCGCCGGATGGGAAGTTTGAGTGTCGATTAGATGACAGGTTGATGGGATCTATCGGATCTCCTTCTGTGGGAAGTGTGACGGGTGGTTTAAGCTCGGTAGTTTCGCCGCTTAGTGCCATCCACGAGAAAACTGACGACGAAAGGAAAGCTGTCTTGAGCGACTCGTCAGAAACCAAGAAGTTTATTTGTCACTACTGCAACGCTGAATTTAGCATAAGGGGTTATTTGACCCGTCATATAAAGAAGCACGCTGTGGAGAAAGCCTATCAATGTCCTTTTTACAATGGAGATCTACCCAAGGAGGAGCAATGCCACAGAAATGGTGGGTTCTCTAGAAGAGACACTTTCAAGACTCATCTCATTTCTAGACATTTTCTGTGTCCCAAGGGCGTCAAATGCCAGGACAAGGCAAAGAGTTCTGGACATTGTATGCATTGCAAAACATTTCATGAGAATACTGACGGCTGGATAAAGTCCCACGTAGAAACTGGGGAGTGTAAAGGTCTCCCCGAGGGCTTCAAAGTCGCTGCTGCCAAAAAGGGTCGGAGGGGCGGCAAGTTGAAAAAAATTGTGACGTCAGATGGCCATTCGCGGTTCATATCCACCGACAAAAGTAACGTGGACAAGGGCTCTGGTGACAGTATCTCAAATCTGGTTGAGGACTACAAGAATACTTGTTTGAAACTGCCAACCCCTGCATTGCCAAGAGCCTCCAACGGCGAACCAAGTATGTTCGTTTCCGACAGAGGACTTGGCGGCGCCTTCTTGCATAGGAGGAATCTCAATAGCACACACAGAAGCTCTCCTCTTTCAGAAGACATAAGTCCAATAGGTGGTGGAGAGCAGAACCTACATCATCAAGCTCTGGATTCCCATTATGCATTCGACTATATCACCCCTTCAAAGACCACAGCTTTAGATGAAGGCAGCTTTTCAGTGGACCCTTCACCCACTGAAGATGCTGTTCTTGACACAGTAAAGTCGACGTCGTCAGCTTCGTCACGCACATCGTCCCATGAGAACCAAGAGAAGCCATCGATGAATTCTGCGCTGTACTCTGCACCCCAAGGCCCCGCCGAGGACGTACAATTCCATTTCCCATTGGATCTCGATCAGTGTCCCTTGAGTATGCAGTTTCCCGGGATTTTCGACGGAGCACATACGGGGGCTCGGAACAGCGCCAACTTCGATTGCCCCAATCGGGTTACATCGCAGTTATCAGACATTTTGCAGAGGCAGATGGACGCCGCGACGCTGGGTGAAAAAAACCTGCGAGAGAACCAGCAATATCTGAATTTTTACAACAACACTTTCAAATCTCATCTTTGAATTTGAACGCTGCAGGGTCGTGCGTGACCATGACCAGCTGATGACACTTACAATGCATTTTCCAGGAAGTATCCAGGACTGATTTTATTTCGCTCGGGGTTGAACCCCACATCTGAGTTTTTGTATCCATTTTTACTTAATTTAATTATACGGTGTAGTAAAGGCTTTAACATTTGGACTGAATTCATCTATAAGTCTGCGGTATTGACTTTGGTTTGCTTGATAACTTTCCTTCGATACGTTTGATCAGTCGTTTGTACACGTGATCTAATGATAAATTGGATGTGGCCAACCTGCGATGAGCTAGTTGCTTGGCTATCAACAAATAAACAGAAATAATAATCCTTCAAAAAGGACTGTTGATAAAAGCGGGCAGTTGCGGGCCTTAACACGCATATTTGCGACTGACAGTTTTGCTCCATTTGCTAGTTATATAGAGAGGCCATGTCAGACGACCAAGAAGACCTAAATTTGAATGAGCTTGTGGGCAACCTTTTAGCGGCGCATAATGAAGAGGAACTGCCGTCCCAGTTGGAGCAGGAACAAGTACAAGACTTGGAGGAAATTCCAGAGCTGTCAGGACAAGCTCAGAGCGGTGGCCCGGAACTGGGAGACGATGATCTAGCGGCAGTGGTAGCGCAAGCGATAAGTGGTATACAAGATAAAGAGCCGGCAGACCTACCCAGTGGTGCGCAAAGCAGCCAAATACCTCAGCATTCACCAGCTGCCAATTACGGGCAGGATGCTAATAAAGAAGAAGAGTGGGCACAGATTTTGCAACAGGATCTTTTACAAGAGAGTCAGCTAAATTCGCAAGACCAGATTGAAAACTCGCTGGAATTACCTGGAATGGATAACTTAGATCATGAGGACGAAGCACTGCGAAGGGCTATCCTAGAATCTCTACAGAATCTGAACGTTGGTGATACCCAGGCGCCCCCAAATACCTCGGACGAAACCAGGGCCCAAGCCAAAACCAAAACCAAAACCAAAACCAAAGACAAGGACAGAGTCCAAGACAAAGAGAAGGATTCACATCGTAGAGACAAAAGTAAGTCCAAAAAGAGCAAGAACAAGGATGCTAAGAAGTCAGACAATAAGAAAAAGTCCAAAAAAAAAAAGGATTCCTCCAAGAAACGTAAAGGCTCAACGAAATCCGTTGCTCCTGTGGTGAGACCGAAACCTGTTGAAGATTTAGATTTATTAAACTTTGAGGATGTTATCAAAGGTTTTATGGACCAGGCGGCCAACAACGGTGATTTCGCCCGACCCCGATCCGATGATGGAAATCCCCCAGATGGGCAACAGGCAAGTGATTCTTATGATGCAGAGACACGGGCGCTTGTTGAGGCAACACTCCAGGCTTTCGAAAACGAACTTTTGATGGGGTCAAGCGCCACAGCTGGTAAAAAGCCTAAGGTTTCTCGAAAGACCAGCATCCCAACAGATAAATCAGCTGTATCCAGTGCCGAGCAGGGTGAAATAATTAAGCCGATTGTACAGAATTTGCCTATTGGCAAGTCATTCAAAGCGGGCTCTAGCGATCTTCACAAGAAAAAGACATCCAAAAAGGTTGATCACCAAGCAGATGTGTACGATGAGGGCGATTTTTCAAAAGCTCTAGCTGAAATGGTTGACCAGGTGGTAAACACCTCGCTGGAAGAGGCACATCCTAATATATCTAAGCTGCCAGCAGAATCATCGGGATCTAAAAGGATTGAGCAAGTCCCTCTTTCGCCATCAAATAATGATATTTCTTCCTTGACTGACAAGTCTACAGGCGACGGCACAAATGCTATGATTCGACTCTCAGAGCCAGTTCCAGACACCTCTGTTGGAGTTAGTAAACTTGATGATTTGAGCCGCTCTTCTCCTACATCCCATCCTGGTGAAACATCAACGCAAAAGGCAACTGTATCCCAAAATTATACTCGCCCTAGGGAATCACTTAACGTTCAAGACAAAAGCTCATCTCCGTCCTTTTTGGAGGTTTCTGGAGATTTGAATAAACTGGCGCTGGATAGCCAAAACCTTCAATCAAGAATGTCTTTTCCCGATTCTAAGCAGCCCGCTGTCATGGAGGGGAATGGAGTAAGCGAAACACTTGATCTGAATCAAATAATGCAGAATGCGATGGCCATGGCATTTCAGGGCCAATTGGGCCATCAAATAAGCCAATCTGCCCTTGATGACTTCAACCAGCAACTCCAGGGATTTAATGTATCGCAACTGTTAGAGGGCAACGAGCCAGCAAAAACTAAAAAAAAGTCGTCTAAGAAGAAGTCGGGAGGCGAGAAGAAGTCGAAAAGCTCAAAATCAAAACCCTTTAAGTTCAAGCACCTGGTGGAGTTGGGCTTTGGTGACGCAGCCACGATAAAGTCCACAAAACAAAAGACGAAAGTAGCTAAAACAAGAGCTGTTAAGCAGAAAGATTCCGAGCTTCGAGTGTTAGATGGCGAGCAAAAGAAGACCAAGGGCAATAGAAAAAAGGGTATTTCAAGCCAAGAGTTCAGTGCCGCACTACATGCCACCGGTGGATCCTTTTCTGGATTTTTCGAAGAGCTCCCCAATGTACTTGATATCCATGAGCCCAAAAAACCTGGTAGGCCAAGAAAAAGCCCTGCTCCGGCCCTCGTAACCGATAAGTATTGGAGAAAGAGATACAAACTAGCAGCGATAGAAGCTGCTACTAGGGCGAGGCGTCAACGAATGGACAGAAATAAGGCTCATCGTAAGCAAATCAAGGATGAACGTCATGCTAGGCGTCAAGAACGACACTTGAAGAAAGAGGAAGACAGAATGAAGGAGGAACAAGATCGGAGAGAGCTCGAGGTGATAGTTGCAAGAGGTCCACCCTATCCCCCCTTTCTGCGTTTGACAAAGAAAGGGACACCAAAGAAGCCTTTTAGACGTTACACAGCAGATGAGATGAAGGCACGGCAGGATAATAGCCCGCGTACATCTGATATAATTAAATCCCACCTCAGAAGGCAGGTACATGTTCCGGTTGCAAGTCTGCGTAAAATCCCAATTTCCGATTTTGCAGCGGATTTTGATTCCGAGACAGCGAATACGAGGGTCCATAACACAGAGCGGTCTGCTGTACCAATTCCTTTGATTAGAGTTCAAAAGCTATCGGATATTACATTAACAGAAACGCGCCCTTCAGCGTTTTACGGTGGGCAGCGTATTATTGAGCAGAACCCAAGAGAACGCTTTTCTGGTTCACATAAGAAACGCAGACGTTCATCGAAAGGAGATGTAAAAACTTTATACAAAACTGTGGTTCATCGAGAAAAAGTCTGCTTACATCCACCCTGGTCTGTCCCTGCACACCCACCTCTTGCCCTACCTGCGGCGCGGAAGAAGAAAACTTCCAAGGTCAAAAAGACACCAGGGCATTCAAAATCCACCAGAAACCAGGGAGCCGCAACTTTCATCTCTGGGAACAAGATAATACCAGCATCTCTTTTCCCCATCATCAATACGTTGAAAACAGCCGCGAGGGCCAAAGCTGCTGCTGGGGCAACTCCCGAAGAAGCCGGAAAACAGTTGGGTGCAATGCTCCGCAATGCTAGACTGACTATCGCCCAAACGCTTGCCAGAGCCAGGAGTCGCCATGCGCGAAATTATGATACCATGAAAACCATGGCGGATATAAAAGAGCCTAGCGCTAATAAAGATTTAACTAAAGGGAGTAAACGCATGCCTCTGTTCAGCTTGAGTAGTATTAAAGCTATCACGGATGAACATGATGCGGTGGCCGACTCGTCAAGGGATAAGACGTCAATAAAAGTGGAGCCAGGTCAGTTTGAGGATGCAGTGAGACGAATTGGCGACCCCCCATGCAATACGGAAATGGAGAGCAAACAATTGCCTGTGTCCTCTGATCATTTAAGCGCTCCTAGCGTTAGCGCTGATGATAAAGTAACAAAGTCACAAAGTGCGAGAGAGATTAAAACGGGCAATGCACCACAGGGTGATGGCGCTCATCGCGGGCCGACGAGTACGTTGCACTCATCCATTGAAGCCAATTCTTCAGAGAATAACGGAGCCGTGAACAGAAGAGAACTCAAAATGCCTGCTTCTTCTGGAAGAGATTTGTCATACCAAGATGCAGAACGACCACTGAAGAAACTCAAAAGTGCGACCCATGTCAAGTTGGAATCTGATCCAGTTATACCTCCCTTGGTGAGGGATTCAGAAATAATTCATAAAAGTAGCTCATCAGAGGTGAAGGATGAACTTCCGCCAGAGGTACAGGCCGAGATAACCCGTGCACTTAAGGACATAATCAGACCATACGATGGGCATCGCAAGAAATATGTTAAAAAGTCAACTCCAGTCTTAAACTTGGACGGCGTGGTACCACCCAAAGCCATTGCACCCGTCGATGTCCCTGCCTCGAAAAAGGAAGTGAAAAAAGAATCTCACCCTCGAAAGACACCAGAAATTTTGGCCCCTCGGATCTCGAAGTCTCCCGAAAGGAAGTCAGAAGTACGCATCAAGACTCCTGGAGCTAAAGTTGGTTCAGCAAAATCCGTTTTCGAATCAAAATTCCATTTTGATATCCCCACCAAAAATACGAAAGGAGAAGCTCTGCCAGTTATCTCTATCTTGAGAAGAGCCAAGGACCATTTAAATGTCGAGGAGTTAACTAAGTTGAAAAAGAGTATGACAAATGAGCGAAAGAGAAAGTGGCGAGAGGCGAATGCCAGCAAAAACAAGGAACACGATTTACGAGCCCGCTTGAGAAAAAGGGCCAATGCGTTATTTGGCAATGAAGATACTGCTGCTAAGAATAAATGGTTTGATGAAGAATATACCAAACGTTCGGTTAAGGCGGAAGTTGGGAATAATGAGGATGTTAAGCAGCCTACTCCGGAACTTCCAACTAGCATTTCAGATCATGAGGTATTGAATATGATAGCCTGCATTTTGGAGAAAGAAGATGTTGCTCGGGCTATAGAGAGGGAAATTAATGAAGAGGCGAACATGGTTGGAAGCGATCGCAAAGCAATGAAACGAAAAGTGAAGGGGACGGTGGAAAAGCCTGTTAAGATTGAAATGAACGTTTCTCCCGTCTCCGGCGATGCAAGAGTTGGTGACACACATGAAATTAAGCCAAAGTCGAACAATTTGCGGTCCCCAGAGGTTCAAACTGACCCAAACGTGGAAAGTGTTGAGGAACCAGCCGAGAGCATAGATCCCGCTCTAGCCCAATTAGGGAAAAGAGCACGAGATGAAAGTGCCGAGGAAGAGTTTGATGGGGCCAAGCGCAGAAGGAATCAGAACACACCACCAGAAAATCTACTACTGAAGAGGCCAGCTTATATCAATATGGAAAATATATGACATTACTACGTTGGCGCGGAAAAAACAAAAGGTCGGATCATTGCATAAATACATAAATACAAAACGGTTATATTCGTTATGAAAAGTGGTTAGATACCATGGAGAGCTTAAATTTTCTGTTCAGCTGCCCTTTTCTTCCATTGAATTTCGGCCGGACACTCTGGTAAGGTAACCATACTTTGGAAATCGGACTTTGGTACACCTTTCATTTTGGGAGTAAATTCCCATGTCATGGTTCTAATGTAAACGGATAGAATTACGCCAAGCTGACAGTAAGCAAAGTGTTCTCCGATACATCTATGTCTACCACCGCCAAAGGGCAGGTATGGAGAAGAAACTCCTTTAGAGATAGAACCAAAACCGTAATCCACTTCTTCACCAGTGGCGTAGGAGGACTGGTAGTCGTTGTTCCAGCGGTATGGATCGAAAGTATTGGCCTTGGGGAAAAATTCGTCTTGCAAATGGCAATAGCCAGGAGAGACCAAGACATAGTGGCCCTTTGGAACCACATAAGGCGTGGTCGGAACCGCAAGGTCTCTCGTGACTTGACGGAACAAGGAGTGAAGTGGGTGGTGCATTCTTAAAGTCTCTTTAATAGTTTGGTTCAACAAAGGCATTTTTTGCAGAAGATCATAAGTCAATTCTTCTTTTCCGCCCTGTAAAACGTCCATTTGCTCTTTGTATAGGGCCTCCTGCAAGTCTGGTCTTTCTGCCAAATGAAGCAAAAACCAAGCAGAAGTAGCAGCAGAAGTGTGCTGACCACCCATCAAAACACCGATGAGCAAATTAGCAATTTCTTGGTCGGTCATGGGTGTGCCATCCTTGTATGTAGAGCTTTTCATCAACGAGTCTATCAAATCTCTATCTTTTATATCGTTGTTAGCCCTTCTTTTCTGAATCAGTTTCATGTATGTGGCGCTGATGGTTCTCTGGGCGTTGTCACGCTTACGGTAGTGATCCAATGGTAAATTGGAGAATACAAAGTTGATGGGCTGGAAGCCTTTATCCAGATCAGAGTACAGATAAGCGAAGTCAGTGTTTAGCATCTGACGCATTTCTTCACCAAGGAGTGAGCGCGAAGCCGTGAAAATGGTCATTTCTGGCTGACTTTCCATGACGTTGACGACACCCTCAGTTTTGGAGTTCACGAGAAAGTTCTTGGAATTGCGGAAGTACTGGTGAATCTCATCAGCGATTTTGGGAACATAAGAGCGGAATGAATCGGTACTAAGCGCGCCTTTCACGAACTTTTTCTGCTCCATTAGCTTGCTGTTAGGACAGTCGTAAATAACACCTTTGCCAAACACGGGTGTGGTTAAGTGCGTGTAAGCTGCTTCGGCAGAAACGTCGGCGAGCTTCGCATTCAAGACAAACTCGTGGCCTTTGGGGCCCAAGTAGACGGTCATTACGCGTCCCAGCAGCATGAAGGAGAAAACATCCCCATATTTCTGCTGGCACTCGGCGAAAAACTCATAAGGTCTCATACCATAGTTAACGGCACTACCAACCCAGGGAATCCAGTAGAAGACCAATGGCACACGGTCCTTGCGAAGGGAAAACCAGAATTGCCACACGATCGAGTAAACGAAGGGAGCCAGTATAACGAGGGAGATCTGTTGCGCTAAAGAAAGCTGCAAAAACCAGCTAAGCCCCACATTTCCGAGCTCAACGCTTTTGAAAACAACCTTTCCGACCACGGAGGTATTGTCTGAGGCCATTACCGTCCTGCTAACGATCTGGTGTTGGAACGTTTGGTTCTAAGAAGTGGTCTTCGGTTAAAGTTTTGATAAATTTACGTGCCATTTTATACAAAACCGCTGAGCATACTAAACGATACCTAAACGAGCTCGCCCGATACAAAATGACCGTTAGCTACCTCTGAGGGCACAACAAATGCCAAACATGCTGGAACGAAACACGAACATTGTCCTACGGTTTTCAGGGTTTCTAGCGCTTCTCGAGGCTCTCGGTTGCGACCGTTTTTGATCTTCTTGGTGCGCGACACAGGAAAAAGTGACACTAAACCGAGGATAACAAAGGAGCTTGGCAAGCCATAGACCCGGGCATTTTGCAGTAAAAACAAGCTTGTGAGCCTTTCATCAAAGTAAAAAAAATCAACCAGAATTATGCTTCTTGTAGCCTCTCAATATGTCGAAATCGTTAGTTCGAGCGAAACTCTCAGTCGCGTCTGAATGGACTTTGTGGGTAAAGGGATATAGAATCCAATAACATTATGGCCTGGTCTAATGGCAAAAGGTTCCTGGCCTTTTGATGCATGTGTCGGCTCTGCTTTTCTCAGGCAAACCGAATCTTAGGGTGATAATATCTGTCGCAGGAAAAATAAGATCTCCGTACGTCTTCCCAATCAGGATTCTTGGGCAGTGGGATCGTGTCAAAATCGCACTTCATGCCGTAATTCTTAACGTCCATCTCCACTACCCGTTTGTAAACATCGTAGCATACTTGTCTGTCCGCGCCCAGTCCGTTAAAAAATGAGAAGACACCGTCGGGCTTGATCAGGCCGACGATAGTGTCATATAGGTCTAGCATGTCGGCATAGTGTTCGCTAAAAGTGTCATAGTAAATAGCATCGAAGAACACAGAGCCCTCGTCCAAGAGTTTGGAGAGAGTTTCCTGCCAGCGTCCTGACAAAATGACAACATTTGGCTTTTCGTGCCAACCCTGCTCCCGCATGTGCTTCAAAACGTCAGGGTGCGCCTCACAAATGTAGTGTTTAGCGGGCTGACGGTCTTGGATAAACGTGTCGATAATTCCCATTCCGAACCCGATGTTTAACACCACAGGTCCGTCCGCCGTAGCGTCATGGTGTTGGAACATAGTCTCGCAGGCCAAACGCATGATGTCGGTTTCCCAATCCATCATCACTCCGTCTTTGTTTTCTTTGGTGACCAACGCGTTGGCGGTGTATTCCAAGTCTGCCTTCAAATAAGCAGCCTGGTGTTCGGCAGTATCATGTTGCTCTGCGTGTTCAGCAGCCACACTGCCTTGTGAGGAAGGCACCTCACTTTCAATTTCCTCCTCTTCTTCTTTGTCTTCTTGTTCGACATCGAGAAACTCAATGTCATCGTTCAGCTTTCTTAGTAGCAGTTCTGCAGACACACCCGCCTCAACAATACGATTATACAGAACGTTACCGTCGCAAAACCCCCTTTCGAAGAGTAAGTCTCCGGGGCTTTTGTTCTCGAAGTCTAAAAAGTTCCACCCGGCACCAAATTCGAACAGGACATCCATCATCTTGAGCACTATCTGGGTTTCTTTTTCGCTGAACACATCCGGAAGCGATCTTATCAGGGTATGTAATGGTGTGGTATTAGAACCGGTATCCTGGACATCGTCCTGGCCGGCCTCATGTGCAGCTATCTGCTCGATTGTGTATGTAGCTGGGATACCACTTTTCAAAAGAGCTGTGAGCTTCTCGACGTAGCTCTCATCTATAGGCTGAGTCTGAAGGTTGAGCAGCTCGTGCAGACTGGACATTTTTTACGTGCTTGTTCAGCGATTTCGAACTGTAGCTGCTCAGTTTCTCATCATCTCACTTAAAATTCTACCTGCATCAACTTCGCTGCGGGACATCTACAAAAAGGGAGAGCCATGAGGCCCAGAGAGTTGAATATATTTATGTGATTATTGTGTATATTTAGAGGATATGAGAATGGAAGGCCTGCAGCTGTTCTAAAATGGTGCTTAGGCCTCGAATCTCTTAGCAGCCTCCTTCCAGTTGATAACATTCCAAATGGCCTTGAAGTATTCGGCCTTGCGGTTTTGGTATTGTAGGTAGTAGGCGTGTTCCCAAGCGTCGATGGCCACAATTGGCTTCAATGGCCCGGTGACGGTGTCTTGGTTATAAGTCTGGACGAGCTGCAGTTGGCCGCCGTTTTCGGCGTTCTTGACGAGGAAAACCCATCCCGAGCCCTGGATTCCGGCCAGTTTGGTGTTGGTCTGCCCAATGAGGTTGTCCAGGGATCCGAACTGCGTCTCTATCTGCTTGGCCAGGGCTCCCGTTGGGGCCTCCCCACCGCCCTGCGACGAAGGAGCCAAGTTCTTCCAGAACAAACAGTGGTTGGTGAATCCACCCCCGTGGAACTTGATGTTCTGTTGCAGAGCAACCAGCTGTTTGACCACAGCCGTGTCCTGCTGGGGATCCCCGGTCAACTTGCACTGCAGATCGCCAAACTGCTCTGACGCGGCGTTGAAGCCGTTCACGTACGTCTGGTGATGCTTGGAGTAGTGCAACTCGTTGATCTGCGCGGAGATGTGCGGTTCCAACGCGCCAAAGTCCCAGTCCAAGTCTGGCAAAGTGACCTTGGATCTCTTGGCAATGACATGGGCCATGCCTGGAGCTTTTTGTGCGACTCTTCTGGCAAACATTATATGAGGAAGGAAATTAGAAGTTCAAGCTGCAGCAAACAGTGCTTTAGAAGTGACTTGAGTGAATCTAGTACAACACGGTACTGTATGTAGCTAAGGAACCTCAAGTTATCGTTTATATATGATTTCCAGATGCAATTTTACCATTTTTAAGGTAGCCAGTTCGTCTTTACGTATGAGCAAACCTAAATAACGTAGCCATACTGAAAACATGTGGAAACATGATTGGACGAGACACAAAAAAGGTGCAAAGGACCCAAACAGAGGTCAATTCATACAATTTGGACTGTGGGAGGAGCCAGGAAATTAGCCGTTTCGTTTGGTTACAAAAAACGGCAAACTCGGACGAGAAAAAGTGAGGAAATTAGGATCGAGAGTGGTTCCGAGCGTCAATCCAATGGGGATGTGAACTCAGCTTGGAAGGGACAAGCGGGAAGAGAGTATACAGACTTGTGAACGGCTGTCTGTGATTATGGGCGATGTTTGTGTACTGATTAGCTTCTCATGCTTTGTATTCCAGACAGTGGAAAGACTGCCGAGGGACGGGTACTGACAGGTTTCTTCCGCCAGCAGATGCAAATAGCGCGGGCTTGCGGTGCCCTGTCAGACAGTTTTAGGGAAATCTCAGGTCAAGTATATAGGTGCGATATGAGTGAACCAATTGACAGGAAGTAGACCTCTGTAAAGTGCTGCGGGCCCGCAGCGAAAGTGGACCAGGGACATGTAAAAGGGCTCAACGGGCCTCCGTGGGTTCGGCAGGCCGACTGAACACCCGCCACCGAGCTTCCATGAAGAATCATCACTTTTCACAATACTGTCGTGTGACTTGCGCTATTAGCCCACCGGATATACCCCGAGAGGACAGTCATGGACGGGGCACCGTGCACGCAGTTTTGGGAGCTGAGACTCTGCGAGAACCTCGCCCAAGTGCTGGTCATAAGTGTCTTTCCATTACAGCCTTGTAGTTGGTCAAAGTCGGACTTCGGCTCATCGTCAAGGGACGTCCAGCAAGGAGCTCGTAGTACGCGTGTTACCATTACGGTCAGTAAATGAAACGCGCGGAACGAGTGTTAGTATTGTCGTCAGAGCATGGGGCTGTTTCTGGTCTCTCTGGTAGTAGTCTCCGCTGGCGCTGGACAAAACTGTCGATGCACATCTGTGGCTTGAAGTATCCATGGTAGATCTCAAGGTGAATCCAAGCATATTGTTGAAAGCTCACAACCATCTGCCATTGCCAGTAGGTTCTTGGGAGCTCAGCGCACTGGGACGATTTGCGTCAGCAGAGTAAAAAGTGATCTAGCTTCGAATTAGCTATGGGCAAGCCTCGCGGCTCAAAGGTCTAAAAACAAAAGGTCCAACAGCATACTCAACCGCCAATTTTAAGTGTGAGCCTCGCTAGCTGGCCACCAAGCTTCTCGCACAACGGAGCGAAGTTTCAACGGAGGCTTCATCGAGTGTACCATCATTACATACGTGGATCATATATCTATATTGGATCCACCTATCCTATAACCTCTTCACAACTCGGCTGGTGACCCTAAAGAGCCGGAAGTTGGGCCATGAATGGCAAAAGGACGCCTGCAGACTATGTTTTCCTGGAGAAACTAGGGCAAGGCTCCTATTCCACGGTGTTTCGCGCGGTAGAACGCAACAAAAGCTCCCGGAATTACGCCATAAAAGTGTGTTCTAAGAAGCACATCATTCGAGAAAAAAAGGTCAAATATGTGACCATTGAGAAGGACCTGCTCAACAATTTGGCCCAGGGCGCACACCCTGGGATTGTGAGACTTTTCTGCACCTTCCACGACGCAGAGAGTCTGTATTACGTGCTTGAATATGTCAGCGGAGGAGAGCTTCTAGGCTTGTTGCGCAGGAACGGGCCGCTGCCCGAAGCCTGGTCAAAGCACTTGTTCGCCCAGCTGGTGGACACTGTGGACTACATGCATTCCCAAGGTGTAATCCATCGTGACCTGAAGCCCGAAAATATCTTGTTGTCTCAGGAAGGTAGGGTGGTGATTACGGACTTTGGAGCGGCTTGCGTACTTTCAAACCTGGGACAATCGAAGGATGAAGACCGCGCTGCGTCATTCGTTGGTACTGCAGAATACGTAGCTCCCGAACTTCTAATGTACAGCCAATGCGGTCTTGGTTCCGACATTTGGGCCTTGGGGTGCATACTCTATCAATTGACCCAAGGTGCTCCTCCCTTCAGAGGCGAAAATGAGTTACAGACCTTTGAGCAAATTGTAGCTCTAAACTATAAATGGCGACTTCCCACCACACCTCAAATTTCGACTTTGGTGCGACGTATTTTGGTTCTAGATCCATTACAGAGGCCCACGTCGAAGCAATTGAAGCAGGAGGCTTGGCTTTCTTCAATTGAATGGAATGATAAAGCTTTCCTATGGAAAGGCATATGGCAACTTCCCAATAAATCCAAGGCCATTGGAGCTGTCTATAGTGCGCAGGGACGCAGTCAAGCATCAAACGGTCCAAACATCATAGACAGTCCTGCTGGCACTATCAAAGTCAACAGGAAAAAACCAGCATCCACCAAGAGTACAAGCGCTATTGTAGAATGGAGAAAAAATCTGGGCCTCGGTTCTTTACCCACGCCTCCTCCATCAGCGGGAAGTACGAAGCCGCCGCTTAATACTCATATGCATTCACAGCAGCAGCAGCAACACACCGGGCCAATGGCATCAGCTAACATCGCTCAGACGCCACCACCCTCTGCTGCTCCTCCGAAAATATCTGCTTCTTCAACTCCTTTCTTGAAGAGGAGTTTGATTAACATTTTTGAGATTCCTTACCGCGCTTCCCAAGAATCCATATCTTTAGGCGCTTTTTCAAATGTACAGGATACTACCATCGCGAATTTTGTCGCAAAGAACAACACGGCCATCTTAGAAAGGTCGTCGAACTGCATTCTGTCGTTAGATGTCAAAGGACGACTTGCATGCCAGAGGCCGAACCAGCCGGTGACATATATGGTTTCCGTCTCAGACCCGGACCTTTCAATGTATGATTTTGAGTTCAACGAACTCTCAAGGACCGGCTTTTTGATACTAGAGAAGTACAAATCGAGGTTGTGGTTTTTATCATCCGTCGAACAAAAGGACGGTCTTCAGCCGAACGCCCATCCCATGAATGAGGAAAAGCCGTGGATTGACTGTTTTTTCACAGCGAGAAAAATGGTTTCCGAAGCGGATAACTCTGTAGCAAAGTCGCGTAGTTCACCTAATCCAAACGAGCATAGCAGGTCAAATAACAGCGCTAAAATAAGGCCGAAGTCGAGAGGTGAGATACCCTCGCGGATGGTGGTGAGCTCAAGTAGGTATGAAGTACTTCGAGCATTGTCGGACACGTCGATCAAGACCGGCGACGCAAGCAGGGGTGCTAGTGCAGCATTCAATAGTCTGCGCAAGTCCTGATGGAAGCTGAGAGCCCCGTTATAAATCGGATAGAAGGGATTTTTTATTTAAATGCAAAAGGGGTACATATTGAGATATTAGTGTGATCGTTAATGCTGTAATGGTGCGTTGTGTGAGTGAAGAGGGCGTGCTCATGGGCTAGAAATGCTCAATTGTATCTGATTCTTGTTTTGACCGTGTCGAGCCTCAAAAGACAGCCAAAGGTGCTCATTCCAAGATGCTAGCATCGAAATATAAGCCAGGGTCCAGTGCGGAGATATCGGCACTAGTCGCGACACCGTCTAGTAAAACTTCACTCATGATCTTACCTGTACCGGGAGCGTTGTTGATTCCCCAACACGAATGACCCGAAGCCACGTACAAACCTTCAATGTTTGTTTCACCTATCAATGGTCCCGAGCTTGTGGGAACGTTGAGTACGGGCAAATAACAGGCTTGTCTTTTTAGAATGTGGCCCTTTGACAGGTTGGGAGATAGTTTGGAAACGTAGTGATACAATTCGTCGCACTTCTCGCGCACAACCTCCACAGCATCTGTAGTTTCGGGTAGCTCGACTAGAGTGTCACCCTCGCCACAAACGTATACTTCATCTTTCCGCGCGTACATTTCGGGAGAAAAGTACTTGTTGCGGCCAATTTTCAACTCTGTGAAGATAGCATAGGGGGAGACAGTGCCCGTGGATGGCTTGATAGTGATGGAATGGGCTCTTAGGCCCGATATTGGACAATCAGGTAGAATCTTGGAGGTCCAAGGCCCCATGGCCAACACGACTTGTTGGGCTCCCAGCATTTCTGTTGTTTCGGGCTGACCCTCAAATTCGTCGGAGGTCGGAATGTAGGAGACACCGGAGGCACATCCCATGTCGTCGAAGTGGATTTCTTTGACTTTACCCAGGATAAGGTCAACTGCCCCAGTTTTCATGGCCTCGTTCAAGATGAAATGCGTGAACTTGTAAGGGTGCACCTGGGCGGTGGAGTCCGTGCCACCCAGGGACGACCAGTCACGCACCAGCTGGGTCCTGATCCAATTGAGATCCTCGGGCAAGCTGGAAGCGTTGGAGCTGCTACCTGAACCGCTGCTCATTCCGTACGACTCTTGAATCTCGTCAGAGTCCGAATCGGATTGCGCCTGAGACGAACTCACGGCCTCGGAGTCGGCGTCGGCCTCGTATTCGTCGTCGACGCTCCCATCTACTTCGTCCTCCTCTTCACCTTCGTCTGGCACTTGGTCTTCCTCGTCTTCCTCGTCCACCCCGTCGGGGCCAGTCTCGCCGCGATCGCTCCTCGTGGTTTTCGCGCACCGTTTCTTGCTGCTCGGCGTCGTGGTGCGCGGGTCGCGAGTCTTCTTGCGCGTCGCCAACGTGTGCGACCGGCTGTTCGAGCTCTTGTCCGACGCAGAGCCCGCATTGTGGCTGGCACTGTCCCCGATGCTCTCCTTGTTATCCTCCTCCTCTTCCGCCACGTTCTGCACGTCCGCCTCCACCGACACCGTTGTCAGCCGCCGGTAGTCCCACTGCGTTTCCCCGTTGTACTCGTCGCTCAGCTCCTGGTGCAGTTGGAAACTCAGAGGCACAATCTGCTGCGGGAACGCCCAGGTGGCCAAAAGTCCGCCTGCCTTCCCGGACGCGCCGCCAGCGACCCGCTTAGACTCCAGAAGCGTGATGTGGTAATTCGATTTATCGAATGACGGATGCCGTGTCAAGTAGTACGCCGTGCACACTCCTATGATACCGGCCCCCACTATCACAATGTGGTGTTTGCCTTCAGCACCTCCAGAGGGCCGCGACAACGCTTTAATTTGGTCCACTGCTGCTGGAGGACTATTTTTCTCTGTCATTCTATCCGATGCGCACTGAATACTCACCTAAAGACCGCTATTAAGCCTGTCTCTTTGTCTTGAATGTGTATCCTTTGCGTAGTGGTTAGTAGAAAGTTGGTAGTTGTATTCCTTTAGTCTTGAAAAAATTGACCAATAAATCACACGATATCCACCGTCGATGAGCAGAAGATGACAGAAAAACCGACGACAGCGACGTGCAAAGGAGAATTTGGGATTTAACGGGAGGCTGGCAGTAGCAGTGGAGCTTGGGACGTAGATGGGACCCGATTTGGTGAGCTGCGTGTGAATTTTGTGCGATTCTTGGCGTGCAAGTGCGGTGTGATCGCAGTTCTGTAGGCCTTTTGCAGGCTCCGCCAGCACAAGCGGACGAAATAAGACTTGGGAGTAAACCTAACAGTTGTATTTTGTAACGATATTGGTGGCCCATCTCGGGGCATTGCAATTGAGCCTGAGTCGGCTTTCTTAGCGAAATCTGTACTGCGCAGACGTTTGGCCTCGTGATTGGTGCCATTGTCTGGCTTCTTGACGCCAGCGGGCGATGAAAGAAGGCCGCAAGCACCGGTGAGCTCCAGTTGCAGTAGCTAGAGTGGGCGGACGCGGGTGGAGGAGCTGCAATTTACTTGAAATCCGACCTTGCAAGCAGCCCACGAGTGCGTGGGAAAATCCGTCGGGCATGCACTGCTTCGGCAGGACCCTTACAGCACAAATGCCAATACGAGCAGAACCAGAAGCGCGGCGATCAAAAGCCCTATGCAGCAGTCGTTGTATTTTTCCTTGTTTTTCTCGTAGACCCACTCCAGCTGTCGCCTGCCGCGCGACAGCTTGCCCATGACGCTGTCCATGTTCCCGTCCATCTCGTCCAGAAGCATGCCCTGGTCCTCGAGCTCCTGGCCCATCGTGGACGCCTGTAGGTGTAGATTTTGCATGCTCTGTTGGATCGTGCTCAGATGCTGGTCCTGTTCCTGCAGCATTTCCTGTTGCAAAACGTTGCTGCGGGGGTCCTGGGACTGGTCTTGCTCAGAATTGTGCTCGTCGCTGGCGTCCTCGTTGTCGCCGCCCGCTAGCGACCACGGCGCGCGGGGGCTCGAAGCTGCGACACTCTGAGCCACTTGCCTCTTCAATTTGGCCACGTCTCGCTTCAGCTCTTGCATCCGCGTTTCCCGCACCACCACCTGTCCATCTTCCACGTTACCGTCCCGCTTCATCACCAGTATGCTGGAGTCCAGCTCCCGCACGGACTCGTCCAAGTCTGCCACGATGTCCCTTATTTCATCGTCTATTTCGTGGCCGGCCTCTAGGTATTGTATCAATCGATTGGTCTGCTCACGGCTATCGCTGAGCACTTGATCGAACGGGTCTTCCATTGTTTATGGTGCTTGTGTGTGAATGTGGTGGTGTGTAAGTCTTAATCCCGAGTGATAAAATCACATAAACAATATTCACAAACAGTGTGCTATACATCTGATTATCTACAAGTCCAAAGCTATCGCTAGTGAACAGATGGACGTGGCTTCCAGTGCAAAGCAGGAATCACCGCCACAGCTTCCGGAGGCCAATCGCATCGATATTGGCGAGACCATCGGTGGATCCCAAACGCGTAAATATCTGAACGAACGAGTGACGCCGGCGTTGCTTCGAGGTATGCGATTACTGGCCAAGGACCAGCCTGAGGATCCGCTGCGAGCTTTAGGCGAGTATCTCATCCAAGAAAGTCAGCAGCAGGCATCGTCGGTTTCTGCGGAGTCGAACGCTTCATCGAACAATTAGCTCATCATTATACATGCAAAATATAATGTACACAGTATGTAGATGTACACTCGCTATATACACCGGCTCTCAAACAAACTGGTAATCGTGCCGGCCTTCCCAGTTCAAAACTTCTCCTCTTCCAGGGCCTCCGAGTTCATCATTTTCAACCCGCAGCCGCACGCCACGCTCAGGAGACCCAGCCTCCATCCGCGCCATAGTTCGTGGACACGATGCGTGTCGCGTAGCGTGGCCGATATGCCTTTGTACTCTCTTGGGATGATGATCAAGTCGTCTTTCACCACGGGGAATGGATCGTTTGTTTTGTTCCTGAGCAGGTATGCGGTCTGACTGCGTCTCAGAAGGTTCTCCACAGGGAGCCTGAACAAGAGTTCCAACATCTGCGACAGCAGCTCCAGGACGTTGTACCACATGGCATGCGAAAATCGGTCGATTTTGAACCGGTGGTAGAGCAGGATGCCAGTTAGTTTCGTGAAAACGGTCGAGGTGATGGAGTGACCAACATTCAAGGCCAGCATGTCCAATGGTATCGAACTCGCATTCTGTGACCACGACCAATGGCCCAGCAGGTCGCGCAAGCTTCTGTTGCCCACCTTGACGGACGTTATGGTCAGCCGTGTCCGGATCAGGTCCACCGGCAGCAGAACCAACCCTGCAAATACGCTGGCGCCAATCGTCAAAAAAATCGATTTCCGCGGGTCGCTCGAGTGGACAATGTCAATGAAATAGGGGTCCGGGATCTGCAAAAAAGGACTTAGCAGGCCGGTGAACCAGGCGTCCAGCGTCACTGATAAGAAGTTGTAAATGAAAGTGGTGTTGTTGGCTCTCCAAAGACCGCGGCTGCCTTCTTCCTCCATGATAGCATTGAGCACATCCATAGTATGCAAAGAGTCTGGTTGAATCTTTTTCGTCAGCGTGGGGGATGTGTGGTCGTGCTCGCCGTGGTCGGTGTGTTTGAGGGGCAAATGTGGAGAGTCGGACCAGTTGGGGCCCTCATCCAAGTGAGCCTTCGGGAAAAACTCGATTGCCTCATCCGCATCCTCCTCTTCGTCGTGCTCAAAGCCATGCCCCGAGGTCTTGTTGATAGCGGTATCTTCCAACTCCAAAGAGATCTTCGATTGGTCATTGGGCTTCGCGAACTCAAACTCACTCACTTGTAACAGCAACCGAGACACTTCAAAAGGTTGCTGAACCAGGTGTCTGACGTAGCGTCGAAGGAACTGTTCCAACAAATTCGTGCCAATGCTCTTCCAGGATCTCCAGTTTAATAGGTCGTTCCACTCCATATTGCTCAAGGTTTTTTGTGCTTCTTCTGCCGAATTATCAACATCGCGTACTTGGGTTTTGATGCCTGTCGTCAGTCTGGTTAGCATTCCAGGCTCACTAAACGATTTGGACAACTTGGACTTGGACTGTGACATGATGTTCAGCTTCGACGCAATACTAAACCCATGGCTGTCTACCACACCTTGGTCGGGCTTGAAAACGGAGCTGTAGCCGGCATTGAACGTGTCCGGATCGAAATACGGCCGCAGCTGTTGATGGGTATTGACATCGTCCATGATTGCCGTGTCGAGGTCCGTAGCCGATGGTGCGGGTGTCGCGACGGTGCAGCAACTAGTTTAATGAACTGGACCCAGGGTATTTCGTCACTTTCAACGACAGACCGGGCTCCCGAGCTCATTGGGCATCGGTCGCGGTAGGCCAATTTCCCGGCCCGCTTGGCTGGGGGTGGCTCTTCCGTGCGCGCATCGAGGAGGCAGCGCTAGCCGGGCCACCCAATGTTTGTCTCGTGGAGGGTTTGAGTCTCAAAACCGCATGGCGGGTTTCGCCAAACACCTACTCGCCGGCGACGTTTTCATCCGAGTTGTTGGACGCCGCATAGCCGTGGTACGTGTCGGCCACATTGAACGACATCACCCGTCTTGTGTTGGGCTGCCGCTGGCGCAGCATGTCGGTGATTCGGCTCATCTTCGTCGCCGGCACGCCCGAGCCAGGCCTGGGCGGCAGGAAACTGGCCGCCGACACCGCCAAGTTCGTCTCCACGGCTTTGCACTTGTCGAACAGCGCCTGGTCGATCCGGGAATCCAGTTCTCTGTACTCCACGCGCAGTTTTTCAAACTCCCGCTGGGCGCTGGCGAGCTTTGCGTGCACAAGTTCGCAGCTACCTTGGAGCGACGACAGCTCTAGCTGCTTCTGCGCTATCTGCTCGTCCAGCGCGTCCAGCGATGTGTGTTTGCGCCGAAACCACTCCAGTTCTTGCCTCTGCGGCTCCGGCTCCGGCTCCGGCTCCGGCTGCGGCCGCTGCCGCTGGTCGGCGCTGGGAAGACGCTCCAGGAGCTCCTGGAGCTTCCGCACGTCTTGTGTCGAGAGCAGCAGGCTCTGGAGATGTTTGTTGTTGTTGGCACTGCGGGTCACCAACCCGTCGAGATCCAGCTGCGTTTGCGTCACTTTGGTGTCTACCTGTTGCACGTGCACGCCCATCTCCTCGTGGCTTGCAACCAGCCGCTTGACCCCCACCACAATCTCGCTGATGTCGTCCTGGTACACCGTTGTAGTCCTGGGCGGTTCCGCGTCCCTTGTAGCGCTGGAACCACACTTGCGGCCTGCGTTGGCGGCCGAAGTGCGCTCAATTGCGTCGTCTTCGCCTGCGGACGGGCCACTATTGCTGTCCATGCCACCGTTGGGCGAATAACTCATCTCAGCCACGCGAGAAACCCTCCTCGATGTGTCTTCTGGTAGGTTGTGGGATATCATTACCGGTAATACTATGTATGGATCACTTTATATTAGCCAGGCCGCCCTGCCACACGTGACTGCTCGAAGCCCTAGCCCCCAAGCCCTAACCCATACACCACCGATTTTTTTATCATTTGACTTTTTTTCTTGAAAGTTGAAAAAAATGATGAAAAATCGAAAAAATAGGATCTGAAATTTAGCGACCGAAAAAAGAGTCGCTTGGGTCGGGCTCGTCAGCGCCGCCTGCACAGCGTGAAACGCTAGGCAGGGAGGATCCGCGCCTCCTGGACAGGGCCAGGGCGCCTCGGTAGCGGGGCTCGACCCTCTGTTGGACCGGGACTGGCCGTCAGTCCCACTAAGGCTAGGCTCGGCCCTGGCGGGCCCAGCCTAGCAGCCCCGTTGGGCCCTCTGCCTAGCATGCAGTTTGGCCTCGTCCCAGCAAGGTGGTCGTTGCCCACAGCTGTACGAAATTTTGAATGATATACCTATAATTCCAAAAGACCCCGTTTGATCTTCCAATTCAGAACACACGAATAGTAAATCCTCCATCACCAAAAATGGCTAAGTTCTTGAAAGCTGGTAAAGTTGGTACGTATCCGCACGGAACAGAGCAGCTGGAGTTGTTGGGGACTATCGAACAGACTGCGTTTTAGCATGGCAAGCACGAAGGGTTGGAATCCAGGGCCCATGATTGTGGGGAGCAGGTGGGTGGAAAATGTGTGAAATTGGAGTACACAAGTGTTGGAAGCCCGGACGAGGCCTTGGGATAAGTGGTTGTGGCGACAAGTCGGGGTCAGAAAGTGGCAAGGCTCGGGTCGTCACTCCAGGCCGAAAGAGCGGGAATACGGCCTGCCACCTGTGCGTTTGTTCCCAGTTCTCCAGCGTGCTTTATTATAAGAGTTACGAGATTTTTCCTCTCGTGTGCCGTTCACCCATACTAACGTATTTTTTTTCTGTACAGCTGTCGTTGTTCGCGGTCGTTACGCCGGTAAGAAGGTCGTGATCGTCAAGCCTCACGATGAGGGCTCCAAGGCCCACCCATTCGGCCACGCCTTGGTTGCCGGTATCGAAAGATACCCATTGAAGGTCACCAAGAGACAAGGTGCCAAGAAGGTTGCCAAGAGAACCAGAATCAAGCCTTTCATCAAGGTCATCAACTACAACCACTTGTTGCCAACCAGATACACTTTGGACGTTGAAGGTTTCAAGTCCGTGGTCTCCACCGAAACTTTCGAAGAGCCCTCTCAACGCGAGGAAGCCAAGAAGGTTATCAAGAAGGCCTTCGAGGAAAGACACCAAGCCGGTAAGAACCAATGGTTTTTCACCAAGTTGAACTTCTAAGCTCACCAAACAGCATTGTCAACTTTTTGCATTTGGAATCTTTCAATCTCAACTCTAAATACAACAAAAATCTACTAAGGCGGATCCGTATGTAATCTACACAACAACCACTACCCATTAAGCTTTAACTCGTATCGTCGCTTCGCAAACATGGTGGTATAAGACGTGTGGGGCAGGAGGTGCTGGCGAGCATGGTTCTCGTGGGACCGCTGCGGAGGTTTCCGCGTCCCAATATCAATAGATGATAATTAATGCTTCTTATAGTTAAACCGTATACATGTGTGAAAACGGATCTCGAGAGGACCATCGACACAATGGTGGCCAGGTATCTGTCTACGAGCGCGGTGCGGCCGCTGAGGAGAGCCCAATTCGACGTCAAAGCCATCGTGAGCCAGGTGTCCCAGCATGCCGAGGCCATCCACGCTAGGCAGCTGGTTTCAGGTGGCCAGCTCATCGCACAGCTGAACGCTTTGCCGCTCCAGAACCAGGAAGCCAAGCACCTGGATACGCAAATTGCTGGGGTTCAAACGCGACGGAAGGCCATTGAACGGCAAATCAAGCAGGACAAGACCCACATGCACCAATTGAAGGGCGAATTGGTCGATTTGAAGAACGCGTTCAAGCGTTTAAATTTGGACCTCACCTCGGTCCGCGATAGCATACACGAAACCTGCCTCTCTTTGCCCAACCTGGTCGGCAAAGATGTGCCGTTGACTGCGCCGCAGGAAGTGTGCAGTATCAATCCGATGCCCAAATACGTGGCAGATCCGCAACGCGACCACCACGACATCATGGTGCGCAAAAACCTGGTGGACTTCAAGTCGGCCGCTACGGTAAGCGGGAATTCGTGGTACTACTTGGTGAACGACGGCGCACTATTGGAGCAGGCATTGGTGTCGTACGCCACCAAGCGTGCGAGGCAACACGGCTTCTCGATGTGCCATCCGCCTAGCATTGCCAAAAACGAAGTGATCGATGCCTGCGGTTTCAGGCCGCGCGACATGAATAACGAACAGCAGATCTACCACTTGGCGGAGGGAGAACTCGGGCTCACTGCCACTGCTGAGATTTCCCTGGCAGGCATGCAAATCGACAGCGTGTTAGAATTACCTCGCGGTGTCAAGAAACTGTGCGGGGTGAGTAGAAGCTACCGGGCCGAGGCAGGTGCTCGTGGCAAAGACACACGCGGTCTCTATCGTGTGCACGAATTCACCAAAGTGGAGTTATTCTGTTGGGCCCACCCAGACGAAAGTGGTCAAGTGCTTCAAGATTTGCTGGAGTTGCAAATGAAACTGGTGTCTGAGCTTGGTCTCAGTGCCAAGGTCCTAAACATGCCCGCCAACGATCTGGGCGCTCCTGCCTTCCGCAAATACGACATCGAAGCCTGGATGCCAGGAAGAGGAGCATTTGGCGAAATTACGAGTGCGTCCAACTGTACGGATTTTCAGAGCCGGCGCATGGGCACCAGATTCAGGGACCCCGCTACGGGGAAGACTGCATTTGTGCACACGCTCAACGGAACCGCTATGGCGGTGCCTCGCATCATGGTGGCCATAGTTGAGAATTTCTACGACCCAGCGACAGGTATGGTAAAAATACCTGAACCGTTGGTTCCGTACATGGATGACAAGACCCACATATAAGCCGGGACGCGGTGTAGAGTATTACATGAGTGCCGGCCGCATGAGAGAAAGAACGAAGCTCCACCAACTCGACATCTTACTGTCGTTTTGAAGTTGAAGTTCCCAAGAGCATGGTCGTTCATGACGACCATGCTTTAATAACAGCATCCATCTATTATGGAAGGCCAACGGCCACGAGACGATGAGCCTGTTTTCGAAAGCTCTCTATCACAAGGAGTACAGCTTCGATCGACTCAATCATGCTTCTACTAGCCTTGAGCGATGCGCACATCCCTGAGCGGGCAATCGTACGTGTTTGTTTTTTGTGCTCTCCTCTTTGCAAGAGACGCTACTAACCTCGTTGCAGGATCTACCGCACAAATTCAAGAAACTGATAGGCGTTCCCAACAAGATCCAACAGGTGGTTCTTCTCGGGAACTGCACCAAGAGCCATAGCTTTCTCCAATTCGTAAATCAAATCTCCCCCAATGTAGTGAGTGTCAGGGGAGAGTTCGACAACAAAACGTTAGCCTCCAGCAAGACCTCCAGGGAGGAAATACCACTCAACACCATCCTCAAGCAGGGAGACTTCACCATCGGCTGCTGTAACGGGTACACGATAGTGCCGAAGAGCGATCCGCTGTCGTTGCTGACATTCGCGCGACAACTCAACGTGGACATCGTGCTGTGGGGTGGCACCCACAACGTGGAGGCCTACACGCTAGAGGGGAAGTTTTTCATCAACCCCGGGACCTGTACGGGCGCCTTTAGCGCCGATTGGCCGGCCGCGCAGGATTCCGAGCCCGGGGCGGCGGAGCAGCCGAGGTCTGACGCGGCGGAAACGACGACGCAACAGGCATCTGGGGAAGCTGCACAAAGCGACGGTCGCACCACGCCAAGCGCAGGCCAGACCGAGGATCCCAGCGGGGCCCACGGGCCTGCGACCCAGCCGGAAAACTCCGATTCAGCCGCAGAGCCCAACGCCCACCCCAATGCCGGTGCGGATGACTTCGACGAGGGATTGAAAAATGTCCCCAGTTTCTGCCTACTCGACATCCAGGGCTCTACCTGCACATTATACATATACACCTACGTGGACGACGAGGTGAAGGTGGACAAAATCGTATACAACAAGGGCTGAACGCCGGCTCCCACGCGGGCAATTCAAGCACGGGCGAAGCTGCTTGATTTTGTCAACCTGCCTGAGCCCCCGCTGGGCCCCCAACAGCCAGCGCTTCCCGGTTAGCGGACCTCTTCACTGACGTTGTAGCCCTAAGCCAATGATATCGCAGCTCGTAAATGGCGACTGGTGCTAGATTTGCCAGGCTCAAAAAACTATATAAGGACCTGGTCCATCTGTACTTGCAGAGATTTTCCAATGCTTAAGAGAGGTAAGCGAAAGGCCTTTAAGCCCGATTGAAGGATGGGAGAAGGATCTCCCCAGAAGTACAGGTCGTGAGCGACTCGTTTTTTTGAGCCGTGCTCTTCGAGTGGTTCCAAGGTCTGAATTCTTGCCTCATCAATCCTGTAGACAGTAACTAAGAAAAACCAGCATTTGCTCCTTTACATGATGAACACGAGTGCATTTGGCTCGAGACGTTTTTGTCGGTGTGGAAAAACCCAAGCTACCTTACTATTTTTTTGTCTGATTGGAGAAATGCGTTGCTTAGCGTCTTATTATTACTTGTATATGCGTATGTGAGGGGCCGTCAAACCTTGATTTGCTGGATGCCCTGTTGTAGAGACGCGGAGGCCGCGTCTAGGTCCTGCAGAAGATCGCACTCGAGGTCGTCCTTGAGCTGGCCGCGCTGGAAGTTGGCCGGGTGGAGCTCGTCGGTGTCGAGCACTTTTTTCATGGCGTAGGCGTCTTCGCCGTCGAGATAGTAGCTTTTCTCCACGTCCAACACCTCGAACTCCAGCGTGTCGCGGTACAGGTGCAGGGCAGCCCGGTTGGACTGTCTCACGTGCAGAGACACGTACTGGGCCTTGTACACCTCGGCCAACGCGAACAGCGCTTGGCGCATGAGTTTCTCCGCCAGCCCCATGCGACGGTACGTGCGCATCACGCTCAGCGACGTTATGTGGCCGTTGAGCGCGGTGCCCGCTTGCTGTGCGGCCGGATCGTCGTTCATCTTTGCCAAGACGTACCCTACCAGTTTCTCGCCTGGACGCACGTAGCACGGGTCCTGCTTGGTTGGGGCGTGCGCGGCGCGATGCGTGGTCAATTCCTCCATGTGTGAGTCCGATTCGTCCCCAGCGTCCGTGGTGGTGGCCACGAACGACGCTTCGGGCCATGACAAGATGTGGTACATGTAGTACTTGAAGAGGTAGTTCTCGGGCAAATTGTGCAGGTTGGCATTTTGCATACACAGCAAGTCGTCGATGGTGGCTCTCCTGATGGTGACAGGCATGGTTTGGTGCTGTTTTGATGTAGTTGTTCTCGGTTTTGGTCAACCAGTAGTTGAGTATTGATGAATTTGATATAACATTAATTTTCGCTATAACCTCGGTGACAGCGTCAGCGTAAACAAAGTGCCAGGAGCAGGCGCGGGGCGGCCGGGCCGCCTGGGAGGCGGATGGCGAGCGCGCGTAGGCTTTGCTGAAATGAAGTCGCTGCGAGAACTGTGACGGGAAAGCTTTCTAGGAATTTTTAACCATTAAAAAAACCGTTTGGGTTCCTACTCCGAGGACCGCACGCGAAGCAAGGGGGGGGGGGCGTGAGCGCTGAGTATCAGAACCTAAAATCCCGGCTTCATAAGCACTTTTCATTGCGCGGTCTGACAATGCCGAGGTTTCCTATTAGAAGTGTGTCAGCGTGTGTAGGTGTGATTTGTCGCACTGACATTGCAGATATTTGTCCAAATACCGCGCAAAGTGCTCGGAGCTGAACTCCTACCCGCTTTTCCTACCGTTATTCGTGGTAAGCTCGCCAAATGGTGGCCATCCGGAACGCTCTCGGTAGCGTGGAGTGGCCTATGTGGGAGCCAGGATGGCCCGTGTCAGTATAGTACAAAGTGATAGTGGAGAGCGGACGACACCAAATCGAACAGGATGAAGTAGCGCAACGAGCGGGTCGGAACCCGGTGCGAGCTGGCTCGCTCGGCCCCCATTCCACTCGCTAGCCCGTCGCTGACGCTTGTGGTCCCGCAAAGTGTAGCCATCACTCCCGACGTGCGTCCGGCGAGCTACCGATGGGCAGGTAACTCATGAGCCAGAAACTTATACACCGGCCACTCTCGAACACCTCAACCACCGCGCGCACGGCCGCACTCTGTCTGTCTCTGTGTATTACCTCTGCCCAGCCACCCAGCCACCTACCACTCGAGCGCCCCGACCCCGCCGCCCCATGAGCCATAAGATCATCAACCCTTCGACCTCGGTCGCCCAGCACCCGGCCCCGCAGGGCTACGACTACACCATCGGCCCGCAGCAAACGCTACCGGACCTGCCCCAGTCGATGGGGCCCTCGTCTGCGTCCACCTTCGCCTCCACTGGCATCTCGACTACCGGACCGTCCGCTGCCTCTGCTGCCTCCTCGACAAACCTGGCGTCAGGGCCCTCCGTCTACAGCTCGTCGCTCCACCCGCTTGCCCACACGCAGCAAGTTTCGCTCGCCGCGTACGCGTTTCTGTTCCAGGAGATGGTCGCCCAGGCCCGCAACGCCAGCAAGTCCGTCGCCGAGATCGAGCTCCGCTTGCACCGCCACGGGTACCACCTCGGCGTCCGGCTCCTGGAGCTGCTCAACTTCCGCAGTAGCGTCAACGCCAGCTCCAGGTCCGCCTTCTTCAAGACCAGCACCGCCGGGCCCTCGTCCACGTCGGCAACAGTGTCCTCGTCCGCGCCCTCCGCCCAACTTCACGGTTACCATTCCCATGGCTCTGGCGACGCCGCCGGCGCCACTGCTGCTGCTGCTGCTGCCGCAGCAGCAGACGATGGACACGCCCTTGCCCACTCCATCTCGCACATGAAACGCCGCGACCTCACCATGGTCGAGATCCTCCAGTTCGTCCACAGCACTGTGTGGACCTACCTGTTTGGCCGGCCCAGCGACGACCTCGTCAAGTCCTCGGACCGCGACAACGAGTTCATGATTGTCGACCATGCGCCCTTGCTCACCCGCTTCATCAGCTCGACCAACGTCCAATGCGATTTTTTTGTGTGCGGTGTGGTCGAGGGCGTCCTGGACTCGGCCTGCTTCCCTTGTGCTGTTACCGTGCACTCAGTTCCAGACGACAAGTTCCCCGAGAAGGCGGTGTTCGTGGTGCGGTTTGAGTCGGCAGTGCTCGAACGCGAAGCACTGCGGGCGTGAGGACAAGAGCGAGCAAGCGCGTGAAACAAGAGCGACATGCCTGGCACGAAGAGCACGCGGAAGCGGTTCAGGTTGGCCGAGGGCCCGGCGCCGTTGCAGAGCAAGTCGGTGAACGCGGGCGACGCGGTGGGCCCGCTGATCAAGAAGAGGCGTCGCGCGACGACGCCGCCCCACAACGTCTTCGAAAACGAACACGTCGGCATCCGGTTGGTGGACGCGGAACCTTGGCAGTCGCGTGAGCGGTCGCCTCGACGGCTAAGGTTCACCACCGCCGTGGTGTTGCCGCTTCACGACAACTTGCTGGACGCGGACCGATCCATCCAGCTGGACGACTTTGACGAGCCTCCGAACTCCACGTCGACGCCCAGGCCTAGTCCTCGTCCTGGCAGCGGCGCGGGCAACGACAGCTCCCGCGACTTTGTGGATTGGCACCATTTGGGCCATTCCCACGGTATCCTGGTGGCCTCGCCGGCCTCACAGACGCAACAGATGGCCCTTAATAACAAGTGCGCTGGGTCTCCCGCGGATATGCCCAACGCTTGACGGTTGATGGATTGAGCGGGCCCCGGTATGCCCGACTGACTTAGCTTAAGATTGCAACATTATAGCACCACTATTCGTGAATCCTCTGCACGGACCCAGCTTTACCTCTTAATTGTTCACCAAAATGGCCGCAATCACATTAATGGTGATTTTTGAATAGCTTGCTTCCTGGCGCCAAAGTGCGGGAAGTGCGGTGAGCAATGGCACTCGCCTATTGCATGCTGTGGTACCTGGTGGTTTACCTTGCTCCTCGGGCTTTCCATCGTGAAATCCACTTCTCAATGTGCCCAAGAATCACACTCACGATATCTAAAAGCGCCTGGCGCGATTTACAAGTGTGTGCCGGGTGTGTACCTGGTGTAGTCCTCGAATACTGCCACGGGTATTGCAGTGTCACCAACACCAGTACGATTGAAAAGTTCTGGCTTAGCGCGTCGCACAAACCGCGGCTCTTGAATCGAATTCTTTGATCCACCCCGATCAATGATGCATTCCAGGTGGTGGACTCTCTATAGATCCACATACCGGTGCTGGCATCCAGTGGGCTTCCCGCGCGACGTTATTGTATAAAGTGATACTTTGGGGCCTCAGACCTAAGGTGTCAGCATCAGGATTCGCCCTCACAAAGCGCTGCCAGCCTATCGACCGCTCGCTTCACGCTGTGAAGCGGTTTTGGAAGCCTAGGGCGTCGTTTTGGAAAGTTAAGGCACAATTTTCTAGCTTGGCTACATATATACTTGGAATACCGTCGTATGTGTTTAATTCAATAGTCTGGATAAATACAGAATTATAGCAGCGTTGAAGAATAGATCGGTCGGGCTTGCTAAGTACCCATTGGCGTGAGCGTTTCGACCAAACGGTGTTGATGGATACACATCGAGACAGCTGTAAGTGCAGCGAGTCTGCGTCAACACACCTGCGAAGAAAAACCTGCTGCTTTTCCACTTCGAAATGGTAGCGGGACTGCCTGGGTCTTTGTTCCTAGCAATCTGTCACTTTAAGCGCAACTCGGGTGCGGTTGGTTGCCTTCAGAATGAAATGCGCCCATGCTCAGTGAATATCCGTATTGGACACGTAGACATATCCACATCCCTCTTAGATCCACCTTGGTTACTGGCACCTAGTGCTGGCACAAATGCCAGCGTTTTTAGAGCTTCGGGTGCTGGGTGGCTACCCGACAGCCCTTGGTCTCTCCGGTGATAAGTATCCGTTTGGTATCCGTTTGGCATCCGTTTGGTATCCGTTTGGTATCTAAATTCCAATATCGAGCACATCCTTGCAGTAAAGTTACGACAGCGTAAAAACTCGGCAGAATTTGGCCCCTGCGCAACAAGCATAACGCTATCCTGATCTCTTTCGATTGCTCTCTGGAAGACCTCTGCATTCCTCTTTCTATTGTAAATCCCATTGCCTGGTTTAGTGTGTCTTAAGACAAGAAGCACACAAATCCCACGACGCCACTGGGTGTATCTTACAGGCAAATTAGTTTAGATAGATGGAGGTGCCAACCAGCACCTCTCGCCTTGCCGGGGCTTGCAGGGACGGAAGCACCGCAAGTAGCTCACTTTCCACAATACCGTCGTACCAAGATAGGTCACCTTTAGATGACAGGATAAAGTCAATAACCAATTGCAGATTGTGTCTTAAGGACGGTTGAGGGCGAGCCGCAAGGTGGAGTTCGAGTAGAAGTAGAACTAATGGAACCTACATTTTAGATGGTAGCTAGTCATAGGTAGAGAGAGCGTGATTCAATCCATCCATTTTATCCATCTATCAGGTTAAACCGTATCACGACAATAGCCACACACCTTTAGCCCAGTGTTGGACAGCTCAATTGTGGTTCTCCTTCTCAGCGTCGCTAACAAACGAACACTTGCGTGGGCCGTTCTGTGGACCCAGACCGTGCCATTTATTACGAGCAGCATTGCCGGCCCAAAGATCAGCCGCATCTCGAGAAGGCTATGTTGCTAGGCCAAGATAGTAAGCTGTATAACTGAAATCAGTGCAAATACCAGCTTGAAGTCTCCTCATGAAGAGAGAGAAGAATAAAAAATTGGAAATAACGACAACTGCAGGATTCGAACCTGCGCGGGCAGAGCCCAAAAGATTTCTAATCTTACGCCTTAACCACTCGGCCAAATTGCCCTATTTCGAAAATTGACAGTGCAAAAATAGTCACCATAGAGTGCTTTTCATCACATGCTAGCCGTTTTCGCTATATTTTGCATTATTAACACTCAATCCGATATCATAGCACCAACCAGCGTTGACGCAACCCAGCCATGACCGTGGCCTCAAATTTGCGTAGCAGGGCCCATACGGGCTCGAAATCCATGGACACAGACACTCCCAGTGAGTTGACGCTTCCACCAGAACCAGATCCCGACACACCCCAGGTGCTGTTCATGAACACGCACGACGTGGGGAACAGAACCGGCCATGTACCACCGAGTTACTACCAAGTAGCAACTCCAAAGTCACCGCATGAACTTTCGCTTGCCGACGAGCTGGAAGAGGAACACCGGGGCTCGACGTCACACTCGCAGCATTGCGAAAGTGAAGAAGCCGAACGTGGCAAGTACGAAACGGCCAAGCGCGAGATCTTGGAGTCTCTGAACTTACACATATTGCTCACCAACCGGGAACACACGGATCTCAACGCGGAACTGGGCCGTGTGGAGGCCCAGATGCGTGTGCTGGAACATATGCATCGCGATCCTAAGCTCATCGAGCATGTGGAACAGCATCAGGAAGAGTTGTACAACCGCCACCGCGAGCAGTTTCTGCGTAGGAAAGAGTGGGAAAGCATGCATGGCGTTGCGAACGCCACAACCCCCTTCGATGTCAGGTCCGCGGGCCTCACAAGCACCGACAATACCCAAGGCGAATATTTTTATCACACGCGCAGCAAATCTACCAACAACATTCACAGCCAGTACCAATCGCGACTGCGACCCGCTAACCTCAACAACGTGGGGAAGCGGCTGACTGGTGACAAAGGCTTGCAACCTCGGGAACCGCCATTGGCCGAGAGCACTGCGGGCGGCGATTTAGCCACTACGCGGCCCTCACTCTTACCTCAACCTCACAAGAGAAACTATAGCAGTTCGTGTTTGACTAGTAAGAGCGGAGTGGTGGGCTCTAACGAGAAAAATGAGCCAATTTTCAAGAGACCAGATGGTATACTGGTCATTATAGCATGTTCATTCTGTGAACGTAGTGGATTTACGTCGGCTCAAGGCATTGTAAATCACGTCAGACTCAAACACGCCACGAGCTACCCGAGTCAGCCTCTGGCGGTACTGAAGAACCAACAGATTCTGCCCGAGAATGATCAGCCCCCGGAGGTACTCTCCCAGTTCAAGGAACTAAACTTGGATCCCGCGCATGAATACCTTCCGCACGTTATTAATATGCAGACAAGTGGCCAGGTAGCTGGTCAAAAAGTTCGCAGCAATAGTGTTCGAGAGATTTCACCCCGCGCCACAACAGCTACTCCAACTGAGGCGCGCCTAGTTACGTCCAAGAAATCCACCAAGCATTTAAAAAACCTATATCAGAAAGACGATTTCAAAGAAATTGTTGAATATGTGAACGAGGCTCAAAACGACCTGGATGCTATACTAGGACAACAGTCAGACTTGGAAGAGGAAGGTAAGGATGGTAATGATAACGATGATGATAACGAAGACCATGATAATGGTGAAGTTAATGACAACAAGGTGAAAGTATTCACCTCTGGCGACGCAATGTCGGGAGAAAGCAAGGAAGCCTCTACAGATGGATTCCTTAAATCAGAAAGCCCCATCGAAACCAAGCGCAGTGTGTCTCCGACCGGAACCACCAACAGAAAACGGTTTAAACCCGCTGAAAAAAAAGTAAGGCCCGATGCCATCGCCTTCATGAAAGTGCCTGAGCGTGATAAAAGATCTACTCACTACAATCTGCGCGCGAAGTCTAAGCTTCGGGGGCACAATAGATACGAATGAAATAATGAAATCATAAACCAATATATAAAGAACGCTTTTCACTTTAGGTTTCGCTTAAATTGACCTTTCATTTTCGTAAGTCTTGTTTAAATTTATGCGCATCTTGTAGAAACATCAGCATATCGACAACGAGGCACAAGTCATCGAAACGCAAACGAATTGCCAGTGAGCTGTCATTCCGAGCCCATGCTCAAAAATTTTTCATTTGTGGCTTGTCTCGGCCGCAGGTATGTCTCGGCCAAGGCAGAAGGTGCCAACGTCCGATGGTTTTACGCTACAGATATTCCGATTCGCAAACCTTTCGAACCTGACTATTCAATCGGCGACAAAGAACCACAGAAATTCATTCCATTCTCCAAAGATGATTCCTTGCGGCTTGAAAGGATGTTCCAGTTGCAAGGCTCGGGGGGACCACCCCACGGAACGCAATTGAAGCCTATTCCAGTGAATGAAGACTTCCTGTTCGAAGTAGATTTAGCAAAACGGGAGATAAAACCTGCGTATTGGGAAGGACCAGTCTATGAGGTACGACGTGGTTTATGGTTCACGTCCGAGCATGTGCCCATCAAGACAGAACTTGCCTCGGAGCTCGAGAAGCATCGCCAAGAACTCTTGGCCGAGAAAAACGATCAGACATATTGCAAGCAAAAGCGCAACCTGAGCGAACACGAACACAGAGATGTTTTCAGCTTGTCTAAGAAGTACAAAGAGGGTAAAAAGGTATTGTACGCAGACCATAATACTGCTTTTATTTTGCCGGACCTTTATGGGGGAAAACTTCAGCTAAACTGGCTACGAAGCCACTTGGCGCAGGCCGTTCAATTTGGAGCCCACAAGGTGGTAAGAGGGGTTGACACGGAAAGCTCTTTTACGGATGTTGTGAAGCACAATGTTGAGACCGAGGTCCAAGATACTACCAAGAGTCTGGGGAAGGTGACAGACCTTTTGAACTGGCAATTGTTAGGCATGCTGACCGGATTGAGCTCTTCCGATTCCTCGAAGGAAGCTGAAAATAAGGTTATGGAAAGTGAAATAACAAATGATTATGAAACGGAGAAAAAAGAATGGCGATCAAATCACAGAGAGGTTGACCATTTGGTGTTTTGCATTCACGGCATCGGCCAAAATTTGGGTAAGAAGTATCAATACGTGAATTTCGCCCATACCGTGAATGTGCTCCGGGGAAATTTGAAGAAGGTATACAAGTGCAGTGACCACTTAAAGAAAATGAGTAAGGAAAGCGGCCGCCCAGATTGGGAGGAGAACTGCCGAACTCAGGTAATACCAGTGACATGGAGACATAGGATAGGATTCAATACTGATGACTTGGAAATTAATTCCGAAGATCCATCGTTGCCCACTTTGAGCGACATTACCGTCGATGGTGTCAAGCCGTTACGCAAGATTCTGGGAGATGTGGTCCTAGACCTGCTGCTCTATGGGGAGTCCCACTACAAACACAAGATTTTGAAAGAAGTCACAGGCCAATTGAATTACCTCTACAGCTTGTACAAGGCTAGGCACCCCGATTTTGAAGGTAAAGTGCACATTTTGGGCCACTCGTTGGGAAGCCTGTTGATATTCGATATTTTATCGAACCAAAGTCAGTACCCACTGGATTTCGAAGTCGAAAACTTCTTCTCTCTTGGTTCGCCGGTTGGAGTTTTCAAGCTGATCCAAAAAACAAAAATTGGCGACCCGAAGTCGCTACGTGCGTCTGGGAAAATTGAAAATCCTCAGTGTAAGAACTTGTACAATATTTTTCACGTCTGTGACCCCGTTGCCTTCCGGATTGAACCTTTGATTGACAAATCGTTTGCCGAAGTGCATCCCGCTTACGTGCCACATTGGGCCGGTAACGATATCACTTCCAAAGTCTTAGAGCTCGGTGGTAGCTTGATATCAACTGACTCTAAGAAAAGCTCCGCGACTCTAACACTGCCAGATCGAAAGGTTCGATTACTGAATAAATTAAATTATTCAGGCAGAGTCGACTATTCTTTCCAGCCAAATTTCTTAGAGGTCGACTTGATATCTGCAATTAAAGCACATGTCAGTTATTTCGAAGAGATGGATCTAGCGGCGTTTATTCTGAAGCAAGTGCTGGCCAAGCAGCGGTTGGTTGATACTGGCATCATTGCCCATAAGCGGAACGCCGTGGAAACTGACTAAAATCTTTCAGAAAAGCCAGGCGATGAGCAGGGCCCATCCAAATTCAAGAACCACAACAGTAAAACCACATCAACACTTGGGCTTCAATCCAGCATGAAGTACATTATCGAGCACATGGAGCAGGGCTTCAGCGAGTGGGTAACTCTGGAGTACGCCCAAATTATAAGAGACCTAGGGCCTTCGAACTTGATCCTTTCTTCGCTACCCGAGGGAACTCAGGAATCGGACATCCCATCCAAGTTACGCGAGATGGGGCTGCAATGGACCACAAGGCCTCTGACCGAGATTAACGTAGCCTTTCCCGAGCTTCCCAGCCTGAAAGAAAAGCGAGTTTGTCTTTTGGATCCTCGCGCGAAGGAGGACCTCCAACCTCGGGATGCAAACGACTTTGATTATTTTGTTTTTGGTGGAATTTTGGGAGACCACCCCCCAAGAGACCGCACTACCGAGCTTCTGAAAGCTTATCCAGACCTTTTGGTCGGAAAGAGACTTGGAGACAAACAAATGACCACTGACACCGCCATCAGAACCACTCAGCTAATCATCGAGCGTCAAAAGGAGTTTCAACAGATCGAGTTCATCGATTACCCTGAGTTTCGATTCAACAAGAATGAAGCTACCGAGATGCCATTCAGGTATATTTTGAATGCCGATAACAAGCCAATTTTGCCCGAGGGCATGCTCGAGCTGATCAAGAAGGATTCTGAGCAGAGCTTGGACGATTTGCTGTGAAGCATTCATAACAAAAATATGAGCGTGTAATGTCTACTTAGAGCTTAAATTCTATTTACTCCGAAAGTGCCGTGACCTAACCGACCGGCAGAAACGAAACTCAAAACTTCATTGTTTTTCCGACTGTGACAGGTAGTTGTCTAGGAGCTTTTCAACGTCCAAGTCACCAGAATCCTGCGCTTTGGAAGGGGTTTCGCCCACTGCTTTAGTAGAAGTTTCAGACCCAGAAGATCCCATCATTTTATATGTGGCCCCGCCAACAGTACCAACGATTGTGGCCAAAGCAAGGATGTGTGGTTGGACGGTTCTACCAAAAATAGTGTAAGCAGCACCCATTGCGAGACGGTGTGTGTCTGTGTGTGTATGTGTGTGAAACTCTATTTAGGGCCCTCACTCACTCGCCATTTATTCAATCAAGGCACGCATAAATTGTGTGTTACGTCGATAGTGATCCCTGATTATAAGCACTTCGGACCTCGGTTACAACAAATGGTAGCTTGTCAGCTCCTCAGCTAACTAGAGAGCAGCACGTTTCATGCAAATTCATAGTTTAGGCTGTCATGAATAACATATCCAGCTTTTTTTTTAGCGCATTATCTATATCTTTTATTTCGAAGATAATTTAATTCCTGAGTACCTTGCGGGGGCAGGAGTTAGTAGGGGTATGACACTTTTTTGAACTGCTTGACTAGAAATATCAGCTATAGGCGATATTTGCCCATCTAAAAGCAGTTGTCTAATGTTCTATATCACTTTGTACTATCGTGTCATCGCAGCAGTGCTGTCAGTAACAAGCCAGCAGTGGATGCTAACTAACCGAGCAGGAGGATGGCCACTTTTAATCAGTCACAAGCGTTTTCCGTACCTTACTTAGAGAAGTAAAGTGACGTCTGGGTGTAGAACAGAAGTTCATTGCTCTCGGAGAGAGGGCAAATGCCAACGGTCTTCAGGTGTCTTGATCACCTAAAGATGTTTAACCGCTATCCAAAATCATGGATATAAATGGGTATATACTCATATCTCAGGTATCCTTACTCTTATTGCTATGTGCTTATATCGTCTCTGGTTCTGTTGCTGTTAACAATTGTTTTGGCCAAAGAGTTGAACATACAACCTCTCGAGTTAACAATTTCTTCCCGTTGGGCAACTTTCAGAGAAAAAGCTCAAACATACTGGTTAAAGAGTGGAGTGTTCAGTGATGAACACCAGTCACAGCGCATACTCCAGTAAGATATTGTTGCAAGTAGGAGTTCTGTAAAAGCTTCGATATTTATCTTATGGACGCTAGCACTGAACTGCCAAGGGCGTAGCTCTCACCGACTGTGGTGTCGGCGCCTTAGGCGTAATTTAAGTACTGCTCTAATCCTTGCAAACCTTTCACAAAGATTCGGCTCTCTTTAGCTTATCACTGAAGTTATTCACACTGAAGAAGACCAGTCTTCTCTACCTCAGTGGTTTATGTCATTCATTACTTGATCCGTAGTGTTGGATCCAAAAACTATAGGCATAGCGCAGTGTTCTTCTTGGTCAGAATGGCCACTTAGAAAGTATTCTTCTGTGACACACTGAGCTATCACAAGATTTGAGAGAGTTTCTACCACAATACTTGGACTTGCTTGCGGAACACCTTACTATAGTTATTTATATACATATATATATGGACAGCCACTGGCCTAAGAATCAAATAGCTGAAAAAGCCATTCTGCCTCGTTGTCAAGGAGGATTTTTCTCATCTCTTCTGTGGACTCACAAGCTTTCATGAACCATCCTCTAAATTTTGATTGCCTTAGTGTTCCTTCCCATGCCAAGCCTACTGCATCACCGTTACAGTCAACTTCTACGCCACTTCGAGAGTCGACAAAAGATTCGGACCACTTGATTCTTTGCAACACCAGTTTGGAATAGAAACGACAGTTTTTCTCGGAACCAATTACAACAAGAATTCCCGGTCCTTGTTCACCTACACGTAAGCAAGCGCCAGACAGCTTCAATTGGCGACTATTCGTTGTCAATCTGTACCTTATTTTCGGATTTCGCAGGCTGGAAAATCGAAATACTTTGCAGTGCCACTCCGAAGCCACATCTCTTTTGAGACTATCAGAGCCGTGCACTTTGAGGGCTTGTTTCCGCTCTTGCGCATCCAAATGTCGACGAATGTTAGTCTCGACGTGCTTTCTGTGTCTCTCCTCAACCTGACTTTTTACAGTCTGTTCCCAACTTGTGGGATCTGTGATGTTTTCAGTATTCTGGTACACGCTCATCATGTTGCTCAGCTTCACCTTCGGTTGAGGTTTCGGTTCCAGACCAATCCGTATCCTTTCTTCGTGTTCTTCTCTCAAAAGCTTCCTGCGGTTGCGCCGAATCTTCTCTTGTTCCCTCTTCACAAGATAGATCTTAGGCTGTTTAATTTGCCCATCGGGGGCTTCTTTTACCGGAACTGGGTGTTGCACGTAGCGAAGACTGGGAGGATCCTGCCTTTCACTTTCATTTTCATCAATGTCGTCCTCCGATTCTTCTGATGATTCCAATTCCTGTAGGTACTTCTCCCGCACCTTCCAGGTGTCCAAATTTTGGAGATACGCCGTATCCCACCACTCGACCTCAGGAACGCTGGACAGAAGATAATTCTGTTCCCCAATTGATTCATCTGGCAGTTCCCCAGCAATGATTTTCGCTTTTTTAATCTCCTCATGCTGCTGCCTCAATTTTACTTCTTGAGCCCGTTGGGCCCGTTGCTCAGCAATTTTCTTGGACAAGACACCAGGTTCCGCAAATTTCAGTCCCCTGATATAACGCTTTTCAATTTTTGAAGTATTCGTACCAGACCTTTCGGATGATAAGTAGGGATTATCCTTATGTCGTATCAAGTTGACATTATCTGATAAAAGCGCGGGATGAATCTCAACATTCAGACCCAGCCCTGCTTTCTGATCATGATCATTCATCCTTCGGTTTGCGCCATCCTTCCTTAGAGTGTTCCTTGGTACCATTTCATGTCATGAGGAGGATGCACCTTTGCCCATCTCATATTTGATGCGTTTCGATGCTTGAACTTCCAGAAGTTAAAGCCTTTAAAATAGTGCACATCGCACGAAAGAACAGCTCGACATAGATTTACGCTAGGTCCAATAAACTACATCGCTCCTCCAGATATAGCGACAGATCAAAATCCAGCAAATTAGCACAAGGTTAACAATAACATTTGTCTTAAGACGAAGGAGGGGGTGAATTAGAGGACTTGCCAGTATAGTACAAAGTGATTTATACAATGTGCGCCAGCCTACCGTTCCGGGCGAGGAGGTCTGCTAATTCGTTAATTATCCCCCATATACGGTTGATTATACTGTTGACAACTACCAGAATAATCAATTTTTCTTTAGACCAAAAAAGCGGGATCTCTTCTTGGCCAAGGGTGGATTTAAAAAGATACCACTGCTTTCACTACCACTACTGTTTCTTCGGCTGGAAGAAAGGCTGTTTCCTGAGCTATCCGGGCCTTTAAAAAAGGAAAAAAATCCTTTACTTTTCTTCTTCATGTCGCTACTAATAGAGCTTGCAGATTTCGTGGGCTTTAGCCCACCGGCGCTACGAACCTTACGCAAGTCCGGCTCCTTTGTCGAGCCCTCACAATTGTGGGAAGTGCGCGGCCGCAGTGTGGCATCAAATGACATAGTTCTATCCATAGGGGTTAAACCAGAAGAAGAGCTACCGTCTTGTTCCTTGGCCTGCGGTGCAAACTTTATTTGTGTGCTGGGTGCACTTATAGTATCTTGGTCGAACGTGATGCGGGGGGCCCTGAGCTTGGCTTTATTATTAGCTCCTTTAGTAGAAGTTGGGACATCCAGCATTGATTTCCGTATAGACGTCTCATTTGCATTAGAATTACCGCTTAATACCCTTTTCAAATCCATTAGAGATTCCGTACTTTGGTTCATCTCATCTAGTAACCTTGCAAACCTCATAGAAGAGTTAATGACAACATCTACCTTCTGAGTTAATTGAGAATCTAAGGCTAGTGAGGAGTTCTTCTCCAAGATTCGTATCTTGCTCTTGACGTTTCGACGAATGGTGAGTAATTGCTCGGTCATAATTGTGTTAGCCGTAGCCGCATCCTTCGTTGAGAATGGGGATAGTGAGCCGTCGTAGGAATCCTCACTTTCAAATGAACTACTATCTAGGTCTTCCTGCAGAGGCGTGGATAAGGACGACGTAGACGTGTCTATTCGGTCGAAAGTTTCAGGCGCAGTTTTGGATCGGTGTAGATTTGGCCTTTCCTCGTTATCCCCGGCTATATTTTTTTTGATCTGACTCTCCAACCCATCCCGCACGCTCGCCTCCAACTCTACCAATTTCCTTACCGGAACCAAAATTATAGGTACAGGAAAAGATTGGCAAGCTTTGTCGATGAGACTCTTTGACCTCCATTTGACCAAGCTCTCTCCTTCTTTCGCCCTTTGTGTACTGAGAACGATCAGCTCAGGAGAATACACATTCATGCTATCCACTAATATTTTTCTGGTCTTGCCGATGACAATCTCTACTGTGATTTTGATTGCGCGATCTTTAGGTAAGATGCACACAACGTAATTTAGGATATTCTTCAAGACTTGCTTAATATGGTCTGCATCGTACCCAGAAGCCCATTCCAGCCACTGTTCATGCTTGTTCTGATTTCGATCGGTACCAGCTTCGGCAGACAACGTTCTATGAAGTGTTTCGGATGTACCTGACAAACGACGTGACCGAGCTGCAGATTTGCTTCTTGGTGCGGCCGACCTGGACCTGGACCTTGACCGCGACTGGTGGTTGGACATCTTAGGTATGTTTGCAATGATCACAAGATGATCAACATCTTGCGCAAAGCGCTTGACGAGCCAATCTAGGCCAACCCAAGTATACTTCCGGCCACTTATGTGACAGACGATCGTTCTTGGCGAATTGGGAAATCCCACTTTTTTGCCGATAATCAACGCCCTTCTTCGTTGTTCTTTGCTCATAGGTGTAGAGCCACTAGTGGAAGATATCTTCACATCTCCATCCTTCGGGAGAATTATGTCTGGAAATACGAACCGGTTGTTTCGGTTTCGAAATCTCGACTCCGCAGTAGCTTTCCGCCGGCGCCACAAAGGAAGCCAATTCTTGTGGGATTTGTTCAGTACCAAGGCCTCGTTGACGATTGTAGGTCTACTGGGATAGTCCGTTCTGGCGACGCGCCCGTGTGTCCCTATATGAAAGCCGTCCAAGCCATTTATCTTCGAATCTATCAGATATGAGTGTGCTTTTCCGCCACTGAGCGAAGGGGTATAGCTGTGATTCCAGCCATCTGCAGATGTTTCGTTGTCGTAAAATTCCTCTTCCGTATACTCCAGAAAATGATCGTCACAGTTGTGATCTTCATCTGTATTCTCGCAAGCTATGCCAGCCAGCAGAGGAACGGTATCGAAAGACACACTGGGGATGTATTCTGACTTTTCATCAAGCTCCGCATGTTTCGTGCCACGCTTACTCATCGCGCCTGTTCCGTTCGTAAGTCCCGTAAGGCCGCTTTAACCAATTAAATGCTCAACCAGTTCACCTGTAAGCCAGCTACAGAAATGATGGATGGGGGAGCAATCTTCAGCCTTCTCAAATCCGACTGATGGGATGTGGATTAGATCTTTGGGTAATTGTAATTATCTTCATCTATCTAAGGATGACAGACACGACAGGCTTTATCTATCTGTCTTGGAAAATTCATGGCATATAACGTGACTTAGCTGATCATCTCAAGGCATAGGTGTAAAGGACATTGAAGCAGGCCTGATCACAGTTGGACGATCCAATCCACTATATCTTGAACGTAATCTCCATTCTTGCAACTAATGGTGAAAACGGCTAAATCGCGATCAAGATATATTTGAGAGTCTGGGGTGTATAGAATCCCATTCTTGAGATCCAACCCAAGCTCTTTTGAAAGCGTTTCGACATTTCGTAACACGTATAGATTAGACTCATCTAGCTGGTATGTCGGGATATCGTCGTATTCATAATTTCTCAGCAGTGGAGCCATAGATTTCCACTGCTCGAGCGCACTTTGGTCAGTAGCATTTTTCTTGGGTGCTTTCCTACCATTCACGAGATTAGTGGGTTCCAAAGCCGTCAGTAAATCGATCTTATTCCCTACGATCAACATGGGAATACCATCGTGGTTAGTATCGCAGATTGTTTCGTGCAGCTTTTGCTTAACTTCCTGCCAATTTGTGATGTCAGAAAGATCCAGTACGAAAATTACAAGATCTGCTCGAAGCAGGTATGTTTTCCACATATGGTGAAAGCGAGCCTGGCCAGCAAGGTCGAAAACTCGAACCATGTTGAGTCCCAAGTGAAATTGTTCCATTTGCATCCCTAATGTGGGTATGGTGTTCTCTTCAAATGGCTTGGACAGCAGTGCACTTGTCAGGGAGGTTTTCCCGGAGTTTTGTAGTCCCACAATTACAATATTCAGCTGATTAGGCACATGCGTTAGTAGTGGTTTTTCATAGGTTAGTGCAAAGGTTGTATTTGTCGCATACCTCTTTCTGATAAAATAGCGAAAACAAGAAATGCCACCATGTCGTTGCCCATTGCTTCAGCCACTCCACGCCAAGCATTCGTGTGACTATGATTGTGGTCAATTCCCTGAAATGGGAGGTTGTTGATCAACTTTAGCTAGATACTACAGAGAGTGTTTCTTGATTTGTATAGTGCTCATTTTTATATTAAATGAATATGCTTATTGGAAACGCGAAATCATCAATCTCATGAGGCAACATAGTTGTCCATGGCGCTAGGTTCCAGCTGTGCAATGTCATGGGAAGCTAGTCATAATGTAGTAATAATATCCTTCTATCTAATGCTATTGCGCTCGTAGAGGGCCAAAGACTAAGTAGTGTTATGCGTGGGATGCAGAGGACATGGGGAACACTTTTTCCCGAGAAACTGCTTTCTTTGTCATTCAAGTCCTTTCTTTTACCACTTTCTCAAACCTCCTGACCGTAGGATATCCTTCAATCAGGCCAAAAAAGTACCACTCAATCAAGAAGTCCGTGGGCACTCTGTAAAAGTCCAGCCTTGGCTTCAAAAAATAGAAGCATTCCGCGATATGGATGGCAAGTGCACCAAGCTCAATGCCGATCAGCAGCGGTCCATTGTTGAAATAGGAACCCACTAGAGGCACGTAGTTCAGTACCGGACGATACCAATAACAGATCATCGGGAAGAATACGAGCACCAGAAAAGCATACGCAGCAACACCTGTTGGGTAGCTCATTTCGTTGATCTGAATGTGCGAAAAGCCTCGCTTGGATGCCGCAAACTTGGCCATCTCGATGAGCCTGGGACGGACCTCTGACCACTCCTTGAGAGGTGGTTCAAACAGGATGACCTTCTCGATCTCGAATTCCACATCAAAGTGGTTGAAAGATATTGTCATGTGTGTGAGCTCAATCTTTTCCAGCCTCACGTTGGCAATTTCGTCTGTCATTCGTACATGTCCATAAGCGAATAAGTAGTCTTCAAGAGCCAGCTTGTGCGACTTGTTCATATGAGCAACAATTCCTTCGGCCGACATTCGAGCAGGGTGATAAAACAGATTGGAAGCGTGAAGATTATTGAGCGAGAGTTTAATTAAGCGATTTCTCGAGATTCGAGTCTCAAGGTGTCCTCAAAGGTGTGCAAACTAATGATAATTAATGATATAGTCCAATTGAGTTTAAAAAAGATTCATTAAAAGAAGCACAAATCCCAGTTATCTCTGGATGGGAAGCCCAAGTCTACAGGAAATTACAGCACAGTGAAAAAGGAGGGGCTCTAACAGTTCCAAAACAGCGCCTTCCATCCTCTTTGAATTCTCAAGCGACCAAGGGGATCATCAGATCACTTCGTACCATTCTGTCCTGAAGCTGAATTCATAGCAGATACCAACACACCGTGCTCACCTCAAATTCTGGTTCATAAGAAGGTCGGTGCTGCTGTATCACTTCAGGTAAGCCTATTTAAATGACTTATCAATCTCCGGTGGCTTGACGGGTCTCCACACTCAAGAAGTCCAACTCGAAGAGTTTTCAATTAAAGCAAAAGCGACCGGATGGCTAAAACTTTGGGCCAATGAGCTCTGAGCGCTAGTCCACAAGTGAGATTTCGGATATTCAAGCAAAAATGGCAGGGCCCACGATGTGATCGAGGGCAAGCCCAATTGAAGGCCAAAAAAGATCGGGATCAAAAAAATCGAAGGTGAACTAGCTGTCGAAAAAGCACTCCGAGCTAGAAGGCAGTCAACTGTCACCGAAGGGTTATGAGCTTCGAGCAGATTCAAACTTGAGCCGAGCCAGGAATATGATGAATATACATCACTATCCACGAGTAACTGAAAGGGGTCTTTGCCATGGTATTACAACTTTAGTTGCTAACTTCGGAAGACATGGACGAAAGAAGTAGTAGCACAGATAAGATATGTCAGGCCAAGCTACCGGTCATTCCGGCAATAACAATTCCCACCACAACCACCACCACCATCATCACCATGGCTCTCATGCGCGGGACCAGAGAATCGGGAAGTATCAGATCATAAAGACACTAGGTGAAGGGTCTTTTGGTAAAGTGAAATTGGCATACCATGTTACTACGGGTCAAAAGGTAGCGCTCAAAATCATCAACAAGAAGGTCTTAGCGAAAAGCGACATGCAGGGTCGCATTGAGCGGGAAATTTCGTACTTGCGGCTTCTGAGACATCCCCACATCATTAAGCTGTACGACGTGATCAAATCCAAGGACGAGATCGTGATGGTTATCGAGTACGCCGGCAATGAATTGTTTGACTACATTGTCCAGCGCGACAAGATGAGCGAGAATGAGGCTCGTCGTTTCTTCCAGCAGATCATCAGCGCTGTGGAGTACTGCCACCGTCACAAAATTGTGCACAGAGACCTCAAACCAGAAAACCTGCTTCTCGATGAGCATTTGAATGTGAAAATTGCGGATTTTGGCCTTTCTAATATCATGACAGATGGTAATTTTTTGAGAACTTCGTGCGGATCTCCAAACTATGCTGCCCCTGAGGTCATCAGTGGTAAACTGTACGCGGGCCCCGAGGTTGATGTGTGGTCTTCGGGAGTTATTCTCTATGTCATGCTATGCCGCCGTCTGCCGTTTGACGACGAGAGTATTCCCGTGCTGTTTAAAAATATAAGCAACGGGATCTATACTCTCCCAAAGTTTCTGTCGCCCGGGGCGTCCAACTTGATCAAGCGGATGTTAATCGTTAATCCTTTGAACAGAATTACCATCCATGAAATTATGCAAGATGAATGGTTCAGAGTGGATATGCAAGAGTATTTGCTCCCTGCGGATTTAAAGCACGACGGAGACGTGCGTCATGAAGGCGATCATCATACGCAGGGCGAAGACGAAAGAGAGGAAGAAGTTGATGATTCGCTCGTGACGACGCTTTCTAAGACCATGGGATATGACCGAGACGAAATTTACGAAGCACTAGAGTCAGAGGAGGACAACCCGGCTTTGAAGCAAATCAGAGACGCGTATTCTTTGATCAAGGAAAACAAGTCACTTATTGATGGACTCAAGAGCAATAAGGATCAAAGTAATGAACTGGACACTTTCTTGTCGCAGTCACCACCTACTTTCGATCAAAAGCCTCTATTGTCACTTCAAGCCTCCACCTCTCACGGCTCGCGGCACCACCGTCATATCAAGAAAACTCAGCAGCGTACCTACGAGTCACCGTTTGTCGATCAACAGAAAGATGAAGATAGTACAATTGCCATTCTGCCTAGCTCTTTGCCACAAATGCATCGGGCCAACATGCTAGCAGAAGGGTCTCCGGCCGCAACAAAGATTTCTCCGCTCAGCACTAAGAAGTACAAGACCAGGTGGCATTTTGGCATCAGATCTCGTTCGTATCCGCTGGACGTGATGGGCGAAATCTATATAGCGTTGAAGAACTTGGGGGCGCAGTGGGCCAAGCCATCCGAGGATGACCTGTGGACTATTCGCGTTAGATGGAAATACGATGCGAAGCAGCCCGCGAATGAAAATATCCCAGACCTCATGAAAATGGTAATTCAACTGTTTCAGATTGAAGCGAACAACTACCTTGTAGATTTCAAGTTTGATGGTTGGGAAAATAGTCAGGGTGAATCTACTCCCGCTTCCAACGAAGACGAAATGAGTACATTTTCTGCCTATCCTTTCCTGCATCTAACTACCAAACTCATTATGGAGTTAGCAGTCAATAGCCAAGGTGGTTAAGAGGAGAACGGAAGCAGAATGAACCATTAAAGTATAATACTCCCTTTTTTCAACAAGCAAGAAGGACATTTATCAATTTTACGTCAACTATTATGGCCCCACTACTACACCGGCCCTATTTCTCTCGGGCCAGCGCGATGTATTCGCTTATGCATCCCATAGTTTTTAAATCGACATAGCTTTCTAATTTTCACTTCGTTCTCTTCGATAAACTGCCGAGGAGCTGTTCTCAAGATATCTGCTTTTTGCTGGCTTGCTCGTATTCCTTTTCCCGTTACAGTAAAATCAAAACCAGCCGTGTAAGAAATCAGATCAAAAGTTCATAGACCTTCAAAGCATACTATACCAAACCCAAGACAATCAGCATTGGACTGGGAGAGTACCTCAAGAGTTTGACAGAGGCAGAAATAGCTGCTGGAAATAAATTGTCATTTTCTGATGCCAAGTCTAATCTTGAGCCAAGAGTCTTTTGACGAGAAACTGCCGTCTTCACTAAGTAGGAAGAGCAGTGCGAGCAGGGAGTTGAAAACGGAAAGACTGAGACATCTGTCTTTAGAAGCTGGGAACGATGAGGATCGTATGCTTGCCCAGGCGATCAACAAGCAGATTAATCGGTCGCGAAGAATTTTGGTACTGACAGGTGCCGGTATATCCTGTAACGCTGGAATACCAGATTTTCGGTCTTCTAGTGGGCTTTATGAGCTTGTAAAGCGCCAGCATCCAGAGGCAAGCATAAAATCAGGGCAGGAAATGTTTGATATCTCGTTGTTCCGTGAAGAAGCTAAAATTCCAGTCTTTGCAACTTTTATGGAAAAACTGTACAGTAGCGCAAGACTGGCCCAGCCAACTAGAACGCACAGGTTTATAGCCCATCTCAAGAATAGGGGGAAGCTCTTACGCTGCTATACACAGAACATCGATGGATTAGAAGAGAGTTTAGGATTGGAAGTGTCATCGGAGCGCGATTGTAACACGACCATGGCCAACCAATGGAAAAATGTGGATGTGGTCCAGCTGCATGGGGATCTGAATAAACTGAGCTGCACACAGTGTTTCCAGACTTATAACTGGAGCAGAGTACTGTCTAGAAGTTTAAGAAGTGGCCAGCTGCCCAGTTGTCCTCGCTGCCAGGACTCTAACCACCAACGGTCTCGTTTAGGGAAGAGAAATACAGGCTCTGTAGGTCTTTTGAGGCCGAATATCGTGTTGTATGGTGAAAATCATCCCAGCTGCGAGTTCATCAGCGATGGACTAAGTATAGACATGGCTCGCGGGCGACCAGATTTACTGTTCATTATGGGTACTAGCTTGAAGGTAGATGGCGTCAAGAAGTTGGTGCGCAATGTTAGTAAACAAGTGCATGAACGAGGTGGTCTAGTGATACTCATCAACAAAACGTCTATCGGGGACTGCAATTGGCATGGCATTATAGACTATCAAATTCTATCCGATTGCGATGCATGGGTGGATCATCTGCAAGGAAGTATTCCGGACCTCTTCAAAACCCAGCAACAAATTGAAAAGGCCAAACAACTGAAAAGAGAAAATAGCGAGGTTCGCAAACGTCAGCGGGAGGAAAGGAAGCTGACACCCCCTCCAACGCCGCGAAAAAACCAGCGGCAGTCTCCCTCAGTCAAATCAGCCGTGTCCCGTACGAGTCCTCAAAATATAAAAAATATTGATTCATCGATACAAACCACCATTTTAGAGGCTAATGATCTTCGTGCGAGACTTGAATTTGATGAAACTAACGCGCGGGCGTGTACCTTGCCCGACTTGAAGTCAATACCATCTTTGCATAGAGAAGACTCGCTCTCGAATGCCACAGACACGACAATAGAGAATGAACTGTCAGACGTGGATGATGGAGCGGTAAACCTCTCAACTCACATTAGCATAGAGAATGCAGCTCTTGTAGTTAGTTAACCAGCTACTATCGCAACTCCAATCAATAATACTACATTAGACCACATTATATTCTATCAAAAATTATATCCTATGCTGAGACACGCACCACTAGCTTTTTTAGTTGGTGATGTGTGATATTGTGGGCAGCAAATTTGGTCCCATTCAATGCTGCTATGAATCGACTGAATGTTTCACCGTTAAGTAATACTGGATCTTTTTTATCATTCATGCTTGTTATCCTTAATGGTATGTCTACATCCGGCAAGTAATCTTTCACCTTGGAATGACACAGTTGGTGTAGCTGCTGATATGACTCCAAGTCTGATAACGAGCACCTAGTAGCAAAGCACTCTTCTTGATAAAGTACCTTCACCTTTATATGCCTTTGACCTTGAGAAGAAGGGGTTGGATTATCATAGGAATCAAAGGGACGTGCTTGAGAAATTGGCGTTGCCGGAGCTGAGTTGGAGGCTGGGGTGTGAATGCTAGTGTCAACTGTGTCAACTTTTAGAGTGATTTCGCTGAGTGACGTGACCCGCCTCTGCCGTATAGTGGCCTTATGTTTTGTCGACCAAATATCACCAGGAGCTGATGGGGTTAAGGAACTGCTGAAATCTGTTACAGGTTCCCATTGACATGCTTTAGAATGCTGCGAAGACTCTCGTTTGACTCTGTAAATGAGCTCTCTAGGGGTCTTTACCAGGTCGCCTGGCCTAGGAGCGAGCCAATCTTCTTCAATTGAAGCTCTCTTTATCTCTTGGGAAATGGATGGCGAGGCGATGATGTCGCGGAGGTATGTGTTAAAGTCGTGAAGTCTGTTTTCGATCTGCGTGGAGCTTACAGCTGTGCATGGCGAGGGAAGAGCTGGAAGTAAGTCTTGAACATTTTGGTGACCACTAACAATCAACTGGTCCCTGAGTAAGAGATGCAACGAGTAGAAATCCTGATAGAATCTTGAAAGAGCACGATGGTGGCCAGACTTCATGACGCAATCGATTCTGTACCAAACTCGATTTTCAGTGATATGAATGGCCTTCACTTGACAACTAGCAATAGCCAATGATCCATCGATTGATATAGGATCTACCAAAGAAAAAGAAGGACGTGGGAGAAGAGCTCTTCGATTATCTTGTGACTCAGCTGAGACATCCTGGCATTTCAAATGCTGCTGATCCAGATCCAAGGACGACGAAAGGGCATCGTTTGACTTTGGAGGTGTCAAAAATTGGTTCGCCAGAGTCAATGTTTGTGAGAATGGTGTTAGGGTATTGTTTAGAGTGAGACATCTAGCCGGTACCAGCCCTTGGCCTAGGCGATATTCTAGACGCACCAATACCAAGTTATTAGGCATGTTTTCAACCAGCCGCACAATTTCACCACGGTGCACGTTCAAAAGCTGGTTTTGGTTTCCAAGTCCTTGTTGAGCAAAGCGTGGTTCCACAGAGCCATCAGCCGAGCGTGTCCCTGGGAAGCCGAAATTATCGCTTTCATGAGGAAGGAAGTCCTGACACACATCGAAAAACACTTGACTGCGCTTAGTATTCAAGCATCCGCTCGGGCTTTGGAAGGCAGCCGTGGGGCTGGAAATGGTTGGCTTTCCCCTGCGCTGGATAGGGCTGGAGCTCGAGCTGGAGCTACTGAAAGACCTGAGGATTTTGGCAATTGTAGATTTTCTTCGTATCAGCAGTTCTTCAGAACCAGAGCGTCCGGCAGTGGAGTTCATATCAAGAACCAGCGTCATAAACAATACTTGATCGAGTAGCTAACTTCGATCTTGGCGAGACATATCGTGAACTGCTCATCGCGGCCGTCTTGAATTAGTTATATATACATACATCTATCGTTATCTTGAGATTTAATTCCACATCCTCGATTGGAATATCTAACGTTTAACCGGGATCTGCAGCGACCCGAATAGACACGCCATTATTTCTGACCAAAAAACGTTCTTGGAGGGATTTGCGTGGCCGTTGGGAAAGAAAAGGCACAAGCGCGCGCCGAATGATTGTCCAACCCTGGCATTGTCTCAGAGCGTTCGTTGTAACCTCGAGAGAAATGCAGGATGATGTACTAATTTTAAGTTAGATAACGCGCACAATCATATCTGTCGGTTACGTTGTTTACATTTTTAATTTCTTTTGACCTAAGCAGGCAAGATGTATTATTTACATCCGGAAATGGCAATACCCGATTGGGAACTTGAATTTAGACCTTCAAGGCCAGAACGACTGAAGCACTGATGGAGGTAAAGATACAGTGGTGGAAATGATGGTGATGCGGCTGACGGCCGGCATACCAACCGAGATGTAGATCTCAGAAATTGATTTGCCATCAAACCAAAAGACTCGCCGCCCGAACATGCACAGGACGGGGCAGCCGCTTTTCGTCAGAGCGTTCACTACTGAGGGAGCTTTCAAGAGCCCATCCCCCTTTTAGATGACAGGAAATGAGCGTTGTGAAGTTGAAGAACGCTGAAATTGTCAAAATAAGAGATGTCCACCGACCCTGTTTCAGCGTCAGTTTGGTACAGAGTGATACACTGCGCGATCACTAGTGCCGACCTACAAAGCAAAGGGCTGGCCTACACTGCAGGTCTTCCCCATGTAGTAACTACCGCTACTTATGTTTCCCCAAAGCGAACCGGGCAGGGCGTGAGAGTTTAGCGACTGTCCGGATTATAAAGGGGCCGAGATTGAATTATTACACATAATAGAATCTTACTTTCATCTACTTCCGGCCATTTGCACCAGGTACACATGAATACAAAGATCGCGTCCCAGTTGGTATTCCAGAAGATGGTTTAAAAATATGTTGGTCTAGTAAGAATCTAACATTTTCCAAGATGGACAAGATTTTTTTCGCCGGCAAAGTCTTATATAGTAGCTCAAAAGCCGGGTAATGGACAGCTAGAAGAAGCTTTTCCCGTTAGTGAGTCCTTTCAGCACACATCTTCGTCCACCGCCGACCGCTATGGCCGATGATGGTAGTGGTGTCTCAGCGTCACCTCTGTCAACCTTATATGCCCCGAAAAAAGTCATACCTCCTGCCATTTCTGTATCTAATCTTGTCGTATATATTAACATACTACTAACGTTGGGCCCAAATCCTCACCCTATTAGGGCGCGTCAGTACACTCCCAGTCGGTAGGTTCATAAGCCTCTGGCTGGTCCAAGAAAGCTACCTGCTCTGGCGTGAGTTCAAAATTGTAGGCTTCTAAATTACCCGTCAACCTTGTTACCGAGCGGGACTTGGGCAGGGGCACATAGCCATGCTGCAGCGACCACCTTATCAAAACCTGGCCCGCATCGTAGCCGGTTTCTTTCGCAACTTGCAGTACGTTGGGATGCTTAAGTTTGTAGCCATGCGTCAGCGGCGAAAATGCTTCAACTACCAGGCCCTTCGACTTGCAATAGTCTGCGAGCTCCTGACGCATGATCCACGGCGAGATCTCGATCTGATTCACCACCGGCTTATGCTTGAGCTCTGGCCACGACAGAAGCTCATCGATGTGCTGTTTGCCGTAATTGGAGACACCGATGGCCTTCACGATACCTGTGTCTACAGCCTCCTGGATAGCTTTGTAGGTCTCTAGCCTGCGCTTCGGTCCACTCAGCGGTGAGTGGATCAGCAACAAGTCGATATACCCCAATGGACTGGCCTTTTGCATGCACTCCTGGATCGCACGCTTGGCATTACTATACCCGTTCTGTGAATTCCAAAGCTTTGTTGTATAGAAAACATCTGCTCGCTTGTTTGTGGTTGGATCTTCCTGGAGCCATTTATCAATTCCTTGCGCTACTTCATACTCGTTCCCATACAACACGGCTGTGTCCAAGTGGCGATATCCGGCCTTGAGGGCCTGGTATACTATTTCTGTCGTCTCACTTCTGGGAATGTCGTAAGTACCCAATCCAATACTAGGCAAAAGGTGGCCGCTTGAAAGCTTGTAGGATCTTGGTACTGGCATGCCAACGTGTGCTTTTCAGTACTTTGTTTACTGATCTTGTTCGAGTGAGCAGTCACCAAAGTGTCAAATGCTCTGCTTATATATGTTGCTGCATTTGATAGGAGGTTGCGATTGTCGGAGCTTTTGCTATCGCGGTGGAGCGATCATCTGATGATTACTGAGTACATAGCTTTCATGATGATAAAGATTCTTGATATGCCATTTACGAATGCAAGTAGAATTAAGACCTATGAGATGACTGATGACAAGCGATAAAGTTGTGCTCACATACTTTCCAGCTGTTTTCGGATGAGCTCGTAAACGGTAAAAGTCACGGCTTGTCCTGGAGCGACCCGCATGACTCTTGGCGTTATTCCTTTATATAGAGCGCGAAACCCCTCCTCTCTTATCAGTTGTTGAGTGATAGCGACGATCCGGCTAAAGCTTGAGCTCTTGGTAGTAGACTTGTCTTTTTGCAGCCTGGTTTTGATGGTGTCGAGTGGTGCATTGGAGAAAGGTCCTACAGCTCCGGAGATCAGACCTATTAGAGAAGTTTCCCACGGTGGAAGCATTTCGGTCTGGTGGCGTTGCTGTAACGAGCGTTTGAGTGTCGAATAGACGGTGAAATTCGCGCCTTGGTTGGTGGCCTGTCTTGCAGCAGTAAGGGAAACCCCGCGGTACAGCGCACGCGGCCCTTCTTCTTTAATAATCACGTAAGTCGCCTGGATCGCATTTTTGTACTTGGCAGTGGCCCTCACGTTTGCAGTGGCGGAGTGCCCTGAGCTGTAGGTACTGCTAGAGAAGGTGGCTGTGGCAGGACCCGTGGCTCCACCGGGACCCGTGGCCCCAGCTACCTCTGCGACCAATGGCACGTACTGAACATGCTGCGCCTGGAGTCGAATTTTGACCACCTCCATCGGGTTCACGACCGCAACGGCTTCCGTGATTCCGGCTCCCACGCCTGCGACAAACGTGTTACCCACTGAAACAACTCCCGTGGAACGGTCTGCCAGTAACGTTCGGAAGAACTCGTATGAGGTAAAGCGAATGGCCATTTTTGGGATGATTCCAATCACAACCGCGCCTAGGCCCTTGTAGAAGGCCAGCAGCCCTTCCTGATACGCTATTTGATGACCTGTCGCGACAAATCCCATGGACTTTCCGCCCGCGGTTCGTGAATTAATCTGCATGCGAACCTTGATGGTGTCTAACGGATGGCAACACAGGGCCTCAAAAAGACCGGCTGTACCGCCAGCGACCAGGTTGATCGCTGGATGCGATGACTTGTTGTTTTGACCCGGCATTGGAAAATAGCGGTCCTTCCAAACAGTAGGCCTGGGGGCTATAAAGAGGTGTCAGTTATTTTTTGTGTCGCTGTGACACCTTGAAATCTACTGACGCTTAGTTGGCGACTTCTGGAAAAGTACACTGCCAGATAGAATATTTCGAAGAACAATTAATGCACAGCTTTTGGCGACCTCTTGTTTTCCGCAAGTGTTTATTTGCGTCCTGTTGATTGCCGTTTGGTCTTTCGTTATAAGCATGCTTCTATCACTTACCGACATACCTCAGGCCCCGGCAGTTGACTTATATATGGGTATTTCAAAGTCTCCATCTTCTCTCCACCTTCTCCACTACTGTCGATGGCTCATGGCTGCGATGATTCAACGCGGTCAGGATTTCTAATGGGTTTAATGGGAGAGTTTTTTTACGATCCATTAACTATTAGAGCCCTTCAGGCCCAGCGACACCAACGACCACCGACCATTTGTGCGGTGTCAGCGAGCTCCACCAGTGATGAGGAAATTGGACAGATGGCACCATGAGAGAGAACCTGCGTCACGGGTCGTACGCGACATTGGAACTAGTCCGCTGCCTCATGAATACCTATATGGATACAGTTCGCCATGCCAGAAAATAAAAGAGTGACGGAACCTGGGAGTCTTTTCGTTTACGCTTCCCGGAGATCACAAGAATCGCGAGGAGCACCTTAACCTGGTATACAGCGCTGATACTGTCGGCGGCGATGTCACTTTATTTTGTACCCTCGAATTAAGATTGACTGCAAGAACTCCATGGTAGGAAGAATGAGAAATTTATAACACCATCTGTGACGCGTAGTGTATTGGGCAGTTTGAAGGCTTTGAATGAACATGCCGCGCACTTCAAGGACGCCTAGCAGATCAGCAGATGGTGTTTATGCATTTATCACTTTGTAGTTATCTGACACCGCCTGTGCCTACTCTTGTTGGCGTAGGTAACGTAGATCCATTTCCACCATTTGCCCCACCATAAGACTAGACCATAGATCATTACAGAATATCATCAATACATAGCCTTATTGGTAACTGACACCACTTGCTGGGTGTGGGCCCACATGTGGCCGAACATAAAAGTGGACCCAAACTAGAATCTCGAGGGTTTGAAGGAATAGAAACCTCAAACAGTAGCTCAGAGGGCGCGCACCAGCTACTGGCCTTCAAACGCTATCTGTTCTCAGCTGGGTTGGTGTGTCTTGCCAAAATTTCACTCGTGTATGAGTATTACCGAGCTACATCTTGCGTGATTACTGGGACTCATGTGAGTTGGATAATGTACGCATATCAGATCAATCGCATCAAAACCAGGCAGAGTGCCGCACCTGTCGATCTGAATAGCGCTTCTCTCAGCAGGGTCTAGTCGAGTTTTTGTTGGAGGATGAGCTACGCGCGTCGAGATTCGGCTGGGACTCTTGCGACAGGAGGCATGATGCATCACCAGAGCAAGCTGGACGTCTTTATTATCAAAGCACACCGATTATTCTCTAATGGCGCGGTGATTAACGGCGAAGATGCCAGTGTGCTTAACACAGCCTCCAGCTCACCTAAATCTGGAGGTCCTGTCAATGGTGCACCCCCCCATGCGGATATGACGTTGTTTCAAAAGCTCTCGCAACTGTACAATGCTACGATTTCCACAAGCTTGTTGGACGATAACTCCACTTCTCCCAAGTCGGCGATAGAACTGTACCAACGTTTCCAGCAGATTTTGAAGGAACTGGAGCTGAGCTACGAGGTGAGCCCGTATGGTAAGTATTTCCGCAAACTTGACAATGGAATGTGGCAGATAAAGGACGAGTCTGAGTTGTTGAACGACCAATTGTGGCAGTTGGTCTCGGTTTCTATCAGCGCTGTATATGACCCCAAGACAGGTCAAATGCTCAATCAATCCAGGCGACGAGTCAACAGCATGGCCACGTCCACCAAAAATTCCCCCAACGAGGTGATCGACAACACGCTGCCGCAACAGCTACAGAAAAGACTTCAAAAGCTGCAACAGGATAGCCGGCAGAACTACTACTCTACATCCCCATCTAGCCCCTCTATGGTACCGAATGGCAATGGCGTTCGTTCCATTCCAAGCAACGCTTCAAGTGGGAGAGAGGCTTCCAATGCTCCTACTACTGCCACTAATAACTTGAATGGCCATCCTAACATGCATAGTATGAACCTCCATAATAATGCCCAAAATATAAATGGTGATATCAGCAGCGGCAACAATGCTAACAACAACGATATTCCAATCCACAGTGGCATGAATCTGAACATGAACCTGGCTGCGAGTTTAAATAGCCAAAACAAGCGCAAGTACATTGGAATGGGTATACCGGACGATGAAGCGGTCGAAGAGCTTCTACAGCTTGCAACGAAGAAAGCCAAGTCAGATTTACCTACTATAGACGAGGATATTGCCCAATTGCAACAGCCCAAGTACAACCCTGGTACCTCAAATGTAGAACTTTACGAGCGGCTCCTACGAGAGAAAGACTTTAGAATAAAGCAACTCGAGGCTGATGTGGAGACTCAGCGACAGGAAACTCACTGGCTTCGGAAAATGTTGCTAGAAGATTTGGCATGCGTGAGAAGTATGCTCCACAAAATGAACCGTGGCAGGCGCTAGCGCACTCAAGGACAAAAAGAACGCTAAGAGCCTACGATGTATTATATGTAAGATAAGTTGTTAACAGTGAAGATCATATGATTCCCGTTATTCGCAATGTCGACCAGCCCTTTCATAAATCAGATTTAAGTCACTTTAGCTTTACACACTACTCCACACTACTCCACGTAGCAAACAAGTGCAAAAAACCGATTGCACGATGTCTTTCAAAACAATATCTTCACATATGGCTGCACAGCTTGACAAAGAATTGATGGGCCCTGAGGTTGGATTCACTCTGGAGCAACTCATGGAACTAGCGGGCTTGAGTGTAGCACAGGCCATCGTGAAAGAGTTTCCTTATGTGCCTAGCAGAAAGTCCCAGGTTTTAGTTCTTGCAGGACCAGGGAACAACGGAGGTGATGGTTTGGTTTGTGCGAGGCACCTCGCACTTTTTGGGTTCAACCCGGTGGTTTACTACCCTAAGCGCAGCAGTAAGACCCCATTCTTCTCGCAGCTGGTCAGTCAATTGCAGTTCTTCAAAATACCAGTACTAGGATCTGACGACCAATGGATCAAATATTTGGACGAAAAGGATACACTTTGCGTGGTTGACGCTATTTTCGGGTTTTCATTTCGGCCGCCAGTTCGAGAGCCATTTGGATCGGTCCTAAAGGAGCTCCGAAAAGTCCAGGAAAGGCTACCCATTGTGTCCGTAGATATTCCTACAGGTTGGGATGTCGACGAAGGTCCACTAGACAACGAAAGCATCGTTCCTAAGGTGCTGGTGTCATTGACGGCCCCCAAACCCTGCGCTAGCAAGATTGACAGTTTAGAAACTCAGCACTACGTTGGAGGGCGCTTTATTCCAGGTTCTTTTGCCAACAAGTATGGATTTGAACCCTTTGACTATGACAAAGGCGATCAAGTTACAAAATTAGTCCCAACGTGAGTCTAAATACAATTGTTAAACGAATTATGATCAAGAAATGACACATTTCTATGCCACACTACCAGATGCTTTTACTTGCTACACCGCTACTTCAGGCCGTACCTTAATGCTACTTCCCTGTACTTCGTTTTTAACCCCAAACGGGTGAGAAAACTTACGATCTAATAACAACAGCGAAAATACGACGACGTTTTACTGAAGTATCTCTATGAAGTAGTCAAATATCAACTATGAGTATGTGGTTGGGGCATCGTACTATGTTTTCTAATGTTGGTTATAAAACTGAGGAATGCTTGATAACTGGGCGTCTATATCGAGAATTATATGGTGTAAAACCGACTATGCTCACGATACACCATGCACAAATACCACGAGCAATATGGCTCCTTCCTATGGATGATATCCATCTTCTGTTAAGGGTTCGCTACCAAAGTTGGTAATCAGCGGCTAATACCAAGTATATAATATAACAATCAAGATTTAGCTTCACCCAACAATCAAAACAATTACACTTTCGTAAAGGAAGCAGACATGCTGTCTAATGAAAGCCGACTAGAAGTGTTCTCTGGTGAGCGGCATAACAACTTTTACTTGATAGAGGTTTTCTCTTCAGTAGCCGTTTTACTTCAGAGCAAGATACTTGGTGAGTAGGGGGGTGATCGTTTACGATAATCCTATCACGACAAGTTGTTCATAATATGAAAGGGTTTAGAAGAGCGAACGTTTAACAGCAAAGCCGTTCTACAGCATCCTCAATGATGATTTCTAGCATAGCTAAAATATCCCTCCCAATCTGTGAGAGCGCTGGCTCTACTTTCTAACCTCGAGATGCTCACTAGGGTACCGAGTGGGCGCTTTGAAAGGCGGTAGTGACTATATTATATGACGCCGGCCAGTCTTCTGTTCTGGGCACAAGTTAGCTATTAACGGTCGTGAGCACGCGCGTCACTTTTCCTTCTCACTTCAGCGATGCGTTCTTCCAACACCACCCAATCATCTAAAGAAGCAAGGAGGGTTATTAGTTATACTTACCTTTTATTTTGAGTCCTCTGTGTGGGATCGTGGTATGGTCGTTACAGGTTTGTTTTCACGTGTGGTTCACATGGCCTTTGTTAGGAGTCTGTTTCTTGTGCCTTAAAGCGTTGGTAGTATGCTGCCACCTTTCTCCGGCTGTAAAAATTTGTGGAAAAGTCGCCTACTTTTGGCGTTATTGATGGCCATCGCATTACAAAGAACTTAAAACTTGGCACAAACACCGTCGGCAGACAAGATACGCACTTTTTCTGACTTGGAAGTGCCCTAATAGTCAGAGGAACTCAGGAAGTAGAAGTGTCAAAAGCATCCAGGCCAAAAACTCGCTCTTTTTGTTTGACCATGGGACACTCAAAATACGACGGAATACGGGAAACGGAGTCCAAAAGAGTGAAAGTTTACGTGTTGGATCAAAATGAATGGAAAGATACGGGAACAGGCTTCTGCGTGGGCAAGTTGGGCGACTCCACGGGCGGAGAGGCCCCCGATACGGATGATAAAGAGGGAAAATTAGCCGCTTATTTGGTGGTTAGCGACGAAGGGTCGCCAGATAAGACCCTCCTGCTGTCGAAACTAGAAGGAAATATCGAATACCAGCGACAGGAAGAGACCCTGATAGTTTGGAAGGAGCTTTCGGGTCAAGATATCGCGCTCAGCTTCGAAGAGAGTACGGGTTGCGACGCGTTGTGCGACTTTATCATATATATTCAAAAGACAACGGAATCCAATATCTCGCTCGTTGCGGTGCGTTCCAACGATGATGGAATGGGATCTGTTCACGAAATTATAACAGGACCAGTGAATTTGCCCTCCAACTCTACCAGTCAGGACGAAAAATTGCTAATGGACGCGCTAAAGATACTCAACGAGAACACGGCATTTGAATACTTGCGTACAGAGACGGTAGAATTTATCCTAAAGGAGAACTACATCTCAACACTGATACAGGTCTTCAATCATGCAGAATCGAAATGTGCTCTCCGACAGCTATTAATCCTGAGCAACATTATCAAAACCCTCACGTTATACAGCAACAGAGACATCTTGGAGCAAATGGTAGATGATGATCACATCATGGGAGTCGTAGGAATTTTGGAATACGACACTGAGTTTCCGTTGAGTAAAGCTAACCACCGCGAATATCTACGAAATACAGGTCCTCATTTTCGGGAAGTCGTGCCCCTCGAGAGTGACAGCATGAAAAAAATCATCAAAGAGACTTACAGGTTACAATTTTTGAAGGACGTTGTGCTGGTTCGCTTCTTGGACGATCATAGCTTCAACCTAATATCTCACGTTATACAAGACTTACAGCATTGCATCATCGAGTTCATTCAAAGAGAACCTTTTCTATTGAAGTTGATGGCTCTTTTTACAGGGAATAATCGATTAGATACTAAGAGAGATGGCGTAAGAATGCTGCATCAGTGCGTCCAGATAACGAAAAATTTGGAGCATTCAGAAAAGTCCAGGTTTTTTAAAGCATTAGTGAGGACCGGATTGTTCAAGATATTGGATTTTGCATTCGGCATAGAGACAGATAGTGGGATCAGAATCTTAGCGACGGATATGGTGATAAGCATTATAGAACACGATATCCTATTGATCAATACGGTACAAAATGAGCTTGTCAACCAGCAAGAGGACTCTGACGAGAGCCAACAAGAAGGCTTCATTCACGATTCTGCCTTCGTCACTCAACATACTGTTTCCTCAGATGTGTCACTCCTATCTATCCTGTCGAAAATTCTTCTGACAGACAAGAATATGGGCTTGAAAGAACAAGTTGTGCAGGCACTCAACACGCTACTCCATCCCGAAGGTTGCATGGGTGCGGAATCTGATTATAACGACTCTGGGAACTTGGATATTGTTATGAACTCAAGTGATGGGCGCGGAAATGGATTAGGCAGCGACGGTTTAAGTGATAACATGAGCTTTCAGATGACAGAGTATTTCAGTAATTTTTATACTCAGGTCGCACCACTTCTGTTTGCTCCCCTCATCAACGACACATTTGGACATACGAAGGATGACATTTTACTCAATTACTTGGTGAAGTTGATTAGCTTTATCGCCACAGAACACGATCGGCGAATGTCACGAGAATTCATCTTGGAAAACAACATTCTCTTGAACATAAGCAAGCTTATGGCACCCCAGTACATGTTGCAGCTGCGATTAGCGGTTGTGAGGTGTTTAAAGGGGATTGTCTGCCTGAATGATGAGTATTATCACAGACATTTGATCTCAGAAAATCTTTACGACCCACTTTTCCAACTGCTCCGAGAGAATCTAAACGAGGACAATATGGCGAACTCTTCTCTGCTAGATTTTTTTAAGATTGTCTCATCACAATGCTTACAAGCACAAGAGCTTCAGTCTCAGGATAAAAGGAATTTTGTTGCTTTGAACAAGCACCTGGTGAAACAGTATAGAAAGGATTTAGAAGCTGTTGACTACGTTCCCTTCACTAAGGAAATGATTCGAATGTGCGAAGAAGGAGAGAAGGTACCGGGAGGACTTGGTACGGAAGCGGAAATGAAATTGGGGAACGAAGGCAAAAGGACATACTCAGAATTGTTGGAGGCAGGCAAAGTGCGAGATCAAAACGTTGACGAAGAACCAACGCTTACATTTAAAAAGGCCATGGAAAAGGTTACCTTTGCACCACCGCCAACATCTCTTGAAAAAGAAGTTCTCAGCAGTAAGGAGTGAAGTCAACTAGCGGTATAGATATGTAATCATAATTTAGCATTTTCCTCCAGGAATAGGCTTTGAGGATACATTTCTCTGCCAAAATGCGTACCTAAGTGCCACATTCCACCGTCAACAATCTGCACTGTTCCAGTAACGTACTTTGCTGCGTCTGAGAATAGAAACACTGTCGAATCAGCAATATCCCTAGTGCTGCCCAGACGCTGCAAAGGAATCTTAGCAACCATTTGATCCTTCGTCGCTGGTCCGGAGAGTTTTGACATACCTTCTGTTCCCTCAATTGCACCTGGAGCTATGCAATTGCTCCGTATCCCTGACACACCAAGCTCGACTGCTAATGCATTGGAAAGAGCGTCAATTCCGGCCTTGGCCGCACCCACATGGCTCTGGAATGGAACACCGTAGTAATGGAATGTCGCTGAAACGAATAGAATGGATCCCTTGTTCAACTTAAGTTGCGGGAGACATGCTTTAGCAGTATTGAAACTTCCCAAAAGGTCGATGGACACCACAGACTTGAAGGCATTGGCGGAAAGTTGTTCAAAAGGCGCGATAAAATTGCCGGCAGCCCCAGCAATCACGAAGTCAATCTTCCCAAACCGCTCTACCGTCAGCTTTACGGCCTTTTCCATCTGCTCGAACTCACGAACATCAATCCCAGAAATGGGGAGCACCGATCCGGGACTCGTGGTGAGCTCGTCCATCTCCTTCGCGGCAGATTCGGTTTTTTCTTTGTTGCGGCCTACAATGGCCGCTTTACAGCCTAGTAGAAGCAATGCTTCAGTCTGAACCCGACATATCGTTCCAGCTCCGCCTGTAACAAATGCTACTTTGCCTTTAAAAATGTCAGCCTTCCAAGGGCCGGTACTGACGTAAGTGCCGGTCAAAGTATTTACCATTGGATTTTGAGTTTGCTTGGCAGAAAGATACAACAAAATCCAAGCTGCCGAGGCTGTTATCGATTGATTGTACCACGGAGCTGGTCCTATGGTTTGTCACATTGACTTATCATCATGTAATTTATGCGGGGCAATACTAAATCAGTGTCTTTTTGGATTAAAGTGATCTATTCGATCCTCCACAAGACGCTCAACCTGTGATTGCTACCCATTTCTTAACTAGAGGCTTCTATAGTTCTGAAATTGTATGTTGAACGCTCAATGTCTCTCCAGGAGCTCTGCTTGCGATAGACTCAATCACTTTCGAGGCATTCCACAGGGTCAAGCTTAATAGCCAGCCTATCACACGGCTAGGCGGAGATTAAAACGCTCATGCTAGACCCATTTCCATAGGTTTCAGAATATTCATGCGATTGAAGATAGTGCTAACCTCCGTCCAACTAGCTGTGAGCTTGAAATTCTGATTGAAATATAGCTGATAAAAACTGGTTCTTGGTCACAACTCGTGCGACTTGCACAGTAAACAGTTCAAGAGGCCTAGGCACACAGAAGATACCAGCTATTTATGAGAAATGTGAAAGAAGATTATTCACTGAAGATGGCCAAACAATCTGAGCTCACCCGCACGCAGTCTTGTCTCCACATTTCTGGACAAAATGCGTCGGCAAAGATTCATTTCAAGTCCGGGGTAAGGTTGGTCAAGGAAATAATTTCTAACTACAGCGACAATTTTGCGTCACAACCGGTAAGTCGAGAGCCTCTTGCAGAGCCGTTGGCAAGTTCAGCACAAATATAGACAGGAGGTTAAGGGTAGTCACTATGCACCATTCTGACATCCTAAACTAATTACATCGCTGCGCACTATCACCGGAACATTTTAACGCTCAAGGTTTCGAAAAGTGGTCCAATCATCGCGCCAAACTGGTGCTGGAATAGCCATCAATTGTTGTCGAATGTTGGTCAATAAAACGTCGATAGTGATCGTCATAATTGGTCAATTTGCTAAATCACTTTCAAAGAAGGCTAGGCTGTTTGGATAAGTTGCGTGTTGGGTTATCGAAAGGATTCGTCTTGTTAAGGTTTCTAACATGTCTGAGGAGTGGAAAGTGAATCCCGACAACAGAAGACGGCTACTACAGCTGCAAAAAAATGGTGGGAACAAGAAATGTGTGGACTGTGGAGCGCCAAACCCTCAATGGGCTTCCCCGAAATTTGGAATCTTCATCTGCTTAGAGTGCGCTGGCATTCATAGAGGGCTCGGTGTACATATTTCGTTTGTGCGCTCGATCACAATGGACCAATTTAAGCCTGAGGAACTGGAACGCATGGAGAAAGGTGGCAATGAGCCTTTCAATACCTACTTGGAAGCACACGGGGTTAGCGCAACATTGCCCCAAAATGCTAAGTACAATAACCCTTTTGCCGCAGATTACAAGGACAAGTTGACGGCTGAGATAGATGGAACTGAATGGAAGGAGCCTGAGCACCCTGACTTTGACCCAGACACCTTGAAAGGATCAAGTGTCCCCGCAACCGTTTCCTCTCTTGAGCCCTCACCTAAGCCTCGCGGAAGTGGTGAAGCCAACAGCTTACAGTCGCAAGGGGGCCCTCTCCAAACCTCAGATTTGCAACGCGAGAAAAACGAGGCTTATTTCGCAGAACTGGGAAAGAAAAACTCTACTAAGTCGGAGACTCTGCCTCCATCTCAAGGGGGGAAGTATCAAGGATTTGGTAGCACCCCTGTGAATCAGCAAAACAAAGACCTTGATGGGTCCATGGCTACACTATCGCTGAACAATCTGCAACGGGATCCTTTGGGAACCTTCACTAAGGGCTGGAATATATTTTCCAGTGCTGTTTCCAAGCACGTCGAAGATGTTAATGATACGATGATTAAACCTGGTGTGCAACAGATGCAGGAGAGGGACCTCTCTGAGGAAGCTAGAAGGGCAGCGGCACAGTTCGGTCAAAAGTTTCACGAAACTTCCAACTACGGCTTTCAAGCATTTTCAAATTTCACCAAAAATCTGCAGGGCCAATATCAGCAAAATGGTCAACAGCAGCCTGCTGCAGAAAGCCAATTCTCGAAACTTTTTGATGGTATTGGCCAAACGGAGGACGGCACTTTTGAAACCAAGTCAAAGAAAAAGGATGACGACTGGGACGACTTTTAATTTGTATAGTGTAGTGACATGGATAAATGTGCCAAATAGACTATGATTTTTGTAGAATTAACTCATTCCGTATGTGATGGTAGGACGGATCACCACACGATAATTAATGTTTAACCGAGATTAGAATGCATTTACAAATGACTTGAAATGTCCAAACGCAAACATGCTTCTACAGAATTATCACCTCTTACATACCATGTATACCATCTACAATTGCTCTCATCTACTCAATATAAAGGTGGTTTCAGGAGTGAAAGCTCAAAGGTCCCATCTCTTCTTGTTGGCATGTTTAATGGTTGAGTTGAATATTATCGTACATGGTGCCATCATCTTGGTCTTTCAATAGATCAGGACTTCCCTCTTGAAGATTGAACAACATACGTGGCATAGTTGACTTAATCGGGATTCTAGCTTCGCAGTTAATGTCAGAAATATTCTTGGATAATGTTCCAAGAGAACTGCGAGAAAAGGTCCTCAATATCACCAATGCAAACCCATCTACCCTTGGCATCTTTGAAGAGCTGTACAACTACGCCAAGAATAACCCAGAGAACCGCAAGAAGTCTAGAAGCGACATTCTGGGATCAGAAGTTGCAGAAGAATCAATTATTTTTCAGTTGAAAGATGTCTCGGTTTTGACGCCGTTTCGCAAAAAGCTCAACTTGGTGTTCTCTATTTCGCCAACAACCGGGCGGCCAACTTTGTCATTGTCCAAGGATATGGCTCCACAACTGACTTTAACAGAACTTGGCCGCAGTATAAAGTTTGCCACATTTCTGCCGTTTCCAGAGAAGACCAACGTGATATACCTCTTCATTAGTTACAGCGGACCGGGGCAAGATCCAAGTGTCCGGGAGGTACTTCTATTAACACTTAATAAAGACGCTACATTGCTTCAGCTGAAGAATTCAGGTCTGTTAGCAAGTGGACTTGATGATTTTGCTCACTGTGTTGAATATATTAGGAAACAGGCCATACTGGTAGGTTTTCGCATATCCGATCCATTTTCTGCTGCTAATGCAGGGCCAAGGCCATTTTACGTCGAAGCTCACCGTGGTACTAAGGAGGGCACACTTTATTTCTTGCCTGACCACGTCATTTTCGGGTTCAAAAAGCCCATATTGATGTTCTCATCTCAAGAGATTGAGTCGATCACTTATTCGTCGATCACTAGACTGACCTTCAACGTCACCTTAACCACCAAAGACGGAGAGAAGTTCGAGTTCTCCATGATTGATCAGAATGAGTACACTTTGATCGACGATTATGTCAAGAGGAAACAAGTTATCGATAATTCTATGAGCGAGGAGAACAAAGCCAAAACAGCACATAAGGACATGAACTCCGCAGAGCAGTCCTCTTTATTGGCCGAAGCTGCGCAACAAATTGAAGACGAAGGCAATATTAATGACATTCCCTTGGAGTCGGATGATGAGGAAGCTGACAACGATTTTGAAGCAGATAGTAATGCATCTGATGGCAGTGATACGGGGTCCAATTCGGATGATGATAACCAGGATGAAGAAGATGAAGAAGACGAAGGAGTTGAAGAAGATATAGAAGATGAAGAAGATGGAGGTGATCTTTACAATGAGGAGCAACACAATGCACAATTGCCTAACGACGGTCAAGATTCTTGGGGCGGAGGTGTCGCTCTTGGTGACCAATTTAACGGTGGCAATGTGAACGATAATCAATTTGGGCTACATAACTCACTTGACAACGCCTTTGGCGGCAGCGATTTCAACCCCCTCGCCCACGATGCTTCATTAACTGTGGAAAAGAATGTTATTGACGACGAAGAAGATTCCGGAGTCGAGTATGATTGAGTTATGAAAAGTGGCAATCTTTTATTGTACTGATCGGGAACTGATGGGAAGCTGTATAGTAGTTAAGTAAAAGTAAATGCATTTAATCGTCCAACACATAATTTCCAAGACTATCCATCTTCAGATTGGACATCCCGCTAGAGAGGGCTTCGACAATCCGCTCATTTTCCTGCTCTTGATCATCTCCCTCGTCATCGGACTCCTCCTCTTCCTCCGATGAGTAAAAATCAGAGTAATCTGAAGACTCGTTGGAATTTGAGACTTCGTAGTCGGAATTGCGACCACTCACTTCTTTCCTCATAGCTTCCGCGGCTTCTTCCCATCTTCTTTCACTCGGATGTTTCTTACTAAAACCGGACGCCTGCACAAGCTCATCTAGGTTATCAACCCGCTTCACGTCTCGATTAAAATCTGGGTATGCATGCTTGTAGCCATCGCCAAAGCCATCTACATCCAGCATGGATTCGTCGACCACCGGAACGTACTTCAATTTCTTTTGGAAAAATCTGCGTATACAGTCAACATCTCTCTTGAAATAGTATTCGGCATCCTGGTGTTGAATCGAAACACATTGTGGAAAATCAATGACGATAAAACCACAATCGCCTGCCTCTGTGACAGATTCTTTGATCATAATGTTGAATTCGTTGAAGTCGCAATGAATCAAGCCATGATTTGCGAGCTTTACAATAAACTTCATTAGATCGCTGTACAACTTTGGTAAGTTTTTGTGTTTGCGCATCCTTCTCATTGGATACCCATCTATCAGCTCCATTAGAATCATATGGCGAGAATTATCAAAGGGCTCTGGCACAGAAAACCCTTTGGAGTATAAAAGTGACATGAACTGATACTCTTTATTCGCAGCCAGCAGCGATAGGTACATCCAACTGCCACTTTGGTTGCGCTTCAAATAGTCACGATTGTTCTTAACAGTCGTGAAAGACGTGCGCCCCAAGCGATGAATTTTCAATACCCGTGCTGTCCCATCTTTGGCGCTTACTCTGTAGACATCTGACTCCTTACCAACACCTATAACATTTCCAACGGAATATATCGTGTCCCTGTTGAGCATGGCTTTCAACCCCAGATAATCAAATCCATTGTATGTCAGTCTAAAACCGTCATATTTTATATTCCTCATTCTAGAGACAAGTTTCAGTTTTGCTAAATCGCCTATCGACCTGTTTGTACCAGACACAGACCTCATACCTGACAGTTGGTGGATAAGCGTGGTTGGAACAACCTCATGATTTTTCGAGCCCTGCTCCACCGCTTGAAGAACGCGGAAATCATCGGGAGTCATATAACGCATATTACTGGTATCGAGCTTCATTTTGTATCTATGGTTGATCAGAAGAACTGGTCAGAGATGTGTTTGGTCGACTTTTTCTCTCGCTTTCTTGTTCTATAGAGTAGCGATGAGCTAAAATTTTCTTATATTGGCATCGTAATAATGCCAGATGCACACCTAAGGTGAAGTAGTCAGTCTCCTCTGTTTGATTCAAGAAAAGGAAGAGCCTCCGTAGTTGTGAAAATATTGACACGATGAAACGAATTGACTAAGAATTACTTTTGTTCTTATTGTTCATTTTGGGCCTTTAATCGAGAGACTACATTTTGCAGTACAAAAACGAACGTTGTTGGCCATCTCGAAGCGGAGAAGCGCTCAAGTTATCTACGAGAAGAAACAGACTTGTACTAAAGCGGGCTTTGTTTTGAATTTGGTAATTAAACTACAGATACCAACTGGTTTCAGTGTGTTTTCTTTCTATATATTTGTACCAGCTTACCTCGACATCAAGACTGATAGTGCTCACAATGTTCCTGAAACGTTCGTTTCAATGTCGGTAAAATCAGCTTCCACTTCAATCCGATTGCGCTTCCCTTCTGGCCCAACATGTTTAAAGTGCCGAACAGATCTTAGGCGACAGAATGGTGAGAAATGATATTTAAATAAATACGCTGGCGCAGATGACAGTACAGGTGTGGGCGCTGTAAGAGGAGTTAAATCGAAATAGCTATGATGGCAGTTCAGATCAGAGACACAACATCATATAGATGATGGACTAGATCTCTCGCTATAAGCGGTGATTTCGAGAAAGAAAATTTGTACTTTGAATTTACATACTATATAATAAACTGCATAATAATCCATCACAGACTCTCGGGCCTTGTCCAACGCCATGGCAATAGGAGTTTGTGATTAGCCTTTCTAATTACCAGCGGTGTGGACTAACAAAATTATTGTAGCAGGAGCGCCAATGAGCGTCCCCATCATTTATGGGACCTTTTTGGAAATCGAAGTGGTGTGGTCCTCTCCCATGATGATGGGTCCGGAGGCCGTGGGGTTGATGGTGATTATGGTAGCGGTGGCCGTGGGGGAACTGCCAGCTCCTATCCTGGATGAAAGGAACATATGAAGGTGGGTGAATAGGAGCTTCATTGAAGCTGCTAAATCCTGAGTGTGGCCCAGAGAAGTTTTCAGGACCATGGCCGTAATGGTGGTGGTGCATATGACATTCAAAATGGGGAGCAGAGAGCCAGGGATCGCCATAATGACCTCCTCGTCCACCTCTGTGGCCACTCCTACCGCCTCTGCCACCTCTGCCACCTCTGCCACCTCTGCCACCTCTGTCACCTGTGTCACCTCTGCCACCTCTGCCACCTCTGAATCCTCTCCCAAAGCCTTGAGAATGACGACCGTCACGACCGTGCTCAAAAAAGCCATGACCACAGGGCGGTGGTCCTGGTGGATGGGATCTAGAAAATCCACCAGGCATGAATTCTCCAGGCCCATGAGACTGTTGGGATCCGTGTCTGGGAGGTCCATCTAGGCCAACTGGGTTTTCACCTGACGTTGGGAATTTGCAATCTGGTGTACATTCTTCAGTGTCGGACGAGTAATCTGTGCAGGGCATCTTTGAAGTGATTTGCATATAAATGGGATTGAGCTGAAGGCCTTCTTATAAGATTGGCTATGAACTATGGCTTGATAACGCTCAAAATAAATTCATTAAAAGCAGATTCGCTTACCTTTTGGTAGATAAACTGCTCTCTATTTATATAAAACGAAATACCATAACTCTCGATCATCGTAGGTTCCATTCCAAAAGGTGGGCTCATTCATCAGCTACTCGTGTACCCTGCTCCTCGCATTGTTTCGGCTTTTGCTCGGCTTTTGCTCGGCTTTTGCCCGGGGTTTGCTCGGTATTAGATAACGCGTAGCTCGGCCGCTCGGACGGTCATTCGGCTTTTGCTCATGCATATTTTCAAATGCCGATGCATATGTACGAGACTTTCTCAGGCGACACTCATAAATTAGCCTCGTTTGCGTTTTTGTGTGAAAGATAGCGATAGAATTCAACAAAACGTCCAGCAGCTAACTAGGCTTCTCAAAAATCACTCTTGGGCCAGAACAGTCAAGGATACTAGCAGAGCCGCTGATTACCGGATATAGCTCGCGGTCTTCAGATGTTTGCTAACGGTGCTTGTAGAAGCTATGCTAGTGTTACAGATTTCACAATCGTACTATCGCAGATTCTTGGGTGTAACTTCCAGAATAAGATAATAATACGGCTCTACTGTTTAGTGTTTAAGAATGAAGCTGACTATCGGCTCTTGTGCCTCGCTTTTTTCACATGTTCTGGTTCGTCATGATAACTGTGGTGTTATTGCTTGATAATCTGCAAAACTGTCCTGGAGCATTTCGAGTGGTTTTGGGCTATGGAAACGATATCTGGCGATGAATAAACCCACTCACTCAATAATTGTTCCTCAACCCCTCGCGAAAGATACTTTGCTGCGGCAAGCCTTTTGTATACTACGCAAAACCGTGCAGGAATCTTACTGCTCGCTACCGAGAGCAAGGCAAACCAAATTGCAACTTTAGGGAATAAAGGATTATCTTGAAATTGCCAAAAGATGGTTCTGCTATGGTACAGTAAGAAGACTGGTCTGATAAGTACGGGCTTTTTGAAACCACACTGAAAACCGTCACCGTGGCATGCGGGTTCGGTTGCCGAGAGAGAAATGGCTGAAATCGATTTGTCAAATACAGGCGTGCATAGCAGCTCCATACCAACATCTGCAGCGGTCAAGAAAAGAGCATCAAGTCAATACCACCGCTGCTGTAAATATTGGTTTTCAATGATATACGAGAATTTTCAAAGCACTAACGAGCACCGAACATGGGCGATAACCGAAACTCCTAAAAATTCACCAGAATGCTAGCAAAAAGATCGATCTCCATACTATGTTGTTTAGTATTTTTCCCTCAAACTTCATGGAAACATACTACAGGCCGTTCATTATTGAGTGGTATGCCTATTCCTGGGATGTGGCTCATACACGCGGCCGCTATGAGGATTTTTTATTCACCCGGCAAAATTGACGTGCATGTCAGAATGGTATGGAACGATTACTACTCAGGGCCCTCGGAACTCCCTACGTTCAACTCACGGCAAATGGTTGTTTTAAGACTTGTCTTTGAAAGCACCAAAAGGCGCTCTGCTACTAAATAATGGTGCTTTTTGTACATTACTTATATGGACGAAAAAGCTAAAAACCTATCCATATTTGAGACTAGATACACAGGTAGACGTTGATGAATCATGGAAGCTTGATTTTTGATAGAAAATTGTGGTAATAAAATAATGCATCGCAATTTTCTAAAATCATTAACGAGTAGACATGGCCTTGGTGACAACTCTCTTCAAACCGACTTCGGCCTTTCTTAGGTCATCAGCAGAGGAGTCCTCGATTTCCAAAGCGGACATGGCGTCAGACAAAGCAGCTTCGATCTTGGCCTTGTTACCTCTCTTCATCTTGGAGGACAAGATTGGGTCAGTGACAGTTTGCTCAATGGAGGCAACGTAGGATTCCAATCTTTGTCTGGCTTCGTGCTTCTTGGCGAAAGCTTCGTCAGCAGCCTTGAATTCTTCGGCTTGGTTGACCATCTTTTCGATCTCGTCGGAGGACAATCTACCAACAGCGTTAGAGATGGTGATGTTGGCGGACTTACCGGTAGACTTTTCGACAGCGGTGACCTTCAAGATACCGTTGGCATCGACTTCGAAGATAGCTTCCAAGACTGGTTCACCAGCTGGCAAAGGTGGGATTCCCTTCAAGTCGAATTCACCCAACAGGGTGTTTTCGGTACAGTTGACACGTTCACCTTGGTAAACTGGGAATTGCACAGTGGTTTGGTGGTCGGCAACAGTAGTGAAAGTTCTTCTCTTGATAGTTGGGACAGTGGTGTTTCTTGGGACGACTGGAGCGAAGACATTACCTTGCATGGCAACACCCAAAGACAATGGAGCAACATCCAACAACAACAAGTCCTTGGTGTCGTCAGAAGTAGATTGACCAGTCAAGATAGCACCTTGGACGGCAGCACCGTAGGCAACAGCCTCATCTGGGTTGATAGATTTTTCCAATTGCTTACCTTCGAAGAAGTCAGATAGCAACTTTTGGACCTTTGGAATTCTGGTAGAACCACCAACCAAGACAACTTCGTCAATTTGAGACTTGGCGATCTTAGCGTCCTTCAAGACCTGCTCAACTGGTTCCAAGGTAGACTTGAACAAAGCAGCGTTGATGTCTTCAAATCTGGCTCTGGTAATAGAAGTTTCGAAGTCCTCACCTTCAAACAAGGAGTCGACTTCGATGGTGGTTTGAGTAACAGAAGACAAAGTTCTCTTGGCTCTTTCGGCGGCAGTTCTCAATCTTCTCAGAGCTCTGGCGTCGTTGGTAATATCCAAACCGGTCTTCTTCTTGAATTCGGCCTTGAAGTGGTCCAACATGTTGGTGTCGAAATCTTGACCACCCAAGTGAGTGTTACCAGAGGTAGACTTGACAGTGTAGACACCACCAGCGATGTGTAGCAAAGAGACATCGAAAGTACCACCACCCAAATCGAAGATCAAAACGTGTCTTTCTTTGTCGGACTTACCGGCACCCAAACCGTAAGCGATGGCAGCGGCAGTAGGTTCGTTGATGATACGCAAAACGTTCAAACCAGAAATGGCACCAGCATCCTTGGTAGCTTGTCTTTGAGCGTCGTTAAAGTAAGCTGGAACGGTGATGACGGCTTTTTCAACCTTCTTACCGATCTTGGCTTCGGCGGTTTCCTTCATCTTGGTCAAGACCATCGAGGAGATTTCTTGAGGAGAGAAGGTCTTGGTTTCACCCAAGTATTCGACTTCGATGACTGGGGAGTCGTTGACGTCGATGACCTTGAATGGCCAGGTCTTCATGTCACTTTGAACAGATTCATCGTCGTATCTTCTACCGATCAAACGCTTGGCGTCGAAAACGGTGTTCTTTGGGTTCAAAGCAGCCTGGTTCTTGGCAGCATCACCAATCAATCTCTCTTCTGGGGTGAAAGCGACGAAAGATGGAGTAACTCTGTTACCTTGTTCGTTGGCGATAATTTCGACCGACGACTCGTAGGTCGCAACACAAGAGTAGGTAGTACCTAAATCGATACCGACAGCACCTGGGAAAACACCTTCAGCCATTGTTATGTGAGGATTGAGCTTGTATGAGCGAGGCAAATCTTCAAAAGCAGGAAGTCTATGATGGAAAGTACACTAAAGTTCACATTATAAGTAGCCATCACACTGAAAATGTTTTTAGAACTCGAATGAAAATTTTTCAGATTTTTGTCAAAATTTTTCACACTTTTCCGATGTCCCACGATTGTGACTGCTATGCGCGATCATGCTCGTGCTAACGAGAGTGGCCCAGCGCCGATGATGCCTCTGCTATTATTTCTTTTGGAGGAAGCCATCCGGATGAGCTTGTGGGCGAGTTGCGCGGTCCTGTCGTTACGCATTGCCGTTCTGTATTGTTCGCAGCCGAGAGGGTAGTCTGCGATGAGCGCACCTGACCTGTGGAGACTGGGGTGAGATGAGCGTTAGGGATGCAGTGTGTGTGTTTTTGTCACTGTGAAGACGACATAGCTCAAGCTATGATGTGAGTAATTTTAATTTGGCCAGTGACGGAAAAAAATGTCGTGAAATTCAGGCTATCCAAGGCCGCATGTTGTCCATCACCCTTTGACTACAATCGGTAAGCTGCCAGCTGACTGTCAATTAGACTAACTGCTTTGGTGACAGTGTCAAGATTTCCTGTAATAGTGATGTGCTGTTGAATGGAGGCCGGGCGATTTAGCTGTTCGATGGTCAGTCTTTGTGCGATCGGTATGATTTTTATGGTTGCGCCAGATTCCTGTCGCAACTCTTGTATCTTGGTACCTTGATGTCCGATGAGAAAAGACACCTCGACTTTGTTTAGTTTAAGCGTCTGCGTCACGACATCCAACGTCTGTGGTGCGTATACCATTTTTGGCAAACTCTCGTAGCGATCAAAGAAAGATGCGCTCGATGCCACAAATCTGAGTGCATTATGAGGACACTGATAAAAACTATGGTTTACTAGCGCCTGTACATCTTCCATAACGAACTGGAAATCCGAATTAAACAACGTTATCGATCTCGAATTGATTTCAAGTAGCACAGATCGCAGCTGTACCCGGCGCATACGGATTAAGTGGATTAGCTCGCGTGGTAATAACATACACACACTGTTTGAACAGAGGCTTTGCACCAGTGTCGCGTTGAGGGGGCATTCCACAACCACGGAGAGGTAGGAATCGTTGGTAACCGTGATTGCAGCTGCTTCTTTAGATTCCAAAACAGCTATGGGCCCATTTTTCTCCACCTTCAAATAGTTGCGAATTCTCAATCGCGAAATCAACAGTTTCAACCGGCCATTGTTACGGTTTGCTGCGTCTCCCAGTGGCGGCACTCGCAGAGTCAGAGAATCAATCACATCCTTGAACAAGAGCGCAAGGCACTGTAAAGCGTGGTTTGCTCTTTCACATTTGTGTGTCTCTGCCAAGCTATGTTCTCTTAGCAGCTTATTGACCTGAAGTTGGGCATCAGAACTACGCGGCGTATGCTTGTCTACTGGAGATGGATTTTGCCACGAATCTGCTTGACCATAACGGTGATCTTCTGAGTTTGATTGGGAACCTATGAATACTTCCATTTTGTGTGCAGGTGGTTTGTAAAACCTCGGCGGCTAATTTTATACTACACACACGACAAATGAACAAGGCGCTGAGATTGGAGTACAGTTTCAGTTGAAGATTGAAATCAACAAGCTGGACTACTCCTGGCACCGTCGATACAATTTGGATGCTTTCCGGTATATCTTAAGTGGCCATGTAGAATATCAGACTCATAGTTTCGAGGGTATGCATCATTAATATACTTATAAAGCCAAGAATCTCACTGTCTACGAGAGATCAAAGACATGTTGGGCAGCGTGGTAGATGAATAGATACTGATCGACTGTCTGGACCATCTTGAGGCGTTGTGAGCGTAGCTGGAGTACTATTTGCTCTATCAGATCGTGTTGGTAATCTTGACCAGGTTGAGGAGTGGCAAAATCGTGGGTATCGTGAAATAAGTGGTCGAGCGTTATGAACGTTCCTGAACGACCTACACCGGCAGAGCAATGCACAATCATTGGGTTGTTCGGAGAATTTAGTCTGTGGGAGTGCCTTGATAATTCCAGTATTGGTAAAACCTCGTCAGGTTTCGACATGTCGCGCCACCGTTCGAAATAAAAGTGATGCACCGTTTTCTGTGGAAATCGAACGTCTGACGGCACGATTTGTAGCGTGCTCAGAGTATAAGCGGCCCTGTGCTCCACGTTGATGTTGCGAACTTCTAAACCAGTTTCAAATTTCGAATCTCCACATTGTTCTTGAGCCACCGTCACACACGAGCCAGGTTCGCGGGGCCAGTACTCGGCACATTTGCGCCTGTGGTGTTCCACGAGTGGTGTAACCATTACAATAACCATATTCTCCCCAGGACATTGCTGGTAGCACATCTGCCAGAATTGGGAGGCCGAACGATCGGTCGGGCCTTGGGTTGCAATATAATGGCCAGCACGCAGCGACTGGCGCGGGACCTGAACTTTGACATATGAAGCATTCACATAATCATTTCCGGACTTCAGTTTCAGCTTCACCCGATTGCGTTCATAAGGCATGATGTTAACGTATCTGTTGCGCTCGCGATTGGTGTGCTTCACAGACACGCCTAAACTCCATTTCGAGCCTTCCGGGTTCAAAGTCGCATCCCGAAGTCTCAAATCTTCCTGATGCTGAATGTACTGAAACTTGCTTACTACGTCCAGATTATTTTGACTTAAATACCACGGTATAGGTTTCGAGACCATAATGATGTTGTTCGGACTATAAAAGAAGTTTGTCGTTTATACGGTCTACGATCGAACGATTTATAAGAATATCAGGTTTTTACTTATTAACATCCTTAAATGAGGACATAAAGGCAAGATGAACTCATCCACGATCAGTAGGGTACAGGTTAGCGCAGCACTCCAATAGCACAATGGAAAATGTTTTAGGTGGGCCCAAGATTTCCAAGGGATCGTACACACGACAGTCGTTCTTGTCGCTACGAAAACTGGGTTCTAAAAAACCGCAATTGGGAATGCTGTCATCTAGAACTTCGTCTTCGCAGTTGAAGTTAAACTTGTTAACGGACGGAAAACGCTGGGAAATTTTAGAGGATTACGGACTGGAGGAATTGCGAGATGGATTTTTTGACCCTGTTTTCACGACATATGAACCTGTGACAGACGAAGATGCAGACGACAAATCGACGACGACATCCCAAAAAGTCTATGCTCATCCCCAGCCATGGTGCTTGAAACAATTTCATAAATTCAAGAAAAATTGGCAACGTATTTTGAAGTTTTGGATGGCTTTTTTCGCTGCATTTTGTATTTGCTTGGTGCGTCCCGCTGGCTCATGGGTAGGCCACAGACACCGCTATTTTCTACCACTCGCGGTTGTCATACACCATCCTGCGCGGAATGTAGGAGTTCAGCTTGAGATTTGCATATGGTCGATTGTGGGGGCAGCGCTGGGAATGGGATGGTCAAGCCTGGCGTGGTACATTTCAGTGGCGACCAGACCAGCCGCGAACTACCAGGGCGGAATATTTTTCGCAAGTTTATTCATCGCTATTTATCTATCATCGTGGCTAATGGCATCAAATCAGAGGCTACTTTACTTGGCGCTATCTTTCGGTATAGCCATCACGTATCTCCACGCTGTCAGCTTGGTGGACGATTTTGTCTCACTCGAATGGATGTTTTATTGGGACTTTGGAATCTCCTACCTGTTTGGACTATTGCTTTCCCTTTTGGTGTGCGTTACAATCTTTCCACACGCCGGCCAATCAGAAGTGGTTGGCAAATTTTCCGCGTCCATAAGTGCCATAAAGCTTTTACTGGTCGCATTTCTTTCGACAGAGGAGTGCTCAGATGGTGATAAAATTCACTTACTGCTGAAGGCTATCGGTAGAAAGGTCGATTTCGATGTCTCAGAAAGCATGCGTGAGTTCATCGATCAAATTACAGTTACCAGAATCGACCAGAGATTCTTACTAGAGTTTAGAAATACGATTACTAACATGGCGGCACCCCTGAGGTCCTTACCAATTGACCATCAGCTAGTCACAAAGCTAGAACTGGAGAAGTTTTATGAACAGTGTCACAATAAATTTCAGAACTGTAATTCTGAAATTGTGACAGAAAACTCAACAAATAGCTTTCCTGTGCCTCTATCAGAAAGCACAGCTCCTCCATCCAATGTGGTGGCTTCGGGCTTGTCTGTCGATCAAGAGGTTTTTGCCAGTGTATTGAGGTCAACATTCTCTGACGACATAATTTCTTTAATAGTGGAGATGATAGCATTGTTGGAGACTATCGAATTGTTTTTTAAACAACTCAAAAACATGGGTGGCAGTAACTCTCCAAGTTCTGAACTAAAGCTTACACGCCAAATGAATAAGTTAAGACGTGAGATTTTCAAACTTGATCAATCTTATAGGGATTTTACAAAATCCGAGTATTTCAGCAAAGAACTGCTTTCGGATCCACAAGCAATCGATTCTTTTCTGTTTCTCAGATACATGAGACAGAGTGCAAAGTATTTAATCCCTGTAGCATCGTGTGTCAAAGCTATGAGTTCCAATTTGCGTTGGCGAATCTCCTTCCCACGCTACTCATTGCATCGTGCACTTAAAAGACTACCTAAAGAGTGTAGTATCGATCAAGGAGCAAAGACTCTTCTACAGTACTATCAGGCGAAGGCTGATGTAGACGATGTTTTTGAGCAGCTATACCACAGCTATACCTCGAATCACGAAAATACAGCATCGTCGCCAAACGATGACAGAACAATCCGTGCAACAATCAGAGCTGTTGATCACAAAGATTTTAGTCTTCACACAACTAGCCATTGGTTGCGCTACAGGCTGTGGGTTTGGAGCTCAGAGATCACCTCTAATGACAGCAAGTGGGCTCTCAAGATTGCTTTTCTCGTGACGTTTTTGGCTCTTCCCGGCTGGTTGCCTACCTCCCATAATTGGTATGAAAAGTATCAGTGTTGGTGGGCTCCACTTGTCTTCTTCATTTTGGTGAATCGCAGGAACACAGGTAATTGGGCTTCTTTTTCGAGACGTCTTGTATGTTCAGTCTTAGGAATATTTGGAGGTTGGTGCGCCAATCAAGCACGGCACTTTGGGAACCCATACGTGATAGCAACATTTGCTTCAATCTTTTGCCCCATCCTGTCATTCAATTTTTTTGCAAATGGTAATAGAAAGTCCAGCTTCACTGGTATTTTATGCTTTACGGTGATTGCGTTGGAGTCATATGGAAAAGGAGAATCCGACCTTAACACAGCTGAAATATGGAAAAACACTTGGATTACTGGGGCTGCGCTTTTGTGCGGGATCCTGCCTTCGATCCCCGTGAACTGGATTATATGGTCGTTCACTGCGCGCCATGAATTAAGAATGTCAGTAGCATCGCTTCTCGCACACATTGGCCAGTCGTATCAAAGCGTAGCAGATAGGTATCTCTACAGAGACGCTGATGATGCCCCTACAGAAGTTACTTTGAGGTATTCAAACATCCGTGAGGTTCGAATGTCCCAAAGTTTAATCGCAGTCAAGGAAATGCTTCGGAAAGCGCGAACCGAGCCAAACTACATATTTGTCTTCAAGGCGGATGTCTACCAGCAGCTTCTCGATGGTTGTGAGCTCCTACTAGAGAAAATGATCCAGGCTAGGATATCTGGTCAATATTTCGAGGTTTGGGAACAAGACAAGAATAGCAGCATCTCCAGAGCGCTCCTATCATTACGTCGGGATAGTGTAGCAGCTGTAATTTTTGTTTTGTATATGTTATCAAATTGCTTTACTTCCAAGCATAAGGTTCCCATATATTTGCCCAACCCAATTATGTCGCGAAAGAAGCTATTCGACTTCATTACCAAGTTTGAGTCAACTGGTCCCTCTCGAACATCTACCATAGCTGGAAAACGCGATCCAAACTTCAAAGAGCTAAGCGCTGATGATGAAGACAATGAGGACGATAGATCGCATTGGACTCTCATCCATGGGATGGCATTTACGCGCGCCTTTACCGAGATTAGCGAGATTGTGCAAAAGCTAATCTACCTCAGCAGGGAAATTCTAGGGGAAGAAACATGCTTCTGACAAACAAACGAGATTATTCAAGAAATTATACAGCGAGTACTTAACGGCGGCATTTTGGGGCGTATACTATTCGGATTTATACTCAATATGTACAGTATATTACGTAAAACAGAGAAATCTTCGCCTAACACCGTATTCATGACCAAGCTCAATCCCTTTTGCAAATAGTCTTGTTAACAATAGAGAGATACTGCTTTAGACATGTCACTGTACTCAAAAGTCATCACTTAATTAGGTGCTCTTGACACGAGTTTTGGTGGTCGACAAAATTGCATGGTATAAAACAATCAGTGTGAACGTTACGACACCACATGCAATTGCCAAGGTGTTCAATTGATCGTCACTGATCATCCTCGTGTAGCTGTATCTAAGCTTTTTAAGCTTGTGGGGCAGCGTGGTCTATAATGCTTGACTGGCGTTGGCTTCTTTTTAAGTTCATAGCCCCATTCGTATTCTATGATCATGTCGACAAGCATATATGAGCTTCGCATTCAAGGTAATCTGTGACAAGCAGCTTCTCAACATTTGAAAAGCATAGCTTTGATATTTCATCTACTATTCTTATTCATTTACCCCGAAACCTCCGCTTGAGGGAACGACGTCACTTGTATTTTTCTGTTAACACTGATCTTGTAGGACCAACCAAGACCTTCCTCTATCACAGGGAGCCATAATTTTCTTGAGTGACTCTCTCCCGATTATAGACTAAGTCGCCCGAGCAATGGCGACGCTGCTTTTCGCCTTGGCCGGCTTTATAGCCAGATCCTCCGATATCAATTATTATTTAACTCGTAATTAATGTTTATAGCGAAAGCCTGTAGTTCTTTATACACACTGCCAGTTGCACGCAGGCTCCGTTTTCATACCCCCTATGACATGAGGATGGGCCCAAGAAGCATCGAAGAGCTTCTGTATCAGAAACTTATGCAAAGTGCTGGCTTCCACAGATTTGTTCGGCGCGTTTACCTCAAGGTTAACGGATTAGAAGAACCACTAAGCCACAGCAAAATTGCATACACCGCAGAGTCCGTATTCAAACCAAAGCCCCATCACAAATTCAAGGCATTTCGAGTTTTGTTCTGGGATGAGATGAGGTCAATTTTCGGTCTTGAAAGGCGTTTAAAAGATAGGTTTTAAAATTCTGTTATTCATTACAAAGAAAGCTCTATGGCGGGTACATACTGTATATATACAATTCTTTACCTAAATTATTTAATCTGCTGGCTCGATCCCAAAATGTGAGTGGGTTTTTGTTCGCATTGGCGCGTTACCTTTTAGTTGCCTCGCCTGAAAGCTGCAGAAAGTCGTTCCAACTCCTTTGTCGCTGTAATTCTACAGCAGGGTCCTTGAATTTACTTTTTTTCGCCATTTTAACGTTGTCTTTAAGTGCTAAGATAACATTTCTATCAGATCCGTATCTGAAATTGTCTTCCATAATAAGGGAATTATACTTTTTAATGAGGTACGACATTTTGTCGCCTCTCAAAACTTTCTTTAAGGACCATGTAATAGCGAAAGGCCCAGTCGAAGTGACTATGGTCTGTTCCTTTTGGTTAACGCCCGTGTTGAAATAAGCTTTTGTAAATTTGATTGGCTGTTTGGTCGTGGTCTTCATAAAGGCAGCTGTTTTCGGGTGAATTTTCAAAACGTTGATCTTCGGCATTTCTTCTTTGGAAAACGGCTTCAAAAATCCAACGGTACCAGCGTTCTTCCCTTCTCTAATTGTTAAATCGACCAGGAGAATGGACGAATCACATGTGGCCAAGAGCCACTTCGCATCCGCAGATATGCAGATGTGTCTGATAGGTTCTCCAAGAGCAGGAATCAATGTTTTGGCACGAATACCCAATTTATCGAAAAGTCTTATATCGCCTTTTGCAGAACCGATAGCAATATAGCCGTCTTCACTAGTCCCCAGCGAAGAGAACCCGTAATTTGTGGCATAATCTTTGTTTTCCTCGTTGACAACTTTATTAGTACCACTTATCCGTGGATCTAGCCGGAACACACTCTTTCCTGATATACCCAAGAACGTCTGTTCATTTGTTAGTTGGTCGAACTTTTTAGAGTGCGAGTACTTCAAAACGTCTTTACCGCCGGCTGAATACTCCTCAACAACTTTTCCACGCTCAAGATTCAACTTGAAAAGGCGAGAGGGATCATTCTTATCCTGAACAATCATTGCTTGGTCCTCGGTGTAAAGCATTGGATTTTCTGGTTCGAAAGCTTCACCTTTCATGTTGGCAATCTCATTAATTGCAGTTACGAAATTCAATTCGTTATCGTCATCGTCAGTTTTGAATACGCCGATCTTATGCCCTCTTACTACGTAAGAGCGATCATTTTTGTAAGACACCGTCAACGACTTGTTTCCGACAGCTGCAGTCGAAGCTCTGTAATTCTCTTCGGCAACATCTTCGTCAAAACTATCAGCGTCTCCCGATTGCTCTTGATCACTTTCCTGTTCTTCATCATTGTCAGATGAATCGCTTGTCTCACTATCAGTATTTTCATCGTCTCTCAAAAACAGTGACAGTTCTTTGTTAGCCTCTTTGCTCGAGTCGACGATACAGCTGCGCTCACTATCACTCATGCCGGTCCATTTAGCTTGATTGAGAGATTCCCACAGAGCTCTTGTCCAGTTCTCTCGGAACTGATTATAGGTATGGTCTGCCTTGAACTCCAGCATGTAAGATAATGTGATATGTTCAAGAGTATAGTTGAAAACAAAGCTCCTGGAACTACTTTCAAAGAAAGGGTTTACAGAGGGTGTTACATCTACGCTTAGGCCAACGTTTTCACCCTCTGCTGTCAGCCAATACTCAAATTTCCCATAGTCTACAATACGCACTTTAGAATTATCGTCTTGTAAAAAGAATTTTTGTGCGCTCGGATCGAAGACATAGATGCTGGCTCGATCCACGAAAACATTCAAGGACTTTTTCTCGTCGCGTTGAGAACGAGGGTCGGAACGCGCGACGTGATGGACAGGCAAAGTGGCATCCAACGCGTCCTCAAAAGAGTCAACATCACTTTCGTTTTCAGCTTCGCTAGAAGAATTATTCTTGACAGATAACATGCCCATGTTTTCCACTAACTGTGTGTTTTCTGGATCCTCATCGGCTACCCCAAGCTCTTCATCACTGTGGGCGTATTCAAATTGTTTTAGGTCGTCACGAACTGCTTTGCGCCCTGATTTCTTATATTTGAACTCGTATTCGCACACGTAGGCAGTATGAAGAAAATGTCCAACGTCCGTGAAGGGAATTTCGGAGTTGACAACAAACTGAAATTTCTCACCTGCGTCACCTTTGGTATTCTTCCACACAAAGGACATTTCCCCCTGGTCACTCCACGCCTTGTGAAACTGTAAAGACTCATCTAAATTGAAACTCCATTCATCGTCTTTAGATTGGCCCGACAGTACACTGAGCCCATCCTCTTCGAAGTCTTCTGTACCATCGCCAGACGCTAACTCAGTGTCATCCTTCTCCTTTCGTACCACAAGCTCGAATCTATGGCTCCCGCTTTCACGGATGCCCAGAGTGGCATCGTTATGCAAACACTCCACGGTTGCTTTTGGGGAAGTTTTCGGCCTCAAGAGGTAAAATTGCCCCGCAGGAATCGAAACAAGTTCTGGCTTGGCGCCAGAGTCCATAATTTTCTTGATGATATTCATTTCTGGATTCCCGCCGTCTTGAATACCTTCAATCAAAGCTATGTTTCTTGCTCGTCTTTACCCTTTCGTTAGGATGCTTTACGTTACATAATACAATTATCAATTTCGCTCTACATATGTAGAACCGTACATACGGACATCAGCCTAGTTAGCCTGTAATCAGATGCAAGTTCATACCCGACACCAAGGGCTTCATCGGTCCACTTAGCGACACTCGACACCTTATATATATGTTATTTGTATACCTAGAATATTGTGCAATTCGAAAACTCATCGTACAGTGGGGTTTGAGAAAGTTTGCAAGTGGCCCAAACAACCTTCTATCATCTTACTTGAGCAAGTCAGCGTCGACAGTCAGCTTGTTGCATTGCTCGTTGAATTGCCGACAGATCGTATTGTTGGGAATAATGTGAATAAACTGATGGTGATGTGCGCCTAATCGCATAATTCGCGTCAGTACATATGTGACACAATGGTACAGAATGATAGTACACAACAGTGGCCATACAAGTCGACTTAACAGCTAAGACAAACCGAAGAGAACAACTGTTGTCCAATGGGATTGGCGATCGATAAGTTATCGGTAGCGTACGGCATTGAAGCCGCATTCCTTGGACAATAGAATGATCTAGAATGGGTGATTAATTAATGGGTTGACCAGGGTCACCGAGTGAGAATTGTATAAATACCAGGCTGTTGGTTCAGGTAACTGAACCAACTCTAATGCCTAAAATAATTACGGAGAGATAAATAGAATTCCCTAGATCCAAGTTACTCATCTTACAATGACTATGTCCGACTTACAAGACAAATTTAGTAAGCTTTCTACTGATGAATCAGACTCGCCTCAATACGTATATGATATTCTGAGCACTTGATGCTAGCTTCGAGAGCTCATAAGATGACTTCTGGAGGTCATTCGTGATAACTTGGGCCATAAATCTGATGCATATCTGGTGCGTAGAACCGGTACTATATCATATCGTAGTGGCATAAATTTGGCGCAGTTAGAGCTGAACGACTCAACGAATTCACCCCACAGATACAATACTGGGATATTCGATAATCAAATGGAATTTAGGGCACATCTGTGTAATCCCGGTTCCTTTTAATCCCATGGAGTAATTGTTCACCTTGTCCATTATTCTTTTAATGACGTCGCCAGTATCACTTCATACTATAGTGACACCGGGTGATGATCGTTATTGTGGCACTCGGCGCTCTTCGAGCAACTCTAGATCGCTGCCATTCGGTAGTTTTAACAAAAAAAGACGCACACCCTGGCTTCTTCATTTCTCTATACGTGAGTGTTTGACTATTGGATATTTTATTTCCGCAGGAAGCAATGCAGCTTTACGGAACGTGTGAAGTTTATAGTCAAGTCGAACGCCAAATGCCTATCAGCCAAGTGGGGCTTGTAAGGTCGGGGACTACGAATGCGTTTCTTTATTGATATTGAATATCAACAGGCTTTTGTATTCTCTAAAATACTATATCAACTTTTTAAGTCTTTTCATCTTCTTCTTAAAAGCGAGCTAAGTTGGCCGTCAAAACACGGACCAAGCTTATGAAGATGACTAGAGCACAGCTCTACTAACAGGTCTATTGCAATTTCCCCAAAAGTAACTCCCCGAGTCCTTCCAACTATCCAGGAGGTCTCATGGAGCAATCTGCGGCACCTGGACACTGCTGACAGCGTCTTGCGGCCATTCAAAATAGCCCTCGTCTACCAACTCTTTAATGGTCATGGCTCTTTTACCTGTGTCCCTCAAATAATCCAGATAGCCTTCTTTTAGCGACTTTATTGAACTTCTTATTTTGATTTGGTCGCCAGTCCACTCCACACCGAAATATCCACCGTTCCCAGCCTCCCTTATCTGGCGATTGAGGCGCTGAGAATACTGCACATCCATAGGGAAGTTTAAATCGTGATATTTGCCGGTATCGCCGTTGTTGTCGAGAAACCATTGGTCATAATACTTCATTACTTCCAAGGACGGCAGTTCTATACGTTTGCTCCACACGCGGGCAAGCCATGCACCTTGCGTTTCACTTAATCTTGTGGGGAGAACATATCGAGGCAAACCTAGAATACCAATAGTCGGTAGCTCAAATGGCAAAATGTGGTTGTAAAGGTTGTGAAGACGTGTTCCATCAGTGATCAGCGCACTCAAAATAGAGTCGCCTTTCGAGTATACCTCGTTTTCCTTTGGTAGAAATGGCAGGGATTTCAGATAACCAGTACAATATATGATCCTGTCCACATTTTTGATTTGTTCACCGTTCACTAGTTCAATGCTCTTGGAATTTGGGTCAAACTTCAAAATATCAGGCACTTCGCGAATATGAGGGTCAAATCCAGAGGGAAGTGGCGTTTCAGACCTCTTGGACTTATAAATGGTTCTTTGCAAATGGCCAGCAAGTTCGAAGGCCAAATCGGAGCCCGAAGCACTATTACCCACGATAACTATCTCCCCTTCAACATTTTCTAGATCTTCAGGACAATCAAAGTCCTTCGCATGCGATACAGACGTTGGATATTTTTCATGCCATTCTTTCAAACCTGGACGGTCCGGCACAAATGGTAAATCGTAAAACCCTGTAGCAATAGCAACAGCATCAAAACTCTCAGTTACAGACTCGCCTGTAAGCAAGTCTGTCGACGAGAGTGCGTATGTTTGCGTGTCGTCGTTATAATGCAGCTTGACCACCTCGCGGTTGAAGGTTACCAGCTCCTCAATCGCCTTGGAATACCCCGTAATATACTCGTGTACCTGATCTCGCAGTGGGAATAGTGGCGCAGTAGGTGGAAATGGGTGATTGTCGTATGCCATCAAAGTCTTGGGCACATTAGTGTCCAAATACTTGTAGACGGCCGTCTGGAAAACCAAGCCTTGTTTGTCGTGTAAATGCGGTTCATTTCTTGCATGGGGAGTTTCGCAAGGTATCGAAGGGCATGAAGTGATGTTTTTTGTTTTGAACAAGGGTTTGGTGTAATTCCAGACACCTCCGAAAGTGCTTCGTTTCTCAAAAACCTTGATGTTTTTGAAGCGTTTTTCATGCAAGAGAGCTTTAGTGAGCCCTGCTCCAACTGGCCCAGCGCCAATTACCGCTATTGAGCTTACCTTCTTCGAGATGTGCTGAAAGACGACCTTCGATGGTCTCATTTCGATGCTAGTAAGGGCACTTGTGCGCTATGCTCTAATTCACAAAGGACATCTTCGAATGTAGACCAGCCATTAACCGCTAGCTATATATGTGCTCGCGAAAACCACCTTGGTAAGCAGAAAACAAATCTCTCCGCATGTTAAACCATGTCGTTCGATGTGGCTCTCTCAAAGGTGACAAACTGTGCGCATTACATTAGAGTTACGATCTATAAGCATCACCTGATATTGTAAGTATGTCAGTTTCCACGAACTTTCGGCGTTCGAATGATTGGAACCATTACTCAGATCAATCACGGTAGAATCAGAGAGAACTGGGAAACTTATCGAGTGCAACCTATGGTCGAGAGGGTATTCGCTGCATGCTTCAACTTTGCTTTTATACTTTCTTAGCCTGGGTGACACAATATCAAAAAGTGATAAAATATGGCCACACACAATGAGTAGAACCGCCCACCATGACGCACAGCCTGCCACTTAGTGGGCGAAGTTGTGTGGAGCTTGGTAGTTTGTGCAAGGAATGGTGAACTTCTAACAGGCCTTTATGTGCTGTAAAGGGAATGAAGCGTATCCAAATATGTTTACAATTCCCGCAAAAACTTCCAAAGGTGAGAATCAACTAAACGGAGGTAAATATCTTATCTGCATTGCTGTGCGAAAACTACTAGGTGTTTCACTCCCCAGATTATCGAGGTTGACCAAAAAACATCCCCTTCAAAAAGCGATAATATTCGTTCTTCTACTGTACTGCGGTGGGAGCCGGAGCTCTTGGACAACTCACATTCCAGGTATCGGTATCGTTGGAGTAATTGAGAAGGAGAAATTAGGAAGGTGACGTACGTTAGAGACCTATGGCATACAATCTGTCAATGGTCTATGTTTCGTATATAGTGTTCAACGAATTGTAAGCTCATGATGAGCAGCTAGCTGCTCATCGCAGACCTGTTAACTAGCACTTAAGAAATTTGAAGAATTTACGACGAGGTCTACGGTAACTTCTTTCTTAACGATCCTGTTTAATACCTTGCTACTTGCAAACTAGCATAAGGGCTATTTTGTCTCACCTCTGGTCCCCAAAGACGCTGAACTCAGATCCATTCTCAAGAATTCAGCTGATACAAAATTGTCAACGTTGCAGCGATTGTGATTGATTGCCCAAACAGAGTATGTTTCTACCGAATTTCACAATGAAAGCTAGCCTCAGAGGAATTACTAGGGGTTCAATCTTGCCGGTGCGAAGAGGGTTGCACTGCACCAATTCTTGGCACGAGTCGGCTAAAACAGCAAAGGACCTTATAAAGTTCGTGAATACTAGCTCTCTGACGCACGCAGAAAGCTCCAGCAATCAGTGGAGATTAGATTCCAAGGTTCCTGACTGGAAAAGGCAGAAACTAGCTCTTAACACTAAGCTTCAAGGCCAAAAATGGAATCCCAAAAAGAAGCTATCTCGTGAACAGATGGAGAGCATTAGGCTCTTGAAAACCCAATTTCCACATATGACGGCTACCCAGCTGGGCGAGCAGTTTAGGGTTTCCCCTGAGGTCATCAGAAGGATCTTAAAGTCGACATGGCAACCCAACGAGCAAGAAATGATTAACTTACAGGTACGATGGAAGCGTCGAAGCCAGCGCATCAATGAGAAATCCAAATCTTCGGACGAGGTACCACATATGCTACCAAAGAAACTGGTGCTTAGTACAGGTCGATCCAATACCGATATAACCATCAAGGACATCAAAAAATTCCATTCTCAGAGACACAAGAATACTCGAGACAAGCAGAAATTAGCACTACTGTCAAACTTAATAGACTAAATTTCTCGCAGCATTAATAGTTCTCAGCATCTAGTAAAAAACACCAATTGCATACCACAAATTACAAATCAAACAGTTTTGCCGTTAATGATCCATCCCTTCATTTCGCGAATAGCTTGTATACTTTTTCTAGTTTTCTCATCAGAATTTTGAACGTTCAATCCCCGGAGGTTTGAATTAAACGACTGAATTTGGAATTTAAGGGGTAAGTAGTGATCATTTGGCTCGCTATCCAGTATTTGTTCGTCTTGATGACCATCTACGAGAGTACGCGCTTCCTTCAATTTAGAAATGATTTTCAACCAACCGCTCTTTTGCTGGCTGTCTTTTCTGGATTTATTCTCAGGTTCCGTTTGTGTGCATCTGTCAATATTTGTTTTCGAGGAAACGCAGTTAATCCGCTCATTGTAGCCTTGAGCAGTCACTGATACGTTTTCCAGTTTAGACTCTAATGTGCTAATGATCCTTCTGAGAGAAAGGAGACAAGTGATGCTCAGTTCAACCCTCTGCTCAGTCTGGTGTTGTAGCAGCGGCTGCAAAACCAACGCCGCGATAACATAACTGAAGCTGGCTACAACGCCGGCATTGTAGAACAGCCTTTGCACAAACTCAAAAGATGGGTGCTTCTTAGCGATGGGAATAATAAGCTTCGCATCAGGCCAGTCGATAACATTTGGATTATGCCCATTGAGCACCATGGTAGAAATGCTTGTAATCTGCGTTAAGAGTTTAGAGTTGTATTATGTAAACCAATAATTTCTTACAATGATATTGATATTAGGGTCCCACAAAACAACCCGAAAATAAAACCGAGGAGATTTGATTTATAATTTCACATACTCTAGCTTTATCTCTTTCACAGTTAGACGTTTTCTCGCTTGAGTGCGGTCGCTTTTGGTAGACTGATTAAAATGGAGCTCACCTCTTGCTACCAGCACTTCAGTATTTACACATTCGACTCATTACTATAAACTTGACCCATATTATTATACGTTGCCTCCGATTTTGCTTTAGGATCAATATTTACCTCTCTTGAATTTGTCTGTCAGCCCCATATCGCCGTTTTCCTGCTTCGGCGTAGGCGTCTTCTCCTCGGTATTCAGGGGGGATACCTCACTTGACCGTCTCTTTTTGTGAAGTGGTCTGTTGGTAAAGGAGTTTTTAGTTCGCGGGTAAGATGTCGCGGTGACCGGTGACAGCATGCTATTAGTGTAATTGGACGGTGCGCTGGCTGGGATACTTACGGCTTTCTCGGCCTGCGACGAAGCCACGATAGATTCAAGACTTGCTAACGGACTGTTCAGTTTATTTGCTTTTTGGTAAACTTTGAGATTCTTCAAATAAGATATCACATCGTTAACTTGCAACGATCTCATAAAACTCTCTTGGACACCAAAGCTTGAAATATTGTTGAAAACACCAAACTGTGATCGTAGTTTTGTTATGGCGGAAAAGTTGGTAGGCACTCGCGAGCCTCCGTTTCCTGCAGATGGCCGCTTGGAATCATCTTCGGAGTTCTCAGATTTAATTTGATTACCGCTGAGTTCCTGAAATATTTCATGACACACTGGACTGGAAGTTATCAGTCGTTCTAACGAGCTCCACTCAATTCCAGGGACGAAGCTGTAACTTGTAATTTCGACCCACACCATTTTCAGGTTTGAATCAAAAATTCCCTTGATCTGTGAGAAGTTTGTCATGTTGCTACCGTCAGGATAAAAGTAGGTTGTAGTACAGCGCGGACAGTCGAAAAATATGGTGTTATTGCTCAGTACCTGAGCCCGCAGCTGCTGAGGTAAGATCTCGGAGCGAACCACCCCTGCAGCCCCCAAGGACTGGCATACTAGTGGAATTATCGGCGTGGTGAATTCAAATTGACGAGTCTCTTCACCACCTTTCGTTGAGTATCGTAAAATCCCATTTGGTGTAAACAGGTCGTTAGTGAAACGCATCCAATAATCAAAATCTTCTGCTCTACCTGTGGAAATGTTTATCAAATTTACGATCTCATGTAATCGTAAAATAGCCATGTTTGAAAGGTACTTGCGCATAGGATAGGGCATTGAGCTACTCGGCAGGTGGCGTTTTGTTTGGTCTTGAGGTATATTGTATGCGGCGGAGAAGTTTGGCACAGTATCATTTTGATTAGAATGAGGAGATCCGTACGCCACACCTGTTGATGCAGAAAAGGGTACGGCCCCAGGGGCAGCGTGTAAAGCACTTTGCGTGACGCCAATAGGTCCATTCAAATTAGAATTTGCCGCGCTCTTCGGGATGTGTCCTATTGCAGGGCCAGGTGCTAAACCCTGATTATTCATGGAATGCACTGATGCAGCCCCTGTTGGTGTAGGTTGCGAAGCTGCAAATGGCGATGGCATCGCAGAGGCTGGGTTCGATCCATTTGGCGGGAGATTTGGTGGCATTTGTAATTGCTGTGCTTGTTGTGGGCGTTGCTGGTGAATCGGGGATTGCGGAGTTGGTTGAATCCGAGAATTCATGCGTTGGGCATGACCTTGCATCTGGTTATGTTGTGGGACGGAGCTGGCCATCAAGTCGACAGAGTTTATTGGGGCTCGGCTCTGTCCTGAAGCCTGTGGTACACCTTCATGCGTATGATGGTTTGGAACAGTACGCGGCCCTGTCAGTGTATCGTGGACAACAGCATCGGGTGGATAAAGCGGCTGCGTTCGTGAAAATCCTTGATTTCCATACAGTTGCTGTGCACTATGTTGTGGCTGTTGAGAGTGCATCAACAGCAATTGCGACCATGCAAATTTCAAGTATGTCTGGGCCTGCTAGCGAATCTATAAGAGAGTAAAATCGAGGTGACCAATATGCCTTATTAAAGGGCCACAACTAGATGACTGAAAGCCTAAATAAGCTACTCGCAAGCGCAAGGTAGTTGCGAACTCTGGAATGCTCTTCGACCCCTGGTCTTTTCCAGCTGCTTTCTGATATTATTGTATACAATTAAGAACCGTAAAAGAAATACACCTGCAAATCTATTTATTATTATTGTTAATTTTAGACGTTAGAGGGGCCAAGTGCCAAAGAGACATAAATTGACTACAAATCATCTATTCAGTTGCTTAGAATTATTTGAATATTGGTAAGACTTAAAAACCAGGGGCATCAAAGAGAAACTGTGAGTTTCTCAGACTTTTCTCTATTTTACGACAGAATAGTACAAAGTGATTGAACAGTTCGCTACAAATAGCACGGTAAAGGCATCTAGTAACCCTAGCACGATATCACACCGTGCTATCTAAGGACTAACTCTTGCTTGAGTAAAGTTATTTCTGGCCTCTATGCAGAGAGCAGCTACCATTGTGCTATATGTTGCTGGAGGTCGATCGTGTAAAAAGGGTTTCAATAACTTGTAAACAAATGAAATTCCCTACTCTTATTTGGCACATATAAGTTTCTCTGCGTTTCGATAACGACTGTTTCGTATTTCCGCTTTCGACACTCGAACCAAGGCTCTTTGTAAAGCCCTACACTAAAATAATACTGCAGTTGAGAAACACTGTAGCAGATTTACTAAAATCATCCCCGTCAATATGTGGCGTAAACAGTCCCATCTTTGTTGGTGATGAGTCTCGTCATGCCATTTGAATTGTAGGATCTTCGGGGCTTCAGGAGCGCTGTGTCTTCGTCACCATCCACCCCCTCCCCGTCTGCAGAAGAAGAAGGACCTCGCGTTCTGCCTGCACGTCTTCGCAGTAGCTTGTTGATGGTGTCCTGTTTTTCCTCCTCGAGACGCTTCTCGCTGAGGTTTTTACGCTTCCGTGCGTTTTCCGCACGCCGCAATTGCAGCTCTTTTTCCGATAGCTTTGAATTTCTGCGCGATGAGTGATCCAACAGCTCCATCATCATTTTGTTGCGGTTGTTCGTCTTCATCTCTCGAGCCTTTTCCGTGGCGCTACTGCTAGCGCTGCCCTCACCTATGCCACCCACAGCGTCGTCTTCATCGTCTTCATCGTCGGCCTCTCCCAGGGTACGCAGATCGATAGCCCCGTTTCGACGTGCTCTTTTCGCGGGGCTTGAATCTGGCTCGTCTAGTTCGTCAGTGGTTGCCCTCTTACGGCCCGAGCCTCTTACTGTGTTCTCCACGTCCTCATCCTCTTCCTCTAGCTTCGAACGTCCTTTCTTGGGTCTTCCGGTTGCGTTTACCTGTGCCGATTCTTCGTCTTCCTCGAATTCTGGCGTATATTGGTAATCATCGTCCTCTTCTGGTTCTGATCCGGCAACTTCATCGTCGAGAACATCCGGAGAATTTTCATAAACCTCTTCGTCTAATTCAACTGAAGACAATTCACTATCCATCCTTGGTCCAATATAGTACTCCCAGCTTAGTACAGTGTGCTGGATAGGCAGAGCGTTATGTGCTTGAGTATGTATATAATGATTGTGATAATTGTATATGCAATATATATAATATATATTCATTGATTTATCGATGGAATTGACATACATGAACATGAAGAAACGTTCACAAGGAAAGTTTGTCTGAAAGGTTGCGACTGTTCAATAAAAAGCTTTAAATTATGTATACAGAACTTTTGTTCTGTAAGTCCAAGGTTTTCGTCCACTGCAGTTCGAAATCCGAGGATAACATCCCCGGATTTCTGTTGATCACTAGGGATACCCAACAAGCCAACCTAGATGCTACTTTAACATGGATCCCAGAGAAAGAACTGGATAGGGCGCAATACGATGAATTGATGAGAGCGGATCTGCAAGGCGTGGGAGCTCAGAGAAAAATTAGGGTCAAGAAAGATGTTGTCGTGCAGGCTCTTTACGCAGCGTGGGCGTTCACTGTGAAAGTAAGCTCAATCTATTCGATTCAATTTCGACCACCCAGTCCGAGCGGATGGTGGTTTGGATCAGTTGCTATTCACTGCAACAATCCGTCAGAATTGGATTCTATTCCGGTTCTTTTCTTCCACGACAATATATGCCCATCCACTAGAGAAAAGCAAAAAAACTTGTCCAAGTCGTTTGATCCTTTTAGCGGCAATGACATTTACTGGGGAGCAAATGATGTTCGCGATGCGCTGTTAGAGGTGGCTGATTTGAAGCAAACATTTGTAGATCCATCAGTGTGGCTCGTGAACGCAACTTTGGATGACCTCAGAAACTTCTCTGCAGACAGTTTGAAGCGTAAGAGTCAGGATGCTCGCAAGGAATCCTCAGCAGCGTCGACTGGAAGTACAAAGTTCTGGGACGTCCTGGATCAGGCGAAATGGAATTTGATGGCCAAATTTGCGGATCTGACTACCAAGTCCACGAACAAAATGACTGACATGTTCAACCAGCATCCAATAGTTAAATTCGTTGACAAACACAACAGCAATCCTTATGTCAAGCAGATATTGACAAACCCTAAAGTGCAAGAGATTCAAGACGATTTTGATTCGGCAAAGATATACTTAGCGAAATGGGCGCTCGGAGTCAAGGAACAAGCTGAAAGGTACCAAACTGCCAATGGTCTTGATGATTCCTATAGGCGCTTGCTTTTTCACGAGCTAGGAAGCGATGGAGAAGATGTCCAATTGACTGACGAGGAACTTAACATTGCGCTGCAGCGATCCCACCCTTTATCCGTCAATAAATGGAAAACTTTTTTCGATTCGGAAGGTCGGCTAGTTTTGACCGTCCAAGAGGTGAAGGATTATATTTTCCATGGAGGCATTGGGGATCCCAGTCTACGCAAGGAGGTGTGGCTCTTCTTGTTGGACGTCTACCCTTGGGACTCTTCCGCTGAGGATAGAAAGGTCTTGGAGAAAACATTGAGGGACGGGTATCGTGCTAATTATAAGAGTAGATGGGAATATCGTGAAGCTCATCTCGACGAGGACGAAGAGGCGTATTGGCTTGATCAGGTCCTCAGAATTGAGAAAGATGTTAAGAGAAATGACAGAGATTTACCGCTTTACAAGCACAACACCGAAAATGGGCAGCCACCTTCCATACCGGTTGGTGAGGATCAGGCCAATGAGGATGTAGAAAATGACGTCTGGACGGTGAAAAATCCTCATTTACAGAAGCTGCGCAGTATTTTACTCAGTTACAACATTTATAACAACGATCTGGGTTATGTTCAAGGAATGTGTGACTTGCTGTCGCCAATTTACTACATTTTGGAGGACGAAGAGCTTTCATTTTGGGCCTTCGTGAGCTTCATGAATCGCATGGAGAGAAACTTTTTGAGAGATCAGTCTGGCATTCGGGACCAAATGCTCACTTTAACCGATTTGTGTCATTTAATGTTACCAAAGATGAGTGACCATTTGGCAAAGTGTGATTCTTCCAATTTGTTCTTCTGCTTCAGAATGCTAATTGTATGGTTTAAAAGAGAGTTTGAGTTCAATGACGTTTGCAGTATTTGGGAAGTCTTTTTGACAGATTTTTATTCCTCGCAATTCCAGCTTTTCTTCATGCTTGCTGTCCTTCAAAAGAATAGTGGACCTGTCATGAATAACCTTGACCAGTTTGATCAAGTTTTAAAATTTTTCAATGAACTAAGAGGCACAATGGATTGGAATGATCTTATGATCAGAAGTGAACTATTATTTGTCAAATTCAAAAAGATTATGGACATTCTTGAGAGGAAGGAAGAGCTGAACGAATATACGCTGCTGACAGCAGATGGAAATGTCATTACAGAGACCTCTGCAATGGCCGTCGATAATTCGCTACAAGCTCAACCTTCACTAGTCACGGCCAATTTGAAGCAGTTACTATCCAAAAAAATAGTTGTCAAAAGAGAACCACCAAGAGAAAAGAATTCTATAAGATAGCAGGTGAGACCTGTCGGTCACGTCCAACTCTCCCAGCAACTGTTGGTATCCGTGAAAAAAAGGTTTAAAGGAAAACATTGGAAGTTCATGAAGTTTATGACGTTTAGGAAGTTTAAATTGATATGATTAAAATACACATTAAATAAGAAAAGCAAGACATCTGCTGAAATTTGTCAATAATTCATCAAACTGACGTTATGGTTGCAAAGAATCCGAGATTTTATACTAAATCACTTGCTATGAATCTTTTCCTCATCTCGATACGACCCGAACCATGCTTTTCTGTTAATTTCTTGACATCTTCCTCAGTACCTCTTCTGAGGGCTTCGTCATCATCACGAGTCCAAATGCCCGGAACATTTAGAGGTGGGTTAGCCTTCATACTAAACATGCACAAAAAATATCGAGGAAACACCATCAAATCTCCCGAAAGCGCTGTCAATATACTGGTGCTAAAGGTTTTTCGTACCCCTGCTTCCTCGCAAAGATCTTGAACTAGTTTTTCAGCTTGAGAAGCCTCGTAATCCCTCGATATTATTTCATTGATCTTATCAACAAATTTACGGGTCGAGTTCAGTCGGAAAAAGTTAGGCATGAAGAGATCATTAGAAGCAAGTGGGGGAGGAAACGAAAAAGTGTCGGGGTCTATGTTATCAAATTGACTCTCTTCGTTGGTAAAGTCATTTCGAATGGACTCAGCGATTTCCTGTGGGTATTCAAACGCCGTCCCGCCTGCGGATTCAATCTTAGACAAATCACGTCTAAGGCCAGTAATGAAATTAAGGGTTTCTTCATCCAATAAGTCAGCATCAGAAATACCCGATGGGTCGGTCTTTGAGGGTTTACTGCCCTTAGCCACAGTTTTCGTTCTTTGAGAAATATTTGACGATTGTTCTTCAGCAGCTTGTTCATTATCGGGAAGCTTGATCTTCTTTGGTTGGCTGCTATAGTTTCCTGGAGTTCGCTCACCTGGCCGCTTGGGTCTGTTTGTTAAATTTTTCATAGCTTCCGGGACGCGATCTTGTGCGACTTCGTGTTCATAGTATTCAATGTACCTGTCTATTCCATAAGTCAAAAGAAATTTGCGAAACCGGTCTCTCCAGGCATTCTCGGTATGCGTGGGATTTCTTTGAGTATAGAGTTTGAAAAATTCCCGAGGAACAGGCCCGCGTCTCTCTCCGACTCTAAAGGCTTCTAGGCTGGGTTCAGATCCAGGTTCAACATTTGCTTCCATCGTTATAGCCCGTCGAGCAGCTTCACTAGGAGAATCGCCATTCTCGATGAGCGACTTGCCTGTCTCCGGATCGACTTGATAGAGATCACGGTAAAACTGACGTTTGATATTCAATGCCAAATCGTAGTCCTCAGAGGCAATGAATTTGTTTTTCAGAGATTTTGGTAAAACTGTTGTCTTTATTAGTTCACCGTTTTCGTCGCGCACCAATCGACCCTGATCGTCAACCTCGTACACAAAATCTAGTCTTTTGGCAAGGTACGCACGGTAGCGATGTCTGATGGAATTTCCAGTGTGTGCCGGAACAAACCGGGATATTTCGTCGAACAAAGTGTGTGTTGTTCTTCTAGAAGGGTTTTTCCTAACTACTTCCAAGATAAAATTATCTTCTTCGGAGGTAAAGTTAGCTTTATTTTGGGCTGCAACGTAGCGTTGCTTGGAGTGCTCGTCTTCGTCTTTGGCCTTTACTGCAGCATTCTCAGTCGCCTGAGGAAGGGCCGGTCTGTGAGGTAGCGATGTGCTCCCTGTGGTTGATGTGGTCGCCTGCTTCGGCCCATTGGAAACTTGCACACCAGTCTCGTCACCCAAGGAAGAATTTGCAGGGTCACATTCTGGTTTTGACACATTAAGTTTGATAGTGGCTACTCCGCTTGCGGGTTGGGCTTTCTTTGGCGAACTTGAGGCAGTAACGGATTTCTTGACATTCGTGCGGCTGTCGCTTTCCCCTGACTTTTCAGTGATGGGATACATGGCAGGAGAATTCCCAGTACCAGAATCATCACCATTGTATCCACTGGGCTGTGTTTCCGTGTTTAGACCGCTGTATGGGACAAGAAACCTTCCCAATTTCAGTAGTACGCGCGTGGCACAGCACTCTCTAACATAGGCTGAAGTTACTGTCGGGAGATCAGCAGTGTTTGTAGGAGAGACCACGAATTCCTTACTAGATTGACCGGAGGGAAGTTCCTTGAGAACCTTCCCGCCATGCAATTCAATCAATGGCTCAAGTTCCTGGCGAAGATCTTCTTGTGCTACGAAAAAGGCGAGATCCTGGAAAATATTGGCTTGATCATTTACTTCATTAGCATTGGTGCTATTATCACCGCTCTTGTCCTGCGCTTCTGCCGATGCGTTATCCTCGGCTGGCTGTGTGGAAACTGCATCCACAAAGTTGTTTGTTGACGGTGACTCAAAGTCATCTCCCTGCGACATCTTTCTGAGTTTCAATTCGTCCCTCGCTGTGTTTCCCGCTCGAGGTAATAAACCTGGAGAAAGATCTCTTTTTGCGTGTCTGGGTGGGATTCAACCAAGTAGACTGTCTCGTTTATTTGTTGTCGCGTAACACCCAAAACCCAAGATGGGGAGTACTCATGGGAGTGAAGGATGATATCCAGACACGATATCATTCACCGTTAAAAATGATTCCACATTTGGGCAATTCGCGTTGACGGTGGAAGACGGTGGTGGGCACGTAAAGGCTCTGTTGAACATACCATTGGATTGTGCTAGGTCGTTATTAATATGTGTTCTGATGGTATAGCGTAGTGATTTTGTTCCTAAGGTAACTTCCGTCAGTATTAAGGTCTTTTGGTTTTGGCGGTGAAATCTTGAGAGTAGATTTGCTCAATTGACTCTCATTCGCGGCGGCGATTAGATAAGGATGAATAGAGGTACTTTGGAGTTTTTTTGGGAATTGTGGTTGTCCTATGGGACCCGCTTTCTCTGTCGACAATGACTTCGGCGGCAAAGACGAACCCGAAGGAAATTTCGCAACATGATTCAACAAACAGTTGCACATTCCTTAATAATGCAGCGTATCGTTGTCGTTTTAAGGAGAACATATTGATATAATAAAATGAAGCTCATCCCGCCCATGTCTTTGAATTGACGTGTTCTTGGTTTTTGGGCATTCGGTAGTTCGTTGTGCCAGCCGCGTTTATATTTCGGGGCTCAGTAGCCTGACGGAATTTCGGCAACTATTGGGTCTGGCCTTTCTTTGTCTTGTATTGTCGCCATATTTGCAGGCTGGGAGTAGTTGTCAAATATTATCAGATATCACATAATAATAATAAGAATAATAAGAATAATAAGAATAATAAGAATAAGAATAATAAGAATAATAAGAACAATAATATATATATATGTATATATATGTATATTACAGGTATGCTATAGATGACTTATAAAATGTCAAGCCTGAACTCCGTAAAAGTATGCCAAAGCGATTAGCATTTCCCGTCTGCAGCGAGTGAAGTTCTTCTTATGAATATGCACTTTAAAGCTTTGATCAGTAGTGAAAAACATTCTTTCTACCCAAATTGTCTGCACCCAACTTGGTGCAGGAATTCGTGATAGCGACCACCTTTGAACACGTACTCTAATGCTGAGAGTTTACCACCACTAACACAAGCGGAATCTAAGCCCTTGGTGCTATGACGGAGGTTCAAACCGCGGCCCGCGTCATGTCCATATAGAACGGTAACGCCTTCAGGCGCTGATTCGCGGGTCCAGAGCTTGAACCAGCGACGGGCTTTGTCAAACTTGAATTTGGATGTTTTTGAGTGGTCTTTCGGCAGCATATACTTCATCGTCGTGATGGACTTGATGTTGAGAGAATCAAATTCTTGATATTCCGGGGCGAGCCCCGCATGAACGGCCACCAGCGTCTGTCCCGTTGGCGTCAAATTAATTTGCAGTTCAGCACTGCACAAAGAAGCCAGAGCCGCTAAATTAGACTGCCCGAGTTGTTGCGCTAAAAGTCCGTGCTGCGAGCTTACCTGATCGCGCGAGGGGATGTAGCTCTCGGTGCTGAACTCCAAGGGATCCCACCGCGAGCCTTTATCCTGCGCAAAGTTTGTCCTGAGGCCCTTTTTGTTCAAGTACGCAAACATCACATCTATTTCATGGTTTCCAAGAACACAGTGCGTGGAGTTTGCATTTTCTCGCAAGTAGTGAATCATTTTTGCCGAGTCAGGTCCTTTGACGATGAAGTCGCCTAACAGCACAACTTTGGTGTTGGGCCTCGAGGCATCCACTTGCTGCATAAGTTCCTGGAACTCTTTGAACATCCCGTGTACATCTCCCACAAAAATCCATCTATCATGTTGCGATGCATTGACAACTCTTTGCGTGGCAATTAACGGTAGCGACGGACTGGGAATGAGCGCCACTATGTAGTAGGTATATCCACAGAACAGCAAGACGAAGAATGTTACACCCGCTGACGCCCAAAGCCGCCCCACATTTGACAACATCACCTATTACACAAGTACAACTGTAGAATGGCAAGTGTCCGAGCCGCGTGATTGAGATAGAAATATCAAACCCCTTCTGTTAAATAGTTCCCCGACCAGTCTAGTTGTGTTCATTAGTCTTGGAAAAGGTGCTGCAATGACATTCGTAGGACGCGATATTCATACAAGGAACTCGAGCACCTACAGCACAAACACCCGGGACGTGGCAGGAAGCTGCTGTTGGTACAATCGAGTGCTAGAGCTTCAAGTGATCACAATTGACATACAGTCGGGTGGTTAGGTTTCTGTTGGATGTTGCAGACCGACAGGCCAATCAAGTTAGTGCTGATCACGTGAGACAGGAAAATGGAACAACTCATCAACGGCTTTGGTTTATAGCGCCCGTCTGTTCATAAGCTAGTATACATGGTGCCCAAGGGGGAGTTTTCATTCTTACATCGGCCAAGATGTCCACCATCGCTATTTTTGACCAATGGAGTATATTTGTCGTTGTGACACTGTGATCGTCGTCACTTTTTTCTACAATGACACCTATAGTCCGTCAGAGGCAGACCCGCTTATACTTAGCACCCAATTTCATTATCCGGCGTAATGAGCAGCATCATAAACGCGACAATCGTCCCGGTTTCTTCGTCACACCAGATTAAAGCATGTTCTTGTACAAACTACAGAACTGCCAAAATTTTTTTTTAACTCCAAGACTCTTTGCTCTCCTCCAAACGTCCTTGACCACTTCCACACAGTTCACAGAGGTTTTGAGCCAGGAGTCCTCTTGAACCTCGCACAGCCTCTTCGAGCCCAAACAGAACAAACAACCATCACTTAATACGGAGGATATAGTCGCGGCCTGGGGAAGATAAAAAGAACGATTCTACAGCCCCAAAAGTGCATTCTAGGTTTTTAATTATCCTGGATTTTGGTCTACTAGTTGTTATATATACTTAATGGGGCTTGTTTTGTTTTATAACCAGAATTTCATAGCTCTCGAATTTTCAACTATGTCGAGGTACAAGTACACTATGGCCGACTCGAGCCAACTCTAAGGTGGCACTATATTCAGGCCTTCCGGTAATATTAGTGTCGCTTCCGCTGCTATTAAATGTTATTTATTCTTCTCATGATTCTCTCAATTTTCTACCATTTAAACTTTACAAATGACGTATTTTATCATACTAATCATGTAAAAAAACCTTGATCAACGAAGTAATCCAGTCCTCAACTCAATTACACCAAAAATCGAATTGAACGTGGAGTGTGCCAGCTAGAGCATATCTTTGATACTGTTACAGTTGGGAATAAATATTTGCCAACGAAATAAAGTATCTTTCAGAGCACAATTCTGAGCAGGCCCGAAGAGTGGTAATTCATAGGCCAGATAGGGTTAATCTAGATAGTGCACCATCGGTATCTTGTTGGCACCTGCATAGATTTAAGCTTCACCATGAGTCCAGCGGAAATTCCTGAGGAGGTCATCAATTGGGACACACTCAGTGAAATCGTGTCCATGGATGAAGACAGTCCGGACTTCTCGAAAAGCCTCATTATTCAATTTTTCGACCAGGCAGCCACAACGTTCGACCAGATCCAACACGAACTGGACGGAAGATGCCAGCTCGAGGAACTGGCCTCCCTGGGCCATTTTCTGCGTGGATCTTCGGCTGCCTTGGGATTACAACGCATTGCCTGGGCGTGCGAACGTATACAGAACTTGGGACGCAAACGCGAGGGTGCATCACAGGGCGAGAGCCCTGCGGATACACACTATGCCGAACTGATAAGGGAAAACTTGGTGACCGCAAGACAAGAGTTTGTGAGGGCCAAAACGGATCTTTCTGCGATCTACAAGTGTGAGCTATGAATTGTATGATGAATTTTAGTTCAATCTTTCTACCACACATTGCGTAAATAATATTTCCTAGTGTACACCTACAAGCGCTGGAACGTCAAATAATAATACACACCACAACAACTAAAAGTGATACATGCGAAAATGCGTGTTATCCAGCATCTCTCTCAAAGAGTTCCGGATCGTGTTTTTCCCCTAAGTGTGGGCCTCTCATGAATTGCAGATCCTGCCGCTGGCTATTGCTTTGTACTTCGTGGGGGAAGTAATCCTGTGCCACTTTTCCATCCACAAAATCTGGATTGTACTTATAGTCCTTGGCATAACCTAACTCTGTCATAAGTTTCGTAGGCGCATTACGCAAGTGCATCGGAATATCAGCACTTGCAAACATATCATGATTCTCGCGCAATCTGGTATTGACTGCTTTCCAGGCTCTGTATAACTGGACGGATTTCGGAGCTCTGGCCAATGCCACCGAACAATGTGCGAGAGATAAATCCGCTTCTGGTAATCCTACTTTCATGACCGCATCATGTGCGGCTACGGCCAATGGTAACAATGAATGATCAAGGACGCCAACATCTTCCGAAGCGATACGAATCATGCGACGGGCAATAAATAACGGATCTTCACCGCCCTGCAACATTCGAGCCAAGTAGTAGAGGGTGGCATTCTCGTCGCTTCCTCGTATCGATTTATGGAAGGCTGAAATGGTATCGTAATGATTCTCGCCTTTCTGGTCATAATACGTTCGCAGCTCTGAGGAATTGCCATGTATAATTTCGCGGACACTATCCAGTGTTAATTCTCGTGGATCTTTTCTGGTAGAAACCTCAATCATTTCCAGAAGGTTCAAAGCTCTTCGGGTATCCCCTATCGAAATTTCAACGATATATTCCAGGACTTTTTTATCAAGTCTGAGTGGATGATCAGTTTTCCATACAAGGTGGCGGCACTTGTTTAGCATGCTGACGCCACGCGATAATACCATACACATTTCGGCTGTGTTCAACTTCGTTAATACGAAAATCTGACATCTGCTCATTAGAGCGTTGTTGAGCTGAAAGCTAGGATTCTCTGTTGTTGCACCAATTAAAACAATATCGCCAGACTCTACGTGAGGTAGAAGCAAATCTTGCTGTCCTTTGTTGAAACGATGTATCTCATCTATGAACACAACGGTGAGCCGTTTAGTTAAGGAAAATTCACGCTTGGAATCGTCGAAGATTTTCCGAAGTTGTTGAGCGGTAGCCTTTGTAGCACTTGTTTGTACCAAAGTATACGAAACGCCATTAGCGGGATCTTGATTGACAGTTTTAGTCAATAGCCTTGCCAGCGTCGTCTTCCCTACTCCGGGAGGACCCCACAAGATCATCGAAGGAATTGTGCCGTTTCGCACATAATTGTAGAGTACCCCATGCTCCGAGGAAATTATATGCTGCTGACCAACGTATTCACTTAGCTCCCTTGGCCTTAGTTTTTCGCTCAACGGTTGGTGGATGATTTTTTGCAACTGTCGCAGGTCCTGATCGCTCTTAGAAATTGGGTTCTTCGAGGATGTTAGAACCTTTCCACTGGGTTCTATGTCGTTTTTCGCACGCTTAATGCTGTCCTCGACGTCAATCACTTCGGGCTCGTCTGCTGGCTTCCGTTTGCTCTTTAAAAGGCTGGTTAAGGTGGACCCTTTGTTTGCCGGCTTGGCACCCTTTGAAGTGCACTTATCCAAATGGTCATTGATTGCAGAGTATTTGATCTTGCAATTGCATACCGGACATGAGATCAACTGCTCGTTTTTCGATTGGCTCATTGTCTATGGCAATCAGGCTTTCAAATGATGTGTTGAGATTGAGTTATGTGAAAGACAAACTTCCTTACAGATCATTAAGGTCAAAACATGAAAAAAGCTCCATGCCTGTTTCTATATGTATTGGGTTTCTGTATTCATAGTTATCTAAACGCGGGGCCTTAGTTTATCAATTCGTAGATGTCGCCAAGCTTGTCAGCGTAGTATTTTGGTAGAGGATGATCGCCAGAAGCGTCAGTAGCATTGGCTTCTGTTTCGATACCAGTAAGAACTAATAGCGTCCCACCTAGTTTCCCCTCTACCCCAAACCTAATGTCAGTGTTTAGCCGGTCGCCCACCATGCAGCATTTCGACCTATCCAAGTTCTTCGCAGTAACAATGGCGTTTAGCATGTTTGGATTAGGTTTGCCGCAAGCCGCGGGCTCTCTGCCAGTAGCAAATGCGACGCAATTGATCATAGAACCAGCACCTGGCAAAACGTATCCCTTGTTGGGATAGGTGGAATCAATATTGGTTGCCACGAACTCAACATCCGGCTGCTGTAAATACTGTAAGGTGATGGCCAGACGATGGTAGTTCACTTTGGTGTCGAGACCCGCAATAACGCATTTAACGGCTGGGTCTAGCCCCTCTTTGATAAAAGGAGAAGTGGTAATGTCGAAGGTTTCATCCAACCGCGAATCGTTGCATCCCAGGGACTCAAAACCCATCAGCTTAAGTTCGTCGACTATCCCTTGCTCTCCAAAAACCCAAATTTTATCGTGGCCTGGCTTCAGTTTGAGCGAGTCCCGTACGTGCAACGCAGAGGCGTAGCCTGACGTAAATATTTGATCCTCGCCAACAACAATTCCAAAAGATGCAAACTTCTTTGCATAAGCAGCGCGCGACTTAGTTGAGTTATTTGTAACAAAATATAATGTTTTTCCCTGCGAGGTCAGCAACTCCAGTGTCTCCTTTATGTGGGGCAGCAAGTGAGTTCCTAACCACAAAACTCCATCACAGTCAAACAAAAAAGTATCATATTGATTTAGTAGGTTTTGTGAGACTTCCTTAGAGTCAATCTTGATCGGAATGCTACTCTGAGTCATATCAAGCTGAAAGAAAGTTATATTTATGTAGTCCCTTAGTTGAACACGTTTGCACAATGGTAACAATTACTTTCGATCATGTATTTTACAGACACTTTATATAATTCCTGACTTGAGGGATTTGCATAACAAGCGGTAGATCTCGAACCTACGCTGAGAAAAGCCAGAGTAAATCTGTCTCGTGTCAATTACAGCACATGTAGATATGTTTCCATGTATATAGATGCGTGAGTTTGTAGACGTGAACCGGTTTCTTCGATTCAGAGCTTTCACACGCGATTAAATTCCATTCCGTCAGAATGTTCTCTTTGAATTTCTGATGTGAGCTTAGGCTTGAAACAGATGCATACGTTATCAACAGCTCTTGGTAAAAAGCGTTACGTCCTTTATTTGTCTTTGGTAATGATTGTGCCCTTTAGTGTGTTGAATTTAGTTGCCGGAGGGTTGCCTGACGTACCAATTTGGATACCAACTGTTTTAGATTGGTTGCTTGAGTTTCAGTTCATTTAAAACACCCTAATTGAGGTACAATTGACGTTGAATATATGGACAAGTTGTCAGATTATTGACATGCTCGTTTTTCCAGGGTATTCTGCAGGAAACCATGAAATGCTTGGGATACCTTGCCAAACAAAATGCTCAAATGCACATTTTCTGAAGCTCCTCTTGAATGGCCAAAGTCAGATTGGATACCCTGTGCTTATGCTTGGCTTTCATGAAGTGGTATGCACATAACTTTTAGTTAATCTAATTTGTGTACTGACGAATTAAAGAAATCATCGAAAACTCTCGTATATCGCCCGGCAGCCCAGAGAATTCACCACAGATTCTTCAAAAGAGGTCCATCCACTCATAATCTTGGATTAGTTAGGCCATTCGGAGCTTTTTAAGTTCTTCATTCTGCATACCAAATATACACAAACAGTTCGCTGATTAGCGTTCTAGCATGAAACCTGGAACATTTCTGCTCCTGGGACTGCTAATTACAGCCCGGCTATTCTTACAACCAATCTATTCGCTTGTCTCGGATTGTGACGAGACGTTCAATTACTGGGAACCACTGAATTTCTTGCTACGAGGCTTTGGCAAACAGACATGGGAGTACTCTCCAGAATACTCCATCCGCTCTTGGGCTTTTTTGTTACCGCTGTATGCTAGCCTTTCACCTTTTAAGAAAATCATACCTCTGCTCGGGCTGCCGCCTTCCACATTGTTCTACATAGCAAGGTTTCTAATGGGCTTTTACAGTGTGGTAATGGAATGGCTCCTATTCCGCGAAATTGACACGAAACTCTCCTCATTCACCGCCAATATTTGGTTGTTACTTCAACTGCTTAATCCAGGCTGGTTTCATGCCTCAGTTGAGCTACTACCTTCCTCTTTCGCCATGGTAACAATGCTTGGATTCATGAAATTCGGCATACGGTACTTGTCCAACCGTTCAGCAACTCCCTTCATACAGGCCTTGTCATTTAATTTCGTTAGTGGGGTATTAGGCTGGCCATTTGTACTGATACTGAGCATTCCTATGGTCTTCCATTACGTTTTAACACACAGAATATTGGCCACAGTCAAAACTGGTTTTGCCAGTATTTTACGACTACTGAGCGTCATTTCCACCATTTTCTTGGTTGACTCTGCATTTTATGGAAAGTTTGCTCCTGTGGCATGGAATATTGTTATGTACAATGTCATTGCTGCGGATGAGAACAGCGGTCCCAACATCTTTGGCACTGAACCATGGTACTACTATCCGTTGAACCTTTTACTTAACTTCCCAATACCTACATTGATGGGCTGTGTGATTGGTGTTTTGAGCAATTGGAGGTTGGCTCCAATTTGGGGGTGTTTATTTGTATGGATGGCTGTGTTCTTGAGTCAACCGCACAAGGAAGAGAGATTTTTATACCCGATCTACCCAATGATTACCTTGGCAGCTAGCGTTGGATATACAAACTTTTGGAAAGGCAGAAAAGTCTCAAGAATCGTCCGCAACACCTTCTTTCTTGCTTTATTTATCTTGACACTGAGCCAAAGTTTTATGCGGGTTTTTGCTCTGGTGAAGAACTATACAGCTCCATTGGACGTCTACGCTCATATCCCACCTGCCACTGGTCCCCAAACAATTTGCGTCGGTCGTGAATGGTATCATTATCCAACGTCGCTGTTCTTAGAAGATGATTCTAGACTACGTTTTACCAACTCCGGCTTTGATGGATTGTTGCCTGGTGACTTCAAAGAAACTCATAGCATGCTGAACAGTATACGAGAGATTCCTGCTGGTATGAATAACGAGAATAAGTTCGATCCTTTGAAGTTAGTGGGTGCTGATGAATGTGATTATTATATTGATATTGTCCTACCCAGTGATGACACCAGGGATAGCTTCGATCCAACTTTAATGGAGGATGAATGGGTATGCATCTACAGAACGGCTTTTATAGACGTTGCAAGCTCCAAATTTTTGGGTCGTGCATTCGCCCTGCCCGAAATATTTTTGAAGTACATGCCTGGACAGGAAATTTGGTCTCGTATTTACGAAGCCAAATATCTCGACTACTGCATTTTCGAGAAACAAACAGAGCAAGTATGATGCTGTCTATACCCTCATGCTAAGTTGAAGTGCAACCTTATATGTTTTCTGAAATGATTTAGTCGTTATGTATCTATCTTACAAAAGAAATGGTGACTTCGGAGGGCCTACTTAGTTAACCTCTTTGTAGACCATGCTTTCTCTCGCAGGGCCAGTTCCGACCCATTGGACTGGAACACCGAGGTAATCTTCGATGAACTTCAAGTATTTCTTGGCGTTTTCAGGCAAATCTTGGTATTCTGTGATCTTGGTGATGTCCTGCTCCCAGCCTGGAAGAGTAACGTATTCAACGTCGACTTTGCCTAAAGTGATAAGATCCTCAGGGAAAAGATCCAACTTCTTACCTCTCAAAGAGTAAGAAACACCAACTGGAATCTCCTTAAAGGTGTCAAGAACGTCCAGCTTGGTAATGTTCAAACTGGTGTAGCCGTTGATGAGGGTTGAATATTTCAGAACAACAAGATCGAGCCATCCACAGCGACGCTTACGACCGGTGGTAACGCCGTATTCAGCACCAATGTCCTGCAATTTCTCACCGTTTTCGTTCAATTGTTCGGTGGGGAATGGACCTTCTCCGACTCTGGTAGTGTAGGCCTTAACTACACCGTAAACTTCATCAATGACTCTGGGGGGCAGACCTAGACCAGTGCAAACTCCTCCGATACCAGTGTTGGATGAGGTGACGAATGGATAGGTACCGAAGTCGATATCCAACATCAGAGCGTTGGCACCTTCGACCAGAATCTTTTTGTTGTCACGAATGGCGTTGTGCATGAAAACGACAGAGTCCACCACAAAAGGCTTGAGTTGCTCACGGTATTGCTTGTAACGCTGAAGCTCGCCCTCCATGTCGTAGTCGAATGGGCCGTAACGTTGTTGTCTGGTCTCCACGAGACGTTTGTACTTCGTAACAAACTCGTCCCAAGCTTCTGGCTCGTCGTTGACCAAGTGGTGGACTCTTAGGCCGGATCTGGAAGCCTTGGTGGCGTAGGTAGGACCAATACCTTTTCCAGTGGTACCAATGTTTTTGCCATCCTTGGACTTGCCTGAAAGCTCGGCTTCTCTGAGCTTGTCGGTGCGTTGGTGGAAGTCAAACACCAGATGCGCCCTGGACGAGACAAACAACCTGGAACGCCCATCCTTGAGGCCCTTGGCCTCAAGTTGTTCGAGTTCCTGGAAAAAAGATGGAATATGCATCACAACCCCGTTACCAATCAAATTCTGACAGTTGGGGTTGACCAGCCCGGAGGGCAGCATGTGGAAATCGTACTTCACCCCTTCCACTACAATGGTATGCCCAGCGTTGTTCCCACCGGCACTACGGGCCACGATGTCATACTTGCCCACTAGCAAATCCACCAACTTGCCCTTACCTTCATCGCCCCATTGCGAACCTAGAACCACGTTGACCATCCTAAATGCGCTTCTTCAAACTACAGATTATGACCCGATCAAATAATCCTACTCAACCTTGATAGTAGAGTAACGATACCAGACCTAACTATTGAAGCTTAAGACGTATAAATATATACCACTTAAACTTGCCGGATTTCAAACCATTAAGAGAAAATACAAGAAAGAAGTTAGAATTGAATGAGCAAGAATCTTACCAGACAAGAGCTTTAGGAGCCAGGAAAATTATTAAAATTATCATGGCAATTTTTTTTTATATACTGCCCTTCGACATGCGCTGCTGCCCTATCGGTTGACCTCCTGCCAGCATCAGGCTTGTGCGCTCATGTAGTGGAGGACGAAATAATACCATATTAATTAGCATTTCAATTAATTATAGTCGCTCTCTTCAGGGCCAGGTGACTGAGGCGGAGGTGCAGAGGGGAAGATATCTTAGACGGCCATCCAACGTCCCGCTCCTCATTAATTGATAAGTAGTAGACCGGGCAGGCATTTCGGGATGGAAGGGGTTGCACTCGTGGATTTTAGACGTCAGATGGCCAAGATTGCACGGCAGAGTGATTATCTAGTAGAAAGTGATCCTTGGCCGAAGTCAATTGAAGGAGACACAGAGTCACTATTCAGAGTCACATTTGGCGAGATAATGTTCGTAATAAAGGATAAAATATGGCCAGCCGTCATGTGACTAGGATGAATCACTTTAGCATTTCGTGTCCAGACCTGGTCATTACCGACGAGAGAGAGAGAGAGAGAGAGAGAGACGGATCTTGGTAGTGCACTGTGGTTGATATATTCAATGGCTCATCGCAGCCAGCAGGAACAACACCGGCGGTGCCTGTACCAGAACGACCATTCTAGCCCTCTTCTAGATGTCTGGTAAGAAGCTGAAGAATAAGAACCAGCTTTTTAAACGGCAGAAAGTGATTGATGCCAGGACCATCAGAACCGAAGCACTCAAGGCCGCACCTAGAGATGTGGGAGAGCTATCGGAAAGCGGCAGTATGCTGAAGGTGAACGACTTCATGGCATCTCGAGAGTTTGAGGTCAAACAATTGCAGCTGGCTATGCACAAATCGAAGGCAGCTTCATCCACGAGGGTCTTCCAAGCTCTGCCAAGAAAGTTGCGTCGCAGAACTGCCTCCCACAATGTTAAAAGGATCCCTAAGCGTCTGAGAAACCGTGCTTTGCGTGAAATGAGGAAGAGCGAGCAGACGATAACGAGGGGCACCCCGGCAATGTCCAAAAAGAGAAAATATGGCCTCACTGCCAAGCAATTGTACAAGGCACGAATGGCAGTTAAGTTGCTACGCCTGGCTGCCAGGTCCAAATCCATGAAGCTGGGTCTCCCCTCAGAGGCCACTGCATCACGCCATAAGCTGCGGAGTCGGATTAAGGCTCTACAGAAAACAATTCGGCAATGCACAAGTGGAAAAGCCGGGCCCAACCGAAACAATCTACTTGGCAGCTACGATTCCACGGGGATTGGCGCGCCAGCAATGCGACCATTGGGTAGGATCAAATACGCTAAGCGGCAGCATACCTACACGTGGCTTCCCACCCATGTCTGGCATGCGAAAAGATCTCATATGCTCAAAAGGTGGGGTTACCAAATTCCTTGGTCTCCGACACAAAAATGCTTTAAGTTGACGCATAAACTCGGTAACTCCGTGTCGACTTCAGACGGTGCTATGTGCGCAGATACGAGCTATATGGGAACGATGATTATATCATCAGAGGACACAGTCTTTTTGCAAGGTGTTATAAGTCAGTTGACCAATAAAAGAGGATCCTTGGCTAAATATCGAAACTCTCATCATTGGTTTGAAGGTATGGTGTGGGCTGACAATCAGGAGGTCCTGGGCCCCGTTGAACTGCTATGGATTAATGCCAATAAATGCCTGCTGAGACTTCACCCAGCAATCTATTTATTGGTGTTCGACCACCTGGTCCAGCTGAATGCTGAAAAGCTTGTAGTCGAAGACTGTCGATACTCGATCTCAAGCATAACTCTAACTGGAGCTAAATCTCTGAACGCTCTTTCACAAGTGCTGCGTACAACCTCAACATCTGAATCATACAACCAGTTCAAAAAAGTTTCCCACGTTACGGACATTAATGCGCTTCCTCAACGAACAATATTTGCCTTCGATGTGATGGACCCAAGACATTTGTCAAATCCAAGGCAACTACCAGGCTCAAAACCAAACGCAACTGATTTGTTAACACTCCAAGACAATTTTCCAGAGGCAGAGATAACCTCTGCCCTCGCCAAACTTGCAGATCCAGCCGCTCGCAACTTATCATATTCAAACCAGCAGACCCTCAAACAACTTGCGGCCAGGCGCAGAGTACTTTTAAACTCCACCCAGCATTCCAACTTGATTCCGTTTAGTGCGGACACGGATCCATCATTTCCTATAGTCATTTCCAAATTGCCAAAGAAGGAATCGTGGGTCGTTCTCATTCCTTGGTTTTGGCATCTACCGCTGTGGTATCAACTGAATCGTATTTCTCGCGTGCATCACATGGGATTGCGTCAAATGCAGCAACTCAGTTATGAAAGACGGAGACCTTTCTTTCCCACCGATTTCCCTTTCACAAAAGTAGGATATGTCGAGAACTTTATCTACGAAAGAGCCACTCAAGAGGCTCTGTGGTCCCGAAAGCCTCCCGCAAAACGTATCAATTTTGCGAAAATTCCTGATTTGCACCTGGAGTCTCCTGTTTTCTTTCCGGGCGAAATAGGAATTCCATTCTGCTGCGACTGGTTGTTTTTACAAATACTGAGGAATGGGATCGAGTACCTGGAAGCACATCATCAGGTCGCCGTCAAGATGTTTAATTCTTCACGGACCTCACAGTTTGACGAGCTCAATCGGCGCAAAATTGAGTACGTAAACGATATTGTGGATTTGTATCGAGACACCTGTGAAGCAAAAACAGTTCCTACAAATCCACCTGTACGCATGGTCAACCAGTCGCTATCTACAATAAATGGAGCAGGTTTCAAGAGCGACAATAAAGTGTCATCACAAGAAGCAATTGTCACAAATACGCTTCCGATTGTCGCAGTATCGTGCACCCTACTAGAGAGGGGCCACCCAAAGGACCTTGCCCGTATCTACTCCATACCAGCCAAAGATTTGGAATACTGGCAGACTGTGTCGCACGTGGCATCTCGTCCCACCGGCAAGAGAGATCACGACTCAAAATGGCCCATACCAGAGGTCCAAAATTTGATTGGTTATGTGACAAGTGGAACTTTCCACTTGGGACAGGGTCGGGGAGTATGTACGGGTTTCATTGATGCCCAAACAGCTTTGAGTGCCGAAACTGATCTGGTGCTGATTAGAAATGTTGGCACCAATGTTTACAGAATAGCGAAATGGGCTCAGGTAATAATTTAAGCTAACAGGCCTTCCAGATTAGGCTGTAGAATCTCCCTCACTTCATAAGCTAGGTTAACCTAAGGTGAGTTCAGCTCTAGGCTTCGAGATCAGCTCCACGTTACCCTGCCACGTTGTGCTCACGAAAAAAAATTCATATAAATAGTCAATGAAAAATAAGAGTCCTTCTCTTTATTTCACCCTCTTTTGATTTTTGGTTTTCTCTCCTCATACTTACCTTAAGACGTCAGAGGAGATCAAGAAGTCCTTTTGGCCAAGCATGTCTTTCTAGAGTGATGCCCGTTTTTTTCAGAAGGCGGGTTCGCTCGCCAGGTCTCCAGTAGACTGCACATACTTGCGAAAGACGTGTTTGCTGACGTTTCGTTTCCTCGTTCCGCTATCGTGCTGTTATTTCTAAGAGGTGGTGGTACGATAGTCGGAGCCCTTTGTTTCTTCTGCCTGGAGAAGTATGATGCTGATTACAAGTCAGCGTTGGGGAAGCTGGATGTGGATCTTGGCCGTTTTAAGTACCCTGGCATCAGTTTTATGCGATGGTCGATTCCTGTGCGCGTTTTTTGCCTTGAATTGTTCAGGGTTTGCTCTCGGGCAAATTATTGGGCTTTTTGGAGCAAACTACAAGCATAGAGAAGGTGCACCATTGCGAAGTTTGGGTATAGGACAAGTCTTCATTTGGTAGAGACGGGTAGGTCTTATAATTTTTGATGTTCATTCTTTGTCCTTGCAAACTGCTTTTTAATGGCCAGCATGTCTTGGCCAGGGGATATAGGAAGTATGAGGAGGGAACCCTCGAATTGGTGAATTTCGCACATTCGTTTTCCCTTCACCAGTTCAAGTTACATCAGCTGATGTGCTCGAATAGGTGGAACGCGCGAAAAGTTGTCATTTCTCTTTTAGTATTGCGTATATTTCTTGCTTCTTTGGGCTAGTCCTTCTGTGGATGTGCACTCTACGTTTTAGAAAAGATGAGCAGTAGCATAAAGATCGTCAACGTTCAGAAAATCCACGTGAAGATCGAATGCCTGTTGCCCCAACAACCTTGTATTAAGTTGCTTGGGCCATGAGGGGACACCCCAGATGCGAGTTTTCAAACTCATCGAGTGGGCACGCTCGATATAAGGAACTATACACTGCAGTTGATCGGAGGAGAGGCCCAACCCCATGCTTATTTCACTATCTTTGCAGCCTCTGAGAAGTTGTGACAATGAAGCCGAGGCTACCAGTGATAAAGTGGAATGCCTTTCTTCAAGGCGGTGTAGCGGAGCGTCAATGAAAACAAATCTTTGATTTGTATGGAGAATTCCATCATTTTGTTCCCCGTCTAGCACTCCTAGATCAGTTGGATAATCTCCTGTCAGGATAATAGTGAGTGGATTCCAGACAACGCCTTGGTTTTCAATGTCTAAATACGTCACGTAACCCATGTCAATTAATGGAGCGAGGTATCTGTTGATAAGAAGATCGTATGTTTTCGCGCTGTCTTCTGACTTGAAGTCGATGTAGAGGTAGACTGTTGTTTCTGGTGAGTTGTAGAAAAGCCCGTACTTTTGGTCATTGTGCTCACTTTGATGGCAATTAACTTCGTTAAGCATGGTTAGAAGTGGCCCAGTGTACAGTGACTCTAAATTCCTGTGAATAGGGTCCAAAAATCCCTTATTGTGACCTACCGCCAATTCGGTACTGTTGTTAACCAGCCAAACATCCGCTTCGATACTTGTAATGCCGTGACACAGGGCTTCATACATGGGCAAATTTCGCCAGTAATCGTTGTGAGAGTGCACGTTAAAGACCGGATTAACGTCTCTGTTGAGCTTAGAAATCACAGAGCTTTCTGGGAAACAAATTGTATCATGCTGCTCTGCTGAACCTTTTGTCACAAACTTCACAAATTCGTCATAATATTTTGAAACTCGCACATTTTCGTTCTTTTCAGCACTTTCACTCGTCAAAACTTGTTTTTCAAATAAGTCTAATAGCTTGTAGCCCGTCAATCCCAAATTTCTATTGCGAAAGCTGGTACCAGAGTCGTCATCGTTCACTAATCTCAGAAGAACCGGACTGCCGCCAACATTGAACGTTGCACCTGCCCAGAAAGCTGCTACCACTAAAACCAACCCTATAAGAATGGTCCTGAACATATTCTTACACTTGAATCAATTATACCCTTCGTCATTTGAAGTCAGTGCCAATACCTTAGTTACTGGAGCGTGGGCCCTCGGTAATTTATATTGACGCTCCGTCGCATATGATACGTTGACAGTTAATAAATTCATTTACCGGCAAGTTGTATAACGTACAAACGAAACAGTGCCTGAAGCTAATGCAAGTCCTTTGTATTGGACCTAATCCAGCCTTTACAACAGAAATCAATAAGCTGTTTTCTGGTATTACCTGAATGTCCCCGATCGATATTGAAGCGGCCAGCTTAGGAGTGTCAGTATCATACGAAGTGATAATACAACGTCAGTTAAATCTAAAAAAGATAAATATCATTGAGCAAAGCCAGCGTCACTAGTGGTTAGCTTGCCAAACTGTTCGTTCAGTATCCCCCCCCCCCACCCCATCATGGTCTGAATCTGTTAGAACTACCAACCGGTAGTGATCTGGTACCTTTTGGCTAGCACCGAGTGCATAATGGCAACCATCAACCTAGTGTCAGTATAGTACGAAGTGACACAGGCAACATCACTAACACGAAAGTGTACATGGTGAACAATCAACCAGTGGACTCCAGAGGAAGTGTGATCACATGTAAATGCCGCAAAACACAAATTCAAGACTTCAACCCGTTGAATTCATCTGCTGGATTATGAAGCCCTAGCTGCACCCAGATTACTCCCCTCAGAATGGTGTATCCAACACACTCATGAGTAGTATCAAATACTCAGAATTCCATACACGATGTCTACCAACAAATTAAACGAACAGTTCCGCAAGTTAACTATTGCTCACTCTGACTCACTCCAATACCAACAGGCTTAATTTAAACAGAATTAGAACAAACCTGACTAGTAGTTTTAATGTCTGTATCATTGACAAGGCTCTAGAGAGAGTGGGCAGTTTGTTCACTCGTTTACAATGACGTTGGCAAGACCTCAAAAGGCCAGCAGTTAAAGGACTTATCATTGAACCTCATCAAACATCTCGAACCCCTTTGAGAGCTCGAATTTGCTTACTGCTCAAGAGTAGTCTTGTGTTCATGAATAGATAGACTATGGATTTTCATGCAGCGCAGCGATGTCTGAAGCTAGCTGCAGACGTCGCAGCTGATGCTGACCATGAATTAGATGACACCGATGTGGGATCACCGCCGTTAAGTGACGACCGCCAGATACCAATGACTCAAATACCAACAAAATCTAAAGAAGATGTGCTTTTAAGTACACAGATCCAGAGCAAGCTGGATGAAGTAGAAAGTCAAAGTGCAATGCGCAAAAACCTTTCACAATACGCCTTTGACAACCCGACCATCTCTTCCAAAGAGTCAGGAAGCTCAATACTGGAAAAGCAGGTAGGAATCACAAGAAAAAGGACTGTAAAGGCACGTACCAGCAAGAGAAGGAAAAATGTAGCAAGCGGGGTGAGGAGTATCACTCAATATAATACAGAGAATTTTGAGTCTGCCAGGGATCGAGAGAGAACGCGACAAGTGATAACCTTGCTCTCCGGAAAGAAAACCAAAATGAAAGACATACTTGGGCGCTTAGACACAGATAAAGCGGCTAAATTGCAACCTAAACGACCGGAGCAGTTTTCCACTTACGATTCCCGCGAATGGTTGCATATACGGCGATTGCTAACGGAGCGATATCCTCGATGCCCGACTTCACAAGTGAAGGCAGTTTTCGAGTATGTATATGGCGACCATGACGAAAATCATGTTTGGTACGCTTCACAAAAACCTCCAGTGGATGCTGGACACAACGTATCCCAGACTCCCTATTCAGTTTCCGAATCACCATTAGTGCTGACTTTGTCCCAGGCGTTGGAAGATTCCGAAGAACGAATTCCAAGTAGGGCGATGGATCCTTTTACCTACAACGTTTCATATGATACTCGCGACGCATCGGAGTGCATTTTGAATACCACTGACGAGTCGCAATCGGAAATTCCCATTTGTGATGATACAGCGCCGTTTGTTCAGGCTCAAATGCCCCAATCATATTTGTTAGATCCTTCTCAAATTGGCCTATTGACAACGAATGAAGAGATTTCCATAGAATCTAAAGAGCAGGCCCGAGAGCTGCGATTTCCAAAAATGGCGCATCTGGCAGATTCAGGTCTTGAAAGCGTTGGTGGATCTTCTGCAAAGCTTACTGGTGAAAGATCAGGGGACTCAGCGCCAGATAGTTTGCCCCGTCGCACTTCTCTTGTGAAACTTGCTGAGCGAGACGAATTAATTGATTTGACACAAGAATCTTTCAGCGTCGTCACTTCCATCACTTCGGGGTACAGAAATGAAATCCAAGTTCCTGCCACCAGAACTGCCACAATCAACAGCAGATTAGCCGCCTCAAGCGCACCCAGCAACCCAATGTCATTTGGCTGCCGCAGCCCGGCACATCATCTCGAATTTCGTATCTGTCGTAATCTCAGCCTTTCGGACGTTCTAGTCCAACTTGGCAACTGTTCACAAGCTCAATGGAATATTTTAGAGTCACATTTGAACGATAGTGAAGAGGAAGAGAACAATTATGACATTTTAAACTTATCGTTTAATGCTACTCAAGTGGAACCAAACTCGGAACACAAATTTTCCTGTAGTGATTTAGGAAATGGAAGTTCATCCAGTACTGAAACCAACTCGCCGCGACAGAAAAGGATATGTTCTATTCACAGCGCTCCTCCCCTATCCGCCCAGCATTTACGCCAACGTCTGCGAGCAATTGGCTTCAAACCTAAGCGGACGCGATCTGCCATGCTCGATCAGGTGGAGCTTGCATCGCAGCACCTAATCGGAGATACGCAAGAGAAACAATACCAAGCCCTTTTCGAACAGCTCACTACCATAGTGGAGCAGAACCCAGTTCTTCTAGAAAAAGTTTACACCTTCGAGCCTATAGTATTTCCAGACCTGATAAAATATTTGATGAAAAGTCACCCGCTTGTTGATAATCTCGAAGAGTCTACTGTCAGAGAATGGGCTGATCTAATGGGTATATGCTTAAGAAGCGCCTCCGACTCTTAAAGAAGTCGACCTCTCGTTATTCTTTCGCCAGTACCATCTATTAGCTACCATTTGGTATTGAACTCCGAGGCTTGCACTTGCACATTATAATATTCCAAAAGGTTTTGAATTGATAGGTGTTTGGTCGTCCCAATGTCAATTAACTTTGTATAAAGACAACGTGAGGTATGTGTGTTCTCTAAGTGAGCAATAAGGTAGCAAGGTGAGCCAGATATCCGTAGGTGAACTATCTGGTAATTCCCTGGCTAGTTCTGCATCTATTGAAGCGGAGCAGTACCTCTAGCTATATGCATTACTCTCTGTGATTGCTCCACTAGATGATAATCAATAACAGCTTAAGCGATTCCGTTTATGATGCGTTAAATATTGTCCAAATAAACAAATAAACAAATCAGACAATTTGATTCAAAACAATCAGATACGATTAAAGGGTTTGCAGCGCTCGGAATTGCTCAGCAGCTTCAGTATGGCACAGCGAAGAGATCACTCTAAAGTGCCATCTGACATCGATCTGAGGTCTCAATTAGAGCGAGTACAGAAGCGCATAGACCATGAGATGGATGAGGCGATAGCTGGAGGAAACTCAAGCCGTCCAACTTCGTTCTCGAAATTTTTAGGTAAACGCGGCACTCGAACATCTATGCCTGTATTTGCTGGTAGCTCTACGCACAATAATGTCGTGGGTAACAATTCCTCGAAAGATGTCAGCTTTGTGATGGGCTTGAGTGAAAATCTGTTGCTCGAATGCCGACGGCTACAGGCTGATAACGAGAAGAAGTCAATCAAAATAAAGTCGATTCAACAGGAATTTGAGGAATTGCAGTCAAAATTTGAAAAGTTGTTGGCCAAACAGCACAACACTCAACAAGATTGTCTGTTACTAAAGGATACCAACTGGGAACTGGAGACGAAACTTCAAAATATGGCACAACAGTTGAAAGAGCTCAATAGCACCTCAGAATCCTCTCAGCAAGAACTTAAAAAGCAAATTGGTGCCCACCAAGCGTTATTGAATACGTTTGAAGAAACCAATTTAGAAAAGAATGTCTTAGAAGAAGAAGTTCAGAAAATGCGACATCAGCATGCTTCGGATATAGCTGATTTAAGACAAAATGTTGCGGGCTTGAACGAAGAAAACGATGAATTACAACAAAAATTGGATGATATGACTTTCAAAGTCAACCAACTCACAGCACAGCTGACCGAACTGACGAAAAACGCGGGCCTTCAAGAAGTAAGTTCAGACTCTAGTGTGACAAAGAAGCAAAGCATTCAGCCGTCGATAGATCCAAGTGGTAGTGCAGGACTTACGCAGACTACCCTGCGACACAATAATCCTTCAAAAGAAGATATGGACAGCGCTCTGCTGCTCATTGACAAATTGAAACAACAAATTGTGCAGCTAAAACGCGCCCGTCACGTTGCAGATCCATTGACCAAGGATGATAACCACTCTGGGACATCATTTCCTGGTGATAGCGAGACGAAGAAGGTCGTAGGTTTGGATAATACTCTAGAACGCTCCCCAACAAACCCGTCTACAAAGCGTAGACCACAGGAAATACAGGCACCTGAATGGAGCTTTGAGGACTCTAGCTGTTCAATATATACAGAGAGGTCTGAAATACCCAACTATAATTCCGATGCGGGAAGCGAACATGAAACGTCTGAAAGTAGGAACGTTCGCAATCCGATACTACAGGACCTCTTCGATCCAATAGACAAGAAGACATCGTTGAACCATAGTACTATAGAGCAGTATGCGAAGCAGCATAATATGATCCTTTTATCCCAAGATGAATACATTCAAGAGGACGGTGAAATGCGCCAGCCGCAAAAGTATTTGAGATCTGGCGAACTTGATCGATTTAGTGAGGAAAATGCAATCAAAGAGCTGAAGGAAAGAGGATATGACATACATACTCAAGAAGAACATGAACGTATTCAAAAGATTCTTCAGTCATGGGCCGAGCCCCCCTTATCCCTCTTAGAGAACAAAGCGGCCCACTACGGCAGTGTTTTAATTTCCAAAGCCGAATATGAAGCACTAAGAAGTCCAACAATTGAGTCTCTTATCAACCAGCTGGATGCAGCAAATCACTCTTATCTAAATGACCAAAGTTTAGAAAAGTTGACTAAGGTTATCCAGCGGTCTAACAAAACAGATGTACATGAGAGATCGCCCGAACTCTCTCTAGATGCTATTATTCTCCAGGCCAAAAGCAAAGGGTTCGAAGTGGTAGAAGCGTCTGAGTGGGAATCCAAGAAAAACATCATAAATGAACCGTCTCTGAGCTATCTCACCGATGCAGCTCAGACCTTAGACCACATTATCATTTCAAAAAAGAATTACGAACTCCTCCTTCATCCTCCCATCGACGGTTTGCGCCAGATGGCCGCCATGCATGATCATACCTTAGTGACCAATGGAGACTACGAGCAAATGACAAACATGGATCGAGAACACATACAAGAGGAAGCATTTAAACTAAAGTTGGCCATCGTATCACAAAGTGACCTTGATAATCTTCAGAATCCGTCTAAAGAAGCCATTAAAGCAAAAGCACAGAAATGGGGTCTTGAACTTATTTCTGCTCAAGAACTTCACACTTTGAGTAATCCATCAATGGAAAATATAATATTTCAGGCAAGAGAAAGAAACTTCGAGTTAATTGAAGCCTCTCAACTGAAGGACATGCGCCAGCAACTTTGTTCCCCTGATGAATCATTTATCAGAGCCAAAGCTCTTGATTTGAATCTGACTCTTTTGTCTAATAATTCATTCGAGCAGCTGAAGGCTGATGCTAACTCTCCTAGACTAGAAGTCATAAAAAAAACCATCGCATCAAGGTACAACGATGCTATTCTTACTTGGCTCTCAAAAGAGCTTCACTTGACAATTTTGAAAGACGCGGATTATCGAACTTTGGTTGAGAACAGCAGAAATCCATCTATGGATCTTTTGACCGAACTGGCAGCTAAGAGAGGTTTGGTAACTGTGAAATCGGAAGAGCTTGCCGACCTTAAGAGGATATCAGAGAGCCCCTCATTAGACTTCTTGAGAGAGCGCTCTGGTGTATATGACAGCACAGTTGTGGACAATCAAGAACTTAACGGTATCAAAAGCTCCCTCGAACATCCGAAAATTGAGTATTTGGCGCATCATGCGAGTACGAATGGTTTCGTTTTGATAAGTAGCAGCGATCTTGAGAGTTTGCGGGCTTCTATTGATAATCCTACCCCCGAATACCTTAACAAAAAGTCAAAGAAACTAGATTGTCTACTCATTGCAAAGGCTGACCATCTGGATCTAATAGCAAAGCTCGAGAGCCCTGACTTGGCCTTTCTGGAGGAGAAACTGTCGGCTATGGGATATACTTCTGTCGAAAAGGAGACCTATGGTCAATTGCAATCTCAGATTGAAACTCCAGAGTTGTCTTTCTTGGAGGAGAAACTGTCGGCTATGGGATACACTTCTGTCGAAAAGGAGACCTATGGTCAATTGCAATCTCAGATTGAAACTCCAGAGTTGTCTTTCTTGGAGGAGAAACTGTCGGCTATGGGATACACTTCTGTCGAAAAGGAGACCTATGGTCAATTGCAATCTCAGATTGAAACTCCAGAGTTGTCTTTCTTGGAGGAGAAACTGTCGGCTATGGGATACACTGCTGTCGAAAAGGAGACCTACGGTCAATTGCAATCTCAGATTAAAACTCCAGAACTGCCTTCCTTGGAAAATATGGTCAAAGACGTTGGGACCCTCATTACTTCGGACGAGAACGGGGAAGTACAGGAAAAACATGAGCTGTCAAAGAAGTTTCAACAAGGTCATTTACAAGGATCGACCGTCAACGAAAAGAGTCTTTGTGACGAATCTATTCTTAGACATCCCGAAATCGCTCGAATCGAAGAAGAGAGCCATGCTCCGACTGCCATGATAGACGACATTAGACCTAATATCACTCCCGCATACAGGTGTTCCATGGATAAAGATGAATTACACCAAGTTGGAGACAATTTGGCGTGGGACACATCTACACCTTGTAATCAGTACGAGCCCAAAAAAATAGAATCTAATGCTAAAAGCATGAACTCTGTCAGCAACAATATCCCATTGCCCTCAGTGGAAAGATGGCTAGATGAAACAATGAGCGACCAACCCACTTCAGAAGCAAACGAAAAGGTTTCATTAGCTGCCCTTGAACAGCGTGCTAAGAAAATGAATTTTGCTATTTTAGGCATAGAGGAGCTTGAGAACTTGAGGAGCAAGGCGAGATATCCACCCAAGTGGGTACTTGATGAACATCTAAAGGAAGAGGGCTTAATTTCCATAACTACAGAAGAGTATGCCAACCTAATTCAAAAGTCTGAAAACCCGGACTCATCAATTTTACGCGAAAAGCTTGAAGAAGACGGTATGATGATTCTCAAGAAAGGCGAATATGAGGCGCTTTTATCGCATTTTGAAGCTCCTCAACTGTCGTTTCTGACTTCAAATCTAGAGAGGTTAGGATTTGCATCTATTGCAGAAAAGGACCTCACGCTGATGAACAAGATGCTAAAAGAGCCTTCAATATCATATCTAGAAGAGAAGGCGAAGGATTTGGCTTATGTTGTGGTCCCAAGCCAAATTTATTCCACATTGCGTGCCACCTTCGATGCGCCCGAGCTCTCCTTTCTGAGGCAGAAGTCAAAAGAACATGGGTTTGCTCTGATCTCTGAAGAACGTCTACATCTTTTGACAATGATGGTTGAGAGTCCTGATTTGAGCTATCTGAGAGAAAAGGCTCAAGGTTATGAAATCATTACGTCTGAGCGGCATTCATCTCTGGTATCTTTGGAAAGCTCACCAACTTTAGACTTCCTAACAAGAAAATCCGACTTACTCGGGTACTCCCTTCTAAGCAAGAGTCAAGTAAACGAACTCACAAGGAGGGCTGAGGACCCTACAGTTCAAGAGCTTGAGATATGTGCAAAAGGAAGAGGATGTGTCGTCGTATCTGAAAGAGATTTTACAGAATTGAATAAGAAGATCAATGAGCCTTCAATCGACTATATCACAGAAAAGTCTGTTGTACTCGGTCTGGAGGTACTATCCGCAGATGAGTACACTGCATTGTTGGCAGCTTGTACTCTTGAGAGCGCTCTTAAAGTAATTGAAGACACAGGCTCCAAAGTTTTGACTCAATCTGATTACACGGAACTTTGTGCTAGAGACCTCGAGCATGCTACCTTAGAGAAATTAAGTGAAAGGCTTTATGACATGGGGCGCATTTCAGTCAGTCTAGAAGAGTATGATCTATTGAGTCTCCCACTCTTAGATCGGTTAGATGGTGATAGCGTCCAGGCTTTTTGCAAAAAGAATGATTTGGTGACAATTGAATTGCGGGAGCTGGATTTGTTGAGAGCTAACGTGTCTCAGTTGTCACTGGAGGAACTTGACAGCCTTGCAGCTCAACACCATAGAAGGCTGATACCAGTCCATGAATACGAAGGACTGTTAAAAGAAATATCCAAACCTTCCTTAGCCACTATTCAGCGCGAAATCGAAGGACATCATCTTGTTCTTGTGAACGAAACGACATACCAAGGTATGCTGAGAGCTCTGGAGGTTCCAACTCTGGATAGACTTCGAGAACAAGCAAAACATTTGGACTATGTATTGCTAAATGAAACAGACTACCTTCATCTTGCTGATGAGGCTAAAAAGTCAACAATGGCAAAGAACCACATGATATCCGAGGACACCATACTTGATGCTTCAGGGAACACCCCACGCTCACATGTCGAAGAAATCTCCCGTCTAAAGGCAGAGATAGAAAAACCTTCAGAAGAATACCTGTCATGTAAAGCGGATCGCAGCGGTTTTATCCTTTTGGACAAACAGGAATTTGAAAGTCACAAAGTAGCTCGCAATAGTGTGAAAAATCCTTCGATCGAGTTTGTTTCAAATCTTGCTGCCGAGATAGGTGGTATTTTTCTATCAAAATCTGATTACGATGGAATGAAAGCTGAACTCGAAAGTCCTTCTGAGGATTTTATCAGAGTCAAGGCACAAAATCGGGGTTTTGTGATTATAAAGGAGCAGAAATACAATGATGAATTTAATTCTTGGAGTTCACCAAGTATAGATTACTTGACCGAAAAAGCTGAACAGTTGAACTTGAAACTAGTTTCGGTTCCAGCTTACGAGAAATTCCAGCTCCTCTGCGAGAGTCCTCCAGTTGATTGTTTAATGAGCATGGTACAACAATATCCTGAGTACATCATGATGAAGCGCAATGAACACGAAAGTTTGGTCATAAGGGCAGCTGCTTCTGATAAAACAATCTTTGAATTGGGCTCCGACGAGCCCAAAGAAGGTGATTCGAATGATTTACCAATTCAAAATGATATTGAAGCAATGGGAGAGGAAGAAAAAACCTCAATTGATAAAGAGAAAACACTGGAAACTGTAAAAGCATTGAATTGTGTTACGCTAGGTTTGGCGGAGTATAAACATTTGTTGAACAACCAAAAAAATAGCCCTATCACCAAAACCCAGGTGTACTCGGCGGCAAAAGAATTCCATTTGACTGTCCTGACTACGGAAGAATACGTGCCGTTGTTAAAAAGCCAAAATATATATTCCTTGGTCGCGCAAGATCAAGCAAGGGGGGTGTGTCATGCTTCTGAGGCTCACGATTCTGCTTCGATCTATAGCTCAAGAAACAGTATTTCTGTCCCTTCAACTCTAGATGGTGAGTCAGATTTTGTGAGCCGGTCACTTACCGGTGATAGTGTTTATTTTGATGCATTAACACTAGAGGGACGTGACTCTCTTGTCAACGAATCTAGTTCCAACTTTGACACCGATTCCGCCTGTTACACTGATGCACAAGATGTCGAGCGAATTTCCCGCACATCAACTATTGAGATAAAGGACAGCCACCATGAGTCGCTCTCTATTACCGAACTCCGGGAACGTGCAAGGGCCTATGGTTATGAAATAGTAAGACACAATTTTGCCCCATCCAAGGAAGGCGGCCAGGCTCATGGGTCTTTTGGAAACAGCTTGAAGCAAGGTGAAGTCCAAAAAGGCAACTCTTCGCCTTTGAATGACACTGATGGGAGTAGCATGTCGAGCCGTGTGGTCGATTCAGAGGAGCATATTCAAACAAACAAGGCTACAAGACAGGGTCTTGTTGTTATTACAGAGAACGAACTTGCACAGTTTGAAGCTTTGAAGAAATTGGAGAAAATTGCTTCCATAAACAAACCGGGAGACGGTGTCAGCAATATTTCAAACATATCAGCTGTGAAAAACCCTCTTGTTTCAGCAAATGTGTTCTCGAATACAAACCTTTCGACGAAAAGTGACTTTGACGAAGGCAGCCGTGAAGCAGTTAATGTACAACCTGACTTGAAAACGTACGAGAGTTCGCAAAGGGGAACAGGGGAACGAAAAAAATCAGTTGAGTTGAAGATGAACTCAGAGCTAATGAAACTTGAGTCTGACGAGCAAAGTGTGGTAGGATTTAGCAGTGTAGGCGGAGCAATTTCTTTTTCGCCCGCGAAGACCATGTCACCTTATTTGAATTCATCCGATTCTGGTGAAGCAAGACACGACCAGAAGGCTGAGCTAATTCAGCGTTTGCATAAATTTGGCCTAGTGGCCCTAGAAGCCGAACAGTTTGCTCGCATCAAAGCAGAACTGGCGGCGAGCGGTTCTAACAATTTGACGGTCGATGACATTATGATAAAGGCAACTGAGTTTGATCTAGTTCCCATTCCACGTAGTCAATTTGAAAAGATTAAAGAAGAACTGTCTAAACCATCACTGACGAAGGATCAAATTTTGCAAAACGCAAATGATTTTGGTCTTGTTGTTGTTGAGAAATCAGAATACGATAGGTTGGGGTGCTCAAGATGTTTAGGTCAGGGGGGAGAGCTTTTATCTTCCGCTTTTGAGGAAAGCGAGTTCTCTGAGGATAACGACGACACGACCCATATGATATCCCTTGCGAGAAAGTTAGGAATGATGTGTATTCCGGAAAGTGCTTTTGTAGCTACTACAAATGCCCGCGCAGTTGATACCCACAACGTCGTTGTGTTGCCTTCTTCTTATTATGAGCACATTCTAGCAAAGGAACAAGAGGTTTTGAAGATGGCAACAAATGAAGAGCTTCAAGTCGAAGCCAAAAACCGGGGACTAATATTCGGCTCAAGGGAACCTCACTTGGGTGCTGTTATGTCCCCACAACATTCCAAGCTAAGCAGACAAAGCTCAATACACACCAACTTCTCATCTGATTCAAATAGTAGAAGAAGCTTTGCAGAGGCAGCAGTGAATGCGGCACACAGTGACCACGAAGTTGCAACCATTAAGGGATCGAACCATAGACTCTCTATATCCTCGAGCAAACAGCCGACTTTAAACATGGACGCCGGTATGTCTCACGTTCGTCATGCCTCTTTCGATGGGGGAATTTCATTGGCAACGGTCGCCTCCCTGAGCGAGCCTAGTATTATCCCCGCCCTGACGCAAACTGTTATTGGTGAATACATCTACAAATACTACCGTCGTCTCGGTCCATTGTCCACCTTCATGTCTCGCCACGAGCGCTACTTTTGGGTGCATCCCTACACCATGACTCTATATTGGTCGACAAATAATCCAGTCCTCGAGAATCCAGCTACTAATAAAACAAGAGCAGCTGCCATTTTGGGCGTTGAGGCCGTGGACGATCCTAATCCTTATCCTGTTGGTCTATATCATAAGAGCATTGTTGTGAAAACCGAATCTCGTTCTATCAAGATTACGTGCGCATCTCGACAGCGGCACAATATTTGGTTCAACTCCCTGCGCTACTTGGTCCAAAGGAACATGGACGGCATCAACCTTGACGACGGTATGGCAGACCCAACAGATCCTGCCAATGCCAACAAAATCTATCAACTACCAGGAGAGACTTCGAGACTCACCAATCAAAGGCTGTCATCTACAAGAAGAGGTACATCGACTGTGTTCGTAAATCATTCCCGTGCACCTTCTAGTCGGTACAATAAGTGAGAGCTACTAGAAAGTTTGTTGAGATCCCAATGTCAGCTGAGACATCTTAGGTAAGTACTGCCAACGGCACGGCAATATGTATATAGGGAGCTCGTGATGTATTAGACGACAAGTGATGATAGTGTTTATCTAAAATAAATTGTCCGTTTTTGTTATCTTGCATTTCAAGAGCTCCTATTTCAAGTTAGGCCCAAGTCGATTGAACAGAAGCTTCACAGACCGAATATGGGCTCAATTGAAGCCACAAACGATGAAGAGAAGCAGCCCTCAGTCTTGAGGACCGGGGAAATTGGATATAACAAGTGGACAAGGTATGTTTGCAAAGGAGTGGTGGCGTTAGTGGCAGTTTGCTGGCTAGTGATAACACTTGGGCTCATTCCTTCGTCCGGAACGAAGTTGCTGAGCAAAGGTGGCAAGTCAGTTCCCTTGGGAGTTACCACACCGTTAGAATATTCTTACTTGCAGGCTCTTGAGGAGAATCTGGCCGGCAATTGGTCGAAAAAATACACTTCAGTTCCTCATTTGGCAGGGCAAGGCAAAGAACTGGTCGATTGGACCTCAGAAAAGTTTCAAGAATATGGTTTAGTGACCGAGGTTGAAGCGTTTGATATCTACTTGAATTATCCAGTTGAAAATGGCCTAAGGCTATTGGAACAGACCAAAAACGGAAGTTCGGTAGTTTATACAGCTTCACTGACGGAAGAAGTGCTGGAAGACGACCCTACCACAGGCGGCGACGACTTGATTCCGGCCTTTCACGGCTACAGTGCATCTGGTAATGTCACCGCACAGTATGTATACGTGAATCGCGGTACTAAGGAGGATTTCGAGCTTTTGAAGAGCCACAATGTTGATTTAACAGGAAAGGTCGCGATTGCTAGATACGGGAAGATCTTTAGAGGTCTGAAAGTCAAGTTTGCTCAAGAAGCCGGTTGTGTCGGTGTTCTGATATACTCGGACCCAGGGGACGATCATTTTCAGGAAGCCAAAGGCGACAAGGCGTACCCTCAGGGACCGGCGAGAAATCCTTCATCTTTGCAAAGAGGTTCTGTCCAATTTTTAAGTTCGATGCCAGGGGACCCCACAACGCCGGGTTATCCATCGCAAGGCGATGTTGAACGTGCCGATCCTCACGATAGAATACCCCTAATCCCTAGTTTACCCATCTCTTTCAAAGAAGTGCAACCTATTCTTAAGAAATTGAATGGCTTCGGTCTTAACGCATCGAAGATTGGTGGTGACAATTGGGTAGGTGGCCTACCAAGGTTCGAATATTGGACCGGTCCGGCTCCACACTTTTCGGTGAATGTGTACAATAACCAGTCCTATGATATCCGCCCCATCTACAATGTTTATGGGAACATCACAGGCACGGACAGTAGCGAAGGCTACATTGTTGTCGGAAACCATCGTGACGCGTGGATCAAGGGCGGGGCTTCCGATCCTAACAGTGGTTCTGCCGCTTTACTGGAAATAATTCGTGGATTCCACCATTTGCAACTGCTTGGATGGAAGCCTCGCAAGACTATCGTCTTTGCATCCTGGGATGGGGAGGAGTATGCTTTATTAGGCTCTACAGAATTCGGCGAGAAATACAAGAGCGATTTACAGGCAAATTGTTTGGCTTACTTGAACGTTGACGTCGCAGCGTCTGGGAAGACTTTAAACATAGAGGCCTCACCGTTCCTGAACCGAGTTTTAACAGAATCTTTGCACCTGGTTGATTATCCTTTTGGTGGTAGTTTATACGATCATTACTTTGACAAGAGAGCCAAATTTGGCATATTGGGCAGCGGCTCGGATTACACAGTTTTCCAAGAGCATTTGGGCATCCCTTCTGTGGACATGGGCTTCAGTTCGGGCCCAGAAGACCCAGTATATCACTATCATTCCAATTATGACTCTCACCACTGGATGGCCACAAGAGGAGACCCAGGTTTCAAACTGCACAACGCTCTGGCCAAATATCTCGGTTTGGTAGCTCTGAAACTCACGGAACGCAAAGTCATATCAACTTCCCTCGTTGCCTACGCTGACGAACTAGAACTATACTTCAAGGATTTGGCGGCCAAGGTACCTGAAGATTGGCTGAGTATCCCGGTGGGCGGCAGCCAGCGCACTATAGCGGATGCTCTAACCTCCCTGGGTACTAAACTAGAAACTTTCCAAAGCAACGCACACAGTTTCGATCTTAAAGCCGAAGCTCTGCAAGCTGAGTGGGATGCGTCCGATAGTCTTCCTTTCTGGAAACGTTTTGCCCTCCACTTCAAGATCAAGGGATTGAATTACCAAATCAGATACTTTGAGAGGACATTTTTACATGAGAAAGGTCTGAAAGGAAGACCTTGGTTCAAGCATATTGTTTATGCTGCTGGTAGAGACACTGGCTATCAGGGATTTGCATTTCCCGGACTGAAAGAGGCATTGGATGATAAGGATGCACACGCTTTTGCCAAGTGGACGAGAATCATCCGCAAGAAGATTGACTACTTGAATGACCACTATAAAAACTAAAAATGCAAAGAGTAGGCCAAGGATTGGAGGTTTTATATTGAAGTTAACTTGTCAACGTTTGAACAATTATTAGAATTTCTAAGCCAGAGTTGAATGAGAAGACTACTACGCGATTTGTAGCCAGCTTCGTAGTATATATAATAAATAGTGAAATAGCCCACGTCCTTGATACACTTAACCATCCGGAGAGGGTAAATTGAATTTACCAGGCCATTTTTTGCAGAGCTTGGACGTTAGCATGCAGATTTTTACGCTCCGACCTGCCATCTGGAGAAGCGATGGGAATGTGACCTGCCCGCAGATACATTTTAATATCGTTATCATCTCCATGTTTGAAGCAGCACCTTTGCCTGTATGGACAAGTGCCGGTCTTCATCCAATTGACACATGGTTTGGTCCTAAACTTGTTGTTGCGCTCTTTGAACTTTAACTCTTGCAAGCCGTGGGCAAATTGGCAGTTGGAACCATATCTGCAGTGGCCCTTAGTGGAGAAGGACTCGCAAAGTTCTGTCTTGTAGAGCACTTTGTTGCATTTTTCAGAATTTCCAGTTGGGCTGGGCGATGATGCTGTTCTAGACGTGGGTGTGGGTTCGGAAGTCAGGCACTCGGGCCTCTGGGGCGTCAATTTTGGGTTTTGCAGGATCTTCAGATTTTCCGATGTAAGAGGCATGATTCCGCTGGCGGGCATATACTGTGAGTTTATTTCCACCTCCAGTTGAGGTTGCTGTTGCCGCAGATAAAAACTGGCTCCTTGGCCTACGATATCCTGATGCTGCTGTGGCTGGCGAAATTCCGACGACGATCCGTTGAGTGTTCCCAGGAGCGAGAGCGTTGTAGTAGAGTTCGGGCTCCACTTTTGGTTTGGTTCTGGTCCATGCGCAGGTTCCTCCTCTAGCAAAGTCCTCACGTAGTATTCTTCAATCTCTCTGAGTTTAGCATCGTAATCGTCGTCCTCTGCGGAAAAAACAGACGATGTTTGGGTGGTTCTGGAGGAAATGCTGTATGCGTTCATGTTTTCTGGTAATTTGGTATTTTGGTCTTAAGTGCCCTCTTAACCTTCAACCCAGTAACAGCCTACTCTTCCTCCTGCCACTTCAACGGCACACCATATATACCCTAACTTCATCTTCCATCTACACCTAAACCACACCCGGAATTGGTGCAATTACGCACAATAATCTGGAGCTATCTATGTGTGCACTCTCCAGCCGGGCCACCATGCCTCCAGCCCCAGTCACAAGCAACAGCACCTTCTACACCCAGGTAAAATTCTCAAGACAAACAATACACAAGGAAGTGACAAATTTAGCGTATAGCGTCCGGTTACCGAAGGCAACTGCAGTTCCATTCCTCACTGTGACCGTGAAGCCATCGAAGCGAGAGTAACGTTGTGAGTGGTGATCGTGGGTGCGTTCTCATAGCAGAGCTGCGGCTCTGCAGAAAAAACTGGGTGCGGAAGTGAATTGGGTGCACCGTGCGATAACAATTGTCACGGGAGCGACATGTCTTGATAAAGTTCGTAAATATGGAAGACAGTCTACGATAAACAGATGGCAGATGCCTGAATAGAGGATTTGTGACTTTGTCCCTGGCGGTAGGACATAGTGGTATTACCGAGATTCTGAATTAGCACTCAGCACATGCTGGAAGACTCTTGACTTTGCGAACCTGGGTAGAATTTGTGTGGATATGGCCATGACTCAAAACCGTATCCTCGCAATGTCCGCCTTTGGACGGTGGTTAGAAGGGTGTGTGGTCTGTGTCCATTGGAACAGGCGTTGGCTCCCGGTAGCGTCACAATTAATTCAGATCACTTTGTACTCAACTGTCGCAGGTTGTCGACAAGTCCATAATGAGCTAGTTTTTGGATGGTCAGCGCCGGCTGTGAGTCGGAATGTAGCTGGGTTTCAAGATGGGGATGGGGAGGGTTGCTGCTCAAGGCTTTTCTTGAGAGAGCATAGCATCTTGTTGATCCGACCAGGTGATTTTTAAAGTTTCTATCGGGCGACGCGCTGGCATTACTGGCGTATTGATCCGATACTTGAAGGTTTGAACTACATGCGAGGGTGGTCTTGGACACCGCTGACATCGAGCAAAACGTAGGGGGGTGCGCTTTAGCTGATCACTTTTCTCCAAAGCGACACCCAAAGGCCGGGTAATCAACTAGAGCTTAAATATTGAACATCAAAGATGCTTACTTCGACGCCTGTCATGTTTTCGAGTGGATTAACAACTCTAGCTTCAATTGACGCCTCCCACTCTTCTTTCTCATGGATTATCAAGAGGAGCAAAATCAAGAACTGGAGGTTCTTGAGTCCATCTACCCCGATGAGTTGACAGTGGTTTCTAACACTTTTCCTAAAATTGAGTTTGAAGTCAGATTACCGCTGGATCTGGTTCCACTGGATAGCTCTTCCTTCACAGCCGACTCACTGACCAAAGACCATTGGGTCGTCATAAATATCAAACTTCCGGAAACTTATCCTGAAACTGTTCCGATCATTACGCTTTCTGCTGAGCACGAGCGCAAAGCCGGCCTAAAGAGCGATGGGGACGATGCTAATCAAGATGAATCAGACAAAGAAATTGAATACGACGACCATGGCAATCCCTTAGAGGCAAAACTTGAGAATTTGCCTGACCAGGTAGCGTTCGAAGATCATCTGAACGTTCTCGAGTCTCAAGTGGAATCACAAGCAGAGGAAGACATGCTTGTGGGGATGCAGATGTGTTTTGCTTTGGTCTCGTGGCTGAAAGAGGCCTGCGAACGCTATTTTCAAGAAAAACTAGCGGACTTCGAACGTGAACATGACCGTAAGCTTGCTGCTCGCGAGAAAGAGGAACAAAAGAAATTCCATGGCACGAAAGTTACGCCTGAATCTTACTTGGCGTGGAGGGCAAGGTTTCGCGAAGAGACCGGTCGCAATGATAGAGATGCGGCCAGGAGGAAGGAGGCTCATGGTGGTAAACTTACCGGAAGACAAATATTTGAACAAGGTCTTGATGGCAGCGAAGACGTGGAGGAGAATGAATGATTCAAAAGAATTCTTTAATCCGGCGTTTCCTACGTATTTCCTTAGCATTCGCATTTCGTATTAATTGTAAATTACGGACTATATAAAACCATTACCAAGTAGAACAATGACAGCCTGTACACAAATTACGGTACGAGGCGTTTTTTTATTGGCCATTTAATGTCACAATAACAGCTTATTATCAAGCGTGGGTTTTAGAATACGAAAACAAGTCCGCAAATGCATCTTTAGAGTTACCATTAGTTCCCGTGGCTGTCTGGTTTTTTGAGGCGGAGCCATTCCAGTCCAATAAATCAATTCCTCCGATCGTACTATTGGTGGTATTCGTTGAAGTCGTTTGAGGGTGACTGTCGCTTTGAAATTCACCAAAGTCGTCCTCATCCTCCTCGCCCAAATTACTTTTAGCAGCTGGAGCTTCATCGCCGCGATAGGATGAAGGTTGAGGTGCTGCGTCCATATCGTCAAAATTTAGCAAGTCTACAGGTGGCTCCTGAGCTCTCTTTAGAGACGCCTTCCTTTGAAGCTCGCTAGCCTTGATCTTTTCGCGCAAAATTTCCCTCTTCTGACGTCGTTGTTCGTCAGCAGCAGATGTTCTCCGCCGTCTGGCAGCTTCCGCAGGAGCTGCAGAGCCGTTGATTCGATAGTCGTCGTCGTCGTCATCGTCGTCATCGTCGTAAGACCCATACACAGGGTCTTGAAACCCTGCAGCAGGTGTTGAGGCTGTAGTGGAATAAGCGCTAGAAGACTGGTTGATTTTTGCTACATTTTTAGTATGCTTAGCACGTTCCCGCTTCAGAAACGAAGGATCCTCCAGGTACTGGATCATTGTTTCGCACTTTTTCTTTATTCCACGTTCGTGGACCTCCATTTTGCCATCGTTACTAAAATCAACGCGAAAACTCATCACATCCCGGGTCAAGATATGCTTATGGGTTAGCATGCAGCTTCTGACCTGGTCCAGTTCCGAGCCATTATCCACGTTTAGAAGTAGGTATTCCAGGAGGACCAAACACTTCAATATAACCCGCCACTCACTTCCGTAGTTCACATACTGCTTCCGGGCCTTCTCATACAGGTTCTTTGGCCTAGAGGCAATATGGTCCACCAGCCTCTTGAGAGTATACTCGGTCATCAAATGGAGTGGCACCTGATACTTATTGCGCATAACTTTGAACAGATGTTTAGGAGTAGGACCCCACGAGTCCGTATTGGTGGCACGACGAATATCGACCTGGTAAGGCTCATATTGTACAATTACATTTTGCGCGAACCTGGCAGCGTTTCTGATATCATGGATTCCCAGATTCTGAATCTTTTTCGACAAGGAATCCATTGAGCTGGCAGTAGCTTTTCACAGCGGTAGTGTATTCAGCGATGAAATCTTGCCTTTCAAACTACGAGAAGCGCCGTTTTGCGGAGAAAGAACATGAACGGTGTGTAGTTCAGCACTCGGTGTTCAATAAGATAGAAATCTAACCGGACGAAATTACTCAGTTCGTGTAGCATGATATGTTGATGTTGGTGGACAGAGAAAGCGAAGGTGCGAGTGCCAGATCATCTAAGAGAGTCAACGGCTAGGTGCTCCTATTCATGATGTATATACCGTTCGTAAGGTGTAGTGTGTGAACTATTTGGTCTTCTTTCCTGGGTTATTTTAGGTTGGAAACTTGAAAAATATGCAAGACCATATGGAAGGGACCTGAGCCACATATGTATACGTCCAAGCCCTAGGCCAGCATTATGAGCAGTTCATCCTTGTCAACTCCATGACTTGAGTATACTGAGGAGAGCGGATCCGTCCTTTATCGTTCAGTAAATAATGATACTATTGCTGAGAGCCTCTGGATTCGGGCCGTTGTTCTGGAAACCTGCGGCCTCATCCACCACTTCTATGGCAGTGCTTGCAACTGCCGCGATCGAGGTTCCTTCAAAAAAAGGTTCTTTTCTGGGTCATACACATGTGTACATAAAAGAGGGGCGCTGAACCGTCAGATTACAGAGCAAAGCATCCTCCTATCTGACAGCGGTACTCCCGCTACTTACAATTCACCGGACTTGGCGATCACAATGCGGCTTCTGGTGGTACCGTGTGGGGAACCGAGAGACTCGATCTTCTTGACCACGTCTTGGCCTTCGGTGACTTCACCGAAAACGACGTGCTTGCCGTCCAACCATGGGCATGGCACGGTTGTGACAAAGAATTGGGAGCCGTTGGTGTTTGGACCAGCGTTGGCCATCGAAAGCAAACCTGGTCTGTCGTGCTTCTTGACAAAGTTCTCATCTGGGAACTTGCCGCCGTAGATCGACTTGCCACCGACACCAGTGCCGTGGGTGAAGTCACCACCCTGCAGCATGAAGTCTGGAATCACTCTGTGGAATGGGCAGCCGTTGTAACCAAAGCCCTTTTCACCGGTACATAGAGCTCTGAAGTTTTCTGCAGTCTTTGGCACAACATCGTTGTACAACTTGAAAACGATACGACCCAATGGTTGGCCGTCAACTTCGACGTCGAAAAACACGTTAGACATTGCTGATGATATGGGTACTTGTCAATTGGATTGAGAGTTGCAGACTACAAAGCAAAAGTGGTGGCACCTTCAGTTGGAAAACTTTTGGCTTACCGGTGGCTCTTTTATACATTTTAGGGCTGTTCTCGGCTGGAAACCCCGGGTAACCCTGTACGAGTCTGGAATGTGTAAAGGGACAGAGCACCAGGTAATCAGAGCTGAGTGTTGAAAGGCAGGAGAGTGTAAACGCCTTGCCACCTACCGCCGCCAGAGCGCGCAAGGATTGCCAAACTCGAACACGTTGGCACATGGCTGAAACGGAGCTGTTTGATTTTGCTATCACAGTGTACGATTGTGTCACTGACACTAAGGCAAGAGTTGGTGCACCGCTCGAGCGCGGCTTACAGCGCTAGTGTGGGCCAGCGCAGCAGGATAGGTTGACGTTACGCGCGGTTAGCAGCTACCATCGGGAGGAGGTAGGATATTTCAATGATCAATGACAATGTACGGTTGTTTTCCTTGAACGTGAGGGGCGGGCTAGCAGCCTGGTTGGTGCCCCATCGGCGGACAATGTTAGTCAAGTCAGCCTCTTTGGTGGCTAATTTGCAAGTCTATTGGTTTTGCTCTTTTGTGGATACCACGGGCAGGGATTAATCTGGGTACAGTCAGGCTTAGACCGTCCAAGAGCTCCAGTCAAGCGGGGTGGCTGATCGGATTTAGAGGAGAAATGGGCCGAGTGGCCAATTTTTTTCTAGTCCAATCTCTGTGCCTCTAGATGCGATGGTTGTTTGTTGATTATACACGTTGTGCATTCTTCGATTAATAGCTGGTATCACTCTATACTATTATGACACCATGTTGAATTCATCGGTTGCGTTGCTCAGCGCGATCCAAGCGTTACTCAGTGTGATCCAAGCGGTGGCAGATCACCACCTCTGACAGCTCAAACACCGGCAGGGCTGGTTGTACTTCAAGAATCCAATCCGTTCCACTGGCATGTTCGTTACCACTTTGTAAAATGCTGACGCAGGTCAAAAAAAAGAATGTACATGGTAGAACATAGAAGTATAAGGTAGGCACATTAACAGATTCGAGCTACCGTTGTAAATCTTTGTTCGCTTGTGGAGCTGTATTCCCTTTTGTCGCTTCTTATTCTGTAACCGCATCAGAAATGCACAGCAGCTTGAAAGTTACTAAGGCTGCCAGTAATATTAATTGTGACACGAATATGCTCGAAAAGTACAAACGTCCAAAGTATGGTTCCAAGGGGGAGTTGGGATGGGCCAGCCTCCCGCACAGCGTCATCGCAACGCTAAAATGACAAAACAAGAGCGAAGTGCTGCTTCTAAACGTGCCGACCATATCGAGGCCACGTGACCAAGATGACACACATGCCTGAAAAGGGGCCTGGCTCCGGAAACCAGCAAACTGCGCTGCCAAAGCCGACTCTAACCACCCATACTAGGGCCTAGGTGCTGAACGACGCATTTACGGCCGTCCGCTGTGTTTATATGACCATAAAACATACGTCGTATATGGCTATCACTAAATACGAAACACTACTTCCTCTGCATGTTCACACTGGCAGAGCCCGGCTCAAAACGGCACCAACTTTGTGCGGTAGGTCTACTGCCGCCAAGCCTTCGCAATAGCACGGGCGCCGTAAGACTACCGGTTCCCCACCCTTCCTCCTCTTTCTTTAATTAATTCTTGCCACTTTCTGTCTGTTCTCGGTGACTGAATTTTTTTTCCTGAACACTTAACTGGTGGTTTAAACATCTTCTCATCTCATCGCCTCGCTCTCCCGCCTAACAAAGCATTTGCTGCTCAGCTGTCTATTCACCATGATGAGAAGTAGGAGACCCCCTCACAACACTCTAGATCGCCCTGTCGTACTGCACGCAGGCTCTCGGCAGTACGTATCTGACGACCAAGTGATGCAGTTTTTGGGCCGTTTCATCCAAGAGCGCGAGGCGGAGGGCGACGCTGACGCCTCGGGAGCCCAAGCCCAACTCCGCAGAGTTGAACGCAACTTTAAGGGTCTTCCACCAGCTGTTCTGGACGCTCAGCAGTAATTTTTAAGGAAAATACACGCATGCACGAAACCGTGTTCCCTACATACCATGTACATTAATAAGATAGACCGGTCCATCGATCTCCATTATCCGCCAGGAGGGTGCCATTCCACTACCAGGCTCAACAACAGGGAGTTTTATCGTCAGCTCTTTCAGCTGGCGCTGTCATAGCCAAAATGTTATGGCTTGCTTTTTCACAACGTGGTTTTCCTGTGAGTCAAGTCAGCTGGACATGACCGTTGAGATAAAAAGATTTAATGTGCAAAGAACAAACTCAAGGCTAGCACTACTTCAGTATCAACACCTTACTTTTCGTCCAGCTGTCTTGAATTAAGGCTACCAGAACTGGTTGATATTCGAGAATAAAAGCTGATTCGGATCCGCATATCACCCTAGCAGCGTGCGCATAAGCATCAATTGTAAGAAAAATGAGTATTAAGAAAACGGTTGGTGTCTTGGGAGCCACCGGCTCTGTTGGCCAAAGGTTCATTTTGCTGCTGGCCGACCATCCAAATTTCGAATTGAAAGTTTTGGGAGCTTCGCATAGATCCGCCGGCAAAAAATACGCAGATGCTGTGAACTGGAAGCAAACAGAGCTCTTGCCTGAGTTCGCCCAGAACATCGTGGTTAGCGAGTGTAAAGCAGATGCTTTCAAAGAGTGCGCTGTTGTTTTCTCCGGCTTGGATTCGGACTACGCAGGCACCATTGAAAAGGAGTTTGAGCAGGCCGGGCTAGCCGTGGTTTCCAACGCGAAGAACTACCGTCGTGACACGGACGTGCCTTTGATCGTGCCCATCGTCAACCCCGAACACTTGGAAATTGTGGGCGAAAAGCTGGAAGCGGCGCAAAAGGCCGGCTCCACCAAGCCAGGCTACATTGTTTGTATCTCTAACTGTTCCACGGCCGGTTTGGTGGCCCCTCTTAAACCCCTGGTCGAAAGCTTTGGGCCAATCGATTTGCTAACTGCCACCACTTTGCAGGCCCTCTCCGGGGCTGGGTTTTCCCCAGGTGTTCCCGGTATGGATGTGCTGGACAACATTGTTCCCTACATTGGCGGGGAAGAGGACAAAATGGAATGGGAAACCAAGAAAATTCTAGGGGCTGTTTCCGAGGACAAGACCACCGTCGATCTTCTGTCGGACGAAGACATCAGAGTCTCAGCCCAATGCAACAGAGTCGCTGTCTCTGATGGCCACACGGAATGCATCTCCTTCAGGTTCAAAAACCAACCACCACCATCGCTGGACCAGGTGAAAAAGAGCCTGCGCGATTACGTTTGCGAAGCTTCCAAGTTGGGCTGCCACTCTGCTCCTAAGCAAACCATCCACGTTCTGGAACAAAACGACAGGCCACAACCAAGACTGGATAGGAATAGAGATGCAGGCTACGGTGTTAGCGTTGGTAGAGTTAGAGAAGATCCTGTTCTTGACTACAAAATGGTTGTACTGTCCCACAACACTGTCATTGGTGCTGCCGGTGCAGGTATTCTGATTGCAGAGATTCTGCTAGCCAAGAATTACCTCTAAATAGTACTTCTCACACCGAACCTTAATGTAATCACGCAAAGCTTTATAGAGTTAGTGCACCACCTTACAAATGACCTTGTATACAGTGCTTTTGAATAGACACCGACGAAAATACTAGATTGCATCGTGATCTCCCTTTACGCAGCGAATGCGATGCCAGCAATGGGCGTAAAGCTTAAGCTTTTGAACGAGGACACCATATATGAGCACATCTTTGAGCGGTATAGTCTTTTGCAGAAAAACTCGCAGTCGGTCAACCAGGATTTGGGCATAGAGTCAAGGATTAACGGTTACCTTGAACTAAGCTTTGAACCGACGGACAAAAAAAGTGCTTGTAAAGATTCCTTTTCGTTCGAGGTCTCGCAGTCATTGTCATCATTGAACTCCTCTCGAGACAATAACAATTCGACCACGGGCTACGTAGTTTGGTCTACAACGCCGTTTTTCTTAAAGTGGCTACTTTACTCGAAGAGTGGAGAACAGTTCCAAAAGGGAGCAAGTATCGCATGTGAGGACGATCCACTCAAACAATTTTGCGACGTGGAGCCAATCTTTAGCGCTTGTGAATCCAACCATGACGACCAGCCTTTTCGACAAATAGTGGAGCTTGGATCTGGTGTTGCAGGCATCTTGGGCATCGCCTTGGGCAACTACGTCGACAAGTATGTCTACACAGACCAGAAAGCCCTACTAGCACGGCTCGAACATAACGTCGCCCACAACATAGATGAGTTGCGATTGCGAAGTTTGGAGACCCTTACGCTGCACGTTGAATCGTGTCGAAGAACCCCACAAAAACTACAATTGGACATGCTAAGTCTTGATTGGGAAAACTTCGACCCAAATCCAGCCAAACTACACTCATTGCTACTTCCAGCTCGAAGAGCTCATGTCACTATTATATCCATGGATGTGGTATACAACGAATATCTCATAGAACCATACCTCAGGACCCTCAAAGGTCTACTGCATGCTTACAGGAGCAAGAAACATACGGTTTCGGCTCTGTTGGGAATTCAGCTCAGAGACCAAGACGTTATTGAAACCTTTCTGGAGTGCGCCGTGAGAGACTTTGAACTAAATGTCCACGTTATAGTGGACAAAATGATCGAAGCTACTAGATTCGATTTATTCTATGTGACACTGAGAGACTGAACGAGACTCTCAAACGAAACTTCAAAAAATGCACTAGGCTTGGGAAACCTCTCAAGTTCCACCATTCCTCTTGAATTTACCAGAGGAATGGTGGAACATCTTCTTAAATATACTAGAAATAAGTCCAAGCAGATCCTGTCGGGTAATTTCCATCCATTGAGCTTCCCTGCACTTTGACAGTAAAAATTGATCGGGGAACATGGTCTGGTGCTTGTCAAACCAGCGCTAGGACTTACAATTAAGGATTTAAGACAGGAGGTGCGCGCAACATCATTTAATCAGTGCACTATAAATAAGCTTTAAAAGGACTGCGGAAGATCCAAGTACACAATCTTTATTCAAATCTAGAAAGCCTCATGGGAGGTAAAATGGGCGATCTAACCGACTGTGCAATCGATCAAAGACAGTTGTTGTATGGGTAGACGAATAGATGAGTACATTCGTACTCATAATTAATGGTATACTATTGAATATAAAAAGTTCATATGACTATTGACCAAGTTTACTCGAAGAAACAGCAGCTGACGCTACAGCATGAGCTTTGCTGTTGGAGCACCAACTCCTTCACCAAATTTTAGCTTCTTTAGTAATTCCCAAAGCTCTGGTAGCGAAAGAGGCCCCAATCGAAGGCCCAAGGGAAATCGGTTCAAGGGCCGCAATCACCAAAAACAGGTAAATGCTCCCTCATCTACAGTCACGAACATTCACTTACCACCTACTCAAACCAAAAGGACATCAAGTGCCATCATAGTCAATGATGTCATCGCAAAAGTGGATAACACTGGTATGCTTACAAGTTTGTCACCTGAAGCGCTTGGGTTCAAACCAATCTCTCATGAACCAAGAAGCACCCCAAAGTACCTAATACAGCAGAGGCCATGTTTAAGACCTCGCTGCTACGCTCAGGATTCCTGGGATCGAGAAAATCAACAGCAAATGCTCAAAAAGGAACGCACAATAGCAGATGCAACTGAACTTTGGGAAACTTTGAAGAAAATGCGTGAAGTAGAAAGACGAGTCATGGAGGATAAAGAACTAGTAGATCGGGCTGACTTTGCCAAAGATCTGAACGACGCTATTGAATTCCAAGGAACTTGCCAGGATATGTGTCCAATATTTGAGCGGGCCCGCAGAAGCGTGGAAAACAACGTAGTCCGTTACGAAAAGGATGATGAACGCTCCAGAACCATTTCCAGACAGAAGGCCTTGAAGGTTTTTGCAAGACCTGCGGCAGCAGCGGCGCCACCGTTACCGTCAGATGTTAGGCCCCCTCAAGTTTTGGTAAGAACTTTAGACTACATTGTCGACAACATACTACCCAAATTACCGGACTGCGAGGGATTCTTATGGGATCGCATGCGATCCATCAGGCAGGACTTCACGTATCAAAACTATAGCGGGCCGGAAGCCATTGACTGTAATGAGAGAATTGTGAGAATTCACCTTTTGATTCTGCACGTTACTGCCAGAAGTGACGTTGAGTACAGTTTGCAACAAGAGCTAGAGCAACTCCACAAAGCATTGATTACACTCTCTGAAATCTATGACGAGGTTCGTGCCAGCGGTGGGCAGGCTCCCAACGAAGCAGAGTTCCGAGCCTATTCGCTACTAAGTAGAATCAGAGATCCAGAATATGATAAGATGGCCCAATCGCTTCCCAAACCAATATTTGACAACAGTTTAGTGCAATTGGCCCTTTGCTTTCGAAGAATAGTGTCCAATTCCACTTACTCAGAAAGGGGCCACATAAAGACAGAAAATGGCTTAAATCTTTACCAAAGATTTTTTGAGTTGTTGAAGTCTAATCGAGTTCCATTTTTGATGTCATCATTTCTAGAAGTATATCTGAATGAGGTTCGATTTTACGCTTTAAAATCATTAGCACATGCTCTTAATAAGAAGCATAAGCCCGTACCTGTTAGCTTTATACGGGAACATTTAATGTTTAACGACGAGGATGAGGTGATAAAGCTGTGCGAACACTATTCGGTTGAAGTGAGCGCAGAAGGCATCAAATTGAGTACTTTGACACATCACTCACATATTATTCCCGAGGCCACTCCGCTGAAACAAAGCTACTTACGTGTGGTGGATGGAAAGCTGCTTCAATCCACACCTCAAGCTCTCATCAACTCTGGAAAACCTAATGTTGATACTATACCTTCTGGAGATAGTAGCGAACAACCACAAACCCAATTTAATGAAAATTATAGATCCACAGCACGAGAAGAGGTATCGGAAAGTCCTTCAAACAGTTCGAAATCCATTCAACACCTGAGTCAAGTTTCGAAGCTTGAGACTTCGCCGAAGGTTGACTTCGCCAATATGACAGACAATCTAGCCCGCAATGTAGAGGCCACAAAACAATCAAAAGAAGATAACAAAGAAACAAATCAAAATGCCAAGGTTGAGAAAGCATACGAAACTAATATACAGGAAAAAATTGACGAACAGAGAAGAATAAAAGAAACTAGAGAAAGGGAGATATTTGTCAAAGAACCCGCAGATGTTAGCGGAACGGATGCCAATTTAGAGAAGGCAGATGATAAAATTAAAGAGCGAATTGAGGCATCCAAATGGGTTGCAGATAAAATCATACGGAACGTGGTACACGAGCAGACATCTCTAATTGCAAAAGAGCAGTTACGAAAGCGCTCCCGGAAGGTAGAACAGCTTCAGCAATTAACAAACGAGCTTTACCAGGCGTTTCTCCACGAGAAACTATATCTCACTGCTTTACAAACACAAGCCGAGATTGCTCATGATACGACTTGTTTAAGGCATGGGTGGAAGCTGTGGAGAGGTGGTTGCACCAGAAGAAGAGACCAACTGGAAAAGAAAAGGTTGCACATGGAAGAAATCGCCAAAGTGAGCAGGCAGTTAGGTGTTCCTGACTTCAAGAGACTCAAGGTAGACGCTACTCCTACTTCAAACTTCTCATTTATCATGCCTTTATCGTCACAGAGGGATATTGTCCATACCCCGGTCACCAATGAGAAAAGTCATTTCAAGACACCATTACGCAAAAACCCTGCGGTATGGGAAGTCTTAGATTTAGAGAAACTATACCTCGAGCCGATTGTAAACAATGCATGCCGTACGGTTTCTGAGAAGGCTAAACAATCCAAAGAAGCCCTCAAGTTTAACATTTCCTTATATGCCCGGAATTGGGACAGTATCTCTGCTCGCTGGCTTCTGAGCAAATTCGGTCTTCAAAATTCTACTAGTCGCAGCTTGCTCTCCAAAAGGCAAGGTCTGTCTTTAGAAATCAGACACGTCGCCCATGAATTTTCACCCAAGGATTTTGAGAGTTTGCAACTCTTGGTTTTTAACAGCGGGGTCACGGAGAATGATATTTTCGATCTTGAAATGAAGCTAAAGCAAGACGGTGAAAAATTGATTGAACTAGCCCATGGCGTGGCCTTGAATACCAATTACAGATTCTCCATCATGGTCGTTTATTGGGAGTCTACAGAAAATCCACTTACATCTGAAGAAATATCTAGAGCACTTAAGCTGACGAAAATGTCTAAAATTTTTGCATCGGCATTGGAGACCGTGGAGGTCATCAAGCTCACTGGCGATGACCCTCATGTCGCCTTGCAAAGAAACCTTTCGAAAATTGCGAAGTGTTGTAGCTTGAACTTAACTGAGCGGGGGATATACAATGCTTCACTCAGAAACAGGAACTCGCAGGCGAGCTCCGTAACGTCCATTAGGTATCAAAGTTCGCGAGAATTAGACTCCAAGTTACGCAGGGCCCTGGAACAAGAGACTCGCAAATACGAACAGGAACGCAACAAACCTACCAACACGTATGCATACCTGCAATCGCATGTTGCAGCCTCGCCGCGTGTGCGTAAACGCAAGCTGCCTGTGTTGTTGTCGGATTCTCACAGGAACAAATTCAAGACTCCTCTGGCGGTCCGGCCATTCATTAAACGCAGCACTTCTGGTTCTTCTTCCTCAATTCCCACATCCGAACCCTCACATTTGGCTGTCAAGGTCCGTCTCGACGGCCACTTCACTCTTGCAGACCCTGGCGTGTCCTGGACCACTCCATTGCCTTCACGAACTAAACACGAACCCATGTCGGCCAGTCGTTTAGCCACGTGCAACACCAGTGGGATTTCAAACGTAACTTTCGAATCCCCCATTTCAACCCCTTCTGAAAGACTTTTGCCAGCGAATGCCGCCTCCACTTCGACTACCACTGACCAGCAAGAGACGTCTGATAGTGTTCTCGAGCTCAAGCATCTCATCGCATCCGTGAAAAAAAGCCTAAACAAATACTGAATAAGCCCGTTTCCCTCCAGGATCTTTAAACAAGAGCCTGAAACAACAATGAACACTACATTAGACGTTCTCACTACTGATCTGCTCCATTGGCTCTCATCGCTACTCACTCGTTACCCATCGAGCCAGGGTCCTAAAATGATTCAGGTGACTGTCGTCCGGGGTTACCTATGCGTAGCAAGAAAAACCGAACGTTTTAATCGGGCACATATATAAAGAGGAACCCTCATCACATTTCCACGAAAACTAAAAGTCGTAGGAGGTCGTTCAAAGCCAGTTTGAGTGGCTATTAAAACACCATGGCATTGTGGGAGCACTTAGAGGTACGTTTTGCACTAAAATTTGCACATTTGAGTAACTATATAAATGTGGTTGGCTCAGATAAAATGGTGAGACTCTATATATGATAGTCTCGCATTTCGGAATACCATACTAACCGGCTACAGGTTACCAAATCGCATGTTGCGTATGCCTGTGTGGGCATTTTCTCTGCTGTATTCTCGCTGCTTTCACTTTTTGTCAAGGAAAAGCTTTACATCGGTGAATCGACTGTTGCGGTCATTTTCGGTCTTATTGTTGGTCCACACTGTCTTGACTGGTTCAACCCATTGACATGGGGCAATTCGGACTCGATTACATTGGAAATTACTCGGATCGTGCTGTGTTTGCAGATTTTTGCGGTGGCAGTCGAGCTACCCAAGAAGTACATGTTGAAGCACTGGTTGTCGGTGACCATGCTACTTCTACCTGTAATGACTGCTGGCTGGCTGATAATTGCGCTATTTGTTTGGATAGTTATCCCACATTTGAATTTCCCTGAGGCTCTGCTGGTTGCTTCCTGTATTACGGCCACAGATCCTATCTTGGCACAGTCCGTGGTTTCAGGTAAGTTCGCGCAACGTGTTCCTGGCCATCTGAGGAATCTATTGTCGGCTGAAAGTGGTTGTAATGATGGGATGGCATTTCCTTTCATTTATCTATCGTTAAACCTGTTGTTCCATGCGGGAAATGGAGGAGAAATTGTGAAGGATTGGATTTGTGTTACAATTCTCTATGAGTGTCTATTCGGTTGCATACTAGGCGCTGTTATTGGATACACGGGCCGTCGGGCAATCCGGTTTGCCGAGGAACGCAAGCTAATAGATCGAGAATCCTTCTTGGCTTTCTATGTGTGTTTGGCCTTTATGTGCGCAGGGTTTGGTTCTATACTGGGAGCCGATGATCTTCTAGTGTCTTTTGCTGCTGGTACCGCATTTGCATGGGATGGATGGTTTTCCAATAAGACCAAAGAGAGTGAAATATCCACTATCATTGACTTACTTTTAAATTTGGCTTACTTTGTGTATTTTGGAGCCATCATCCCATGGCAGCAATTTAACGACCATGATCTAGGGCTGGATGCTTGGAGGCTGGTTATCCTTGGTATTGTGGTTATTTTCTTACGCCGGATACCAGCAGTGCTCGCCTTCAAATCTATGATACCAGATATCAAAACCTGGAGGGAAGCTATCTTTGTTGGACATTTCGGTCCTATAGGCGTTGGTGCTATTTTTGCGGCCATTCTTGCCCGTGCAGAACTTGAGGCACATGCCACTGGTGAGGAAACACCCTTGAAGGAGCTGCCTGCCGAAGGTTCGGAATATTGGAAGCTCATTGCGATAATATGGCCAGTAACATGCTTTTTCATTATCGTTTCAATTATCGTCCATGGCTCGTCTGTTGCTGTGATCACACTAGGCCGTCACTTGAATACAATAACCTTGACCAAGTCGTTCACCACCCAGACTACTAATGGCAAAGGATCATCTTGGATGCAAAGACTACCTACGTTGGACAAATCCGGAAGATCATTCTCCTTGCAGAGAATTGACACAAAAGCTCCCTCAGATACCATGGCACGCCAGGATACCGTAGAAACAAGTGGTATTCCTGCTAAACCGTTCGGGGGGATGAAGAGAAAGCGCAGAGGGCTAAAGAAAAGAATAAGAGGTGATATCTTCAAGTCAAAGGTAGGATCAGCTGGTGGAACTTCAGAGAGTCCCGAGACTGTAGATAACGAGAGGTTACAGCGCGAAAAAGAAGCACAAGCTGCCGCATTTGCCTTGAGCTCCCAGCTACGCACCAATGACGAGGACGCCTATGACGATACTAATATTGACGAAGAGGATGGAGCTCAGGATACTTTGGATTCAGTTGATGTCATGTCGCCTGCTGAAGCAAATGAGGCGATTAGTAAACTAGACGCGATATCTGGTTACCCTCCTGACGCTGAAGCACAGGAAATCGATGATGATTTGAACCATATTCAACATTCTGCTCCACCGACTGGAGGTCCATCAGATCATGTTCCTCATGCGGGTGCCACGACAGCATCTTCGTCCAATTTCGATGAAGAGAAGTTTGAAAGGGAATCACACGCTGCGTCCATCGATAGCTACACCAGAGATCTAGAAAGTTTGCGGCGGAAGATGGAAATGAAAGCCGAAGAAGAAGAAGGCGCCGTTGCGTATGCCGAAGGGCATAAAATAATCGTTGAAAACAGTCAGGGTGAAATAATAGACCAGGCCGAGCTTAATCGCAAACCGAAGGACGAAGAAGAAGGACCGTCTCATGATGAGAGCAAAATGGGAGCTTTAAAGCGTGCTTTCACGCCTCCTCGCAGAAGAAGACAAACACTAATAGATGAAAATGCTAACAAGCGGTATTTCGCTTACAAGATCGATGACCAACTTATCATTGAAAATGAAGACGGAGATGTTCTTCGAAGATACCGCATTAATTCTCACGAAATGAGTGCCAGTAGAAGCAACAGAGAAAGTAGGCAGAAAGCACCCGGAATGATGGCCAAAGCACTTTCTGCGGTGGGAATTTCCAAGAATACATCCCAGTCACCCGAATCTTCTACTGTTGACCAACTAGACCCTGGAACGAAGATTCGCGGGCGCCGTTTGACTCCGGTTCCTACATCTGGAGCACAAGACCGTTCATCACAGGACGACTACGACGAAGAGCACGACGATGACGAAGACTCAGATGAATATGACAGTGATGACGGGCAAGACTCGGATGAAGATGATTACAGTGAGGAAGAGGACGCTTCTAACGCCGAGTTCTCCGAAGGTGACGAGGAGCTCAGCGATGGGGAGTCTGAAACTGCGGTAGAGCGCTCGAGAAGATTGACAGCTCTGGGACACGTTGCCGCACCAAGGGACGATGATGACGAGGAGATTGACGCAGCCGCTATCTCACGTCCTCAACAAGAGCGCGCTGCGACTTCCAAGAAGGTTAGGAATGCTTTAGGGTTCAATTTACGCAAATGATAAATATGCATAGGTTATATATTAATTGCATTTTTTAGAAGTTCATCGATATTGAAAGATCATAAACCTTCATACAAAGTCCAGTGTCATACCATTAGAACTCCTTGGTAGTAGGGCAGGCTGATATCAAATGTCATGAACAGGGAATGTTTGTCTGGACTATTTCCAGACCTCCGTAGCTCGCAATGCAGCGACAAATCTGACTCTGCTGATTCCCTACCTGAGAAGGATGGAACTCAGCGGGTAAGCGGAGAATCGGACAGCTGTGACTTCGCCTTTCTTCAAGAGCTTCTTTCAGGCCTCAACAGTGAAGAGGCTATACTCTATAGAGAGAAGTTGGCCGAACAGCAGTTCTATTTGAGTGATCGCTTCGTTAGGAAAATGGGCACTTTGACAACAGATGCCAAGACGGTACCAGCCACAGGAGACTTCGAGCAGTATAATACTAGAGTTCATCGAGAGTTTGAGCTGCGGAAAAAGTTAGATGGTCTGCTAAAGCAGCGAAGCCTGCAACCGCTGAATATATTGAGCTCGGATGACCTTAGCGCCCGGTTTGTCGCAGGCCAAGACAATGACATATCGGCACCTCAATTTTGGCATGAGCGTAGTATACTAGCAAATGTCGTAAAGTCCCCTTTGGAAACTACGGGCAAAACTCCTTTGAGAAGTTCGAACCAAAATCGCCACAACGGGCCTGACTTACGTATTGCTCGTACAGACTCTCATGAAACCCAGATCATTGACATGGAGAAAGACCTTAATGGTATAATTGACATGTCACTGCCCGAGGGGAGCAGGAAAATCGGCGGGTTCGCTTCTTCGAGAGGTGGCGGAATTGGAAAGTCTACGAATGGATCACCGCAGCAAGGAGCCAGTTCTAGCGAAGGCCAAATTCTGCAAAGGAGACTAGAAAGAAGACATTTACAAGCTATTGCTACCGGTGCCACGATCGGTGTTGGTTTGTTCTTAAACAGTGGGAAGGCCCTGTCTATCGGAGGTCCTTTCGGATCTCTAATCGGGTTTTCAATTTGTGCTAGCGTAGTGCTAGCAACTACTTTGTCCTTCACAGAAATTGCTACAGTCATCCCTATTGCGTCTGGCGTTTCAGGATTGGCTTCAAGATTTGTGGAGGACGCCTTTGGATTCGCCCTAGGCTGGACCTACTGGCTAACTTACTCGCTCACCTTAGCGAATCAAATTGTGGCGAGCAACTACATGCTGAGCTATTATAGCAACGAATCAATGAGTACAGGTGCCACGGCTGGCTTCATATCCCTTTTTCTCATTGTCATTGTCTCGGTAAACTTACTAGATGTTCGTTTAGTCGGGGAAATTTCATTTGGCTTCACGTTCCTTAAAATAACAATTTGCACGATCATGGTTCTTGTCATGATAGCCCTCAACGCTGGCGCTGGAAGCCAGAGACACTCCAGAATAGGATTCCGTTTTTGGGATAGTAGCAAGTCACCAGAAAATCTAACCTTTGGCTTGTTTAGACCTACATTTGATCTTCAGGATGTAGGAACTGGCAGCAAAGGTGGAATTTCTGGCGCCAAAGGCCGATTTTTATCAGTTTTGGTTGTCGTTATTCTCTCGTCATTTTCTTTCAGCGGTGTCGAAGTAGGATTTGTTGCCTGCGGAGAGGCTACCAACCCCAGGCACTCTTTGCCACCTGCAACCAAAAGAACTTTCGCCACGATTACGAGCATTTATTTGATATCTACCCTGGTGATAGGTATAAACGTGTACAGTGGCGACTCACGGCTGTTGCGTTACTACATCTCTGCAACTCAAAATCCTGCCAGTCCTATCCTTTCCCCCTCAACGACCAGTTGGCAGATGGATCACTCGTGCGATGGTGACCAAGGCACTGTAGATTCAGCTCAGGTCCTTTCAAGTGGCAATCAAAGTCCTTGGATTCTTGCATTGAATAGCTTCGGTCTATGCACCTTTTCATCGGTATTCAATGCCTTCCTGGCCATCTTTGGCGTATCTTCCGCCTTTTCTTCCTTGTATGCTGCTAGTAGAACCCTCTACTCAATGTCAACTCAGGATAAGTCTCCATCAGTGTTCAAGCGATGTACGGGCCGTGGGGTTCCATATATGGCTGTCATGTTCACCGGATTGGTCGGCTCACTTGCGTACCTCGCTTTAAATTCTCATTCTCTTGAAATCTTCCAAGCTTTAGCCAACATGTCCAGCGCAACGATTGCCATCATTTGGTTTGGCCTGAATGTCTCGTTCTTACGGTATTACTATGCATTGAAAAGACGTCCTGAGATAATATCCCGCGACGACCCTTCTTATCCATACAAATCTCCTCTCCAACCCTTTGCTGCTTACTATGGACTATTTGGATCAACTGTAATCGTGCTACTCATGGGGTTTTCCAACTTTTTGAAAGGCTTTTGGAATACCAAGATGGCATTTTCGTCCTACGGCGGTGTCATATTTTTTGTGGTAAACTATGCCGGTTTCAAGCTTCTTAGGAACTCCAAGCTACAAAGACTCGATCAACTAGACCTAGATACTGGGAGGCGTGAGGGGGATAGACTGCAATGGTCTGAGCATCAGCAGTACAACAATTCATGGAGCGAGAGGTTCAAAAACATGGTCACGTGGATAATTTAAAGGACCCCGCTCACGCCGCGCTGAAAAATTTCAGTTAGCGATGGGTTGGTACTCAGATGAGAAGAGCAGGATCTTGGGAGCGATACCTAACAAGCAGCCTCCATGTCTTCAATCGAAATTTCCATCAGTCAGGCAAAAAAATATCTTGCCGAAAACGATGCTAAGGAAGCCCTCAAGGTGCTTAAACCTTTCAAAAAATCATTGAAAACTAGCAACCCTCCAAACCTGGAACTGTATCAGATTTTTGCCGAGTCGTATTTGGAAAATGGACAAGTAGACAAGGCCTACCCACTGCTAGTAAAATCATGCGAATTGGATCCAGAAGGTAGGCTAGGGGGCAGTGACAAGTTTTTCACTCTAGGCCAAATCGCAGGTGGTGAGGACGGGATTAGCCTGCTAGTCAAAGGAATAGAGAGCGTCTCCACCCAAGCCGGTGATGAGTTGAAGCAAGAGCAAGCTGAGAAGATTGTGGGGGGGCTGTTGTCTATGATCGAGATTTGGATGACGGACTTGTGCATGGAGCCGAATGCGGAGAGTCAGTGCGAGGAGCTCATTGGCAAAGCCATGGAAGTATCTGACAACCAGTCACCTGAAGCCTGGGCCATGTTAGGATCCATCAGAATATCACAGCAACGTTTTGGAGACGCAGCAGAGGCATTTTCTCAGTCGTGGCACTTTTTCCAGGAGAAGAAAGATAAGATCGAAACAGGAGCTCAACAAGGTTTTGGTAATCTACACATCGAATTTGTAAACTTGTTACAGCCTCTTTTAAACCTAGCCAAAATGTGTGTTGAGCTGGGTTTGTACGACACTGCATTAGAGATCGAGGGTGCCATAAAGGATATCGATGAGGATAATCTGGAAGGAATATATCTAGAGGGGTTCACTCATTACTTAATTTGCAAACTCGAGCAATTCAAGTCAAATAATCCAGCCATTATATTGAGCCCAGAGAACATCTACGAGTTCAATGGGCATTTTCAAGATATGCCGCTGGACTTAGCCAACATTGTCACACAGGACCGTGTCAAAGAAGCTCGCTTACTGCTAACGTACATGGTAAAGCTCGCCGAGCAGGGCGATTCCAAGGATGAAATTGTCTCGGAGCTTTTGCAGGGTGCAGAAGGACTTCTCTCAGAATTGGGTGGCCCTGCCCATATGTCAGAATTGATAAAATTCAGGAAAGGGGATGAAGTTGCTGACGATGAGGAGGTCGAAATCGACAACGACGATATATAAAGGGTTGGCCTGATGCGGAAGTCCATCGCGCTCTCACGGATATTATAAATCATCAATTGCATTTTCTATACAAACAAAATTTAAAATGGACAAAACGTCTAGATATTGTCAAATAACCGGCAAATACAGCCTCTATATACTTTTCCGGCGATAATATACAATTGTAGAATTAAAGTAACACCTGTGCGCGTTCGTTTTATCAGTGAACCCCTGAACCTCCGGATAAACCCGGTAGGCCTATTTTATCCCTGTTGTAAGTCATGCTTCCGAGACTTTCATGTTCTCGTTGAAATCGGTTTCCAAGTCATCGATGTCTTCCCATTCGGCATCCGTATCGCCCGCCTTAGCGGAGTCATTCATGGACTGCGCTAACATTTGCGTTAAGTAAAAGGGTCTCGGTCTCCCGTCATTATCGTCGCTTTCTTCGTAGGCTTCCGTCAACGTAACGTACTCTTCCGGTACCAAGCCAGTTCGCGTGCCTTCTTCATTTTCTGCCACTAACCAACCTTGGCCATGTCTGTAACCTATAAGGACAGTATCGCCCTCATGAAGCTCCAGTTCGTTGTCATTTTCAGGCACGAAATCATATAGTGCCACAGCGTGTTTGTTCACAATATAATCGTTGGGCATTATTATGCTCTGCCTCTTTGTGATGCTGTCATCTGGATTTTCATCGTAATTTCCATCTAAAGTGTCTGCTGTCTCCGAGCCACAATTGGGGTAACGTAAGTCGATGTTTTGGTTGTGCCGCTGCCGGTAAGGAACGTCGTCCTTATCAGCATGTGAAGTGGACTCTTCGTCCTCATCACAATTATCGCCATAAAAGCCAAAATGCAGCGCTGTCGACTTATCGTAAGCAAAATCTCTTACAGATATTGCCCCAGTTGTCTCAATGCCATCATCAGCACTGTTCGTCTCTTGCTTGCAATCTTCCATTGGATGTAACTAAACTTAGCAGCAGAAAGTAACCCACGCCAACTCGGTGTTTCCCTACAGAGTCGTGATTTATATGAAAAATCTTAGCTTCCTAAATCGTCTCAGACCGATAAGTCTCCTTGCAAACAGCTCTGAAATCTTTGTTCCGATACTTCTGGCGTCCATACTTGGAAGGTTGACAGTGTACATATGCTATTTTGGCATTAAAAATATTCAGCGTATCAAGTGATCACAATATGTCAATATAAGTAATGGGTAGACTATAGGTTCTATAGTGTAATGGACTTGCTTCGTAAAAACGACCAAACAATGCTGGATTTAAGCCAGTTGATCGAAATGCGCAAGATCAGGAGATTCAGAAGAGTATAAACAAGGCCCTATGGAGGTAAATACCACAGAAAGTAGGCGTTAAGAGGGCAGGTCCATAAGTTATTGACATCTGTGTTTATAGAGAGCTTCCATAAGATTATATATGACTACAAACACTCTGTATCAGCTCTGCTACCGGAGATCGCAGCCGTTTCATAGATCACGTCTGACGTGATTACTCATTATGATTGAAAGTCCTTTGCCCATCAGGGCATTATCCTAATCTCAGACTTGATGAGTTAACTCATTGACACCAGCAATGGCTAAGTCCAGGACTAAGACATCATCTTACGTTTAGATATGACAACATCACACAGACCTCAGTTAGAGGCTCGCAACGGTTCCAAATCGAGCTATGTGCCGACCTCTATTCAACATGCCAGATTGCTTCCTGGACACACCAAATTGAAACTAAGGCAGAGGAAAGACCTAAGAGATAAAGTGGAATCAAGTTACGAAAGCTCGTCAACTACAAAACTACTAAGGAATGACACGGATACGGAGCAGGCAAACGTTGCCCGTGAGGCGGGACAGCTACTGGGTAGCGGAGAAGAGGAAATAAGTGAAGTAGCCGAGGAGGGTGAGGACGATGAAGGAGAGGAGGAAGTGGAGGAAGAGGAAGAGGAAGAGGAAGAAGAGGAAGAAGAGGATCAAGAAGCTCTACTGCAAGAGCTACACAAGATCCGGCAAGAAAGAATGGTTCAGAAACTGAAAGATGACCGCAAACAAATAGAACAAGAAAGTGCCATTAGCGTACCTTCAGAAACGCCAACAGTTCGCAAGAGCTGGCGGTCCCAAAAAGTCTTCGGCGGTTCGAAATCCAACAAAGTTTCCAAGCATGACGACAAGCATCCTAATCATGGCTACACTAACAATTTGACCAGCAGTAAATTTCATCATGACTTTCTTCGTAAGTATGTCCGCTAGGGTGACTTACAACTTTTTAGGCGGACGACGAGATCTTGGCACCGTTGAGGCATAATTGCTTTTTATGTATGGTGAATTGAAAATTGTTTTGATGCATATGCTTATTTACAGAAAGGGCTTCGCGAAGAAGACCATGCAATTAGTGGTGGGTTTTTGTTGTTGTAAGATCAATGTCAGAACTTGAGCACATCTCTGAGAAATTGACCAAACTCTAATCGGCTCATTTCGCCTGCCTCAGTGTTAACGAAGTCGATTTGGGTGAACTTGCCGCCTCTGGGTCCGCCGTTGACATCAGTAAATTGGACCAGGTACTTGTCCAAAAATCTCAACTTCAAAACACGACGGTAGTTGACATTAACATATCCATAAGTTATAGTGTTGGAGTCCGGACTATCTTGGAACTGGAGATTCAAGGCCAAGCTTTTGGGAATAAACAACTTTTCATTTCCTTGGAAGTTCAATCGAGCCTTGAGTAAGAACTCCTTCAGCCCAGGTTGATCTTTTAGCCAATTTTCAGGATCTAAATCATAAGGTTGTGTAACTTCCAATGTATTATCGACATTAACCTTCAAATCATAAGGAGATTGAGGCATTTCCAATAATAAACTTTTATCTTCTGCATGCAATAGGCAACGAACGCTACTATTGATGGCTTTATCATCATCGTCCAGCTCAAACCACAATTCTAGAGGCGGTATGGTCTTGGTGTGGTTCAAATCTCCCAGGTTGGGAATGAACTTGAGCTGAACGAAGTATTCATGTTGATCCACGGTATATAAATGGTCTTGAGTAAACGAACCTTCATTCAATGGAAGCCGGAGCAACTTGGCGGCCGCCCCCGCAACTTTTGTTTGGAATGCAGTTTCATTATCTGCTGTCCTCAGTAATTGTCCTAAGGTGATACTCCAAATCTTGGACGAATTCTCGGCTTTGATGTCAGAGGTTGCATTAGTACGGGCGCCTAGGAGGCTGCTATACAGTTCGTCGATCTTGTCTTCTGAAAGGACTAGCGAAGTTTGATGGTTTTCTTCGTCGACTGAGTTCTTCCTGACTGGCTCTTGCAATCGAGACCAATCTTTGTTTCTCTGAATCCAATCTAAGGCATTGATGTCGGTAAACGGAAACGACATGTATTTCGATCGTTCATGCTTACCCAAGTAATGTATTTGCTCAGTTGATTGAGGGCTATAGCCCAGAGCCCAAAGCAGCAGAACTTTAGCTGTTGTTATTCTCTTACTACCAAAACTTGTGATGGAGTAGGTGTTGGATTCATCTTCAGGGCTCCGCTCGAAAAAAGTTGCGCTCTCTTTTTGTACCAAATTAACAATCTCTTGTATATCGATAGCTGCTCCCGTGGGATCATGGTGGTTCTTGATGAGTTCACTTATTGATATATCTTCGCGTTGCACATTGTCTAATATTTTTCTAAGGGAAACCTCGACGTACTTGACAAGGGAGCTTGTTGCTCGAACGATTATCTTATTTTCACTCAATGCTACCGCCACCGTGGCCCCGAGACGTGCAAAATTGTGAAGAATTTTACCATTATTGGTTAGCAATATGAGGTAAATATCCCTAGTTTGGACGTCAATAATACGTTCCACAATCAGATCCTGTCCCTCACTTATGGACTCATCTAGTTGGCATTGCCAAAGGTCTCCCATAATCCTGGTGATAAGAGTCTTCTTGGGAACGGATTTGGCAGCTGTCACATCGAAGTACTTCTTCATGTAGGCTTTCAGTTGCGGTACGGTATATGCTCCTTCCAATAACGTCTTGAGCTGCTCATAACGCTTGGCAGACATGATCCTGGAGTCAGCGCCTGGCTTGAGCTCGTGGATTGATCTTACCACTTGTTCACGAGGGACGGAATTTTTGAAGATCAGAAGCTTCCGGCGCTGAGATTCTATTTCCTGTAAGATGTTACCAGCCGATGTTTCTGGATGGCTCAATTTCGAGTTGCGGTCATCAAATTCGACCCCCTCCAATGCACTTAGGCGTTCCTTGGCCAAGTGTCTGTGTCTGCCGCTTCCGGTAAAATGGCCTGGTATTCGTTTGCGCCGAAACAAACCTGCTTCGCGAGGGTTGAGAACAACAATTTGGGCTCTCTTGGGTTTCAATTTCTTACCTCGCGTGGAGTTAGATTCAATCTCGGTCTTTAGCTGCCAATTACGTCTACTTATCGACAGTGGGCGCCATAATTTCGGCCAGTTTGTCGTGTTTCGAGGTAGGTACATCGCATTAGCAGCTGTAAGTCGGAGCATAGTTTCTGAGAAGCGAACCGAATGCACCTTAACAAGCGTTCAAGGTATTCATTCGGAGGCCTTTACATGTATTATGAGTATCTTACCACGATATTACCGCGATGAGCTTGAAATTTTTCAGATCACTATACACGGATATATAAGTGGTATATGAAATTTCAGACTCAATGTAATTTAACCATCTTCAACAGTGTTCTGGATGAGATGGGCGGCTAAAGCATGGTCAACAGGGCAGCCATTGCGGCGCAGGACATTGTCTCAGACTACTTTTTGGTGTTTAACAATGAACTGCATCGATTTTTAGATCCTTTATGGACTAAATCGCAACTCTCCAGCTCTCATGTGCATACCACCAGCAGAGCTAAGTGGATCGACTTCACGGAATCGGCCAGGAGATTTCAAGAGAGCAGCGATAGCGAGGTTTCGCTGGATGAAGATGATGACGGTGAGGATGACGATGAAGTTGAGATGGGTGAGGGTTGCTATGCAGGTGCGTTTTGGACTTCCGAGGAAAAAGAAGTGTTTTTCTATCATCTTTCAAGATCATCCATTCACAGAGTTGATGAATGGGCTTTTTTCTTGCCACACAAATCAAAGTTTGAGATCCTAACGTATTTCAAAGTGCTCAGAGCTAACTTACATGAATTGAAGAGCCTCGACAGTAAGCGTCACGGTGGAATTCTGCCGAAAGCAGCGTTCCCCATCGCGTATGAAATGGACGAGTTTTTTGTCGAGTTGGAGGAGAAACTTTCCGCAGAGGCAGACCAGATACTGCGGCACTGTGAGGAAGAGATGGCGGAAGCGTCTGCTGCGTCATCTAAGAACGATGAGGACGAGCTCATAGATATTGAAAAATGGCGAAAACGCTGGAGTCCCATGTATTCGAAAACTCATATTTCGGAGTTGAGGCCTGCCTCAAAGGTCGCTTTGGAGTTTTCAAAGGGATCACTCGATGAAGCTGTTGCATGTGTCAAGTCCTACTTACGGAGGCTGCTGTGGTTCACAGTTCTTCCTAACCTCGAAACTAAGCATATTCCTAAGCGCGACCTTACAAGCGATGAGACATTAACGCAGGCAACTCAATGCGAATCTGACGATGAGTTCGTGGTTGAGTGCAATTCGAAGTCCATTTTTCCTCATGTGGTGACCAAAGACGACGTTTTGCGTGGTCTAGCGTCCATGCGCCAGGAGCAGCTGATGGCTCCCACATTAGCTGAGACAGTTCTTTGGACTTTGAAAAAATTTAAGCTCAAAACTGAGGAAGGGCGCCTCTTCAAAACCTCCCAGGTGGCGATGGGCGTTGTGCCCCGCATCCTGGCCCATGCAGAGGCCTCGCATAATTTGGAATTGATCGTCGGAAGCAGTGGACATGGTCACGTGCAAAATATGCCAGTAGATCGAGAGGCGGACGAGTTTCGACACATCCATCAAAAGTTGTATGTGTTGAACGGCAAAAAACGAAGCCGAGACGCCTTCATGGAAGATGACGAATTGGATACAATTGACAACCCGCTAGAGGAATTGTTGTGTGATCTCGAGACCCGTCAACTGGAAGAGCTAGATGTTCATGCGTCACGACTTTATCAACATACATTGCTAATGTTCTTAGAAGGTGAACCAGTGACTACCAGCGAGGGGTACTATTTGAGCTCACCGCAAGTCCCCATGGATATCAGCACAATTCCCGAGTCAGTCCAACGCGAATTTCAGTACGAGTGACAGCCTCGTTCTGCATGATATACACCGACACAACACTACAAGGTGACCACTGCTTTACACACCTTTTTGTGGCGCGGTCGGTTGAAGAGAGTGTTACTTACCGATTGGAACCACAGTTCGAATGACCTCTACCACAAGGGTCTACATTCAATTGTATAGGTTCCTTGTGTTGGAATCATTTTTTGCTACCTGCTGTGCCGCTCTAGTTCCCATAAGTGAGAAACACCCCTCATCTTCATTGTCAATTTTGAAGAATAGTGACATGATGTTTCCGCTGTTGCTTTGTTCCTCTCCCTTCTCGGACTTCGAAGCCCTCGCGTCGGTACTCGAAAGTTTGTCAAGTTTCGGAATGCGGTTTCCGAGCCTTACCTCTCATCACAGCTTACGTTTTGAATGACACGGCCGGATTACGATTTCCGAACTATCATCGTTGTGCGCTGCCTTTAACAGTGGTAAGGGGCCGGGTCCGCAGATTTCACAGCATAATTGTTATCAGTGAGATTGGAATTATCTGAAGTCATTTGAGGATATTGGACTGTATCACTTAAGCTATCAGGATGTTGCCGTGTAGACTTGGGGGCTGACAAGCCAGCCAGAGAGTGTATTTAAACCCTCGATGGTCGCAATGTTGGACGAATATTTTGAGGTAAAGAGAAGTTGTACAAAACTTGCCCTCTACATCTACAAAGCACAACTGAGGTTGAATGTTAAGAAATCTAAGTTTAAATAGGGCCACGGTGGCCCATCGCTGCTTTTTGGCTCGTACTTTAACGGCCAGTTTTGTTACGAAGACCCCCATAAACGGAAAGCCTCTGCAGATGGCTCCCATGCATTCGAGTATACCGGTGGAGGAGATCGTGAAGCCTGCGGCTGTAGACCATTTGAAAAATCTATCCGCTCAAGAGCTAGTCTCACTTGGTGTGATTGGCTTTGCAACCATTAACAAGCCCATGCTGGACTTGGTATTGAAGGTTTTTCCATTCGTTCCCGTGTGGGTGATGAAATTACTAGTTTCTTCGCTGTACTGTGGGGGTGACAACTTCAAAGAGGTTCGGGAAACTGGTGAGAGACTGAGGGTTAGAGGCATCAAGAATATGATGCTGTCTCTGACCATTGAGGACGCTGAGGGAACGAAGAACATAGATATTAACCACATTGTCTCGGAAACTATTGCTTCGATACACCAGATTTTGAAGCCCCATTTGCAAAAGCAGTTGGATGGTGCCGCCGACGTTAATACTATCCCACCGGGATACATAGCGTTGAAGCCCTCGGCCTTGGTAAAAAACCCATCCGAAACTTTGTTGCACTTCAACGATCCAGCATACCAACACCAGCGCGACGCCCTCGTCAACAACTGTACTGCAATCACCCAGGAAATTTTTAATCTAAACCAGGAATTTTCCAAACTGTATCCGCAGCGGAAGGCGCCATTTTTTGTATCAGTCATTGATGCCGAGAAGTACGCTTTACAGAAGAGTGGCGTCTACGAGTTGCAGCGAACTCTTTTTCAAAAATTTAACCCCAAGTCCTCCAAGATGGTGTCTTGTGTAGGGACTTGGCAACTCTATCTACAAGACTCAGGTGCGGACTTAATGAAAGATTATGAGCGGGCGGAAAAGGAAGAGTACAAGCTGGGCTTAAAGATCGTTCGTGGCGCATACATCCACTCAGAGCCTCGTCGTGACGCTATTATTTACCCAAATCAGGCCGGTACTGATGCTAATTTTAATGCTGTCATGTCAAAAGTAATCTGCGATCTTCTATCAAAGGGTGAAAAATCGATCTTCGGACATTTAGTAATCGCTTCTCACAACTACCAGTCCCAAAAATTGGCTACGGAGATGCTCAAGGGACATGAGAACAACCTTGGGAAATCTAATGTGGTTTTGGGCCAATTGTTAGGAATGGCGGACAACATTACGCACGATTTGATTGTTAACCACAACGCCCAGAACTTAATAAAGTACGTTCCATGGGGCCCTCCAGTTGAGACCAAGGACTACCTCTTAAGGCGTCTACAGGAGAATGGTGACGCTGTAAGAGCGGACAATGGGTTCCCATTAGTGATCGCCGTTGGAAAAGCCCTATGGAGGTCCATCTCTCAAAGATCAAGCACGGCATAACGGACAAACCCTAAGGATTCTTCTCGATAATTATATACTTTGCATTAGTTCAAACTCAACATCAGGAACACTAACATTTCAGTTATCTACACCAATCTAGCAGGAAGTCAAACCAAGCAACTGTCTAAGATGCTAAAAGTTTGTCAGCTTGGTTCCCTGGTAAAATCGATGTGGTGGAGACACTTGACGATGTTTAGTAATATAGACTCAATTTGTATGATAAACTACAGTATAAGGTTAAACAGTAAGGCATTTATTGTCCCAAGCCCAAGCTTTATTGCTTATGGGTTTGTTATAAGTTTCCGGATTATATGCTGTTAATTAATTGGTCTTCTATTCTTCCAGAACTCGAGGGCAACCAAACCTACCCATGAAATTTATCGCATTAGTCTCAGGAGGTAAAGATTCGTGTTACAGCATACTTCATAGCATTCGCCAAGGTCATGAACTAGTTGCCCTTGGAAATCTGCATCCTGGTGATGTGTCGCAACAAGAATTGGACAGTTTTATGTTCCAGACTGTTGGCCACGATGTTGTGACTTGGTATGAGAAATGCACAGGCTTACCATTGATCCGCCGACATATTCACCCACAGACTTCCAAGAATGTCTCTCTCAACTACTATCCTACGGAAGAAGATGAAATCGAGGATTTGTACGAGTTATTGAAGGATGCTAAACGTCAGATACCGGAGTTAGAGGCAGTCAATGCTGGAGCTATTTTGTCTTCTTACCAAAGAACACGAGTTGAGAACGTGTGCAACAGACTTCAGCTAACACCATTGAGCTATTTATGGCAACGCGATCAGGAAGAGCTTATGACCGAAATGTGCTCGATGTCGAAGCGTGTCGACTGCATGAACGACCAGAAAATGGATGCCAGGCTTATCAAAACTGCTGCAGTTGGACTTGATCAGAGCTCTTTGGGAAAGTCTTTGCCACAAGTTTTCCCTCTCTTGCAAAAACTAAGCAAGATGTTTGAAGTTCACATTTGTGGGGAGGGCGGAGAATTTGAGACTATGGTTTTTGATGCTCCCTTCTTCACAAAAGGATATCTAGAGCCTCATTTGTTAGAAGTAGACGGTAGCGAGAGTCTAGGCGGAGTTTACAATTCAAAAATAGCGGTCAAATTCATCGAGCGCACGGATTCGATATCTATGGTACAAGCTCTCCAAGATTTGCCGGTTCCTCCAGCTTTGGGGGAAATGTGGATTGAATTAGCAAGGGAAATCGAAGTTCCAGATGTCTCAAGTAAAAGTGTCAACTGTAAGACGGAACAAACGGTCGCTCATAATCCAGTTGTGTCAGTCAGACGCGTCGGAACACAAATGTACATTTCGAACTTAAGACCTAGGAGCGGTAACTCTCCCGAGTCAAAGACTAACGATGTATTTGAGCAATTGGACAGCATCCTAGACAAAAACGGATTCAGCGCAAGTCAAATTCTGTCCGCTTCATTATTGCTAGACGATATGAGCAATTTTGGTGCCATTAACTCAGTATACAATGAATATTTCCAAGTCAGTAAACGAGGCCCACTCCCACCCGCTAGAGCATGTGTGGGGAGCTCCGCAGTGGGAGCCACGCTTCAACTTTCGGTAATTATAGATACCGAAGCGACAGTTAAGAAATTCAATGGCATGGTACTCAATGAAACAAAGAGCGGGTTACATGTCCAGGGAAGATCATACTGGGCTCCTTGCAACATAGGGCCTTATTCACAGGCGATTTGGAAAAAGAATGACGTGAATCAGGTCAGCTTCATTAGCGGGCAGATAGCCTTGGACCCTGCATCAATGGTATTGACAGGAGCATTGGACGAGGGTTTAACGGAAGACACTTCTCAAGTTGTTTTATCTTTACGTCACTTTGACACTCTGAAGGAGACGGTTGGAGCTCCGCATCAGGTCACAATGGTGTGTTTCGTGTCAGAAGCATCATTAGTGCCCATGATATCCAAAGTATGGTCTCTTTACTCTCAAGGTATGCGGTCGATATCTGAAAATTGGATGGAACGGCCTTCTGAAGACCCTAGAAGCCTAATGATTGTTAAAGTTTCAGAGCTTCCGCGACAGGCTAAATGCGAGTGGGGAGGTATTGCTTGTCGTCAGGCCGAAGCACTTTCGGACGATTATACAGAAAGCGACGAAGAAAACAATGGCTCTACAAAAACCACCATCCCCTCACTTCCGCAGCAATTTGAATACTATCGGACGTCTGTCATAAATTCCTCAAGAACTCGACACTACTACACTGGTTACATCGACTCTCATAGTGAACTTGTGTCTTTTCTTGGGGAACTTCAAGACGCCCAAATGACCGTTTATCACCGCCCAACGGATGATCAACTTTTTGACAATACCAAAACTGGAGTTGAGCTCTTCCCTGTCGAGAATGTCTATGATTCCACTGGAAGAGAAAGGCTTTTTGGTTTCCAACTGATATTCTAGATGACATATAAACAGACTTTTGACGAGGTTGCAATAATCCCTAATGATAAGCCACTGTTGTGACTGTTGCAGGTATATATACCGAATTATGGAGGGATGATGATTCGCACATAGGCTCTGCGAAAGATTATCTTTATTAAACGGCGTCCTTGCCACTATTTAGCGTGAGTTCTAAAGAGATTCCAGCAAATGTATTATGTCTATCGAGAACTAATCAGAAAATACACATTACTCTACACTGTTGTCAATATGGCGAAGGTCAGGAGTTAACACATTGTGGCACTATATTCACATTGACGGTTTTAATACTTAATTTTAGAACTCATCACAAGTGATGGAAATAACCCTCAATATTTGGATCAGACTTCAAAGATGGAAGAACAAAGTTCCATTGGGTTTGACTGGTCAATAGAAGCTAACAAACTGATTGAGTTCCGTGACAAAATAGTTGCTGAACTTAAAGACGATGATCTTGCATTAAAACGTTTACTCATTGAAAGAAGAATCAGAGCAGCTTCTAAACAGCATCTGCTAAATGAATGTGCATATATGCGTGGTCGAATAGATCAGGTAACATCCGCATATCTGGAAAGTGTCTATATGGATTATAGCAGGCTGAAAAGTGCGGGTGTGGCATATGCCTACGAAAATGGGTCAACCCATGAGGCGATAGAAACGGAACGCACATCTGACAAAGAAACGTCAGAAACCCCCGAATGGCTCGCAACTTCCATGGGAGGGCTAATTGCTAAGGAACTAAATGGTGAGAAAGGTGCTGATACTGTTCAGCATGTTACTAAGAACCTAGAACTGGTGGAAAATGCTCGCAAAAACGCAGATCTCGTTAAATCCATGCTATCACCTACTGAAGAGCCTCGAAAGCGCCGTGAACCTGATAATGATGACTACGAGGTTGTTCAGGATGAAATCAACCAGAACACTTTTGAAAGAGGTAAAGCTAGACACTTAGAACCACATATTATGTCCTCGCGACAATATGAGCGCCTCCAACCTATTTGCGCGAATCAGATAGACTACCAAAACTTTGCATTTAATACTCATGGAGGGATGGTTCCCTGCCCAACTGTCCCATCTGTGGCCCCCCTGCACTCCCCTCCTCCGATCTCCATTCCGAGCATCCCTGTGAAGACTACTAGTGGAATTAAAAAAACTAGGTCAGGAACACTTTCACCGCGAAACCAGAAAGCCTCACAACATAACAACCAAAGTGTATCTATCAAAGTCCCTAAGGCACTTCGAAAAATGGAGCACGTTGCCCGCAAACATGGACTTTGAACAGAATTCGATACCCTCATTACCATGAGGCAAGTCATACGTGCTTCTTTATTATAATCCTATTTAGATCTCAAGAATTTCGATAGTTTTGACCGCTTCTTCTCCTGGGGTGGAGGCGTGGGCATCACAGGTTTTGCATTGACACTTTCTTTTTGGTGGGAAGCTTTGTGAACATGTTGAGAAGCTATAGGAGGTGCCACCGCCCTGTCAAATAAGTAGTCTGGTGGTGATTCTCTTTCTTTCCTGTCACACTTTAAATTGAGTATTTCCCTTGGTTCGCTAAGTTTCTCAATGCTTTGCATAACATCAAGAGGGGTCAATATCGCGTCTGTGCCAATGAAGATGTCTTTGTTTTTCAGCTGAGATTGAAGATAAGCAGACCGAATCTCGCTATATGTTAGACCACCTATACTATAGTAGAAAAATCTTTGTCGGGGCGCCCTGTTTTGGGTGGTTTTTCTTGTCCAGGACGCTTTATGCCGAGGATTTCTAAGAGAAGTGGAAGAATAATTGTAAGAACCATCGTCTATCGTGTCTTCTTCTAGAGCTTCAATGGGCTTGTCTTTGACATAAGGAAAGGCCTGCTCACTTAGCAAAAGCTGATTGGTTATAACTTTTGACAAATTATTACAAACGGCATTAACAAACCGCGATGTATTATAGGTGTTTGGATCATTTAAAATCGTATCATGATGCCAGTCTTTTTTGAATGGTTTAGCGCTTGGTCGTTCTCTGACTAGTGGGATGCCTACGTAATGGAAGTTGGCGAATAGTGTCATAAAATGTTTGTAAAATGAATGACCGGGCGTCACACCTATGAATGATAGAAGCTTTGCAAAATCTTCTTCAATAAGACCGCCTCGAAACAAAGCATAAATGATGATGAAACGGACCTTGTCAGTGATATTGGCACTCTTGCTTAGCAAACAGTCTAAGAGGTTTTCGACTGCTCCCTTGTACCTATTTCCCTCTGCATCAGCACCAAAGCCCGCCATGGCCTGCTCGAAATCCGCTAGTTCAGCGAGCTTTCTCTGCTCGTTAACTTCCAAACATTTGTCAATTAATGTTCTGTGTAAAGCTATCCGTCTTCTATCTTCATCAAATCCTTTCAGGTGTGCGACCACACTTAGAAGATCGGTGGTGGTTTTGACATTGGCGCGATCCACCAGAAGTGGATTTTTTGCAATCAATTCGTTAACTTTGGCATTGAGATACTCAGTTGCTTCCATGATGTGCTGATGTCTCAGTTCTGTCCAGTCTGTGTCGTCCAATTCCCTTAGTCGGGATAACTTTTCCTCTCGTTCCCCGCGCTCATTCTCGGCAAAATAAGTGTACGTGTCGGTTCTGGTATCTACCTCAGGAACCAAATCATACGCCATGGCTTGATAAGAGAAGTCGTGCAAGAACAGAGAAAAGGGGTCTAGTGACCGTTCTGTAATGAGGAAGATCGCTCGTGGTCTAGAAGAAGGCGGTGGAAAGCTTTCATCTTTCCTCGCATAATCGTCCAAGGCCTCTTGAAATTCGAAAGCCAGCTTTTTGGCCAACATCGTTGCGGGGCTCACTGCGTAGGTTTCTGATGATGGCTGAGAATACCGCACCGTTGGATATTCGCCAGTAACGATGCACAGGTTCAATAAACACTGGACAGTTTTGGAAATATGCACCTCAATCAGATCTGAGCACTGCTTATTGTAGAAGATTTGAAGCGGTTGGTCAATTCCCAAAGTTTGGAATACAATTGATTCTTTGGGAGTAAAAGAGCATCCGACCTCAGCTAAAGTCCCGATGTATTGGGGAAGATATCTTTTGGAATCGAAAAAACGAACCAGGTTGCCTCGGAAGCCCGGTAAAAACCTAATGTGAGCTCTTTTGTACTTCGCAGGCCTATTACTGAAATCTGCATCCATGCAATTAATGTTGAACTTGGTTGGCTCCAGCAAGTATATGGCCTCTACCGATGGCTGGCCTTTTCGGTTGACGGAGTCGATTTTATCAACAGCTGTGACAACATGCAGAAGTTCACTTCTGTCTGCAAAAAGACTATCCAGTAGATCATCAACCGTGCTATCAATGATCAAGAACTTAAGATTGTGCTCTGTTTGGATCGCGTTGATGAATGATAAAATATCTAAGATAAGTTAGTAATGCACACACCCTACAATAATCACGTAATGGTACTTACAGTTCCTTTGAAGTTCAATGAGGTTTGACATCACTTTAGGCCGGTCCTAGCCGGGTGTATCCATTCGTCGACCAAATGGAGTGCTTGTCGAGAGATTGATTATTCATAACGTTACCTGGAGATACGTGCATGTATCTCGAGTACAATTGGACTCTCAGATAGTGTCAGCGACTCGCAATTGCCCAGAATACAATGGCGAGGTGTGTAGCTCAATCGGAAAGGCTCGATTTAATATCAACTATACGTACGCATCTCCTAAGGATACTTAATATGGCTTTCTTATCCCCCCACCCTACCCCAGTACTTGCCATAGTGGATTTCAAGTCGCTAGCCATACTTCAACTTGTTTACAGTAAAGCACCAGAGTAAGTTAATGACCACGTTCTACTCTGACCGTTGTCCAAGTAGCTACTACTGAAGGCAGGGTCGGAGAAAAATTTATAGGAGGAGCTGGGGTCCGCAATGGCTCTGTTAAGGATCATAATTCCTTTCCACCCATCATGCACGTTATCAACTATGGAAGCTAGCTTCTCAACCCACTCCTCCTGTACAAAAGTGGGTGAGCGAATATATGCTGATATAGGGGTAATTGGAATGGCATGAATCATCTGAATATACTGTAGTGCGTTCCCAAAATAGGTAGTGTGGTCAATCTTATTTTCGAATAAAATACCGCTAACTTTGTTTGCAATGAACTGCGATGGCTCTATCGAGTTGCTGTTTGAATATAGAAAATAACTGTTCAGTGAAACTTGTAAAATCCCTAATTCCAGGTTACCAATGTTTTCCAAATGTTGGTTTCCGGTAATGTTACCCCACAACTTGATTGCGTACGCCGCGTTGGCATCTTCAGAACTGGATTCCTGGTCCTTTCCATCACCACTAGGAAACAAACCCTTGGCCCAGGAATGCCCGACAAACCAATCGAATGACCTGAACACGGGAAAATGGGGGTCTGAGGAGCTTGGATTGGAATAATCCCTGATCAAATTTTCTACCCAACTTTTGTTTTGTTCCAGCCAATTGCCATCGAACTCTTGGTCAATCTTTGCAAGAATAGCTGCAGTGATAACATGGTACGCATAATGGAAATGGTGGTCGTTGTAATATGAATTACCAAAGTCTTGAGATGAGTCACCTGAGGAGATTATACCACCCCAAGTAGTGTCGTATCTCAAAGAAAGTAACTGCGAGTTATCGATAAACCTTGCAATAGCTGCCTTAAGGTTCTCCATTAATGTGTGGGTCCAAGCACTATCTTTAATCACATAATGACAGACATATAAGATCCACGCGTACTTGGCCAAAATCTTACCACTGAAATACATAGAGTCCAGATTGGACTCTGCACAAACGTCACCTTGCGCTTCCGATGCAGCCGCCGATCTTATAGTATCTAGGACTTTTTCCGAATAGTTAGGTGATGATTTGCCGGAGATTGCTGAGTAGGGATCGAAACCGATCTTTGCAGGCACATGCACTTCCATTTCAAATGAAGTCGTTAAGTAGCCAGTCATACGTCCCATGGTAACCGAGTCCAAGTGAGAATCAATTCTTCTACAAGACATGACGCTCTTGAATGACGATACATGATGGGGACATGCATACATTAGAGTTTTTCCCCCATTACTAGAGCCACTCAGCTCATATGATATAGTATATTTGCCAACTTCTCCATCTACCGATCCAGACAAAGTACCGCTGCTGGGGTAGCAACCGGCAGCAGCGTCAATAGCAGAATTGGTGTCCGGTACAAGTTGAAATAAGCAACCATTCACACTGTTGCTTCCAACTAGTTGATTATTAGAAGCAAGTGCTAGAGCCAACGATTGGCCGGACGGTACAGTAACGTATAGGGTCCACGTCATATTATTTTCCAGAACAATCTTGTACTTTTGTATGCCAGCACGAGGTGAATTAAGGCCAATGATGTTCTTATAACCGACAGCAGAGTATAGTTTTGGAATCATATTATAATATACTGCTGAAGCAAACCCCATACCTTGGACTAACGGTATTAGAACATACTGGTTCTCGTTTTTTCTGAGTTGTACATGCACTTGTAAATGCGACAGGTTTGTAAAGCCCAGTGACATTTGCTCGGCATCTGTGAAGTCGAGCGCACCAAACACAAAAGACTTGATACCCACCGGCCCAAAAAAGTACTGGGCCGGGATATTTGGCCCAAAAACTCTCTCGGAAGCAGGGACGTAGGATAGGGCGATGCCCATAAAGTAGTCCTTGGACCAAAACAAAGAATAAGGATGTGTCCACACAGGGTTGGTTTGATCGCCAACCATCATGTTACCGTAAAACTTGTTTGTCGCAATAGCGAGGCCCTCACTTTTTGTATTGGCAGGTAAAGGTACAGGATGAGATACCTTCGGGAACTTGCTGAGGGGCTGATCTGTCGAGATAGCGTGAAATATATCGTCGTAGCTATCTGCTATACCCATCTCTGAAAATTCTTGATTCATTGCGTCACTGTTAATATCCGATCTGAATTGCCCTTGCCTAGGCGGTAAGGGTGGTAAGGGCCGTAGTTTAGAAGAGTAAGTCCTCGAATTTCTTGTATTAATATAATCCCCCTCATCAGGAAGCGGCATTCGAGGTCTGTGGTAGGACATACTGTGTTCAAGGTCAACTGGATGTGAGTTTGATTGTTTTCTTCGAATATTATTCGGATATTGTTATTGAAAGGGACTGCTTGAGCTATGCAGACGTTGAGGAATAAGTAGATTTGGTGTCGCCAGGAGCACAAGGGGCTTGCTTTTATATCTGTTGGTTTTTGGTGGATTGACACTTTAAATGTCAACAAACACAAAGTGAACTACAAACAGACGGACTCCACAAGCTTGAATGAGTTAAGATCCGAGTGGGTACATGAAAGAGACCTCTTAGCTTCTGCTACGGATAGCAATGCTGGACTAAATGCTTGTATCGACTTTGCTTGAAATATTGTTGTGCAGATGAATTAATTTAGCACTTTTTAACCATAATTTCGATAGATCCACAATGCTCATCACCGGTATGAACACTATTGCAAAAATACCAAATTATGCTTCCGAAAAATGGTGCCGTTAGTAATAGACTCCACCAGGAGCTGAGATATATTTTGCTAATCTATCATCGGAACAAGAATCAGCATAAAGCGGCTGTATGGTGGCGCCATTTCAATGAATTGAAGAGAAGTGTAACTCAGGTGTTAGTGTTAATTCAGCCTAACACCACACTGCTGAACACACAAATTGTGACCCTTTACAATATTTTACAGAAGCTACGCAAACGCCAACTATCTCGGATGTACTACAGCTTCAATGGCGTGGTCGGACTTGGGCAGTTTGTTACATTAGGGGTGGTTCTCATAGGCCTTTTGGCTCGAGTAAGCGCTCTATACAACAGAATCTACGAAGAGCACGAGAAACACTTCAGAGATATGGGTCTCATAGCTAGCCAGAGTGTTAAACTTTCCACTCAAATTCCAAGCGACCAAATGCAGTTGTTGGTCGAAGAAGAGTTAGGTGAAGAGGTTAAATTGGATGACGAATCGCTCAAGATCCCTGAGTCTGAAGTGTGGAAAGCTGTTACTGACGTTGAAGTGAGGACAAAAGAAATTCAGGGTATCGAAAAGGGCATGAAGAAGAAGAAAAAGAAGGCAAAGAAGAAGAGCACCATGGATGACATCTTCGGGTGATGGATTTTCGCTGTTGCAGTGTGTGATTATGGTATAGGCTTGGGATCTATGTGCATTTTACTCTTCTTTATAAATTTTATGGTGGGCCCAGGTGGGAAGTACAAAGGCTGCAGAGTGAATCTGCTCATTGTAATATCGCAACTGTGACTGTTCCTCTGCTGTTGGCTTTCTAATTGCACGGTGCACATTCGCACGTGGGTTTTTCGCGCATACGACCAACCCTAGCTGACCGGACGTGTAGGTTGGAACTGTAGTGTAGCAGTACTTGGCAACAGGAAATACCGAGGCAGCACTGTCGATCAGGTTGCGAATATAGTCCAAGTTCAACCATACATTCTCCGATGCTTGAGCGATGACTATGCCATCTTCTGATAATGCGTTGTGCAAGAGCTCGAAATATTCCTTTTGGAAAAAAGCTTCCGCAGGACCTTCAGGATCCGAGGAATCTGTGATAATGATATCATACTTTTGGTCTGGAGAAATAGCAGCAGCGCGGAGGAATTCGAACCCATCTTGCAACTTGACCTGAACTTTTGAGTCACCGAAGGCGCATGCCATCCCCGGAAGATATTTCAGAGCCAAATTGATCACCGTTTTGTCAATTTCGACCAATGTTGCGGTTTCAACACAATTGTGCTTAATTACCTCTCGCAAGACACCCCCATCACCACCACCAATGACCAACACGCGGCGGGGATGGTTGTGAGCGAACATTGCGATATGTGTGATCATTTCCTGGTATGCAAACTCATCTCGTTCAGTGGCCTGCACAATTCCATCAAGCACAAGAACATTTCCATAAGTTGCGCTTTCAAACACCAAGATATCTTGGAATTCACTCTTCGAGTGATGCAGGACTTTCTTGACCTTCAACGCGAGTCCTTGGCCAGGAAAGCTCTTTTCGCTTAATTCGCGGAACCACCCGTCTTTTATTAGCTCTGAGTCTATTCCACCCATTCTCTCAATTCAATTTACAAATAATAGCGACTGAGTCTACTTGTCAGACCTTGGTGTGGACTTTCTTGATGGTGCTTTTTTTAAAACGGTCATCTGAAAAATTTCAAGCATTACTTGGGCGGCTTTATAGCTGAAGAGTCCAATGGTAAGATAATGATCAGTATTCTACTGAGACTCCTACTGAACTAGACAGCTTGAGTAGCACGCCAATAACGTCAAACTCTCCGACCGTCTGGCACTTGACGGCAAATCAGTTCTGCACCGTCATGTTCGTATCGAGCGATCTAAAATTTTACGGACACTTTCCTGATCAATAACGAAATGCGATGAGCTGCTTGAAGGACGATTACGGCCATGAGATATAAGTAATAGGGCTACCCTTTCAAGGACATTTCAGTCAAATATTGATGATCCATCCTCTACAAACCTCAATTTCCAGCCACGATGGCAGTAAAATTTTCTGCGTCATAAAGAACATGATTCAAGTGTTCAGATGGGACCAAACGCTGGGAGGGTTCGCGGCAGCGGGACAATGGATTGATGAGCAAGACAAGACTGCTAGCATCAAGCAAAAGGTTACCGAAGAGCAGCAACGTCAAATAGCGGAAAATGAAACCAAGAGACGCAAACTGGACAAAGATGCGCAAGAGAACACCCAAAGCGAAGTCATATCCAAGAGTGTAAAAGAGGCGAAAGTTCCAATTCCGGGGTCTGGGGCGCCCCCAGTGTACAACTACATTCGAAACATGGCACTGTCGCGTAACGAGGAACTACTTTTTGCCTGCACGGATTCCGACAAAGCGGTGGTGGTTTTCCAGCTGGATTTTAGCGACCCAGCCAAGAATTGTTTGACGCTCAAGAGGCGCCAGCCACTACCGAAAAGGCCCAACGCTTTGACTACAACGAAAGATGACCAAAAAGTTCTTGTTGGTGACAAATTTGGCGATGTCTACGCGGTCAACGCTCAAGAGTCCGATTCCGTACAAGCTACAAATGAAAAGCTTGAGCCGATTTTGGGTCATGTTTCGTTGTTAACAGACATTGCTCTGGCTACAGATTCTGATGGTAAACAGCTGCTGTTCACGGCTGATCGCGACGAGCATATCAGAGTCACCCATTTCCCACAAACATATGTAGTGAACAAGTGGCTCTATGGATCCAAAAAATTTGTGTCGACGCTGTGTCTGCCTGAATGGGGATCTAATTTACTTTTCAGTGCTGGCGGTGATAATTTTGTTTGTTCATGGAATTGGGAATCTGGGGAGCTCTTAGACACCCTGGACATTAGCGACCTCATTGAGCCCTATCTTGGCGAAGCCCAGTTAGCGCCCAAGAAATTCCAAAACGAGTCCAATTCACTTGTGGAATATGCAGTTTCCAAGATTGTCACTTTTTCCAATCTACCGTACGTCGCATTTTTTGTAGAGCAGACCAAGGCTCTGTTCATATGCAAGGTTGATCCGGTATTAGCCAAGTTTACCCTAGCTCAAACTATCGAGCTACCTTTTAACATTGTGTCATTGACAACAGCCATGACCGCTGGTACAACTATAGCTACCTTGGATAACCGCGAGTCGGATGGTACCAGTTTTGCCTCTTTCATTACTTGGGATGGTACTCAGTTTACTATTGATGGTGAAAGGAATATTAGTTTCGACAAGGCCGTCACGGAAAAGCTCAAAGACGATTCCATAGCTAACGTTGATTCCCAGGAAGTTTACCCGTTGTACCATGTCGCATCTTTGAGGAAGCGTGGTGAACTTTACTCTTGAAACTACAGTAGATCGTGTTAATAGCTAGTACACCTTACCTCGTGACCCAGCTCCTCCTATAATAAATACCTAGTCGCCCGTAATTGATCTAAGAAGGAAGTAGACACATACGCACATTGATCGATGTCAATAGCTTCATCATCACCCTTAAGAACTACAGGACAAAAATCGTCTGAGGAATTGAATAACCAAAATGACGTGAGACCCAATGCTACTGTACGCCACTTATTGCAAGAAGTTGAGGATCTACAAAATGAGATATTCGGCCTCCACAGATCCCTGAAAATAAACAACGAGCAAATTCGGAAGGATATACGAGAATTTTGCTCGATTGGTGAGGGAAAAGATGATCTTTCGAGACAAATTCTCGACGTTGAGAAGTAACCAAGTCCCTTCGCAAAGCTAAAAAAAAGGTCTATACGTTGTTCGTTGACAAAGCCCAATACTGCCCTGGTAAAGGATGCTTGAGCGAGACATGGCTTTCTGTTGAAATGATATGAAAATGTCTAGGAGCCAATAACTTTCTAGCCTGGGGGCCCTATTTGAAGGATGCAAACTGTATAAGGGTCTTTTCGAGATTAGCAGACACGATCGGCTCGGTCTCTTCGATGCATCTTTGCATGCGATTTGTATCTTTCTCAAAACAATTTTGTAGGCAGGCCATTAGTGTGGCTTGTGTGTCCTTTTCCAATGAGTCCCCCATAACCCTAAGGAAAAACTGAACATCGACAACTATCTGCAGCAAGGCATCCGAAGAGAGGTTGCCCATATAGCGTTTGAAGGCTTCAAATAAATACTTTGAAATGAAAATTTGAGACTCTTTGAAAATCCGACTAATGAGTTGTGGACCTATCCTGAAACAATCGTTGTGAACGCTCACCAAAACCATCAGTACCTCGATCATGTAGTCTCCGACACGAAATGAGTTTGAGCTGTAATTAGTCCAGTTTATTTCATAAAATCTTTCCTCCAAAATGTCTCTAAGATTGACTTTAAGGTCCGAGAGGTAATTGCCGAAAATAGAGGCCTCCATCTTGGCCAGTAAGCTGAACAACTCTAGATTCTTTTTACCCAACTGCGTTTCGAAACATTCGTCAAAAAACTGGAGTACCTCAGGAAAGATTCGCTCTCGAACATATTGTAGATTTGTTAAAGTTAAAATTGTCTTCGCGGTCCTGGGGTTTTCTTTTTCCTTGGCGGCATCCTTGAGCACAGATTCTAATACGGCCTCCATCGATACTATTTGCTGGACTTCAATTCCAGCGATCAATTGGCGCGAGGGATGTGTCACAACGTAGATCCCATTAAGCACAGGAAGCTTCTCGTAGGAAAACAACATATTTCTAACAGTCATTATGCTTAGCTTTTGAAACGTGCAAACTATTTCTGGGAAACGGGTTATTCCGTACTTGTCCTTCCCAGATGTCTTATACGTGGACCAATCTTCAAGGGTGTGGAATGCTGCCAGGTCTTTCAATTTCGTAGCTGATATCGCAGCTACTGAACGATCTAAGATGAGAGAATCTGTGTGCCGTAAGAGCTCAATACAGTTTGGTGAGATGTTCAATTGCGCTAACTCGGTACTGACCTTTAAAATTGGTTCGATAATGCGGGGCAAATACCTTAGGCAACTCAAGCAATTGGCGTTGGGAGGTAAAAATCCGTAATCTTTAGGAGATCCCGTCTCTTTTTCAGCTTCATTCTGACCATTCAAAGAAGCTTGAGATGCACAGAAAAAGGATTTGAAAGCGTCACACAGCACTGTAATAAATTGTTCACCTCGAGCCTTCAAGGAGCGAATTTGTTTATCGTCAAATTCGAGGAACTTTTTGTAACTAGCATGGCTCTCGAAGTGAGTGCCTAAAATGTCTGCCTTTCGCTTATCATTAAGCAAGGATGTCTTGTAGGTACCATCTAAAAACTTAGCGACATGTTCCCAAAATGCAACAAATTGGGTTGATTCTGATGACAATAATTTCATATATTTCTGAATCAAGAGCCACATTTCGATGATGACAACAGAATCACATAGACCAGAACTTGAATGGGCCAAGTCGCTTTCATGGATAACTTTAAAATCCGATCCTTCCATACTAGGATGGACATACTGCTCAATAGAGAGGTAGTAATTGAGGCCATCACCTTCGTCAGACGTGTGTTGAGTCACTTCACGCTGCAAGTCAATAATTCTGGTGAACATCTTTGATACTATTTCCTTCAAATTAGACTCGAACGTGGACAGTTTTGCATCGAACCATTCAACGATTGGGCTTTCTTCAGAGCTCAAGTCAAGTAAATCGGACATGAGAGGTAGCAATTGTTCCTGTGTCTCTCCTGGCTTTAGTTTGACAAGAGACTCCCAAACTACCGCACGGTAACTGCTTATCATAGATTCGATCTGAGACCATATTTGAATTAAGATAGGAAAAGAGTATCCTTTAACAGTGAGCTCGGTGTAAAGGTGACGAGCTTCTTTGTAATGAACCATGAGCTGGGCGAAATCTAGGTTCCTCATGGCAACCTTGAGCTTCTTCGGTATATCGAAAAACGCTCGATTTTCCTCAATGAATTCCATTGTAGCTTGAACGTTTTGCAGTTTGGTCTTCGTGTCAAGAATAGGTTTCGCCCTAAGTGTTGCTTCCTGAATAGCATCGTCAACCGAGGCTCCAAGATTATCCGTCCCAAGTTGCTTGTTCTCTTCTTGAGAGTAGCGATCAAACTGTTCATAAATGCGGTCAAGGTTGTTTTTGGACCTCACGTATTTTGAGAAATTGTCTTGTACTAAAGCTTTCAAATCATTGCTCTGGGCTTGCAAGGATCTGTCGAGATCATCCAAAGATGTGCTTAATTCCGCAAAGCTTTCGTGGGCATGCAAATTTTTGAGGTAGAGCTTGGAATTGAACTTTTTTGAGTTGATGTAGTACTTGTAGCGTTCTGTAGCGGGAATTTGGAAGGTGTCTAAAAGTTCGTTGAGACCCACTCTTGGATTTAATGGATCCGGAAGGCCAGTCGTGACTATTGTACTTTTCCTTCCAACGCTATGCATGTGTTCTTGGCGCAAAAGGTCATTCAGAACAGCGTACGACGAATCCACGGATCCTGAATCCTGTGGCTGTCCCAATGAATATATAACGCTGGAATCGGCAGCCCAGGAATCCTGAGGATTGAGTGTTTTTAGTTTGTAGAAATCACATAGATCTCTATCTGTTGCGAAGAATGGGTCTTTCACCATGTCTTTTTCCAGCATGGCTCTGTCTGTAACGTCCTATATTGTAGTAGGTTCTTCAATTTCGCAATACTAAAATAATAGGATAATGAACACAATCGGCACCTACAATGTGGACAGACAAACGACACTTCTTTTTGCAGGCTTTTGGTTCTAATGTACACTATATATTTTGTCTAATGATAGCTATATGACCCCCATTCACTTTCTCTTTGGACCACGGATTGGCGGTGGTGGTCTTGATGTAGGGCCCTGTTTGAACATTGGAGCATTCTTCAGAATATCAGGAACAACAAAAAATCGTATATGGGATCCACGTACGAATAAATGATCCATTCTTGTTACGCTGCCATCTCTAGCTGTAGCTGTGACATCCCTCAATTGCACATTCATATTGTCCTCACTGTCAACTAGCTTGCCACGGTAAACCTCCCCTGTGGTGAGCTCTAAGGATACAATATGGCCCTGAGACTCCGTCAGGAGCTTAATAGGTATACCACTAACACTCATGGTCTCCTTTCTGGCTCACAAGAGTTCTTTGACTCGTCTTTTTACGATCTCCATATCATGAGACGGATTACTTTATTAAATTAAAGTATCATATTGGCTAGCCACAGCACGGCATAGGCAAGAGTCCAGAGTTTGTTTGACAGAACCAAGATCACGTACAAGTGATGAAAGTTATCATAGAACATGTACAGCTACAATTCATTTCCGAGATTGAAAACAATGTGATTTCCCTGCTGGTGGAACAGAATGTGATGTGTTTTGCACTCAAATCGGGGTACGTGTTCTTGATAGACCTCGCAACACCTTCGAAGGTAGCGAAGTACCAGTTTCCGCTGCTGGCAGCACCGCAAGAGAAGATTCTGAAAGTTTGGATGGACCCTAGTGCCACGACCCTCTTCTTGAAGACAAACTTCGCGAAATATTACGCTTTGAAAAGGACTGCACTGGAAAGTGAGGGCGATGGCAATGTCTTACACCTAAAGCGTCTCAGCAAGAAGGGTTGCGATATCATAGCCACAACGTGGATCGACTCCTGTCGAATAATATGCGGCACGCACGAGGGAGGTGTTTATTTGGTGGACTTGAATAATGACAACTCGGTAACAAGACTTTATAGATCCAAGGAACCTGTCGACGGTGTGATATTCACCAAAACCCAAGGCGCACTTCTGAGTAGTGGTGATACGATAAGGCATTGGCGCAGTGTTCAAAATGCCTCGAAAACGTTTACGGAATCGGCGCCCTCCGAAACTGAGCAATTTGAACAAGTGGACAAGGCCAACGGTAGGAAGTTGACCTTCCACGACAACACATTTGCGTGGATAGGTGGCCCTGGCATTGTACTAGGCCACGTTAATAATTCAAAAGAATACCAAGAGGTGTTAAGTAACGCAAACGTTCTGCTGGGAACTGAGCTCCCCTCCCCGAGTCACAGGATAAAAGATATCGTTCTGAGCAAATTTCACCTCTTAGTTTTGAGAGGCAATGAACTTTTAGTCATTAACAAGCTTAATAACAAAGTAGTGGCGCAGAAATCTCTCTGGACACAAAGTTCAGAGAAAATTTTAGAATTCTCCGTGGACTATTCTCAAAACCCACCTACAATATGGTGCTTTTCGACAAGCAACATTTATGAGATCATTCTCCAAGATGAGAGTGAAGGCATCTGGGATATATTATGTAGGCTGAACCGGTTTGATGACGCTCTGGGAGTCAAAGATATATCTTCAACAGAAAAGAATCTAATATACCTACGAGAAGCGGAATATCTGTTTTCCGGTGGCGATTTCATTAAGGCTGCTCAATGTTTCGGGAACAGTAATACGATTGGCTCTGCGACAGTTGCATTAAAGTTCATAAAGAGCTCTGCAGAAACCGCTGCACTTCAGGCGTACTTACAGACCAAATTGCAGCACGTCAAGATGACCGATGATAATGGAGCACAAGTAAATCTTCTCACTAATTGGATAGTGTGGAACTACGTGCAAATGCTTAACGAGGTGGATGAGGATATAGCGACAGAACAAAATAACAAAAATCTCGAATTGCTGAATGCCAAAAAGTCCAAACTAAATTCCCAGCTGGCAGCTTTTTTTGAGCGCAATGGCCCAATTCTTGACAAGGAAACCGTTTATCAGATACTCTCTCACCAGAACAGAAAATCAGAGGCGCTCACTTTTGCTAAGCTCATTGAAGATTATAAGTATGTCCTGACATACTGGATACGATCTAAAAACTGGTACGAGTCCTTGAAAATTCTACTCAGGACTCAAGATTTGGATTGCCTTTACAGATATGCCACTACCCTACTTATCAACTCTCCGGACGCGACTGTTAATACCTGGATCCAGATACAAACGATACGACCATCTGAACTCATCAATCCATTACTGACGTATTTTGCGAAGTTTCAGAGATCTAACGCCGGGATAGAACGATCGAGAGCGCCCACCAACTACGCGCTTAAATATCTGATGTGGTGCTTTCAAGAGCAGGACAAAGACACACTCGACATGATTCTCTTCAACACGGCCCTGTATATGATGATCGCTTCGTTCGACGCAGGGGATAAAGAAGACGAAATTATTAGTTTCATTGAAAACAACTTGGGCCATTTTGACCACGAGTTCATCTTACGTCTCAGCACTAAATTTCAACGGAATAAAGTCACCATATACTTGTATTCCCAGCTCAAACTCTTTGAAGATGCCGTTTCATTAGCAATCCAAAAAGGTTTACTCGAAGAAGCCAAACTGGTTGCTAGCAATCGTGATTTGGAAATAAATAGTCGTCTGAGAAGAAAGCTATGGTTGAAAATTGCTGCGTGTATGATGCATGAGCACAGCGACGTGAAAATGACCATAAAGAACATTTTGCAAGACTCGAATGACACATTGACCATCAGAGATCTTTTGCCACTCTTTGATGAGCTGACCACAATTGCTAATGTAAAGGATGAACTAATACGGGATCTGGAGAAACACAGCACCGCGATGGGCCGAGTTTCGCAAGAGATCCAAGACTCAATCAAGATTAAAAAAGAAATAGCGGAGGACATTGAATCTTTGAAAGCACGCTATCAGACACTAGAGCCTGGCAGTTCATGCGCAGCTTGCGGCGAGCTTTTACAAACAAGAAAATATTACGTTTTTCCCTGTGGCCACGCATTCCATACCGACTGCTTAATGCGTGAGATTTTGAACTCCACAGATTATTCACTGCGAAATAAAATCGAATCCTTACAAAGAAGCTCTGCTAAAATCAAGAGCGCAACTGCTATGAGAGATCTGGATAGCGTCCTGTCCACCAAATGCTGTTTCTGCAGTGATATCAAAATAAATAGTATTGATGAGCCTCTAGAATTAAAGCAAGCCGAAAAGGAGGCATGGGCTTTGTAGATTATATAGCAAAAGGTAATCCTTTTGGCTTACGGCAATTACTTTGGTACACCTTAAACGGTGAAGGGTTCATCAGCTTTTGTCATACTGCTCGTTCCTCGTGACGAGCCAAACTTGACGGGTTTTATGTGAATAATAATGATATACTTTATCAGTTTCTAAGACATCGGCTTGTCACTGTGCTGAGCTGGATAATTATATCACCGTCATGAGTAAACAAGAGCCTCTAGGAAATGAGGACTTTGACGTGGATGAGGAAATGAATGAGTTTGACGACAACGAAGAAGCACCTATTGACAATGCAACCTTATTCCCAGAACACGAGCAGACACAAGATGAAGAGCCGAGGCTAGAAAACGGAACGGGAAACCTCTTTGAAATCCCAGAATTCACACGTAAAGATAAGACGTTGAATGAAATTCTTGAAATGATGGAAGATAATCCTCCCATAATTCCAGATGCAGTCATTGATTACTATCTAACAAGGAACGGATTTGATTGTGCAGATGTGAGAGTGAAAAGACTGCTGGCATTGGCGACTCAAAAATTTGTAAGTGACATTGCTACTGATGCATATGAATACTCTCGAATTCGCTCTGCTATCACCGTCCACAACTCTAACAACGGCCAGGCCCGTGCCAGGCAGCTTATTATGGGTCAACAACAGCCTGGTCAATTGACACAACAGCAACAGCAACAAAATGAGAAAACCAAAGCTAATAAGGTCGTGCTTACTGTCAACGACCTCAGCAGTGCTGTTTCCGAGTACGGCCTGAATGTTTCGAGACCGGACTTTTATCGTTAGTCACATTGGGGAAGCAGCTTGCAAGCTTCATGAATCAGTAACTGTATCCGGCTACGCCCAAAGGCTCACGAAACTTTCGGTATGACCAAATTGGGCTCTCAGGGAAAACTTAGAACCGGGGCAAAAAATTATCTCTGACAGCTTCAAACACAATTCCAGCCGCATATAGTCCACATCAAAACACGGGCTCAGGAGCTCAAACCTAGTTTGGCCTTGTCAACTGGGCAACTTCCTTACAAATGGCGCATAGTTTGCGTATATAATGATGTAAAATGGTAACAACAAGGTTTGTAAAGGTTAATTATATTACGTTATTAGAACCAAATCTAGCCACTAAAGAAGGCGTCGGTCAGTCAAACAACTAGTATCATTCCATCAAGGATGCCAATTGACTATTCTAAGTGGGATAAAATCCAGCTATCGGATGACTCAGACATTGAGGTTCACCCCAATGTTGATAAGCGATCTTTCATCAGGTGGAAGCAACAGAGCATTCACGAGGAAAGGGTTAAGAGAAACAATGACATCAAAAATTTAGAGTTTCAATTGAGCATGAACTCGAGGCTAAATCAAAGAGTAGATAAGATGGTGGCGCATCTGAGCAATCAAGATTTGCTTAGCTTAGATGCTGTACGGAAGTTTTTGAATGCCAATTTCGACAAGAACGAAAAGGGCCACGGTGACAACGTGGACCCCGACATGCCACCATACAATGAAATGGTCGAAGATCTTTTTGAGCAGCTTGAAATTAACGCGAAAAAGGCAGGAAAAGACCCTAAAGACGGGGCTGTTATAAGAGAAATGATTGCGGAACACAGGAAGAAAATAGATCTTGTCAGCGAACAAGCGAAAGAAAAACTAGCTCAGCTCTATGCAGAAAAAGCTTCACTTATCTCTTCGGATGATATCCAAACCGGATTTGATAAAGGGTTCGTGAATAAAAGCTCCGGATCCGAAGATACCGAGGCAGCCAAATACCTATCGAAGGGCAATGTCTCCAGCCCTTCAGCTGTGAACCTACCTCCTCCACCACTCCAGTTTTATGATTTCAAAGATGATGTGATGAAACTTGCCCCAGAAACGGTAGATTTTGGTGAAATCTCGCCCAAAGACATAGAAAAGTCAGAGGCTCATTTACTGAAGAACTTACCCATCATCTCAGAACAGCAGAAAGACGCGCTAATGATGTCTGCCTTCGAATACCAAATTGAGGGTGATTCGGATCGGGCGTTCCAAGTTATACATCAGTCGGAGCTGATCGCCTATATTAGAGAAATATATGACATGAAAAAGATTCCTCATTTACAAACTAAAGAGCTCACTGAAGTTATCAAGATGTTCTTTCAAAAAGTATTTTATTTTAAAGCCAACGATCAAGGGAAGAAGGGATTTCTAGACTCTGTGCAGGCTAAGTTCAACCATGTCAAGGCACGTGTAAAGGTAATGCAAGAGGAAGAGGAAAATGCAGAAGGGGTAGAGACGATACAACTAAAATCACTGGACGATTCAACCGAGCTGCAAGTCAACTTGCCCGAATTTGATTCAAGTGACCCAGAAGAGCTCAAAAAGCTTGAGGCGTTTAATCGTCTTCCGAAAAATATGCAGGATGCTGTTAAAACCCAAAGCTTGGACAAAATCAACGAAGTTTTCGCTAATATGCCTATAGCTGAAGCTGAAGCTATTTTGGATGTGTTCAATGATGGTGGTATCATCGGTATTAATGCTTTGCTCGAAAACGAGAGTGAATTTCAAGAGTTGCAAGAAAAATTCCATAATGAGCCTGACAATCAGGCCACTAGTTCATTTATTGATGAAGCACAGAACGGTGCTCAAGAAGTCCCAGACCTGGACGTGAATACCTCTGAAATAGTTGATTAATTTTTCATAGTATGGAAAAGTTAAGTTAGCTTTTGTTCGAAACATTCATAACCTTATTTAACCCAAATAACAACCTGCTAATCAACAAAAGTCATAACTTGGAAACGACCTGCGAGCCCAAGAGTTGATGTTCCACTTCATTATCCCGTAGTCTGTACCTATAACTAGTGAACTGCCCTCTTCGTCTTCCATCCAATCGATCCCTGATATGCTGTTCTCGTCGTTAGAGTTCACCGATAAGTCACTACCACGAGAATATTGTAAAATACTTGGTGTTGCGCGTCTGGCTTGCGTACGGGATTCCTGAATGAGAGGGCGAATGACACCGCCTGACAGGCCGCCCAAATCTTCCGAAAATTCTACACTACGATCAAAAACAGGTTCGTTCTCTGGATTGCTACGGGATGCAATGGACCCTGGATAGCTTATTTCGCTGGCCCTCCGTGACTCACTCACATAATTGTAATTATCAACTGCTCTATAGTTCTGACCCGTATACCTTGATTCCAAGATGGAGGGATCGATAGACTCCAGTGACGTTGAGTGGACACCGCTTGAAGTCGAAAACCTTCTAACTCGAAAAGAAGACCGCCTTCTTTCTCTGCGTCTTTCGGAAGGATGGTCTGGAATTTTGTCTCTATTGTCTCCATCAGATGAGTTCTCGAGCCCGTTGCTCACGCAGTTTATTACCTTTGGATATGGGATCAATTGAGGTTGTAGCTCATTCGCGGGAATACTAGCAGCAAATGTAATGTGTGGGTCATTTGGTTGCGATGGCATGGAGTTCCGTCTACTTGCAGTAAAGGAGGGCGTCTCATCGGAAAAACATGAGTTCCTGTCAGGGATCATTATGACCTGATGGTTCATGAAATTGCGCGTGTCGACTACATGAACACGGCCGTGGTGTTCGGAAATGAATAACAGGTCATCCATTCCTTCACTGAATTTGCATACCCTGAACGCACCATTTTGTGTGTACTTCCTGGTGGAATTGATTTCGGCTAGTGGCGATTCCATTTTCCTTGCGTCATATACCCAGCATGTACCATTTTGAAAGACGGTTGCGAACATCATATCGCTTTCGCTAAAGCTCGTATAAAAACCATGATCCCCTCCGGATACCTCGTAAATATTGTCCACAAATCCAGATCGGTCTGGCATCGCATACCTCGGAATCCTCTTGTTCCTTATAAACGCACTACCCCATTGCGGCTGTGAATCGTACTTCAGAGAAAAATAGCCTGTGATGTCATTTTGGTGATAAATAGCGAACTTGCTTGAGTCTCCTGAAGTGATCAAAGTTTTCCCGTCGTGGGATAACGTTGCGTTATTCAAGGAGAATTTTAAATCCGAATACCGCTTGATTAGCTCCACACCCCTGTTACTTATATCGCATTGGTACAGGTGTGCATCGTTGTTGCAAGCAAAGAGGTCATAATGCTGAGTCGTTTTTGGATGAAGTAGGACACAGTTGTTAATATACTGTCCCAAGCGATAGGTGAAACTGACGTCTCGCTCTCCATTGTATATAGATAATACACCCTTCCAGCTTTCGGTGTTACTGTAGGAATTATGATCAGACAAGACTGAACTATTAGCAACTTTGACGGGCTCCAGCGAGGATGACGAAAAACCCCCCATATCAATACCGCTGCTGTCTGTATCAAGAGCAGAAGGAGCTTGACGGGTGAATTGGCCCCAGTTACCATTGTCGTCAGGGCCCATAAGACCCCCCGACACTATTATCCCATTTCGCTCTTGGAAGCATCGAGACTTAAAATCAAACTCCACCACCTTCTGCGAGGGCGACCAAAACTGATCTTTTATACGCTTCTTCGGGGAAGAGCTTCTCCTCTTTCGATCCCTAGTAGCAACTTTCTTGGCTTCGATTTTTACCCCAGATCGGTCGTTCCTGGTGTCGAGCGAACGGATGGAGTGGTTGTAGATATAGTAAATTTTTCCCAGTTCGCTAGAGGAATGCTTTACACAGTCTCTCAGCTGCCAGTGATTGATGGATATTCTGGCGTCGTAGAGCTTCAACGTGGGCATTAAATAGTTCTGAAAGACTTTATTTGAGCCCCAGCTAGAGTCCTCTGACGATTCTGGAGTGCCTATGTCTTCTTCAATCGTCATTTTTGGCTCAAGAATCTTTCAAACAAAAAAGGAAGTTCTGTATGTTAACTTTAACAGTAAAGGGCAGCAGTAGTCTGGTTAACGTCAATAAACCCTTCGAAATAATACGTAAAGCCACGGACCGCTAAAACTTGATTAAATCTCAAAGGGGCTTTAGTGTCTAGTATTCTTGTCGATACCTAACTTTCTGCGTGAGGTAGACCCCTGATCTTCACAGAAATCCTAAAAAGGCTAACCTCCCCGTGTAATCAATAGTACTGGTAAAGTAGCGAAAGCTAGACCTCAAAACGATACTCTGACCTTTATCTTCTCCCCCTCTACTTAACCTAAGACCGCAAACTTCGATTGCCAATGTGTGGCAAAAATGACTCTCGGAAAAAAGTGGGGCCGTTATTTATTGCCAGAGTGAATGACGTTAAAATGCAGTGGTAGGAGCTTTCTTGGAGTTCTTGTAGTCGCTATAAGATCGTCTTTCTTTGCCAGTAAGGGGTCCATAGTGGACATTGATTGTCACCCCATATTTAAACCAAATTTCAACTCCGTTCGTGTGTGATTACAACAGAGAGCCAAGATGCGCCGGCAAGACTATGTAACACACGTACACACTCTTAGCCCAGCTGGGGTCTTTCGTTCAATCACCTGACAGATTTCATGACTTGAGACTCATCAGTAGAATAGCAGCGTCTTGAGTTTCCGCCTGTGGTTCGTGTTTCGGGCTCGATTGTCCAGTTTCCGATTTCGGCACCCTTTCTGAGCCCTCCCGAAACACTGGCGGGCTCAGCGATAGGTGGGGGGGTTGGCGATCCAGCAGAGAGTTACTGATGGCAGGCGAGTGTGGAGAGCGAACCTGCGAGGGGGCCCTGCTGTTGCGAAGAGATTCGGCACCGATGTGTTGCCAATCCTCTTCATCAGTATCGGAACGGCCATCGTCCTCATCGTGTTCGTCAAAAATGGCTCCCTCGTCCTCGCCGTTAGAGGGTCCGGGGGCATTGGTGCCAGACGATGGGCTATTGAGCTTGTAGGCGACTTCCTTGGACATGTGGGAATCCAGCGGTGGTTGAATCGGACTTGATCGGCAGCTAGCATGCGATAGTAAGGTGGAGCGAAGACTTGACTCCTTCGAAAATGATAAGCGCGGTTCCCGTCCGCGAGTATGGTGGTTACTGAGGTTTTTCGCATCCTTTTGCTGTGTCAAATTCGGCGTGGCCTGGTCGTCTAGCGAGTTGGCTGGGGAAGACAGCCGTCTTGTAACGGCCTCCAAACTGGTATTGGACCCGCGAAATGAGTTGCGTTTCCCTATGGAGGGGGATCGTTTCTTGGAAGAGGACGAACGGCGGTATGTTTTCATGCCAGGGTGTGCCAGAGGCGGTCCAGACTCGAATTCCGAGTCGTCCGGAGGAGAATTCTCGGCGTAGACCACGCTGGACTTGCGCCGTTTGAAAAAATCATAGGGCAAGATGTGCTGACTAGGGTCCTGGGATTCATCGTCGTCATCATGGAAATGGTCGTTGCGGCCGTGGATATGAGGAGTTCTCCCACCTTCGTCCTCGTCTTCTGACGCGAGCGCATTTTCGTCCAAGAACGTGGACCAGTTTCCGGGGCGTAATTCACCCTCGCGTTTCGCCACCACCGAGCTTTTCCTAGGCCGTGCAGTTGAAGAATTCGATAAGCCACTACTCTTGCGTCTTTCCTGCGAAACCATGTCCTTAACCTTACTATTGGCCAGGTTTGTGATTTCGCGTTCCCTCTCGAATTTATCTGGGGAATCCACTTTCTTGGCAGACCACTGGCCCCAGCCTATCTTGGCAAACACCACCCCGTTCTTTCTGTCGCCTGTTTCCAAGGCTCCCATGATAAGCCTTCTCTGCTTCGAAGCCGACAACTCCCCAAATCCAGGAAGCTGTATACACAAAGCTTTCGTAATAAAGCGAATGGCCAAGGGCCCCTCCTGTAGCAAAAGTTCTGATACTCTTTCGGGGGGCACATTCTGGGGATGTGCCGCGTTTCCAGTCGTTGTCCCATGGCTTGACGAAGACTTTACAGCCTGGTCTTCTGCCGGCACAACCGGCGGACTCTTTTTATTCTTTACCTGTTCGTCGACCATTTCTTGACGAGGGTTTGACATCAATTGAGCTCTCGTGCTGTTATCGAAGCAAATACCAAAGTTCAAACTTCACGCTAGTGCTGTTTCCTTGAGCTTTATGAAGTGATTGTCTGTTTATTCTGTCAATGCATGGGCTGCTGAGATATCTATCGCCTTATAATTTCAAAGGAGATTACGGTATATATTACGGTGTATGAGGCTAACACGAAAGATAATAGCGGCCTTCTCAAGATTCGAACGTCAGAAATATTTGTGGCCGTCCTCTTCTCTTTGGTATACGGTATACGTCCATAAAAAGGGTTTAGTCGCTAGTTGAGGCCAGAGTAGCTTGTAGCGGATCTCTCATTCAGACTTGCCCTCATCATGGTCGATGTCTACGCCTTGTCCCCACAAAGCAGTGTTTCGTGTCCGTATAGAGTTACAGAAGGTTAAGATAACGGCTTGACCACCAATTGTCGAAAGCTTTGCTACAAGAGAGAGGGAGAGTTACAGTTTCGTGTTAGAGTTGGTGAAATAGCGCGGCTCCATGTAGAGGCTCGTCCTCTGCTATCTACAAGTCCGCGAGACGTTAATAAGTAAATTAATTTAATCGTTAATTAATATATTGATAAGTTCGTTCGTATATCAGCACAGGAGCGTGATCAGCGCCAGTAGTATAGGATGCAACGATTTGTCAATTGATCTGGCTAATGATCTGTCTTGTGTGTCTTAAGGGAAGACTCGCACGTCTGAGAAGCGAGACTGAAATGACGCTTGTAATAGGGTGCACCGCAAAGAACGACGCATGATCGCCCCCCCCCTAGGGTGGCTGCGGCTACCAGTTTACACCACCCCGTAGAAGATCTCTTCCCCAGTGCGTGTGGATCTTTTGCGTTCGGTCTTTGTGGCGCTTACAAGCCCTTCTATTCCATTGTCCAGTACAGGCGTGAACTCTGGATTTTCCCGCTATCTCGTCGCCAACAAGTTTCGAACCAAGGAAAATTATCTAAAAATTAGGTCACCTCAAATTTGCGGACCAAGTTTTGCGCCGGGCGGACCAACGCTTGCGCTGCCCTCACGCAAAAATTTTTCATCACTAACGGGCGCTGCTGGAATTTCGGAAAACTAAGTAACCCTTTTCAAAGGAGATACGAAGTGTAGTGTTAGGAACTGGGAAATTTACGATTGAGTCGATATAATTGATCAGGAATCAATAGCTATGTCTGTACGTATCCAGTTTCGTGTAGTGGTGATGAATTGCGGGACGATTGGGATGATTGGGACGATTGAAGGGCTTTTTTAATAGGGGATTTATGTTTAATGTCTTCTTGAGACTTATGATGAATGCCATGGACCTAGCAACAAGGCATTGGTACTGCTTGTAAGAACAACATGGCCTCCAAAGGGCTGTATGGTGTCGGTGCTCAAGTGCGCTTTTATCTTTTGAGAGTCTCTAGGCGCGGTTTGAACGGAACCTTCAATTGGTGTACCTATTTCGCCCTATTCGGTCGTTGATCTTGCAGTTCCGAAATTTATCAGGACCGCCCCTCCGTCAGTATACTAACTTTCAATTTTTGTGTGGTTGCAGAACCCATTCGACTTGCTAGGTAACGACGTCGAAGACGCCACCGTCGTGGCTCCACAACCTCCAAAGGAGATCGTCAAGAAGACCACTTCTTCCAAGAAGTCTGACGTTCCTCCTCCATCTGCGGACCCATCCAAAGCCAACAAAAACAGACCAAAGCCAACTGGTAACGAGGCTGCCTACAAAGACAAAACCGGTGGCAGAAAGAACAACAAATCCAAAGACGCTCCGGCTGAGACCTCTGGTGCCAAAAGAGCCTCCCACGCCGCCAGAAGATCTACTGACCGTCAATCCAGAACCGGTAAGGTCGACACTGACAAGAGAGTCAGACAAGGCTGGGGTGACAACAAGAACGAAGTCAGCGAAGAGGCTGCTGCCGAAGTCGATGCTCAAGCCGAAATTGAAGCCGACAAGGCCGAAGAGGAGGCCCCAGTTTCTAACAAGAAGTCTTTGCAAGATTACTTGGACGAAGTCAACAAGAACGAGTTCAACAAGACCCCAGCTCGCAAGACCGTTGATCAATTGGACGACGCCGAACTGTTGGTCAAGAAGGAAGAAGTTTACGCTGAACCAACTAAGGTCAAGACCTTGAAGTCCAAGCAATTGAAATCCAAGCAATACTTGGACTTCAACGTTTCTTTTGCTGACTCTCAATCTACCGCCAAGCCAAAAAAGTTCGACAACAAAGGCCCAAGGCGTGGTGGCAAGCCAAAGGCTTCCCAGAACGCTGGTGAAGAAAAGCCTGCTGTCAACGCCAAGAACTTCCCATCTTTGGCCTAAATAGTCTTTCAAAGAAGCTGACCTTTCCAACCGGAAAGATATCTCTGCCTCCTTCTGTCAAAATCCACCTTAGCACGACCATTTATCCGCGACCCATCCAAATTCAACTGCTATTCACGGCCGTTGTGTTTGTAACTCTTAATTTGTTGCAGAAAGTGTCTAGTAGCGAATGTATAAGTTTTCCGTTGCCACAAGCTTTCAGGCCACAAATAAACGCTTTAGAATGTTGATTTTAAATGCTAATCGCCAGTCAGGCTTCTCTGGATGTAATTTATATGTCGATTATGTCAAAATTCTAACTTTGATAATTTCTTGAAATGCTGTTTCGGTATTACATCGCTATAATATACCTTACGTTTGTTCAAGATCATATCGCTCTCCCAGTGAGTTCTCTTACGACTCTGGAGTTGTCCGCCGAACTTGTGTAAAGTGTATATGAGCTCCTCATGCCCAATTGTTGTACGGGCAGTGTCGTTCGCGACACGACAAACTTCCTGTAAAATTTTGGCCGTGAGGCCCCACACGTTTTTGCAAAGGACACCCTCAAAATCTTCATCTCCAGAACTAGTGTCAATGATCTCATTCAACCAATGTGCGTCTTTGACATTTTCGTTAGGATAGTAAAAATGTTGAATTAACCATGACAAACCACCCCACTTCGATATGTATTCCTTTCGGTTGACATATTCTGGATTGTAGTCATTCCACTGGTTTTGGTGAGCTATGAGGTCACAGAGAGGAACAGAGAACAGCGAGGTCGTCTCCCCTGCGTTTAGCTTGCCAAAAAATTTGGATCCATTCAACGGATCTACATAGCGCCTCTCACTCGGGGTCTTTGAATTGTAAAGAAATGACACAATAGGTTTAACGCTGAGAAATGTTCGTGATAGGAAATGCGGAATATTGTGCGTGATGTTCTCAATTTTCATGCCGTAATCTTGGAGTAAGATGTTCCCATCACTAGGAAGGCCAATTTCTTCCTCAGACTCTCTTCTGGCCACCATTTCGGATGTCTCCGATGGTGAATCAGCCTTTCCCCCGGGAAGTGATACATGGCCGGAGAAACTCCTCAAGTTCCGTGCCCTCTTAGTCAGAAATACTCGCAACTCACCATTGCTTCCAATAAACAGCAACACCAAGACAGCACTCCTCCGATTAACAGGCCACGTATTGAAAAGTGGCAAATGAGTTTCTACTGTATAATTTTTGAGATTTTTGATCAACCTAGCAGCCTCCATTGCGAAAGTAAGCACGCTTGCCTTAATGTAGCATGCATAATATCAATATATACATACAATAGCACAATTAAGATAAAATATATATTCCTGAACAAACATCATGAAAGATACTTTCATCGAGTCTTACATATGAGCATAAGATAGATAAAAGAGCACTTAACTCTAAACTTTGAGGTCAGCCTTCAGCGCATAGCTCACCACTACTGAGAGTGTTATAAACAAAAACGCATATTGGCACATGAAGAAGACTGACAAGCAATCCATTTGGACATGATTTCCTTCTAGCGGGGTGTAGAACGCAGTGAAATATACTTGCGCGGTCGCACTAGGCATTGCCCATGTAAGTATAACAACAAATTTAGCAATGTCATTCTCAATCCAATTGATGTCGTACAGTTTATCTGCCCACGCGATACCAATAATTGGAAGAATGACAAGTCTGAATGTGGTCATAATCGCGGTGGTTTTCCAAAACCCTTTGGGTAAGCTTTTGATCTCAAGTCGAGCCAAAGTACCACCTAGGAGTAGTAATCCCAGCGGGACACAGGCATTCCCAATGTACCCAGTAAAATCCATTAAAAAGTTTAGTACAGGCTCACCGTCGGGTGCCTCGTGTACATGGACGTAGGTATGCACAAAAAGAGCCTTGACCCAAGGTATCATACAACACAGAATCCCCAACAGTGCTCCTAGTGAGGCAGGACGGCAGAAATTTATCAAAATGTACAAAAGCCAACCCAGCTTATACCTCTTCACAATAGCTGAAATCTTGCCAGCTTTCTTACGCGATCGGGTCGATCGGTTGCTGTTTGTTCTCGATAGAGTGTTGTCGGTAGTTCTGGTGGGAGTAAATTCATTCTCATCATCAGATATGTCGCTGTCATCACGACTGAATGCATTATCCTCGCCCACCTCCTGTGTTAAGGACAGTGGGTGAGTTAAATCCATTTCTCCAGTTTTGATCCTTCTCGCAGCGCTGTACTCATTTATAACATCATTCATCGTTTGTGATGGTCGTCTATGTTTCTTGCCCCGCCTCGATTGGGACCCTGCGGACCGTTGGCTAGAGTTTGATCGAACAGTAGCCATTTTCTCTATAGGACTTGGGATTGGCACAGGCGCCATAGAATGACCTTGAGTGCGACGCGACATCGTGGAGCCACGTCGCGAAACGCTTGGCAAGGCGTCCACAGAGTACTCTGAGTTGGAGCTCAAACTGCTGCTCGGGATCGATTGCGCGTCGAAGGGAACAGGGTCTTGCTCGTGCTCGAGTGTCCTTTCGTCTTGGCTTGAGTTATTACCGGTGACTGAACCTGCGTCAGTGGTATTGTAGTTACGACCTACCGAAGCATTGGATTTGGCTTTATCGGACAGCCAGCTTTGTAGTGCATTGCCATGCTCATCAGTAATGACCGACTCGGCTCGACCGTGACTGAAATTCGCGGGAGAGGTGCTTTCGACTTGTTGCTCGTCATCCTTTTGGGGCTCCCTAAAGTCCAAACCAACGATCCTAAACATACCAAAATTCATCATCAAAAAGCTCTGCGTTGTTAAAAAGATACAACAGTATGCAACGCCACGATCTACCTGTGAAGAGTTGAAAACGGACCCATTGCTCATACTCTGAACATAGGCGATTGGCAGGTCCGAAATGTTTGGGAACACGCCCGCAAAAAGCAAGCCCCAATACCACTGCCGCGGCGAATTTGCTACCCATTTAGTTAAATAAGCACAAACACCCCCGGTGGCAAAGATCACAAACGCAGTAAGCACCAAAACCCCTACTTCTTTAATGTCTTTGGCCGAGATGTTACCCACGATTTTGTTGAAAGTTAGACAAGGGAGAATAGCATTGACCACCATATTCGAGATTCCCCTGCTGGTTTCCACCGTGACCAGATTGTATTTTGCCAGGAGGAAACCTACAAATATAATCACGTAGATTTTAAGCACTGGCTTCACAGCAGCATAGATTGCCACGCCCAACCCAATGCTCATCTGCAGCGTTTACGGATAATCAAAAAATCTATAAGGTTTTCAGGAATGTAGCTACTCCTGATGATGTAGGTTCGGATGTATATCTCTTGGCTGTTAAGCTCATCGATCAATTGTAGAAAATCCTTCGCGGATAATTTTCAAATTGTGAGTAGCTAGACCGGATGGCTGATACATAAACTCGGAGTATCGCTCTTAATTATGGTTAGATGACTTCTATTGGTCTAAGTGATAATTGCTCCTTTGTCTTTAGGAGATGGCCATGTCATGAAGTTGCCCTTCTGCGATCCTTAATCGGTAGTAGTTTTTATATAATGTGGGGTAAAAATTTAATTCGTATGAGTACCTTTATGCTACTGGAATTTACCAATTTGGAACACAACCGACAAAATACTATATTGCGTCTTGGACCATTAAAATCTCATATCTATATTGGGATGATATAGATTTATACATAGTTTATCTTATAATACTCGGAGAGATAACCTTTACTCATCATGTACCTTGGCATTACTTTATACTCCTACTTCTTCTTTTGAGCGAGAAATTGGTTTTCAACAGCGGAGATGATGGATGGAACGCAGTCAGCGTTAGCCAAAGTAGACATGTCACCCAGCTGATCGGCTTCGTTGGACGCCACTTTTCTCAAGACTCTTCTCATGATTTTGCCGGACCTGGTCTTTGGCAGATCGTTAACGACAACAACGGACTTTGGCGCTGCAAAAGGTCCAATCTCTCCTCTAACCTGAAGAACAAGCTCACGACGCAAATTGTCAGGGGTGATGTGGGCTGCGTCACCTTCAGCAGCGTTCTCTTGCAAGTATCCATCCTTCAAAGACACAAACGCGATGACTGCCTGGCCGGTCAGTTCGTCGGTGATGCCGACAACCGCAGACTCGGAAACACCATCGTGCTCGACCAATGCGGCCTCAATTTCGGCAGTAGACAATCTGTGGCCGGACACGTTCACAACGTCGTCGACTCTGCCTCTGATCCAGTAGTAACCATCGTGATCTCTACCAGCACCGTCACCAGTGAAATAATAGCCAGGATATGGTTTCAAGTAGGTTTCGATATAACGAGAGTGGTTGTTCCATACAGACCTAGCCATTGAAGGCCAAGAGTTTTTGACTGCCAAAACACCCTCCACGTCATGACCCTTCAACTCTTCGCCAGAAACTGGGTCGATTAGGCATGCATTCACGCCAAAAAATGGAACTGTGGCCGATCCTGGTTTGGTAGGGACAGCGCCGGCCATAGGAGCAATCAAATGAGAGCCCGATTCGGTCTGCCACATAGTATCGCAGATCACGCAATCCTTATTACCAACCTTCTCATGGTACCATTCCCATAGATCTGGAGAAATAGGTTCACCAACAGAACCAAGGACCCTCAGAGATGAAGTATCATATTTGGCAATCTCGGCTTCGCCGACACGCTTGATGAGTCGAAGAGCTGTAGGAGCCACGTAGAAATGGGTGGCCTTGTGACGCTCGATGATTCTCCAATATCTACCATAGTCAGGATAAGCTGGGGTAGATTCGAAAATGATAGTGGCGGTACCTAGGGCCAGGGGACCGTATAGGGCGTAGGTGTGACCGGTAATCCAACCAACATCACCCGCAGTAAAAAGAACATCTTCGGAATGAATATCAAAAACATATTTGGTGGTCAAAGCTGCTCCTAATAGGTAGCCTGCAGTAGTGTGGACCACACCCTTTGGTGAACCCGTAGAACCCGAAGTGTACAAAAGAAACAAAGGATCTTCGGAGTTTACTGGAGTAGGTGGCAAGTAACCGCCGTGTTTAGCGGTCTCCTCGTGCCACCAAAAGTCACGGCCAGGTTTCATGGGAATACCTTGTGATCCAGTTCTTTGGAATACAAGAATCTTGGCGACCAAGTCGACACCGTTCAAACCTTCGTCGACAATTTTTTTGGTGTGGACCGTTTTTCCACCCCTACGACCCTCGTCGCAGGTAATAACTACTTTACAGCCGGCGTCCACGACACGTTCTTTCAAAGAACCAGCGGAAAACCCGGCAAAAACCACCGAATGGATAGCTCCAAGCCTGGCAACGGCTAGCATAGCAACCACCGCCTCTGCAATCATTGGCAAATAAACAGCAACGGTGTCGCCTTTTTTCACACCCCAGCTTTTTAGAACACCAGCCACTTCCGAAACTTGGCGCAAAAGCTCGCCGAAAGTGATAACGCGGTTGTCCTTTTCATCATCCGCCTCGTAAATCAGAGCCGGCTTTGAGGGATTGGCGAAAGCATGTCTATCAACACAGTTGTAAGCGGCATTGAGCTCACCGTTGAGAAACCAGGCCGAGTCACCATGCTGCAAAGAACCAGCGCGAACCTTGGTGAAAGGACGGTCCCAGTGCAAATGCTCGCGGGCCATTGGTCCAAAAAATCCCTCTGGGTCTTCGATAGACTGTTGGTACATCTCGCGATATTGAGCCATGTCGGCTACGTGTGCCTTCTGGGGCTGTGATTGGTAGAAATGGCGGGGAGCCTCGCGAAACTCCACATTGTTTGCCTCGTGCACAACCGTGTGTTGTTTGGTCATTGTACTTGTTGGTTAGGAGAAAGACGCTCGAGAACTAGCTCAATGGGTCGATGATGATAGAACCTTGAAAATACGCGCTGTTTCAACCAAGGCTATTTGGTTGTCCTGCGTGCCAAAAAACCGCCAGGTCACACTGACAATGGTTTGAAGTCGGAAAAACTGCTGGGAAACGGACCAAATTAACCGTAAGTCAACAGTTCCTTTTGTAGAATGGATAATTCTCAATTCTTCTGAGTTTCCCTGGCTCAATAGTCCATTAATTCCCTTGCCATTTTATTCACTTGTGCTATCTCGATCATTCTGTACGCTCCATCTCAACTTAAATCCAACAAAAAATTTTTCCCACTGCGAACGAACGGCGAGAAGCGATGGAAGCACGAGCGAAATGACCGAACCGGTAAACGCGACAAACGAGGGCCCAAAGACCGTGGCGCGCGTTGCGAGACCAGATCCAGTTGAATGAAATTGGTGGGCAAAGCTATCGGTAATGGGACGTTTGTACTACGTTTGTGCGGCGTTTGTTGAGAACGCGCATCCTGACGACGTCAGGATTGTGCAACGCGACATACGCGAGAGGCGAAGGAACGGAACGAGCGATACGAGTACTCTTGGGGCTCGTTTCGCTCGACTCGGTACTTGAAAGGAACCCGGTGTCAGTATAGTACGAAGTGATAAAGAGGTAGCCCACACTGTGGATCACGTGCTCAGAGTAGGTTTTCTGAGGTTCCTTGGTGGCGATAGGCGCTGAGCTTGTGACTCGTCTGTTCTTCGTGTGAGTCGCAGTGTCACTTGCGGTGTCGGTGCAAAGTTGGGCCTTTCATGCGGTGCTTCCAATGGGCCTCACTATGTTGTGTTGTCACTTTCTTATCTCCCCATTAGCGTCACTCATCAAAACCCTACCAAGTCCTGGTATCCGAGAGTCCTTTGCAAGGATGTCCAAAGGCAGCCAGATGCTACAATTGAAATCCAAAATCTCATGTTTTCAGTCGGACCCTGGCTTGATAGGCGGCAAATTTGGAAACCACACCTTGTTTAATGCCCGAACCGCATAAAGCAACATCTACCTCTTAGTCCCATGCTGCTTTGAATAAGAATACGCCTCACTTCTCAATGCCCAAGGCATTTTTCCTGTCATAAGCTCCTTTGGCGGAATTCATTGAACGTAGTCCGATGACCTAGAGTGTCTTCTGTGTTAACCGCCCACAATAGTCTTGATTAATTGAAGATGTATCTGAATCAATCTATCACTTGCGACGACATGTTATATCACCTCATGGAGCTAGTGTCTGTTAAACTATGATGAACAGATCATCTAATGCTGTGCTCCTCCTGCCTATTAATGCTGACGAATGTTAAGTACTTTCCATTACCTCTACTAATAGTTGAATTTCGTTTTGATGTTTATTCTCAGTTTGTTCTGGAAACGCCAACTTAAATTGACTGTGGGCCTGGTCATATTGAGGTGTCCTATCTTAGTACCAGAGTCGCTGTCGCCGGGGCAAGGTACGTCAAGATGAACCTTGTGAAAGGCACAATGGGTAATTTTGTTAAAAGGCTATTAGGAGACCCTTTTCATTGCCTCGTAGTTTTTCAATTTTTGAATTGTGGTATGTGGATACCTTTCATATATCGAGGAGATATTGTGCGCATAAGTACTATGTCAATTGACTCACCAACTTAAGCACAGCTCACAGACGTCGGAAAACTGTTTCACTCGATAGCCTTCACCCAACGGCCAGTAATACCCTTTCGTGATCTACTTCTCATTCCTCTTTCTGCAGCCCTGTCACTCATAGTCCAAGTTAGTATCGGCTAGCGTGGTTTCAAACTCTCTTAAAAAAGACATGTACATCTTGCATGGGATAAACTCATTGGATTCAGTATCAAATCGCGTGAAAAAAAGCCCCAGGTCTGATAATGACAACAATTCCAGTAGGCCACTGATAGTGGAGGGAGTGAGCTCGGAATCATCTGCTAGCCTGACGTCTTCCCGCAGAAGAATATGAACATCTCCCTGAAAGTCTAAAAGACTAAGGTATTCAGGCCCATGCCCGGTGCTTTTCTCTGACAAAACAATATAAAGAGTTCCGTTTTGGTTGTCGATCATCAATTTTCCCATGACCGTTGAATTTTGTTGGCAAGTTGTGTAGGCACTGTAAGGCAAAAGTGGGCTACGTGCTTGTTTTGACGAATCTGTGCCCGCAGTGGACTCCATGTTCCTCGAATCGTCGTTCAGGAAAAGTTTGTCATGGGGGTAATGCGAATCCACGTATCGGAGAAAATGATGGTTACCTAGATCTCGGAACGTAACTCTACTTTTGGAACACTTGAGGCACCAATAAATTTGAAAATATTCGTAGGCGGCAACCCGGATCGGAGTCTTGCTGTGGGGCATCAAGTTCTGCAATTCAGATGTGGTTTTATTTGGCACAACGTCCCAATAGCTTTTTCGGCACTGTGGCGACCACTCGTCAAAAAGCTTAAAAAGTAAATCTTTTGCTCTAACAGGCTGGAGCATTCTAGGCAAAACAGTCGTGAGGACAGCCTGTCGACTGGGGTAAATCCGACACATTGAATCAACCAAGTTCTTTCGCGTAAATATTCGGGGATTTCCGATCTGAGAGATTGCGACGTATGTCTCTCCGCTGCGAACGCGTTCATCGCGAACAACAAGGAATTCTTCGCACAAAATTGTCTCAATGCAATACAGAGAAGAGATGGCTTGGATAATGGCTAAGAGGACTAATGGGTGGCCCTTGGCCTCACCCGCATAAACACGTAATATCATGAAGTCGTCAAGGAAGGTCCTATTTCGTTGCTCAACGTGTGGCATCCTAGCTCTCCGTAGGGCTTGCATCAAGTATTTCATAGTCTTATCCAACCTCAGTGTTGATGGTAGCTGGAGGAAGTCAGAAAGATTTGAGAAATCGTGTTTAACTTGAGAATGCACTTCCTGGATGATTTTAGCTCTATGAGGCAACAGCCGGTTGAAGGCCGCATCCATAGCTTCAAAGGGGAGGAAAACCGATTCTTCCGCATAATGTACCCATTCTGTACTTTGACCCCCAACCGTTTGTTCTATCATGTTGAATAAGCTTCTATGGCGCATTGCAAGTAGCAATTGTCTTGCCAAATACGTTATTTCAAAGCTTTGATCGTTTGTGTATCCTTTGCATTCTATAGACTTTAGCAGCGGAATTATCAAACTTCCATGCTTGATCAAATGCCCCATCTTTTCCTGGTACAATTTCAAGTCGTCGACGTTCGCAATCACATCTAGAGTATTCAAAGTATGCTGGTCAATCCGATTCCTGTATCGAAAATAGTAAAACCAATCCTCTTTCGAGCATGTACGACTTTTCTCTGACATCTGAGATACCAAAGGATCATTTTCCTCTAATTCCAACCACCTCCTGCGACACCTTGTCTCCCAGGTCCATTGAATCTTGACTATATCATTGAAGTGGCGTGAACATGTCCTCAAATTCAATAGATCGGGGTATTCTAAAAGTTCGAATATGTTTAGCCACAATTCCTTTGGCAACTCATAGGCTAAGCATTGCATGGACTTTTTGCCGAAATTAATATACTGGACAGACTGCTGAAACTTTTGGTCTGCAGACATTTTCAATGGTCCGATGAGCTTATTTTTAAATGACTTCGCTAATAAAAATCAGTTTATTTGAAAGAAGCACGAAGAGGGCCCGAGCTTGAGCCATTGGGGACTTCACCCCTTTCCATATACTTAAAAGGGCCAGTAATCTTGGAATAATGTTTTCTTTGGGAAAGCTTTCAAATTCGGCCAATCACCCTGTCTATTTTGATATCAGGTTAAAATCACCCTATAAGAATATACTTTTAATTCATGGAACACCACTAGAGGCAGAACCCATTCCAATTTCAGGCCATCTAGTTTTCTCGCTTCCCGAATCCATCTCTGCCAAGAAAATCTCGCTAAGGTTAGTAGGCACTTTCAAATTAGAGTTCCTGCAGGTCGGGCAACACAAGAATTCCAGTCTGGCAAGTATCGTAAAAGAACGCCGAACGATATTTGAGTGCAATTGGAATAATCTACTCATTTCATCAGAAGGAATTTTGGCTAAAGGCGCAGACCAAAATGAGGCCCCTCAAAAAGCAGCTCCTCCATCTGCCCTTTCCAATACGTCAATCAATAACTTGTGGAAGCCTATCAAGAGGAGCACATCTACACCTTTACTCAACCTTTCACCAAATGGGGGCTTTGATGGTACTTCCCAGGATGGTGTGGCTGTGAGCCCCGGTCAGTCATTCTTTCTCAAAGAAGGTAATTACGAACTTCCCTTTCAGGCATTATTACCTCCAGAAACTCCTGACACAATTGAGGGACTACAAGCTGGCTCTGTTCTTTACAGATTTGAAGCTCATTTGGAGCGTGGTAGTTTTAAAACGCCTTTTACCAAGCACAAGTATTTGCGAATCTTCCGCACATTATCACCCAACAATATGGCAGTTGGTGAGGAGATGAGTGTGGGAAAAAGTTGGCCAGATAGATTACAATATGAAATATCCATTCCTAGTCGCGCAATACCGATAGGTGGAGTTACCCCTGTTACGGTGAAACTGTACCCTTTTCAGAAGGGTTACAGACTGATTAAGATAGATGCCAACCTCATCCAATACTATGCATTTAAGGACCAGAATAATCAGGTATATGACGATCAATCAGTCGTCTTCCATCAAGGAATGACAAATTTTGAAGACCTGCCTGGTTGTGATTCGTCCAGAGGCAACATCATAACCGATAAACTTAATCTGGAATCCTCCCTTATGTTTCCGCAAAGCCTTAAGAAGGTTACTCAACATTGTGATATTGAGGGTGACTCTATTAGAGTTCGTCACAAACTGAGTATCACAATATTCTTGAAGAAAAAGGTCGGAGACGAGGACAAAACCACAGAGATAAAAGCTAATCTCCCGATTTTTCTTTATGTGTCACCTCACGTACCACTTAATGGGCGCCTTGTATTGCTGGACAATGCAGGTAAAATCCACTTTCGGTCTGGCGAAGGTGTACGTCTCTTCGAGAAACAGCAGCTGTATGTCCCGAATCTCAGCTCTCTGAACAACGTTCATAGGCTAAATGATGGCTCGTTATCGGTAAGCTACTTCCCGGAAGAAGACACTGAAGCTCCACCCACATATGCAAAGCATATGTACGATCAGCTATATAACTATGCTGAAGACGCGGGAATATGCCAATCATCTGAATTGGGGCGTAGCGGGACTTCTACTCCTAATGTGTATCATGCGATTCTCAGGGCAAGGTCTGAAAGCCATTCAATTCTCGACAAAATGGTTGAGCCGATGCAAGACTTGTCGCTAGAAGAACTGAATCGTGTTCCTTCGTATGATCAAATTGGTGAAGATGCGGAAGATGAGCCAGCTCTTCCTCTGGGTGAACTTACACCTTCCTACGAAAATTCAGGTTCTGCTTCAATTTCCAGAGCAGATTCGCCTGTAATTATCGATGTTGTCGGGCGCCAGCCAAGGCATACTCTACACGGAGGTCTTGCTCACTTTGTGCGTGGTCACTCTACTTCAGACTCAAGTGGAACACCCATCTCGTCATCTAGCTCCAACCTGCCATCAAAGTCCACTTCAAGCTCACATCACTGATAATGTGCACGTCACAGGAAACTCCAACCAATATATAATAACGCCTAATTTGTATACAGATTGGAAGTAAAGGGGGCCTCGGTTTGTGGCGGCCAGCTTTAAGGATTCGATTCAAGATAGCACGAAGTGTCTGCGTACACTCGCAAGACGATCCTTCAAGACTTACGACTAAAGGAAACTTTAACATATAATGTACAAGTCTTAGATAAACACGAACCTATTTAATTAGTAAACGAAACCCAAAATTTTACCAGCAACGTGCTTTCTTCTGGCTTCCTCGTGGTCCATAATTCCAGCGGAGGTGGTCAAAATAACGTAACCAAATTGTCTGGCAGGTAGCAAGTTTTCAGTCCACTTTTCGATATCGTTAAACTTAATGTTGAACCTTGGAGAAATCACGCCACACTTGTTTAATCTACCGTTCAGTTGAACGACAATCTTACCAGATCTGTGATCATCGATGTATTCAAATTCGCCAATGTAGCCTGAGCAAAGGAGTTAGTACATGGGTAAAGTCCGACAGACCTCTTCATGTGTCCAAATAACAATCCTCCTTCATAATTCATCTGACGATGATGTCGAGAAAAAGTAAACGCGCAAGGAACATAGATTAAATAGTTCAAAGTCGTGTAAGAAGCATTTTCAAATCATTGATTTTCCGGACACTTAAAAGACAGTATGGGACTGAAATTGTACAGCTTAGAAACTGTCCGATCAAACCATCCAGTTATCAGTCCGGGTTCTTGATGAGTATGAAGGTTCTAAGGATTGCCAAGGAACTGAGATTGAGCGTCACTGTAAAAAAAAAAAAAAAAAAAAAGGAATAATTGGAAATTGACATACCGTGCTTTTGCATGACTTGCAAGAATTTGATGATGACCTTGGAGGAAGGTCTAATCAAAACTTGGCGCTTACCAGTTTTTTCGGCGTTGTTGATTGAGTTTAAAGCATCAGCTAAAACAGAGGCGCGGGTCATTTTTGTGCTGCAAAGGGAAAAAGTTAGTAAGCCATGACCACGACCTTTGACTGAAATTCCTGGGCGACTCGCCCACGGATATTCTGTACAAAGTGCTAAGTAGTTTCACTTCAAAGAGGCACCATGAGTATCCAAAATAGAAAGATTGGAGTCACGACGCGAAGCTCTAGAAAACGAGCCCCCAGAGGCAAAGGGTATCGAGGCGTACAACTTCATAGCAGCTTGCATTCGTCAGAACGCACCAACTACTAATCTGGAACACTTACGAAGTACTGGCCGTCGATTCTTGCCTCCTCCTAAAACCATAAAAAAAATAGCTGCCTAGCAAGACGATGCTGGTCAATCGCACCGTCTGGCAGGACGTGTGGTACAGATAACTGGAACAGAAACCCACATCCAATTCTCAAAAAGGACCTATCATGTCATCTTCGAAGACAAAACCTCACAACCCGACATGTGCCTTGTGTGCCACATTGGTGAGCTACGGGAGATAATATCACCACATACCTATGATGGTTTGCTAGTCGTACGTCCGATGGCTATATCGACAATATGTGCGTGAACGTCAGGATTGAGGAGCAGAAAATTTTTCAGCCTTTTATAGTCTTGTATTCCCGTAGTTAATGATACACTATTTGGACGTGTTGTGGAATCTCACGAGCCCTTGGTCCACCAAAATTGCGAGGAATCGATTTCTGACGAGATCCCGAGCAGTAGTTGACACCGCTCGATTTGGGTTGTGGCACTCCCGTTTTTCAGCACCGCAATCCACCCCAGGGTTAAAAAGATACCGCTTGTAGATTCTCTTGTAGACTCTCTTGTGTGGCTCATCGGAGGAGGCCGAGATATTTGGATCGTTCACGCTACGTTGACTTGTGTATCTAAAGCACCTTGCTATGCTTCCGCCATATGCTTGTTACATACACAGCATCGGATCACTCAAATGTTTGTTGAATTTTAGCATAAAATGTGCTTCGACTTGAGTCTTGGTGGAGCTGAGTTGTTGGGCTTTCGAATCCTTGAATCATCCGAGTCATCTAGCAGTAAATCAGCATCAATATAGCCATAAAGCGATTGTGTCTATTTGAGTCATGGGAGCATGACTCGAGGTTTTTGAAATTGTTGTAATCAAGACTGCCAACAGGAAAAAATTGTGCCTAGAGCTGTAGCGCTGACAGGACGGTGGGAGGATAAAGAGTCAAGTGCGAAGTAGTAAGGTATATAAAGTCTTAGTTTTTTGATTGAACTTGGAAGATTTGAGTTGGCCACCTGTTGAGTCGTTTTGTCTGCGCTTACCGACGATCGGTGATCTAGTAGCTAAGTACACAATTGGGAAGATGAGATTTCTGCCACATCTTCGTGTGCTTCCCGAGGAAAAGATTGAGAACTATTCTAGCGATGCCTCCGTGAGCTCAGCAGATCTCCACGAAGAGGCCAGTCCGGGCTCTAAAGATGAGGGCACAAAAGTCGAAGCTTTAGAGCATGAAAATCAGAACACTAATGCCGTGCATGGGGGTATTCCGTATGAACTTCGCGACGAGAAGGGCCGCAGATGGTGGAAATTCTTCGACGAGTTTGAGTATCGCTCGAATTCTGAGTACAAGAAAAGTCGGAACTGGTACACTTTCTTGTACCCAAACCATACCACGCAGACCAAGGCTGAACGTAGGTTGCTGTACAAGCTAGACCTCATGATTGGGATGTACTTTTTGATGCTGTGCTGGTCCAAATCCTTGGACCTTAATAATTACAGCAATGCTTATTTCTCGCACATGCGGGAGGACCTCAATATGGCCAACAACGACTACATCAACACGGTGGCCATCTCCAATGTGGGTGCCATCGTGCTACAACTACCTTTCATGTATTTGCTACCGAGGTTTCCTTCTCACTTGATATTGCCCATCATGGATTTGGGTTGGTCTTTCTTCACCTTTGCCTGTTACCGGGCAAATTCGCTGGCCGAGCTCAGGGCTTATAGATTCTTCGTCAGCGCTTTTGGTTCGGCTTACTATCCGGTTTCGCAGTATGTCCTGGGATCCTGGTACGCGCCCGATGAAATCAGCTCTAGGGTGTGCTTGTTCTTCTGTGGCCAGCTGCTCGGAGGTGTTACTTCTGGCCTTCTGCAGGCGAGGACCTTCCAGGACCTTGATGGCGTCCGCGGGATTGCGGGTTGGAGATGGATGTTTTTGATAGACGGGATTGCCATTTCGATCCCTTGCGCCATTATTGGGTATTTTGTGATTCCAGGTATTCCTTCAAAGTGTTACTCTTTATTCCTGAGCGATGACGAGATCCGAGTTGCTCGTGAGAGAAACAAGAGAAACCAGATCAAGGATGGTGTGGAAAAGAGTCAGTTGTTACCGCTTTGGTCCAAAAAAATCTGGAAAAAGATGTTTTTGACTCCGACGTTTTGGGTCTTGGTCATATTTGACACCTGTTCTTGGAACAACATGACAGCCTTCAGTGGGAGTTTCCTCTTTTGGCTTCAACACGATCACGACTATTCTGTAGTCACCATCAACAACTTAGGGGTGCTCCCTGCTTGTCTCGGTTTCGTCTTTGTTTTCGTATGTGCTTGGGGCGCGGATTTGTTCCGGTGCAAATGGATATTTATGGTGTTCTCCCAAGCGATGAACTGTATTTCGTGTGCCATTCTAATAAAATGGGACGTCTCGAACAGCGCCAAGTGGTTCGCCTTTTTGATCACCTACTTCTCCGTTGCAGCGTCTCCTTGTCTTTGGTCGTTTATCAACGACTTTCTGAGGTTGGACCCACAGATGCGGGCCGTCACTTGGATCGCGATCTACACTTTTTCACAGTCCACATACGCTTGGATCCCTACTTTGGCGTGGAAAACCGTAGAGCAGCCCAGGTTTAAGACCGGTTATACTGTGAGTTTAATCTTCTCTGCTATCTACGGTCTATGGACCTTCGTCGTGCTATACTTTTACAAGAGACACGAAAAGAAACATGCTCTAGGGAATGGGATCATTTTGTATAACAGCGAAAACGGTCAGTGTGCCCCAGAGTTCGTCAACTCACAGATGGAGAAGAGGGGTGATTACTACTACTTGAAAGAAGCAGATAGTGACAAGCAGTAAATGCGATTGGGCTGATCGTAATAGCACTTAATTAGTTATATATAAATCCGCAAATTCGGTGTAAACTTAGTTGTCGTCTTCCGCAAAGGCCTTAGATGAGACCAATTTTTTGTAGCTCGGTCTGCAAAGTGCCGTTCGTTTCGTATTTGTGCAGCTCGCTTTCAGTTCCCCACACTTTTCCATCTACAAAGATGGTGGGCAAGTTTCTAACTCCAGCTACCTGGGCAAAAGCGTCCCTGTATTTAAGCTGAGTTTCTTTGTCAAATCCTCCGATTTCGAATTGCAGAACTTTGTCCAGAACACCGAATTTTTGCCAGACAGCATTGGCGTACACGCAATCTGGACAGAAATTAGCTGTTAATTGAACAAACTTTTGGGAGGCAATAACTTCCTTGGCTTCTGCAACGTATTGAGACATATCGTGTGTGTGCTGAGTTCTCCTCGATGAATATTTTTATAGAGATGTGACTAATTTATTACTCGAGCCCTTCAATAACAGATTAATCAAAGACTACAGAGGAGCACACCAAAGTGACAGACGCACACTTGTTGTACAAGCATGGGACATTGAGACTCCTTCCGAACGACGAAAACCCCGTTGATCAAGTGTAAGCGCTCGTAATTTCGGAAGGAGGGATAAATTGCATATCACACAACATGTGCGATCCTAAACCAACGCCGATGCATGTCCACAATTTCATCCCGGCAATTGCGTCTGTGGGGCTGGGAAGTTTCCTATAGATGTGTTGGTACTGATTCGATTGGTATCTCATCTCTCGCATTTCGAGGTAAGACGCGTATGACATGATATAGTTGTGGGTAACTTCAATTTTACGGTGAATTAGCTTGAAGGTTTGGTGTCAAATGTGTAATTTGAAGCTCGCCAACTTAAAATCTTCCAACGCTCTAAATGTCGTCCGAGAGAGCATGTATGCTTTGCGGAGTGGTACTGACCACCGCTGAATTCACAAAAGACGGGTGTCCCAACTGCCAAGGTATCTTTGAGGAAGCAGGCGTGAGCACCATGGAATGCACTTCTCCTTCTTTCGAAGGTCTTGTTGGCATGTGCAAACCCTCAAAGTCGTGGGTTGCCAAGTGGATCAGTGTTGATCCCTATATACCAGGACTCTACGCCATTAAGGTTGATGGACGCTTGCCCGTCGAAGTCTCTGATTTGCTACCGCATTACAAACCTCGAGATGGGACGCAAGTAGACTAAGGAGTTACTGTCCGAGGGGGAAGAAAAGCATGTACATTAGACGCGGATGCCAGCCCGATAGCGCTTGCTAGCCGCGAGGCGACCCAGGGAACGTGGATCAACAGCCTATCACGTGAATCGTGAAGTTGATGTATATAATGAATGTGAATATTGTCTTAATATATACGCCATGCCCATAGCTCGCTGCCAGATAGCAAGCTCAGTGTCTGTATAAGCTGGGATATGATGTCCATTGTAGGCGTCGCTCGAAGGGGCATCTTTGATTTACGGAGGGGACGTGGAATGAAGGGACATCTTCAAGTTCGACCAATAAGCCTATTTAGCGGCATCACGGAATCGTTCATCGCGCTACATCAGATCAGCGGTCTTCCGTGGCTCGCGTTAGTGCCGCTCACAACTTTTGGTCTCAGGACCGTATTCACTCTACCATTGAGTATTTGGCAGCGCAAGCGCGTAGTGAAGCAGCAAGAACTTCGAAAAGTCGTACAGGCCATCCCACCGGTTGTAAAACTGCGATTGGCAGCGGCAGCACAACAAAGATCCAACAGCAGCAGTGGGGATGTTGCTGATGGAGTGCCACGAGGGCCCACTTTGACACCGGAACAGATTCAACTGCTTGCCCTCAAGGAAACTAGAAACAGGCAAAAAAAACTGTTTGCCGAGAACAACGCATCTCTATGGAAGAATGCGCTTCTTCCCCTCGTCCAGATCCCGCTGTGGGTTTCAATTTCCATGGGGCTGCGCGGCTTGACTGAAAGCAGGCTGGTAGACTCCAATTTGAAGCCGCTGTCGTCGGACTCGGCGGCATCGGTGGCCCCGGTCTCTGATTGGGACTTGAGTCTTCCGCTTGACAGCCTTCCCATGTTGGCGCCGCTAGTGTTGGGCCTGCTGGCCCTGACAAACGTGGAGCACAACGGCCGAATGATGACCACCACGACTTCGGCCGCCATGGGAATCAAGATCGCACCCAGCCCCAATTCAAGGGCCTCCCAGAGCATGCAAAGCATCCTCAACGTGTCGAGACTGGGCTGTATTTTTTTCATGGGGATATCCTCGCAGGCCCCGCTACTGCTGAGCGCCTATTGGATCAGCTCGCAACTGTACTCTTTTCTACAAAATGCGTTCCTGAATTGGCTGTGGCCCTACCAGAGATGAAATGGGATATTGTTACAGATACTAAAAACTAATGTACATCGCGATTTCAGCTTGCATGCTGAAATCGCCGCTGGCGAAAAGGCCGCCGCTACTTGGTATCCTTCTTCTTTTGCTTCTCCAGTTCCTTACGGGTTCCCTTCAGAAGCTCCAGATGGCCCACTCTGCTGGATATGAGCTTTTCGGTGGTTTCCGTGAGAGAGGAAGCCTTGGACAGTTTCTTCAAATGTGCCAGCGACTTTTTCCTGCTTTTGATCTGCAGTGGCGCGGCCTTCCGGAGGTTTTTCTGCTTCTTTGTGACCCTTCTAGGGTCCTTCGACTTCTTGGTTACTTTGAGCGCTTTCTGAGGCATGGCTGAGGCTTCGACCGGCTTGGTAACTCGCAGATGCGATGGGGCGATGGGGCGATGAGCTGCACACCACCATCGAGCCTTTTGTCAAGATTTTTCAGTACGGTCCTGTCCACCCAGCGCACGTCACGTGCTCTCGGTTATTACATCCCAATCGACGAGCAGCGTCGAGTGTCTTTTGGACGGCTACAGAGCCAGAGTTGGACCTCCCGGTTTCACACTCCGCTTGTTCCCTTCCCGTGCCGCCACTACATCAAGGGCACACACTGACACACTGGCACACTGACACACTGACACACTGACACTCACGCTCCTTTTGGCTCTCTCTCTCTCAACCAGTCACATGACCCTTTGCTCACGTGACCTGAAAATTAGCAGAGTCAAAAAAATCGACCAAACTCAACCACACCGCTGCTCGTACCACACGATGACAGTGGACTTTCCGGCCTCATTGTCCGCCCATTTTGTCCACGACCACCCGCACTAGACGGTAGAGCTAGAGCGTGTGGCATTGCTTGCTGGGGATATTCTCGTAGCGCTCGTCGCAGTGGTTGTGTTATTTCGTGACGTCTTCAAGTTCTCCCGGCCAGATCGTTTGCACATCGTATTAAAATTAAAGCTCATCTCTCCAGGTCATTAATTGGGATTGGAAAAAAAATTGGCAGGCCCTGCTGTATAAGAAGAGGGTCATTACATTACGGTGAGACTTCCCAAGAATTGAAGTTCTCGCAGATAAGGGAACCTAGCGTCCACTCCGCTCCAGAAAAACTCGAGGGCAGTTCGACTCGAATTGAAATTCATTTTCGTACCATGTCAGTTCTCATCTTACCGGGCCCCCAGGCCCTTTCTGCGTTCCGTGTGGAAAACCTGGCCAGGGGCATCGAGGCCTACTGTAACAGCTCGTCGGTGATCTCCGAAGTACGTTCGTGTTATGTGCATTATGTGGACGTCGAGGGCCAAGAAGCGCTTTCAGAGCGTGAAAGACAGCTGCTAGAAGTGCTCCTGACGTACGACCAGGCGCTGGACGACTCAGACGGGTACGTCCAGCAGCTGAAGACCGGAATTGTCAGCTCTTCTTCCGGCCAGCTCGGCCCAGACACGTATTTGGTGCGCATTTTGCCCAGACCAGGCACCATCTCGCCGTGGTCGTCGAAGGCCACCAACATCGCGCGTGTGTGTGGGCTGGAGACGAAAATCGGGCGTATCGAGCGTGGTTTGGCTCTGCTCATCAAAACCGTGCCGGGCTTCCCATTGGTGGAGAACCTGAACGAGGAGTCGTTGAAGTCCTGCTTCGACAGAATGACGCAGGAGCTGTTTCTGATGGAGGCACCTGTGCCAGCGACCATATTTTCGCACGAATCGCCCAAGCCATTGGGACATGTCAAGCTGTTTTCCGACAAGTCTGCGCCGCCCAAGGAGATTTTGGAGGACGCCAACCAAAAACTCGGCTTGGCTTTGGATAAGGGAGAAATCGATTACCTGATTGGGGCTTTTGTCGACACCCTGCACAGGGACCCCTCCGACGTGGAGCTTTTCATGTTTGCGCAGGTCAACTCCGAGCACTGTCGCCACAAGATCTTCAACGCCGACTGGACCATCGACGGTCTCCAAAAACAACTCACACTTTTCAAGATGATCAGAAATACGCATGCACACACCTCCGACTACACAATAAGCGCGTATTCCGATAACTCGGCCGTTCTCGACACGGGAAACGACTCGTATTACTACGCCCCGGACTTCAAAACCAAGACCTGGAAAGCCGTGAAGGAGAACGTGCCTATGCTTGTGAAGGTGGAGACCCACAACCATCCAACGGCCGTTTCGCCTTTCCCAGGTGCCGCCACTGGTTCTGGTGGTGAGATCAGAGATGAAGGTGCCACAGGTCGGGGCTCGAAGTCCAAGTGTGGTCTAAGTGGGTTCGCAGTTAGCGACCTATTGATCCCTGGCTTCAAGCAACCTTGGGAATTGGACGTAGGTAAGCCAAACCACATTGCTTCTGCCTTGGATATCATGGTGGAAGCTCCCTTGGGTTCCGCGGCTTTCAATAACGAATTCGGAAGGCCTTGCATCAACGGTTACTTTAGAACCTTGACCACTAAAGTCACTAATTCCGACGACAAGGAGGAAGTCAGGGGTTTCCACAAACCGGTCATGATGGCCGGTGGTTTCGGTGCAGTTAGGCCCCAATTTGCTTTGAAGAATAAGCCAATAACTCCAGGGTCGAGCCTAATTGTCCTGGGTGGTGAATCTATGCTTATCGGTCTAGGAGGCGGTGCCGCATCCTCTATCAACTCCGGTGAAGGTTCCGCGGAATTGGATTTTGCGTCTGTGCAAAGAGGTAACCCAGAAATGGAACGCCGTTGTCAGCAAGTGATTGACGCATGTATTTCCTTAGACTCCGGTAACCCTATCCAGTCCATCCACGATGTAGGTGCTGGTGGTCTGTCCAACGCACTGCCAGAACTGGTTCACGACAATGACCTTGGCGCTAAGTTTGACATCAGAAAGGTGCTTTCCTTGGAGCCGGGTATGTCGCCTGTGGAAATTTGGTGTAATGAATCCCAGGAGCGTTATGTCCTTGGTGTTTCTCAGCAAAACTTGCCTTTATTCGAAGATATTTGCAAGAGGGAAAGGGCGCCATATGCCGTGGTTGGTAACGCTACCGCCGAGCAGAGGTTGATTGTGGAAGACCCACTGTTGAAAACCACTCCAATTGATTTGGAAATGTCCATTCTATTTGGCAAACCACCCAAAATGACCAGAGAAGCTATTACGCAACCTTTGAGCCTTCCTCCTGCAGACTTGAGTGTTATCTCATCTCTTGGTGACGCTATTGACAGAGTCCTTACTCTGCCCACTGTTGGCTCCAAGTCTTTTTTGATTACTATTGGTGACAGGACCGTTACAGGGTTAATCGACAGAGACCAATTCGTTGGCCCATGGCAAGTTCCCGTTGCTGACGTTGGTGTGACTGGTACGGCGCTCGGTGATGAAATTTGCAGAACTGGTGAAGCCCTTGCTATGGGCGAAAGACCAACTAATGCTTTGATTTCTGCCGCTGCTTCTGCTAAGCTTTGTGTTGCCGAATCCCTTTTGAACCTGTTCGCTGCCGATATTAAATCTCTGAAGCACGTCAAGCTATCGGCAAACTGGATGTCGCCTGCTTCACACCAAGGGGAAGGTTCGAAGCTTTACGAGGCCGTTCAAGCCATTGGTATGGATCTGTGTCCAGATTTGGATATCGCTATTCCTGTGGGTAAGGACTCGATGTCGATGAAGATGAAGTGGGGAGACAAAGAAGTTACTGCACCTTTGACCTTGAACATTACTGCTTTCGGTCCTGTTAATAACACCTCCAACACTTGGACTCCACTTTTGAAAAAGCAAGAAGGCACTGTTCTTGTTCTTGTCGATTTGGCTGCTAAGCAGCAAGAGCACTCTCTCGGTGGCTCGGCCTTGTTGCAGGTCTACAATCAAGTCGGCAATACCTCACCCACGGTACACGACAACAAGCTTTTCAAGGGTGTTCTGGAGTCATTGCTGGAGCTACACCAGACTGATTTAGTGTTCTCGTACCACGATAGATCGGATGGTGGTGTCATAGTTACTCTGTTGGAGATGGCTTTCGCCTCGAGATGCGGTATGGACATTGTTGTGGATAATGCCTCTAGCGTGTACACACCATTGTTTAACGAAGAACTTGGTTGTGTCTTCCAAATAGCTGAACAGAATCTCTCAACTTTTGAAGAGATCTTCAGTAAGCACGGTGTTTCCAGAGATCACATATCTGTTATCGGTCTGCCCAAGTTTGATTCTCAAAGCATTATCATCAGAAACAAAGCAGGTTTGGTAAAGTACGAAAATACAAGAGCGTCTTTGCAGCAAACATGGTCTGCCACTTCTTACCAACTACAGAAAATGAGAGACAACCCAATTTCTGCTGACCAAGAATTTGCGAACATTGCAGATGATAAAGACCCTGGTCTCCACTACTCGCTAACATATGATCTCACTGACGATATGAAGGTTGGGCAATTGGCGGCAATCTCTAAGCCAAGAGTAGCAATCTTGAGAGAACAAGGTGTGAATGGCCAGATGGAAATGGCCTGGTCTTTCCAACAGGCAGGGTTTACCGCAGTTGACGTAACAATGACCGACCTTTTGGAAGGCAGAGCCCATCTCGATGACTTCGTCGGTCTAGCTGCCTGTGGTGGTTTTTCCTATGGTGACGTGTTGGGTGCCGGTGCCGGTTGGGCGAAGTCTGTGCTCTACCACGAGGGTGTGCGCAAACAATTCGTCAACTTCTTCAACGAAAGAGAAGATACTTTTGCGTTTGGTGCTTGTAACGGTTGCCAATTTTTGAGCAGATTAAAGGATATCATTCCAGGCTGTGAAAACTGGCCAAGCTTTGAGAGAAACGCCAGCGAACAGTACGAAGCGCGTGTGTGCATGTTGGAAATCACTCAAGATGACGGTTGCAAAACAGAGAGTGTATTCCTGAACGGTATGGTTGGGTCCAAGATCCCTATTGCTGTTGCTCACGGTGAAGGTAGAGCTTCCTTCAAAGATCAAAAGGAAATGGAAAGGTTTGAAGAAGGAGCCTTGTGCGGTGTCAGGTACGTGGACAACTATGGCAATGTTACCAGCAAGTACCCTTTCAATCCTAATGGATCGACTAACAGCATTGCTGGTGTGAGATCTCCCAACGGCAGAGTCTTGGCCATGATGCCTCACCCAGAAAGGGTCACTAGATTGGAAGCCAACTCCTGGTACCCAGCCGGTAAATATGAAGAATGGGAAGGTTACGGTCCCTGGATTAGAATGTTCAGATCAGCCAGGAGATGGGTGGGCTGAAAGTGCTCTGGAACCAGAGAGCAAGCTGTATAATAGAAGTAGTAATGAAAATAATTACAGAAGACAAAAAAGGCTGTTATAACGAAATGCTGTTTGAAATCCATTTGCATATAATATATATAGTAAGTAAAGTTTAGCGTGTAAAATTAAGAAGGTTTTAAAATAGTGTATAATTCTCTCTATAACGAAATAGGACAAACTGGGAGTATATAACACTACTAAGTGGCCTTTTTAGCCCTTAGTTCTGCCTTTCTTCTCATTCTTTCCTCTCTTTCAGCTTTAGCTTCTGGACCGGCCTCCGTATCCAAGGTGTAATCCCACCAGGTGAACGAAGAAGCGTAGTTGCCGATAAAGTAGTGGTGGTGCAAATCATGGTGCGCGGCACCAGCCCACAGGGGCAAAAATTTATTCAAGGACCATGGGAAATCGTAACCGGAATGGGAGTCCACAGCCTGGAATAGTCTCAAGGTAATCCACAAACATAGCGTGAAAAGATGCAAGTTACCGGTGTACATCACGTACAAAATTGGCATCCCAACAGTCCCGAACCCTAGCGTCAAAGTCTCCGCAGGGTGGGCGTACTCAGCAGCCAACCCAAATGGAGCAGCGTAACGGTGGTGTTGCTTGTGAATGTATTTGTAGAAAACACCGTAGTGGAATAGACGGTGGGCCCAGTAGTGCCAGGCGTCCTCCAGAGCGAAAAACAGGCCAATCTGGAAAGCCATGGTCTTGACTGATGGGAAAGGCACCGAAACAGAAATGCCCAGCTTCTGGCACATGGGGTGGAAGGTCCAAATGGGGATGGCCTCCACTAGAAAGTGCGACAGCAGCACCGACTTGAAGCAGTGCCACTGCTCCTTCGCGCTGGGGATCTTGGTGGGCTGGATCTTGTAGCGGCGGAAATAAGGGATTCGGTCGATGATCGCCCATGGCAAACATCTGAAGAAATACATGAATTCGTGCAGCACGAAGAACATAATCCCCGTGGCAAGCACGTCGTTGTTCATGTACGCGTACCAAGCGGCCCAGTACTGCTCCATGAATCCGAGTTGTGGCTGGTACGCCCGCACGTTGTGCAGCGTTTGTGCGTACGACTTTCCGTGCGCCAGAGCCGTAGCTAGCGTAGCGTTGTTGAAAACGGCAGACATCTCTGACAGTTGATGTATCACACGACCCAAAACAAGGCTATCTTATGCCTTGGAAGAACCAATGTACCTTACTTCAAACCAACAGAGTTGTACTTTGTAGAGGCGATGCCCACCAGCGAATACGCTCTTATATATCGCCACACCCGACGAAAAAAGACGCTTTTGGGCTTATACGACGAACACGCGATGAACGAAAAAAATACGAGATCTCAGGCATAAACGAGCCATTGATAAACCGAGAAACGCGAGCGGAAAGTGGTCGGTAATTACAACGCTGGGAGTGCGGAAGGTAAACCCGGACTGTAAATTGGCTATACGGCGTGGGCAGGGTGGACCGGCGGGAGAAAACGTGTGAATTGGGTATGCGTCTCGAGAATAGATGTTGTCACTGTTAACGACCTCGGAAACTTGCTGGCCTGATGACTTGCCCTGGCCGCGATTCTAAGCTAAACAGCTTCTTGAAACTCATGTCCACAATGGGGCATGTCCCGGGGCCGGAGGGCCCGAGCGATAGAGCATGGGGCAAGGCTATATATGTGTATCGCTCTGTACGGGTGTGTCGTCGGTTGCTGATGAACATCACTTTATCGTTTAGCGTCGTGGTTCGCTTTGGCAACGTAACCTGTCTCAGCGACGGAGTACCGTTACGAGTGGGAGAGCTTGGGTCCCACAAGAGGCTCTTTCGCAAGGCTAAAATCCTCCGGAGAGTGCTTTTATCCACAGAAGCTAAAAAAAAAAAAGGCCAAACCCTGGGTCGCTATGCACAAGCGGTGGGACTGCGTATGGCCGAACTCTTGGATTCTGGTAAGAATAAATTCAGTGGCCCGTTGACGGCCCCTATTTCCAGCCCTGGAGCAGCATCGTTTGAAACGCACCTCACTCCGGGCACCTCGAGAACCACCCGACGTGACGCAAGCTGGTCGCAGCGCTTGAATAAATCCACAGGAGCCAGCGTTCATGTCTTAACGATGCTTTTTGGTTGGACTACGATTTTGGGTCTGGCTGCGTATCACCCTGTACAAAAATGGCACCCGCATTACAATGTGTGCTTGAAGGTATATATACAGGACCGTGGTCTTGGAGTCGGTCCACGTATATATACAGGACTGTGGTCTTGGGGTCGGCCCATGGATGCCACACCAGTGGTTTGAGTAATGACTGGACTCCACATTCCCATTAAGTTTTTACCTGCTCAACTCCATTAACATAATACAATAGCTCCTCTTTGGTCCAAAACATTAAAAAACACCGACAAAGCTAGCCTTACTTAGCACAGCGGTTACTAGAGAATTAAAAGAAACGTCCCATTCTGCCGTGGTTCTGCTCTCCTAACAATGCCATGCGACTCGAGAAACGCACGGGCTAAAAACTTTTGCGAGAAATCGTCATACCTCGAAGTTTCAATTTTCTACTCGTTTCACACACCACCGGAAAATGGGTTTCAAGACCAACCACACTCCCAACCCAAGCTCCCAAGCCCGGGAGCCCGCCCTCGTCGCCCCATCGCTGTCGTCGGATTACCATTCAGATCATAGTCACTACTCACGGAAACTCAAACGTCAAACCGATTTCTCGTCTGTACTTCTCATCGCGAGCGATGGCCTATTCACCCACAAAAGTAAACCTCCCACAGGCCACACTTTGACAAATGTCGCACCTATGCTACATCATAGATGCGTCTTGTCTCGAAAAAGGCATTGGTAATGTCAAAAGATGGTGCGAGCCCAGTCAGGCGACCAAGTTTGCCAGACTCAATCTGTACATTCCCACATTCACTCTGCAAGAGCTAGACTTCCTCAAATACCGCAGAAATAGCTACACAGCTAAAGAGGCGCTGCGATTCATAGACCGTGCAGACTTCCCGCAGAACATAGACATGATCATTGAATTTCCCGAGCTTTTGGATACTATCATATGGTCCGACGTGCTGGAGCATCAGGTCGCAGAAGTGGCAGAGTACGATGTCAAAGGAAACTCGTCTCGCTCCCTGCCTCGTCGCTTGAAGAACCTACTAAAAAGCTGCACCTACAAGTGCCACTTGGAAGGCAGCAATAACCAGCATTGGGTTTTAGTCACAGAAGACCCTCAAGTTCGTCATTTGGCAGACGCGTTTGCCATCCCGCATTGTTCCCTGGTCACCGCTGACCAGGAGATTTCCAAGAAGCTGGACAAGCGCTCCTTCCAGCAGAATATAAAATTCAGTGACTACTTGAAGAAAAAGAGCGTCAAGGACACCACCAACGGCAAGGAGGTCTATCGCGCGAAATTCGACCAGGTCATGTACGCCAACCGTGGTCCTGGGGATCTCTGGACGCCTTGAACTCCAGGGAGCACTTTTACGTGCAAACACCTGCTCCAGGTCGGGGTTGGCCCTTCGCTGCCGGATTTTTCTCAGCAGACGCTGCTCCTGGCAGAACCTCTTCCGGGTCCCCTGCGACTGGGCTCTCCGCTCCTTACCGTCAGTGGCTTACTATCGAGAACGGCTCCAAGACCAACCGTCGTCGCCGCGGCTCCACCGCTGCCAAATAGCTGCCAAATAGGACTACATAGTTTTAACACTTTTACGAGTCGTTGATGTCGTTGCATTGTCAGATAGAGTCATGAATTGTATTCATCGAACGGAGTACTTAAACGCCTGTCCTAACATTAGAGATGCCAGAAAAAAAGCTAAAAAGAAATTCATCATTATGACAACGACAGAAAGAGGCACACCATGATCGAAACGAATTCTTTCGTTTCAAACCTCGTGTTCTCTGCTACACTACGCGGGCTGAGCTTAGAGCTCCGAGCCTTGCCTTGGAAGCCTACAGCTTCTGTTCTCCGCTAGAAGTGGTGTGGTCAAGTTTAAGTTTGGGTTAGTAGAAAAAACCTTGTTTATATACTCAAAAATCCTTTACACCATCCAGCTTCGCTTATGTAATCCACTCTATACGTGCCGCGTCGCTCTACTGGGTTAGGGCTTTGGACTCAAGCCAACGATGCCAATGACAGCGAGTGTCGGGTGTTCGACACGTCCGGCAGGTGGCACTTGGCTAGTCTTCAGCATTCAATGCAGCGCTAGCGGCGAAGCTACTTGCGCTAGAAACAAAAAACTACAGCGCAGCCCTCTGCTCCCCAGCCCGGCCCACAACGGCGCACTACGTATATCTACCACAAGCATACCGCCACCACCCCCCACTGCAAGCCTTCGACACCTGAGAAATTAAAATTATATAAAAACTACAACTATCTCTATCTTAAATAGTGAGATCAAGTCCAGAAAAAAGTTACCGATATCAAACCCTGACACCCCCACGGCACCTTCTATTTGGAGAGTGCGCCCTCGATGGTGTCGTCACCCTCTGGGTCTGGTCTCCTGTGGGAGTTTTGAATGTTTAGCTTGGCACTCAAAACAGGCGAAAGCTCACGGTCGCCCGAGGACACAGCAATCAAGTTTCCGTCCGCATCTTTCATGTGGGGAAGGTCCTGCACTCTAGGAGCGTCCTTGTAGGTCTCGCCCTTAATAGGCTCACCGGTGAGGTAGTACTTGATCTTTAGAAGTTTGTCTTTTAGGCCCATTTTGGTAACACTGCTGACACGCGACGGATAGGTAAAGTGAAGAAGTAAATACACAAGATACAACAAGAGCGTGGAGATGATAGGCGAGGACGCAACGAAGCTCATCTGTCGCTAATATATACACATTTTACCGGGAGCTGCACACCGCGTTATCTTGGTGATTTTCTTGTCCAGCCCATTTGGATGTCCTTGTCGTTATCGCGCCACTGATAACATTTTTTTATCTCAAGGCGTTTTGTTGTTGCAGAGCCCTGTGCGGGTCAGATCGCCGTGCACGATCTACACCACGTGATATTATCTAGTCGGAGCATCTACCTGCGACTGGATGTTCACCTGGAGGACACGCGTGGACGGTCGGGATCACTGTCTCGATGGGCGCTGATGATACAGAGTTGAGCTGTCCGAGCTGGGGAAGACGGGTGTTCGTCTCAGACTGTACAGCTCGCGGGGCGACGCTGTCAGTTTAGTGGGGCAGAAACCGCCCTAGATACAAGGTCACGTCTATGAAATCCTTATAGGGAATCGCGGCGACCCCTTCTTGGTTATTGTCAAACTTGCGGAACATCTTGGTCAGTCGCATGAGCCATACCAAGGTCTCCACAAACCGATCGAACTTCAGCTCTTTGCCATTCTTGGAAGGGTCAATGAATTCAGCGTACTGGTCGAACAGGTTTTCGCTCACGTCGAAGGGAACCAGATACCCCAGCTCTTGCAGACTGTTATGGAACTCGCTTGCGGATATGGTGAAGCTGCCGTTGATGTCGTTGTCCACATAAACTTTGCGCCATTTCTTGACCCGCTTGTAGAGGGACACGAACTCGGTGAGGCTGACGGTTCCGAACCGCGAAGCACCGAACAAGTTGATCAGCGCGTCCACGGAAGAAATGCAAAAGTGCGTGCTGTCGTCGTTTTGCAGCAGATTTTGGAGCTCTTCTGCGGAGAGTCTGCCTCGTTGTTTAACGTCATGGTTTTGAAAAAGTTGTGTGGCAATCTGTATGTCCTTGGCATCCTGTTGCGGATCGCCTACGCCATCCAGCGAGCTTCGCGACCTGGTGGTATCGATGGGCGCCTGCGGCAGGGGCTGAACGGAGGCGTGTGCTAGGTTAGGCGCGGGCCTCCCTCTTGCCACACGATTTATTACGGGAACCGGCTGGGGCATCGAATTATAACGAATGCCACTGGGGCTCTGCGATTGCGAGTTGCCAGGTGTATACCTAGTGGGCGGGATGTGGGGCACAGACTGGGCCATCTGAGGAGCAGGGTTGTAAGCAGGAATCATCGGCTGCTGTGCTGGGATGGGTATGGGAGGAGCGGAGTTTAGTCTTCCAGGTCTCTGCGTCGGCGGCAGATTTTCATATTTCCGAGCACGTCTTCTACGTTCTTCGTCGTCCCTTTTCTGTCCGGCCTTCATAGCCTCCTCTGGGGTGGCATATAGCTACTCCAGTTGTTAGTATGTCGATGCGGACGCTTACTGCAAAAAAGACCCCTATACGTACCGGTAGGTTATCTCCACCAGCGTAATTGAGCCGTCTGGCGCACATGAAGAGTGGGCAGGGTAGCGAAACTCTTTGGGCACTTCCAATTCGCGGGTGTAGTCAACAAGTCATCGCAGAGTATATATAGCAAGACGTTAGATTAGGCATTCAGAACAAGTAGCGCGAAGAGGTCAATATAGGCGAGCACTACGAATACATCCGGACTCGGGAAGCAAGCAATGGGCTACCATCAACGTGAACAATCTCGTTTAACCCTAGTTTGGGCCTGAATTGGTTGCGAGAGGTTCTCCCCACCACAATCAAGCTGGCAGAAGGAGAATACAACGGTTTTGCATACGGTTCCCCCCCAGAGCTTTCGCGAAATTCCGGCAGCTGCTGAACACACCATTAGAGTGAGCTCACTCTGCATTTACGTGACACCAGGCTGATGCTCCCACGGCGGGCCGGGTGCTGTAGTCAAGCCGGTATTCCAAGAACGGGTGGGATGCTAATCACCCTTCCGTCTTTAAACCAATTAATGTTGTCTTGTTATAATGTGAATATAATGCTTTATACTAAAACAATATACATTTCAATTTTCTTGGGCGATAAAGACCCTTCGATATTCGATACCAACACCGGAGCGTAGTGAATTTACAGTTGTATGCGTGGTAGGCGGGAATGGACAAAAACCTAAACCGTTCAACCAGCCATTTAGTATCTTCTTTGAGGTCTTTGGTCTTGGGATCTTTCTTGCAAGTAAGTGGCTGGGACAATGTTCTCAGGCAAGTGCAAGTAGTCTCTCAAGAATTCGACACCTTCTTCGGTCAAGGTGTAGTAGTAGTATTGCCACGAGAACTGGGTCTTGACGTAGCCCTTGGAGGTCAAGGATTGCAAAGCCTTGATGACGTACAAGTTCTTGGTGTCAATGTCCTCGTGCTTGGCTTGGTTGAAGTCCTTCTTGGCAACAACAACACCTTCTGTAGCGATACGATTTCAGTTAGTATATTGCGAAAACCACGTTTCGGAGCGCGCGAGAACGAACGGAAGCGAGCGACAGCGACCAGCGAGAGGCCCACAACAACCCAGCTACCCCTGCGGTCTTGTGTCTGCATCTGGAGCAGCTGGAGCAGCTGGCCACACTGGCAATTTGTGGCTCCACCTTAATCCGGGACTGCCATCACCACTCATGGACGGACGCCAAACACGGCTTCTGCTTCTCTTATCCCGGTCCCCTCGGCATCCCCAGGCTTTACTTCAGCTTTCCTGACAGCCCTTTCGTTCTTCTCCAGCTTCCTCTTGGTTTACAAAAGTGAACGTACCTTGAAACAAGTGTCTGTGGATCTTAGTTCTTTCTTCCTTTGGCATCAACATCTTGGGCTATTACGGAACAGGCGTATGATCGTGGTCTTCAAGGCTAACGTGAATCTCTGAAATCAGTATGTTAAACAGACCAGTATTATTCGATATTCGCTGACTGCCCAATGGAATTGGATTGGCCTGGGTTTGGAACTCGGCCACGGTTCCGCCAAAGTTTCACGACATTTTTTTGCGTGGGTTTGATTGTGGACATTCCTGCGATTCAAGTGACTAAACAGCCTGGTTTTCCATTCATTTTCAGCATTTTTTTGGAAAGTATGTAATTGGGTACGAATGCCAAAAAAGCAGTCAAAGGTAAATCCAACGAGCGCAGGGTCGAGTAGAGGGACGACTGGACGAACGACTGGGTGGACGAGTAGAGGAGCGACTGGATGGACGACTGGATGGACGACTGGAGAGACGACTGGAGAGACGACTGGATAGACGACTGGAGGATATCCCGCTAGATCATGTGCTGTGCTCCGGTGGTTCGATATCTTCTCCTACATCAGCGAGGCTGGAGGGAAGACATCGAGGGCCGGTGACAGACGTGCATTGCCGAGCCGCTACCCATTTCCGTAGGGAACACTCTAGCTCGCTGAGACAAGAACTTACAATAGCGAAACGCTACTGTGCCAGTCTCGCAATGGTAGTAGCGGTGAATTGCCGACAAAACTATACCAGTGTTTCCAGTTTTTCCGCAAGGATATTGACGACGGGCTTTTCTCACCAGCGGAAAAACCCATAGGGCTTCCAGAGAAGCTGGTCTAATTTGGAGCTGGACTCCGCGCGATGGGGTTATCGTGTCGCTTGTCTTCTGGGCGTGTCGTCCATCTTGGGCTGGTCCATGTCCGTATGCTATGATACTGGTCGGTTCTTAGGGTTATCACTTCTGAATAGGATGTTCGAAACTGCGAGCATGTCACCGCAGACAAGTGACTTTATCCTTCGTCCCGATTAAGCTCTGCAATGGCAATACAGCTATGGGGGAGTGACAACCTTTCAGCGACCGATGAACGGGATCCAACAGACAGATTAGGATTAGTACGTGATCCGGGCGATGAACGCAACGAACGTAACTCTATACGAGAGAGCATCGTCGCTAAGGCGAGCAGGGTGCTGCTGGGTGTGCTCACGACAAATGCAGGCCGCATGTCTAGGGTTTCCTTCCTCCGGGTTAGCATAATCCATTGGGTCTTGTTAGTGGTTTGGCTATCGTTGCTAGCTCGTTTTTCCACTATCTACGCGGAATTGTATTCCCGGACGCCTTTGTTGACCACCATATGCTCGAATGGTTTGTTATTTGGCATTTCGGATATCCTGGCACAAGGGATCCATCAATTCATCGGCTCCACGAGTCTTCCTTTGCCACAAAGGTGGATTCATGATACTATCCAAATTTATGACGAAGATATGGACCTTGAGGACAATGTATCGATATTCAATGACTACGGTTATAGCACAGACAGCAGTACAGGGCCGGAAACTCTTACTTTTGCAGGCAATGAAGCTGGGTTCGAGTTTTTCCGTTGGGCATGTTTTATGGCGTGGGGTGCCGGACTAGCGTTCTTTCAAGTGCCTTGGTATCGAGTTCTCAACTTTTTCTACACTGAAGATCCTACAGTGGTACAGACCTTAGAGCGAGTGTTATCCGATCAGCTAGTCTATTCTCCGATCTCGCTGTACTGTTTCTTCATGTATTCAAACTATGTGATGGAGCGTGGAGATGCGGCGTCTTTCAAAAAAAAGATCGAGAAAATCTACCTTGGAACTTTGGGCTTCAATTATCTCATTTGGCCGCCAGTCCAATTTATCAATTTTTTGCTGGTACCGAAACCTTCTCAGGTTCCCTTCAGCTCCTCCGTTGGCGTTCTGTGGAATTGCTTTCTTTCCATCCGGAATGCTTCAAACTCTGTGTAGTGAAATGTAATCTCAATGTAATTTATATACAATATGCTAATCTGCTCACACGACACTCTGTTTCTCGTTATTCAGAATGTTCTTGTACCTTTTACTGCTGGTCTTCTTTTTGAACATCTTTTTACACTTCCCTGGAAGGTGAAGCTGTGCGTAGTAGTTCAACACAGACAATACCACTAAAAGAGCCTTGAACTTCTTTGATATCCACGTTAGCTGGAAAAAATTACCCAACCACGAATCAGGAGGAATCATCATCAACGCGACATTCAAAATAAGCGAGATGCCAACGTCCGTAATGAAACCAATGTTCTTAGACATGGGCTCGCGGTACGGGGGGCCCACAGAAAGAAGAACGGCGGTCAGAACATATTGAAAATTGGAGTAAAAGAACAGAACAGTGTTGTCCGAAGACTGTACGGCATCATCCCCGCCAACCACAGGGCTCTGGTACCAATCCATATGTTGACATAAGAGCCATGGAATAACCTGGAAAACCAGTAAGATTCCAATGTTCACCAGCAATGGGACTAAAATCTTGTATGAAACCAAATTTGCCGAAGGTCGTTTTCTTACAATCTGACTATACGGTTTCGACCAGGACATGAAGATGGCAATCGGGACAATCAGAAACAAGTCAATGTAAAGAAATTGGAAATCGCCAAGGTTTATACCTCTGCTGTACAATATCGTCACAGTGACAAATTGAATAGCAGAGTACAAACTCATGTATTGGAAACATGAGAATGACGTAGTCAAAGACGCGCGTCCTTCTTTTATGACGTCGAGCATACAGCTTATATCATAAGAATTGGACGTGAACGGAGCGGCAACCGAAGCTTCAGCTTCCGACAGTGACACGCCAACATCCGCTGTTTTTAAAGCACCACAATCATTTGCCCCATCACCACAAAAACCAACAACGTAGTCTAAATTCTGAAGCTGGCTGACCAATTCGTGCTTTTCGTCTGGCGACATGCGTGCGTAAATCGAACCTTTCAACAGAATCTCGTTTATGTACGAGTCTGGTAAGATCTCATTATTTTTGAACAACAACCTGAAAACATCGCCGGTAACAGCTATGGTGTAATCCAAACTACCATTTGTAGGCTGGAGAGAAATCCCATCTAAGGATAAATCAGGATCGTCAACATCTTGCCATAAAATCAAACTCTCGTTTGGTCCGACATCTTCGTTAACGAAAGGAACGAAGACGTGCTTTTCCTTGACTAAACCACACTCCCTGCCGACCGATATTGCGGTCAACACATTATCACCAGTGCACATTATGTTCCTAATATTTGCGCTTCTTAAAGTGGCTAGTGTTGGAGTTGTAGCTGACTTTAATTTGTTCTCAAATACAATGAAGCCCAAAAATTCTAGATTTGATTCCAATTCTTCCCTGGAGACTTTCTGGGCGAATCTCCATGTGTGTTTTGGTAGAGTCCTACCTGCACATGCTATAACTCTATAGCCATTGTGAGTGTAGTGTTGAAGAAGCTCTTCATAATCTGCGGGTAAAGTTGAACTATTGCATATTTGAGAAATCACTTCAGGAGCACCTTTTGTGAACGCCCAGAAAACATTGTCGCCATATGGCTTTACAATGACGCTCATTCTTCTTAGTTCGGACACAAACTCAAAACTGCGAACAACCCCCAATAGATTATGGGGATCGTTGTCCGTGAACTTGTTGGCGGTGGAATTTCCATCAGGATGAACAACAGCAGGGACAATATCGCTATTTTCAGGGAGTGTGCTTTTATCGTTTCTCTCATCATTCAAAGAACGAAATTCACGGTGGTTAAAGTCCTCTTCATAGGTCCACTTTGTAAACTGGAACATCTTGAAATCTAGGGGATCTCCCAACAACTCCTCGTCAACCACGCGGAGAGAATGACAAGTCAAGAGAGAGACCAGGAAGTTTCGCGACTTGAAGTCAAGAGGGGAGCTGCAGTCGTTTAAGGAAAATTTGTCAAACAGGCTCTGTACATTATCTATAAGTTTGCCAAATTTAAAATTTTGATGGCCCCGGGGTTCAGAAACGTGAATGCCGAGCACATCCAGTCCATCTTCTGTGAGAGTACCCGTCTTGTCAAAACACATTACATCGATCTTACCACCAACATTTACCCTCGTTGGCGCAATGCAAAAAATCCCTTTGCGTTTCAGCCTTGAGATGGCAAAACTTGCGCCAATCGATAGTGTGGCAGGCAGCGCCGGTGGTACCACAATAGTGATAATGTCAAGTGCTCTCAACACCATAACCTTGTACTCAAGTCCTAATCTGACGAAGTTAACACAGCTTATGGAGAAACCAAGCATGGCAATGATCGTCATAAATCCAATATACTTAAAGGAATCTTCGTAGAATTTGAATCCAGTCGGCTTGGGGAAAATCATAGAACGCAAAAGTGAGCCCTTTGTCGTCGAGAATCCAGTTCTGACCACCATGGCGAGGGCAGTAGATTGTCCAGATCCTATTCTAACCCTAATGATTTTCGTTCCATTGAATAAAAACGATTTCGCGACAAGGTTTGAAATTTGGGTATTCGAAAAGTCTTCCAGAAGTTGAGAAATCGTCTCATCAACAGCTAATGTTTTCGAGACGGGCACGGATTCCCCTGTTAACATAGATTCATTTACAATGCAGTCCCCAGAAAGCAGCAATGAATCACATGGGAAAGTTGTCAACGAGGGGTCCGAGATTTCATATATATCCCCGGGTACCAGGTCTGATGAGCCCACTTGAACCCAAAACCCATCGCGGTATACTCTTACCTCGCATTGCGAGTACGATATTTCTGCTAACCGTTGGGAGCTTTTTTTCGTTTCAATGAGAGTATCTGTGACGGAAAGAACTGATATTATCAAGATACAAGCCGCATAGTAGTAATACTCGTCTGCAAGCCACAGAAAAATAGAAAATATCTGAAAAACATAGAAAGGATGTAGCACCTCGTCAAATAGAATTTGACCAGTTGTTTTCTGTTTCAAATTTATGCTATTCTTCCCAAACGCCAAAACTCTATCCTCGACCATTGATGTGGTTAGCCCAGAATGGTTTGCACCTAGATCTAGCCAATCAGCGTCCGTCCAGTTGCTGTTAGTTTTAAAAACATCTTCAATTGGACTGTAAACCAGATTAAAATAACGGTAGGTGAAATGAATCATAATAGGGATGTTGGGATTCGTAGAGCTTTCGTGATGATGGCGGTGCTTATTATTTTGAATAGGGTCTTGTCCACAATTCTTCTCAGTTGGAAGTAATGTACTCAGTGGTCGATTATACCACCTTCTATCAACGTCAATAATGGCCAGCTCACCAAATTCATTTTCGACCACGACCCATTGAGCTTTGGCAAGGGCGGTTTTGGCACCGCATAGTCTGACCTTGTAGCGCGGAATCCACCTGAGCAACAAATAGAATACACCCAAAGTGAACATGTTCAAAGTGTGGTAAATTAGATTGCCAAGCCTGGATGTTCTGAATCCAGCAATTCCTACCACCAAATCCTCTTCGGCGATGTAGAACCGTTGATAATGAAGGTGAGGTACATGGTTGGGGTAGAACTTGTCGTGATATTCAGGCTTCAAAAATTCAGCCTGATACGAGGATCCTTTCTTTTTGCGGTCAGAGCCTTGATCTTGATCTGAACCGCGATCGTCATCATCTCCGTATCGACGCTCACTCGTACTACTTTCCGATGACCGCCTACTGCCCAAAGACATTTCTGCAGCCTCATCTTCAATTTGAGCAGGAATTCTGTCTCTATAACTGTATTTTGAAGAGCTCGACGAGGAGTGGGGGGAGGTACCACGAATGCGGTCAGATCGGTTGGTTGGCTGAATACCTCTATTTGCGGGACTGTGGTCGGAGGATACATACGCTGGAGAAGCTCTGGAGCGTACCGATGGCCGTGAACGAGCGGATGTTAAAGAATATCCTGTAGAGCTGTGCAGAGATGATCTTCCTGAAGGATTATTGTAGTTTAGACGTTCTTGCTCGTATGTCGGCGTTCCATCCCAGTTTACGTCATAATCCGCAGTTTCCAATGTTGACGAGACGCCTTCAGCGAGTTCGATCTCTTCCTCAGAGAAGTAACGAAAGTTTGGGGTTCGAGAAGAGGCCCTTGGTCTAGAAAACGAACCGCGACCTGAAAGAAGCGATTCTGTTTCATGAGATCTGCGACCGCGCCCATCATGGGAAGTACCAGGGCTGCCCAGGTGGCTGTGGATATTGGAATGGAAGGAGTGCGGGTGGTGGAATGAGACTATAGAGCTCGGAACGGTCTCAAAGGTAGCACCAGAATAACCTTCAGTGGCATTCGTTTCGAGCACTGTTGCAGAGGTCAAAGTGTTGGAGCTCGAAGCCGTTCTTGTCGACGAAAACGACGGTCTTGTCCGTGAAGCTGCACCATGGGAGTAGTTGTCAGGAGCTCGCCTGTGATCCGCATTAGACATTGAGCCTGGCTACCCGCTCACGCTTGCTACGAGTGTCGGAGACATGAAAACTTGAGTTATCAAGTTCACTCTTACATTCATGGCTTAATATGTTGATAATGCGATACGAAAAGCGATTTCTCACAACATCTCAAAATCATCGTATCGTTTCCCGACTTGCTGTTCCTCTGGATGATATGAGAGTCTATGAATAATGTGAATACTGTTGGGAATAATGCGAGGAAACTGATGGTGATGTGCGCCTAATCGCATAATCAGCGTCAGTAAATATGTGACACAGTGGTGCAGAATGATAGTACATAACAGAGGCCATACAAATCGACTTGCCATCCAAGACAAGTCGAAGAGAACAGCTGTTGCCCAATAGAATTAGCGATTGATGATCTATCGGCACTGTTTGGCATTGAAGCCGTAATCCATCAATAATAGAATGATCTAGAACGGGTGAATAAAAATTGTGTTATTCAGAATCACCGGGCGAGACTTGTATATATACCAGACATTTGTTCAGGTAACTGAACCAATTCTAATATCTAAAATAATCATGGAGAGATAATATAGGATTCCCTAGATCCAAGTTACTCATCTTAAAGTGACGATGACCGACTTATAAGGCAAATTTAGTGAGGTTTCCACTATTGGATCAGATTCGCCTTAAAAATTTTTGAGTTTAGAGACGGGGATAAAAGCTAGGTTTCTGAGGAGTCGACTGCTGGTATTACCTGAACTTTTTCTTATGCAGCTCTCTGACCCAAAAAGTCAATGAAAAGATAAAGAAGAAGTGACCTCAAATAATCACAAGTGGTGTTTCGGAACAATACTTTGATGGTTTGAGAAATGGGACGAGAGATTCTTTGATCTTCGGTGTGCTTAATGTCAATGACATTTTATTTCGTGACACTAATCATTACTCGTCCTACACGATCTATCTCATCTCGACCCAACGGGCCTGAAAAATTTTCTATTAGAGATGAGATGCGATGCGATGCGATGAGCTACCCACCTATAAAACTAATTCGAGTTTTGAAGCATTAGGTTTCGGTTTAGTCACTCGAGAGTTCTTTGAAGTAAGATTTGAAGGTAAATTCAAGATGTCTTTGTCGGGGGGTCAAAAACGAAAGAGAACTGACGAGTCCCCTCTCACAAGGCAGGATGCAACATCACAACCATCCACTTCATCTCTTTTACAGAATACAGAAGAGGTCTCTTTTCCTAGAGGCGGAGCCAGTGCTCTTTCTCCTCTGGAATTGAAACAAGTGGCTAACGAAGCGGCTAGCGATGTCCTTTTCAAGACAGACGCTGCACCCCGTTCAACGGCGTCCAAAGACAGCCAGAGACCCAAGAAGAAGAAGAAACTAGGTAGTAGTGCAGGTGATGTTTCAAAAACATCTGCAGAGTCAGGAGCCGAGGACTCTGTAGCCATCGTGGAACACTTGACGTTTAGGAACTTGCCAGTGGGGACTTTGGTTCTGGGCCAAATTTCTCAAGTCAACAAGCATGATTTGTGCGTGTCTTTCTCCGATGGCCTCCATGGATTTGTTACGCTGCCAAATATCTGTGAACCTTTTACTCAAATTCTGGAAAGCTTAGATGATTCCATGGAGAGTGATGAAGAGGTAGACGCAAGTGGCTCTGATGAAGAATACGACAGTGATGGAGACTCTGCAAAGAACCCAGTGCAAACGGAAATTAAGAGTAAAGATTTGCCTGATTTGAGCCATTATTTCACAGAAGGACAATGGCTACGGTGTGCTGTTCAATCAAACACTGCCTTTGACAACACTAACAAAAAGTCCAAAAGAATAGAGCTGACAATTGAACCTCAGGCTACTAATAAACTGATAGAAGAAGATTTGGTAAGGAGTTGCACGGTTCAGTGTGCCGTGAAAAGTATCGAAGATCATGGTGCTATCCTGGACGTCGGTATCGATGGCGTGCACGGATTCATATCTAAAAAAGATCACTCCCTTTTGCCTGAGCTACAAGTGGGTTCCGTTTTCCTTGGTAATGTATGGAAAAAGTCTGGCAGAGCTTTGACGGTTAACCTTGATTTCAAAAACAAAAAAAGTAAGGTTACACAGATATCGTCAGTTGACGTTGTGATTCCCGGCCAGTCGGTGGACTTTTTGTGTCAGAAGAAAACTTCAAACGGTGTCATTGGTAAAGTATTTGGGCTTGTAGATGGATTTCTGAATATTGCGCAGCAGCCTGACTTTCAGAGTGGCAAAACCAGTGAAGGCGCCTATTCGGTAGGCTCTTCTGTACGTGCAAGAATTATTGCTACATTAGTCAACAAAACTGGTGATAAGTTCGTCATCATGTCCGAGCTCCCCCACATAATGTCACTTACTGGAGAACCATTGCAAAAACAAGCTTTGGAGGCATTTCCTGTAGGTTACACATTCGATCACTGTGATTTGAAAGGTCGTGATTCCCAGTTTTTCTATCTAAAGCTCGGTAACGGCAGCATCGGGCAGGTTCATATCTCCAACACCGGGACAGAGGAACCTTCTTCGGGTTGCCCCACACGGGTGTTGGGCTACAACAACTTTGACGGCTACTTCCAATTATCAACTGATCCGAAGACGATATCAGTGGAGTACCTGAGAACTTCGGATATTCCACTAGGAACTATTCTTTCTAGTTGCGAGATCAAAGAAGTTTCTGAGAAAGGTATCGTACTAAGCATTCTAGGAGGTCAATTTAGGGCAGTTGTGCCTCCACTTCACATTTCTGATATTAGGCTAGTATATCCTGAAAGGAAATTCAAGATTGGCTCTAAGGTCAAGGGTATGGTGATCAAAGTCAACAACAGAGGGCATCTGTTCTTGACGCTAAAGAAGTCTCTTGTTGGCCTTGATCGCGATGAGGTCCAACTAGCTTCAAGCTTCAACGAAATTGACATTATCGCTTCCAAGGGCTCGAAGGTTGCAGCAAGTGTTGAAATTTTCAAAAATAATGGATGTGTCATTTCTTTCTTGGGTGGCTTGAGAGGGTTTCTACCTAACAGTGAAATTTCTGAAGCTTTCGTGAAAAGGCCTCAGGATCATTTGAGACTTGGGCAGACCGTGATTGTTAAAGTTCTTCAACACAGTGAAGAAAATAACAGAGTCATCGTTACGTGCAAGGTTTCCAGTGAATCAGCTTCTCAACAAAAAGAGGCCATTGAGAATATGGCTCTGGGCAAGTCTATAATAAAAGTTGCAGTCGTCGAGAAAACCAAAGATTCTCTTGTAGTCGAACAAGTTGCAACTGGATTGCGTGGCGTTATCTATGTTGGCCACCTATCTGACTCTAGAATTGAGCAAAATAGGGCTCAGTTGAAGAAAATTAAAATCGGACACGAATTTGACGGCTTGGTTATTGACAAAGATGGAAGAACAAGGGTTTTTAACCTTTCTTGTAAGAAGTCTCTGATGAAGGACGCTGAAAAATCGCTACTTCCAACGACTTATGATGAAGTGAAGGAGAGAGGACATCAGGCTCCTATGCATGGTTACGTTAAATCCGTATCTGAGAAAGGAATTTTTGTTGCTTTTAATGGGCAATTTGTTGGTTTAGTGCTGCCAAGTTATGCTGCAGATAGTCGGGATATCAATTTGGAGACTAAGTACTATATTAACCAATCTGTGACAGCTTACCTGTTGAGAAGCGATGACAAAAACGAGCGATTCCTCCTCAGTTTCAAAGAGCCTAAGCCCAACGCCCTCAAACCTTCTAAGGAAGCCACGATTGCAATCAACCCTATTGATCAATCTATTAAAACTCTTGAGGATTTTACTGTTGGTAAATTCACCAAAGCAATGGTTAAGGCAGTTAAGAGAAATCAGTTGAACGTGGTAGTCGCCGATAACCTTCACGGCGCTATTGATGTATCCGAGGTTTTCGATAACTTCGAAGATATCGAGGATAAGAAGAACCCACTCGCAAGCTTCCAGAAAGGAGACGTACTGGATGTGAAAGTCATAGGCTACCATGATGTGAAGACTCATAAGTTTCTTCCGATTTCTCACAGATCTTCGAAAAACATCCTCCTCGGCTTGACTGCCAAACCCTCAAATTTAAAGGGTTCGGCTCAAGTCGACATCAAAAAGTTAAAGTCTGGTGATGAAATTGTAGGCTTTGTGAACAACATCATGAAGGACATTGTTTGGTTAACTGTTTCTCCCACAATTAAAGCAAAAGTTGCCTTTTTCGATCTCTCTGATGAGACATCTGAATTTGACAACGGTGTCGAATCTTCCTTTCCAATTGGTTCTGCTTTAAAGGTAAGAGTCACTAACGTAGACTATGATCGCAACACTCTCACCGTATCGGGCAGATCCCATACAATTCAGGACTTTAAAGATATATCTTTGGGTGACAAGCTTCCCGCTCGTATTCTAAACGTCACAGACAGTTACGTCTTGTTAGAATTGGGTGAAGGCATAAGAGGAGTCGCATTCATCACAGACGCTTTAAATGACTATTCTCAATCGCTGAAGGACGCGTATGGCTCACAAAAAAATGAAATAATATCAGTGACAGTAATTGCTTTGAATGAAGGCAAGATCAATCTGTCTCTTCGCTCGAGCGAGTCGATCGACGGTAATGCCAAATCGCATACCCAGTTGAGGAGAGGTGACGTTCTTCGCGCGTTTGTAAAAAAGGTTACAGACAAAGGTGTTTTCCTTCACTTAAGCAGCACCTTACAGGCCTTTGTTCCTGTCAGTAAGCTAACAGACTCATACATCAAAGATTGGAAGAAGTTTTACAAGCCATTACAGTCTGTAGTTGGTAAGGTGGTGAACTGTGACGATGATTCACACATCCTGCTAACCTTAAAAGAGTCCGAAGTTAATGGTGATTTAAACATATTGAAGAACTATTCCGATATCAAAGTTGGTGAAATATATGAAGGTACTGTAAGGAATGTAACAGATTTTGGCGTTTTCATTAAATTGGACAACACTTTAAACATCACAGGACTAGCCCATAAAACCCAGGTTGCTGATATCAGAGTAGATGACCTTTCCTCGATTTTCGGCGTAGGTGACAAAGTGAAAGCATTTGTTTTGAAAGTAACACCTGAAAAGAAGCAACTGTCTTTAGGTCTGAAAGCTTCTTATTTCAAAGACCCCGAAACCGCAGACTCGCACAGTGAAGCAAGCGCTACCAACGAGGAGGTCGATGAGGATGACGATGATGGTGAGGAATTGGTGGAAGGAGAATTTATTGAAAAGGATGGTGTCTCCAGCGAATCTGATGAAGATGATCAAGTCAGCACTGTTTTGGACGAGCAACAACTCCCCTCTGTTGACGGCTTGAGCTTGAGTGCAGGCTTTGATTGGACTACTAGCATTCTAGACCAAGCGCAAGAAGACGAGAGCTCTGAAGAAGAGGATAACTTCACTGAAAATAAGAAATCTAAACACAGAAAAAAGAGTTCTATGCAAACAGTCGAAGATCAAACAATTGATATCAACACAAGGGCGCCAGAATCGGTCGGCGATTTCGAACGTATGATCATGGGTAATCCTAACTCATCGGTTATATGGATGAACTTCATGGCGTTCCAGCTACAGCTGGGTGAGGTTGATAGAGCTCGCGAGGTTGCCGAACGAGCATTAAAGACCATCAACTTCCGGGAAGAATCCGAGAAGCTCAACATTTGGATTGGTTTGCTCAACCTTGAAAACACGTTCGGCACCGAAGTGACCCTGGACGAAGCTTTCTCGAGGGCCTGTCAGTACATGGATTCTTACGTTATCCATACTAAGCTGATCAACATCTACCAAATGGGTAACAACTACCAGAAGGCAGCTGATTTGTTCAAGGCTACTGCCAAGAAGTTTGGATCTGATAAAGTCGGCATTTGGGTATCTTGGAGTGAGTTTTTGATCGGGCAGGGCCAAAGCGAAGAAGCTCGTCAAGTGTTGGCTAATGCTTTGAGAGCCTTACCAAGACGCAGCCACATTGAGGTTGTGCGTAAGTTTGCGCAGCTTGAATTCACTAAAGGTGACCGCGAGCAGGGCCGCTCCCTGTTTGAAGGGCTCCTGGCAGATACACCCAAGCGTATTGATCTGTGGAATGTGTATGTCGATCAGGAAATCAAGGCGGGCGACAAGAAGAAAGTTGAGGATCTTTTCGAAAGAATTTTGAGTAGGAAGCTTACCCGTAAGCAAGCCAAATTCTTTTTCGGCAAATGGCTAGAATTCGAAGAAGCGAGGGATGATCAAAAGAATGCAGAATACGTGAAGGCGAAGGCTTCTGAATATGTCGCGAGGCTTAACCAAAAAGCGGTGTCTGCAGAATAGGATGATAGCATATATATGTAAAATAGCATAAGAGAGCAGTTAATATTTTAACTTTGTACTAGAAGCCGTTTTTGTTACGCAGGTGCTACGTAAAGTAAGCTTTTTATAGATTTAGGTGTGAGTTTCCATTACCTCTTTTGTTTTGAGAAAAAGGCTAATGAATCTTCAAATAGTGACGTTAAAACGACTGTCACAAAATTATTTTGACATCATACAAAGTTAGCACAGATTTTTTTACTCCGCTTTCCAACTGCCTAATTCCACATGCACTCTAGATTGGTGATATCTTCTGTTTGAATAGAGTACATCAACTCTGTTCAACTCTTTGCAGATACCGTTTTCAATTTAGCAAGTGACTCTATGAGGGTGGGTCAGCTCAGTCACTGCTTGAAAAATCAGAAAGCGTTAGGAGAGTCCATGGCTAGCTGTATTAAATATTTCGACAGTTCTGTTCTTCAAGGTAAGGTTCAGGAAGGTGTGGAAGTTTGTCTGTTCAAGGTACGATACAAAAGCCTGCTAAAACCTCCGCGCTCCGAACAAGAAATAATTTTTGACTACTATAGTTGTATGCTAGAGGGTGAATTATCCCAATTAAATGGACACAAAGAATGCTACCAATTCTATCAATTCGGTTTTCTTCAAAAATTGCTGAGTGTGTTCCTGGGAGTTGAGGGTCTCATTCGAATTCTCATACTCACCTTTGCCCTAGCCGCTGCAATCCATAAAATGACTTTCAGATCAAGCGATAGTTTTCTTGACTTTCATAGCGGAGATACTTTGAGGAAGCTTCGCGTTGCAAGCCAAAAGATTTGTAGGCTGGGAAGAGAGCAAGCGAACGAGCTGGTGGACTTCTTTAGTGAAATATCTCGCTTCATTCGAAGGAAGTCAGAAGTCCAGCAGAGATATTCACCGGTAACCCCAAAAGACGATAGAGTCCTGGCAAATCATGAAGTGCCAGAAGATAGAAAGAAAGCATCAAAACTTGGGGCATCTTTGAGTAGCAATGAGGCGGAGCAAATGCCCTGCGAAGAATATAATTGCCACAATTTTGTTGATGAGTACAAGCCTGTTAATCTCCAATCCAAAGGAACCGATTTAGTATTTGATCTGACAACAAAGGAAGGAAGAAAGGAATGGAAGGCCTACATCAACAGAGGGAAGAAAAGGCAACAGTCAAGCAACGAAAGTACAGTTTCAAGTTGTAATGGAATAATTTATAAGGGCCTTAGCGGCTGCACGAAAACAGAAAGAGCCATAGAACTGAACCCTGTGTTGCAAAACGTTCCTCTTTACGATAGACACGGTAAGCCGTTGCGTAGGGTTTACATTCCAGGTACGGGGTGGATATCAAGACGCAAATACCTCGAGCAGCATGAGTAAGCAAATGAGAGAAAGAGTGTGCTGTCGTCCTCTTTGTTCTCGTCACTGGGCATCTAAGCGTTTCAATCGTTGTCCTGGAATACATCAATAAAGTCCATGTAAATGTCAGGTTTGAAGGGCCATAAGTCAAAAAGTTTGGTACAATACATGAATTCTTCGACCGTTAGGTCCTTTGGGCATTTTTGTAACAGTTTTTCGTCACGGATAACAGATCGGAAATATTCCTTACCGCCGTGACCTAAGGAGTCAAGGGCACTGGACAAGGGGGTACTTTTGAGTATGAGTAGATGTTTAGTAACATAGTCGAAATTATCAAGATCGACATGGTGATTGTTGGGGTTTACTTCGATCAAACTTATAGGCTTTCCACTGGGCATCCAAACGTCTTTAGCACTGAAAAAAATGGGTTCATGCTTCGCTAGCAAATCTGAGTTGAACTTAGAGTCCCTTGGGCTGCGTCCCTCCATGGTTGCTATTAATTTAGTATTAGTAAAAGCATCTGTAACTACCGAACATTTCGATCGCAGTTGATCACCAGGTTTTGCTAACAATTTCACAGCTGTACTTTCTTGTACCCATACTAGCAGCTTAACCCGGCCAAAGCGCTGAATCCAGTTACGATTTCCTATGCATGCTAACCATTGCATGAATAATCCTTCACCAATCATACCGCTCAGGTTCGCCATCACCAAAAATTCGTCGTGAATTGCCTCAAGTCCTTTGATACTGGGGGTCAATACTTTATGCTCATCTATCATACTGGTATAGGAGTCCCAGTCATAAGGATCACCTTCGTACAGCTCAATTGTGCTGCTATTGACTTCCTCATCTGAAATTAAAGCCCCGATGTGTTTGACGAAATCCGGCCGCGCATCCATCAATACATGCTGAGCAGGTTTGAGACGGTTATTAAATATTACAGAATGCTGTGCAGGACCCGGATACAGGTCCAAGACCTTCAGCCTACCGGGATTGAGATACGTTTTGTGCAGCTGTAACTTGTCGAAGATTTTGTTATGGACCGCTGGGTTGAGCATATATCGATATCCATAGTAGTGAGGTATCTTGGAGAGCTCAGGTAGCCGCTTCACAAGCATTGACATTAGCTGTGCGGCAACAGTTGTCTATTATTCGTAGAGCTCAACTTATGCGAGGTAGGCGATGAGCTAACTGATATTAAAGCCTGAAAAATATGCCCATATAACAATAATCAACTGAACACAATATTAGCACTAACATCGGCAAGCCACGCATTCCCTTAATGCCAAAGATCAAAATAAAGAATCCCAAAGGGCCCGAAAAGAGTCAGGATGAGCCACAGCGTAAAAGAATCAAGGTTAAAACAAAACCTCATGGTGAAAGTGCCAAAACCGGCAGTTCATTAAAGGTTAAGCTTACAAAAAAAGACGAGAAATCAGAACAACAAGCTGCAAGCTCTGCCCCAATGAAGCTGAAAATCAATCTTACCAGTACGGAGAACTCGAGTCCGGCAGCTTCCGTGACCCCAAAAGCCCCAAGGTTCAGAATCAAGCCAGTACGGGTACCTGGTGAGGGCTACGATTCAGAAGCTTCGGACATTGAAGATGACCCGTTAGTCGAGGATGGTATCATACTTCGAGTTTTATCAGATGTGAGAACTGAGTTTGTCAAAAGCTGTATAGAGAGTGGGGATTTTTCGGGATTAAGTCTAAAATGGAAGGGAGAAAGACATGCCGTAGTGAGAATTAACGGTCACCAATACGGGGCCGTACTCGTTAATTTGCCCACCATTATTGAGGTGAATAAGAGTCTTGACCGCAAAAACCTTTTGAAAGCTTTCGATGTCTCACAAATGCTGCTCTGCGTGAAAACCATTGAGCATGAGGAGGATGTATTTTCGCTGATACCGCCTGATTGTGAAGACCTGGTTACAAAACATTATACCGACTATAAAACTGAGATTGAAGACTGCAAAAAGACTATTACACGGGGATTCAACGGTGGACCCCTCACCGATGCGGAGGCTGGTCATATAGAACAAATTGTCAAGAAGGGTTATGATTATATGCACGGTATAACGCCGCCGCTTTACAATGTGCGGAATCGCAGATTCCGCCGTAGGCTGGCGATTCAGGAAGTCAATTATGTTGAAAAAGTTGTTGAGCACTTGTTAAAGCAAGATGATGATGCTGAAGACTTTTCGTATGAGTTGGTCGAAGAAGACGTTTTGGATAGAAGATCTGCCAGCAATGAGCCAAGAAGAAAATCCATAGATAGTGGCTCGGATCTCTTTGGTGAAGATGACCACGAGGATCTGGAAATGGAGTTGGAACAAGCCTTGCAAGAAGACAGACAAGTACCTGATCACATCCCCAAGGAAATTCGGGAGCAAGCTATTGAAGAAACTGGCGATGACGTGGAACAAGACAATGGCGACGACGACGACGAAGAAGAAGAAGAAGACGAGGAAGATGAAGAAGACGAAGAAGACGATGAGGTTGAAGAGGCAGGCGGGGATGGAATTGAGTCTAGTGTGGTTTCCAACATTGCGAAACCGTCGGTTAATGAAGAACAGCAACACAGTGAACTTTTGAAAGATGAATTGGAGGAGTTGGAGACCACATTACAGCAGACTAGACAAAAACTAGAGAAGGCTACGAACCCACTGTTGAAATCAAGATTCATTGAGAGTATCAAAAAACTGGAAAAAGAGGCAGAACTTAAAAGGAAACAACTCAAATCAAGTGGGGATCTGGCTCCTGGTCGCTCCGGGAGCGCTGCTGATAATGAGGAGGAAGGGGATGACGAAGATGACGACGACGAGGATGAAGACGGCGAGGATGAGGATGAAGATGAGGATGAAGATGAGGATGCGTCAAACACGATGAATGGCAGGAATGCAGATAATGGAAGTCATAAGGCTAGTGATGAATTGGATCAAGACGATATGGATATGATGATGCTTTTTGGTGGTGAAGGAGACGAAGGTGACCACTAAAAACAAACTCATGGAGTGTACTGAGGCAAAGGTTCTCGATCTTGTTCCGGCCTGTCGCTGGTGGAAAAACCTATGGCCAAGGAGCCGGTTATCATATCATGGAGACGGAATATGTCTCTTACCGGTCCTGAACCCCGTTCCAGTGTGAGGCTGCACTGCCACACTAAGGAAGGATCGAGCCAGGGATCATTGTGGGAACTTTGCTCCGGCAGAATTTTGAATTGGAAAGTAACACTGTTGCTTCCAAACCACGGCATGGATAATGCTATAGGGGACTCTTGATCTGCCGAAAGTTTTAACTGCCGAAACAAAACAACCATGTCCCGAACGCTGCTGCCGCTCCCACTGGCGTTGCAGTTGGCGTTTAAGAACACTAATCGTTGTGAGGTGACAAACATGCGGCCCTCCAATATTATGCTGTGGGTCTCGTTGCTGGATTTTCGCACGGATTTTTGGCCTTTTAATACTGGCTCCATTTTGGCTCTTACAGCTAGGTTTGGAGGAGATATGATTTGCTCACTATCTAGCGGTATGAAGGGCAGCGGAGAATTGGCCTCGTTGTGAAAGGTCAACCCATTGACGGACATCAGTAATGGTAAATAGGACTTATATATGAGTACCTGGAAGGGCAGCTAGAGATAAATCTTGTTGTGGCTCTTAAATGCTCGTCGTATGGCCGCTCTAACGCTTCTTGTGGTTCAGCTTAAGGCAAAGATCTCTTGAAATGAGTTAGGTGCGGCTGAGAGACCAATAGGTAATACCATTCTATTTCGTTGGTAGTGATGTGTTCCAAAAGCTGTGGTTCAGCTCTCGTCCTAACTTAGCATCCTGTTTCACTAGCTATCCCCCCACCTGATATAAACTGTACCGAATGGATATTGCTTTACTTCAAAGCTGTATGATCTCCCTTCATTCCGTCTCTCTGAGTCAGCTCTTCCACGTCGTGAGGCTTGAACGTTGAAGGTGACAAGGTGGCGACCATCAGCAGATAAGAGAGTTCTAGGGACTATGGCTCTTATTGAGAGTCTCCATTATTTGAAATAATTCCCGCTGACTAGGAAACGCAATGATGCAGCTCTTTGTCTGCCATGCATGCGTATACACTTTTCCTTATGCACATTGCTAACAGATAAAATTCACACCAGGGCTTGGCACATAGAATTTCAAACATGCATCTACTAGTAAAGAATATCTGTACAGAGATAGACACGTATATATATGCTTAGTCCTAAGACTTAGAAAATGGTTACGTGCAGGGCTCGGTTCGGACTGCTTTACCTATTATTGAAGGAAAACTGGACAAAAGTGATCGTTACGAGGATGGCTTCATGAAGAGACAGCGGATGGCGTATTGAAACACTCTCGACGCGCATTCACGTTGGTTCTCACCACACTGAAACTAAAGAAGATTGCAACTAACTTGGAGTGAGCTGAGATTTACAATATTTCATGTTATCATGTCTGACGATATTGACAATATTGTAATCTAGTTACTTTAAACTCAAGTTTAATCAACTGACACCAAAATACACAGCAGGATTAGCTCCGTGAGTAGCACAAACCTTATCGAGATGGAAAACATGGAGATTCCCCAAAGACAGTTGACAAGGGAGGAAGTCAATCGATGCTATTTGGTATGTACGAAAGCTATAATTGGGAGCTATAGGTCTCGGATGAGCGCACGAGGTTTTCGCGAATTGTGACGCGCGAGACGGTAATACTAACAATTGTGTTTGACGCAGCGATGGCAACAGCTGAGAAACGAACATGGGGAGAATGCCGCTAACATTCCGGAGTTTGTGTACTTCACCAAAGTGCTTCGTGTCGCTGCAAAACAGCAGCAATTACAACAGGAACAAAAACAGCAGCAGCAGCAGCAACAGCAGCAGCAGCAGCAACAGCAGCAGCAGCAGCAACAACAACTGAAACAGGGACAGCCACGGCATGACGAGCAGCTCCATCAGCAAAACCCTGTTCAGTCTCAGGTGCCGGAGGAACAACATCGTGGTTTGGCCGCTCAACCACTGCGAGGACCTCAACATGCTAATGAAACTCAACTACAGAGGCCGCAGTGGTCACCAGATTCCCAACCCTTACAGCAAGAGCAGCATTCTAACTACCCAAACAACAGTTCGGCAACTACCAATGGCGCTCAACTTGGTAAGGCATCACCATCTTTTATGATGAAGCAACAGCCTATAGCTAACTCCTCAGCTGCTGGGGGGGCCGACGCCCCTGTGCAGTCCCTCTTCACTCCCGAACAGTCGGAATTACTGAAGGCCCAGATAACCTCTCTCCGATATCTACTCAGCCGACAGCCTGTACCCGCTGAAGTACAGGACGTTGTTCAGAAGTCACTAAATAATCCTCCTAACTTCAAGCAAATGTTACTTTCACTGAGCGAGACCGTCAAAAAGCGGCAACTCGCTCAACAAGGTCAATCTAAGCCCTTGGATCAAGACGTCAACCCTCTACAAAGAGCAGAGCCGGTCGTACAAACAATGCCTTTATCACAGCACCCCGCGCCTTCACAAACACCTATCCAAACTGCCGCACAAATGTCATCTCAACCTCAGATCCTGGCTCAGCAATTGCCACCACGTCCATTGCAAAATCTCTCCAACTCCGGAACACCAGCTGTAGTACATAATTCCTTTCCGCAAGCTAGTGCATCGCCTGTCTTTAATGAAGAGAATGCTGCTGGCGCTAGAAGCCGATCCTTATCGACCAACACTATCCCGCAGCGCCAAGGAAGTGGGGGGGTTAATGCAACAAACGCTGGGTCAACTGAGCAGGCAAAAATAAAAGTGCCCATTCCACTAGAAGAGTACCAGAAACTGAATCCTGATATTGGGAAAATTGTTAATATCAACGCATCTGATATGGTAGACTGCTATTCTCTTCCTAAACCCCTCGAGGAACCAATCCACTACGAACAGCTTTTTCCTACCAAAAATCATCCCCTTCTCACTATCAAGCCCGGTACCCTCCCGCCTGGGATAGACATGCATTCGGCAATGGAAGTGTACCAGACATTGATCGCCCTCGACATTGACACTGCCGTGGATTCTTGTCTGGCTGACATTTTGAACGACAAGATGGATTCGGAAGCTAAAGAAATGGCAACTTACGATTACTATGCCCTTCAACTACTGCCTCTCCAAAAGGCTGTGAGAGGACATGTCTTGCAATTTGAATGGTATCAAAAAGCCTTGCTGACCAATACCCATCCCAACTTCTTATCAAAGATCAGAAAAGTCAATTTACAAGATGCTTTGCTCACTGATGAATTGTACATGAGACACGAATTATTGCAAAACGAACGCCGGAAACATGAGCGGTTGACCAAGTTGAAACGTGTGGCAGATAGTTCAGTGGCCTCCTATAACAATCGGCTGAGCAGGCGAACGCAAAGGGTAAAATTTGGCCACAAACTAATATCTCTTCACGCCAACATTGAAAAAGAAGAACAAAAAAGAGTGGAAAGAAATGCTAAGCAACGTCTGCAAGCTTTGAAAGCCAATGACGAAGAAGCTTATATCAAATTGTTGGATCAGACCAAGGATACCAGAATTACCCATTTGCTCAAACAGACTAATGCGTTTTTAGACTCCTTAACGAAGGCCGTCCGAGATCAGCAACAGTACACAAAGGACAAAATTGACTCGCATATTGACATTGATGGTGAACCTGAGGGCGATGATAGAATGACTACAACAACCACTGCATCTGGAGATGTACCTGATGAAGATGAGAGACAAGACATTGATTATTACAATGTTGCGCATCGCATCAAGGAAGAAGTGAAAGTGCAGCCATCGATTTTGATCGGTGGAACCCTGAAGGAATATCAATTAAAAGGTCTTCAGTGGATGGTGTCCCTTTATAACAACCACTTGAATGGGATTCTGGCTGACGAAATGGGCCTCGGTAAGACGATTCAAACAATATCACTGCTAACGTACTTATACGAGATGAAGAATGTGCGTGGGCCATCTCTAGTGATCGTCCCACTCTCGACACTGACAAATTGGGATTCGGAGTTTGATAAGTGGGCTCCAGTCTTGAGAAAAGTTGCTTACAAAGGTTCGCCCAATGAGAGAAAGTCTAAACAGAGCATCATCAGGTCTGGACAATTCGACGTGGTTTTGACAACATTTGAGTATATCATTAAAGAAAGAGCTTTGCTTTCCAAAATCAAGTGGGTGCATATGATCATCGACGAAGGTCATAGAATGAAAAATGCTCAATCCAAACTTTCGCTCACCCTTAATAATTACTACCATACTGACTATCGTTTGATCTTGACGGGTACTCCCTTGCAAAATAACCTACCAGAACTTTGGGCGTTATTGAATTTCGTGCTGCCCAAAATTTTCAATTCTGTGAAATCATTTGATGAGTGGTTCAATACTCCGTTCGCTAACACCGGTGGTCAAGATAAAATTGCTCTTAGTGAGGAAGAAACTTTGCTTGTTATTCGAAGACTGCATAAGGTTTTGAGACCTTTTTTATTGCGCCGTTTGAAAAAAGACGTAGAAAAGGAACTACCTGACAAAGTGGAAAAGGTGCTGAAATGTAAAATGAGTGGATTGCAGCAGAAGCTCTATGAACTCATGCTGAAGCATCGTCGGTTATTTGCAGGCGATATAACTTCTAACAACAAAATGGTTGGAATGCGCGGTTTCAATAACCAAATTATGCAACTCAAAAAGATCTGTAACCATCCATTCGTGTTCGAAGAGGTGGAAGACCAAATCAATCCATCGAGGGAAACAAACGCAAATATCTGGCGTGTTGCCGGTAAATTTGAGCTACTCGAAAGAATTCTCCCTAAATTTAAAGCAACTGGGCATCGTATCTTAATTTTCTTTCAAATGACACAAATTATGGACATCATGGAGGACTTTTTGAGACTGATGGGACTGAAGTATCTGCGCTTGGATGGGCATACCAAGTCTGATGATCGTACGACACTTCTTCGACTTTTCAATAGTCCGAATTCAGAGTACTTTTGTTTTCTGCTTTCGACAAGAGCGGGAGGGCTCGGACTTAATTTACAAACGGCAGATACCGTTATCATTTTTGATACAGATTGGAATCCCCATCAAGATCTGCAGGCTCAGGATCGGGCCCATAGAATTGGGCAGAAAAACGAGGTCCGCATATTGAGGCTTATTACAGAAAACTCCGTCGAAGAAGTCATCCTTGACCGTGCTCACAAGAAGCTTGATATTGATGGGAAAGTTATTCAAGCCGGTAAGTTCGACAACAAGTCCACATCTGAAGAGCAGGAAGCACTGTTGCGGTCTCTCTTAGAAGCAGAAGAGGAACAAAAGAAAAAGCGCGAATTAGGACTGGAGGAAGATGAGCAGATTGATGATAATGAGCTCAATGAGATTTTAGCTAGGAATGAAGATGAAATCAAGATTTTCGCGGACATTGATGACGAACGCAGTAGGAGACATTTAGAGAATGGTATAACTTCCACTTTGATGGCGACTGCAGAACTTCCTAACATATATCATCAAGATATTGAGGCGGAATTGGAAAAGAAGAAGAACGAAGAGCTTACAGCAGGCGGTAGAGGTTCTCGAGAAAGGCGGAGTGCCCAATATGATGACGAAATCAGTGAGGAACAATGGTTAAAGCAATTTGAAGTGAGTGACCATGAAGATAGCGAAGGCGAGGACGAAGATGAACGCCGGCCTAGAAAACGTAGCTCAAGTGAGAGCGAGAACAGGAATAAAAGAGTTAAACTTGAAACTGAGGAACCAGCAGACGTGAGCTTTGAGTCTGAAGCAGAGGTCAAAGAAGAACTAGAGGGTAAACATGACTCAGTTGCCACTATTGGGCAAAAGTCTATCAAGTCGTATGGACCTGCTAAGGATAAGGCACGCAGTCGTGTCCGCACTGTAAGGACCAGTGATAAGAGGACAGGCAGACAATTTATTCGAGACACGTCAAAGCTAGTGAACTCTTTGGAAGAAAGAGTAAAAGTGGCTCAGAAAGCGAAGGAATTATTTGACTACGCAGTGAGGTATGAGGATGAAGATGAGCGGCGTTTGGCAGACATTTTCTTGGTGAAACCGTCCAAAAAACTCTACCCAGATTATTACAAATTAATTAAATTCCCGGTTGCTTTTGAAAATATCACCGTCCACATCGATACTAGGGCATATGATACTCTTAAGGATGCTGTGGAAGACTTTCACCTAATCTTTTCCAACGCGCGCATCTACAATACTGAAGACTCCTTAATATACCTCGATTCAATTGAGTTGGAAAAAGCGATAATAGAGAAGTACAAAGAGATGTCTGGACAAGAAGAGGACGTAGATTTTTCGAATTTTGATAAGGAGTATGCCACCCAGCCCTTAGTTCCTTTGAATGTGGGGCCGGTTAAGGATGTCACACCGGCATCTACATAATGTGTGAATAATGGTCTAAGTAGTACGACGTAATATTGCCAACATCAATGAAACGACAATCTTCAAGGTAAACTATTGACCAATGAAATCCAGAGCGATAGCGTTTTCATAAAAATGACGCTGCCATCTGTTTCAATAAAAGCTCTGCATTGATATAACGTTCCTCACCTTGCAGTCAGTGCGAGGTAAAATAAAACATATAAAATAGGGCCCGAGATAAAAACATGTAGCAAGAATGCGTATAAAAATAAATGGAAGATGGGGACTAAGGCTTCTACTGGTTGGCTACCAAGTATCATTCAAACCCTAGCTCAAGCTTTAGTCAAGTAAGCCAGGTTCGCGTGACTGGACAAATTCATCGTAATACTTTGACAGTGATAGAGGTTTCGAGAAAGCTTCTATGGCCAAGTTGGTAAGGCGCCACACTAGTAATGTGGAGATCATCAGTTCAAATCTGGTTGGAAGCAACTTTAAATTTTTGCCTTTCGATGTACCGTGATGATACTCCTTCAACAAACGACTTTGGTTTAGATACGAGAGTAAGATGACCAAACCGGACTTCTACATAATCCCACTCTAACCTAGCTGTTGCTTTGGTTGGTGAACTATACCACATGGCGCGAGCTCTCAATTTCCTCTGAGACGCTAAGATGCTGCGGATTGGTCACAATCGTTACAGTGGGTCTACCTTGTAGCAAGAGCTAAGCCCTACACACTGAGGCGGAAGAACTTTGACCAATAACCAAAGCAGCTGGTTGGTGAAGGCATCGATTTCCTTTGAAGAAGTAGGGGAAATTCAATTAGAAATATTGCGACAAGCGATTATCGAAGAGAGATAGCAGTGCAAGAAGAACGCGAATTTTTGGTGTGACTTTTCGTTCGACTTTGGGCATTCGCGTCAGTGGATTTTGTCAATTGAAAGAGAAAGTCGATTCTCTGTCACCTCCAAGAGCGCTCAATGGCCGTGCTGGTAAATTCAGTCGAGTGAGCGCAAATAACGCATCAGTTAAGTGCATATGGATCACTTCTTGCACCAACACAATTGCTAGAACCGCGGCAGGTTCTCATTTTAAGGAAACTCGCTTCGAGTTATACATTGGATCTTCACATGGAACTGCCGGCGTGCACCATCTTAGTAAGAGGTTGATGCGCAGTCTTAATACTGCGTCAAGCAGTTGTACCCTAACTATACGGTATGTCAAGGCCAATTGGTCAGAATATACCGCTACCCTTGACCTTGTTGGCGAGGTTGCCGCAATCTTTGTGTCATAATAGCTGTGGAAGAAACTGCAATAATTCTGAAAGCTCAAGCCTTTATATGAGAAGATATGCACAATTATGGCCCAGTTGAGAAGTATCAAGCTGAGAAAAATCATTTAAAGATTTACAATCGTCAAGCGGCATGCGTTTCGGAGGAGGGGATTTGTAAGGAGTGGTATAATAAGACTGGAACAATGGCGAGAACGGCCCTCAGAATCATATAGCATAACATACTTTCGAATGGCTCGGTTATTAGGCCAACTCGCAATTGCTCGGTAGGTCCGTGGGGAAGTGTTGTGCTTGGTGGCACGAGCACTGGCAGCAGCGCCCTAGACTGCTCTACTAGGTCAGGTCGATAAATATAAACCATAGCATTATGTCGGTCGCAGATAGGGAAGGCATTAACGACTATTTGAGTAAGGCTCACCAAGGATTCTTATGGACAGATATATCAGAATTACTCGCTTCGTGTAGACGGAACGAATAGTGAAAGGCAGATGTACCCCGAATCATAAAGAATGAGTCATCAGGAAGTGGCACCTCCATAGAATCATATATAAACGCGGCTCATTAGCCGGCTTGAGCAGTTTGATATGATTGCATGTACTTTTTCGTAACTTTCATACACTACACATTCTACTCTTGACGGTATATATGGTAGGGGGAAGCCTGGTTGGACGCAAAAACTAAAACATCGGCAATAACAGTATTTTGCTTTCTAGAGGTCGAGTATACGATCAAGTCTGCAATGTCGTCAGCGTATAGTGGTTCAGTACCTTGATAAACTTTGCTTGCACGATCCGAGTCGCCTTTATACCTGACCAGTGAAAATTCAGTTTGAACATTACCAGGGGCAACCTCTATGACCCTAATGTTGGTGTTTACCAATTCTTTGCGCAAACTTTGCGTGAAAGCTCTAACAGCATGCTTTGTAGCACAGTAGATGGCTCCCGTCGGATAAGCCTCCCTTCCAGCAACCGAGCCTAGGTTCACGATGTCACCAGCATTCTTGGCTTTGAAAATGGGCAGTACCGCTTGAGTCACATTGATCAACCCCAAAACGTTCGTGTCCATCATACCAGCAATATCTTTGGTATCGATTGACCCCACAGTGTCCGATCCCAATGCCTTCCCGGCGTTGTTGATAAGAATATCGATGTCCTTAAAGTCCTGGGGAAGATTGTCTATAAAGGGTTGAATTGTATCTGTTTCCGTTACGTCCAGTGTACCGATGAAAACCTGCGCTTTTGGGTAATCCTTAAGGATCTGCGCTTCAATTTCTTGTAGTTTGTCCAATCTCCTCGCTGCTAGGATAAGTTTAACGTTACCGTTAGAAGCTTCTAAATATTCCAGCGCTGTGGCTTGTCCAATACCGGCAGATGCACCAGTAATGAAAATGGTTTTGCCGGCAAGTCTTTCCGCGGCCTTTCTACCTTGAGACATAGATGTTGTTTATATGATTGATGAGCTTAGTGAAGTGAAATAGGTAAGCTGGATACAGCGTACTCTTAACCTCCCCTCTTTATATATCAGTAATTGTCGTCCACACGGGAGCACATGATGTGATGTCCTTATCTGATCGTACTGGTAAGAGGAAAACCATTGGATAAGTAAAAAGTGTGAAACCCATTTTATCACATTCAATTAGCGCTTATCGTGTTTGCCGAATCTTATCGATGTTCGGCCACAATCGCCTTCCTCGAGTAAAGGCCACCGTAGCCCTGTCAACTCTCGGTGATGCACTTCCGCAGCAACTACCAGCTAGTAAAATTAAATACATGTGCAAAAATTATGGACTAGACCGGATTTGAACCGATGACCTTTCACATGCAAAGCGAACGCGCTACCAACTGCGCCACTAGCCCTGGATTGTTGACAGTATAGTTGCACTGTTGCATAAGTAGAATGGTCCTAATGCCGACCCCGGTTAAGAGGCCACAAAACGGTACCAAGTGCCCATGAGGTTCTGATGGTATAGCATGAGTCAAGATATGTTGCGACCACACTTTACTTCCATCAGTCGAAATGTCCTGATAGCTTCTTGTTAAACAGAGCGAAGCATCATGTCTAGACCTTATCGAAACGATGGCATAATTAGAAATATGGGTAGCCTGCCACTGGATTAAGAAAGCGTCTGATGAATATTGAACATATTTTATCATTGATTTTAAGGTGTGGTGACTGATCGAGGCACTTCGTGGTGCGGTGAACATTTTCGATGCACAATGCAGAGTACCCGATTGGACGTGGTCTTTCGCTGCATACAGCCTTCCAAAAACAGCTCTAGCTTGTGCGACTAATAGGAAACCTTACACATAGCGAGAATGGGAAGAAAGATTGACACCTTGAAGGAACATTCGAGTGGTCTAATGGCCAAAGTGGGTTGTTCACAGCAGGTTATAATTAGGTCCAAAAGATGGATCAAGTCGTTACCGACAGTCGTTGCTTGTTAATCCTTCCATATTGATGTTTTGCTTCCGGCAGACGGCTTTTGGTTTATTTAGCATCATCGTATACTGCGTTCTTTCAACATTCGAGGTAAACACGCATCTGAATAAGAGCTCGCCGATAAAGAAATGTCGCGAGAATACCATTTAACAAGACAAGTCCAATATTGAACCACATGTATCCTTACCTTTTTATTTTCATCCGTTAATAAAGAAACTTTGTGCAGACTACTACCCGCTCATTGCCTACCCAAGCTTCCATATGATTTGGCTTTACCGTTAGGAATTAGAACCTGTACCTTTCATAGTTCCGGTGAACCCGTGCTTCTTATAGATCAAGCGTGAGTATCAGGAACCGAGAAAAGCATGAGACCGTTTAGGAACACGAGAGGCTAAAACAACTGATTTTTGAAATCGCTTATTTCTCACATTATCGAGTATGGTCTTGATAGATAAGGCGCATATTGTCGAATTTATCAGTCCCCCACCAAACATTATGGTAAACCCATCTTAAAAATTACTCCCCCCACCAACACTATCTTTCATGTTCTGTGACAGACTTGACTACAGGTAAAATGGCGTATCCTAATCCACAATATAAGACTCGACTACTTCGAGGGTCGGAGGTATGCACATACTTTTCTCCCCTGAAGTTGATCGTGAGATTTTCTTAAATCAGACATAAACTTACAATTGGCACCAATGACAGCAGAAAAGATTACATGGAAGTCCATCGACGGGAAGGAACACCCAACCTTGTCGCCGGCGTTTGTCAGTAACGGCCACGTATTTACCTCAGGAATAATTGGATCTGACTACAGCACAGGTGAAACCCCCGATAAGATTGAGGATCAAGTGCATTTGGCGATCAAAAACTTGGAAAAAGTACTCGTTGCTGCTGGTTCTTCCTTGGATAAAGTTTTCAAAGTAACGATGTTCCTTTCTCACGCTGAATACTCTCAAATTGTCAATAAGATATATGGGGAATATTTCCCCGGAAAGCCTGCACGTAGCTGTGTCATCGTGGCCTTCATGGACGCGGCTATAAAATATGAACTGGAAGCTGTTGCCACCTCTAGTTAAGCATGTAATCGATACATAAGGTCTCCACCAAAAACATCCTAAACAACAATGTCTCGTTTTTCACTAGCCTATCCAGACATTTTTTATGATAGATATGCCTACCGCCAAGCAACTGCCAGAACAACAACTTGTCGGTACAAACTAGTTGAATCACAATGAAAATCATAGAAAGTTTAACATGTATATAAGCAAAAAACTAAATTAGTACATCCATCTGTAGTTAGGATTTTCGGGACCGTCCGCCAACTCCGATGTTGGAACGTCCTTGTAGGTCAATTGAACTCCTTGTGTCTTATTCCTACGACGGTTATCGAAAATCATATAGCAGAGTATACCAGCGATCAAAAGTATCGCGGCACCACCGAAACCAGCAGTGATGCCGAGAGCTGGCAAATACTTTGGAGCGTCCTTTTCTCTGAATATATTGGTGGAAATTAGTCCAGCAGCGTTCGCTAGTGGCACCCCTACCGCAGATAGCACCACCCGGCGATTCTCGTTCGGTGTATTATTGTTGTACCAGGTAGAAGTCAGTACAGAGGAGACCGAGGAGCCTGTAGTCATCAAAAAGCAACTGAAATAGGCTGCTCCCAAATGGGACTGCGTATCTATACATCCAAAAACCACAAAACCGATTAAGGTCACAGCCACGCCTATCATTATGAAGACAGATCTGACGCGAGTGTAATCTGATGAGAACGATAGAATCAAAAGCGCTACCGCTCCCCATATATTTGGTGCAACGGTGTAAAGATTGGTCTGCACAGTGCCTTTACCCAATGATTGAACAATTTGAGGGAACCAATTGTTGATCGAATTTAGCGGCACGCCAATGATGATTTCTTGTAGCATCCAAGCAATTGCAATAGGATGCTTGAAAACCCTTACAGCATCCATTAACGAGACACCTTGGGTGGCCTTTGCCGAAGAGTCTGTTTCAATTCTCCATCTTGCACAATCTTTCTCCCGTTGACTTAAAAACTTGGAGCTGGCGGGACTTCTTGGCAGATACATAAAGGCCACGATCGCAAACAGGACGGTGGCGGCACCTTCGATCAAAAATAATATTTGCCATCCCTTTAACTTGCTATGCTTGATTTGAAAGACACCAAAGGCTAACAAGCCCGAAAATGCATTTGCAACATTGGCAGCCGCATAAAATATGGAGAGCCTGCTAGCCAGTTCGTGACGACGGTAGAAAGTACTGAGATAATAGATTATCCCGGGCAAGAAGGCAGATTCACAAATTCCAAGGAACCATCTGGCTGCCATAAGGGAGCCGTAGTTAAAAACTGTGGCACTCAACAGTGAGATCGATCCAAACGTGAACATCAGCATCGGGATGACATTGGCAGCGTTGTATTTCCTAATAACCAACGAAAGTGGAAAGGCGAAAAGCACAAAGGGGATATAAAAAATGGACAGCATGTTATTCCATTGCTGACCTACAATTCCCAAATCCTTATCGATGTGGTCCGTTTTTGCATTCGAAATGTTTCCTTTGTCTAAAGCGTTGAATAGATACATTATCGCGATCATAGGCAAAATTCTCAAATCAAATTTCCAGCAGATGCTCTTCTCAAGGGAGCTGTCAAAAATTTCCTCTTGCTCGCCAACCAGATACTCTTCATTGTACGAGCTGAGACCTTCCGAAGTACTTCCCTTACGATCTGTTTCGGCCACCTGGACCGTTGGTGCAACTTTGGTGGACATAATCGCCAATCAACAAACTCGGACTTTTGACTTGGCACTCAAAAAGAAATTATATGTTTTGAATTTACAAAATGGCGATATCCAGTAAACCATGGCTCCTTATAAGCTCCAAAAGGTTACGAATTGAAGCTGTCCTTCTCACTCATTGCTAAAGCTTGACACTTGTTTATCTTGGCAGTCTTGGTCTTATCTGGAATCCCCCCACCAATTCTTATCACACTGTCTCTCATGCCCCCACCATCGTACGTAGGTACATGATTTCATCTACAATCTCTTTCCATAAGGTAACTGCCAATGCTCCACGTTAATAACCTTGAAGCACAGCTGCCATCCAGGTTCCAGATGGCATCTATCTCACTTACTGAAAGTGCTCAATATCTGATATTTACTACATGTACTTTCAGTAATTATCCAACCTACCAAAAATAATGTCAAGATTGACTCTAATTTTCTAGGTGAACACTAATCTTATCAACGACCGCTTGAAATTTGAATCTCAGCGATGTCGTACGTAGGCAAATCCATTGATCATAGAAAGGCGTTCCAATACGAGAAGTGGAGTGACCATGGCGGAGAGTAAAAGAAAGAGAAGTGCCGGTCCTTTCCACTGTTCCTTTCCGGGATGCCATAAGATCTTTTCGAGATCGGACCACCTTAGTCGACATAAAATCAACCACACCGCCAGCAAACTGAGATGCAACTGGCCACAGTGCGGTAAGCTCTTTTCCCGGCTGGACGTGAAGAGAAAGCACGAGAGCAGACATGTAAAGGCAAACGATATGCCGGCCGAGGCAAGCCAGCGTTCACTTGTGGCTCATACCAATGACGATACAAACCAAATGACAAATAACAATGGGGCACCTAATGAAGAGGTGGATTACCGATTCTACGAAAGTCATGCCGATAGAAGCTTGTCCGGATCCTTCCTCTCTTCAAAAGAAAATGTTGTCTCCACTCACAATCCAGAGGTGGTGACAGATGACGTGAGGGGCATCCCTCTGGGGACATCAGATCAAGTGAACACCGACTCACCATTTATCTCTCACCTTAGCAGCTTGCGTGAAAATGGCAGCACCCAGAAGTCTGCTTCTCATCCCAATTCGCTGCTGGACCTCTCCTCCTTCCAATGGCTTCTTAGCGGACCTACAAACACCTCGCCAGTTGATGGCAGATTTTTAAATCAACCTGAGGATGGTGCATTCCACGCCTCTTATAACGATCCGCTCGATCCCTCTACACTAACTATGTTGGAAGAGATTTTTGCATTAACTCCCGAATTTCCAGCAATTGACAACCAGACAAAACTTGATGATAACCACCTTTCAAAAATGATAGGATGTATTCCGGACTTGGCAGCACATGCCGATTTCACCACGACAAACTTAGAATATTTTCTCGATGTTTACTGGCTCTTGTATCACAAACAGTACCCTATCTTACACAAACCGTCCTTCTCTACCGACGAAGCGCAGCCATTGCTTCTTTTAAGCATGATTATGATTGGAGCCTCTTTCGCCAAAAAAATGGTTCCCAACCGAAATATAAGCCTGGTTGATCCAGATGGACTTGCTGATACGATCGCCGAGCCTCTGAGATGGCTTATATTTGCAAGTAAGCAAGCCAAACCACCCTGCAAATCATGGGTTATTCAAAGCCTAGTGATGTTGGAAACTTTTGAAATTACCAGCACTTCCAGGGCTCTACACGAGCGGGCCTGTATCTACAATGGGGCCAAAATACAGCTTCTAAGGAGAAGCCCGATTTTAGGGGGGGATCCTTCGAAGTCAGTTGGCTCCGATGTTAGCAGATCCAAAAATCGTTGGACTACTTGGATCGAGAGCGAGTCCATGAAAAGAGTGGCTTTAATGTCCTTTTGTATTGACAGCATACACGCCATCGTTTTCGGTCACCCTCTCAATATCTTCGCTAGCCAAATAAAACTCTCCCTTCCATGTCCAGATGACCTTTGGGAGTACAGTGCTTTTGATAGAAACAAAGCTCCATTATCTGTGGCTCAAACACCACTATTTTGCGATGCACTGCAAAAATTATTGCAGAAAGAGAGCATTCAAGTGGGAGCTTTTAGTCGACAGATATTGTTGGCCGGCTTGATAAATTTGCTGCTTCAAATTGAACAGAACATATCTCAATGGTCGAACTTCGGACGAAGCTCAATCCAGGAATCATGGAGAGAGGTCATCTCATCGGCTATTGATTTCTGGCTCACAGATCTTCCACTAGGCGATTGTTGCTTGACGTCCTCTAGCGTTTATCCCTGCGAACGTAATTTCCCCAATGATCCGTCAATTCCTCCATTCATGAGGCCCGATGACACTCGTTGCAATTGTCCCGTTTACCACGCTGTTCAGATATACATGAGGATTCCTCATTATGACTACATTATTTATGCAGGAGCTCCAATGAGAATGAATGTCCCAATATTGGAGGAAGATTATGCAGCTGTTGTAACAAGAATTGGAAAATGGGCTAAATCACCGGCTGGTCCACATTGCGTGATTGAATCAATTATCCTATTATGTGAGATGCTGCTTTCTCGCGAAGATGCGGTGGAGTTTATAAGTTACTCCTATGAACCAGATAAAGACCCTTTTGTGTATCGACCAAATGCTGTTATATCTGCTACCTTATCTCTTTGGGCTTTTGCTTATTATTCATATGGTCCGGAGTCAAATTTAAGGTCAGATTCCTCTCAATACTTTCTTGACGATGATTACTCTCCAGCTATGGAAGACGTTTCAAGTTATTTAGCAAGGCTCCGAAGTGAATTCAAGATCGCTACAGGCATATCTTTCCTTCAGCTGAAGACAATGAATTCAACTGATCGCTTAGCGGCAATGAAGGCATATTATGCTGCATTTCCTAAAATAAAGAACATAAACTATATGGTTGGGTTGCTAACATCACTGAAAAATGGCTATGCCAAATGCAGTTGGCATGTTGGCAGAGAGTATGCGAAACTGTTAGAAAATTGCATCAAGCGAAGCTTGGGTCATAGCGCAATATTCTGTTATGAAATGTATAATGTCACCTAAGTTTAGTAATCAAGGTTACGTGATTCACACGTTTGCTCAGTTCCCTGCATACTACTTATACTTACCAACCCCTCCAGGGAACCCATATATCAACTACGATTTCACCCCCATCTACAACAAAATACCATGGGTAAGATGCAGCAGTGATGCAACTATGCTGAGGAATGACCTTCACCTTCGTGCCCAAAGGTATCATCTTTGTGGGTTTGTCCTCTAGAGGAGTAAGAATTCCATGCTCTTGACTTAGTCTGCCGACAACCCAATTTTCGTATCCCCTAGGAGAAGACACCCTTCCATGGCCAGGTAAGGGACCAAATTCTCTGGCCAAAGCAATCACGCCTGCGTTGATAAGTTGTTCGCCTGGCCCCTTAGATCCTCGTCCCGGGTAGGAAGAAAGAACCTCCGCAATGACTCTGCATGAGACATTGTCTGCGTCGACACATCCAGTGCTAATTTGCTGAAGATCACAGAAGGGATAGTTTCCAGCGTGTAGTTCAAGCTTCCCATACAGATCACCGATAGATGAAACATCGAATACACTCGATGCGTGTGCGGTAGGCGTAGCGCCCACTGAGAGTTGGAGCTTCAGAGACGGTTGGATCTCCATAGCTTTTTTGCAAGCAATGTTACCACTATTTATCTCGTCCATAAGGTAACCCTTGGCCTGTTCTACTGTTGAGGCTGAGTATGAGTGGCCCGCGTGGCAGTAAAACCCATACAGAGTAACAAATTCTTTTGTCGAAGTTGTAAGTAACTCCTCGAGAGTGTCGTCCAGATCTGAATTCTCTTCAAAACCGGCGCGATTAGTGCCCATGTTGATCTTGATGAAAACTGACCATTTTTTTTGTACACCGTGTAACTTGTTGAACTTCACCAGCACTTCTAACTGTTCTTTGTTGTCAAGCATCAATCGCAAATTGGGCACCTGCTCGCTCAAAGCAGCTAGTTCATCAAGCCTGCTTTCAACTACCGGCAAGCTGAACAGAATGTCATTGATAAGACCCTGTTTTACCAGTGGCAGTAAGCCCCATGCCTCGATCAATGTGGACACCACAATTTTTTGAGTTTTCAACTCTCCAGATCCTAGCTGCATTAGCGTCCCTTCTAAGGTCTTATGAGTCTTCACATGAGCACGAAAGTCCGCTTGCATTGAGCTTGCATTGAGGAGCATCTTTTCACAATTTTGTTCAAAAATTCCTCTGTCCACCACGAAGGATGGAGTAGGTAAATCAGAGATGCTTTTTCCGATGAACACCTTCTTTAAGTCATCTTTTTGAGCACGAGAAGTGAATTCGTAAGGATACCCCATAATCAATCGTTAAAGCTTCTAGGTCAAGCGATCTTTAGGAGGTTTTCACAACTCTTGAACCTTCGAACCTTGTTATGTTTAATATACGCTGCCTAACCTAGCCAAACTTTAATGATAAGTACATTGACATTTGCGGATAAGGCTCCCGAGATATGAAAAAACCCCCACCACTCCCCCCACTGTTCAGATATTGCTTATCGCTTATCTCAGACTGGAAAATAGAATAGAACCCGAACCATAAACACAGCATAAAGGTGATTTAAGTACAGCTGTTGACAGGCTACTTTCTTACTGTCTTCATACTATAGATTCATCAACTAAGCAGAATTGTGAATTGAACCTAAGCGACATTTCTGTGAGCTCTTTCCCATGTCAATTTACGAGACTGTCCTGAATGAAGATTACAGTTGGCCAGAGGCCTTCGGAGAGCTGCCCTTAAAACTTGAACCCAGTATGGTTGACCGGCTGGATCCAGAGTATGTTTCGTTTTTCAATGAAATTCTATGCAACAGACCTGATATATTGGAAACGCATAAGTTTCCAGTGGCTAAGACAAAAGCTGGGGGGAACGTGATCCCCGGACAAGCGCCGGCGATGGAAATGGCACAAGTGTATGACGTGACGATTCCGCGCAAATACACTTCTGCTGCAAGCTCAATTGACGCTCGAGTGTTTGTTCCGAAGGGCGAAATGCCAGCTAGTGGTTGGCCATGCACTGTCTGGTATCACGGTGGTGGATGGGTGTTGGGAAACATTTCGACGGAAAATTCGTACTGCACGCACCTGGCCCAGCTTGCGCAGTGCGTCGTGATTACCGTTGACTATCGATTGGCGCCTGAATTTCCGTTTCCGGCCTGTGTCGACGATGCCTTCGAAGCTCTCCTGTATGTGTTAGAGAACCCAGGAATCTTGAAAATTGATAATGCTAAAGTTTGCCCAGCAGGGTCTTCAGCCGGCGGCAACTTGGCAGCTATAATGACCCATAAATATGCAGCATCTTCATTATCTAAGGGGCTTCCTCCCCTCAAGTTTCAGATGATGGTGGTTCCAGTTACTGACAATACGGCCACTGCTGATACGAGACCATCGTGGAAGGAAAACGAAAGAACGCCACAGCTACCGGCCACAAAGATGCTGTGGTATAGAAAGATCTACCTGCCTGAGGCTGGAGAAACATTGGCAGATCCTGAATCTAGTCCTTTGTTCTACGGAGATGAAAGCTTTAAAAAAGTACCACCTGCCTTTATAGCGGCCGCTGAATGTGATGTTCTTAGGTCAGAGGCAGAGGCATATTGTGAGAAGCTAATCGAGAATGGAATCAACGCCAAGATAAAGATATATAAAGGGATGCCGCACACCGCGATGGTCATGAACGAAAGACTGGAACATGGCGCCAATCTGGTGAAAGATACCATTGAAAGCGTCAAATCCGCTTTTTACGAGGCATGACTGAAGTCGGCAAGGACGCCAGCTCTCCTTTTTTGGTCAAGTCTTTCACTGGGCAATATCGACCAGAGTTTCTAGCAAGCGTTTATTTTAAAAACCGGACAGTTCTTGGCAGGATAAGTAATGAAGAATACTCCTCCAACATGAGGTCCAGTTTAACTATTTCTGCCCATATCTGTATATGGTTTAACGAGCAAACTCGCTACTACCTTATAAGTCTTGAGGCATATCTGATTCATTAGTAGAAAGCTAACTAAATTGGTCTTGTAAGCCGTTGATAGTCATTGTAAGATAAATAACTTGGATCTAGGGATTCCTATTAATCTCTCCGTACTTATTTTTGGTGCTAGAGCTGGTTCAGTTACCTGAACAAATGCCTGGTATTTATACAATTCTCGCCCGGTGATTCTGAATAACACAAAACCATCCGTTCTAGATCATCCTACTACCAACGGATTGCGGCTCAATGTCGACAACTTATCAACCGCCAAGCCCATTGGACACCAAATGTCCTCTTCGATTTGTCTTAGATGGTAAGTCGATTTGTATGGACTATCATTCTGTACCACTGTGTCACATATTTTCTGACGCTGATTAGGCGATCAGGCGCACATCACTATCAGTTCCCTAGTAAGTCACATTATTCCCAACACTATCAAGTATGATAATTAATTGGCATGCCTCTAAGTCTTTTACAAGATTTCATGATCCACTGGCATATACAAGCAAATTACAGAGCAGTGGTAGAGCTCTGTAGAGGTCCCCTAGCGCCTGAATAGGGAGCACACATAAACCCTGGCATTCCAGACAAGGAAAATAATGACCGTCAGTAACCTCAAAAACTGCACTTCATAGTATGGTCAAACCTACAGAGCTGTGACACCGACCAGAGGATATCGTGATACATGATGCGATACTGTCACGTCCAGAAGATATCAACTTCCTATTGTGATCAGTTAGAGCAGATTCTAAAGGCGAAGGCAGTAGAGGCGTAACACAAGATAAACTTGTCACTAATTTGTAACGTGGAACCTAAATTCCTACGGGAACTGAGTAGGAATATATCATTGTTATTTCGCGGTAGAGAGAATCAGCATATTATGGAATGTATGTCCTTTTATTCGGAAGCTTTGAGAGTAAAAAAGATGGAGGAAAAATGTGGTCTTTCATAATACTAATGTGGGCGAGATGATCATTTGACGGAGAAGCACTTCTTTAAGCTACTAGAACAACCGAACTTTCAGAGGAATTCTAGTATATATTGTCACGCTGGGTAATCTGTCTTGCACTTAGTATAGTTATCGTCCCTAAGAAAGGTTGTTCTTACTTCCCCTTAACACCTCCCAGATTATTTACTACTTTCAATTTATAATCCAATTTGATCTCTTTGTTAAACAGTCTCAATGTAAGAGAAGCATCCTTAAACATAAACAAAGAAAACGAATTTTACATCGAACATCTACACATAAACTTTAGCTAGATTAGCATAGGGTATGGCAAATACAGCAGATGTTCTACAAACTGCTAATAATTTTCACCTCCTCCATAACTCACGCACATCAGCATATCTTTGAAAAGTGTCATTATTATACAAAGTGATAAATTAACTTCAGTGGAATGGAACTTATCAAGATCCTCGGTGTGTTGTGGCAACAATAGCACGCTCAAAGCGGCATTATACTTCACGTGTCATGCAACAGAAAGTGCGAGAGGTTCGCCCAAAGATTAAGTGCGGATCTTGTGCCGTTCGCGGTGCTCACTTATCGTGTTAGCACTGGCTTCAGAGAAAGTCATTAAGTGAGTTGACAAAATTCCTCTGTCATAGGGAACCGTAAGACTTTGAGGACATAGGGCCGACATAAAAGTCAACTGTCTGGACATTTTCGGGTAGTGCATTATGTATATAAAGATTTCTGAAAACTCAGCATTGTTGGGAAATTTATCACATACGGTGGTTGATCCAACAAGCTACTCGTACTAGGCCATGAAAGCGGACAATTTTTTGTTTCGGAATCTGACCTCATCCAGCATGCTCCATGTAGTGAAGGACGCCCTTTGGCAGAAATTGAATTTTTCACACTAAGGCATTATGCGAGACTAAATCTGTTTCCCTCATTTAGTTTCTGTCTGGAGGGAAATGAAAACACCTTGGGGTATCCTGACCTTAACTTACCTGAGCACAGAGCCTCTAAAAATGGCAACAAATCGAATCGCAGATGCCTTCCCGGGTTTTCTTGAATCTTGTTCCACATCTTCACATCACAGAAGCGAGTAAGGCTTTGTAAATTTTGCGCTTTCTTTCGACTCAATGGCTGAAACGGATGACCACATAATGTGTGGGTAGGCGAGGTATAAAATCTCAGGTCTTCCAAGAACGACGCTGTGGTAAGCGTGCGTTAATCCAATAACACTCAAAGTTAGCCTCGATCCGTACTCCCAAGGGTCCAAACTGCATCTACCCATTCACAAATAAGGCAACGAACACAGCCAAATGTAGTAAACAAATGTTTTCACTGGTTTCACTAAAACCCTTAGATCCGCGTATTCGCTATACTTACCGCTGACTTCCAAAGTATCACCTCTTACACCACTGTCAGCTATTTAACTTAATCCTACGCAAGTAGGCGCTTTTATCGCAGCACTAATATGGCACCATTGGAAACGTTAGACAAAAAGGGCCATTGGTATTGCATTCGAAATCCGCAAATAATTAACCCAAATATGGTTTATATTTTAGAGGGTGATTCGGTTTTGAATCTTGGCACCTACAATCTCCTTAAGGGTGAATGACAAGGATTCATAACAATACTGGGCTCTCTGTCACTAAAGTCTCCTGGCAGGGAGGGCCCTTGACGCCACATAATAATTACCTTTGAAAAAATTCCTTTAACGACACTTACCGAGAGCTCGGCTATCGGAGCTCCGGCCCGATTTGCAGTATGATGATTTACAAGCTTCAAATTGCTCCCCCAACTTGTGTCTTTCGCATCAATCTGCGAGTACGATAGTGGTTTCTCTACTTCATACCCTCCCCAGTTATAATACTTTGAGGTAGTGATAAAGTAAAGTGCCTGGAAACAATGAAAGAGGGCGAATATGTGGTAGGCCGATCCCTGAGTTGAGGAAATAGCTTATATTCACCGATTTGTAATCACAATTCCTGAGATACCTTGACTATTACATCTGGTGTAACCGTAGACTAGAATATTGTCTTTGGCGATGGTAGCGTGGCTGTATAATCCTCGGGGAATATTAATCCGAAAGCGAGATATTTCAGGTATAAGAGCTACTTCGGATCACCATTAGAAGCATGCACTGTTAAAACCATAGGTAGGGAATTAAAGTCTATCCCAGTGAACACTTATTAGTATGGGGGTCTCGGATGAAAATTGAGCGTCTCTACCTCAGATAACAATCAAGGGCCAGTTTGAGGCCGACGTCACACAAATTAACCTTGAGGGAAACAATTGGTCTCCAGAGAAGAGTATGAGAGTAATTCTAGGCTCCATTTTTGGCGGAATCAAAAAAGTACTCTGGCCAATGATGCCTTAGCGACTGTGGTCTCTGTCTATGACTTTCCCGAAGTTGTGGTCAAAAGCGCCTTGACTTTAGATATGCAACTAAAGAATTGCCATTACGATGAAGTGCTGAGGGTGATAAACCACTTGAAGAACCCCAAAAGTACGACCAGCAAATTAACTTATTTGGATTCAATTCGCGAGAAATATGGTGCAAGTGTTCAATTTGTTGACAATGTCCCCGACTAAGACTACCCTCATCAGAGTTTCTAAAGGCTGCAGCTATGTACGAGACTGGGGACAAACATTGTGACCTACCAAGTACCTAAGATTATCACAAAAGCTTCGGATGGTTGCAGCCTCTTAAGATAGTTTGTTGTATTGATGTATTTATTATGTACCTGGTTGTCGATATGGTAGCATATTAACTTATACTGTAAAAATGTATCAAGAGCAGAGATGAAGAGTAGTCTCATGGACTTTAATAGGGGTCATATACTACAAAATCTTTTAACCTTTCACAATATCAGGGCTAGTGGCGCAGTTGGTAGCGCGTTCGCTTTGCATGTGAAAGGTCATCGGTTCAAATCCGGTCTAGTCCATTATTTTTTGTGGCATTTGTTGAAGTAATGCGGCCACGCAATGAGCTTAAAGAATAACCAGCTCACGAATGGCTCAAATTGCTTTGAAGATGAATATAACCTGTATGAGGTATTTTTGAAAGTCAAGGTCTATATAATTTATTTCCCAGTACCAAAAAATTGGTGGAACCCGGTTAGCGTAAAGCGATATTTCACATCACCGTCATTTAGTCTCGTGAGTCCATCAGATACGCCTGCCTCGGAAACTTGAATTGTTTCGACCCAAGGTCTGAAATTGTGCTTGACAGCCAGATTCATTAGTTCAATTGCTTCCTCTCTGGAGCCCAACTTGGAGGAGCCCATGTTGCAACCATTGGCGAAAAAGCTGAAAGGCTTCACTTTGAGGTCCTCATCAATGTGAGGTAATCCTACAGACACAAAGTTACAATTAACCTTCAGACATGGCAACAACGCGTTGAGATCCAGAGACGTGGTGGAAGATGCACAGTTCAAAATTAAGTCGAAGGTATCGCCGAGATTTTCACTCCAGTTCTTCTCGCCAGTAGCCACAAAATGGTCAGCACCCATTTTGATAGCATCATCTTTCTTGGAGTAACCACGCGAGAAAGCGTAGACTTCCGCTCCAAGCGCTTTGGAGATCATGATGGCCATATGGCCCAATCCACCAATACCAATGACTGCCACTTTAGGGTCTTTTTTACCTGCGATATTACGTTTAATTGGCGAGTACACCGTTAATCCACCGCACTGCAGAGGGGCTACCAGTTCAGATGGGAGCTCAGGTGGGATTGGGAAGCACAGGTGTTCATGAGCACGTACGTGGGAGGCGTACCCACCTTGGGAAACGTATCCATCCGGATAAAAGTCACAATAAGTGCTGACGGCCTGAGCGCAGTATTGCTCGTTGTTTGAGTTGCAGCGGGTGCAGTTCATGCAAGCTGATGCTTGAGCACCAAGGCCCACCCTGTCACCAACCTTGCACAGTTTGACCTCTGGTCCAACAGCAACGACCTTTCCAACAACTTCATGTCCGACAACTTGCGTTTTGGGTCCATACTTCGAGCTCAAGCATGCCATTTCACCGTGCGACCACCCGTTTTGAAGGGCAAACAGCTCGGATGCGCAGATACCACAGCATTCGACCTCGATATCTACATCGTGCGCTCCAAAATTTTTGGGCTGGTAAGAAGTAAGTTTGGGAGTAGCCCAGTCCTTGGGATTGTTAATCGCGAAACCTTGGAATTGTTCAGGATAGCTCATAGCTCAATGAAGATTGTCTGCTGTCTGGGAGTACGCTGTCAGATACTTGGTTCGAATTATTGGTAGATAGGACCTTCTTAATAGTATCTCGAAAGCTTGCTCGCCAATCCTCTTACCCGGATCTGAGAGTTCGAGCATTCTTAATATGACGTAATTGGTAACAAAGGCGAGAACCACGTGATCCCCAGAGAGCTTATCTTGGACCTCGACAAATGCCCACATGCCCACGGTCTCGTGCCCAGCAGGGCGATGGCCATGAGGTAGGTCTCGTACCACACCTTGCCATGACCTAAATCAACGATCAAATTTTCGTCAGCGAGCAATTGCTACGACGCCCTAGGCTGCCATGAGTATGACACCTAATGGGCATACTATCCGGCTGTTGGTGATACAACACCCACGGTCGTTGTTTGTAAATTTATATTCCAAAATTCGCTCTTGGGTAGACCTCCGCAGAGCTCAATTGAAGCGTAGCTGTACCTCCCCATTTTCATATCGTTGTCTATCAAAAAATGTCTCTTTTAGACATACACTCAGATATAGCCAATAACCAGCTCTCGTGCCGGTGAAATTGTCGTTATGCGACCATCTCGTTCATTTCCATAGGTCTTATAAGCGGATTGGCTGTGCGTTACTCGCAGGACGGTCTGGCCTGTTGTACTAGATATTTATAGTTTCAAGGCATTGTATGGGAATGACCCTTAAGGTAGAAAACTTAAGCGATGTCATTTTAGTAGGAAGTGATTTAACTCATACGAAAGTGAGCAAGAGCCATGCCCGCAGAAGAGTGGGGAAACATGCTGGCCTTCGGGATAAGTAGCGAAGGTCATTGATTGTTTTCGACAATTTGAGCGACCCCGGTACCCCGAACATTGATAGCATTTTCCTACCACGAGCGCATACTCATAGGCTCTATTCCGCGTTTGCATCGACACCACCACGGCTATCACAAATCTGTATTCGTCCAGATTTTTAGTCAAGAGGCTTTTGGTGCAACTGAAGTCAACACAGCAGCAAGCCTCCATCGTAAACTGGTTAGTTGAACCGGAAACTTTCACTGAAAATCTCTTATCGTATTATCTCTGAGTGAGGAGATGCCTCGCAGCAGGTTCGTTGCCGTAAGTAGCTACCATGCTTTCCTCCAGGAAGCCAACCCTCATCATTGCCAATCCTCATCATCATCACACCCTCTGTTCTCAACAGGGTTCCTTTCGTGCGCACTCCCTTCGGTACGCATTTCTTTGCATAATTGTATATTAGGTATCCCCGTGGGCCTTGCCCCCCCCCCCGCTTATCAACAATCCCTTACTATCCTGCACTTGTGCCACGACAATCCGACCACACCAATCTCTATTCTGCTATCATTGACAAAATGGGGTCCAGTAGTCTCGTTGATATCTGCTATCGTACCAATCACCACTGCAACTAACCGCCTTGTCCAGACTTGTTCGATCCTCAGCTATCCTCCTTCTCTTGCATGATAACGAAGCCCAGTGCATACCCACATTATTGCCCATGGTTGGCCCACTGGCGTGCCCATTGTAATGCCCATAAGTGTCCCAGCACGGAACTATTCGTTGCTGATGATCTAAACCGGAGCTCGGTAACTCTTACCTGAGACACAATGCTCGCCATTGGTTACCGTGTAGAGGGGAGACACCACGCCCATACACCCGTAGAACAACTCGCTCCGAACGAAGGGTACAACGAGCACAATAAAGGAAGCCACTCGAGGTCTGATGGTGGCGCAAGTTCGACTGTGTTCGTCTTCACCTGAAGTATAGATGTTTGGTGCCAGAGAAGTCTTCATCGAAAGGACCTCGTTGACTTGTACAGGTGCAAAGCAAGTGTGGGTTTTGATGACACTTTAACATTGAGTCCACACGTACTTCCATGTTTCAGTTTGCAGCTTAGCCGCTGAAAATCTCTCGGTTGCAACAGACCGTTTGATTGATATCCGTGGCACTCTAGCACCCAGCGAAGTGGCTTGGATTGATCCAAGCTGCTCTCATCCCGAGTGCGCCGCGGGGGCCTATTTTTTGCCGCTGAGATGCCAAACTAAATCACTCGGAGCAGTGCTCTCCGGCAGTACTCATCAAGGTACTCGCTGACAGATACCATCGCTCTGAACGAATATGGATCTGTACCATCGGCTGGCTCGCATTCACGGCTCTTACCAGCCGTATGTGGTCTGCCGGGCTAAAGTCCTCGCTGTGTGGCTCTGGGCCCACAACACCGCTTTTCCTCAAACTCCACTTTCCTCCATTTTCCTCCATTCTTTCTCAATTCCAATCACCAATCTCTTGCCTCCAAAATGCCTCACCCATCCGTCGCTGTCTTCCCAGTATCTTTTTTTTCACCGTTCCCACTTGGTTGAAATTACGTCGCCCAGTGTCTTCCACGATAGGTAAACAAAACAATACGCTTGCAAAGAAACATAAGCTGGAAAGGGTAATACCAACATGTGCTGGCCAGTGTAAGGGCAGATGGGAAAAATGCCTAATGCGTGGGATTGTTGATGTTGATGTTATTGATTTTGTGGGCCACAGGTGCTGCTGGCTGCTGCTGTTCCTGCCGTGATTCGCGCGTTGGCCACCACGTAACCGTAGTGAAACTTTTTTTTCTCGCATGCGCTATGATTTTTTTTCACGCCCTTAATGATGGTTTCCTCTATTACGCTCACGGTGGTTGGGTATCTGGCTCGCAGTGTCGTTATCTCGTTTGACATCGTTGATTGGCTATCCGGATAGTTTGGCCAGCCGTCGTTCCGCCGGCGACCGCTACTGGCGTTCTTCGCAGGGCAAAAGAAAAACAAATAGCTAACCCTCACCAAGGCGAAATTCACGCATACTGGTCGGGCCCAAGTATATAAGCTGGATGGAAGGCCAGGGATGCTTTGAGAAGAATGGTTAGTGTTTGAAATCTTTTTTGTTTCTTTTACACCTCACTGCTGTCGTGTTAGATTTTGGTCCCCAGGTGCAACGTGAATTGAAGTGTTACTATCACTCTTACTGCTCAATTCTCTCAAGAAACTAAGTGTTTCATATCCCCGTTGCTACTGCCTTCTTTTTTTCTTTAAGAACCAAAAGCTACACACCTGAACATTGAATAATGTCGACTGCTACTGAACCCACCAAAGAGAAGCCTGTCGCCCCAGTCGAGTCCGACGAGGAGGACGATGACATCGATGCCTTGATTGACGAATTGCAATCCCACCACGGTGGCGATGACGAGGAAGATGAACAGGAAGAAAAGGTCGCTGCCGGTCAGGCTCGTGTTATTCCTGAAGAACTTCTCCAAACCGACCCTTCTGTCGGTTTGTCTTCTGATGAGGTCTCCAAGCGTCGCCGGAAATACGGTCTCAACCAAATGGCCGAAGAATCCGAATCCTTGGTTGTCAAGTTCCTTGGTTTCTTTATCGGTCCTATCCAATTCGTTATGGAAGCCGCTGCCATCTTGGCTGCCGGTCTAGAAGATTGGGTTGATTTCGGTGTCATTATTGGTTTGTTGATGTTGAACGCTGGTGTTGGTTTCATCCAAGAATACCAAGCTGGTTCCATTGTCGATGAATTGAAGAAGTCCTTGGCTAACTCTGCTGTCGTTGTCAGAGACGGTAACCTTGTTGAAATCCCAGCCAATGAGGTTGTCCCTGGTGACATCATGCAATTGGAAGATGGTGTTGTTATTTGCGCTGACGGTCGTTTGGTTACTGAAGAATGTTTCTTGCAAATTGATCAATCTGCCATCACTGGTGAATCTTTGGCTGTGGACAAGCACTACGGTGACACTGCTTTCTCCTCTTCCACTGTTAAGAGAGGTGAAGGTTTCATGATTGTCACTGCTACTGGTGACAACACCTTCGTCGGTAGAGCTGCTGCTTTGGTTAACCAAGCCCAAGGTGACCAAGGTCACTTTACTGAAGTCTTGAACGGTATCGGTACGATTTTGTTGGTTTTGGTTATTGTCACCTTGTTGGTCGTCTGGGTCGCCTGTTTCTACAGAACTGACAAAATTGTCAGAATTCTAAGATACACTTTGGGTATCACCATTATTGGTGTTCCAGTTGGTTTGCCAGCCGTTGTTACCACGACCATGGCTGTCGGTGCTGCCTACTTGGCCAAGAAGCAAGCCATTGTCCAAAAGCTATCTGCCATTGAATCTCTAGCTGGTGTCGAAATCTTGTGTTCCGACAAGACCGGTACCTTGACCAAGAACAAGTTGTCTTTGCACGAACCTTACACTGTCGAAGGTGTTGAAGCTGACGACTTGATGTTGACTGCTTGTTTGGCTGCTTCCAGAAAGACTAAAGGTTTGGATGCTATTGACAAGGCTTTCTTGAAGTCTTTGGCCCAATACCCAAGAGCTAAGAGCGCTTTGACCAAGTACAAGGTTTTGGAATTCCACCCATTTGACCCCGTCTCCAAGAAGGTCACCGCCGTGGTGGAATCTCCAGAAGGTGAAAGAATTATCTGTGTTAAGGGTGCCCCATTGTTTGTTTTGAAGACTGTCGAAGAAGACCACCCAATCCCTGAAGACGTTCACGAGAACTACGAAAATAAAGTTGCTGAATTGGCCTCCAGAGGTTTCCGTGCCTTGGGTGTTGCCAGAAAGAGAGGTGAAGGTCACTGGGAAATTTTGGGTGTTATGCCTTGTATGGATCCTCCAAGAGATGACACTGGATCCACTGTTAACGAAGCCAGACGTCTAGGTCTAAGAGTTAAAATGTTGACTGGTGATGCCGTCGGTATTGCTAAGGAAACTTGTCGTCAATTGGGTTTGGGTACTAACATCTACAACGCTGAAAGATTAGGTCTAGGTGGCGGTGGTGACATGCCAGGTTCTGAATTGGCCGACTTCGTTGAAAATGCTGATGGTTTTGCTGAAGTTTTCCCTCAACACAAGTACGCTGTTGTTGAAATCTTGCAACAAAGAGGTTACTTGGTTGCCATGACTGGTGACGGTGTCAATGATGCTCCTTCTTTGAAGAAGGCTGATACAGGTATTGCTGTCGAAGGTGCCACTGATGCTGCTCGTTCCGCTTCCGATATTGTTTTCTTGGCTCCAGGTTTGTCTGCTATCATTGACGCTTTGAAGACTTCCAGACAAATTTTCCACAGAATGTACGCCTACGTTGTTTACCGTATTGCCTTGTCTCTTCACTTGGAGATCTTCTTGGGTCTATGGATTGCCATTTTGAACAACTCCTTGAACATTGACTTGATCGTTTTCATTGCCATTTTTGCCGATGTTGCTACCCTAGCTATCGCTTACGACAATGCTCCTTTCGACCAAAAGCCAGTTAAGTGGAACTTGCCTAGATTATGGGGTATGTCCATCATTTTGGGTGTTATCCTTGCTGTCGGTACCTGGATTACTTTGACTACCATGTTTGTCCCTAAGGGTGGTATCATCCAAAACTTCGGTTCTATCGACGGTGTTTTGTTCTTGCAAATCTCTTTGACTGAAAACTGGTTGATTTTCATCACCAGAGCCGTCGGTCCTTTCTGGTCCTCTATCCCATCCTGGCAGTTGGCCGGTGCTGTGTTCATTGTTGACATCATTGCCACTATGTTCACTCTATTCGGATGGTGGTCTCAAAACTGGAACGATATCGTTACTGTTGTCCGTGTTTGGATTTTCTCTTTCGGTGTCTTCTGTGTTTTGGGTGGTGCTTACTACTTGATGGCTACTTCCGAGTCTTTCGACAGAATGATGAACGGTAAGCCACTCAAGGAAGAACCACCAAAGAGATCTATCGAAGATTTCTTGGTCGCCATGCAAAGAGTCTCTACTCAACACGAAAAGAATCATTAAGCGACTTGACTACCGTAATTTTTTTGTCGCGATGCTTTTCAATCTTTTTCACAACATGAAGAATTGATAATACCTTTTACAATGAAATTAATTTTATTTCAATTTTTCGCAATACCAGAAGAGATAAAAGAGGAATGGTGTCATATAACGAGTTGCTAGGTTTAACTTGGAATTTCTTTTAATGACAGACGTGTCCCTTTCGATAAGGTGGTTGCTGGACTATTCCTTAAATTACTCTTTTTTCTTTCGTCTTTTCCAAGCCTAGAAATTAATTTGACTAATGGTGAATTGATCTCTATTAACATTGGATTAAACTAGTCAAATTCTGGAGCTTTGTTTTCATTCAATTCTTTGGGATCGTGATAAACTGATGAATTTAACATTCGATATCCCCCGCAACCTTTACTAATTTTTAATTTTGGCACACACATTCATACACATTCACATTAAGGCACATGAGCTGACAGCGAGGTTTTCAATGGGCCTGCATATGCATACACACACACACACACACACACACACACATGCATATGGAGGTTAACTGAGTTCTTCTGTCAGTTCAGGATTTCACGTAATTTACACGACACATGTACGCAGTCACATCACAAGATACCACACGCGCGCAAGTGACACACAAACAGACACACACACGCATACACACACACACACACACACACACACACACACACACACACTAGAAGCGAATTTCGTAAAATACTAATAGTAATTTTATAGTAATTTGAGATAATGTTTTGTTTTTATTTATGTTTGCTTCACGTTATGAAATAGAGTTAAAAATATTATCTCTTCGAATAAATAAAGGAGCGAGGGTGTGTTTTGGGTGCTCACGCGGAACAGTGAATAGCATCAGACACCTTAATCCATTAATAAAGTTAGCTCATGGCTATTAAGTGGCTCAACTATACATTGTAAATCACCTATTCAGCTTTCGTGGCCTCCAGCTTGGTCGCTTCCTTGTACATTGGATAATCTATATAGCCTTTGTCACTCCAGACATAAAACGTGTCTCTGTCGTACGCATTCAAAGGTAACCCGTTTTCCAATCTTGAAACCAAATCTGGATTAGCGATAAAGAGCCTTCCATAACCTATTAGAGTTCTATCGTCATTTTGGACATCAGCCAAAGCGGCCTTGGGATCTAATGCGTAGTTACCAGCTCTGACTAAAGGACCCTTCCAGATACTGCACACGAAATCGTTCGTACCGTCTTTGTACCATCCTTCCCCTTCACTCATCCTGGGAGTGGTTACTCTCGGTTCGACTACATGAAGGTAAGCGGGTCCCTTTTTGGATTGTGCTCTTCTCTCCAATTCACCAATAACGTAGGCATACTGAGCAATGATTAAGGGTTCAGCACCGCCAGACATTGTACCAAAAGTGCCATAGGGAGAGAAGCGAATTCCGACCTTATCATGACCAATAGCATCAGCAATTGCATCAAAAACTTCCAGAGTAAAACGTGCTCTATTTTCGATCGAGCCACCGTACTCGTCGTTTCTCTTATTAGAAATGGGATCTAGGAATTGATTCAAGAGATAACCATTGGCGCTGTGGATCTCGACACCGTCGGCCCCGGCTTCAATAGCATTTTTGCTGGCTTGCACGTAGTCCGAGATATACTGCTTGATTTCCATTTTGGTAATTCCATGTAGCAAATTACCACTTTTCTCTGCCTCGCTCTTCGATTCTTCGTTCTCATACTGGCCTTCAGAAGCAGAGTCATACCTTAAACCATCTCTCTTCAAATTAGCCGGAGGGGCAGCTCTACCCAACGCCCACAACTGGACCCATAAAAAGGATTTATTGTCGTGAACTTTGGTAACGATGTTTTTCCATTCTGCCACCTGTTCTTGGGACCAGATGCCAGGTGCATTATCGTAGCCACCTGCTTGAGGGGAAATGAAGGTACCTTCGGTGAAAAGCATTGTGCCCGGAGCTTGTGAGCGCTGCCCATAGTATTGATGTGCCCACTCTTTGTTTGGCACATTGCCAGGTGAGTGAGCACGTAGCCTTGTCAGAGGGCACATAACAACCCGGTGCTGGACCAAAGTCTCGCCAATGGTGAGCGGTTTGAAGAGGTTGCTTTCTTTGAGGGGAACGGGTTTAAAATCTTTCACGAAGGGCATAGCTCAAATGTAGTCGGAGGTTTGTAAGTGCTTTTATAGCCTAGTGTACAGTAACCAAAAATGTTCCATAGGTCTCATCAAGTGCAGAGTTCACACACCTTCTTATACGTGACTTTGGGCAGTGCCCTCGTCAGCGTTCATTAGTAAGTTTTAAATGAACAGCGTACAAATGCATTTATCAGCACATGTGAACGCTTGACAATTGATTATGCCACACAACTTGTTAGAAGCTCGAGGACTGATAAGGCTGTCGAGAATTGTGCTGTCACAAGTGGGCGAAGGCCATCCAATGCCAAGCGGCGAATTAATTTGTGAAATGGTCTTGGCGATGCCCCTAATCTGATAAAGCGCGGTATGTTCTAACGACCTCCTGGATTGTTACTAATGATGAAAAGACCTGTTAGCTAGTCCCATGGTGCTTACGATCCACTGCTATGTCTCGAAACCTCGCTGCTTCCAAATGACATATATGGTGTCCAGCTTACCCATCCAAATGAAATCTATCGTCGCTATCCTTCCAATGTTTCTTACCACGTAGCACCGAGGCCAATGTAGCTTGTTCAATTTGCTTGATCACTCCTCAACTTCTTCGTGAACGGCACGGGCCGCTCGGTATGTTCAGCCCTTACAAGTCCTGTTGAGCTCTGTTCTGATGGTGTGATCAAGACCCGAGAAAACGCAGCGCCAATTGGTACCTGCTGATAGCCGGGCTATTACCAACCGCCAAAAAGGACCACATCACTACCACATAGGTTGTCATGCTACATAAAATACTCTCTCTCGTGTCCACGATGCAAACCTAGCATCGTGGGTTTCCGGGAGCTGATGAATAGCTTGAACACGTAAATGAACAATGCTTCAACGATAGTTCAATCCAGTTGCGTAGCATCTGCCGTTAGCCAGTATCGAACAACAATCGCCTATAAAAAATGTGCTGCCCTAGGACTTCCTTTTATATCTGATAGTCGTCGGCTTGCCCTCAGCGTTATAAATGAAGCTCGCACGAACCATTCGAGAAACAAGAGTCGTTTCACGATCTCCAGGACTGATGTACGAAAGGAAAAAGTGCAGCAACCCACAATTCCACTCAAATTATCATAACGACCTTCGAAGTCATCGTTTGATGTGAAGAGCTATAGTCATCTCAAGGCACACAAGCCGATCCAACCCTCGCTTTTCAAAAATCCGAACTTAGGAAGGTCGCTAAAGAAGTAACCGCAACCTTCTCTATATTCCAAAGACTCTATCCCCTTAGTTTGGTGATTGAGAATGAAGAGTTCACTTTATTTGGAGGGGCCTAATTGAGTTTCATTTCGGCGGTTAAGTACTATACCAACTACAAACTACTTTCTAAAGCCCAAACTGAACAAAGTAGCAGCCTCCGAAGCTGCTAGCAGTCCTGTTTATCATGGGCAAGTAGTTAATCGAGTGGTTCACAATGAAATCCGTACGGTCTTTATTGAGGCATCGGAACGGAATCCTATCTGTGGTTGTCCAAAGAAGTGAATTCTAACAAGATATGAATTATACCCGACTCTATATCCAACCCACGGGAGGCTAGCTATCACATGAAAAGTGCTGCTGTCCCTGTTTGAGTACCGCGGTCCGCTACCGAATGACTTTAGCGAGAGCTAAGATTGCTTCAAGCACCAGAGCAAGGAAACAGCAAGAACGCTTGTCTACAACCAGTCCAACACCAATTTACTAGCGGCTACCTCCGCTAGATAGTACATCGCGGAGCCTCGTTTGATGTCATGGAAGACATGACCGTGTGACCACCATTGATGATTTTTCTATCGTAACCATGGAGTAACATGTGCATAGCCTACTTTGGAAGGATGATCCATTGTACTCTCTCTCGTTGTCGCCTAAATAATGGGTAATGCAAGTGGCTTTCAAGAGTATCGGTTATGTGGTTACGTTCCTACGAATTCCGGCATTTTAGTGACCTGAAATTAGACGATTACAGCAAAAGTACCGCCGTAAGACGCCGAATCTACTTTGCCAGTTTGGATGTGCCAGTTTCCGTCCAGTTCTTGCCCGAAGCTAACGTTTTATCGCTCGTGTGTGATGCCCTATATGTTAAAATTTTACTCACAACTCAACCAATTAACCGATCACCATCTCTGCCCCAGCGAGTAGTCATCCGTTTGACCCGATTGTGATACCATACCAGAACCCCCGAGCTACGGTTAGTAACTTAACCGACCAACTACGCTTACCATTCATTGTACACTATACTATCGACCTTTGGATCAAATAGGAAAAAGATCTGTTGTATTCTAGACCGACCGTGGTGTGTGTGTTCCCGCCCAATTATTTCTGTACATTAGGACACCTTTCTCCAAAGCTGCTCATCTTTTGAGTAATTCAAGCTTCTGCCTCTTCAAATTCTCTCACTTTAACAGACTTCTACCTCGGTCCTGCGCACATCATGACCAACCAACAGCAGCAGCCAACACCCGTGGATGATGTCCAAGTCTCGGAGACAGTCAATTCGGCTCTTGATCAACTACACCTTGACGATCTGTCGGACAATAGTCGTGCTTCTAAGCAGAATGAGACTTCTGCTCCTGGAGCCTCCGGAGCCAGTGGATTTCCAGCTCCACCTCCAATGATGGGTATGGGGTTCATGCACTACCCACAAATGATGCATTTGCCTCACTCTCCTGGTTATTTCCAGGCTCCCCAGGCTCCGGGCTCTTCAGACCCATTTGTCGCCGAAACTGGACCCCACTTGACAACCTCTGCGGACTCTGCAGCGGCCATGTTCCCATCCCAGCCACTTCACGCTAGAGCCCCTTTGGCTAACACTTCCAGTGATAATACGGGCTCAAAATCTCTCGAAATTGGCTTTTCAGGAAATATGGATCCTTTGTGGTCGTCCAATAAACAAGATTTTGACCCGAACTACCAATTTATCTCTGGGAAATTGCCTGACATGTCCAATGCCTCTAGGAGGCAAACATTCCCTAATGTTTCAGGAACTGAGCTGATTAGCGAGAGCTCTAATATCAGGACTCAAAGCATTTCACTTGAAAAGGCAGAGAGCAGGTTAGATACAATTTCAAAGGCCGAGGAGCTCGAGCCAGAATTACGCCAACCCCACGCGTCTACCACTGGTAGCACTTTTTCGGCTGCGGCATACCCTTATGGTGGGCCCCTCATTCAACCCAATCCCGTCGTTTCGGGACACACTCCACCAAGTTCCGGCCCCGCCTATGGAATACCTTCTCCTTTCCCGGCCTATGGATTCTCCTCCCCTTTTCAATCTTTTTCACCAGTCCCAGGCACGCCACTTGGCGGCCACTCCGTCAATAGACCAACCTCAAATTCTGAAAATGCTGAGAATGACACTTCATTGCTGGAACACAGGGCATCCCCAAGATCGGGATCTTCCCAAACAATGGCTCCCTGGATGTATGGGAACCATCCTTTCGGTCCGATGGTTCCCCTTCACCACCAGATGATGGCGCCCTCTGGTGGAAATGCTAACAATCATTTACATCCATCTCATCCACATAGCAATCGTCATCCAATGAATTCACGCAGACATAAAGGTGGTCATAGTCAAAGACCTTATCACCGGAAGGGAGACGATCCTGCAAAGTATGCCAATGCCAAGCTCGAGAACTACATTGGAAACATATTGTCACTTTGTAAGGATCAGCACGGCTGCCGATTTCTTCAAAGGCAATTGGACATAGGAGGATCGGAGGCAGCAGATGCAATTTTCGAGGAAACAAAGGATTACGTCGTGGAACTAATGACTGACTCCTTTGGAAACTACTTGGTGCAGAAGCTGCTCGAACGAGTCAGTGACAACCAGAGGCTAGAATTGGTAAGGTCTTCAGCACAGAGCTTTGTTTTCATTTCGTTAGATCCTCACGGAACGAGGGCCCTTCAGAAACTCGTGGAGTGCATATCTACTGAAGAAGAAGCAGAGATCATAGTAAATTCTCTACGTGGTTCAATTGTAGAATTGAGCAGAGATCTCAATGGTAACCATGTCGTACAGAAATGTTTACAAAAATTGAAGCCCGAAGATTTTCAATTTATATTCGACGCAGCAACCGATGCTTGTGTAAAAATTGCTACGCACAGACATGGTTGCTGTGTCCTGCAGCGTTGCTTGGACCATGGGAATAGCGCACAATTTCAGCAGCTGAGTGAGCAGATAATCGAGCATGTTAAGGATTTGACTACCGATCCCTTTGGCAACTACGTTGTCCAATATATACTTACAAAGCAGAGCGAGCGATCTGAAAAAGAGTACGGAGAGAGGGTTGTCAGTTCGTTGAAGCCAAAGGTCATTGAGCTCTCTTTGCATAAATTTGGCTCAAACGTAATTGAGAAGGCTCTCCGTACCCGAGGCACTTCTGAGGTATTGATTAATGAGCTTTTGCAGCACAGCGGTGATGCCAAGATTGAGCAATTACTTCATGATGGGTATGGAAACTATGTTCTGCAAACTGCTTTGGACGCAGCTCGCGCAAGTAACAAGGAGCTGTATCAGCGCTTAAGCGACACGCTCAAGCCTTTGCTTGTGGGTCCCATCAGAAACACCCCACATGGCAGAAGAATAATGGGAATTTTAGAAGTTGAATGAATTTCAGTTAATGGAAATTATGTAAATTACAAGAAAGTGTAGATTATCGAATTTGAACTTAGAAAACAAGTTTCATTGAGCGTTTTGAAGAGATTGAAACTCGGGTATGCCAATGTTTATATCGCTCCACAGTTTATTGTACAGATCATCTTCACCACAATTCAAGAAGTCGTCTAGCGATGTTAGATTAAAGTTAAGGGATGGAGACATTGGTAAGGCGGACTCTTTAGCTTGCAAATCGTCAGCCAATTTGGTTTTTGTAATGGCCCCCCCTGAGGGCCAAATAGTATTCTTGGTTTGAGAATAATCTCCAGAAGCATCCGATGGTATTGAAATTTGGAGGGTCAAGTCCTGTTCTTGTTCAATTGAGCGCTCTATACTCAAATGATATGGCGTCTTTTCTTGCGTCACAAAACATGCTTTAAAATTGTCATGGGTCAGGCTTAGTACGCGTTCCGCTGCTGATACTAGATTAGCGTCAGTAATTTTGAGGCGATCAAAAAACTCACCAACGGTTGTTTGAGACGTGCGCATGAATAGTTGCAGGCTTATTCTTACAAGAATCTGGAAAAAAGTCCTATGTTTCACGAGCTGCCGTAGTGCTCTACTGTACTTTCGAGCTTCTTGGAAGCAATCCTCCAGAAACGAGAGGGTGTCTAAGTTATGGGAAGCCCGTAATACGAGCAATACGTCCTGCATGGCAATCTGGCTACTATGCGGCCTTGGTGTAAAGAGGTCTGTGAGTACGGTCATGTAGAGCATACAACCGGATCCCATCGTTTGCCACACCAGCTCAACGTCTTGAGTACCCATGACGTGGATTAGGCACCTCCAAGATGAGTGTATCTGCACTCGGTAATCTTTCAAGGGTCTCTGGATGTCTGGAGGGTATTCTTCAACCTTGAAACGAGCGAACAAGTGTTCTACCGCTCCAAGGCATACGGAGATAGCGTGTTCAAGAAAAAACACTGTATGATCTGCTTGACTCGCATCTTCCATCTCCTGCGGTGTAAAATGATTCTCATTCATGTATTTCATGGAGGGAGTACGCAGTGTTTTGGCATGGAAGCCAATTATTTCAAATCTTCGCACAAAAATGGTAACGTCATTACAAAGCTCTCGCATTAGTGCCTCTTTCATTGAGGTGGGTTTCGCATGGTTTCGAAAATTCGTGTACTTCTTGTTATAAAGCACATTCCTAAAAAAATCGCCCACAACAATTGCTAGAGAAACAGAACAAAACAACATCATTTCAGAAACTCTGCCTGTCAGCGGTTCCCTTAGCGTGTCAATTTTTTGTAAGAATTCGTCAGACTCCAAAATTCCAAGTCTCCGAAAGCATACGGGCAGTAGGCAACTGACACTATAGTCAGGAATCTCAGCTTGCTTGCCACCTAAAACTGAGAAAAACTTGTCCCAGAAGTAGCATCTCCACCAAACTTCTCGACGCCTCTCTGCTAATTCTTCATCCATCCCGACATAATATTCCCACCGGTGCAGTCCTAAATGTTGCGAATAGCTGCATATGATCGAACGAAGTTGAAACAACACATGGTGCTCTCCAGCCCAATACTCATGCTTTATCAATGAAAGTAAGGACTCAAGATGATCGAGATCACCTCCTGGTATATATATTGTCAAATTCAAGTACTGAAAGGCCAGGACGGATAGCACCTCCTTAACTCGTATGAGCTTTTCCATCTCATTAATGTTCTGTATGCAATGTGAGACGTCGCACTTTGATTCTAGACACCACACAGCCATTGCTCGCGTTACCCAATTGAACATGTCCTTGTCAGACCTCAAGTCCTTTGGTAGCTCAAATTGTGGGTATAACTCTTTAGTTTTAGCAATCAGGGTCACAGGAAGCTCAGAGACGATCCTCGCAATGACCAGTTCCTTTGAATCAAACGGTAACCCACTCAGCGAGCAAAAATTTTCAACTGGGATTGTCCACGACTTCATTCCCAACTCCAAAAAGTGGTCGCAAGCATCAAAGAACCTCAACATAAGAAATAACGTTGTCTTGTATTCTCGCGCCATCTTAACCCCAGGATCAAAGAAATTTTTGAACAAAACTCCGATGCCTCTCAAAGACATCAATAAACCAGGACTGTAGAGACCAAACATTTCGTCGACCACGGGGTGCTGATTTACGATCATAGCTTTGGAAACGAACGGGGATGGCTGTATAGTTGAATATTTTGTTAAAGACACTTTTTCCGTGTACTTATTCATCATAAGCTGTGTCTCCAAAGATGTACACGAGCGAGGAATGTCACAAATTGAGCCAGCGCGCAGCTCTGGCTGCCAACTTGTCTCGATGTGGTGAATCTGTTGTCGGATATTCTGAACAGCCTCGATAACACGAGGAGACTGTGATGCACTGGTTAGAGCTCGCAAGCTCTCTCGCAATAGTTGTAACTGGCGCGTAGCATCTTCATCGTCTTCATACAGCCCATTGGCGGTGTCCCCTCGCGACGTGGAAGTGGGAGTGATATTTGAAAAATCGGACGTGTTTGAGGAATTTGATGATGGGTCCGGTAGCCCATCTTGTGGCAAAAACTCGGTCGACTTCGTTGCCTTCGCAGGAAACGTGCGTGAGCTGGTGGCGGGATTTTGCGAGCTGAGGCTTGCGGATGACAGCTTGCCATACGTGCACTCGCATTTGTAAGTCTGACAGTTCAAGCAGGGCTGAGCACCTGTGCACTTGATTTTACGCCTCCGACAGTTATCACAGGCTTTGCTTACCTTTGTGCGTTTCTTTTTAACCACTCCATCGCCGGAGTTTGCTGTGCTCATCGTCTTGTGCCTTTTTTAGATGCTGTGAACTAGTTCTTTTTCCTGAAGATATATGCACTCAAGAAATAGCTCCTTTGCACGAGAATTTTCACTGGCAGCCGCTTTCTCATGCTCTAGAAACCGACGGTAGCTATGCGATCATGGCAACTGCCATCGGCCTAGTAGGTTTTAATTGATAGCTACTGGGATCAATTGCCACTCACCTCGTGATAATCACATGACCAAGGAGAAGCTTTCAATATTTTTTTATGCCGGATTTTTTTTCCCACTTTGTGTTGGAAGTTGTGACCTAACCCAAATTAGCCGCCCAGGTCCCGCATGGTAGACTCCAGCCATTCTAGAGGCAATAACGAGACGAATCACGAAGGCGCTTCGTCGAAGCTTCCTCATTGTATACATCCGGAGTTGGGTGGGAAGTGTGGGTTTGCAACCGAACTTTTCAAAGCCGGCTGGGGATACTGTTGTAAACGGGCCAATTCCAGGGAGAACAGATGCTTGTTGTCATTCCAGGAATATGAAGCTAGGTGGAAAAGCTTATCTGCTGGCTCGTTCTCTCTATCAATTCGCACATTTGTGAGGGGGCCGTGGGAAAACCTGAGGTTTTGGCACTGCCCCATCGCATTTGCTTTAGGAGTTGTCACAGCGACAAATTCCAAGTAGAGCGCTTCATACAAGTGATCCTCTTTCTCGTGTTCCTGGGCTTCACTGGGCGTCAATCATACTAGCCTCACAGGTTTTTTTGGGGGCCAGTGTCCTTATAATGGGGCCGTTTTGGCGGTGAAGAGCCCAAGCAATCAGAAAGTGGCATTTGAGTTCACAGAACAGGACTCCGGCGAGCTCATACTGCTTACAAACTTGGTGGTTAAGGCGTTTAGTGATTGGTGGAGACCTAATAGGTTTCAATTTGCTAATGGCTGTTACTCGTCCCAAGTGATCTCTCAAAGTCTAAACGAATCGGAACATTTGGACGGAAGTTCGAGTGGGCTACTGTTTACAATTCTAGTCATTCTGATCCACGTAAAACGCTCGTATTGCTTCGACTTCCCAAGGAACATCATGTCTGGCCATGAATCTAAAGAGAAGCCTTCTGTAAAGGAAGCAGGCCCCGTCAATTTCTTACCACAAGGTAAGTTCCTGAAGCCCGAAGAAATCGAATACGAATTTGGCGGCCCCATTGGGGCTACTGCGATGATGCTGGGGTTTCCAACGCTAATGTATTACATGTGGATCAGTGCGGAATTCTATGGTGGCCGTCCAGCCTGGCCCACCGCGGGTGAACGCTGGGTGGACTTTTTGGCGAACCTCGGAAAGCTGTGTGTAGAAAAAGCTAGTCCTTCAAAGGAGTCGTGGACCATCTTCATGACTTTCTGGGGCGCCCAAATTGCCTTCTATTATACTTTGCCTGGTGTTTGGACCAAGGGCCAGCCCTTGACACATTTGAAGAACAAACAGTTGCCTTACTTCTGCAACGCCATGTGGACTTTCTACACCTCGGTTTCGTTGGTGCTGATCTTGCATTTCACTGGGCTATTCAAGCTCTACACCATTTTGGAGAAGTTCGGTGAGATCATGACGTGTGCGATCTATTCCGGGTTTGCCTTTTCCATCGTGCTCTACGTGTACACCTTGCTTGTCTCCGGTGACTACCACCGTATGACAGGTAACCACGTTTACGACATGTTCATGGGCGCACCACTGAATCCAAGGTGGGGTATTTTGGACTTGAAGATGTTTTTCGAGGTCAGACTGCCATGGTTCACACTTTTCTTTCTGACCCTTGGCGGGGCTCTGAAACAGATCGAGACTTATGGCTACGTGACCCCTCAAATGGGCGTTGTCCTGCTTGCCCATTGGCTCTACGCGAACGCCTGTGCCAAGGGCGAGGAACTTATCGTCCCCACTTGGGACATGGCATATGAAAAGTTTGGATTCATGTTGATTTTCTGGAACATAGCTGGAGTGCCATACACCTACTGCCACTGTACATTGTACTTATACCACCACCACCCTAGCGAATATAGCTGGTCATGGACCTACAACCTGGCGCTTTATGTGACATTATTGGTCGCCTACTTTTTCTTCGACACCACCAATGCACAAAAGAACTCGTTCCGGAAACACATCGCTGGCGACAAGTCCGTCCGCAAGACTTTTCCATTCTTGCCCACACAAGTGCTAAAGGACCCTAAATACATGATCACTAAAAATGGCTCTTACCTTTTGATAGACGGCTGGTACAAGTGGGCTAGAAAAATTCATTATACCGCAGATTGGACCCAGTCTTTGGTGTGGGCTCTCTCTTGTGGTTTCAACTCTTGTTTTCCATGGTTTTTTCCTGTTTTCTTCTTTGCCGTGCTGGTCCACCGCGCCTTGCGTGACCAAGCCAAGTGTAAAAAGAAGTACGGTGAAGACTGGGATAAATACTGCGAAGAGTGCCCTTATCTTTTCATTCCCTACATCCTGTGAATATCTGAAAAAACTACAATTTGATAAAAGTACGCGAGAGCCTAAAAAGTATGGCAACTCCCGAAAAGTAGGTATTATCCAACCATTTGATATGTCCACACTATTCTATACTTTAAAACAAGCTTAACGTCTTGTAAACGGAACTGGTGTCTTCGTTTGGTTCATGGCGTATGATGTGATTCAATCAAGAACTCATATCATGTTAGTTAACAGTTGCATAAATATTAAAAAGTTACAATACAAGTGCAGGGCGTCATGGCACAGCAGAGCCTAGGTTACTACGACACCATCTCAGGCTTGTCAGCACTTGAATGCTCTCATAAGGTTCATCTCTCGGTCGAGCAACTTCAACAATTGTGCACACTTGATAAAAAAGCCAGGAAAATACAGGATGGAGTAGACGATAATGGTGATGAAAACGAACGCAGGATCAGAAAAAGAGCACCTGTACACGGATATTTGAGCAAGATAGATGCTACTATAAAGCTAGATTTGTCAAACGAACTGCAACATACGCTACTCGGCGGACATGTGCCCCGCTCGCAGTTGGAGGCGTTGTCAAGCACAGATTTTGCCAACTACTTCCACAAGATGGTGGATTTCGAGAAGGCCACCCAAACTTTCGACATGTTTGCACACCAAGCGACAATGGTGGCTACTGCGGTCCCTACCCCCACGCCACCGCCAAGCATAACTCCGACGACCACTCCGCTAACTCGCACCGAATTTACTGAGACTGCAGAGGCGGTGAGAAGATCCAGACCGCAGCTCAATAGCAACAATAGTAGTAGTGGTAGTAGTGCGGGCGGTGTGAAGAAAGTGATTCTTTGCAAAAAATGCAAGGCAAGATTCAGTGGTCCTCGCAGATTTACCAATATGAAAAAACATATGTGCATGAGGGGCTGATGGACCCTCACTGTATCGCACTCATGGGGATAATGAGCTAAGGCGCTCGACAGGCACATTTCGTCGATAGCTCTTGTAATATATACGGGTGTAAATATCTAGTACAATAGGAAACGTTAGTCGTGACGCGGAGGGAGACAATACCTGATGAAATCTGCACCCAATATATGAGGAGAATGCCTCAATCCTGCTCAGCAATCGCCACAAGCCTTTCTTCTATCTGGTCAGGAGTCAGGCAGTAAAAGCTGTCTTTGACGGCAACACCTATTTCAAGATCGTTTTTGCTGAATTCTGTCCCGAGGGAATCGATCATTTGTGTGATACCGAATTCCACTACACTCTCGTACGATTCTCCATCGACGTAGTCGACCTTGCGCTTCTTGAAAAATTTCTCTAAAGAGCTCATTAGCTCCTGTTGCTTTGGACCCGTAGCAGTTGCTTTGTAACCCACATAGTAGCCGGCAGGATCGCACTTGTAGATAGAAGGTCCCAATTCTTCATCGACTGACACAAACGTCAATATCACTCCTAGTGGCCTCATATATGCTCTCTGGGTATAGATCTGGGAAAGATTCGCCATTCTCTTGGCCAGCACATCTGCTGGCATGTCGTAGCCGTATTTGTAGCGGTACTCAGCTGCTTCAGCTTTGGCTCTAAGTGCCGCATTTCTAGCGTCGGGAATTGGCCCGTTTACAACCAGTCCCACATGCCTGGAAATCTGAAATAGATATGACATGGTCGAGGGATCGAGAAGTTTGTCCGGAACCTTCTTTTGATTTATCACCACGCAACAGTCCTTGCCCCTGATGGCCATCGAGTTGATATTTGTTTGGTTGGTGGCTTTGAACGCATACTCGACCTGGTAAAGACGGCCTTCGGGCGAGAAGATAGTAATATGTCTGTCGTAACCAGCCGCGGACATGATCGAGACAATTGAGCTAGGTGTTCCTGGTACATGGACGGTAACGTTGCCGTTCTCTAGTGGCAAAAATACCGGGCCCATCAATTGTAGAGCGAGCACTATGCACGAAATACAATATAACTGAATACCTGACATTGATCTAGTGACAGATACGATCGCCCGCCAGAACTTTGGAAGTAGCTCCAGCAGTTCGCCTTATTACTGGCGATAGATCTGTACATTGAACAATGCTGACCCCTTTTGTTTTGAATGTCCCTGCTGTGATGATAAATAACAATGAAAGAAATAAACACATGCGCTTCTCTAGCGGAACTTCCATATATTGATACGATAGAAGCCATGATTTCAGAATAAATCAACACCATTCGCTGGTGTATTGCTTTAGCCTGGTAAATGCCGGTGATGTCGACAAGGCGTCAGTTTATTGCATAGTGACACTTCTTACTGAGGTCTTCAGTCCATAAAAACTCACCCTTGATGGTAGCTCGCTAGTGCATGCTAAGGACCTTGATAGTATGGAAAATCTAACAGAGGTGGACCTATTTTGAACGCGACTCGGCAGGTCGCACGCTCGGATGTGATATAACTGTCCTCATCGTATCGGCTCGTGTTATGTGATGGTGGTGCCAGCCATTGATAATTTATGTAATCGTTCCAGTCTCCGTGAATTGCATCGCATAGCCTTGGCCAAGGGCTACTTGATTCCAGCCTGTGTAGCTACTAATAGAGCACATAGGCAACTCTGATTGGATTGGTCCCGAGGCCACGTTCATTTCGCCTCTTAAAACACGAAATGACGGAATTGCTCGATTTAACAACACAATTGGCCTTTTACAAAAGTTATCATAGTAATCACACAAATGTTTTGATCCACGCTGCCTTCGTTCCGCTGATATTATATTCGTCGCTGGTTATATTACATAGAGTAGAGCTTCTCGCGGGCGTAACGCTGGCCCATCTTCTGGCCGGCAGCTTTGCCAGCTATTATGTGGCTCTGGATGCCAAAGTCGGCGCGCTTGCTGCTGGTCTTTTGGGAAGCACTGTCTGGGGTATCGGGCTCGGGACATTAGACATTCCTTGCACATGGGCGTGGGCCATTTTTTTTGCCGGATGGGCCTCGCAGTTTGTTGGACATGGGGTTTTTGAGCGCCGGAGACCTGCCTTGCTCGACAACTTGGTGCAGAGTCTTGTGACTGCTCCCTTTTTGATTCTATTCGAACTGCTTTTCTTCCTGGGCTTGTATCAAGATTTACAACATGAGATCATGCAAAGAGTCAAGGGCAAGAATTCCAAGAAACTCTAGCGAGATGCACTGAATGACCAAGCAGAACTGGCTCCTCTGCGCCCGTCAATTTCTCCAATTAACGATGGCTATGATGCTGCTCCGCTTTTCAAAACTTCGAGATAGGCGAGGCTGTGCCACAAAATATATGGGCGACGAAGACTCCAGTCGCACAATCTTCTATAGCACAGTGGTGATAAGCAACAAGGCTTCCGTTGAACTTATACTATGAATTTCGCGAGTATAGGCAGTGGAGCCTCTTCTACCCGAGCCTCATCGTATGTCAGGAGGAAGCCGAGGAGGGAGCCGGGATACGTCAATGCCCTCGCTAGCCAAGTGTAAGTCTCCGGTTGGGAGGAGAGCCCCAGAAAAAAGGGCCACGCACCGGCCACGCACCTCATGTCAGAATAGTTTAAAGTAATCATACAGCAATTAGAGGCAGAGGGTTGTGCAACCCTAGGTGGATAATGATCTCCTAACTAGAGCCTTCAACCAGAAGTGCCCAAAAGAGTTCAGTGATGAACAAGACAGTCAGAACATATTTTCGAGAAAAAAATCCCAAATACCCGTATGCGCCTCCGTTCAAAACCTCTAAAAAAAGCAGTTGAAGCGCCAAACTGTTCTGAAACTGGTTCAACCAGCCAGAAGCTTCTGGGACTGATAACAGCTCCCATCTTTGATGCGTTAGTCCAAGTATCAAAATGAATGTACGTATGTAATGATGAGTTTGTTATGATTGGTAGGGGCCCCTATAATAAATCGAACGAAATTGTACCTACATTCAGTAGATCGATAATCACTAAGAACCAACTACTCGCTCCACAAAGCAGGGCCAAAAAACAGGCCGGCACTCTTCTGTCGGAACGAAATGACTCTTTTCCTTGGTATTTACAAGGCAATCTATCAATATGAGCCGCAATCGGAAGAAGAGTTGGCTCTTGAGGAAGACGATCTGCTGTACTTATTGCAGAAGTCCGACATCGACGATTGGTGGTCTGTAAAGAAGCGAGTGATCGGTTCAGATGCCGAGGAACCGGTTGGTCTTGTTCCTAATAACTATATTGAACCGGCAGGGGTGACTTCCACCGCAAAAGCGCTATTTGATTATCCCGAGGTACAGAACGCAGACGAAGAAATCGCGTTCAATGAAAACGATATCTTCGATATTTATGATTCAAGAGACCCCGACTGGATTTTGTGCCGCTTGCAGAGAACTGGGGAATGTGGATTTGTCCCGGGCAATTATATAGAGGAAATGTCAGGGATTGCGTCAGCTGGTGCTGGTATAGGTGCCGGCGCTGCTACAGTACCCGCAGCGATTCCAGTGGCGCCACAGACATCAACGGTTAATGCCAGTAGCTTTCCTCCCCCTCCTCAGCATGTTACCAAAACTTCTCAAGCAGTACCACCAGCAATATCGACGCCTTCGTTTGATCAGGACAATGAAGACTTGGATTACGCTTCCGCCGATGAGGATGACGTGGCTGCACCTCCAAAGCCTACGAGACCTCTGGCTGATGAGCCTAAAAATCACTCATCTACGATTGACCACTACCAAAACGTTACGAGTGAAGCAACTAATCAAGAGCCCAGCCAGGAAAGCACTCGCTTCCAAACCTGGGAGATATCTGAAGTGGTTGGAAGAAAGAAGCACAAGGCGAAGTTCGCGATTGGAAGAAACACCATTTTTTTCACTCCCTCCAAGGGCACTCCTCAACAATGGCCCATCGATGATCTAATGACTTATGATAACGAAAAGAAGCACATTTTCTTTGAGTTTTCAAACCCCTATGTTAACCTTGAAATTCATACTGGCTCTACCAGCGTTGCCAATGAAATAATGGCTGTTTTGGGCGAGCTCAAAGGTGCTTATCATGCCAGCGGCTTGCGGGAAGTGGAAGCAGCATCAAAGGCATCCACTAAAACCTCGCAAACGAAGCAAGGAAAGGTAGTCTACGATTTTATCGGCGAGTCAGGCGATGAGCTGACGGTTAAAGAAGGACAAGTTGTGCATATCCTGGATGACAAGAGGTCACAGGATTGGTGGATGTGTGAGCTGCCTGAAACTGGCCGCAAGGGCGTTGTCCCAGCACAATTCATCGAACCAATTAATCAGCTCTCCTATATGGCGAGTTCTCTCAAAGACTTGACGAAGTCCAATCAGAAGACGTCTAGCAAAAACTGGAAAGACGATAGCGATCAAACAGTTTCAAAAAAAAGTTCTGCCAGAAAAAGAGCTTCATCTATATTGCATGGGAACAAGAAGAAAGACTCTAGCAAGAAGAAGGAAGAAGATGGTAAAAAGCAAAAAGAGTACCCAGATTCTAAGAAAACTCGTGTATGGGTTGATAGAAGCGGAACGTTCAAAGTTGAAGCTGAATTTATAGGCTGTGTGGAAGGTAAGATTCATTTGCATAAAGCAAATGGAGTCAAAATTGCTGTAGCTGCCGACAAACTTTGCACGGAGGACTTGGAACGTGTAGAGCAAATGACCGGCACTTCATTGGATAAGTACAAGCCAAAAAGTACAAGTGTCAGCTCTTCTTCTGCAAGAGATAAAGAACGTGAAAGAAGAAGAAAGGTTAAGGAGCATGAAGATCGCGAACGTGAGCGCGCTCAACGAGATTCAGATCGGCTGCTACGAGAAAGGGAGCTCGATGAACTGAGAAGAGCCCGGGACCTCCTCGATAAAGAAAGAGAACTTCTTCGTGCAGCTCAAGAGAGAGACCTTCCTCCTATACAACCCCCAAGACCTTCCGCTACTCCCGAACAGACTTCGGCCAAGCCAGCGGCAAAGTCGGTCCCTAAGCCTGTTGAATATGATTGGTTCGAATTTTTCTTGAACTGCGGAGTTGATGTTAGCAACTGCCAACGCTATACCATCAATTTTGAACGAGAGCAAATTTCAGAAGAAAGCTTACCTGATATCCAACCTTCTATTCTGCGAACACTGGGTCTACGTGAAGGTGATATCATTCGCGTTGTGAAATATCTCAACCAGAAGTTCGGAAGGGAGACGACTCAACTTCCTACAGCTACCGGAGGGTTGTTCTCCGAACCAGATGGCTCTCTTAAGGTTTCTCACACTGGTAAGACAGGCGGGCTGTCAGAAAATCTACTACCTCAACAAGCGGGCCCTTCGGTGGGACAGGATGATGACGCTTGGACCGTGAAGCCCGCGGCCACTACTGAAGCAGCGATGCCACCTCGGAGATCAGAGTTTACAGGATCAATGCAGGACTTACTTGACCTTCAGCCACTAGAACCAAAGAAAGCACCACAACCCAATTTCAAAGACTTGGAAGCCATCAAAACTGGTTCGTCCAGGGCTGAAAGCAACTTGGCTCCAGATAAAACTGGCACTTCGATGGCACCCCTGGATCCCTTCAAGACCGGTGGTCATAATCTACTGCCTGTAGCTACTGGTGGGTTTGTTATGGTGCCTGTCAGTACAGGTGGCCTATTACCATTCCAGAGAACTGGAGGTTTGCCATTTCCTCAAACTACTTTTGGAATGCAACCAACTGGTACGATTTTGCCTGTACAGAAGACCGGCAGTGGGTTGATGCCTGTCAACACGGGAGGTCTTGTTCCACAAACAACGTTTGGATTGCAGGGTTTTTCGAACCCAATGCCCCTACAGAGAACTGGGAATACCATTCCTGCTCAGCAAGCTCAGTATTCAGGAGCAATGATGGGATTGCAGAGTACTGGTGGACCAATATCAATGCCTCAAACTTCTTTCGGCATGCAAGCTACGGGAGCCACGCCTTTTTCAACAAATGGCAATGTCATGCCCTTACAAAGAACTGGAGGTAACGCACCTTTTGGACTAGGGAGTGGAGGGTTTCAATCAGCTCCTCCACAAACCAGTTTTGGAGTGCAATCCACTGGTGGATATGGTGCCACCTTACAACCTGGTTTTTCTAACCACTTGACAGGAGGACCGGCTATGATGCCTCAATCCACTTTTGGAAACCAGATGACCGGGGGTGCTAACATAATGCCTGTCAACTCCTTTGCAAATCAATATACGGGAAGTGTGAACCCTGCTCCCCAACATCCGTCCACTGATCCCAATTCTATGTTCGGTAACATGGGGCCACATACTACTGGCGGCATGGGAATCATGCCCCAAAACAGTTTCAATATTCAGCGGACGGGTGGAATGCACCAACTTCCTCCTCAACCGAATCAGACCGCTAATTTTCAACCTCAGTCACAATTTGGTATGCACTTGCAAAGAACAGGCGGTGCTTCGTTGCCCCCAATTTCATTCAACACTGGGGGTGCTATGCAACAACAGCAGCCATTGAGCAATGTATTGACGGGCGGCGTTAATCAACTCAACAACATGTTCCAGAATTCTTCCATCTCCCAGCCAGCGCTTCAATCTCAGCCTACGGGGTTTGGGTTTGGTAATGGCCCTCAACCTCAGCAGAGACAGGCCAACTTGTATAATGCAAGCACAGACAATCCTTTTGGATTCTGAATGATAGCATTGCATTGAAGGCGTTAAATGTAGATCGGAGTTATTCGTGAACGAGCAGATAAGAATCTGCAATTACAAAGTCGACTCCAAGTATTCTATTCATATCTCGTGAATCATCATTAGGCGTCAGATTTCAAATAAATAATTAAATAGCACTGCACTCTTTAGTCAGAAATGCAAAATTCCACGTATTCTACTTACCATTCTTGGGCGGTATTTCCATAGGGGCTCTTCTTGGAGCCAACCACGGGCTTTACCAACTTCGAACCTCCCTCTAAAAACGAAAAAACATCTCTTCTTTTTTCTTCATAGCTTGAAATGAATGCTTCTTTTTGCAAGGTAATGCCAATGTCGTCCAGACCATTGATCAGACAATGCTTTCTGAATTGCTCGATATCAAAGTGCTCTACAAGAATATTTCCTTGGGAGTCTAAAATCTGTTGGCTGGATAGATCAATTTTAATTTCCTGGCCAGCTTGAGCAAGAGGATAGAGCTTCTCCAAAATAACATCTTGAGGAAGTCTAATGGGTAGCAATCCGTTCTTGAAGGAGTTGTTGTAAAAGATATCTCCATAAGAAGGAGCAATGATCGACTTGATACCAAAGTCCTTTAGAGCCCAAGGGGCATGTTCTCTTGAAGATCCGCAACCAAAGTTATCACCAGTGACAACAAGAATCTGTGCTTTGGTGTAAGGTTCAGTATCCAAAACAAAACCACGACTTTGATCTTGGCCATTAGCATCTTTGGCAAAACGCCATTCATAAAATAAACCTGCTTTCAAACCAGTTCTCTTGATAGTTTTTAAAAATTGCTTTGGAATAATGGCATCGGTATCAACGTTAGCCTTGTCCAAAGGAGCGGCAATGCCAGTGACAGTCAAGAATGGCTCCATTCCGGATGGTGCTGACACTGGAGCGCCCTTCAAAGGAGTTTCTTGTGCAATATGATCAGCTGGTGGAATATCGCGTACTTCGTCGTCTTCTAGCTCATCAGCAGATTCTCCCTTTTGTATAGGCTGCTTCTCGTGATCATAAATGGCATCTTGCAAAGTTTTATCCGCCACTTCCTGCTCAATTGTTACCTTTGGAATGTCATTATCTTTGTATTCAAACTCCCTAATGTCAATAAAATGGCCGCTGATACCTGCTGCAGCTGCCATGGCTGGGGACATTAGATGAGTTCGAGATCTAGCTCCCTGGCGCCCTTCAAAATTTCTGTTCGAAGTAGAGGCACAGCGCTCTTCTGGATCCAAGATATCTGGATTCATACCAAGACACATGGAACAACCGGCCTCTCTCCACTCAAATCCAGCCTCTTCAAAGATTTTGTCCAAGTTTTCTTTTTCAGCTTGTTCTTTGACAAGTCCCGAACCTGGCACAACCATAGCTAGCTTAATCGATTTAGCCTTTTTGTGACCTTTGACAACGGCCGCAGCAGCCCTCAAATCTTCGATACGAGAGTTAGTGCAGGACCCAATAAAAACCTTGTCAATTTTGATGCTCTTGAGAGGAGTGTTAGGCTCCAACCCCATGTACTTCAAAGCACCTTCCATCATGGCTTTCTTGATCGGATCCGATACGTTGACTGGATCTGGGACAGAAGCGGTGATTGGGAGAGCGTCCTGTGGCGAGGTACCCCAGGTGATAGTTGGGATAATGTCTGAGGATTTGATCTTGATATCAAAATCGAACTTGGCACCTTCGTCAGTATGTAGAGTTTTCCAGTAGGAAATAGCCTTTTCCCATTCAACGCCTTGCGGAGCGAGTGGTCTTCCCTTTACGTAGTCAAATGTGGTCTGATCAGGCTTGATCATACCGGCTCTGGCACCCGCTTCGATGGCCATGTTACACATGGACATACGAGCTTCCATGGTCAGATCCTCAATAGCCTCACCAGCAAACTCAATAACACACCCTGTACCACCAGCAGTACCAATAACACCAATAATATGCAAGATCAAATCCTTGGAGGTAACGCCCGGCATCAATTTACCCTCGATGAAAATTCTCATGTTTTGCGACTTCGCTTGGATAATGGTCTGGGTGGCCAAAACATGTTCGACCTCAGAAGTACCGATGCCAAAGGCTAGAGACCCAAACGCACCGTGCGTGGAAGTGTGTGAATCACCGCACACCACAGTAGTACCAGGAAGCGTGAAGCCTTGCTCTGGTCCAATAACATGAACAATACCTTGTCTGGCGTCAGTCATTCCAAAAAACGGAACGTCGAAGTCCTTAACATTGGCCTGCAACGTCTGCACTTGTAGTAGGGAGTCTGCTTCCTTGATAAAAGTTTCCGGGCTTTTGAAGTTCTTCCTTGACCAAGTTGGAATGTTGTGGTCAACAGTTGCCAAGGTACAGTCCTTTCTTCTAACTTGTCTGGAAGCGTTCTTTAACCCTTCAAAAGCTTGTGGGGATGTCACTTCGTGAACCAAGTGTCTGTCAATGTATAGCAAGTAAGAACCGGATTCGTCCTTGTGAACAACGTGGTCCTCGAATACCTTATCGTAAAGCGTCCTAAGTCCGGACATTTCCAAGTTATATCAATCTTTTGAATTGGGGCCACTTAAGGTAGAGATTCAGGTCCTCGATCGCAACTAGAATTAAGGCTCTTTTATAAATGCGATTCAAAGTTCACAATTTGATGTCATTCTATGTGACTCGTGGTGAGTTTTTCCATATCATCAACTTAAAAAATTTAGGCCGATACCGGCAATATCGAAAAGCGAGACATGCGATTTTGGTAAGAAACCGGTATCGGTCTACCGCCTCCAACGCATCATCAGTACTCGTGAGGCGCACTGGAGAGCCGTTATGAGGTTGATTTCCTAGTCTGCAAAAGGATTGAATATTTGTCTGTGTGATCTGGTACGCCGACTCCGGGCAAATCAACAAGTGGATGTCACTTTAGTGGGGGCTGACATAGGCGTCAGTTTATCGGCGGCCGGCTGCACATGAGTATTTTCGGGGTTGCAGAAGCCCCAACAACCAAGGTCTGCATTCCATGAAAAGGATTCTTGTGGGTTCATGAAAGCAACAAGCAGATCGCGAGATTTCAAATCCATAGATATCTTCATGATCTTTTTCTGGACGCGCACGCGATTTGACTCGGCCGGGGAACCGTACAGGATAGGCATGACAGGCACCTTCTTATGCACGCATGTGCCGTTTTCGATGTCCCAAGCATAAAGTAGTCCGGATTCTGTCAACACAATCAAAAACCTGGCGATGGTCACCATCTTGACAGCCTTGTGTCCTAGAGCGATTTTGGGCAGTTTGTGTTGCCCGTAAGATGTATAGATTAAAAGGTTTCCTTCAGCGGTGGCCAGGGCCCAACACTTGCATTGAACAGATCCAACGGCACATATAACGACTTCAGGTATTAATAGGTCCATGACTCTTTCACTGTGATGATACCCGAGAATCCGGGTAGGATGTTCAACTAGGGCTTCACGCTCAAATTGTAGACCGCGTTCTACACCGTTGCGTATCTCCATGATGTACATATCATCTAATTCACCAAATTCAACCAGTACTACGTCAGCATCAGGTAGCACCGATGGTGTCTCCACGTATCTAGTATTGGGTTCATCACTAAAGACCTTGTCTGCGGTTGTTTTGGAATTTATTCTCATGACATGTTCAATCTCTGCGTCAGTATCACTCTCTCGAGCGTCACCTTGGGTGTCCCGTACCTTTTCAGTAATTTCCTCTTCACGGTGAAATTTGTCCACGCCACGTTGCCTTACTCCCATGATCAAGGAATGAACTCCCAATCTCGGAAGTGGATATGCTTGGCATGAAATTTTGTCTTTTAAATTATCAAAAAGGTCCTTCGCTTCAATATTTTTCAAAGCCGGACTCTGATCCTTGAAAGACGGTTGCTTTGTCTCTGTTGGCTTTGTTGGTGAGTATCCCGATGAGATGAGTGTAGGGGCAACCCTTTTGCGACCATTTTTTACTACCATTTGGTTAAGACTGTCTTTGTTGACGCCAATTGCTGCAGGCTTTACTCTTTTTTCCAGCGTAGTAGGTATGTTGTTGTCCGAAGATGGCTCCTTTCGTTTGACGGATAAAATTGTAGGCGCTTGAGCAGTCCCTGGCATCTTATTAGGGAGAACTTGTTCTGGTTTTTCCAGTGAATACATATCAAGCGGACTGCGATTTTGGTCCAGAAGCTTGGCTTTGTCTTCGAGTTCTAGCTGCTTAATACCTTCTGGGAAATCAAAAGAGTCCTTGTCGACACCGTATCTATGGAGGTGCTCAACGTTCTTTTCAAGTGGTATGGCGTTACCAAGCTCCCCGGTTTCGAAAACAACAGTTATAATCGAGCCATCTAGCGCTGTCAAAAACAAGATGGTACCATCAGGACTCCATACCATGTCCGTGATTGACTTGTTAGTTATATCATAGGCTACCAGCAGTGGTTTAGCCCTACCTGTACTCCAAAGAACGAGTGTCTTATCTTGTCCCGCTGTTGCAATGATGGAATCCACTTTTTCTTCGACAGAATCCTCGGTTTCCGCGGAATTGGTGTCTGAATTATCTCCCAAACTTCGGCCTTCCGCAGCATCAGTATTCTCTTCGGGTTTATTATCGTCAACCCTGGTGTCACTCTGAGATCCTTTCGTCTTGTTTTCTTTTATAACCTGAAATAGTCGGGGGTTAAACCTGACGACCTCGGTTGGAGAGTCATGTCCGATTAGAGTCACATTTGTATCCCAATTTCCTCTCGATACAATTGAGACGGATGAAACAGGTCCATTAGTAGCGTTCGGTACAGCTATATGTTGACCATCCGGCGACCATGATAGACGCCTGAAGTACGTAGTGATTGGCGAGCCTTTGAATGGCTCGGAAACAACGTGTTCGATCGAGAAGTTCAAATCACCGGCTTTATGATATCTGAATATCCTCAAAGTTCTATCATCTGAAGCAGTTGCAAAGTACTTATTTGCTGGATCAAAGATTACACCTTTGACTAGGGACTGGTGCACGTCAAAACGCTTGATTTTCTCAAACGTCGATCCATTCCATATAATAACGGATCTGTCGAGCCCAACAGTCACTAAAATACTGCCATCCGGAGCCCAACATATATCTTGTATATCGTTATCATGAGCTACCAGTCTCCGTCGAACATTCCAATGTTCCTTGTCGCTTTCTGAACCAAAAATGGGTTGTTTCTGTTCCTCGTCTCTCTCCCAAATCAGCAGAATCCGATCGTCAGAGCCAGAAGCCAAAAACTTCCCATCGGGTGAGAACTTAACGGTTGTTACGGAGCCAGTATGTCTACTCATGCTTGCCAGCGGTACTTTGGCTTCTTCGTCAAGCCTTGGATCTTTTCGTACCACTCTAAGGATATCTGGAATAGACCATATCCTAATCTTTCCATCCAGACCACCAGTGGCCAAGCGCTCACCATCGGGGCTCACATCCGCCGCGTACACTTCGTACTTTCGATGCTCCTCTTGAGGGAATCTAAGTCAGTATTATGTTTACTTGGTTGAAAATCCACATATCAAACACAGATTTGGAATCGCCATACCTTTATGTGCGAGCCACGGGAGTTTTAGAACCTTCATTGAGCGCCAGTGAAGAGCTTTAAGGGCCAAACTTTGTTTAACTTCTGGAATGTGATGATGATCTATTTCATTTGTCTAAATTTATTGTACAGGCAGTGATGAAATACACCTCGATTTGATGTTGAATGGGGCATAGCTTCCAAGCAATTCATCCTAATAGTTAACTAGAATCATTTCCTACCGAGACCTATAAATGTATGCTATATCAACTTAAATTCTTTCTTCAGCGTTTCGCCCAAAATGCTTAAACCCTTAACCATAGCGTCTGGGGGAACTGATGCGTAAGTGCCTCTAAAAGACATGGTGGTGTTATCATTAACCTTTTCCACCCCAGACGTAGGTGACTTCACCTTAAACCACGACCCACAAGCAAGAAGCACACCAGCGGCTACGCACTTTTCATATATGTATCGTTCCAGAAGGGCCTTGTTACCTTGAAAAGTGGTTTGGAACTCTGGGTGTTTAGAAGCATCGACATGCAACATAAAAAACATCCCAGCAGACACAGGCGGTACTGTTACTACTTTACTAGGTAAGTATTTGTGACAATGGTCCAAACACCAATTTCTCTTGAGAGTGTATTCTTGGCGCAAGCCCTTTAACCAATCCACATAACCGCACTGGCCCCATCTATTGAGAATTCCACTAATGATGCTTTGTGCGAAGCCACAGGTCGACTGAATAGAAACCTCGTGTAAGTTCCAATACGTGTCCAGAAGATGTCTAGATCCCACAATCCAGCCTAATCTACAGCCGGGCGCAAAAGTTTTAGACACCGAGTCTAGACGTACAACTCTTCCATCTATATCTAGCTCCAGAAAAGAACGTGACAGCGACCTGATAAAAGCTTCGTTTGATTTGGCTTCGGCATTTGTAGCTGCTTCGCGTTGGTCCTGTGGGCAATATGGATCCATTTGCAAAAAATAATAAGGTTCATCCTCTATAATGATCATATCGTACTTTTGAGCCAAACTGTAGATATAAGGCTTCCTATTGTCGCTCAGAGTGCAGCCGGTAGGATTTTGACCCGTCGGGATCGTGTACAAGAGCTTAGGCATAGGGGTACCCGGGTACACGCCAGTCCAGTTCTCGAGGAGGTTTTCCAACTTCTCCGGTATTATGCCTTCGTCATCCATGGCCATGGGAACACAGTTGAGTCCCTGTGCTTCCGCAGCCTCCACCGAGGAAGAATAAGTATATTCCTCCAGCAGCACAGTATCGCCCTTATTACAAAAGATGCGCAACGACGCATCCCAGCTCTGCGTCGAGCCTGTCGTAGTAATGATGTCCCAGTCCTTGTATGGGATGTGGTGGAATAGTCGGGTGTGCTCCTTCAAAAAATTCAACAGTTCGCTTTGACCGCGTGAATTGCCGTATTGCAAAGCGCGCGCCAAAGGCACGTCCTTATCAAAAGTCAAGTCCTTTTGCTCTCTGGAAAGTGTGCCAACCATGGTGTCCTCACATCGAGCAAGCCCACCAACAAAAGGAGGTCTGGGTACCTCAATTGACATGGCCTTCAGTGGGAAAATCTCTGACGGTGGCATTCCAGCACCGAGAAATACTACTTCGGGGTCCTGGAAATACGCCATAGTTGTCTTAATGGGCGATGGCTTTCTTCTACGTGCTTCATCTGAAAACAAGTGAGAGAAATTGCGTGCGTGTATTAGTTTGTCCGACGTCATGGTAAGCAACAAGCTGAAAACACAAATAGCTTGAAGTGAATCTCGGTATATAGTCCCCAGAAGAAGTTTCGAGTGTGAAGTTTCCCAGCTCCCATCCAGCATTGGCCATCATCCCACATCTCTTCGTCATTCTTATACACGTAAACGGGGTTAAAGCTAACCGCGTATTCTCCGGTCCTTAACCAGAACACTTGGCTTATCGGTAGTGTTCCTGAACCCGGTCGGTGGTTGAAGGAACTTTTCGATGGTACTTCAGGCCCGTCGGGCCCTTACAGTAAGAATCGGATTGTGCCCACTGATAAACATATCAGGCAATAGAGCCAAATTTCCTGCTGCGACTCTATCTGGCTTATCAATATCGATTACTTAATCAAGATTGGTAATCGAGTGGGCATATTCGAGCGTCAAAGCGGGCATATAATTTTTGAAGTTCCCTGCGTGCTTTTATGTGTTCGAGCAAGACAAATGCAGCAGTGTGCATGAAAAAGCCGGCACGTGAAAGTCGCGTGCTCACTATGACGTTAACCTGGGAAGACCATTACAGGTTAACCACCATTCTAGCACGGCGTTGGAGGCGGCTCTGCTACCTCGAGTCACAAACAGTTTTTCAATGAGTAGTTGGTGAGTGGCAGGATTGTCACATAAAGTCGGGAGTGCTGCTGTCAGCCATTGTTTTGATTGTAGTGGGTAGCGCGCGACGAGAGCCCGCAAGAAATCTGAGTAGTAGTTTAGATCCGATCGCTGTGCATGCAGCAGTCCACCCATGGTCTGAGTGGTGAGTTGGGGGCCTACAGCACATACTTGCTCGCAGATGGTGACCTCGTCGTGACGGGAGAACTTCTTATTGTTCACTACTTTGGTCCAGAACTTGGTAACAGCGCTGATGGTGAACCGCTCCTTCGAGACCAGGAAGCCCAGAAACTCAGGGATAATGAAAGTAGACCAGTGCTCGCAATGAATTACAAGAGATGGTCGCTTTTCTAAAACTGAGTTCACAAAAGTTATCATCATCTGAGTCAGATCTGGGTCGTGGGCGATGGCCTCACGATGTTGTTCCAAAAAGAACTTTGAAAGCATGAAACCAAAGTCCTGGGAGCTTAAGGAAGCTCCATAATGACTAACCACGTTCCCTAGTAAGTACACGATATAGGGCAAGCCCGTAGTGGGTTCGCATTCAACACACCGTTTTAGTAAGAACTGCATCAGTTCCTGCATCGAGTACGCTAAGAAATGCGGCTCATCTTCAGTGAGCGATAGTTTTTTACCCATGATTAGACAAGCCACCTCTATAAACTCCGAATCTCTCTCGAACTGAGAAAGCACTTTTTCCAATAGATTTGATGTTACATCTCGCAGATGTAGGGGATCAGCCTTCCAATACTCGTTGAATTGAGCCGCGCTCAAGAGATTGTTTGAATCTTCGGGCTCCTCGGGTGGTATCATGGCACTGCCCAACTCTGAGAAACAATTCAGCAAGCATAAAATCTGTGCTCTATCAGCCTGAGGGTTTGAAATCTCGTCCTGTATTGTATTTATGACAGTAGCCAAGTAGTGTGCTTGAGCTTCGGGTCCATCGCGCGTATAGTCCTGGATTATATACCCAAGACAACGAGTGAATTTTTGTTTCGTGAAGTCTGAAACTTTTGACGACTGTTGCACCATAGCATTTTGAATCTTGGTGAAGGTGGGCAAATATGATGCTAGTTTCATCCGACTAGTCTCGCAAATTTTGGTAGTACACTTGGTCAAAAACAACTCGATTTTGATATCGGTTTCATCGGCGTTCCCACATTGTTCTAGAGAACTAAACATGATGTCCATACAATTGGCTAAGTCTTCATCGTTTTGTTTGATGTAATCTGCAACGGTAGCCAACAAGGAAGTTCCAGTCTTAACAAAATCTGTGCTCAAAATTTGGGCTTCTTTGCCATTAGCGGCACTTTTCTGTTGGCACCCCGTCTGAACCAGCAACAGAATATTTGTTAAAAACGAAGTACTTTCGCGTAAAGTGGCACAAATCACAGGGCTATCACCCAAATTCATATCGGTAAGTAATCTGTTGAGGGAAAAGCACATGGCTTCAATCTGAAAGAGATCGTCGCCAGAATTGGGAGTTAGATGGCCGATACCAGCAATCAAATTGTTGGTCAGCTTTTCGTTACCTAGCACGGACCACATAGATTCTATCAAATCAAGGACCGCATTTCTGAAGTCGTCAAACTCATGCAGTAAAGTCTCATCTTCCCCCTCTTCCAGAATTTTTTGCTTATTCGTCAAGCGAGTTTTGGGTAGATATATTTCTACTACCTGACCAAAGAGGTTTGATGCTAATTCTGGTGTTTCTGGCTTGAAAGTCTCTCTTACCAGGTTGTTGTAGCCATCGCAAAGGTCTAGCCAGAAATCCACCATTCTGACCGAAAAAAATTCTTCTAACACAGGAACCAACGTGAAATTCGTCATCTGTAAGAGAACCTTGATGTACTGGTCTAGATTCCTCGAATCTCCTGCCGAAGCCTGGGTGAATAAGTTGTTACACACTCCCAGGTTGCTTATTTGTAAAAAATCTACAACACAGAGCGCAAGATCCTTCAATTCGTCGTGCATCTGGTTGATGACAAGGTGATTCATATAGTTGAGCATCCATTCGTGGCCATTGGTTTCATTATTGGAAGCCATGCTAACTCCAAGGAAAATGCCCTCAATTGCTGATCTCAAGTCGTAGCTTAAAATTGTTGGGTCATTGGCAAAAATCTCACCTAGAATCGATACGACTGTCTCGGAATAAGGGAATCCTTGAGTTGAGTCATAGAGACACATAAGGCGGATTATGTTCTCGAACGTCTCACTCAGGTCCATGGTTCCAAAAGACTTGCTTCGGGCCATAATCGTATAGTTGATCCATGCATTTACGCACCGAAAAATGTTATTAGAAATACCTGGTTTTTCAGCGGATTTCCCCTGGAAGGCTATAGCAAGAGATTGGAGGTTTTGATTGATGACTGCTGTGCTCGATATGTACATGTATTCGTGAACAGTGGCGTGCAAGGGTGAAGCACTTACTTTTCCAGATTGATGCTTTACCAGATCTTCAATCACCACCTCGATAAAAAGCAGCACTAGTACATTGAACTCTGGAGATGAGTTGATGAGCTGCATTAAGTGTTCGTAAGGAACATGCTGGGACATGGCATGTGTGAAGACATCATTGAAAGCATCGGGTGAAATTTCTGGGCTTGATACCAGTAGACAAAAGGTCTCGATTGGGTTATTCCACTCTAACGATGAACTTCGATCATTAGAGCTATTGATTCTGAAGAATATTTGTGCTGCGTTTGACATTAGTTTTTTGATGACAACCATCCGCGATCCATGTTCCCGCGAGTTCAATACATATAGTTTAGAGAAACGCATAAGATGAAGCATGTTGAGCTTAAGAATGGCTAAGAGTCCCTCACTCGTGGTGTTGATGTTAAACTGAACCGCTAGTGTCAAGGCCCCAAAATATGTTACATTCGCAGACCCATCCTCTTTGGAAAGTAACTGGCTTGCAAATTCAAAACCATGCTCAGAGCGCTGGGCAGCTTGTAGTTGCTGCTGAATCTCGATAACATTGGATGGCGGGTGTGGTGAATATAGAGTTTCTATAAGCTGTTAAGATGAGTTAGTCAACAAGCTGTCCAATGCTAATGCGGCAAAAAGTTACTGGCACATACGTTGATTGCTGCTTGAAGATCGTTCATCAATTCATGAATATTGCTTGACAACTAGTGTGAAGCTGTAGTAGCATGCTTAAATGAGGACAAACAAAATGCTAACTTCTAGATCTGACGTACGTGGTGATATTTAACTTGAAGTGGCCAGCTAGTAGCGCCAGGAACAAACGGATAATTGTCGTTTGTTTGGACTGTAGTGGTGATCCTGACTATTTATCATAGCCAAGGCTTAAACGGAGTCTCTAAGAGTGTAACATAAAGGTGCAATGACTGGGACCGCTTTTAATTATTGCCGTTTGTGATCTTCACGGGCCCCTTCGGGACTGCTTGTCTGACAACTGCCATTCCAACAACTTTCGCAGCATCAGGTTTTGGGGCAGGCTCAAAATACGGCCCTGTCATAAAACTATTATGCGTGGCCAAAAAAAAAACAGAGCCACAAACTATAGGGAAAGGGCAGTCGAAAGGTCAGTGGCGGACCACAGTGAAGTGGGAGTAGGCCATCGAATTACCGTTTTTTACCTATGTCAGTACAGCACTTCAGATAATAATGAGACTTTTGGCCGTACTTTTCAGGCCAATCATGCGAATAACATTGCATATTACACGTTTGGTACGTTTAGATTCTTCCGCAAAGTCTGATACAACACGTATTTGTCCGCTTCGAACATTGTAGAGCATTAGCTTGTTGTTCAGACGTGTTATGTCACCGGACTCCACTATCTGCAGGATCTGCCACAGCGGTAAAAGACCGGGCATCACATTCGGCAAATGGTAAATTTCATTCGTGTATCCCGGGACGTCACCGTCGTCTTCCTCGTACTGTGACTCTGCCTCCAGTGCCGTGGGGAAAACACGAAGACCCTTGCGCTGATAAAGGTCGTTTATCAGCGTTGGAGTATACTCTATGCCCAGGTCCACGAGTTTGTCGACCGCTTCATTAGCAGCCATGACCGCTCCACCTTGCTCTCCGTATATTCGATCCACGATATTCACCAGCGGGCCGTTTATTTTCAGTCTGGGCACGTTGTCCAAAGGCAGTTCGTTCAAGGCATACTCCTCCCCAGCATCATCTTCTTCATCGTCGTATTCGTCGTAATATTCTTCATCCTCATCTTCGTCCTTATCTCGGTGACGCGCCTCGTGATCCAGCGCAAACAGCTTTCCATGTTCGACAAGTGGCGCAACCAGGTCCAGAGAAACATACTCATTGTTACAAACATCCAAAATGTCGCCGCCGTACTTACGCTTGTACTTCATCTTGGGACAGTCGTCCACGTAGTATCCCAGATAATAGTATTGGCGATTAATCTTGGTCAGAACGCTCAGCTCTCGCAGCGCACTCAGCTTCCCCAGCGACCAGCGTTGAAAGTCCGTGTCCCAGATAAAGTAAACAGACGAGATCCCGCTGGGCAGAAAATCTGTTACAGCCAGCGCGATCAACTTGTCCTCGAAATAGTAGCACTCATGCGCAGGCCCGACTCGTTTCAGCTTATCCCCGGGCCTCATGTTGTGCCAGTTGTTGAGTTGGTCCCATTCCTCCTGCGTCCCAACTACAACGTCCTCCGGGAACGGCGACTCGCACAGAAACCGCTTGAACGACTTGATGGAGTTTTTGAAGTCGTTGTGCACGTTTTCCTGGTACTTCACGAACAGCCGGTACTTTTCCATCGTGAACGTGGCCGGTTCGAACCGCGTGTGGAAACTGGAGCTCTTTTGCTCCGTCTGTATGATTTCCTGGATGTAGTCAAATTTCGGGTTCTGCCCTCTGTTCCGCCCCACCCCGTCCGCTTCCCGCCCAACCCGTTTGCTGAACCGCTTTACGCACGTCTTGAGTTCTTTCGACATCTGACACTTCTCCGGTGTCGTTCTGATCGTGTACAGCCTGCAGCAGTTCCTCAGCAGGTCTGCCTTGTACAGGAACTTCCCCGACCGCCGGAACCCCAGGTTGCACAGCTCGTCGTACATGTCCACCGGTATCAGCTCCACCTGCAGCCCGATAGTGCAGTTGTTGAACTGCAACGACTCGGCGTCTTCTTCGTGCAACTTCCACCACGACTCCGATGCAAAATAGTCATAATTCTGCGATTTCTTCCCATTACAATATCCGCATTTCTCGCTCGGCTCAGTGAAATATAAAGGCTTGGATATGATCAACCGGTCTGAAAGTTCCATATGAATGATACAGCGACCAGTCTGTGAGTTGGTTTTGGATATCTTTATGTTTCCCGCAACTTTCGAGCTGATTGATATATAAGATGAATTCGTGAAACGAGACATAATATATTAGCGCATTAACTACTACACATCAGTAACGACAACGGTGTACTAGATCCCAAGATGCTCAAGCTGGTCTCCAGGCGATGTTACAGTGTCCGCAATGCATTTAAAGTGTTTCCTAGTACTTTCGCGGCGGGCCAGTGGTCGTGGGACGTTGATTTGCGGGGTCTTCGGAAAGAATACCGATCTTTACAAGCGCAAGAGCACCCGGATACCAATTGCAACTCAGATTCGAGCCGAAGCTCGGAATTGAACCATGCGTACCAGACAATTCGGGTGCCATTACTGCGAGCACAGCATATCTTGAAAACGCAGGCCGGGTTGGACCTGGACAACGAGGCGGGGGCGCAGAACATCGCGCAACAGGACCCCAACTTGCTGATGCGGGTTCTGGACGTTCACGAGGAGCTGGAGACACTGGGCAGCGAGGAGGATGTGCGGAGGATAGCGCTAGAGAATCGAGCACGGATGGCGGAGCTAAACCGGCAGCTGGGAGAGGCGTTTGGCAGACAGGACTGGGACCGCGCGGCGCAATTGACGGTGGAGCTGAAGTATTGGACGAGTCTGGACCGGGCGGTGAAGGAATGGGAACCAGGTAAGAGACTGGAACTACACCACTGAGAAGGGGGCGGGAGCAGCCCCCACAGGACGCCCCAGTGGCACACGATTTCCACAGAAGAAAGCCGTTTTTGTCTTTCTTGCTATGTGTTGTTATGCGGCGGCGCACTTGTGCGGACTGCAGACGTTCATTCTTTTTATCGACGACCTAGTATAGCCTTTGTGAATTACACTTGTATTACTTTACGTTTGTATTACGTTTTCTGCCTCTGTTTCGCTTTCTCGCTGATCCGCGCTATTTGACCTCGGGGATCTGGAACTCGCACTTCTCCAGCTCCGAGAGCTCTTCCTCTGTCTTCGGATACTGTCTTAGCCAACGCATGCGCTCCCCCGAGGGCGCCTCGTCCGAGATGCGGAACCCAAACACCTTCAGCTGGTAGGTCTCTTTGGTCTTGCGGTCCACGTAGTCCTCGAGTTCTTTGAAGTGCTTTAAAAACACGCCGGGAAACGACGTGCCCCAGAACGCACCCTCCAGGCAGAGGTGCCGCGACGACTGCGGCAGATACAAGTCCTGGCAGCTAGGACAGTACAGCCGCACCGTCAGTTTCCCTAGCGTGTCTGTCAGTCCGCATGGCAGCATCTGCATCCCAGCGCAGTAGTACCGGGGACATGTTCCAAACTCCTTGTGGTCAAACTTCTCCGCCATCGCCTGCAATCCCGGCTTGGTCAGCACGTACCGCGCGTGCACGAGTCCGTACAGCTGCTCCGCAGCATGTTCCACGATACTGCGACTCACCGGCTCCTCGGACTCCTGGCCCTCGTCGTCGCTCATCGCCTCCAAATCCAACACTAAATCCAAGGCCTTGCGGTAGTGCGGCACCTCCTGGGCCAGTCCGGTCATGTTGAAGTCATCCTCGATGAACTCCGAGGGAACCTGGCAAAAATATTCGTGTCCGAACCTCGCACAGAACGACGGGATCCATTCGTCAAAGGGCCCACTCTCATCGCTGCTTTCAGTCCTAGAATTATCTCCTACGTATTCTGCCATGTTCCAGCTATCTTAATGCGTCTTTCTACCTAGACTTAGTCCTCTTAAATCGTCGAATTCCAGTCCTTGGTCTCTAAATGCCCGCTTCTGGTCTCTTTTACTGGCTTACCACACAATTTGGTCTAAGAAATGGTCAAAAATGCTCCGAATTTGACCAGAGTTCGCACAGCCAGTTGTAAATGTGTACTTAATCCTGAATATACCGTTTTCCTCTTCTAGAAACGGCTTTTTTGCCTTTCAATGGTGCTAGGCCCTTTTGTTTCTATCAACATAGCTGGTTAGCCAAAATTTTCTTATATCTATATATTAATTTATGGTATGTATCTTACCCATGTACTCTACCTATAGTAAACCAAGACAATGTCAGAAACTATCATCTGGGTGGCCATTGTGCTTGTTGTGGTAGCTCGAGCGTTGAAGTGGGTTTCGCATTATCGCGACACTGTGGTAGATGCAATTTGGTCGAAGCCAGCAGCTCTAAAACTGCAAGACATAGCTCGCAGACGACACAGCCTGCAACAACAGCAGAGGTCGATCAGTGCACAAGACGAATACGCCAAGTGGACGAAACTAAATCGACAGATTGCACAGCTCGACGGACAACTGGGTGTGGCGCAGGCGGAACTGAAACAGACACGCCAGGCGGGCGAGAAGGCTCTGTCGAGACTGCGGTTGGTGGTACTCACAGCGCCGCTGTTGTTACTGCGTTTTTGGAAGGGCAAAGTGTCAGTGTTTAGCTTGCCACAGGGAATGTTTCCTCGAGCAGTGGAGACGATTATGTCACAGGGGTGGGCGGCAATAGCAATGGCACCAGCACGGTACGTATGGGCGCCCGGGCCCATGAAACCTTTGCAGCTGGAGACACCAGTGTGCTTAGGAATATTGATATGGGCTCTAAGTCGCGTTCTCGATACACTGGAGTTTGTCGCGGCAAGCTTGGCTGTATGAGTTGTGGTGGTGTGCGGAGGCACCGGTTAACCAGACGTGCCTGACACGCGCAACTGTTATTATTTCTTTAATGTATATCTTATAATGTATAAGCAAATCAAAAATTACTATACTAACCCATAATTCAAATGTCCCAGGCCTAGCCTCTTATTAACTCCACCACCTGTTCCACATCAACTGCGGCTACCTTTTCAGCCGCAAGAGATCACCACAGCTCAATATTTGGTCGCTCCGGCGGAAGATCGCTCTGCGACGACGGTGAGGGTTCACCTGGGCAACCAAATTCAAAAGCTCCGAGTAGTGTGCATCATGGGGCATGGCTCTGTGCTTCTCGATGAGCTTAACCCCCAGGTAATGTAGCCAGAGCAAGTTGTTGCGGGGATCGAAATGGGACCAGCCTTCCGTACACCAATGGCGCATAGTGTTGTAGACTTCGTATCGGTAGTCTCCGCGTCCTTGAAAAAAAAGAGGATGGTCCAATCTTGTATAGTGCACAGTCGTTCCGTCAAAGGCACGCGCAAGTTTGTAGTCACACAAGGTTACGTTATTATTGGAATCGACCAAAATGTGGTCGAGTTGCAGATCGCGATGTTCAAATTGGTACTTTGTTTCTGCTGCATAAATTATCACCGCGCACTGCCACAAAATGTTGACCACGGTACTCCAATCTTTGATCTTTGCCTTCTTCAGTGGAACACCTGCGTACTTCAACTCGCATATTAAATACGGTTCTTTGCGAATAAGAGCCAGATGGCACGACTTCATTTGAGTAAATCCTGGAGTCCCTGACATCAGCTTCAAAAGCTCCAGCTCTTTTAGACGAACATTTTTTGTGTGCGTGAACTCGTCCTGTCCCAACGGTAGAAATTTGTAAACGGAATCCTGCCAACGGTATACATGCTTGGAGATTTTAGTCATCTTGGACCACTCCGGAAATAGCTTCTCCATCGCAATCATTTCAGTTTGGTCACAGAGTTTTAGCAACTGTGACATTTGGAATTCGTACAAGTCATCCTTCGCCATGGCTGAGTTCATAGACATAATCGACGTCGAGTTACGCAGTTTGGTACGCAACTTGTCTCTAGACACTTGGTCCGGAATTGGCAGCGATATTGACTCACTCGTCACAGAGTTACGATGCGATATTAATTTATTAAGAGACGAATGCGAGTTTTTTTGTTTGAGCGAAGATTGCGACCTTCTTGATTTCAAACTAGCGTTCGAATGTAGTTGTTGCGGCGAACCAGAGATGCTGGGCGAGTAAGGATCAAAAACGTCCGAGTTACGTTTCCAGAATTTCCACTTCGAGCCTGAGGACGCAGATGATGTCGATGACATACTTCTGCCCGACACTACACTTGCGTTGTCCGCGAAGGATTTTCGGTGGCTCAACGAGGCAAAAACATTCGTGTCGAGTTCCCCCAAAGTGGCTCGCGCAGTGTTGCGCCGAGGAGCCCCTTTTCCGACGATAGAGCCCCGAGATGCGCTTTTCGAGTTCTCTTTTTCTTCATCTTGCAAGCCGATTTTCCCAAACATCTGGCGTAACGAGGTGCTTGTTGAAGAGCGGTTCAAATTTGACATCGACGACGAAACTGACACTCGTCTTGAAGTAGATCCACTATGCGATCCAGCGCTCTTAGCGTCCGCAGTACTAGTGTGGCTGTTTCCCTGCGCCAACTGACCCGTGGAATCGTCGACGATCATACGTTTAGACTTGTCGTCGCTAGCGGTGGACCGTCTCTTCCTCGACGCCGACGTAGCTGCGGGGCTCAAACGGCGCTCTTCACTTGTAAAAGAAAGTGAGGACCACCTTTTCTTTGAGCTGTTAGATAGAATCGACCATCGTTTAGAACCACTTCCGACAGGACCTGCGGGCTCCGGTGTTCTAACCGTGCTGGGTGCCACGCTGGACGTCTCTGATATCGCCGTCATAGTCTGCAAATTTCCAGGTTCCGCATCGTCGTCGGACGAGTTGTAGTCGTCCTCATGGTCCGAAACTTCCAGAGCGATGAATTTGCCTCTGGAAAGAAGTTCTGAATCCTCTTCATACCAGCCCTGTGCTTTCATACTTCCCGTAAAGAAGCTCTAGAACTAGCTCTCAGCACCTACTAATCTAGAGGCCTTTTGTTGGTTGATGGATATGTTACAGTAGTGGTTAACATTCCAAATGTTTAAATGGTAAACATCCGGCATGCTTGTTTACCTTTTGATTGTTTTGATTCGTGATGTGTGATGTTTATTATAGCGTCAGAATAAACTAGAGTGATGATGGTACAGTCGAATTGTGCTTCATGTTCACGTTCTCTGCGCGGCGTGGTTGGGTTTACTCTTGTATATAATTATATGACCATTATTCGAGGCTACCGTTCCGGTTGTTCTTTGTCCGAAGCTCTCTGCCTGAGCACGACTCGAGAATTGGAATGATTGTTCCCCTCAACCTGGCACCGTACGGTATATTCAAACTATTGGACAATTTTTTAGTGCGACACACGTTCAGGTTGCAATAGGGCACGTTTTTAGAGGAAGGCTCAAGACATTTTCATACTTACGTGGGAATTTCTCTTTTGAGCTGTTGCACGTTCAAGAGGGCAGTCAGCCACCATATGGATGAGTAGTTAACCTCACAGATGTTTTGCACTATACTCAGCGTCCAGGTGGTTGGGACTCTGTTCAATGGCAGCTCTCGTTAGAGTGAGATCTGCAGTGTCACTTTGATAGTTGTCCGTCGTGTGTAGTTATTCGAGATCTAGCTCTATTACGATCAACAGTGAATAAACAAGCGATAGCCGATGACAGCCTGACAGTTGACCATATCGCGGCATTATTCTCAGCGGTAGCTACTGTATTTGTGATATTTAGCTTTCATGGGGTCCTCAGATAGCGGCAGTGATAGCGATTTCGGTGATTTTGAAGGAATCTCTGACTCCGATGAGCCTATCCAACTGTCTTGGGAAGAACAATTAGACTCTATTCTCGGGCCCAGACAGGAGATTTCACACACCAACCAGAAACATGACCTGGCAGAACTTATCGAGGGCGAGAGACCTAAGGTGGTGTACGAACAATTGGTTTTAGTGGAGCCTCACCTTCGAGCCTTCCAATGGCGACATTCTAAATTGAGATCGGAACTGTTACATACACTTCAGATCGAAGACGTGCCAGTCGTTCCCAAAATCACAAAATCCGTGGATACCTCCCTTTTCGATCTGCTGGAACCGTATCTGGGAGCAGGGACGGACCAGGAGCACAAAAGTAAGGATATATCCAAAGTGCTAGGGAACAAGGTGCACGCTTCGGAACATTCGTCGCCGCCACTTTCTTCTTCCATCGTGCAATTGCAAGCGAAAGATCTTGACGATTTGGAGGAAGAGGAACTGACACACACTCACGACCAACTGATAGATGCTATTTCAGTAGTTTGCAAGAGCATACTTCAAAATGAAGAACTACGAACTCAGTTGATTGCTGACAAAGAAATGTTTGAAGATTTGGTCACAAACTTAGTGGGGCACACGCAGAGACTTCGCCGTGACGAAATCGCACAGTTCAACAAGAAAAATCGTAGAAGTTTCAAATACGGCAAGAAATTCAAGTGGGCTAGGTAATTTCCCGCTTTGCATCCATAACGACATTAACGCGCCAGCCACCCTTGTGGTAAGAGGCAATTAAAAAGTACTAGCCTTTGATGTATTGCGCAATGAGGCGTTCATCCTACAATGCGAGCATCGCGTGCATATATATGTATAATTTACAATCTAAACTCTAAGATCTAAGGATGGTCTCTTAACAATCCTTTTCTTTTGACTGCGCGCAGATTTGCGTTCAAACTCGCCAGCACTGTGCAGTTCTCTGCCCACCGGATCCAGATCCTTCAACTTGTATAATCTGACCATCCAATTTTCAGACGTGAAGGCTTCCTCGAAATAGTCCAGGTTTCCCACATCTTCGTCCCTAATTTTTTGGCCACGCACTCTGTCCATGCCTTCAATGCCATTGAACAAAGATGCAAACCTGTAATAGGACAACTTGTACATCAACGAGTCTTTCATAGTTTGAGATGCTAGAGCATCCATGCGATATTCTCCTGACGGAGTGAAATACTCCCGCTCTTTAATTTCATCAGGCCATATACCTTCCGAAATCCGCACCATCCAAAGAAACTTATTAATGTCATCTCCGGAAAACCCGATGAGGCCACCGAAAATGACCAGGACGTAGTCTACGTCGTGTTGTCTCAAAATCTCGTAAGCTTTCTCTTGAGGTGAAGACATAGCCTTACCGACGATGGCAATATGAGTGTTATTCCAAGTGTTATTGTCGACCAACGTAGTTCTATCAGCCATTCCTCCGATTTGATATCCGTAATCCCACCATGATGCAACCTTCGCATCCTCAGCAGAGTTCATGCGCAGCCAATAATAAGCCTCGCGGAAATCGTCGATCAGCGCCATTGAGCCGTCTTGATTGCGGGAGGGCAAAACAACCGAAGGCGACGAATACGCATTCGACGTGACCCAAGTGCAGTGGTAAACAAACAAGTACAAGTAACCCAAAAAGGAGCCACACACTGTTAGCTTGGTGACAAGTGTCATGATTTTAGTTTTGTTAGAACTGTCGCTAGGTTCTAAGCTCTTGTCACTCCAGAATGAAAAATCGGCGTAAATGTCGAAAAGTTTTGAGATCGTAACGGCGGCGCAAACACAAATAATGGGGGTCAAGGTCAACATCAATCTTACCATAACACCTGCAAAATAGGAGCAAAGAACCGAGTAAGCAATAATGAAGATGTGTTCGTCTTTGAGGTCCAAAAATAACAAAAACACACCTGCTGGAAACAGCCAAATTAAGAATTGAGTATCGAAGAAAAAGGCCGGCCAAGCCGTAGGCTGGTGTTCTGACACTGAAGCAATGATCGGGATGTGAATCTTGGCATAGTTGGTATCCCACAAAGAGTAAAATCTCCCGGTCCAGGGGGCAATGTAACCAAAATATGTGAGGGCGAATAAACCACAAACTCCTGCTAGTAGTAAGAAAATCAAAGAGACCACCATGACAGTCTTAAACTTTTGCCAACTTACTTGAGCCTTGAGGAAACTACCAAGGGCGACTATTTGTATCAATCCAAAGACACCAAGGGCGGCCATGTGGTCGTTAGACCTGATGGGCAGAAATCCGACGAATGGAATTTGCATTGACGCTAAAGTACCAATCGCGTACCAAGTAGTATAGGCCGAATATAAGCGCGTTGAGTACCGCCCCATGAGAATTAGGATAAAAACGTGTAGTGGGATCAAGTTGGTGATAAACACATAGCCACCCCAAGCAGAAACCATGTAAAAGTAGAAGAGAGCAGCGAATGTGGAGTGCATTATGGAACCTGTTTTCATTGCTTTAATCCAAAACATGAAAGTAACCATCAAAAGCGTGATGGCAATGGCTTCGTTATCGTAGGAACCAGCAACAGATCTGGATATATAGCCTGGGGCAATGGCGATGAAAGCCGCAGCCAACAAGCCGGCTCCAGAATCCTTTATTTCACAGGTCAAGTGGTAGGTGGCCCAAGCTGTGACGCCTGAAAATGCCGGAGCAAAAAGGACACAGACGTTTCTGATGTCAACTGGTAGACCAATCTTGTGCAGCCCATGCCAAACAGCAGCAGATGTGGCCATGAGGCCAGGGTACAACGTACCACCAGTGACCCTTCCCAAGGGGTACCATGTTCTGTCATCAAACCAATTCAAGAACTTGTAAAAACCATTGTTGACCAAGTATTTCGTGGCCCTGAAGTTGAACCACGGATCAAATTCGTGAATAATAGATTCGAACCGAATTACGGAAAACAATCTCGACGAGACAGCCGCGGCCGTCATGAATAGAAAGATCGTACATTTCAGCAGCAATTGAATCCAGCGAAGGGCTTGACTCTCGGCCATGGTGAATCTATTACGGTCTAGCGGTCGTATGCTTTATTTTAGTGAACAGGTTAACGTGGGTCTTTAATATTGTTAAATTCGTGAGCCAAGAAGGTCTAGAGAGCATCAGAAACGAATTGAAGAAAAGAACCATAATGAGCCTCTGGTTGGAAGAGCATATGCGGGAATGAAGCAGTCCAGTGTCCGGATTTGGTTGAACTGCTAAAGCTCTGTGGCAATTGCTGAGAGCCAAAGATTCAATACCAGCTGGAATCCCAACCTATGGCCTGTGGTAATGATCACGTCGTGTCCCATGTAGTGTCGACGTTTAGCTAAGTTTGCGAAGAATGCAACCACAGCATATGCCGCATCCATTCTTATCAAACCATCACCAAGTGACTCGAACTCTTTTCCCTGTGGGCGATCCATGCATGAAGAAACTAAAACGTGAAGCAGTTTGAGGGTCACGTTCGTGCTGCCTTTCTATTCATGTCACGACAGCTTTGGTGGTGGACAACTGGCCAGCCTCTATGTCTGTTTTGTAACTTGTTCCTTCACGCACATAGAAGTTGCCGACTTTAAAAGTTTGCTGGTCGTGCATGTAAAACCTTCCCTCAGGCTCCACACAACAGTATCTGATCAGAATCCATTATAATCCTCTTTGTGAGAACCTGGTGACTCTGGTGGCGTTACCATTATGCCGTTCTGAACGCCCGTAATCCGTTAGGTAACCGCGTCTCTCAGCCTAATTGCTAGCTAACAACCAAGAATACTCTAAAGCGACTATCCATGGGTAAACATCTGTAGAAGTCACCCCGGCCCTCTGATGGAGACCAACAAGTGAACTGTCAAACATATGGTAACGGCGGCTATAATTTGAGCCCGGCCCTTCCTCGTCACGCGCTCTTCACGTGTGAGAAAACTCGAGATTTGAGATCGCTTGGTACGGGCTTTAAGTCCCTGAATCCGAGATTTCGTATATAATGCTTTCAAGTGAAATTTGGTCGATGAGCTGATTGATATAGCGAGATAACCAAAAGCAGCTCCTCTAGCAGCCATCCCTTCTCCAAAGAACGGTGCTCTAGTATCGTGGTTCGCTTTAACTAGTGGCAGGATGAGCAGCGTTCATAGTCAGACGAGTGATGTGGTAGTGGAGGATTCGAAAGGGCAGCTGAGGTCGGGGAAAACCAGTGGAAACGGCACAACAGCCACCCGGACGATGTCAAATAACAGTGGGAAGTCGACCATCACGTTCGAGAAGCAGAAAGTCAAGTCGCGGGCTAGAACGCAGTCTGTCCAGAGTGTATTGAGCTGCATTTCGTTGCGCAGCATGGTGGGAAACAACGAGGAAACTCTGGGTTCTTATCCGCATCACGGCTCCAGCAACAATGGCCACAGTAATAACAACCATAATAGCAACGGTGGCAGCAATAATGGTAGTAGTGGAAACAACGGTGGCGGTGTCGGCAATGTGGGCGTCCCGGCTACGCAACAAATTCAGTCCCCTGCCATGGCATCGGTGCAGAAAAGAGCCTCGCATTCGTACTATAAGGACGCGATCGGGCAAAAACTACCGTTCACCGACGACAAACGGCGACAGCTTGAAAATGATGGTCAGAGGTTCGGCTCTCGTGCGAGTAATACCAAACTTTCGAAGACGAACCTCAGGGATCATAACACCAGTACGGCTTCCAGCGGATCTTCTAATAGTGCCGAGAGGATCTTGGAGTCCGATGTGGAGAATGAAGCCGAGCAGCAAAAGAGGCTGACGACTGATGCCTTGCGTAGGCTGTCCAGTATGAGAAAGAGTGCCACGGTGAACGGAAATAGCAATGGCAACGGAAAACTTCTCGGAAATGGCACAAGGTCTGAGCCGCCAGAAGAGAATAACGAAGTAGCCCATAATGCTTCTGAGCAACCCGTCAATAGTACGTACTTTGAGCCTAATCCTGTTTTCCGTGATTCGTACATCGGAGAAACTGATCCGGAGACGTTGACACATATTCAATTTGGCGGTAAGAATATAATTATGGACTCGTCTATTCCAAACAAGAGGGCTTCCATTGCCCCTGTGAGAAACGCACTTGATATGCTTCCTTCTACTTTGGGGGCAAACTCCAACGCAACCACCTCTGGGACCAATACTTCTAAGTCGAAACGTCCTCCGAAACAACTGAACGCACCAAAAAAGCCTCTTTACACGCCTGCAGTCCTGCGTGATATCTCTGAGACTAATATTACAAATGCCGAGCTGGGCTCGTCCGGACCGCCTTGCTTAACGTCGTACAATTCGGGCGGACGTACATCTCGCAGTAGTGTGAGAAGCGTGAGATCCACATCTTCGTCGATCATCTCTGACTACACCAAAAAGTTGACCTCCCTGTGGCATAGGGACCATACATACGCCAGTGCTGCCGAATTAATACCACCAACCCGCAATCACTGGATAGCCGACAACAAAAGACATTCTTGCCACTATTGTCACCGGATATTTACTTTTTGGGAACGTAAACATCATTGTAGGCACTGTGGTGATATTTTTTGCACACAGCATGTCAGGCATTGGCTCTATTTGGATAGTGATGCCAAATTTGTCATTGGTGGTGCTGGAGTTGGCGCTTTGTCAAAAATTTGCGATGGTTGCCTTCAAGAATACGATACTTTAGTGCGCGAGGGACCTTCCACTACCGGGAATGTCAACCAGCAAAGTGACACGCCCAAGTCAGTCACTCCCGTCCCTAGAGCAGACGTCTCTCTGGCCCAGAAAAACCTGGTTGAGGAGGAAGGCAAGCGTGGGCGACTGGACAGCATTGTTGGGAGTGTGCCTGCGGACTGGAATTGGAGCAGTTTCTAAAAGGGATGGGTACGGTAGACAACAAGATAGAGTGTCTGAAGAAAGGACTTTTATTGTCATTATAATTATAATAGACCAGGTGTCTCCAACTATTTGTATATTGTATAGTATTTTGTATTTTCGTTAAAAGATTATCTTTGGTGTAGAATGTTTGCGCTCTGTAAATATTAAGAATACATAATAGCTTCCGATGGAAGATAAAGATTATTCGCGCTTTTCCCGAACGGTAGAAGCAATTTTGGCGCCCAATCCCTCAGATTTGCTCATGTCTTCAACGATTTCAAATCCAGAACTCATCGATGTAATTGAAGAGATTGATCCGGACCGCTTGTCAAGATTAGAAAATAAAGGTATGTTGGACAGCGAGTTGTCGCTGTTCATTAACGACAAAGCGTCACTCTCGCCATCAGTTTCAGTGCTTTGCCTTGTAATTTGTTTACCGCTCTCTTTACGCTTTCTGAGTTGCCTTCTGCGTCTTAGCTCGGTGGTCATCCTATCTTCTTCCTCATCAGTTGCGATTAAGCCGTTTCTATACTTATCCGAAAGACTGACACCATCAAAACCAGGGTACAATTCAGGGCCCAGCGTATTTACCATGAGGGTAATTTCCTCCTCCAAGATCCTCCTCTGCTTTTGCAGTTCCTTGAGGATTGCGGGATCGGTGATAGATAAATATAATGGCCTCAACGACTTGAATACATCCATCCCATTGTCACCAATAATCAAAGCGGAATACGTAACGATGGTGCAAAGAATATAGATACCAACAAAACTTGCAAACTTATTTCTAGTGATCGAATTTCTGAAATAATAAGTCAACAAAATTGACCACACAGTGTAGAGCAAAGGAGCAAAGCCCATACCAATCAGAATCTTCCACGTTGCAATAACGTCATTTGCCTTGATTTTCACGGTAGATGCAGCTAAGGCCTGAGATGCCTTCTGCTTGGAGATTATCTTGGCCACAATAAATACCGGAGAAAACATGATTATGCCTGGAAGGGCCAAAATCAGAGAAATGGATAGTCTCAAAGATCTCATTATTAGCAGGCCGAGATTTTTCGCAAAATTTATCTTAGCAGACTCAACTTGATGGTCTGGGATATTGATGCTGCGTAAGTTGGCATTATACTTCAAAACGTCTTCTTTAAGTTTCTTGATTCTCGGATCATCTTTATAAGTTTGATACCCTTTCACCAATCGTCTATTCATTTCGATCACTAACGAGAGGGGAAGTTTTGCAGACAGGTGGCCTGCGTACAGTCTCCTAGCGGCCTGTACTACCATTAAAGTCTCGTAGTCGGGGCATGTGACTGTCACCGCCTGAAGTCCACCCGATATTTTATCCAAAAGCTCTTTGACCGCTTCCCTATTCTTCGCTGGGTCTTGATACTGTTTCACCAGCTCTGGAGTGATGGTAATTGGATTACCAAACTCGATTACTGCTCTTGATCTGAATCTATGTGGGTGGAAGTAGTTCATACCACAGGGAACAATCTGAACATTGGTTTCCGGATGCTTACTCATGCACCCTAAAGCCATAATCGCTACGCCTGCCTTCAAAGGCAGTAAATCAGTTCTATCATGGGAACCCCCTTCTGGAAATATACCAACACATTGGTCGTGAGCCAAATGTTCAAAGACACGGTGGTAGACCTTCTTTTGATTAACCTTGGGAGCATACTTGTAGGAAGTCCCTTTCTCCAACAATTGCTTAACATCAGGCTTAGACTGTCGAAATTCCTTGCGGATGTATAGTACTTCGTCGCTCTCAATGGATTCAATAATGGCATTTCCCAATGATTTAGGAAGCCCAATAAGGCCTTGGGGCTCGAAATCCTGGGAAAACCTCGTTCCTCGGCCTATGATCTTCCGTGGGTCATCCTCGCTAATCTTTATTTTCCCTGTCGCAGGCCGCAGGTTATCTTGTGCTCTTCCAACCCCAATTGACATTGCGCATCGCGCAAAGGTACCTATGGCCTTCCTGGTGAGCGATTTTTCAGCTACTAAAAAAGACACACGCTTATTGACAGCCTTTTTAACTTGACCCATAAGTATTACCGGGTCAATGAATTGATTAGCATGAGGAGCGGCAACAAATATGACAGGACCCTGGGTTGGGACTTTGTAACGTCCTCTACTCCGAATTTCCCGGAAAAAACAGTCAAAAATGTTACTTAAAATCCACAAAAACGTGTCATAAATGAACTTTCGATAGGCGGGGGCCTCCTCGTACACGTAAGAGTCGATGTCATCCTCGCTAGCAATACTAGCCCCTGAATCTGCTTTCTGCACTAAAGTTGGCTTGTCCATTTCACTTGTTTGCAACAAAAGGGCAACGAGCGTCGGTAGATCACAGAAGATCGCAGAAGCTTTCGGCTTTACCTTGAGCTTTCTGTACTAATTCGCCAATGCAAATCTCCTAGGAGGTTACTAGACCGCGAATGAAGGGGCGAGTAAAATGAAGGAAAAGTTTCCACCACCAAAATTCACTTCACGAAGAATCCGAGGCGACCAAAAATCCCACTCAGAACAAGCTAACAATACCTGTGAGTGTGAAACTCTTGAAGACCTAAAGTGAAGATTTCCAGGTAGAAGTAATTTCTAGGTATCGTATTGTTTGCATACAAGAACATCGCATGTCGTTGGTACAAAATTCAAAGTTAGGGAACAAGGATGCATGAGACACTTTTAGGCCTATCCATATCATGCTAAATTTCAATATTTCAATTGGTATCCGCGATAGTTTAGTGGCTAGAATTCGGGCTTGTCGCGCCCGGGACCGGGGTTCAATTCCCCGTCGCGGAGATTATTTTTTTCCTAGATCCAAATGAAGGTAGGTTAGGTAAGGTGTCTTTGGTTGATGCAGAAGGTAGCGGCTAAAGAGTTGATTAAACCGACAATCAAGTCGGTCGTTTTTGCGAATTTATGTACAAAGTATATCACAAGAAGAAGGCCTCCTGGGCGCACCTACCGCACCGTTTGCGAAGACTTTTGCTAAATTGTTCGGGGCCCTCGATTTTTGAACCTTCAAATTGTATTTCAGGGCATTGGAGCACTGTGCCATCAACAAATCTCACGAGAATACATTTACGGATATCGTCATAGTAGAACGATCCAGGTCGCTGCCCTATTGGTGTTCCACACGTATCAGTGCAAGGTTTGAGTTTGTGAAATATGACCCTCTTCAACAGCGGCTCTTGACTTTTTCTTTGAGCCGCCTTGAATGAGTAGACTGGTCCTAAAGCGCCGATTTTACTGAGTGCCTGTTGGCTTGTAGTTGAATTCCATTGTATCTGTCGTAAGTCGGTCGTAATCTTTGGCGCGAAGCTCTCTGCAAACGGTGGGGAAAAGATATTCTGGGCCTTGTATGCTCCTTCCCGAATCACCCTCACCAGTAATTCTGAGCCTATGTCCCCTAATACATCCATCAATTTAGCGACTTTGGGAGGCACTGCAGATTCGGACATGTAGCTGGGTTCATGAATTTGCAATCCGTCTCGAAGTAGCAGATCTGAAGTTCTGAGGGGCGGCGTTTGAGCGATAATTCGGCCACAATCAAATTTTTCCGGGTGTAGTGTCTGGATAGAGACGCCTGTCACAGCGTCTTGGTTCAAGAGAGTGTACTGGATGGGAGATGAGCCCTTGTAGCGTGGCAAAAGCGAGGGGTGCACGTTGAGCGTGTAAGGCACTTCCGCCAGAAGCTTTTTGGAAATCAGTTTCCCAAATGAGACGGCTATGATCATGTTAAATTGGCCCTCCATAAGTTTGTCCCTCACAGGTCCCAGCATGTCCTGTTGGGAATCGCACTCGATTACGGGTGGAAGCCCCAAGTGGGTGCTATATTTTGCAATTGGTACGTCCCGCGTAACGGACAGATTCCTTCCGCATTTTTTGGCAGGCCTCGTAACTACTTGTAATGTTCTAATCAAATGAGGATCCTCTTCTTTCAATTTGTGAAGAGCCTTTAGAGAATGGACACTAAATTGATCTGAACCGAAGAACAAAATGTTTAATGGTCTTTTAACGTCGCTGTAACAACGTCTCGGCCTCACCAAGCCAATCCAGGTTTGGAATGACTTGCTCATAGTCTTGACCCCAGGGCATATAGCAAGTAATTTTGTTTCACAATTATTACTCGAATATCAGCTACGTTTAAGCACCGTTATAAGATCAGCACAATTGGTACTGGGTCGTCATACAACACCTGATGAGTGACGAGGCAATTCTTTATAAAAGAAGGCAGAAGTTTTCTGAAGAGGCCCGCCAAGCAATACTCAACGATCAACTCAAAGATCACGCTCTGTTGAGCCGATCTCACCGCACCAGTGACATCCTCCAGGATCTATTACACGACGAAAATGCGAGACTAAAACTGTTGCAAGAAATCGAGAAACAGGAGCTGATTGACCCAGATGGGAACTTAGTGGAACGTGGACTGCGGAAGCTTAGAGAGGTTATTGTTGCAGCAAAACCCAAATCCCGTCGAAAACCAGCTTTTGTTCACTTAGCCATCCAAGTGTACATAAAAACAATCCGCTTCTATTGTAGACGCCGCGAAAACCACAAAAGCTTGCCAGGCTTGCGATTTTATGTCGAAAATCTACTGGAGAACGCAGATCCGCGAGACCAGCAGCGTTCGCATGAGTTGATCGCATGCTGCGCGCTTTATATCGCCCATAGCGAACAAGACATTTTGCGGTGCCTCGAACTTTTGAAAAAGCATCTATATGGAAATAAAATCTATGACCATTGTCGAGTGCTGGCATCTGTGTATTGCCTGCGAAGTGAACCTCCGTGCGTTTGGTTTGCAACTGTTTCTCAATTCCCTGACACTTCACTAGTACGAAGCTTCTTACTGACTCTTCCAGCATTTCACGAAATGCAAAGAAGAACTATTAAGGTCATATGCACTTGTTATAACCAGTTATCACTATCCTTTATCAGCTCCTACTGGTTCCATCACCTGTGGGAAGACATAGAGTCCTATTTGATCGACCACTGGGCTATAGAAGTTTATGAAAATGGCAGCAAAGTTGCAAAATTCAAAAAACAAAAGGTGGAAGGTTCGTGCAAGCGGTAGAGTGCAGCCAGCCTGTGTTGATATGAGCTGTGAGAGTTGACAAGACCTCGATATCATTTTGTACTAATTTGATCTTATTCCGCGATATGGTAAATTGGAATACTCGCTGGATGATAGAAGCTGCAACCGGATAACAATAGAGCCTTCGCAGCCTTTGTTCGCTGAAAATGGATGATTCTTCGAACAATAATGATGTCAATGAGGCTAGACCTCTAGAAAATCTTTTTGAGCGATTGGGATCAGACCACGAATTCAAGAACTCCATTAAGCAAGAGCTACAAAATGTGCAAAACTCAATCCTGCCAATGCGGCTGCATTTCAATGAGCTGCTCAATGCTATGGCGAGCATAGATGCGAAACAAGAATCTTCCGCTTTAGAAAGATTTACCTACGTCAGAACCAAGCTTCTGGAGTTTATGAAAGACGTCGATACGTTGTCCTCAGACTATGTTCGCCTTCAGCCGTTATTTGATGGGTTGCAACAGGCCTCCAAAGATGACAATATAAGTGTTAAGTTTTCGCCACTAGAAAGGCTTTCAAATATAAATGATGCCGCCCTTGCGACCGCTGGACGGCCTCAGAGCGGTAAACGCTCGAACGTCAACTCGCCCTCTGCACTTGCCGCAGCAAGTACGACGAAGAGTGCAGTCTCAAGTGGGAATACCCCTTCGAGTAATCTACCGACACCGTCCACCACGGCATCCGCGGCTGCCAAAAAGCCAAGAAAGCCGCGTACCAAAAAAAACTCGGGACCCTCTCCATCCTCGATGCCTTCACAGCCTCAGCCGCCTTCACAGGCTCTGCAACAAGCAATACACCAGCAACAACCGGCTCAATCCATGCAGCATCAGAAACAGTTTACACCTTCTACAAACCCATCCCAACTGCTCTCCGGTATGTCTCCCATGAACATAATGAGCAGTCCACTGAATACTATGTCCCCAGTTAACGGTAGTAACATGAGCTTTCCCCCGGGCGGTAAACCGTCGAACATGCACTCTGTCCAGCGTCACGTTCAACCCAGTCAACCGTCGTTTAATTCTAACAGCATAACACCCGCCAACATCCTAAGCATGTCGATGTCGGACCAGAGCAATCCTGCGGCAGCCTATACACAGATGAATCCCCAAGGCAGCGTCAACCAAGACTTAGGATCGCTTGATCTCAACAACATTGACCTTTCGAACCTCAACATGGACTTCCTACAGTAGAATACAATGACTGAATGAAGACACAATATTACACCTGCTTGTACAATAGTTATTACAAATTCTCCATGGAGTTAAGGCAATAAATGCAGCCTCCTGGTATCTGGCAAGGAAACTTTTATGGACGGCTTTTCTATGAAGTGGTATTCAATCCTCGCCTCTAACGTAATTACGATTACCTTCTCGAAAGCTTCAATCGATCAAGCGTGTTTGTTTCTGACTATATCCCGGCTATGTATGAGTCACTGACCTGTTAGCTCTTTTCCGTATTCAATGACTTGAGACATGATTCGTGACGTTTAAAATTCTCTCATTCACGCTCAGCTACCTCGCTAACAACAACTTAGGTCGGCCATTGCTTATTAGTTCACAACATGGCTGAACAACTGAGAAATACTTTTGCGAATGCAAAGGCTGAAAATCGCAATGTTCTGGTGACTTTCATGACTGTCGGATATCCTAGAGTGGAAGATACTATCCCAATGTTGAAAGGGTTCCAAGACGGTGGTGTGGATGTAATCGAACTGGGAATGCCTTTCTCTGACCCTATCGCGGATGGTCCAACTATTCAATATGCAAACACGATGGCTTTGAAAAACGGCGTCACCATGTCCCAAACTTTGGATGTGGTTCGCCAGGCCAGATCGGAGGGTGTGACCGTCCCTATTATTCTTATGGGCTATTACAACCCAATTCTCAACTATGGAGAGCAAAAATTCATCGAAGATGCAGCCAATGCCGGTGCAAACGGCTTCATTATTGTTGACTTGCCTCCAGAAGAAGCTCTTAAGGTCCGGGACTTTGTCAACGACAATGGGCTAAGTTTGATTCCTCTTGTTGCTCCTTCTACCACCGACCAACGTCTAGAGCTCTTGGCACAGATTGCCACGTCCTTCATTTACGTTGTTTCCAGAATGGGTACCACTGGTGCTCAGGTTTCCGTTACCGAAGACGTCGCCAATTTGGTGAATCGTGTCCGTAAATTCACTAAGGACATCCCACTTGCCGTGGGATTCGGCGTTTCGACTAGAGATCATTTCAAATTTGTGGGTGCTGCGTCTGATGGTGTCGTTATTGCCTCTAAGATTATCGAACTGATCGAGAAGTGTGAACCTGAACAACGCTACGAGGTTGTGAAAACTTATGTTGAAGACGTGCTTGAGGGTCGGAAACACAAAAACTTGTCTTCTGCTGAGTTCAAGGCGATCCATGAAAAATCTATCGCTGAAGGTAGAAACCGTGCAGCCGCCGTTGCCGATTTCAACGAAGTTCACAAGTTCAAGGCTACCTTTGGTGACTTTGGAGGCCAATACGTTCCTGAGGCCCTGCATGCCTGTTTGAGAGAGTTGGAAATGGGCTTTGAAAGCGCGGTTGCCGACCCAATTTTCTGGCAAGAGTTTAGAAATCTATATTCATACATTGGCCGTCCTTCGACATTGCATAAGGCTGAGAGACTATCAGAACACTGTGGGGGTGCACAAATTTGGTTGAAAAGAGAAGACCTGAATCATACTGGCTCTCACAAAATAAATAACGCTTTAGCCCAAGTCTTGATTGCCAAAAGGTTAGGGAAGAAAAAAATTATTGCAGAAACTGGTGCTGGTCAGCACGGTGTGGCAACTGCTACCGCATGTGCTAAGTTCGGAATGGAATGTACGGTTTTCATGGGTGCTGAAGATGTTCGCCGTCAAGCCCTAAATGTCTTCAGAATGCGTATTTTGGGCGCCAAGGTCGTGGCAGTCACCAACGGTACTAAAACTTTGAGAGACGCCACTTCTGAAGCTTTCCGCTACTGGGTTTCACATTTACAAACCACTCATTATGTGGTTGGTTCGGCCATTGGACCTCATCCTTACCCTACGTTAGTCCGTACTTTTCAATCGGTTATCGGCAACGAAACCAAGGAACAATTTGCGAAGCTTAACGATGGAAAACTTCCCGACGTAGTAGTCGCCTGTGTTGGCGGTGGCTCTAACTCTACCGGTATGTTCTCTCCTTTTGAACACGATTTGTCTGTCAAGCTGTTAGGTGTAGAGGCCGGCGGCGACGGCATCGACTCCAAATTTCACTCCGCTACACTAACAGTTGGAAGGCCCGGTGTCTTCCATGGTGTCAAAACCTTTGTGTTACAAGATACCGATGGGCAAGTGCATGATACTCACTCGGTTTCTGCTGGCCTTGATTACCCAGGTGTGGGGCCAGAACTTGCTTCTTGGAAAGCATCCGGCCGTGCCAACTTTATTGCTGCTACAGATGCTCAAGCCCTGGAAGGCTTCAAATTGTTATCTCAGTTGGAAGGTATCATCCCAGCTTTGGAATCCTCCCATGCCGTGTACGGTGCCGTTGAACTGGCCAAAACAATGGACAAGAACCAACACGTTGTCATCAACATCTCTGGTAGGGGTGATAAGGATGTTCAAAGCGTTGCAGAAGTTCTACCTAAGCTAGGTCCGCAGATCGGCTGGGACCTGAGGTTCGAAGAAGATCCATCGGCGTGAAAGACGTTGCATGAAGAGTTTCCTCGTGCAAATTCTAGGGGCGGCCCAACTCAAGATTATACCCTAGAAGCCATACGTCACTATTCGACTTTGTGTAGAATACTTAACGAAGATGATCCTATCAAAAGTGAGACTATAGCAGTAATGTTAGATAGAGTCGGAAAATGGATAGTTATCATGGACGAAACTAATAATTATATAAGTTTATTTTAGACGACAACAAAATAACTGGAGCTCATCGCGGCCATCATGGCTCGGTGAAAGCCAAACGACTGGCTGTATGATATCTAATGGAAAGGGCTCAACTGCTGCCAAATAAAAAGGGAGTAGGTGTTCAACTGGGCTTTGGGATCAGAAATTCGGGGCTATACATTTCGACCGCGGAGAGACAACAAGGTGAGAGAGGCAGGTGGATACATGGTGGAGTTGATGACTTTGAAGCTTCTCGTGACGTTAAGCTTCACATGACGAGTAAGGAGCGTTTTATAGACTGTAGTTACGACAGCGTTTCCAATCTAGCAGATTCGACGGGTTCGAGTGAAGATGCCTTAATCGATTCTGTTAGTGACAGCGACGGAGAAAACCATACCATTTATGAGTCAGCGCTAGGCGTACAGAACATGTCAGCTTTAAAGGAATCAGGCCAGATAAAATTGTTCAAAAATGTTCAATTGATGACAGAGTCTAGCTACGACACTAAAGTTATCAATCCTACCACACCAAGTACTTACGTTCCGGGTGCTGTTATTAAAAACTTAGAAACACCTGTTTCAAAGGGTGGTTTTGATGTTACAAGTACGGTGCTAAGAGGCTCCCCCTTGCCTAGTTTGATAGTTGACCCAACCAGTTTCAACACATTTAACATGGGGCCCATTCATACTACAACAGCTCTGCGCATGAATAGGGATGCCAATCACATAGTGGCATTTGCATCCGGCGAAACACTTAGCTTGTTGAACGTAGGCCTTTTAGATGATCGTGCCGGATTGCAAAATCCTGACAATATTGTTAAGTTCGACCTAAACTCCAAGATCAAAAACATTGTTTTTCCAAGGTTTTCCGCAATTCTCAATAGGGCTTCAGACTGTTTCGCTGTTATCACGACTAATTCCTTATGTGTCTTTCAAGTTCGATCTATCGATCTTGTAACTGGTTTTATGCAGATTGACAAGTTGGAGCCGTTACATTTTCATGCCCTTGAAGATTTATGTTTTGCAGACGTATCGTTTAATCCATGGGATTTCAACGAATTCGCTGTTGTAGATGTCAAAGGTAATTGGGCAATGGGAAATATAGTCAAGAAAGCGTCACGCCCTTCTCGACTGCGACTCTCGGGGAACAAAAGAGGTAGTGTTTACGATCCTGAGGATATATCATCTTTTCACCAGGTAACTTGGGGCGCGGAGTATTTTTGTCTAATCCTAATTAGTAGGTCAAATTTGATCGAGCTAAATCTAAAGGCTAAGACAGAACTGAGAGTTATTGAAGCAAAGTCCTGGTCAACGTTGCGCGACTTCAAGCGTATCAATGACCAATTCTGCATTCTGACGACAAGTAAAGAGATCATTCTGATTAGCTTCAAAGGCAGGGATATTGAAAGAGTAATTTCGTGGAAACACTGTTTAGATCCCGCAGACATCACATTCAAGAGTGAGGTAAGGCATGTAAACGGCACAGATTGGGGTAGCGCCTACGATGAGCTATTTTTCGTTTTCATAACCTCTTCCAATAAACCTCAAGTCCTCCTGCATGTCTTTGCCAAAAGCGGCCCCGTGTTCCAATCTATTGGTGGTTCGTCGATACTTCAAATCGGTAATTCAAAATCTGGGATAAGCTCTATGATTGCTCCCCAAATTTCATGGAGGGGCAACAGCTCTTCAGGTGTTATAGATCCTAAAGATATGCAAGGATTTTGTTGTTTCGTGAGGGAAGCCGATTCTTCCGCCATTTGGCGCGTGCAGTTATCGAAAACCGATCTTCCTATTGCGTCAAATCTGGGGAATGCAAACACTTCCATCATAAATGATTCGGCGGACATTTCCAACACAGAAGCATTTGAGAATTATCTAGACTTGCAAACAACTTTACCATCTGATATGAATGATTTTGGCCGCTCAAGACAGGAGGCCATACTTCAACAATATGGTTATGAAGTCTCAGAAGCTACGAATAAACTTCTTGGAACGTGGAATCAAGAGGGTAGCAACGATGGTGACCTTCGGAACATCAGGGCCTATTCTATATATGATCTAGCTCCCGATGTGAGTGCTGTGGAGAACATGGAAGAGCTTGGCTCCTTACTCCAGCAATTTCAGGAGCACTATCAAGATCAAGAAATTTGGTTTGGTGAAATAGCGGGCATCTCATCCCTGCTAGTTCAGGAAGAGATCACGGACTTAGAGGTTCTTTACAACAAACTTTTACAATGTTGGGCATTTGGCTTTGGAAACGATGTCTCGGTCACAAAGGAAATTGTGAAAGCAGTAATCTTGAAGTCTCTCGGAGTCTGCAGTCCGTCATTAATTTCCCAGTCCACTGCCAAGGTGTATGAGCAATTGCCAGAAAAGGATCGTGAGCTAATAGACTTATGGGAAGATTCTGACGTAGGTGCAAGTGAAGAGTCGTTTTCTACTTCAAAAAATTCTATTCACGACGAAACATCACAAATGTCTTCGATACCTCCATCCGTCAAGTCCTCGCAGCCCAAATCATCACAAGTCAAGATTTCAGGACCTCGACGGGCAGGAGAGTCATATGTGCAACGCTTGTCCCGAGCCGCTTCACAACCGGTTGTCGGTCGGCCCGGGGCCTCGAAGTCACAAGGCTCTGCAAGTGTGGATGGTTTCACTACCTTGCCCGATGCTATGACTCCAGCCTTTTCGCTGACCTCAGCCTCACAACCTGTTCCAACACTTTCTAAATCCGTGAATTCGCGCAGACAGAAAAAGAAGAAAAAGTTAGGCGGATTCGGATAGATAAATGATATTGTTCTGCATTTTGTTCCTGTAATCCTCGACTGTTTATATTTTTAATGACTTTCCCAACATTGGACTCTTCAATCAAGATGACAAAAGATAAAGAGGAATGAATGCCTCAGTTACTACCCCGTAGCTCTACTCAAGAAACTGAGGTACTTCTATCACAACAACAGTCCCCGATATCTAACACAAAGTTGTGTTCTCGCATGAACGTGATGACTCGGCCAACAACAACCACATAAGGTGTCTTGTACAAACTCATCACACGCCTAAAATTCTATATATGTATAAAAGCACCGCTAACTTCAAATTGCAATAGGGCCTCGTCAGTAGCTTCTATGCCGAATGTTGTGGTTAAAAGCAGATAGGAAACTTAACTTTTCTCTAGGTTATATATGAAAGTATCATCATTACTTAAACCTAAAGCCATATATCCGTCGAAAATAACTGTGAAACCTCAATGCATCTCAATCTAGCTTTTGTGGCTATCTCGGCCATTTCAAGCGTGTTAGGAGCTGAGCTCGGGAACTCCGGAGCTGATTTCGAGGAATACGGTAAGCATACCAATCAATCTTTGCTTTGGGCCCCGTATCGGTCCAACTGCTACTTTGGAATAAGACCACGGAATGTCAATGAGAGCCCATTGATGATGGGCCTTATGTGGTTTGACTCCTCGGAGGTCAAGGGAGTAAACCAGTTGAGGCATTTTGTGGATACAGGGGACAAACTGGATAAGTACGGCTACGAATCTTACGATCCAAGACTTGGTGGCAAAGAAGTCATCATAGATGGTGCGAACAACCTCAACCTGACTATTCACTTTGCGAAAAGTAGAAATGGTGAAAATTGGGGTGCCAGGATATATGGCGCTCCTCTAGATGCGTCTAAAGCCAAAATCCCTTCCTTAATCTTGTACCTGAATCAAAATGGTGAGGGAAGTCACCTAAGTACCGATTTACTTAAACGCCAGGACAAAAAAACTATAAACCTGGAAGGTTCCGCTCTCGAGCTAGGCGACTATGAGATTAAGATCAGTGACAACTTTGGCCAGTACTACGAAAGAGGACCTTCTGTGGCTCACGATCTGGACAGCAGCAAACCATCACACTTCTCGTTTAATGTTCCAGATGATGAGGTCTGGAAAGCACGAGACATATTCCAGACCATGCTAACCGAGTCGGTCCAAAAAATGGTGCTCTCAGGCACCAAAATGAATCCTCTGTCGTTGCCATCTCTACTTATGATCAGAAATCTCAACAACTTCGCACCAGGAAATTTCCATTTCGTTCAAAAGACGTTCGATTCCCACCAGCCCTTTGAATTTGATGTTATATTCAACAAGAAAGGCTCGAAGCAACCAATAAGATCCAGTGGAGAGCTAACCACGCTCATATCCTGGACCATGAGCGAACTTGATGCGCGTTTTAACAATAAGTTTTCAATAGCAGACCCTGACCTCAAGAGATTCGCACAAGAGACCTTAGCCAATCTCATGGGTGGCATCGGTTATTTCCATGGCACCCAAAAGGTCGACCGCACTACAGAGTTCGATGAAGAGCAATTTGAAAAAATAGACTTGAAAGAGGCCAGAGAGGAAGGACCTCTTCAACTGTTTAGCTCTGTTCCAAGTAGAGCATTTTTTCCCCGCGGATTTTACTGGGACGAGGGATTCCATTTACTCCAAATGAAGGAGTACGATTTCGATTTAACATTAGAAATCTTACAAAGTTGGTTTGCCCTAATTGAAGATGATAGCGGGTGGATTGCTCGCGAACTAATCTTGGGAAGCGAGGCCAGAAGTAAAGTACCTGAGGAATTTCAAGTGCAGAACCCCAATATCGCAAACCCACCAACTCTGCTGTTATGTTTTAGTGAAATGCTAACGCTAGCCCTCGAAGAAAATTTGATCGATGATGGGCTAAGTCATGAGATGTCAGTTACGGGTGTGGAGACAGGGGAACTGCTTAGACGGCCTGAATTGTTGACCCTGTATGCCGAAAAAATATACCCCAAATTGCTAAGACATTATGAATGGTGGACTGACGGCCAGAGAGGCTATGCCGAAGAATATATAGAATCTTTGGGTTTGAAAATGCATCCAGAAGAAGTGTTCAGATGGGTGGGAAGAACGTTCACACATTGTTTGCCCAGCGGGCTTGACGACTACCCTCGTGCCCAACCGCCAGATGTTGCGGAGCTCCATGTGGATGCTCTTTCTTGGGCCGGGGTCATGACTAGATCTATGAAGCAAATTTCACAAGTGTTGGGACTAACGGAAGAAGTCCAAAGGCTCGCTAAGATTGAAGAAAACATCGTGGATAATTTAGATTCTATTCATTGGAATGAGCAGAGCCACACTTACTGCGATGTGACCATTGACGACGACCTCGACGAAGTGCGAAAATTTGTGTGCCATGAAGGATACATCTCTTTGATGCCATTTGCCCTCAAACTCGTGCCCAAGGATTCTGAAAAGCTGAAGTGGTTTGTAGAGTTGATGGGCGATACTACCAAGATTTTTAGCGAGTACGGCATTTTGTCCTTATCCAAACAAGACAGTTATTTCGAAACGGGGGAAATTTACTGGCGCGGTCCCGTTTGGATCAACATGAACTACCTCTTTTTGGACAGCTTGGCCTTCTATTTCCAGGACAGCGATCAACAACAAGATGCCATTACAGTGACAAAGGCCAAGCAACTCTACCGTGATTTGAGAGAAAACCTGATTTCCAACATGTACAAAGTTTGGGACGAAGATGGCTACGTGTACGAGAACTACAATCACAATAATGGACGTGGCTCAGGAGTGCAGCATTTCACGGGCTGGAGCTCACTAATAGTCAACATTCTGGGCCGGTTGCCTGAAGAGTTATAAGCACATACAACATTTATCGTCCGGAATAAAATCAAACAAACGCTGCACAAGAGTTGCACGTTTGCTGTTGACGAAAATCGATTCACCTACCAAGCATTTTGCGTATCACCAGTATACCAATAACTATTCACCTACCAAATAAAATCTATAGCTACAGATCAACCAACAGAAACTGACAATTACATGCTACAATGAGATATCAATGTAGAACCCTACGACGTTATAAGGACTGGCTTGTTTATTTTTCTGTCATGTTATTGTTTGGAAGTTCACGTTTTCTGGATTTTTGACCAGCCGTTAATATTTATTATGTAAGCAGATGTTTGTCGACAAGAAAATAAAGAGCTGGCGTCAGCTACAACAAAAGACTAGCCAGTAACCAGCCCACTCAGAAAAGAGCTAAAGAAAACATCGAAATGTTCTAAACAATGTGCTTCAAAGATTGCTTGAGCGGCAAGCTCAGTTTTTTCTGTGTTTTGATTTTCTGCTATGAGTTGGTCGTGTTGGGTGAAGGTGGGTCGAACAGAACAGTGGAACGACGGGCTTGACAACACCAAAACAAATAACAACAGCGAGCGCCAGAAAGGAGAAAGACCATAATATTGGTCGAGGTTTCTTTGAAAAGATATAAAATGGCATGTCTGCGCAGGGTTGTAATATTGAAGAGACACATTAATGTCTTATCTGGTAACTTCATCCAACTGCAAGTCCTTACAATTTCCCCATTGATAGTTCTTTAAGCAAGATAAAAATGGCTCTCAACAGACTTGCTGTCAGCATAGTCTTTTTCTTCGCTGCCATCCTCACGCAGCATTTTACCAACGCCCTGCCAGTATTGGAACAGCTCCCCAAAAGACAAATTGTAACCAGAATGCACACTGCTAGCACAACGAATATTGTGACCGATTTCTACTCTACAACCACGCAAATTGAGGTTGCTCCTACTGTTGAGTTCATCATCAGTGGTGACGCAACCTTCACCACTACGTTGCCACAAGCCGATGGCTCAACACCTACAGGTAACCCTACCACAACTGTTATGGTCACAGTACAGCCTCAGAATGAGAATGCGGCTGAGCCAAATGGCTTGGCGTCCTCCTCCAGCTGCACAACAACGATCACCACTGGAGCTCCAAAGGGAACAGTCTACGTTTCTCCTCTACCTGTCTCTGCCACGCAGAGCTCTAATCCGCAACTAACAGCATCGACTCTGGCTGCAAGTTCCTTGGTAGCTTCTGCGTCTGTTCTGCCCCCACAAGCAGGTTCAGCTACTTATGAAGCATCAAGCTCTTCTTCTTTGACTCCAACCCCGCCAAGCCCTCATATTCCTGCTCCACCAGCCTCCACCACCTCAGGATTTGAGTCAGCTACTAGCAAGCAACCAGATGTTTCATCTTCAAACGCTCAAGAATCTGCTCCATCCAGTAGCTTCACTTCAACCAGCGAAGAAGCAACGAGCACTTCTTCTTCATACGGCACTACTGCTTCTAGCACCGAACAGACAACTAGTACCTCTACCACTGTACCAACCTCCTCCTCCTACGCCTCTACGACATCTACTACACCAATCGCCGCCTCGTCCTCTGGAACAACGTCGTCAACTTCATCCACCACGTCAGGACAGTTGCACAGCGCCCCTACTGCATTAGTGTACTCTCCGTACAATAATGACAACACCTGCAAGGACTCTTCTAGCGTATACCAAGACATGAAATTTATCAAGTCCAAAGGAGTGTCTAAAGTCAGAATTTACGGAACTGATTGCAACTCCCTAGAGACCATTACATCTGCTGCCAAGTCACTCGGTATTACAATCAATCAAGGCCTGTGGATTACATCTGCCGGTGTTGATTCAATTGATGACGCCGTCAACGATGTCCTAGCCTACGGAAAGTCTAACGGATGGGATCTGTTTGATGTTCTAACCATCGGTAATGAAGCTGTTCTTTCGGGCTACTGTTCTGTGGACGATTTAGTGGCCAAGATCTCATCTGTTAGATCTAAGTTTGAAAGCGCTGGCTTCACAGGCAAGTATACCACCAGCGAGCCACCTGTGACTTTCCAAAACCATCCTAGTTTATGCAAGGATGCCAAAATTGATTTTGTTGGCATCAACTCACATGCTTACTTTGACGTTAATTCTTCCGCTGATTCTGCCGGGACTTTTGTTAAGGGCCAACTCGAGTTGATTCAACAAGTTTGCGGGACAAACAACGTTGTTGTGACCGAGACAGGATATCCATCTGGTGGAAATACAAATGGCGGTAATATTCCATCTCACGAAAACCAACTCGAAGCCATTCAGAATATCTTAAATGAAATGAACGGCGAGGTCACAGTATTATCCACGTTCAATGACTACTGGAAGCAACCGGGTCCTTACGGTATTGAGCAATTCTTCGGAATTTCTGATATCTTAGCATCTGCGTGAATTATCACACACACACGAGCACATACGAAAGGCATTTAAAGGGCTCAAAACTTAATAACTACCCAGAAGTTCAATAGCACATCCAAGGAAGGAATTAGATAAAATATGTATTATTATGTTACTTTGTACATTAGAATAAGATAAGGTTTAAGTGAAAACAGGGAGTGTATCAAAAATCTATATGTTTCTTGGGAAAGAATTCATCTATCAAATCAAGATAATATGGCTGGAGTTCCTTGAGATCATATTTTGTCAGGTTCTTCGAATACAAGTCATACCGGTTGAACGCTTGTACCTCACTTAACATTTCGTAGTCCTTTTTGTTCATTAAGTAGCGGTAGGCTCCTTCCCTGTGCCAAGGGTAAAACGAGTGGTAGCGGATCATGGCCAGAGCTTTTTCGTTTAATGTGGACTGACTCTTGGCAATGTAATACATGTATTCGTCATGCCCCCACGAGATCATAACAGAGTTCAAGCCACAATTATCTTCATATATCCCCAATTTTGAGGAGTAAATAGGATGTGAATCATCCGGATTTCCTTTGAAGAACTCTTGAAAGATGATCTCATCCGCAAATTGACACCCTATTGGGAACGTGTCCCCTACAACGTCCCATTGGCCCTCGCTATCAAAAAAATATAGGATCTTGCCCAGGTCGTGAATGAGCCCAACTAGTTGCATCCAGCGTGGTTTCCCGTCTGCTCGTATGGCTTCTGCAGTTTGCAGAGCGTGGTCTATTTGCGACAGCTCGGTATCAGGATCAGAATCGTCGATAAGCATACTGAGCTTACAAAGAGCTTCCCATATGGTCATTCTTGCCCTAGACTTCGTCTTGAAATTAACTCTCGCTTGCAGATTAAACGCCATCGTTTGCTTCTCGTGTTGCTCACGATAGAACTCTCTGACTCTGCTCTTGGCTTGATGATACTGTCTAAATTCGTCTTCACTCACGGGGATTGTATTTTGATCGACGGGAGTTTTGTCTACAGTACAATTGTCATTTTCAGCACCATGACGCTTCTGTTTCTTTACAACGTGCTCCGATGTACTAGAGTCATCTTCTCGGGATAGCATAATCCTTGTTTTGAATGCATTTACTGACTGAACGTCCTCATCCATAAGCTCTAGCAAATGACCTTCATGGTTTCTAATGACTTTACCGTTTTGCTGGGGCATTGATGCATCAAATTCCAAACCGACCTAGTGAAGCTCAACTGCTCATCTAAGTGTGCCAGGGGCAGAAATTGAAGCCTTTAAAAATACCAAAATTACTGGCAAGAGGACCGTGAGCAATCAAAAAATGAACCGCAGGCTGTTTAATATGGTCCTAGCCATACTACGAATGTCCACTGTAAGGCGATGAGAGGAGGATTTCTTAAGAGACGTTAAAATTATTATCAAAGTAGAGAATGACCAACAATGCTCAGTGAGTATTGGTCTAAAATCTTAATGCTTCATCCAAAAGCGGATTTAGCTCAGTTGGGAGAGCGCCAGACTGAAGATAACTTCGGTCGCTGAAATCTGGAGGTCCTGTGTTCGATCCACAGAATTCGCATTAATTTTTGATATTTTTCACCCAGTGTCTTGCTGAGTCGACGGTAGGTCCTTCATCAAGACCGCGCAATACGGCAGTTTGGCCTTCCTTATTACAGGTATTCTCCTAACGCAATGCCTCGTTCTTTACTATATTCCTAATGTACATACATATGCGAATTCCGGACATGTAAGCCCTCTTTCAACGTTCCTTCAAAGCCTTGTTGCGCTTCTCTCTGCGTCTCAAACGGTCCACCTTCTTCGCATGCATCTTGGCAGCCATCCTCTCGTACCGCTCTTTTTCTTCCTTCTTCTCTCTGCGTTCCTTCAAGGCCTGTATCCTGTCCTTGCGAACCTGTTCCTTCTCGTCCTTCAACTCCTTAAGCTTCAGCTTGAATTGCTTATCCTCGAGCATCTTTTGCTTCTTTGCTTCCCAGGACGTTAGTTTTTTGTTCTTGACCTGCCTACTGCCCACTCTGAACTGGCCCTTGTCGACTTTCCAACCTCTTCCACTAACGTTGGCTCCTTTTACGGGTGCGGTGTTAGAATCTTCAGCGCTCGCTTGAGAGACGACCTCTGGAGTTTTACTCATCTGGACAAAGATTCTAGATTAGTTGATGACGAAAAACCGAATAAGTTTGACAAATGTAAAGTCTTGAGCTTTTTTGTTGTGTTTGTATGTTCTCAACTCATCTCATCGCTCATCTCGGAAAGCTGAAATTTTTCAGTAATTTTCCACCAAAGCGATGAGCTTTTGCATCTCATCAATAGAAAGTGACACTTTAAAAAACCAGCTCAAAAAGCGCCCGAAGTGCTAGTGTTGACCGCCAGAAAGGCTATCTTATAAATCTAAACCAGCTGGACCCATGATTGTGCGAAATTTTGACTTTGTTAGACCCGGCATTGGCTTTCTTTCCAAACGGTTTGTAGTTATACCCGCTGCTGGCAAAAATGCCAGACGACGCAGAAACGTTCGCAATACTAGGAAAGATGTGTCTCTAGATGAGCTGGAACTGGATAACAAAATGGATTTGAATGACCCTCGGGAACTGGAATTCAAACTGCGACAGTTGCGCGAATTCACTAAAAACTTGCAGGCTCAAATTCGCGTGGCTGATGGTGTGACTAAGAAAGAAGCCGCTCAACAAGAAATGCAAGATAATGGACTCAGTGACGAGAAGGAGGCTCAAGATACTGCTTCCTTGATTTTAAGCGCTAACACCAGAGATATGAGATCCACCCACGATGAAGTAAATCTTTCTAACTTCATATTAAGCGCCCCGGGCCAGGCCAAAAAGTTTTTACCTCAAGTGTTGCTTGAACGGATTAATGACAACGAGCTGGTGCTTAAGTCACTTATCAACTACCGCCACAGGAACTGGAATATTCTTATATCCAAATTGCATGATTGTCCCGAAAAACTACGCGGTGTTAGCAAACGGTCACTAAACACATTTCTGCTGTCAAAAATAAACCATATTTCGTTAGAAAGTGTCCAAAGGCTCGATTTCATGCTGACAGATTATGTAGACAACGACGACACGAAACTGACCACCGCGATGTACGAGTGCCTGTTTTTGAATCTGTCCAACATAAAAACAGCTAAAAATGCCACAACAGCATCCAAAGTTCTAGCTCATATGGAAACTTTGTTGCAAAGATTTGACAAAGCACAAAATTCAGAGCCTGAGGGACAGGCCATGGCGCAAATGAATCAGTTCATACTAAATTGCTGCACAAAATTCGCTTCTCAAGTTGTGGATAGTTCCAAAATGAATTATTTCTTGACGAAGTTCAGAGAGGACTACAACATTTTACCAAACCGAGAAAATTACACTACAATTGTCCAATACTATACCAAGTTGGGCCTCGGAAAGCAAGCCTGGGACGTTTTTGCCACTATGAAGTTTTTATCGGCGGCTCACAGACCAGACGCTAAAACTTATGCGAGCATGTTGGAACTGTGCGCCAAGGAAAAAAACTACGCTCGTGCCATTGATCTTTACAATGAAATGACCGATCTGAAGATTGATCCTTCCACAGAGTCCTTGAACGCCCTTGCTAAAACCTTGGCTATCACTAGCGGTGACCCAGTCTCAAGTGAAGGAAAGGGAGAGTCGCTGCGGCTGCTGGGATGGAAGTACTTACATCAAAACGACGATCTTGTAAACTTGCGTGGCCGCAATTTAGAGAGCACCATTATGACTATGATGACTCTTTGTGCCTATGATGGTGATGTGGGACTTGCCAGAGCGCTGTATTATAAATACATCACGGCAAAATTTGCTGATAACTTGCACAGATGGAAAGTAAAATTTGGTGACACAAGAAACATCGACTACAAGTATATTTGGATGAAATCACTCAATCCTTTCCTCTTCAATTACCTGATGTTGGCATACGCTAATTTTCTGCCGAATAAGCTGCCTTTGCTAATGGGATTCGACAAAGGTGCCATTACAAGAAGAAACCTTATCAATAGCGTGGACTACGAACACAAGTTTGACCAGAGTGAAAATGGGGTCTTGGGAAGGCTTCCAATGCTACCAGTTTCACATCTGAACTCATCGACCCAGATCCTTGCAGAATCCCGTGCTGTATGGCAATTTAACTTAGAGTTTGGTGGAACAGTAGATATAAGAGCTTATCCAGAACACGTTTCAAAATCCATTAATCAACTACTAAGCTCAACGTCTTCCCTAGAAGGCTTCACATTTGACATGTTACGCCAAATAGCAGATTGGAAATCCAATTTAATAAATCAAAATGTTTTGAACATTATATCGTTGTCTTCTTACTTAACGATACCGATTAAACTTGGAGATAAGACTGAGTTCTTACTTAGGTTTTCGGAATTTTCCTACGATCAGCAACAGTTGAATGATCAAATTTCAAACGTCTTCACTCAAACGAAACGAGCCACACTACCTAGTTCCTTGGAGTTCTCACAGCAAGTTACTGGGGACTCAGAAGCAGTAGGAGTTGGTGGTTCCACAAATGCCGCCAAGTTTTTGTATTTCCTGAAACACAAAGTTTTGAGAAATTCTGTACTGTATGAAGTAGCCATGAAAGCAGCGATTAAGTTCAAGGATGTGGATTTGGCAAAGAAAACTTGGGAAAGTCGTGGCGCGTTTAGGAAAAGTAGCGCGTTCCAGAGGCTGGCACCAAATGACAGGGCAGCGAAGGACCGCACGTTTGCTGCCCTGATGGTTGATTTTTTCACTTCGCAGGAAATGTACACTGATGCTATGGGCATAATTATGTCTTCGCAGAGACACATCGACTGGTCATATTCGATGGTGAAAATGCTACACAATAAATTATTAGAGATCGAGGACGGCACCAGTATTAGAATCTTACTGGAGATCGTTAATAAGCGCACTAAACCTGGCTATAAGGGGGCTATTGGCTCAAACTAGTGTTTTCGCGCGACCGCGCATTTGATAGTACCTTGTAAATACCTGTATTAATGACTAACGAACTAACATACCGGAGTAGTTGGGGCGGAAGGACGATGAAAAGGGGAGACAGTGTATCGAATCAAGACACTCCTTTACGAAGTTTTTTGGTCCAGCTGATGTTGCAGATCTTCTACTTCCATCCTCAGTTTGGTAACCTCCTTTTCGAACTTTTTCCCATAATGATCTATGTAATAAGTTGCTCCATTCCGTGCCGCACAAAGGTAAATGAAGATCAAAAATGCTCCTGCGGCTTTCTGGTGGTGGAACCATATACCACACAAAATCATTGTCCCTAATTGGTAACAGTACTGTATCAAAATGTAGCAAACCATAGGCCAAGGATCAGGCAACTTAACGGCCCAAAAATTTTTAAACTGGTGGGTGGTTAGGTACTCGAAGCTCGTAACCCTTTGACCAGATTTGATCTTCGAGGATTGTCGTAATGTAATGAAGTAGTGATAGGCGCTTTGCCAGACGAGATAATATATGGAGGTCCAGAAAATATTATATTTCAAGTTCCACTTTTCAGAAGCCAGGACAGACGCCGCTGGAAACCTTTTAATCTTCAAATGCTCATCAATACCATACCTAATGGTATACATCGTCAATGGAGGCATGATATGAATGAAGCAGGAAGTGATTTTGTCGACAGAATGGATCACAAGAGAGTTTCTCCAAGTAATGACTGCAAAGCACAACGTTCCAAAAGTGAAGGCAAAACAAGTTTGATATAAATGGACGGACTGAGGCAAAACCCAAATGAAGAGTAGACACATCAGGTTAACATAATAGCACAGATCAGCCATGTAGTAATGGCTGTTGGTCTTATAATAAGTGTAGTACCGCACAGGCATGAGCAGCACAAGCATCGCTGTGTAGTAAACATGAAACCATTCCGGGTACTTGCCTATTATAAACCCGATTGCGAAGATATTGAACAGAGTGAACGGATAAAACCATTTCTCCAGGTTGGAGCTATTATGGAAAAACAAAGTCTCCAGTGGCTTGTCAAGCGCTTGTAGACGGCCCAGAGCGCGTTTTTTGAACTCTTCTATCTGTGGTGTGAGATCTTGGGCCGTAGTCTTAAGCCTAGCGAGTTTTTGACGCGGTTTTGTTATTTTCAATTTTTGAGTCGCATTGCTGAAGTAGCGCCTCGGCAGGTAGTACGATTGCGCCGTGGATGAAACTGGGTCCAAAAGCTCAACCCAAGAGGCCAACGATATTCGCGAGGTGCCTTTACTCTCATCTGAATCGAGTTCGAAAGAGTCAGTCATGAAAGCTTTCCCTTAAGTTGTTGATCCGTTACCACCGGAAGAAAAGAAACAAAAAAACTGTGCTGGGAGAAGATGGTCACTAAGGGCTATACCAAGATGGAAACTTCAAAATGCCGAGTGTCTTTGTCAGTACTTCGGGATAGCAAACTGTCGCGGCCGATAGTAGTGAAGTCGCGAACTCTGCCAAGGAAGTCCCTTCTTGTTATTCACCTTAGCATTGGAAACGAAAAATGCCATGTGAAGAACCAGCAAGAACGATAAATCAAGACTTTTGGCACATATGGCGCACAACTGAACCTTCAAAGCAGGTACTCCATCATTCTGACAATACAATCTGTTAGAGCAACCGGCTGGTAGTGATCTGGTCTCTGTTCGGATCGCATCAGGTTGCGTAATGGCAACCATCATCCTGGTGTCAGTATAGTACGAAGTGATAACGGCGACGTCAGCAAAACAATTACGGATAAGGTGAATGATCAGCCAGTGGGATTCGGAGGAGATTTCACAGAAATGCCCTGGCCAGCCATTTGAAATGCCCAATAGCTTAGATTCAGCTATTGAGTCTGCAAGCCCTAGCTCTACCGAAATTATTCATGCCAGAATTCTGTATGAATACTGGCTATGTGCCCCAGGTATGGCCCAGAAATATGGCTCAAATAATCACGGAGAGAGAACAAGAATTTGCTTTAGAAGCTTCAAATTTAGTACCAAGTGCACAGAAGAATTTGCTTCAAAAGCTTCAAATTTAGTACCAGGTGCACAGAATCTCACACGCGATGTCTACCGATAAATTGAACGAACGACTCAGCAAGTTTATTACTGTCAACGCTGACTCGCCCCAGTACATTTGTTGGGAATGATGTGAATAAACTGATGGTGATGTGCGTCTAATCGCATAATCAGCGTCAGTAAATATGTGACACAGTGGTACAGAATGATAGTACACAACCGAGGCCATACAAATAGAGCTACAAGCTAAGACAAACCGAAGAGAACAACTATTGTCCAATAGGATTGGCCATTGATAAGTTATCGGTAGTGTACGGCATTGAAGCCGTAATCCTTGGGCAATAGAATGATCTAGAATTGGTGATTAATAAATATGTTGACCAGAGTCACCGAGTGAGAATTGTATAAATACCAGGCTTTTGTTCAGGTAACTGAACCAACTCTAATGCCTAAAATAATCACGGAGAGATAAGTAGAATTCCCTAGATCCAAGTTACTCATCTTACAATGACTATGTCCGACTTACAAGACAAATTTAGTAAGCTTTCTACTGATGAATCAGATTCGCCTCAATACAAATAATCACGGAGAGAGAACAAGAATTTGCTTTAGAAGCTTCAAATTTAGCACCAAGTGCACAGAAGAATTTGCTTTAGAAGCTTCAAATTTAGTACCAAGTGCACAGAATCTCACACGCGATGTCTACCGATAAATTGAACGAACGACTCCGCAAGTTTATTACTGCCGACGCTGACTCGCCCCAGTACATTTGTGGTACAATAATATCGATTATGCCTTGACAATCCGTACTTGTTGATCACTTACATCGATCGGTTCGGGAAGTGAGTATTCTAGGAACACTCAAAGTCTGCTCGAGAGCTGAGTGGAGAAAAGGGCCTTCGATCCATGTACAGCGGGTTGATGCGGGTGGCGAAATTCGGATCCCAATCGGGCCCCCATCGGGTTCCAAAGCGGGTTCCAAGGCGGGCTGTGGACTGTGAAGAAATGATAACTTTCGGTGTCAGAATTAAAAAGGTCCGTCACATGCCTTTCCGGACTAAAGATCCATGCTGGCGCCGCCCGCATCACCTCGTGCTATCCTGACGCCACATCGGTGCCTCCTGTTCGCGGTTGTGCTTGACCGCACGACTTTAGCACACAGATCACACCACGCGTACTTTTTGGGTAGCAGCTCCGTGTCGTTCCTTCCACCAGCCCCGCCTCTGCTTCATCCAGGGCCTGTCCCGATACTATACCTACTCACACCCCAACCAGGAACGGGCCCTATGGCGACACAAAAGCCCAGAGTGACAGGCACGTGCCTGCATGTCACGTGACCGCGCTGCGCCAGCGTCGCCCACACCGAGCTATCTCTCCAAGTAAGACTCGCTATCTCTCCAAGTAAGACTCGCTATCGCTCCAAATAGGACTCGCTGTCTATCCGAACAAGACCCACACTCATGGAATATAGCCCCACGTGCACACAAAACATTCACACCGCGACGCCACCGCCGGCCCGTCCTGCCACGCTATACCCGCCTCACCACAGCCACCAGCACAGCCACCAGCACCGGCCACTCCACCGGCCACTCCCCCGGCCACTCCACCGGCCACTCCCCCGGCCACTCCACCGGCCACTCCACCGGCCACCGCGCTGTATGCCCATGTCACTTTCTACTATTCTGGCGCTGCTCGTTCCTTTTCGCCCACGACAAAATTTCCCATCCCTGCTGGCACACATACTGCACATCATCGATTCTCGCCGCGGGGCCTGCCCGCTGTTCCAAATGTCATCATATCGCTGCCCACCCTCGTAGGCACCCTCGCTATCTCCATTCCACCTAGAACATGTGCTAGCTTCCCGGCACAGCATTATTTTTTTGATTTTGAGCAACGGAAAAAAAGCTCTTGCACATTCTCCATGTGCGCAGGCTCCAGCCTGTATCGCAGCAACTCGCCACAATGATTCGCATCTGCAATCAACCCGCTCCGCCCCTCCCACGCACATTTTCTTATCTACATAGTGTGAAATCTTTGAGAGACATCGTTTGCGACGAAAAGACATACTCATCTTTACTCATTTAGTAATTAATTTACTCTCGTATGAATGTAGATTGGTGCTAAGGGGGATGATTACCCCGGGGCTGGAATGACAACCATTTATTAGATTGGGAAATGGTTGATAGATATGTAAGTGAGTTGTACTTCAACAGACAACTTGTAGTAGCAGGATATCAACGCAGTTTGAGAAGCTCAGCAACTATCTAGTTTAGCGACGGCTGGACGGCTCCAACGAGCTTCGATTTGGCGTATTGAGACTTCCCAGTGAGTCGAGACAGAATAACAGGCAGTGGCACAGCACATCACCTTGTGAGGTTTGCCGGAGGACGTTAGGAGGCAGGAACAAAAACAAGGGGCACGCAGCAGGGCGTATTTATACACAAGAGACGGGCGAGAGAAGCGGTTTTCCAGGAAACCGAGTTAGAGTACCGGCGAGCGCCTAATCTGTATTTGGCCATGGCTCAGAACTTGCAAGTCAAACGCAAGCGGACGAGGACGCTAGACGCGACGCCCCGCGTGGGCACGGTGCGGTCAGTACCGCAGGGCATGTTTCTCGACAACGAGGCCGATCCCATCATTGGCGATATGATCGCAAGACAGTCGGCGCTGCTGCAGGGCAACCTGATCGATTCGCACTTCGCGACCGGATCGTCGACTGCGGAGGGCTCTATGGTGGCCGGCAACGAGAACACGCTCCACGACCAAACTGCCCCCAACGACGACACGGGCAACGACCTCTTCAACCGCGGCCACCACCACCACCACCACCACCACAACAACAACAACAACAACAGCACTACTTTCCATCCCATCGAGGACGACGATCTGATCTTTGTCAAGGAACAGCCTGTCCAGGCTCCTCCGTTGTTTTTGGATCCTCATGCTGAGCACCACTACACCAGCAAGAAGTTCAAGAAACAGAGGACGATCTCGCTCCCGCAATTACCGCACGCCAAACTCCTATACGAAGCGGCCCAACATCGCGCCTTGCCGCGGCGTCAGAACGACGATGATCTGATCCACTTGAGCGGCTCCTCCACCAAAACCATTGACGGCAACCGTGCCGTGACTCTAAATGTGGTGAAAAGCGTCTCTCCGCTCAGTACCCATGAACACGCATCCCCGGTCTTCAAACGCATGGCGACTGCACCTAAAATCTCCAAGCTCGTCTCTGCGGGCAAAAAGAAAATCGGAAAACGCGAGTACTTTCAGACCGATAAAGAAGGACACTACGTTTACCGCGAGGACGACATTTTTTGTAATGGCAGGTTCATCGTCAAGGAGCTACTAGGGCAAGGCACGTTCGGGAAAGTGGTACAATGCATCGATAACGCCCCATTTACCGCTATCCCTCCAAACCGAGAGCACCAGTTCGCTGGCTTTGAGGACCCATTTACCGAATCTTTTGACGGATCCCAAATTGATATGGACTATCCCACCCCTCACCAGTCACACGTTCAAAATACCCCTAAAATGGTTGCTGTCAAAATCATTCGCGCCGTCGATAGATACCGCGAAGCTGCCAAGACCGAACTACGAGTTTTGAAAGCTATCTTGGACAACGACCCCATCGGCCAATACCAGTGTTTGCTGTTGCGGGAATGTTTTGACTACAAAAATCATATATGTTTGGTAACCGATTTGTTTGGGAAGTCCGTGTACGATTTCATGTGCAATAACGGGTGTTCACGGTTCCCTGGCTCCCACGTACAGGCCGTTTCGAAACAGTTAATCCGCTCTGTCTGTTTTTTACATGATTTGGGAATCGTACATACCGACTTGAAACCCGAAAACATACTGCTCTGCGATGAAACTTACGTTGGAAAACCATTGTCCCAAGATCAATTCTCGACATTAAGTCCGCGGCGTAAAAGTGCCTGTAACGGTGAACGGAAATTCTTGACTAATCCAGAAGTGAAACTAATAGATTTTGGCAGTGCCGTGTTTTATAACGAGTTCCATCCAGCTGTTATATCAACCCGTCATTATCGGGCCCCGGAGATTGTTTTGGGGCTCGGTTGGTCATTTCCTTGTGACATTTGGTCAATTGGTTGTGTATTGGTAGAGTTGGTTACAGGCGAATCGCTGTATCCAATACACGAAAACTTGGAACATATGGCAATGATGCAACGGTTCAATGGGAAGCCTTTTCCACCCAAAATTGTTGAAAACATGTTCTATAAATCTGATCGTAAGTTGGGAAACTTGTCCCCAGACTTACACGCAACGGTGGTGAAGCATTTCGATCGTGATACTCTGTCACTTCAATGGCCAGAGAGAAATGTAAAGGGAGACATAGTAACAAAGGAAAGATCCATGAAAAGAATTATGAATAGCTGCGATCGGCTGGACAAGTATGTGATGCAAAAAATACGACAGGACTACGGGGATTGGTTGATCATAAACTGGGATATGAGTTCTGAGGATAATTGGGCTATTTTGGAATCGAAATTTGACGAGCAAGCTCTGGATAGGGAGGTATTCTTGTTTTGGTATTGGTTCCTTGACTTGTGCAAGAAGATGTTTGAGTTCGATCCTACCAAACGGATAACCGCCCGAGAGGCAATTAGCCACGAATGGTTCAACTATGGTATCTTGGATGAGGGCATTGCAAGTTTCGGTAAAGTTTAAACAGTTATCGAGAAAGGCGCTTGCATAGAGAAAAACCTCAAGAAAACGGTAATATTTAGGAAGAAAGATGTGTTTATGTAAAAGCTATGGGTATGTTAATTCAGATAATGAAGAATGCTCGGCGAGGACTAGTAGGGTCACGGTGATTAAAAGACGGCTCGAATCACCGCCATTTTCAATTAAACAAATTCCCTCATTAACCTATTTATTTTCCAAGAACGTCTCAGAAATCCGATCACAAACAACTACATAATTCTTATGGAAGACCCAACCAAGATTTTTACTCAATCTTGAGTACCGGAGCCCTTGAAACGTAACATTTTCATTGTATTATTCCATTTATCAATCACGATATGGCTCGTTTTTCCTTTAAATCGGTTGGTAGCATCAAGAGTACCCAGCCAGACTGTCTTGATCTCCGGAACCATATGTTTCACTCTCTGTACCACGGACTTTATATCTGATGCACAAAGAGAAAAACTACCTTGTGCAGAGGTCAAATAACGGCCAAAGCTTACTCGGCACTTTTTATTGACAGACCGGAAAGCATTGTTTATATGGGGTCGATACATCGCGTTAACCGAACTTGTGAAGGTTTTGCAACGTTCGAGACCTGAATGAAGCCTAGAAAATATAGGAGCTTTACGATTAGTCCATTTTCTGAGAATTGAAGAGTTTGCAGACTCAAAACGATCTGCGAATGTCTGTATCATCCCACTCCGAAAATTGCAAATGCTGGAATGAAGAGTTAAGGCTATCTGAGTAGCCTCAACTTTGGCAGACTCCCACAGCGACACGTCTGGAACAATTGGGTACGCAACACGATTCTCAAAATCCACAATATACTTGCTGCTACCACCAGTAATGTCACCAAATGGCAGAACAAAGTCAACATCCCGGTAGGTTGCGCCATGATTCGTGAAGTACGGCGTAGTAGAGGGACTTTCCACAGAGCTCGCTAAGGGATTTTGCAAGGCGGTTTGAATAAGATAGGAGAGAAACAACGTAGTAGATGATGTCAGTAGAACAATTTGCCAAGCATGCAAACCAGAAAGGGCTCTTGTCACGCGATTGTCCGTCAAGGGACTAAAAACTGGCAAGAACCGAGAGCGCTGGTCCTCAGTAGGAGAAAGGCCCTGCAAGCCGCTAGGTTCGTCTCCTTGAACCACCAAAGTATCGTATCCATATTCTGTCACTGCAGAAGCCCTGAGTGGATTAACTGGTAGTTCGGACTCGTCTGAACTGGTGTTTGATAAAACGTCGTCACACAAACCCTCCTCGGATATTGTTTGAATTGAAACCTGGCCGCTTTGCTGACAAACGGCATTATTGTTGAAGCTCACGACACTCCACGTCTTGTCGTCGGAAGCCTTTAAGGTTTTCTTCTTCGCAGGCATGGCTTGGGTTGTCATTTCCTTAGGAGTACCACTGTTCAAAAATGAAAATACGAAAGCGGATTTCTCAGCGGTTGGTTGGTTTCTCCGATTCAAAGTGTGGTCGAAGATACTGCAAAGTGGCCGAATCACAGCTTTATATTCCGTAATTTGGATCACAAAGTAGTTGTTCTTATGTGGAAGAAAGGTTGCGTGCGCATCGGATCCCCCTTGGGCTAATAAATGTCCCACCAGACAAATCATCACGTACTAAATGACCATATTCTGTCACAGCATGCGAGGCATAGCGAGCGGTCTTGGTCCAGTCAGTAAGATTTGTATAGTGCTTGACACCATTGACTGGGATTATAAACGGCACCCTCAGTATTCACGGCTTGAAATCATTTTTTGACTTTAGATTCTATCAAGTGGTCAGATTTTATGCAGTATTGGGGCGGAGATAGCTGAGGTTGCCAGTGTGTCAGCGTCACAAAAAAGTGCAAAAGCGGAAAAAGCGCGATAACATCACTGGTTAGGTCTTCACCAGGCTGCTTTTCTGCCCTCCGTTAATCTCTTTAACGCGCTGATGGAGTTCTGCAACACGCTCGGCCATATCCATGAAAAGCTCGAATTCTTCAAGCACCGTCGAGACTATGGCATTGATGCCAGTTTTCCAGCCCATGTTGTCACCGGCGTAGTTAGAAACACTGTTATCCGAATTGGTGGCCCCGAACATATCACGCTCAATTCCACGTACGGCACTTTCAATGTCGGAGAGAACGTTGAAGTAGTCATCCAACTTGGCTCTGTAGAGCTGTATTTTATCTTGAAAGAACTTGTCTAGCTCCAACGACGATATTTTAGATCCTGGAGAGAGAAGCTGATGCAGAATGGTGGAAAACATTTGAGAGTCTAGCATGTTTTGATCCGTTATTTCTTTGATGCCAGTTATTTTACGCAGGTCTTGTGCCAATGATTGTTGCGTGACAGACTGTACCGTTTGCAAATACTTGATATCGCGCGGGATGGACTGGACTAGTTCTGTATGGTCCTCACAATCTGCTTTTAGGTGGTGAGAAATTGCCACTTGTCGCTGAACGTATTGGTCAAGCTGCTCGATTTCTTGACGAATTTGGGGCGGCAGATCCGCGACTCGAGTCATTGGGTTGATGGGAAGTTGGGAGAGGGTTTGCAGAGCGGGTTGCATTTGCATTTGAGGCTGCAAGGTGTTGTTGGCGTTATTACCGAACAATGACGAGCCCGTTGGCTTGGCGCCAAAAAGCCCTCCCGAAGATGCAGGTGCCGCATTGGTGGCGCTGTTAGCAAAAAGCCCCGTTCCGCCCGCCTTGTTGCCGAAAAGACCACCGCTAGTGTTAGTTGTGTTCGAAGAATTACCAAAAAGGCCGCCCGATGGCGCGTTGTTTGTGGAAGAACTAATTGCAGGTTTTGCACCAAAAAGTCCGCCCCCTGAGGACCCCGTGGATGCATTGGTATTCTGCCCAAAAAGGCCACCACCGGAGGACCCTGCGTTGGTGTTCTGACCAAAGAGTCCACCGCCAGCGGCTCCCGCGGTGGAATTGTTGTTCTGTCCAAACATCCCACCGCTATTTGTCGTCTGTGCATTCTGGCCGAAGAGACCACTCGAACCGGGTGGTTTGGCTCCTATGTTGGCGTTAGCCTGGCCAAAAGTGTTGGTGCTTTGCGAGCTCTGCCCGAAGGCGTTGTTGCTTGGTTGCGCGTTCTGGCTACCAAACAGCCCGCCGCTACTCTGTCCCTGCTGAGCGTTTTGATTTCCAAACAAACCACCGCCGCTTTGGCCCTGTTGTGCATTTTGCCCTCCAAACAGCCCTCCGGCTTGTCCTTGTTGGCTATTTTGGTTCCCAAACAGCCCTCCCGTCGATCCCTGTTGGTTATTTTGACCAAAAAGGCTGCCTGTTGTTTGATTCAATGGCTGCGCCTGCCCAAACAGGTTGCCGCTCTGGCCCTGTGCGTTGGATTGGCCAAACAACCCACCACCCGTCGGCTTATTCTGCCCAAACAAGGAGCTGCCTCCTATACCGTTTCCGGCTGGAGCAGAGGTACTTGCATTGGAATTGAACATTGAATCGCCACAGCAGTACACTTACTGGCGCGTTCTGAGTTTTGGGTCTAATGAGTTCCAAGAGTTTAAAAAAGGTTTATTATTGAAAAGGGCACTATTCTAAAAAATTTTCGACGTGAACAATGACATCAACAACTTTCATAAACTTACCAAATGGAAATCACCACCAATGTTCCAACTAGAGATACCAACGCGAAGAAAAACAATTTCCAAACCGTCCATTAAGAGCTTAAAGTTCTCCACAAAGCGTATTACGTCCAAGAGCAGTTTACCTTTTGTCAGTGACAAAAAAGCGGCTTCAAAACGAGTGTTTTTATAAAGTTTTTTCGGATTTAGTCTTTTCGTTCTCTGCAGGAAAGGGGATTTTTGGTCGGCAATTGACGTTTGCCATTGGCTTCTAAGGACTTTAACAGAAGTGTGCCATCATCGGTAGGATTCTCGAATATTGGCCACTAAAAGCTTTTTTACACTGATACGAACGGTACTTTCCTTTTCTTAAAACTTAAAAGATGGGTATTCCTAAGTTTTTCAGGTACATCTCGGAGAGATGGCCCATGATATCGCAGCTTATCGATGGCTCCCAAATACCGGAGTTTGACAACCTGTATCTGGACATGAATTCCATCTTGCACACTTGCACGCACGCAAATGATGACGATGTTACGAAGCGTATGACAGAGGAAGAGGTGTTTGCCAAGATCTTCGCCTACATCGACCACCTGTTCCATACGATAAGCCCTAAGAATACATTCTACATGGCAATTGACGGTGTAGCTCCTCGTGCAAAGATGAACCAACAACGATCCAGACGGTTTAGGACTGCTATGGATGCAGAAAAAGCTTTACAGAAAGCCATTGCAAATGGAGAAGAGATTCCCAAGGGCGAGCCCTTTGATTCCAACTGTATCACCCCCGGTACGGAATTTATGGCCAAATTGACGCAGAACCTCAAGTATTTCATTCACGACAAAGTGTCAAATGATTCGGCTTGGAGTTCGGCGAAGATCATATTCTCTGGTCATGAAGTTCCTGGTGAGGGTGAGCATAAAATCATGGAGCACATAAGACGTATGAGAGCCCAGCCGGACTATGATGCCAACACTAGGCATTGTATCTATGGACTGGACGCAGATCTGATCATGCTAGGGCTCTCAACTCACGATCCTCATTTTGCGCTATTAAGAGAGGAAGTCACTTTTGGCAGGCGCCAGAAGTCCCAGGCACTGGAACATCAAAATTTCTATCTTCTTCACATTTCTATGCTGAGAGAATACTTGGAACTCGAGTTCAATGAAGTTGCAGACGATCTTCAGTTCGAGTACGACTTTGAGAGAATGCTAGATGACTTTTTATTGGTTATGTTTGTCATTGGCAATGATTTTCTACCAAATCTTCCCGATTTGCATTTAAACAAGGGTGCTTTCCCAGTTTTACTACAAACATTCAAAGAAGCGTTGAAACACACTGATGGATATATTAATGAACAAGGTACCATCAATTTATCAAGGTTCCAGGTGTGGTTACAGTACCTTTCCCAGTTTGAGTTGATGAATTTTGAAAAAGAGGACGTCAATGTTGAATGGTTCAACAAACAATTGGAAAACATTTCATTAGAGGGAGAGAGGAAGAGGGCTAGAACAGGCAAAAAGTTGCTGCTCAAACAGCAAAAGAAAATAGTCGGGATGATAAAGCCTTGGCTGCTAAAGGCATCTTCCATGCGCTTTGACCCTAATGGAGTTTCAGATGATCAGATACCTACCTTTACCCTGGAAGAATCGATCATTCAAGAGAACTTGCCTTTCTTGAAGGAATTGGCTTTTGACTTGGGATTAATAGTGGTCCATTCCCAATCTATGGACAAGTATTTCCTGCAACTCGATATTGATGGAATTAATCCACAGGAGTCTGCAGACGAACAATCTGACCGGATTCAAGCGCTCAGAAGATCGATAAAGAAATACGAACAAGCAGTTTTAGTGGAAGGAAGTGAGGAGTTGAAGGAAGAACATAAGTTTTATAACGAAAGATTTGACAAGTGGAGAGATCAATACTACAAGGAAAAATTGGATTTCAGCTATTACGATGAGAAAGAATTGACAGAGATGACCGAGAATTACGTAGAAGGTTTGCAATGGGTGCTCTACTACTACTATCAAGGCTGTCAATCGTGGTCATGGTATTACAAATACCATTATGCTCCACGTATTTCCGATGTGCAGAGAGGTTTGAATCAAATTATCAAGTTTAATAAGGGTACCCCCTTTAGGCCATTCCAACAACTAATGGCAGTGTTGCCCGAAAGGTCGAAGAGTTTAATACCCACCGTTTACAGACCTCTGATGTATGATCCCAAGTCACCAATCGCAGACTTCTATCCAGACGAAGTCGAATTGGACAAAAATGGGAAAACTGCGGATTGGGAAGCCGTGGTCAAACTATCCTTCGTTGACGAAGGGAGACTAATCGAAGCAATGAGCCCCTTAGATGAAAAATTGACACCTGAGGAGAAAAAGAGAAATAGTTTTGGCACTGATCTGATTTTTATTTTCAATCCTCAAATTGACGACATTTACAAATCTCCCCTAAGTGGTCTATTTTCGGACATTGAACATAACCATTGTACTGAGCGCGAATACGTCCCGAAATCGATGAAGGGACTGGAGTTATTTTTCGGTCTTCCACCTGGCGCCAAGTTAGGTGCTGGTGCTCTGGCTGGGTTTCCATCGTTGAAGACGCTTCCTTTCGACAACAAGCTAGAGTATAATGGTTGCTTAGTATTTCAGCAACCTTCGAGGCAGCAGTCAATGCTTCTTAGTGTCAAGGATGCATACAGTGAAGGTAACTTGACGATCGACGAATTTGCGAAAACTCACCTGGGGAATGTTGTGTACTCCAGATGGCCTTACCTCAGAGAGTCTAAAGTTCTATCAGTGACCGATGGTCAGATTTCTTTGGAGTTATCTGACAATAAACTATCAGCAAATGGCAAGCCTAAGCTATTGCAGAGGAATTTAGATGAAGCTGAGAAAAAATTGTTTTATTCACAGAGGGCAAATATCCGCAGAAATTACTCAATTCAAAGAGGAGTAGTCCTTGACGAGGTTCGCGCTATCGTCCGTGTTGTACCCGTAAATGGGTTAACGAGAACACCAGAAGGCGCTTTTGTTAAGACGTTTTCTTCCAATGAGGAGTTTTATCCTTTACAATTGATCGTTGAGGATGTTGAAAACAAGGACAAACGTTATATGGAAAGACCTCCATTACCTGTTGACGAGGAATTTCCAGAGGGCTCTGATGTCATCTTCTTGGGTGACTACGCTTATGGCGGGAAAGCCACCATTGATGGATATAGCAGCTCTACTAGGCTGAGACTAACGGTGGAGAAGCATACCACTAAATCTGAGCCAACTATAGGAAAGGTGAGAGCACAATTAGATGAAAAATTGATTCGTTATTATCCTTCATTTGTTGTTTCTAAGAGACTACAAATACATCCTCTTTTTTTATCAAGGATCACTTCCAAATTCATGGTTGACGGATTTGGGGAGAGGCCAATTAACTTCGGTCTTGAGATAAAGTTTGAATCTCGACACGAGAAGGTGTTGGGCTATGCCAGACGTAACGTGAAGGGCTGGGAGTATTCAGATATGACAATTGCTCTTCTACGTGAATATCAAAAGAATTTTCCTGAATTTTTCTTTAAGCTTTCAACACAGGCGAAAGAAACACCGTCATTTGAAAAAATGTATCCCAAGGCTGGTCGCGAAGACTTGAAAGCGCTGGTTGACAATGTTCGCTCTTGGCTCAAGGGCGCCAAACAAAACTTTGTTACTGTTTCTCTGGAAAGCGATTCTTTGACTAAGGCGTCTATGGGCGCGGTCGAAGACGCAATCGAACAGTATTCCCGAGTATCTCCTGAGGTGACTTCCAAGCAGCTGGCCAAAGTTCCCCGCGAAGCAGTTCTTGACCCTCAAGTATCCTTTTCCCTATTGAGAACTCAGCGGTTCGACCTTGGTGATAGAGTAGTCTACATCCAGGATTCGGGTAAGGTACCCTTATTCTCCAAAGGTACGGTTGTAGGATATACGACTATTGGCCCGAAGTTGTCCATCCAAGTTCTTTTTGATAACGAGATTGTAGCGGGAAATGATTTTGGAGGAAGACTAAAAACTAAGCGCGGTTTGGGCCTTGATTCATCGTTTCTACTCAACTTGACCAACAAGCAATTTATTTATCATTCAAAGGCTTCCAAGTCTGTTAAAGAGACCGCCAAGAAACCGCAGAAGCAGATTAAAGCCGCTTACGCGAAACCGCCCCCCAAGGCTTCTGCTGCCTTGAAAAAGAAGCAAGCACAGGAGCTTTTGACCCATATTAGGGGAGAAGAGCATCAGGAAGGTGGGGAAGAAAAAGACAAGGCAACGAATGGGGAGCACAACAAGCCTCTTGATGGCGGAAGCCAACCAAGCTTGCCGGCTGACAGAGCAATTGCTAGTAATATCTACAATGCCATTTTCAGCCAGTTTTCAGCTCAAGGAGTGGTCCAACCACCTCCCCAAGGGCCACACGGTCTTCCTTACAATCTCCCACACAATGGGATACCACCACACATGGGTGGGCAAGTTCCTCCTCCCGGGTTTTTACCATTCCCAAGCCAGGAGGGACTTCGTATGATGCCCCCACCAGTGGGCCAGTATCCTTTCCAACAGCCCCTACCTCCTGTCACTCCCTCCGGGCCTGGCGCCATCCCTGGTCTTAACGGGAACCTGCCACACGAAACTGAACCTAGAGGTCAGTCAGGTGCTGCGCCGCAAGTCATGAACAAAGCACAGTCAAGTGGCGATCCTGATTATAACCTACCTAATGGCACTGCCTCTAACACTGCTATCAACAGTCGTGTTAATTCCAAAAGGGGAGCCAGAGGAGGTTACAGGGGACGTGGTCGTGGGCGGGGCCGCGACAGAGAGTCACAGAGAGGAAGAGGACCAGTTTCCAAACCAAACAGTTCTGCTTCAACGAAATAAGGTGCTGCACACGCCTTGAATAGTGCTATCAAGGACTAAGAATGAGCTCTCGTCACGCCATCCCGCAAGACTAAAAATTTTGTTTTTGTTTTTAACTTTATATAGTGAATTTTTATTCGTTCTCCTCCCGAGTGAAGCTTTGCACCTTCTTTTCGTTGATCTCATTTTGTTTGGCAAGCCATTTTGCTTCAAATCCATTTGATCTGTCAACCCCGTCCCAGCGCCAACCTGGCGCTATCCCAAACCTATTCTCGGGACTGATCTTGTCATAAAGTTTCCGACCCAGCGGCGACTGGGGTGCGGCATCGACCGCTGTGGGGTCAACTGTGAATGCGTTAAGTGGATCTTCAAATTGCTTGTCGCTCGTCTTAGTATTTTTTTTGACTGACTTCAGAATTGCATGTCTCTGTATTTCGCCCATGTTCAGTTCCCGGAGTTGCCTCTGTCGCAGTGCCTCTTCTCGCTCGTGCTTCTCTTTGTTCGATGTAGCATAAGCTTCATAGTCATCAATTTTACGACCCTGTGTGTCTCTGTAAACCGTCTGAGCATCCACTCCGCTTTTGCTTACAGTGGCCCTGGCCTCTTTTTCTAGAAATTCTGCTCTTTTGCGAACATCAACAGCAGACTGTAGTCCCTCCCGACCACTCAACGAACCAGGTACCTGACCTGAAGTTGACGCTTTCTCATTGGATTGACGGATACATATTTCATTTGTATTGAGATTTTTCCATAAAGACTTGTTTTTAGCCTTAGTCACAGGCTCACCTCGCAGTTTCGTTTCGACAGCGCCTGGGCTTACCTTCGTTAGCTCAGCCTCATCCTGCTTATGCCCATCAACAATACTGAGCCCAGAAGAACGTTTTGGAACACCCGATTTCTTCCGTTTTTCTTTGGTAGGCTTACCGGAGCCATAATTTTTAGCCAGGAAATCATTCAAAGACATGTGTTGTCTTTTTGATTCGGCTCTTAAGCCGGCCTTGTTATCCAGATGGTTTAAGGTTAGACGTGATTCACAGTATTAAATTAAAGTTTGATTAATATTATTATATCTTGTGAACTAGCTAGTAAAATACGCGAGCGAGACAAACATCGTGCAATAAACAATGAAAGGAGGCCAATGCCACCCGTAGCATGTCGTTCACAGGATAAAGAAGAACATAAGAAGCAAATCTTAGACAACTGGTCTTTAGACGATCTCCTGAGTCTTCAAATTGACCTCGCTCAAGAGATCAGCAGACGGGTAGAATCCATCCAGGAGCTTCAGACAGAGCCTCGGACTCTGAATGTTAAAGTTGAAGCAGGATCTAAAAATGAGCTGCAGCTAAAAACGGAGAGTTTAGGAGCCAAGCTGGAGGAGCAGTTGCAAGAGCAAATACAGGACAGTGCCAGAGAAGATCTGCCTGCCACTCAGATTGAAAAAAAGCAGAAAACAGAGCGAGACGTCCACAGGTCGCCAGGATCTAGCCAATTGGTACCCTTCGAGGAATTTTTGATCCCTGGAACTTTGGATCTGCAGAGTAAAGAGGTGGATTTGAGCTCCCCTCTTAGACCTCGTTGTTCTCGAGACGCGAGATCTCAGAAATCTAGCCCCATCAAAACTCGACTCGCGGTGATCAGCGATTCCGAAGGAGACATAGACTGGTCTGATACTGCAGAGCAAGAAGTAGTTGATGAGGGCTTCGTTGAGTCGAAAAATGCAATGCACGAAGAGCCACCTGGTGGACGAAATTTGTATTCGACAAATCCACCAGCAGCCGACCCACCTTTTGCTGCGAGACTTAATTTTAATGGGAATCCTCTTACCAAAAAACCTTGGATCTTTGAGGATTTCAAAGTTAACGAATTGGCCGGACCCTCGCGGGAGAGCAGGCCATCGGCAGCTTCCAAGTTTAGTTCGACGGTAGGAAAACCTCTACAGAAGCAGAAGCTGATCTTACATCCAGAAAGGGGGTTTGAAGTTGTTGTGGAGGACTGTAGCACTAGTAATGAGGGACCCACCTTGTTGACGAATGTGGAGTTTGCAAATATGCGACAAAGATCAAAGTCCCCACCAGGATTTGGTCGCCTCGACTTTCCTAACACTCAAGAAAATATGGCAGACGTGATAGAATCCCGCGAAATTCTTTATAACAAGACCAAGGACAGATTTCTTACCGCGACCCGATCGGATCTGTCCCCCAGCAAGCGGCCCTACGTATTCAGAAATGTCAGGCTTAACGCTGTCGTAAACGAAGGAAATTTTGAATGGGACCCAAAGTCGCTGCAGATATTCTCCCGCGCAAAAGTGCGAAATCAAAATTAGTGCGTGTAAATTAGGAGCATTAGTTTATTAAGAATTATAAAAGTTTACGCTGAAGCGTAATGCTAGTGATGCTATTTTGGCCTTAATTCTGCATCTTTGACAAACTTATGGAACTTTGTGTAAACACGATAGTCAAATTTTGCAAAATTGTAGTCCAGGTCTATAAATAATTTAGCCACTTGACAGCTCTTGTAATAGTAGTTCAAGTAGTTGGAGCTATAAGGATCCACGGATGGCCCAAAAAACTCCGTGATCTCAACGTGTTGTTGAGACGAATTTTTTAGCGACTTAAAAAATTTGGAAAACGCACCGGTGACCATGGGTGTCTCGCTTGAGCCCTCATTAAATCTGGTTTGATCATTGTTTTCGCCTGAAGTTGATTTCAAAGGGAAGAGATTTTGAAATATTTCATATGCGGCTAATGTGAATCCAAACTGCGGGGAGCTTCTCAAAACACGAGCTTCTCCACCTTTGAAGAAACTTCTCAAGCTCTCTTCCTTCAAAATTGTCTTTGCGGCATGGAAAATTCCATTATACTTTGTTTCTCCTTTCCTTGGATCAATCTGAAGTCTTGTTTTGATTACATCAAATGGCGTAGTTAAATAGGCTGCTGGCATTCCTGCCAGTCCTCCTGCAGTCAAAAGCTCCCAAGTGCGTAACCGAGGTCTCTTCGTCTTATCTTGTGGGTCGTAGTCAAAAAGAATTTTCTTGAGGTGAGCATATGTTGGGAAATAAATAGCAGAAAATGGCACGTCTCTCATCAAACAAGCACCAATACCCCGGTACAAGCCGTTCAACCCCAAGGACTTGATAATACTTATGGCGTTTACCTGAGGACTTCCTGGGACAGTACTATATTCAGATCTGACCTGTAGCCTAATTTTCACAACTTCAAGTGGATTTGTAAAAACGACCTGACATGCACCCGCGGTTGCACCAGCAAGAATTTCTAGCGGAACAGATATATTCTGATTTGAGTCCATTAGGTAATTCCGAACGTAGTCGTTAACTGTCAATTTGATGGCTTTTTCAGGACAAACACCTACCAACTGAGGTCCCAATCCAGAGTAAATTCCTCTAAAACCTTCACGAGTCAAAATTTTTGTCAAACAGTCAAGAGCGTTCTTGTACTGTGAGAAATTCCTTTGTGCTTGCATTCGGGTCTTTACAAGGTCAATCGGGTACACAACTGTTGCCCCAATACAACCTGCAACTGAACCCAGCAAGAAGTTGTAAAGAGAATCAAAAATAGGAAAAAAATAGAAATTGGTGTACAATGACTCGCTTTGTATGCGGCGTATTTCCATTTGATGAACTAAATCATTGAGATAATTCGGATTAACAATCTTCAAAAAGTCGTCCATCGTCAAATCTAGACTCGAGGCATCCTCTAAATGATCGTGAGGCTTAAAAAAGCGATCAACCAGGTTTGCTGAAGCTCGGCGGCGATGTTTCTTGACATTGTCGAATTCTCCTGACATACCACCAATCACTTCCAAATAATTGCTATTGAACTCCTTCAAACTTTGCTTTCCATTGTTTCCTCGATTACAAAAATCGTTTTGAATAAAGCTTTGAATGGCAGAATCCTCATGATGAGTATCGATACTTTTCTCAATCATTTTGCTTCTCTTAGAGTTAGCCACAATTGAGAACAGGAGATTTATTTGCGAAGGCGAAAATTCCACAATGTTGTTTACTTTATTGTATTCCACATTCAAAAACTCTTTCAAATCGTCCTTTGAAATTACGCATTCTCGCAAGTCCTGGTCATCAAAATTATTGGCTTTGGCATATCGCATGAAAACTTGATTCAGAAGATCAAAATTCTGAAATAAGTAAAAAATGTCCTTGAAAACATTATAGTTGATGTAATTGTTGTCTGATTTTATCATTCTGGTATTTGACAGGTTCAATGAGTTAAAGACATCTGCAGAAATTCTGTGCGAGTAAAATACCTTCAGCAAATAAACTAGTTGGTTTTTATTCAGTGCAAGGGTCTGGTTTTTGTGATTGAGATGTGATAGTCTATCAAAGCCCAAGTACAACTTCTCGTTCTTCAAATCATTTTGCATAATGGTGACGAGCGAGTTCAAGCTTATGTGAGGTCCCTCGGTGACAGGAAAAGGAAAAGTTTGGTAGAATCGTAGCCATTTGAATTCGTCCCAGTCTAGCAATATCTTATTAGAAGTGAGAAACCTATCGTTGACTGCCTCGTGTAGAAATTTGATGGTGGCCTTGAATTGATTGAGATTTAAGTACAGGCTGTCGAAACTGAGAAAACGACTTCCATAGTTAGCCGGCTTCGTTCTAGGATCATCAGCCAATTCGCCAGATTTCCTTGTAGCAGCGCTCGCAGCCTGACGTGTAATATTGGCGACGTCGAACTTCTTAAAGAATTCATACAAAATGATCAAGTGATAATTATCACATTCTAATAGGTTGTTGAAGTGAAACCAGTCGTTAAGCGTCAAGTAGCCTTTGTTGTTCTCATCCAACGCAAAGAAGATGCTCCCGAAAGCTTCGTCTGGTATTTCGTTCAAGTTGTAGGAATGGTCTGTGAACTTTGAGTACAACGATTTCGAGCTCGATATCATTCTCAAAAAATCATCGTAGGTCAAGACCCTTCTTCCGACGTCGCCACCGTTTCTCCTGTTTCCCTCAGAGGCGAACTTGAGGAAGATCTCCACCTGTTGGTTTTTCTTTTCTGTTGTCGAGTTGCTTAGCTCCATCTTTCAATAATGTCACCACTCATGCAACGCTACGAAGCAAATTCCAGGTGTATCAGTGAGCTTGAATAAATACAGTTGAGAAAGGAGCTCGCGTTGAGTGCTCTAGGGCTCTAGTTGTAGCATTCGACTTTCGTCTTTTCTTTGAAGAAGAGTATCAGTACGTTTTAACATATGTTTTTGAAAAATCCTTAATGAGCGTGCGATATCAACAACAAAGTCCGTATTCAAAGGATTCACAAATTCCAGTAGCGAAAACTGGCCGACATCAATCTTACTTATAATTGGCAAATCCACACATGAATCCAGTTTCTTTTTCAAAGCAAAATGAATCGCTTTGCGAGCGACGAATGAGCCGTGTAAATGTTCGACAGTAAAGTCATGTAGTCCGAGACAACATGCGGAAATGTGAGCGATATCAAATACAATTCATGTACTGCTACTCAAACTTGTGATGGTCGTCCATTGGTAAATATTACAAACACTTAAAGATGCCCGTTTGCACAAGTCACATATTTAATGCAGTGCCCTCATACTGACTGCTAGTATTGACGTACATACCATCGTCGAAAAGTTCCATGTTTCTACTAAGCCATTTAAGCAGTTTTTCGGTCTGCTGGACAATCACGTCGCAACCGAATTCGTCCATAGACGTAAACGACACCAACTCTGGCAGACTGCTGAGCAGCCGCAGCAGATGAACGGCCCCGTAAATTGACGAGGCTGGATCCTGGACGTAATCAGCATACTGTAGTCTTTCGAACCGATACAGTAGTAATACCGCCAGAGAATTGTCGAAATAGAGCTTGAGTCCACTACAGTACTCGTGCAACTGCGATTGCACCACAGGCGACACTTCATGCGCACTTGCGTCTTCGCAGTATTCATCTAATAACTGAGCGACGGTCGGCCTGCAAGGCAAAGAAACCAGCTTTTTGTCCTTGGTGATGCGCTCCCAGTCGTCGACCAATACGGCTTTTAGAGTCTGCGCAATATGCACCACAATACGAGGTCCTTGCGGCCCCGCACTGCCTGTTTCGTCGGCAGCAGCAGTAGCAGACTTTCGCTTACGGGGTTCTGCTTTGCGAGGTTTAGCAGGCGTTTTCTTCTTAGCCTGCCGCGCATCCTTGGCCTGTTGAACCAGTTCTTGTTTATATTGCAAGTTTTCCTCTGTATACTCCTTGAGCCTCTCGGGGCTGACCCACTCGTCCCACGATGACTTCCACCCCCGGTAGTGTATGAAGAAGCATTGCTGGTCTTTAAGGTTCGCTGGCACCTCATCGCCGGCGGTTTTCTCCGGATTGGCAGGGTCGTGGGCTTTCAAGACTTTTGCAGTGTATAGAAGCGGGCCATGGAAAGCCAAACACTTGTCTTCTACTGCTAAAGGCATACTTTTATCACTTTTCAACTAGTCTGTTTCAATCTGATTGGTTAACAGCAACAACGTTACCAAATTAGGTCCTATTCTGATATTTCGAGACCTATTGAAAAGCTATTCCGGCCTTTACAATGCAATCGGCCCTGATCCCACGAGAGCACTTGATGTGTGCGATAAGAGTGAACTCTTAAATTTGGTGTCTCTACTATGCCCGGAAGGTAGACATATTACACATAGCGTATGTATTTTTTGACGAAAGAGTTTGGAAAATCAAGTAACCATCAAAAGCTCTTCTCGCACCTCACAACAACAACCAACAAAAGGATCAAACTCAGGGTTATTCGCTCTTGGAGATAATAGATGAGCGGACGATCACAACACATTGTGGGAATTCATTATGCAGTGGGCCCGAAGATCGGAGAAGGGTCCTTTGGCGTGATATTCGAGGGTGAAAACGTACTGGGACAGGACTCTGGACCTGTTGCTATAAAGTTCGAGCCCCGCAGAGCAGAAGCACCGCAACTGCGGGATGAGTTCAGGGCATATAAGATTCTCGCGGGTCTGTCAGGGATCCCCAGAGCGTATTACTTTGGCCAGGAGGGCGTGCACAATGTGCTGGTCATCGACTTACTGGGGCCGTCCCTGGAAGACCTGTTTGAATGGTGCGGTAGGCGATTTTCGGTGAAAACAACGTGCATGCTGGCAAAGCAGATGATCCGTCGAGTGCAGTCCATTCACGAGCGGGATTTGATCTATCGGGATATCAAGCCCGATAACTTTCTCGTGGCGCAATACCAGCGGCAGCTGCCCACCGGCCAACTTGTGAAGAGTTGTGCAGCTTCAGCCAACGGCGATCCCAATCTGGTGTACGTGGTGGATTTCGGGATGGCCAAGCAGTTCCGGGACCCCAAAACCAAGCAACACATCCCGTACAAAGAGCGGAAGTCGCTAAGCGGCACTGCTCGATACATGTCTATCAACACGCATTTTGGGCGCGAGCAATCGCGTCGCGATGACCTGGAGTCGCTAGGTCACGTATTTTTCTACTTTTTGCGCGGATACTTGCCCTGGCAAGGTCTTAAAGTTGCCAACACCAAATTAAAATACGAAAAGATAGGTTTGACGAAGCAGAAAGTCCGGCCAGAGGATTTGTTGGAGCGTGATCTACCACACCAGTTTGCTACATATTTGAACTACTGTCGGTCGCTCCGATTCGAAGAAGAGCCTGATTACGAGTACCTGATATCTCTGATGACTGGGGCCTTGAAAGAAAATGGTTATGAAGAAGACGAGCACTATGACTGGTTAGATCTCAACAATGGACAATCGTGGAATATTGGTATTAATAGAAGGGCTAATCTCCATGGATATGGAAACCCGACCCCCAAGACCTCCCAGGCAGCACGTAAGTCTGCTGGCCCACGGGTCCATCGTGATTCTTACTCTAAGGCACAACGGCTGCGGACTCAAATGACCAGCCAAGCGGCTTTGAGAGACAAGAGCGGCAACGTAATGCAGAACTATGACTCCATGGGTCCACGGAATGGAAATTTCTCAGATGCCCAGCAGAATGAAAGTGACTCTCTCGAGGAACATAGCTGCTTCAGAAAACTATGCTGCTGGTGCGTATAACCGGCTCCTAAGGCCACCAACGTTAATATTCACTCATTTCACTAACCATGTTTTAATGGCCATTTACATCGAAGCACCTAGCCGCGTTGATCGTGGCTACATCTGAACCAGTCAAGTTTTGCCAGCACGTCTACTTCACATCTTAACTCAGTTTACTAGCAACTTCAAGCCATGCTATCTTGTCCACAATTCTCTTCATTTACAAGAGGATGTCCTCGTGTATTATATGATCATTATATATAGTCGACCCACTCAAATCGAAATCTTTCAGCGAATAGATACTTGTGCTCTGTGCTTTGTGATTATGGTCCTGAATCAGAATGGGACTAGCTACTTCGTTTTTTGCTGGTGTACTGAACTCTTCTACATCAACTGTAGTTTCGGAGATGTTATCAGATTGGGAAATAATCGACTCTTGATTCATGGTACTATCAGATTCCAACATATTAGTTTCAAGAGAGGGTTGCAATCTGCGTGGATTTCTTGGTGGTACAAATGGCTTTTCAACGTTTTTAATTGTGTGTAGCCCAAGTTCCCTTGAGTCCAAGGTCAATAGGGAACCCTCGTAGTGAAGGTCTAAGAGAGTGAATCCAGAAACGCGAGATTCGGCGCTGTCCGAAGGTCGAAAATTTGCTGAAGTGTCTGGGGAAAGAACGACATTACCACATTGTTTAACCTGAGAAATCTCGTTTTCGCATATACTTTGGAAGCCAGTCGCTAAACGACATTCTGAGACGTTCGAAATATCCCGCAAGTCCCATGCAATAGTACAGTTTTGATCATCAGAGGTATAAAGCCTTTGAGATTCTTGATGAAACTTTAAAGATTTTATCGATCCCTTATGACCCCTCACTGTACATTTGGAACCACTTGATCTGATGTCCCAGACCTTGACAGAGTCCCCTATGGCGTTGGCAACTGTATACTCATCAAGCCAGCTGCAAGCAGTCGACACGCTATTCATGCTATTCCTGTTGGTGTCGGGGCTATAAAGGACGCCAGATCTGCTACCGCACCGTAGATCGAGTAAAGAAAGTCCGCTGCTGCCGAACTTTGAGCCAACAAGAGACAGAAGATGTGGATTCTTGGTATTGACCTGCAATGCCTCCAACCCGGTGAAACTTTGGAGGTACAAAGGCAGCTTGTGTTGATTGAAGTCGTAAATGAACAGTGACTCATTGATGATAGAAATAAAACCTTTATCATTCCAGCCATCAATTTGACGGATGGGCGACGATCTTTTACTCTGGAGCCAAGAATCGATAGACTCTGGTTGCGTCGCTTTGAGGTACTTCGTTTGATTGAACCTTTTTATGACTTTCGCATTTCCATCAGCTTCTGAAGTTGAAATCAAGTTTACAACCCCATCCTGATGACCGGAGCATAACATGCGATCATGTTCGAGAGGCTGTTTGGCAGCAGCGTAATGGCTAGGAAATAGACTTGCTGTGGTGATCGGCGCACCTGGCACAGAAATGGTTTGTAGTTCTGCTAAATGGACATTTTCTTGATCAGCTTTGAGTGTGAGCATCTGTAGATTATCTTTGGATCTCATGTTGGAGGTTAATATTACACCATCGGTGCTCGAGAGAGACGAAAAATAGTTGAATCCCTCGTTATTTTGTGGTAAAGTCCAGAATTCGCTGTGGAGCTGTTGCGTTGTGTAATAGTCATTCATGTCTCCAGAAACTTTTCTGAGGAGCGGAGACTCCAACCGAGTGGTGTCTGTTTGCCAGGATTTGCGGTGTGTTCCTAGTCTCAATGCCGGATTTTCATTGTGCTTCCGCTTGGTGATGGCCGGTTGCCTGAAAACATTGGGAGGGGTATAGTACGTCATGATAATGGAGTAATTGGATAATCTAGCCCAGAGGTGAGTTGGACCTCGTTGGAAGGTCCGATTCTGCTGCGGTGTAACCTCTATATATACATAGACGGCTTGAAAGGGGCAGGGTATGGCAGGTCACTGGCATGCTAAACACAAACAAATGGGTTAAACAAGATCTGACCACCTGTCTGTGTTTGTTTCTTGTAGATCGCTGGTGTTTGTTTACATTTTTCAAAAAATGTAAACAAACCAGCTTAACCAGCCATATACTTAGCGGACTGACATCTAACGAAAAGCTCTACAAAAGTCCGTATCCTCCCCAGGGGTTAGCTCTGAAGGTTTATAAATATTAGGAAGAAGATTGAGTGCAGGGTACCAGGGCATATTGGACCTTTGTTTAGCAGATTGCTTGATGTTCGGTCTATGTAGAGTAGCCTACGTACTTCACAAAGTTGAGTAAGAAATGACCTTCGTATATAGTGCTATCAACACTTTTGAATTGGCAGTAGCTCGAAGTCATCGAAAGCTGCTTGACACACAAGATTAGTAGTGTTGGGAATAATGTGAATAAACTGATGGTGATGTGCGTCTAATCGCATAATCAGCGTCAGTAAATATGTGACACAGTGGTACAGAATGATAGTACACAACCGAGGCCATACAAATAGAGCTACAAGCTAAGACAAACCGAAGAGAACAACTATTGTCCAATGGGATTGGCCATTGATAAGTTATCGGTAGTGTACGGCATTGAAGCCGTCATCCTTGGGTAATAGAATGATCTAGAATTGGTGATTAATAAATATGTTGATCAGAGTTACCCAGTGAGAATTGTATAAATACCAGGCTTTGTTCAGGTAACTGAACCAAGTCTAGTGCCTGAAATAATCACGGAGATATAAATAGAACTCCCTAGACCCAAGTTACTCATCTTATAATGACTATGGTCGACTTACAAAGCAAATTTAGTAAGCTTTCTACTGGTGAATCAGATTCGCCTCATTAGTTTTCTCTAGCGCCTCTATTAAGAACGTTTGGAATGTTGTAGATACTTTTTTGAAGAGTGAAGTCACAAGAATTGATATGATGAGGAAGGGTTTTGTATGAAATATTTGGGAAGAGCACGAAAAAAAAAAAAAACGTTAGGCTTTTTTGAAGACATTAGCTACGTCGTACTGGTACCACCATTAGGCTGCTTATTCAAGTGCAGTGCCAATCTTCAAAGCTTGGCAGTTTACCCGAGAAAGAGCCATTGTTCTATCAATATCTCAGGTTCGCTGCACTGACCCACGAACTGAAAAATTGTTTGAACTATTCTAGCAATCTCTCCTAAAAAGATACAAGTCCGCTGGTGATGTGTACCATGGAAATTGACGAGCTCCCGGTTAAAACAACAAAACCGTACGTCAAAGAGTGAGAAAGCGGCTTATGAGAAGGACCGTGACGAGCAAATAAGAGATATATAGAGGCCAGTAAGTATCTGAAGTAGTACACTTGCTTAAGAGGCCAATCAGTTTATTTTTGAACACGTGAACTGTACTTTTCACCATTGAGTAGTAGATCTAAACCTTAAACAGGAGCTCCTAATTGTGTCTCTGGCAATATTTATGTTCCCGGACTGGGGAGTACAGGTGGTTTCCATACAATACTATGGAGAGAATGATCTGGGTGCATGATGGACTATATAGGGCCGCTTGCCTCTCCTCGGCTGGGTATTCGCTCCGCACTGTCGCACATTCTTGTTTTACTGACGTCGCCAGTATCACTTCGTACTAGTATGACATGATGTTGAATTTTTTATTCAAAAAAGTCGGCGCTTTTCACAAACGAAAAGGTTACTACCGCATGTTATCCTTGACGGTACCCATCTCTCTAGTTTAGCTAGTTTAGATCTGGTATCTGGTACCGTCGACTTCCCCTAAACTGTGCCAGTCGCTTGATCCCACACTTACGTGTTAAATGATATAACTACAAGTTAAGATTCACCGCAAAAAATCAGGGAGTATATCACGTTGTACTAAAGAGGAAAAATTAAGTAGTAATCAAGTTGTAATCCTGTCCGAGTCTTATTGACAAACATGTAGCTTTTCTGAACCACAATCGAAAGTCGTGGGAATCCGTACCTTCACAATAAACTGCTCGAGTCAAGAGTAGGAGTACGATAGATTTTGAGCGCTAACCAAGAATCAGGAGCTGTGCAATCGTTTGCCGCTGGGGATTGTTGCGATATTTGGGGTATATTAGGAGTAGCTGAGCCCAGAATCCAATTGCAAGGTTCCGATCAAAAGCTCATCATCGGAACTCGGGTAAGAAACTAAATCAGCTCGCAAGCTCGGGAGATCTTGGATAGTGTTGGTGAGAAGCGCCGTCCTTTCTCGAAGAAAAGCACATTTGCTGTATAATAGCGCAGATCCTTAAAAGCTTACTGATCCTGTTTCTAGATGTCAAAGGTGACAATTAAGCTGGTAGCAGCGGAAGCGCTGTACAAGAGAGATGTATTTCGGTCGCCAGATCCTTTTGCGGTACTGACGATTGACGGTTCTCAAACGAAGTCGACTGCGGCTGCGCGGAAGACACTGAATCCCTACTGGAACGAAACATTCTCTTTTTCTGGGGTTAACGAAAACGGGATTCTCACTATTCAGGTATTTGACCAAAAAAAATTCAAGAAGAAGGACCAAGGGTTCCTGGGAGTGGTTAACGTGCGACTCGGGGACGTCTTGGGACATTTGGACGAAGACTCCGTCAACAGAAACTCCCGCAGGGAGGAAACTATCACTCGGGACTTAAAGCGTTCTAACGATGGTATGGCTGTCAGCGGTCGATTAATTTTGGTGCTTTCAACGTCCTCCACGACTAGTGCCACTTCTGCCAGTCGTGGCTCAGCTACCACGGCAGGAAATGGTCCCGTCAACGATTTAACGGCATCGACTGCTAACATGAATCTTTCTGGCCCCTCTTCTTCGACTACTGCTGCAGCAACACCAGCACAAACAGTCGCTAACACTCTCCAGAGTGGTTCGACAACTGCAGCGTCCACTGCTGCCCCACCCTCTAGTTCTGCAGGCTCCAGACAATATTCGTCATTCGAAGACCAATATGGACGTTTACCACCAGGCTGGGAGAGAAGAACTGATAACTTCGGTCGTACCTACTATGTTGACCATAATACTCGCACCACAACTTGGAAGAGGCCAACGCTCGAGCAAAGTGAAACAGAACGTGGAGATCAGTTAAATGCCAATACTGAACTTGAACGCAGGCAGCATCGCGGGAGGACTTTGCCTGGCGGAAGTAACTCTGAAAGTGGCTCTTCGATTGCGGTACAAAGTAACGTTAGTTCTTCCACTCCAACTGTTAATGGGGCCGCGGCAGCAGCTCTCGCGGCTACAGGTGCTACGACATCTGGATTAGGCGAGCTGCCTCCGGGATGGGAGCAACGGTTTACTCCAGAAGGGCGTGCCTACTTCGTGGATCACAACACCAGAACAACCACCTGGGTTGATCCTCGCAGGCAGCAGTATATTCGTACTTATGGTCCTGCCAATACCACCATTCAACAGCAACCGGTGTCTCAACTGGGACCTTTACCTTCTGGTTGGGAAATGAGGTTGACCAATACGGCTCGCGTCTACTTTGTAGATCACAATACGAAAACCACTACTTGGGACGATCCACGTTTACCATCCTCATTGGATCAAAATGTACCACAGTACAAGCGTGATTTCAGACGTAAAGTCATCTATTTCAGATCGCAACCAGCACTCAGAATTTTACCAGGGCAATGCCATATCAAGGTTCGCAGAAAGAATATTTTCGAGGACGCATATCAAGAGATTATGAGACAAACTCCAGAGGATTTGAAGAAACGTCTAATGATCAAGTTTGATGGAGAAGAAGGATTGGATTATGGTGGAGTGTCAAGAGAGTTCTTTTTCTTACTTTCACACGAGATGTTCAATCCATTTTATTGTCTGTTCGAATATTCGGCACATGATAATTATACTATTCAGATAAACCCAAAGAGTGGTATCAATCCAGAACACTTAAATTACTTCAAATTCATTGGAAGGGTCGTAGGGCTGGGCGTTTTCCACAGAAGATTCCTGGATGCCTTTTTCGTGGGAGCTCTTTACAAGATGATGCTTCATAAAAAAGTTGTGTTGCAAGATATGGAAGGTGTTGATGCGGAAGTACACAATTCTCTCAAGTGGATCTTGGAGAACAGCATAGATGGTATTCTAGACCTCACATTCAGTGCCGACGATGAAAGTTTCGGCGAGTTGACAACGGTTGACTTGAAAGCGGACGGTAGAAATATCGAAGTAACTGACGAGAATAAGAAGGAATATGTTGAATTGTTTACTCAGTGGAAAATCTATAATCGCGTGCAAGAACAATTCAAGGCTTTTATGGATGGATTCAATGAACTGATACCAGAAGACTTGGTTAACGTCTTCGATGAACGTGAGTTAGAATTGTTAATTGGTGGTATTGCCGAAATCGATGTTGAAGACTGGAAGAAGCATACAGATTATCGTGGTTATCAGGAATCAGACGAAACCATCAAGTGGTTCTGGAAAGCGATTTCGGAATGGGACAATGAACAAAAAGCTCGTTTGTTACAGTTCACGACTGGTACTTCGCGTATACCTGTCAACGGTTTCAAGGATTTGCAAGGGTCCGATGGTCCTAGAAGATTTACCATTGAAAAGGCTGGTGAAGTTCAACAGCTGCCAAAATCTCACACTTGTTTCAATAGGGTTGACCTTCCTCCATACAATGATTATGAGTCGTTGAAACAGAAACTCACGCTTGCCGTAGAGGAAACTATTGGTTTTGGTCAAGAATAATCTGTGCAAGGAATTCTTATTCGCCCAGTATACGAGTTGCTGCTGAAATTTGATGATTGATAGCGGTTGCCAATCTCAAATACCTTTTAGATACTCACTATAATAATAACATGCGCCACGATTACAACTACTACTACTCGATTCACAGAGGTGTCCTCGACCTCTCCAGCGATCACTATATACCAGATATGCGATAAAATAGAATTTTGTAGCAGAAAGACTGGCCACTTGACAACTACATGGTATAGTAGAGTGCAGTCTTGGCAAACGGCATTTTTATGGCAAAGCATGAACCTATCATTATGTCACTTGGCGATAATGAATGAGATGCTCGTGTGGTTGAATGTAAACAAACTGAATGCTTGTATTCATTTTGCAATAAACTAACTGTATATCATAAATGCTAAAAAGGTTTTCCGTAGTTTGATGAAATTGAACAAACGTGGGAAACCCGAAATACTCTTCAAAAATATTGAGTGTTACTTGAGATATTCGGGAGTGTTGAGTTTGCATGTCGACAAGTTTAACAGAATTTGTGGTAAGCGAAGGTTTCATAAATGATCTTTTGAAAAAAGGGAGAATTTTGTAAACGAGCGTTGAAGATATGGACGGAGTGCTTTGCCTCTATGGCGCGGTTCATTGTACTAAAAGTTATAAGTACACTTAAACATATCGTGTAGCGCGGAGAGTCTTTTTTTTTCTTTTTTCGTAATTTTGATTTGGATACCGATTCTAATTGGTTTACTTGATTGTTTGTGGGCTTTGAATTAGTACAATGTCAATAATCATGACTAGATGGGTAATGTGCTCGAAAATGCAGTGTGACGTTTTATAGCATTCGCCAATATCAACAGAAATAGAAGTTGTCAAAAAATTCAGTAGTAAAAGCTATCGTAGTTGATATTATTCTGGTTACCACCAGCGTAACGATTTTCGAAAGATTCTGCACTGAGTGAGTTACCGCTATGAAAGAAATTCTCTTGTGCTTCTGTTCTCTGCATCAATCGCGGATCGTTATATGCAAGATTGTTCGCGGACATAACATTGGAAACATTAAGTAATGGGTTCTCAACCGGCCGGGAGGGCTCCTGGAAGTGGTTTTGCCCGACAGCTGAGGGTCTCTGTTGCACAGAGTAGAAGTCGGTACCTGGAACAGCATTTAAGTGGCTGTGAAGGAAAGCTTGCGAGGCATCTGTATGAACATTATCCTGTGGGAGGGACATCATTTGATGGGGTTGAGGAAACACAGAATATCCTGAGGACGTTGAAAGACTGCTACTGTTCCGGCGATGACGATATGCATTGGCAGGCAATGAGTAATGGCGGGCATGTTGTTTGATATGACCAGGTTGGTGCGAACCAGTTGAAATGGCATTTTTGACCTGAGCCGGCTCATTAAAAACTAGTCCCGTCAGTTCTGCATATGCCTTGACCTTGAGTTTGATTTTTTTGGCATATGAAGTTGTTTTGATACTTGGCAACAGTTCTTTAGTCAAGATAACCAAGTTACCGATCCTTAGCGTGAATTCACGACTAAAGTTTAGCATAGTAGCAGATGTATGCACATAAGTGTTACTTGGATATTGCAGTAGTTTAGTGTAGTTTTTCACGTTCAAAACAGTCTGTAAAGCATAGTTCCCATAATTGTCTCTTATCAAGGGATTCAAGTTTGCGGTGAAAAGATCTATCACAGAAAGCAAAATTCGCATAGCTACCATTACCACATCTTCGGGGATTGGTTTATTTTTGCCTGAAGCCGGTGTCATTGCCCCTTTCAGTATTGTGAAGAGTTTTTTGATGAATTTTTCAACCACGTTGGATGAGAACTTAGAGCAAGAGAGTTGGCATAGTTCAGCGGATAATTTATCAAAAATTTCATCTAACAAATAGAAATCAAGTTCCCTTATGTCTAGCAGGAACTGAATGATATAATTGCCGAACTGATCGTTGATCAAGCTGCGCAAGAATTGAATGATCTTAACAGAAATCTTGAAAATTTGTTGTAGAGTACAGACGCTCAACAATTTTTGTAAAACGCAACAGCCATGCTTGTGAGTGGATATCTTGACAATGTTGTTCTGGTCCACTATGGCATCGATAATAAAATCAAATTTTGTAGGAGGAAACTTGAAGATACATTTTTGGACGACATGATTCCCATTGAGGTCGTTGATCAAGACAACAACTTGGTCGATAGAGGTATGCTTTTGGCCAAAGCCAGAAATGATCATGTCAATCTGAGCTTCGGTGTCGACCGTGTCTATAATTTTTTGTAATGACCGAGTACCGTACTGGTTTATGGAGATTTGGAAAACATGTGGGTAGATCGACTCGATCAACTGAGTCTTTTGATCTGTGGTGAGGGAGTCGCAAAGCTTCTGCACCAAGTAGTTTCCGAAGGGGTCCATGATCAAGTCGAGGAAGAAGGGACTGATCTGCTGGTACATAAGGTCTCTGACCACGCAGCATTCTTGCGGCGTCTCGAGCTTTTTTTGGAGAAAGCGACACCCAAACTGGTCAGTGGCAAGTTTGACGTAGTCTAAATCCTCCAATGGGGTCCAATTCAAGTCCGAGGAAGCAACAGAGTTGGACTGCGAGTGCGAGTTCGAAGCAGCACAGGGCGAAGTCGTGGCCTCGCTCACGGTACGTTTCGATCCCGAGGACAGCCGCGACTCGTGGCCCGCATATGGAGCTGTGACCGGCAAGCCGGCCTCCAGCTCGTTGATCAGAGGCAGGGACTTGAGATGCGGCCGGAACGCGCCTGACATGGCAATTGATCCGGTGGGGCCCATCCCACCAGATCCAGGCAGAGCGGAGCCGACAGGCGGGGTGTCCGGGGACAGCGCCAGGGTCATTCCGGGAGACCCACCCTGGATGAACTGGTTGAAACCCGAGAGATCGAGCGAGTGGGTTCGCTGGTGGTTTTGACGATTGTTCATTTGGCCCAGAGGCGGAGTCGTGGGCTCAATCAGCGATTGGACCGAGTTGATCGAGAGCTGCGATTGATGCATAGCTGGTCGAAACTCGAACGGGAGGAACGGACTGTGTTCTGGATGGCTTTTTGTACTTTTTTTTTTTTTCGTAACTCACCGTCAGTAGTAGCAGTGATGGGAAAACCTGCTGTGCAGATATAGATTTCTTGAAGACCGGAACAGAAGTGATGACAGCGGGTGGAAAGAGAGAGAGGGAAAGAGGCAGAAATCGAGCCGGATTGACACAAAGCTGGAGGATGCTGTTTCGGAAACACGACAAGACAATGCTGGATGGTGCTACCTCGTTCTTATTTTTTTTGTTTTTAGCTTCTCAGTCAGAGTATGCTGATCGGACGTGGGGCCCAGGTATTGTTTCCGTTTCTCGCCGTGCTAAGGCTCTTTGGCTGGTGCTGTGGGTGGCTGTAGTTAGTAGACTGCAATCAGAAGACGGCTTTGTAGGTTTGTAGCTTGCAGGCAGGTGGGCAATGGCAAAGCAGTGACAGTGAGACCAGGGCTGCCAAAGTGTTGGTGTGTGTGTGTGCGGTAGGCGTGTGGAGAGCCTCTCGGATCAAACCACGCGCGCGACCCAGCGATTCGGGATCCAAACGGGCCCAAAAAAAAAACGGCCAAACGAGCAAACGCAACGATTCACCGATCCGGACCCCGGCGGGCACCCGGCAACAGCGTCCACACCGCTGGCTCTCGTCGAGCTCAGAGCGACCGATCCCACCCGTCTAGCCTCTTTCTTCACCAGCGAGGGCCTCTGACCAAGCGGGAAACACCTATCTATCCTATATACAGCGCTATACGTACCTGGCAGTGCTCGTGGGGTCGGCAAAGAGCGTGAGCGAGCTGCAATGCCTAGTGGCGATCAAAAAAGAGGTAGCTGCGAGTGTATGCTGAGTTTCCAAAATCTTACTTTACTGCGTTCAATTTGGACTCTCGACCTGCTATATCATTACCCCGCCAGGGCCCGGGACACACAAACAACTCGCACAGTGGGCGAGACAGATCATCTTTTTGCCCATGCTGCGAAAAAAAAAAGGCCCACGTCAGGGACGGGGGGCCGCGCCAAGAGTAACTGAGCCCAAGGGCCCAGCCAGCTCCGCAAACACTACCGCCATATTTACACTGCTACGACGCTACACACGACACCCCGTCCGCTACAGACTCAAGCCCACACTTCTGCTGGCTGGCGCGCATCCCAAGCCGTGGCCACGAAGCCCAACACTGCGGTCAATCATTCCGCACGATATCGCCCACTTATTTGATTTTTTCCTGGCGTTAATATAGCCCTCAATATATATAGATACATTGCCTATATATAAATACACACCACTACCGCATTGGGCGGGTTGCGGTGTGTTCTGGCGGCAGCAGCCAAATAGCCGCGGAGCCCAAAGCTCGAAACAAACGCGAAAAACAAAAGGGGCTGAGCGTGAACAACGGCTGGAAACCAAGCGTGCTGGGGGCAAGATGGCCAGCTGAAGGACAGACACACACATACACAGGCCCGTCGGCCTAGGCAGGGCCTGGCCACGCTTGAACAGAGCGCACGGACCACGGGCGGTGGGAAGAGCAGTTAGCAGCTGACCTGTTTAGCCGCCGAGGCGGCACCCCTAAAAAAATGTATGCCCGCACAGAAGAAAAAAAGAAACGTTTTTAGGGGGGCGGGCGCCGCGGCGCATGACACAAAAAGGAAGAAAAAAATAGAGGGCCGGAAGGGCTCGGCTGGGGTCCCGTGATGCGATCCACGGCCCTGGGTCATGTGCGTGTGTCACGTGACACGCGGAGAACCGGCGTCGAAACCCGGCGTGGCCCTGGCGAGCGCTCGAGAGCTGGGAAGGCCTGCGGTGTTGCAGGTACGTTGGGGAACCCGCTCGTACGCCCCGCGGAAGACAAAACACTTACGTATAGCGAGATTTGGCCAGTGGCAGCTGCGATCACTTTTTTCCATAATGACCGCAGGCCATCGCGGGCCGATCCCAGGCACCTCCCGGCACACAAGCAAGGAAAGACCCACGCAACGTGTGGCCCTCGGCCACGATCGCAGGCACACCGATCGCCCCATCACCAGTTTTATCTTACAAAATCTAATCTACACACACACACAGTTGTGGCCTACACAGATCGCCCCATCACCAGTTTTATCTTACGAAATCTAATCTACACACACACACGCACACACACACACACACACACACACACACACACACACACACTTGTGGCCTACACCAAAAGCACCGCGTTCACACACCCGTCTCTGTCGGGCTCGTTGGTGATCTGCGCGTACTTACCCCACACCACTTTGCCTCCTGCGGTCACCATCCCCAGTTCGGAAACGTTGACCTCGATGACCGTACCCTTGGTGAGAACACCCAGCTGCGTGTACATCGGCGACTGTGGGTTTTTCTTCACGCCCAGAATCGGCAAGAACACCGTGACTCCCAGCTCCGGGTGCGTCACGTTCGCCTTCTTCTGTCTCAGAGCACTGGGCCGGATGATTCTCTCGGTCTTCACAGGTCTTCTCGTGAACCCCTCGCCGACAAACGTGTGTTTGGTGATCATACGCTTCCAGCTCTTACTCTTGGACTTCCCGGTTTTTACCACTTTGAACATCTCCTCTTCGCTGATACCACGCACTTTAGGCAAGGGCACCGAGAACTTGTCGGCTTTCTCCATCCGTTTTTGCTTGATGGAAGAAGAAATCGCCTTCGCGGTGTTGTTCTGTTCTCTGTCTAGCAAATACGTGGGGAGAGCCTCTCCGGAGTCCTCCATAGGCTCCGAAGGGCCCTTGACCTTGGACTGCTCATGAGCCTTGATTTTCTTGCGCAGCGCAACCTTCTCTGCGTATCTCTTCTTGGCGAATTGCTTACCTTTCCAGCCGGTCAGCTTCTGTGCTCTTTCTGCTACCTTGTGAGACTCTCTGGCCTCTCTTTTACGTTTTCTCTCGTCGTGGTCGAGTCTGCGACCATGCTGCTTGATGTGCTGTTCGATATACTCGTTTTGAGGCATGTCGAATGGGGGGGAAAGGCTATGAAATGAGCTTTACAACAAACGTACGTTAATTTAAAGACCAAAGAACCTGTGGATGTGTCTTTAGCACGTTATTGAGCTGAATTGTTAAGCTTTTTCAGTGGCCATCAGTTAGTTAAAAGTTCAGCTCATCGCATTAAAATTTTCAACACCTGTTAACAAACAGCCGGGAAAAAAAATTTACAGCGATGAGCTGAAAAATAGCCAATGTTGAACAGCGATGAGCTAGAAACACTTTTGAAGAATAAAGGAAAACATCGAGTTCGGATTTGAAGAACCTTGGAAACTCGAGAGAGACGATCAGGAACGACCAAGCATCCAGATATGAGTGATTTAAACGGTGTGCTGCGTCAAATTAACGAGTCTCTGGCTTCCACCAGCGAGTCGCTGGAAGCATTGGCCAAGCAGTATAGAACGCCGGTTTCCGAGGGCGAAGAAACTAGAAACAAAGTAATGCGTAATGTATTGGGCCAGAACGGTGAGCTTGAGAAAGTGTCTTTGCTGTCGCTGAAGAACGGCAGTCTTCTCGCTTATGTCAATAGTTTGGCACAAGTGGTGGGCGAAAAATTAAGTCGCCAAGATGCCACCGCATCGAGGGCCCGAGAATCTAGTGTGCAGCATCGGGTAGTTTTGGAACGTGGTGTGCGACCCTTGGAGAAACAGCTGGCTTACCAGCTAGACAAATTAACTCGTGCGTATACCAGGATGGAGACAGAATACGTGACAGCGGAAAAAAGGGCACTGCAAAAGCAAGAAGAGCGAATTCTGAATGGCGAGGACGAAGGGAGTGCTGCGGAGGAGAGTGACAGCGATTCAGATGACGAAGCTTTGTCATTTAGGCCGAATGTTTCCGGGATAGCCGATCTGTCCAAGGGCAGCAGAACCAGCAGGAGCAGACAGAGTCACGAAACCAAAGACCAAAACGACAACGAAAACGACAATGACAACGAGGGTGACGACGGTGGGGCTGCCAATGCCACATACAAACCTCCCAAGATAAGTGCTATGCTGCCCCCACAACAGCACCATTTCGAAGACAAGTTCGATGCTCAGCAGCACAAAGACCGCAGCGGTAAATCCCGAATGCAAGCCATGGATGAGTACGTCCGTGAGATGTCTGAGCAGCCCGAGTGGGAAGCTTCCGTGGGTACCAACATTCTCAACCACGGTAAAGGTGGAATCAAATCAACGCGCGACACTGAACGAGAGCAACGGGTCAAAGACTACGAAGAGAATAATTTCACAAGGCTGACACTCAAGGGTAACAAGGACGAGAGGCGCCGCGCTAAGCAGCGTGAGAAAACCGCAAGGTTGAACACTATTGGCGGGGAAGATTTCGGTATTTTCAATTCGAAGCGCAAGCTTGAAGACAGCACATCACGTCGCGCAACTAAAAAGCCTCACAGTGCTTGGGACAGGGCCAAGAGACGGCTATAGTAACTCGTCAAACAATGCACAGCAGGAGTTTATGTATTGATAGAGACCAGAGGTAATGTAACACGAGCCGGTGGAACCGCTAAATATTAATTTACATACAGTTCATTGTGACATACATACGCATCGACCTGGTGGGAAACAGGTGCCACTGTTGAGCACAGCTCTGTCGCATGGAGAACTTATATACCAAACGTAAAGTAGCTGATAAGGACTCGCAATCTTGTTTAGTGTGTTATACACCCACTGCTACGGTACTGTACAATGCGTCCATTCAAGACTGGTTTTACTGCTGTGAGATCCACGTCGATGATAACCCTTCATTTGCCAAGCCTATATACCCGGAAGAGTACACAGATGTTCTTGAGAAAATCAAGGTCACCAAACAAAAGCTAGACGTTGAGAAATCCCGTGGCACCACTGGCAGCTGGGATTCCTGGGTCAATAAAGTCATGTATCGAAGGAATTCAGATAAGCGGGTTAGCGAGAGTGGGAATAATACCAATGGAGCAGACAACATAGGTGAGGATAAGACATCCACAGGTGAAACTCCCAATAGCAAGAACAAGCCGCCTTCCGAACTAGCCAGTCTTACCCATGAATACCAACTATTATTAGACCAGGTGAGCCGACACCGGAACAGCATCCGTAACTACAGTCTGAGCCAGGTGATGTTTGAGAGCAGGTTAGATGCCAAGAAAAGAAAGTATATGCGTCAAAGGAAGGCCAAACAGGAAGCGGAAGCCTACACCAACACCGATCCCGAGGAACTTCAAACAAAATTCAGCTTTCCCAGTGTTCCTCAGCAGTAAGCACTGCTGGTCGGTAGAGGACAAAGTAGCTACGTCAGAATGTCGTTCTAAGACTCCCACAACTAGCATGGAAGCCTTGCCAGCCATGAAGTTTGTATATCACTACTTACGTATCTGACACCTGTTTCGTCGTGACCATGAAACGCTTGACGAACCTTGGAGGGATCGTCACCAGGTATTGCAAAACTCAAAGGGCGAATACTTGGATCATAGGCCATAGCCGCTCCAGTGGAACTAAAGACTACTCACTAGGCAGCAACTCACACAAGCTGGAACACTGTGGGTAAAGCTCGCGAAGATCTGTGGTTTTTTTTTTTCAAGTGCCACTACCAAACCACTGATACGTTCGCCGAAGGAAGTACTACTTGTTTTACTTCGTGACATTGGTGGCCCAATTTCAGCATGAGCGAAGCGAGTAGCAATGGACGAGAAATGGACATTCCACCTGACATACAACTCAGACTGGATCAATCGCTGTTTAGTGGCTCCCAGATTACAAAACACATTATGGAAGCTACGGATGTTTCTTCAACAGGATCCTCCACAGATTCCTTGCACCTGCTCTTGGAGCGCCAGCGCCAGCGTCAACTCAATCATCCTATGCATCAAGACCATATCTCCACCCCAACTAGTCCGTCCCTACCCAAAGTCAAAGAAACTACGAAGGTTTCGTTAGAGTATGACCCAATCTCCCGGCGCAAGGTGCTGAACACCTATGAGATCATTGGAGAGCTAGGTCATGGTCAACATGGAAAGGTCAAACTAGCCAAAGATCTTGTGTCCAAGCAGCTGGTGGCGATTAAGATGGTCGACAGAAACGGTGATAAAAGCAATCGTTTTGGTTTCAAGAGAAGAATGAGCGGGGATGATAAGATCAAGCGTGAGGTGGCAATCATGAAGAAGTGCCACCACGAACATGTAGTTAGGTTGATAGAGGTTCTTGACGACCTAAAATCGCGCAAGATCTACTTGGTTCTGGAGTACTGTTCGTCGGGAGAAGTTAAATGGTGTTCTGGAGACCAACTCGAAACTAAAGCTGAAGGACCCCCATTGCTTACATTTCAGCGAGCTCGAGAAATTTTTAGGGAGGTCATATTAGGGCTGGAATACTTGCATTATCAGGGAATCATACACCGCGACATAAAACCTGCTAATTTATTGATTTCCGGGTCCGGAACGGTGAAAATTTCTGATTTTGGAGTGTCTTTTGCCGCTAGTAAGAATGCGGAAGGTGATGGAACGTTGGACGATCTCGAACTTGCGAAAACAGCTGGAACTCCTGCTTTTTTTGCCCCAGAAATTTGTTTGGGACATGAAGCGCCGGAAACATTCCAAAGTTGCGATGATTCTGAACAAAAGGGCTCCATTATTTCAAACAAAATAGATATTTGGTCAACTGGCGTAACGCTTCATTGCCTATTATTTGGTATGCTCCCCTTCCGTTCGGAGTTCGAGCTAGAACTGTTCAACAAAATCATCAATGATCCATTGAAATTGGAGCTATACGAAGAACTGAGGAAAAACGGAGTATCCGAAGTATCTTCGAGAGAAGAATATGAAGCGGCAAAAGACTTATTAGGCAAACTGCTGACGAAAAATCCTTATCAGAGGATTGATATACGCGGCATCAAAAACCATCCCTTCACATGTTGGGATTTTGAGCATAACTTAGGAAATGATGATGTGGCTAACTTGAGTAGGCTGCGAGAAAAATTGAGCTTTCAGAGCGCACAAGAAGAAGAATATCAACAAATTTCAATATCTACTCATGAGTTAGATAACGCCGTTGGTGGTATTGGAAACAAAGTCGAGCACTCGCTTTACGACTCTTCAAGACAAGAATGCGAATCTTCCCAAACACTGACTGAATTTAATAAGGAAACTAACGAAACTAATGATAACGATGACATATTTAATGACCATACTGAAACTATTAACAGGTTCTCCAATTTGCGCTTACAGGTGACTGATAGCGCATTCACAAGTAACGGCAATCTCATTTTAGGTGATGACCCAGTGGTCAATGGCGAACACAATAACCAGAGCGAACTAAGCGCAAGAGAAATTTTCCAACAAGAGTTGCAAAAGTTCGACAGTAAAAGAGATCCTAGTGCCATTGTGTCGCTCCCTGTGAACTCTTCGTTTGCCTCACTGGACAGCTTTTATATGGATGCATACGCTGCACATCAGCCACCCACTGACTTGAAGCCCCCCGTGACGACTACTTTGGCAAGAGAAAAGCCTAGGATGGCTTTTGCACGGCCCCCACCAGCACTTGCGTCTTCTAGAGGATCACAGGATCGTAAGGCCTCTTACAATCTTGGAAATAATGCCGGACATAAAAACCCTTATACTAGTGCCAGATATCGTGATACTGAGGTGTTGGCTCCAAATGAATGGAACGCTCGAAATGTTGGGTATTCGGGGTATCCCAACGGAAATAGATGGCCACAGGTGAACCCTGCTGAGAATTCCAAGCTAAGACAAATTCCACGTAATCATATTCCGACATCAGCCACACCGGCCTCCTTTGTGGTTGCCCCCAAGCCTAAAAATAGGGTAAACTCTCTGGGCAACGAACAACATAATTTTACAGAAGAGAACGGCATGAATAGGCTAGCCAATGCACCGGCGGGTAGGCGAGGAAATTTTTTTTCAAGTTACGACGGGAGTGATGAGGACGACAGTCAATCAACTACTACCAGTGCAGGCTCTACGTCCCATAATAACTACACATCTGACGATGGCCGATCAGAGACTGAGTCTTTACCTTTTGAGTTTGGTATTGATTCTGAGCACGGAAGTTTGGTTTCTCTTAGAGATATTCCAAATGATAACGCCGGCATGACTTCATTCAGTTCACGATTTTCGAGAAGTAGTCACGATGATGAAGGTGACGATGAGGATAATGAGCTGACATTGAACATTGGTAATGCTGGCCATAGCCGTCGCCAAAGTTCTATTTCAAGCTCTTCTAGCTCCCGGAGATATAGACGATCCCGAACTCCACACCTCAGCCATCCTCAAGTTCAAGTGCCAGCATTTCGTACAAAGATTTTCGAATCCACCACTAATCCATCAGCTAATAGCGTTACAACGCTCACTGCTGGTAACCGTGACCCGTCATTTGACGCAGTGGTCAAAATGAACTCAAGAACTTCTGATATTGCGCCAGACGCTGAGGGTTTCATACTGGATAGCTCTGCCGACGGGGGAGTCGATGTTCCAGTCGATGTCATGAATATGATACCAGAACTTAACGTTGCCGACGATCCCAATGGTGCACCTCACTTCAATGAGAAGTGTGCAACACCACGAATTTCAAAAACTGTTCAGAGCCCATTGTTTTTTCCTAATGCAACGCCTCTAGCCTCTACTCAGGAGGTTAGTGTTAGTCCGATACCTAGTAATAATAATAAACGGGAACGGGCCCGTGTTACATCAAAGGACTTGCTTCAGAGTGTCCTCACTTCTGCTGGCTCCAGTAGAAGACCATCTGTGTCCCCAATGGCACATGCGCCTTCTGGCGATAATAATGTCAATGATTCCTACGTCAATCATTATGAAGGAAAGCGAGAGACCAAATACTCTTCCAAGACTCAGACACGAAGAACACCCGAGAAGGGTAGGGATTTGAAGGGGCGATACCGGTCAAAGTCGGTAAGTGTGGGACTATTAGATGAGCGAAAGTCTTGAAATTTTTTGGTGCATCATCATTAAATGAACACTATTCTCAGCTTAGCTCAATACCCTCACACACGCCCACATTGGTGAATAATGATGTATGTTTAAACTTACAAACGTACAAAAAGAAAACTGCTTAAAAATTAGCTAGTATAAACTGGTATCAAAACCTTCCTTGTCTTATTAAATCAAAATGTAATAGAATGTTTAAACCATAAACCTTTGTGACGGGCAAGCCGGAGCCTGCTCAAGCCTACCCTGATCACAGTAATATCATATCATGGAGAATTCAGCTTTCTCCTCAGAATTTTCAGTCTGTTTGCAATGCTGTCGATGTATTTTTTGATCATAACCCTATCCGCTTCGTCTAACGCGTCGGCTGTTTGGAAACCAAAATCGTGACCAATGTTGTCGTCCGTACTATCACGATCTAGTACACTTTCAAGCATCCACAAAGAAGTCGCGTAAGCCAGTTCGCAATTGTTCAAAAATTCTCCTTGCATCTCAAATTTGGCCGCTGTTTTCGAAATCTCCAAGGCTCTGTCATAAATAATCTTTTCGAGAAAAACGGGTTCGATATCTCCATCTGTATCATTTGCTGCAGCGCCAGCGTTGCATTCATTAGCTTGGGAGGCCTTAAGGGTTGGATCATCAGCTAAGTGATCTACAGAAATCAATTTCAATCTCAAAAACTCTGCTCTCTCCAAACATTCATTAAATTTATCGCGTAGCCACTGAACCAGAATATTAAGCTTCAGCGAGCAATTTTTTTCTTGAGATCTGTACCACCAATCGGACGTTGCATGCATAGCCCTCGCTAATGTTGAAAGGACCTTCATGTATAGTACCATGGCCTCAGTACATAATTTTTGGATCTCCCATATTGGTAGATCCTTCGCAAACCCTTCAAAAGCAGAGATTTCACTCGAACTTCTTCTTTTCATAGTATCCGCTATGGTTCGGGAATCTGATTGGGCCCTAAGAGTTCTATATGGTTCAGTGAATGAATCCGGATGTTCGTCCTCCTCCTCAATGGCGCAACTACCATTACTGGGTCTTTTGCTGAAAGGATCGCCTATAGAAGACGGGGGCAGTGGCACAATCTGTGAAAACTTGACCTCCGCGAATGAATATATTACGAAAGCTTTTGCAGCAAGTGATTCGAGAAGAGAAAGCATGTCAACATCTGATTGACTCTCATTGAATTTCGAGAAATCCATCTGATGGTCGGCGGATAATACGATGTTCTCTGTCAGATCATGAAAGACCTGGCGGCTTAATAGAGGTTGAGTTATCTGATTGGGCGATGTCGAGAGTCCAGTGGAATGCTGGCTGCCGAACAAGCGAGTTGATGCAATTCCGAGAGCCTTCGTGAGAGCATTTGACGGACTCAGAGAGGAAATAGAGAGCCTTCTCTCCACTAATGAAGGTCTCCGAGCGGTCGTTGAGCTACCTGATGAGGACTTTCTGATCGCCATCGCTTGTGGGTTAGTAGTTTGCTGTTGTACGTTTCTTAAAACCACAGCTTTGCCCACATCATTGCCTCCCGGAGTACCCAAGTTTGCGAACTCATCTGCGAGGGCGTTTACCTCGACACTTTTCTTTTCAACCATCACATATTCCTTCTCAATCGAAGTGTCATTTTGGGAACGCGATTGCTCGAGAGAATTTGCACGAGACTTACTGCTCAAGCGGCGAGCATTACTCATTCGAGACTTATGTGGCGAGGCAATGGTATTGGCATTGGTAAGGGATGAGGAAGCTGGTCCTGGAAGTTCTTCCACTTGGGTCATGGGCGCTGCTTCAGTAACCGGTTTGGCAAGATACTCAGAGATGAACATGTTACTTCCAGCAACGTCTTTTGATTTGTCCTCCAGATCCGGAATGACCTCCTGCTCATAGCTGGATAGATCCTCGTTTACAATTTCGTGGCTAAAAAACTCATTGAACCCCATCCTTTGAGAAGGATCAAACGTTAAAAGTCCACAAATTAATTCGCTCATTTCAGGTTCTAATTTGCAGTGAGAAGGGAAAGTGATGGCATCGTTCGCCTTCTTGATCTTTTTGAACAGCTCTAAATGATTTGATGCTTTAAAAGGTGGTCGGCCACAGCACATTTCGTATAGTACTGTCCCCACAGACCATAAATCAGCTTTTGCATTATACTTCTGGTAATTCAGAATTTCTGGTGCCATGTACAAGGGTGAACCACACAACGTTTCTGCGAGTGACGTATTTGGCAGAAACCTTGCAAACCCAAAATCTGCTATCTTCAAAATTGGCAAATTGTAAATGCCGACGAAACCGAGCTTGTGAAAAGTTTCTGGGTCTCGGTATTTCACAAGCGGGGTGGATATCAGCAAATTTTGAGGTTTAATATCGCGATGTACCAAATTTTTCGACCTCAAAAACATGAGAGCCGATGAGAGTTGTTGTAGATAATTCACCACAACAACGCGATTTAGGCCGTTGTGAGATTCATTGGGGGGTGGGTACTTCTCGAACATTGTTCGCACGAGTGGATGCTTCTCAATGAGTGCCTTTCGCTTTTTAATGAGAAATGTGAGGTCGCCAAGCGCACAGTACTCCATGATCAGAAAGAAATCAGCGCTGGTACGTTCGCAATCCATTAGTCCAACAATATGGGGGTGCTTAATCTTCTTTAGTATCGCGATTTCAATTTCCAGATTTTCTAGCAGCTTTTTGTTTTTCAGCTTCGAACGGGACACAGCCTTGATGGCAACGAAATCGTTGGTACCTCCACCCTTAGCTGCCAGCCGTCCCTTGTATACGGTAGCAAACGACCCCTTGCCAATCTCCTGCTCAACAACATACTTTTCGACAATCATCACCGGGGCGGCAGGGCCATCCTCGTGGCTGCCAGCGCTGTTGTTGTCGCTGCTCATTCTTGTGTTTCGGACTTGATCCCTACTCTGGGCTCTCGCTTCAACTTCTGTGTTCTCTTAAATAGGGCTCTGCGTGTGGCAACAAAACACGCTTTTGCGAATAAGGCCTACTATTGAATCCTCTTTTAAGATCTCTGGGTTATCTCTATATGAACAAAACAGCCATAATACACCTTCAAGGCCGATAATCCCACAAAGCCTCGCGACTTTGTGTTTTCTGACTCACGTATCACAGCTTCAAGGACTACTATGTGTCTTTCTTGAAAACAAATAGCCTGAGTGGGAAACGGACGGGATTTGTGACTAATTCTCTTTATATGCGATGAGTAAGGAGCAGAGAGTCAAGGGGGGCAGCTAGTGACATTTATGTTGATCACCAAAAAACCGATGAGCTTTAGGACGCCACATGTCGTATTTAGCGATATACCATAACTCCATACACACGCCAAGTTTCCCGGCCCGATTGCTCAGTAATGCATCCACAGCCGTCTGTGTTGGTTGATTCGTTGGTATTTTAGGCTTGGATATCGTGTGCTGATCGACTAAAAATTCATTACGACTGCCCTGCTGGTGGGAGAAACTGGGCAATTTTAAAAAAGTATGGGCCGGGGCGTGGGAGGCGCTGCTGTACTGTAATCACCAGCATTCTTATTCTTTCATAACAATTGGCATTTAGAAATGTGCTTGGTCGTTCCCTTCCGCAGCTTACGGGCCTTGGAAATATCCCATCTGGCTTTGTTGGTAAAGCTGCTGTTGCTGTTGTTGTTGCTGCTGCTGCTGCTGCTGTAGTTGTATCAATTGCTGGTACTGTGGGTGTGACGGATTTATTTCCACTGGACTGGTGTATAGATCGGGCCGCTGATAGAGCGAGAGCAAAGCATTCTTTTGAGCCTGAGACTGTGCTTGCTGCAGCTGCTGTTGCTGAAGAGCTTGTTGTTGCAATGCCTGCTGCTGAAGCTGTTTCTGGTACAGCGCTTGCTGTTGCATTTGTTCTTGTTGCAGCATTTGTTGGTAAAGCGCTTGCTGCTGCTGTTGTTGTTGTTGTTGTTGTTGTTGTAGTAGTAGCTGATGCTCCTGCTGGTCCACGTAGATTATTCCGGTCGCTGGATCTAAATATTGTTGCATGTACCCGCCATCAAAAACTGCTGGTCTCGCACCCGTCGCGGTATTTTCCAACCCATCAAAGGCCGCGGGGCGGGGTCCCAGGTTTGTCGCAGGTCGTTTGGGCAACGGAGGGTTTGCAGCCGGCGAATCCGCCCTTCCTGTTCCACTGGAGTATGTGGATGGTCTGGTGCTCGGTGATCTTCTGCTAGAGCTGCTTCGGGACGTTCCGGGCCTTGATCTTGAAGATGTGGTTCTCACACCATAGTCGGAAGGTAAACTCTCGCCATTTCTGAATTTGCGTGCAATGTACTTGTCACGAATGAACTTCTCCACAGACGCCCTATCTTCATCGCCATCAAAGGGAAAGGGTTCATTGAGTGGGTTCCAAATCGTCTTGTTCCGCTTGTTTCCTCCGCTCTCTACCAGGCCATCGAGGTCGCCATTGGACCAGCGGTCCATAGCAAGTGATCTGACGTCGGAAAACGCTTCGTCGTCTCTCTGGCCCAGCATTTTTCTATGCACTGACGCACATCGTCCACACAGGAAAACTCCTAGCGTCAACGAGCACCAAGTTGGGAAAGAGCTTCCACATTCGCCACATTTGTTGGAATTCTGAGGCTCGTTCAATATGTTCCTAAGCTCACGCTCAGTAGCTTTGGAGCTCTTGTGTACCATCCTGACAATTGCTTCTGAACACTCGGAATACAGAACTTGACGCTGAAGGCCCGTACTGTTCGGTTGGCTGACAACTTGTAATTTAGTGTTTAGTACCAGCCAGACATGCTGATGCCTCACCTGACCTAGCGACGACACATAATTCCTTACAAACTTGTTGAACCAAACCCAACACACTTGTCGGAGGTTCAGATTTGCTCCAGGGAGTTTTCTTTGACATAATCACAGACTATTTTTATTCCAGTGTGGCCTGTTTTATCGCTAGCACTGTTCCGTTGATCTCAAATGCTCTAAAAACACGAACAATCCCGGAGTCTCTCACTTGACTCATGTAAAGAAAGTCCTTCACATTTGAAGCCTCGCATGTTATCTAGACCAGATATTATCCTTCTGCAAGTTCGTCCACTCACTCTCTCTCCACTTCAATGTCAGAAACAAACAAAAAAAGAGGAACATATCCCTCTGACTGCCGAAGAGCAAGCTTTGGTAGCCTCTTGACTTCCCCAGAATCCCAACTTCGCTATAATTCGCTATACTTTGCTCTTTGTTCACTCAAAATTAAGAGTCCCAGAGGATCACCATATAAATTCCTAATCCATGTCCATGTAGGGTATATCTTCTTTCGATCCTGCTAAACACCGAGAATTAAGGTTTAAGATAGAATAGAAACCAGTAGGACTTCAACAACTTCATTCAATGGTATGATGATCCAATAAAGGTAGAAGACAGCAATTACCTAAGTTTCTAATCTCTTCGATACTAATCAATAATAGCCGCCCAAAGGAAGAGCAACGGTTTCCGTGGGACAGAAGAAGGCCAGTATTTTGCAATTCTTTCAAGATGAGCATTCTGTTTACAACATCAAAGAGTTGGAAAAGCTTATCCCAAAAAAGTGCAACGGGGTGTCATCAATGCTTGTCAAAAGTCTTATCCACGAAATGATCGATGAAGATGGCATCATTTCGGTGGAGAAATGCGGGAGTACTAACATTTATTGGTGCTTCAAGAATCAGATAATCATGAAAACACGGCAGGAGCTGACGTCCCTGCATTCGCGTATAGACATTGCCCAGCGCGATATTATGCAAAACAAGGCTTTGGTTCAGGAAAATCAGTCAAGCATTAGAAAGGAGAATTACCAAGTGGAGGGGAAAGCGGTCTGCAGAAGCGAGCAGCTTGCGAGACTAGATGCTCTGGACGCTCAACTGAAAGTGCTACGTACTGTCTTGGAACAGAAAACGGAAAATCAGTGGGATCAAGAGAAAATCTCGGAAAGAAATCGAATGTTTTCCTCACAAATCCTTAAACTGGAGTCTGTGACCGACAATATTGAGTTGCTGACAAGCTTTCTATGCAGGCAGTTTATGATTGATGTGAAAAGTTTGAAGACGGAACTTGAAATTCCAGAGGAGTTTGTAGAGTTTGCGCATCTGCCAAATTTTACATAATACACATAGCCCTAGCTATTTACGCGCGGCTCCAAGCGCAGTAATTGAGGCCAGGTTTCAAGGAGTGAATAAAAGCAGCTGCTTGATTCATTTCATGAGAAAAAGTAGTCCCGTATCGTAACTGGAACCGCCTGGCACTTATGTTGTTGTGCTTTTGATTTGGGTTAGCTTGATTTGTCATGATAACTCGCCATCCGAGTGTGTTTTGACATGCTGGTTAAGATTATCGCTTCTGCTAAACTTTTTGCCGCATATGTGGCAACCAAATGGCTTCTCGCCCATATGCAGCGATCTTATGTGTCTTTTTAAGTGTTCCTGTCTTTTGAACCGCCTGTCGCAAAATTCGCACGCAAAATGCTTCGAAGCATCAAGAATAGGAGACGGTTTCCTGCCGCGTGTCTTTGGGAAGCCCATTTTTTTCTTTTTGACGACACCGCTGTCTAGATTCAGCTCCGGTGAGCTTTGGGCAGTATCAGAAGTACTAAACTTGGTGGTGGTGCAGTTTTCGAGATTATAATGCGAACTTATGGTGCTGGACGCCAATAACTTCGAAGGATTGACAACTGGCTCCACCAGCGACCATGAATCCCGAGCGGATACGGGGATAGTTGGCTTTCGACTCCAAAAATATTTCTTTTTGAGAAAAGGTTGTGGCTCTTCGTCCAGAAGCTCCGGATCGACCAGCGTTTCCGGGTTCTTTCCACCATTGAAAAAATTTATTTTAAAGTAGTCCTTGACTTTTTTCTTGGCCTGTGCGTCACCACCGCTGGGGAGACGAGCCAAGTCGTGGCTGCCACCAGTGCTCGAGTCGTGATCGATAATCGTCGCATGTTGCTGCGAAGGTGGCACGGATCCCAAAAACGGCTCTGGCGACAGATTCATCGCCATATCGTTACCATAATTGCTGAAAACAGTAGAGTCCTTGCGCCGTTCACGCTGTTCGGCAAATGAAAATATATCGGGGCCCTCGTCATCTGTCACCATAATTTCTTCTTCCTCGTTGCGATCTATCATTCCATTTTCAAAAATCTCGTACTCGTAGTACACCGGTTTGGTGCTGTTGTATTCCGAGATCGATAGCCTTCTATTTAGCTGGGGCTGTAGCGCTGCTGTTGCCGGTAAATGCTTTGGCCATTCCGAGTCGATCCGCTCTCTGGACATGGAACTTCCGCTATTGAGCATTTCTTCCAACAAACTTGGATCCTGGAACGTCGTGGCCTCTTGCCTCGAGGTCTGTAGTGTGTTTCCTGTCAGGTCATTAGCAATTGATCGCTCCAATGTTGGTTTTTGTACTATTTGGAAGTTGAAAGTCGCATCACCGTTGGTTGGCGTATGTAGATCGCCTTTGCTATTGTCCCCATTCAGTCCCACCAAAGTATCGCTAGACATCGCTCGCCTGATTTGGTATATAGACATTACACGCCAAATAGTCAATCGGCAATCTTGAATACCAATTTCTGGTCTGCGCTAATTATCAAATATTATGTCTGGAGGCTTTTCGAATTATATTATTTTTATTTGTCTTATTTCATATCCATTTTTCCTTTAACGATGAGAAATTATAGATTCGCACCTAATGCCACGAGCATAAATGGCATGGACAAACCTGCAAATATCAATTTCCTAGATTTACATAAAAATAGCGTTCTTTTCTCAAAATCGATCAAATTGTACTGAGAAGTGGACTGAGAAGTGAATTATGTGAGATTTTTCAGAATCGATGGTCAATCTGATTTGACTGAACTGGGTTAAATACGCAAGACAACCACCTGCGGATCTCAAACTGCCAAGATCCCACAAATTATTTCAAGCAGGGCATTTTCGAACTCACGATAATAGTCATCGCCAGAACCAATTCCCTCGAGGTCTCCTCTATCCCGGTTTAACAATATTATATATTGCTCAACTTCCTTGCGTATACAATCCAGCTCAATTTGGAAGTCCCCTAGAGACGTGACTACCGAAGTATAGTCTGATGAGGTACCCACCAGTGGCTTGTAATGGGGAAGACTTGGTTCTATACTGGGGGTCGATCTTGGTGCAGCTGCCGCTGCAGAGGGTTGCGCTGAGCTCGTGATGTTGCCATACTCATAGGTATTCTCAAAACAAGTGTTCAAAGGAACTCCTTGTTCCAGATTATTGGGCTGTTGCCCAGGAATGCCATATTCACCGAATATCGAGAGCATTGGGTGCTGAGGTGGGGGACTTGACGCTAGTGCACGCATTGTACGTGGAGCAATTTGAGCACACAGCGAGACATTAGAGGAATTAGATGCATCGTTGTTGTAGATAAGGTTGCCAGAAAATGTGAAGCCGTCGTTGAAAATATCTTCACCATTAATGATGTTAGTTATACGCAATAATCGATCGGAACCACTCCCTACGTCGCTGGTTGGGTTGATTGGAGGGCTCGAAATGTCAGATGTGCCGGAAGGTCCACCAGTAGAACCAATATTGGGCCGAGGAATCACCCCTGCCTCCGGTGTGCTCAGTGGAAACGTACCAATATCATACTTGCTGTGAAAAAGTTGAGAAGCGGACATTTGGGTACCGGACAGAGCTCTGACAGAAACGCGGTGCTTCACTATTATCAACCTGAACAAAAGTTTAATGAGCTGAAAGCAGTTTTTACACACTGCTGTTTTAGCATCGACTTTCATTTCGGCCACGGGAATGGCTTGTGATAGAATAACATACCTTAAATCATTTTGTAATGCAAAGAGCTTGCTCATTCGATGAGCCCGATTCAAGTCCAACGCTAAAGTCTTTATTGTAAATGTGATTGCGTTGATTGGCATATTACCAACCATCAACTCCCAGTTGAAACAGGAAAACGTGGAGTCTGTGTGGTATTTTAGAAATTCATCTAAGTAATGAAGTGATGCGGGAATTAAGTTATTGGTCAAATCCTCGTAGTTGTAAACTAAACTCGCATTGATCAGGCCATCGGGTGTTTCTTTATGGTCGAGAGGAAGATTGCCACTATCATTTAAAATGGCCTGAATAGTTAAGAAATTTTTCCCATAGCCGCTTTCTGCTATAGGATTGTACGTTTTCCCGCTTTTGTCGTCATTCGCTTGTGTCATAATTTGTCGTCTTTTCATAAGCATTGGTAGAGACGTTTTTATTATATTCAAGTGAAGCAGCAAAAGAGACCGGTCTGCAAATGTGTTAAGCATAAAAACAGCCCATTCAATAAACTTTCCCTCGTGTTGACTTAATGGACGTATTCTCCTACTATGATTGCTCAATAATAGAGCTCTGTCCATGCAGCACGTATGAAGGTCCACGATTCTTTCCTTCAGGCCCTGAAATGTACCTCTATCTGTGGACGCGCATAGCTCATTCAACAACAGAATAAACCGTTGCTTTGCATTTAGAAGCAGTAAAGCAGGTTCCAATTCCCCTTGGATGACCTCCTCTGGGCTGGCGGTGTCAAAATCGTCTGCCTTGATCAAAGGTGGTAAATTATTGTATAGAGAAGTCATGGTGTCGAGCTGGAATATTTGCCAAAATAAAATTCTGCGGCATTGAATAGTGCGCTCGTCTGTAATTTGATGATATAATGCAGGATCGCGTGTGAGCAAAGTTCGTTGGGCCAGACGAGAGAGCTGTCCAATAGCGGTGATGCTTGGATTTTCAATTACTGAGTTTATTAAGACAGAACCCGTTACCATTTTAATGTTGAAGGTGTTTGGAAAGTCGTGAAGCGCATATAACACGTTAGTAGCTTCCAAATAACGTGACATCTCCTGGAAATAGGCATCGTTACCGTCGCATTGATGAAACTGTGCTTTAGACGCTGCGTAAAGCACTGGAAAAAGTATTACTAAAAAATTCGTTTGGTTCGTCTCACCTTGGAACTTTTGTATCCAAAAAAGCTCTTGATCTTGGATAAACTTTGGAATATCCAACAAGGGAATAATTGGATGCACCACCGTCCTGAAAATCTCAAATAGTTCATGTGCTCTCTCAGCAGACGGTAGATAGCCTTGCAGGTCTTTTCCAAAGGAGAGAAGCGGACTAGGTTGGCTTGGGGCGAAATAAAGAGGAGGTGACATCGTGGGCCCGCTGAAAGCAGGAATAGAATACGGTTTCAGCTGAGCGCTAGTTTGAGAGTTATCTAACGGTGCAAAGGAAGAACTTGGCACACTAGGAAATGTTGTTTCGGTGTCCCTCTGCGTTGCTGTTTCGATGCGACTGTCTTGGCCGACTTGCAGCCCCAATGGCGTTTTATTGTCATTAACTAGAGTTTTAGCTTTTTCGATGGCCATGAGCAAGTGTCGCTTCTTTTCAATCGGATCTTGAATGTTCGAATCGTGTGGTCCACCAGTATCAGCCGCATAGGTATGGCCCGACTTCGAAGGCGGTCGGCCGCCTCTGGACACACGGTCGTTGAGAAAATAATGGCATTCGATGTTCCTTTTGATACAAATTGAGCATTTAGGCGTTTCCCGCGTGCACTTTATCTTTCGTCTATGGCAAGCAACGCAACTCAAAATTTTCCGCTGTCGCCTATGCTGAATCTTATATACTCGCCCGTCCTCTAGGACCAAAGCTGTTTGATCCTTGATAGGAATGAGCTGTGAAGACATTTGATGCACCTTGTTAGAGGCATCCAAGCGACAATCTTGGATTGAATGTTGGATGATTGACTCCGGGGTAGTTGACTTGCGCTGGTAATAATTGGCAGGGCATCTCAACAAACCCGCTTCCAAATAACAGTATACGAGCCGGACCACTGGGCAGCACAGTCAAGGGTTCTTCTTCTGTACAGAAGACCATCAAAGACATGATTTCCCTCGCGTAGCTAAGAAGCTCAGCAGTGACGCTGCATATGTGGCAGCTAGTTTTTTTTGCAAATCCGGTCCAAGGAACTCTGTTGGTGGGAAAAATGCCGAAGTGTCGCTTGAAAGTAAACTCCGCAACAATAGACATTTTAGGGCGAGCTTTGTGGGAGCTGACCCCGAACCCATTCGGCGCTTGTGATATGTGTACGGCGCGGTTATAAATATGGGCGTAACGCATCGCCATCGCCACGGTTACCGAACGAGACTCTTCGATTCACTGTTAAATTCGATATGGACCGTCACGTTGATAGGCTTTCTGAGGGCCGGGCCCTTTCGAAAGAAGAGCAAATCAAAACCCAAGCAGGCTGAATCTGTTGGTACCGTCACATGTTATCAAACCACTCTCGACCCTCCCAGATCTATCCCCTCAACTGCCAAAGACTACCCCAGTGTCCTCCCCTAATCCGCTCCTCTTTTGGGATCTCCGCTCCCAGCACCTTATATTCTTCAGGTTTCCAGCACAGTGGTCTGTCTGCACTCCGGAAGCTCATCTGCTGGAACTGCTCCAGTTGTTACAGGCTGCTCCCCGTACCGGTGGCCGACTCCATCAGCACCATTGTCTTGTGCTTCTCAAAGCTAAACTAACTCAAATGTGACTTGGTAATGTTGCTACACCGCTCAAGTGCGTCTTGGTGGTGTACTAGTTCAATGAAGAGGTGTCTCCTCTTGTGGCCATCACCGTGCTATTGTCGAAATTAGCCGCGGAAGTAACGACCATCTATGTCATTCTATACGTCTTTGGTTCTCTCCACATTTCGGGATGCCACACTTTTTGTCACATGACTGGGAGCAGCCACACTTTCATTTCCCATCCTTTGCACGTTGTATGATAACCCCGATATGGTCAACTATCATGGAAGTCCATTGCATGAGATGCCAACAGGCCTAGCATAACACCGATTACAGCTAGCCCAGCACTTAACTACAATGCACATATGATTCATCTTATCCACAGTTGAGGAAATACTATCCATTGGCAAGAAGGTTGAAAGAGCCATACATCAGTATAAAAAAGCTCGAGTGTCTATCTTAGTTAGTATAAAGGAGGAGAGGTTGTGAATTAAACCCTGTTTAAATATCGAAGCTCCAAGAGTATATCAAACATTGCTTTACAGAAGTACAAAGTGTAAAATGTTTAGAGATCATCACTCGCTTTCTACAAAACTCGTTTCAGTGGTACAACACAACGACCAGCACGGGTCGAGCGTGCCACCAATTTATCAATCGACCACTTTCAAAGTAGGGTCTCTGGAAGATGGTGCTTCTCAGGAGTACGATTATACGAGATCCGGCAATCCGACTCGTACGGTGGTCCAGCACCAGCTGGCGAAACTGTACGGGGTGGATGGCTCGCAAGCGTTGGCCGTCAGCAGTGGTATGACGGCACTGGACATGATTTTGCGCAGCTTGGTGCTCAACAACAACGGCTCCGGAGTCCCCACAATCATCGCAGGCGATGACCTTTACGGCGGCACGCAGCGGTTGTTGACACACCTGGCAAGCCGCAACCACGCGCGCATCCTGCACACAGACACAACCAACTACGAGGAGTTTGTGAAGCTATTCCAACGGCAGTCACGGGTAGCTTGCGTGCTGTTAGAATCGCCCACCAATCCGCTTTTGAAAGTGGCTGATCTACCCAGACTCACCAAATTTATCAAGGCTGAGAACCCAGAATGCGTGGTGGCGATTGACAACACGATGATGAGCGGGTTGCTGTGTAACCCATTGCAGTTCCAATGCGATGTGGTGTACGAGTCCGCAACAAAGTATCTGAACGGCCACCACGATATCATGGCTGGTGTGATCATCGCCAGAACCGCCAAAATTGCAGAAGACATTTATTTCATCATCAATTCCACTGGCTGCGGGCTTTCCCCCCTCGACTCGTGGTTGCTGGTCCGGGGTCTCAAAACACTCGGTGTTCGGATGTATCAGCAACAGCACAACGCCATGGTGCTGGGACATTGGCTGGAGAATTCATGCGGTTTTCGTAAACGCGCTCCCGGTGATCTTACACTAACTCGCTACGTCGGCCTCGAATCGCATCCACAATTCGAACTGCATAAATCCTTCAATGGCGGGCCCGGTGCTGTTTTGTCTTTTGAGACCGGATCCTTTGAGCATTCAAGGCGCTTAGTTTCGTCGCCAAAGCTGAAAATCTGGTCCGTCACAGTCTCCTTCGGCTGCGTTAACTCTCTCATTTCCATGCCCTGCAAGATGTCACACGCCGCAATCGACCCAGCGGTTCGTGCTCAAAGGGAGTTCCCAGAAGACCTAATCAGGTTATGCTGTGGTATCGAAAGCATTGCAGACTTGCAAGCCGATTTGTTAGAGGCCATGGTAGATGCTGACATTATAGAGCTTCGAGATGAAGGCAAAACCATTTGCAACAAGCTCAATGGGAATGAGGCACCCAACACATTAGGTCAAGGCGAACTTCCCAACATTTATGAGGAATTCTTTGGACAAAATGGTATCAAAAGGCACCTACTAGCTACCAGCCGTGCAAAACTGTAAATACCCCGGCGTTTATCTATCATCAAATATTCAAAATGCATCTATTTAATCTCAATAATTCATGAAGGAAAACATCTCTCGGAAAAAACACATTATTGAAGCCAAGATCTTATTGATAATCTGTTCGATTCATCGCTAATGAAATTCGCGGAAATGGATCCCAAACCGGCCATACTTTTCATCAGTAAACCAGAGCTAACATCCAAATTATACAATACTACCATCAAAGACCACTTCCAAATAATTCACTATGATTTTGCCACGGGTGATCGCGAAAGTTTCCTTGACTTTTTGAAAGACAACTTCGACCCTCAATTGGCACCTCTCACTGCCATATACGGTGGATTTCCCGCATTCCATCCAATCGGTGGGCTGACCGCCGAACTTCTAGATGACAGTCGTTTCCCTAAGAATAGCCTTAAGTGTATTGTGCTATGCTCGCGCGGTGTGAATGGCATAGACTTCGAAGCCTTGAAAAAATATAAGGTGAAGCTCTACAATTACACTGACGAAGAGGGACCCGCTACGGAATGTGTCGGGGCCATTGAGATTCCGGGCCTGGTTGGAAACGATGTTGCTGATTGTGCATTGTGGCATGTCATAGAGGGTTACCGCAAATTTTCGTATCAGCAACTGCATCTGCGCAAGACCGGCCACACGCTGGAAGCCAGACGCAGTGCCGCAGGCGAGGACACTAAGAGCACCAAATTTATGTTTGGAGAAAGTCTAAAGTCTTACGATGTCAAGTCGCCCAAAGGGCAAAAGGGTCTGATTCTGGGCCTGGGAGGTATTGGCAAACAGATTGCGCTTAAACTCCAGTATGGCTTGGGCATGGAGATCCACTACGCCAAGCGCACCCCCGATTCGACAGTGCCATGGACTTTCCATGCGCTAGATCAGACTTTGTATCCCAAGCTTAAAGAATTCACTACAATTGTGGTCGCACTACCTGGGACTCCTGAAACTAAGCATTTAATCGATTCTCGTTTCTTACACGCTTGCGCTAGGGACGTGATATTTGTGAACATTGGAAGAGGAGTCATTTTTGAGCCTACCGCCCTCGAACAAGCGATTGAGTCAACCCAAATCAGACATTTCGGCGGGGACGTTTTCTATCATGAACCAGATGTAGAAAAATGGCTTCTGGCCAACGATGAGTCCGTGACTATAACTCCACATATAGGTAGTGGCACTAAGGGCAATTACTATCAAAGTTGTGAGTTCGCCCTCACAAACATTATCCAAGAAGTACTTGAAAAGAGCGAAGGTCACTCAAGAGTAGTTTGACAACTCGAAAGACATTACATAATTGTTATAGTACTATTGACGATAGATGTGCCATTGAGTTCAGTGTATGTTTTGTAGAGTTATCATGACTTTGGGTTGCATCCTCACAACACAAAAAATTTAAAGATAGCGTATAAAATCTAGCCAGCACTTTTAGTGGATATCGCAGAAACCAGGGTGCTATACATTTCTAATTCGAATCCAAGTATGGTAGGCCGACCTCATGACTGGTCATAAAGCCGTAGCAGCATCATCTGTGCTTGCTCTCATATGTTAGCCAGTGATTTTCTCAGCTGCTGTGACACTATAAATATTTGTTACTTCGAGTATCCGACTCATTTTTAAGTGACTGTTATCCTCTCGCTTTTAGATCTTCTGTCATTCAAGTCCCTGCCCTGTTCCTGTTATCGACGAACTCGTGAGTCTAAGGTGACTTAAAGTTAAGTCAATTTTCTTGAAAAATGACTCAGGCATCAGGACAGAGTAACTTGCTGACAGTAAGAAATATAAGAACGATCTGCATGTTTGAGACGCTTCCTGTCTGGTAACAAATTAAAGTAGTACTCTCAAGTTTTTAAAGAGGCAACGATGGGGGTTAAGAAGCCTTCTGAATTTGTCAAAGAATACAGTTTCCAGGGGACCGAAGAAAAGACAGTTAAGACACCAAGTGTCTTGTCTAAGATCTATAGCAAGACCAGACAAGCTTCTAAGAAGTTAGACTCCCTCGGTGTTGAAATTCGTGGTATCCAAAGAATCCCTCCGTATGAAAGAGGCACGTCGAAGCAATTTTTAAGCGTCGCTGGGCTGTGGCTGAGTGCAGCGGGAGGATTATCATCCATGTCCTCATATTTTTTGGGACCGTTATTGTTTGAACTAACGTTCCGCCAATCACTGGTCAGTGGCCTCATATCCATGGCCATTGGCTGTGGTGTAGCGGCCTATTGCTCCATCATGGGACCACAATCGGGGTGTAGGCAAATGGTAACTGCTAGATACCTCTTCGGATGGTACTTTGTGAAGTTTGTGGCCCTGGTCTCGATCATTGGTGTAATGGGATGGAGCATTGTGAACTGTGTTGTTGGGGGCGAAATGCTCGCAGCTGTATCAGACGATAAGATTCCTCTTTGGGTTGGTATCATTATCGTGACGGCCTTGTCGTTCTTGGTTGCGATATTCGGCATTAAGCAAGTTTTGAGAGTCGAGACCATGCTATCGGTTCCTGTACTGACCTGCTTCCTCCTGCTGTACATCTCCGCCAGTGACAAGTTCAATCTAGTAGATGCGTTTCAAAATGACGACGTTGATGCACTGACCATCAAGGGAAACTGGCTATCATTTTTCTCACTATGCTACAGTATCACCTCCACTTGGGGCTCCATCACGTCAGACTACTACATTTTGTTCCCAGAGGATACGCCCTCTCATAAAGTGTTTTTGCTGACGTTTTTTGGCACTTTACTTCCCACCACATTTGTTGGTGTTTTGGGATTGATACTGGCTGCCTGTGCCGCGGCCTACGAACCTTGGCAAGAAGCCTACGACACCTACGGAATGGGCGGTCTGCTACATGCTGGTTTCTCTCGTTGGAACGGCTTCGGCAAGTTTTGCGTCGTTGTTTTGATCTTAAGTTTGATCTCAAACAACATAATTAACACCTACTCTGCAGCTTTTTCGTTGCAGCTTTCAAGTGTGCACATGGCGCGTGTGCCGCGCTGGATTTGGGCCATCGCGTGCACCGTTTTCTACTTGGTGTGTGCCCTGGTCGGCAGAAACCACTTCAGCACTATTTTAGGTAATTTTCTGCCGATGGTAGGATACTGGATCAGCATTTATTTCATCATCCTTTTGGAAGAAAACACTATATTCAGAACGCATTTCCTGCAATTGTACACAAAAGAGTTCCCGTCGTTTGACGGGGCCGATGAACACCGTGGCGCTATCCCAGGTGCGTCGTCTCAGATCAGCCTGCGGGCGCTCAAGGCCAACCGGTCACGTTTTTCAAAAGCTCAGCGTCGCTACAACTGGGACATGTGGAACAACCCCAATGCCTTAACCCACGGGTATGCGGCGACAGCTGCGTTTTTGGTGGGGGTCGTGGGAGTCGTTCTGGGAATGGCTCAGGCCTACTGGATTGGCCCGATTGCACGCCATTTTGGCGAATATGGTGGAGACTTGGCTATGTGGTTGAGTATGGGCTTTTCGGGTGCAGCCTACCCAGGCCTGAGATATCTCGAGCTGCGCAGGTATGGCCGCTGAACCCGACGTGACGCCTTTCGCACACAGGTTCCTGGTTCACCACGCCGAAATGTCAGCGACACAGAGAAGCAGTCACGTCTATAATGATTGAATACTCAGTACTCAAGTACATACACCTCGTGATCACGAGCCAACCAAATTTGCTGATTTTTTCACGAGGAAAATGAGCGATCGGTACCTCTACCGTTATTGAAGCTATGTTAATTAGATGTCACCCGATATACAGAAATTCAGTCCCATAAAAAATTTGAGTATTAGATTCGAAGTGTCGAACAACGAGTGTTACGAGTTTAAACCGCTTAAGCACCCTTGTTTATCCAGCCTGTTACAGAGCGCTTAATGTATGTAAGGGAAGAAATCAGGCTTGCATGTGGGGAATGTGCAGAATAGGTAGCAGTTGGCCATTTGCTCGATTTGTCCAGCAGACCAACCGGAATTAGTCTGCGAGTTTAAATGTCGGTCAATGGGTCCACAACCGTAGGGCACAGCTATGGATACCATTCTGGCCCGAGAGAAAAAGGTTATGGTTTTCCGAGACCAAATTGGAACCGGCCATTGTGCTTCCAAAGACGAGCCGAGTTGCATTCCTGCCGCTTCGAAACCCTCTGCGAGCCGTGTGCCACTTGGGCGCTTTTGTTTGAGTCGCTTGCCTTTTACTAACTTCCACTCGTTTTGCAGATCAGAACAATGTTGTCTCTACGCCAAACCATGAGATTTATGACCCCTGCTACCAGAGCCTTCTCTTCGCAGAGGGTTGTAATGCAAAAGCAAGTCACCAAGATGGCCACCAAGCTGTCAGAGGTTGACGGCAACGCGACTTTGGTTGGTCCTGGTGCCTCCGAGGGCGTCGTTCCCACCGAATACGATCAAGCCACCGGTTTGGCTAGATTGGAACTGTTGGGTAAGTTGGAGGGTGTCGAGATCTTCGACACTAAGCCTCTGGACGCGTCCAGAATCGGAACCATGGAAAACCCAATTGTTGTCGACAGTTACGACGACTACCGTTACGTCGGTTGCACGGGTTCTCCAGCCGGTTCGCACACTATCATGTGGTTGAAGCCCACCGTCAACCAAGTCAGCAGATGCTGGGAATGTGGTTCGGTGTACAAGTTGAACGCAGTCGGTGTCAAGACCGATGACGACCACCACCACTAAGGGATCAAATTCGGGGGATAAGGACAACTAGTAAGCGCCAGATAAATCACCGCAAAAGAGGCAAACCACACACAACTACGCATTACACATGCTTGCATGCCGCCAACGGAGGGTTGAAGTACAAAGACGGGGGCTGTTTTCACGCAATGACAAAGACTGCCGAAGCGCCTTAGCATGAATATTCACTTTTCATTTGAATCTAAACATCTATTATTTAAAGTCAACAATAAAAAAAGAATGGTAATATGTATCGATAGTTGTCAACCGTTCGGGGCTGGATTGAGCGGTCAAAGTAGCCGTGTTATGTCCTCCCTGTTTGTGCCTCTTCGTAGTTGCCCGTAAGTCTGCTGACTGTACACCAATGCGTACAAAGCGATGGCTGACCTGTGACTGCTAAACCCATACACCAACATACAAGGTACACCAACTTTTACAAGCTGGGTGAAAAATTGCGTGATCCACGGTATAGTTGCAAAAAGGTTTGCGTGGGGTGTGGTATTGATGCTTGGGATGGGCCTGGGGGGCCGTGGTGGGCCCAGCCTGTGAGGCTTCTGCCTAGAGCCGCCACCTACAGCTCCTGCCGAGGGCCCTCTGCTAGGCTCAGCCCGGCCCAAGCCTGGGTTCCACGCGGCTCTGAAGCTGGGCTCAGGCCCGTAGTCTCGACGGCAGGTGGGGGATCCTGAAACTTTTCCAGCATACTGGAAGCTTAAAGATTAGTGAAGTTCCAATTCTCCTAGTTTGGACTAATATCCTTCACAGACCAGGAATAAACTATACAAGTATGTGACCATATTATGAAGGGATAGAGGCTGGAATCACAAGCGTTCGAGTCAAGTGGTGCCTTGAGATGGAAGATAACTGGGCCCAGCCAACGTGGGACTCGGCTTAGTGCTGTAAAGAGAGTTTGATGGTGTCGGCATCACCGTGATAACAGAAGAAGCGGCCACTGGGGAGGAATTGGCTGCTTGTTCTCCTTGAAGGTTTTGCTGTGCTTCCATTCGGACCTCACATCGCGAGCGTTGCGGTACCAGGAAGGCGTTTGTTAAGTTCCAATAGTCCTACCCACGTTCATGTTCTCCAACTGTGTTACTAACCAGATACCCCGTGTCTGCAGAATGCCAAAGAAGAGAGCTTCCAACGGTAGAAACAAGAAGGGCAGAGGTCACGTCAAGCCAGTCAGATGTGTCAACTGTTCCAAGTGTGTTCCTAAGGACAAGGCCATCAAGAGAATGACTATCAGAAACATTGTCGAGGCTGCCGCCGTCAGAGACTTGTCCGAGGCCTCTGTGTACTCTGAGTACGCTTTGCCTAAGATCTACAACAAGTTGCACTACTGTGTTTCTTGTGCCATCCACGCCAGAATCGTGAGAGTCAGATCTAGACAAGACAGAAGAATCAGAACTCCTCCTCAAAGACAAAGATTCAACAGAGAAAACAGAGTTTCTCCTGCTGACGCTGCCAAGAAGGCTGCTTAAGCTTTCAAGTAGTTTTTCATAGCCAAAAGAATTTGTATATTTCTGTATGACAAGTTAGTATATCATCATAACGAGCGTGTGGCGAGCCGGTGTGCTGACCGTGCATACTACGCCATATCTCAGCTTCTATGCTGTCCTAAATCACACACCGCGCGCACCACACGCCAGCTTAGCACGAGCCGGATTTTACACGCGTTGCTGGACGGGTCAAGATAAAAATTATTCTTGTAATACAATTAAAGACTGCCGACCTTTGCCATCAAGACCAGGTTTACACTTCTACGCTTCTACACTTCTACTCAGCCATTTAGATCTTGGATTTCCTCATGACTTTGGTCCTCTGTCATTGTTCGTTAAAGCCTTTATATAGGCATCTCGAAAAATTTTTAATACCCTGAAAGGAAACCCCTTAAATTTGACCTTAAGTTTTCCCATTCTAAAATTTGATGAATTTTATATCAACACTTTACACAGGTGGGATACAAGAGAGATTCTGACCCTTAACAGCATCAGAGACTGAAACAAGCACCGTGGCTGTTAATAAGTGTGAAAGTAACCATCTGTGGGCATTCTAGAATTTGAGTGAGAAATATCGTGTGTAGGAAAGCATTGGGCAATTTTTGAACCGACTTGACCTTATTGGCACAGGCACACAAAGCACACCCAGAAAAGTATCAGAGAAGGCGGTGAATCGGCAAACACAGCAGAACTGGCGAGACGCGTTTGAAAACAGCCGCTGGTCTAGTTGGTAGTACGGAAGAGCCGACAGCGACATAAGATTTGAGTTTCGGGACAATACGAAATGGCAACGACAGGAGGGGCGACAGGAGGCAAGAACAGCTTCGATTTCAAGTTCAGCCAGTGTTTTGGTGACAAGGCTGACATTGTGGTGACGGAGGCAGACATCATCACGGCGGTGGAGTTCGATCCGACAGGCGATTTCCTCGCGACAGGCGACCGGGGCGGCCGCGTGGTGCTGTTCGAGCGCAATAACAGCAAGCACTGCGAATATAAGTTTCTCACGGAGTTCCAGTCGCACGACGCGGAGTTCGACTACCTCAAGTCTCTGGAGATCGAGGAGAAAATAAACCAGATCAAGTGGTGTCGTCCTACCAACCAATCGCATTTCCTGCTGAGCACAAACGACAAAACCATCAAGCTTTGGAAGATCTACGAGAAAAACATCAAGCTCGTCAGTGAGAACAACCTGAGCGAAGGTGCGTTCAATTCGCTTTCGGGGTCGACTTCCAAGAGTAGCACCTCCAACCATGGTAACGGGTCCGCGAAAGCAGTGCTGTCATTGTCGTCGCTCAAGCTTCCTAGGCTCTCGCAACACGACAAGATCATTGCGGCCGCTCCGAAAAGGACTTACAGTAACGCGCACACATATCACATCAACTCCATATCAATAAATTCCGACCAAGAAACCTTCATCAGTGCCGACGATCTGAGAATCAACTTGTGGAATTTAGACATACCAGATCAGTCCTTCAATATCGTGGATATCAAACCCGCCAATATGGAAGAGCTAACGGAAGTAATTACGAGTGCGGATTTCCATCCTCAGCATTGCAATCTGTTCATGTACTCGTCTTCCAAAGGTACCATCAAACTGGCCGACATGCGACAAAATGCATTGTGCGATTTTCGCGCCAAGACTTTCGAAGAGTATTTGGACCCCATGAATCACAACTTCTTCACCGAAATAACGTCCTCGATATCTGACGTCAAGTTTAGCCCTGATGGTCGTTATATTGCATCCAGAGATTACTTAACGGTGAAGATATGGGATGTGAACATGGACAGCAAGCCTGTGAAAACCATCAATATACAAGATCAGCTCAAAGATCGCTTAAGTGACACTTACGAGAATGATGCGATTTTCGACAAATTTGAAGTTAACTTCAGCGGTAACAGCTCAAGTTTGATGACAGGTTCCTACAATAACACTTTTATGATATATCCTGATGTAGTTGGTGGCAAGACCAGCAGCTCGCCGGCCATGGACGAAATCGTTCTCCAAGCCGATAAGACAGCATTCAAATCCAAGAAACTGGGATCGTTGGAACAGCAAAGCGCGCGTAATAAACAGTGGGGCGATGATATAGATTTCAAGAAATCTATTCTGCATTTCTCCTGGCATCCAAGAGAAAACAGCGTGGCTATCGCTGCAACCAATAATCTATTCATATTTTCAGCATTATAATTCGGTGGGAACTTTTGCGATTTCAACTAAATCATCAGCTTGTGAGTGAGTGAATGAGTCTGTATAATTTTCCAAGTATTAATAATAACGTCACAGAGAAGTCGGTTAGAAGATGCAGTATTGTTAAACACGTCTTTCACGTTGAGTCTCGGACTATCCGGCTGATACGTGATGTGCCGAGAAATCTTAACATTTTGTTCATTAACGAGGATTGCAAGAGGCCATTGGTCCTACAGTACGTATTCGTCCCGCTCCGCAACGATTGAGGTTATTCGGTTTGTCGTTTAAATATATATTTATGAATGGCATGCCGATAAAAATTGATTTACAAGTCCCTCACCAGAATCTTGTTTCTTTCTCCTTCCTATAGTGCTCCAAATGCTCATGTGGCCGACCGTAACGCTTACTGGTCGGTGATGTGTCTGTTGACAATTGGGTTCCAGAACAAGGTCTTGTCACCATCGCCCCAGAAGAAAGGTTTGGATCTGATGTTTTGGAAATCGTAGTTCACCGGCCATTCCGAGTCTGGAACGTGCTTCAAGTGATCGCGGTGCTCAGCATGGGCAGCTTCGACGAAGTAGGTGTTTACAGCGGCCAAAGCGATGGCTGGAGCAGCAACGAACATGGAGATCTTGAGCCACAACCCAGAGGTCTCCTTAGCGTGGTGATGTGTGTTTTCAGCAGCCTGCTTGAAAGCCTTGGCAGCGGCCTGGTCGCCTGGCCCAAAAGCTGGCTTCAAAGCGTGTGGTGGAAGAGTGGAAGCTTTTCTGATAGCTTGCCTTAGCATGATGTAGGTAGTGTTGGCTGTATTCGGACTGAGTATTTAAAGCAACTTGCAACGCTTTCCTTTAACAAGAATCGAGCAGCAACGATAGAACTTGAGATATGCAGTCAGAGTTCGGGTTTCAAAATTTTCGGTGAACTCAACGTATACTCTCAAGGCTTACCGAACCATACAATCAGGCGTTACGAGAGTTCTTTACTGAAGTCATTATGGACGGAGCTGTACAAGCATGAAGTTCGACTTTTGAATTTCTCAAAGCTGATTGGTCGAGGGCTCCAAATCGAAATGACAGCAAAGGCGAAGTATAAGCCAGAGTCTCATAAGACATACAAGCGCATTAGAAAACGGAGGGGGGCGGCTTCGTTATCTTCGCAAATGGACTGTTCTTCTACGTACCGAAAAATATAAGACAACAAAATGATAAAAAATTAAAAATTTGCGCAAGCCCGGAATCGAACCGGGGGCCCAACGATGGCAACGTTGGATTTTACCACTAAACCACTTGCGCTAACCTTATGAATTTTGATGCAGTGGTTATGCATAAGCAAACCACAGTATACAAATAACGATTTTGAACCTCAAGGTACCTTGTATGTTACAATAACTACTTGTTCTTTCTAGTTTCTGAGAAGTAATTAGCATGGTCTGACGGCACTGCCTTTATACCTTGGGTCGTAAGAATTACTGCTTCATGTATAGTGAGGCACAAACGTGTATATACCTCTGAAGTGTGTGCGTCTCATGTTCGTGGGGTACTTACACTCTACTACTATGCTAATGGCCTGTGTGTCGTTAGTGGGTTTCAGTTTTTGACAAAGCTCCGTCAAATGATCGCTGACGCCGACAAATTGTTAATAAAGAAGATAGGGTCCTGATTAAAACAAGCAAAAAAACAATGTCTGTGGCGTTTCTCTCTTGAGAAATTATTATCTCATCAGCACAACATAATCAAAATAGTTCTCTCGTAATCTTTCCCAAATGCTCGTGGTTACTGCCATGAATCGATGCCCGACTACTCTGACTTATACAGCTGTCCCCACCAAAAGCTTATGATGCTTTTCTCGAGTCCTTGGACACCTCAACAGATAAAAAAAAGGGAGCCCAATACCACCACCACCACCACCACAATGGTAAGCTATGGAGCCAAGCCATGAGAGGCAATTCTAAAATGCTGTAGATATATACTTCCTACGGTAGCCTGATTTCTCTAATGGGTAGAAAACTCCAACTTTTACATGTTGCCGTTTAGGCGAAGTTAGCATGTTTTACTAGCGGTCAAAGCGGCACACACTTCTTTTCTGATCGTGTTGATCAGAAACTACAACGCATGCCAAGATCTTGGATTGTTCATAAGAACAGACATTCGCAAAAAAAAAAAAAGTTCTACGCAACGCGTAATGGTCCCAGTGTATGCCCCGGCGAGTAGCCACTAGACGATCATGGCCAACAAAGTGCTATAACCTCAACTACGCGGTCATCCCCAGAACCCAAGATTGCCATTCTCCATGGGATCAGATCACTTTGTACTTTATTGGCCGAGAAGCGACTGAGGCTAAAAGCTATCCGATAAGTCCATTATACTCATACCTATTGAGCTATCATAGGCGCGACCTTTCTCACTTCAATGCCGTTCGATCACCATCCAGGCCCGGCTATTGGTCTGGTCTTCAACACTTGTCTTGCGTATCTTTTATTCACTGATGTTTTTCTGGTAACGACTACTAATCAAGCCTCGAGCTCGCCAAGTTGAAATGGTATACCACCAGGGCAGGGCTGCCGAAACAGTATGAGGTGATGCCGATTCCTCTTACTTTTTCTCTTAAGGTTATCGACCAGCTGGCTCAAAATCTCTCTCGTGCAGGCTTCTGCACTCGTGTTAAAAACTGCATCAAACCTTACTACCTCAAAAAGGCTCCATAGACACTTCGAAAGCACCCACGAATGGCCCTGCAGAATGGGGGCGTTAAGCATCTCTCAACTACGCCTTTACCTACGAGAAAAACCGTCATTTCGTTTCAGTCGCTTTCGTCGCTGCATCAATGCCAGTTACCAAAAGAACCGGTGGTTTCAAGTGTATTTAAATGGACTGTGGTATTGATGCAATTTTTGACATGAAACATCGTTCCAGCGTGGTATGTCACCTCTACCTTGATGCAAAAATTAACATGCCGATCATCATCTAACCAGGAAACGTATATAAGCTAGCGACAGATAAGCTAATTCTACTGGCTAGTATGCCCTTTTAACTTGAAATGGTTTGAGACAAACGTTAGGTCTATTATATTTGAGCCAGGATTAAAGTCGACCATGAGCACCGATGGGCACGGCTGAAAAAGGTTCGGCCAATAGTTCAGACTGTAGTTGGGTGGGGAATGGGACGCTGAGATTTCCGTCTGCGCAAAGAGTTGCGGTATTTAAATTTCACGTCGATCTCGCAAATATTCTCACCGTTGATTTGGTTTCCGATGGTAAACCATCCTGGTCGAGTGTTGTGGTCGCGGCCGAAAATCTCCAGTTTCCGAGCATGTGGCCCTACTAGACGTTCGATCATCCCGTATAGCTCGTCCGGCTTACGACTGGTTTCCCTACTGGCAGATACAATCAGGTCAACATCTGATTGTTTGTTGAGCCACTGAGGAGAGCCCTTAATTCCAGCTAAGAGATGCTCTTTGGAGTGGTTGAGCCAATGACCAGTGCGTCCAGTCACGATAGTGCGGCCCAGCTGGTTGGTTTTTATCCAGGAAATTTCGTTGCACACCTCGTATCCCCATTTTTGCAAAGATTCTTTGCCCACTTCGATGGCACGGCCGGTGACCCACAAAAAGATGATGCCTTCATTTTGTAAAATATCCAGAGGCAGGTTACTGAGTTCAGAATCATTGCAGGTCCCGTAGGGGAGGTTCATGCGGATGTTCCACGCTGGGTCGGCCACGACAACAGAAAACTTGCCTAGCACGGTGAAATCAAACTTACGGACGTCGCATTGGATCCATTGTGCAGGCAGCTGTGGAGCTGTGGCCCCTGCGCAACGGAAACCCCGTGTGTACAGACATATGGCCTGGTTGAGCTTGGACTGCTGGTTCTTTTCTTGGTTGCGATGCGCCGCGTTATTAACCAGCGATTCTGGGACGTATTGTAGGTAGTGCACGTACCGACACGAGTTCATCTTATGACAGGTGTCAAGGTAGGAACAATCGCCGAGGGAGGAGTCTGTTTGTGGCTTCGAAATCGGTATATAGTGGATCTTGGACTGGGCACATTTCGCAATCCCAGGACATCCCTGGTCCGCGTTCTGGAGCTTGTTACCATCGAGCGCCGCGATTTTGTTGTTAGATATGGTACAAAGGCTGGAAAGGACCTGTGAATGGTTGCGGTGACCGCAGATGGGGATAAAACTGCTGTGATGGGTGAGTTTTTGGGCCCTTTCGCGTCCGAGGACATACGATGCCGGCTTCTCAGCCAAAACCTGCTCCAAGCGGGCCAGAGTCTGCTGATTAGGAGTCTGTGCAGCCGTGGAGTTCAGCGCCTCCAGCAAACGGTCTACCAAAAGAGTCATTTTTGGCTGCTCCGCTTTTGACTGCTGCTGGTGGCCACCGGGAGCATGTCCCGGGCTCACAGACTCGTACATGATACGCAGTGTTTGAACGTCGACATAGTTAATCACTGCGTCCCGTGGACACGGAACGTCTTGCGACGTGAAGCTGATACAGCCCGGACTACAAGCCGCGATCTCACGGAGATCGCCCCAGAAGCGACTCCTTCGGGCTGATGCTCTCGTAAAAGCCTCCTCTACATCTACTGTCCTGCTTTCCAGCTCCCCTCTCTCTTTCGCGTACCACAGCTCGATGTCTGCGACCTTTCCCATTACTGGAGGTGTGAGTATAGCCGTGTCCTGCTCAACAAGAAACCGGATAAGCTCCAAATTCAAAACATTAGATGTGTACTGTGTCATGTTCAACTCGCCTTGCAAGATATACGATCAACCTATCTGCTCACTCCAAGTCTCCTCCTGACCTGCGGGTCGTTTCTCGATAATTGCCTAAGATCACTGTCATTAATATATCTAACCAAACCCGAGCGTCTTGCTCATCGCGTCCACAGTTTACAAGTCAAACAGCTAACAAGGCACAAGCAAAATGTGCTGTTGCTACAAATCATCCATCCAAATGCACCTGTGCTATAAGCGGAGCCCGTTGAGCGGGCAGTCTGGGACTAGTTTTCTGTAAATTGTGATATGTATCAAGTACCTCGATGGCGATGGATGCTACGTCGTCGAATACAAAACAAAATTAGACAAGCTATGGAACCATGGTGTTTGAAACAGGCATACTGTACTCCCAATTGGGCAATAGCTCTCCAGTTCCGAGATGTCTTTCTGCCGGTGAGATGTGACATGCCACATCGCTTGGAAGAACGCAAGAAAAAGCGCGAAACAGAGCAACAGAGAAGGCTGTCACGGACAGACAGAAACAAAAGACCGCAATCCAGGACAACTGCAAACGTTGAGAGGCTGGTAGGGCGATGGGAGTTAGCGATGAGATCACGTAGAACGAATACAATTCAATATTGATGATAGGATAAAGCATCAACATACATGCTACCAACAACTAGGTCAACAGGACAAGCTCCAGAAGGTGTGTGTATGTGTATGTGTACGCGTGTGTGAGTTATGAGCAGCACTTTCCAGGATGGCTCGAGACGTGAGGGAGGTTTGCCGGTCTCCGCTTTTGACTCACCGTACCGGCCAAATGTGTCGTATCACTTCAATGGGGACGTATCACGGTTCCACTACGGTGTAAAGCATCCGATGAAGCCGTTCAGGCTCATGCTTACAGACCACCTGGTGTCGTCGTATGGTTTGCATAATGTGATGGACTTGTACGAGACCAGGCCAGCCACGCGCGAGGAGCTCAGCCAGTTCCATTCTGAGGACTATATCGAGTTTCTGGCGCGCGTGTCGCCTGACAACTTGACCAAACTCCCGCGCGGATCGCTGGAAAAGTTCAACATTGGCGACGATTGCCCAATCTTCCAGGGCCTGTATCGGTACTCCGCGCTGTACGCTGGTGCTTCGTTAGATGCCACCAGAAAGCTTATCAGCGGTCAGTCCGAAATAGCCATCAATTGGTCGGGTGGGTTGCACCACGCGAAAAAAAACAATCCATCGGGCTTTTGTTACGTTAACGACATTGTGCTCAGCATACTCAATTTGCTGCGATATCACCCCAGAGTCTTGTACATAGACATCGACTTGCATCACGGAGACGGCGTTCAGGAAGCATTTTACACCACCGACAGAGTGTTTACGGTTTCTTTCCACAAGTATAATGGCGAATTCTTTCCCGGGACCGGCAGACTTGATGAAGTGGGGTGCTCTCGCGGTAAACATTTTTCTCTGAATGTTCCTTTGGATGACGGAATAGATGACGATGCATATATTAATCTCTTCAAAAGCATCATGGATCCATTGATCACGTCTTTCAAACCTACTGTCATAATCCAGCAATGCGGGGCCGACTCACTGGGCCACGATAGACTGGGGTGTTTCAATTTGAATGTAAAAGCTCACGGTGAGTGCGTAAAGTTTATTAAGTCTTTCGGCCTCCCGATGTTAGTCCTTGGAGGTGGTGGCTATACGCCCAGAAATGTATCCCGTTTGTGGGCCTACGAAACAGCGCTCTTGAATGGTGTATCCATACCCGAAGAAATCCCCGAGGATATACCCTTTCGAGATTGGTTTGGGCCCGATTTCTCTCTTCATCCGGTTCTTGACAACCTTTACGAGAACAAAAATTCCAAGAGGTATTTGGAGAACATAAGGATACGATGCCTAGAAAACATCAGGTATCTTCAAGGTGCTCCGAGTGTGAGGATGGATCAGGAAATAATCCCTACTCAAGATCTTAGCGGATTGACTCAAGAAGAGGAAGATGCGATCAAGGATCTCAACGAAGAGACTGATATGACAAGAGTCGAAAACATAGAAAAAGATTGCATGAGGGTCGGAGAGTTCGTGTGACGTCCTACCCCTCTACGCGTTTCTTCGGAAATATGAAAGGTACCAAAAGTATTCAGATTAAAGTAAACGATTTAACATGTAACAATAGTCATAGGATAGTAATGCGATCGTTGAAGTTGCAATACTTCTCAAGCTTCGACCTGTAGTGCGCACCGAACCGAGCCTATATAATTTAATTAGCCGCAATTTTAGTCCAAAAAAACATGCATCATTCAAGCAACGTATACCCAGATCATCGTAAGGACTATTTTGAATGACTTTGCCAAAGAGGAAACTGTTCGTACCAAGAATTCAGTCCGACTTGTGCGCTGAAATCCTACTTTAATGATCATTAGACCTTCCTGTAACTGAACACCTTACATTTACACCACAGAACATTTATATGTCTTGGCCAACGATGCCCGAATTTCGGGCAATAGCAAGAGTCCTGTGTTGTCTTCTTGTAGTCAATTTAGTAGTTAGGACTACCAAAAGACCCTTCTTGAGCTGGATTTACCAATGGATTTTGAGATGTCCTACTAATAGCGAACGATGTGAATTATTTTGGCAAAAATCACGGCCAACTGAGAAGCTTGTCTGGAAGCTAGTTGACTACATTGAAAAAAATCAACACATATAGTTCCATATATACATTGCACTATTATCACAAAGATCTATGCCTCCCTAATCATCTCGACGCCTCCCACTGCCCAGATTTCAGATTCGTCTTCGAGTCTATCCGAAAATACAGTTTCTAAATCACCACCAGCCGCTATTCTTTCTCTTTCGACGCCCGCTAATCGCTTAGCCACCCGCTTCGTGTAGTCACCAATGGACCTCAGTTGGATCGAGTCACCCACGCTGTTTTCAATCGTAGTGCCAGTTAGGCCAGAGAACCAGCCTTCGAAAGAACTTAGGTCGGCCTCTTCTACCATGTTGAAAATTGCCAAATATGCCTTCTCCGCAGCTAGCTTAACGGGAATAATAACATCACGCAGACAGGAAAACACAGAAGGCCCTAACTCGTCGTGGTAGGGTCTAATACATTCCTCATATTTAAACCTGGCCAACGTTCTCACAACTACCAAACTCATTCTTCTTGAATCCTGGGAATTGCTGGACGGACGTAACATGTCTCTAGTCAAAATACCAATGAGGCTCCTGACGTGTTCTTCATCCAGCTCAAATGCCGTTTCACTAACCTTGACAGAATATGGCGATCTCTTTTCACCTACTAGAAGGAGGAGTTTACCAATAGCAGTTAGGGCGTTATCAGAAACATATGGGACCGTGGAACCTGCAGCGCCTACCAAGTACTCAACAAATTCCTTCAAAAACTGTGATTGAAGTATATGTGCGGGTGCATCCCTTAGGAAGGAATTTAAAGTTAAGATAGCAAAGCGACCTGAGTCGCTTCCGATATCAACGTCTAACACTTTATCATTTAAAATAGCCTCAGCCTCCTCCCTTGTCATTATACCAGACAAAGACCCTATCAATTTGGCATAAGCAGTAGCCAGTTTGTCATCGACCGTCAGAATTTGTTCTTCCACTAAGTTGACGATTGTGCTCTTAGATGTTTCACTGAGCTGTTTACCGGCCTTAGATACAATTTCCAACAAAGCTTTCAATAGGGCAGTTTTAACGCCAGAGTCTGTTGCTTGTCTAGCACCGGCAACCAATTCGACCACCAGTGGATCGACTCTTGGCTGATATTCAATCAGAGAACCAAGACCCTTCGCAGCACGGAGGCGAAGGGTCTCATTCGATGGATCTGACAGAGATTTCACGAATGTTCTTTGTAACTGAGGAATGAATGGTCTCAAAAATTGAGGAATTTTCGCAAACAAGACATTCAAAGCATACAAGATAGCAGCCTTCACATCACTTGGAAATCGTTCACCGACAACCCGGATCAGTGGACCGGTAATTACTGTAACAAAAGCTTTGAGATTTGCTGCTGGAGTCCTCTTCACAACGTCTGCAATTGCCAAGGCTGATATCTCACGGTCCTCATTCGACGCATACATCAGGCCGTGCAAAAATATTGGCAAGATACAGCTGGGGCCCTTAGGTAACGTAAAAATTTTGAATTCTGTATCCTCTCTTCCTGTGAGCTGAAGAGCTTGTCTAGCTGGTTTAATTAGTTTCTCAATCATAGACTTATCCTGTTTTTTAACTAGGACTAGGAGTTCGTCAAATACACTTTGCAAAACAATAGGGTCTTCATCATCAAAGAAGGCAATAGATTGGGATACAAGTTCCGGAATGTAGATATCAAAGTTGAGAGGAGTTTCCTTAAAGAAGTGCGCCAAGCGTTGCAGAATCACGATTCGCTTTCCTTTGTTGTCGTCTTTCATCAGACTCAAAATGTGCTGCAACAATGGATGTACGCCATCATCATCAACAACAGAGCACAGAACACTATCCAACGCTTCCTCCAAGGCAATCTTAGTTGCTTGGTCTTGTACCGCCGCTGAAAGTGTACTGACCAAAGCGTTGATGATAATCGAAAGGCGCTTGTACAAGGCCGAGCCTGCCACGTGGGCCAGAGATCCAAGAGCGCGGGCTCTGAAGGCATCAATGGGTGGTGATAGCAGGGTTGGAATCAAAATTGGGAAAATTATTTCAGACTTGGTGGACATTATTTCCTGTAAGGCAAGTAGGGCATATTCAGAACCATCGGAAGAGCCCAACATGTTGAGTAGATGAGGTATTATTTCATCAACGGCAGTATTCCCAAAGACTTCTTGGAATGCGTCAAAGCATAATGCTGCAGACTCTCTAACAACAATATCATCATCAACAAGAGTACTGCGAATTATGTTGACTATGACATTCTGATACTCAACCAACGATTCGGGTGTTGAAGATTGAATGAGCTCACATAGAGCTATACAGACACCTTGCTTGGAGTCAGAACCACGATTTTCGGCCAAGGAAGCTTCCAGCGTTGGTAGCAACTGGGACAAGGCGTTGCCGCCTACACGCCTCACCAGGTCACCAAGTGTTTGAGCTGCAATGTGCCGCAAAGTAGCAGATGTGGATGCTAAGTTGACCACAATGATGTTAATGAGGGTAGGCAAAATCTCCTTGACTGTACGCGGAGTGTTCGGAACAAGAGCCTTCCAAACATCTACCGTAGTTGCACGAACAACACCTGATGTATCAGATCTGCAAACAAAGAGAGAAGAGAAAATGCGATCTCTACGCTCTGGGCCCAAAACTTCAAGAAGTTGCTTTGTGACTTCGTGGTTGACATCGCCTTCTTCATCGTCAAATTCGTTTTTGGACGAGATGCCTGTTACTTGAAACAAGAGATCACTGGTCAGTTGAACAGATGACAGTCTAATCCGTTCATTCTCATCAAACATACCTTGCTCCAATTCTGGAAGTAGCAGGTCGATTGCTTTGGTTGCGTAGTTTTTCACAATCAACTTACCAGCTTTCAAGGATGTGTCTGAGATGCTCTCGTCAGGGTCAGCTAATCCTGCTAAAATCGGCTGAATGATTTGGCTGACGTAGGGGGCAAACTGAGCACCAAAACACACTGGCAAAAATAGCAGCAAAGGCATGAAACCTGCACGAATATAAGATTTGAAATTTGTAACGCCAGCCATGATGGAGGGTAGCATTTCGTCAAGTTTCGACAGTCCGAGACCACTTATAACCTCCGAAAGTGCTTGGGCTGAACCTAGGCGGTCTCCTGTCTTGCTGTCGTCGCTCAAAGTTTCCATTAGACGAGAAACAAGGTTAGGGAATTGCTCTTCACCCAGTCTCTCAACCAAAGCACCCAAAGCTCGCGCGGCTGTTGCTCTGGTGCTTGGTACGGGATCAACCATAGCGGTCTCAACCTCATCCACTAGTTGCTGCAAATAGGGAACCAAATCATTTGCATCTACAAGAATAGCCATATTACCAACAATTTTGCAAGCCTTGCGCTTCGTATTGGCAGATCTTTCACGCATACCTCTGTGAATAACATGAATAATGAGCGCGAGAGAAGGTCCGTCGATATAATGAACAAACTGGGTTTGAATTAAAGCGTCTAACGCGTCTTCAGTGTGCTTTGTTGGATCGCCGATTGCCTTTATTAGAATAGGCACTAATTTTTGGATTTCAGGATTCCTGATTACTTCGCCGAAACGATTTAAAGACTGATCGGCGGCCTTGCGAACTTCTTTATGTGAATCATTCAAGACCGCAACAATCTCAGGCACAATACTGGACAACGAGGCAGAAAGTTGCGCAGGATCCAGATAAGCCATGTTACCCAGTAATTCAACAGAGCCTCTCTTGGTTCTCCACGAAATTTCATCTAGATTGCTGACAGCCACAGGAATTAGTTTCTTTACCCCAAAACCGGTAGTGTTGGACATGATAAACTTTGTTGCGTTAGCAGTAGCGTTTCTCACCTCTGGAACTGAGTCTCCCAGGTTTTTCAAAATATTGGGCAAAACTTCGATAACGTAAGGTTCGAAGAACTTTCCTAAAGCCTTGGAGAGACACTCGAAAGCAAACGCAACCGATTCTCGCCTTTGAGCATTTTTTTTATCCTCCGAAGCGTCCATTAAATCACGAATGATATCAAATTTAGCCAGAGCGCTTATTCCAAATCCCTTTACCAAACCCGCTAAACCCCATGCAGCCCCTCTTCTAGAATGAAGTTTAACTTCTGGATTTAGTAATATTTGCAAGGTGTTCCTCAGATATGACTCAGCTGCGGGTCCAAGAAGGTCAACCAACGGCGAAATACAAACCGATACAGCTTGTTGTACTTCTTCGGAGGGAGTTTCAAGGGTAGCAAGAAGCCTCTCGACAATAGTTGTTACCCTTGGGTCTTGTGCTGGCAAATGCCTGGCCAAAGTACCATATAATATAATGATATTCTCCTTGATTGCGACATCTCTCGTAGTCGTCAACCCTTCCTCAAAAATTGGAATCAAACTCTCAACATTACGGGAGCCATGTCTAGCAATAATCTCAATACCAGCCTCCTTCATTTCTTGTCTTACCAAACTCTCGCGATCACCCAAGGCTTCGCTGTTCACCAAAAACTTGACAAACTCGACAGGCCACTCGCTCTCGTCAGGAAATATCTCGCTACTTTCTTTGAAAGCAATTGCTGCAGTGCTCCGTTCCTCCCAAGCATCCTTTTGGGCTTCCGATGAGACAACAACTAGCCCATACTCATCTATAATAGGTTCAGGGATGCGAGCTTTAAGTAGATAAAAACTTGTGAGCTTGTTAAGGTATTTGCCGAACAAGTCAGCCGATTGGCTCGTCAAAACTTGTAAAGCTGTTGCAAAAGCTTGGGCAACAAACAAACGTAATCCGCTGTCTTCTTGAGCAAAAAAATCAAATAAACTTTCAATCAACTCTTCTGTGATGCTGAATGAGTTCACCTGCCAAATGACTGCGGCAGTTTCCCTGTTGGTTTCACTCGCATCTTGCATCATAATAAAAACCTCGGAGGAAAAGTTCATGTGAGGAGCCAAGTCAAATTCGTCATCAACAGCTTCGAGTACTGTTGCTCTGACGAACTGGTTGGCCGACATTAAATTTCCAAGGATCAAGTCCAAATCATCTTTACTAGGAGCATAAGATATGTTTTGGCACAAGGCGAGGAAGCACTCTTTGGCAGACCTTGCTTTGGATGCTACCGATAATAGTGACAGTAGCACTTCCAAAATGTGCCGTCTGGGGATTGCAGGGTCAGCAAACGATTCTGCATGGCTCGAAATAATGTCCATAGCCAACAGGAGATGCTCCTCTTCCTTGTCCTCTTCAATGAATTCACTCTTAACCAAGGGTTTCCCAGCATTTTTCACAGCAACCCTTCTACCGTCCTCTAATACTTTGATGATGAGCGGTAGTAAGAACGTCAAAGTTAACGACTCGAACCTCTTTTTATTGGCGACAAACTTGGTGCGGAACAAGACTCTCGATATCAGTTCAAGCACCGGCTCTTGGGTCAAGTTATGAGGTATGCTCTGAATTCCGTAGATTCTAAGTGTGGCAATGCCTACAAAATGCCTTATAGCACCTAATCTCTTGGAAGTCACTTCAGATAGTTTGAGAAATGTATCAACGCCTAAACCCTTTAATAGCTGAGCAAAAATATCATGTTGCAATGCAGTTAACAGCTTCGATACAGCCTGAGGAAACCAAATCTCGGCTCCATTATTGACAATTTGAGCTTCCTGGCTCAGTAGCTGAAGCAACAATAAAGTCCGAGTAAGGTTCCCTACCAGAATATTGGTAGATTTTCTTATACCAGACTCCCTCAAAAGCTCAGCATCAATTAAGGCTTTCTCTTCTTTGGTGTATTTCACTGCATTCTTCTTAGCCTGCTTCTCTCTGATGGCTTCCTCCCACTTCAAAGTTTCGTAGTCTCTTGTATTCTTGTTGTCCACGGATTTGTTTTTCTTTGCCAAGACATCAATGACAAGTTCGCCTTCAACACCATTCCAGATTGACAGTTGCTCAGAGTCAATGCCCTCTAGTCGGGAAACGCACAGTTCCTCCTCTATCAACTTCTCGATTAATGGAGCAATTGCTGAAAAATTTATAAATGCAGCATAAGATACTGATTTGACGGCCGCAAGCCCTAATGGGGAAGTACAAATAGGATCTTCGTCAGTCAACTTCTTGAACTTCGTGAGAATGTCTTTGGCATATTTGGCAACCAAGCGATCAGGATCCTGTTTGGCTTGTAAAACTAAACCCGCCCATCCATTCCTTAATTTCATTTTGGGGTATTGTAAAATGACCAGTAACTCGATTAGTACTTTTTCAGAAGTTTCGTGATCTTTGAGCTGCTGACCTAATGTGGTGAACAAAGGCGTAAAGTAGCGAGGAGTGATACCACCACGAGTTGAAGAAAACCCTTGCTTTGTTTCCTCCTCAAGTGCTCTTACTATATCAAAGCCGACTACGTCGGTGTAGGTTCGATAAGCTTTTGAAAATAAAGCTAACCCGGAAGCCCGCTCCTGAGCGTTCAATTCAATCGACGTGGTAGCCATGAGCCACGCATAACCCATAGAATGGGATGACCGATTGACCTCGACTAGCAGGGTTGTGACTTTGGCAGCTAGATCACTTGCTCGCATGGATGTTATGCGATCAATGGACGTGAAGCAGCTCAAGACGTTGCGAGCCGAAAACTTGAAAGGAGAGGTCAGGATGTCTTTCATAAAAAAAAGGATCTCTTCCGAAAGATCACCCAACGCCTCCACAGACTTCTCATCGATAACGTCTAGAAACGAAGACATCCATATTTTTCTAACAACTTGCTTTTTATCATTAAGACCCGCTTTGATCATAGCTAGCGAAGACTCAGAATGGGGTTCAATACATGAAAAGTGCTTGAAATAAGCTTTAAGCATAGGTGCCAGCGTGAGTTCGTTGGATTCTTTTCCAACGTACGACGCAAAACCTTTCATGACTTCAGATGATATAGCACCAGACAAGGAAGGAATAGCTAGTATTAAAGCGGCAGCCGCTATTTTGTAGTCAGTGTTCAGATTGGTCTTCAAATTCTTAAACAATTCCGCCAAAAACTTTTGGAGGTTCACAGCAGACAACGAAGTTTCGGGAATGCAACTTAAAAGGCTAATCATTGAAGTCAATGCAGCAGATCTTACTGTTTCTTTGTTACTCTTGAGAGCAGTAAACGATTGGGTCATTAATTTGGATTCGACAAATATGGAAGCAAGATCAACCTTTTGTGGACAGACACTGCGATAAAGTTCATTTGCAATTGTAAATCCAGTCTCAGAGGTTCTCAGAATACACTTTTCCAAACTTGGGAGAATGTAATTCCTAAAATGCTCCGTGGTAACAAATTCACACGCAAATGGGGGAAAAAAGACCTCAATGCTAAATGGTGATACCCCCTCTTTGCTCAAAATTGCGTCTTTACCCACATATTCGCAGAATGGACCCGTTAGCTTTTCGGCCAAAGCGGCATGATGCATAGGTTGCGACTGCAATAGCTGAGTAGCTGCCTTTGTTAAAGCTCCCATTAGTGCTATAACTCCACCAGCAGGAATTTTGGCCGCCGAAGCCTGTAGAAGGGTGCTGCTTTGCACAAACTCGACCGAAAAGTTGGTCGACGTGCTGGTTCTCAGCAAAAAGGTGAGTGTCTTGGTCATCGATTGCAACACACTTTGACGTATTCTTCTCCGGTGCTGATTCTGCTGAGCTTTTGAACTTTTATTTTGTTCATGTCCGTCAAGGGCAAGTTCAATGTCATGGGCGGTAAAACAGAGCAATTGTAACAATTGCACCGATTCTGCCTCAAACTGTAATGGCTGCTGAGCGCAAACCTTAAGAAGGGCATTAATCCAGTCCATAAGATTCATATAATCCGCAAGTGCACGCATGCCTGGTTTCTTAACGACGGTGTTATTGATGAATTTGAGTAAAGGACCGGATAACTGAGGATTGCGCTCGAGCAGCTTTCCAAATATCACGATAGTCAGGTCACTAGATTTCCTTTCCCTGATATACATGAAGCTATCGACGAGACCCAATAAGATCTCTCTTTCTTGTTCATCGCTCACTTCAATGTCTTTGTTATCCAGAATTGCAATGACTTCGTTCAGTAAAGGAAATCTTGCCGAAAGAGATGAATCTTGAAATGCGGAAGCAAGCAATGAGCCGGCTCCCTCTAAAGACCCACACAAAAGACTCATACTAACCTGGAGCTGGAGACTACTAACTTGATCATTTTGAAAGCTCACCAACCTGTTAACACTTGACTTTACTCGACTTGCTTTAGTATCTCTGTATACGAAGATAAAATTTTTATAGTACTTTCGGTGCGTATATAAAGAGTTAAAATCAAGAATCAAAGATTGACTTGAAATTGTTTTCATTTTGTTTCTAAATCCTCATCAACTATAACAGTCGATGATGAAAGGCTTTTGATACACAACTCGTCCTTATAGTTATCCTCGCATAGCTGGGTTTATTCTTGGCTTTGCCTGGGTCGTTGAGGATTGCACTGTGGCCACTTCACCACCTTAATAGCGGTGCTTAACTCAATACCGAGGCTGTTTCTTTGATTCTAGACAAAATCTATCTTGTGTGTAGTTCATGGTGCTTCAATTTCATCCATTATGTTGTAACTCCCTCTCCGCTCTTGAACGTCAGCGAGGTTACGGTGGTAGTTGAGGTTCGATGGCTTTAAAACGTAAGGCAAAAAATTTGTCTATTTAAAAACTTTCTATACTAGCCGGACACTAGTTTGGTGCAAAGTGACGGTCTTTCTTGACTGAGCAAATGATGGAAAGATTGTTATAATCAGCACAGCCAGCTGGCCATTCATCAGCCTACGCGTGCGGATAGCAACTGTCTGGCAGCCCGTGTTGTGCTTCATAAAAATCGACGTATATTATCCAATTCAGTCATGCCGTGCTCGCTAGTGAATTGGGTTGTTCCTTACTCCATTAATATCTTCACCCGTGGAAAATCACAATGACAAGGTGTAATCAGGAGCGACTATGCGAATACTCCCATTTTAAATAATTACTTATTTCCTCTTCCCAAAAAAAGATATTCCACCCTTTCCAGAGGAGCTGGTGGAGTCTTTCTTCCCTTTAGGTACTGTCGGTACCAAGGATCCCGCCATGAAATAGGCCGCGCCGCTTAAACCACTTGTAGCCATGTGTGAGTTGACTCTTTTGACCACTGGAGGCTTGGAATGTTGCCTAGAACTCTTGGTATTTAAAGAGACAGAATCGGTTTCCGCAAGACTTTGATCGGAGGATGCCGATCTGGCGTTGCTCTCAGACCCAAGCCCACTCATCACAGGCGATTCTGGATTCACAGGATTCAGACTTCTTTTATTCAACCCGACGCTCGAAGGGGCCCTGGGAACTCTATCCAATGTCGGACTGGAGGTGGTTGGAAGCGCATCGCCCACTTTAACCGCTGTCGGCAGATGACCCATGATGTCAGTCGACGACCGATGCTTTAACGCCTCATTATCAAGAAGTGTCATCTCATAGTCTAGTTGCTGCTTTAGCAACTTCAATCTCTTCGAAAGCTTGATAACGCTGACACACCTCACTATTAGACGCACATCATGCACTAATATTGCTGTTTCATGGATGAGCTCAATAACATAGTCAACGGGGGGCAACGAGTCCGCAGAAGCCATATTTGCGAGAGTTAAAGTATCTACATTGCCGGAATTATTATCTGGTTTTGAAAACTTGTCTCCTTTTTTGAAGTATTCAATAATGTTCTTCAAGGACGATCCCTCGGAGCCACTCGTCTTGGAAAGAGGATCAATTGGTCTTTCTGAGCCGCGCCTGCGTAGCTTCTTGAAAATTTTTGAGGATGATGAGAGACCAAAGCCAGTACCCACCAAATCTGACTCAGAGCTTGAATTTGATTCATTTTCTGGCAGTTTTACACTGCTTTCTTTGTAAGGCTTGCTCGTTTCTGCTGTTGGAGTCTCTCTCTCTGAGAAGCCCTCACGGTTTGAGTGCTTCAAGTCAATGATCCTGTCAGAAAATTCACTCTCCTCATTTTGAGAAAGGTTGCTTAACGTTTGCTGCTCGAGTTTATCGGCCTTATTCTCGCGATCTGTTGTGTTTCTTCTAGCCGTGGTAACACTTCCATCCTCATTGTAGTTTTCCGGGTCCCTGTGGTAAGAAATACTAGGAACATCTTTGCTTAAGCTTGACTTCTTTGCTTTCGAATCATTCTTCGGTAATTGAACTTCTGGCGAACCAGAAGTAGCAAGGTGCCCATCAAGAGAAGTGAGACTCTCCTTAGGGTGCCCTGAAAACAAAAGGGGAACATTAAGAGAGGCCCCTTCCCGATCTTCGCGTGCAGTCGGTTTTGTAGTACTAGCGCTTTCAGTGCTAACCCCCGAGCCCTGTCGCGTCATACTCTTCAGAAGGTTAGTATCAAAAAATCCATTGTCAATGGACTGAAGGGATTGCTCGAACTCAAGGAACTTATTGAAGATTGCATGAGATTCGAGAGCTCGTTTGCTTTCTTCTTCATTTCCATCATGAGCTCGTAAATGCTTTACGAGGAACAATTGCTTCAAGGCATCGCCAGTAGTCACTAAACTTTCCTCCTTTTTCCCTAAAATGGAGTACAGTGCTTCTGACATCAGATCATAAAGAAGTGGAATCTCATAAGTTTTCGCCATTACTAGTAAATTGAGAGCCACAGGTGATAATAACCATCTGCCATTTACTTGCCCAGTGTAAAAGAACTCGACAAACGATCGAATAGTGGTTGTAGGCCACGGCATGTAAAGAGACCGCGGTAACAAGAGAGGCTCCACGTCACCGATCGAATTCTCATAAAAGGTGGCACCACTCTCTGCCATAGATAAATAAGAAGGACGATTGCTTTCGGCTTGGGGTAAGGTTTTAACACAGCTACCTCGCCTGGATTTACCTTTATTTTTGCTGTCGGGTTGTTTATGAGAGGCGGTATTGAGACTTGCCTCTAGCTCCACGTCAATTAAGTTATCTTCCAATAGCTGTCTGTCTAATGACCTCTTGCGGATTGAATGAGGGTCAACCTCATAGATTGAAGCACTTTCCGGATTGAGGTTTTCATGTATGCCCAATAAGGACTGAGATACAGTGTTGCTTAGCCCTGGCCGGAGAAACTCATGGTACAAAGATGATCTCCGTGACGAAAAAGGGCTGTATCTCGCGGGCGAAAAGGCATCATTTTGAAGATGATGTGGGGCAACGGGAACTGGTTCGGAGGGCATTGGTTGTAAAGGCGGTATTTGGGAGCTCAAAGAATTTAAAGTAGAGCTGGTCATCCCGCTGTCTTGAGAGGTTCGACGATGAGCAGGATTTCCCATCCTGTCAGAAGCGGAGCTGACGAATGAGATAGAGCTATTCTGAGACGTCACGGAAGCTTTACGAGAACCGAAAGGACTTTGGGGCACCATAGTGGCTGGAAGTCCAGATTTTTCCTCGGATTTAATAAAGATAGGATGAGAAGCCCTTCTAGATCCTTGTTGACCACCATCTGCCGTGTGAGGGGTAGAGGTAGAAGACTTTCGCCGGCCTACCATCCCTGCTTGTTTTTCAGAAGCGTCGTGGACCAATGGCGTAGAAAGCACAGCACCGCGACTTCCTTCTTGAAATGGTAATCTGAAAACCAAGCCGCCCGATAAGCTAGCTACCGTGGAGTCATTTCCACTTGCAGGGGTTCCTTTGATATGATCAGTTGGTCCTTTGGAACCTTTTGAAGACGCATTTGATGAGCACACAGCCGATGAATCAGACTTTGAGTGATGGAGAATAGGCGCAACCTGGGGCATCCTGTTAGATGCGTCAAAAGCGTCATCTTTGTTTTTGCTTTCGGTTTTCAAGTTTGATGTAGACTTGTTAGCGAAAAATAGTGGAACCGATTTTCGAGAGGCCAAAAGAGGATGAATTTCCTGAAGTAATTCCCCTTTGTAGGGTATTCCTTCCATGGATCCTTGTGAAGAAGTTTCTACTGGACCTCTCGAACTGGAACTATCGAAATGGTGGCGGGTTGGAGTACCAGACTGAAAAGCAGAATCTGTCGAAAACTTCGAGAACTCATTATCTCTATTACGGCTTTCGAAGTCACAAGATGCTTTGACGTAGCCATGAGCTAAAACTTGATCAAAATATCTTCCCCACCTTTTCCTCAGGAGGTAAACAGGTACACGCACAGAGTCACCATCCTCTGTAACAATTTCAAAGTCGGATAAATGTTGTTTACAAAGCTCTAGGGAATCTTTACCCAGTGCCATAGCATGCGAAGGAAACACCGAGGTTATTGTAGTAATCTGGAGAGGAGGCGCAGAATACCGAGAATAGTCGTCAAAGGCGTCTTGCCCAGTAGGCAGCTGATCAAAACTAGCAGTACTTCGTTCTCTTTCAACTGTGCGATGGAAAGCCTTGTGGAAAACGTTTATCATTGGGAGAGCAATGCAAAGAATACTGTTGAACTTCTGAACACTTGGTAAGTGATTATTCTTCTCGTTAGTACCCAAAAATACTACTTTATGGTGAGAATGCCAAACCAGTAGTTGCCATAAATGTCGGGTACTAAACATCGGGTCATCACACATTGTATTAATTTCAGTCCATTTCCCGGTTGGCATGTTATAAGTAAAACAATGGAAGTTATTGGATTGCACATCTGGGTAGTAGCCTGACACAATGATGTTGTGTCCGAAATAATCACCCGACGGATATAGTAAGTTGTAAGGAGCTTTGTATTTCAGACCAGACCACCTTTGATCCCCTTGAAAAATGGGCATCCTTTGGCCAATAGGACCGGCTTTAAGCGGTTGAATTACTAATGGGTTTGTGACAGTCTCGTCGTCCTTGTCTCCGACCGGTGAATACATTGCAATCAGTGGTTTATCAGTAACCTGATCCCTGATCAACAAAGAAAAGTTCGAGTTTTGGAGAAGATGGGTATTTTGCCCGTTAATATTGGTTACAATTTCTTGAGCTTCGGTATTGTCGTCATCCAGAGAATCCCACTTTCGTTGGGTTAAATTGTATATGTCGACAACATGGACAGGTCTATCCATATTGTTTAGTCCACCAACAATGTAAAGTAGAGCGTCCACACCCTCTTCACCACCTGAATCCACGTGCATGCTGTGATTGAAACGTCTAGTAATGGATGGATTACTGCTCAAAAGTTTCCATGTCTTTGTCGCCAAATTCAAAGCCCACAACTCATTGGAGGCCATAAGCTCATAGCCAGATTGGGGGGAAACTTCCAATCCACCAAAAATGTAAATAAATCCCTCGTGATACGCCATCGAATGGAACACCCGCCCTTTCATTATCGATGACGACTGCCGACTGTCTTGCTCGGTAAAGGATTCTATGTCCTCCGCTGTTGGAACATGCTCCCATTTGCGCGTTATAAGGTCCAGAAAGAATGTTTCACGGCTTATCCAATCGCTAAGGTTCTGGAAGTTCCCGGATCCTCTTTCGCGGCCGAAGTACATGATAAGTTCCCGCTGTATTGAGCTTGAATTAACCTCTGCAAGATCCAGCGGAACGGTTAGTCCACCATGCACAAATACACCAGATCTGACCAAGAGTATACATGCGCCTGTCCTGCAGTCGAGAGTCAATGCTCGTTTTTTACATGCCGGAAGGGATGCCTCTTGATCAGGACAGAGTTTCGGTAGTTCTGTTTTATGGCATGACACAGGTGACGGTAGCAGTGGTATCATTTTCTACCGCCAGCGAGTAAATCTATAGGACCACCCAACCAAACCTTTGATGCTTAAGGGCCCGCTACTCTTACCATTCTGTGAAGGATTAATTAGTAAATTATATGGCCAAAGCGAAGCAAATTAAATCAAGCACCTTCTACGGATGGAGCACTTTCGAAGTTGACGACGATGAAATGAAACTTGTATACCAAGGCACACGAATGAGCTGTGCTATTAGACTGTATAAAATGTAGCTGATCATTATTCACTCACTTGAATATGCTTGCTGAGTTACTTTTTACTTCAGGAAACCACACACGGCCAACTCAACACTACAAGAACCAATACTAATGGAAATCGATCCGTCCGACCGGTCACTCTAGTAGCCTTCAAAGCAGAGTTCAGTGACCAGAAAGAAAATATTGCGAATGTAACTACTCTCAAAATTGTCAGCGTGCGAAATCGCCAGTCTTCCTTTAATACCGCAGCAGTGAAAAGTGGAAATAACAAGGCGCTAAGCACAGCGTTCAAAACGTGCGGAAACAGACAGTAGCCACAAGTTGAGATTGCTGCTAATAATGGAAGATTCCCGCCATTTTTCTGACTCTGGGGTGGTTTTATCAAAGTCAAATGGACAGCCATTATTGAAATTGCAGACCAGGCCAGCACAAAGAAACTGGAAAATTGCTCGCTCGCCCGAGATAGTGCAACGCTGTAAGAAATCGTAAACAATAAAGGTGCCCAAAGATCAGCGCAGTGGTCTTGGAGACTGCTTATTGGACCACTGGTGTTTTCTGGCATCATAGACTCAGGATCGGAACGTCCGCGAAGCTGTCTGAGCGGAAAGTGAGGGTAGACGACTTGTTTCAGTCTTGAATTTATTTGTAGCACATCTCTTTTCAGCGTGGCAGCAATTGATTCATCCAGCGTACCGCGGCCAACCCGGGGCCCGGAACGACCATGTAATCCATTGCCGTCCGAAGCAAGCTCAGGGGTGGCCAGCAGATCATCAAAATCAGGCTCGATCAAGTCTGACATCTAGTATTAGACCAAAGCTTAGTAATAACGACCAGCTCACTAACTACTGCGCTAAGGTTGAACAAAAAACAAGATGTTTGCACATCAGAAGGAAGGCAACAGGTTTTATAATCCTACGCAGACTTTTGGTCTACTCAGAGATTGTTCACGCATGTTCGTTCATCATTATGAGTGCGAAACTAGGATTTCCATTTTGAAACATCGGCGCATCTGGAGAGCCTCGAACGCGAAGACTACGATCGTCACGATAGCGCTGTATCCCGACTGGGACACAATGGGTCACAAAGTATCAACAGCGGTATCGCAACAATGCAATAACATAATCGGGAGCTCCATGTGACTTTCGAGGGGAAAATCCCAACGTCAACTTCATGAAAAGTTAAGTAAAACAATGGCTATCAGAACCACAATATATCTCTATATCGTGACTGTTGGCTCAACGTCTTCTCTCTCAACAATTTGATATGTTCTGGCCCACCGGCCACCTTTTGTACGGTTACCCTAGCTCTGATCCAACCGAGAGTAGGGCCACGCTAACGTCAGACTCGAGTCATCTTGATTTCTCTAGCGAGGGCTAATGTGGATTGCCTCATGTTGCCTTATCCTTTCTCGTAGCCATGGAGACTCGTTTGCTGAGCTTTGTCTCATAACGTGTCCTTATTATTTTGACATATTTAATTCCTGTCGTTCTACGACACTAGATGCACCACACTTTTGAAAAAGAATGACTATCGCGCGGAGCCTTAGTTGATGTGGTTCACATGCTTCCTAGCCCAGCATTGTTCCACTAATGTGGTTGTTTGCTTGAACGTTTAGCATCCACCAACATTTCACAGCACTTAATTAGATACTACACGCTCTCTTATCTGCGTGCTTCAGCCAAGCTTAGACCTTCAGCTTCGGACTTATTTAAAAGAATGTGGAGATGACAATACATTATTCTATCATCGTCCTACCTGTGTGTCACAGACTTAGATTGAATGTATTACATCACCTTCTAATGGTGACGGTTGTAATCATGACAAGCCTCGAGGAAATATAAATAACACTATTAACAGGCAACGAGCCATCGTCGAGTCTCACTCCCGCGCAAGTATTCACTAGAAAACGGCTTCAGCTGATTTTTCAGAACGCGGTGAACGTATGGCGGAACTATGAAAGGCAACAAAAGAAACAGATATAAAAACAAGGCCCAAGAAAATACTATGAGCCATCCCATCGCTGTTTTTCGAAAGTCACATCAAATCTCAATCAAGGTGTCTACCTTAACCACAAACCGAGGGCACGCTACAATGACAATCACGTGATCACTAGGTTTTCTCTCCACACCCCGATTCTTGTTTTTGCATATGTTCTGGGAGACTTTATAAAACGCGCTCGCTGAATGGAAAGTACTAGTTCATCTGGCAGACAGCGTCTCTTGTTCTGGTAGTGTTGGGATCCATCAAAAACCAAAACGTATATAGTGATATAAATCACCTTGTTCCGTCCTCCGAGAAATGCATTTCTATCACCGCAAACGGGAAAGTCATTTTTTTGCCAAAGATAGAGTGAGGGAAAAAAAATAGCGGGCTCAATTCTCGTTGTTGATGGTACCCGACTCTCTCACATTAGCGTTTTCAGCCGAGAAACAACAACGGACCAACACAGACCCACGCTAACGATGGATACGCCGGCTGTGGACCTAGACAACATCATCGACCGGTTGCTGGAGGTCAGAGGCTCCAAACCGGGCCAGCAAGTGGATCTGGAAGAACACGAGATTCGCTTTCTGTGCTCGAAGGCGCGGTCCATTTTCATCAAACAGCCCATTCTCCTAGAACTGGAGGCTCCTATTAAAGTATGTTACAAAGAATCAAGAATGGTTCGAGAGAAGGAAGGACAGCAAAATTCGAAATTTGAGTGGTGGCAAGCTTGCACACAAAACGTTTCCTGCAGTACGCTACAGGCGTGGCAGAAAGTTGGCAGGGGCCTCGTTTTGTAGTACATCGTACGCCCTTCCCCATGAGACGCTTTGTCGCTTATCTTTGCCCACAACCTTGAGCGTATTTTAAGACTTCATCAACGACGACGTTTTCAGTTCCCCCCATTTCCCGTATATTTTTTTCCTCACTGTGCTTACTATTGAGAACCCCTTTCCAATAGTGCGATGGGGTCAATTTCCCATACAAACTTTTTTGCCACCGTCAAAAAATAACGTGGAACATGATACGGAAATATATGGGAACTAAGGAATTATGGCGTACTGAATTCATGCTTCAGAAACATGCTACCTGTGACAGCTTGCTGCGGCTTTTCGTTCTGCTAATCGGGCCTCTCGTCCTCGGGCTAAGCTGTTCTCCTTCTCTGTTCTCTCGAGTGACCCTTACTAACAAATATTTCGCAGATATGTGGTGACATCCATGGACAATACTATGACCTGCTTCGTCTTTTCGAATATGGCGGGTTCCCCCCCGAAAGCAATTACCTTTTTCTCGGCGACTACGTAGACCGTGGTAAACAATCGCTAGAGACTATTTGCCTCTTGCTGGCGTACAAAATCAAATATCCTGAAAACTTTTTCATTCTTAGAGGAAACCACGAATGCGCTTCGATCAACCGTATTTACGGCTTCTACGACGAGTGTAAGCGTCGTTACAACATCAAGCTGTGGAAGACTTTCACTGACTGTTTCAACTGTCTCCCCATCGCTGCCATTATTGACGAAAAAATCTTCTGCATGCACGGTGGGTTGTCTCCAGACCTAAACACCATGGAACAAATAAGACGCGTGATGCGTCCAACAGACATCCCCGACGTGGGCCTACTGTGTGACCTGTTGTGGTCGGATCCCGACAAGGACATAGTGGGGTGGTCCGAAAACGACCGCGGTGTTTCCTTTACATTTGGACCCGACGTGGTTAGTCGTTTTTTGCAAAAACAGGATATGGAATTAATCTGCAGAGCCCACCAAGTGGTAGAAGATGGATACGAGTTTTTCAGTAAGCGTCAGCTGGTCACGTTGTTTAGCGCACCCAACTATTGTGGAGAGTTCGACAATGCCGGTGCCATGATGAGCGTGGACGAAAGTCTGCTCTGCTCTTTCCAGATTCTGAAACCAGCCCAAAAGACGTTGCCCAGGCCACAGGGCAAAAAGAAGAAATAAGCAAGCGAGTGTTGATAAGCTATAAAATGGTATTTCCGCGGAGTCGGTGAGTGGGAATCATTCGTATGGGATCTGCTTTGCATTGGAGCGAGAGCAAATCGCACTTTTTACCTAAGTCTCCACCTTCACGAGTTTTGGTGGTGATCAGTGAAAAGAAATCTTAGAAGAGTGGCCAATGCCAAATGGAAGGGAAAAAAAAAAATAAGTGTTTCAACGGTACACTAGCACAATGATGTAGTATCCACACCTCGATATTCTTTGCCTTCGAACTTCTTACCAACTGTCAAGTTTGCAGGTGTGTGTCCTTCGTTATGATGCTCAGTGTTTTCTTCTTCAGTTGCATCAGAGTCAGTTTATTTGCATTTCAACACGTCCTTCATCCTCTCTTTGTTTCAAATGACTAGTGATTCGAACTGATTGTTCGTGCATATATTGGAGTCCAAGTTACCTCTCCTGAGGTCAATATTCTGCCACCGATGGTTGCTGATTGAGTGAGCAGAATTTCGTTTTATTTTAGTCGTTTTTCGGTCTTCACCAAAATTTATGAAAGGCTAGAAGCGCGTGGATCTAGCGTCATTTGATAATCGTCTGATACCTGATCTTATTGTGTATTTGATCCGCACGACATTGCATCATTTGCAAGAAAGGATGCTAACGCACTAACCGTTGCCAAGAAAGGCTGATATTTGAAATAAGAAGACACACAGTCCTTGTTAAACCGAATTTGTGGATTCCGCTTACTATCGTTCGGCTGCGCTTGATTTTGCTGCTTGAGCGTGAGTGGCAAGCAACCTATTGGCGCTCTTTTTCCCCTTTTCTTTTCTCCCACTATAAACTCAAACCCAGCCGCATTTTGCGATTGTTTCCCACCTACCCCCCTCCCTCATCTTACTCCCATTATTTTATAAACCTCGTTTGTATTTGTGTACTTTAGCTTTGAGAATTTACTTTACGATCCCCTTGAACAGGCTTTGGTCTTACCTTTCCTATTGTATATATACTTAACAGTATGCTTTTTATATGAACTCTAAGTTGAATTTATGAATTAATCTTTTCCTTTGATAGGTACCGATGAGTACTTGTCCGTTGGTCTACTTGATCCTCTCTTTCGGGCGCAATCGCGTATCAAGCTCGAGGGGGCCGTTCTCGATTCCGATCTATCGACACTCGCGATCAGTCTCGGGACGTAGCTGATAAGTAAACAAAAACTCGCGTGTAATCCGATCAACTACAGACTGCATACTCCATATGTGGAAGGCCCTAGATAATAGCTATATCGAGTTGACCATATTGCCTTGATTTGACTCTGAAACAGTGCTAAATCAGTCTTAACCGCGATATCGTCTACTTTTATTGACGGCGACCCATCGGTGGACCGTCTGAACTTTTATGCTAACTTGTGAAACGATTCACTTATTAGGTCGAGAAGTAAACTATCCAGCCACTCGAGTTTAGGCGATTTATGAGCTTAGTCAATTATGTCAGTTAGGAGCTTGTGAGTTCTTTGTTGTACGTACCAAAGGACGTTGCGAATCGCCTTTATATGAAATGCGGGAAATCCGACCGTGCTACGACTGTCCTAACCTTGATTGTTTGGAGTAGAATGTTGATCCAGTAGATAATCAGAGAGTGAGTATGCAAGTAATCAAGCTAAGAGCAGAACTTTTAACCGGTCTCCAAAAGTAATCTATTATACGTCAATAGAGTCCTAGAACGATGCCTCAGACAAGGTTAGGGCTATCATATGTTACCTCGACCCACTTTTCCTAAATTTTTACTTTAATCTGTCATTTGTTTTACTGACAAAGTGTCACTGACACTTGGCTTATCACGTTGTAGAATATAACTCTCCCTACAAATAGCAAGTGAACGCGATGGGATACCATAGTAGTACGCATCCCTGGGCCATTCCAACTTACTTGCAATTATCTTCACATAGCATTGAACAACATTAACTAAGTAGCTCTGAGAGAAAACTTCGAGGAAAGTTATCTGGTGAACAAGCTTCATTAATTGGTTGGTAGACTCACCATATAAAAGAGTCGAGCGAATTGCCTAACTGGCATAAGATAACCCTCGAAGTGGAGGTTATTCAATATCACATAGCAGGTCCCTCTACGAATTCTCGTGGTGGCAAGCTATTTTAAAACATGTCACGATAAACGAGTGATCGAATACTGTGCGCTGCCTATAGAGAAAAAGTTAACATAACATGTGTGTTAAGTGCGTTGCGCGAAAACTCACAAAACACATTGCACAACACTGGAATCTAATCACATTAGGATGAAACTCTTGATTAGCAGCATAGTGGGATTGGTATGGCTCACTCTGTGTAGTGCGCACAATGTTCTGTTACCTCCTTACGGTCAACGCTGTTTTTACGAAACCTTGAACAAGAAGGACGAATTGGCGGTTTCATACCAATTTGGTGACAGAGCCCTTGAATCGACCGAGCAGTTGAAGGGTGACTTCGTGGTCTACGGTCCTCACAACCACGAGGTTATTAAGGCTTTTAGGCAAGTCTCTCATGGCGATGTGCGCGTGACAGTCCCATACGATGGTAAATATGAATACTGCTTTTCGAACGAGAATTCAGGAAGCACCACTAAGGACGTGACATTTAACATCGAAGGCATTGTTTACGTCGATTGGAATGACCCCAAGTCTGATACTTTGGATGGTGCCGTCAAGCAGCTGGCTAGATTGACTCGTGAGTTGAAAAACGAACAGAGCTACATTGTCATCAGAGAAAGGACGCACAGAAATACTGCCGAGTCTACTAACGATCGTGTTAAATGGTGGTCAGTGTTCCAGCTCACTGTGGTGGTGGCCAACTCACTTTTTCAAATCTACTATTTGAGGCGGTTTTTCGAGGTCACTTCTTATGTATGAGAGATAAATACGTCCATATCAAACCGGGTTAACCTTACCCAGTTTCGAACATACTAAAGCAAGTTTTAGCACCCAAACCTTACCATACCATGTATAAGTATGTCTGCCGAACAAATCATACGACATGCAAAAAATTGCCACTTCCTAGAATCGAACCAGGGTTTCATCGGCCACAACGATGTGTACTAACCACTATACTAAAGTGGCACTTAATGAAAGTATGATAATTGATATATAATATACCAAGTATGACAAACCATGTTGCATTTTTGCATTTTGTGTGTAAACAATAGTTTGATAATCAGAATCCGATCGAATATCCTTCTTTTTACCGATCACTTATAGATGTATTTCTCGATGAGCAAAAGGATCACCTTTCCTGTAAAGCTCAATTGGTTTTACCCCGATTTACGTTGTGCGCCATTTGTACACTTCTCAAATTTTGATTTCTTGCAATCATGGGTAGATTGTGTGATAATAAGACCATTAACTGGAAGGGTTAAATAGCTTAGTTGCACACTGAAAAGCATTGTGTCAATAAGGTCATTTGACTGATGCCACTGCAATGTTCATGCATTACTCACATTTACTGTAGATAATAATATTGACCATTGTTTCTTGTCGGAAGGAACCCAACTGTCGTTCAAGTCACATGCGGCTATAGGATGCATCTTAAATTTCCAAATGTGCTAACAACAGCCCAAAAAACTGACAGACCATATAGGACGAAGTCTGATGAGCTCCAATTTGCCCAACCCGTGTCTGGTGGGAATTGTTTTAACCATATCAACACATGCTGGGCCACAAGTAGTTTATCATTACCCTCCAGTTGACCTGCTTTCCAAACACAAGAAGACAAAAATACAACAGAGCCCAAGAAATTACGAAGATAGCGAGACATCGAGACGAGCTCAATTTGACAACACTCTTTTTCGAAAACAATCGTTGAGATTGCAACAAGACGGAGAGAGCGATGCAACATTTTCCATACATTCTGCACAGACAGAAAACTTAGACGATACAGATATCAGCGATAGCACTGATGATGAGGTCAGCACAGGTGTGAGCGATAGTGACATTTCGACGGACTTTGCTGATGTATCTTCTGAGTCTAGCTCGGCTAGTTCAGAATTTCATCAACCAATCAGTGTAGAGGAGTTAGCAGCGCCGCGTTTGTCGCTCGATCACAATGCAAGTATTCAGTCGCTGGGAAACTCCATACGGAGTGTCAACTTTGATCCAGCTACCAACGCAAGCAGAGCACCCCATTTTCTGGGTCCAAATGATTCGAAACGCAACTCTGTTGTATCCAAGAACACGCTAGGTAGAGATGTCGATCCGGGACCTGTTCTTGAAACAACAACAGAGTCCGACGATGATGAGGAGCTGCACTTTGAGCTCGATGATAAGTACTTTGGCGTCGAGTTTCAGGCTATTAACAAGATTTTGCGATATGATACAGACTTTTTTGCTGAAATAAGCTCGCCCCCGAAGGACATGTGTAACACACGTTTCGAATTGTCCATAGATGATCTCACCTTGGTAGGGCTGCCAATCCATAAAAACGCAGATGGGCACTGGAGAAAGTCAAAAAAAAGAAGGGCAGGGAATCGACTGCGGCATTCAAATTCCGGCTTGAGGACGAGAAATGACTCGAAACAACAGATGTCTAACGCAAATTCAGATGAAGACGGATCTCTGATTGAGGAAGATAGTTCAAGGATATTGAAGTCTGAAGAAACTCAGGGCAAGGATGACGCTGAAGACGTTCAAGATAGCGTCAATATGTTCCACCTCTGCTTCTTGATGAATCCACAATTGGTCGAATACAATGAGAAAGTAGACGACATGTACCACTATGTTATTTCAAGACTGTCCCTAATATTAAGATATGCTCAAGATAAGTCAAGTTTCGTCACCAAGGAAGCATTAGAAATTACGAGGACTCGCGATCGGACACTCAAATCTTCAGAGAAGTATAAAATGATTAAAGGTAGTGGAAGGAAGGGGAAATACCTTTATCAACGAATTTTGAATAAATCTCCATTGGCACGGATCATTACTCAATGTTTCGACGCTTTAGTCAAAAATGAAATTGCTAACCTAGAAATTGACGATGACAAAATAATATCCTTGCAAATACCCATGAAAAATGAATTCTCAGTATGCCCAAACCTGAAAACGAATCCGGTACTTAGAGGGTCTTTTTTGACCTCGATTTTGAACCAGACGTTTTTGGAAGGAAGATCTGGAACAGGTGCTCAAGATTCAGAAAGAGACGTTAATGAAAACAGCGACCTTTTGGATTTTGCCCTCCTTCTACTGGACGAGCCCGCTAATATACTTCAAGAATTGCAGTACTCTGCATTTCGAAACGACATGGCCTCTGTTATATTAACCTCTCTGGTCAAGACTTTGAAGCCAACGCTTCCCCTGCGGCACTATCAGTATCTGGTAGATGAGGTGATGGGACCATCTGATCCGTTAACTCAAGGTAAAGGCAACTCGTTTCATAGTGGGTTGCTACGGTCTTTGGCGTTGCATCTAATGTATTGGCGGCATGCTAGAATTATTATTCCCTTATCTTCGAAAAGTACTTATATCGTTTCGCCCTTGGCGCCAATATCAGGTACATTGAAAGACAACACTTCGGCAAATCTAAACAACAAACCTTTGATATTGCAGAATCAAGAGATTTTTGCCAAGAAGTTTCCATCCTTACCACCACTCTCCTCATTTTTAAGCATGATATCTTCTACCAAACCACGTCCGTTTGGAAGCATCATACCATCGAAAGACCATAAAAATGTTTATTTAAACGCCTTGAGCTGGCTCATCCGAAATGGTTACTTGACCCAGCTGCTGAGTTTTTTTTGGGTTCGAGTTGACTCTCGAATAAAAATCGCAGTTGATGAAGACTTAGAAAAGGATGGGGTTAGGATTACCAAAAACTCAAAGTATCAGGACCTAAACACCAGAAAAAATGACACTATTATAGGCTCTGATCTTCCTGATGATATCGATTACTACTACTATAACGGTGATGAGGATTCTTTGAATCGTGCCGATTACACAATCATCTTGGACCCCGAAAGGGCTACTGCTGTGGAGAAGAGATGGTTATATAAATGCATTGAAGGACAGCCATCCGAAATTCAAATTCTATTTCATAAGATGGTCAAATATTTCAACGGCACTACGCCTATAGAACTTGTACAGATTCGCGAAGGTATTTCACGACACGAAGTTCGGAAGGTGAGTCAGGCACTCGGCAATTACTTAGTAGAGATTAATCATTGGTGATGACGGTGAAAAAAAGATGCTTCTCACTTTAATAAAGCCTCGTTTGGTTCATAAAAGAGAAAATTGTTGACTTAATGAATGTTAAGCGATAGATGCGAATAGGAAATAGTTAGCTTGAAAGTGGGGTTTAACCGCATAGGACGATATGTTAAGAGGAAATATCACAAGTTGGATCCTCTGCTATAATACGTGGAAGTTTCAGTAGTCGAGGTTTCTGTTGGCGCCCCCGTTGAATTTTGGATTGGTATCCATAGGTATAAAGTGCTGCTGTGAAATCGGTATTGGGATTACAGCATGCCCAAGAGCCCCAGGCGATGCAGCAAGGTGAGGGGTTCCCATCAGGTTATGCACTTCACCAGATTCCATACCACTGATGTGGGGAACAGGATAATACATGAAGCAAGAATGATTAGCCCCAAGGCCAGAGTGGGAGGGACTTCCTGAGGAGTTTAAAGGTGTTATGTGACCTGCGGGTGGGGCCGGTCCCATGGCATAATCGATCGGGTAGTAATACGGTGGATAATAATACGGATCAAAAGTGGGATAATTTCCGCGTTTCTTATACTCATCAAGTCTCTTTTTGTAATTAATTCCGCCCGCGGATGTTGTATAGTGAGAAGAAGTTGCCATGGTAGATGCATCATTAGTATCTGCTGATACTGAGTCGTCTGACGTTGTTGTTTCTGCGATGAATGAATGATTAGTTGAATTTTCGTCGGCAGCAATCGAGTTATCGACTTTAGTATCCTTATTCGAATCACAATGGCCGCCTTGGGATTTGGTGATTTCAACACTCTTGCGCCGGGAGTTTGTTTTGAACTTTTTAGGCCCCGATAGAACAGACAGTTGATTTTGATGCTGTTGATTATAACCATGGAGTTCTTGGTACGATGGGTATGTGGAGTAGAGAGGGCCAGAGCCTGTACTTGATCTTCTTTTGCCCACGTTAATGGGTGGAGGAGCTAAATTTAAACGTGGTGGTTGATATGGAGTTTTGTAGGAAAGCCCATGGTTACCTGCACCACTAATGGCAGGTCCAGATGCAACTGGGCAATAACCTTGATGGTGGTAATGATGTGAATTGTGGTTTGCCTGTTGGTTGTCGACATGACTGAGGGAGGTGTTTCTACTACCACGCCTGGACTTCCTACTACCGCCCACTTCACGATACTGAACGTGCATGGTTTTATTCAAGAAAATAGCATGGTTTTCCATTTCAAGAGCAGCTACAGCAGCTTCCTCTGTAGCAAACTTGATAAATGCAAAAACATTATTTGGTTTTACCAACAAGTTTACGTCGATAATTGGACCATGCCTTGAGAATCGGTCATAGAGGCCTTTTTCGGTCGCCTTTGAATCCAACTGGCCGATGAAAATGGATTTTTGGTCAATGACCACGTCGCTGAAGTTCCCTCTAATCTGTGTACTAGAGTTTTCATTGACGACACCAAAATTGTCTACAAACTCTTCATCTGGTGATTGATTATCCCCTGATATAGCCAGGCCGTCACCATTGTTCAACAAGTTCATATGAGGAGCTGCGTCTATATTTTGGGCCCATTCCACTACCCAATTATAATCAGTTTTGAGGTTGGCAAAGGCACGAATAGCATCGTCTCGGAATGCAAATTGGACGAACCACGCGTTACTTCTGTTAGAAGGTGCTTGACAATAGTTTTTTCGATGTGGATATTGGTCTCTGCAGGCAACCAGTTGCTCTAGCTCCCCAAACTTGGCCATCATTTTACTAACAACAGCCGCGGAAACCAATGAGGGTGGGTCCAAATTGGTAAATCGACCCTTGTAACTGAGGAACAGCGTTCGGTTCACACGCGCCGGCTCGCAGCGGATAGTGCGCCCATTTAGAAGGCCCCCCTGCGCTTGATTCAAGGCAGATTTAGCATCAGCGTCGTTTGTATATTGTACAAAAGCATAGGGCCTGTTTGCAGGATCCCTGAGCACTTTCACCATGGTCAATTGGCCATACTTCTTAAAGTTTTCCGTAACAGAAAGACACAGCTCGTCGTCAGAAAGAGAGGCAGCCAGGCTCGCGACAAACACACATGACGAGGGGCGACCACGGAATTTCGTGGTAGCCGCACTCGTAGCAGCAGGTTGTGGCTCCTGGCTATCTGCTGCGCCTGTAGCTGTGTCTGCCTCTCTCTCTTGCTCGCAATGGTCATCCTCATCTAAGTTCTCGACATCCTCTTCGTCATCTTCGTCGTCTTCTACTTCTTCAGATCCGGACACCTCCGTAGGCAAGAACTGCTTGATACTGTCGCTGAAATCCGGCGACAGCAGCTCGCCTTTCGCACTCGACGAAGGAGTGTGCACGATCATTGTGGCGTCCATTTGCGGAGTTCCCAACGACATCGTACGCTCCGTCGGGGCTCGGTCACGCCTGAAAACTGGCCAAGCTACGGAGCACACGGAGCGCCCTTTTGGGTGTGTGTGTGTGTGTGTGTGTGTGTGTGTCGTTACCTTACGCTAGCACTGACACCAGTGTGATTTGGTGTCTGGGTGTCGACTCCTGGTGTTTGGGTGTTTGGTTATTAGACCTCAAAATCACAAACGTGTCGGCTAGAGTGATATGCAATGAGTGGTGTATTTGAGTCGCGCCCGCAAAATCGGGTTTCCAGCAAGTGGTTTTGAAGAGCGGGTTTGCACGGGTTGATGGTGACTTGCTCTGTATCTGAGCTATACGGCTCTCCTCTGACGGTCCTCGCTCTCCGTCTGCTTTTCTAGCTTATGCTATCAAGGACTGTGATCTGCCCTTGCTGCTACAGTCAACTTTCCTAGCCGATATACTTGGCTCGGACAACCACTAAGCGACGCGTCCTTCCTCGATAGACCTTCTGTATTTATACCTTTTTTTATCGACCTAGGTCCCTGAACTCCTTAGGATCACCTCCGCCTCAAAACGTTACGCTCTGATCTGACGCTGTGTGAATGGCCCCACATAACTCGTGGGCAACCCCCAACGGCCGAGAAGCAATTGCTCGATCCCTATCCTTGGCGTGTTTCAGGCTCAAACGCGTTTGAGCCTGAAACACGCTTCTTGTGCCTCAAAAATCGACCATAAGCGGAAAGGCGCAACAGACGAGAGCGCAGACTTCTCGAGCCTGCATTCATTATGTGGGCCATGCATGTGACTGGTCTTACTTAGCTGTGCGTCTCGAGGGACTACCGAGATAATGTTAGTGCTCCCCACAAGCTTTTCTTAGAGCCTCTATGCAGTGTGTGACAGCTGGGACTGGAGGCACAGCTAGATGACAGAAGACTACTGAGCTTTGTGTGGCAGTCCGACATGCTGGGTGCATGAGGGATACGTGATGATACATTTGGACTCCAGAAAGATGCTTACCTCAGCTTATCTCAGCCTGGGCAGTAGGCAGATCATCTGAGCGGGCTTGGACCATACCCTGCCACTACATACAAACAGGCCCAGAGAGATAAAAATATGATGGGCTTCATAGTTCAAGAGCAGTTGCCGCTAGAAGCAAAAGAATCATGATCAGAAACTTGATATCACTAACTTTATACAGTTGTACTAATCTTAGACATTCTTTACCGTTATTTAAAATAGTATCCTACAGTTGTACTAATCTTAGACATTCTTTAACGTTATTTAAAATCGTATCCTACATCTAGGAGCCAGTTTTATACATTACTATAGTTTTGGCTAGTCTAGCGGAGCAGCGTCAGTCATACTGTCCTCCAAATCATCCCAGTCGTCGTCGATATCCATATCTGCATCGGTGATCTCGTGGTTGGGTAGCACGTCCAGCTCGTCTGGCTCGTCGCCATGGTTGTGTTTCAGCACGACGGTGACCGTCTCCTTGTCTTTGATTTGTTTTTTCAGAATCCTGATGGCCATTTTGTTTAGGATTTCATTTTGAATCAACCGGTTGAGTGGGCGGGCACCCATATCTTCGGAGTAGCCATTCTCCGCCAAAAATCTTTTGGCCTCGGCTGATACGTCAAGTTTGTAGTGCTTGTCGTTTTCTTCAAATCTGTCTTCAATCTCTTTGAGTCGGATGTCGACAATCCTATGGATAGCTTTCGGCGACAGCTTGTTGAAAACCACGATGCTGGATATTCTGTTGATGAACTCCGGTCTGAAATGTTGTCTGACCGCCCCCATGACGAGTGACTTGGTGGAGTCATCCACTCGGGAGCCTGACTGTGCGATGATGAAGCTGGCACCCAGGTTAGAAGTCATGATAATGATGCAATTGGAACAATCAATGGTCTTTCCTTGGCCCGACGTCAGTCTTCCATCGTCTAGCATTTGCAACATGACCGTCAAAACATCTGGATGAGCTTTCTCAACCTCGTCAAAGAGCAGAACGGAGTAGGGTTTCCGTTGCAGTTGGTTGGTCAAAAATCCACCTTCATCGTAGCCTACATAGCCTGCCGTAGTTCCCAACAGCTTTGATACCGAGTATTTCTCCCCAAGTTCGGAACAGTCCACTCTTATCATGGCATCCGCATCATTAAACAGGAAGGCCGCAATTTTCTTGGCCAATTCGGTCTTTCCTGATCCAGAGAGTCCCAGGAATAAGAACGATGCGGGTTGTCTTGGGTTTGATAAGCCCGAGCGGGACAGTCTAACTGCATTGGAGACAGCCTTGATCGCTTCTGATTGACCGACAACTTCCGAAGCCAAGTGCCTTTCCATGTGAATCAATTTTTCGTTCTCGGACTCTGTCAATTTGTTGACTGGAATGCCTGTTAGCCTTGCGGCGGTTTCGGCGATTGTGTCACTGTCGACAACATTCTGAACCATCGCTCCAGATCCTGCTCTCCTCTCTTCCTCCGCGACTTCATTTTCAAACATTTCGATTTGCTTCTTGATGTCAGGTATGGCAAAATACCTCAAATCAGCAGCGGTTGCAGTATCATAGCGACGTTCGGCATCGATGGCCTTGTTCTCAAGTTCATCCAATTTCTTTTTGGCTCTCGTCAGCTCCTCGTGACTCTTTTTCTCTTCGTCGTAACGCTGTCTTAGCGGCACTAAATCCTCCTGTAAAGAAGCCTCCTTCTGTCTAGCCTGCTGAAGCCGGTCCTTAGTAGTGGGATCAGCTTCTTCGTCTCTTTCCAAAGCTTTAATTTCAACTTGAATCAACTGTAACTCGCGTTCTTTAGAATCTAACTCTTCAGGTTTCGAGTCCCTGGCCACAGCCACTCCCGCACATGAGATATCAACCAAGTCCAGAGCCGAATCTGGCAGTCTTCTGTAAGGAAGATACCTTTTACCGAGTTGAGCGGCAGTAACCAAGGCACTGTCCAAGATTCTCACGCCATGGTGAATTTCATACTTTTGTTGTAAGCCTCTTAGGATAGCGACTGTCTGCCTCACTGTAGGTTCCTGGACGTCAATCTTTTGGAAACGCCTCTCAAACGCACCGTCTTTTTCGACAATTGCACGGTATTCATTATTAGTTGTTGCGCCGATGACTTTCAGCTGGCCCCTTGATAACGCAGGCTTCAAAATGTTGGCAGCGTCATCTTTACCATTACCCATTAGCATGTGAATTTCATCAATGAAAAGAACAATTAAAGTTTTTGATTGTTCAATTTCCTTCAGCACGCCTTTGAGTCTCTCTTCGTAGTCACCTTTGTACTTGGCACCTGCAGTCAAGGCCGCTAAATCCAAACTAAATAATTTGGACCCCAAGAGAATATTGGGAACATCTTCGTCGATGATTCTTTGGGCAACACCCTCAATAATCGCAGTTTTTCCGATCCCCGGCTCACCAATCAAACAGGGATTGGACTTTATTCTACGTGCTAATACACGAATCGTGCCTCTTATTTCCTCTTCTCTGCCAATGACGGGATCCAATTTACCTTGACGAGCCTGTTCTGTCATGTCGATAGCATATTTAGTGAGGTACTCCAGGGTGTCGCTGGTGTCAGCTCCGCGGGAGTCAATTTTCTGGTTACCACGAAGCTCTAGAGCCTGCTGCTTTACGGACTCTATCTGGACCTGGGCTTCTTTGAATATCTGTTGAATACTGGAGTCGTTGAATAGAGCAAATAATATATGATCCTGGGCAATAAACGAGTCTTTTTGTTGTTTCTGTATTTTGGTGGCCTCTTGAAGGACTTGCCCTGTTGCGTAGCTTGCAGAAATCTGGGATGGTGCTGGATTTTGTTGGGGAATCCGAACTAAATGTTTATTCACGCATCTGCGAAACGCATCATAGTCGTAGCGAGCCTTTTCAATCAAATTTTGCAGATATGAGACCGATCCGTCTTCCGGAGTGTCAACAAAAGCTGCTAGTAAATGTATAGGCTGCAATTGGGCATGCTGGTGGTCTTGTGCTAATTTTTGAGCTAAGGTTAACAAGGTTAACGCTCTCTCGGTGAACTGTGTCTGATCATCCATCTTCGTAACAATGTCTTTCTGGTGTAGGAAAAATTAATGGTATAATTTACTGACGAAATAATAGCAACGTTGAATAGCTAGTCTCTGAAAAGGTATCAATTCACGTCAATTTATACTATTTATCACCAGAAGTCATCCGATGGTCGGGTAGAATCACTAGATTATTCCGGGTCCCCTTCGATTTTTCTAGTACTTACTGGAAATTTTATCGCTAAATACGAGTGAGAGGCATTTAAGCATGTCACACACGTATAACGTGATATAATGTCACACAAGATTTTATGACACTTGTCTTACTGATTGTTCATTAGTCATTCTCTGAGAATGCACTGAGCTGGTTTTGTGTTTATCTTTCGTTAGGTACCGTCCAAAAGTGTCATTTTCTCAAATTCCTCTCCCAATTTGCTATAATTCTACGAAAACTTTAAAAATAATTCCCTTTCAGACTCAGTAACCTTGGATTGTTTACCAGTGGTCCTACTCTTCCAATAATTCGAATAAGTTATTTCATAAATAATAAATAATCTGTATGCTATACAGAATTGGTCTCAGACCTCTCAGACCATAAAGCTTTCACCACACCCACATGTTCCCTTAGAGTTTGGATTTTTGAATACAAACCTAGACGACAGCCTATCGTCGATCCAGTCCATTTCACTCCCCACGATGCTGAATAGTGCTTTGGAGTCTATAATCACTTTCACACCATCTTGTTCTACAACCTCATCAAATTTACCGGGTGCCGACGTGTATTCCAAGTCGTAAGTCAACCCGGAACAGCCACGATTCTTAACTCCTATCCTTATTAATTTTGGTTCTGGTTGGTTCAACAGTAGTTTCAAGTGTACGATGGCGTTGGGAGTCAGCGAAATTAACGCCTTACGAGGTCTCAGCTTCCTCTTTGGTTTCTTTATCTGATGCCCGGCTATTTTTTCACTCGCTTCCTTTTTCTGCAACTCACCTTGCTCCTGCTGTTTGGCAAGCGTCTGCTTGGAAGGCATTGTATAGGTGGACCATTTGGATAATTTGACACTTTCCTCAGTAACAGGTTCATGGGCCTCTTTGCGCCTTGAGATCGAATTTTGCTTATTATTGCCACCAAAATTAAAGCTCCATCTTTCTGGCCCAGCATTTTCCAGTGGGTTTTGCACATGGTTTGTATGCAAAGATCTTACATTATCTGACTTCAAAGTTGAAAATTCGCTATTCGAAGTCTGGCTTGAGGTATGTTTCAAAGCTACACCCGATAGTGGGAAATATCTTTGAGCCGGTGACCTCCAGATGCCAGTCAAGGAGCGACACACTCCAGAAGATCGCATCTTTGTCAAGTCTCGTTCAAAAGGCAGTATGGTATTGGAATTACTGTCTTTCAAGAAAGGACTCTACTTTATTTAATTAATAACCAGTCAAAATCATGATTAACGAATGCTCGGAGCGATGAGCCAATTAGAGTGACTATGGCCTATGGAATCAATAGTCACAAAATAGTAAGGTTAAATGGATACGTGAACACATAACTCCCACGCCACACTGTCTTGAACATTTTTGCAAAATTAAACATCTTAATTGTGTATATATCATCAGCTTGGCTATTTGTGGCCTATTATCTCTCTATTCTCATTATAGAGCTGCTGTTTCACGCTTCAACCACCTGTAGGTTATGCTTTGGGGCTGAATAAAAGGTACGACGCTCGCCCATATTTTCTTATGATAAGCATTTATTTGCGATTTCTCTTCAGCCGTTAGCATCCTCGCATTTATGAGCTTCCTGCAATAAGGCACTAAAGTTATGTTCTCAAACTTCAAAAACTTGCGTTCTCCGAACTGGAGGCCCTCAGCTCTCCGGACCAACATATCGTTCTCTATGCGGATACCATACTCGCCATCTTTGTAAAATCCTGGTTCATTGGTGACTATATTACCACACTCAAGGGGAAAGTTCTGCAAATGGGGCCTGATGCCGATGCCTATCGGTCCTTCATGTACGTTCAAGAACGCCCCTACTCCATGCCCTGTACCATGTCTGTAGTCCAAGCCATGTTGCCACAAAAACTGCCTAGCAATCACATCAATGCTGTAGCCGGACGTTCCTTCGGGAAAAACCAACCTTTCTAAGGCAAGGTTGCCTTTCAACACCAAAGTGTAATTTTGAATCTCTTCTTGAGAAGGTTTGCTGAAATGCAAGGTTCTTGTGATATCCGTTGTACCTTCCATGAATTGGGAGCCACTGTCACATAGGTAAATTCGCGTTGGATCAATCATCGATGAATTTTCTTCGCTTGGCGAGTAGTGTATTATAGCGGCATTAGACCCAGTAGAAGATATGGTTTCGAATGAATTGCCCATAAAATTTCGTTGCGTTTTTCGGATCTCTAACAGCTTAGAGGCTGCTTTGAACTCGTCTACCAAAGCTTCCTTTGAAACCAGCTGATCTTCCAGCCAAGAGAAATATTGAACGAGACATACGGCATCTTTCACTTGTGCGGCATGTGCGTTAGAAATTTCCACCTCGTTCTTGACAGATTTGAAAAGCTCGACCGGAGATTGGATCTGTTTGAAAAGCGTGTCGGCAAGATTGCGAACAATTTCCCAGGAGGCTCCAGAAGCAATCGCGACTGATTCCCTCGCCTGAGAGTAAGCACCAGCGGTAGAGGATAGCTGATTCCAAATTTCGGAGTAAGGCTCAACAGTGATATGGTTTTCTTCGAAATATTGTTTAATTTTATCATCATATGGGTCATCGGTAAACAAAATAGTTTCGCTACCCTTCAAGAGTACGTAGGAGTAAAAAACGGGGTTGTACTCGATATCGGAACCTCTCAAATTTAATAACCAACATATCTCATCTAAAGTAGAAACGCATAATGTCTTACATCCTGGCTGCTTTTCGTGCAGATATGACAAAATGCGGTCTCTCTTTTGTTTGAAAGATTCGTTTGTGTAGTGTGAGCTCAATAGCACTAAGTCATTTGCTTCCCTCACAGGCACGGCCTCAAATTGACCCCAAATTTGATCAATGAGATTTTCACTGACAGGAACTAGGGACACACGACCTTGGGCGTTTTCCATCTTATCATTTATTATTTTCTTGAATTTCGTGACTTGATCGTAGCTAATTAGCTTTGGATCAATACCAATCCTAGTTTCTTGACCTCCTAGCGCCTCAGACATCTCCAAAGCCTCTAAAATACACCATTCGGGCCAAGTCAAGGAGTCTTCGCCCTGTCTGAGCAAAGTCCAATTGAAGTCGAGTTCTTGAGAAGCCTGGTTGAAATAGCGACCATCAGTGCTGAGCAAAGACTTTCCTTCTGGATGTTCACTGTTGAAGTTGAGCAGATCGCGCGTAATGCAAGCCACACCGGCGGAGCCCGTGAAACCGGAGATAAATGAACGCCTCTGATCCGCTAAGGAGACATACTCACTCTGGTGCTCGTCTTCGCTTGGGACAATATAGCAGCACAGTTCGTGGCTAGCCATCTTGCGTCTCAGTTCTAAAAGACGCTCAGATGTGTTTACATTTTTGGCTTGGCATATGGTGTCAGACGAATACACAGAATCCCTGCTGGACCCATTTCCGCTACCGTTCAGTGAGGGCCTCTTGCGCAGCTCCATTTGTCTCAACAAGCGCGAAGATTTACGGTTTTGCCTTGACAGAAGGCCCGGGGAACATGTGCAGTTTGCACATGGCCTGGCCGGTCTGCCTGGTGGCGACAGCGGCGAGCTATGGGGATTGCCATATGTGTTCATAGAAGAGAGGGAGTTTTTCAAATTCAGTGTGCTCTGCTTCGTCGTCATTTTTATGATGCTAATACCTTATTGAATTGACAGATAAGGGAACGTGTTGAGGTTTCACCTATAGCATTGACATATGGAGGGTTGTGAATATGTGAGACGTTAACTATTTAATCTCGTTTATTTTTTTATCTTTTACACCTATTTATCGTTATTAATGACACTAGAACTCTAGCAATGTGATGTAGCTTATATAGGTGTATAGCCGCTTAAGCGTCAATGTCCTCTGTGGCGTGTGCGTGAAATAGTTCCTTAAACAAGATCATCATCTGTATAGAGGTACCTTGTGCACTCCGGACCCCATGTCTTTCTGTCTATTGGATATCTGAATGAATTAAAATGTTCTCTGCTTACACACGTATTAATACTAAAAACAGAAAAGTGTGAGAGCTGAATATGTTACAACACAAATGCGAATTTGGATCTCTGTCTTAACTGCTTACCATACTTCATGAGTAGCAATGGCACTGGTATCATTGCCAGGGCAAAAAGACCTAGCAACAAACCTGCCCAATTAACGCCCATGTTTTCAAACATGAAGCCAGCAAAGAGAGGGAAACTGGCACCAAAGGCAGATCTCATGAACGTGTTACCAGCGATGGCAGAAGCAGCCAAAAATAGGTAAGAGTCGATCAAGTAGTTGAAACAAGGCAAGAAAATCCCGATCAAACCAAATCCGATAAAGCTACCTGCAACAGTGGGAACCATAAAGTGGACTTTGTCAGGATAGTTACCTGTCCAACAGAACCAGAGGATACCAATGGGGAACACAACACCTGCGATAACCATGGTTCTCAAACGAGCTTCCGGTAGAGGCTTACCGTCATTGGCACGCACTTGACGGATGTAAAATTTCTCTTCGTAAACGTTGTACACTGCGTTCACACCCATACCGACGAGAAGGGCAATGTAAGGCAATTCTCCATTTTTGTAAAAGTGATACTTGCCTTCGAAGACGATGGGATAAGCTTCCAACATCAAATATAAGATACCATAAACGAAGGCATGGTATAGAGTGATGCAAAAGAGAATGGGCTCCGTGACCAACATGTAAATGGGTCTGGTAATGGTTTTTTGTGCAATGTCCTTGAGCGAAAGCTCGGCGTCTTCGTGCGCGGCGCGTATACCCCAGTTGCCGGTTTGTTCACGCATCTTGCGTGCCTTCTTGACTAGAATGGTTGGATGATGCGTTTCCTCGTAGAAGTACGCCAACAGGAGCGTAACCACGCCGGCAAACATACCAGTCACGTATTGAGTCCATCTCCAAGTAGTGTATTGTGTAATGTACGAGCCGAACACGGGAGCAAGGATGGGACCCATAAAGACACCCATGGCGAAAATAGTCACCGCTGTACCACGACTCTCGTTGTCATACATGTCGAACATACAAGCAGGAACAATGGCCAAGGGAGCTGCGCCAATGAAACCAGCAAAGAACCGAGTGATGAGGATGGACTGCAAGTCCTTGGACACAGCACATGCAAAAGTAAAACAAACATACCCAAATGAAGACATGATCAACATTTTCTGTCTTCCGTACAACTCCGATAAAGGTGCATAAATGACCGGAGAGGCAGCAAACCCGAACACGAACAGAGTGACACCGAGAATAGCCACAACCTGGGCCACATGGTAAATCTCACAAATCTGGGTCACTGCGGAGGCAAAAATAGAGGATCCCATCACCACACTCAGAGCATTGAGACCTAGCAAGGCACACAGGAATGCACGCTTTGAATGGGGCCAGTTGTATGGGTGCAGGGGATCGTTGGGACCGTCGAAAGCCACCTCGAACTGCTCACGGTCGGGCAACACGGGCGGGAACGGTCTGTCGCCACCCATGGGCAGGCAGTTCGAGTAATCGATGCCTGTCTTCTCGGGCTCCATGTGCGACCCACTGAGAAACCTACTCACACGTCTGTTGATGCGGGCGCTCGTTTCAGAGGTGGCGTTGGTGCCGGTTCTGATCAGCTCCAGGTCCGGGTCCGCTTGCGAGGCCGCCTCCTTGGCCTCCAGGTTCTGCACAACGTCCGCGTACTCGTCGTCGCCGTCTTCGCTGGGCTGCGATGCCGACACCAGAGGGTCCAGCTCCGAGCCCGTGTCACGTGCTCCAACGGCCTCATCGCCGCTTGTTGTTTTGTTCTGGCTGACGTTGTTGGTGTTGCGGGCATCCATGTAGTAGTGGCCGTCAACGCCATGGCTGCCCTGATCCGACGACCGTCTTGTCTTAGCTTCCGAGCTCTCCGACGCGCTGACCAATGGTGCGGTGGATGACATGGGGAATGCAGATGGAAATCTATTAGCAAGGACTGGGTATCGGTATTATTATTAGTATTCCTGCAAAAGAAGCTTTCAAAGCTGTTTTACTGTAGCCAACACTCCACAATCAACCAAGATCACTCAGAGAATGGAAGGTCAATGATTCAACGCTAGCTTCGATTTCTTTCTGCTTTTATGTGAAAGATAACCGGCAAGGCAGACAAAAAAAGTAAGATTGCGGTATACACTCATACAAAAACACACACACACACCCGTCGAACTTGGCTGATGCGGCCAGAGACTTATATGATGCTGACTTATGCACTAGGTGTCACTAACTAAAGCCAGTGGTTTTAGTGAGATAGCTGGTGGCCTGCCATTCGTATGCAGGCCAGCTAGTAACAGCGCAGGCGACGACGGCAGCACGGAAATGGTGCCGTCCGGACGGAAGACACCGCTCCGTTTCCGTCCAACAATTGCAGAAGAGGAAAAAATCAAACACGCGGGTCGAGAAACGACTAGAGAAAAGCACACGCCGGCCTCAAAGATGTATGGGTCCCAAAAGCTTTGGTGCACGGGCCGATCACGTGTGCGGCGTGCCTGACGTGTGTTTATCTTTTGCTTGTTCGGGTGTGACCTCTCGGGTCCATTTCGGACGTGCACAGGAGAGGCTGGCCCCGGCTCCAGGCCCGCCCAGACCGTCGGATCACGTTCGCCGCGGCGTCTATTTTTTTCCCGCTTGTGCATGACGTAAGTGAAGCCGTCCTAACTAGGCACGGGCCAGGCACGCCCATCGAACGCTAACCAGAAGGCTTCGTATGGCCCCACGTGCCTAGATCGAAAGCCGCCGACACAAAAACGGTGAGTAATGGGTGCCTTCAGATGACAGCGGTGGTACACAGCCAGTGCTGATGGGGAGACTGACAAGTGATTCGCTGTGGTGACATCTCCAGTTGAGACATACGCTACGCATCCAGTATCGCCAAGAAGATAGATAACACTTGGTTGTTGTCAGCTGTGCAGCCGGTAAGGTCCACGAGGCACCGCAAGAACACCCAATGAACGACCGAACAATTGTGTGGGAAACCGAGGATTGGTTAGGGACAGCTGAAGGCGGTTGTATTTTTTTTGTGGGTTTTTTTCTTGTCCCAAGAAGCACAGTGAGGGGCCCAACACATTGGGTGTCGAGAGGTCACCGAGTTATCACAGGTTTTGACAATGCGAAGAATGACTCGAAAGGCACAACGCTTTATTTTCCGTGCAGTTTGACCACGGTTGTGATTCCATTTTCGTCTTTCCGCCTAGCGACAAAGCACAAACGGTTTTCGCATAGAAATAGAATGTGATGGGTACAACGTAGGAGAGGTACTTTACCGGCGAGACACACGGCAGGTTTTTCTGTAAAACAACTTCAAAGGCCACAACTGGCACTCAGCGCTGTAGCCGGCGCAAACGATACAAACTCTGACCAGGGTCCACACTTCACAAGCTTCGTTGTGTTGCACCACTTTCGATCCCGAGATGCAATGGTCAGCAAGTCGTCTGCTGCGACCCAAGTCCCATTGGCCACCTTCACTTGCAAAAGCTGCCGGCAGCGTAAACGTCGGTGTTCTCGAGAAAAGCCGCGCTGCGAGCGCTGCGCCCGGCTTAATATCCCCTGCGTGTACGAGCTTCCCCCTAAACACCTGAGGCGTATGCCCAGCTACTCTCCGGTCGCGGAGGGTGCGAGCTACAGCGGGCAGCCCCAAGCACGCTCGCAGACTGCTGCAGCTGATGCGATCTTGGCACCAAGACTCGCGCTGAAGGCCCAGTTTTCGACTAGTCTGAGCCTTGCTTCTCATCTCGAGAAGGACCCGTTTGTCTTTGAATTCGCAGTTTCCGCAATTGTCTGCGGTCCCCAGCTAGCTAGCCAGTCAAACACTAATAGCATGGGCCATGTCTGGTTTGCTCTTACTCTGCTCTTCAATGAGGTTTTGAAATCGCAAACTCGTGCCCTAGCACTCCCACGCGCCCCGCCGTCTGCTGGTAGCGTGTCTCCAGTTGGCGGTGCAACCTTGAATTCATTGGTGGGCGAAATAGCCAGTGCACTGCCACCCATGGTGGCGGTGGAGTCCTACAAAATACAGTTCTATCAGAACGTCTACACTGCAATGCCCGTTCTCAACATTCAGAGGTTCGAGCTTTTTCTCGAAAAAACCGTCCTTTCGAATTCAGATGGTTCCCTTCATCTGAATGTGGACTCTGCCGAACGTTTAGAAGCGCTCCCATTCTTGGCCATCTTACTTATTGTTAGCCGAATGGGGTACATGTGCTTGTGCCTTACCAATGAAAGGGCGGAGGCAGACGAAGCGTACCAACAGGAATTGAAAGCATGGTTATGTGAAAATCCGGTTTCTCGAGACGTTGTGGGGCTAGTCAAACGGTGTCTCGACATTTACGAAAACCCAACAGAGATGAGACTGTGTTGCTTGATATATCTGCGTGAACTATTAGTCCTGGAAGACCCCAAAATGTGGATGGTTGACGGCATGGGTGAGGAAGAGATGCTCAATGACTTGGAGCACCTGGCGATCAGTCTCAATCTTTTCAACAATGCACTAGATGTCAATAACTCCCGAAATGATTCCAACGCAACTGTACAGGAGCAACTGTACCGGCGGAAGTTGTGGCTCTCAACGTGCTCGATAAGCTTGCATGAACATACGCTGAACGGAGGCAGTTCACTTCTCAAAGCAAATCAAATTCGTCAATTTTCAGACCACCAAAGAGTATTTGATGATTACAGGCTCATCTCACAAAAAGAGCTGCCATTGGACGATCAGATAGAGCTGGATTACCATATTATGCTTCTAAAAAATCATCAATTTATGGAGGCTCTATGCGATATTGAGGAATCTCATCATAGTAACGAAGACTTTTTAGTAAACAAAATTCAGGAGAACGAAAGGCTGAGTTTCTTTTTCAAAGAAGGTTTCCCCGAAGCCAGCACTATCAACAAGCTCGACCTAGATTTGCCCCTTCACTTGTTATGCAATGCCGGCCAAATTCCAATCAATATCGGATCAGTCAAGCAAATTGCGGTATTGCAAACGCGTTTTGCTCTACTGGTCAAGCAATTATCCAACGCATCCCTTCTAATGTTCTACTTTGAGAAAGAATATAAACATTCTTGCTCGGCTGAGCATTTTGAAAGTTTCGAGGACCACTTGTTTGACTGTTTAAGAATAGTAAAAACGCTCTTCAACTGTTATTACGACTACTCTTTTGGACATTTATTCGAAGTAACACCAAAGCCTATGCGTTACATTTTGGCGAATACTATGTCACCCGTGTACAATAGAGTCACGCTTGTGCTTCATGGCCTGACGCTGAGGTTTTCCTTTTCCCTGAACCTTTCTATTACCGCAAAACAGCCCGAAAGGCTCCAGCTTTTAAAATCTATCTTGGCTAGCTTTCGAAGCATCTTATCGACCACGAATGACTGTATGGCAATGGAGTTTTTAGTCCCAGCCGCGAAACAGCTTAACAGTCATTTCTTGATGCTACTTGACTGTAAAAAATTGTTTTCAGCTTTAAACAGGTACGAATCCATGTCAATGAACGACATAGCCAAGAGTAACTACGCAACAAGTTGCCTACCGGGATACGCCAAATATTATAGTGTTGGTATTCAACAGCTTAGCATTGAATCGCTGAAAAATATTCAGCGGATGTTAAAGGCCATAGGCTCACATGTCACTGACGTTCGCTCAGCCGCAAGTTACCCAGAAATCTTAGAGTTCACAACTCAATGAATTCGGGACAATGTTTGCTTTCAACCTTTATTTTATATGGTATGCATAGCTCGAAGTTTATAGAAAGTAGCTTAAAGTGTACTAATATGGGAGGAATTCGAAAGGTAGAGATACGAGTTGTATTATTTTTCGTTATTCCTATTCCCGAACGATGCTCGGCACCATGTCAAAGCAGGAATTGGGCAACATCACTCTTCACTAAATTGTCAAATCGCTAATTTGGTTGCTGTTCGGGTTAAGAAAACATAATGTCCGGTTCCGATCAGTTGTTTCTCAATAGATAAAAACAGTGTTCCAGTCCAAGAGGCGATGTCTCCAATAGATGTGTCTGATGAAACGAGGGTGAAGAAAAGTATATTCAATAGCTCGATTGAGGACAAACGGCTTCACTGGTCACGTCTGCAGCGGTTTAAAACAACTCATCGATTGTACATATATTTGATGGGTTCGCTAGCCATTCTCCAGATCATTGCAATCATGTTTTTCGCCAAAGGATTTTTACTGACGCGGAATGTGCTGGACGACGTTGCAACTGATGTGCTATCTGAACAAAAATTCAGCAAATGCGTGATATTAGTGATAGATGCTCTAAGATTTGATTTTACAATACCCGTCAATTCTGCCGATCATAAGTATAACCCCAATTACCACAACAACTTTGATGTTTTCCACACATACGGCAATGAGAGCTCTTCCCTCCTCCTGAAATTTTTGGCAGATCCTCCTACAACAACTCTACAGCGGCTAAAGGGCCTCACGACGGGATCTTTGCCGACCTTTATAGATGCAGGATCTAACTTTGACGGCTCAGTAATAGAGGAGGACAACATAATCAAGCAGATGTACCTCCACAATAAGACGGTCTATTTTGCTGGTGACGACACTTGGGATGCCTTGTTTAAGCCCTTTCTCTCTCCCTCTAGTAAACCTTTCGAGTCGCTCAACGTGTGGGATCTAGACACTGTAGACAATGGGGTTATCGACTTTTTTGAACAGCATCTTTTGGCGGACGCAGCGAAGTCCAGCAACTGGGACATCTTGATTGGACATATGTTAGGCATTGACCATGTCGGACACAAGTATGGACCAGATCACTTCACTATGAAGGAGAAGCAGCTTCAAGCAAATGATTTCATAAAGCAGATTTGCGGTAAGATTGATGACGATACTCTATTGGTGGTCATGGGAGACCACGGTATGGACCACACTGGTAATCATGGGGGCGATTCTAGAGCGGAATTAGAGGCTGCTCTATGGCTTTACTCTAAACAGCCAAAAATGTGGAGAAATTTTGATTCGTCATATTACAATGTAACCTCTCTTGGTGAAAGCTACCGCCATGTACACCAGATAGATCTAGTCCCTTCCATCGCGCTTCTTCTCGGCTTACCAATTCCATTCAATAATATAGGCTGGCCTATCGAGGAAATTGCTCGTACTGGAGAAGATCTGGATAGCTATCGTCGCATTACTGTGAACCAAATCAGGGACTATAACGAGGTTAGCAAAGTTATTAATGATCCCAGGAAAAAAGAAGAATTAGAAGAACTATGGAATAGCGCCCTTCTTGACAGCTCTAAAGCTTATGAATATCAACAACTTTTTTTGGAGTCATGCAAAGATTTGTGGGCAAGATTTGACTATTCTAGTATAGCAACAGGAATAGCGCTATTAACAGCCTCCCTGGTTTTACTCATTATTATTACAAAACTGATTCCCTCAATTGTAATTGGACAAATGGTTTCAGAGTTTGTTCCATCAATTACTATAATCTCGCTAATTTCAAACGTTTGTTTCAGTGGAATATTTTACGTCCTCCACCAGCCTGCATTCCTTGGAAACTGGTTTTGGTGTTCACTACTAGCAACAGCTATTGGGATAATAAGTGGATGCTTGATCACAATTTTGGATCGCTACAACGCTAGCTGGCTCTGTAGAAAGTTTGTGGAAGACTTGTCCGATTACTGGTCGAGAATAGCAGCCCTTTTTATTACTCTGCATGCCCTACTTTTTACTTCCAATTCGTTCACGATCTGGGAGGATAGAATTGTAGGGTTTTTTCTGGCTACACTGGGCTTGTTAACACTCTATGAATTCACATTTTTGCCAAAAAGACGGCTTACGACCGCTTTATTAGCGGCAGCCATGGGTGAAAGAAGAAACTCTGCGCAGGGAAAGCAGCCTTTAGAATCCATCTCTGAATCTCCTTTAGGGAGGTTTGCTCGCCTGGTGGGTGCTTACCATTCAGTCGTTCTAATTATGTGCACTAGACTTGCTTCTACGATTACGATTTGTAGGGAAGAGCAAGGTGAGTACTGTCAGGCCACTTTTACTACCGCAAACAACTATTCTTATTGGAGTTTGCTACTCTGTCTCGTTGTTATCGCATTTTTACCAACCTGTGTCAAGGGCTACTACAACGTTTGTTCATCTTATCAGGCGGCAGCACCTATATGGATCGGCCAATTTCTGCGATGGGCTTTACTAGTGAATTTCGTCTATTGGGCCATCTGTGCTTTGGAAAACACTATCCCGGGCTTTTCCTGGGATGTCAAAATACTAAAGCTGACGATATCGAGAATTATCGCTGGCTTTTCACTAATTGCGGCTAACGTTGGCTGGATGATGGGACCGCTTTGTGTGAAACTGAACATACATAATAATGATGTTAAGTCACAGCAGGCTACCATATTAGGCTACACGAATGTATATGGATCTCAGTTTTTTTTGTTGGTTATCAACTTCTTACTGTGCATAATGTTGTTCAACAAGCCGCTCGCCCAAATATCACTGTTTCTCATGTGCAACCAGCTTCTTTCGTTGTTGGAAATATTTGATCTTTTGAAGTTGAAGGAAAACCTCATCGGCCCAGTTGCCATGGGTTTACTAGCATATCAGCAGTTCTTCTCTACTGGACACCAAGCAACCATTCCTGCTGTTCAATGGGACGTTGGGTTTGTATTGACGGAACGCATAACATTCCCCTTCACGCATCTGGGAATTACTATGAATACCTTCGGCCCTCACATCCTAATAGCATTGTCTGTTGCGTTGCTTACCTTGTGGAAACAGCCACCTACTGTTTTAAAACCTCAAACACTCCTGGCTCGTGTCGTATCTAACTGTGGTATGCTCTTGATATACAACACAGTCTTGTGTCTGAGCTCTTTTGTCTGGGTTACGCATTTCAGAAGACACTTGATGGTGTGGAAAATTTTTTGCCCTCGATTCATGTTTGCCAGTTTGACTTTGATTGTCATTCAGGTGGTAATCGTTTTAGTCACCATAGCCTTCGCTAGTGGCAGGCTAATCAGACAAATCAATAACTTATTTTGGAAATGAGCAAAACCGCGGTTGACATTCTCTCTACTAGCCCTTGTAGTTAAGACAACAGTCAACTTTCAATTACATCGAACATTAAATAAGTCTCTAAAGCCAAGTGCTTTCTGTATACTAGAAAAAGGCGGTGTCCAACTCACCGAACTCATCTTCAAACCCATTATTAAAATTTTCCCCATTCATGTCTCCAAATATTGAGCCCAAAATCCCTTGTTGGGAAGCGTCGGTCTGCTGTTGCTGGCTCTCAACACCGCTTCCACTGTATGCCATCACTCCGCCGGGAATCTGCTGATTGTTCTGCTGCTGTTGCTGACCGAAAGGATCCGAGAACATTGCCTCTTCCTCCTGCCTCTGTCGCAGCCTAGCAGTTTCTTCCTCTTGCCTCTTTAGTTCCTCCTCCTGTTCTTGTACAGCCTTTAGTTTGGCTTCCTCCTCCTTTTGCTTGGCCACGATCTCGCGGCGTTTCTCCCAATAATCGGCTGATGCCTCAGACAGATCACCACGTAATTGCGGAAACTGCTTATAATGAACCACAACCCGATCATTTTGGAGACGTTTCCCAAACTGGGCCATGTATTCTTTCTCTATCGCGGCCATCGATTCGCATTTGACGTCTTCTCCGACCAAAGCAGCTGACATCTCACTCAATTTTGCAAACCCCAGAGGCATCTCAAATTTATGATTTTGAAGTAGCGTCTCTAGTCTGCTTATTTCTTCCTTTTCAGCCGCCACACTGTCTTGGACAGCTTCCACATTTAAGTTTCGGTAAATGCGCGGTGGAAGTACCTTTAACTGTGGCACGTTTTGTGTCGTTAGAATGTCAATCATTTCACTGGCCTTGATCACATTTTGCGTTAGATAAACTCTGTACGATATTGTGTCGCTTTCATCGTGAACGAGTGCGCCGACATTTTCTGGTCTCAATCGTATCGCGTCATTGGTAGAAGCATGGTGGCTTTCCTGCGAGCCACGGAATCCTTTGATGCTGTGGGACTTTTTCTTCTTTGTGGCCATTGTGAGAGACAACTCGAATATGCGATTGTCTTTCCTTCAAAACAAGCTGTATTGTTTAATCCGCCATTTAGTTCTGCTCACTTCAAATATGGAGTATTACCCTCCTCTAATAAAATAGCTTAAGGTTTGTTTGTTTACTCTTTTAAATGACGGAACAATATGGAATTGTAAATAATGGGAACTTGACTCAAGCCAATGAGCATTGGCACAGTCGGTGTTATCATAACTGATATTGTTTTGAGCCGATCAATCAGATACGTGTGGAATGTCGGTAGAAGTTAAAACAATGACGGAGTCAAGCTTCATTTATCCTTTCCATACAACGATTTTCTTTAAACCTGAAGAGACGGAGCTCACCACAAATAATTTGTGGCAACCATTGAAAGCGGAAAACGCCAGCTTCTTTGGTGTTACTGAAAGACGCGACAAAATATGTGCAGGCCAAGTCGGATCTGGGGTCTTTGTCCACTCTTTTGAAGTCTACGATAATTGTATTCTATGCCGCTGCACAACCAACAGAACAGAGCTTATCAATTCACTGGTATGCACTGAAATAGCTATCGATAAGACTCTCATAGACTCGGAGAAAGAGCAATTGCTATCGTTAGCAAATCAGTTTGAGATCGACGTCCTCGTAGCGACTAGCGGGCTGTACTCTAGGAAAGCTCAATCTGTGGGGTCAGGGCAAGCCCTTTACCTCCTTGGATTTGAGGCCAGAGTAGCTGCAGCCGAAGCAAGTGTAATGGCTTTGCTACAGCTGTTCAAGGATCAGATTGTAGAGTATGTGGATTTGCCATCTCCGGCTATGATACCGACATGCGTGGGCGTAGACCGCCACACTTTGCATTGCTTCAAGGAGCTATACAATACTACAATACTCATACCCAGTATCTCTGCGAGCTCGGGGGGTACGATTTTTGTGTCAGGGGAGGTCCGTTCCTTGGTTTTGATGGCAAAGAGACGTTTAGAGACCATGATGACAAGGGCAAGAGAACATCTACTATATGCTACAATCTCGGCTTCCTCTACTTTGAAACTGCAATATGTAAGCAAGTTTCGACAACGACAAATCGCAGCTATCATGGAAAAACATGTTTGTTTCATCAAGGTTGAAGAGTCAGTGGTTCACTTCGTGGGAACTTCCTCATACGCACTGAAGATGGCCGTAAAAAAGTTCACCCTAGAAGTCTTGATGCCTGTGTTTGAAGTCCAATATCTATTTCATAATGGGGCTAGCCCCGTTTCACTGCAATACCTTAACTCAGCTCTGCACAAAATTGCATCAGAAAAAAATATTGTCATGCTACGATTGGATGGCGTACCGGTAAGGTTCGTACTCGTTGGTTCTTCGCAAGACGTGGCCAAGGCCGCTACATTGATAGAAGAGTTGAGATTACCCGGGGACGTACAGATAAAATACGACGTTGAGCTACACCCCGACTACAAAGATTTCATAGCTGGCAAAAAGAACGGGAAAATCACACGAATCATGGACAATGCAAAATGCAGTATATCGTTGCAGTGTCGTCAAAGTGCTGATAACATCTTCGTCTCTTTATTAGCAGAGTCATTCGTCGACGCTAGAAGAGGCATGCAGCTTTTGAATGATGAGTTACCCGCTGAAGAAGCATTCTTCATTCCTGACGCATATCATAGGCCCATCATCGGCACTCGAGGTTCCATAATCCAAACTATAATGAGAAGACATAACGTTTTCATCCAATTTTCAAATACCGCGCGATCTTGTCAAGGCAACATCGGCTTTATAAGACATGACAATGTTGTCATTCGATGCCCTTATAAAAATAGAAGATCGATACCCCCAGCAAAGGACGAATTAAAGCGCATTGTGGGGGAGTACAGTAGCCTACAGCCCAGAACATATGTCAACCTCACTGTTGGTCAATATCGTTACCATTTACGTGCAAGCCAAACATGCGGCCTTGATGTTATTGAACATATTGAGCACAAAACTGGAGCCTACATTATGTTTCCGACCCAAGTGCCAATTTTTAACCAGGCATTAGAGATAAGAGGAAATGAGAACAGTTCAGCTGAAGCTGCTGAACAATTAATTGCGCACCTGGCACTTGAGAGGCAAATTACTCTCCATAGTGAGATTTCTGATGTCCCAGAGTTCATTAACACAGTGGTTGCCACGCTCAAGGAAGCTTTAGATATAGAGACCACACTCGACGGTAGAGTGATAAGAATCAACTATTGCGACATTGATGAAAAGCAAATTCAGAGAGCATCAGGAATTGTCGAAGCATACATCAAGTCGAAGGGAATGCAGGTCAAGTCCTGCAAGACTATAGAATTGGGCTCACTCGTCGAACCTTACATGTACCCACAAAATATTTTGATGGCGAATCCCATTTGAACGGAAATTATAGCTTAACTGCTGACTAGCGTTCAAAGTCGGGTACCCAGTGTTATATTCAATGCTAACAAACACCTATCAAAATCTCTCAGAGGAGCAAACTGAGAAACGTTGGCAGCATTTTCTACTGACGGTCTCAAGTAGGAAAATGACTTCCTTAAAACTGTGAAGTTCTGGCCTGAATTTTTGGCAATAAGTGCGGACTTCTCGAATTCAACCGTCAAGATGTTTTTCAGTATGTTTCGGGCTCTCCTAATCTCAGCGGAGGCATCTTTTTCTCCAGAAAACCCCTTTTTCACTGTCGACACAGCCTTTAAGCAAAAGAGAAGACTGCGGTACACTTGGCTCGAATCATCAAAAGAAGTTTTCGGTAGAGTAATCCCACTTGCTTTCAATTTTTCTTCATAGTCTTCGGTCCTGAACTTATACCGCAAGTACTGTACGTACGTGGTCTGAATCATTTGTCGCTGAGACACAAGTGGTTTTATCCTCATGAAGCGCCGGTAACACATCCTAATCACTTCGTCGTGGGCACACTCATTGATCATGTTGTGCGGAGGAAAAAACTTTGCATGTTTCAACAAAAGAGTCTTCTGAGACGTTATAATGGCATTTTTCGTAGTTATGGTAAGACCAACGTTTGGCATAAGTTGTTATGGCTCAACTGTCTTTAATCACCGATTTCCTTTGAGATGTTGAGCGTCTTCTAATGTGTTTTCATGAAATCTCATTGGGAACGAATGAAAAAAATCGATCCGCCAAGCACCTCATCTCATCGCTCATTATGAACAACAATTAGAAGATATTTAAGGCCAATACTCCGCGTATCGCACTGTATTGTATACCGTAATTATTGTGCAGACTGATTCAGAGAACATGGTGAAAATGAAGAAGTCTAAATCCTCTTTGTCTCAGAGCTTTGACGACAAAATTTCAGACCTTATATACCGGATGCTAGATGAGAAGTCTCTAGAGAAGCAAAGGCTAAATGCGGCTAAGAAAGCATCTCTCTCAGAAGATGATTTAGAAAATGGTAGCCAGTCAGATGATGATTTTGCGGAGGTCTTTCTAGCTAGGGATCTAGTGTTTGGTGAGGTCATGGCATATGTTCAATCCAAAGACTTGTCCATGCAACGGGTAAAGAAAGTTCTACTTGAAAAAACGGTCGAAAAGTCACTGAAGAGAGCAGTAGCTGAGGAAGAAGAACAGTTTGCTCCATTCTTTGCCGAAAAGAACTCTAAAATATCAGCATCTGAGCCTCCGCAAGAATCTCTAATTCAACAAAATATGATGGTAGCCCAAGATACCAATGGTATGAACAAAAGTATTACTAGCCAATGGGGGAAAGCTAATTTTGAAGAAGTTAGCAAAGACGAGGCAGATAAAAAGTCCACTACTAAGAAAAGATCCAAAGAAAGTAGCAGTAAGCCGAAACGACAAAAGACAGGGGAAGATAGAACACCTCCAACGTGTGATTTATCTTCTCTAGGAGGTATGGACGATGTGGTTGCTCAACTCATGGAACTTATTGGTCTCCCTATACTACATCCCGAAATTTTTGCGACAACCGGTGTAGAGCCTCCCAGGGGTGTATTACTACATGGGCCTCCAGGTTGTGGTAAGACTTCAATAGCAAATGCACTCGCAGGTGAACTGCAAGTGCCATTTATCTCCATATCTGCACCATCTGTGGTGAGTGGAATGTCGGGAGAAAGCGAAAAAAAGTTGAGAGATCTATTTGAAGAAGCAAAGAATCTAGCTCCTTGTTTGGTTTTTTTTGATGAAATAGACGCCATAACTCCTAAAAGAGATGGTGGCGCCCAAAGAGAAATGGAACGGAGAATTGTGGCTCAACTGCTAACTTCTATGGATGAATTGTCTTTCGAGAAAACGGGCGGCAGACCTGTTATAGTGATTGGCGCTACCAATAGACCTGATTCTCTAGATGCAGCCTTGAGACGTGCCGGAAGGTTTGACAGAGAAATCTGTCTAAATGTCCCAAATGAAGTGTCACGGTTGCACATTCTAAAAAAAATGGCAGCCAACCTGAAAATTGATGGTGATATCGATTTTTTGAAGCTGGCAAAACTAACACCTGGATTTGTTGGAGCTGATTTAAAGGCTTTAAGCACAGCTGCCGGAACATGCGCCATAAAGCGTATTTTCCAGAACTTTGCTTCTCGTGATCAAGACCTAAACAACTTCATGGATGTTGATGTTGCAATTACAGGTAATGATATCGAGTCGGAACTCAAAAACACTGCGAACATGATAGACCCACTACCTCTCTCGACTGTACAAAAATTTATTGAAAACTTTCCGGAACCACTTGGGCCAGAACAGTTGGCGTCGCTTTCGATCAGATATGAAGACTTTTTAAAAGCTTTGCCCACCATTCAACCCACAGCCAAAAGAGAAGGTTTTGCTACTGTTCCAGATGTGAGCTGGGCCAATATTGGTGCATTGAACAGGATTAGAGTAGAGCTTAACATGGCAATTGTTCAGCCAATCAAGCGCCCGGAACTGTACGAAAAAGTTGGTATCAGTGCCCCAGCTGGGGTCTTGCTTTGGGGCCCACCTGGCTGCGGTAAAACTCTTCTTGCGAAGGCGGTTGCAAACGAATCAAGAGCTAACTTCATTTCCATCAAAGGGCCGGAATTGCTTAATAAGTATGTGGGTGAATCCGAGAGAGCCATTCGACAAGTTTTTACACGCGCGCGTGCTTCAGTTCCTTGCATCATATTTTTTGACGAGCTTGATGCACTTGTACCACGTAGAGATGCCTCCTTGTCGGAATCGTCCTCTAGGGTTGTCAACACTTTACTTACTGAATTAGACGGACTCAACGACAGACGTGGAATATTTGTTGTGGGTGCAACAAATCGGCCAGATATGATTGACGCTGCGATGCTTCGACCTGGTAGACTAGATAAAACCTTATTCGTCGAACTTCCTAACTTCGAGGAGAAGCTTGATATAATCAGAACTCTAACCAGAACAAATGGAACTCCTCTCGCTTCTGATGTTTACCTTGAAGAAGTTATCAAAAGCGAGAGCTGCAGAAACTTTTCTGGTGCAGACTTGGCAGCCTTGGTTAGAGAAAGTTCAGTTTTAGCGCTAAAGAGAAGCTTCTTTCGAAGTGAGGAAATTCATTCCATTACTGAAAATAATCTGGAAAAGGAGTTCGGAGAACTCACCACTACACCCGGCACGGATGTGATTGTTACTATGAAGGATTTCACCGACGCTTTGAAGAAGGTAAAACCCTCTGTGAGTGATAAAGACAGGCTGAAATATGAGAGACTCAACAAAAAAATGGGGTGGATTGATGACGCTGAGGAATGAAGCTAAAGCCCCATTATATAAACTAATTGCATTGTATTATAGTACCGTAGGTTAGGCCAATAGAGACTACGTTTTAAAGTGCCCTCTTCTAAGGATATTTCTGCGAACTTTCCAAACAAATTCATATTTTTTTGTCGTTTGAAAGACAAAAAGGGAATATCGCTTTCACCTTGAGGCACTAAGCACTCGTTTGAAGGGTACAGTTCGCATTGCGGTGTTTCGGTTTTCCGTCTTCTCAAGTACAACTGGTCATTTTCTAAAGCCATCAGCTCCCTATGATGCAGGAACGGGAGGTAAATATTGATGTATGCTTCAGTCGTATCTATTGAATGGATCAGTCCCAAGCTAAGAAAATAACCATCCCCTACATTCTTTAACACAGGAACTGAATCTAGCTTCTCTGCCAAAAAGTTTCCATCAAGTTTGTAGATCCCGACTATAGTGCCTTCCAAAGCATCTTTTAGATGGCTATCTGACCATGATACAGTGTTTTGTTCGATCACAAAGCCTTTAATTGGGTCATTATCACCAAATGACACTCTTAATGGTGCCGTTTTCACCAAGGGAGTAAAGTCATACTTGATGAGTTTTTTGGAAGAAGATAATGTGTGAAAATGCGAAAGAAGTCGAAATTGCCTTAGATGAGATGCGTGAAATCGATTTCGGAAAGTCGAGAAGCTGGAACCATGATAACCGTCAATACTGTCAATTTGAGCCTGATAGTTTTCTCTCTGAAAAGATGTAAAGGAAGAATTGATTTGTAATTCGTTAATAAACGATTGCCTTCCAGATCCTGAATCCACAAGCACAATGTGGGTGGGTTTGAAGTTGTTAATAAGATAGTTCAAAATCTGTATTCCAAAACCTTTTATCCAGCCTGGAACGTTTAACAGTGTTGTGCCCATGTGGAATTCACTAGAGAAACTGTCGAAGAGCTCGCTCACTTCCTTCAAGTATTGTGTAGGAAAAGAGGACGGACTATTCGTGCCAATATAGCGTTCCGCTATAGGTGTAAAATTTGACTGCGCGAGTGGATTACCCAACTCAAGACTCTTATCGATCTTGCTCAGGGATATACAGTCAGGCCTGGAAAATTCAGGTTGACCGGGATCCAAATCGAGGTAAAAAATGGGTTCATGCTCGTCTTCATTAGTATGCAATAATCTTTGCAGCAACAATCTCAAAAAAGTCGATTTCCCGCAATTTTTACCTCCTAGAACCATAACCCTCATATCATGTAGATTTGCTTGATGAAATTGAGACAGTTCTGCTAGTTTTGCTGACCAAGAAGGGGAGATTGTGAGCGTCAAAATGTTACTTAAGTCTCTCAGAGTATCCTTTGAAACAATAGAAAAAGAAGCGCTTGAAGAGTGGCCCAACCTTTGAAAATGCTGGGGTACCCATAAATCTCTGAAAACTGTATTAAGCCCAGAAATATCTTGTAGTCCCAAGCAGCGATCTTGTATAGATAAAACACACTCAAATTCTTGATGTTCTATCCCAGTTTTTGCAACGTCACTCACCATAAAACTACGCTCGTCCCATCCTGCATAGAATGAGCTTCCAATTGGAGACATCGCAGAGCAAGTGGGATGCCATATATTTATCAATTCGCGAGATGCATTGTAGTGGACATCATTGTATGTAATTCCTCCTTTCAAGATTCGCAGCTGGAAGCTTCCGCATATCATAACCTCTTGATACTTCTTCAGTCCCAAAATGATACAGTATTTGTTCTCATTCAAAATAAAAGTGTTGACCCCCAATTCTTGGCTAAAGTGCTGCCATTTAAAATCAGTGAGTTCAGCATATGTTTGATCAACGCCCTTACCTGATTCAGCATCAATATTCCCATTCACATCATCGTCGTACTCACTGGACGAGGAGGAAAACACCTCATCATCGGATTTGACCGCATCACCTGAATCACTTATTGAGCTTATAGAATCATCATCCTCAAGGCCCTGGTCATATTGAGGTTCAATACTCAAAATATCATCGGAGTTTCGAGCTACGATGGGAATTCAACGGTTAGTCGGTCGTTTGTTAAGATAATATCAAGTTGGCCCGCATATAGTTGTCGGCTCCATACAGCTTTACATGTACATACCATCCAACATCACAGTCCTCTGATGCCAGCCAAGGTGGCTTAGAGGTTCGTTTTACTCAATCTTTGTACCACGTACCTTTTAGTTGAACCAAGTGACATTTATTAGTGTTCCAAGCCATTGATTGTTTCACAAACTCAAACTCAATCAACACATGATCACTATCAACTACAATAGTGATGAACAATAAAACAACCTTTAATATTCCGTAAACCTAAAATTACACACACAGTACCCGGCGGCGCTATTAGCAATAAAACTAACCTGAGCAAATCACAGATTCACACCACTACCGTTGGATATTTGGCCAACGGCTTTGTCACGAGGAGTCCCTCGCTGGCCACATCCATGTTGTAATTAGTAGTGTCTTCAAATTCATCCTCTTCGTATTCCTCCTCCAATAGAGTGCACATCAAGTAGTCTCTGATAAAATTGACCCTGGACAAAGCATCAACAAGCTCTTCTTGTTTATTATCAATGGCCAACGCCGACAACATACCCCCGAGTTCGTTTGGGTCAGAGGTCTGGTCATTTCCACCGGAGTTCTTTTGATGCATACTGAACGAATCTGCACGACGGAATTGTGGCAATTTAGCTGATGAATCCAATCGAGAAGAGACAAATGGAATAGTTGGGGGATAAGCGCACGAAGGCGGGTAATTGGCCGAAGTAGTAAACTGGGCACCAGATTGAATAGGGGGGAGTTGGAGTGTTGATGGATATCTTGGGAGAGCAGAGGATGGCATAAGTGGAGAAACAGGAGCCGCCGTGGGAACAGAATTCAAGTGAGGTAGACGGGGTAATCTGCGACTCATATCGTTAGCCAAACTTGAAAAAAAGCCTGTCGCAGATCTTAAGTCTTGAGGGACCGAATGCGGGGAAACGCTTACGGTTGAAGAAGTAGGCCGTGGTGCTGGGGGAAGAGGTTGACCGAAAACGAACTCTGTAGAACGATTTCCGACTGCAGAGCTTGCAGGTAACATGATTGTCTGCAGACGTTCTTCAAGTTGCGGAGTGTAGGAGGGTTCATAGCGGTGAATCTCATTAGCGAGGAACGATTCGAATGTAATTGACGGCAGCTTTGGTGCGGTCTCGGAAGCTGGTTTTTTGGATTTGCCCACTTTGTTGGTCAAAGGCTTGGGGCCCCTCTTGCGTCTGACGATAGTGTCATTGTCAAAATGCACTTTTAAATGCTTCTTCAAGTCTTGAGGCCGCTTGAATTTCTTTGCACAAGTGGAGCACGCAAAGGGTTTAAGAGGTACATGAACTCTGAGATGCGAAGTAATATGATCCCGCTTGACTGTTTCTGCGGTGCACTGTCCCCAGTGGCATTTCAGTTGCAAGTTTTTTTGAGACTTCCGACCCACATGATCGTTGCACAGGTGGTGGTACAGTAATTCGGGCTCGGCAAATCTTTGGCAACACTGGTCCCATTCGCACACCAGGTTTCCACCGGTGTCACTTTCACAGCCTGAAACTTCAGAAGGAGAAGAGGATTCAGCGCTGCCGCTCGATCTGCCCCAGTATTTTCGCTCGTCCTCACTGGGTGGAGAAGACAGATAACCGGCGTTTTCGTCGTGATTGAGCAAATCTTTCAGAGGCGCCATGGTAGGAGTAACTGATCCAGAAAAAGAGCTATACTGTACTATAAGGCTTCTCTTTTTCCTTGTCGTGCCAATTTGGTTATGAAAATTATGGAGTGCTGGTAAGCTCTTATATCGTTGTCAGGGTCCTTGTTTCCACCTCAATTAATATATACTTTTCTGTCTCTAGCATGAGCCACCAATTACGTCTGTCGTGACAGTATAAAGGAGATTGGTAACGATGTTAATGGCTAACTGAAGAGGGCAGGGAACCGATAGCGTCGACGGCGTTAAGTGTGGTGTGGTGTTTAAAGGCTACCAAAGCCGATTCAATTAAAATTAACTATATATCTATCATTGTTGGATTGAATGTATCTTCACTCATTTCTTACCCGTAAGACCTTTCTCGAGTAGTCCACATCGTCAGCCAGTGACATTTTACTTCCCCCGTTTTCCCATTGCATCAAAAACATTTGTCTAGGATCCAGTCGTTGGTCAACAACTACAGGACTATCTTCTCCCACGGGAACACTTTCGGTATCCTCCATGGTAGTTGCTTGGGATTTGCGGTTGTCGTTGTTTTCCGACGACGGTGGAGGACCCTGTATTCCTTTCTCATCGGCGTAAATAAAACCGTTCGGCGACGCTGTTGATGCGGGGCCGACACTGTTGTTACTACCCACGGGAGCCACCACGTCATTATATCTTTTTTCAAAATCTTCGTCTCTTTGATTCTTGCGCCTGTACCACAATAATAGTGCCAGGAGGACAAGCAGAAGAACCACAACTCCAACGGCAACAAAAGTGCCAGCCACCTTGCCGGGAGATCCCCAGAAGCCTTTGGAATTAGAATTAGAGTTATGGCCGCTAAGGGTGTTAGCATTTGAGGCTGGGGATACTCCGTCAGTGGGACTAGAATAAACGGTCGTGATAACGCGAGTTGTGTAAACGTAGTTGCTTGCGCCTCCCCCATTGGTTGTTGAAGCACTGACTGTTTGCGCCGAGTAATAAATCGTCGTCACTAATTTTGTCGATGGCGTATAAGGCGTCGAAGATGCAGAGGAGAAAGAGGTTGACATTAAAGTTGAAAGAGTAGAAGAGGAGTGAGATAAGCTTGAAGAAGGGCTGGTTGAAGAAGGGCTGGTTGAAGAAGGGCTGGTTGAAGAAGGGCTGGTTGAAGAAGGGCTGGTTGAAGAAGGGCTGCTTGAAGAAGGGCTGGTTGAAGAAGGGCTGATTGAAGAAGGGCTGGTTGAAGAAGGGCTGCTTGAAGAAGGGCTGCTTGAAGAACTAGATTTAGAGGAAGAGCTCGAAGCAGTTGTGGTAGGAGAGTGTGACGATGATAAACTTTTCGAGGAGTGGTCTGATGAGTAGTCACCGGACGATGAATGACTCGATGGAATATGGCTTGACGACGAAAGACTGGAAGCAGTAGCACTTGACGACGAGGAGCTTGAGGATGTTAAGCTTGGCGATGAAGAGCGAGTAAGCAAAGAGCTCGAAACAGAGGAGCTACCCCTGGAGCTTGATGCTACCCTTGAGCTTGTAAGAGAAGAGCTAGGACTCTCAGATGAAATGCTCTGGGTACTAGCAGCTACCGAGGAAGAGCTTGCGCTATTTGATGATGAGGGAGATGTTGAACTTGACAAACTTGATGGTAGACTGGAAGAAGAGCTTGAGCTGTCAGGCCCGCTAGAGCTCGCAGAGCTTGCACTTTCACTAGAAGTTCCCAAATAGATGTACCCAAATAAACCTTCGTCTAGGTTTCCGCACTGCTCGTATCCATAGCCCGGACACACCGAATCACAGTCGCCCAAAGCAGTCTGGGAAGAGGGCCCACTATTAGAACACCAGCAGTTGTGATCTTGCAAGATAGCGTAAGAATATCCTTTGCAGGCACCAGAGCACCAGCCGTTGCTCTGAAACTGCGTCCATTTTGCCGATGTCGTTCCGGTATTCTGAGAGGAGCAGGAGGTTTGTGCTCCTTCCGCAACTGTCGTTAAGTGAGTCCATAGAACTGTAACAAAAATCCAGTTAAAAACAGCGGAATGCCAACTGATCATATGAACTAGGGCTGACTTTATGAGGTTTCTAACAATCCTTTAGCCTGTTGAGACACTGAGATTAAAAAGTTCCTTGACTGTAGTGGTCCGTGCTCATAAACGAAATATTAACTATTTTTATTATCACGGGATTTTCAAATCTGCAGAAGCATCAATACATCTTCGGACTTTGTCAAGCACGCAATTTTGGAAAACGAATCTGGCAAAGACATTGAGGGCCATTGCCTGGGGAGCCTTTCTATATGAGCGAAATGTGGAGCTGATGGGTTGGGTAGTAAGCCTCATCCTACTCCCGACGTTGGGGGCAAGGAGAAAAAAGAATAAATTTTGTACGTTTGCGCCCCTTTCAGGCATAAGAACATTGCTGGGTGACACGAAACTGACTAAGTTAATAAGCACTGTCTTCTCACTTGTGTTACAGTTCAGTAGTCCATCAAGTAAAGAAATACAAAATAATATTAGGAAAGCTTGTACGCACATTTTCAATGTTGAGCCTATTTGTCTGCTGCGCCAAAAATGAGTTGTGAGATATAATTGTTCAGGAGACGCTGCTAGCGACCTTGACCCTTGGCTAGATCTAGGAAGTGATGTGCTGCGTCACTGTAAATCGCGTAATTAGTGATGTGCCTAAACCAACTGTTGAAGTTCTCGTCTCACAAAGCTGTCGTGTTGAGCCACGATCTGTATGTTCAGAAAGTGCGGTCCAAAATCATTATTCCGCGGTACCAAAGTAGCAGTAACCGCTCATAAGTTGTTAAAGTCGCAATATTTTGCTAGTCTTGCATTTCTCCACGCAAATTCCCCACTGATAGTTTATAGTGGGATAGATAAGAGTCTTGGTAGACACCACAAGAGGATCTGGCTCTACCTGGGCCCTTATTTTATTCTTTGATACTCTGTGCAAGCAAGTATTGTAGCCTTTAGTTAACACGTGACGTAATATGCAAAGCAGATGAACTCGGGGAAAATGTGGCATGTAGTGAAGAAAGCCAATAGTTGGTCCGAGTGATCGAACTTGGATAACGCCAGCATCAGCAATTCCAACAGCGCTTTTTGGCTACCGCTTGCTGCATTTTCATGACTGACCGCAAAAAACTTGTGCATTCACACATCCACTGGCGCAATCAGAAGCGGAAAGCGTGGCAGCGTGAATTAATATCCAAAGTGGTAGACCTCATCAATGCTGGGGATCACGATTCGCTAGCACTTATAGCCCGAACAACAGGTATACCGCCTCAACTACGAAAAAATGTGTGGCCGATATTGTTAAAATACCACCCAATGGTAATCTCCCCCAATATGATGTCAAATACATTAGTTTGGGATTCGCAGAATCAAAAGTGGCGCTATCATCCGGAAACAAAGACGAACGAAGAGGTTGAGCAACTCATTCTGCATGATTTAAGTAAATATTTTCATCGAAGAAGCTCAGGTGGGAACCTGCCCAACGGAGTGCAAACCTCCCATGAGCCACCTTCACACATCACTTCCCAGGAACATAGAATCATCACACTTCTCAAGGACTGCATCTTCAAGTTTCTGCGAAAGTGGGGGCAATTTTTCAAGTACGAAAGTGGGCTTTCGTGGATTGCGCTTGGTCTAGCCGAATGGGTCCCTATCGATGGTGACGACAGCGTCTTACCAGGGAAAAGACATGGACCCCCGGTAAAATTGTTTGAGGAGTATTATCTACCCCAGGATATTAAGTCGAATCTTCCGAAAAATGCGCAATTCACCTTCGGAGAGATATATGAAAGGCTGCTTCTCGTCATATTGCATTCACCCGACATCCCAAAGGCGGAAAAGCTAGCCAAAACAGAATCCGAGGGAAGGTCCGTTATACAGTATTATCCAGTTCTTTCCGGGGGGGATATTGCGTTTCAGTGCCAAATGTTCTTCAAAGTATTTTCTGTCATCTTACCCGAGCTTTATCAACCTGTAAGTGACGAAGAAACATTGCGGCCCTCAAAAAAGACAAATTGGATGTATTGGTGGTTCAAATGTTCGGGGGCCCGTGTACTTCATAAACAAGATAGAGGTCGAATATGGGACGTGCTGTTGGGCTGGAGACCACATCCGAGATCTTTGAACTTCTACCTCAATTACAACAATAAAATTTTCGACCATCTCTATTCAAGCAGAAGCTCTTCTCACATGGACACTGAGTTTTTTCAAAAGATTTGTAAATACGGACACGATGCTTTTTGGTTTCCCGACCTTGAAACACTGAAGCTGGGGTCTCAGGAGCTGAGATGTGACATTCAGGTACTAACAGAGCTTGTGAAGCGAAACAAATACGGCTTATCCGACGATGAATTAGAAATCGACTTTCAAAAAAATGGAGAAGAAGTCGGCTCCGTCACCAAGAAGGGAGTTGATATCCCCTTCTCATTACTGGATGCACATGTGCAACTTGTCTTTATCTACATGGCTATTTTACAACAGCATGAATTCAAGCTACTAGAGTTTGAAGAAGCCGAAATTTCAGAGTTTTTCAATAACGTGCCTTCACTATCCCGATCGGATGACCACAACTATCGAAACCTTTACGAAAATGAAATGGAATCTCGATCGATTAGCTCTAGCGAGACTGAGACAGATGAACTTTCGAGGAGGCCAACTTCCTCTTCTTTGGCCAATCACATGCTGATAGAGGTCGGTGATGACGATAAAACTTCTAATTCGTTTGATGAACTGTACAGCAAGGCAGGGGACATATGGAGGAAATGGATTTGGAAAGAATTGGAAGATACTGCAAATGTTTAGCCTGCTCTATTGAATTTGGAACGGTCGCGAACATGGTGTTCTTTGGCTGTGGCTGATGTGAGCTTCCAACACATTGAAGGCAAATAAAAAAGCTTCATTGACCCATCTTTAGCCATATGGTCTATGGTCGTGGACAGTGAAAATGATTATGTATCTTATGATTTGCGATCGTTCGTCTATAAATTCGTCTTTTTTGCATGGTTATCGAAGAGCTGTCTCTTTAATACTTCTGGTTTTCGAGGGTACGCAGTAGGACTAATTACATTTAAATTAGCCGCCCAAACAAGAACTGGAAGTTGAGAGCTGACCAGGCTAATCCCAAATCATAAGCAAGAGCTAGTAGAAAAAGTGGTATTCCTTTGCTTGTCAATACTTAAACTTTCCCTTTTATTTATATTGGCATCGATGGTAGTAGGGTCTATCAAATCTACCGCATATATGTAATGTTTGCAATAGGCGCGTAGTTTGATACGAATATATAGACTCGAGATTCAAATAAGAAGAAGGGCTTCTGAACACGGATGTTGTATACAAAAACAAAGTGAGATAGAGTCATGTTTTGTGCCAGTACGTCCCCTGTTCATTATTTTTTCAGCTTTAATCATACTAACCATCATTTAAGTAAGCGGTCGACCTTTGAAAGCCGCCGTTTTCTCACCAAATTCGAAGTGTGTCTTTGAAAAGTCTCTGATAGAAAGTTACATCCAGCAACATGGTGTAGACCCAATCACAAAAGATCCTTTAGAGATTGGGCAACTTGTCGAAATAGGACATACTCCCGAACAGTATGCAATGTCAAATGCTGTTAACTCCTCCACCCTAAAGTCGAACTACAGCATTCCAAATCTATTATCATCTCTGCAAGATGAGTGGGATGCAGTTATGCTCGAAAATTTTCAGCTGAGGCAGCAGCTAGAAGCCCTCAAAGTAGAGCTCTCGACCTCTATGTATCAACGCGAAGCTGCAATGAATGTTGCCACAAGGGCTACGTTAGAGTGTGAAAGTTTAAAGAAAGAATTGAGTGTCTTGACCCAAAACTTGGCGCCGGCTCAGCCTGAAAAGCTTGATATTAGTGATGGGGAATTATCGGATGAGCGTATCTCAGAAATTCTGCGAAACCGTATTAATAATTCAGGAGAGTTTGCGAAAGAAAGTCGCAAAAATAAATTTAGGCCATTGCCGTGTTCTAGAGTAGAAGGAAACGTTGAGTTAATTACCGAAGCTACCTATAATGGCTCTTTGGACTCTGCCTTTATCAACGGCAATATTGCCAATGGAAAATTGGTGGTCTATCACGACCCAACAGGTGCATGCAATATACTGTCAGTTAAAAACTGTGATGTGGGTGATTTAAAACCTGTTTTGAGGGCCGGTGACTCTCTCAATTTTGCTGCACCGCTGGATACAAATCGAGTAGCTTTCGGGACACAACTAGGTGCCCACGGCATTTTCAGTCTGACCGATCAACAAGAACCCTTCCCCTCCATGAAGGGTAGTGATCAGGATGCAATTGTATTAGTATCATACAATGAAGTGCTGAACGCGGATGCTTATGTTGTTGTAAGTTCCAGTGGTGTCGTCTCATTAGCCGATGTTGTACAAAACCGTGTCTTAGATTTAAAGCTAGAAATGTTTCCCACTGATTTTGCACACATGCATAAGGATGGCCTCCTACTGCTGAAAGGAAATACTTCCAGGTTAATTGTGCACGATTTTACGGATCTGAAAAGAACAGCCATAGAATTTGAACATGATATAAACAATGAGGGGCCCATAAAATCCGCAGAATTCGCATCTAATGGCTACTGGCTGGTGGTTCAAACTTCTAAGAAGCTCAAAATTTTTGATTTGAGAAAAAGTACAAACACTCTCGCCATGGAGCCAGTTACATTTAATGACCAGAGATTAGTTGCTTGGGAGTTGGATCCAAGCATGAAGGAATTGTTTTTAGTTGTTGAAGATGAAATGCAGAGTGAGTCATGCTCGATATTATTCTACGAGCTCAATAAACCGGCTAAGAAGTGGGATCAAAAATGTGTCCTAGTTGATTCATTGGAAGGCGTACGGGACCTATCTTACTTATGGGATGCCAATTCGGCAATCATAAAAGTGTTGACAAACACTCAAGTATTTGATTTAAAAATTACGTAGTTGATTGCATGTCATTGAGCTAGATAGGAAGGTCAGTTCGAAGCTCCGCATGCTGGTCCTTTTGCTTTAGTAACCATTAACCAAGTGTCAGTATAGTACGAAGTGATATTGTCGACGTCAGTAAAACAAGTATGGACAAGGCGAATGATGAACCAATGGGATTAAGAGGAGCAGCGATTACACAGCAATGCCCTGGCTAGCCATTTCAATCTAAAAATTTATTTGTTGGCCAGTTGTTGAATGCCAGTTGTTGAAATATTAGCCCTAACTGCACCCAGACTATTCCTGCATGTATATGGGCTATATGTCCCCAAATAATCACGGAGGGACAAACAGAAGTCGTCTTACAAGCTCCAGACACATTACACACGATGTCTGTCAATTCGATGAGCGAACCTTTCAGCAAGTTATCTACTGCCGACACAGACTCGTTTCAATAGTTGATAGTTCTTACAGTGAACCCAACAGGTTATCTACTAGTGACGCTGATTGGTTCCGGCTAATATACTTATAAGTATCAAAAGTCCCCACGCTGCGCAAAAGTCATCGTCACTCCTTAGGGGCATTTTCACCGGATAGCGGATGAATCGAACTGACGGGTTTTTGCTACTTCTTCAACAGGCGAAGGCTCGGGTTCTTGCACTTGAGCTACAGATCAGCTGTTTTGCCGCTAGGTGCTCCTTTAAACTTGTTTCGAGCCCCCTTACCAGACTTAATCGTGGAATCTTTTGTGTAGTTGATTGAACGGCCTCTGTGTGGCAGTTACAATCTTTCGAGTGGAACCCAAAGCTATCTTTCCCGAATCCTAGGATAGTCAGCCTTCCTGTCGTAAGCATCCATACTAACAAAATGTATAAGCACACAGCACTCAAAGGTTGGGCACTACATCTTTATGATTACTTAAAGTCTCAAAGAGCTCATCGTCACTATTCACGCTCAGCTCAAGATATGGCATATGGACATCTCTCATTAAAACTACCAATTCAAGGTTATAAAGCACTCTATGTGCCAGAAGGAAAAGGTGGACCTGGTATTTTTCGTACGCAGCTGAGGCTCCTTGTCTTAAAGATGTCATTACTCAAGACTGTGAAGAACCTAGGTCAAACACCTACTGAAATTAAGATCAAGGATGCGACAAACGATGATGAAAACAGCGGAGCCACAGGCTCCTTGATGAATGAGCTTTCGGTGTTAACTTTCAGTCCTAGAACGCTGCGAGAAATCACTCAAGTTATCAAAAAACGACTAAGCGGGAACTACCGTAAAAGTTCACACACCAACGCAGTGCACATTCTCAAGACACTGACGCTAGTTTCATATCTGCTCAATAACGGATCCAATGACTTTGTTGCTTGGGTACGATCGTACTCATATCTGATAGACACGCTGCGGGAATTCAGCGTGAACAGTCGGGGTAGGGAAACAATGGCTGCACAGATTCGAAATTTGGCAAGCTCTCTGTCAGAGCTCTTGCGTGATGACGAGCTGTTGAAGCAGCATCGCAGTGATGTGACACTTTTTCGGTCGAGCATATCGACTCCGGGAAGGAAGTCCACAGACAACAGTCACCTACGGGTATCACCCGGGAACAGCGGAAGCGCAGGAGTAGTGCCAAGAGCGGGTGGTGGTGGTCGGACGCGCAGCCTCGATTTAAATCAACCGCCGGTCTCAAGCCCTCTCAAAAATGCAATTGAATCGATAAACCCGTCAAAAGCTGTCCTGGGGCCGCTTCGCGAGGAGGATTCGCTATACAAGGAAAATCCGGCCACCTCCAGCTACGACATGTGTAAGTGGGACGATGAAACCGTCGCCTACAGGAGAAACGGGGTCACGCGAAGAAGCTCCAACCGTGTAATTACCTAACAATCCCTGTGGCCATATCTTTGTCGTATTCCAGCGCAGGCAACCAGCTCGTCAAAAAGTGGCCAATCGCGCACTACTAACACCTGGGTCCCCATTTTACCACTGCAGGAAAGCACGAATTGAGGTGTTCATAAGGAAAAATTGCAAGAAAAGCACGCTGGTGGTCGCATAATTACACATTGCTTAATGGTGCTGTTTCCTGCTCAGGAGGTTTCTAAACAAAAGCCGCGTCATCCTCAAGAGCTTTTTTCGCAGACATTCTCACCATCACCCACCAACCGGTATAGCTGAAGGTCCAGCCACACCGGTTTAGAGAAAACGACCATCTTCGCGCTATAGACTACACTCCGCTAAGCTTCGTGTCTCTTACGCTGTGTCAGTGTCGTACACATAAATTTCAAGAATTTTACTTACCGCCCCGGTGGCCGCCAACACTAGCAGTTACCTGATAAAACGGCTGCTCTATTAAAACCCCAACACTAGCAGTAGCCTGATAGGATAACGTGCTCTATTGAAACCCCTTCCCAAGTTGCCACTAAAACCCTGTTAGTGTGCTCTTCATCACCATTTCGCCCATCTCCGAAGCGCGGAGAGGACTCTAGTTCCAATTTGAGTCACATAATACGGAAGATCCAGCTTTGTGTCAGGTGACGAGCCGTGCTTCGCTACCTTCGGCTCAAAGGACAAATGCTCGTCCATAACGATATACCCACGTGATACTTAGCATTAACCACGTGCTTACTGTGAGTACTCGGTGCGGTCAGAAGCAACTCACAGCGACCAGAAAACAAGGGGGGAACTTGTCCGGTCATCACACCTGCTTAATAACACAGGACCAAGGGAGGCAGACAAACATAGTATTTCAAGCAAGGAGTATAAATAGCTGGGGGGTTCCGAGCAGGGAGACTTTTTTGCCACTTATGTTTACCACAACAACAGGACTACAAAGACCGACGTACTTTGTTGATTAACTGAGAGATTCAGGATATAATAGTCCGTGTGGGAGCCAGGAGTGATATTCGTGGTTTAAAAGTACAATGCAGATTTTCGTGAAGACCTTGACGGGTAAGACGATCACTCTCGAAGTGGAGTCCTCTGACACTATTGACAACGTCAAGAGCAAGATCCAGGACAAGGAGGGTATTCCACCAGACCAACAACGGTTGATTTTCGCAGGGAAGCAGTTGGAGGACGGCAGAACGCTGTCCGACTACAATATCCAAAAAGAGTCCACTTTGCACCTTGTCTTGAGGTTGAGAGGCGGTATGCAGATTTTCGTCAAGACCTTGACGGGTAAGACCATCACTCTCGAAGTGGAGTCCTCTGACACTATTGACAACGTCAAGAGCAAGATCCAGGACAAGGAGGGTATTCCACCAGACCAACAACGGTTGATTTTCGCAGGGAAGCAGTTGGAGGACGGCAGAACGCTGTCCGATTACAATATCCAAAAAGAATCTACCTTGCACCTTGTTCTAAGGTTGAGAGGTGGTAAGTAAGTAAGGTTAAAAAGACGGCCGACATGTGGCACGATGTGTGTATAGGATACATATTTCCCGTAATTTATTGCCCTTCTCTAACAAATACCTGCCTGATTGAGTTCAACGACAAGTTTTGGAGTAGCTTCTGAGTCCAGAAGTACTCTCAAGTCATGCTCAACCCCAAACTTGAACACCACATCTGCATTTATCAAGTCTTTCCCAAACCTTATTGCCATGACCTTGACATTTTCGATGGTCTCGGTTTTAAGAGCCTCTTCGAATGCCTTCGACCATAATTTTCTCAGAGACTCTGTTAACTCGGCTGAAGGCCGTTCAACCACACTTTTCGTAAGCTCAGAACCAATCTCTGAAACCACAAGCTGGCTTCTCCAAGTGCTGATGATTCCTGTCGAAGTAAATAAGCCGTAGACTGTACTAGACAAAAAGTCTAGCAGCTCGCTTGAACGCTGGACAGATAGGGAAGCTTTGAATGCCTGAGTGCATGCTCTTAATAGTTTGATTTTGTATTCTTCCCCCACGATATTATTCTGATGCGACTTTTTGGTAATGCTCGAAGTCACTCTTTGCTTCTTGTGATGAGAGTCGTTGTCGTCAAATCTGCTGGCGTCATCATCGTTATCTAAGAATGCGACAACGTTGCCTGCTACTCTCAGGCCCTCATCGAAAAGCATTGGTTCGGGATACGCGCAAACAAAAGAAAAAAAACTACAACAATACTTTTTGAACATATTCTCGGTTGTTCCTCGAGAGCTCGGTGGCAAGCCTATCGTTAAGTTGGTTTCGTTGCTCTAGCATGCCCGAAAAAGTAGGCTTAAATTTAATGGCCAATGTAATCAGTGTTTCAATGACAACATCCTTGCCCTCCCAAGGACGGCCCTTGGATGCTTCGAGAACTGCCGCAAAAAGTTCACTCGCGATATGCTTAGATCTCTCGGGAGTAGCAAACTTACAAATTTCACAGATGCTTTTGGCACACATTAACTTCGTGTTAAAATTCTGTGAAGTAAGATGTAGGCCGGCCAATTCAATAATCTCCACCATATAAAGATTAACACCGCCCGATGTAGAATTGTTTGCTTCGTTCCATAATTTTGTGAATATCTTTGAAACCTCCTCGCAATCGTTATGTTGCGCAATAAAAGTAAGCGGGAGTAGCTCGACGCCAACACCGTGAAACATTTCCACGGAATACTGGTACATATAGTTGAATGCCTCACCAACAATCTCTTGCTCTGTACTATTGTTAGACTCGAAGAACTTTGCAACGAGCTTTTTCCCATATTTCGCTACCCGCTCTACTTTGCAGACCTTACAAACACGCCCAAATGATGCGGCATACGATGTGGCAATTGCAGAATTCCTGTCATACAAGCCCGCAAGGCATGCTTTCAGAAGTTTGGTACTAAAAGGATAAAGGTGGTTAGGGTAAAGCATTACCAGTGAGGAAATTGCCTTGGAAGAACCTATTTTTGAAGGAAGACCAATCGATTTTTTAGAGGCTAGTAAAACTCCCTCTATCACATCTGGAAGCTGCTCATTTAAACAAGTTTCTAACAATTTTTCTATGGTCTTCATCATGGGCGCATTTTGAATTCCAAGTACTCTCTGAGTATCAATTGCCGAGGGATCGATATTATATTTGTCGGCATTCATTGTCAGATAGTTAATTTCTTGTGGCTCTAGTGGTGACAATAAAAGCAAGAATTCATAGATGAGGGATGGCGCAAATTTCTGCAGCGCGCCACTGGATTCCTTGACAAGTTTTGTCAAGGTGCCAAGCGCAAAGCTTCTAACCTCCTCAGCATCACTGTTAAGACCCTTTGGGCCCAAGAAAAACGGAATAAGTTTCTCTAACATGTTCTGCAAAGACTTACTCTGGCCACCATTTTTGCTCGCAGAAGAAATTAGAGTCCTCGAGAGCTTATTTGTTAATTTGAGACCCGCAGCTCGAGTGCTTTCTTTTATATCATCCATCACTCGAAAAGCTAAAGTCCAAATTGTTTCTAATCTGTCAGAATAGTCACCTTCCTGTGTATTCTCCAGAAGATCCATCAAAGCAACAGTACTCGCTTCTCGCACTCTCCAGTCTTTGACAGTCATACCTTGAAGAACGCTATCCAGTATGGGAATACGGTATTGAGTAATTATCTGTCCCGGATTTTTTACCAAAGTATGCCAAATGCCATTCATTGCATCTGCAACGTTGCGATAAGGGTCGAACCGATACCTAAAGAGTAACGGGATTAGCTTTTTTGTGCTTAATGCATTATTTTCTGAAATATTGTCCAGGCCGGCTTGTGAAAATATTGACGTAAGACCAAAAGCCATTCCTTTCCTCGATGACCATAACGCTGAATTTCTAGCCAATGGCATGAATTTATAAACCATGGAAGGATCACCTGCTTCACTAGCTAAGCTCAAAATGTCTTTGTAGGTGGACAGTGACCCATCGCCAGTGTTCATTGATCCGGGTTCGAAAAGTTGAGAGTCTGCAGTTATTGCCAAAGTTGACATGCCTTGTTCGGCTTTGGGATCCGCAAAAGCTTTAAGCAATCCTTTTAGCATGTTATCTTTCATCTCTTTACTACTGATTTCATAAATCAGGCCAAGGCCGCGACTTGCTGAATCCTGTACCAGATCGTCGTTATCGGCCAGGAAAACTGCAAAACAACGATGAATTTCTTCAGCATGGTCCTGGGCGGTCTTTGTGTTGACAAGTAACTGGATGAAGCACAAGAGCCATATACAAGCTGCCTTGCGCATTGAGGGCTTCGTTACCTGACATTCAGCTAGCAGCGTCTCTAAAATCGCTTCCGAAAATTTGTCACTAAAGCGCGATTTCATGGAAGAAACTTGATGTTCATCCAAATAGTCCTCAAAAACTAGTAGTTTACAGTTCCATCTACCTGCAAGGACTGCTATCGCTTCGCCAATTTGCAAATTTGTATCTAGGTCCTTTAAAGAGTGAAAGCTTTTTAAGACATCGAGGTATACTATCAAAGAACTAAAATCATCGCAATAAAGGGATAGGTAAGTCCATGCTTTCATACTTTGCTGGTTTTTCAAATTCATTTTTTTCACCGAATCACTTAGCTGTCGCAAGGTCTCCGTTCTTGTATTAGGTGTAAGTTGATGCAACAATCCATACTTTAACAACGGTTTCAGACATTTTAATCCTACTGAGCTCAGCTCTTTAACATCTAGGAAGTGTTGCACCAGCTTGGTGTAATTAAGTATTTGCTCTTCGTTGGTAATTTTACCATGCAAGGCACACAGGGGGACAGAAAAACTAGCGGCTAGCATAATTCGCATGAGTTCTGGGGGATTTAAGCTAGGCTCCAATTTTTCTACCAATATTGTCAAATCATCGTGGGTGCCACTAGCTGCAAATATAAGACCATATAGTTTGCATATATGGTCAACTACCCCTATTGTGGCCAGCCCATTATTTGTGAAAGAGTTATATAACTCTGGAAGTAAGAAGCGGAGCTTTTTCAGGATTGAATGAGGAGCAAATTCCACAAAATATACAACATTCGAACAGAAGAGCGTATCATCCTCATTGGATGGCCCTTCGTCTATCATATATCTGCCTTTTGCCAACTCCGATACGATGATCGAAATGAACTCAAACAGAATGTCGCTGTCAACCGCGATAAGTATGTTCTTAACCTTTTGTCGAACTGCTCCGTCCATCCTCAGGGCATTCTCGGTTTTCAGAGACCAATTCTCATCGAGAATAGTTGTATCATCCTTAGCCACCGCCTCGCTTATTAGGTTTTTGAGGATATACTTAATGGCTTGGTCAGTGGTCTGGTAAAAGGAGCTTGTTGCGTCAGAGATGGATCGCTTAAATCCTTCATTGAATGAATCTATCAATTGAGCTGTAGGTGGACCAAGAATTTCCTTGGCCCCATTATCAACTGTTTGCTCAAAGCTTTGGGAAGTAGTCAAATTCCGCAGGTACTGCACTTTAAACCAGTAAGGGTGTAAACCTTTGATCGATTCCTCTCGTACATCACTGCGGTTATTGCGCAATGTTCCTAATATATTCAAAGTTCTTGAATCAGCCTCGCCATATTCGAACGTCGAATTTATAAATCTGATCATTACAGCCCTACAGTGCATTAGGGCATCTTTATCGTCAGTATTGCCATGGTATAAATCATAATTATCCGAAAGAGTCTTTCGTGCAATTAGCTTCAACTTTTGTTTGGATTGGATAGGAAGTGTTTTCAACAAGGGACTCAGCGAATTCAAAGCTAAGTGAATAGTGGTCCTAAATGTACTCAAATCACCTCTTAAGGAATCGATAAGAAATTCTATGAAGGAAAAATCATTATCATATGAAGGGCCTTGCGCTAGGATTATACCCAAGGTCTCATATTGCTTTCGCCTTTGCTCTAAGCTCAAAGAAAAGTTAGCAACTGACGAATCGAGGCGAAATTGGGGCCATCCTTCGGTATGCAGGTTATTGCGTATCAAAGACGCAATATTGGCTGAATAGTCACTTGGCAAACTTGGGGTGGAAAGCGCCAAACGATTTCGATCTGCGACGTGTTGAACAAATGTTAGCGCTGCGGATCGAAGCTTGAATTTTTTTGAGTTCAGACCAATGGATGATATTACTGATACCTTGTGGGGATTTCTTGTTGCGCAAGTACTATGAGACAGAATGGAGATAATTTTCTCCTGCAGATCCGACTTAACAGGTGGTCTAGATGTAGCAGCATCGCCCGTGTATAAATCCATCATCTGGTCAATGAATTCTTCGTTCCCATAAGGTATGTTTAGTCTTTTCAATAAAGCAGTGGCATGATTAGAGAGATCAGACGAGTCCGTCGAGACTACAATAAGGAACTTCAGTAGATATTGATTATCCGACATAAAGCCGCTCACCACAAACCGAAAAATAGCTTCCTTATAAGCAAGCAGATGTTCTTTACCAAAACTGAGGCCCGCGTTGTAGGTAAAGAATTCGACTTCTGAAACGGTTATTCCAGGACAGCTGTAACCGCGGGGAATAGACTTTGTCTGCGCATCTACTTTCACGGGATTTAAGAAAAAGAACGTGGTAAACTTCTCGAGAAGAGACTTCTTGTCGTCGATAGATCCTACGTCTAAGACCTTACGTACCGCCTCCTCCGCTTGAGAGTCTTTTTGTGGGGAGTCCCAACGCAGTAGGAGTTTGCAGAAGATGCTGAACATTCGCGGCTTAAGGGCTTCCGGTAGCATCGAAAAACCAACAATCATCTCGGGAACGAGTGCGCTAATTTCCGGTACAGACATGCGTTCAACGCCTCGAGCGGCAAATAACAGACTATACTGGCTTATGGCCGGCGATTCCATGGTACCCGTTTTCGATTGAGCTACGAGCTTCGCAACAGGTAGCTTTACGCTCTTCAATGAGGTGATGCGCCCCATGACATTTTTTATTATTTGAAACACCAGCTGCCGAACCGTTGCATGTTCAGAGCCGAGCTTAAGAAGCACCGCCGGGAAGAAGACATCCAGATTCTGTTCCAATGCATTTTCATCCGGAGCCAGTACGAACCTTAGGTCTGCTTTTTCCAAGAGCTGCAATTCCTGAATCTCAGTCAGTGCCATTGTATCTTATTTTCGGGCTTTTGAACGACCTTAGTGTTATGTTGAAATGGTGTGGTCGGCTCGTTATGTCTTGACAGTGGCGATATGTAGATACACCTTAAAGCTAAACACTCGTACGTAACGACTAAGGGTTCGAGCAATCCTCACAAGATCAAAGTGCTGTAAGGACTTGCACAACTACTTGAAAGGAAACTAGCCGTGGACCCAGTCGCAGCTTGACTTCTTGACAATCTTTCACTGTAAGAATGCTAGAGTCTATCGCTGCTGGTCTTTTGAACCGCTTCCTAGGGGCCTACGTTGAGAATTTCGATAGCAAACAGCTAAATGTTGGCATCTGGAGTGGGGATGTCAAGTTGCGAAACTTGAAATTGAAAAAGGAGTCACTGGACGCGCTTGATCTACCCATTGATGTTCAATTTGGATTCTTGGGAGACTTGACATTACAGGTACCGTGGTCAAGCCTCAAGAACAAACCTGTGAAGATTTTGATCGAGGACGTATACTTATTGTGTGGTCCGCGAGATCAATCTTCTGAAAGTGCTTCGGAAGATGCTGAGCGCGAACTAAGACTAAAACTTCAAAAACTGGAGGAGTTTGAAGCCTTGAGCAAGGCTCAAGCTCCAAGCAAAGACGATCCTGCTAATGCTGAAAGCTTTACTCAGTCGCTGGTGACTAAAGTTGTTGACAACGTCCAGGTATCGATAAAGAATATTCATGTAAGATATGAAGATATGGAGAATGTTTTTGCAGAAGTTCCATATTCCGTCGGTATGACCCTCAGTGAGATTTCCGTCGTCTCGACGGATGAGAACTGGCAGCCAAGTTTCATATCTATGACAAGTGCCATTGCTCGGAAGCTTCTGACACTGAATTCCTTAGCTGTTTATTGGAATGCCGACACGAAAAGTGTTTTCCATCCAGACCATGACGAGCTATTCAGACGTCTTCGCAATAGCATATCTAACAAAAATACCGTTCCTAACCACCAATTTCTACTGAGGCCAGTCACTGGTGCCGGACGTCTGGTGCTGCATAAAGCGGGTGCTACCGATGAGATGCCCCATGTGGACATTGAACTCTTGTTCGACGAATTCGGGTTCGATATCAACAACTGCCAGTATCAAGATATTTTGAACACCCTTTCAAAGCTGCACTGGTATCAGAAAACTCTCAAATACAGGAAATCCAGACCCACTTATAGTGTCGCTGAAAATCCTAGAGCATGGGTAAAGTACGCGGCGGAGGCCGTTCTCCAGGAAGTCCACGAAAAGAATTACAAATGGAGCTGGGACTATATCAAGTGGAGAAGGGACAAAAGGAATGAATATATCAAGCTATGGAAACTCAAACTCGCTACTGACGCGAAACAACAAGCAGCAGACGAGGAAAACGTACAAATGCTGAATGAGCTGCATAAGATGCTTTCATTTGACGACATCAAGCTATTTAGAGCCCTCGCAAAGAAATCTTACGCCACTGAGAAGCTGGAAACTAAGCAAGCGGCATCGGACACGAAGACGCTGCAGGCTAAATCATCGGGGTGGTTATCTTCTTGGTGGACGGGCAACACCTCTCAAAGTGAAAGCGGTGATGGTTTTACTATGACAGAAGAACAAAAGAAAGAGCTCTACGATGCGATCGAATTTAGTGAAGATGGAGATATTGTGAAATCAATTGATCAACCTCGAGACAGAATAACAACCAAAATTTCATGTCAATTGAATCGGGGTTCACTTTCTATAATTGACAAAGATAAGGATATCAGATTGGGAGAAATGGTTTTCGAGAAATCAGAAACAGAGTTTTATCAGCGCACCGACTCGTTTGTTGCCTCTTTTAAACTTCATGAGCTAAAAGTGGAAGATGGCTCGCCGAATACTTTATACAAGCACATTGTTAGCGTCAAGGATCTGCAATTTGATGATCAGAGGGACGAGCCACAGCCTGACGAGCCGTTCTTTCAGGTTGCTGTTGAAAATAAACCACTTGACGAATCTGCGGACAATAAGGTTGACATTAAGCTTCGCAGTATGACTGTTTTCTACCATGTTCACTTCATCAACGAAATCATTGGTTTATTTCGTCCACCACAACAACACCTGGATACTATCGGTGCGATTATGAGTGCAGCGGAAGCGACAGTTGAAAGTTGGACAACTCAAAGTAGAATGGGTCTGGAATCAATATTAGAGGATCATAAGACGGTAAACCTAAGTTTGGACTTACAAGCGCCATTGTTTATCATACCTTTAGATCCACATCAATGGGATTCTCCATGTGCTGTTGTAGATGCTGGTCACATTTCTATAGTCAGTGATCTAGTCCCCAAGGAGACGATTAAAAAATACAAAAATTTAAGTCCTGATGAATACGAGAAATTAAACACCAATGACATCAAAAGGTTGATGTTTGACAGGTTCAAACTTCATCTGACTGACACTCAGTTTCTGATTGGACCCGACATACGGACGACAATTACAAATTTGAGCTTAAGCGAAAACGAAAATTCACTCACCATCCTCAACAATTTGGAGATAGAGTTGAACGTTGATGTTTCCATTCTTCCTAAGGCTCTGAATTTGCCAAAGATTAAGGTGTACGGTAAACTACCCATTCTTAAAGTATGCTTGAATGACTACCAATACAAAATTGTGATGCAACTTATTGACCGCTGCTTACCCGATTTAGATGAACCTATTGTTGAAGGTAGGGATTTAAGACCCGTAATGGCTTGGTCCCGAAGCAGGGGTGAAATTCCAACTAGTAAAGAGACCCGTATGCTACGGCAGACCTTAAATCGAATCGATAAAATGACTAAGGCAGAACTTGAGCAACGACTCCTTCAGCTCAATTTTGATATTGATGTCATTCAGCTTTTGATTTTTAAATGCTCAGATGCCAAAAGTATGAAATCTGACTTATTAGTTGATTTAGTGGGTCAAAACCTGCAGCTCAGTTTCGCAAAAAGAACACAAGATATGAATGTTGACTTAAGCCTTCAATCTTTCAAAATTGAAGATTGTATTAGCAGTGATGCTCCCGCCCATTTGAAAAATTTGGTGTCCTCTTCAAACGAGATCGCACCCGACTCGCCACTCTTCAGGTTGCAACTTACAAGGTCTCAGAGAATAGTGGCATATCGGGGAACGCTCATAGAAGTGTTTGATTTAGATATTGGTATAATGATGACTGAATTAACCTTCATCTTAACTCCAAAGTCTATATTGACTATGCTCAACTATACACTGACCACTTTCACTAACCCTGATGCGCCAGATATGCCTGTAGATGCTTTGAAGTTTAATTCTCCTGATATGGCTGATTCGCCTCAAAAAATAAATCTGCGCATGAATATGGATAATATCATCGTTGTCTTAAATGATGATGACGAGAAATTAGCAACTTTCGAATTGAGCGCGGCTAATGTCCTGCTTTTCCTGTTGCCAGAGAAAATGAAAATATCCGCCAAACTTGGTGCAATGCAGCTAACTAACGAAATACATGACGTACTTCCAATTGCTTCACCAATGAGAAAGCTTATCAGTATGAATGGCACAGAACTCGCCGAGCTAACATATGAAACTCATGGCCATTCAGACGAGAAACTAAACTACAGCTCAGAGTTTGGGTTCAAAACTGGTTCGATTGATGTAAATTTCCAGGACCACGCAGTGAACCGCATCATTAACTTCTTTGCTAAATTTCAAAAAATGAAAGTTTTATTTGATGATGCTCGAGAGGCTGCTTACACTCAAGCTACAAAGATTGATTCGGTGGATAACGTCAAGCTCGATATCTCAATCAAAGCACCTGTCATTTCGTTCCCAAAGCTCATTGACCCGAGAAACAATACTTACGATCATGTCTCGTTCTTTCTAGGTGAGCTGTCAGTTCAAAACACATTCTCTAGGCGTGACAGCTACTTGATCAATCACATTAAGGCTGGTATAAGATCTGGCAGTCTGACTTCATTGTTTCATCTAGAGCATGGGATTAACCAAGAATTGAACCTCATTGAGAATCTAGATATTCATTTTGATATCGATCATCACCAGGGAGGTGCAAATGAAGCCCCTAAACTAGTGGTAAAGGGTATGTTTGAGCCGCTTCGTGCTAAGCTGACGGAACTTCAATTACAGTATCTTTATGTGCTATCACAGAACTTACCAAATGCTTTTATTGTTGACTATGACGAGGACTTTAATGAAGTTCAAAATGCTGCCCTCTTTGCTAATACTATTGTCTCATCCGAGAGCAGTAGGGAAGTTCCATCCAAGGCCCCATCAGAATCACAAGTAACCGAATCGTCCCAGTCGTCTCGATCAATGGAGGTGTTTTTCGAATTCTGCGCGCCACAAATTTCTCTAACCGTGTACAACCAAACCAGTTCAGTCTTGGATATTGCTAACAAAGGAATAACGTGCGTCAGTCTTCATGACATGGGGCTAACTTTGCACGTCGATGAGGGTGCAGGTATCGAAGCCGAAACACATATATCCTCATTCACTGTTGACGATATCAGGGAAACAAAACGCAATCAGTACACTGATATAATACCAAAAGCCAACCATGATAGCTACCAATTTATGGCATCCTTCAAGCGAGAAAAGTCTGAGACCAGTAACGTTGACAATGTGAATGTAACTGTCGACAGTCCGCGAGTAATCTTAGCCCTAGATTATTTATTTGCGTTAAAGGCATTCATGGATGCGTCAATCAACCTAAAGCCAGCGGCTAGGCTGTTAACCGCAGCAGAGGAGCAGAATAACAATCAGCTGATTGATGAATATCCCTCGAAGTTACAAAACAAGCTTAATTACTCAGTTAACGTCATCGACAGTTCCCTTATTTTACTGTCAGATCCATCTGATAGTAATACGGAAGCTATTGTATTCAACGTTGGGCAGTTGCTTTTAGCGGAGCAAAACGTCACCAGTGCCAACGCCAATAACGTGGGGATGTTCTTGTGCAAAATGGACTCTTTTGATAAAAATCGTATTCGTTTGTTAGATGATTTTTCTACATCTATTATGATTGATAGGAGGAATGCAACCTTGGAAAGATTGCTGACTCATATGCAGATTTCGGTTGGGCCACTTATCTTGAGGCTTTCGCTAAGAGATATTAGACTGGCGATGGCAATATTCAACAAAGCGATGGCTCTTGCCAAAGAGCATGGATTTTCGGAAGACGTAAAGTCGAATGACGATGAGGGGAACTATGGGGCATTTTCAAAGGAATTTAGAAAAACTCTGGCAAGGTATGCTCCAAGTTTGGTCTCCTCCGCAAGTAATCGGTCGACAGATGATCGGCATTCGCATAATCAATACAGCACGATAGTTAGAGACGAGAAACTAGAAGCAGATTTGGAGGGACTGAGATTGGTCTTGATTGGTGATGTTCACGAATTGCCCATCATTGATATGTGTGTCAAACCATTTACAGTGTCAGCAAAAGACTGGTCTGAAAATATTGAAGTGCTAGTGTCATTGGAAACTTACGCAAATATTTTCAACTACTCTCGATCTAGTTGGGAACCGCTACTTGAGACGGTTCCTTTATCATTCCACCTATCAAAAGGATTTGGAGATGATGCGGCGATGTATTTTGATGTGGTTTCACGTAAATTGGCAGAGATCTCTCTCTCATCTCGAACAATAGCTCTACTTTCTCAAATTCCGAATTCGATATACCAGAAGGAAGATACTGAAGCGAGGGGTGCAACCAAACCGTACACGATTTTCAATGACTCTGGATTAGACTTGCAAATTTGGGTTCCTGGTAAAGAATCCAAAGAAAGGAATCGACAAACTCTTTTGAAGAAGGGAACTCAAGTGTCTTGGGAGTTTGAAGACTGGAGGAAAGTAAGGGAAAACCTGGACACAGATGATGCTATGAATATTTTAGGTGTGAGTATTTTGGGGGAAGTGTACCAAACATCTTTTAAGATAGATGCGACTTCCGAGGGTGAAGATGTTTTTACTTTGCATCCCGCAATCGAAGGCGTTCATACCAGGTTGGCCTGCGAACTCAAGCTGTGTGAAGACAACGTTAAGCTCGTTACTATCAGATCAACTCTAGTTCTTGAGAATGCGACGGCTGCAAATTTATACTTCAAGCTTTCTGACTATGAGTCTGATGTTTGGGTCATTAAACCGGGTGAATTGAGGTCGGTCTCTGCGCAACTGGCCTATGGCTCGCGTTTTTATTTGAAACCTGAAGGTGATTACGAATGGTCAAAAGATACTATAGCATGGAAAAATTTGCTATCAAATCCTTTGTCAATTGCTTGTTACTCTAAAACGGATGATACTCCATTTTATTATGAAGTTGATGCTAGGTATGATATCAATGAGCCCCTTGCCAGGATATATCCTCATATGAAGGTGGTGATATCATCCCCTCTAGTTCTGGAGAACCTCTTGCCTTACTCCATGAAATACAAATTGTTCTGGAAATCGGATGGAGCGCATCGTCAAGGCGGTAAATGTGAAACTTCACTCCATACTTTAGAACGCGGAAAGCGCGTCTTGATCCACAGCGTTACGCTAAGTGACTACTTGCTCTTATCGTTACAACCACTCGATGATGGGCTAAAAATGTCCGAGCAAGTCCTGATCAATACTAAGCCTGGGTCCGAGTTGACGCCCGAAAGCAAAGTTCCTTTACGGTACGATAATGGGCAAAAGCTAGACCTAAAACTTCATTATCAAAATCTGGAAGGCTCTAGAGCAAAGGTAATCAGTGTCTTTGCACCTTACATTATATTCAATGGAACTGATCGTGATTTACAGGTGGAAGGAGATAAACACAATGTGGCTTTTTCGAAAATTCTATTAAAGCCTGACGGCACTACAAGGTACACTACACCTATGATGTTCTCTTTTGAACGTGATCGCTCTAACAAGAACAGAGCTCGACTCAAATTCAAAGACTCCGAGTGGAGTATTCAAACATCTTTTGATGCAATTGGACAGTCTGTCGATCTAGCCGTAAATATACCGAACAGAAACCAGGAAAGCAACGTTGGGATAGCAGTCTCTGAGGGCAGTGGCAAGTATTCCATGAGTAAAATCGTTAAAATTTTGCCACGTTACATTTTGAGGAACAGCTTGGACGTCGACTTAGAAATCAGTGAATTTGGCTCCAGCTCCGTGGTCAGGGCAAACTCTAATGTTTCGTTTCCCCTTTACAAGATGAGGAATGTTGTCAACAAGCATTTGAGTATCAAGTTTCTAGGGTCCCAGTCTGAGTGGTCATCTCCTTTTATGATCAAAGATATTGGATCAAATTATGTTAAGGTTCTGAAAGACGGAAGTGGCCATAAACTTTTGAAATTGAACGTTGTTCTCGAAGACTCAACAATTTTCATTGACATTGCTGAAGCCCATGGTGACTGGCCATACTCGATTAGGAACTTCAGTGATCATGAATTCATTTTCTACCAGCGCGATCCTCACACTTTTGATAGCGACGAAGATTATGACCTATATGATGACCTAAGCGATATGAAATACGAGCCCTTATATTACAGGGTTCCCCCCAGGAGTGCTATGTCTTATGCTTGGGACTACCCTGCTGCAAGGCAAAAGAAGTTAGTTTTAGTCTCAAGGCAACATAAGAGGGAAGTTCAATTAGCGGAAATTGGTAATTTGAGACCTATGCGGCTTTCTGGGCGTACGTCAGCAGAAGCTGTCTCGATTGTTGACTTGAATGTAGTTGCTGATGGTCCGACTCAAGCATTAGTGATCACAAACTACAAACCTGAAAACAGTTTGTATAAATTGAAATCAGGGCAAGTGACCAGTTCATCTTTGGGCTCCGAAAAGGGAGACAAATTTGAGGTAAGAGAAGATGATCAAAATATTTTCACAAAAGTTATCGTCTCTCTGGAGGGTTTGGGCATCTCTCTCATCAACACTCGATTACAAGAATTGTGTTATATTACCTTGAGCGGTTTGGAACTAAGGTATAACGAGTCCGACCTCTATCAAACCATCAGCTTAAAATTAAAGTGGATGCAAATTGATAACCAACTTTTTGGTGGTATATTCCCCAACATTTTGTATCCCACGGCTATTCAAAAGAACCTCAAAGAGCTCAACAACCATCCCCTTCTTTCCGGTTCAATTTCCAAAGTCAAGGATGACACACATGGTGTCTTGTACCTGAAGCACGCTACTCTTCTACTCCAAGAACTGACCATACAGCTGGATGAGGATTTTTTGTTTGCCCTCATCGATTTTGCTAAGGTTCCTGGTGCTTCATGGCTCATTGACTTAAAGGAAGAGTTGCAGACTGAGTTTTATATGCTACCTTATCCAAGTGAACTGCAAAGGAATCACGACATCTACTTTGAAGTATTTCATTTGCAACCTACCATGCTTCATCTCTCCTTCGTTCGGACAGAGCACCTAAATGCGGAAAGCGATAAGGTGGCTCCTCAGAACACTTTAATGTTTTTTGCAAATGTGTTGACGATGGCGCTGGGAAATATAAATGATGCGCCCATCAAACTTAACTCATTATTTCTGGACAATGTTAAGGTGCCGGTGCCCATGTTGATGAATGCTATCCAAACGCACTATGGTCAGCAATTCTTTTATCAAATCCATAAAATTTTGGGCTCCGCAGACTTCTTGGGAAATCCTGTAGGCTTATTCAACAATATCAGCTCTGGTGTATGGGATATTTTTTACGAGCCTTATCAAGGCTATATGTTGAATGATAGACCTCAAGAACTTGGTATAAGTATTGCTAAAGGTGGACTCAGCTTCGTTAAAAAGTCAGTATTTGGGCTTTCAGATAGCTTTGCCCGACTAACTGGCTCTGTCGCTAAGGGGCTGTCCGTCGCCACTCAAGACATGGAGTTTCAGGAACGCCGTCGACTCGAGCAGCGCAAGGCAAAGCATAGTAATAGCATCAATGGATTTGGCTCCGGTGCTACATCGTTCGTCAACGGGGTGACTAGTGGTTTGAGAGGTGTAGCCTATGATCCGTATTCTGGCGCCTCAAGAGAAGGTGTCCCCGGATTTCTGAAGGGTATAGGCAAGGGCTTGGTCGGATTACCCACCAAAACGGCAATCGGTGTCTTGGATCTCGCCAGTAATGTGAGCGAAGGTATAAGAAATACTACCACAGTTATGGATCCTTTATCAGCAAACCGGATCCGTCTTCCCAGATACGTTGGGTTCGACAAAATAATCAAACCTTTCAGTTTGCGTGAGTCCCAAGGCCAGTTTTGGCTCAAGAGTGCCAATGGTGGTGAGTGCATTGCAGATAAGTACCTTGCCCATGTTGTTCTACCCGGTAAGCAGCTCGCCGTTATCGTATCCCTTTCACATGTTGTTGAGGTGCGGCTGTCAAACATGGAGATTATGTGGAAGGTCCGTTATACTGATGTGCGCTCCATGACGTTAGAAAGAGTGGGTTTGGTGATAACCTTGAAGAATGCTTCCACGGAACTATTTGTTCCTATCTCGGATCCGGAGGAAAAACGCTTTCTATACAAAAACATTTCCATTGCGGTTAACGAATATAACAAATACTGCCAAGCAGAGTTATGATGTTAGCGCATTATTGGAGTATGACTCTAAATTTTGGTGAGAAATAAATGCGTATATGCTATATAGACAAAATGTGCTGCTTATCAAAATGTCTCAAAGGCCCTGGTTTCAAGGCTGTAGAACTATAAATTCAGGCTCCTGCTCTTAAGGTCATAAATGGAGATCTGGTGGTGTATAAGCAATTCCGCATTAAAAGCGAATCAACAGCATGCCCAGCGCATAAAAAAAAACTTTCGAGAGCTGTGATCTGGAGTAAATGGCCCAGCTGTCAAATGGGGCAAGGCGATCATTACCGTATCGCCAACCAAGCTTGAAGATAACACGCAGTGTAATGTCACGACTAACGTCACTGTCATCTGGTCAGTGACGGTAAATAATAGCTCTAAAAAGCTGTACAATGTCGAAAGCACACCTTCTCGAACAAAACTGTAAGCAGCAGATAGCGCTTGACTACGACAAGCGAGATAGCCAATCCTTTAATTAGGATTTAGGTACCTAATATATTTCACAGTTTATATGACAGGAACCCAAAGGCGAGGCGAACTAAGATAATGAACATATATGAGTGTGTGTGACATTCTTTATGCTCCCTGAACACTCTTCAGCCAACACCTCATGTAATGGCATGTATCAGCACCCGTTGTTTATGTTAAGCCTAGGTTTAACCCTCTGCTCATTCTTCATATCATTCTGGCCCCGTCTGTCGCCACCTTGCCGATCGGCTCCGATAATTAGTAAAAACGTTTGTTATCACTATATAAACGACCATCGAAAAAACCAAGCGGAATAGGACAAATATCACTAGCATCAGCTCGTAACCTTTAGACAGGGAAATAGCTTGTTTGAAGACATATCGCAGGCCTTACGATAATGTTGGGTAATTTGTTGAAGAGAAATGCGGCCATGTCCGTGTTCAGCCGTGGGCTGGCAACTGGAGTGGCTCCGGAGGCTCAAAAATTGAAGACTTTTAAGATCTATCGTTGGAACCCCGACAAGCCAGCTGAGAAGCCTAAATTGCAGGACTTCCAAGTAGACCTCAACAAGTGCGGGCCTATGGTGCTAGATGCTCTTTTGAAAATCAAGGACGAACAAGACTCCACGTTGACGTTGAGAAGATCGTGCAGAGAAGGCATTTGCGGGTCGTGTGCCATGAACATCGGGGGCAGAAACACCCTCGCGTGTCTATGTAAGATCGACCCGGATACTTCGAAGCAGACTAAAATCTACCCGCTACCTCACATGTATGTCATCAAAGATCTAGTTCCTGATTTGACTCAATTCTACAAGCAATACAAGTCCGTGCAGCCATACCTGCAAAGAACCAGCGTCCCTGAGGATGGCAAGGAGAACTTGCAGAGCATTGCTGACAGAAAGAAGTTGGATGGTTTGTACGAGTGTATTCTCTGCGCATGCTGCTCCACCTCATGCCCATCGTACTGGTGGAACCAGGAACAATACTTGGGACCTGCCGTGCTAATGCAGGCATACCGCTGGCTGATTGACTCCAGAGACCAGGCGTCCAAGGTTAGAAAGGAAATGCTGCAGAACTCCATGTCGTTGTATAGATGCCACACCATCATGAACTGTACCAGAACTTGTCCTAAGGGGTTGAACCCAGGTCTAGCCATCGCTGAGATCAAGAAATCTCTGGCCACCGATTAAACTGGGCCCATGCATGTCTTCGGCTAGTGCTGCTGCTCGCATCCTCTCCCGTTCCCTGCACACACAAACATTGAGGAATAGACTTCCAAGGGAGACTGGTTATTAATTATTTATTATCAAAACTTATTTATTCTTATTTACAATTGATCGTTCTATTTATTGAGATTCAAAACATAATTGCTTGCCTTGTAAGGTTGATCTCGGCCGATGCCTCTCCTGTCCATGTAATTCCGTGTAATATTCCGCCAGACTGCCTCCCAATTCCCCAGTTGTCAATAAAATGATTGCAGAGGACATATTTCAAAAGCAGCTCGAGACAGAGCTGGTACCGATCCTGCGGCGCTGGCCACTGTGCCGCGAGCTGTCACTTCTAAAGCACAATGGCAGCGTCGTTATTTTGGCACGTCACCCTGAGCTGGTGGATCACACCTTCCAAATCCTAATTCAATACTCCACAATATACCAAGAGCCGCAGCTTTTATTCAAGATATGGGAAACTCGGATTGTAGATCAGGTCGAAATTCAAAGACTCTCCTTTCCAGGAGATGTTTCTACGCTGGTTAATACCCAAGATTTTACCATTCGTTCTGATTACATACACAACACAGGTAGAGATCTTTGGTACAGCATTCACGGTTGTGATACTGGCGAGATAGTTGGATATCAAGAAGAAAGCTACTTGGAGCGGTGGTGTTCTATCTACTTTACTATTTTCGACCCGGGGTTTTCCAACCTGTTTATTTATTCTGATCACTATGTAGTTAGTCAAGATTAAGTGTTGATAAATCGACAGCAACCTGATACAAGGTGACTTTTCGACAAAACAAAGGTAGCGGGCTACATCCTACCACAATGGCATCATTTGTTACAGTTAGAGGACAGGCCCTCTCGTTAGAATCACAAACAGAATCTTTACTGTCGAAATTCTCACAGTTCGCACAGGCCACAAGCTCGGAGCCGACATCCAAAGAGAGAAGCGTGGACAGTCGACTCGAAAGCATACTTATTCAAAGGCAAGAGGTGGTAGATTCTTTGAGCAAAATATGCGATGAGACCCCAGGAATCTCGTCATCTAAGACTTTGCAGGTACAACGGCATCGGGAGGTGCTGCATGAACACCGGCAGCATTTCAGGAACTTAAGATCATCCATTCAGCAGGAGCGCAACAGGTTGAATTTGTTGTTTAGCGTCAAGAAGGACATTGCCCAACAGTCGGAAGAGAGCCCAGATGCATACATCCAGGATGAAAGTCGCAGAATTGAGGAGTCGCACAATGTGGTGGACAGCTTGTTGTCACAGGCATGGCAAACAAGAGACCAATTTGCGGCACAAAGAGTTACACTTCAATCGGCGAGCGATAAAATGCTGTTCACGTTGCAGCGGGTCCCGGGCATCAATCAGATAATTTCCAAGATTAACACGAGAAGAAAGAAAAACGCCGTGATACTGGCGGGCCTAATTACAGTTTGTATATTATTCTTATTTTTCACCTGGTAATCGAATATGTGAAGGTACGACCCTGCCGCGAAATTGTTTGAACATCTAGTTTTGTCTATAATTACTATTAGCTTTTCTTGACCTTCTTTTCGTTGAAGTTGCTCTTTTTCTTGGCTAACGACGGCCTAGCAGGACCAGATTCGCTTTGATCTTCAGGGCCATCGTCGCTGCTGCGCTCCTCTCCGTCGTCATCGCCGACATCGCCGCCGCCTTCTTCGTAAATCGTTGGAATCCCTGAGACCGGGTTTCTCTTCCCATTGAAATTGCGCGACATACTCTTGAACTGCACTTGTTTTTGGATTTGTGGATCAGATTCGTGGAAAAATCCAGTTTTGGGGCCGTCATTAAATTCTTCGTCTCTCGCGCTTCCAGTATTACTTTCGTCATCATAGTCCCAATCACTTATGTCGCTGCCATCGTCATTCCTTTCTTTCTTGTAAAACCGAGGCCGGAGAGTCCATAGCCTTCTGAACTTAGTTTTGATCAAAGAAAATGGCCAGTTCAAAAACGATTCGTGACCCTGATAAATGCAAATATCGTACACAGTACCGCCCAGTAGGGTACCACAGAAGGGGGCCACTATAGGTACCCAAAAGTAGTGGTGATGAGCCTTCCAAAGTAGCTCGCTGTTGAAACCCATTGTAGCTAACGCCAGCCGGGGCCCTAGATCTCTAGCGGGATTTAGGCCGGCCCCAGTTTGTAGGGAAGTAGCGCCAATCAAACAGAAAATCAAAACGAACAACATTAACGGAAACAGGTCGGATCTCAGGCAGGTGTAAGGATCGGTCAACGCGAACATACCAACTTGCAAAAAAGCGCTACACACCAACTCACTCACAAACTGGCGAGAAGTGGTTAAATACTCCAGCGGAAATGTGCAAAACATGCTCATTACAGTTTCATTGCCCATCCAGTCCGGAAACACACTGGTTATAACAGGCTGGTAGTAAATAAATACCACTATAGCACCGACGTATGCACCAAGGAGTTGGCCAGCCCAGTAAATTGGCACCTTGGTCCATGGAAATCCTCGAAAAACACAGTTGCTAAGAGTCAAAGCTGGGTTCAAATGGCCACCAGAGAGAGCACTGCCACCTGCAGCAAAATAGCCCATTACAACAGCTCCACCCCAGATCAGGGCTACGTCGTCGAAAGTACCGAAAGCGTCCACAGGTTCAAGATATTGCATTAATGAAATTTTGTCAGCCGCCGGAACATCCGAAGAGCCTGCCAGGCGTTCGAGAAATGTCAATCTTTGCTGTTGTTGGCCGGATCTAACCTGGCAGACGACAGTGCAGCCAAAAAAAATCATGACCATGGTCCCCATAAACTCAGCCAGAAACTCCTTCAGATACGTTTGTTTAAGCGTCGACCACATGTTAATCGGGTGGTAAGTGGACGGCAACACCGTGGGAGTCTGTGGGTTTTGGTACAGCGTCTTGGGCTTGATGTTCAGAGGCACGTCCGAGTCTCGTGGGTCATCCGCGGCTTCCGGCTGGTGTATATCTTGGGTTGAGCCGGCTGTGGACTGGATGTTTGACTGTGACGAACGGTTATTCATGTTGTGGCTGGAGCTCCTGCTCTGGGCTCGGTTACGGTAGCCTGTAGAGTGAGCCGCCGAGTTGGAACGTGACATCTGCTGGGTGTTGGGCACTACCTGTGCGACCGGGTATGCACTGTCACTGGATTCGCCACCTCTGCGAGGCACGTAGTTTGCTGAGGCTGAAATGCGGTGCTGTGGTGCAAAATCTCGCGATGGGATGTACTGGCCATCGGTGTTGCTCCGGTGTCTGCCGGTATTGGAGGCGTTACTGTTACTGCGCTTGGGATAGCTATTCTCCGTGTGATGGCTCGAGGCTACGTCCTGGGACGCCTGCGATGCCCCATCATTCTCGGTCAAGTATTCGTTCATATACTCCTGAGGTTGTTTGGTTGTTGGTTCTTCCGAACCGCTCCGTTTGGTCATAACAGGAACTTAGACAGCTGAACCAATAAGTTACAGGTTACGGATGAAACGCCAAGGAGTTATCCCAATCTAAAGAACGTTGAACAGTGTTATTCTCAGTGATGTCAGCATAAATAAAGCAATGGAATTACCTTCAAAGACAAATTTTATAGCAAAAAACTGACATGTCAAAACGTTCCGGTACGAGTAATATTCGAGTATCGATTATCTCCCCAGTCATCGGCTCTTTGGTGAAGAGTGGTCAAAGACGAACCTTTTGGCTAGTCAAGAGACATAACGGTTGATTGTCAGATAGGAGTTTTCGCTGGACGAGACGAGGAATAGCTCTGGGGATCGGTGGGAATGAGGCAATCTGAGCTTCTTTAAGCCGTAAAATTGATAATCGGCGGGGAGTCTGGTAGAGTTTGATGTTTGGGGCGTGTTGTTATGGGGTGTTTTGTTATAGGGCGGGCGCTCTCGCTAAAATTTTTGGGTACTGTCTGGTGTCTCTGCGTTGGATGAGATATAGACTTGCGGGCGCGGGAAGAGATTTGACAAAAAAGTACCGAGTCCAGTGAAGAGATGGAAGGGGATGGAGGAGATACTGGTAGGAGCGTCGTGGCATTCCTCTTCTGTTGGATTTGCTAAAGTGTTCGGCTTCTAGGTAGTAGCTTGGAAAAACGTAGCACAACCTGTTGAACACAATAGTGTGTTCAAGCATAAAGGGGGATACGACCGCTTCGGTTTGGTTTGTAGTGAGCACTCTTATATCTGGTGTGTCAACCGCGGCGGTTTGCAGTGAACACTCTTATATCTCGTGAGTATCAATCGCTTCGATTTGTAGTGAACACTCTTATATCTCTTGAGTATCATTGTGTGTTGCGACCCAAATGAGGTCCTCGCCACCGCTTTAGGTGCCCTGTGCTCACTACTGCTTCACTGTGCTTCCAGAGGCTCACAGCCCTCTATTCATGGTGGCTACAGCACATATCATCAGCGCTTTCGTTTGCAACTACCCAGCGTATCGACGATGGCCTGGGCACGTCGCTAGTTTCCGGCGTTGGGTTTAGTATCGAGTATCTTCTTGCCTCCTGTCCGTGCCGAAAGGCACGATGAAGTCGGCTGCTGTGCAGAGTGTTTAGGCTCTCGTGCTAGTATAACTCATGCCACACCCGACGGACGAGCTTGGTTAGATCCACTCCTCGCGGCAGTATCAGAGTAGCCGCCAGCAACCGCGAACTTGTAATGTACGCCATCTGTGGGCAATAGATACACATTTAATACACACAGTGGCAAACATAATGGCAAACATAGTGGCAAACATAGTGGCAAACATAGTGGCACACTTAGCCACACACATGGCGGCACAATGGAAGAATTCCGTCTGTCGTCGCCTTAACAGTGTCAATTTTCGACCCTGGCGACAGTACTCTGAAGTATTGAAAAATAAACGGCCTCAACAGCATAACAATGATTCCACTTTGATACATTGTGGGGAACAAACACTACACGAGCATGGCCGCGGTTTGATATTACCGATCAGCAGTAGAAGAAAGGAGCTGACCTACAGGAGTTGTGTAAAATATTGAGGCGAATCTGATTCATCAGTAGAAAGCTTACTAAATTTGTTTGAAGTCGGACGTGGTCACTATTATTGAGGCGAATCTGATTCATCGGTAGAAAGCTTACTAAATTTGTCTTGTAAGTCAGACGTGGTCACTATTATTGAGGCGAATCTGATTCATCGGTAGAAAGCTTACTAAATTTGTCTTGTAAGTCGGACATAGTCATTGTAAGATGAGTAACTTGGATCTAGGGAATTCTACTTATCTCTCCGTGATTATTTTAGGCATTAGAGTTGGTTCAGTTATCTGAACGAAAACCAGGTATTTACACAATTCTCACTCGGTGACTCTGGTCAACACGTTTATTAATCACCAATTCTAGATCATTCTATTGCCCAAGGATTACGGCTTCAATGCCGTACACTACCGATAACTTATCAATGGCCAATCCCATTGGACAATAGTTGTTCTCTTCGGTTTGTCTTAGCTTGTAGCTCTATTTGTATGGCCTCTATTGTGTACAATCATTCTGTACCACTGTGTCACATATTTACTGACGCTGATTATGCGATTAGACGCACATCGCCATCAGTTTCCTCACATTATTCCCGACAAAATGCGACATCGCCGGCAGCCCAAAACCGACGTGCGTCGCCCAATTATCAGGGCCCGAATGGGCGATGGGAGCTGGTGTTATATGGCTGTTTGGTCCGCTATCTACTTTTAAACGATACGTCAGGTAATTTTTTTATGTCAAAGATGTCAGTGTCACATTTAATTGAGCATGGTGGGAAGACTGACGCTGCTTTCACAACCATTTCTGGCAGCCTACCCGTGGCTCGTAATGGCCAGTTCGTGTTGTTGAACCGTTCCGGAAAGCCAATCTCACTGGTAGACTGTATTTGGTAAGTGGTGCCGACAAAAAGTAGCATATTTTTCTTCAATACCCAGGTGATACCATTTGTGTGTGTCGCTCCCTTTAGCGTGCCCCCTCCCCATGCTGAACTCCGTGGCCCCGATCGCGCTTCCAACTCGCAGAAAAACGAGACCCAGCGGTATGTAGAGTCTCTCGGTGTGGCCAAATGCCCAAAGCTATAAACCCCACTTACCTGCTTCCCCAACCCGCGAGCAGTAGCATTTCTCGTTTGTCAATCTGGTGAGCCAGCCTCGCCCCTCTGGTTTGCTGACTCCCTACCCTTGCGGTCGTACTAAGATGGGGAAGACCGCAGTATGGCACGATGATGTCAAGAATCGGTTGCGGATGGGGGGTCTCAAGAAGGTTGAGCTGATGGCACGTCTAAGAAGAGCGGCCGGGAAACCACGTGCCCTTGGGCTGCTAGTCATGTACACGTTCGACCACTACGCGTGATTTGCTCTGTCATTCATATTGAGATACGGGCCGCAAACCCCCTCGTATCACGTGCCACGCGCACTCGCCAGGTCACATGCTATCTGCTGGGCAGTCGAGCTCGACACATACGCATCGAAGGCGCCATTATTACCCCGGCCTTTGCTGGCAGCCGTTCGACCGTCGTGCTTCAAGCTCCCTCGCCAGCGTATACGATTTATCGAACTCCGCCTCTATCTGTCATCTAGACGTGGGCCTCCGGTAAATCTCCGCTTAATTTCTACCGCTTGGCCATGCCCCCAGCCCTGCTGACATCACCTACCTCACCGGCCCATTATCACCACCTTCTTGCTCACAACCGTACGGCCTGGCAGGGCCAGACCAAAATCAGCGCCGATGAGCCTGCACAACGGTGCCAGCCACCGTGTCACGTGCCGCCAGGATGCTTGGCCGGTCTCGCAGTCACGCCTCGGTCACGTGCTCGCGTCCTTCACAAGCCCCCCCGATAGATTTTCCCTTTTCCCCGTAGCAATCAATCAATCAGTCACAACAGGCCTGGAACAGGTCAGTGCGCCGAGCCGATGACAGCAACATCGGCCTTGTGCCCTGCCTAATTATCCCGGCCTTCCAACACTGCGATCGTTGAGATTGTCGAGCCTGGCTTCGCACCGCAATCCGCGTCGCGACCGCACAGACCGGACTTTCGGCGCTCCGCGTTGCGTCGCCTGGTGCGTCGATTGCTATATAAGTGGCACTGTGAGACCGTGTTTGGAAGAGCAGCGTACAACCGGAAAGGGCCCGGTACATTGTACATTCTACACTAGATTCAACATCCTCTTTGTTGTCGTTGTTGATATTGTCTCCATTGTTGTAACCACCGACCCACGTGACAGCCAGTCGTGGTACGGAGTTTAGCCGGACTGTCTTCTTTTCGTCCGGAGTTATCGCGCCTAATTTGTTTCCCCGCATCCAATTAACTGCCGCCTGTCGCATTGCGGGTATATAAGGGGGTGTTTTTCTTGAGCAAGAACGGTTCCTTCTACTTTGCTCTTTGTTGCTCGTCGGTAAAATGACCATCTCAGAGTCGCCACACGAAGAAGAGCCGCTGGTAGCGTCGATCGACGTGGGCACCACGTCGTCACGTGTGATTCTATTCAACAAGCTGGGCCAGGAAGTGTCCAAGCACCAAATCGAGTACTCGACGTCGGCGTCGAAGCAGAAGTTCGCGTCCGGGGGCGCGAGGAGGTTTTCGGTGGACTCGGCCGGGGGCGGCAGCGCGGGCAGCGCGGGCAGCGCGGGCAGCGGCGCGGCTTCGCCATCGGCGGCGAGGCAGGCGCAGCAGCCGATCTTCTCGGCGGAGGGGATCGCCATCGAGGCCAACGAGTTTCTCGAAATCGAGGACCTGGAGCGGCCCACGAACCCGACGCTCACGTTCCCGCGGCCCGGGTGGGTGGAGTGCGACCCCGTGGCCATCCTGGCCCACGTGGTGCAGTGTTTTGCCGCCAATCTGATCACCATGGACAAGATCAACGGCGACCGCGTCTCCCGCAGCCTGCTGCCTTACCGCGTGCGGTGCGTGGGCATCGCCAACATGCGTGAAACGACCCTGGTGTGGTCGAAGGCCACTGGAAAGCCCATCGTGGACTACGGCATTGTTTGGAACGACACCCGGACCACGGGCATCGTCACCGAAAAGCGCAACAGCACCCCGCAAGCGCTGCAGGACAGCCTGCGGGCCAAGACCGGGCTGCCGCTGTACTCGACGTATTTTTCGTGCTCCAAACTGCGGTGGCTGCTAGACAACGAGCCCGCTGTGTCTGAGGCGTACGAGCAGGGCGACCTCATGTTTGGCACTGTGGACGTGTGGCTGCTGTACCATTTGACCGCGAATCACGCCTTTGTTTCGGACGTGACCAATGCGTCTCGCACGGGTTTCATGAACCTGGACACTCTGGACTACGACGACGAACTTTTGAAGTACTGGAACATCTCGCGCGACAAGATCAATCTGCCCAAGATTGTGTCGTCCTCCCAGTATTATGGAGATTTCACCGTCCCACAGTGCATTAAGCCCAACTTGACCTCGGTGGCGTGGACCCTTTTGACGGATTTTTGCAGTCGGTCTCCCCCAGTACCTATTCAGGGATGTCTAGGAGACCAGAGCGCGTCGCTGGTGGGTCAAATGGCATTCAAACCCGGCGCTGCCAAATGTACTTACGGGACGGGTTGTTTCCTGCTTTACAACACCGGCACCAAAAAATTAATATCGTCTCACGGAGCCCTCACTACCTTTGGGTATTGGTTTCCACACTTGGAGAACCCGGAACATTCGCAACCCCATTTTGCTTTGGAAGGTTCCGTGGCTGTTGCAGGAGCCGTGGTTCAGTGGTTACGCGACAATTTGCGTCTAATTCCAAAAGCAGAAGATATCGGTCCGCTGGCATCGAGAGTCGCTGACAGCGGGGGCGTGGTGTTTGTACCTGCGTTTTCTGGGCTGTTTGCTCCCTACTGGGATGCTAGTGCAAGGGCCACCATCATGGGTATGTCGCAGCACACCACCGCTTCCCATTTGGCCCGCGCAGCAGTGGAAGGGGTGTGTTTCCAAGCAAGAGCTATTCTGAAAGCCATGAGCTCGGACGCTGCTGGAGAGGGTCAAAAGGACCGCGACTTCTTGGAAGAAGTCGTGGACGAAACGTATGAGAAGTCTCCGCTGTCAGTGCTTGCAGTTGATGGCGGGATGTCAAAATCCAAGGAAGTCATGCAGATTCAAGCGGACATTTTGGGACCATGTGTAAAAGTGCGGACCTCCACCACTTCGGAATGTACTGCTTTGGGAGCCGCTATTGCTGCCGCGATGGCCTATGAGAAGCGTGAAGACCGCGTATTGTGGGAGGACCTGAAGGACGTCAAGAAGTGGATAAGGTACGGAGGTGTCGAACAAGGTGCTAAAAGCCAAGACGGCAGCGCTCCATCCAAATCTTGCACGTACAAATCCCAGTCACTGGACACCGATAGAAGAAGGAAATGGAGATTGTGGGAGGCTGCAATCGATAGATGTAAGGGGTGGATGGATATCGTGGAAGAAGGAACAGGTGCTGCGAGTAATTCTGCCGTGAAGAGCATGTGATTGAGATGCCAGAGAGGGAGAGAGAGAGAAAGAGAGAGAGAGAGAGAGAGATTAATATTATATATTCCCCACTGTAATTGGTTACTGTTTTTTAATGATTTTTAAAGTATTGATGATTTTGAAAAGATCTTCTAGTTTGCCTGCAAGGTTCTTTTTGGACTACTGACTGGAATCTTGACGCTAAAGTCTCTTAGTCAGCTGGTATGTGTACCTATCAGAACCAGTCATCATTGACCCTCGTCTGCGTGCTGAATTGTACTATGAAGTATTTGAGAGAAATAGTGATAAATGCGTCGGAGGCTTGCAATTATGGGCGCCGGGCAGGATTGGATAATCCAACAGCTCGATACAACTGGACTGTTGAATGATCAGAAATGCCCACCGGCGTATCTCTATGTTTCTTCATCCACCTATGCATTGTTGTTTCACATACATAAAAGTCATCACTTAGTACTATTATGACACTACGTTGAAGTTTACTATTGCTACTCGACACTTCAAACTAACTAGTTCGCCGTCAGCTCCAACAATTACCGTACATTGAAACGAGGAAAGGATGAACAGAGCATCAATCACCTTGTGCAAGTGGGAGCCAAATAGGCTTTGAACAAAACCGACTAAATTTCCACAAATGTGATTTCGAGGTTCACGGTTCACTTCAGATTTCTTTTTTTGACCTTTTATAAGTCCAGTTCTCTCTCGAGACCCCCTTCATTCGAATGCGAGCTTGATGACTGTCTTATCCGAGGCGGCGCCCTACTATCACCATTTCTACAGATGGTAGAAACCCATACATTTCTGAGAGCAGTCACAACATAAAATTATAGAATATAAAAAAAAGTTTGAGAAATAACTTTGTTCGTAAAGTCTAACCTACGCAAAACAAGTACCCACGCACCAGCGCTCTATTTTTCACCACTGGTAGCCCAATGATCCTGTGTGCGTATAAAACCTTCGTCCTCATCGACCCCATGTACACTGGACGTTAGTCGATATCTCTTTCAGAAACCATAGACAATTACTACAATGGCTCCTTCCAAGAAAGTCGCACCAGCTCCATTGGCTTCCAAGGCCGGCAAGGCCGGTAAGGTTAAGAACCCTTTGACCAGCTCCACTCCAAGGAGCTTTGGTATCGGCCAAGACATTCAACCAAAGAGAAACTTGTCCAGATACGTCAAGTGGCCAGAGTACGTTAGATTGCAAAGACAAAAGAAGATCTTGTCTATCAGATTGAAGGTTCCTCCTACCATTGCTCAGTTCCAACACACTTTGGACAGAAACACTGCTGCTGAGACCTTCAAGCTTTTCAACAAGTACAGACCTGAATCTCAAGCTGAAAAGAAGGAAAGACTCACCAAGGAGGCCGCCGCTGTCGCCGAAGGTAAGTCCAGACAAGAAGCTTCTCCAAAGCCTTACGCTGTTAAATTCGGTCTAAACCACGTTGTCTCTCTAATTGAGAACAAGAAGGCTAAGCTTGTCTTGATTGCCAACGACGTTGACCCTATCGAGCTTGTTGTCTTCTTGCCAGCTTTGTGCAAGAAGATGGGTGTTCCTTACGCTATTGTCAAGGGTAAGGCCAGAATCGGTACTTTGGTTAACCAAAAGAAGGCCGCTGTCGCCGCTTTGACCGAAGTCAGAGAGGAAGACGAAGCTGCTCTAGCCAAGTTGGTCTCTACTGTCAACGCCAACTACTTGGAAAAGTACGACGAAGTCAAGAAGCACTGGGGTGGTGGTATCGTCGGTGCCAAGGCCCAGGTCAAGAGAGACCAAAGAGCCAAGGCTTCCGAGGCTGCCTAAGCGGGGTTCCATGCTATTGATGTTTTGTTACCTTGTACTTTTCTTCAAATAATAGTTTTAAAAGAGACTCCCCTTTTTCAAAAACCTCCCAAATCTCATAGGTTTAAGTTTTGTTGAAGCGCTTTGTGGGCTGTCAATGAGGGCCATTATAGGATTCTCCTTGCCGTCTTTGTATTAAAGCTGCGTTAGTGGAACTAAAATACAATACCTGATTTATGGTGTGTGGTATTTTTAGTCCATGTTGATGGCAGCTCAGTACGAAGTCGGCTCGATTTTCTTTTGAAGTGGCATCGCTAACCTTACCGACGGCGTTCATTCGTTACAGAAACTTTTTCCATCTTAAATCATACCTATTTTCTTGAACTAGCTTGCGGATTGAATACTGTACATTAAATATCTAGAATCTTCGAGCAGCATCATCTGGAATGAGGCCGCATCTAATGTTAGGTTTACGTTTGATATTGCCTCTCAATGAAAGTCTTGACGATTTAGGACAGATTTCTCATGTGACACTCCACCACTGTCGATGTGAACGGGGATCACGTCTTTTCATGTAACCACTGTCTGTGCGCCGTGGGATGCCGTCTCACTAATCTTCAAGAAGTGTAAATGATTTACAACCTTTGCATATACGTGTCTCTCTTCCGTGCACGATCGTCAAAGCTCGCAGAAAACACCTTCAGATCGTATCAAATTCAAAGCGTCAGACAGACCAACCGCGTGCTGGCTGGTGGTCGTAGGGCGGCAGTAAATGACACTATCGACATTCTACACGTAATATAAGGAGCGGGAATGGCCAAAGACCCAAATTACGACTTACCTTGACACACATCTTTGTACAACTCCATTTCTAGTGTTCCGCAATTTTGTAGGATAGCTTGCCAATAAGCTTCAACAGCTTGCTTTGTAAAGTAAAGCAAAGAGACCTGCTAAGTTCCAGTCTGTTATAGCTTATACTCACCATATCATCATGCACGTATGGGATGTATTGATGAAAAGCATTATAGTAACAATATAGTTATGCTCCCACCCAATAATGAACAATAATACTCACACTCCTGTGCCAGCCCGGGAAGTTCTACATCTATAGGCAAATCAAAATGGCTAATGTCACTCCAAAGCAGGTGTTGTGGTACATCCCAAATCAAATCGGCTATACAAGAGTGTTGACTGCAATTGTGTCGTTCTTCTTAATGTCCAAACACCCAATATGGACAACCTGGATATACGGAGTTTCTTGCCTGTTGGATGCGCTTGACGGCACCATGGCTCGGAAATACAACCAAACCAGTGGATTTGGTGCCGTACTGGATATGGTAACCGATAGATCGACCACCTCCTCATTGATTTGCTACCTGTGCATTGCGTTCCCTAAGTATGCGCCAGTCTTTCAACTTCTGATATCCCTGGACCTTTCAAGCCATTACATGCATATGTACGCTACGCTGAGCTCCGGAGGTGCCTCTCACAAGAAGATTGAGAAAGAACAATGGCTCTTGCACCTTTACTATAGCCATCGTTGGGCGCTCTTCACCATCTGTGCTTTCAATGAGCTGTTTTATCTGGGATTGTACTTGTATGCATTTCCACAACTATGGTATTTCAATGTTCCCATGATTGGCCCAGCTCACATCGGCGGAATCTTGGCAGGTGTGTGTTTGCCCGGGTATATATTTAAGCAAGTGGCTAACGTGGTGCAAATGAACCGGGCCGCCATGCTGTTAGCTACTAAAGATGCAGAGGCCGCTAATATGAAGCAAACATAGTGTACGTCCTGGAGCAGCATAGTAGAAAATAAGACGTGAAGAGTCTTATGTGAATGCATTCACAAACGCCTCCATCTCTTTTATTGACGTAATCGTGACAATTTAACCTATCAACGAAAATAACAACGATCAAGGCTAGTTGCCTTCAGAGATTTCTTGGCAGTTGGCCCTGATCGATCGATTTAGATCCGTCTATTCTATGTACCTGGTTTCAGCTCTTAATCATTAATAAATCCGGCTCTCAAAAAAAAAATGCCTTAGATAGCACCTTTCCTGGGTTCTCTTTGGCCCATTATCACTCAAATGGCTCGAATGACTTCAACGAGACGTGTCCGAACTCGCATAGCTTGTTACCCCTGTCGGCAACGCAAGAGGAAATGCGACGGTAATCTACCTTGTGCTATGTGCAGCACTTATGGCTACAGGTGTCAGTATGAGACGAACAACAACGACTTCGCAGCACCTTTTGCTCGACGATCAGCGATTAGGGCTGCTTATGAAGTCGAACAATGCGAAGAAAATCTGAAAACCTCCTCAACATATGCGACTACGACGACCAAGAAGGGGATTCTTGATCCTACCAAGTCAAGATACATGGGGCTGAGCTCTGCAGTTGCATTTCCTCGAGTTCTTGCACTTGAGCTGAACTCGACAGACCCACCACACTTACATTCATTTGCATGGCACTGTGGAATTAGGGATGAAGAAAAGTCCGAAACGCACTTGGAATTATCCGCGATCATCACTAAAGAGGAATGTATAAGATTCTCTGATCGCTATTTTAAGGTGGTGCATCCCATATTTGGTTTTTTGGACCAGGGACAAACAGAGAGGAGCTTCGACTTGTACTGGAACTCGAAAACTGTATCTGCGTCAGGAGCAGTGATAGCGGGTATAGTAGCGCTGGGATCTTTCTTCTCTGGAAACTGCGGCCACCCTCGGGAGTCAGATATTGTGCAGTACGCCAAAGGAATATTGGAAGATCCGAAATTCAGTCGCTTGCCGTCTGTCGAGCAAGTCTCGGCTTGGGTTTTACGCACCATCTATCTGCGAGCGACTACTCGTCCTCAAGTGGCGTGGCTTGCTAGTTGCACTACGATACATCTTGCAGAGGCCACAGCATTACACCACGAGGCCAATGAAGTTGAACTCACAACCGCCAACAACAATGTAGACCCGCTTACGTCTGAAAGGGCTAGAAGGCTTTTTTGGTGCGCTTGGTCTATCAACACCATCTTATCGTATGATTACGGCAGATCTAATGTGGCTTTAAACACGGTAATTACTTGCAAACATGTGGTACCTACTAATGATGATTATACCCACCAGATAAGCGATCTTGCACGCATGATTCCGCTGGAAACGACATCTTCGAGTTCATCTGTCCAAATTGTACAACTGTTGGACGCATTGAACCATCTGCACCAATTTCAAGAATCTCATCCTTTTGTGAGTCTAACAAAAGCCGACTTGGCACTTTCTTTCTACCGCCGCCTAAGGCTGCTAAATCAAACCCTTGACAAGAGAGGTGTTCAACAAATCATGGATATTTGTGACAGTGCTTTGAGAATGAGCATTGATTTGGTGCAGGACAACGCATTATGGTGGAATGTGCTGAGTGCACCCTTCCAGTATGTTTGCACATTGATGGCCATTGACACCAAAGAAAGCCTCGCACGCGTTGGTTCTGCCAATGATCTCTTCAATCAAATTGTGTCGGCTTTGGGAACACATCTTGCCATTGAGGCACAGACTACGGTTAAACTTTTGTTACAGGACTCTCTAAAAAAGAAGGAGCTCGAGGTCGCGCTGTTAGAAAGTGCTATTCAAAGCAACCCTTATGTCGCGCCGGATCAGCCTCCAGATATCGACTGGAATGCATTGTTAGACCCTACCAATGCCTTACACTATATGCAGAGGGATTTTTCAACGTTTTAAACAGCGCTGGAATCAAGGTTGAGTAAAACAACCACCGTAGTAGTTGCTCACACTGCTTCCAAGTTGCCGGTCACGACAGATGTTCAATCGAATACTACAACAAACTTGCCGGTACTAGCGCTCCCACTCTTGTAAATTTCAACAGCTTGTTCCAAACCAATCTCTGTCCAAAGCCCCTGGGATGGTGGCATGAGCTTCTTGATTTCGAAATCAGCACCCAACGACCTGATCTGTTCTGCTATTTCGCTCATACTGTAAGACAAAGAATTACACCCTATTAAAGATTTCTCTTGACGGTAAAAATCCTTGATGTCTATCGAGAGCTTAACATCTCCAAGTGCCGCAATTATGGCAATTCTGCCTCCGTGGGCTAATTTGTTGATGGCAGCCTCAATCAAAGCTGGAACCCCGGTGGTATCGATAACCACGTTAACGCCGCGACCTTGGGTAATACTATCCAAGCCTGAAAGGTTTGTGTCCATCGTAGTGTCAATATCTGCATTCTTAGAGCGCCCAGCCGTTATTACCGAACAGCCTTGGGCCCTGGCCAATTGTGTAACCGCTGAACCAACGGAACCAAAAGCACCTATCACCAAAACAGTCTCTACATCTCGAACATTTGCCCTACTTAGCAAAATTCTTGCTGTTGAGAATGGGACGCCCATACAGGCAGCCTGTTTGAATGATATATTCGTTGGTTTCGTCACGATAGAACTTTCCGGGATAACACGGTATTCAGCATGGAAACCGTCGCAGGTGAAGCCATGGGTATATCCACTTGATCCATATATTTGTTCACCGCAGCGTGGTCCTGTGGCAATGTAGCCCGCAAAGTCGCGGCCTGGAATTCTAGGGAACGTCGTGTAAGGGAATCCACCCCGGGCATTGATCAAGTCACTTGGTTGAATAGCAGACGCAATAACCTTGACTAGAACGGAGCCAGGAGGTACGATTGGAATACCGACTTCTTTAAGCTCGACTAAGGGAGTCTCAGCATTGGAGTTGCGCCTGAGCACTATGGCTTTCATGGAATTAGCCAGTGCTATAAGTTTCTCCGGTGATTGTGAACAAGGTCTGAAGAGCAAGAATAAGGAAAGTACTATTTTGAATCGATGTGATCGGGCCGTTTTAAATCATTTTATAGGCTTTCAAAAGACCCTCTCATAACCCAAGGGATCTTCTGCCAGAATTGCGGATATTGCGGAAGACTTGAGCGGAAAGCGCCGCCTCGGTTTACCAGTGGTTTCCCAGTGGTTCAGCCAGCTTCCGAGGACCAGAGACGAATGTGAAACGATGCTCATATTTAAGAGCAATGTCCATGCTCTGCTCTCCGGTCATTACTTGTGTTTATGTTCGCGAACTACCGGACGTTGACAAATTCGTGACTTCCTTTAGTACACACTACCAAATCATCGGATATATAGTGCTCCTAGTTTACAAGGCAGTTTCCTTCACGAAGTTTGGTTTACTTCACATAGTACGCTCGGAACAATTTGAAATGTACGCTCCTAACAAACGTCTTCGACGTCAGAGAGGAAAGGATTTGGTTTTTAGTGACAAAACTGAAAATCCCTGTGATGAAACAGGCCCAATCATCCTTCTCAACACGGTTACGAACCACATTGGCAAGCCGGCCTCCCTTTTGAAAGAGATTGCCTTTGTTGCGGTAGTTTGCTGTGCTCAACTGATGACACAGGCCGGTTTGGCGCAAGCTATTGCACCCTTGGACATTATCGGCGACAGCTTTGGAATCCAAAGCCCTGGAGAGCTAAGCTGGTTTGCGGCAGGATATTCCCTGACGGTCGGAACCTTCATTCTAATTGCAGGCAGATTGGGTGACCTATATGGCCACAAAAAATTGTTTGTCCTGGGGTTTTTATGGTACTCACTCTGGTCTCTCTTGGCAGGTTTTAGTGTATACTCTAACCGGATATTTTTCGACTGCTGTCGTGCATTTCAAGGCTTGGGACCGGCCCTACTGTTGCCTAATGCACTAGCCATTTTTGGACGAATTTACGAGCCGGGCCGTCGCAAGAACTTCATATTTAGCCTCTTTGGGGCAACCGCCCCAAGTGGCTTTGTTTTGGGAGCCACTTTCTCTTCCATATTCAGCCAGTTGCTGTGGTGGCCATGGAGTTACTGGGTAATGAGTATTGCGTGTTTAGCTCTGGCCATAAGCGGCATCGTCGTCATCCCCCACACACCGTCCCCTAACAAGGTGACCTCCGTGGTCAAGCAGATTGACCTTATGGGTGGGGTCACAGGAGTTATTGGACTGATCTTGGTGAATTTTGCCTGGAATCAGGGACCTGTCGTGGGATGGCCCACCCCGTACACTTATGTGTTATTAATCGTGGGTATTCTTTTTCTCGTGCTATTTGCATTCATTGAATCCAGGGCTGAGTACCCACTGGTCCCCCTGCAGGCGTTATCGAGAGATTCTATATTTGTGCTTGCATGTGTTGGTACTGGATGGTCTAGTTTTGGAATTTGGCTTTTCTATTTGTGGAGGTTCTTGCAAGGTTTAAGAGGAGTGACGCCACTTTTGGCCAGCGCTCAGGTCGCTCCAGTGGCAATCAGTGGCCTGTGTGCTGCCATCACCACCGGCCATGCCCTTGCCCACTATCCCCCAAGTTCCATCATGCTATTTGCAATGACGGCTTTCACTGTTGGATGCATCTTGATTTGCACAGCCCCAGTTCACCAAAGCTACTGGGCTCAGACCTTTGTGTCTATTATCGTGATGCCCTGGGGCATGGACATGTCATTCCCAGCGGCAACGATTATGTTGAGCAATTGTATGCCCCATGAGCATCAAGGGCTTGCTGCTTCCCTGGTTAATACAATGGTCAATTACTCTATTTCCCTCGGGCTAGGCTTTGCGGGAACAATCGAATCGCGAGTGAATGATGGTGGGCAGGATGTGTTGAGCGGCTATCGTGGTGCTTGGTACATGGGCGTTGGGCTGAGCGGATTGGGAGTTTGCGTCGCAGCAGCCTACGCTCTGCACACCCTGCACCAGCACAAGGGACGCAACTTTAAAGTTTAAACGTAGATAAAGAGGAACTACTCTTGGCCGCGCACTTGAGAAGCCGGCAGAAAAATACAAAAGGTATAGTATGGACCAGAGAGGATTTCTCTTGGTTAAAAGGTAGCAGCATTCTAGGCAGATTCCAATTTGAGAGGATTTCAGGCGTCGTTTTGGTTTTTGCCCAAGGGCAGGTGAACCATTTCTGCCAGTAACTAATATTATAGATTTGGTTATATTCGTGGACATTAGACCAACAAACGCACGACAAAGCCCGCAGAAAGTAAATGATGTCAAGAGCTGCGACCATACTTAACGACAGATTTAGATAATGACTGTAACGAAGGTCTAGTTTGTGCCGTTTTGAAGGAGTTGGATATAGCATGCACCTCTTACAGCACAATGCCTTCAGAGGTGGCCGGAGATGCGGGGACGAAGCGTTGCCCAGACTCCTCATTCCTCGTTCTGCTTGAACTACAAATTCCAGTACCCAAAACTACAATGACCACAGGCTTCACCCCAGCGTGCTCCATCGTCCCACGGTCGACCTACAAAGGGTTGATTCGGATCACTACAAGTGGGTTCCAAACGGGTAGTAGCTATATACTACATGCGTACTTATCGGTTGCAGACACTGGAAAGTGGGTACTTTCGGGTACGTGTGTCAGATTGAAGGTGCTCCCAACGTTTATGCTGAAAACGCCGTACGCGCATGAAACGCCCCTTGCCTTATCATTGTATACCATAGTGACAGGCCCGTGATCGGGGAATGGCAAGAACTCCTAACACCGCCACCGGCGCACGTTGACGTGTAGTATGAAATAACACAGAGGATCTGCGGCGTGCGTCTGCCGCGCAGAAAGACATGCACAGAGAAAGCCGGTGGGTTACGTCAGCGTACTCGAGCATAAGAGCATTTGCCAGGTCAATGGTGCCTGCTGCACGGAACGAGCCGCGTCGGCGAGGAATGGCAGGAGAATGTAGTCCCGCTGACCGGGCTCAGAGAAGCAGGCGGCGGTATGGCGCGCATGACTCAGCGCGACTCATGATGACTCAACCGAGTCAGCTTTGCATCTGTGACATCAGCGTGTAGGGAACCAGTCAGCTTTCTTCCTCATATAAGCTGCTCTTTGATAGGAGGGACACTGACAATCTGCCGTCGCAGTAGGCAAAAACCCTGGCATGGCGCCAGTAGCACTTGGTCCATAGGCAGGGTTGTGGGCATGCGTCGGGACTTACCGGTAATGGAACTACTGGTGGGAAGGCCTCGTAAAACTGCACACATCTCGCCACCGATGGGGAAGCTACCAGACGATGATTTCCACAATTCCCGAATTGTGAATTATGACTAAGCGTGGCGTTGGCGGTGCCGGTGGCCAGTTTCTTCCTGTTTCATGCCTGCGTATGTCCCAACTGTATTCGCCAGCAACATGTTTTCGCACAGATTTTGGGATTTTTTTTTCCTTAGCGATGACTAGCGCATATCCAACGGCACCATTACCAGCAGTAGCGGCGCAGAAGAAGCGGCAGTGGGCGTGGGCGATCGTTTGCCCAGGAAAAAGCTCATACTCGATCCCATGGCTTCGTCTTTCTCATAAAAGGGGCGACACAATCGCACAAATGAGTAACCCGATCTGTAACACGACCCCGCTGCCGATCCTTTTCAGCGCTCCGCGTTTTTCGCTGGAACTTGGACCACCGAAAAAAATTTGACTCGCCACGGGCTTGTAGGGCCTGCGACCGGAACAGAAATATCGACCGATCGACACACCTGGGAACTAGAAATAGCGAGTGGGCCCAGGCAAACCTTGACTAGAGTTCGTGCTTGTGTTTGTCTCTCTCTCTCTCTCTCTTTCTCCTTTCAACCCTTTTTTTGTTGACCACCAGACCGACCGCCGATCAGCAGTCCAGTCGGCTGAAATTCTCGCTCGTGCGCATCACCTCCTCCTTCAACGTGGCCGGTGAGGAAAACGGCGGCGAGCAGATACACCCAAACACCGCAGCAAAGGAGCCCATACACCACACACAGCACCTCCTGCGTCTGTTTTTCCGTTCCATTTCGTTTCCACTCCTCCTATATGCGCAGCGCGCGCAACCAAAAGTTTGTGTGGACTGCGCATCACGACTGTGCGCTTGTGGACTCGGTGCTGGCACTGGGCGACAAGCTTGCAGATCCAATACGCTCGTACCCGAGAACCAAGTTCTGGGCGGCTGTGAGCGACGAGTTGCATGCCACCCGTGGTCTAGCCCGTAACAGCCGCCAATGTCGAGACCGCTTCAATCTGCTGTTCTCGCGAGAGCTCTTGGTGCCCATGAATGTGGTGCGCTCGTCGTCGAGCACCTCAGTCACGTCCAACGACATCTCAGGTGCCAGTGCCAGTGCCAGTACCAGCGGCGGAGGCGGTGGTGGCAGCAGCAGCAGCACAGGCGGCGCCATTGAATCCAATTCCATAGAATCGGTACTAGAGGCCAGATTGCAGATGTGCGTTCAGCGTTTTCGATTTGGGAACGGACGCAGTCTGGAGCTGAATGCTGCACCCACAACCGTAGGTCCTAATATTCTAAACCTGGAGAGCCCTCCTCCGCCTCCACGTACGGGTGCATTGCACGAGGTTATCCACCCGACGGACTTACCCACCGAACAGGTCCCAACATCCCACCCTGAGCCCCGTTTTGCCGATCTTGCATTAATCCACTCCCAGCTGCGACATATGCACGCGGCATTGGACGTTTTGACCACGGAGGTTACAGATCTCAAAAGTCAAGTGACAGAGCTGCAGCATAATATTGGAATCATAAAACAAGAGTCCGGAAAAGAGCATTGATATATATATATATAGAGAAAGGTCCAGGGCCTTGCGCCAGAATAGTACAAAGTGACATAAACTTTTGTGTTGTCGCGGTCGCAGCATCGCGTAGATACCTAACGTAATGAGTAAGGTGGCTACTGATACTGGCCCCAAAAACTGAAGTACTGAGTGGGATAGATGTAATTGTGACCACTTGGACTACGTAGGATAGTATTCTTGTGGCCCGAAGCATCCGTCATAGGTCACGTGACTTACAGGTGATCTGATAAATGTTCAGTGCAAGCCCTAACTGTTGATTCTAAAATGCTTCGTGGTTCTTTAATTTTTTTTTTCTGGCTGAAAAGAGCTGAGATTCGCATCGGTGAACTTAGCTTGACGACTGCCACTTTCATAGACTCCACTAGGCCGCCCGTGTCGCGTATTCCGAAGTTATGAGTCCATAGCTGATACTCGTCGAATAACTGTCGGTGTCCAGGTTTAGGTGATGAAAAGTGTATCAACATTCTACAGTGGCTAGCTACGGCGATGTTGTCTACTACGTTAACCATCTTTCGGGACTGATCAAACCTGCGACACCAGCCAGAAAGGCCCTCTTGTTCTAATGGAAGCAAAAGTAGATGATACAATCAGTAGCATAACGACTAAATGTAGATAGTGCAAAGCGGTGATATAAGAAATGCTGGAACCATTGTAAAATCGCATGCTAGGGGGGCCGTGTAGCTCCCGATTACTCAAATATCTAGTGATGGGTTTCTCTTCTGCTGGCAGCGTGGTGCGTGCGGCTAATAGAGGTTCCATGCGCCATCACAGGGCATAAGGCATCTGCGTAGGACAGCGGTCAAGAGAACTTTTCAAGTTTGACTGCTTTAAACCCATACATATTTCAAAAAATGAGAAGGCCCTGAATTATTAGACAAATATTATGAAAAAATCGGATCATGAAGTTTGACTGTACCCACTCAATTTATTATGATGCACATGACTGAAAATTTCCATCCTGCAGTAAGCCAATTCTTAGAAGTGTATAAAAGCAGACTGTCATCGCTACCACGTTATTACTGTTTTCTTTTCAAATCTGCATCTACACTCAATTCGAAAATGGCTGCTGAGTATGTCGAATAGTGCTGGAGCAGAATGCTTTGATCACTTACCTTTTTTTTTCTTTGGTTTTTTTCTGAACTACAAGTTGCATCGGACCTGAACTACAAGTTCCACAGGCCTTGCATTTATGCTTTTGAGTCAGCGGCTCAAACACTCTCAAACTGCACTTATCTCAGATTCAGCTTTGTAGCAGAATCTGTGTGTGCAGGTCGTAGGGGATTTTCCGTGTTTCACGGAACAAAGACTTGGATAGCTGGAATGTGAGTATTTCTCTTGAGCATCACCGTTCGTATTCTCCATTTCCTTCTACTGGTCTCTGCATCTCCCTGTCATCGAATGAAGCGTGGTGTGTTTCAGTTCGATGCGACTTTGTATTCGAAAAGCTTGTTCCCATGCGGTAGAGCAATTGCTAACAATATTTCCCTCTGTATAGAAAGGTCTTGGTCCCAGAATCCCAATTGAAGAAGTCTAAGGCTCAACAAAAGTCGGCTGAGCAAGTTGCCGCCGAAAGAGTCGCCCGTAAGGCTGTATGTTGAATTAAGGCAGAATGCTTTTTGTTTGTCGTCGTTCATGTCCGGGTCCTATCTTGGGTCTGCTATTCTGTGAGCTCACAGAAACCACGGATCTATCTGTTTGCAGTCAGTCGTCTCTTTTCGTTTTCTTTTACTATGATGAACTTTTCCCAAATTATCATTTTGATCGACTAGCTACGGCAATGTTGTCGAAACTTACACCATCTTTCGCCTGACATGTACAGATAAACCGGAAAGCAAAGCATTTTCGGTGCGAAGAGAGACGCTGAATGCCCAACAGCATCGGACACAGATGTGGACCCTGACCCGCGAAACAATTTCCCTCCGTTTCATAATATGTTTACTAACTCGTGTTTGCGTTACAGGCTAACAAGGAGAAGAGAGCCGCTATCTTGGAAAGAAACGCTGCTTACCACCAGGAATACGTTGACGCTCAAAGAGCTGTCATCGACGCCAAGCGTGAAGCAAAGGCCAATGGTTCTTTCTACATTGACGCCCAACCAAAGTTGGTGTTTGTTGTCAGAATCAAGGGTATTAACAAGATTGCTCCAAAGCCAAGAAAGATCATGCAGTTGTTGAGATTGAACCAAATCAACACCGGTGTTTTCGTCAAGGTTACCAAGGCCACTTCCGAATTGTTGAAGTTGATCGAGCCTTACGTTGCTTACGGTTACCCATCCTACGCCACTGTCAGAAAGTTGGTGTACAAGAGAGGTTTCGGTAAGATCAACAAGCAAAGAATTGCTTTGTCTGACAATGCCATCGTCGAAGCTAACTTGGGCAAGTTCGGTATTGTCTCCATCGATGACTTGATCCACGAAATCGTCTCTGTCGGTCCTCACTTCAAGCAAGCCAGCAACTTCTTGTGGCCATTCAAGTTGTCCAACCCATCTGGTGGCTGGGGTGTTCCAAGAAAGTTCAAGCACTTTATCCAAGGTGGTTCTTTCGGTAACCGTGAAGAGTTCATCAACAAATTGGTCAAGTCCATGAACTAAGCTGCTAATGCGAACTCTTAAGGGCCCGTTTGATGAGCTTTATAATAGTTGAGTAACTTTGGAACAACAAAAGTTGGATTGACATGTCTCTAGGTATCATTGCTGCGCGCTACCATACTTATTATTATGTAGCTGTCTCCGCAATTGAATGTCCCAGCTTGTCAAGGTATTTTTCACAGTGCGTGTATAATAGTAGATGTTAGCTTCTTTATGGATACATAATTGAGCAACGACGGTATGAAATTGAAGAATATGCACTACGAAGTCGAATATCCAAGACAGCCTTTCAATTGCCATAATTTGAATCAGATAAGATCGCCAATGGTGCATTCGCTTCTCGAGCCAATTTCCCGTGCATTATAACCTTAACGTGTCTAATCTCCTCCATGTGAAAATTTCTTTAACTAGGCGAAAAAAATGATGAACTCCACTTATCGTGGCCTGCTATAAAATGAATCGCATCAATCGTAAAAGTGGTGACCTACGCCGATTGACAGGGTTCAACCATTGTTTTATTTGGATTTGGTATTTGAAACATACTATTTAACTGGTGTTTGTTGGCTGGTGTTTGTTGGCTGAGAAAGAGATTGCGAAGACAACACTTGTGATATAAGATGTCCACTGCAAGTACATCTTATCACGGCTCCGCGCAAGACGAGAACGGACTGCGCGAGGTCCACAAGAAGGATGAATTTGTCGTCACCGAGACAGACAAGAGTTCCGACGGCAAGCCCGAGGTCAGGCTGAGGAAACAATTCTCGCTTTGGTCGATTTTGGGCGTCGGCTTTGGCCTTACCAACTCGTGGTTCGGTATTTCCGTATCAATGGTCACCGGGATCTCATCAGGAGGTCCGATGATGATCGTGTACGGTATCATCATTATTGCATTGATCTCTGTCTGTATTGCTGTGTCCCTAGGAGAACTGTCGTCGGCATTTCCTCATGCTGGTGGCCAGTTTTGGTGGTCTTTGAAGCTCGCTCCTCCCAAATACAAGCGGTTTGCAGCCTACATCTGTGGTTCGCTCGCTTACGCTGGCTCCGTATTCACCAGTGCGTCTACCACGCTGTCGGTAGCCACAGAACTCGTGGGCATGTATGCGCTGGTTCACCCTGATTTTGTCGTCAAGAGATGGCACGTATTTGTTTGCTTCCAGTGTCTGCATGTTTTGCTGATGCTGTTCAACTGCTATGGGAGATCGCTAGCGATTGTTTCAGCCAGCGCGCTATACATCTCGCTATTCTCTTTCTTTACCATTACTGTTACTGTTTTGGCCTGCTCTCATGGCAACTACAATGACGCCAAGTTTGTATTTGCCACATTTTTCAACGAAACTGGATGGAAGAACAGTGGGATCGCGTTTATCGTTGGTTTGATCAACCCTGCATGGTCGTTCTCGTGTCTCGATTGCGCTACGCACATGGCGTTTGAAGTGGAGAGGCCCGAACGTGTAATTCCTATTGCAATTTTGGGAACAGTCGCCATTGGGTTCGTCACCTCTTTTTGTTACGTTATTGCCATGTTTTTCTCCTTACACAATCTCTCGGCCATAAGCAGCTCTAACACAGGCGCTCCGATCTTGGATATATACTTCCAAGCACTCGGAAATAAGGCTGGCGCACTAGTGCTCGGTTCTTTGGTGTTACTGACGTCGTTTGGGTGCGTCATTTCGTGCCACACCTGGCAAGCAAGATTGTGCTGGTCCTTCGCCAGAGATGAGGGGTTGCCCTTTTCTCGTATTTGGGCGAGGGTGGATCCTAAGTTGAAGATCCCCTTGAATGCTCATTTGATGTCTGGTGTCTTGATTACCTTGTTGGGCGTTCTGTATTTGGCCTCTACTACCGCTTTCAACTCCCTAGTCACCGGGTGTATCATGTTCCTGTTGCTTTCCTACGTGGTTCCTGTAATTTGCCTGATTATTAAGAAGCGGGACATCAAGACCGGTCCATTTTGGCTAGGGAGGTTTGGTTTATTTTGCAATATTGTGTTGCTAGGCTGGACTTTGTTTTCTCTAGTATTCTTTTGCTTCCCATTCGTCATGCCTGCCGATAAAGACAATATGAACTACGCCTCCGTGTGCATCGTGGGCTATATCTCATTCGCTCTGTTATACTGGGTTTTGAAGGCTCGTCATGAGTTCCATGCGGTGGAGGAAGAGATTGCCGAAGCCAATGATCCATATTTGATCGAGTAGGCTAACATTGAGCTCTAGTTCTTGATAATTCATTTACGTACTTATACCGAAATGGTAAGCTAATGCCTGTATAGTAAATCTTTGACATTTCCGTATATACATACAAGTTCAATTGACACACAGCGTTTAAAGCATGAAAGATGGTGACTATGCAAGGAACGCGTCCTAAGAAGGGCATAGTAGGACCTCTAATTGCACTGTCGCTCAGCCATTTAAAGAATCTGTGCATCTCACGCACTGCCATATCTACGTGTCACGAGAGTGCCTAAGAACAACGTCCAATTACCACATATAAGGTTTAAATACGAACTTAAATACGGGTCGTTAGCCGAATGTACTTACCGACCGATAGCACCAACGAGTCAAAATGAGCTACATTTTTTGATACTGGCGCTGATATCAGCGACATGAAATTAATCTTTATTCTCACTGTGTCATCACAACTAGCTGGAAAATTTTCATGCCAATGAAGAAAATCAGATGCGATGAGATGAGATGAGATGAGCGCCAATACGTCGAGAACCAAAACCGTCAAGTATTCATCCAAACTTCTACAATGAGTAAAGGCCAAGTCGAGGATCGTAAACGGAAATACGATGATGTTGAGACAGCAATTCCAAATAAGCTGAAGAAGGACAAGAAGGACAAGAAAGACAAGAAGGACAAGAAGGACAAAAAGAGAAAGAAGGACAAAAAAGAGAAGAAGGACAAGAAAGAGAAGAAGGAAAAGAAAGACAAGTCGAACAAGAAGAGCAAGGACTTGGATGACTTAAAAGCTGAAAATGTGGATGAGCAATCTAGTGTAACTCAAAGCTCTGTAGAAGCAGCTCCGGTGCAAGAAAATGGCTATGTTCAAAGTGAAAAGCTTTCGCACGTTTCCCAAAGTGAAGTAGATGAATTCTACAGGGAGAATGAAGTCAGCGTCGAAGATCCTTCGAAATTATCCCTGCGTCCGCTCTTGTCTTTTAGTCATATTTCTTTGTCGCCTGAGATCCAGGATGAGATCTCCAAGTTCCCCAAGCCCACACCAATCCAGGCCGTATCCTGGCCTTACCTACTGTCTGGCAAGGATGTTGTCGGTGTTGCTGAAACAGGGTCCGGTAAAACTTTTGCTTTTGGTGTTCCTGCCATCCATAACTTGATGAACGCAGGATCGGAAAAGAAGGGAATTCAAGTGCTGGTAATTTCTCCAACGAGAGAACTGGCCTCTCAAATTTACGACAACTTGATTTTGATCACTAAGAAGGCTGGTGTTCACTGTTGTTGCGTGTACGGGGGTGTCCCCAAGGACGAGCAAAGAGCTCAGCTGAAGAAAGCCCAAGTCGTCGTGGCTACTCCTGGCAGATTGCTCGACCTAATCGACGAGGGCTCTGCAAGGCTCTCCAATGTCAGCTACTTGGTTTTAGATGAAGCTGATAGAATGCTCGAAAAGGGTTTTGAAGAGGATATCAAGAGGATCATAGGATCCACCAAGGCCACCGGAAGACAGACGCTGATGTTTACTGCTACATGGCCCAAGGAAGTTCGCGAGCTTGCGAGTACCTTTATGAATAGCCCGGTGAAAATCTCGATTGGGAACAGAGATGAGCTTTCTGCTAATAAGCGCATTACACAAATTGTTGAAGTAGTCGAGCCTTTCAAGAAGGAACGCAAACTCCTCGAACTTCTGAAGAAATATCAATCAGGCGCGCGTAAGAATGAGAAAGTGCTGATTTTTGCTCTTTACAAGAAGGAGGCTTCTCGCGTGGAAAGAAACTTGCAGTACAACGGTTACAAGGTTGCCGCAATCCATGGAGATTTGTCTCAACAACAGAGAACCCAGGCTCTAGGGGAATTCAAATCAGGCGTCTCCAACTTATTGCTTGCAACTGACGTTGCTGCTAGAGGGTTGGATATTCCTAACGTCAAAACGGTCATCAACCTGACTTTCCCCCTCACGGTCGAGGATTACGTCCACAGAATCGGAAGAACTGGTAGAGCAGGCCAAACTGGTACCGCCCATACTCTTTTCACCGAGCAAGAGAAGCACCTAGCTGGCGCTTTGGTTAATGTTCTCAATGGTGCCGGCCAACCAGTCCCTGAGGAGCTCAAAAAATTTGGTACGCACACTAAGAAGAAAGAGCACAGTGCTTACGGTGCTTTTTACAAAGATATTGACACTACTAAGAAGGCCAAGAAGATTACCTTCGATTAGAAAGGTTGGAGACTAAACTATTGACCAAGGTGAAATAAAAAATATGATAGATTCGGGATCTACGTAAGATGAGTAGGTAGGTGCGAAGTTTAGACATCGGGCCACCAGAGATATTGTAGAATAGATTTATAGCTTATTTTCAAGGTTGGAGGAAATGACTTAGGCCATGATTAGCTCGAAGCTTGCAAGAACCAGCCTCCAATGCAGAGACACTCAAAATTCGCGACCCTCAAGCCCAAGGGTTTGAAGGCATGATAATCAGTGGTTATTCTCCAGATCCACTTAGCATCATGTCTCGCAGAATAACCACGGCGTCGGGGATTCCCCATTACCGGACGAATGATTACAATGAGAACTAGGCTATTACTCCGCCTTAGCTTCCTTCATATTTGTTCACTACACAACTTCGTGGTCTGAAGACATAGAAATAGGCTGGTTGAAGAGCAGCTCAATGGCCAAACATCTGCATTATTTATTAGCAGTAGGCAAGCGGCAGCTACGACGTGTAGCCAATACCCATGACTTTCGTATAGCCATCTCGAGTTTTTTCGGTATTAATACATACGTGATGAGGCTGATAGAATAATAAAAAGTTTAAACACTTTATCGACTTGTCACTTGTGTACTCAAACCCGCTCTGATAGCAGTTTTTGGCCCTCCTTTAGAAGGTATATGTGTGTTACAGGCTATGAATAAAGTTCTCGAGCAATCAGAGATTAAAGATCGGATATCAAGAGGTCAAGCAATTGTCATATATGATGGATTAGTTTTGAAACTTGACAAATGGATTAAATACCACCCTGGCGGTGATAAAGCTATCCACCATATGATAGGACGTGATGCTACGGATGAAATGAATGCATATCATTGCGATGATTCCGTTTTGGACTTCAAAAAGTGGAGGATTGGTAAGGTTTCAGGAAAATGGACAAACTTTTTGCCTCCGATCCAAGGTGGGACATTCGGTGAAGACTGCGAGAATGGTGCTTATACCAGGAAATGGCGCGTGAATGAGAAGCAGGACGAGTTTTCAGATCTAACACAAAAAAAAAAGATGTGCGGTGAGCCAGATGTCAAACTCTATCCCAAGATACCACAAGGCGTCATTCCGTCTCTCGATTTAACCCAAGCTTATGAGCAAAAAATTGTCACTGATCCAGCCGACATGGCAGAGAATTTTGATAACAAGCTGGTGCGCAGTGACTTGGCGAATTTGCCCAGCCTAGACGCGCAAACTCAAGCTTGGATATCGGAGGAGTATAACAAGATGCACAAGAGGATCATTGACGCTGGGTTGTACAAGTGTAACTATTTACGCTATGCCAGGGAAGCAGCTAGAATTGGGGTGTTGTTCGGAATCTCTTTTTATCTGCTCTTTGCCTTGAGGTACAACTTCTGGAGTGCCGTATTTATGGGCGCCGCTTGGCAACAGCTAGTATTTATTGCTCATGACGCAGGTCATATTGGAATTACTCACAACTACCAAGTTGACAATATAATTGGAATGGTCATATCATCATGGATAGGCGGTCTTTCGCTCGGATGGTGGAAGAGAAATCACAATGTTCACCACTTGGTGACCAATGACCCAATTCACGATCCAGATATCCAACATTTACCTTTTTTTGCTGTCAGTACGCGCTTGTTCCATAATATATATTCCACCTATTACGATCGGTTTTTGTGGTTTGACAAGCTTGCGCAAAAGACTATTCCTCTGCAACGACTGCTGTATTATCCGATTTTAAGCTTTGGCAGGTTCAATCTTTATAGGCTAAGCTGGGTGCATGTATTATTTGGACTGGGTCCTCGGCATGGTAAGGCGGCGTGGTTTCGGTACTTCGAGCTTCTAGGCTTGGTTTTTTTTAACTACTGGTTTTTCTACTTGGTCTGTGGGTGTGGATTGGAAACAGCATGGGAGCGTCTGCAATACATTCTGGTATCTCACATCGCGACCATGATAGTGCACGTCCAAATTACCCTCTCTCACTTTGCGATGTCAACTTCCGACCTAGGCGTTTCAGAGAGCTTTCCTATGCGACAACTGCGGACGTCCATGGACGTCGATTGTCCTAGGTGGCTGGACTTTTTTCATGGTGGACTCCAATTCCAAGTCGTCCACCATTTGTTTCCACGAGTCCCTCGTCATAATTTGAGGAGCGCTCAACCTTTTGTGATTGAATTTTGCGAGAAAGTAGGTTTGACTTATTCGATTTATGGATTTACAAAGGGCAATGGCGTGGTGCTTAACAAGTTGGAAGAAATTGCTCAACAAGCTAGAACAATGCTTGAATGCGCGAAAAGTATGGAGAGTGAATTTATAGGTGAAAAAGGTGATACAACTCCCGTGACGGAAGTTTCGCAAAGACGTAAGTTAGTGTAAAACTTCATCAGACACGGCAATAGTGGTAAATACGTTCATAAAAGGTGATTATTAGTGCTGAGGTCTCGCGCCAACCTACTTCTTCCAGCTTGCCGAGTGATCATAAGTTACGTCTCACTCATCTTTTATTAAGGACCGCCTCGATGAAGGGAAGGCCATCGGGATCCACAAAACGTTTAATCCAGCGCTTTGCGTTTTCTGGAGGGATCTTTTAAGCGTCTACTTTATTGCCCATAATGAAAGCTTTCAAAGATGGTATTTCGAACCTAACTAAGGGTTGGAGCAGTCCCGAGCGAAGGCGTTCCAACTCTTATTCGCAACAAGAAAGTAGCGTCACGAAAGGTTGGGGCCTTGCTGATGAAGAGGATATTCTTCCACAAGTAACATTACGTGGGTACGCAGAAACTACAAAGAGCCGTCTGCTGACTACCGAGATATGTGATGAAATAAGAAACTTGATGCCGACGAGAGTGCAGCTATACCCTGATTGGCACTTATTATACAGTTTACAACAGCACGGCGCTTCATTGCATTCATTATATGACCATGTTGCTCCCGAGAGCAAAAATCCTGGCCGTGTGGGATATGTACTGCTGATAGAAGATCGCAGGGGCGGGCTTTTTGGAGCATATTGTAATGAGCCGTTCAGGCTGTCAGAAAGCAAACGGTACTACGGAAACGGCGAATGCTTCCTGTGGAAACTAGAAAAAGTTGCGAACATTAATCTTGGCGATGATGCAAAGAATTTGGCCGACGATTCTGCTCATAGGTGGCGTTTCAAGGGATTTCCTTACACAGGTGTAAACGAATTTGTCATTTACAGCACAAGCCACTTTTTCTCAATGGGTGCCGGAGATGGCCATTACGGGTTATGGTGCGATGATGGGCTCATGAATGGAGTCTCAGATCCGAGTCTCACCTTTGGGAACGAAGTTTTAAGCCGCGAGGGAAGCAAGTTTCATATAGTAAACCTAGAAGTATGGAGAGTGGGCTAATGAATACTAGAACCTTTTCTTTCTAAGACCTCTTCTCGAACCTGGTTAAATTCAATTGGGTATTCTCGTTGGAACACCCTGTTGATCTTTTCGATTTGGGTCGCACACTGCCCCAAATTCTTGGAAATGCGATTAGACGTACGTGCTCCCTGAGCAAAGCGCACTTCAAAGTGCTCTAGCTTTTCTTGAAGTGTGCTCACGAGTTTCTGAAGTTCTCTGCTTTTGGAATTGATCAAACCTGAGGTTCTTGTTTGGACGGCAATGGCCTGAGAGAAGTCCGCCGTATTAAGGGCCTGTGAAAGCGACTGAAATATGTATTTGGAAATGTCGAACAATGGTGTTTCCAACTGCCCCATAGTAAATGTATGACTGGTTTCTTGTCCAACTCGATCCAATTCTAACATCTCGCTAGTCTGTTCGTCACCTTCTTCGCTAGAGCTATCTTCATCTTCCCGGCCACTGCTGCTACTCTCCGAAAGCTGCCACCTGGATTCTTCCGTGTCATCCGGAATGGCAAACATTTGCGAGTCGATACTAGCAGTTCGAGACCTGGAACCCAGGTCACTAGAACTAATGTCACTCATAGCTTTGTTAGCTTGTGTTCCAATGCCTGGTTGTTCGATGAGTTGGCAATCATTAGTACATGGTGATGTTTAATTTATCAATTACAGTAAATTCTAATGTTAGGACAACAGCCAGAAGTTTGGGCCGCTACCATAATAGTAATCCTAGGAAAGATTTAAACGCAGAGCAAAAGATGACATCGCTATATGCGCCTTCAGCGGATGATGTTATGCGTAGATTACGACCTTTTGGTCTGTTTTTCGAGAAATCGTTAAAGGATCTGATAAAGGCCATTAGGAGCGCTGGCGAGAACCCTGAGGAGTTGCAATTGGTCCTTAACAAAGCATTGAGCGAGTCGCGTGAGGAAGTGGGATCTCCAGACCTAAACTTAAAAGCGAACGCAGTGGTGAAGCTTACCTACTTGGAAATGTACGGTTTTGACATGTCTTGGGCAAATTTTCATGTTTTAGAGGTGATGAGCAGCAGCAAGCTGCAACACAAGCGTGTTGGCTATTTGGCCGCATCACAGTCCTTTTATAAAGATTCTGATGTTTTGATGTTGGCAACGAACTTGTTAAAGAAGGACCTTAAATACGACGGCAGCAACGACATCTTGAAGATGGGTGTTACGCTGAGCGGGCTTTCAACCATGGTTACGACACCCCTTGCCAGTGATATCTGCGATGATCTGTTTTCTATGCTTGGTAGCTCAAAACCTTACATTCGAAAAAAGGCTGTAGCTGCATTGTTCAAAGTGTTTTTGCAATATCCTGAAGCTCTTCGCGACAATTTTGATAAATTTGTCAGCAAGCTGGAGGATGAAGATCTATCAGTTGTATCAGCCACTGTAAGTGTAATATGTGAGCTTTCAAAGAAAAATCCTCTACCATTCATTGCACTGTCACCTTTACTTTACGAAATGCTTCTAACCGTTGATAATAATTGGATCATCATACGTCTATTGAAACTCTTTACTAATCTGTCCCAAGTTGAGCCTAAGCTAAGGGTCAAGATATTACCTAAAGTTTTAGAACTCATGGAAGTAACATCCGCTACATCCGTCATATACGAATCCATCAACTGCATTGTAAAGGGCCAAATGTTAGAGGAAGATGACTTTGATACAGCGTCGAGCTGTTTGCAGGAGCTCAACAAATTTTGCAACTCTACTGACCCAAATCTGCGTTACATCAGCGTGGTTCTTTTCTACAAAATTGGGAAGATCAACGCCGAGTTTATCAATGAATTCAACACACTGGTTATTCGCTTGTTGAAAGATGTTGACATTTCCATACGAAGCCGAGCTTTGGAGCTTTTAGAAGGAGCCACAAATGATGAAAACATAACCTCCATTGTTCAGATCCTGATCAAACAATTCATTGATAAAGACATGGTATCTGCTACAAATCTCTTCCGCCAGCCGGGCTCCGGAGGTGTGGAGATCGAGATACCTCTTTCTTACAAGCTGAAAATGGTCAGCACCATCCTAAAGATCTGTTCCATGAAAAGCTATGCCAATATCCCTGATTTCGATTGGTACATCGCTGTTCTATCAGACCTTTGTGTGTTATCTCAAGACCTCAATAGCAGCAATCTAGGCCACGAACTTGCTGACGAGATACGAAATATAATGGTGAAAGTACCTAGTATGAGACCTAAATTCATTAGCGCCATTATAACGTTGGTGGTAAACAAAGATATATGCCAACAGATGCCCATGATCCTAAGGGAGGGTTTTTGGTGTATCGGCGAGTTTTCAGCGTTGCTGCAAGATGGAAATCATTTGATTAAAGAATTCGTTAAGCAAAAAAGGTTACCACCCGACGTTCAGCAAGTGTTGGCGCAAGCACTGCTCAAAATATTCAGCAACTGGTGTAATACAAGTGGTGATATAATTTACGCTGAAGTAAAAGACACTTTAAAGGAACTTGTAAAATTCTATGAAGGATTTAGCACCTCCCCATCATTTGAAGTTCAGGAAAGAAGCGTCGAATTTCTAGAGTTTTGTAGGCTCTGTGAAGAATCACTTGATCAACAAGAGGAAGAAGAAGGACTGCCTTTACTATTAACAGAGGTGTTGCCTAGCTTTTTTGATGCATACGATCTAAATCCAATCGTTCTCGGGACACAGAAGAAACTCCAGAGTAGCTTTACCTTAGACCTAGAAACGCCATTCATGACCGAAGAGGAAATTGAGGCACTTCTTGCTGAGGCGGCTGGCAAGAACGAAGAAAATTCGGGCTTAATTTCAGACATAGACTCAAGGCTAGATTCAGATGAGGATGATTCTCTAACCAGCTACATGCAACCATTGGCTCGGGAATTAGGGTCCGAAGTAAAGATGAGTGCTGAGGAACGTGAATATTCAGAAGCGAAGCGTAAGCAGGAACGAATGGATAATCCTTTCTACCTTGAAACGGGTGAACCGGAGATCATTAAAAATGCAAGTCCACTTCTTGATTTCGACGATGACGCAAAATTGTCTGTGGTAAAGAGCTTCAGCGAGTTGCATTTGCCTTACACAGGTCCCAAGGATAGTGATGAAACTAAGAAGAAAAGGAAAAAGAAGAAGAACAGTAGGAGTAAAGCTCAGGTCTTGACCGAAGAGGGCCTTCCGGATCTACCCCGTGATGCTGAGTTAACCAAAGAAAGTCACGATAGAATCGACAATGCGATTTCTACTGAAAATTCCAATGCGATAAATCTTCGGATGCAATCCAAGCTTGAAAACTTCGATTTTAGCCCCCCTAGTTTAACCTCTGATGGCCAATCAGAAAACATTTCAGAGCATCAGCCCGAATTAGAGAAACTTCGAGCCAAATTTGCTACTAACTCTCGTATGGATGACCCTCCTGAGGAAGAAGTCGTGGTTGTGAGCAAGAAAAAAAATCCAAGTCCAAATCCAAGTCAAAGTCTAAGTCGAGCTCGAAAGAAAAGAAGGGCAACTCTCAAGCTCAAATTGATGAAGCGGGCTAAACGGGTAACTGCATTTAGCCATAAAATGTTCTTTGCGTTGTAGGTCGTGCGCTTGAAGTAAATATAGTTACATACGAACCATCTTATAAATTCAAAATTGAGCATAACTACCATCAGCTTAAGCGGCTAAATTGGTGTTGACCACAACATAGACCCATTTCAAGGATGATATTTGAGGCTAGTATATCCAGTTTCGAAAGTCACAATATTTGGAGAAGGGTTGTGCAGAATCTAAGTTATCTGAATGAGGATATTAAGCTCACCATAACTCACAGAGGCCTAATAATATGGGCCATGAATAGCACAGAAACATCCATGAGCCAAGCGCATTTCGCCCGGTCATTTTTCGACCAGTTTCACTTCAGACCAGAAGAAACGGTATTTGGTGAAGATGGACTACAGCAAGTGCAAGATGGATCGCTTACTGTACACAAACTATACTCCTTTAGCGTACATGGAAAACATTTAGCAATTCTGTTCCGTAAACCTGAAAATGATAACATAACACTTCTTCACCTGGCAATCGATAACACTACAAACTGTCCAGAAGCCTTAGCCAACCGACTTCAGATAAAAATTCACACGGAGAACCTCATGGTCAAAGAATATGCCCCCCACATCGTTCCACAAAAGTATGATCCTATTGTTATAGAACTCCGATATAAAAGGAGGTTTCTGGATGTTTACTGTAGCTCGCGTGAAAATAATGAGGAGCAGTTGGATCCACGCTTACTGGAGATTTTTGGTAAACTCCAGAGAGAGCTGGAGACTTCGTACTTTAACAGTGACTTTTCCTCAACCAGTAAACGCGCCCGAACACTGAGGCCAGAAGACGAGATCAATTATTTATGTTGCAACCGCCAGCTTTTAAAAAACTTCATCGATAGCTGCAGCACAAGTAATACAGAAGAGGCAAAATTGGAAGTATCTATCGCAAAGCTCAGTCTGACGGCGTTCACGAAGGGAGTTTACACCAAAAATAATGATGTATTACGGAACGCAATGCGAGCTACCAATGTGGTTGCTACGAATGATTTAGAACATTACTGCCTATTCACTAATTCTCAAGATGAACCAACAAAACGGCCGCTAGCTAAGGGGGTAACCTTTGGTATGAAAGGTCTTAAAAACTTCGTGAATACCGCTACCATGTGGAAAGATGAAAAAGATGTAAATATATGGTTTTGTCGCCCTGGAGAACCAATCTTAATGGAAGTAGAAGGTACAGATCTTCGTCTCGAGCTGGTGCAGGTAACAGATAGCTGTGGGACAGCAAGTGTTACCGATGGAAAGATCGACATTGCTAGAAGTAGTCCACTCAAAGATGCTGCTTCTGTGAAGCTGGCAAGCCCAAGAAAATCGCCCTTAAAGTACAAAGGTCCGTCAAGGCTTGGGCTCACAAATAATGGCACCCCTAGTCCGGTCAAGCCCAAGTCTTTATTTTCTACAACTGAGGACGATTCCATGCAAGAGAAGGTAGCATGGAAAAACCCAATTCGTGGAAAAAGGCCTACAACTGAAAATCCTATTTATGATACCGGCTTTAATGTTGATGTAAGAAGCGATACCTACTCGAAAGCCCAGAGAACGCGCACTACTGTAGCATGGGGGAATTCTTCTCTAGAGTTATTAGATAATAATAACCAGCCAAACTTGGATCAAAGAGACTTACTCAAGCAGGAAAAGAAGAGGTTTTTGCGAGATCTGAAACGTCAGGAAGAATCAAGAAAGCATGACCAGAGTTCTCTCGAAGACCAGTTTGGACCTACTCAAAAAGACAAACCTAAAGGTCTCTTTGACTAGTTAGTTTGAACTTTGATTCAACGTGAGGACAAATGCAATTTCAGAGGCAGGGCTCAGTTACGTGTTAAGAGCTGGAATATGAATTCATTACACATGCTATACTTGGGATGAAGTGAAACAAAATAGCACTTTTCATTTGGTCGAATCTTCAGGCTAACCATGGTCATTACCATCATTGTGGTGCTGCCGGTTTGCTGGCCGCTGCGTCAGTGGTTTTCGCGTCCGCACCTCCGAGGTAATGATAGTTGACAAAGCGGAACCCTTGGCCAGTCTGTGCCAATGAGTTCACAACATGGCAACCAAACAACAAGTAATTCTTAGGTTGTACGGTAAGGGCAAACTTCATGAAGACGGACGAGTATAGGATCAGGGCTGTAGTCATTGGACCTGAAATCAATTCGGGGTCTTTCTTCAAGTCATAGATGGCAGCGAGTGGAATCCCAAAATTAGAAACTGGACCCCAGAAGTGTGTTGTGAAAACGTACTTTAATGTTTCTTTATTGACATAACGGCTGACTAGGGATTGGGTGACGGCTTTTTGAGCGGGCTGAGACATCCTGGATTTTTTTGACTATTTCTATCTGGCTTTATTCCGATAATTCAAATGCTCAAAACTTGAACAATTGATAGTTTGACGACTGAGATCGCTATTATCAAGATAATATTCGGCGAGTTGCTGGTTATCAGGGTCGCAGTTACTTAACAAGGATTGATGGTTCAAGAAAGATTTTTGGCCTATTGTTGAAAACCGTATCAAATGCTGAAAAAGAAGATGCTCCAGGAGATGAATGAAGGTGTCAACAGTGATTTTCTAGACGATGAGTTTAAGAACAACTTACTGTTGTTGTTAAGGGCTAATCAGCATATATTCCTCAATTACGCTCTGGCCAGCTTTTACTGTTGAAAAATTGATATCTTCAAGGGAGTAATGAGGAGGAAAGATCGACTAATTTGCCAACTTAGAGGCCCAAACATTGCTTACTGAATAGCTGGGGTCTAAAAGAGAAGGAGCAGCTTAGCTGCTTCCAGATCAAACACATTCCTACTGGTGGATTTGCAGTGATTTTGTTGTTGAACGTTCTCAGTGACATGGTGAAAATCCTACTCATCGGCCATCCAATACTCAGTATTCTCAGTTACGGTAGCTCAGCATAAACATCTGCAGGCCAGTAATGAGTTATCGTTCGAGCAATCATCAAGTTTCAGATAATCAGTTAGGTCAGTCCCCTAAAATCCCAAGGCCAACATCCTCGGGCCAAGTTCTTGACCATATTGGACGATCTGGTGCTAGACTGGAGGTATCATCGCAGCACGCGCACAGTCACAGTCAACCGCCACCTTATTACCAACATTTTCCGGGACATTTTAATCAACAAGGCTCTCCACATTTCTACTATGGATCATACCCCATCTACAGTGCACCCACGCAAAATATTCCACAGCCATACTATGCCAATTCTTATTACGGTTTTTCTAAGGCTCGATACCCTCAAGATAATCATGGTGGTGTTTCAACACTTGATTCTACGTCATGTTTTCCACAAGACGTGAGCAAGCTACCAGGACCCACTGCGGGGACGAATGGGAAAGATCAGGGTGCCAGCACATTCGACTGCCAAGGGGATCTAGAACATAAAGGTCATGAAACGAAAAAAGAACCCGAGCTTATACTTTCACAGGAAGAAGCGTCCCCAGTGGTAATACCAGGAACCTCGATCACGCTAGCATCCGAGGAAGATATACGTAAATGGAGAGAAGAAAGGCGCAGGATGTGGCTTGTCAAAATCTCCAATAACAGAGAAAAACACAAGACTGAGCTGGGCATTGAAGACAGTAATACGAGCAAAGTGAATGCATTCCATAATGTTAGAAAGGATAAACAGTTTATTCAAAGCATTCAAAACCAAGTTAATAGATACAACCCAAATCCAAATTTGAGCTTGAAATTGATCCAAAGGACCATGGCTGAGCAGAATTCAAACTTGCTGAATTTCATAGAGGAGCTGGGTGATGCAAAGCTTCTGGAGTATGAATTAACGGAAGAAGAAAAAGAGAAACTCTTCGGGACTGGTAATAAGCAAGGTAAGGCTGTTAAATCATATCATCATAACGTCAACAATCATATCAATAACGGCATTAATAAACGTAACGCATACTCTCGCGATGGCTCTTCTCGTTATGAGGGTAGTTTTAAAAGACAGCAAACTTCCAGACATGATACGTGAAATGGAATTTTTTCAAAGGCCTCGGACAGATAGTCTTTCTCAGTTACTTGGAGAATCTTCGGATGAGGACCTTTATCGCCAAAGAACTGAACGCGGAACCAAGGAATGACCCACATATAACCCCTTTCATGAATGTTTTTCGTTGGTTTGCACTACTTTTTTGCACCTTTTCTTGTCTTTTCAATAATTTCAACTCCAACTCCGAAGCCGAAGCAATCATTTTTGTTCTTCTAGCCTTCTTCTTTGCATACTTTCTATACTTCCTGCGAGTCGAAGGCGTTCGAGTAACCTTGCTCGGCATGCCGAGATCTTGGCGCTTTTCAGGAACCAATTGCAACGGCTCTTGTGGAGCTTGGATTGCATCAGTTGCTGTCGCACTTATGAGAGAGTCCATCTTGGGGTATTTCAAAGCGGAAATACTGTATTAACACGGCTCATTGGTCCCCTTATATATGGGTCAACCAACTGCAACATTATGATTTTAGCATTGAATTTATAAGAATTGTATGTTTCAGAATGTCATACCGAAACAATATTAGATTATGAAACACAACACCTTCTGAAGTAAAAGTGTAGTATATAAACTCTTTAGCTTTGCATTTATTTGTCCTGCATGTAAAAGACCTACACCTTGTCAAACAACCAAAAATATTAGCGCCAATCCACCGATTACCCCATGTTGGCGATACCTACCAAAAGACCCAAAGTACCCACAGAGCCAGCCAAAAACCCAAGCACACTTCCTACTACCACTTGTCTTGTCTCGGCTAATAATGGCCGGCGTGGCTCCGCAGTAGCAGCACTGGCCTTTACTCTCTTGACATCGTCATGTGCCGAAACATCTTTAAACTCTAAATCCAAACCCCTCTTTTTTGACACGACACAAGAGGCGACATCAGTGTGCTTGGATGTCATCTCTTCAAGTGGCAGCGCGGTAGTAGTGGCACTCTCGTAGCATTGAGGAGTAATTTCGCGAGAAGAACTGATTTCGATCACGGGGCAACATTGTGAAGCAAAAGGCCCGTTACTTGTGCCCACAACGTCAGGAAAGTTGTCTAACTTTTCAAATTCGCTTTCACTAACGAATAGGGCCGGTGGATTAAGTGTTCTATCTAGAACATTACTTCTGTTGTCATCATCGGCAGCGGCCGTTGACAGAGCAACGACTTTCTGGCCCCCGAAGTGACACTGGACACCTTCTTCACCTTCTTCACCTTCTTCACCTTCTTCACCTCCTTCACCTCCTTCACCTCCCTCAACTCCTTCACCTCCCTCAACTCCTTCGACCTCGTCATCTTCCTCAATTTCCTCGTCATCATCCTCGTCGTCATCATCTGCATCCCTATAGTTTTCTTTACTACATGCGCTGCCACCAACAACTTCGTCACCGTCATCCTCTTCCTTCCTAACTTGGCATGCTTGTTCCCTGCTACAGCTGGCTTCGTGGGGAGCGCTGCAATCGCGTTCATAGGTGTCTAGCTCCAAGTCAAAATCTTCACTGAAGTTGAGGTCAGAAGACGAACCCGAGTTGGACATCTCGTCCATTTCTCCTGTCCGTCCAACGGTGGAAGGCCTGCTTACGTATGGACTGTCATTGTAAGTCACGTTGCTCAAAACGAGTTCCAGGTTGTCAGAGTTTGGGCGGAGTTCATTAGTCCGGAGAAACACCTGAAACTTGAGCTTAGCGCCTCGAGACTGGCCAGCAGCGAGAGGCTCGTAGAGCTTGATAAGCCCGAATCGCTCGCCATTTTTCAAGTCAATCACCTTGGCGTCTGCGTCCTGCGACTGTAAATCAACCACACCGTGCGTGGAGCCTAAGTCTTGCACTGAAATCCTAAACTGATCCAATAGCGAAACATATGGATCCTTTTCCGCAGGGAAGAGACGCTTGATGCATAGCACTGCATGCTTCTTACTCAAGCTCTTTTCGTGAAACAAAAAGTTATCCTCTCTGTCAAAGCGTTCCGGATCCTTCACGGACGCCCTACCTATTGGGAACTGCAGTCCAGAGCCCTCGGCATCTGAAATCCTGAACAATATCTTCCTTGAAACGGCTGAGTCAGAACAATTCATAATTAAACCAGTGGATTCTACCGAGGTTCTAAAGCCCCTTCCGGATTTTATCTTTAATAAGGCAGTCTCGAACTTGACAAGTTACCACTTGAACAGTAAGAATGAACGATCCTGCTATTCTCGGGACCGTTTCGAATATTACTGTCTGACGGTTGATGATTCAATTTTGTGAAGGTCTTAAGTCTGCCCCTCGCCCCTTGGAATTGATATAGTCTCCCAGTAGACCTATGAATTGATATCATATATTACGATTGAGTCGTCGAGGTGTCTGGTGATTGTCTCCCGGCCTCGAGCATTGGATGGTCATCAAGTTGTGGTGGATGGGGTCCCAAAGTTGCGAAACTCACACGTAGGTTGGTTGTGGAATATTCTTTTTAGTACAAGATAGGCCATGCCGGAAAATCGTAACGTTACTTTGTTTCACCGATGAGCTTCACATTATTATGCAGCTCTTTTTTAGCTTATCACGCTTGCGTTTGGGCGTTCCCGTATTTTTAGCGTTCTTGGCGAGTTTTGATTTGTCGGCATTCGCCGTTCTGTTAGGCTGAGCGTTTTCGTAATTTCTCTGGATATTTCTAGCCACGCGCGCATCTTCTTGTTCCTGTAAGTGGCGTGCGTATTGTTCGTCGGTCATGAAATTGGGATCCGGACCCGAGGCATTGGTGTTGGAAATCGAGGGATCGGAAAACGGATTTCGAGAATTTCCCCTGGCATCCGTGGTGGTGGAACTGGCGTGAGTAGAGGAACGCTTGAAAGTCGCCGGGATGAAGCTACCAGTAAAGAAGGCGTCCTGTGACCCGTTGACGGATTTAAGTGATTGCCAGACTACACCTTGGTCCTTTTTGAACCCCATATCGGTCACAAGCGTGTACAACTGGCCGTTATTCTTGAAAAGCGTGGCGAAGTGGTCGTTCCGAAAAAGGATTGCGTACGAGTTTTCCAGCAACAGCTCCCTTAAGTGTTCCAGACCACAGTCGGTCAGTTGGGTAGCCGACCGAGCCAGAAAGGTTTTGATGAAGCCAGCATCTTCCGCTGCTGAACGATTCTGTTCGTTTGCAGTAACATGGCCATGCTGGAGGTCGTAGGCTTCGATGAGAGCCTGCTGAGCACCTTCGTACGAGTAGCTCGACACATGCTCGTACTGAAGAGGGTCACTTGCTTGGTCGGCTAGCCACCCATGTACGATGCTGACGTTGAAGAGCCTGAACAATGCCATTTCGTCGCCGTCCTCGAAAGATCCATTGAAAATCGGGTTGATTGACAGTCCAGTGTGCAGCTGAGGAAGCAGCTGCAGAAGCCGATCTACATCTGACTGGGCACCTCGTGGCACTTGCATCCCAATGTTGGCCAGGGTCGTGATTAGCTCGTTCAACCCCACTTCGCTCTTAGCCATAACCAGTTCTATCAAGGGCCCGGCTGGTCCCGTCAATTGTGGCGACAGTAGCAGCACGTTGCACAATGCGATCAACGCACATGGACCATTTTCATTTTGTAGTAGTATTCGGCTCGAATTGCCATTGATATTGATGTTTTTGACGTCGAAGCTTAAACTCATTCTAGCTTAATCCCGATGTTGATATTTGCCGCTTAAATACTGGACTTTTGAACCTTGAAACTTTCTTGCCAGCAAAACTGTGGTCCCTATCTATCTTCGGTTCTCAATTGAGTTGTAGAATGCTTTTGACCCAGTTCTCTTCTCTCGAGCTCGTCAAAAGGGGAACCCGTCGATCTTGTTCGGACGTCCGATACTGAATAGGATCAACCGTACCAAGTTATCGTCCTTTACACATAACGCACCAACCGAGCTCACATCCTCAAGTTAAGATTGGTAGTTCAAGAGCACTAAGAGAGTTTAGACTTGTTTGAACCTTTGGACGGCCAACTGTAGTCTTATACTCGCCCTAATTCAGCTTTGCAGCTGACAAGTTGAGTAGTTCGTAATTTTACATCAGAGACAAAAGAAAATACACAGCGTAGATGTGTGTCGATGATATGTAGCCCCAGAAGGGTCGCTTAAGAGTTCAGGCCATCAAGAGAAAGTGTTTGTACCAAGCCAGATAGGTCCGGTGGTTGCAGCAGGTCCGCGGGAGCATTTAGATGCTAGAAGTAAAATAAGAGCTTCGAATAAGACATCAGCAGCAGTGGATCGAGCACTCTGACCTGGGCTTCTTACACCCCAGAGCTGCTGACAATGTACGAGACGCGCATTGAGCTGCGATCACCGTTGCTGTAGTTGAGCCAGACTGTCAAGAAGACTTTGAACGTTATTGTTACCAGACATCGAGGGCGATTGTTGCTGTGGGACCGGATTTTGGGCCGGAGGATTTTTAGGCGAAGGCACGAATGATCCTGGCTGGATATGTGCTTGCTGGTGTGGAACAGCTTGTGAGATATTGGGGCCTGGCTGAGGAGAATTGGAAGTGGGTTGAGGCGGAATAGGCTGGAACCCTGTATAAGTACCTGGGCCAGGCACAGGGCCCTGGGCGGGGGTTCCCTGTGGTTGCATAGACTGAATGATTCCAAGCAGTTGATGTTGTTGCTGGGGCTGTTGCTGGGCCATCGACAACAAATTGGCTACTATGTTTGGAGGCAGATTCTGAATTGCCGAGAACAACTGTTGTTGATCAACTTGAGGCGTCGCGCCCATAGGAGGTACAGCAGCAGGTGTAGGAGAGATGTGCGTAGGGGGAGGAGCCTGGATCGGATGGCCCGGATATCCGCTATAGCCCTGTGACATTTGAGGAGGAGGAGGTGCTGGTGCACCATAAGCCTGTGGAGGCGGAGCCATGGCTCCATAGGCCTGTTGCATGTAGGCCTGGCCCTGGTGTGGGGGAGCCGCAGGTGCCGGGACATTATATCCGCCGTAATACTGCTGCTGAGGGACGTGTTGTGGAGGCATGTTCATATGACCATTTCTACTACCCTTGAGGTTGTTGAAAATGGCAAGGGCATCTTCGCAAGACACGCTTGCATATTCATCAAACTTGGTTTCACCCTGGGAGCCCTTGTAAAATGTCTGAATATCTACATTACGAGTCTTGTTGACCAGAACCACACCCAAAACGCCATCGTAAGCTGCATCATTGATCATTTTACGCAGCTCCATGCGAGGCTTCAAGAATATCATGTCAGTCTCCAAACCGCTTCCCTGTCTGAATCTGTTGAACACCTCGGTTGCATAAGATCTGTCCGCCGTTCTCTTGACAAAGATTTGACATTCAGGTACACGGCGTTTGCCTCGTTTTTGACTTTCGCTGTACATGTCTTCTTCTTCCTCGTCTTCATCAAATGGCCGTTTGGAAGAAGAGATGAATGTAGAGCTGCTGTTGGTTCCATGGTCGCCGTGGTCGTATTGAGGTCTACTGTTAGAAGAGGAAATCTCAAGGATCAACTTCTTGCCGAAATTCATCTCGTTGGACTCACCAGCGATTGCAGCCCTTACAGACTGGGGATTGTCATATTGTATGAAACCAAAGGCATTCTTAATGTTGATCTGATAGATGTGTCCATAGGGTGAAAAAATTCGAAATAGGTCGTCTTTAGCCACATTCTTCAAAGGAAGGTTTCCGATGAATAGCCTGGACTTAGGAGGAATATTTTGAATTTCGGTGATGCGATTTTCTCCCCTCAGGTATTCATTATAGCGCTTGCGTTCCGCAGGACTCATAGGCTGCAAAAGATTAGGTCTTCCTGCTGCTTCTTGAGCCATCTGCGCTTGTGGAGCCGCGGCCAAACTTTTAGAAGGTAAGGCAGTTTCTGAGCTTGAGTCTAGGAAGGTTATCACTGCATTCAGTTTCTCGGAGTCGGACAATCGTTGAAATTGGGGCAGCTCTAGTAGGTGACTTTGCAAGATCACGGTTGCCTGTCTTTGTAACAAATCGTAGTCGACATCTTCTTGTCGATCACCGTTCGTGAAATTGTTAACATCGAAAGGCTTGGGCTGTTCAGAATGTCCCGGCACGATGGTGGGCTCCTCGTTCGCATGCTCTGGCCAATCTTGTTCAAGAGTCGCACCAACATCAACTTCACCTACTTGGTTCCTAGGTTCCACTTCAACGTTTTCTGATACGGTATTTTGAATCACTTCAGCTGGTGTGGCATCTTCGGTGGAACCTGGTTCGTTGGCTTCAGAACTGTCTTGTGGCCCATAGTTCTTCTGCTGTGGCAAACCCTCAGTGTCCTCAACGGTTTCTTTTGCTGAATCTGGAGAGTCTTCGGTAGCAGCCCCTGCATCAGCAGCCTCTTTCTCAAAATCCTGGTTTGCTGCATCCGCAATTTCGACCTCGTCTCGGTCCGTTGCTGGAACAAATGCAGAAGTCTCGGCACTTCCTGAGTCCACTAATCCCTCGCTGGCATCTTCATTTGGGGCAGTCTGAACCTCAGGAGTGGCACTGTCTTCTTTCTCCGCAACATCTCGCTCTTCCTCGTGCGAATACAGACTTTCTCCATCCTCAACCTCAGGTTCGCCCTCGTCGAACGCCTCTTCATCGGCCGGTAAAACATTCGTCTCTTCAACAGGAGCACCCTCTAAAGCTGGCGGAGCCAAAGAAGCAGTGTCGCCGCTCTCCAAGGGTCTGGGTTCTTCAAAAGACATGGCTGGACGTTACGCTACCAAGATGTGGGACTGTGCTATGCTTTGTATGCATTGCCGTAACTTTTCTATTCATCATATAGTATGTCATTTGTCACGGATTCGAAAATGGCCAGCGAGAAGGCAGATATCCTGGCCAATGAAGCCAAGTGATGCCATATTTAGTCCAGTATAGTGCGATTCGCTATGCGAGAGCTCTGGTATATTTTTACTTAAGTGTCTATTTTGATAAAAGCTTTGTTTTCAATAGTCCTTTCATCGGAGTAAAAACTTGACCTAAGGCATCGACTACTATAAGTTCTTTTGAGCCAGACATTCACGCTATCTATTGTCCAGACATACAGCTCTCAGTAAAAACGATTTTCCCTTTAATATATATACACTGGGTAGGAAATTATGCTATGAATATATGCTGTCATACGTGTTCCGAGTATGGCTCTGTAGGTTGTGCCGAGAAGTTCCGAATTGCGCATGCCTGACTCGGTTCTGTGATTGGTGACTAGGAATTCACGAAGACACTCCAAAATTTACCCCTTTTCCCCCAAAACAACTTCTGCGTCTACGACGAGGGCGCAGGTCTGTCACCCGAGCGCTCGGCCTTTTGGCGATCTGAAGCCATAGGCGCGTCACTATCTAGGGTATGGGCGGGACATGGCAACGCAGAGCTTAAGGCAACAGACGAGAAGGCGACCAGGAAAGTGGTGACGAACAAACGATTAGTGACGTTGGTCCTCGTGGAGGCTCTCATGGGGTCTCAATGAATAGCGAAAATCTGGGAAACTCGCAGCGGGAGAGCGGACTGTGAACAGGTTTCCGGTATATGAAAAGCCCGCTAATAAATAGGTGATTCCTGTTTCGGGTAGATCTCAAAAATGCGCAAGTAAGCGAGTAATAATAGTTCAAGTGTTAGCACTATAACACTGACTTCAGCACGCTTGCCGCAAATGAATGGAATGAGCCAATAAATAAATAGGTTAATAAATAAATGAAAGCGGGTCTTCACTTCACCTCCGTGCTCCAATAGCTAACAGCCAAGTGGATTTTGTTCTTTAGTACAGGTCAAGCAAGCCGAAATGTTCAGTATTGATGATGTACTTCATTTTTGCAGAGCCCTGGTCACTTTATACGCAAGCTAGTTAGGGCCTGTCGAGTTCGATGTGTACTTGACTGGCTGATCGAATGAAAGCTTATAGAGATGCCATAGCACCACAGCAGCATTTCCTCAAAGTTCTTTGACTTGGTGGTCAATTTGCTTTTACAATAACGAGCTCATTTGACTAGCCAAGACGCATTTTACAAATTAAATTTATAGTTCTATAGTTTGATGGGTAGTCTTTGCCTAACTGAGGTCGAGAGTTAATTGTTTACACAGTTGAGAGCATGTTCGCAGCTTGCTTTATCAAATTGGTCTCATTAGTATTATGTTCACGACGAAGTTTTCTGCCAATGTGCCCGAGGTTCATAAAGCATCAGCAGAAAACGCTCTTTGACCACATGTCTTGTGGTGATCAGTTGGCTACATGCATTGGGCCGTTGTAAGCAGATTAAAGTAGCGACGCCGATTCATTAGCAGATTGAGATGAAATGTGGCGCGAAGACACATTTTTCTGGGGCTGCATCGTCATTGAAAACCCTGGAGGTAAGTTTGCGGTTGTGTTGGTTGAAATTTTACTAGATACTGGAGGCGACGGAGCGCTTCTCAGCGAAGGAGTCGAAGAAACGAAGTCGTCAAAATCGTCCACTTCCGCTGAATTGCGCTTCGGTTCACTTCTAAGCGGCTCGGGCGAAGCAGTGTTGAAGACGATCCCAGTCGCGTATTTCGCGTTCCCCGATTTTAGGGTCTCAGCAGGTTTTGAATGTCTGACAGCAGATTTGAGGCGGTGAGGTGTTAGCGGAGAACTTGAACCAGTGTCCGGAGTCCGTGGCAAATCGGTTTTCGGTACCGGTCTATGAATTTGTTTTCGGTTAGTACCAGTCTGGGCTCTTGGTACAATAGCAGGAACATCTATCTTATGGGAGGCTTGCAAGTCTGGGTCCTCGGCCTTCGGTACTGGATTCTCAATCACTTTGCTGAAGTTCACGTTGGCTCCGTTGGAAGATTTGAGCCTCTCCATGTGCTTTCGTTGGACGTCTTGACCAAGATTGTTTATCACCTTAATAAAATGAGCATATTGGTTGGGTGATAGTGTCAACGCGAGAGAAAAGTCCCATAGTAAAGGAAGCAGTTGTTCGACTAAAACCTGCTCAGTTTCCACCAGCTCCGAGAGGACCCGCAACAGTTCTAGTGTTTTCATCAAAATTCGCGGCTCCCTGGTCTTCATGGATTTGAGTAAAGGTAATAGTTCGTCGACACCTGTGAACTTGTCAATTGCCTTGCGCTCAATCATAGTACAGAAACTATCCACGCAAGCAGTCTTAACAGTTAGACTTGTTGTTTTGACAAAGAGCCCCGATAGCAGCTTGAGCAAAAAGTTTTTAACTGTTGGAAAATCGAAAACTTGAAGTAACACGTCTAGTCTCTTCATCAACAATTCTTGCAACAAAACGCTGTTCTCTCCAGAAGTGGCAGAGAAGACAAAAGTACAAAGAGGCTTCAGAATTTCGCCCGCGAATAGATCAGCCTTTATTTTTTGTTGCAAGATGGCGACGTTTTCAATCAAGCTGGTTGTGGCATTATCGATCAAGCATTTGAAAGATTCTTTGTCCGCAAGGTGAGGGTATATTTTTTCTTGAAAGGAAAGTTGCGACAAGGTTTCGCCGATTTTTAATATAACAGTAACCAGTGTATTCAAACTTGCAGAATCTACGACGTCTGAGGCGCACATTTGATCAAGCAAGTGCAGTAGTACCGGTAAAAATTTCCGTTGTAACAATTGTGCCGGAAACTGCGGTAACATATCAAGTAATCCACTCAAATATACGCTTCTTTCCTGCGAGCTCTTGGTTGGTAAGTCGTCCAAGAACGCTAATGTTTTGACTAGCGGGTCTTGAAAAAACTCTATGTCCAAAAACTCACTAATATTATCAAACCTAGAGAAAACATCTCTGTTCATGAGCTTAGACATGCTGGGCCTCAATTTCTCGGGCAATTTGGCGAAAAATCTGTCAAAGGACAGTCGCAGCAGGTCTTGTTCGAATTTGCTGTACTCCTCTTTGTAGTCGCCAATGTAATCTTGGCATGAGATCAAATGCCTCTTATGATACAAGAAGTAAATCAAGAGGCCTAGTGAAAAGTAATCATTCCTTGGCGTGAGCATATTATCCAAAATCAATTCAGGCGCACTGTAATTCAGTGGAATATGCATGAAAGCGGGGTAGCGTGGATCAAAGTCTGGGTTATACTGGCTGGTATTGCAACCTGGCGGAAGTTTGGTGAGATAACCTAGACCCGACAGTTTCCAATCAGAATTTTCATTAACAAGGATGGATGCCGGTCTCAAATCGAGTGCTACGGAGTTCGCACGGTTGTGAATGAAGTCCAGGCCTTGGGATATCTGTAGGATACCTCGTTGTGTAATAACATTGCCACAGCCCGATGATCGAGAGAGGGTAAGCATCTCAGAGGCTTCAGTTGATCCGTTATCCTGACTCGATTCTAGACTGCAGGAAACGTATTCAGAAACGAACATGAATGTTTTCGAGTGCTCTTCCAAAGGTTCGACTAACCCAAGAATATTGGGGTGCTTCAATTTCGCCAGTTGATTCACCTGCGTCCTTAGTATATCATAAGCATTTTGAATAAACTGCTTATCTCGACTAGACGAGCGCGATTTAATAGCGCCTGAACTTAACAGGTGGTTCTCGAACTGCTTCTTATCGAATATGAATACTGAAACTTTCGAGCTGGTACCAGAAGAGCCGTTACTCTTAGGCCTCCCCGAATGGACATTCCATGGGTCTACTGTAAAGGTGGGCGATGATGAGTAGGAGTAGCTGGAGCTAATATTGGACTTCGACGTCCAGAACATCCTTTGCAGGTTCCAGCTTGCTTAACACTTGGAAGTATGTGCACTTGTTATTATAAATTTTTGGAACTTTTAATTAGTCTGTGCGGTGACAGACCTTGATATGTAGATTGATCGTTACCTCTTCAACTTCAACGTGCAATTAGCTGTTGAGGTGACTGCGACAAGGGATTTAGGAAGCATTCCAGTCCCCACTTAGCACTTAATACTATTTGACTCACATTGAGCTGAATACCGTCACATCTACTCTCTGTAGTCTTCGATAGGGTTTGTAATGCAGCAGGGCACACATTATCATTTATGTGCTCAAGGTACAGACAACATCATAAAGATGAATTTACTTGAGCACAGGGCACACATTATCATTTGTGTGCTCAAGGTATAGACAACATCATAGAAGATGAATATAATATAGCATAAGTGAGCTTTTGGTAGTGAGGAGCTCGTGGTTTTGATCTCTTATCAACCCCAATGCTGTGCTATAGCCTGCGGCTCTGCAAAATAGATGACTTACAATAGTTAGCCGAATTGCAAACCCTACTCATTACAAGTGCTGGTTGATTTCTTATCCGATTCTCGATTATGGGGCCAAAAGTCATCAATATAAGCAAATTCTGAGGTTATCGCGGGTCCATAGGCTCACAGCAATTTACATCGAGGGGACTCTCTGCCAAATACTCTCAATATCCTATTTAAATGGTGGGCATTGGTGTTGAAACAATTAATTCTGGTGCAACCAGAGCTTACCTTAGAGGTATTTTCCTAACGTATCCTCAGTGTTTGAAACTCCAGGGGAAGTTTGCCCACCCCTATATCCTTCTGTATTGAAACGAACCTTGCTGTGGGGACCGCGAGGTAGAGGTGAGCAGTACTATTTTAGCACCGAGTTGCATAAGAGTTAACCTCGAAGTAGTGTCAGAATAGTATTAAGTGATAATGTCAACCTGACTTCCTCAAGGATCATCGCCCAGTAGAGTGCAGGAGAGCCTCAATTACACAATAATGGCAAGTCCAGTATTTCGATCATTCAACAGCTCAGTATTCCATCCTGTTGGGTCAAAATGTATGTTATTTCATCCTATATGCCCCCAGGATATATCCGCCAGAAATTTTCATGAAAACTGGCAGCACGTCTCAAATATGGTGTAATTTATAGTTCATAGACAGCTTACAATTAGCTTCATGAGCTTTAGACGCATTATCGAATACCCACATTTTTCAATTTTCGAAAGGAACTATATGGCCTGACTATGTAATTTAATATTTCAGTCTCACCCAAATGTATTTGACAATCATGGTATTACTGCCAAGTCGAGCCAAAATCCATGTATTCTCATCGTGAGTTGCCTGTCAGTATCTATTCAGCCAAATAGCGAGAAACTTCAGAGATAGAATGAGACAGATGTAGCATGGTACATTCCTGAGACTAATAGTCGAAGCTATACTACTCGTCTAAAATGATACCAAACTGTTTTGTAATACCTTAACTGCGCATCAGAGGCTCGTCCCGACTTAGTTAACTAATATACCGGAGACTGGGACTTGTGATGCTTGATTTCTGCGGATTGTGCAGTCTGTGCGACAAGTGTATAAGAAATCATTTTCGACGTCGTATGTACCTTGTTTTAGCTTCACAGTAATTAACCAATCCTCAAAGGTATCTCCGGCGCGTAAACTAGTGCCCTTTGCAAACCACACGCTTCTTGAGGACAGTTTAATTGTTAACAACAGCAATTTCTAGCTATGGGGTTGAAAGATATTACATCTTCCCTATCCTTGAAGAGTCTGGACTCCAGACTTGATCCGGGGACGGACCCTAAGCGGATACAAAAAGTGAGTAAAGGTGCGACAAAACCTCGGTGGAACACGATGGAGTTCAAATTTTATTATCTCATGTTTGCAATTGTAGTTCCACTAATGATAAATGCGGCTCTATCGGCCACCAATGAAAGAAGCCCTAATTTCCCGAGGTTTGAGCCTTTACTCAGCAAAGGGTGGATCAGGGGCCGAAAGGTTGACAACAGTGACTCTCAATATCGATTTTTTCGCGACAATCTGCCATTACTGGTTGGATTGGTGCTGCTGCACTCTTCGTTAAAAAAAGCAGTTGTGGGTATAACCAAGTGCCAAAAAGCTACATTTGATCTCGTTTTTGGGCTAATATTTTTATTTGCGGCGCATGGGATCAATGCAATTCGAGTGCTGACGCATGTCTTGATCAGTTTCGCTATTGCCAAATGTTTTCGAAAGAGAACGAAGCTGGCAGTACTCTTGACATGGGTGTATGGCATCAGTACGTTGTTCATCAACAATAGTTATTGGAATTACCCATTTGGCAATATCATGAGTGCATTATCCCCTTTGGATACGTCCTTTAAAGGCATTATTGAACGTTGGGACGTTTTTTACAATTTCACTCTGCTAAGAACGCTAAGCTTCAACATGGATTTCCTTGAGAAATGGGAGGAGGTTAAAGCGGGAAAGAAAACTGTATTTGCCTCTCCCGCACCACCAAGTAAGCCAGAGTTGAAGAGATCCACGTCATCCACACTAGAGACGATATGTGAAAATGGAAAAAAGGCTGTTCTCCTCGAAGAGCGGGCGAGACTGTCCGCTCCCCACCATATCCAAGATTATTCCCTGTCGCACTACATTGCCTACATCACCTACACTCCGCTTTTTATTGCTGGGCCAATTATTACCTTCAATGACTATTTATATCAGTCTCAACAGACTTTGCCTTCCATCAACCGGCGGGCGATTATTGTTTACGCATTGAGGTTTGTCTTTTGTGTGCTGACGATGGAGGCTGTCTTACACTATATCTACGCTGTTGCCGTTTCAAAAGCCAAGGCCTGGGATGGGGATACCCCCTTCCAAATTTCAATGATTGGTCTATTCAACCTTAATATCGTTTGGTTAAAGCTCCTTATCCCATGGAGACTATTTAGGTTATGGGCCCTCATTGACGGAATTGATCCTCCTGAAAATATGTTACGCTGTATGAATAATAATTTCAGCGCATTGGCTTTCTGGAGAGCATGGCATAGGTCTTTCAACAAATGGGTTGTTCGTTATATTTATGTTCCTCTGGGTGGCTCAAGCCATCGAATTTTGAGTTCCCTGGCAGTATTCTCTTTTGTGGCAATTTGGCACGATATTGAACTAAAGCTCCTGTTATGGGGCTGGCTCATTGTACTGTTCCTTTTGCCTGAAATATTTGCACAACAGGTATTTTCGGGCCATCATAAGAAATGGTGGTACAGATTTGTACGCTCGTTTGGTGCCATACTGAATATTTGGATGATGATGATCGCCAATCTTTTCGGATTTTGTTTAGGCTACGATGGCACAGTGCATTTGATAAAGGGGATTTTCTTCACCTGGTCTGGCATCAAATTCTTGATTGGCGCTAACTTAGCTCTATTTATTGCAACGCAAGTGATGTTCGAACAAAGAGAACATGAAAAACGCAAAGGTGTTAATGTGAAATGCTAATTTATGAAAATTTGATATACTCTGCAAGTTCAATGACACAGTTATTCAACCCATCCTCTTTTTGTATGCGCCGGGAGTCTCCATTTTCTTTAGGCTCCACAGTCCTACGCGACGTTGTTGAGCAATTGTTTGATGGAAGACATATATGTCCTCCTCTGTGTCGAATTCGGCCCCTGTTTTGCCCTCATATACAACCGCCAAACCGTTTTTGACCATGTCCAGACTAAGATTTCTCCAACCCGTCCATGTGAGATATTCAACTTTGGCGACACACCTGCCATACTGGTCAATAGCCAAAGGTTTGACCCACACATGGCGGCCAAGAATCGTATGGCGAAGCCAAATCAGGGCCTCCTCGCTAAAAGGCTGGGCGGGATTACCGAAGTGAGCTCTCTCAGGCGCGTCAACTCCACACAAGCGGATCGATATGGTGGGCAAGTTTCTTTTACCCTTATAGCTCACTTGCAAAGAACGGAATTTCTCTGGTTCACTCATATGCCGTCTTGCGAGTGATGCGAATAGCCTGCTTGGAAGAGATTTATGCCCGGCATCAGTTTTATCCAGTTGGGGCTCTCTTCTTAGCCAGCCCCATCCGCCCCGGAGACCACCAGGAGTATGGAAAAAGTGGAAATTATCACCGTCACCCACCGATGTGACTTTCCCATAGAGCCACTTCTTCCTGAAACTGCTAGATGGAATCTCGGTCGCCCTGGAATATTGCCGGAGATGCTTGTTAAATATCGCGTAACTAGTGAGAATAGATCCTGTTAGCAAAAACGATAGAAGGAGAGCACGCCCATATATGATTTGCTGCGAGGTAAGAGCCCCATCTCGGCTTTCCAACATCGGCAGACCCTTGTAGATCGTGCGGCCGCCTGCAGGAGAAGCTAACTTCTCTTCAACTAGTCTGAATCAAGATGGGTTCTTCCTTTTTGATGTTGCACAGACTTTGTCACGTGAAAATATATAAACATGTACAACTCCCAAGAGAATGACTGTTGTCGGCCACTTGGAAACACATATGCAGAAAAGAACGACACAGAAAGCATGCCGGGCCAGCAATACTGAGCAGCGGGATTTGAAGTCAAGAGTTTTGCGTAACCCCTGTCAACAGCCTAACGGCACGTTTTTCTGTGCCATCTTATAGCACCAATTTCATCATTGTAGAAGAGCCCGTGTCACTATTCTAAAAAGTGATAAACAAGTGTCAGAGTCGATTGACCGATCGATCGCAGTTGTGAGGAAGCGGATCACTGTCCAAAGAAGGCCAGAAATATCGTGAGAAATTTCTTGCTATCATTGCTACAACATCCAGGACGCTCTGGTGGAATTTTGCACCTTACATGAATTTTTGTATAAATGCCGACTGTGCGATCCCTTTCATGAATCAAGAATGTAACCAGAGCTATCAAAATAGACTACTGAAAGCTCAGCTATCTAATTATACTCTCATAATGTCGCCCATCGGTCGGGTGAATGAATACAGTAGTGCGTAATCAACTGATGACAGATGCAGTATCCTGCGACACACAGTAAAGCTACGACTGCCCGCCTTCGTTTGGATCTCTATATTGTATCAGTCTTACATAATTGTGAGCTAAGAACTGTCGTACTGCTAGCTTTTCTCTCTGTGAGCCCTCGCAGCTCCCATTCTTTCGCACGTAGTGTAGGAAATTGAAACAACAACAGAGCCTTTTCCTGATCACTAAAGTCGAGGCCACTCGATCATATTCAAAGTGGCGAGTGGTCAGAATGTGCATGATTAATACCAGAGGCGATCATTATTTTCCGTTGTGTGTAACTAGGGCACTTTGGCACCTTCTCACATGTCTAACTTATTACCTTGAGGAGGACATTTGATTGCCCTCGACAAAAGGACAAAAGTAAATCTCGAATGAAAAGACACTTGACGACGTCTTAGTCACCATTAACCAGTTGAGCACTGACAAGCCACGGCTAAACTCTTCTAGCATGTCTGGAAACAAGCGGGATGACTCCATCGAGCTCGAAGAGCTTTTAGGGGCAGAGAACCACTCTAACGAATCGGTATCGCCAGAGAACAATGAACTAGTCGAATATAAAGGTGAAAATATCAATCTCTACCCATTGAACTACCAAAAAGAACCAATCGTCAAATGGCAAATGGCAGCTTGCCTGACCTTGTTTCTGGTCCTAGGCCTGAATGACGAGTGCAATGGAGCGCTGGTTCCAGCCTTGACGACGTATTACGAGGTAACAAAAGTACAGGTGGCGAACCTGTTTGTTATACAATTTATGGGCTACGGGATAGCCTCCCTGCTGACCCAGAAAATCCACACGTTGGTTGGCGCTCGAGGGGCAATGATGACTGCTGCTGGGCTGTGCATGGTGTGCTATACGATTTTACTCCTACGGCCACCGTGGTTCATAATGTATGTGAGCTGCTTCCTGCCCCTCGGGCTGGCCATTGGAATTTTGGACTCCGTTTGCAATGTTCTGTTTGGAAACCTGGAAGTCCACAAAAACGAGTGGATGGGTGTGTTGCATGGGCTATATGGCGCGGCCGCCATGGTGACGGCTCCAATAGTCTCTTACTTCGTGAAGTATAGCCACTGGAACTTCTTCTTTCTATTGCCTCTGACTTGTGCCTTTTTGGGCCTTCTTCTTGTGCCCTATGCATTCAAGTTCGAGACCGCCAATAAGTACAATTACCTGTGCGAAATGGGTCGCGAAGAAGGGGAAGACACCCATCCTAGCTTTTTATCTCTGGTACGGAGGCCTGCAATCTTCATGTATGCCCTCTACATGTTTGTATACCTTGGATCTGAGGTATCCACCGGGGCCTGGATTTTCACCTACCTTCTGGACGTCAAAAAGGGAAACGTCATTCCGATGTCTTATGTGACTGCTGCATTCTGGATGGGGCTAACTGTTGGTAGAATGGTTTTGGGTTTTGTGACTAAAAGATGCTTTAAAAATGAATACAGGGCATCCGCATTTTACGCTGGAATGTGTTGGATGTCCTACACGGTTTTTCTGCTTATAACTTACCTTCCAGGATCTTCCACTTTATATTTCATCGCCGTAGGGGCTGCAATATTTACGGGCGGTGTCTTCATGGGCCCTCTGTTCCCAAATGCAAGTGTAGTTGCACTTCAAGTGCTGCCGAAAAACATGCACGTCAGCGGTGTTGGAATTGCTGTAGCTTTGGGAGGGTGTGGATCCGCAATACTACCTTATTCTGTGGGCATTATCACGCACCTGGCAGGCTTCGTATGCTTCCCATTTTTATGTTGGGTTATGGTTGGTACGGTTTATTTTGTGTGGTTTCTGTATCCGAGAGTCATCAAGGGCCAAATGGAACTCTTTTGAAACATACAAGGGCTATTCAAAAACCTGGGACTGTTGTTTCAACGAGCTCGACGCCCACTTCTGCGGAACGGTCACAAACGTCACCAATGGCACATTTGTAGCTGCCGCAATAAGGATCCTGCCTTTTGGAAAAGTAACCTCACAGGCCTCGAAAACAACTCATTGCTACCATTCTTACCTACCATCTCGGTTTGCAGGTAGTCAGTTTTTCGAAAGATGGTGTGGCCGATAAAGCTCAAGTCAGTAATTCGGTCAACAAATGCCTACATATGAAGCAAGCTATGTATTACAAAAATTCATGTCAAATATCACGCTCCATAGTACGCTCAATCCTCAAAGTATGCTACTTCACCTTGGATCCAGAGTTCGCTGTCGTTGACTGGTAACGACTAGTCAATGTACTCGCGAGTACATTGACTAATATTTACCAAAGTCACATTGGAACTTACTTCTTATGTACAGCTCCAGACGCATCTCTCTGCCCAGTGAGAAACCCCAAGGACCGCCCCTTCTGATGAATGGTACCAGCAATAATGAATCTCAATCGGGTGATAAACGATATGTCACGCAGCGACGCACGGTGGATATGAGCTCCCCTTATGATAGACTATACTATTTGAAAAGGCACGGACTGCCGCTGCCCTACGTGGAGCCCGAAACTAGTTACACCACTAACATACTTCCAGCAGATGCATATCTGCATTCCAAAAGAATCATAAATACTCCCACTAAGTTCACTCATTTAAGTTCCAATAAAGTTAAGCATGTAATTCCAGCGTTGGAATGGACGCCCGAGGGCCGTAGATTGGTGGTAGCCACCTACAGTGGTGAATTTTCGCTATGGAATGGCTCAACCTTCAACTTTGAGAGTATCATGCAGGCTCACGACAGCGCTGTGGCGGTTATGAAGTATTCACATGCCGGGGACTGGTTGATTAGTGGTGACTCTGATGGGACTATAAAGATTTGGCAACCCAACTTCAATATGGTCAAGGTGCTGGATGAAGCCCACACTCAATGTATACGAGGAATCTCTTTCAGTGGTACTGATTCCAAGTTTGTGACCTGCTCAGATGATAACATTTTGAAGATTTGGAATTTTAGTAATGGCCAACAAGAGAGCACACTGTCAGGACACCATTGGGATGTGCGCAGTTGCGACTGGCACCCGACTATGGGTCTCATTGTTTCTGGCTCTAAAGATAACCTTATCAAACTCTGGGACCCCAGGTCTGGCCAGTGTGTGAGCACCGTTTTGGGTTTTAAGCATACGATCATCAGCACCAAATTCCAACCTACCAAAGGCAACATGCTGGCAGTTATATCAAAGGATAAAAGTTGCAGAGTGTTTGATATACGGCAAAATATGAAAGAGCTGGCTGTCTACAGGGACGAATCTGACTACATGTCACTGACATGGCACCCTGTTAACGAAACTATGTTTACAGTTGGCTGCTATGACGGATCAATGAAACATTTTGATCTTCTTCAAGATCCACAGAGCTCATCCTCTGGCTGCTTTCACGATATACCATACGCGCATGATAAGTGTATTACGTCCTTGTCCTATAGTCCAGTCGGGCATATCTTGGCCAGTGCATCGAAAGATAGAACTATCCGCTTTTGGACAAGAGCACGGCCTTATGATCCTAACGCTTTTGACGATCCAACATACAACAACAAGAAGGTCAATGCGTGGTATTTCGGTATCAACAATAACATCAATGCCATCAGGCCCAAAACGGAAGATGGCATAGCGTTGCCACCCACAGATGGCGATTCGATGGGCAATGGGTTTAATTACATGCCTCCTGGTGCTAGAGTCCAATCACCGGCAATGTCGGGTCTACCAGGATTGAACTTTTGAGACAAAGTATGTAACTAGAATGTCATGAACAATAATAACAATCGATAATGATCTATAATAAAATTTATAATGAAACAGTCGTTATATATCCTTGAACTGTACCCAATGTTGAAGTGAAATAGTCTTTAATTTTCGTGAACACATTAATCGTTTGAATTCTCTTTTGCTGAGAATATCAGTTAAGCTTCGAGAAATAGTCATCGCTGACAATTTCATGAAGGATGGTAGCATACGGTATCTCCCCGCTGCTGTTAGTAGGCACATCCAAAGCTCCTCTGGAGATAAATTTATTCTTTGCGAAAGTCTGCACGTCTTGTACATACTGACGTGCGTACAGATCGTAATAAGAATCCACAAAAGAGGTTATCGAGCCTATCAATTCTCCCAGGTAGTGCGTGGCTTTTGGGGGGAAGTGTTTTTCGAGAGACTCTGAAGAACTGGAATGACCTGCGTTGATAACGCTGAACCAGAACAGCCCGTTATCCTCCCCTATAACTTTTCCCTCCGTAACTTGAGTGTTGAACTCGCCACTGGTGAATGGAATGTATTGAGAGTGGTAATAAGCTAAGCGCTTGGCAAAATCACGAACGGCAAATTCGTAAGGCTTGTCAAAATAATCCTGGTTGAAAGTTTTGTTGTGTATGTTATAGCGGACGAAAGCGCGATCGGTGCAAGAAACCTGGAGTACCACTGGGGTAATCTGATAGTTGCGGTTCATATCCGCGTTGTAGAGACGCAGCCGTTCAAATATGAACGCACGTCTCTGTTCCGTCGAATTAGTGGCATCGAAAATAGCCACATCGCACGTATCGTCGTCCAACTCTGAGAACATCTGGTCTAGAGTGAGCTTGGCGTACTGGTCCTTTTTCTGCGAGTTTTTGGGGTTGAACAAGTCGTCCGCCGATTTGTTGGCCAGTTTCATGACTCCGCTCCGACAGCTAAGCTTCCGTCTAGTCTGACCGGCATTGAACGTCTTACAGCGCAGGTGCACTGTGCGGTTATCCTGGTTGAAATGCTGTATCAAATGGTTCGAAATGGTGGACTTGCCACTGGCTGGCAGACCCACCAAAATCACCACAAGTTTGTCATCCGCCGCGGGAAGCTGTGGAGGAGCCTGGGAAACGGATGAGAATCGACGGCCCCGGCTGGCGTACTGCAACGTGAGAGCACTAGATTCGTCGTCGACCTCACCCAGGTAGTGATCGACAATGCTGGAATAGCTGTCTCGCTTGTTGAGCGAAAACAGGGAGTTCGTCGAGCTGGAGTTAGATCCGCTATCTAGAAGGGCTTCTGCAGTCATGGCTGGGTATATTTTACACCTATGGAATCTAACCACACCTAATAGAATCTGGATGAAACGTTCAAAAGTTGTTGTGGAGAACCGATCTAGCGAACAGAATGATATTAGGAAGAAGAGTATATAGATTTCAGAACTTTAGTAAAATCTTGGAAATTATTCTCCCGGATGCATCAGCAGCCCGAATGTGGGTATTTGACCAGAAATGGCTTGTATCGAATTTCGCGATAGAAATAAGTGCGTCCTCGATTGATACCGTCCAGTCGATCTGACCTGTCTTGGAAAAAAAAAAAAAATGACGAAAAAGAAATATGCCGGAAAAACTGATGGGTGCCGGCGTTCTTAATCACCCAGCAGCGATCATCAGCCGTGCAGTGACGGTCTCGTGAGACGCGTGAGTCGTTCTTCCGGCATACTAACTAAAGAAGAAGTGAAAACCCATGGGTACACAATAATCGTCATTTCATTTGTCGCCGGGTGTGGGACTGAGAGGCCCTATGACTGATCATTGGTTTTTTCTTCTCACTTCGACTCCACCATATCTTGGACTCATTGTCCAGTAGGCTATGACGCACATAAAGAGGGTGATCCGTTACGCTGGCACGCTATGTCGCATTTGAGTACGGTGCGGCGGGAGTAGCCATGCGTTCAGAAGCGAAAAGTCGTATAGAGAACGGGGACATTCTTGGACGTGTGCCAGCGGCCGAAAGGGAGAGACCGTAAAGGTGTGACTTTTGAGCTCTCTCCTCTCTGACAGTAGTTCGAGCCGAAATCGAACTGAAAGCGCTCACAGTGAAATCGCCCCACCAATGGGCACATGTAGGCCGTAGTACGTTCACGTTACTCGAGAGCGAGATCTTCCAGGGTCAGCTGCCATTTGTGGACTCGCAAGCACGGAACAATCACCACACACGGCACTAGGTCGTAGAAGTTTTACCGGGTGCCTGCGCCCGGAAAAACAAAACCGCCGATGCAGGCACCCGGAAGAACCTGGTGATGAATTTATCCGGCCGTGTGCACAAAAACGAAGTGGACAGATTGTTGCCACGTGCCGGGACCGCTGGAACACCCGCCCCTCGAGGGCCTCGTCCGTCTCGCGCGCAAGCGTGAGCCACGCGTGAGCCGATGTGCGGGGGCCGGATATGATATCCGTGGCTTGGAGCAGGACCTCCCATGTCGCATGAACTGTGTGCTGTTTGGGCGCTGCTGGTGAGTTGTGCTGAACAAGAATACGAGTACTGTTCCAAAATCCAAAAGGCACGTGACTGAGTTCCGACTCAAGCGTGGTTGCCGTCTTCTTGTGCGCCATCCGTTGGATGCTCCTCCGTCACATCTACTGCATCTGCCATCTCTACGTCTCCTGCATCTGGCCGTTTGCTCTGAGACAGTGTGGAGTCTTCGTATTTGTCTCCTCCGTCGATCAAATTGGCCAGCTTCTCTTTGACCTCCTGGCACACTTGTTCGATTTTTGAAATCTCTTTCCTCTTGTATTCAAGCTGTTCTTCTAATAGCATGATCAGCGACTCACGCGACTGGTGAGGGCGGTATTCATTGAGCAGGTGGTGGAAGTTCACCAAAATCGTTTGTATATGGTCAACTTTGGCGGGAAACTGCTCTGGGTTGACACTTAAAATACCTGTCAGCTCTAGGAAATTAAGCAGTAGTGATTGCAGCAGCTTGTGAAGTTCTTGGATTTTGTCTTGATAGCTGGATTTACTGCCGTCTGTATCAGCCTTCGGCAGGTAGAGCTGTGTCATTCCCATACTCTTCAAATCTGGCAGCTCGTCTTTCACCTGCCATACGCTGCCGAAAGCTCTGTAGTGACCCTCAGTAGGTACATCAGGAGGGACAAGGTATTTTAGACCATCATCTAACGATTCGGCACCGCGACCAGCTTTTTCTAGCTCCTGAAGTTTGTGCAGGTTTTCAGCTGTAAAATGCTCTATGTACGGAGGAGGAGGCGGGTATAACGCTGTGATTTCGTTCGATGCGTTCTTTGACATATTCTTTCACACCGAAACTAAAAAAAGTTCTCTCTGTATACCAAATCAAATTAGGAGGCTCTTCAAATCCTGATATGAATTCAAAGTGCTCAATCGTACGACCCCTCAAAGTCAATAGGCTGTATAACTTGAAGAGCAACTGTTTTTGTAAAGGTTTTCGATCGCCTGAGCACAGCGTTTATTAAATTCGAAAACTATCAAGTGAAATTCAATATTAGATCACTAACCACTTTAGTCACCTAATTCTGAGCGAATCCACCAATTCCAAAATCCATTCAAAAGTCGAGACCAATCGTGAAGTCAAATACCCAACACAATGTCCGCTGATAAAATGGATTTAGACGAACCACCTGTGACCCAAGATAGTGAACAAATTGTACCTAAGGCTTCCGACCCACAATCGGAGGGTTCCGGTGAACCACGTAAGAAGAAGTTTGAGGTCAAGAAATGGACAGCAGTCGCCTTCTGGTCGTGGGATATAGCAGTGGAAAACTGTGCTATCTGTAGAAATCATATTATGGAACCATGCATCCAATGCCAGCCCACTGCTATGACTGATTGCGAAACAGAGTGTGTGGCCGCTTGGGGTGTATGTAGCCACGCCTTCCACCTGCATTGCATCAACAAGTGGCTGCAGACAAGAAATGTGTGCCCGCTGGATAACCAGCCCTGGCAGTTTGCCAAGTATGGCAGATAGAGCCCCTTAGGTGGAAATCTTCCTTCTGTAGGAATAACGAAATTTATCAGGGCAGTATCCCTTCACTCCTTGCAACAGTTGCTTGGTCAGTTTGCTAGCTAGCAACGTTCATGTCTGGGTGGCCGAGGTAGACATGCTGCTTTAGATGTACACTAAAGTTGGACAATTACAAGAACGAATACGCAGCGATTTTCTTCTAGCCTGACCTACATTCGCGGCCGCCTCTACCATAAACATTGACCGTGGGCATACCCGAGGCTTCTTTGTTTTTAGAGCCATCTCTGAATATGTCGCTTTATATTATTTTGGTCCGAATATATTCCATATATACATGCGTACTTCTCCCCGTCTATTCAAGTAATATCGTAATAACGACCATTCCGATGCAGTGTACCCCAGAAGCAAAACCTCATTGAGTTGGATCTGATTCCCTTTAGCACAGGAGCCCAGTCCAAGCGATTGTCATGTGTGACTTCAACGAAAAAGATATACTGCCACTTACGCCACCTGCCTTCCTCATTTTCCGGCGTTAGCTGAATTCTATCGTCTTTTGGGAAGTGGTAGGGTCTCGAGGTAATGGAGCACATGTTGATCCGATGTTCCTTCAGGACATTTAACACATCTACCAGACTACCGGGGCTATCTTGCTTAACAACAAACGTCAGGATAGATACCATCTGATCGTTTGCAAGCGGCGAAAATGGTCTGGCCTCGAGTGGAGGTCCTTGGCTGTTTCGCCTTTTTAAGATGAGAAATCTTGTAGTATTGCCCTTCTTGTCGTTGATGCGGCTGTCCAGAACGAATCCGTTATGCGCTTTGGCGGCAATACTGCTTCCAACGGCCAAAGAAATAACTCCACCCTGCTCTTCACCCTCCATTTCACAACATAGACGCACAGCTGCTGAAGTCGAGCTCGCATCAATCTTGTGAAGGGCACTCACTTTTTGTTCCAAAAGTTTCAAATAATTGGCAGCTTGACCCCACACTTGCGGGTGCGAGTGAATTTCGAGCTTAGTTTCCTTTGTGAGGGAGTTTAAATTCAAAGGCTTTGAAGCTATCAGGCATAAGTCTATAGAAACGTACTGTTCAGCTACGATTTCCAACATAGGCACCGCTTCATTCTCCTGATATGTATCGCTGTTGTTCATAAGGTCTCTGAGAATGTCATAGGTGAAAACGACTTGACCGTTGGTCGAGTTCTCGAGTGGCACCACGGCAAAGTCCAGTTCTTTATTAGTCATAAGCTCCTGGAAGCATTTTGATATAGAGTCGACTGGGGTAAAGGTGGTGTGCTTGTCTTCTGGAAATTGCTGGAGCGCTGCTTGATGCGTATAAGTGCCCAATGGGGCTAGGAATGCTACGTTGACCATGCAAAATATGTCCTCTAAGTATCAGCGTTCTTTTTATGGGTCTGGTATACTAATGACAATTTTCCAAGCTTCGCATGCTTACTTACAGCTACCAAATATACGAAAAACCCAGTTCAAATAGCATGAGGGTCAATATTGCAACTCTTGTAGCGTATATATACTTAGAAATGACGAGTTTCTCAGTTGATTTTTTTATGTCTCTAAATATCCATGGATTGAGCAAAGCTAATCAGCTTCTCGACTGAAAAATCGCTTGAACCCTTGGTGAAATCGTGGAGTAGCTTGACTCTTTGCTTAGAGGACACCGATTCCTCGCCCATTGCTCCATAGAATCTTTGAACGTTCAACAGCAGTAACTGGGCATCTTGAAGAGAGACATTAACGTCCTTTTCGACATGGCCGTTCATGAGCACGATCTTCTTGTCCTGGGCGAGCTCGGTGTGGAACTGGAAGGTTGTATGAGGCTTGGCAAACTCCTTGTGGAGCTTGTACTCAGCTAATGAGGTCATGATACAGTGGACAGTGTTGGCACCGGCTCTTTGCCACTGGATATAATGCAGCTCAATGCCCTGGTCGGATGCCGAAGGTCCTTGCGCCGCAGAGGACTCGCGGCTCGCCTCCATCTCGCGGGGAAGAGGCAGCACAAACGTTGGAGCCTCCTTGATGTGCTTAGACATCTGCTCAAACACATCCACCGGCACCACGGCGTTCAGCACTTGGTCCTTGCTCGCCCAACGAGCCCGCCACAGAAACTCGATCTCTTGCTTCGACAATTCTTGCAGTTTTTCCAGTTTCAAAAACGAATCGAGCGTTTTGAAAGGCGCGGACGCCTTGGCCGGGTCGAGGGGACCTCTAGACTCCGTCATCTTGGTGTTATTTTGGGACATTTTCATGCGCTGTTCGTATTCTTCCAATTCCTTCAACGGGTCAATTTTGTTATACTTGAGTTTCTTATTCTCAATGTCCTCTCTCAAAGTTTCCTTGAGTTGTTCCACAGACTCGTATCCACTTGCTTTGGCTCTTTCCAAAAGTTTTGCCTCGTATTTCTGTTCTAACGACTCGGTGGAATAGCGTTGAGACCGGCGACTTTGGGCTTGTTGTTGCTGTACGATGTAGCTTGCTGATGATATTGCTGAAGCTTTTCTAGTTTGGGTTCGAACTAAACGAGCTACGTTTTGACTTACGATTCCCATTCCAAACTCAGTGACACACTAGTCTGCTATGAGGATGATCATAGTTTAATGATTGAAAATTTGAAGTGTTATATACCAACTCATCGCACCTGGTTTACAGAGAAGGTTAGCGACCTAATTACATAGGCTTTTAACAAGTGGCGGGTACACATACGATAAACACAGCCCCATAAATATGGACCATATGTTTGGTTATATATCTTTATAGTTAGCAGTTGCATCACTTACTTGGAATAATAAAAGGGATTTTGGAAATAAGACAAGGTGTGGGGCATGGTGGATCCAGCCTCGTAGTTTTTATGACACGAGAATTTCCACCACATAGAGGCTACTCCACAAATTATGCCACTCTCAACAGTGTTCGAGAGTTTTGCGTCACCCGCGTCGATAATGACTCTGGTTAGCTTTGGGAGAATTGAATATACAAGTCATCTCGCTACGCAGAAAATGGTTGCTTTCATCTGCTTACTTGCAGAAGCGGACTGACGTGGGGGAATGCCTACAAGGTGCTGGATACGAGAATTCTCACCACTTCATTCATTTGATTCTTCAGCAGCTGGCATACCATGAGCAATCCGGACGACTTACTGATCGAGCTCATGTATGAATATAAACCGCACCTGAAATCGTACCGCCATCGCATAAACACTTGGAATGAGCTTTTGAAGGCGTTCAACGAGGCAACGGGTGCTGGATATCGGCAAAACCGGACTTTGAAGACCCGATTCGAGAAGTTGAGAGACCAGTTTGTTAGTGGTGAGCCGGTGACGTGCAGCAATGTCCCATTGCTTGAGAAATTGGTACAAGAGATGGCTCACGAAGCTAAAAATTCGGGACAACGTAGTGCAGATGCGGCTTTTGACACGGAACGGACCGACGGTACCCCCAATGTCAAGCGGCAAGCAGTTGCACCGGGTATGGCTCTGAATATCTTGAACAGTCATAGTTCGACAACATTAGAAAGTGAAGCAGATAACGAGGAAGAAGAAGAAATTGTTCAACCACCACCTTTGGACTCGATCACCGTTTTTCCGCATACCCAAATGCGACGCTACCAGGAGCAGAAGAAGAAGGATGAAAAACAGTATCCGGTTATCCCAGGGTTACAGCAATACGTAGGGACCCCAAGCCACATCAGCTCTCAGCATACCTCGCAAACTAGCTCTCCTAACCCCCAGTACGCGATGAACCACAACAAGATCTCTTCTGTGATCCAATCTTTGGCAAATGACTTCAGCAACCAAAAGCCCATTGACTTGAGTTTCGGGGCCCAGGACTCCCTGGTTTCTCTGCGACACGAATTAATGGTCATGAAGCAAAACCAGGAGATATTTCAAAGAAACGTCTTACTAAAACTTGAAGAACTTACGAAGCTTTTGCATGAGACACTTCCAGACTAGATTTAGAAGCGGTCATCAAGAAAAAAAAAAGAAGACATGGCCACGTCACAGTTGCCCCCAAGTCTTTACATCGGAGAAAATATAAACTACTATTTTAGCAATACTGAGGAACGTTCGCTCAGTCAGACTTAATTTATAGATTACTTCTCAATTCTACTAATCTGTCCCAGCCCTCGGAATCTTCCCAGTTACTCTTTCCTCTGCTCATCAATGCTTTGATGGCTGACCTGGCTTTGTATTTCCAGTCCTTACAGACCAAGCTGCCGGGCCCATGCTTTCCTTCCATCTCACCCAGCGACTCGTATGCTGACACTAGATCATCACATGCATCTACTGTGTCATTCCACACTTTTTCGCTAAACTCCAGGTCAGGATTATGCGACATTGCTCTGTATTCCTTCTCAAAGCAGTCCAAAGAGGCCCAAGGTCTTCTTCTCCACAGCTCAACTTTAGCGACCAGTTTCCAACATGTTGAATTTGAAGTAACAACCCCAGGCAAGGTTTCGCAAATAAATTCCATGCATGAGGACTGAAAATGCGTGAGACGCTTAGACGAGTCAAGTGGAAAATCTGAGCTTACGAGCAGTTCGACTAATTTTTCCACAACTGGCAAGTCGATGGAAAAGTCACCAACCTTATCTTTCCTCAACTCGACCAATCTTCTACAGGAAAGAAGTACATCATCCCATTTATTAAGTTTCAGAGAAACTAGCAGGTAATTATCCCAAATTCTCCAATTGCTGGGAGAGTCAGAGCTCGTGGCTTTACTGAGGCAGCTATGCGCTTCCTTCAATTTTCCTTGTTCCATGAAAGCGGCACTCAGATTTGACCACGATAAAGAATGTGTTGAATCCAGAGACACGCATCTCGTGAATGCTTCTGCAGCTAGGTCCATTTTACCACATTCCAGACCAACGCACCCATAGAAATACCATGTTTCAAAAGAGAGGGGATAGAGACTTAGCGATTCGTTTAGGTGTCTGAGGCATGAGACATAATCCTTATCCTGCCCTGAACTTGCGGGCGGATTGTAGCTGTATTTTGCCAGAGAGTTTTTGGCATTGACATATTTCCCAATTTTCCAACTTTTCTCCCATAGATCAGGATCTTGGCGGATGTCCCCTAGAATGGATAGAGCTCTAGCATCATTTGGGTACTTTTGAATCCTTTTTAATAAAATTTCCTCAGCGGTCTTCTCATCTCCAACAGCAGCGTGACATAATGCCGCCTCACAGACCATCGAAAGTCTCTCATATATCTCGACGGCCGATTTGAGTATCCCCAAGGACATGTAAATCTCAGCCAGCTTCATATCCAACGCCCACCTTGGAACAAAAGGTAATTGATGTATATACCGCATTCTTTCTGTGTTTTTGACTTGGATTTCTCCATTTTCCTTAGGCAGCAAACGAGTGGTAATCTTTAAACCCATTTCTTCAACCAAAGACTGCATCTGTAGCAGACCTCTTTCAATAGTCTTGGCCCCTGTAGTTTCAATAACAGATCTTTCCCATAAGGCTCTTGAAAAGATTGTCCAGTTTTTCAGCCCCGCTTGATATAAAACACGGCCAACGATAGCGTGAAGTTCCTGCTCAACAATTGGGTTTTTCGCAGGCGTGGTTTGGCGAATGACTTGCAAACGAAGAAGTAGTTGGATATTGTCGCAGTCAGCTAATGCCGGCTGTTGGTTAGGGTCCAGCTGACGCAGCTCCAAAGGTATATCCTCCTGTCTTAGAGCAACAGGTAAAAGCTTTTCGTCATCAAGGCCACTTGGGGGGTCAAATTTTTGGCGCTTGACTATTTGCTGGTCCAGAGGTTCGTCTCCTATGGATTGAAAGACAGGTCTATCCAGTAGGTGGTCAGACTCTAAGGCAAAGCTTTCTGGCTCAGCTGAAGGAGAGTCTTCGCTCAAGCCCAATGCCATTGGAGAAGAGTTGGCAAGAATAATTAGACCCGAGCGAGCTTCTTGTTGATACTTGGTCCTCTTAGCTTTGGCGCCAGTTAAAACAAACTGGAGCCCCGTTAATTTTTGTACCTTGATCAGTGAAGGCAGACATAGATGCTCAGTGTTGGTTGCCAAAGAACATTTGATATTTTCTAGGTAAAAAGAAATTCCCAACTGGTTTTCCATGTCCGACTTTAGATGATCGGGAAGCTCCTTAGTAATTGCCAAAACTAAACCAATACTATTGAAAATGGAAGACGCTACAATTGGATGGGGACCTGAAACCTCTGGTAGTAACGAAAGTTGCACCAACAATGCTCTGGCTCTCCACCAGTGTGCGCATGCCACGAGGGCTGACGTTTCCGTCTCTGAAATTTCCATCACAGGAATATCATCTAGCTGTTTGTCTAGTAGTGAGGATTGCCCAGAAATAATTTCCAGTATCACCAAGCTCAGTACGAGAAAAATAGCATCGTCGCAAAGCTCGTAAGCGGGCTGACCCAGAACGCTCAAAAGGGCGATACATTGTTCGTGGATGATGGGTCGCTGCTCCTCAGTACAGTGTAAAAGCTCATACGCCGAGCAAGCAGGTGCAGGTCCTGTAAAGTTACTTTGAATAAAAGACTGCAATAGAGCCACAGCAAAGAATAAAGCAGAATTTGGGTGGTTGCCACAGTAAGCGGCAATCTGGGCATTGATATGCGTATATAGCCCCACGGGCCCATGGACATCAAAGTCTTTCAACAAGTCTATTGATCCAAGAGTTTCTTGTATGAGGACCTCGTATTCTCCACCAAGCAACAACTTGGCATGGCTCAAGCACACTGCATCAACTTCCCCGCATATGTCAGCCGGAATAGCCTGCTGCGAGCCCAAAATCACAGCAGCTTGTAGTACGGTCTCCATTCGCAAAAAATCTATATCTATCAAGCAGTCTACCAGCACAGGAAGCTCTGCTGAGTCGCGTAAAGTGCTGTAGTACTGGTATGGTTTTGTGCCAGTAGCCGATGAGCTTGCTTAGTTAGCCAAAATTTTCGACACATTACCAAGGATCATGTAGAACGAGGATGCGTACTTGGTCTCACTGATCATAAAGAACAAGCTCAGCTCATGAGATGGGCCTTCAAACTTAGACTTGGGCCTTTCTGGATGTCGGATGCGGTGTATCTATATGTAAAGTAAGGGGGTAAAAGCACCTCGTCTTTTTTTTTTTACGTTCGTTCCTTGGCCCAATTCAAAATATCGACATCGCCAGCCAGCGGCCTATATAAAACAACTTGCGACATTGGGTTGTTTATACAGCTCAATATTGAGCTGTCTATTAGCTTCAAAGAGTAATTATAGCTGCTTTAAGCCGCGTGTAAGTTCTATCCAGAATTTACATTTTGAGCTTGAAGTTAGGTAACAACAAAGTACTGCCCCACCAAACCGAGAATAAAGAAACTTCGAATACTGGATGAGTGCTGCACAGAATACAAAAAAACTAGGACTTTCAATTTTGTGCTTTACGCCATGTTTCCTCTCTTGTGTTTTTGAAGTAGACGATCAAATGTGCGAAAACTAATCACCAGGCTGAGTAAGCTCAGTGCAAGTAGGCTCAATAGATCGCCAAGAGTTCCATTGAGCTAACCTAGCGTCGTGCTCCCACCCAAGCCTCTTCACGGCGAACCTGTCCGTGTTGATATGTCAGGACATGTGTTTATATCCTGACATCAGGCGCGCGAAACGCGTGAAAATAATAATCTTGACTGATGATTTGGTATAATAGGCTATCTTCAGCGTTGCTTGCGAAACAAAAGCCCTCTGAGTTGTAAAACTGTCACACACCCGGCTTCTTAGCATAACAACATGGCAAGTATGATATAAGGTCATTATGTGTCTCTTTTGCTGACTATTTACTAACCTCTTGCACACAGCCTATCAACCCTATAATGAGTACTCTACAGTGGCCAGTGGTGGCGGATTCGAAAATTCCCAGAACAATAGCAGGCCCAACACAGCTTCTGGTGGGTCGTCGCAATCTACGCTGATGCCTGTGACTATCAAGCAGGTGTTGGAATCGAAACAACTAGTTCAAGATGGCCCCTTCGTGATCAACAATTTGGAACTACATCATGTTGTCTTCGTCGGTGTGGTCAGAAATGTAGTGGACAAGACATCGAACATCACTTTGACAGTGGAGGATGGCACGGGCCAGATAGACGTCCGTCAATGGACTGCTGACCCCACGGACATGGCTAACGCAAATGAGGGCCAACAGGACGACCAACAAGGTTCGTATAGCTCGCAGATTTCTCGCATGTACCAGGTAGGGACGTATGTCAAGGTGTTTGGTGCTCTCCGCGAGTTTAGCGCGAAGAAAAACGTCCAGTACGCGGTGGTTAAGCCCATCGACAGTTTCAACGACGTACTCGCCCACCATTTGTCGGCAATGAAGTGCCACGCTATCGCCAACGGCAGGATGGAAAGCGACGCATATCAAGACACTAACAGAGCTCAGAATAGTGGTGATGAGCAAGGTCTATTCGTCCAAGACACTTCGGCCAATGATCCGAAAACGGCCCTCCACAAAATTCTGGAGTTTTGCACCGATCAGTGTCAAGGCAAGGACGCAAGTAGTTTTGCCGTTCATACTAAACTGATCGAACAAAGTCTGGGAATCTCTGAAGAGGATGTAAAAATGTTCTGCCAAACGTTGGTGGACCAAGGATTTATATATCCAACATTCGATGACAGCAGTTTCTTCGTCTTATAAATAACATACTGCTAGATTTATACGAAATACTGTAATGTAAGCGACCAGGCTATCTTTTCGGTTATTGAAATCGACGCGGCCAGTGACAGTCAGGAAAAAGTGGGTGTTTTGTTGAAACGTCAGCGTCAGAGTAAAAAAATGGGTTTTAACTGACTTCAAGACACATAACCTTCGATAAACAATCAACCATACCAAAAACACCAGCCCGTATTCAAGCTATGACTCTTAAAGTCTCCAAACTCGCGCTGTTAGCGCTCGTTTCATTCAAAATGAAGTTAGCCCGTTGCTCCGTTAATCCGATTGAAATCGTCGACCAGCACTTTTACGATGCTGTAACTCATGAGCCGTTTTTCATCAAAGGAGTTGACTACCAGCCCGGTGGGTCTTCTGGCTTAAATGGTGAACGGGATCCGCTTTCAGATGCAGAGGTTTGTGCCAGGGACATTGTGCTTTTTCAAAGACTTGGTATCAACACAATACGAGTGTACTCAATCAGCCCAGACTTAGATCACGATGCTTGCATGACGATGATGGCGGCAGCGGGAATCTACTTACTCCTCGATGTAAATTCACCTATGCCAGACCAGCACTTGAATAGGTACGAGCCTTGGACGTCATACAATCACAACTACTTGCGACACATCTTCAAAGTGATCGAAGAGTTTGGTCACTATAATAATACATTAGGCTTTTTTGCTGGAAATGAAGTCATTAATGATGAACTTTCAGCTAAAGAAGCACCTGCCTTTGTAAGGGCTGTGGTTAATGACATGAAAGACTATATTAGGGCAAAATCTCCCAGATCGATTCCTGTTGGATACTCGGCTGCGGACGATCTAAGATATCGAATTCCGTTATCACAGTACCTAGAGTGCAGTGACGAAGATCGTCCAAACTCAAGCATTGACTTTTACGGAGTCAACTCTTACCAGTGGTGTGGCCAGCAAACATTTCAAACATCGGGTTACGATCAACTAGTATCAGCATATAAAGAATACACCAAGCCTGTTTTCTTTTCTGAGTTTGGTTGCAATATTATCAGCCCTCGGTCGTTTGAAGAAGTTGAGGCGCTTTACTCCGAAGAGATGATCAACACGTTTAGTGGAGGACTTGTTTATGAGTTTACTCAGGAACCAAACAATTATGGCCTCGTCAAGATCGACAATGATGGTAATGCTCACTTACTTGACGATTTTGTTGTCCTGCAAAGCCGCTACTCTGCAGTTGAGAGCAACGAATTCCAAATGATACGCCAGAATGCAATAAATCCGATGGCCGCTGCTCCATTGCCCTCTTGTCAAAACGAATACGAAAACCTTGAGACTGATGCCACCGTGCCCAGAAATCTTGCTGAAGATTTGATCAGAGGTGGGGTTGATCAAAAAAGAGGAAGCTTTACGGCCCTCCACGAAAACGACCTGATTTCTAGTTACAAAATTCACGATAGCCATGGTCAATTAGTAAAAGGACCGTCTAAGGTCAAAATTGTCAATGAAATTGAAGTCACACCAGAGGGAAACAGTAACGGAAATCATTCAGAAGACTTGGACTCAGACTCGGACGGCTCTCATAATGATGAAAATAAAGAAAAGACTAAGGAACGTAACAACGCAGCTCCTTTACCAGCGCGTCCTGCTAGCGTCCTCTGGATTGTATGGGTGCTCTTTATTTTTGGACGGCTATGCGATTTGTGAGCATACGAAAGAGTGTTCCAAAAAAAAAAAATTCGCTACTAGCTTGATCCATACTTATATAGCACGAATCCTTCGTTGTCTCTGACGGTGACGGGAACCTCTCCATTCAGTATAGGCTTCAATAGAATTTCCCAATCGTACCTTGATCTGGGAGTACATAACAGCCATTTTCTTAACATCTTGATGTCGACAGATTTGAAGTTTGACAATGATCTCAAGAAGTACCACAAATTCACATTGGGAATATCTTTATATATTCGAGCATCTTGGTAACTATTCCAAAACTGATGATCGAGGTTATGACCTTCAGCGACATCGGAATCTATGTTTACCAGTGTTTGTCTCAGACATCGCTCCACATCTTCGTCCCACCAATGTGGTGTGGCATTCTCTTCTTCGGCGTGGATAGAACCACATAAAGTTTGCTGATCGTCTTCTGTGCCGCTTTCCAATTGTCGCCAAAATATGGCAGGTGGAAGAGGGTATACATTGGTAAATGGGATATTAATGATTGAGATCTTGATATTTTTTGTTGGAATTCGATCCCATAAGCTCTTAAAGTAATGGAAAAAGTAATGAAAAGGTGCAATCCTCATATCTTTGAAATAAAGTTGTTGTACATCTCTCACCATGCCTGGTTTCTTACCTTCGCTGTTATTCGTACGTTTAATAAAACCACCGTCCATCGCAAGTATTACAGGGGTAGTTGATGGTGGAGTCTCCAACTCTTGCTTAACAGGCACGTCGACTAAGGTGTCGGCTATTGAAGCGTTGTCATTTATTTCGTGACTGCGCGATTTGTGGTAGTAGTCACTCTTTACTACCCGCTGATGATTGAAACAACTGCTATTACAGTCGATTATCAGGTGGCTCAAACTAGCGAAACAATTGGTCAAAATGAGGTCATATTTGCTTTGTATGTTGAGTAGCTTTAGGGTCTTCACTTTTAGAAAATACGAAGACAACAGCTTCATTAGGCCATTGCCGGGTACAATTTCGCAACGACCCAGGGTCAGAGAAGAAATTGGCAGATGAAGGTCCAAGTAACCGTCATCATTAACTTTCATATAAAGAGGTAAGTACTCTAACGGAGTATCCAGAGATTCTGCATCGATTATCATATTTTGCAGAATTAATTCGTCAAATACGCCAAAACAGCTCAACATGTTGGAACGTAGTTGAATAGGCGGTTTGTCGGCAGCCGCCCTTAGTTCAAGTTTCTTAAACCGAGGCAAATTATGAAACTTTTCTTCATAGCTGGAGAGCCATTCGGTGGAAAACTCGAACGAGCTTAGATCGCTTCGATTCAAAGACTGCTGACCCTTAATGATTCTCTTATAAAAGTCTTTGGACCTATCATTGAGGGCAGAATACCACAGGGGAATCTTGAAACCTTGCTGTAAATCGCTTAAAATGATGTGAGTAAGATTCGGGCAATAATCAATGATGTCAAGCATCAATTCAATGTATGTGTGGCCCTCGTATTTGGCCATTACTCTGGCTCGAGATGTCGAAGATATTTCGAAAAACGATCGCAAGGGGGATTGCGTCGGTGTACTTCGAGTTGAAGAAAGGTTCTTGCTCTTTTTTTGACTGCCTTCAGTGGATCGTCCCCTTTCGAGCGCCCCAGACACTGGACTTGCCTCGAGTGTTTTGTCCCGCACCACGCTTTGCATGCCTTGTCGGGCATCTTCACCAGCAAGCCGGTAGGCCCCACCTATCGTCGATCCTTGGTCTTTCCCACAGTACTTGCTATATTTGAGGATCGAATCCTGACAGATGGGATTTGCAAACTCTACAGATCTAACTAAAAACCGTAAGTTTTGAGACAGAGCACTGGGCCTTGACTTGGCTATTGCCTCTGCGGTATGTGCCTCGCAATGTATCAATGTCGCAAATTTGAGCAAAGCAAGTTTGTCCTTCAGAACAATGTGTTGGTATAAGAACTTGTTGCTGATAAGATCGTAAAACCGGGAATGAACCCGACATAAGGCTAGTAGCGAGGCTGTGTCCAATTGCTCTAAAATTTGCAAGAGAATCTTGAGCGGTAGCCAAAGCAAGCCTGACCTGGGGTCTTCTAGACTTGAGTTGCCATTAGACGTGCGATCAATTGGGTTTCTTCGGGTGTCCATCGAGATTGACCTCTCATCTCTATTTCTCCCAAATAATTGGAGGCGCCGCATATTGCTGGAGCACTGGGGGGTATCGACTTTGCCGCTATAACTGGCGTGTCGCCGCTCCCTTCACAGTAGTTTCGGGTATCGATGCTCATGTACTTATATGTTGGTCATTTTTCTAGCCTTCTTAACAGATGACTCGCTGACTACGAAGATATCGGGTTCTTCCCAAAGGATGAATACGGGTTTAAATTGGCCAGATGACAGTTTCGTTTGCGTACGGGCGACAGGTCAGCTATTTACAGAATCCTTTGGCTTTCAGTCTGGAAAGTTTGGTCGCCAAATTTGTATGTACTCGCACCAAAAAGTGATACGGAATCTTCATCACCTATCTAGTGCTTGTTAGGTTTGGTAGGAGGCAGCTGGTGCACGCTCTCATTATCCAGCTTCTGCTTCTGCTGTTCTGGGGCGTCCTTTGCGTGATGGCCAATTAGGGACCTGAGTTTTTCAGGAATGTCTTCAAATGCCAAGTCCTCCGTAGTCATCGACACAGACTCTCCTTTGGCATTCAAGATGTCCTGGACTGTTAGTCGATCATCGGAGAAAATTTTAAGGTGGTCTGCAATCAAATGTCTGCTCTTGCATCCCGGGCACTGGATCAAAACCGTGCCCCCCGTGTAGGCCTGTTTGGACATAGTATGAGACGAACGCGTTTCGCATTTCTTGCAAGTGAAAGCGATCATCATCATGGGCTTATCCACTTTGAGGCTTTCCAGCGGAATCTTGGAATCTGAGCTCTTGGGACTCTCATTGCTCAACTTGTGACTGACGCTTAAAGATCGGGAAAAGAGCGCCATATTAGACATGTTGGAGCTCTGGAAACGGGGAACCGCTACTCTGGCACATCTGGAAATCGTCCTTGGTTTCAGTAGACGTAGCATGCTGACAGTTTTGGTGTATTCTGGTCTGATTGTTTCCCACTAGGTCATTTCCTTCTCTAGACATATTAAGTTTTGAAAATAGCTTTAATACTTTAATGCAAGTCGTAACCCATAAAGCCATCAAAACGCGTAAACATAACGGTAATGACGCTTGAATCAGACCAACTGTCACCTCAGAAGGAACAGGAAATTGCGCTAAAAATCCTGGAAAGAGCAGAGCTCGCTCAGATGACGCGTCAGCTTAAAATGGGGTTAAGTAAAGTGGCAACTCCTAAGAAGAGTTCACGCGACAACGGAAGGCCCAGGGCCCGAACATCACCGGTGAAGATGGATTTACCACTTGTTACCCTTAACACAAGTCGGCTGTCACCTTTGAAACGTAGCAGGACTACAGGAGAGACGCCGACCGAGTCTGAAGGAGCGTCGCGGCGGGTCCCGGCTCCAAGGCAAACAGACTCTATCAAGACGCCCTCAACACCCCCACGAAGCTCCCAAAGGACCCGGCGTCCTAGCGTGCGGCTGGACCGAGACAACGGGACGGAACTGGCTGTTCCTAGGACCCCCAAAGCGCCTCTGGACACCAACGACTTGGGAGCAGATTTGCTGATGTATCTCGCTACCAGTCCCTACACGTCCGCCAAAAGCGGTACGCAGCACGGCCCGCAGACCCCTTCAATCCCCACTAGTAGCAGCGGTGGCCATGGGGCCATCCCAACGACTCCCTCCCAGAACTCACATCTCAAAGCTCAATCTTCATCCTCCGCGCAGCATTTTGGATTTAAAGTGCCGAGCCACGCGGTCTCCAACTCTGGTTTCCACGAAACACCCTCACAGTCCAGCTCGCAGTTTTCCGAGATCATGGACTCTCCTCAAGCCTCTCTCTACATGTCTTCTTCCTCTCCTCGAAAGACTAAAAACCCCCCTGCCTCCTCCTCCGGGCCCAATAACCCTACCACATTCAACCCACCAACCTTGGCCGTTCCAGGCACTCCATCCCGCGAGCTACGGTCCTCGCACCTCCTGACTACGCCAAACTTCAACATGGGCGACTACGTTCACAATCTCTTCAGTCCGTCGCCTCGTGTGGGCAGTGGAACCGGTCGTGAAAACAAGAGAGACTAAAAAAACCCGGAAAGGGTGTCCTAAAGTGAGATACACTACATGATGCAATGGAAAGAGGTAAATCGCTCACAACTCTCGAGCAGAATCTACCCAATTGTTGTTTTACTCATCCGTTGATGAATTGTATTGTCGATTCAAATTTAGCCGCCCATGTCTATATACTTGTCGTTTCGGACGAGCGTGCACATGGGAAGATTTTTCCTTCTTCAATTTCAAGAAATAATGAAGCTAATCAGTAAATTATCAGATGGTGATGACTTGTGTGGAGGTTCAGCAGAGCAACGTCTAAAAGCTGCTATTATCGAAAAACTCATAGTAGCACTCTTTGTGTATTGAAAGAAATTCTGGGCGTACCAGGTCGGGTCAGCTGTGCTTTTCAGATTAGCAGCACATATTTTTGAATACGCTTTTGAAAGTCTGTGATTTTTCTTGGCAACCTGGGTTTCACGATAGTTCATTACTGGAGTATCAGTACGAGCAGTGTTCAATACGCAAAGTTAAGCGTGCGAAGGATAGCGCTTCCGTTGGCCAGGTATCGACCATAATAGCTCAGGCTCAACAAATAAGATTGTCAGCTATCAACAAGCTTTGAACCGTCGTTTTTTTTTTTTTTGTGGACTTCTGCTATCACATAAGTGCCACCACAGTTACGACCAATCATGAGTTCTGACTCCGAGTCCGACCATTCTCACGAACGTGGGCATGTCTCACCAGCTGCGTCCATGGCTGTATCGTTGGCATCGATGGACACGGAGGAACACAATGAACTGTACGACCATAGGAACTTGCCGGACTCGTTGCCTGTGCGTCAAAACTATGAAATTAATAAGCCCAATCTGAGAACCACGCAGTCGTCGAATGACGGAAAAGACGGGAATAATGACGTTTCTCCAAATACAACGCGACCAGGAACTTCATTTGGCGAGGAATCCGACGAAGACTTAAAAATTGAGGGCTCCTACAGGAAGCTTTCTGCGACTAACACCGAAAATGCAAGGCCGTCGCGTATAGCACACTCCATGCCTCATCAAAGGCAGCTGTACACGAGTTCGGGATCTGTTCAAAGGTTAGCTGCTCCTCCTCCCATGATGCCCCGCAAATCTTCAAAGAGCTCTGGCCCTGAAGAAGCCGGGAATATGAAAAGGGCAAAAGCGAGAACCAACTCCGAATCCTCCTCGAACAAGCCTTTGCACTTTTTGAATAAAACGCTTTCAGAAAGGTCTAACCAAAGCGAAAGTAACATCAGAGACCAAACAATGAGACGTAGGCTCTCTTGGGTATCTATTGAGACGGATAACTCGCGTGCTTCGCGAGAATCCCAAGAAACGGAGGAAGATGTGTGTTTCCCTATGCAACGTTTGGAACACACTAGAATTAACGGTATTGATTTCGATGAGCTTGAAGAGCACGCAATGCAGTCCAGGGAAGAGTACATCGGCAGCATTTTGAATACTGCAAATGTTGAACCTGCTGATGCCAATCAAAAATACATGACTAAAGAAGGCTCTTCTTCATCTGCCGCTACTACATCTACCGCCGCTCTGAAGTACACACCCAAGGGCTCTTCTACCTTGGTGACTGAGAAAAAACCGGAAATCCCAGCACATGGCTCCCAAAGTGGCATTTTTTTCGGAAACAATAAAGTTGAACACGATGATTTGGACTACGTACACACACCTTATGGCTCTCAGACCGAAGAGTATGTAGTTCCGGATAGGTTCTCTTTCTTCTGCTCCGATACTGAAGAAACTGTCCATGCCCCTGATATATCATCACTTGTGAAGCCGGGGCAAACATTCAGAGAGCTTTTTAGAGATGGTGCTCCTACTTGGTGGTTAGACTGTGTATGTCCGACCGATGAAGAAATGCGTTGTATCTCGAAAGCCTTTGGCCTCCATCCACTGACCGCTGAAGATGTTAGGATGCAAGAAACACGTGAGAAGGTTGAACTGTTCAAGTCTTACTATTTTGTTTGTTTTCATACTTTCGAAGGAGACCACGAATCTGAAGATTTTCTGGAACCAATTAATGTTTACATTGTGATATTCAAAGAAGGTATTTTGACGTTCCATTTTGGCCCCGTATACCATTGCTCTAATGTGAGACGACGTGTGAGACAACTGCGGGACTACGTCGATGTTAGCTCGGACTGGCTCTGTTATGCTCTCATTGATGATATCACGGATAGTTTTGCTCCTGTTATTCAAGCAATTGAATATGAAGCAGATGTTATTGAGGACTCCGTATTCATGGCACGGGATATGAACTTTGCTGCCATGCTACAGCGGATAGGGGAAAGTAGAAGGAAGACGATGACTTTAATGCGGCTACTGAGCGGAAAGGCAGATGTTATTAAGATGTTTGCTAAGAGATGTCAGGACGAACTGAATGGGATTGGGCCTGCCTTAACATCCCAATTAAATATCGCCAATCTACAATTCAACAAAACTCCGCAAGCCAGAGGAGACCCCCAAGGGCACGGTGCCCCTAATATATACCCAGGGAGAGCCCAACCTAGAGCCGATATTGCTTTATATCTTGGCGATATTCAGGATCATGTTGTGACAATGTTTCAAAACTTGCTCTCCTACGAAAAGATTTTCTCTCGTTCTCATGCTAATTACCTAGCTCAACTGCAAGTTGAATCCTTCAACTCGAACAACAAAGTAACTGAAATGCTGAGTAAAGTCACATTAATAGGTACTATATTAGTACCCCTCAATCTCGTCACTGGCTTATTTGGTATGAACGTTCCAGTTCCTGGTGGAAGTGGAGGCAATTTGGGTTGGTGGTTTGGGATCCTTGGTGTAATGGCATTCATTGCTTTGACATTCGCACTCCTTGCTCATGTTTGGCTTGCCAGAATTGCAGCGCCAGCAACTTTGAACGAAGCCGCAGAGAGTGGAACCCGGTCCATCATGAACACTTTGAGGCCAAGAGGCTCGCGTACCGTCAACAAGGACAACTCTTATAGGAAGGGTGCCGCTAACAGATCCATTTCCAGTTTTCAAAGGTAAGTAAGGACATTAATAAGTAATCCGAAAGTATTTATATTTAAACTGAGGATTTAGAAGCAATTTATGAGTAAGATTGCTGACCGGTAAAGTTACCAGATTACGAAATTCCTTTATGCTATGTATCAATATTAAAGATAGAACTGAAATGGTAAATGCTTAGCCCTCTTTTTCATGCTTGGACCCATCCTTAGAGGGCAGACTGCTCTCCGCAAGACCTTCTTCATTACCGAACACTTTTTGTCGCCATTCCCTTAGTCTCCTGCTTTTCATTACCTTACGACGGTCTTTGGCTCTCAACTCTTTAGCTCGGTAGGGCGCGAACTTTTTCAATCCAATTAAATCATTCAAGTCAGCGTCATCGGCTTGAAAAATTTCTCTATGAGAGAGACCAAAAGATTCGGGTGAAACTTCCCTATAACGGAACTTTACTTCGTCGTTGTCCTTGGATCTTGAGCGAGATTTTCTCTCTTCGTCCACTTCATCCACAATGGCTAGCTTTTCGCTTTCAACTGCGTTCTCTACCATCTCGGTAACTTTCTTTTTTCCCTCTTCTTGGAGGACTTCTCCTCTTTTTTTTGCTTCTTGGATTTTTTTTTAAGCGGCTCTTCTTCGTCTTCACTATGTTCTTGTTCAGCAGTGTAAAACTCCCCCATTATTTCATCATCTTCATCCCAAGTAGGTTTCGACTCTTGATTGTAGTACTCTTCGTTGAATAGCTCGCCAACGACAGAGTCCCATTGGTCATCTTTGAAGTCACCATTTATCAAGGCGCTAGTTAGTTTTTTTACCATGGCTTCATCAATATCGGCCCCATATTCCTTTTTAACTTGTTCTAAGACATCAGTGAGTTTGTTAACTTTCTCGGTTTTCTTCTTCTGGATTGCAGTTTCCTTTTCCTCCTTCTCTGCCAATACTTCTCGCTTTTCCTCATCCCTTTTTCTCCTACGAGCAGTGTTCTCTGATCTTCTTAGCGTAGCTTGGTTACGTGCATACGACACAATTTCTGCTGCATTTGGGTCTTCATAACGGAAATTATAGGCATTTTCGAATTGCTCCGCGGCATCTTCGAATTCTTCTTCATCATCATTCGCACCAGGACCATCTAGGTTGATAACTTTGTCACCTTGCTGTGGTATCCAGGCTTGACTTCCAACAAACGCCTGTAAAAAGTCTTCGTCGTTAACTTCGGGGTCAGGTAATGCTTTTTTAGAGAGCTTCGTGGATCTCGTGGGTTTTTTCTGCACCAAAAAATCGTCATCCTCCACATCCTCGTCGTCAGCCTCTTTGAACTGATCTTTGATTTCATTCAAAAGCTGAGATTTCTCCTCGCTCTGTTGGGCAACGAATGATTGTTTACCATCAACGGTCCCCATCGGAGTGTCTCCCTCCTCGTCGTTTTTAAAGGTCTCACCCGAAAGAATGTTCATTCTATGGTAATCTTTCAAATACATTGGTTTTTCCTTCCGCTTTTTGGCCTTGTCTCCTACACTTTTATCTGGATCTTCGAAGAACCGCACCGATGGGTCGAACAACGCTTTGTCGTTGCTTTTGATGGCGGCCAACACCTGGTTAATCCCACTTTCAACCTCATCCGTGACTAGCTCACCGTAGTCATCCTCTTCTTCAGAGCTTGAGTCTTCACTCCCATTACCGCTAAAATCTTCATTAGCTGTTCCAGCAAGAGGTTTGTTAGCCGAATCTCCCCCTTGGGATTTCACCTCAAGTTTTTTAGCATCTTCTCTAGCCTTCTTAGCCGCAGACTTCTTTCTAGGCATTATGATAGCTTGGTCTCCTTTATTTCCCGCTAGCTGATACTAACGATTGAGGCAACTAGACTGTCAACCTAACCATAAGCGATGAGATGAGCTTAAAATTTTTGAAATTCGTAAATATCCCTATCAACGAACATGATATTCGTACATCATGCTCATAATTAAGATATAGTTGATTTAAATTGTCATCACTTCCAAACTTGACCAGATTACCTGGATGAAGAAAGAATACGCTTGCACACAGCAAAGCTGGGCGGCGTCTGTAAGCTCTGAAGTTGCTAAAGAGCGCATATTTGATTCATGTAGGTCGCTTGACTTCATCATTTTTGGGCCATTTAATGATGTTCGTAGGTCGGCGGCTATCAAGAAAGGCACAATTCTACAACGAATTACTCAGTGTACAGTGCACTCTATGATCATGTTCTGATTAAAACAAGACATGGTTCTTGAGATCATACTCTGAGGGCTCTAATTATCGACCATGACCACAATTCAGCGGCCACTCTACAATTGCATGTTATGATCTCTGGAGACACGAAGCAGCTAGGCTACCAGATACAACTTATTCGAGGTGGTCTCGAGGGTCTCACGCTGATCTCAGCAATTACTCGGGCTCGTTGTGGGGTCAGGGCTATTGATTAAATTATCCTGTATTTTGAAAATTGGAAAACCTCCGGACATATTTGCAAAACAGGTCTTTGTGTGACGATTAAAGCCAAACAGATAATAATCCGTACTACAAATAATACTCCCCTCCTTGATTGAATTTGAACACCCAGTAATGGCACTGACATATTTTACACCACTCTTTTCGTGGTGCAGGTTTTAAACTTCCCAGAAAACAAACGCAGAGGAACATCAAACATGATATGCAGAGTATAGCTCTTCTTTATGTTCCATTAAAAGCGCTCCATCTGACTAGTCGAGACAAGCAGCCAGTTGATTCTTCTCTCCCGCATTACTGGACTAGCAACACACTGTTGCGATCACTATATACGTAATGGGCTCGGTGAACGATGAGGTCTTAGGCTCACTGATGCTGTGCAGCTTTATTATTTGGAAGCGATGATAATGCAAAGCTTACGCTAAGGTATACCCACTTCCCGCAATATATAGCTGGGCATGACAAAGGAAGATACAGTACTGAGTCGAAGGCGAGCTGCGCGCAAAATAAATTACAACGAAAAGGATGCCGATGAGGACGTCGTCAGGCGAATCCAGCATATGGAAAAGACTCGCGAATCAATGCATGCTGCATCGATGAATAAGATTAAAGTTCCTAAATCAAAACATCAAGATTACTTGAATGACAAAAGTGTTGGCTGGAATTTTATACCGACACTACCTCCGACATTCAGAAAACATAGCCGGTTTTCTAACGTCCTGGATCTGGAGAATGCTACTATAGATGTCAACTCTGATACTTTGAGCCAAGGTTCCTCGGTGCTCTTGAAGAGAGATGATCATATTTACATGGTTTCTGAACCACCAGGAGAACCCTACTACATAGGGAGAATCGTTCAATTCGTCCCCAAGCCAGAATTTAGACATCTTATCGGTGAGGGTCATAAATATACTAGCTCATTCCCTGTCAAATATTTCCAAGTGAAAATGAACTGGTACTACAGGCCCCGAGATGTGCAAGAAAAAATATTGAATATACACCCCAGACAACTCTACGCCTCGTTGCATATGGATATATGTCCCATCCACTCATTTCGTGGAAAATGTACTGTAATGCATAGATCAAAGTTAGAGGCGCCCCAAGATGATCAGAATGGCGTACTAGCAAAGCCGAACACCTTTTATTACGATCAACTTTTCGACAGATACACACTTCAGTATTATGATATTTGGAGTACACGGCAGCAACTCTTGAAGTTGGGATCTAATTCAACATTTTTGGGCACCTTGGCCAAATTGTATCCTTACGTCTTCGCTGAAGAAAATTATCCAATTGAGCAAGTGCTTCAAAAGTATGTTTTGGGTACAAAGGTACACGACGAAAACGAGTGGGATCAAAGATGTGCTGAATGTGGGAATTGGTGTGAAAAAAATCAATGTGTCAAGTGCGATGAATGCCGAATTACTGTGCATCTGTATTGTTTAGATCCTCCTCAGGAGCGAAAGCCAGCAAAGGGTGTTATTTGGATCTGTTCTAAGTGTATCAATAGTAACAATACTGCTGTCGAACGCTCGCATGGCATCCAACACTGGGATCCTTTGGAAAATCAGCTCAACGACTTTGATCAAGCCAAGTGCTTGGCGGGCCGACCAGAAAATATTTGGTTTCATTACCTTGGTTCGAAAGTAGTGAATAATTTGCGAGATATTCTCACACCTGAGTTAATGCTTCCTTATCCCATGAAAACCCTAAGAACTGGATCCAAATTCCAATGGGATGGGTGCGTTGGTGACGTCTGGGAACCAAAACCGTACCACACCGGCATCGGCGAGAGAGGTGAGGATGAGAATATGGAACTTCTATGGAAATCTGACTATTCTAAACTCCCTGAAAATCACCTTGACGGCTACGTGCAAAAATGCCAAGAGCTTTTTCCACCAAAACTTGATATACTACCTCAGACGTGTAATTTTTGGGATATGATCCTGTTCATTCTCATGACCAATGACTACAGCATTGAAAATGCACTCAAACTGTGTGAAAAAACCTTATCGAGAAATGCACTCCGAGAACCGACGTTGTCAAAGGTCGAGATTAAAAAGTTTGAAGAAGGCGTCTCGAAATACGGTAGTGAGTTACATCCTGTGTGCAAACTGGTCGGCACGCAGCCGATGGCGATGATTGTAAGGTATTATTACTATTGGAAGAAAACGCCAAATGGGCGAGAGATATGGGGTAACTTCGAAGGCAGGAAAAAGAATAAGAATAAGAGTATTATGGGTTCCAAAAAAAAAACCGAGGATGTCAACAAAAAATCAAGAGTCAGGAAGCCATCTAAGATCTTTAGGGATAATGACGCTAATATTAAGGAGTGGAAACATATTGATGATTCGTCGTTCGACTCTGAGAAAATTTCAACACTAAAAACTTATTTCAAATGCATGTTTTGTGAAATTGATTATTCTCCTTTATGGTACCGAATCACAGGAGGTTGCAATGATGACCATATCAAAACAAGAATGATTACAGGTGTCAATGAGAAAACATCAACATCAGATAAGCTTCCACCTCGATACAAAAAGAACGGAAAGAACGAACTAAATTCACATCTGGAAGCGCTCTGCATAAGGTGCGCAAGGTTGTGGAGAAGGTACGCTGTTAGGTGGATGACCCCCATGGATGTGGTAAAGAGAGTGAATGGGAAATATTCCTCCAGTGTACGCGCTGCATTAGACTCTCTCTTAAGTGACTGTAATAATACAGTTGTAAGAGTACCTTGTAGTATTCTTTTCGAGAAATGCATCGAGTGGGAGCTGGTACAAGACTCCGAGCTCATTATAAAACAACGATTCCAAGTAATGGGAGATCTTGAGCGTTTAGCCAAAATGAAGAGAAACTGCATTGCTGTTCACGGTCAATTGAACAAAACTGTAAGACGTTTGACAGATAAAGATGCCGACTCTGACGAAAGATTGTTGGATGAACTCGAAATCCTCATTAACGCCCTTAGTCAAGAAGCTCAAAAGAAAGACAAAAAGGCCAAATCAAAGAAAACGAAAACATTACAGTTTGCCTCTCAAAGTAAGTTACCAGTAAACAGCAAACCAAAAAGCGCTGAAGCTAGAGTTACGTCATCCACTGAAGATAATAAAATGGTTGAAATTAAAAGAGAAGAGTTGAGAGGTCCGGTGCAGAAGCAGAATGGGTTAAAAATAAAACCCGAGCTTGCCATACCCTCTGGAGACATTGTGCTAGACGTTCTTGTTGATAATGGCAAAACTAAGATAGGGCAAATAAAAGTTGACGAAGACTTCGAAAGTTTCAGGCTCTCTGAGGACCTGTTCTTTCACATATTCAAATTCGACCAAAGTATCACTACTCAAGCTGTGGAGCCTCGTCGCAATGCAGATGAGGATGTCAAACCTCCCGAAACCATTGTGGTCGCGCCATCGAGAACCTTTTTAGGGACAGAGTCTGATCACACAAGTTTTCAGATTACGAATACCTTCAATGTCCCTATCATTCCTACTCTAAACATGACCAAGATCTTTGCAGCTTATCACTCACATAATCCACTTTATCATGAGTGGTCCGAGGGAAGGCTTCCAAAGATAACTTACGAACAATTACAAAAAGCTAATAAGAGATATTCCAATGCTAATCAAAGTAATTTAGGGAGAAAGGCCAGATCTCCTTCCCTACTTCACGGAAAAGTAGAGCTCCAGGAGAGTGTAGAATTTTCTCAACTTTGTGCTGTCTGCGCGCAGCATCTTCAAGAAAATCAGGAAGAGCTTTCATGTAAAGGCTGTGGACTTAGGGTTCATTATTTCTGCTATGGTGTGGAATTGCCACACGTTGTCCAAGGAACGAAAAGATGTGTCTCTGAAAAAAATATGCATTGGTTATGTGATGTCTGCTCCAATGAGCGGAATGTTATCACATCTACCAATTATCAATGTTGCTTGTGCCAAAGGGATGACGAAGCAGAACCCATGGCGCTGAAACTTACATCTAGCGGGTCTTGGTGCCATGTAAGTTGTACATTATTCAACGAAGATATTCCCTACAGTTCCTTAGGCAAGCTCCAATGTGCCGGTGATTTGAACAAAGTGTTATGTGGCAATGCCAAAACATCATGCGTTTTATGTGACCATAAGGGAGGTGGCTTGGTCCAGTGTGATCTATGCTCGGAGAAATTCCATGTTACGTGTGCTCAGCGTGCACCTGGATATAGCTGGAAGTTCAAAAATATGAGCGATTTCGATTTTTCCGCTGACTTTGTTGCTCAGAATTGTATTGATCCGACTTTTATCAAACCGGTCGTAATTTGTCCTAAACATCATGGTACGCAGCCGAATCCTTACATACCTCTGTCACTGAGGTCGAAGGAGGGTATGTCAGTTTTGGAGATTTACTCCAAATATTCCAAATCTTCGCCTGAATACCAAAAGAGTACCGTCCAGATGGAGGCAAATAACGTGCGAGCCCTTGAAAATGCACGCGCTGAGCTGTCGAGTTCGGTGGACGCCCGCGGGGTGGTAGAAACTTCAAATAGTGACACGCGGGTGGAGTGCAGAAAACCATGCAGGGAATGTCAAACGAAGTTTTCTATTTACTGGTACAATGATCTGTGTTACTCGTGTCACAATAACATATCAAGTCTGGAGTCTGAGCTTAAAATGTGTGAGGAAGAAAGCAACGACGACTTTCATGAGGAACTGGATAGATTGCGGTTTTTAGAACTCGAAGAAATCTATATGAAAGACATCACGAAGCATCAACAGGACAGCGTTTCCGCGGTTGTACCAAGTCGCGCAAAGAGGGCACGCACACTGGGAGTCATCAAGGGTCGCAAAAAGATCAAAACTAAAAAAGAACATTCGGGAACGCCGATCGATCATCTTCCAGTCGTGGTTCAAACGTTGTCCAACAGGAAATTGGATGCATCTGGAAATAGTATCGAATAGACAACTACAAATGATCTCAGAAGGTGATTCAATGGGACGGACGCCATCGCCTTCAGAGTCCACCGATCAAACGCCTCCTGACAGCAGCTTTTCAATTTTCTGCATTTCTTCAAGTGTCTTGGCCGATTCCAGTTGCCGCTTGAGATTCTCTCTGACATCCGCATCCATCTTGCCGACCACAAGGCTCATGACTTCCGTGGCCTTGTCCGTGTTTCTAGGCTGCGGCTTAACAGCGACACTCTTTGGCGTCACATTTGCTCGTTGGGAAGCAAACTTCTGAGCTTGATGGCGTTCCTCGTTACTAACGTTTGTAAAATCCAGTACCTTCAGTTGTGGTAGCATCGAAAGTACGTAAAGTCGGTAGTTTTCCATGTAACAAACATTGTTCCCCCGCAGGTTAAGGTTTTCTAGAGTCGCAGGGCTGCTTTTCAGCCCGAGAAGGTCCTCTAAGTTTGCAATTCCGTTGCTGGCAAGCGTCAGCCTGCGCAAATGACATGGCAGGAATCGGGCTTCAACCCGCAAAATTCGATTTCTGGAAAGTAGCAAGGTATGTATTCTTGCTCGATCGCGCAGATTTGGCATAACACTAAGCTCGTTGTTGGTCAGATCCAAGATTTCAACAGCTTCGGGTAATTTTGCCAAGACTCCAGGCATAGCTTCGTCATCACTCTCTAGTTGCAAGTCTCGCAGAACTACAGTCAATTCACTGTCGCAGATTCCATTGATATGATTGTTATAATACTGTGGAGCGTCTAGCACGATGCCCGGTGTGAATTTCATAGCTAGCACTGGCTGGTGTTGAAGTCCTGTGCTTGCAATTTTAAGAAGTAGGGCCACTTAGTTTAAAACGTTCAAACTAGGAAACTTTTAGAAAGTTGACAAACGAAGTGGTAGGTATAAAAGGTAGGAAGGCTAGTGGCTTTTCATTAACTCGGTAGGGTTGAGGCTATTCTTGGGGCGTAGCTTCGATTGGTAAGCTGAGATTTGTGAACTACGTATCTCTCTTTGGATTGGGTGATAAGTAAGGACAGTAACGAATCACAAGTGACCATGATCGATAAGTTGAGAGTTGATTACTCGCTGTACTTGGTTACAGACTCGACTATGCTTCCACCTGGTACCACTCTGGAGTCCCAGGTTCTGGCTGCTCTCCAAAACGGTGTAACACTGGTACAATTGCGTGAAAAGGAGACTGATACCAAAGTGTTCATTGAGCAGGCTCTCAAGGTGCAGAAGTTGTGCTGGGAATTCCAAGTGCCATTAATCATTAACGATAGAGTTGATGTGGCACTTGCGATTGACGCCGATGGTGTTCATGTAGGGCAGGATGATATGCCGATCGCTATGGTTCGTAAGCTGGTTGGCCCAGACAAAATTGTTGGTTGGAGTGTTGGCTACGAACGTGAAGTTGAAGAACTAGCGGCCATGGGTCCCGAAGGCGTGGACTACATCGGTCTAGGTATGGTTTTCCCCACAAATACCAAGAAAAACGCTAAAAAGAGCCCCATGGGGCCTCGAGGAGTCTCCAAGTTGCTAGACTCTTTGCAAAAGACCAATGCTACCTGGTGTAAGACAGTTGCTATTGGTGGACTTCATCCTGACAATATTCCTCGTGTCCTCTATCAAATGTGTTCCGAGGATGGGAAGAGAAGTATCGATGGTATAGCTGTAGTCAGTGATATCATGGCCTCCCAAGAGGCGGGGAATGCTGCTAAAAAACTTCGCAGCTTGATTGACTCAAGGAGCTACGAGTTTGCAAATGGTGTGAGTGACCTTTCGGATGTCAAGCAACTAAGTGCTATTGAGGAGACTTTTGTGGACACAACAGCGGCCACTTCCCCGTTGATTCACCACATAACAAATAAAGTTCACCAGAATTTTGGTGCTAACGTGGCACTTGCCCTGAAATCATCTCCAATAATGTCAGAAGTTGCAGCTGAATATAAAGAACTTTCTGAAGTTCCTCATGCAGTTCTTTTATTGAACACGGGTTCGGTGGCTCCTTTAGAGAATATGGTAAGTGCAATTCGTGCATATAATGAGGCAAAGAGGCCCATTGTTTTTGATCCAGTGGGTTTCAGTGCCACATCTGCTAGATTGGTGCTAAACAGCCACCTATTGGCCTACGGTCAATTTGCCTGCATCAAAGGTAATGCTGGTGAAATTCTCTCAATTGCTGACTTGAACGTCGGGAAAATGAGGGGTGTTGACTCGGGTGATTCTGTATCTGATCTTGCCGTCATTATTAAGGCAACGCGACTCGTAGCGTACCGATATCGATGCGTAGCAGTTTGCACTGGCAAAGTTGACATTATTGCTAATGGTCTAAATGCTGGCAAATATGAACTTTCAACGGGTTCTGTTAAACCATCGCTGTTGCCGGCATTCAAAGTCGAAAGTGGGGATTTGGAAATTATGGGAAGAATCACGGCAAGCGGTTGTTCGTTGGGTACAACGATTGCATGCCTCATTGGTGGAATAACGAACAGCCAAAACCTGTTCTCTGCTGTTCTAACCGCCGTTAGATTATACAAGTCTGCTGGTTATCTTGCGTCACTGAGCTGCAAAGGAACGGGAAGTTTCCAAGTGAGCTTGATTGATTCCTTGGATCAACTGCTCCAAGCCAATCAACCATCAACATGGAAAGCAACTGTCAAGGCGGTTTAACTTCTTTAATTTCATACTATTTACAAAGTTATGCTATCCTGGTCTCCAATATACTAATTTTCGTACGATAATTTACTGCGTTCGCTTGGTAACAAATCGGGGTTTTTGTCCATGGCCTCATATTTCTCTGCGACAGCCTTTTTCATCACAGCTTCTTCCTGAGGTGTCAAACGGTGAACAGTTTCATCCGGTGACACGAATTTAAAGCCACCCATTGCGAATTCCCTGTCTGACATTTTGCTTAGTACGTAAAGTTGGGCTCGAACGTATCTGACCATTGCCTCTAAGTGGATCATATCAACGTTCTTCCTGCCTCCAAATAGGTTTCTCCAGATGGCGGCAGCCAGGGTGGAGTCATCAGTACAGAATCCTTCGTCATAAGCGAAGACAGCCCCGCGTAGTTGAGAATTAAAGTCTTTCAAATACTGGTCGGCTATGCGACTGGAGTTGACATTCATCTCATCGAATAGCCTTAACTCAATATCTGTGAATGTTCTATCCACCAGCTTCTGTTGATAATTTCTCCCATACTTGAAAGGCATTGCGCGCATGCGAACAAACAGAATCCACTCGTGTAATATAGTAATCTGGAACCATTGGGAGAACGTACGGGGAAGCTTCAAATCTTCATAAAAGAACTTCGCCGTGGCTGATAGAGGTTCATTTTCGAATTGAAGACCCTGTTCCTTACACATAGCATAATAATGCGAGCCTGCCACAGGACCAGATCTCACCTTATCCATATCTAGGTTGAAGGACCGAATAACTATCTCGCCCAGGGCTTCTTTCCATTTGGGAAGCTGGTAAAGCCTACTTTCATATTTCGAATCTGACAACAGAGGCCTCTTTTTTTTGGGATTAACTGGTGCATTATTAGAGTAGTCTATTGGGGCACTCTTCAGATGAGAGTTGGATGCGAGCTCTTCGGGAGAATTGTCTCTCTTTCTACCATCCGCTTGGTTTATCTTGGTGCTAAAAGAAGCGATTTGCGAAATCCGGACATGACCAGTAAGTCCAATGGTCCGGAAAGTACTGCTGCGAGCTGGAAGGGATGCGAAATTGAGCATTCCGCTAATCAACACACCTTGGATTTAATGTTCGGCTGGCCGACACGAGAGCATCTGCCTGATTGATTTCAGATAGTCATTAAATTTTTTCTGAGTCACTATTAACGTTTTGGAAACAAGTCTGGCTGACTACGCCTAATAGTGTCATACCGAGCCCGAGGTTGTTCGTGAAAGTCTATAAACAAAAATTCAGTATCTTGAGTAACCTTGGAAATTTATGGTAGCCTCATTCTTTGTCCTCTAAACTCGTCATGCCGTCAAAAATCTCGGCCATTCTTGCTTTAACGGACATTTTTTTTGGGTGATTGGCTTCCCAGAAGCGCCTAGGTACAAAGATGTTTTCCACAACTGATAAGCAACCTCATTCATCCACATGACTTTCTCTGGATTGACATTTTGGATTTTGAAGTTCACATAAGAAGTAAGGGCAACTTCTTGTTCGTTGAGCCTAGTTTCGAGGTCGTCTAGCTTTTTTTTGCGCTGATTTCTTGAGTTTATCCTGATCGCGTGGTCGTTAAATGTTCTTGCATTTAGTAGGTAGTCCCGACGCTCCTCAAGTTCCCGAATTCTATTTAAAGACACTCTTGTTTTCGACGAGTCGTCTAGTTCCATGATCTCATGTGCTATTCGTTCGAGCTCTTCTTCATCGCCAGCGGCGTTTTCGTCGACTTCGGTTACTTGGCCAAGCTGAAGGTCTTCTTCGGAAATGGCACAATCAATCACCTGCTTTTGTACAGTATCGTCCTCTGTAGATCTCGCATTGACAAGATCAATCCATCTCTTGTTTATACTCTCGAGTAACGACTTCTTTATCGCTCTCAACTGTTTAACGAGGGTCGGATCCACACTCATGTCTGCGCTTAGCCACCCGATGAGCTCTTCGACATCCTGTGGCCTTTCAATGGACACCCACGAGTTTTCCCCTAAAAGCAGTGCATTTGATCTTTCGTCTACTAGTTTCCTGTAGAATGCTGAGGACTTTATGGCAGACTCATTGACTGTGCAGTCGGCATACACCAAAGTGGTCTTTTCCTGACCTTCTCCACATGTGAGGACGTTATCTTTATCTCTCTCAACTTTGAATACTTGAAGGGCAGCTTGCTCGATAGGCATTTTGTCCACCATCTGTTTCCAATGTTTTATTGTTTCTTGTGGAATCTTCAGAATATCTTCCATGTGCTTTTTAGAAGGCCCTCTAACCCAAAGTCGGTTTGAGCCAAGATCGCCATTTCCATTTGGCGAATCTCTCTGCACGCCGCTTAGCTCTTGCCAGTAGTATTTATTTCCATTTCGGTCTGTTCCCAGGCTCTTCAACCTTCGAACATCATTTTCGATTAATTTCTGAGTCAAATAATCCCTATCTCGGTTGATTCTATCAATTAAGTCATGCTGATGGTCTAATTTCACTGACAATTCATTGTTTGGTGCGACACTTGCAATATTTGTGCTTGAAAGCTGGCCAACAGAGCTCAAGGCTGTCTTAAGACGCTTGGACAGCTTCAATTTCTCACTGCGAATTTGAGTACAGACGTCTAAGGTGTCTTCGATGAAGTTCTTGATGTCCTGCGAGAAATTAGAGGCCATGTCCACCAAAATCCAAAGAGCATAAACTTTGTCCTCCAAGCTCAAATTCTGACAGAAGTTACGCCACAGTGCTTTATTCAAATGAGTGGCAGACCCATCAGCAGGTACGACTGCCTTGATGAACTTGTGGACGAAGGGAGTGTACATTGGCAGATGCATGCAGTCTTGGTATATCCCCAACAGTATGATTATCCAAAACCCATTCTTGAACTGCCTTTTAGATAAACGCTCGGTCCATGAGACTTTGCGAAAATTTAGACATCTCTCAAGAAGGTCAAAAATTTCAGGATCGTGCAAATCGTCCTCATCTTTGTTGCCATTTTCCTTTGGCTTGACACTATCTCCAGTTTCTCTGTTGGTCTTCGCTGTCAGCTCATCCTCATCATACCATTTATCCATCACTAAACATCGCCAATCGCCATTTTCTGCGATAAATAGACGTTCTAAGGCAATGAAACATTCCACCATCAGGGAGGCCCCAGCTGTGTCAGTGCTGTCGATGACATCAGCCAAAAGAGTCTGATTGCCTAAGAGTTTGTAACTAACAGACTGCGACCCTAGGTCTTCGAAATATTTGCAAAGTCCTGGACTTACCCTCTCTATCCGATGCTCTAAGACGCTCGAAGAAACGTAGTCCGCACCTTCATTTTCCTTCTTACGCCTGGCCGCCAATAAGGGATGGTGAACATCAACATGGACAGTCACATTAAATGCATTTTTAAAATCAGAACACTTGATACTTTTAATTAATGTGTCCCAGCCAAACGGCGCTAGTACCAGAACTTTGCTGAAAGTTTGACAAAACTGATAAACTTCCAGTAATTTGTACATATGCGCAAATCTTACTCCTGAATGGCAGACCGGAACGCTTTCTAAGTGCTCATTATAGTAAAAAGCGTTCTCTAGGGCCCTATTGGGCCCGATGTATGGAGGAGGTAAGTGGTCAATTGGCTCTTCGTTCGGCTGCGAAGGCGATGGTGATGGGCCGGAGTTTTTAGACTTCTTTTTGGCCTCGGGATTTTTCTCTCCGTCGAAAAACGATCTTTTTGAGGTTTGCGCCTGCGCATTACGAGATGTTGTTTCGTTGGCTCTATTGTTACTTTGTTCTTGATTGTGACCGACCTGCCCCTGACGAAGCTCATTAAAATCGTCTCTATACTTCTGCATAGAAGTAGGCCAGTCCAAAGTAAGACCGTACATGGGCAAATATTCGTCTCGGACACACAGTGGGGCGCCAAGCTTCGAAGATGCACGTCGTAAGGTAATTTTGCAGAAGCATTTTATCAGGTGCTTGGTGAATGTGGAGCGATCCCGGAAAATGTCATTTTCTTCCACCATTAGTGACTTGACACCAAATTCCTCGGTGATCATATACTTGGAAAATGCGGGTTTAACAACCTCTGAGGCCGTCAGGTCGACAACTGCGTTGAAGCTTGCTTTTTCCTTCACAATATAAGAGACGTGTGGAATCGCTCCGGCAGGCATCGGGGCCAGCTGCTCTCCAGTCTCGTCGGTATTTGCTTGAGCGACGTACAGCTTTTCGTTTTTGCGTCTCACATACACTCGTTCCCCAGGGTAGAAGTCGGTCTTGAAGCGCGCATAAACCCGCTCAACCAGCAAGTCTACGCGTTTGATCTCGTTGAAATGCATGAACTTGGCAACGGGCTCACGCAGCTTCAGAGGGAATTTTTCCTCCACCAGCCTGAACTGTGTTTCCTCGCTGTTGAGCGCTTCAAAAAAGGTCAAAAACGACGTGCCCGTGATCTCGCATGTGAACTGGTGGCTGAGGTAGAAGTCCATGCGCTCCAGATACTCTGTGTACGTTAGGAACCATTCACCTGTCTCATAGATGTGCCAAACATTCACGTTAATGTTGGAAGGCAAGGGTTGGGGCGTCGGCAGTACGATGGGTTTCCGTTTGTAGTATACCATTTTGTTACTATCGGTACTTTGTCTTAATGGTTTCTTGTGGCTCCTAACTAGAGCCGATCAAGAGCCTATGAAGTTCTAGTATGCTTATTCAGAGGTGATTGTAGTAATTCGTCAACATGGTGTTCCCAACCTACACTTTTTTCAGGTAAAAAATCACAAACATTAATATATAATAACTTCTGCTAATCTAAATCATAAGATAGCGTTGGCAAGCAAGCCACTCACTTCCAGATTAGCAGCTTCCATGGCAATCTTAGTTCTATTTAACGAGCTGCTTCACAAGCAAGGCTGATTTATCTCGAAATGGATCTACCAGTCCAACCTGTACCTAGGTTTCCGTTTCTTTCAAGATACAAACCCCGAGATGAAAAGCATTTTTAATACTCACTCGTGTCAATCCGATCTCCATCTGAACACCAAGTAGCCCATTGAAATCCACGCTTCGAAAGGTACAAGTGAGTCCAAGAACTGGTGTTTAAACCCCATTTTTGACCTGCTCAGTGGTGTTTTAAATGGCACCCAGGGGTTGGAGTCGGGTTTTTGTGGCATGTTGGAAGCTATGATCGTTTTCTACGCCATAATCGCGGCTAAATTTTTGATTGGCTGGTCACGTGCCATGGATGGTCATGTGACAGTGACCGTCTCTGGCCTGTCAGAAAATTTTAAAGCTCATCTCATCGCATCGCATCGCATCACGTCGGACACACACCAGTACGTTAGTTGACGAGCCTCTCGCGGAATCTTGTGTCTACCATGGAGCAGTCCAACAGAGAGCATAGGAAGAAGAGCGACAAGGCCACGGCGAAGAAAAAACTTCACACTCAGGGCCACAATGCAAAGGCATTTGCGGTGGCTGCTCCGGGCAGGATGGCCCGGACCATGCAACGGTCGAGCGACGTGAACGAGCGCAAGCTGCACGTTCCGATGGTAGATCGGACACCAGAAGATGATCCACCTCCTGTGATTGTGGCGGTGGTCGGGCCCCCAGGAACTGGTAAAACTACGCTGATCAAGTCGCTGGTCAGAAGAATGACCAAGTCGTCGCTCACCGAGGTCAATGGGCCAATCACGGTGGTGTCAGGCAAGCGGAGAAGGCTGACTTTTATCGAATGTCCTGCGGACGACCTCAACTCGATGATCGACATAGCGAAAGTGGCGGACCTTGTTCTGCTGATGATGGACGGGAATTTTGGGTTTGAAATGGAAACCATGGAATTTTTGAATCTGGCTCAGCACCACGGTATGCCTCGTGTCCTTGGTGTGGCCACCCACCTCGACCTCTTCAAGTCCCAATCTACGTTGAGAGCGTCGAAAAAAAGGCTAAAACATAGGTTTTGGACCGAAGTTTACCAGGGTGCTAAGCTCTTTTATCTCTCAGGTGTCGTGAACGGTCGGTACCCAGACCGAGAGATCTTAAACCTCTCGCGTTTCATCTCAGTAATGAAGTTTAGGCCTCTGAAATGGAGAAATGAGCATCCGTACCTACTGGCCGACCGTATTACAGACATCACACACCCAGAAGTTTTGGAGACCCAGGGAAAACAAATTGACCGAAAAGTTGCCCTTTATGGCTACCTTCATGGTTCGGCTCTGACATCAGCCGCGGGAGCCCGTGTACACTTGGCGGGCGTGGGCGATTACTCGATTTCAAGCATAGAGAAACTGCCAGATCCATGTCCAACACCTTACTTCCAGCAAAAGCAAGACGAATATGAACGAGAGAAGTTGAAGGAAGAAGGCGCTGCAGCTTCAAGTGCCCCCCGCAGACGGAAGAGACTTGACGACAAACAGAAACTTATTTACGCGCCCATGTCTGATGTTGGCGGCATTCTAATGGACAAAGACGCCGTTTTTATTGACGTAGGAACCAAGAATGGCGAAGGTGCAAGTTTTGTGCCTGGTCAGGAAAGAGGCGAAGGTGAAAAGCTGGTCACTGGGCTGCAATCTGCAGAAAAAAGTTTGGCTGAGAACTTTGATGGCGTCGGCTTACAACTGTTTAGTAATGGGCGTGAGATGCATGCTGTCGACGAGAACTCTGAAGATATATCTGGGGAGGAAGAAGGAGACGGCATCAACACCGGAAGAACTGCCTTAAGAAGACCTAGAATATATGGCAAATCTGTCCAAGAGGCTGACGCCGAGGTGGATGGATTCAGTTCAGCAGACGAAGATGACAACGATCAACTCGATGATATCGGAGAACCCAGAAAAAAAATGGTTGAAATCGATTTCAATTCTGGAAATGGCGAGCCAGTTGAAGCTCAGACCGATTCTGAATTTGAGCTATCTGACCACGATGATGACGTTTGGACCAGAGAAACGGCTTCAAAGCTCCAAGCGTCAAAGAACAGGAAAAAAAAATGGGACATCGGGAAGCTCATTTACATGAACAATATCTCACCAGCCGACTGCATCAAGAGGTGGCGAGGTGAAGCTGAGGATGAGACGGTGAGTGATGTAGAGTCGGAAACCGAGGAAGACTTTTTCAAACAAAGAGCAGCAGGTTCCGAGAAAGTGGGTGTAGATGACGACCTTGAGAAATTCAAACCACATTTTGAGACATTCAAGAAGCTTGTTGCCAAATGGTCTAGCGCTGATTCCATCAAGCACAGATTTTTGGGTGCACCTAAAGCCTCGGCCGCACATGAAGAAGTAGAAGGCGGTGAAGATGGCGAGGAGGTGTATGGTGACTTTGAAGATCTTGAAGCATCGGAGAGCCAGGTACAATCTAACGGTGGTGATGGTTCGGAACAAGAGACTGCGAAGTATGAAAGTGATGCTGAAAGTGATGCTGAAAGTAGCGGTTCTTTTGCTGACTTTGATGAAGAGGAGAAAAAGGACTTGACGACAGAAGAAGAAAGAGAACAGAATGCAGCTAAAAAAGAAAACCTCCGTTTGCAGTTTGAAATGGAGGAGGGTGACAATTTCAAAGAAGACGATCCTAATAACGAGTACGATACATGGTATGAATTACAAAAGGCAAAAATGGCTAAGCAATCAGAAATTAATAATGCTGCGCTGGAATCCATGACACCGGAACAACGCCAAAAAATTGAAGGTTTCAGGGCCGGGTCGTACGTACGTATCGTCTTCGATGGCTTACCCATGGAATTTGTCCAAAACTTCGACCCTAAGTACCCAATCATTATGGGAGGGTTACTTCCTGCTGAGCTGAAATTCGGAATCGTAAAAGCCCGAATTAGAAGACACCGTTGGCACAAGAAGATTTTGAAAACCAATGACCCTCTTGTCTTGTCATTGGGCTGGAGAAGATTTCAGACCTTACCCATATACACCACTAGTGACTCGCGGACCAGGAATAGAATGCTGAAATATACACCTGAGCATGCTTATTGTTTTGCGAGCTTCTACGGTCCTCTATGTTCACCCAACACTACTTTTTGTGGTGTTCAAGTTGTAGCGAACAGTGAAACTACAGGTAACTTCAGGATTTCTGCAACCGGAATCGTGGAGGAAATCGACGCTAGCGTTGAAATCGTGAAGAAGCTAAAGCTTGTTGGCTACCCTTATAAAATTTTCAGAAACACCGCTTTTATTAAAGACATGTTTTCAAGCGCTATGGAAGTCGCCAGATTTGAAGGAGCACAAATCAAAACTGTCTCTGGAATTCGCGGTGAGATAAAAAGAGCATTGTCCAAACCTGAGGGTCATTTTAGAGCCACTTTCGAGGATAAAATTCTATTGAGTGATACAATCATCTTGCGCAGTTGGTATCCGGTTCACATCAAAAAATTCTACAACCCCGTTACATCGTTGCTTCTGCAAAATAAATCAGAATGGAAGGGTCTAAGGTTGACCGGTAGAATTAGAGCGGAGATGGGTTTGGAAACGCCCACGAACCCCGACAGTGCCTACGCGAAAGTAGAGCGCGTCGAAAGACGCTTCAATGGCTTAAAGATCCCATCGTCTATTCAGAAATCTCTACCATTCAAATCACAAATACACCAAATGAAGCCTCAAAAGAAGAAAACATACATGGCAAAGAGAGCCGTGGTTTTAGGAGATGAGGAAAAGAAGGCCCGTTCGTTCATGCAAAAAGTTTTCACTGTTTCAAACGCTAAGGAGGAGAAAAACAAGGCTAAGAAGCTGGATGCCAGAAAAGAAAGGCTCAAGAAGTTGGCTAAGCTGGAGGAGATCAAGGTTGAGAAAGACAAAGAGCGCAAGAAAAAATACTTCTCTGAGAATGGACGTAAAAGGCAGCATGCAGATTCGGGTGCCGATGCAGGGTCTAAGAAACGTCGGTAGGTACTTTGACCCTCTACTTGTCGTGTTGATCTGAATTCTGTTCCTCAATACACAAACTTTACATACGTACATAAGCTTCACGCACATGCATGCCTTAAATGTATTGCGACAACCACTGAAAGGCCTCTAAGTATCCATTTTTCATCACCACAGAACACATAAAAACTTCAACTGGTCTTTGACCTTCGATTCTGGCACCACCAGTGGTGTTCAACAAGCCTAGGGCCGACCTGAGTTCGGTTTCTGAAACGGCATTTGGAGAGTCGATCTTGTTGCCCAAAATAACAAAAGGAACGTCCTTAAGCTCGGCAATGTTAAAAAGAGCGTCCAGCTCGACGCGAGCTTCGTTGAGTCTCTCAGGGTCGGCAGCGTCCACCAAAAAAACGATACCATTTACCTCTGGGAAGTAGTCCTTCCACAAACGACGAGCCTGGATGTGGCCACCCAAGTCAAAGGTGGTGAATTTGATGTTCCCAATTGCCAACTCCTCGGACGTTGGGTGCCAGGTAGGTTGTAAAGTAGCCAATCTGTCATTTTTCAACATGTGCAACAAGGTAGTCTTACCAGCATTGTCCAAGCCCAAGAAAAGTAGTTTTCCATGTTTATTCCACAATCCTAGGGAGGAAAGAATATCTTTGACTGTAAAATAAGCTTTGTGTCAGTATAAGGTGCGCAAACGTTAAAGAGCTTAAGCGACATGGCTCACTAAATCTTCATCTCTAAAGCACAGAGTTACATACACCATCCAAATAAGTCCCACATCGTGATTCCTTGATACAGTTGTACTTCAACAGCTCAATCCGAAGAACAGCGCAGATCTAAATTCCCTTTTGATCGTAGATTGTAAAAGTTCTATGATCAACATCTAAATTATCTAGTAATGAATTTTCCTCGATTCCCAAAGAGTTACCCTCAAACTCGAATACTCAGAGCAGACAGGCCAGGTAGACAATAAATGAGATCGATAATATCCTGACACTTCTGTTGACTCAATCAAGGCCAAAGATCTATTTTATCCAAGCTGGATTTCCAACGGATTATGGGCAGTGTTTCTTAGCAACAAAATCCAACTCCTTTGGGAGAAATTTTTCTGAACTTAAAGGAATTAGTGCTCACTGGCTAGATATGGCATTCCTTTTGGGCAAATCCTTCACCTTCTAAGAAGATCTGGGGGATGAGCTCCAATGAAGGTAGAAAAGCGATCAGGGGCTACTAGCGAGGGAGAACTTCCCAAGGTTTTTTTGGGCAATGCTCAAAAATCTCAAACTTCATTAATTAAGTATCCTGTCGTTTATTTAAATGCTATTTAGTCATTTCACTTAGTTCCTGGTGGATCTTTGTGACGTTCATTAAACTTTTGTTCGTAATTTTCAGTCCCTCAAACTGCAAACATTGAAGCAAGGCGACCTCGACCTTCGTGAGGAGCTTTTTAGAGATCCCACATATACGGCTGAAATACATGTGCGAATGCACACAATCCTCAAGTAATTTGGTGGCTATTCGCACACTGGCTATTATTAAGCGGTGCACTTGTGACTGTTCGATCTTGAACTTGCAAGTGAGTTTGTGGTCATCAGCAGTTCTCTTTTCTAATATCAACCCTTGCAAAAGGTGTGCTGCTGTGAGATATACAATAGGTGCAAACAAAAACTTATTGTGGATTCTCTGGAGGTACTGTTCATACCCTAACGTTGGAATAGACTTCATTTTAAATGCTCCAAAAAGAGGCGTCACATCTTCGGGACTTATCTCCACAGTTTCGCTCAGCTTGAGAATATACGTTATGGTAGAGGCAAATAACTCGAGGGCCGCCTGGGCGTCCATATCGGGAGGACTTTCATTTATTTCTTGGCCATCTCCCCCCGTGTCCGGACGCTGAGGCAGAGAGATATGCGGCTTGAGAAACTCAAAATTCATTACTTCAGGTGAGCAAGGTACTGTGGTATCATTTGCTAGCGACCTCAAAGATACTAAGGAAGGTACATGATGTAGTTCATCGGGCCCGCGCTTAAGGTCGTCCTTGGCTAAACTCCTGGTGGAATGATTCTCCGAAAGTGGATAGGTTGCAGTCTGATGGCTCGACAGTATCTGTTTGATTTTGCGGTCCTCGCTTTCCGTGTCATCCTGCAGAATTGCGCCGGAAATGCTATCGTGGTCGGATTGAAATTTCTCCAGCAGATCGCTTTGATCACCTTCACTTAATTGAAAATTCGACACCGATCGCGAAGAGGTAGTAGGAGCAGTAGCAATGATACTGGCAAAGTTGTGGCTCAGTGGGAACGGGTTATCGTGTTCCTGATCATATATTCCAGACTGGAACGAGTTTATCTTGTCCATATTCTGGTCCAGATATCGGTTCAGGCTATGGGCATGTTGGATGACGTCTTCTATGTGTGGTTTGCGATGAGCCTGTGAGATGACTTTGGGCGTCGGAACGTCCATATAATCCGGTTCTAAATCGCCAATCCTTTCCTCGGACAACGTCGAGGACCAGGGAGAAGTTGTTTGGCTCTGAAACCTGACCCTTTTGTCGAAGCTCACCACCGGCTCCAAATCAGGGAAGTTGGTCGACCTGGAAAGTCTTGTTTTGGCCTTTAGCGGCAGTTCAAATGTTGGGTCGTCCATGTCAACATCTAAATCTGCGTCCAGATCTGAGTCTGTTGCGTCAGTCGACGACTGAATGCACCGGCTCATTACAGACTGCCTGACGTATTTTGGCGGGTCGCCCAATATGTTTGATGGTATCTCTGTCATGCGTCGAGTGGTAATTGAGATTTACAAAGCGTGTTGTGGTAGTTGCAAACAAGACGTGCTTGTTCAAATTCAAGGGGAAGTCTCAAAACTACCACTATAAAGAGTAGCACTGTTTCTCGACGCACTTGAATGGATGGGAAGTGGGCTATATTGGTGGGATCTCTTCTGCTGATCTGGAGGTTGCGATGCCATTTTAGGTATTCGAATCCATTTCAGTGTCATTTATTTGCCCCAGATGCCCTCGTCTACTATGATACGTAGCAGCAGAAAGCTTCGATGCTGGTTAAATGTCTATGCGTGTTCCTTTATGGGTGGCTTCTTCTAACTGGCAAGCTAGCACCACTTATACAACATATATACATCGTGATAGACACCGATAGTAGTCAGCAGTATATCGCTTAGTACAATCTGAATGGAGGACCCATGGTGGACTTGATGACCAAAGAACCAACGTTTTGCCAGTTCTTCTTCAACAAGGAGACCAAGAAGTTGACAGACATCAAGATTTGGTTGACCAAAGTGTCTTCGTCCATCTCGATGTTACCAACAGCAACAGCCAAACACAACACCTTCTTCAATTGGAACTTGATGGTGGACTTGACGTCAGTGACCTTGGCGTACAAGTCTTCGTTGTGGGAGACTGGGGTTGGGAACTTACCGGCCTTGGATAGCTGAGGACCCAAGAGTCTTGGAACTTGCTTGATCAAGACTTCGGAGGCAACGAAGGCGGAGTACTTCTTGGCCAGCTTCTTGATCAACTTCTTGTTCTTGTTCAACTTCTTCAAGTCATCGACGGACATGGCGTCAACACCGCACGACTTAGCTCTGTCCACGTCGAAGGCGTCACCGAAGATACAGATGGACAAGTTTGGTCTTGGGCATTGAGGCAACTTCAAGGTACCGGAGAAACGCTTGTCTCTTTGAGGGTCGTAGTTCTTCAAACCGACTTGCAATTCGACGGTTTCCAAGAAGTTTCTCTTCTTGGTTTCGTTGGAGTACTTCAACACCTCCTTGACGTTGTCTCTGATTTGGGTAGAGGTAATCTTAGACATCCTGGGATGGTTTTTATTAGTCTTCCAATACTAGTTGGTGGTCCGGGAGAAGGCTTGCGACTAATGGTTTTATAAGAAACAGAAGGTGGAGAGTGCACGAACAGGAAGAGAACCACCAACAATTTCAGCACAGCATAGAGACGCTGGATTGGAAAGTTTGGCCGACTCTGAGATGCTGAAAAATTTCTTGTGCGTCGGTCAAAGTCTGTGACTGCTTTTTTGAGGTTGTCTGGGTGTTGTAATTTTTGATTTTTTTCATTTTCATGTGATTTTTGTTTGAGTACATCTGTACTCGCGTGAGTACGGCTGAACACAATGACAGCGCGCACTTGTCATCATGGCCATGGAAACTCCGGGGATTAAGAGTCTACAACTCTTTTAGCTTGACAGTGTAGACGGCTGATCGCATGGTTTCATCTATGCTGCTGGTTTTTTATAAGCCGAAAGTTTTACCCTGACGCGGACAACTGTCCCAGACTGCCAAATCGTAACGAGTCGGAAGCTTGGTTAGCAAGGACGTTTTGGTTGCGGAGTACCCCACAGCTCAACATTGTGTAGAAATGGAATATTCGGCCTTTGTTGAATAAAAATGGTCAGGATGCCAATTCATCTCCCCGAAGCCTGTTTTGGAATATGCTCGGAATTTTTTGTTGTGTAGTTGACAGGGTATTTTCAAAGCGATTTGAAGCCGCACCGGATTCGATAACCATCCTAGGAACGTGGAAGGTTTGCTCTCATAATTTCTATCTTATCTTGAGTCTCGGGATATTGTCTAATGTGAACACTCGAAGAATGTAGGAGCGTCGAATCTTGATGGATGAACTGCGTTTCGAACTGCTATCGATAAAACGGTCAGTTCAAACATAGAGACAAGCATGGTTTAGATGTGTCACGATACGTGACAGAGTAGATACTACTGGTCCATCGGAAGTGTCAGTAAATTACCGGTTTTCATTTGATGATACTGAAAAAAAAATTGGTCTCGAGCTCATCTCATCGGCAGAGGGAAGAGGTTTACACCAGAAACCACTCAATGGGCCCTTGCAATGTATCATAGATTAACTAGCTGTGGTACTTTATCGGGAGTCCTGCGGCAGTTTGCCCGAAGTAATTCCTCGGCAAAATCTCGATGGCTGAATCGACAACAGTCGGACCCGTTTACGAAAGAAGCTAAAGTTCAAGGATTAAGATCCCGAGCAGCTTTCAAACTGCAGCAGATAGATGACAGGTTTCGTCTATTCCGAAAAAATGCTAACCAGAGTGTTTTGGATTTGGGATATGCGCCAGGAGCGTGGTCTCAGGTAGCACTTGAAAGAACAAGTCCCAACGGCGTGATATTGGGGGTCGACATTTTGCCCTGTAATCCACCTCGTGGTGTAAACTCGATTCAAGCAAATATTCTCTCAAGAAAGACCCACGAACTGATACGCATATTCTTCTCTAAACGGTTCCAACTATACCAAGAAGACCAATTGCACAGGGACCATGGTTACTTTCAGCACATGCTAGAAGAAGTTATGTTTCTCTCTAAACAAGAACGAGAAGCCGGAGAAGCTACCCAAGATGTTGAAAAACACCCAATTGACGTAGTCATTAGCGACATGTATGAACCCTGGCCCCAGACAACCGGATTTTGGAACAATTTTACTAATTCTGCTTATTACAGGATGGCAAACACATCTGGTGTTGCTATTAAGGACCACTGCATGTCAATGGACTTGTGTGATGCTGCTTTAATTGCAGCCATCGATTTGCTCAAGCCTGGGGGATCCTTTTTGTGCAAACTATATACAGGCAAAGAAGACAAACTTTTGGAAAATCGATTGAAGCGGGTCTTCAAAGATGTTCAGAGATTCAAGCCGACGGCTTCGAGAACTGAATCGAAAGAGCTATACTTCGTCGGTTTGAGAAAGCGCAAGGATGTTGATAAGCTAAAAGTGTTTTTAGGGTAGTATTTAAATGTACGGCAGCTTCAATTCACACTCCATCTCAGCCGGGCCAATGCGCTGGATTCGCTACTGCTTTTATCTAAAGGTTTTCCGTGTGAGGTCAGATAATCAATCCTGTGATTCTTCAAGTTCATCCCCTACCGCCTGGTCAGTAACCTCATCATCAGCTTGAGGCGTTTCTTGCGCTCCATCCACGAGCACCTCGTTTTCCTCATTCACGTCTTCATCAACCGTTTTCTCTTCCTCGTTACCAGCATCCATATCGATTAAAGGGGTTTGCTGCTCCTTGGTAGCAGGAAGAATTCTAGAGGCTACGGTATGTTGATCTGCTTGAGCAAGGCTTTCTTTCCACTTCGTGACCAGCTTATTTGTCTCTTCCAAGTCTCCAGAGTATGCTTTGGAGAGTATAGTTGCTTCGGAGTATCTGCCGCTCGAGGCGAGCAGCTCTCTGGCACTCTTTATATCACCAGCTACCCAAAACGCATTAAATGCCAAGTTGTATTTCCCCACATCTTGTGCTCTATGTCCAAGTGCGACCAAAGCATCCTTGTTATTAAACGATGAATAAAGCAAAAATAGCGACTCTAAATCGGAGGCCTTGTCATACGCTTCGACAGCTACTTTGAAATTGAAGGATTCCAAAGCCTTGTCACCAAGCCTTCTCCATTTGAACTCATTCTCATTTTCACTGACTATGTCGTGGGCCAATGAAAGCTTGCCAAGATTCAAAGCGAGGTCAAACTTTTGATCGTTGTCGGGACTTACCTCCAAAGCATCTTCATGAAACTCTTGGCCCTCCAAGAATCGGGAAATTTTCAGCAAGTTCTCCTTTCCTTCGATATTAGGTAGAATCGTTTTTTTCGCTTCCTCTAAATCACCCCTCAGAACAAGAGTTTGGAACTCAAGAACCTCAATGGAGATTTCATAACCATAAATATGAATGTCATGATCTGCCAAATAAACCTTATTGTCTCTGGGGAGGTATCCGAGCATATACATCTCTTTGTCGAGATGTGCTAAGTTATAAGACTTTCCGCCCACAAAGTAATTGAGTCTGTGGGTAGCGGTTGTGTAGATAAAGACATCGCCAACCCATTTTCCCGAACTGATATGGTCGCTAACCTCGTAAAGGACATCAAATGCTTCCTCGATACCCTCTTCACCGGCGTCCTCGTCATTGGCTGAAAATGATTCGTAAACTTCCTTGTTGAACTCCAAAACGTAAGCTGGGCTTTCCTCAGCATTATTGTCATCTGTATTGTTTATCATCATCACAAGCTCGCCATTGTCGGACCAAACAACCTCCTTTGCGTCCACGTCAATTCTTCTGACGAGAGATCCAGAATCCCAGTCGAAAAAATATACGAAACCATCTGCCTTCACCCCTAATAGCGCACCTGGATAAAGTTTTTCTATGCCAAACTCTAGCGGTATGGACCAAGAAGTCATCTCTTTGAAGTTTTTGTAATATTTTACGCGACCCGCTTCGTCAATTAGCGCGTAACTGTTCGAGTCTGGCCCCCAGACGAAATCGTGACATTTACCGAATTCCTTGTTTCTCCAAGCCAAAGCAGTATAAACAATGTACTCACCATCTCCAACTACTGTAACAAAACGCCCGTTTGGAGAGTGCTTCATAGATTGCGGGAAAACATCAACCGTGCCCAGTTCTTTTGTTTGAAGAGGAATAGCTTCTCCATCTGCAGAGCCTTCAACGCCTCTGATGGCAGCCGAGAAGACATCTGTTGCAGATGCGTTTTTTCCACCACACCATACGAGCTTCCCAACCGGGTCCAAAGATAGTCTGGGATCGTCATTGCCCAGGGACAAAACCGTAAAGCCGCTGTCGAATCCTGAAGCAATATAATTGCGCTTTCCCGTGGGATGCGTGGCAACGCACCAACTTCTTTCCAAACCAAGGTTAAGAGTTTTCTCCAACTTGTAGGTGTTGGCGTTCCAGATTTTAAGAGTGCTATCTTCCGACCCGGAAACGATAATAGGCAGAGAGGGATGGAATATGGCAAATGAAACGTTGGCCATGTGTCCCTCTAAAGTAGCCACACAAGACTTCGTCTGATAGTCCCAGACTTTAGCAGTTCTATCATCAGAACTGGTAATTAAGTAAGGCTTATCCTGTAGTGGGTAATAGTCGACATAGTTGACGCCCCTCGTTTCGTGTGCGTTCAATGTGAAATTGGCGGTTGCTTGCCCTAGTGACCAGATTTTAACGGTTAAATCCTGACTAGCAGATGCAAAAGTGCTTGGGTCTTTAGGATTGAAGGCAACACTCATCACGAAATGTTGATGGCCTTCGAAAGTCTGTTCCAAAGACCAATTCTTCTCCCAGTTCCAGAACTTGATAGTAGTATCATCAGATCCCGAAAGTAGGTAAGGTCTAGTTGGATGCACAGCAAGCGAGCGAATGTAGTCGGGGTGTGCCTCGAAGTCGGCTACTTTCTCGCCGGTATTGTAATTGAATACTCTGATCTTGAAATCGTCGGAACCCACGACAATCCAATTTTTCCTGGCGATGAATTTTCCGGCTCTCACTGGGGTATCTGTTACTGCAATCGACTTGACTTCTGTTTGCGTTTCGAAATTCCAAATCTCGACTCTACCAGAATATAGTGTTGTCAAAATCCATGGTTCAGAGGGATGAAAGTCAATACCCTTCACACGATCAGACCGATTTGCGAATGCTTTCTATATGAAGCAAAAATCCAGTTAGTATTCTGAGCTACCTAGCGTGGATTACAATGGGCCGCTAGCATGTAGGTGCTCTGGAAGCTTTCTTTCAATAAGATGGATCCTGCTCACCACATTTACAGCTGATATCGGCCATTGATGTTGGTGGTGTACAAATATATTCTGAACATACTTTTATGTCCAACTTCATGATCCTAGTTTGAATAAGGATGGGGTTGGTGGTCTTTGGTCAACTACGCTCGATAGGTGTCCTTTAGTATGTTTTGGTCAAACTCTAACAACTATGAAAACGAATGATTATCGTTTTATACGCTTCTGTCAGTTTTATGACAAAATGAGCTAGGTGTCACGAAATTATAAGGTTCTTGGCACGACGACACATAACGCTTACAAACGAGCAGTTTATTCCTTTGTAGAGTTGGCAGCCCGAACCTCTCGATCGGTTTATTACATGGGAGACTTCAGACAAACCTGGCATAGGCTGAAAGCTTATTCAGCGAGGTATCTTTGCAAACGTCATTTTACTGAATTTCCCTCCGCATGGCATTTATTCCTTCTCTTATATGTGATCTTTCTCATATCCTCTATAGAATCTATAGATACGGCAAGTGCACATCCTGTTGATAGTCATTCAACAACGCTGAATGCTGCATTTGCGACCCAGAACAAACTGTGTTCGATGGACCATGTTAATGGCCAAGGAAGTTATCGACATTTGGTCAGTACGTTAACAGGTGTTGATCTGGGTGCATTTGGAAAAAGCAAAAGAATGTACACGGGCTTCAAGTTTCACAAAGTGTATTATTTTGAAAGTTTGTTCAAACGGGTACGGCCCTCATTGCAGATGTCCTACTGCAATCGTGGCAAGTTAAGGTGGCAGGCGTTTCAGCATTATAGTTCAGACATTAGTTGGAATAAACCTTTGTGCGTTTATACTCCCAAGGAGACTATATGGGCCGGGGATCATAAAAAACACTGGAAATGGTTCAATCTACCTAAAAAGACCACCCCTCAAAAGAAGCTGGAATCAGGAACAAGTCTGAAAGAAATGGCTCATAATGACATTGACAACTTCCATTGCTTCAAGCTTGCCCGCCGTGAAAAATACGCACATCGCAATGTATCCTTGTACCTACCGAATAAGTGGATTGGTGGTCTTTTTTATTGTCGCCTCAACCAGACCACGAAGTACTCAGTCTTGGAACGACTGAGCGATGATCTAGGAACATTTGATGGTGACTATTATCCCCTTTGTAGTTTGGACACAGCCATTCCTCTCGAACCTTTGATATCAGATAGCTATTGGAGACAATGGACCGAAGTAAAACCTGGCTCAAAAGTGCCTGTGCTTCGAAGAATTTCGAGGACAAACATGAAGAAGATTTTGCCTTATATGCACACACCTATCGGTGACGCCAACACAGGGAATTTTAGCATTGCGTCCATGATCAGCACTAACATTACATCTGAAGGGCCAACTTCCATGTGGAAATCACTTATGGACTGGCGTCCAAGCACGTTGCCCACCAATCAACGCTGGTTTGCTGATATTGAACCTGATGAGTTGTATATTTATAACGAAGACTACAGACCATCGTTGTCAGATCATGTAGGAAGCGCGATCAACAAGTTTGAAGACGTTTTGAACCGGGCCCAATTTCGTGGTATCAACACAATTTGATCAACAACGTGCCCACGAGAGTTCGCTTTTCGACAGGTCCATTATATATCGATTATATACATATATATATATATATATATATATTTAGCGACATGCACTCCCTCACGGACAAAGACTGCTCAAACATAAGCATGATGGGGTGAATCCATATTTCATGCCACACTAAAAAACAGGATCTCGCACATACACGTAAATGAGTATGCTTAGATCTTTACTCTTGGACTGCATCGAATAAAATACATTTTGATCTCTAATATAAAACCTAGTCTACAATAACCGCTTCAAACCCGGCATTTTTTAGCTGCTCAAAGTGACAACGATTCACTTTACAGCTTACCTATCTATAACCTCCCATAATACGAGCCATTGTTGTGAGTGAAAAGATCCGTCGAAGACGTTGCTTGTGGGTGGGCCGCTGCGTTAACGGAATCCATGCTCTCATCTCTCACAAACTCAGCGGTCGTACCATTCTCTGGCACTTGGTACGTTCCTGCAGAAACCAATGGATGGTCATCGACCTCGCTATCCTTCAGGTTCTGATTTTCAGATGAGTTGTAAGAGTGCATCAAACCGTTTTTCGACTCAGATTCTTGTCGACTGTGAACTCCCGGATAGTCTCTCTTAACAGCAGGAGTTGACGCATCAGAGGGTTCTCGTGTAAGAGATGTTACTGGTTGTGCGGAGTCCACCATCGCCTCGTCCTTGTCAAGTTGAACTCTCGATGAAGTTGACTTCGTTCTCTTGAAGGAAAGTTTGCGCTTTAGTCTTTCGGCTAATGTGAGATTAGTTTCGGCATTCTCTTCAGATGCAGATTGAGTTCCAACAAGCTTTTCATCGGAAAGGTCGAAACCAGAGTCACTCTGATCCTTCCGCAGTCTCTGCTGATTGTACAGTTCTTCTTCCCAGTTTTCATCGTGGTTCTTGGCTGTGTTTCCTAAAGCCATTAATTCAGCAGCGACGGATTTGTTCAACTTGCCCTGGCTGCCGGAGGTTCTTTGAAATGAGGTTCTGTCGTCTTTGGCTGGCTTAAATCTCAAGTCTGGGTTGTTGGAACATACTACCATTATAATGAAAATGAGGATCAAGATCAAAAGAATTAGTGAAAAAGCGGCGTTCATGATAAAAAAAATCCATCCCATGATAGAGGAAACGCGGCCAGGTTGTCCGAACAAATCAGAGAAGAACAGAAAGAGGAAGGAGTTGACGGTGGTGACTGTTGTGATTAGGATATTGACAATATTTGTTGGACGATCAAAGTAAGGCTTGAAGACAATCAAAACCACCAGATAGGCAAGGTCGACAACAAAGATTGCGAGAGCTTGCGTTTTTCCGGACCCTTGTCCAAATGAAATGAAAACACTTTTGAACAGGATGTACCCGAGAAGAACACAATTCCACCAATAGCGTTTTGCACTGAACATAGTGTAAAAAAACCCGTACTTGTCCAGAATCTGCTGGTCACCGTATAGTAAGGCTGCTGGATTTTTACGCTGTTGGACTGATAGCCTTGCAAAATAAATGGTTCTGTAGGCCGCCCATATCATCAATCCTAGGGCCTGAATCAAGAACAGGGCGGCAATGACAATCAAAGCTGGTGAGTCATGTTGCATAAACTCCCAGAAACTTAGCAAGGTTAGCTGCGTAAATCCGATGTAGATGTACCGCAATAAAGTGCCCTTCAAGACAGTCCTCCAATTGCTTCTGAACTCCAAAAACCTCGAGCTATTCATCCAGCCAGCCTTGATGCACAGATCGATAGCATACTTTGAGGCTATGACAAAGCCCGCCAGGAAGTAGCCGCAGAGGACGAAAAAGGTGAAACCAGTACACACCACAGCAGTGTTCTCAATCCTTGACTGATAGGCAAGCCTTTTAATGCCTCTCAAAATCAGCACGTTCGAGTTTCCGTACAATACATCTGCCGCACGCCTGTACAAACCAGTGTTTTCGACCAAATCAAAGCTTCTTTGTACCAAGACTGAAATCGTCTTAGATGTCAGGTAAAGAGATGGACTTCCGCCAGTGGATTGGACAAACCATCTGAAAATCTTCTGCATGAAAGAGATATGAATCAACCCCATAGACCATATCAGATTTTCCGCCCAAGCAGCGGCGATTGGGGGAACTCGATGAACGTGCTCCATTGACACGACGGCCACGGATTGAAAGTACAGGAAAAGAGACATTGTATTTGCAGAGATGTGCGAGGCAGCATTGGAATTGCCGAATGTAGAAAGTACCGCAGAACACAATAGCCCCAACCCCGCAATAACAGCAGTAGCCCACTTGACTCCCGTTTGTGCGACCGTCTTACCATTCGAGAAGAAAGCCTGGATACAAGCGAGGATATCATCTTGGTCACTTCTTTGGAAAATGTTCACCCGAACGAAAGCATCGATATCTGGCACTTGGTAAGCAATACCTGGAATTTGTTTCACCAGATCTGCTGAGATATACTCGATCGATTCCACTTGCACATTACCAGGGTGAAGCGGGCAAAACTGCTTCCAGTTTAAAGAACACAGATCTAAAGACCGACTGATGATCTTGAACCCATAAGCCCAAACTTCCACCTCCGCAGCGATGTAGGCGTCGATATCGGTGGTCATATCGAGCGAGTAGTGTAATGAACGACTGTCAGGATCAAAAGTGACATCAAAGCTCGTTGCGGCCAGCTGTGAGTTTTCCATACAAGTCACCAGGGAACTAGCCACCAGTTTCCGTTTAGCGACCGTTTGGTGCACCAAACTCAGCACGAAAAGAACAGTCGTGAAAAATCTCATTTTACACTAAGCTTTCCGCCCACTCGACCTAAAATCTCTTATTTAAATTCACTCCCAAAACCCGAATATGAAGCTCGGATTGGTCCTTTTTCAGTTTGCAACGAGTTCCAAAGATATCGGACGGAAGTTCAGAGCACAAGGTTAAATCAGCTTCTTTATTCGCTCAGGAAAATGTCTCTCGGAACTTATCTTTCGATCTCGAGATTTTTAGGACTTTCTTGGCTATGTGTGAGTTGTCTGCGTCCGATCTACCTACCTGGTTTGTCGAGATGCCAATCTTCCACCTCAATTCCTTCTTTTTTAGGATACAAACTCATTATGTACGTGCGACCACGAAACGCCAAGGCGATCTGCAAGAAGATGATCCAGAACAGTGGTTGATCGCGAATGATAGTCATAGCCTGTAATATGCCTGTCTACCGGTACTGCCACCAGCTCAAAGCGAGGGTCTTAGTGGTCTTGTACTTGGCAGCATTAAAAGCGAGTTGTCTCTAATCTGAAATCGGGTTGGCCAGGAGTAGCTGATGGCATCGAACAGGTCATCGACGTAGCTGACATCAAGTTGCCAGTTGTTTTTAATAGTTAAAAGCTCGGGATGGTCTGAGCTAGTTAGACAGCTTTCAAATTGATCTGGATCCATCGCAGCTTGAATCACATCTGTGCGATTGGCCAGCGGAACGAGGACTTTTTTCATCCCAAATCGGCGGGCCCCTAACAGTTTCTCCTTGACACCACCAATGGGCAACACTTTTCCGCGGGATGTTATTTCACCGGTCATGCACAGTTTTGACGGAACCGGGATACCGAGCGCGAGGGATAACAAGGCCAGTGTGATGGCGACGCCAGCACTAGGCCCATCTTTAGACACTGCACCCATGGGAACATGTAAGTGCAAATCTGAGCACATAAACTGTTGGAAAGGATCTTTTTCAGGTCCAATGATTATCTTACGCTCGCTGAGAGACTTCACGAGAGCTACCGCGATGTCAATTGACTCGTTAAGAAGCTTGCCAAGATTTCCTGTCGTACGCACGCGAGGGCCCTTAACCTCATTTTCTAATTGACCTGTTCGAACCACCTCAAAAACCAGCACTCCTCCCGAACCATCGGAATTGTATGCAAGCCCACTTACAACACCGTTTTTGTCAGCAAACCTTGCACTTCTGATCAAATCTTTCGACAATGAATGCGGTGGAAATCCAAGGTATTTAATAAGTTCATCTGCTGCAATCTCTTGTTTTGTCCCTGCACCTTCGAGATATTCAACAATTCTACCACGGACCAGCCCAGCCAGCTTGCGCTCGAGACTGCGGACGCCAGGTTCTCTCGTGTATTCTTCAACAAGTTTGTCCCAAGTTTCATCAGTCAGCTTTATTGAAGCGTCAATCTTATCTAAACCATTCAATCTGACCTGCTTGGGTAGCAAAAACTTCTTTCCAATTTGAACCTTTTCTTCTATAGTATATCCTGGGATCTCTATGACTTCCATCCTATTCAATAAGGGGGCAGAAATTCCCTCCAGCTCATTTGCAGTGCAGAAGAAAAGCACATCTGAAAGGTCAACGGGAAAACCAACATAATGGTCAGTGAATGTAGCGTTTTGCTCGGGGTCTAAAACCTCCAAAAGCGCTGCACCTGGATCGCCATTCAAGCCAGCCCCGCGTCCACCCGCCGACAGGCTCAAAACTTTGTCAATTTCATCAAGCAGAATCAAAGGCTTCATTGAGCCACTCTTTCGCAGGGCATTAATTATCATCCCACACATCGATCCCACGTATGTCCTGCGGTGGCCTCTTATATCAGCTTCGTTGTATATCCCTCCTAGAGATATCCGATGAAATTTTCTGTTCAGAACTTCAGCAACCGATTTTGCAATTGAAGTTTTGCCCACACCAGGCGGCCCTACTAATAGTAAAATGGGAGCTTTTGTCTTCGGCTCTTTACTTGGATGATCTTCATTTACTTTAAGCACTGCTAAGTACTCTATTAGTCTCTTTTTGACGTTTCGTAGGCCAAAGTGGTCAGAATCGAGCTTGCTTTGACATTGCAGGATATCCACAGAACCAATTTGCGTAGCTTTAGTTTGGAATGGGATATCCAATACAACGTCAAAGTAACTTTTGAGAATTTGATACTCGGAACTCTGCGGTTGCATTTTTTTGAGTCGCCTGTAATCTTTATGCAGCATTTTTCGCCCATCTGGATGGATGTTCGCCGTTTGCTCCATAAAATTTTTGATGGCTTTGAAGTCGTCGTCTTCTTCATCCCCCTCAAATTCGTTCTCAACTTTTTTGCTTCTCATAAGCCCTGCAGAGGTGGCTTTCCTTGGTCCATCTAGCCCTTTGCTCAGTTTACCTTCTTTGCGCTCTACACTTAGGAAACTGCGCAACGCACTCAAATGTAAAGCGACAAAAGAGGCTTTTTCTCGAGCGCTTAGCTCTTCAAACCGGCTGCGAGCTATTTCTGTAGATGAATTGAGATCTCCTAGTAAGGAGATGAGTTTGTCCTTAAGAGTCACGAATTCGTTTAATCGTTGGCTTGAGGCATCTTGCCTTAAAAAGGTCAACCTTTGAGAAGGTGATAGCGGAATTATCGACGCAGACATATCCAACAAGCATAATAGGCTGGGGACATCAGCTTGTCGTATGTGGTTGGTGGGAAGATTCTTAGCTGACTCGAGCAGTAATTCCCATGACTCGATGAAATGTGCTCTGTTTAGCTGCAAAAAAAGGGTGTTGGCCAAGGGGGAGAGCAAGAGCAGACGGCCGAACATGTCATCCTTCTCTCGGAGCGCTTTTTTGTATCGGGACCGAAACTCACGAAACGCCGAATTGAGCTCCTCTAAACACATCTTAGTAACCTTGGTGGCCTCATTCCGCTCCTCAAGGCTCCACTCTTTTCCCAGTTCATCAGGTGTAGCTAAGACAATAGTACTCATGCAGATCTCATTTTTGAGGTTTAGCTCAAATTGTTCGACTTTGGCTCGAATTACTCCCTTCAGTGACAGAATAACCAAATCATCTTCTATTAAGAATTTCGTCAGAGCTGTAATGCATCCAGCGTAGTGACTTTTATCGATTGTGGGTAATATACAAACGTAGGCAATGTGTGGTTTTCCTGGTGCACCAAACTCACTTTCGAATTTGCGATAGGCCGCCTTTAGTATACTGGCTGCCTCAGGGTTATCTCTTTTCTCACCCACATCTGGATGCGTTAGCTCTCGAAGCTGGGGTATTTCTAAGCTGAGCAATATTTTAAGACCCTGTTGTCTAGGAATTGTGAATTGATATGAGACTCCGGGCAAGGGGACGATATCCGGGGAAACATCTAGGACTAGGCAAGGAAAGCTTAGTTTTAATGGCATTGAGTTTCTAGTAATTTTTGGCTACGCTAATATGTTATCAAGTAGCAATCTGCTTCGGTACCTCACAGCTTCAGAAGCGGGTCGTTCCTATCGAGGCAGTATGTACATATATTCTAATTAATTGATTACCATAATAATTTCACTGCTATCAAAGCGTATTCGGTGACCACTTCATCAGACAGACTTGAACTTCAGCAGTTTCTGGGACAAATGGAACTACTGACTGCGTCAGAAGTTGATAAAGATTTTCGAAGTGCTTTTTATGACCTGAGTGTTAGTTTATAAGTTCCATCCTTGGAAAAAGAGTGCCAGCGCACGGCATATAATTGATTAGCCAACGCCATAGGTAGACTACAGAAACACATCCCTGCCTTTGAACCGCATTCTTTGAAGAGTCTCTTGGTGTTATAGGGCTCTTCGCACCACCGTGATTATCCACAAAAATATTTACAGTTTCATTTTAGTGAGTTCCGAGGAAAGTATGGATTCTCTTAACAGAGCTCTAGGGCAAACAATACTTTCCCTCAGTATCTACATTCCTTGAGAAGTAGCTCAAATGTCTTCTTCTTCGGATGCTGCTTTGAGTTTTGCAAGGATTCAAATTTCAAAGTTCAGAATCGTGACAGAAATAATAAATACCCACGTAACCGTAAAAGTTAAATTGATAAATGCAATGAACCGTTGCATTTTAAAGTGGATTAGGCACATTCAATAAAAACCTTCATAGTATTATTCTTTTAGCTTGAGCAGGTGAGCTGCTTCATGAATTTGGCGTCATCATCGCCATGAGATGTCCAGTCCTGCACTACTTCAGGCCTCAAGCTATCATCCCACTTATCTGAATCGTAAGGGTTAACACTCATGTTGTAAAGTTTTTGAAGGAAGGAGATATCTAGTTCAGCATTCGGATCATTTATCGCATCTCTCTGCTGATCAGTAATACTATCAATAACTTGTTCAAAGATATAGGCTCTGGGGGTGAATAGAGGGTTATATCTCTTCGCAAGGGTGAATCTGTCCCCAGATACCGGAGGGGCCAAAGCAACGAAATCATCTATCCAAGTTGCAAGAGTTTCTGCAACTTCTAGTAACCTTCTTGTGTCACCTGAATCGGCCTCCGGCGTACCTTTCAGATGTTTTTCCAACTTTGACACTTGTGCTTCCGTGAAGAATATCCTCAGGAGCTCCGGATCAATCATTTGAAAGCCTGTCCCGTCCTTTGATTTGAATTCGCCTTTATATGCTTGAAGTTTGACGAAGAAATTATTGTAGTCAACCTGTGTAACGTAGAGAATCTGTAATAGGGGCTCTAAAATCACTTTGTTGAACTCTGTAGCCTTGTCGGCCAGCTCCTGAATATTGGTGCTTGTAACGGTTCTCGTCAAACCAATGTCCAGACCTAACCTTTGTGACATGATTTTTGCATAATTAACCGTAAAGCGATACTTGTACTCATTTCCTGCCGACAATATAACTGCATTTGCCCGTGAGATGATTTCTCTTTCATTATCCTCGGTCAGATTTTCCAACCCGCTTCTCACAATCGTATCGATAAGTTTCGGGCCTGCACCAATTAGAGTCGTCATGGCCTGTGCAAATTTGGTTAAATTCCACCAAATTGCGGTGGGTTGATTCGCAAATGAATAGCGGAGTTCTATGTCGTCGTGATTTGGCGTGAACTGTGGCTGAAACTTGTCCATAAAAGAAAAGGGCCCAAAGTCTATCGCCAGTCCTAGGATGGATGTATTATCGGTGTTGAGGACCCCGTTTAAAAATCCATACGACTGCCAGCACGCAACCGACTCTGCATTCAGGTTGACAACATGACGAAAAAAAAGCTCATATTTAGTGCTTTTATCAAGGCAGGGAAGTTCAGATGGTGATCCGGATGGCATTTTCACGTCTTCATCAGGGAAATAATCATGCTTGAAAGCTTCTGGAGATATCTCAGTAGGAAAGTTTTCGCCCTTGTTGAAAACTTCGTCGACACAGAAATCTGACAGTCTAACTAGACTGCTATGGTCTTGTCTGTACCGGCATAAGTCGAAATTACCTAACCGGATCCAGCTTGGTGCATACCTGCAGTAAACGGCACAAGGCTCGTAAGTAGATCGCATTGCTCGAGTCTCGGGGAGGCTTGTGAGTTGAAGTGCGCGTGTAGACGGAATTCCAATGTGGTGGAGAGCCTCGGATATGATGAACTCGCGGATGCTAGACCTCAGGACGGCTTTTCCGTCCGCAAACCGTGAAAAAGCCGTCATACCAGCGCCTTTCAGCTGCAATGTTTGAAAGCGGTTGTTTTTGTCGGGAAGGTCAAAAATGTTCACCACACGCCCGTCACCCAGTTGTCCAGCAAACTGCCCAAATTGAAATCCTGCATAGGCCATGCTCCAAGGAAAAATAGATCCTTGCTCGTCAGAATAAACTTTAGAGCCATTGAGCAAGGCCATTAGCTCCGAGTCCATTTTTAAGTTTAGGTCCTCCAACGCTTTGGACGAGGTGATGATTGGCTTGTAATGTGGTCGGGCTTCAGGCACCGTATACGTAAAGTGGGCAGACTGTGACACCATCCTCGGGGTGTGGAATTTTTTTTGACGTTCGGTCTCATCCCCAATTTCATTGAGCTCTATTGCCCTTGCTACTGTGGGCACCAGGACATCTGGGAAAAGTTTTTGGGTGAATCTTGACGATCCAGATTCTTTCAAAGCTCCCAAAACGCCTCTTGCTTCAGTCATCTTTCAGGAAAATGATATAGAGCTATTTAATTGACTTGTGGTTTGCTTGGAATACCATGCGTACCAAACAGCCAAAAGAGATGATCGTACCTCAACTGTTTGCTTGCAATGACTATTTCAATATGAATTTTAGGGTAATTTGATTTCTCAGAGGTTTTAGATCACTTTGTGGCGAACTGTCATATTCTGACAGATAATTGTGCTGCACAGCAAACGATTGATTTCCGTACTATGAAGGCCTTCAAAGAAGCAGAACTCAAACTAGGTCAATTATTAACAGCAGGAGATTATTGGAAGACAGGTCATGCGTTAATATCTCTCGCTAATAAAACAAAATGCGAGGGCTGTGAACTGAGAAAACAAAAAAAAGAGAGCTGCAAAACCGAATCTACTGACAGGGACTTAGTCTCTGTACAATTCAAAGCCCGGAATTTGTTTCTAAACGAGCTTAAGACTGACTGACTGACTTTTCAAGCTAGCATTGACCATTGGAAGCTTTCAAGTGCGGCCCGAAACGTAAGCAGAAAAATGCAACAGCATGAACATTGAACATCTTCAAGAGGATTTTTCGAAGCTACTGCTGATCCAAACCACGTCCTTATCTCGTAACCTTAAGGTTTTAGCTTGTTGTGCCGAAATAGGTGAGAGTCATTACCTACGTAATACGCAACCGCTAAATTTACACTGTAGAATAAAGCCATCCAATAGTCCACGAGTTGATTCCACCAGTGTAATCATGCCAAATCTGATCCCGGTCATGTCGAAAGCCAACGGAGTTGGGGGCGTGAGGACCACTCTCTCAGAAAATGATGCGCTCAATCTTAGTCTGGGAAGCCTAGGTTTGCCAACTGGCACTTCTGGCGGTACCACAGGTCATGAGGGAGCTAGTAGCCACGTTCAAGGGCCGCATAATGCTACCAAGCTCAACAGTGCATCCAGAAATACAGTAGTAGGGGCCCCAACGCTGGTGGATATTTTGGAGGCTACTGACACGCCATCAAATCTCGGTTCAAACACAAGCAGCCATCCTACGGTTGAAAGCCATGTTACGCCGCTTGGAAACGACAGGGCTTCAGCATATACGGGCGCGGCTACTATATCTAACTCCGCTACGCGAAATACGAACAGCTCAAACTCACCGGCGCATTTTGGCATTGTTCCTCAGGTGGCGAGCGGCCCCGGACTGGTTTCTGGAGCTTCGAATTCGACCACGTCCAGCGTGCAATTGTGCCAACGCATGGACGAGGTAAGCGCGCGCATGATAGCCATGGAAGAAATGTTCAACAAACTTTGCAGCAAGATAACGGATCAAGAAACTACAATCCAGCACCTGCGATTACAAAGTGAAAGGTTTTTGACCAGCATTTTGAGCGAGGTTCGCCAGGTTAACCACAGCATTCCGGTCCTGGAGAACCCAGATGACAATGAAAAAGATGGATTTGTCACTGATCTACTAAATTCCATTACCAACGTGAGTTCCAACTACCTGAAGAAAGTGAATTCCAAGAACACTCAGAAGTACAAACGCCAGCGTTCTTCCTTGAGCGAATCTGACGGCGGGGCTTCGAAGCATGAGAGCAATCGTAGCGAAGCTGCTCCCCCACATACCCAACTAGCACAGCAGCCACAAACCAAACTAGCATATCAAACACATCAAGCACAGAAATCTCAGCAACAGTCGAGCGTAGCTGCCTCTCTAGGTACAAGCATCCCCCAACCGCTGCAAGCCCAACTATTCAAGTTGAATCCGAACGGGATCAAACGTCGCAGGGCCAACACCACCTCAAACAATGACCTGACAGGGTCTCTTGATGCCAACCAAACATTTTCACCACTAGGAGGAGTTGGCTCCATGAGCTTACCTAACATGACTCTAGAAAAGGGTGCTCTATCTGGGAGGAGTGGGCTGCAGCCATCTGTGCTAGAGGCTGGAAACTCGAGCTTTAAGGCTCGCCCGCGAAGTATAGACATACGGGTAGGTTCTGAGCGTAGTATCGAGACAGACTCGTCGGATGATGACGAAGACGGATATCAAGAAGATGATGAAGGCCATAACACCGAGGAATCCGATTCACACTCGTTTCGTCGTGAATACGCTCACGGCTCCGCGAACGAAACACATCAGATCAATTACGATACTGAATACAGCAATTTTCTGGAACCGGTGAGCCAGGGCATGACTAGATCGAGCAGCCACAAGACGCTGCGCCAGCTACCGATCTCCAAGAGCCAGAATCGAAATACACACAGGACAAGTCTCGGCACCGGGAAAGTCAGACACAGCTCAAGCACACGCGACAGGGATCTGGATTACACGCTACTCAAAGCCCCTGCCAATGTGAGGGCCATTTGGAAAGAATACACAGAGGGAATAGATGGAAATCCGTCGGTTAAGTTTCTGGAAGAAGCTTACGGGAACAAGTGGCGGGTGAAAAAAAATGTCAAAACATTTGCAAGGCGCAAACGCTTATATAAATTCATCATCAACGGCATGAAGCGAGGGCACACCTCAGATGAAATGATAGATTTGTTGGAAAAGAGGCGTGTCTACAGGAACGAGCAAGGGGAAGTGAAGAAGCGCACCATTGGATGGTTACAACAGAGCCTGAGCGGGATCTGACTTGTTTTTCCCTACGGGTATGTATGTTAATATGCGCGGAATTCTAATAACATTCGAATGTTTATTTCTTCAACATTAATATTAAGTAGGAGCCGCAAGTCTCAAAGGCATATTTGAGTAGACTCAACTGCAAACAGATTTAACTTTCAACCCTCCGCCATTACTCACATGCCAACCGTGCTTGCATGCTCTAGAGCTTAACGGTGTGCGCAGGTCGTTTTCATAACAGCATGGTATATTTTTTGATTCTTTGACGAAGCTGATGTTCGTCCGTCGATCAGCTGAAAAAAAAGGGAGAGCTACTACATCTTGTTCCTGTCATAAATCAAAGTTCGTAAAATTATCTTGTTAAGGGTGGCTGTGGCTTTGAATTTACCCACCAGTTAGTTACACTAACAAGAATTCGCATACTACGGGCTCTTACCTGTTGCTCTGAAAATCAGTAGCGAGCAAACTCAAGGGGACAGATAATGCCCCGTATTAGCAATTGCGACTCAACGGCTCGTGTTCGCTTCTGTAGTCTCTTGGGTGGGAATGTCCACTTTATAGTGTTGTGTCCCTTTTCTCACGTTTTTCGCGGACTTATCTGAACAGTGGCACAGGGCTTGGCTTTTAGTTGTCATGGAAATCTAATGCGACGAACGAATAGGAACACTGAGATTCTAAGAGTGAGATATTATGCCACGAACCAAAGAGCCACGTTTGCGTAATTCAAATTCGGGGACGTATAAGTACGGCAACTCTGTAAGCTTCACAATCAATCTAGCCTCCCAAATCTCACCAATCCTGAGTATATTCACAGAAATCAAAACTAAAAATGGGCTTTCTTGACAAAGTGAAGGACATAGCAAGCAACAACTCCAATTCTGGCGACAATGCCAAAGGTGATTCAGACTTCCTCTCTAAGGCGGAGGGAATGTTAGGGGACGACAGAATGAATCAAATCAAGGGCAAAGTTGGCAAGGACAATTTTGACAAGTTCGAATCTGGTGTGAGGAACCAGTTCTCGAAGACGTCGATCAACGACGATAAGGGTAGTAAGAAGAATGACGATTCTTACGGAAACGATTCGTACGGAAGTAAGAAGAATGACGATTCTTACGGAAACGATTCGTACGGAAGTAAGAAGAATGACGATTCTTACGGAAACGACGATTCTTACGGAAAGAGCAGTAAGAAGAGCGACAGCTCTTATGGAAACGACTCCTATGGAAGCAAGAAGAATGACGATTCATACGGAAACGACTCCTACGGAAGTAAGAAGAATGACAGCTCCTACGGAAACGATTCTTACGGAAACGACTCCTATGGAAGCAAGAAGAATGACAGCTCTTATGGCGATGATTCGTACGGTAGTAAGAAGAATGACGATTCTTACGGAAACGATTCCTACGGAAGTAAGAAGAATGACAGCTCCTACGGAAACGATTCTTACGGAAACGACTCCTACGGTAGCAAGAAGAACGACAGCTCTTACGGAAACGACTCCTACGGTAGCAAGAAGAACGACAGCTCCTACGGAAACGACTCCTATGGTAGTAAGAAGAATGACAGCTCTTATGGCGATGATTCGTACGGTAGCAAGAAGAACGACAGCTCCTAGTAGGAAACGATTCTTAGTAGGAAACCGACTCCTATGGTACTAAGAAGAATGACAGCTCCTACGGAAGCGATTCTTACGGAAACGACTCCTACGGTAGCAAGAAGAACGACAGCTCCTACGGAAACGACTCCTATGGTAGTAAGAAGAATGACAGCTCTTATGGCGATGATTCGTACGGTAGCAAGAAGAACGACAGCTCCTACGGAAACGATTCTTATGGAAACGACTCCTATGGTAGTAAGAAGAATGACAGCTCTTACGGAAACGATTCTTACGGAAACGACTCCTATGGAAGCAAGAAGAATGACAGCTCCTACGGAAACGATTCTTATGGAAACGACTCCTACGGTAGTAAGAAGAACGACAGCTCCTACGGAAACGATTCTTATGGAAACGACTCCTATGGTAGCAAGAAGAACGACAGCTCCTACGGAAACGACTCCTACGGAAACGACTCCTACGGAAACGACTCCTACGGAAACGACTCCTACGGCCGCAACGACAATTCCAACCGTAACAACGACTCTTACAACTCCTACAATTGATTTTTCAGAACACCCCACATGCTGAACTAGTTATGACCAATCAAGTAAATACATAGGTAAGAAACATTTCCAAATGAAGACATTAACTTCTACAGTTGATATCTCAAATAATCAGTCCACTTGTTGAACTAATTATGACCAATCAGTTATACACATGCAACAAGCGTTTCAAGTATAAAAACATCAACGACCTCGGTTAAATTCGATCGATACTACTGGAAGTAGCTCCGATTGCTGCCAGCGTGTCAGACTCACCTCGCTTGTGGTGATGAACGACGCGTTCGTTTGAAGTGAGCAGACCAGGTGATGACTCGGAAACCGAACCACTTCCATTAGCTGGGCCAACAGCTCTGCTGTGGCCGGGCCCAGCGCGGTCCGTCAACCGTTCACGGCCACCTCCCACGTTTCCATTGCCGACGGTGACATCCGCAGCTAGCCTGTGGGCGTGCGCAGCGCTGATATCCGTGCCAGAGGCAAAGCTCCGGCTGGTGCTGACTTTCTCACCACCTTCAAGGCCGTTACCAGCGGCTTCTGACGAGCTGCCGCTGCTCACACTGCCGCTGCTGCCGCCATCGCTATTGACTGGCACGGTGTTTGCAGTGGCCCCCAGCCGCGACAACGTGGGAACCTGGCCCGAAAACGACCTCAGTCTTTCCGGCACGTTTGCGGTGGAGCCGCTCAGCCGCTCGCGGGCGGCTTCAAACAAGTTGGACATCCGGACTATAGAGCAGGATCGGTGCGATGCTCTAGCGGGTTCGGGACTCTGGACGTATGAAGCGACTCAACGAATATCTCGCTTCTTCCTCACAGTACGGGTGTCCGCACGGTTAAACAACAAATAATAGTCCTGGGGTTCTTGGGCTTCGACAACTGCGACGTAGCGGCGATATCGATTGTAGCTTTCAACAATGCCTATCTGCCTCTAGTATCTGCGGGGTTTGCAGATCCGAGAGGTTCACTATTTGGTGTCCGCTCCATTACTCAAGTTTCTACCCACTTGATCATTTGGATCAGCTCTTATATATTTTTCATACCACCACGCCTGCACACAAGAAACGAGTGCTATTTGAGTAACAGCTGGGGTAGGATCGAAGCCCATCGAAACCAGATACAATTGTGCACACTTTGTAAGGCCGAGTCAACTGGGTATTGTAACGACTAGACATTAGGTAGCCATTGAGTAGTTGCCACTCACGACATATGAGTATCGTCTCTGTATGCCATTGTTGATTTTTCTTTTTTTCTCAACCTTCACGAGTACACAGCGAACTCCAGGTACTCAGACAACCATTACGAATCTAGACGTCAGCACGTCATAGGAGATGGCCGGAGAAGCAAAACTGAACAGCTAACTAGTATAGGCTCTGATTGTGAGAGGCCCCTTCACATGAGCACGACCGTAACATCGGCAAGGGCCGAGGGGCAGGTACAACAGGGAGTACGGGAATGGGAAGCTTGAAGCAAAACGACATCATCGGGAAAAGAAACGGGACCGGGGTCACGTGATAGTCACGGGGGTAGCTGAGACCGTGACAGCTCATGGCGGGAATCCGACAGGCACCGACGAGTGCGGGCGGAGATGGACACACACATAAAAGCAGCGAGTGGCGGCGAACGTGGTCACCTGACAAACAGTGCTCACGTGGTACTGGACAGTAGTGTGTGTGCGTGTGTGAGGGAGTGGTAAGCCTAACACTTCGTTGGGGACACCAGCCGCTTGGGTGACTCGAGTTCTTAGTTCAAGCCTGTGGAATGGTCTTGGACGCGTATAACACCAGCTGTGAGATCACTCTGAGGCTTGAGTAAGTGATTGCAAAATTTAGAAAAACCCACTGGGCAGGGACAAAGTGTCACTGAGGTATCCGCTATGCCAAGAATATGATTTGAGGTGGCTATGCCACCCTAATGGATTTTTATTTTGATCGGCGACTCGTGTATGTATTTCATTATAATCTTTACCACCGCTTACAGTAGGTGAACACCAAACACTGTCGGTAGTCGATTGTCAGGGAAGCGGATGTAGCAGTTCTAGACCTTGAGGTGGTTATGCCACCCTAATAAAATTTTATTTTGATCGGCGACCCGTGTATATGCCACGGTCGCTGCTATAGTATTGCATTATATCCTTTACCACCGCTTACAGTAGGTGAACACCAAACACTGTCGGTAGTCGATTGTCAGGGAAGCGGATGTAGCAGTTCTAAACTTTGAGGCTCCGCTCAAAGCATACGGAATCTGGAACTCTGGTGAACGACCGTTGGAGGACGACAAGCGGCAACTTGCGCTGACGTTGGTGACACAAAAAAACGAAAACAAACAAATACACTCCCACAGGCCAGAGGATGACCGCTATTGGGCAGAGGTCAAAGTACTTTCAGTTGTATGTCACAGCAGACAAAGACCCGAAGTCTCCACCCGTGCCTATGGCCATAACACAAGATTGTTTTGACATTGCAAACAACGACGCTTTCAAAGTGGATTATGGCCCAGCACTCAAACACTATCTGCCCTCGCACTCATTAATTTGTTATATATTAGAAATGCATTTCCATTCTGCGCACGACCGCCCTTTCTAGGGGAAAGTTTCACTCAGTTGTAAATGACATAAAAGAGGGGATTTCCTCGACTACTCTGGCCGGGCCTACTCTGATTCAAACCAACGAATACCAAAATCTAATGGCGGCCTCAAAAATTGTTGGGGAGTTTTCTCTGCTCTACTACGCCGCATTCAACTATTTCCTTTCCATCCACAAGCCAACCACTTTCTTTGGACATGCGGTAAGAAAAGCTCACATGCACGAAGGTGAACGTTGCCCTTTCTCGGACTCCCTCTGTGCTGAAAATGTCACAGAAAGAATATCAAGCGCTCGTGATTTCATGGTTATCCAATGGGTGCTTAATGCGGTGGTCCTTTGGTTTCTATTTACCACCGAAAGTGAACTGCCTCACTTTTACGCGTGCAGCGTTCTAACCAAGGCAGGCTTGATTCACTGTCTCGTAGTTGATCCATACAATATTTGGCAATTCAGCAAGTGGGGGAATTCTTTAATAGCACTCATCGACGATGCGGACGACGAGTGCGAAACGATCGAGATGGCTTGAGTTAGAGCAGAAGGCCCAGTTCCATTAGAATAAGCTTCAGCTACATCCGCCCATATCTAAAGAGCGGCTCAAGGATCGCATTTCATTGCCTAGCGAGTTAGTGTGATTATATACCAGATAATTTTGCCTTCTCTACATATGCCCTGCAACAAACGAAGCAAGGCGAAATGCTCTTCTTAGTTCGAAACTAGATTCCGAATACCTGGCTAGTGTGATCGATAGCAATCGTACCCTTCTAGTTTTTCTCTTGTACAACCTGATTCAAAGTGGTACGAAAGTGGTCAAATTATTTCAGCTTCCATCTTCCTACAGCACTACTGTCCAAGTTTCAATTACAGCGCCAGGAGTCATTAAACCTCATCGCTAATTTACATCCCAATCATCCCTCTGCCCTCCTAATATCAACAAAGGCTCATTTTGATGAACTGACATGGCACACATGCATTGCTCGGGCTACCACCATGGCCCTTCAATAATGAAGCAGCCGACCTATCGGTTCTTTTTTGCCCAAAAGAGTAAATTATCCCGACAATTGTCGGTAGTTACCATTTTCCAGCCGTCGACACCGAACCACGTTGCGGGCTCCACGTTAGACCTCGCTTATTGTTTTCGTGAGGTTCACTTTTCCAACCTACCATACACATGTTCGCTACACATGTGTTTCTCGTTGCTGCGCACTACAATTTTGGCGAGGACCCTAGCATGAATCTCACGCCACTGGCAGTAACAACTTTATTAAGTTCAATGTGTAACTTGTAATGTAACCTTTGATTTGTAATTTACCATGCTGTCGTTGCCCCGAGTCACTGTGTGGCCTAACCAGGCAGACTTACGGTTGGTCTTGGCACTTGGCAGATGATTCAACCGTGGTAATGCTGTGGCCTCGTCTACGACGGAATTTAGGAAAATGCGGCATATGACTGGAGGCATGTGGGTCTCGTTTACCAATTCTCCCTCTCATGGTCACATTTTAGTGCCGGACCTCTCGAAATGAGCACCTTTTTCTAAGGTGTATGCAGTGCACAGGATGGGAAGCAGCCATGGCGGAGATTTCGAATTGTACATTCTTGGGCTTGGGTGCATACATAATGAAATTAGTTTCGCTATATCAATCAGTTCGCTATATCAGAGCCCACATGTGTTGGCAAGAGGGGTCCTTGGCCGTGAAATTAAGTGCCAAGAACAGGTCAACTAATTAATTACCACCCGCACTTTCGCTGAGTGGTTGTAATCGTGATGTGGCAGTAGCTTAAGAACGTGTCGCTGGGACTAGAAGACCGCGAAGATATAAAAGGCTGTGGGATAGAAGTAGTTTCAGGTCCCATAATGTTCCCATTGATCATTATATAGTTGCTTATCAGTCGGCAGTAGAGAATAGTCGGTTAGACACTTTATGGCAATGAGTGGTAAAATAATCACGTATGACGCGGAACTCCGCAAGCAGCGGGTCAGCGTTTCTCGCGAGAAACAGCTGATGAACATTTTCATGATCATCGCTGCTGGGTTTGCGTTGATTTCGGATGGTTATCAAAATAATGTAATGTCGATGCTTAACAAGGTGTTTCCCGTCGAATACGGCAAAGAAGCATACAGCGCGACGGTGTCCACGCGTGTGTCTAATGCATCGCTGATAGGTACGATCTTGGGCCAGGTTTGCGTTGGTGTTGCGTGCGACTACATGGGACGCAAGTGGGCGATCCTGGTAGCGACCACGTTGCTGGTAGGGGGTTCTGCTCTTTGTGCAGCCTCTCACGGTAAGACGGTTAATGGCATGTTTTGGATGCTTACTGTGATGCGTGGAGTTACCGGGTTTGGTATTGGCGCTGAATATCCTTGCTGCTCGGTCAGCGCCAACGAGGCCGCAAATGAACACAGCGAAAAGAGAAGAGGCGGAATCATGGTCTTGGTTACAAACCTACCTTTATCTCTCGGCGGGCCTTTCGCCAACATAATTTTCCTCATTGTGTACTCCATCTGCGGCAAGGATCACCTGCCTGCACTGTGGAGAACCATGTTCGCGTTAGGGTGTTTGTGGCCCTTGAGTGTGTTTTACTTCCGTTGGAGGACCAGCACCAGCACCCTCTACAGAAAAGGTCAATTCAAGTCCAGGATTCCTTACTGGCTGATTGCCAAGTACAGCTGGAGTCGGCTGCTCGGAACTTGCTTCGTTTGGTTCTGCTACGACTTCGTCGCGTTCAGCAACGGGCTATTCAGTGCTACCATCATCGGCTTGGTTATCAAAGACAGCAGCAACATCAAGACGGTTGCCGAGTGGAATCTGTTACTAGGTATCATTGCGGTTCCAGGTGTATTTGTTGGCGCGTACCTATGCGATCGCATTGGGCGTAAATACACTCTAATGTTCGGATTTGGTGGCTACCTCATTTTCGGGCTGATTATCGGATGTGCTTGGGACAAGATTCACAAAATCACCGGTTTATTCATCGTATTCTATGGTCTAATGAACGGACTTGCAAATGCCGGACCCGGTGACATGCTGGGACTGACGTCTAGCGAAAGTTTCCCAACCGCAATCCGGGGAACATGTTACGGCTTATCTGCAGCCATCGGTAAGGTGGGTGCTGTTGTCGGTGTGTACTGCTTCAACCCGATCCACCAGAACCTCGGAATTAGGTGGGTTTTCATTATCGCAGCTATCTGTGGCTTGGCTGGTATACTAGCCACCTGGGTCTTGATTCCACACTGCAGAGAAGATGATCTCATGGAACAAGACATCGATTTCCACAATTTCCTCGTCAAGAACGGTTGGACCGGCACTATGGGTATGGATATCGAGGATTCTGATTCCGAGAGAAGAGGATCAGATTCGAGCGCCTCTGACACTCTCAAGAAAGATCCTACTATGGAGGTTGTCATCCGTGAAATTACCGCTTGAGGTGTGCCATTGTCTGTGGAAGCCGTACAAGAACCCCATAATAATAAATACTGTTTTCTGATAGATTTAGGTTAGAATAGCTATTCAAGACTTTAGATTCTGTTTCAAATCTTCTCGTGCTGCGTGCAAATTTCCAATACCTTGAACCAATGATTTCCAAACTCGAGTGTTTGTAAGTTCCTTGTTGTCCATAACCCTAATAACTAGCAACTAAAAACTTGCTAGATGCATCTATTTGAAGGACATGGGCGGATTCAGCTGGGGCTTGCTTTTGAAAGAGCCTATTGTTCCGATCGACCAACTATCACAGCTTGCAGTTCATTGAATCACAGATGAATTGGTGCTGACATCTCTTTCCCAAAATGGTAAAGTAACACGTGATAGATTTGTATTCCTAGTCTATGGACTTTTGGTGCTGAAAAAATAATCAAAATTCGGATATAGTGCAGTGTACTCGATACCTATAGTTTTGAACTTCAAGGCTATTAAGTCATCAATTGAGCACTTTGGTCACTTCGAGACCAGCCTGGCTCTCTTTTAAATCTCCCCTTTATTGAGAGAAGTGAACTTTACGACATCATTCACTCTTTTGCCCTTTCAAAATGAGCCATATGGAACGCATTGATGGGTTGGCGTCAAGGCTAAAGGATGGCGCTGACATCGCTCAAAATCTCTCAACAGTATCAGAGATATGCGACATTATTGAGCCCATAGGATCTACGGCGGAATACGAACACTTTTTGAAAACAATCTTGACAGTATTGGTGGAACTTTTGAAATCAACGCCAATGTCGCTCGATGGTGGTTCCTCCCAACACAAACTCAGAAACTCAGTTTTGGAGGTTCTCAATAGATGTAATATGAATGAAGTATTCGAACCATATGCATTGGACTATCTGGATACGATACTGGCCGTCCTGAAGGACGACAGTGAGGATAACGGGGTCTTGGCGATGAAAATAATTACCGGGTTTTTCAAAGCGTACAAAGGTGCATTACAGGAGCGCGTTACTGACTTCATAGATATTATTATGAAGATATACGAGCATATGCCGGAACTCGTGCGCCAGACATTCAATGACGAACTCCATAGAGAGAACTCAGTTGTTTCCGTGGAATCCACATCTATGTTGAGGTCTGGAGGCCTGGAAACTAACAACGAAGACCCAAAAACCAGCGACTCCTTAGCGGCTACCCCCAGTCCCTTGAAGCAGTCCATGTTTTCATTCAAGGTATTGTCAGAATGTCCAATCACAATGGTCACATTGTATTCATCTTACAAGCAGCTGACAACGATGTCACTTCCTCAATTCATTCCATTGATCATCGAGCTTCTTACCATGGAGGCCGACGCACAGAAAAGGACTCGAGAAGAGGCGGAGTCACAAGGTAAGAGGTGGATAAACGTTAGCCCCGATATCAAGGATCGCACAGCCTACTGCGATCTCATTTTGTCTCAGATTAAGGCAACCTCTTTTCTTGCGTATGTTTTCATTAGGGGCTACGCTGCCGAATATCTAAAGAATTATGTGGGTTTCGTACCTGATCTAATTCTAAGACTTTTACAAGATTGCCCTGCAGAGCTTTCAGCAGCAAGAAAAGAACTACTTCACGCCACCAGACATATACTATCCACAAGCTACAAAAAACTGTTTTTGTCGAAAATCAATCTCTTGTTTGATGAAAAAGTTCTCATAGGAAACGGGTTCACGTCGCGCGAGACTCTACGACCACTGGCTTACAGCACTGTGGCAGATTTTGTACACAATGTGCGAGCGGACTTGCAACTCGATGACATCGAAAAAACAATAAAGATGTACACCAACTTCCTCCTCGACGAAAGTTTAGCATTAACTGTCCAAATAATGAGTGCTAAATTACTGCTGAATTTAGTAGAACGTATTTTGAAGCTGGGGAAGGAAAACTCCAACGATTCGGTGAGATCAAAAAAACTACTTATCGTGATAATAGACGCCTACACTTCACGCTTCAGTAAGCTGAACCGCCAATATGATAACTTAATGAGACATCACGAAGAATATGAAAAAGAAAGAGCCTCTAAGACTGAAGCCGTCAGAGAACAACTAGAAAATAATAACAAGGACACCGAAGAATTCCTTGATAGGATGTTGAAGGTTCAAACACCTGCAGCGCTTGATAGGGATTCTGAAGGTGACATCAAGATGAGTGACGCTTCTGAAGAAGAACAATCGAAGATAGTTCTCAATGAAAACCACAGCTCCTCAAAGGAACAAACTATTGACGTTTTTGATATAAAAATTAAGAGCCCCATTATACTTTCTCCGCCTGCAACCAGCGATCCTTTAAAAGACGCATTCTACCTTTACCGGACACTCATGTCTTTTTTGAAGACTATCATACACGATCTCAAAGTTTTCAATCCACCATCTACCGAATATACCACTATGAACCCTAAGGTTTGGACTTCATTATCGAGAATATTTTCTCACGAGGAGGTGGTTGTTTTCAAAAGGTTATTTCATGAATGCATAGTTGGATTGCAATTCTTCTCTAGCCCCGAGCGGAAGGCTATTATTGAGAAGAAACATTTTGATATTGCAGCTCCTAGCCTACCAGTGTCAGCCACAAAAGATGGACGGGAGTTAATGGACTATTTTGCTATCATGTTCATGCAAATTGACAGTCCAACATTTAATGACATTGTAGAATCAAAAATCGAGTTTCTTTACGAGGCTATGTTGCGTGATTCAGCGTTACTTCACGTCGCCCAGTCGTTTTTAACAAGTGAGATAACTTCTCCGAAGTTCACAGGTATTTTGTTAAGGTTCCTGAGGCAAAAATTGAGCTCATTAGGAAATGTCGACGGAAACAAGTCCAATATCCTCATTCGATTGTTTAAGCTTTCATTCATGTCTGTCAATCTATTTCCAGTAACGAATGAGATTGTTCTTCTGCCGCATCTCAATAATCTGATCCTAGACTCCTTAAAGTATTCTACCACTACAGAGGAACCCCTAGTTTACCTCTATTTGATTAGAACACTGTTCAGAAGTATTGGAGGCGGACGGTTTGAAAATCTCTACCGATCTATCAAACCGATTCTACAAGTGCTTCTCAGATCTCTTAACGGCATGATCTTAACCGCGCGCCGTCCCCACGAAAGGGATTTATACGTTGAACTGTGTTTAACTGTGCCAGTACGTTTGAGTGTGCTTGCACCTTACCTAAGTTACCTCATGAAACCGTTGGTGTATGCCCTACAGGGCTTCCCTGAACTAGTTACCCAAGGGCTTAGGACCTTAGAACTTTGTATCGACAACCTAACTGCTGAATACTTTGATCCAATCATCGAACCGGTGGTTGAGGATGTCATAAACTCTCTGTTCAAACTCCTGAAGCCGCAACCTTTTAATCACCAGATCAGTCATACTGCTGTAAGAATTTTGGGAAAGTTGGGTGGCAGAAATAGACGCTTCTTAAAAAACCACTCGGACCTTAGAAGTGCTGACGAGCTGGACATTCCAGTCAATGCCTTATTTAAAGTCCACGGCATGAACCAAGAGGTGCCACTTTCAATTACTCCGGGTGTACGCTCAGCTCTGGAAATCTTAGAAGACTATCGCTGCGATCTGTTCTACAAAAAGAGCGCATTCCGGTATCTGAAGTCCATTCTTCAATTGTTCCTCAAGTCTTCCCTGGTATTTCCTGAAAATTATGAGAAGTGGATCCAAAGTGCTCTGCACGTTTTAGCTCAAGAGAAATTCGATAGCCTAGAATCCACGGATATCAACGAAGGCAAGATTCGTGATCGCCGTCTTCTACATAGTCAGGAGCAGTTATTAAAGAAGCTTCTGGAATCACTGATATTTTCAGCTTCTATCCCAGAATTACGAGACGAGGCCAGCGATCTTCTACAGAATGTCATCAACCACTTCTGCTTCTTGCAGCTCAATGATTCGTTGAATAAAAAACGAGCAGAGAATAAGTCTTTCAGTATCAACATGAAACTTTTCAAGGTCACAATTGATGTCAACATTTTGGCAGATGCCATTTTGACTTTCCTTGCTTCTTACTTAGAAGAATCCCGCAATATGGCAGTCAGAGCAGTTAAGCAGATAATTGATACCAGCAACAAGTTATACGGACCGGAATTAGCACTCCATTATTCGTTCATTCCTATTCTCACTAAAAAGTTTATTCACAAATGCTACGATGAAGCACATTTCGAGAAGAACAGTGGTGTTTTGGGGATTAAAACTTTGATTGAGGAAGAAATGATCCGTGTGGAATATTTGAAAAGCTCACAGTTTGAGCTAATTGCAGGTCTACTTTTTGTTTTAATTGATACACCTCCAGAAGCCCCAGGTATTATCCGAGAGCGTGCGGAGTCTCTAATAATGATAATTTTGTCTAGGACCTGTAAGGACATCGATGAAGAAGATTTGAAAACCAAAGGTCTACAAAATACACTCATCGATATTGTATGCGAGTTAAGCAATTCTAAGGAAGTGGTTCGAAGCACCTGCCAAAAGGCATTGAAGGTAATTTCTGAAATCTCAGGTATACCCATTGTCAAGTTGATGGAACACTCTAAAAATTTCTTACTATCACCAATTTTTGCCAAACCATTGAGAGCTCTACCCTTTCCTATGCAAATAGGTAACGTGGATGCGATAATATACTGCTTAGAGCTGCCAAACACCTTCCTCGAGTTTAACGAAGAGCTTTACAGACTCCTACATGAGGCAATAGCTCTCGTAGATGCAGAAGACGAGTCGCTGGCAAGCGCCCAACGAGTCACGGAGTACCAGACTGCAGAGCAGCTAATTCAATTAAGAGTTGTGTGCATTAGGCTTCTCTCCCTCGCTCTAAAAAACGGAGATTTTGCTTCTGCGCAGCAGGGTGCCACTCGTATCAGGGTGCTGGCAGTTTTCTTCAAAACTATGCTCAAAACCCAACCAGAAATCATTGAAGCAACATACCAGGGGCTTAAGAGTGTACTGGCAGAGAATTCTAAGCTCCCCAAAGAGCTCTTGCAGAATGGTCTCAAACCTATGTTGATGAATTTATCCGACCATCAAAAATTGACCGTTTCGGGGCTTGAAGCACTGGCCAAGTTGTTAGAGCTACTGATTGCTTACTTCAAGGTCGAAATCGGGAAAAAACTACTAGATCACTTAGATGCTTGGTGTAGAGTGGAGGTTTTGGATATGCTGTTTGGAAAGGATTTAAAGGAACAAACTCCGACCAAGATAATCTATGGAATAATTAACATCTTTCACCTCTTACCTCCTCAGGCGGACATTTTTCTGAACGACCTCCTCTTGAAAGTGATGCTAGTTGAAAAAAAGTTAAGGCTTCAACTTGATTCACCTTTCCGCATTCCCATGGCCAAGTATTTAAACCGGTTTCATGTTTCTGCTATCTCATATTTCAAAAATAACTTGGGGTCGAGAGATTTGGTACTGTTAATGTGCTCTATTATCAGAAGGCCGGAAGCAGTTGACCTAAAGAATGCCTTCAGAGAAGAGTTCACCAATTTTTACGATTATTACATGACAGGAATATCATCAAACAAGGTTAGAGTTGTCAGTTTTTTCGCAAACGTGGCTGAAATTTTTGATTCTCTCGTACAAGTTGAAGGAGCCAAGTGGTTGCAACAAAGCGGTCCTACATTGGCAAAGGTGCGATCTTTGCTAAAACTTGCCGTTGATACCGTTCAAGAGGGTCATTTTCATTTCGATTCACTCCAACTTTCGCAGGCGTCCGAGAAGATTCAGAACTTATATGTGAAGTACTTGGAACTAAATGTTGATAATCCTAGTTTGCTCTTTGAGCACCTGGAATTCATGTTTGCAGCAAACATTGACCTCTCGGAATCTCTTGCAGGCTTCCTCGAAAAATGCGTGATAACATCTCCTGACGTAGACAGGACGAAGGCCTTTCTTCAGCAAGCTTTCCTTTTTTCCACTAGTGACAAGCCTCTGTCCGCTAGTGTCTTTGTTTTGAAGAATATTGTCAACAGCACACTTGTGTACGAAGGCTTGTCCAGGGGCTCTTTGAACAGACTAACTGATGGTGAGGGTGAGAATTTGCCTGAATGGATGAACATAATGTACTCTAGAATTTGGAAGGGGTCTAATGAGGTTTTAGAAAGCTATGCGGCCGGAGAATATGACTCGTTCCGCTTCGAGATTTTGCAGCTGTCATCGATTTTTACCGAGTACGCCCCGGAACTAAATTCTGAGATAAGGAAGGATATTATTCGTTTTTGCTGGAATTTCATAAAACTCGAAGATCCGTTACTGAAGCAAGGGGCATACATGGTCACGGCCTATTTTATTGCCAAATACGATTTTCCGATCAAAGTAGTTACCCAAGTATTTGTGGCGTTGTTACGAACTACACAGGTGGAATCTCGCTTTATGGTGAAACGTTCACTCGATCTCCTTGCCCCTGTTATGCATGAAAAAATGGCCGCTGCCGAATCACCCAAGTCATGGGTCAACTGGGTAAGGAGGGTACTTTCCGAGAATAATGCAAGCCAGAATAGCACATTATTTCAACTTTTGATCAGCCACCCCAATGAATTTTTTGACTCGCGAGAGCTTTTTATCCCGAGTATCATTAATTACATTGGAAAACTTACACTTTTAGTTAACCCAAGCTTGGAAAACCAAGCGCTGGCTATTGATTTGGCAGAACTAATTTTGATCTGGGAGAAAAAGGCAAGGAATATCAAATTAGACAGCGGTATTTCAGTAAAACAAGAAAATGGTGTGGATACCAAAGATGATGGGCAGGCTATATCACCCATTTTGAAAGAAGCCTTTGTCACTTGTCTCATAAGATATGTTTGTGTGAGTAATCACAGAGCATCTGAAACTGAGTTAGGATCAAGGACGTTGCACATCCTTTCGGAAATACTCTCAGAAAACTCCTGGCCGGATGTAAGTGTCAAACTGAGTTACTTCGAGAAGTTTTTGGTACAACAAGACTTGACTCCGTCAAATATCTCATTCTATTGCATGAACGCGCTAGACGTGCTAGGGATAATTCTTCGCAATAAGAATCCCTCTTGGATTGTGTCGAACTTAACTTCTCTACAGACATTGCTAGACAAGTGCATGCGCACAGATCATCGAGATATTCAAGAGATTTTACAAATCGTTCTCGGGACGATTCTAGCCGCTACGAAATCGGATAGCGACATAAATCTTGATTCTGATGTAGAAACTCCTGGTCGCATACTGTTAGATACATTGGTTTCGATAATTACTGAAGACCTTCAAGGTACTTCATCTGTAGCGGCAGGTGTGATGTTGGCTTGGAGCTTGTTTATGCATTTCCCTCAGCATCTCGATCCGCTCTTGCCTTCCATGATGAAAACCTTCAGCAAACTATGCAAAGACCATTTGGCCACATCACAACCCAAAGATCCCGCTGCAGCAGAAGAGTCAAGGGTTACCACAAAGCTATTAGAGAAGGTTCTTTATCTTTTGTCTATGAAGGTAGCTTCTTTGGGTGATGCACGCCGTCCCTTTTTGTCTACTGTGGCATTACTCATTGATCGATCCATGAACCAGCAATTTCTAAGAAAAGTGATCACAATAGCCAGAACATGGGTCTTTAACAATGAAATTTTTCCCACAGTGAAAGAAAAGGCCGCCATTTTGACTAAGATGCTTGCATTCGATGTCAGAGGTGAGCCAAAGCTTTCCCGGCAGTTTTATGAAATCATTCTTGAACTGTTCGAAAATAAAAACTTCAATAACAGTGAAATCACAGTCAGAATGGAACAGCCATTTTTAGTTGGAACCCGCAACAGCGACATTCACATCCGCAAGAGGCTAATGGCAATCCTTGATGACAGCTTAGAGAAAGATATCAGGGAGAGATTATACTATGTCATTAGGGATCAGAACTGGGAATTCATTGCAGATTATCCTTGGCTTAACCAAGCTCTTCAACTTCTTTATGGGGCTTTTGATAAGGAGCACTCTTTGAATTTGTGTGACGTCTACCAGCTTAACTCTTTAGATGCCCTCACCGAAAACTTTACAATTGACAGTGAAAGCGAACTAGTACAAGTTGGCGAAGATTTGTCCAGTCTTATTGAGAGACATGCGTCATTTGCAGAGAAGTTCAGCAGAGTCTCCTGCGTTGACTTACTGGAGCCATTGGTGGACATTTTTTACCAGAGTCCCGAAGCCATCCATGCAACATGGATTAATGTCTTTGGCGCTGCCTACAAGTCGATTCCCAAGAATGAAAAGTTCGGTTTCGCAAGGTCATTAGTGACTCTACTCTCAAAGGATTATCATGCAAGACAACTTAACGTCAGGTCGAACGTTGTAAGCACGCTTTTAGACTCGATCAGCGAAATTGACTCGTTAGAGCTTCCACCCCATCTGATCAAGTATGTTGCCAGTTCTTATAACTCTTGGTATCAATCTATCAAGCTTCTTGAATCTCTGGAAGAAAGGGCATCTCTAGAAAACGCAAAAATTATTGAAACAAATGAAGATGCATTGCTGGAGCTATACGTCAATCTACAGGAGGAAGATATGTTTTACGGTCTATGGAGGCGGAGGGCAAAGTATACCGAGACTAATATTGCGCTGTCGTTTGAGCAGGTAGGTTTATGGGATAAAGCTCAACAATTGTATGAAGCAGCCCAAGTGAAGGCGAGGAGTGGTGCCTTGCCGTACTCAGATTCAGAGTACTCTGCATGGGAGGACAATTGGATTATGTGTGCCGAGAAGCTTCAACATTGGGACGTTTTGACAGAATTAGCAAAACATGAAGGCTTTACAGATCTATTGCTAGAATGTGGTTGGAGGGTTGCCGATTGGAGTGCTGATAGAGAAGCTTTGGAACAATCAGTCAAAAGTGTAATGGACGTGCCTACCCCTAGAAGACAAATTTTTGAAACCTTTTTAGCGCTACAGAATTTCGCTGAAACCAAGAAAGGTGATCAAGAAGTAAGAAGACTTTGCGACGAAGGTATTCAGTTGTCATTGCACAAGTGGGCATCGATGCCAGCTCGATTTACTCCGGCTCATAAGTTTCTGTTGCATGGCTTTCAGCAATATATGGAATTTCTTGAGGCAACTCAGGTATATGCAAACCTCGCTTCAACGACAGTACAAAATTTGGATTCAAAGGCACAAGAAGTTAAACGTGTATTACAAACATGGAGAGACCGTCTTCCTAACATATGGGACGACATAAATATGTGGAATGACCTAATAACTTGGCGTCAGCATGCTTTCCAGGTTATAAATAACGCTTATCTGCCACTGGTACCAGCGTTACAACAAGCCAGTGGAAACAACAATGTCAATACGCACGCCTACAGAGGCTATCATGAGATTGCTTGGGTCATCAACAGATTTGCGCATGTGGCAAGAAAACATAACATGCCAGATGTGTGCATTAGTCAGTTGGCTCGCATATACACTTTGCCTAATATTGAGATTCAGGAAGCATTTTTGAAGTTAAGAGAGCAAGCTAAATGTCATTATCAGAACATGAATGAGTTGACTACTGGCTTAGATGTCATTAGCAACACCAACTTGGTTTACTTCGGTACTGTTCAAAAGGCTGAGTTCTTTACTTTGAAGGGAATGTTCTTATCCAAACTGCGTGCACACGACGAAGCAAATCAAGCATTTGCAACGGCTGTGCAGATAGATTTGAATTTGGCTAAAGCATGGGCCCAATGGGGTTTCTTCAACGACCGCCGCTTGTCCGAAGAGCCTCAAAATATAAGCTTCGCAAACAATGCTATTAGTTGTTATCTGCAAGCTGCAGGTTTGTATAACAACTCCAAGACCAGGAAGTTGTTATGTCGAATTTTATGGCTCATCGGTATCGACGATAGCACTGGCACGCTATCAAGCGCGTTTGAATCTTTCAGAGGAGAGATCCCTGTTTGGTATTGGATCACTTTCATCCCACAGCTTCTCACATCATTATCCCACAAAGAAGCTAACATGGTTCGTCAAATACTAATCAGGATCGCCAAAAGCTATCCACAAGCATTACACTTTCAACTCAGAACTACGAAGGAAGATTTTGCCGTGATTCAACGTCAGACGTTGGCTGCCACGGGCGGTTCTCGCCCTGCAAACGCTAAAGCTGCAACACCGTCAAATGGCACTAGACAGCCGTGGGAGTATTTGGATGAGCTCAACGGCATATTAAAAACTGCTTATCCTCTACTCGCCCTTTCATTGGAATCACTAGTTGATCAGATAAATCAAAAATTCAAGACAACATCAGACGAAGACCTCTTTAGGTTAATCAATGTGTTGCTCATTGACGGTACCTACAATTACAACCGCCTTTCTTTGCCTAGAGAAAATCTGCTACTGCCAGCAAGCACTGAAATGAACCTAGTCAGGTTTTCAGAAAACCTTTTACCTCCTCATATTAGAGTGAAATTCAATGCTGACTTTATAGACAGCAAGCCCAACTTTGAAGAGTATATCAAAAGATTGAGATACTGGAGAAATCGCTTAGAAAATAAGCTAGACAGAGCACCAAAGAAAGAGAATATGGAAAAGTGGTGTCCACATCTGAGTAACTTCCACCACCAAAAGTTCGAAGACATTGAAATTCCGGGCCAGTACCTACTTAACAAGGATAGCAATGCACACTTTGTTAAGATTGCCCGCTTTTTGCCATACGTTGATTTCGTGCGGGGTACGCACTCTTCTTATAGGCGTTTAACAATCCGCGGTCACGATGGTAGTCTACATTCGTTTGCAGTGCAATATCCAGCTGTTAGGCATTCACGGCGTGAGGAACGCATGTTCCAGCTCTTTAGACTCCTAAATGAAACTCTGTCTAAAAACGTACAGGCTCGGCGCAGAAACATTCAATTCACACTACCCATCGCAATTCCGCTCTCCCCTCAAGTTCGAATTATGAACGACAGCTCAACTGTTACGACCATGCACAACCTTTATGACAATTACTGTGATAAGAAAGATATGGACAGGAGCGCAATTCAAGACTTTGTATGCCAGCAGCTGGATGCAGCTTATGACAAAATTCTTCCTCCGCCAGATATCACGGCAGTCAAAGTGGAGATATTTAGCTCCGTCCAGTCAATGTTTTTACCTTCCACTGTGATGAAAGACTATTTCACTAATATCTTCACGCAGTTTGAAGACTTCTGGCTGTTCCGAAAGCAGTTCTCCTCTCAGTACGCGCTGTTTGCCTTTATGACATATATGCTGGCTATTAACAACCGATCTCCCCATAAAATATCCATTGATCAAGTTTCTGGTGACGTTTTCACATTAGAAATGCTACCTGCAAGGTACCCATATGAAAGAGTTAAACAAACAGTCAAGAATTTCGAGGCCAACATTCCACCTGATGCTCCAATTTTCCACAACAATGAAGCTGTTCCGTTCAGACTAACTCCCAATCTCCAGAAGCTGATTGGTGAATCAGGTCTTGAGGGTATATTATCTGTGAATATGTTTGTGGTGGCTAGGGCATTACTTGATCCAGAAAATGAGCTAAATACTTACCTATCCCTCTTCATTCGCGACGAGGTGATATCTTGGTATAGTAACCTACACCGTTCAATTGTTGAAGACCCTCAGCTACGTGAAATTGTCCGCACTAATGTCGATCTCATTACAAGAAAAACAGCCCAGCTAGGACATTTGAGTTCCAAACCATCCGTTGCTACGCAATACGTTTTAGATGCGATAAGTGCGGCAGTGAGCCCAAGAAATTTGGCTAAGATGGATCAGAGCTTCATGCCATATTTCTGAGAGCGAACCTTTCATAGAAAATATGTAGCTGATTTGAAGAACAAGAATTAAATTGAAGTATTGTACGCTTTTTAAGGAGATTCGCCACCAACGGGGACCAACTCATTGATGGTGTTTCTACAGTAAGTCGTTCTAGTTATTCGTTTTGTAACTGTCATTTGTGAGGCTCAAAACCCACGCTAAACAATGCAAGATTTGCACTCAGACCCGCAAGAACGGATGCCCTGATGATTCGATTCGTCACTACATCCTGACGCTCCATCTAAGGATAAGGTAGAAAAGGGAGATGAGCATAACCACGGTACAATATCAGCATTGCTGTTAAGAGTAGAAAGCCTGACGTTAAGATGAAGATAAACTCACTCCAAACAAATTTCGCCCATGACCGATACAAACACAAATGATAAAATGGAGCACAGAACAAACAATGGAAGTATGTCAAATAGGCAGCGAAATAAAAAAGAGTCCTTTTGTGGCGTTCCCATAAGGCGGACTTAATTAAGATGGTAAGCAGATGAAACATAAAGTCATCGATGAAAAAATAGCCCAGTGTTACCATGATCCTCTTTGACCATAACTTCTATTACTTTTAGTGGGTTTTATGCTTTTATGTGAAAGATCAGGACATAACGTTGCATCAGTTTTCCTGACATAATGACTATGCTTTTCAGTGGAAATTTTCCGCGACCTGGTCGTCAGAAAACAACTCGGAACTAGCTGGTAAACGTTGAAGTAAGAGTGAAATGTGGAGCCGACATAGCTAAGATTTGATTAGCTCGGACATTGTATGGCCCTTAAGCGGTTGGTGTCAGCCAGTCGTATAGTTTTCTCTCGAATGTCGTAAAGGGATCTTTGGCGGGTGTCACACCATCGCAAACCCACACACCGTGACTACCCATCAAATTGGCCATTAGAATATCTGTGAACAGCCTGTCTCCCACAACAGCGATTTCCTTCGGGTTCGTAGTTATCTGGTGCAAGGCAAAATACTCAAGGATTTCTTCACGACAACCAGGTTTTTTCACTCGATGGTGTAATACTGGCACACCCACATTTGCCTCAAGAATCTTAGCTTCCTTCCCGTCTGTATCATCGCTACTTCCTGCACTGTTGCTCACAATGAGCAAAGAAGCACCAGGATAGGTTTCTTTTAGCTTTACCCAAGTTTTCTGTCACCGCCGTCATAGCGTTAGTATGTCTATCTACAACAAACTTGGAGTGGTGATCAACGTGCACATACCTCATACTCGGGCCATACCTCATTGGTATGAGGGTACGCGAAGCAATTGTCCTTGTCAAGCACGACCGCCTTAATGGACGGGGAGATTGGTACAGGAAGTTGGCCAAAGTTAGAAATCTTGGTTTGTGGAATACATAAGTTGGGATTGACAAAAAGACGCAATGTATTTATAGCGGCACTGAAATTCATTGGTAGCCGTCCTCCTGTATCCTGTCCCGTTATCCACGGTATGCTCGCATCCATCAATGTGTCAAACAAAAGATCGTAGGTCCATGTTCAAGAGAGCGTTACGTACGATATTGGCCAGACAGTTGCTGGTTTCCGCGAATTCATGCTCAGCGTACGGTCGATAAATCGCTGCTGGGGACCTCAAACTACCGAAGGATTCGATAGAAAGATATTCAAGTAATCTCAGTCCCGAAGCACGCATTCAAATATATTGTTCAAGCTAAACCTCTCTCAAATCCTCCTATGGCAGACGATTTGCCTGCATATAATGCCCCTCCCAAACACACAGTTATCATTCACTGATGCCTTGGACTGCACCTTGAACTGCACCCTCATTCTCCTCGCAAAATATTATCAGAACCAAAAGTATGGATCCTTATATTATTTGCGCGGACTCTCGCGTATCTCGTCAACACTGTGGACACAGCAAACCTCAAGTGTGTATCCTGAACCCAGCCATAGATCTTACTGCTTTTATATATACTCTAACTCTTATACATCGAATACTATAACTATCATAATAAAGACATCTTTGCCGAGCTAGAACAAAAGTGGTGAGCAAGAGAGAGAGTCCCGGTACGGGGCTCCTCCCTTTTTATACTTTTTGCCCCCCCACTTTCCCCCTCAATTATTCCCTAATATTCGCAAGCAATCCGAATATACCCCTTACCACACACTCCTCCCCTTTTCGAGCTACAGGAAGACTGGTAGAGAGACTTGAAAGATGCAGAATGCTCGTCGAACAGCTTCATCGGATGGATACTGTACGCGAAGATGTCATGTCCTTTAAGCTCTTCGATTTCTTGAGATCTATATGAGTTCAGACACGATCACCGTTGGAGCATTGAATTAGCCGCCGAGCTAAAGATGTGCTTTCTGAGTCCAGTTTTCTTCAGCGAGCTTCACACGAGTCGAGGCTAAGACGTTGGAGATGGCATGAACCGCAGTCCTAGGGGATCCTAATTCAAGTGGTATCTACAGATGGTTCAACAACCTAAGTGGGATGTTGGATCTGGAATATACTGCTCGTCTGATGCGATACATCGCTGATCCGATCAAGCAGAGTTCATTCCTTAGAGAAAAGCTGCTAATTCCATCTGCACATTGTTATAGTTTAGCGGCTTCTCTTAGTTGGGTAGAAGTTCAAAAAAGTAGAGCAGAGGGCAGAAGTCTAGGTAATATGTAATAGTTTTCGACCGTGCTAGCCATAACGTGGGAGTCTTCTAAGGCCAGACCGTTCGAAAGACTAGGAGGAATTATTGAAAGTCCTGCCGGGTTTAATTGATGTGGAATCACTAGTCGAGCTAGCGATGGTGACTCTCAGCATCACTAATCGATGTTCTCGAGAATACAAGCGGAAATGGACTGGTCACTAGGTCATTAGGTACGCACTTGGATCGGCCGATGCGAAGTAAATTGGCAGTTGAAAAGTGTGTATTATATTAAAGCAAGTTTACCAGTCAGATGTACCGCTGGATATAGGGCTCTAGAAATCTTCTGTATACTGAGAAGACATTTGTGATGTCTGACACAACTAGAGGTCAACCGAAACGCAATTTTAGGCGAACTCAAGGGCCTGTGGATGCTGTGAGAAAGAGTGATGCTAAAAGTGATGGGGAAGCTGGAAAACGTACTGGTAATAAGGTGGACACCAGCTCAGGCGGAGACAATGTGTGTCTGATTTGTGCCGAGAACATAAGGTATGTTGCTGTTCCCCCGTGTAACCATGTGGTCTGCCATACCTGTGCCTTCAGACAGCGTGCTCTTTACGGAAAGAAATCGTGCCTGGTGTGTAGGACGGAAGCAGAAAACGTGGTCTTTTGCCGAGATCAGGATGCTAGTTATGAATCCTTTGATGGGAAACAGTTTGCTCAGGTTGATGATAAGTTTGGTATTTCTTTCACTGTGGTGGAGATAGCCGATGCAACTTTGAGTCTTCTTAAACACACTTGTCCGTTTGGTGATGAGGGAGATTCTGATTTGGGAAGCTACAAAAAGTATAATACACATTTAAAGGATAAACATGGGAAAACACTGTGTATGATTTGTGCCTCGCATAAAAAGGCCTTCCCACGGGAACTTCCAGTATTTACACCTAACCAGTTGCGCCTGCACCAAGCAAAAGGAGACTCAAAAGGGTTTTCAGGTCATCCTATGTGCAAATACTGTTCAGGCCAGCGGTTTTACTCTGGGGACGAACTAAGTGTTCACATGAGAGACAAACACGAAAGATGTCACATTTGCGATCGCATAGACCCAGCGAATCCGCAATATTTTAAGAATTATGAACAACTTTTTGACCACTTCAAGGATGCTCATTACATCTGTACAGCTCAAACTTGTTTGGATAACAAGTTTGTGGTCTTCCAAGACGAATTGGACTTACAGGCGCATATTCTGAAGGAACATGGAAGTATTCTTCGCACCTCTAACAATTCGTTGCCCGCAAATAGTGGTAGAAAGTATCAATCACGGCTGTCAACATTCACTCAACCGACCTCAAGAAACTCAAGCTCACAAAGGCTAGATCAAAACAAGAAAGGTGCTGACGAAAACCCTGAAGATACTCTTGAAATGAAAACTAAACGAATGCATGAAAGAGCAAGACACTACCTGAAATACTCACATGCCGATTATGAGCAATTTTTGGCAATCAATGAAGGCTACAAAAATCGGTTGATGACAGCTCAAGACCTTTTTACAGCCTACCAAAATCTATTCAAAAACCCTGAGGCGAACACAACCCTTCTCCTGTATGATTTCTCTGAGTTATTCTTCAAAAACTCTCAGCAGCATAAAGATCTGCGTCTTATCTATGATAGCGAGCAAGAGAAACAGGACCGTCAGAATAAATTTCCATCATTGAGTTCTTCTAGCATGCTAGCAGGAAATGTCATCGGTGGATCTTGGGGGAAAAGCAGCGGCTCTGCTAAGCCTGCAGCACGCCAATATAACTTCCCAACACTCAAGAAACCAACTAATTCACAACCTGTATTGAGGCCACAGCCGGTTTCTTATAGCAAGTCAAAGACCATCTCGTCACCTCCTAGCCCTGCCCCAACGATAAAGAAATCGCAATCCATGGATAAAAGTGAGTACAAACCTACCTATCTTGATAGCAAAGTTTCAACATCTCAATCCACTCCATCTCTGAATAGGTCAAAGTTCCCGCCATTGCCCAAACCTCAGGAAAAGAGGTTTCGAGCACCATTGGTCAATGAGCCTAACATTCCAGATCCATCCCAATGGAGCAAAGCCCCGCAAGGAGCTCAACAGTCAAGTGAAGACTTTATTCCCCTTTCTAATGGAAAAAAGAAGGGCAAACAGAAACAGTTATTGTTTCATATCGGCATTTAATAATTAGATAGAAATACATAGAGGAAAACTCAATCCTCACGTCGATAGATACGCACGTCTAGCGGAGGCCTATCGTATAGGTAAAATGCTGTTGGCCGGGCACCTCTGGCGGCACAGCGGGCACTCAGACCTCTCTTTGCACCAGTTCAAAATACACGACCAACAAAAGACATGTCCACATGGTGCACAGCTTGGATCTTTCATCCACTCCAAACATAGAATACATTTTCTTGATTCATCTTTCATGAACTGCAACTCCTGAGGATTCTTTAATGAAATGTGACCGACTTGATCATTAGTGAGTGTCTCCATCAGTAATAAGGGTTTGGCAGCCTGCCAATCTGTCCCGGATTTTTGTGTGGCCTTGCCGCCGTTTTTAGATAACCATCGCAGGAGTGGGGGTAAACTTCTGGACAATGTCTGAATCAGAAAAAAAAACCCTAGTACTCTATAAGTTCTGAAGCTTGACTTTCTATAGTTCACCTCTGCTTCGTCTACTTGGTGGCAAACGGAATATCGCAGTCCGAAGACTCGTTTAGAAATATCGTAGAATGAACCCTTGAAGTAAAACAGCATTAGATTTAAATCCACCAACGAGTCCAAAATTTTCTGAGGAATCTGTTCCTTCATAGCCATTTGAATGAATGATTGGGTTCGATTTCTCAGAAATTTGCCCTCTTTTTCAATCTTATTCGCACGATACTCATCTGTTGCTTCCTCGTCAGCTTCGGTATCCGTCGCATCATAATATTTGGAGAGAGCTGTGAATAGTTTAGAAAGCGCATATGGAACTAATGTGTACGATAAAATGAACAGAAGCCGCCGCTTAAATTCTACAGTATGGCTCCCACGCCTATTGACATGAATCAAATCCACATACTCTTCACCGAATGATTTCTTCCCACGAAGCGTAGTGAGCGCTAAATACAACAGTTTAGCGCTAATCCCTATTTCTCTCCCGTAAGAGTTAGCAAAATACTGGCCCTTGAAGCCCTTGATGACTTCTTCAAGCTTGACATTGAGTAAACTTTCTACTTGTTGATCCTTTTGATGAGCTTGCACTGCGATAACCAAAGTTAGCCCTTGTCGATCATATTTATCAGTGCTAGAAGTAATACATGTCGACACATACCTATGGCTGCTGGATCAGCAAATTCTAGCTTATATGCACCCGTCATTCTTGGTTTTATATCATTTCAAGATCGACGAAGTTAAATTGACGACTAGCTTGACTCAAAATATCACTCTTATCTGGAATCACGAAGAATGGACAGTTCGAAAGGTATCATCCCTCCTGAGTCTGAAGCGCCTGAAGCCTGCGATAATGGTCAGGGGGCACCCTTGAATAGCCGAGATTTTGACCTATGGTCATCAGAGGATTTCATAAGAGCCATCGATAATCTTTATGATCAAAAAGGTGACGTTTACAACATAGATTTGTTACTAGCAAGAGTATTAAATGATCAACAGAAGGCCCATGCGTACTTGAGAGCTAAAGCACATGCAGATATACCCAAAACCTTGCAGGTGATGTCGAGGTTAGGGCCCAGCGCCATCAACCATTTAATGATCCTTTACGACACAAAACCGGAGGCGCTTAATCTCCTCAAGACACTCAGCCTTATATTGACGCCGAGTAATACATGCATAGGTGAGAAGCAGTCTATGAGTGAAGTAAACGATGAAGTTTGCCAGCATGCCCCCTTCATTGATTACTACTTGACAGTTGCAGCACTTCTTTTGCAGAGATACGATTTTGATTTCCACGACTTCGAGCCATTGTTAACAATAATAGTGCATCAACGCCGTGCACCAAGCCTTCTTCCTCCTCTACATGCCAAGTACGGGGTTCAGCTGGAAAAGTTTCTGTCAACCCTTATCGATTCTCTATTGAAGAACGCCTATTTGGACGCCCGTCAGTTGCTTTCTGTGATCAACATTCTACAGGGACTTTACTTATCTGCAGCCACATTTTGCACTGACGTGTTTGTTAGTGGGCAATTTCAATCAACAGCCTTGAGGCACTTTTTTGATAACGACGAAGTGACATTGGCGATTTTAACTCTCATGGGAACGGCCTGCCTTGATGAGATTGCCAAAAAGTACATCGCAGAAAATTGTGCAGATGAGCTTCGAAGAAGCCTCACCGTCGACAACCTGGAGTGCAAAGCCGCGACCACTTTAGTCATGCTCAAGGCGCTGGATTTCGCAAAATTAAAGGGCCCTGCAGCAGTCGATATGGCCGGTGCCCTTGCACAAGGGTTTGGTCGAAATGGCGGTATAACTTATGATGGATTGGCTATCGAAGGGCTGGCATATTTAAGCTTAAAAATGCCGGTAAAAACTTATTTGTCGTGTGAGCCACGCTTACTCAATCAACTTGTTGCATACCTCAAAATGGAGGAGGTTCCATCTTCAATGTATTATGGTGTATTAGTGATTTTTGGCAACGTATCAGATTCTTTGAGTCTGCAGACGAGGGAGCAAGCCATGATGCAAAAGCTGAAGGCTCAAGTGAGCTACAAGTCAGCCGACGAAAAAGATAACATAGGTTCCTGGAATGGTAAAACTGTGGCTGAATTCTGTTCAGAGTGGATTATTGATAAGGGTCTTATTGGCGTGGTAATCGTACATGTCAAAAAGTTCGGCGTCCAAACCATGGGTCCGCGGCTGCAGCTCTTGAGAATCATATACAATGTTACCAGGGAAAGAGGAGCCGTTTCCTCAAGTGTAAAGCAAGGCTGTGTTGTTTTCTTGTTGGAATCATTGGCGATTTCGAGTCTTCCGGCAGAATTAAGGATTATGGCCTTGAGGTCTTTGGCGAGGATTTTAACAGTGATGGACCCTAGTCTAGTGTTTCAAAAGTACTCCGCACTCAACGCTCTACCACTCCTATTTGAAATGGTTCCACATCCCGATAGCACAGGCAGCGAAGTTGTGGAAAAGATGGACACATACGAATCATTGTTAGCCCTCACAAACTTAGCAACATTAGCAGAGAGTGATACCATATGCCACAAAATATCCACAACACCAGAATACTGGATTAAGATTGAAAATTTGTTGTTAGACCCTGTAGTAAGTTTGCAGCGGTCAACAATCGAACTGCTTTCCAATTTCATGGCTACATCCTTGCACCTTGCTGCCAAGTTCTTCAACTTCGACAATCCCAAGAGTGTGCGCAATTTTGGCGTGCTTGTAAAGCTTCTAGACTTGGATGATCGTCAGTCACAGCTGGGTGTAGCAGCTATATTCGCTAATATAGCTTGTTCAGTTCCGTTCATTGCTCAGGAGTTAGCTCAGCAGCCTGAATTGGTCCAAAATGCACTCCGCGTGTTTTCTGAGCAGTGTGAGGACCGTGAATTGAGGCGTCGATTAATTGTCCTTTTCGATGCACTGGTGTCCTCGAATCCAAGCTCTATTGCCCTGGCAGGCAATAAACAAATGCTGTTTAGTTCCCTCGAACGTGCTAGGAAATTTGAAGCCGGGACTTCGTCAGATTATTTGGTCGCAATTGATAACATGCTGGCCGTAAAACTGTAATCAACTATGTACACCTTGTTATTGTCGCTGATGAAAAGACATTGGCGCTTCAAGTCTACCTTCTACTGACGGATCAAAACTTGAGTTTCTAATATAGGTCTCGAGTCTAAGGATATGAAATGATCCTGAACACGAAGAATGTGAAACATGAGGAAAGCTCGTGTGGCCAACTTCAGGAGAGCACTATTGCCCATTGGTATTAGAACGACTCGCCGTTTTGTCGATACGCATCCATATATTTACCACTTCAGCTCGTGTGCAGAGACATGTACTTATATAGACAAGATGGCTGATTCAACTTCGCATCGCGCCCACCACAACTGAGGAGACATCGTCCAATCCCTTAGTAGAATGAGCTCGACAAATGCATTATCTTCGGAGTCAGGGCCCGATCAGAGTGAGGGAGTATCTCTTACCTCAATTGAAGCCATTCTTCCAGGAAACGGACTATCTCAAGAAGGTGACGAAAATAATGAAGGCCCAGAGCTAGACTCAACATTGCAAAAGTATCGGGAAGCCTGTCAAGTTGGGGATTTAGCCACAGTACAAACTTTGGTAGAATCAGGAGCAATCGACCTAAAACAGGACTACGATAGCGAAAGAGTTTCGGGGCTACATTGGGCAAGTATCAATAACCGTTTAGGCGTTGTGCAGTACCTTGTTAAAAATGGCGCAGACGTCAATTTTGCTGGAGGGAATTTGAATGCTACGCCTTTGCATTGGGCTGCTAGGTACGGCTATGTATACATTGTGGACTACCTCTTAGAGCACGGTGCAGACCCCGCCTTGGTGGACCAGCAAGGCTTTAACTTTCTACATTTATCCATCAATTCCTCGAATATAATGCTGGTTATATACGCCCTTTACTTTGTTGCAGATGACAAAGTTACGATTGATAGTCCGGACCCTAATAACAGAACTCCACTCCTATGGGCCGCATATCAGGGTGATTTGCTATCCGTAAAAGCGCTGATTGATTTCAAGGCAAATGGTTCGCTTGTGGACTCGGGTGGTTTCTCGCCTTTGCATTGGGCTACAGTAAAAGGGCAGCCCCAGGTTCTGAAGTCCCTCATCAATTATGGTTGTGACTACTTTCAGAAGACGAATGATAGTAAAGACTGCTTTGTCATATCAAAAGAAATGAACACCGTAAAAGAGTTTACTACTGCACTACGAGAAAACGGATTGCGACCTGACGGCACTCCTATCACAAAGTACTTCTCGAATCAACGAAATGCCAAGCTTACACTATTTGTTACTCCATGGATTCTTGTAGGGTTGGTAATCAAACTTTTGGCGACAATAAATGTTCCCATAGCTTTAGTCTCTGCGGCGATAACAGTTTATGGATCAATCCGCCTGTTGAAAAAGTTTGTTATTCCAGTGATTGCAACTGACAGCGGTAGTGATTCCTTCTTGAAGACACCCATTTTGGCTGGGCTCCTATTTGGGAGTCTTCTATGGGTCATATACATTTGGTTTACGAGGATTGTGCCTGCAACTTTTTTCGAGGAGCCGTTTTACAATCTGTTATTTATGTCGACGGCAACATTCTGCGCCTTCTCTTTTGTTAATTTGGTTTTCTCAAATCCTGGTAAAGTATTCAAGGAAGATGACGTCGATCAAGTGAAAGTCGCCATCAAGGAACTGCTGCGGATCGGCAAATACGACACACGCCATTTTTGCATTGACACTTACAAGCGAAGACCTCTTCGGTCCAAATACTCAAAATTTAACAGCGCTCTGATTGCAAGATTTGATCATTTCTGTCCCTGGATCTACAATGACGTGGGATTGAGAAACCATAAGTTGTTTCTGTTCTTTCTCATGTCCCTCATTTCAGGTGTTGCTTGCTTTGCCAAGACATGTTTGGAGTACTTTGACGTGCTAGAGGACTCCTCCGACGCCAACTTCAATTGCGGAATGTTTGATGACGAAATATGTGCTGGACTACAACTAGATACTTTTGCTTTCCTTGTAATGGTATGGGCTGTTATACAGGGAATATGGGTGTCATTTCTGCTGCTAACACAGCTTTTCCAAACAATTAAGGGTCTCACCAACTATGAACTACGAGAAAAATCCCTGCAGCGGCACGGCCAAGACACGGCAACCGAAACATTCATGACGACCCCTACGGATCTCATGGAAGAAGAAGAGCTGAGTATGTTGACACAAAGCGCCATCAACCCGTCAGACCGTCTTGTATTGGCTCACTCCCGCGGCTGTTTTGACGTATGTTGTGGACTCACAGGCTTGGATCAGTTTCTTCTCATTGTCAGGGGATTTTTTGGCTTCTCGAGAGTGTCAGAGGGACAACGATCTGTTAATCGCAGATCACCTATCAACCACGGCTGGAAAACCAACCTGACTGATTTTTGGCTCTTGAGTGATGTCACAGCACCGTTATGGCAGAGATTTCTGTTTTCTCCGCAACATTTCAAGGCCAGCCTCAATAACTGCGAGGTAGACTACAGTACATTATATACGTGGCCGGAAGTAGCGCTTTCCGCTGAAGATCTGGTGTGAAATAATTCGTTGTACATAAGAGCATGAACTACATATATGCATGAGCCCCTCAAATAATGGACCAGAAGTCATTACAAATTATAGTGTCAGATAGGTTCATTCTTTGATCTGGTTTGTCCGACAACATTATGTGCCAGCTAGGAATTGTGACGCGTTAACAATAATTAGGTACGCGTCCTTATTCATTTATTAAACTATACTGGAAAAGTGAAATACTGTTGGACGATGGCCCAAGCAGGTACGATTGAGAAAATACCTACGAGGCATCGATAGAGAAGCAAACTCGCGTCCAGAAAGCACCATCCGGCCCCATAAACCCTCTTCAATTATGGGTATACAGGGTTTATTGCCACAACTGAAACCTATTCAACAGCCGGTAACGTTAGCCAGGTATGAAGGTCAGTCTTTGGCGATCGACGGATATGCATGGCTTCATAGAGCTGCCCATGCTTGCGCAGCGGAACTTGCACTCAATCAACCCTCCGCAAAATACTTGGAATTTTTTGTAAAGCGTTTGGACATGCTCAAGAACCGCTTTCACATCAATCCTTACATGGTGTTCGATGGAGATGCACTAATGGTGAAAAAGGACACTGAGCTGAAAAGACGCCAGAAGCGGATAGAAAATAGGGAGAAAGGACTAGCTTTGTGGAATGCTGGTGACAAGAGGCAAGCTTATGAGTATTTTCAAAAATGTGTCGATGTGACGCCTGAAATGGCTAAATGTGTAATTGACTATTGCAAGACACAAAAGATACGCTACGTGGTGGCCCCATTCGAAGCCGACGCCCAGATGGTGTACCTGGAGAAAAAAGGATTCGTGGATGGCATAATATCAGAGGACTCCGATCTTTTGATTTTTGGGTGTTGCAAGCTAATAACCAAGTTGAACGACCACGGCGAAGCTGTGGAAATCTGTCGAGATGACTTTTCACATTTGCCGGCGAAGTTCCCACTCCACCAGCTCAACGACGAGCAGATAAGAATCATGGTCTGTTTGTCGGGTTGCGATTACACTGCGGGTATACCAAAGATTGGGCTGTTGACTGCGATAAAGATGGTGAGAAAATTCAAGACCATGGACAAAATCATTCTTTCCATACAACGAGATGGAAAGCTAACTATACCGCCAGAATTTGGGGAGGAGTATCAAATGGCGACATTTGCATTTCAATATCAAAGGGTATTTTGTCCGCAAGACAATGTCATCACCACGCTTAACACAGTTCCATCTGGGCTCATGGAGTCTGAAGAACTATTTAGCTGCATTGGCCGAGTTGTACACAAACTGGAGCAAGTCAAGAAAGTGGTAGTTCGCACAGAACATATTGACCATGAACTCCATTACAAAATCGCCATGGGTGACCTGTGCCCCTACGATTTTTGTAAGATGCTCGTGAATCGCGAACGCAAGCTGCAGCTGACGGCCAAGTCTGAGTCAAGCATTGTTAGCCCAGGCTCAAAATCCATCGACTCTTTTTTCAATAAATCTGCTGTGGTCAGTGTGTCGGCACTTCCTGGTACTGAAATTTCAAGTGCAAAAGCTGCGAGAAGACAGACTGAAAGACTGTTGCAGGAAAACAAAAAGAAGCTGCAGTCAATTGTGGAGCATCGCAAACTGTCGAGGTTCGATGCGCCCGTCGCACGCAATGCTGCCAGTAAATTCTTTTCAGCATCCAGGAACAACAACCAGGAAGTCGCGGACCGTTCATTCTCCACAGACGTTTCTGTCGTGTCACGTGCTCCTAACTCCGAGGCGGTGTCCGTGGTGGTCCCGGCGTCAGCACTCAAGGACGCAGACAAGCTTCCAATTGTCGAAGATCTGCGAGGTGGCAGTGATGGAGACGCTTCGCAAGATGAGTTGTCAACGGACATACCAAGCTCTCTCGCATCGACAGAGATTCCCAGCTCCATGATTCCGACCCAGACAGACGTGGACGCGACGCCATTTAGCGAAGAGGAGTCGGAAATATTGAGCGAAGTAGATGAGTCTGGCGCCGAGAAAGGTCGCGAAAACCCTAGCAAGAGACATTGTGCGTCTTTGGCTGATTTGCGCAGCTCTTTCACTTACCAGAAAGCACCTCTCAGACCACGGGACCCCAACGTCGTGGCTGCGCCTGCCAAAATAAAGGACACGGCGGCGAAACCCCTGCAGCAGAGACCCAGCGTTCAAAGATCAAAGCACTACGTTGCGTCTCCGTCCTCGGCTAGTGTCCAGCGCCGCGCCACTCGGACTTTGAGTTTGTCTGATTTTGTATATCGCGGCGACTAGCGTGCTACAGCAGAACACCCATCTTAAGATGGATATAACAAACTACGAGTATTATAGACCCAAGGCGTCCTCAAACAAGGAAGTACTGGAGGAGAGACTAGAGTTAGTCCCGAACACGTTGACGCCATAAAACCACCAGAAAATAAAAGAGGCACTTACATCAAAATTTACATATACAACCTACTGAATCTGAAGCATTCATCCAGCTGGATACTCTGGACTTTTGGAAACTCACCGGGCTACATGCCCGATGGGTGATTCCATTCTCACTGTCTTGAATAACTATCACTTTTTATTATCACGTCCCAGAATGGCCAAGCTTCATATCGTGGTCAGTGATCACGTTCCATTTTCGGAAAATCACACCATTTTCTCATCATGGTCAGATGGTGGGAGTGGTACCACATCATATGGAATGAAAAGTCGACCAACAAACTAACATCCCAAGCTCTTTCTCTCTATGCAAAACTCTCGGCTTCGTTCAACGCACATCGTTTGTTTCCAGAGTTTGCTACTTCGTTCAACACGTACCTCAACGTTCGTGTAGCTGTAACTTAAACATTTACTGCAAACACCCAAGGCTTCCTTAAAGCTTATACGATTTTGTTTGGAATACAGCGACCGCTTCCACGAACTTGCGCTTTTTTTAATCTAAAAAGTGGTTAACAATGGCCTCGTCGTTAGCTTTCAATCCTGGGTTTAACGAAGCAGAGCTATTTCTGGCATCCTTGCAATCGTCCGACTACAGTGAGGGCGATAAAAGCGACTACTATCATGGTGCGAGTAACACTGACGGTTCGCCCATGCAATCCGCAGATAGTTATGGGGATGGGTCTTGGGCCGAAAATTATGGCGGGACGTTGAATTTGACCCCGGAGTCCTTCCACGAGGCGCCATGGGCAGAGCAATACCCACTGCAGCAGCAGCAACAACAACAGCCACAGCAACATCCTCAACGTCACCAGCAACACCCCCAACCTCAACATCAACCTCAACATCAACCTCAACCTCAACCTCAGCCCCAACCTCAACCTCAACAGGTTCTTCAACAACAACAATCGCAGCTACAACAGCCGCTAATCCCTAGTCCGGTGGGAAACATCTCAAGCGGGAATGCGGAAGAGTCGGTTTACATCAAGACCGACCGGTCGCCCCGATTATCATTTGGAACAGATGAGTTGGGCGATTTACTGGAAGGGGACGAAAGTGGCCCCCAGCTGGCGACTGTGGAATCGTCTCACGACAGTTCTGGCTCTAAGGTACATAAGCCTAGACGTGAAAGAACTTCTCATAACGTTATAGAGAAGAAGTATCGCTCCAATATCAATACCAAGATTTTTCAGCTCAGAGATATTGTCCCTTCCCTGCGGTGCGCGGCGAAACGCGAGGTGGGGCAACCGATCACTGTGGAAGACCAGGAAGAACTAGATGGTCTAGAGCCGGCCCGGAAGCTCAACAAGGCTTCGGTCCTGATCAAGACTATCGAGTACATCCGGTACCTGCAAAATAAATGCGATGCTTTCAAGTTCGAAAATACTCGCCTCAAGTCAAACCAGGGCTTTACTACTCCGAACAGCGAGCGCAACCATTCTCGGGGGTCTACCGATTTTATGTTGAATGTTCCCCCCGGGCAATCGTCAAGTCAGCCCTACGCCCAGGCTTACCCATCAAGAAATGGGGAATCTGCTACCAGCAAGTACTTGATGGCTGGACTTGCCATGACGATGGGTGCATCTTGCTTCGGAGAAAATAGTGACTACGGTAATGCCAAAAGTTTGATGTCAATGCCAATGGTACATTACTCACCAGCAAATGGGCTCATCTTCACGAACGCCAATGGAGTCATTGATCTCGGTTCAGTTTTCCTGTCGCTTGTGAGAATCACGCTACTTTTCGCCACTATTGCTCATTTCTTCAGTCTTGTTGTCCGCAATGCCGGCGACAACAAGAAGAAAAAGCTCGACATGGCAGTAGTTTCATTCGCCGACACTGTAAGCTTCCAAAATTCGTCTCAAGTCATCGCGACCTTGAAGAAAACGATGTTTATAAATCGGTTAAAGTACCCAGTCAACTCTATTGAAAGAATAGAGTCCGAAATTGCCCACTGTTTTGCCTTGAAGCTGTACCATCCTTCCTACATATTGAGACTGTGGACAAACCGGCAAATTGACCTCACTTGGTCAAAGTTAGGGAAGCAGGTCGAGTCTGCTAATCAGAGAAGCGGGGGTGCCTTGAAAAATGGATTTGAGTGGGAAATGATCACCAATGTGCTTACAAGTTCAAGGATCGATACCTTGGATTGTGAGGAACTTGAAGATGCTATTGTAAAAAGGGGCACATTTACCTTGAAAGAGTTTGTGGAGTTCATTAATGCGTTCATGGTGAAATTTAGAAATGAAGCTGTTACTGCGAGGTATTTGGAGGAACTAAGCTCCTCCGATAGTAAAGTTGTTGAAACAACTGAAAGGTTTTATGGATCAAATGTCTTTGATAACGTCAGCTTGCAAATATCCTCTGAGAACTTTGCAACCCTGTGCGCTTTGTTCGAGGCTACAGAAAATAATATCGAAAAACTGCTGAAGCTTGTGAAGGAGAGGAAGTCAGGACAATCTTCCAACAAGCAATTTGACAATGACCAAATATTAGTGCTGTACTCTAGCATTGTCAAAAATCTTTTGTTTAACGGCAAGCAGAAGCAAGCCTACCACTGGGCTTCTAACATCCCATCTAATTTGATAATGTCTGGTGAAGTGTCCATCGTTGGGGTAACGGCGGTTTTTTCGATGCTGAAAACTCTATTCGAATCTGGGCCCAACGATGAATTGCAGACCATCTACTCGAGACTTGAATCCTTGGCGTCCAACGTCAGACTATGGTTAGCGCAGTCCAGAGATTCCACTCTAACTTTAGATCTACGTGGTAAACTTGTCGATTTCTGTGTAGAAACTACCGTGACTTGTGCTTCTGCTAGGCTCGAAGATGACACCGAAGTGGAGAGTCAAAGCGAGTTCAGTGAAAGTGATGAGGAGGGTAGTTGAGGGTACGGTCATCGGATATGATGTGAATACCTACCTTTTCAGGTAAAGGCAAACTGTATACTAGTTTTTTAGATAAGTTGAATTTTTTATATCATTAACAGGATTAGGGCTTTATTATACTGTCTAACTGTTCAAACTGAAATTCTCGATTTGGCCAACTTAGCTTTTCAATCACCGAAATCTTGATCCAAATTCTTGTCCTTCATATATGGCGAATGTCACCAAAAACCTACAAAAAATAAAAATGCCACCGTTATAGAATAGAAAATATCAGTACCCAAACAGGGTTCTACGAGGATATCAAAGACCTCCCGATCACGAACACAATTCCATTTTGCGCGTGTTCAACTCTTTGTACTTTCTGGAACTTTTTATCCGTAGAAGAAGCGACGTAAAACTGCCCTTTCTTTTTCTTGAGCATAATATCGCCTGAGTTCTCGTCCCCTTCAAACGCAAAACTTCTCAGTACCAAAAAGTTATGAACGCAGTCCTTCATTGCCCTGGCCCGTTCGATACTCGCGCCAGTCGCGATGTGAGACTTTGCAAAGTGTAAAGTATTCTCACTGACAGCTTTATCGATTTCTTCTTCCTTCGCGGCGCCAGACTCCAGCTCATCAATGTCCGCGGGAAACTGCCACGGCTTCATGGGTAAAGATTCGATGGCAATATCAGAGGGAGCAAAAACAATAACATTTTCCAGCGGATTGCTCAATAACTGAGAGATTGTGAGGTCGTCCCTCAAGTAGCTTGCAAATATACTAACCTCACTCACAGAAGGAATTCGCGAGTCCAAACAAATTGGATCCCAGACTTTGTCATTATCAACCCCAGAGTCTTCATCGGGTCTCACAAAGTTCTTCTGCCGGCTCCTGTCTCTCTTCTTCACGACTCCACTCTCTTCAAACAACTCGTCTAGATTCAGAGGGGACACTCTGCGAGCGTCTCTTACCTTTAGAAGTCCCTTGTTCGAATCTGAAAAACCCGCGGGATCCGGTAACTGACGCTTGAATTTCCCAGTTTCTGGATCAAACATGATGTCCAGTGGGGCCACATTTTTGGCTCCCGTGCAGACAGCCAAAAGTCCTACCACCGTGTAGATGGAACACAAGCTTACTTCAGATAATTTCATCGTAGGCTGATTGGCTCAGATACTACAATTACCAAAGTTTTGGTCTGCTCTTCAGTTGAAGGGTCCACTACAAATTGTCCCCAATTCTATGTTCCAATGACTTTCACATTTAAAGGGTTCGCAGACAACGTGGGAAAAAAATGCGCAAGCCCGGAATCGAACCGGGGGCCCAACGATGGCAACGTTGGATTTTACCACTAAACCACTTGCGCTTTGCTTGAATGATAAATGTTATAAACTAGGTAACACCGAATCAATGTGAGCACATGGAGGTTGATCTCACAACGACAGGAATAAGATTAGTGACAAGACTCGGTCCAAAGCTAGCCTACGAAGCCATATTATGGCTACGATACACATATACAACAGCACGAGCTACATCACATCCTTTCCTCGAACTTAAAGGATGGCTCGAGACTTGTTCTTCAATGTGTCGTCCCTCAGAGTGGAGGCCGAGGGTGGAAACCATATAAGACGAGGCAGGTGGATCAGAACAAATAGGGAGATTAAATATAGAGGAAGGAAGCAAATCAGTGGTTACCTATGAGATGTATTGACCTAATTTAACTCACTAGCGTTAGATTATATTCGTGATAGTTGCCCACCGCAAGGTTCTTTCTCGGCTTTATTTTTTTATAGTTACAAGGGATAACTGTCGATTTGTTCAGGCCGGTGCCCAAGACCAGGTCAGTATGATAGCCCGGTTATCATACACAATAGAGAAGGATTGGATTTGAAAAATTGGTTAGTGGCCTTTAATCTTATTCTTTAGAATGAGTGTACAGCATCCATAAGCAATATTAATGATTCTCATCTGCACTTTTGAGAGTGCTGGACAGACGGTGAGCCGAGGAAACCTCAAATTTCTTTTTCGTTGCACAAACTGTCAATCCTCGTTGTGATTGAATATGTAATTTCTAGTGAGTAAAGTTTCGACTGATCCGTTACCATCGTCTTCATCGTAGTTCCATTCTTGACCATCGATCTCGTGCGCTATACTTCCGGAGTTACGTGTATTGACATCTCGATCGCCATCAGGCACGATCATAATATGGCCGTTGGCCCCGTCACCACGCAGCTTGGACTTCAACGCCACTACTGGTTTCGCAATGATATCGAGCCCCCGTCGAGAAACAGACTTGCAGTCTAAGTGGGGGTCAAGAGCATCCTTGGCCGTATAAATGTCTTCTCCTGTTGTAAAGTTATCTTCATTTCCATAATTGATTTTGGGATCCACGAAAAACCTATCTTTATTGTTGATCTTTCTCCCTAACACAGTCTCCTTACTGAAAGTCCTTTCTAGTCTCTCCAAAACTCCAATTAAGCCCCAAGTATTAACGGTAACAAGAACCTTCAAGAACGTGAATACATTTCCCATCCAGAGGTTAATCTGATGGGGCGGAACCATCACATACAACGTCAGTGCAATCAGCAGTGCCATCACAGACGCATTATAAGCCAGGAGGAGAACAGATTCGTGATAATTTTTCCAAGACCTTGAAAGCATTGCGTTCCACGAGGCCTTTGGTTCCAAAGATTTGGGAGCGAGGCTAAGCCTTAAGTTACGGCTAGCGTACAGTGCCGAACAAATCGCAAATAAGATATAGATTATAATGTCAAATACTCGCATAGCAATACTGATGGCGTCACTTGGATGAGCCACCCAAAGCTTCAACCCCACTAGTAGCGCCTGCGTGCTAGTGAGCAACAGCCCAATAATCGTGATTTGTCGATTTTTGTTATTCAGAAATTTTGGAATCCAAGGATGCTGAGTCTTGCGATAATTGTGGAACATATAGTAAACGATATCCAGCCAATTTAAGTTGGAAATCAGTGTCGAGAAAAACAACATGACATTGAAAAGCGTAGAGTTTAGCATTTGATCTCTGAAAACTTGCGAGTTCTGACAATTATCTGCGTATTGCTGTTCGAAAATAGAGCTCATGGTCCTACTGAGGATAACTGTGTGGAATATAGCGGAATAAACTACACCCAAATAAACCATTTTCTTACGACTGTTGTGGTTGTTGGCCGGCAACAACAATAAAACTAAAAGCAGCATCCACGAGCCGACACACACAGCACACAGTACAAATGTTATCGTTAAATTAGAAACGGAGAACTCATCCTTTTCTGTGAATCCCTGAGGAAATGCGGCGATTGGATCAGCTGGAATATTCTGGGTAATCAATCCGATGAGCTCAGTGTAGTCTGAAACCGAGCCGTTCGGGCAGCGGATAAAGAATGACGGAGAATTCGTTTGACTGTTTTGGAACGGGTCCTCCAGGGTTTCTTGCATGCTTAGATTTCCACTGTTCAGCATTCTGACAGTGCAGTTGGACCACCGATCGGCTTTTACGTGCGTGTTGAGAGCCCCTAGTATGGCGTCCATGCTCAGGTTACCATCGTAGCCCATTACCTTGTTAAAGCAGTCTCAGGTAGCCATAGACTAAGCATTCCATTTGGTCTTGCACGGCTGTGTGATGGCAAGATGAATTAACAATGGTGGCCGAAAAAAGGATGATTCTTGATCACATGAGCATACGACGGATTTTTGAACACACATCGATCAAGAAGCGAGGTACTCATTCCGTATTGAATGGTCGTCAGTGACTTATCCGGTTGTACCTCCAAAACTTATGTTGCCGAGTTTTGCTGAGTCTTAACTTACCTCTAGACTATGTATGTCTTGTTTGATCATACAATACTGTAACGGGTTCTGCTGGTGACTATGGTACAACTTTTGGATGAAACTACGCTTCCCAAATCATTCCTGTCTCAGCTCGTCTAACCGACAGTCACGCCACAGGCCCAGCTCCGTTTTCTTGGGAGCAAAAATTGAACCAAGCGCCATAGGACTTTCGACTAGGGGCGGCAGTGCTGTCAATTGGCCATTGCAGTCCACGCGCAGTGGATGAAACTGATCCCAGTCATCATCATCATGAAAATAGTCCCAGAACTGGTTTATAGGTAAAGATGGATTTTCTGTGCGCAGTCCGTTTGTGGCAGTATGATCGGGGGACATGAAAACATCATGATTCCAGTCGAGATAGAGGGCATGGTGCGACTGTTGCATGTGATGGCTCTGAAAATACGAATCCCTGTACATAGTTGAAGGAGACAAATGTTTGTTGACGATGCGAGTAAGGCTGAAAGTGTTACATTGACGGTTGAACTGAGAGTGACACTTTGAAATAAGTATTGAAACTATTATACCACGTGATATGTGACGCTCGAGTTCAGTGATAGCGTGGATCCCATCCTGGCGCAGACACTGTAAACAACTTCAGGTTTCCTCGGTTGTGAATCGAGGGTATCGATAGATAATATAAATTTTCAACGTCAGTTTATTCCGTTCACTCATATTTGTCTCATCTAAGACTCGCTTGGGAATACAAAAAACAACTTGGCTGGAGCTCACTGAAATGAGATCGAATACAAGAAGTGTTAAGCACACTCCCAAACCCAGGATACTTCAAAGATTGTTGTTGAGGGGTCGGACTGCCCAAGTGAGGATGAAGGAAAAGCTGAACGAAGCCCGTCTCTTGCAGACAGAGACGCGAGCCCTGTCGCTCTCTTCAGAGGCCAGAGAAGTTCTGTGAGCCGAGCGCCTGATATTGTTTTTACACCAATATCCTGGAAATTGAAGTCACAGTGTATATTAGTTTGCATTGGCCTTCTTGGGAATAATGATTTGATTCGTGATAAACTTTGAGACTCATACTCACGCTCGCGGAGTTAAGGTGTAGGCCACGTTTTGGATTAAGAGTCTCCAACAAGCTCCTCTTTCCATTCGCAGTCAGCTACTAAGCGCTGAAGAATTTTCTCGATTATTGTGGATTCAATTCCGAGGGCCGCTGCAGTATCAAAACATAGGGATAAATAATTCTGTGCGCCCAAGGTAATCCTCTTCACTATTTAAATTTACGTTACATGCTGGAATATCAATTCCAGCATCTTTGACTTCAGATAGACATTTTTTTTCTCTTTCTATGGAACTCAAGCAAGTGAACGTTTTACACAAGAAACAGGCAATGGGTATTCCGAAGCCGATACGGAAACTGAGGTTATTGACCAAGATCAAGAAAAGCTGACTCGCATCATGTGCATGATCTCATGTTATTGAGCGTTCAATTAAAACTTTCAAAGAGGCTCGAACCAGCTCGTAACCCATTCCAAAAGAATGGACTGTAATTCTTGAACGGCCAAAAAAGATATGGATACACCACCAAAACAGCGATTCCAGTCCCAGGGAAGTGCCAATCTGCTACAAAGCACAAGATCGTATGTGGGACCTACAAATAAAAACATATGCTACCTCCCGGCAAAAACATGACGCGTGCCAAGAGAACCCTAAAACGGGTCCGCCTGTAGTCCTTGCTTGGCCACTTGTGGAATTTGTGCTGATGCAGTTCGGCAAGCCAACTACTGCTGACGCTAACTCACTCCGAGAGATCGTATGTATTCTACTTATTTTGTATCAAGCCAAGTCGTATCACGAAGCAAGTTGGACCCTTTATGACGTGCCATGTGACTGTTGAACCAATGTTCCTAATTTACAGATCCGCGCGGTTCCCTCCAGATGATAAACAAATGAGTCACATTTACTTGACTTTTGATCGAGCTAAGAAAAGAACCATTTATAATAACCTAACGGAAGCATGAGACTCACAAAAAGCGTTAGCTAGCGCTTTGCGTCGCCGGTTATTTTAGAAGCAATGGTAACTGTCAACTCATATGGGCAAGTCATAGGCGATGCACTTCCTGATTGGCAAGGGTGCACTTTTCCAGATGGGAAAATCCTGAAGGGCAAGTTTTGTCGATTGGAGCCGTTGGACATTGAAAAACATGGCAGGAACTTATTTGAATCATTTGCACAAATGGGAGATGACAGGTTGTGGACGTATTTGCCCTTGGGCCCTTTCAAAAATTATGAAGAGTTTGAAAACTACTATTTAAAACTGTTACAAGATAAAGGCACAGTCCACTTTGCAGTCTTGAACCCCGTGACTAACTTTCCCATCGGCGCTATAGCATTGAAGAGGATCGATGCTAAGTATGGCACCACGGAATTAGGTTTTGTGGTTTTTTCGCCGGCACTGCAACGAACCCCTATGGCTTCTGAGTGCCACTTTTTGCTGATGAGATATGTGTTTCAAGACTTGGGGTTCCGGAGGCTGGAGTGGAAGTGTGACAGGTTGAACGAGCCTTCCATAAAATGTGCTCAGCGATTGGGATTTCAATTCGAGGGAACCTTTCGTAACGCAGAAGCATACAAGGGCCGCTCTATCGACACTAATTGGCTGTCAATAACTGACTACGAATGGCCAGTTATTCACAGGAGCTTTGAGGCCTGGCTACATGATGCCAACTTCGTGGATGGGAAGCAGCAAAAAAGATTGGTTGATATCAGAATGGCCATAGCAGCTGGAGGTGCTGAACGTAACTAAGTCTCTTGACTCCACGTGAAAAACGTCCGCACACACACGTGACAATAGGTATGTTGGGGGTTGAATATTTTTGTTAGATTTGTATATAGACATCGCTAATGCTACGCCTAAGGTGGTTGCTACTTGTTCTGGGGCCTAGAGGATAGCTACGTGTTGCCGAGGATGGTTGATACTTGTTCTGGAGCCCAGAGGACAGCCAGCCGCACTGTGATAGTCGTTCACGACAGGCCACTTTTCCAAAGAATAGAATCTTCCGCCACCGAACAAACACCAACTGGCCGCGGACCCCTCGTGGTCCAGCGGTCACTGAGACGCAAGCGTCTCCGGTCACGTGACCACGGGCTAATGGCGCAGTTTTGGTAGCGCGTTCGCTTCGCATGTGAAAGGTCACCGGTTCAAACCCGGTTTAGTCCACATTTTTTTCCAGGGCTGGTCAGCACACAAAGGCTGTTGGTAGCCCGCGACGCTACGCGAAGGCTATTAATACCTCTAGCACACAAACACAGGCCGCTACGCTACTCGAAGGCCGTTGGTAGCCCACTACTCAAAGGCTTTTGGTACCTTTAGAGACACCCTTGCTGCGTAAATACAAATCAGTTTTGCTCCACAACCGTCGTTGTTCAGACCCCCAGCATGCTTCTTTGGCCGTGAAACCATCTCGTGCTGGGCGCTGCAATAAGCTTTACTAGTCGGCCTTGGTATGGTGCTGCCCAATGAAGCTGTGGAAGTTGTGCTGATACAGCGACTGTACTCATCATCTCTACTCGCGGCCCGGCCACTCGCTTAACTCCGCGTCTTATCTCCGCTCCATTGTGATCACAGTTGACGTATTGCCCAGCTGGATATTTTTGCTTACGTGGGATAATATATAAAGGGAAAAGGCCCGATGCTACGTATATAGTACTGTCTGTCGCAACGCATGCTGACGCTAAGCAAGCAGAATCCATCAACAACAAGCCAGGCGCGTGAAAGTGGTAGGCAAGAAGGACTCCAAAAGCGACAGGTGAGTAAGCGGACAGCAAGCACGAAGCACAACACTGCTAGACGGGCCATTGATTCCACAGAGTCCCATTTTTCGCTGTTTTCTCAAATTTCTCTGTTAGCATCCACATAGGGCCTGAAAAAGCGTTCTCCAGAGAGGTGCCTGTTTTTCAGAGAGGGATAACAGAGGGATACCGCGTAGGAGACAGAGAGGAGGTTCTGTTATAGGCGTGCCGTGCTATTATTGCGCTTGTGTTCTGTTAACGAGCTTCGGCCAATAGCATTGTCACAGGTTCTGTTCTTTATGCAGCGAGTGTTACCGATGGTGGTGCCCAGCAATTTACCACCCACAGGCCGACAGGCCACCGACAGTGATAGGCTCGCGATGCGGGCCACAGAGGCACAACCGCAGTCCACCACGCCCACAGGCGGCGCCGTCAATGTAGCGGCCGCCGCCAGTTCCAAGCCTGTACCGAGCGGGCAAACTTCCCCCGGAGTCGGCAGCACCGATGGCACGCCGTCGGCAGCGCCGACGCCTGCGGGCGCCCATCCGCCTCCGCACCCACAACCGCATACACATTCGCATCTTCAACATCCACCCACACATCCACCCACACACCCACCTGCATATCCGCATCCACACCCCCATCCTCAAATGGTGGCGCCTTTACCACCGAACTCGGCCGCCCTGCCGCTACCACACCAGCCCGTGGCCGGCGTTCCGATGGCTATGCCTGGCTACGTAGCACAAATGCCGCCACAGCTGCCCCTTCACTTGGCCCAACAAATGGCATCTCAGCTCAACGTCCAGTTTCCCATGCCTAATCTTATTCCCATACCGTCTTCTGCGACCTCTTCCTCCAACCCGAGTGAATCAAGCCAGCCCGAGAATGCGGATCTCATGCTCAGTAGAACTGGCAAGCCATTGCGCAACACCAAGCGCGCCGCGCAGAACCGCAATGCCCAAAAGGCGTTTCGCCAAAGGCGCGAGCGGTACATCAAGGACCTGGAGGTTAAAAGCAAGGAGTTCGATCGTTTGGACGCACAGGTGGCTGCTTTGTCCCAGGAAAACGAAACTTTGAAAAATTACGTCCTGGAGCTGGAACAGCGGTTCGGCATAAGGCGCCCGCCCGCATAAGGCGCTGATAGATGTGTCTCTCACGCAACAGGAGCTCTTCCCAGGCGAATCTCCGCTACTTCAAGTGTCACTAGTGTACAAAGTGACCTTCGAGCTTTACCAGGACGACGACTGCAATCTGGTGTATTGCAGTAGTTCTAAACTCATGAGATGCTTCCGGCACGCAAGTGCCTATTTGCGAGGTCTGCTCTTTCCTCTTGCCAGCCCTTTTGCTTCAACAAGGTTTGCGCGAATTGGGTAAAGAGTTAGCAGGCTCGCATCGATGAAAGTAAAATTAAAAAAAAAAAGCGTTAAGGCATCTACCATGTGGCGACGATCAACTCAACCACGTTTGAAACCCGCCGCCGGGCTCAGTTTTCGCTGCGCCGAATTAGAGCAGCTTTGGCTTTTGAAAAAGGGAAAAGGACTACATAGAAAACTTCAAGAACAAAAAATGAACAACTCTTTGGCATATGACATGAAACCAGCGCTCCTTCAAGCTCAAGTGTATAATACTACGACCAACTCTTTAGTAAAGCTAACTTCTGGTGCAGGCATTTTACATACATCACTATGAACGTTATTGTTACTGAACCGGACTTCGTAATTCTCGCTCTTTCTGGAAATTAACCGACTACTGAAGATCTCTACACATATATAAAGGGTGACTGAAATGACAGTTCTCTTCATTGGCCCAGCTTTTCTACACCTGACTTCTCGTTGAAAGCATTTTTGAATATATACTCGTGATGCTTAGGTTTACAAGGAGCTCTGCCTTACGAAAGAACTTCCCTCAGTGTGTGACTCGAACTGCAGCGACGCTGCAGGGAACAAACCTAAGAGGACTACCTAATGGGTTTGCCAACTCCCCAGTCCATAGGATTGCTTATATTAGAGGAATTCCAGCTAAATTGCAGAGCACCAGGTCTTATGTTTCCCTGCATGCCAACAATGCTGACAGCAGACCAGCTTTGGAACAGTTTGGAACTAATCTAACACAACTAGCGCAAGAAGGGAAGTTGGATCCCGTGATTGGCCGCGACGATGAGATTGCAAGGTCCATCCAAATTTTGTCTAGGCGCACCAAGAACAATCCGATCTTAATTGGGCGTGCAGGCGTGGGCAAGACGTCGCTCATCGACGGTCTCGCCCAGCGGATCGTAAGCGGCCAAGTACCTGACTCTTTAAAGGACAAAAAATTAATTGCACTGGACCTTGCGGCACTTGTAGCAGGGGCTAAATACCGCGGTGAATTCGAAGAACGCTTGAAAAATGTTTTAGAGGAAATCGACAAGGCGGATGGCGAGGTTATTGTTTTCATAGATGAAGTGCACATGCTGTTAGGTCTGGGCAAAACTGATGGGAGCATGGATGCTTCGAACATCTTGAAGCCCAGATTAGCGAAGGGGTTGAGGTGTATTTCAGCCACCACTTTAGATGAATTCAGGATTATTGAAAAAGATCCAGCTTTGACTAGACGGCTGCAGCCCATTCTTTTAAGCGAACCCAATGTGACGGACACAATTTCTATCTTAAGGGGTTTGAAAGAACGGTACGAGGTTCACCACGGTGTGAGGATCACAGATGCTGCACTAGTTTCAGCTGCTTCTTTGTCTAATCGTTACATTAACGACCGTTTTTTGCCGGACAAAGCCATCGATTTAGTCGATGAAGCATGTGCTGTATTGCGGCTACAGCATGAATCTAAACCTGATGCGATTCAAGTTCTGGACCGTGCAATTACTAGAATTCAAATTGAACTAGAGTCTTTGAAGAAAGAGACCGATCCTATCTCGCTTGAGAGGAAGAACGCTTTGGAAAGCGATTTGGACTTCAAAAGGCAAGAACACTCAAGGCTAACTGAGATTTGGGAAAAGGAAAAAGCAGAAATCGACTCCATTAAGAGTGCAAAAGCCGACCTCGAACAGGCCAAGATCGATCTCGAAATCGCGCAAAGAGAGAATAATTTTGCGAAGGCCTCAGAGCTAAGATACGCAAGAATCCCCGAACTTATGCAGAAGGTTGCTCTCAATGAGAAAAAAGATACTGAAAACAATATGCTCCATGACTCGGTAACGTCAGATGATATTTCACAAGTTATTGCCAAAATGACTGGCGTTCCTGTTCAAACAGTCCTGAAAGGCGACAAGGATCGGCTTTTGTACATGGAGAACTCGCTCAAGGAAAGGGTCGTTGGCCAAGATGAGGCGATCGATGCGATCTCCGATGCCGTGAGGCTTCAAAGAGCGGGCCTTACGAGTGAAAAGAGGCCAATTGCCAGCTTCATGTTCTTGGGTCCAACAGGTACGGGTAAAACTGAGTTAACCAAGGCCCTCGCTGAGTTTTTGTTCGATAATGAATCTAATGTAATCAGGTTTGATATGTCCGAGTTCCAGGAAAAACACACTGTTTCTCGCTTGATTGGTGCTCCGCCGGGATATGTTATGAGCGAATCTGGTGGTCAACTAACTGAAGCTGTTAGGAGGAAGCCATATGCTGTCGTTTTGTTTGATGAATTTGAAAAAGCCCATCCAGACGTCTGTAAAATCTTATTACAAGTTCTAGATGAAGGTAAGCTCACGGACTCTCAGGGCCACCAGGTCGATTTCCGCAATACTATGATCGTAATGACTTCCAACATCGGACAAGACATTTTGTTGTCCGATAACAACCTTGGGAATGACGGGAAGGTGAGTCAAGAGACGCAGACGAAAGTTATCGACGCCATGAAAAAATCTTATCCACCTGAGTTTATCAATCGAATCGATGATGTTTTAGTATTCAATCGCTTGTCTAAAGTTGTATTGAGATCTATTGTGGACATCAGGCTCAAGGAGATCCAAGAAAGAGTTGCCGACAAGCGGATGAAACTCGAACTTACCGAAGACGCAAAAACGTGGTTGACTGACCATGGATATGACCCATTATATGGCGCACGGCCACTTAATAGGTTAATTCACAAAAAAATACTAAATCCAATGGCCATGTATCTACTAAAGGGTCAAATCAGACCGGAAGAAACTGTTCATGTGGATGTTGTTGATGATGCATTGATTGTAAGGGCTAATTACGCAGAAAATGAAGTTGCAACTACTCAATCCTCCAGCGAGGAGTCGTGATTTGAAGGTGGCGTGGTTTTGTGAACATGGTTAATATAAATCTTGTAAATAAAGTAAAAGAATACTGTCAATAAAAGGAGTTAATGACTAGCCCAAAGAGAGTGACTTACTTAATAGGAGCTTACCCCCATAGATCTGCGAATGATGAAATGGATTTCGTTAACTATTTGAGTGACTAATTAAAACGCCTATCTAGTGCGAATGATGCCCGCAGCAATCAAAGTCTGAATCTTGCTGAATACATCTGGATTCTTCATATGCTCTTGCAGAGCAGCAGGATTCTGCTGAGCTTGGGATAAAATGCTCTGCATGACTGGGTCTTGCATAATAGAGGCAACCTCTGGATCTTGCATGGCTCTAGAATAGGCCTGCTCAGGTGTTTCATTTGAATCCGCAGGCTGGAATCTCTGCTGAGAAGCCTTCACATAGAGTTGGTCAATTTCCCTAACGTTAGCCCCATTATTGACTTCGGCGTCCTTCGAGCGGGCAGCATCTAGAGTTTCGATGGCCTTAGCAAAATCTTTCACAGCGATTTGGGCAGTAGCTTTTCTGATATAAGCCCTAACAAAGTTTGGATCTTTAGAGATAGCCATATCGCAATCCTTGATAGCATCCGGGAAGGACATTAGCTTAGCAAGAACAGCGGCTCTGTTCGAGTAGCCACGCGCATCTTCTGGGGCTCTTTTGATCATCTCCGTGTAGGCCTTAACTGCATTTGGCCAGTCACCTTTCGTGAAGTACTCTTTCCCTTCCAATCTCGCTTCCTCTGCCTTTTCTGGGTCGATGTATGCTTCCACTTCGCGGGTCTTCAAGTCCTTTTCCGTGTTCCTCATTTTCGTTAGGATTTCTGGGGTACGGTGCTCGGTTAAGGATCTCTGGTAAAACTCAATAGCTTTCTTCAAGTCATCCTTTTTCACGTAGGCGTTACCAATACGGGCAAAAGACTTGGCAATGATCTTATAATCTGCTCTCATTTCTCTCCCCTGTTCAACAGCTTCTGTTAAAGTTTCGATAACTTGGTCATAGTCACCTTTCTCAAATTCGGCGGCACTACGATTGTTTAGATATGTGATATCTTTGTGCAATTCCCAAGCGCCATTGTATTTTTCAATAGCTTGGTCGAATTGGCGTGATTTGTAATATTTGTTACCCTCGGCCTTTGAAGCTTCAGCGGCAGCTTTGGAATCTTGCTCTGGCTCGTCCACTTCCATGGGTTCTTCTTCGGCCGCTGACTTTGAAGGCTCAGTGGCAGCAGGTGCAGCTTTGGGGGTTTCCTTGGGAGCGGATTGCGACTTGGCAACTTCTGGCTCCTTGGCAGAGCTCGCGGGCTCCTGTGGCTGGCCCTCGCCACCCATACTCAGGTCAATACCTAGAAGAGCAGCCATGATAGTCATCATGCGAGGATCTTGCAAAAACTCGGTGCCCATCGCTTGAGGGTTCGACTTGAATTGCAGGACCTTGGCCACCAGCTGAGGATCCTTCATCAACTCCGCAGTTTTTGGGTTCTGTTTGAGCTTTTCGATCATATTGGGGTCGTTGAAGAGCTGGCCAAATCCCAGATCTGGTTGCTGCTGTCTGGCCTGCTGCGTTCTGTGGACTTGGTCAAGACCATCCTGGGCCGGTTTGTTTGAGGGGTCAATTTCCAGGGCCTTCTTGTAGCCCTTTTCCGCATCGTCCAGGTTTCCTAGACCGAAGTGGGCAGCACCTACTCTACCATACCCTTTAGACCACGTAGGGTTGATCGCAACACACTTTTCCGCATCCTCCAGAGCTTCTCTGAATTTCTTCAAAGACGTGTAACACGCCGACCTGTTTGAAAATAGAACATGATTGGCGGTCTCAGAAGCCTCAATGGCTTGCGAGAAGAAATCTGCAGCTTTAGAGAAGTCTTTGGCTACAAACGCAGCGTTACCTTGTTTCTTAAATTCGTCTGCAGACATGCTTAAACTTGGTTAATAACGTTAGACCCAGAGTATTCTTCAGCACTCTACCTGCGATGAGAATGGAATCAGATCAAGAAATCGATAAGGGCTAACAAGTTGTTGTTTTATATGTTGATCATTTAAGGCTAAACTTCATTTTGAGTTCAACTTCTGGAAAGTTCTGCTCAATCTGGCGATGTCACTATCAACGAAAGGCATAGCTGGTATGATTGAAAAATTATCAGCGGTAACCTCATCGCCTAATGAAACGTCAGCCGAAGAATCAGGGAAGAGGTGATTTTGAGCATTTCATAATGAGCATGGACGTTTCTGAAGCCGATATCAGGACAAAAACATTTTATGAATGGGCGAAAACGGCTGGGAAACTATGGATTTCCGATAAGATCACTCTGGTAAGACATCCCACAGACGAACAGCAAGGGAGGTGTGTCATGGCCCTGGAAAACATCGCAAAGGGTGAAAAATTGTTCGAAATTCCCCGTGAAAGTGTTTTAAATGTGAGCACAACGAGTCTGTGCGTGGAAAAACCAGCCCTGAGGGAAGTGTTCATGCACCAAGTGGGACACTGGGAAGGGCTGATCATTGCTATCTTTTATGAGCTGAAAGTGGTCGGAGAAAATAGCCCTTGGTGGCCATATTTTAGAGTTTGGCCCGAGGCTGTAAGAATGAACAGCCTGATGTACTGGTCAGATTCGGAAGTTGCACATTTGAGACCGTCCGGAGTGTGCGACCGGATCGGACAAGAAGGTGCCAGGGAAATGTACCAGCGAGTTCTGGACCACGTTAGAGAATTGGAACTTTCCGACTTAGAGACAATAACGTGGGAGGAGTTCGTACTTGTAGCATCCGTGATTATGGCGTACTCTTTCGACATGGAGCGCGCCGACTATGAGGAAGAGGACGAAGACGAGGACGAAGAAGAAGAAGACGAAGAGGAAGAAGAAGGGGAACAGCAAGAAAACGAAGGAGAGGAGGAACACGGGGAGGTGGGCAGCGACGTTGAACGAACTAAGGGTCCCTCAGTATGGAAAGACGGGTTTTTGAAATCAATGGTTCCAATGGCAGATATGTTGAATGCAGACACCCACAAATGCAACGCCAACCTCACATACTCACCAGAATCCCTAATCATGGTCGCTATCGAGGACATACCATCAGGTAGTCAGGTTTACAACATCTACGGTGAGTTTCCAAATTCTGAGATTTTGCGTCGTTATGGTTATGTGGAATGGTCAGGATCTAAATATGATGCAGCCGAGATACCACTCAAAACGATAACCAGTGCTGCCCAGACCTGCCTTGGTCTCAGTCAAGAATTCACCGAAAAAGTATTGTACTTAATTGAGCATGATTCTGAGATAAAGGACGAGGTACTCGAGGGTGAATCTATGGTCATGGATTCATACGACTGTTATCTTGACGGGCAGTTTGCCCCGGAATATATAACTACGTTGCAAATCCTGTCCGGTATTGCACTGGTCCCAAAAGTCGAAACTTTGGGAAACGCGGTTCTCTTAGGTTATTTGAAGAAATTGGTTAAGAGAGCAATCCAGAGCGTCAACACAGGAGAAATGACCAGAAATTGTGCAAACACGTGTGTATCAGCCTTGGACATGAGACTACGCGACTATCCAAGCCACAGCTTCAGAGAACCTTCGCCAAGCAGTGAGTACATGGGCGAACTTCGTTTGAGGGAGCGTTTGGCCGAATGCGTTTTGAGAGGCGAAGTAAAGTCACTTCAAAATTGTGCTCATCGGCTGGAAAAGGAATATCAGCTTATTGACGACCAGGTCTTGCTGGATAAAATAATGACGGTAAAGAGGAAAGTAACTTATCAAAAGAATAAATCTAAGGTGGCCAAGAAAGCCAAAAGATGACCTCATGCAAATGTGGAACCGCGGATATATTGCATATAAACAACGATCATAATTTTGTAAAATAGATCTGGCCAGGGGATATTTCGACGCCTTGTACAGTAGCAGAAGTTTTGAAGGAATCATCGGCCGTGGCAACACATAAAACCTTTTTATTTGTGACCACTCTAACCACGCTTTCGTCGAATTTGGGTAGTTCCTCAGACTTTTTGCGGGTCTTCAAGTTCCAACCAAAAACCCTGCCATCTGACCCTCCTGTGTAAAGGTGTTCCCGGGAGCTGAATGCCAGCGTGTTTACGGGAAACACAAACTGTGTATCTGACAAGTTCATACGGTGACACCTGAATGCAAATCGCGAGGATTCATCTTCAAAGTACTCTATGGCAACCCTGCCGTCCACAGAGCTTTGTGCGTAGCCATCGCCGGAAGGCATGATCTTGAGATCTCGGCATTGAAATTTGAGTCCAGAATCTCGTACCACCGGTATATTCATGTTTTTGACGTCGTATACTGCCAGTTTCCCACCTGTATATGCGACTACTATCTTGCTTTCGTTGCAATCTAGGGCTAACACTTTCCTATCTTCAAACTTCTTGTTGTACCACACTTTGCCTGTCTTCAGATCGATGACCTGGATGCTTCCATCCCAGGAACCTGCTACCAGATGGTTTCCAGCTGTACTTATGGCACAAACCCCCAGCTGACTGTCATCACAAACCAGCCTGAACTTTCCAGATTCCATATCGACTTCCAAAACTTCGCCTTGCACTGACCCTACGAATATTCTTCCTCCTGAGGAACTGGTAGAACATAATAGCCCGTGATCGTGCTTCATCGTCAATAACTGCTCGTTGGCATCGCAAGCATACAGGGTCAAAGTTCCATCCCAAGCAGTAACAATAACATTCAGAGTGTCGTCAATTAGGGTCAGATCTGAAATATAGTCCTTCGGAGTATTATTCAAACACTCGAAATACATATTTGAAGCCCAGCGGCGGGTAGCGTCAGTTTATAGTTTATTTTGTTGAAGCTCATCGCCGCAGCCATTTGCATATTAATTAGACAGTCAAATATACATAATCTGCTCAAGTTACCAATTCCATCTAAAGGTAAAAGTTCCAGTTGGGCTCTGGACTTCCGCTAGTCTCAAAAAGTTTGATTCTCGGGAAGCAATGGAATCGGTAACTGGTTTCTTCTGGGACGATGGAACTTCCAAGAAGTCAAGGAGTGGCTCAAATACACATTTAGACAATGAGGGAAAAGCAGCTACCAACGGAGAGCGCAAAAGTAGTACTGGGTCGATTCACGAGGGAAGTACAATCGGAAGCTCAACACAGCAATATCTGGCCGATAAGTTGGTCGAAAAGCTCATTTATATGGCGCTTCCTCCTTCTTCAGAGCTGGCACAGAAAACGATAGAGTACAGGGTAGAGTCTAGCAGAAATAGGCCGGGGTTGTCAGTCCCAATCATGAGTCGTAACTTTATACAAATGAATTCTAGATTGGGTCCACCCTTTCTGGTGATCGACGAGATCATAAAGATTCTAAATTGGTCGAATACAGCGTACACGTTGTCAATACTGTCACTGTTCACTTATATCGTTATGAAACCACTGCCGACCCTTACAAGTATCCCTCTTTTCTACGTTGTATTTGGCATTATGGTGCCACAGTATCTCAGATTACACAAGCCTGATGCGCTCGATGCATTCGAGTCCAACCCAGTGCCTGCGCGGGGGCCTCCCCTGTTAAAACCTGAAGTTCCTAAACCGGTGCCAGAGTTTAGTAAGGAGTTTCTGCTCAACTTGACTGATCTACAAAACCATATGTTGTTATACGTTGTTGCATTTGATTTTATCAACCATATTTTATCACATTTTGCGTTTTTCACCGATGAGAGTATTTCGAGCGCTGCATTTTTAGTACTGCTAGTGATGGCATGGTTTAACGCGCTCTTTATGGATTCGATCACAAGGGTTATTCCCGTTAAGCCATTTCTGATATTGCTCGGATGGGTCTCAGCTTTGGCCCTGCATCCTTACAACCGCGACTGGGTATTGGGCAAAATGACCTCAGAGGAGACAAGGCTACGAGTTCTCCTTCTCTCCAGTAGAATCGAAAGAAGGATCCACGAGTGTTTTGATTACCAGGAGGTTGGGGAAACTCGACAGGCCTCAATTTTCGAAGTGCAGCAGTTTCAAGAGCAAAATAAAAGCTGGAATCTTGTTGGGTACTCTACTGACCACTACACTTTATTCTCCGATTACAGAATATCGGAAAAGGATATTGCAGACGCGGCTCATAGTCTTGACAGTGTCAAAGCGCCGCTAGAGTGGGAGTGGCTAACGGACTCCAGGTGGGAATTAGACCTGGATCCGGTATCATGGGTGGAGCTTGAGTTTGTCGAATATGTTGACATTAACGTAGAAGAGAAGTGGGTCTACGACATATGCTTGGATGGTTCTCGAGGGAGCTACAGAAGGAGAAGATGGGTAAGGGAGTGCACACGGATCGCTGAGGTTGTTGACGCAAAAAGCGATCCTTCAGAAGCCACTATGACGCAAGGAGACGGTGCCGACGTCGTTTCCCCCGCAAGGCGAAAGAGTTACTCTGCGCTTGCTCCAAATATCCCTAATTCCACACCGACAGGCTCCGTGGCAAGTGGGAACAGCAATCTAAGTCGGGATACCTCGGATCCTGGCAGTCCCAATGCCGCCTCGCGAGCTACAAAGAGTTTATCCAATTTCTTAAACTTGCCTTAACTCCACAGATACCACCACTGGCGCATCACGTTCTAAGCCTTCAAAAACATATGATAGCCGCATGCATCATCCAGAAAGCTTACTTTTTTCGCATTTATTTCTTCACCTTTTTAGTAGAAAATCTTCCAAGTTTAAAGACGCGGATTTCTTGTTTGCCTCTTCATCTTTCTTTCTCGATAGCATATTAGCCAGCGTATTCATCTTGCGTTTCTTGGCTCTCTCCTTTCCTGAAGCAAGTTTCTTCACTTGTGATCCATTAACCTCGGCTGCATCATGGCTTGTTTTTTGCCCACTGGGCCATTTTGCGACAAACCCTTCCCTCGGCCCTTGCTGTGACTCTATTCTCTTAGAATTCCCGATATCAAACTGTTTCACTTTCCCACACAAGAGGCATTTATATTCCAAAACTTGGTTGTGGACGCTCTCGTCGTCCGATGCCATAACATCTACGATTGCCATATTTAAATTCAGACCAGCAATGTGGACAACTCCACATTTCTCGCAAAATTTAGTTCCATTTGTCAAATGCTCTGGCAAATGTAAACGATTTCTCTTGGTGCCATTGTAGAAGCTCTTTAAGTAAAGCCCCGACAACTGAGATTGCTCGATGCCGGGAAGGTAATGCAAAAGATTATATTTGTAAGCAATATGGGTAGCAGTAAATCTCTCGCGCTGCTGCCTATTCAGCGACATATCGGTAATTATTATGTACGCTTAGTATGGGTGTTGGCCTATTGGCAATAGCATTGGAAACGTAGCTCGTTGAAATATTCTTTTCAAAATAAAAGATGGTTTAAAAGTACCGAATATCATAATTAACTATAGTTTATTAGGGTGTTAAGAGCTCTCATACCAAACACCCTGCAACACTTCCATTTATAATTACTCTACTGGATATGGGCCTTCCTCGTTCAGTCGTTCCACTAGAATCTAATCCTGAAGTATTCACCCAATTCGCGCATCAATTGGGACTGTCCACCAGGTACGCTTTCCATGATATCTATTCTCTCACAGAGCCAGACTTGATGGCTTTCTTACCAAGACCCATGGCAGCTATAGTATTACTGTTTCCACTCAATGACCTCTTTGAGTCTCTCAAGTCTTCAGATAACGGCAACAATGCAGCAGACACTCTCAATCCCATTTGGCTCAAGCAAACTGTAAGAAACGCTTGTGGGCTGTACGCACTTCTCCATTCTATCGCTAATAACCAGGATCTTTTGCAAATTGATTCAAAACTTGAACAATTCTTGAAACTTAATCATCGTGATGGCAACAAATACGCGGATGATCAAACTGACGATTTCATCGTGTCTATTAGTGAGCTATATAACCAGAGCTCCCACTCGGGCCAAACTGAAGCACCAAATTCAGATGACGAGGTCAACCTGCATTTTATCACTTACATAGAATCTGGAGGGCACATCTTTGAGATGGATGGCAGGAGATCCAATGGTGCCAGATGTTTGGGTGAGTCGTCCTCGACCGATTTATTAGAGGAGCCCCTCGTTAAGAAGAGAGTTCAGTGGTATATGGACAACACAGAGGAGGAGATGAAATTGCAATTCTCATTGTTGGGTCTTGCCCCTAGCTGGGACTGATGTACGATATACGGTATACTGGATGGTGTGAGGTACCTCCCTATATCTGACCCTTTATATCAACTTTTTTAGCTTTCTCGTACTGCTGTATGATGGATAATCTACAAGACTTGGTGTTAAGAAAGGACGTCTCTTGTTGGGTCTCATTTTTGATTAGAATATGCTCGTCAAGACCAAGCTTCTTTAAGAAAGATATGCCTGCATCGTGGTTATCAAGCTGAAATTCTGCAAACAAGAATTCCAATGGAACCTGGTTATAGCTTTTTGAAATTGTTGCAAGAGCTCGCAGTCTCTCACGATTTATGAAGATGTTAACCAGACACCGCGATGGTCCAGAAGTTTTGGCATATAGCCTAAAAAAACAGTGGTAATCTCCCATCAACAGTGATTTAGCCATTGCTAAGGCATGCCTCACCATTGGGTGTCTGTAGACAGCAAGATGTTGTTTGGTTGAGTACTTGAGTTTTAGCTCATTGATGGAATTATGATTATTCGTCATCAAATAGTAGAGAATTCGGTAGCTCACAAACTCCTCCAAATTCGATTTTGCAAGATTTGGGAGCTCAAAAAGATGCCCGAGCCGGCTCTGACATTGATTAAACTCCCCGATATCATCGTTCTCCAGCGCGATACGGGCATGCGTTTGGTAAACCTTGAGTGTGAACTGGTTTTCTATAATTTGCACCCTCAAATCTTGCCGTAGAGATTTGAATTGGTCACACAGGTATGAGTATGAAGCCCCGTCATGTTTAAATTTTTGTAGAACAAGCTCGTATGCCCTTTTTAAGACACTCAGCGGACGAACGAGATCTGGATTTGGCTCCGAGGTTAGTCGCAAATATTTCTTTTCGAGCGTCTGGCATCGCCCTACTACCGGTTTGTTCTTGTCAAACTTATAAAAGTTAGTTGATATTGCGTTCAAGTTCGCGAAATTTTCGTCGCTTTGTACTTTACTGCTTCTACCCAGAACAGCATCTGAAGAAAATCGCTCCATTCGTAGCTTTCTTCTTTCGGCTTCTGAGGGGCCCTTTGTAGCTGATAGTCGGCTATTCTTAGATGACACTGGTTTAGAAACCTTATCTTTATTCTTGGGCGGTAGCGGTCTTTTTGGCAGCATATCCGAAGGAGGAGGAGGCGGTGGCGGTGGTCGAAGCACCTTTGGTATCGCATCACTCGGTGTATTCTGCATGTGGCCCTTTTTGTCGCAAACTAGCTGTAGCTCAGAGTTGGCCTTGGTCAAACAAGGCAAAGTTTGAGACCACCAGTCATTACGGTATTCCTTTTTCTCCTCGTAAGCTTTCCCTATCAAGTCCTTGAGTTGTTGAACTAAAATTACGCTGCTATTTTGGTCAAACTTATTGAGCTCTGCTAACTGAAAGCATCCTAATAAAAACTCCCGCATTCCTGACGGAAATTTTTGATCTTTGTCCTCAATTATCTTCTGTAAAAGCTCCGTCCTCTCCTTGTCAGACATGGTCTTCCTCTTCTCTGACAAACTGCGTTGGCTGCCTGACACATTCCCTCGACGCTGGCCCAAAGAAATCGGTTGGACCTGGTTGTAAACCTTACTATGGACTCGATTAGCTACCTTTCGCTTTTTGTTCTTCTCAAGATCAAAGACATCCGAAAGTCTATTGGGGTCGCCCATCGCCGCAGTCTATGTAGTTGGTAGAGATGTCTCACTGATGAGGTGATGATGTTAATCCTGGGTTTAATTTCTGATGTATGCAACTTTATTATGAATACATATGTACTCCTTATAATGGGTGGCAGGGCTGTCGGACTTGTCGAGTTGGCAAGCGATTCTGACCAGTGGCAGGAGGCCAGCTTTACGCATTATTCTCCCGATGGTATCTTTGTATGCGGTTACGAGTATTATCTTGCGCCTTAGCAAGCTGTTTTGCAAAATCATTTTCGGTCATATTGCCAGCAATTTGTTTTGTGAGCTCGAATACCATACCGTATAAGTTTTGTCTTCGAAACGATATCTCTCTGCTCCACGCATCCCTTTTTGTCAATTCCTGAGCTAGGCTGAAGTCGTAGTCACTGGTGGTGAGAGCCCCTTGGTCTCGCAAACTGTTAAGGTGATCAATGGTGTCTCTATGTATGGCAATCACTGAAAACTTTCCACCAGAGTTCAGTGCCAGTCCCATGCGCTGTTGCAATACGGCTACGATATTCTGTGAGAATTTGGAGCTCTCTTGCTTCTCGTTTCGGAATGCGCGATGTACTATAGGAGCCGGGCGTAAACCGTCCAGCTCATATATGACACCGTTGTGTTCGATGAAGCTCACAAAGTGAAAGACTTCGGCGGAGGGGCGGTCAGAATTTTGCGACGCCTCGTCCATCACGAACGGATCAGGGCTCGAGAACGAATTGTGAACATTTCTGATCTCGTCCGAGTTCGAGATACTCTCTCCACGTAGCTCTGAGTCCTTGAAAGCGGACGTAAAACTTAGAAAGTTTGAAAGCGTTTCTCCGAGCTTTATTTCTTGATGGTCATTTGATAGTGATAAAAGGGTGTTTAGTACAGCCAGTGTTCCACAAGCATTTTGAATAGTCTGATTGGCAAAGAATAGCGAGTCAGGATAGTCAAAGTCGTATTCACCCTGTAAAGGCTCGTTTTTGGCGTAGTCTGTTGAATCGTATTTGAATAAGAAGATGGCACCATACAAAATCCCTGTAAGATCTTGCAGTGAATCCAATATTGGAATTTCTGCAAATTGAACTCCGGAGACACCTAGATCACGCACTAGTTGAGTGAATACACCCGCATCCGATTCGATTGTATTCCAAGACATAGAGCTTTAGCGACAGCTACTCTTGAATGAAGGATAACCCGATCTGTTTATGGTTCACTAACTTAAATTTTCAAATACAACGAAACGACAGAGGACTAAGAAATTTCAAAACTGTATTCTGCACATAACTACAACATCCTTGACAAATTTACTTGCTTTCTAACTGAATCTACTGAATACTACTTAACATTCATCCCTATTATTAAAAGGGTAGCTTCGCAGTTTCGAGAGAGATAACTGTCGTCCAATGAACTGTATTGATGACAATATTCGTATATACAAGGAAAAGTGTATGTACATGCCTCGTCATCGTATCTCTTCCCGTTCTTTATTCAGCAGCTTAAGTTGTTAGAAGAAGTGTCAAGCTCTTAAAACCAAGAATACTGGATACCTATCTGTCCAAGCTCCTCCTTGTGAGAAATGGTGGTCTAGGCTCATTCACCGTAATCTCCAAATCCGATGAGTCCCCCACCATGGCGCGAATGCCTCGAGAAATAATCGAAGTCAATAGAAACTGCATTGGCAAGCAATACCGCTCTTTGATCGAGGTTGAGGATGTGATCGCTCAGGGTTTCTTGAGGATAAACACCGGAAAAGCTCTGCGTGCTGTCCATTCGGATAATGTAAACGCCTGTGTCCGTGAAGAGTTCCCTACCGAGCCCCACCCAGTTTCTATCGACTCCAGCCATAATTTTTCCGTCTTCGTCCGTGGCAGAAAACTCGAAGCTTAAGAAAGGGGCATCAATCTGAGAAAATTGCTTGAAAGAATCACCCACAGAACTGTCCCGCCCGAACAGCTCGTACCGACGCCGCCACAAATGCCAGTTTTGGACACTTTCCCCCACCAATGTGCCTGTCTCTCCCATCGTGGAGGTCGACTGTGGAGTCGGCACCGATCCAAAAGATGAAGCGGTCGTTCCGGCCTGAGAACTAGGTTCCAACGGAACTGCATGTGGCAGAATAGCCTTGATGTGCGAATTTATCCAAGAAAAGGGTCTTTTAATTGTAAGAACAACGTTCCCCCAATTGTCAAACACATCAACGACAAATGGGCGGTGTAGTCTGTAGAATTGACGCATAACTGCCTTAACAATTCCGAAATCTCTCTCCTGCATGTATCCGATGCGATTCCCCAGTGCGTCCATTATCACGTATTTATTGGCCTGCTCGAACCCTAAAAATACGTTCATCATCTCCATCTGCCTCTCTACAACAATTGTAGGCTCGTTTAGGATGGTGGTTGCTACTGCATCATTGGGCTTAATGATTGTATCAAAACCAGTTTGACCTACCGCCCTACTACCTGCCATGACTCCGAGGTCCTCCGGAATACTGGACTTGCCAATATTCTGCTGGAGAACTCTATGTCTTGCAGCCCGGGGCAAAGGTGAATACCACCTCTTGGTGCATATATTCTTGAGCATGTTTGGTAGCTGCTAAGTATGGGAGTGGTGTTAGTACGGAGGTGGTACTTAAGAATTAGTCAGGTTTCTTAGATACTGTCAAGTAAGTAATCCTGAAATATACAAATATTTACACATGATACAAGAAACCCTCCGCCAACAGCCACTCGACTTGAGTGCCGTTCGAACTAAAAGGCTAAATGGAGCTGCCAGAGTAATGTCAAATGCCTGCTTTGGTAGAAAATTAGCTGTATCTCTATTTCTAACTCAGAATTACTGTCATTGTGACAATACTCGGCAAAATTGCAAGTCAAGAGCAAATAAGAGCCACTGCAGGTTCACAGCAAGGCCACTATGTACATTTTTTACGAGAAGCTCCTTGATTGCCATGCCATGCTGTAAGTTCCTCAACAAACCAGCACTTCGTTCAATGTTGGCCGTCTTGGCAAATTTCGAAGTGCACTAGATCAGAAAGTCACAGCCGACCGCAATTATCAGTATTGAACACTTCTGTAGACATCAAGGGCACATTTATTTAAGGTTATCCGTACTGTATGTTTGGATATTCCGGTGATAGCTAAGTGTTATGCCATTTTTTTTCACTAGTTATACAAAAATTTTAGAACACTATTTCATACAGGCCTCTAATATCTTGGAACCATCCGCTTCATCACCACAATAGATACTTGCAAGACTATCTAGGATCCCAAGATGTTTCGCTTCGCTTCTCGAAGAGGTGTTCACACAGTTCCCAAACTCAAAGACGCCGCTGTTTTGGCTGATAAGGGAGTCCATAACGTTTTGAGTGCGGCTGGATTCAAGGTTGCCTGGACGGAGTATCAAAGAAGCTTGTGCGACAAGCTGACATTAGCAACCTCTGGGACTTCTTTAGAGGCGTACCTGCCATTCCACTTGATCCTGAACACTGCTAAGAAGCCATTTCAAACGAACATCTTCAATCTGGCCTCGGCAGCCCACAACAACCATTTGTTTGTGGAAAATATACTGCCTGGCCCAACCATTACGTCACCCTCAAGGTTGTTCAGAAGCCGCATTGAAGAACAGTATGGCTGTTCGTGGGAGGAATTCAAAGAAGAGATGGTACGCCGAGCGGAATCGGATGTCCTGGGCCAAGGCTGGCTCTTTTTGGTGGAAAATAGCGAGAAAGAAATTCACATTCTAACAATTCAGAATAACGGTACTCCATACTACTTTCCACGCAACCAGTCGTTTGACTTGAACTCGGCTTTGAAACTGGAAGAATATTCACAGCTGGACGCCATACAGGCGTTGGTGAAAGAAGGAAACAAAATTCGCGACTGGACCATGCCCTTGATAGCGGTTAGTCTGTGTGATCAGGCGTACCTGCACGATTATGGTGTCAAAGGAAGGTCTCGATACGTTAAGAATGTGTTAGACAACCTGAACTGGTCTGTTGTAAACAGTCGACTCTACACCGGGTTGTCCTGAAAATGCAAGCTCAAAAAGCAAACCGTTTTGTTTCTGCGCATCCCGTTTAACATGTACATAGACTCTTCTTTGCGAAAGCACGACAATTCGTGTTTGCAAATTACAAAACCTTCACCCCCATGATTTTGTTTTGCTCCTTCAGTAGCGTGGCTCTTCCTCTGTCACATAACTTTTGTAGACATAGCTCGCACAGCGTCTGATGCATTCCGTGGAACTCCCACCCAAGAGATTCGTCACCTTCAAGCAGCTCATACAGTGTGACGACCTGGTTGAGTTTTCCAGATGTTTCAAACCACTGCAGTACCAGCGAACTCCACTGTTCCAGACTCCTCCAAAGGATGAAGTACGCCTCGTCGCTATTCTTGACTGCTTTTTGACCTCGCACCATCTCCTTCCAAATTTGGTCGATGAACGGGGCTGGGGCCACCCTTTGTATAGTTTCATTTTTGAAGATGCTTGCGTTTGAAGATTCAGAGTCCCTCAGTATACTGCCTTCATGGTTGAGACACCAGGCCTTGTTATCCTTCGCATAGTTCAAAAGCAGATCGCACCAAGTCGCCAGCTGTTGTTTCCGTATTAGCACATTAGGTTGGCAGGTATAAAGAGGTGGAAAGTTGTATATTGGAGGGAGGCTGTCTGTCATGATGGATGGCGTTGATGTCAAATTAAACAATCGTATTAGGGTGTGAAGAGCAAGTTAATGATCAATATTTAATAAAAGGTGGGCAAGTAATCAAGAATTAGAGCGTCAAAATTAACAAACTTAGACATGAGTTTGAGCATCGAGGAACTCGAAGCTCGGCATGTTAGAGCATATAAAAGGCTTCTTGTATCTCTAGATGATCTTTACTTAGCTACACATAAGATCAAGCCCCAGGATGAATCTGTTCTGGCGATTAGGCGACAGTTACAATCCTCGATGACAATGAGCTCTCCTATAATCCAGGCGATGAGTGGCGACAGTGAATTGGATATGCGTTTGCAACAGCTTTTGCAGGAGAACTACGAGACGGATGGTAGAGTTGCGCGCCACCAGGATGAATTTCTGAAACTACTTGTTCGTTGGCGACAGGAACGATGCAAATATGAGAATTTGGTGGATAAAATTAGACCTGTGGCCGCTGAAGTTAGGGAGCTACAGGCAGGGGATAAGAATCAGGGCAAGGAAAACTCAACCTCGGAACTTGGCGCCGAAAATGAAATATTGAAAGAGCTTATCGTGGGACTGATAATACATGCCGGTTATCAGGGAACCAGCCCGACTATTGACAATTGGATGAAGTATATTGCAGATATCTCATAGCATCAAGAGCACCGACCGGATTTGGCTAGGAAGACCATGCTCGGGAAGAAGCACAAATTCGATTTCGTGGGGTCATTGCACAAGCCAGGCCGTGGCCAATAAAAGCCATATTATCTACGACTGCTATGGAACTATGCAAGACTGCAAAGGGTCCAATTTTTTTCTGGAAGATATGTATCCGCGCATAGTGCAGCGCTGTGCCATGGCAAAATTACTTATCGTTAAAGGATAGCGATGTGCGGGAAATAGAGGAGTCAGAGCGCCTTGTTTGTTCATTGTGTGTCATTTGCGCCTCAGGTCGGTTTTTGACACCCTCCACAGACAACTCAAGGTTTCGAGCCCTTACTCGCTCGACCTGCGTGGCCTGGTCGCACACTGCGCTCACAGGAGCTCCACAAAAATGTGTAGCTTACTTTCAAATAGCAATGGGACGTCAAGCAAGCACCTTTTCTTGCCCGTGAAGCAATTGCTAGGGATCTGTTTGAATACATAGGTAAGACTATGTACTTTGATGTCCGCCAGTCGAACAGAGGTGCAGTTTTCAGTGGACGCCTGGGGTTCATTCAATTCGTCGGTTGGTCAGAGGAACTTTTCTTAATGTCATGGTGCTGTCGTGTGCGAAGGTAACTCGAAAGTAGTTTGTGTGATGTAGGGTAGAATAGTCTTGGGCTGATGGAGAGAGCTATTCGGCGCTCACAGTGGTGATTTAGCAGAGCTTGCCAACATATGGAAATACGGAGGATGATATTTTGGATGTAGAGCAACAGATCTATGGACATCGCGCATGGCATTTTGGCTGTAGAGCAACAGATCTATGGACATCGCGCAAGGCGTTTAGACTATGTGATGACAGATCTAGAGACATCGCGCATGGCCTTTTGGCTGTAGAGCAACAGATCTATGGACATCGCGCATGGCATGTTGGCTGTAGAGCAACAGATCCATAGACATCGCGCATGGCATTTAGACAATGTGATGACAGATCTAGAGACGCGGAGGATAACATTTCGGTGGTATAACAACAGATCTATGGACATCGCGCAAGGCGTTTAGACTATGTGATGACAGATCTAGAGACGCGGAGGATAACATTTCGGTGGTAGAGCAACAGATCTATGGACACGGAGGATAATGTTTTGACTATGTGACAACAAATCCATAGACATCGCGCATGGCATTTATACAATGTGATGACAGATCTAGAGACGCGGAGGATAACATTTCGGTGGTATAACAACAGATCTATGGACATCGCGCAAGGCGTTTAGACTATGTGATGACAGATCTAGAGACGCGGAGGATAACATTTCGGTGGTAGAGCAACAGATCTATGGACACGGAGGATAATGTTTTGACTATGTGACAACAAATCCATAGACATCGCGCATGGCATTTAGACTACGCGAGAAGAGACCTGTAGCCGATAAACTGGCTTCCACCACGTTTCGTGTTTTTGTGTCTTCGCTGTCCGCTTGGGTTTCGCAAGGTGCTTATTCAACCTTGCACAGACGTCGCAATCATCACTTTATACTATTGTGACACTCGATCGGTCTTCCATATTTGGCACCCTGATGCGGTTCAAGCCGCACTAGATCACCACCACTCGGCATTGCCAGCTACATCCCCCAATAGAAGCCTGTTACCGCCGATTTTCAACAAACACATTAGCCCGTCGGCCATTTCCACCGCGGTCGACGCCTGCTTGATCCTGTACCACACCCTCAGTAGTCACAACAAAAACAGGCTCTCTCACGCATTTGAGTTCAAAATTTCAGGGCTTGGCACTCTCACGACTACCACCGTATGTTTTCAGCGAGTAAAGCAGGCGGTCCTCTCCCGGTCTTGAGCTTGGCACGAATGCGAAAATCCTGGCCATAATATCGTCCCCTCACGCACAGCACTAGCTATTTCACGCGAAACCTTTGGTGCCACTGACAGTGGACCTGCTCTTAGACATGCTCTTAACTACCAACTCGCCTCTATAGCGCCACCGTCACCGCCACCTCGGCGGCAAAGTCCTCGAGAAGCTCCACAGGCAAATCCTCATGCGAGTATAGCGCGAGTTTGACGCAAGTATATGCACCGTAATGCGGGTACTGACTTTCTTTTTCGATGGAAAATTTTTCGAATGGAAAAACTTTGGCCATGCCATCTCATCGCATCGCATCGCGCTAACGCAGACGTTCGTGATGACGCTGGTGTTAGTATATAAAGATTACAGAAATGCCCAACTTTACCAACCCATCCCATCACTGTTTCCTTGCAACTTTTCACTTGTAGTCTTCACTCACCCCTTGCATTTGTCTTGATCTTGTTTTTTAATTATTATTCGTACCGGCGTGAGCATCAGCTAGATTCTGTGTGCGGGTGTGTATATATCGGTCGAGTAGCTGTTCAGAAGTATCGTTCAGTGAGCGTATAAAGTTGGGTGAGTCTTCCATTTGACATAAACTGGTAAGAAGGAAATATTGCAAGATGAAGTACGTTATAGTCTCTGGTGGTGTTATCTCTGGTATCGGGAAAGGCGTGTTGGCGTCGTCGACCGGTATGCTGCTGAAAACACTGGGCTTGCGGGTCACCTCGATCAAGATCGACCCGTACATGAACATCGATGCCGGGACGATGTCGCCGTTGGAACACGGGGAGTGCTTTGTGCTTAACGATGGTGGCGAGACGGACCTGGACCTGGGGAATTACGAGCGCTACTTGGGAGTGACGCTGACAAAGGACCACAACATCACCACGGGCAAGATGTACTCGCACGTCATCTCGCGCGAGCGTAAGGGCGACTACCTGGGCAAGACGGTGCAGGTGGTGCCTCATCTGACGGACGCGATCCAGGACTGGATCGAAAGAGTGGCGCGCGTCCCCGTGGACGACTCTGGGGTCGAGCCGGAGGTTTGCATCATCGAGCTTGGTGGTACCGTGGGCGACATCGAAAGTGCTCCGTTCGTGGAGGCGCTCAGACAGTTCCAGTTCCGTGTTGGAAAGGACAATTTCTCCTTGATCCACGTCTCGTTGGTGCCCGTGATCCACGGTGAGCAGAAAACCAAGCCCACCCAGGCCGCGATCAAGGACTTGCGTTCGCTAGGTCTGAACCCTGACATGATTGCCTGTCGTTGTTCCGAGAAGCTGGACGAGCCCACCATCAACAAGATTGCCATGTTCTGCCACGTCGGCCCGGAACAGGTTGTGAACGTCCACGACGTCAATTCGACCTACCACGTCCCACTGCTGTTGCTGGAACAGAAGATGATTGACTATCTGTGCGGACGTCTGAAGCTCCACGACGTCTCTTTAAATGCAGAGGACAAGAAGCGCGGTGAAAACTTGCTGAACAGATGGAAGAGTTTGACCACATCCATCGAGGAATCCTTCGAAACTGTCAAAATTGCGTTGGTCGGCAAATACACCAACTTGAAGGATTCGTACTTGTCGGTGATAAAATCCTTGGAGCACTCTAGTATGAGGTGCCGCCGGAAATTGAGCATCGTGTGGGTGGAGGCCTCTGATTTGGAGCCGGAAACCAACGAAACAGATAAGACCAAATTCCACGAAGCCTGGAACAAACTGAGCACCGCTGACGGTGTTTTGGTTCCCGGTGGTTTTGGCTTAAGAGGTACAGAAGGTATGATTTTGGCTGCCAAATGGGCTCGTGAAAACAGCATTCCTTACTTGGGTGTGTGTCTGGGCCTGCAAGTTGCTACGCTAGAGTTTGCTCGTAACGTATTGGGCATGAAAGACATCACATCTGCTGAATTCGAACCGGAATGCCCAGAGGAGCACCAAGGTGTGGTGTACATGCCAGAAATCGACAAAGAAAACATGGGGGGGACTATGCGGTTGGGTTTGAGACCTACGCTTTTCCAATCCGAAACTGAGTGGTCAAAGATCCGCAAGCTATACGGCGGGGTTCACGAAGTTCACGAAAGACACCGTCACCGCTACGAGGTGAACCCTAAGTTGGTTCCTAAGTTGGAAGAGCATGGCCTAATGTTTGTGGGAAGAGACGAAACCGGAGAGAGATGTGAAATTCTTGAGTTGCGCAACCATCCTTATTTCGTGGCCACCCAGTATCACCCAGAATACATGTCCAAAGTCTTGGACCCATCTCAACCATTTTTGGGCTTGGTGGCCGCTTCTGCCGGAGTATTGGACAAACTCGTGTCTGAGAACTCTCAGGCTTCCTCCGAACGTGCCGAATTTTGAGTGGTGACTCGCTAGAGCACTAAATAGTGTGGAATTCAATGATGTACATATAAATCGTAATCATAAAAACAAATGCATATAATCAAACAAGATTTCGAGGAAATTCCCACACACACACACCCTTGAAGCTCCATTTCATCTTTTTTTGGTTAGCTTAACTACATTAAAGTCATGAATATATAATGTATGCAAAGTGGTTCTCCCAAACCGCTACTTTAATTGGTCAAACCAATGACACCACAAGCGGGTCTGGTACCAGCGTTACCAGTCTTGAGGGATTCCTCGTTACCACCCTTGCCCAAATCGTCGGTACCGGAGTGAACGACCACAGTGCGGCCAACAACAGAGGTTGGGCCAAACAACTTGACCAAAGAGTCAGTCAGCGAACCCTTGGCGACACCTTCAGCGTTGGTGGGGATGTTGCCCAAGTCACCAACGTGTCTAGTTTCGTCGGTTGGCGCACCGTGGGTCTTCTTGAAGGGGTTGAAATGAGGACCCGCGGAAGTGCACCCGTTGGTGTTGTCACCGAATTCGTGGATGTGGAAACCCTGTTGCGAGTCGCCCTTGAAACCGGTAATCTCGTAAGAAATGGTGGTTGGGGTGTTTTCAGCGGTTTGCTCCAAGTGAACAATACCGGAAACACCGGCGTCTCCTCTTAAAACAGCAACTGTCGAGAGTGAACAAACTAGTCAGTACCAATTCTACAACAAAGCGGTAGCCATAACCGGGGCGTGCCAGTCTTTGAACGGATCTACGCGACTGTACGACCTCCGTAAGAAATTCCAACGGCCCTTTTCTGCTGCGAAAGGCCCCTAAAGGCCTTAACCCCGTTGCTGCGCGCTACAGCAGTTCCAATTGCAACCACATACCTGCTTTAACCATTGTTGATCAATCTTCGTGTCTCTGTCTGAGTCAGTGGTTCAACCTTGGTGGTGGCGACAAGACGGCAAGCCTAACGGTTAAGCCTTATATAGAAAATGGTTTAGGGAAAAAAGGGATGGATGGCGGCTCATGGCCGGGTGATCTCTTCGTTGGTTGTGACTAGCAAATTGGGTCGAAAATCGACTGGAGGGTCACGTGCGCGTGAATGTTTAATGTTGGGAAGCAGGTCGGCAAACACCGAGGGGATGGGAGGCCTAGCCATCGGGCAGCTCAGGAGCACAGAGTGCTAGCCCAATTTATCTTACATCACACATATTCAAGACGAAAGACGACGGACGCTTCCCCTTGCCTCATGGAGCGATGAGCTCCACTTTGTGTCGGAAATAGGAAAACCCACCCTCCGCTGCTCGTGGGTCGCTCTTCTTATTGGCAACGGTCTGAGCATGTGTTTGTCCTACCTCCGCCTCTTTGCGTTTGGACCTGGTCCTGGCGCTGGTCCGAGGATTGTGTAGAAGGTCCCTATAACAATCATACCCGTGAATAGCCACATAGCCGCATCTGACGGTCTCCTGAAGATCTTTTGTATAGCCCCAATTACACTGTTATCGTAAAAGAATGCCATTTCCAACGACGGCACGGAAAGACTCTCTGGTTAGCGTGGACGTTGTCTTGGCGTTCGGGTGTGTTTACCTGCTGTTCAGCTCATCTCAATCTGTCAGTTATATGGGTAATATTAATATTGAAAACCCATGGCCTGCCAGTGGCGTGAGAAAAGAGAGGTTCTGGAACCGATGATCTTTTGGATAGTTAAGCTATTTGTTCTCCTACTTCTTTACTTTCCGGTTGGCGTCCGTAGCTACGCCGAGGCTGATGCAACCTCTGCTGTTTTAGAAGAACTTGGCAAGAGCGATCTGCCAGTTCTTGTGATGATGCATATGCACGGGTGCCAGTACTGTCAGGACCTGGAGCCGAATTTTGAGTATTTAGAACGGGTTTTCCCCGAGCGTATAGCACTCCTCAAGGTTGACGGCAAACGTGCCACGACCTTCGCGAGAGAAATGGATGTGCGCAGTTTCCCAGAGGTGCTTCTATTTGACAAAAGTCCGCGCTCGCCGGGGTCGGAAGGTCAACAGACTAATCTGGCGATAAAGGACCTTTACAGCCGGTATTTGGGCCGGTTCCACGGAGCGCGAGAATTGGGTGCTCTGGCCTCTTTTGTCAGTCAGGCTACCGGCATCAAAGCATACTGGCCGGATTCTCAGGTCCAGGACCTGACGCATCCTTCAGCTCACGACTTCGACCTCCTGTGGAGTTCAGAAAATGGAACCATCTGCATGCTGGTTTTCGTTACGCCGTGGATGGACCCAGAGTATTCGAAAATGTTTGATGGGGAGTCATCCACCAGTCTTCTCGATCGAATCGGCGAATCAGAAACAGCTCGCAGTCTGGGACTGCAAATCTTCCGAATAGATGCCTCTAGTGCTTCAACCGCCGAATGGACCCGCGTTTTCCGGATCCAGAGGTCTCCAACTGTTGTCTGGATGTTGCCCGGTGGGGATTACATTCGCCTGGAGTGGCCCAAACGGCCCTCTGAGCTCAGAGGCCGAATGCAAGAAATATTGCAAACATTTCTCACGCGCTGTATTGAAGGCAGTCGGTTTTCGTCGTATTGCAGCGAATACCTGAAGAGTGTCCCCGGGACTCGCTTTTCGCAATCAAGTTTAAACTCGCAGCTATACGAAAACGAAACCGAATTTGACAGCAGTTTTACAGCATTTGATATAGAACACGAAGAACTGGACGGTGTAGAATATGGAGCGGAGGACGAGTGGCTCTTCGATTCGTTACGAGAAATATGACGCAGCAACGAGAGTATAACCTGGTCACTTTCGACGAACGGTGTGAATTCCAATTCTATTGATGTTCGAATTCAAGCTAACGTCAATGTGCTTCAGTACCCGATAGTCAAGAAGTCGACACCCTGTCGGTCAAGTATCTTACAGCATGTTCAACATATTCAGAATCTCTGCGGATCTGTCGCATTTGGCCAGTATTGTTATCCTGCTGGAGACAATTCGGAAAACAAGACAGGTCGACGGTATTTCCTTAAAAACCCAACTTCTTTACGTTTTGGTATTTTGCACAAGATACCTAGATCTTCTGACTTTCAGATGGACTTCGCTGTATAACACGTTGATGAAGTTTTTCTTTATCGGTACCTCGATCTATGTCATCAAGCTCATGCAGGAGTGCAAGATTAAGAACCCGGTTGCTTATAAAGACATGATGGCACGAGACACCTTTCAAATCAAATACTTACTCGGACCTAGTGCCATCTTGGCGATGGTTTTCAACTATAAATTCACAATTTTGGAGCTTTGCTGGAGTTTCTCTGTCTGGCTGGAGAGTGTGGCTATTTTACCACAACTTTTCATGTTGTCGCGGTCAGGGAAAGCAGGGACGTTAACCACGCATTACATATTTGCGTTGGGCCTCTATCGTGCACTATACATTCCCAACTGGATCTGGAGATACTATACTGAGAATAGATTTGAGAAGCTTTCCATCTTCACAGGTTTGCTGCAGACTGCGTTATACTCGGACTTCTTCTACATTTACTACAAGAAAGTCATCAAAGGGGGTGGATTCGAGCTGCCCCACTAAATCATTCACTTACTGAGTTTTTCGCACGAGGCTTCAACACCACGCGATGGACTTTTCGTCGAAGTGTTGTCTTAAACTCGGTATAAACCTACATATATCCTGTGTAAATTATTTCTACATTTGCTCGGTAAGACATGCTCAACTTTTAATCTCTCTTTAGCTCGAAGTACTCCGTGCGAACGCCCTCTTTGGTGACAATCAATATCTCGACACCATCGCCGACGTGAATGTGTCTCTCGGTTGCCGACGAAAATGCATCTTTTACAAGTTGCACCACTTCTTCCACCGATAAATATTTCAATGGTCTGCGTTTTGTTCCGTTACTTTCTGGTTCATATTGGTTTTTGAAATTGACCTGATTGTCTAAGAATGGCATGATGAGCGCAGCGGCAGCACCTCCTGCGCGGCATTGTTCTCTTTCGTATGAGCCCACGGGGTCGAACGAATAGACTGCGCCTTTGCCCTCTTCATCCAGGCCGGCGATAATCGTGTGTACGTAGTAGGGGAAAAATCTTTTCCCGTACAATAAATGTTGTATATTCCTCGCAGCAGACTTGAGAGATAGTTTCTTGTCGTTGTGATCAAAATGATACCATTTGAGACTGTTTTGGAATCTCTTCACCAATGCAGTGCCGTCCGCTGCAAAACCGTTGGCCGAAAAAAGAATGCTGTCTCCGCAATCAAAAACTTTAGGTTCATATCTCGAGTTGATCGAATAATCCGTTGTATGTCTTGTGTCTCCCGCTAACACTGCGAAATCCTCGCCTGCAATCCCTAGAATTGTACCTCCATTATCTGAATACGGATTGAATTGATGCTCGATCGGGACATTTTGCACTTCATTAGAATATTCTGACGCTATGGTAGTAGACATATTCAATAGCTATCAGAGCACAGACTCTGCTATACGTCTTGATTTCTTAAAGAAATGTTTCTAGTCACTAAAGGTTTCGGTTCGCCACTCTACGACCTTGTTGATTTATTGAGTACTCGAGTACGGGTGACAGTGGCATAAAGCCAACAGGTTATTTTACACACTTAATACAACGCATTACCATTCAGTCTAGTCTACAGGTTTGATATTTCCCTTTCTGGCATCTACAGGTCAGCTAAGTTCGCAGCATGGATATAGCCATAAGTGAAAGCCACAACATGCATCACAGTTTCAAAGTTGATATGCTCATCAACGGAATGAATGGTGGACAGGGTATCTTCCATAGCGAAACCAGGCTGGTAGCGATAAATGTTCTCCGTCAAATTCCAGTAGTGGACTGTGTCGGTATTTGCAGTCATGATACTAGGTGCCACAATTAGTTCTCTGGACTCATTGAATTTCTGGGGGAAAATGACATCCTCGTAGAAAGTTTTAATTGAGCCAGCGAATAATCCCCACACCTCGTTGGGAGGCGACACTGGTGCAGGCTCGGGACCAAGTTTATATTCAAGTTTGAAATTGCCATTGGGGGTAGCGGGTAGAATTTCTTCACCGTCAGCAGTAAGGCCTAAATTATACTTGTGAGCTACCTTCAAAATTTTGGTCAGGAAGGAATCAATAACCTCGGCAGAGCCCGATTCTACCGAAATTCTTGAGTCGACAAAGAACGAGACGGTCTCTGGGAGGGCGTTTGCCTTAATGCCACCGTGAATAATGTCAAATGCATGCGTACTGCGAAACAAGTACTCGGTTTTCCTGCCTCCGGTTTCGAACAGATACTTCAGCACCCTGCTGTTCGCCTCGGAGTTGATCATAGCGGTGGCAAAGTCCTTCTTGATACTGGGAGACATGGTGTCAGAATGCTTCGCAATACAACGGTAGTAGTGGGAAACAGGATTGCGTTCCGTGAACGCAGCAGGGAACTTTTCGCTCTCAATTTCAGAAATTACTTCAGCAGCAATGCCGATGGAAGTGTGATCTGGAGGGACCGAAGAGTGGCCACCTGGTGTGTTGAGATGGATCCACATGTCGAAGCGTCCCTTTTCTCCGGTACCCGGCGCGGCGATCAAGACACCATCAATTTCCTTGACGCCTACTACCCCTTCATCGATAATACTCAGAAGACCATGGTGGCCGTACCTTTCTTCTAAAACAGAAGCGATGTACTGAGCTCCGAAGTGGCCGCTGATTTCCTCGTCGAATCCAGAAGCTATGATAATACCGCGCTCTGGCGTGAAATCCTTTTCTTTAGTCAGTAAGTATTCCACCGCTTGCAAAACACCGATGAGCTGGTTTTTGTCGTCGAAAGAACCGCGTCCCCACATAAGAGTGCCCCACTCGGCGTCTTCGGTAAGGTCTCCTGAGAAGGGCTCGTGTTGCCACTTATCCCACGTCTTGCGTTCCACAGGAACCACATCCTGGTGTGCTGCAAACATAATCGGCTTCAACTTGGGGTTGGAGCCCTTCCAGGTGATGATCAGCCCATAGTGGTTGACTATTTCGACCTCCAACTTCGACCAAACGGCAGGGAAGTCTTTGGCAAGCTGTTTATGAAGTTTTTTGAAAGGCTCCCAACACTTGTCGTTGGCGTCGACTTCTGGATTCACAGCGGTGTCGAAGATCTCGGTGGGGATGCGAACCGCATTTTGCAGTTTCGCGATCGTTTGGTTGCGCAATGCTGAGTCCGCCAATAAATTGTGAACCTTGTGAACCGGCAGCTCTTCGGATTTGTTTACAAAATCACAAATCAAAGGAGCCACTGGAGGCGACGTAGCCCTATGTGCGATGTTCGTGGCCTCGTAAATACACACTATCAAAAGTGCTGCCAACCCGGAGAGGAACCAGTTGCGCTTAGACCTAAAAACCGAAACTGGCTGGTCAAGAGCAATATAATCGTCGGACATTCTGAACAATATATAAGTTCCAGCAGCGTACGAGTTGTCGAATCAACTGTGCGAGCTATAGGTAACTCGCTTAACAGCATTCAAAGTACCATCATTTATATATAACACCGGTGATTATTCCATTGAATATTTCATGATAAAGTGCTATCGGATAGGAGCTTCCTGTTTAGGATTGTGCACCGAGATAAGCCAGACCATTTTTATCGAAAGCGAACCATGTCAACTCTCAATAAAATGTTTGAGCTGACTATCCAGACTTTGAGAAGCTCTGTTACCGACTGCTGTCGAGCAGGTTCCCAAATGCGCAGCTATGAAAGGCTCCCGAAATCTCGGTTGGACATGCGCCCATGAGTGCTAAAGTGATCTAGGTGACAGCGTCAGCGAAGAGTCACGATAAAGGAAGGGAGAATAAATAAGAAATGATACAATATGAAGAGAAGAAGTGCAGAGAATTTTATATCGCGTCAACCCTTTTCACACCTTTAGCTGCTGTCAGTTGTGACCCCGTCTCTCAATAACACGATTACTATTATTTAGTATTAGGCTTTATGTATTGTATAGTATCCATTGGGCAGAGTTTGCTGTTAATATCAGGCTGTCATATGCGGGCGTCATATCGTTCGTAAGCGGGCATCAAGTCGTTAAAGTAAGAAGATCCACATTTCGGGCGTATCGGCTTTTTGTGAACTAACACAGCGAGACGACCGATCCGCGGGACAAATATCTAGGAACGGGTCTCTCGAGAACGGCATCGTCCTCGTCGTCCGCATCCAGCTCGTCCTCCTCTGTTATGGCGACCAATGTGGTCGTTGCAGCTTGAAAACTGTGCTCTGCGTTGGAACCCGAATCTGAGTGAACTACCCGATACGTTTTCTTGACGGGGCACCCCATGAGATGTGATATCGAATCTGCACCGAGATCCTGATCCGGATCAGATTCTCCGCTGTAATCGTCTGGAGTGGACTCCTGGTCCGAATCCGAGTCGGACTCGGAGTCTGAGTAGTATTCTCCAGATATCGCACAGTTATAAGCGTCCACGTCCTCTTGGTGCGCGCACTGACTGTCCGCGCGTCTTTCCTCGAGCGACAGTCTATCCAATAAATTTGCGTGGCCCACCAAGATACGCAAATCTAAATCCGTGTTTTGTTTGTTCAGCGCACAACCTAATAGCTTCCTCTGGGCCATGTCTGCCAGCACATACCTCTGCGAGACCGATAACAACAGTGGCATGCGGTATATATGATCGATCTTCTATGAAATTTCTGGACGACGCTAAGTTCTCTTCAGCTGGGAGCCAAACCAGGTCATTTATTCAAGCTTCAATCATTATATATCATTCTTGATGAGCTTCGAATAGCCCATGTTTGTTTGCATCTTTGCCGAGACAATTTTCTCTACAGACGCCGTCATTGCTTCGAGCGAAAAAAATTAGAGCCGTCGGATTCCAACCGACAGATGCTCATCCGCGAACAATCGCAGATTCAAAAACAGCGCATTGTCCAGGCACAGTAGTATGTAGACGTTATACGGATAAGATCCGCAATCAGACTGCGTTAAATAGGAAATTCCGTAAAGGTACCAAGATACAGCCCTTGCGGAACAATAGGCGGAAGCGCAGACGTGGTGGTAGGCATGATAGCCGTTATTCGCGTAGCCGACTATGCGCAGGTCTGGGAAGGCGAACGAATAAATACTTTTTAGAGCTTGCCGGATACGTAGTTGCTGAGGTAGCGAATAATGGTCATGTTAAAGAGTGTGAAGAGACCAGCAAGGAAACCTTGGAATTAGTTGGTTTCTAGCGAGGAACTGTGTGTGAAGAGCTGGCGTCCAGTAAATCAGTTGTGTGCGTCGTATAGCGAGTAACTAAGGTGGACCTCAGTGGGGTGGTGACCAGGAATGAACAAGGGTTTTATATACTATTCTTGAGCTCTCCTAAACCCGAGTCGAGAGTTCTCACATGCGACTCGGTGTAATAGCGCCCATAGACAGGACGCTTAGTTACGCACTCTACTTTTTCGATTACGTCCCGATCATTAAAATGACCTCTGCGTTAGTTGCCTGGCACCCCGATCTCACTACACTTGTTAGTACAAATCTGTAACCCTTTGCAAGTAGTGCTCCAGGTAGTAGAGTAACTGCTGGACGTACAGCTGAGATCTCTCACGTTACTGCCCTGGCCGGCCTTATTCGATTGCTTGGCGACACACTCGTTCATGGTGATACACATGCTTTAGCGCGATGACGAGGCCTCTCAACTTAACGAGGGAGTCGCTTCACCCAAAAGACTTGTGAGAGTCTGCAGCCGCCGATATATTGTTACAGCTGTCGGGTGGTAGTGGTCTTGCGGTTTTTAGCATCGCCAAGATGCATAACGGGCAACGCCAATATGTAATCAGACTAGTACGAAGTGACACAGACTACGTCAGTAAAACAAAAATGTTCCAGGCGAAAGGTTAATGAATGGGGCCCAGGGAACACCAAACTCGTAGATATTCCGTTTCAGTTTCCCAAAACCCCCACTTGTTGGGTTGCTTTTTATTGAGGCGAATCTGATTCATCAGTAGAAAGCTTACTAAATTTGTCTTGTAAGTCGGACATAGTCATTGTAAGATGAGTAACCTGGATCTAGGGAATTCTATTTATCTCTCCGTGATTATTTTAGGCATTAGAGTTGGTTCAGTTACCTGAACAAAAGCCTGGTATTTATACAATTCTCACTCGGTGACTCTGGTCAACATATTTATTAATCACCAGTTCTAGATCATTCTATTACCCAAGGATTACGGCTTCAATGCCGTACACTACCGATAACTTATCAATGGACAATCCTATTGGACAATAGTTGTTCTCTTCGGTTTGTCTTAGCTTTTAGCTCTATTTGTATGGCCTTGATTGTGTACTATCATTCTGTACCACTGTGTCACATATTCACTGACGCTGATTATGCGATTAGACGCACATCACCATCAGTTTATTCATATTATTCCCAACACTTTTTGGACTTTTTTGCCTTACGAACACCTCCTTTATTCCAATCAGATCCTCATATAGAAACTGGTAATACTTTTTGGGCATGTGCCTAGTTCCTACCCTATATACTCCCCGAGAGACGCGCAGACGTCGCACAATAAGCTCCTACTCCGTATTCAAGGTGCTCCGAATATAATCCACGATGTCTATTTACAGCTTCAACGAACAGCACAGCCATTCAACTCGTCTGCACGCTCACTCGCTCGAATATCCGCTATTCGCTCAGCACTCTTGATACTGGTCCTTTTATACGGGTGTGACGCTATTTTCAAAGTCCAATTCTCTTCCCCCTACAGCTCCCAGCCCACACCACCTAAAAGCCCATAAAGATTTCAAAAGTGCTTGAGACATTGGTAAGCCGCTACTGCGTCACTGCCCACTTAAACCAAATTAATTCAAAGATTACATTAATGTCAGCTTTCACGAACCAATCATTTCCAGGCATTTGTGAATTCGTTAGTTCAATGTAGTCACCTGACCCTCAAACTCATCAAGAAAATACCGGTATGTCCAAATAAACTATTGAAAAGTTTTTGGAACTATCTGAGCTATAACCCAGGACTTAAAACAGCGTCAAAACCCCTCGCAGGTCGTACTTGAAGTTCAATACTCGAGAGTATCTATAAAGGCTCCACCTTGAATATTAGTTCCTTTTTTTCCCGGGTCAAGTTTCACCAACATCGAGGATAATTTCCAAATTGCTGTTACCGTGAGATCATCAGTCTAAGTCATCGAGTTCCCTGTTGTCTTTGTGCTGTAAATAACCTTTCCAATTACAGCTAATCTGTATTTTATTTCATCAAACTTTAGGATCGAACCATATACCGCAATGCTTAGAAACTCCTCCAGATCTGTGTTCAAAAGAACGTTGGCTTCCCATGCTAAACCTCAGGTCACTGAGTTGTCCAACGGTCTCAGGGTAGCTACCCATGCCAACGACCAGTCTGCGTCTGCTACCGTTGGTATCGTCTTTGGCTCGGGCTCCACTGCCGAAAACCCTTACAACAACGGTGTTTCCAGCGCTTTAGGCAACCTGTTCAAGTCTCAAGGCGCGCTACCCGCTGCCAAGGCTGGTGTTCAGCTGTCATCTACGGTTTGCAAAGACTCTCAATCGTTTTTGGCCTCATACAGCGGTGCCGGTCTAAACAAGTCTCTAGACATTTTACAAACTCAGATTGCTGGCGCCCTTGGGTCCGCTTCTGACAGTGCATTTGCTCAGGCTACACAACAATCTCTACAACAAGCTGAGGAATTCGAGCTAAATAACCACGCCGGCCGTGTTGTGGAGCATTTGTACTCAACGGCTTTCCAAAATACTCCATTGGCTTTGCCCGTGAGAGGTACCGCTGAAGCCTTGCAAGGCTTGGAAAAAGCCGACCTTCAAAACTTTGCTGCTAACCACTTCCGCAACTCCAATGCTGTCATTGTGGGCTCTGGTAACTTGGCTCACGATGAACTTGTCAAAGCTGTTGAATCTCAATTGTCCTTGCAATCCGGTGACAAGCCTGTGCAAAAGAAGCAATCTTCTTTCTTGGGTTCTGAAGTCAGACTAAGAGATGACACTTTGCCAAAGGCATGGATTTCTATTGCCGCCGAAGGTGAAGCTGTTACCTCTCCTAACTATTATGTTGCCCAGGTTGCTGCTGAAGTGTTTGGTTCTTTCAATGCCGCTGAACCTTCTTCCAGACTGCAAGGTATTAAGTTGCTAGACGAAGTTCAAGAATACCACTTGTGCGACTCTTACAACCACTTCTCCCTATCCCACAAGGACGCTGGTCTATGGGGTTTCTCCACTGTAATTTCCAACGTTCACCAAATCGACGACCTAACTCACTTCACCTTGAAGCAGTGGAACAGATTAACCATCTCTGTAACCGAGCAGGAAATTTCCCGTGCCAAATCGTTATTGAAATTGAAGATCAGTAGCGCCGCCGTTGATAACGTTTCTATTGCTAAGTCTCTCGGTGCTGACACTTTGGCTCTAGGGTCTGCCTCCGACCTATCTCAAGTGTTTGAAAAGATTGATGCTATCACCGCTAAGGATGTCAAATCTTGGGCTTCCAGTAGATTGTGGGATCAAGACATCGCCATCGCCGGTACCGGTCAAATCGAAAGCTTGTTCGATTACATGAGACTAAGAAATGATATGAGCATGATGAGATGGTAGTTTGGTTTATCTCGTAACCAATTGGTAGCCGAGATAATTGGTCATAAAATTCTATTATGAAGCTCATGAAAAATCGACAGAATTTCTTTGATTTGTTGAGTTCAAGCATTGATATTCAACTTTTCATATTCAACTCCACGACTTAGATATTATTTATCCGTACTTGAAATACAAGAATAAAAATTTTAACATTTTTGACTATGCATAATGGTAACCTCTTCCTTTCAACTCTGTCCTCATCGCTTTATGGTGTGAGCGACACATCTCTTTCACAAAGATATGCATTAGGCTTCGATTACTGTCAAGAAAAATTGTGGTCGGGCATAAATGCAATGAGGTCGCAACTTTTATAAGACAGGCCGGCTCGAGGCAAACGCGGCGCAGTTGTTAAATTTTGAGGCTATTATCTATTCTGAATTTGAAAGTCGCCCTCCTTCCTACCCTTGTTGCCAAGTGGACTGCTCTCTATGAAATCCTCATTGGCTAGAGCAAGCACTTTTTTGGAACTCGACGGCGTAGCCGGCTTAGGTGAAATTAGCATAGAAACCTGCTGTTCCAAAGTGGTGCTGTGGACCGCGGAACCATTCATGAACAATGGTGAATGAGCTAACGCATCTTTAGTGGTAATGGTTGCTTTTTGTTTCTTGGGGGTGGTGCTACTAGGGACATCGCTGTCTTCATATTCAAAATCGTCAATCTCGGTGGTTTTTCGCTTGCGCAATGCTTCATCAGCTTCCAGGTCTTCGTCTTCGCTGGTTGTGTCTTCTTCTTCCAGGGCGCCAGCGCCATTCGAGGGGCCACGGGAGTCTCCAAATTTTCCGCCTCGCACATGAGTAATTTTTTGTAAATTGTCCCGAGAACCATTTCGTATTTGCTCTTCTCTTTGATCGTCTTTATCTTGCGACTCTAATTCTGCATCAAGAACTTCCGCTTCTAAGTTGTTATATTCATCGTCTTCGTCCACGTCTTCGTCCACGTCTTCGTCCACGTCGTCGTCCACGTCTTCGTCGACATCTTCTTCGTCAACGTAATCCCCATCTTCTTCCTCTTCTTCTTCTTCTTCTCCTTCCTCTCCATAGACTTGATTGCTGTTACTTTCGTGGGCATTTTCAAAATCGGCATCATCGGTGTTTACTAGGTCTTCCCCGTCATCTTCTATCTCATATCCAAAGTTGACACTTACGGTAGCCTCGATCTCTCGCAGAAATGATCCAAGTGCCTTCTCTTCACCTTCTTTAACCCATGATATCCTAGCCATCGATACGTCGCCAGCATCGCCAATCTGCTCGCAAGCAGTATCCTCAAACTCCAAAGCGCTGCTCACCAAGCAGCATCTCTCAAGAGCATTAACAAACTTCGCTAATTCATGGGTTTTGAAATATTTCAGAGGGTGGTAACAAACTTCGCATATCCTTTGCATCGTGAATGGATACACGCCATTTTGCGTGAATGTGGAGTTTAAATGATGCGACAACCTCTGGAGACGCGAAACGAGGTCCCTGGTATCTGTGCTTACGTCAAAAATCTCATTTGGTATGGTCTCCGTCATATGGGTAAGAACTTCGGGTATCAGCGTTTCGGGTTCAACTTTCTGAAATATCGATACATCTTTCTCGATAACAATGGCTGTGAGGTTTCGATCCAGAAAGCTAGATTTTATTCCCATCATTTTTGTTTCTCTGGTATATTAACAGGAACAGTGTATAATAAAGATAGAACCCGCGTAAGATTCCTAGTTAATAACCTATGCTTGGGCCTGCTATTCGAAGTTCGAACAGAAACGCCAATACAACAAAAATACCTATACAACGTAAATGAGCCAGGATTCTAGGCTGTCACGTGACTTGGTGATCCCTCCTTTACCTGGGGTTAGATTGTTGTTCAGCAAGGTATAGTGGATAGTTTCAGCGAAGTATGATATCATTCTTGGGACCGTCGATACGTGCGCTGTGCGCCAGATATGTATCGCATTCTTGTCATTTAAGTCAAATGTCAAAATATCATCAGGAACTTGAAGTTACATTACAGCGACAAGCACATTTACCGTCAAGGGCTGCCCACGTACTCTTTTCTTATGCTGATCAACGTTATTTTTTAGCTTAGGAGCCACTTTTTCGGAAAATAGAGCATGTTGCATTCTTTCGAAACTTCAGAATTATCTGTATTCACCATGAACAACATAAAACGAGCCCTGGTAACTGATTCTACAGAATGGCACTGCAGAAGTGAATGATCGCGTAGATGGCAGCCCTTGTGCACAGCTGAATAACAACTTAAACATCGTCTTATCGTTCCGGGATTAAATGGTGCGATCTCCATGTTACTCTCGTAGCTCTTATCACATAAGTATCTTAGTAGCTTTACAGCGCGCCAGCCCGCTAACCCGCCTCGAAGGCAAGGGGTGCAATGCCATATGACAGGTGGAGCCTGGGGTCATCTGTGAGCATATGGGGAGCCAAAGACACTACACATGAGCGTTGGAAGGGAACCATACCAGTGATAACCCACTTCAGTGAATATGATAAAGACTTGAAGCTCTTGCACCCCTATGAAGGTGATTTGAAAGTGGAAACAAAACTTCTGTTAACCGCCGAGCTTTTTATAATAAAACCAAGTAACTACTTACGAGTGTGTCGTTGCTCTAATTTCTGTGATCCTATCATACGAAAAGGGCATCTTGAAAAATTTTTGGCACGGTAAGGACAACTATCTTAGTGATCAGCGCTAAGAAAACCGTTTCCGCTGGCCATACAGGGCTCAATGTTCGCTATCCAAAGGCAATTACGGGTTGCACGTATCTCAAGAGTATTTGGGCTCCAAAATGCTTGTTTGAGCACAAGGCAGTTCAGCTCCCATGGCTTTAGGCTGCAGCAAACCTTGAAGACCGACGCACTCAATGATAAAGCCCCAGCAAAAAAAAGCGAAGAGCTTTCGGACCAGGAGGTAGATTCGTGGCTAGAAGCTATCGATTCGCTAAGATCAGAATTCACAGAACAGCAGTACATGCCGGAATCGTCGCTGGCTGGCCCCGGACAATCGAAAATCAACCTGCTGGAAGAGGCTCTTAAGGCCAAGAAGGTATTTGAGCCTTCGGAAGCGCAAATAGCGGAATGGGAAGCACTAAAACTGGTACCACTCCCTTTGCGTCAAGACGAAACGGTGCAACACGTCACAAACATGATGATGCGTCACGGGAAGAAGCAGCGTGCAGAAAAGACCCTTTCAAGGGCACTATACCTAGTATATTGTCACACTCGCCAGGACCCGCTGAAGATGCTGAGAAAAGCACTTGACGATTTGGCGCCTTTGATGGTGGTCAAAACTTTCAAGACAGGCGTCGCCAAGGCTGCGGTGATCCCCGTGCCTTTGAACAATAGACAAAGAAACAGAATAGCCTGGAAATGGATCTCGGAGGGTGCAAATAAAAGAAGTTCTAGTGACCTTGCTGTGAGGCTGGGCGAAGAACTGATATCTGTTTTCAAGGGCAACAGCTCTGGTTTTGACAAGCGGGACCAAATGCACAAGACTGCAATTGCACACAGGGCATACATCAGGTTGAAGTAAATATGATTCGTTTCTTTCATGTAAATATAGATAATTTGACTGACTTTGATGAGAGCCTGAGAATCGGTCATCCCCGCCAAGGGTACTCATCGACCATAAAGGCCGCTACAATGCCCGAAAGCGACCCTCCGACGTTGCAAGCGATGTCCCAAACGTCGAAACTTCGTTTTCCTTGAGAGAGAATATGTTGGGCGTACTCGCTGCCCACGCTGGCCAGCCCTACGCACACGATCACGGCCAACATATATTTGTCTACTCTAATCGACCTCGTCAGACCTTGGACACTAAACCTAAGCGCAAGTATACGCTTGGCAATTGCCTTTGTGAAGAGCCATGATTCTAGTCCAAAAACCCCAAAATGTGCTAGTTTATCATGCTTCGAAGTTATGAAGGAAAACCGCGAATCAGTAGTGAGGCCTAAGTAGGCCCACGATTAAAGATGACGCTAAAAGGATGCTCAGGTATTTCTTGTTGACAGCAGTCATTCTCCTCGTAGTTTAACCTGCCGGGAATAAATTGACTGCGATGTAGTGTTAAAGACAGGTAAGACTTCATGATGATCAAACACATAATATAGTGCACTAACAACATTTAAAAAATAACGACAACTGCAGGATTCGAACCTGCGCGGGCAGAGCCCAAAAGATTTCTAATCTTACGCCTTAACCACTCGGCCAAATTGCCAGTTACTTAACACTATACTAAATACAACTTGTATAAGTATTGTTTATACTTCTCATGACTTGTTATGTGAGTAACTTCAACCCAAAGAATGAAACTACTGAATTATTCTTACACCAATGCATCTCGTTGTGTCACTAATGACTTGGGTTCTTCTGAATCTAGTTTTCCCCTTCGTCTGATCTACCGGCTTCATTTAATATACTATGTCCTGTCTCTGACTCCACCGCGAGGAGCGTCACATTGACGGGCAGCCTCGAGTCGTTTTGTTGTCTCGAGCGAGGCTGATATGACTCAGCTCATGCTGAGTCATTAGTATCTCATAGAATTTGTTGGCTAGCACCTGATCCTTGACCTGCCATCAATATTATTCTTATCATAATCACTATCCCAGGTTCCCCACAACTTGCTTCTACACAGATTTAAAAACTGAAACGAAAGAGAACCACTCTTAATGTGATGATGGCTATTCAACTTGCAAATTATGGTGCCCTTAGATTAATTTGGAAGGTATATCTACATCGGGAGTGTAACCCTAAAATAAGTCCTACAATGAATATTTTGAGTAACGTTTTGCATCCTATGAACACAATCTTGGACTTGCGACAGGTAAACGTAAGATAAGGTAGTTGGATCACAAATAATAGCTCACGTTGCGCTGGATGAAAAGAAATGTAGACGAATCTCTCGATCTCTTCTTCACGCACCCGGAATATATCCCACCCACTCATCTCTCTACTGGACTTCAATTCGAAACCGCATATCCATAAAGGATACACGAAAGCAATTGAAACCAGTTCAAACCAATCACTTGTCCATTGTTTGACATTTTAGTTGACATTTTATTTTGGCAGAAACTGACACCGCTACGCGTGTCACTATCTTTGGTTACCCGGCCACCGCGAAATAGTTCCAATATTCGAGTCAAATACAAAGATGTGCAGGTCACAGTCTAACATAACGGCTTGGTAAACACCAGTTTGATCACCCTCCTTCCACCAATTGACTGCCGCCAAGGATCATGGCAGATTCTGAAGATGGTGACTTTACCTCTCTGCCCTTATCAGAGCGGTTGACTCATAAGTTATGGAAAGCACGTATGCACGGGTATCAAGAGTTGAATGATGCTTTCCAAAAAGCTTCTTTGCGATCCATGCCGCGTGATATAGCACAATATTGGACGAGCGTAGACCTCTTTGCCTCATACATTGTGGATTCGAATGTCGTAGCTCAAGAGCAGGCCATCGCAGCATTGTTGAGCTTGCTCCAATATTTGTGCCAATTGCCGGACACACCTAGGTCGGAAGCTAATAGAACCAGCTGGCTGCCACTGCTTGCCGAGAAGGGGCTTGGATCGTCTAGAGCTTCGACAAAACAGAAGAGTCAAGAATGCATAATGATTCTAGTGTCTCTGGACAAGTCTGTGGCCCCATCGGTAGAGCTGTTGGAGCCTTTACTTACGAATAAACTACCACGTCTTGTCGCAAGCTGTGTAGAATGCTTGGCCCACATAGTTGAATCATTTGGATTGCAGCACATCGCCAATATATCTGCTTTTCTCCCAGTTCTCTTGGAGCCTCTGCCCCGCTTATGCAGCCACGCCGACAGAAATGTGAGATCACAAAGCATGAATTTAATCCTTCAACTTTACAAGTGGCTAGGCCGTGATTTACTGCAGGAACTACTGGTAGACAAGTTGAAGCCCATTCAGCAAAAAGATTTGGACAAAATGTTTCAAAAATACTCGGGCGATATTCCACCTTCATCTCAAGCAAGGCTATTTCAATGGCAGAAACAGTTGGCTTTGGAACAAGAATTGAAAGACCTAGATAAAGACAAAGACGGTGACACGCTCATGGGCGCCGAGCTTCAATTGAAAGGAATGTCGAACGAGAGCGGCAAGGCAGGCGCTCAGGGATCATTTTTGTCCAACGCCGATCCCTTTGATTTACTCCCAAGCACGCAAATCTTGGACAAACTTCCCAACGATTTCCAAGCCAGAATTACTTCCTCCAAGTGGAAGGATCGTGTTGAGGTTCTTGATGAAGTCTACAATACAGTACTTTTACCAACCAAAAAAATAGAATCCAAACATCAGGATTACAGTGATTTTTTGAAGATTTTGGCGAACGTTATAGAAAAAGATGCAAATGTACAAGCCGTAACACTAGCTGCTCAATGTTTTCATCAACTGAGCACAAAGCTGAGGAATAATTTTAATAAGAATTACGGCACTATTGTCCTAACAGCCTTGTTAGAAAGGTCAAAGGAGAAAAAACCTTCGGTCAACGAAGCTGTCTGTGATGCTTTGAACGATGTTGCAAAATACGGCGGTGTAGATACGTGCTTGGAAGAAACTTTGAGGTTTATGTGCCACAAGACGCCTCAAGTACGAGCAGAGAGTACCAGGTTCTTGACTCGACTGTTTAAAGTTTGGAAGCCGCAAAGTCGAAATATGGGCGATGAGCTGCTAATTAAATTGGTACCTGAAATATCCAAAGCGTCACTAAAAATAGTCAACGATACTCAACCAGCTATTCGTGATTCAGGCTTCGAATGTTTAGCCACGTTGATGAAACTGATTGGGGAAAGAGAAGTGTCGGATGTAGTTGAAAAGCTCGACAATTTGAAAAAGAAGAGGGTCTACGAGTACTTTGACAAAGTTGAAGTCTCCGAGAATTTACAGAAACATTCAGGTCGTGGAGCTAATGGGGCTCCTTCGAAAGCCTCTTTCAATGACAATAAGCCTAGCGGCCCACATAGCTCAGAAACGCATCGGGGAAGAAATCCAACTACGTTGGAGTCAATGAATTCTGCAATTCCTCCATTCAATGATAGTCCTTATTCCCTCCGTAAGCCACTATCCACGCTGCCCTCTAAAAGGGGTCCTTCGTCACCTCTTAAGTCCGGACATAGGGTAGAATCGCATTCGAATGGTCTGCCGTCAATGAAGTCGAGACTTACCACTCGTGCTTTGACAACCGATCCAGCTGCGGGCTCTAGTAAGAGCTCAGTTGCACTTGCCGAGCTTGAGGAGCTGAAGAAACAAAAGCAAAAATGGCTGAAGGAACGTCAAGAGTTTTTCAACACTATCACTGACTTTCAAAATCGTTCGTCGCAATTGAACGAGGAAAACTCCACTCTCCAAGATCAACTAAACTCCCTACAGTCAACGCTACATGAACGCAACTTAGAGCTGCGATCCAAAGAAATGCAAGTGACACGTCTTCAAGATCGGGTCTCGAGTCTAGAGGCAGAATTAGAGGCTAGAACGAATTTGGCATCCTCTAACTACGGCGTTCGTTCAGTTTCCTCGTTTGAGCCTCCGTCAGCCTCTCTGTCAGAAGCTATTCCCGGTACTCCACCGCCTAGAGTGTTTGCCCGTTCTGCATCTAATGGCTTGGGGTCGCCAGCCGGCGAAATACCCCGTGAGAGGAATTTGAAAAGTCGAATTTCGAGTTTAAATGGCCGTGTAAGGTCGCCCAGTGAGTCAAGTGATGACCTTCCTCGTAGAGTTAACTCTTTACAGTTAAGATCCGAAGCCAGTCAAGCAGAGAGGGCTATTGAGGCCTCTGGTGACAACTTTCTCAACGATGAAAGTTGGAAACGGGCTGCCGAGGTTACATCCCAATTAAAAGCCCGCATAGAGAGGATGCGAGCCAAGACACGAGGTATGGGAACCAGTTGAGGTTCAATAAAGACGGGCCTCGCCATGGGGAAATGGATTTCATATGTAGATGTGGTTTGCGAGTTTTATAGGAGTTAATTACGGGCGTAATGTCATAATAGCATTATCGGTTCAATCACCCAGTGGTCGCGTACGATTCAACGGAAGGCTGTTACAGAAAAAATCAAAACTGTGCTGGGTAAAACTGCCGCGTAATGCATGCAAATCGAGCGTCGTTATATGGTAGGGCCTCTTTAATGAATAGAACGATGAGCGATATAGGCAACTGGGGCCTCATACCTGACATCTTTCGGGATAGGGTTCGTCATAATCAATTAGGCGTACGAGGCAAATGTTGTTAAAAGGTTGTTATTCCTTCTCGACCCTGGAAATAAAACATCAATTCAACTAGAAAATCTGTGACCGAGCTCGACTCGAATAGACAAACACATGCTGAAATTAACGACGTGGGAACAATTTTCCATTGGTTTCTCATAAACCGTTTCTTACCGTAAGATTGTACAGTTTCATATTGAATTGTTGCTGCAGACTTTTCCACGTAAAAAGTTGTTTTTTTTGATAGTACTATGAGCCCAAGGCAGTGTGTCATCAACAATTTTCTTCTGTAAGTTTTTGACACTTTCACTTGTTCCATTTTTTATATGGATCTCAAAACTGTTGCCCGCCGTGACGGCCCTCGTGGGATATTTGATCCTAATTTGGAGCAGACATCCAAAAGTTACTTAGAATACCAGTGGCAATGAGAAACCTGAGCGTTGTACCGAGAACAATATTTCAAATGATCGGTAAGAAGTTCCTTCGTAACAATCACCTCCGCCTCTTCAGCTTTCTCCTCAATACATTTAATTTTCTTGCACGCTTTTTCTTTGCGGCACCATCCTCAATCGTAAGCTCTCCAGGATGATCCCTGTTCATTTTTCGCAACTTGAGCTCCAGCATCGTGTCATGTTTGATTCCAAGCTTTTGCATACTCCTTTCAAGTTCAAGTAATTCGGATGTTATACTTTCCAAATTATTTCCTTCTTCAGTTTCATTGAGCTCCTCGGTTTTTCTCAGTAGTTTGCGCAAGGTCGTTTGGTGGACTTTCAGTAGTTCCTCCCGGGAGTCCAAAAGATCATCTAGATTGGTCTCAAGAGCTTCACTAGGATTCTGGTTATTCTCAAATAAGGCCTGGGGCATGTTTTGAACCTTGCGGACATCCTTGTTGATATTATTTTCCTCAGGAGCGCTATCATTGGACTTTCCCAACCGTATAGAGTCTTCAATGGGCTTATTCGGGTTTAGGATCTCGAAAAGGGTACTGCCATCAAAATTCTCCAAAGAGTCATGGAACAGATTGACGGTGACAAACCGGTTGCCAAAGAATACCGTTGCGGCTTTAGTGCACCGGATCGCACATGATTCGTTCTGATACTCAATCACCACCTGCCTGTGCTGTAAGTTTATTTTACACGACTGGATGGATCCAAAAGGTTTAAAAGTGCCTTTAATAGCCTTTTCGTCAAGGTAGCGTATCGGTGTATTACATATAATCACGGACTTAGAGGGCTTTAATTCCTGCTGTTTTTCCTCGATGTGTTTGATTTCCTTTAATTTTGATGGAAGCTTACCAACCAAGACAGTTGGATCGTCCACAATCCCTGCCAAGTGTGACTCCACCCGTTGAATGGTGTCTGTATCATATTGGATGTGATCAATGCTTGGCAAACTATCCAGAACATCAAGGATAAAGTCTGCGCATTGTGCTGATGTGCCCGGATCTTGTCGGATGAACTCATGTGAAAGCCATGTTTTGAGGGTGTCACAACCTTCAGTACTAAGTCCTAGACCCATCAAGCCCTTGACTCTTACCTACGCAATCAGTCATTGCCCGTCGTCTCTCATTCTGTTGATGATGTCGTTCATTTTTCACGGGCCAACATGACAATATATTGAAAATCATAGAGTGATGACATATCAGTCTCTGCTAGCACGACAATCAGTAATGTAAATATCCATGGCCTGCTGTAACCGTAAATTTAGGAGACTGGCATAAAGCAAATAGAGTGCTGTCTGGAAAGCCAAGTCAAGAAAGGTGACACAATAGGTAAAAGTGATCTCTTTTTGGCGGTGGTAGGCCAACGAGAAAGTTGATGAGAGATCCTTTAGACGACAGGATGAGCACTTCAAGGCTGCTCTGACATATGGGTTGGAAACTTTGATTATACATAACTACTTTGCTTTGTCTTGACAATAATGTGGCTGTCAAATAATATTGCGCTCATTTCTGAAGTTCACACCGGAATTTGCCAACAAGCTTTTTTGTTCAGATTAAAGATCATTAAGTAGGCAACCAATTGAGCTTTCTCTGTCTCTAACATGATCATGTCGTTTTTTTTATTGTTTACATCCTTTTAATTGATTTTTGGCAGAAAACAAAGTATCAAAACTGGCTTCACAATCATGAAGGGAATCTTGATAAATCTCACTAATTTCTATCTAGCCACCCCCCTTCCCACACCTATAGCCAAGATCTAGAGCTGTAGCATATTTACAGTTTCGGGATTGCAACCCGCAGTGAGTTAGCGTCGACAGTGGTTCAGTCATCGACCTCGTTGTTCAAATCTTTGATACACATTGTAGTTTGTATTTTGAGTACTCTTCAAGTCGTCTAGCTTTGGGAACACTCGCTACCAGCCTCTCCGTTATATTTTGGACTAGAAGCCTTCTTCACTTGTGGGATCTCCGGCCTCTTTCACTGAAAAAAGCCAGAATATTCAAAACGCAGCTAAACCCAAATAATCCCATTGGCACACCAGACCATATTCTTGTACAGTTGCTCTATCTTTGTATTTCCATAGTCGATATTCGCCTTGCACCTTCTCGTTTGACTGATGCCGCTAAATCACTTTTAACTATTATGTCACTCCGCTAATATTTGTAGTGATGCTCCCGAGCTTAACATACAAACATGGTGAATAGCTCAAACCATGCGTTGTGGCTCCTCGTGAACGTGAATAGCCAGGAACTAATAAGTAGCTCCGTTTAGCTCTTTTAGTACCGTAAATTCGTTTCGAGCCTAAAACACAGCTTTTCCCTGAAACACCATCTGAAACTGATAATTGACACTGTCCCGTCACCTTGAGGGATTCTATCTTTACACAACAATGCTATATTACTATATGCAAATAACTGCTAATCCGACACCCCCTCTATCACAACCATCGGATAACTCTAATCATCCTTCACACGCGCTCCGTTCGTGGTCTCTGGCATGCCTGGCGCCATCCCTCAAGACTACCGTTACCCGCCCAAGCTTCCAAATGTGTCACACGATTGCCACAATCCGGAGCATTATATACGATCGATGCGTACAACATGACTAAAGCTTTTGACGGTGCGGTGTTTTTTTCCAAAATTCATCCCGCATGTTCCTCTAATCGCATATCATCAGAAAGCTTCCCGCTAAACGCATATGATCTATGCAACTACAGGGAAACACCGGCTGCTGTCACAAGATAACTCCGTACGAGAACTAGTGGCATGCATGGAATCCAATACAAGCCGAGCCCGTGCCATGCCTTGGCGAGACAGTGAGTGTAAGGAATACACTATACCATTCCATGGAAGTGGTCAATGACCTTGTGGATCGCTAAAGAATTGAGCTTGTGTGGTTTTGTCCAAGCTTCAATCTTCTTATCACAATGTTCACGAGTTCGTACGAGTTTCGACACCTCTCTTAGCACAACCCGAAAACAACTTCCATGTGCGAATTACCTCGCGAAAGCTGTATGCATTATCTCCCACACTAATCGGCCCATTATTGGCATCCATCGGCTGAGATGTTCTAGTTTTGCCGCATATGTGCATATTCACTAATACGTCGTCCATTATGCATTTTTAACCACCACATGGCGTGGTGGTTCACTTTTTTTTGGACCAGGTGGCACCACCAAACTCAACCACGCACACGAAGCTGTGCGTGTGGTAAGCGTAGGTTCATAGCATGTTCAAAAGATTCAGGTTGCTGTTGGGCGGTATTGCATAGTGATATTGGAATGCGCATCTCGCATATTCACATCGCACCTGGAATCTTTTTAATTACACGGTGTAGTTTTTTGAATCCATTATTGTGATCCCCCTCCTCTGAAAGCTATATAAGGGCAATCGTAGTAGCTGTTGGAACTTTTTGAATCGGAGAAGAATTCCTTTAGAGTTATTCTTTATTCCATCCCCAGCAGTTGTTAACTTTATAAGCTACTAAAGCGCTCATATTAACAACTTTCAAAAACTCCCCTTTTAACAATGTCTGAAATTACTCTAGGTCGCTACTTGTTCGAAAGATTGAAGCAAGTCGATGTTAACACCATCTTCGGTTTGCCAGGTGACTTCAACTTGCGTTTGCTTGATGAAATTTACGAAGTGTCCGGTATGAGATGGGCTGGTAACGCCAACGAGTTGAACGCTGCTTACGCTGCTGACGCTTACGCCCGTATCAAGGGTATGTCCTGTTTGATCACCACCTTCGGTGTCGGTGAATTGTCTGCTTTGAACGGTATCGCCGGTTCTTACGCCGAACACGTTGGTGTCTTGCACGTTGTTGGTGTTCCATCCATCTCCGCTCAAGCCAAGCAATTGTTGTTGCACCACACTCTAGGTAACGGTGACTTCACTGTTTTCCACAGAATGTCCGCCAACATCTCTGAGACCACCGCCATGATCACCGACTTGGCCACTGCTCCAGCTGAAATTGACCGTTGCATCCGTACTACCTACATTCGTCAAAGACCAGTCTACTTGGGTTTGCCAGCCAACGTTGTCGACCAAATGGTCCCAGCCAAGTTGCTAGACACTCCAATTGACTTGGCCCTAAAGCCAAACGACCCTCACGCCGAGGAAGAAGTTGTCTCTACAGTGCTAGAGATGATCGCCGGCGCCAAGAACCCTGTCATCTTGGCTGATGCTTGTGCCTCCAGACACGACGTTAAGGCTGAGACTAAGAAGTTGATTGACGTCACTCAATTCCCATCTTTTGTCACCCCAATGGGTAAGGGATCTATCGACGAAAAGCACCCACGTTTCGGTGGTGTCTACGTCGGTACTTTGTCTTCTCCAGAAGTCAAGGAAGCTGTTGAATCTGCTGACTTGGTCTTGTCTGTCGGTGCCCTATTGTCCGACTTCAACACCGGTTCTTTCTCTTACTCTTACAAGACCAAAAACCTTGTTGAATTCCACTCTGACCACATCAAGATTAGAAACGCTACTTTCCCAGGTGTTCAAATGAAGTTCGTCTTGCAAAAGCTATTGTCCACCGTTGCCAATGTGTGCAAGGACTACAAGCCAGTTCCAGTCCCAGCTTTGCAAGCTCCAAACGTTGCGGTCGACCCATCTACCCCATTGAAGCAACAATGGTTGTGGACTCAAGTCGGTGAATTCTTGCAAGAAGGTGACGTTGTCATCACCGAAACCGGTACTTCTGCTTTCGGTATTAACCAAACTCACTTCCCTAACAACACTTACGGTATTTCCCAAGTCTTGTGGGGTTCCATTGGTTTCACCACCGGTGCCTGTTTGGGTGCTGCCTTCGCAGCCGAAGAATTGGACAAGGCCAAGAGAGTTATCTTGTTCATCGGTGACGGTTCTTTGCAACTGACTGTTCAAGAAATCTCCACTATGATCAGATGGGGCCTAAAGCCATACTTGTTTGTTCTAAACAACAACGGTTACACCATTGAAAAGTTGATTCACGGTGAATTTGCTCAATACAACGAAATTCAAGGCTGGAAGCACTTGGAATTGTTGCCAACCTTTGGTGCCACCGACTACGAAGCCGTCAGAGTTGCCACCACTGGTGAATGGAACAAGTTGGCTGAATGCCCAGAATTCAACAAGAACTCCAAGATCAGAATGATTGAAGTTATGTTGCCTGTCATGGACGCCCCAGAATCTTTGGTCAAACAAGCTCAATTGACCGCTGCTACCAACGCCAAGTCTGCTTAAGGTTTTCGACGCCACGAAATTCAACAATCTTGAATTGTTAAATTATGTTTTTATGTCCTATTAAGTAGGTTTGTTATAGAAATGAATGACGAACTTTGAATGATATTAATACAGTAAGTGAATTGCTGGGCCTCGGTCATTTGATTTGACATTATGTTGGCAGCACCTTACTCGATGGCTTCACCAAAGTGAAGTCATCCAGAAACGGTGGCAACCTTTCCCGACCCCACAGATGTCCCAAAGCCCATTGTGCATTAAATCCGTAAACATATGTAAAACAATACTGAAAAGTGATGAAAAAATGACCATTGCGTAGCGCAGCACCTTGTAGTTTTGACCAAGCTCCTCGAAGTCGCATTATAAGCACTGGCCCTCGAAGTTTTTAGAAAATCCATCCTAAAAATCTATCATAAAACCATCCAGGAGTAAACTTCTGGTTGCGAAGCTGTTCCTCGCGCTCTTTGTCATGAACCTTACCTTCCTCTTCTTCTGCATCGATGGCAGCCTTGAAAGTGTGAAGGTCAACATTTTCTGGGGCAATGAGCTTTGTGCGCATGATGACTTTGTAGCCCACATAGCAGATAAAAAACACTGGGATGCCAATATAACCGGAAATGAAGGTTTTGTAGTCGAATGTATCACCCAAAAAGACAGTGTAGTTCTTGATTAACCCGATCAAAATACAGAAGCCAAGACAAACATAAGCGGACCAAGGTTGCATTGGTGCGGTGTATGACAGCGCGGACTTGTCCCCAAACTGAACCCTAACTGCCTTTTCGAACCTGATGTACGTGATTAAGATTGAGATCCAACTCAAGAGACCAAAGATGGAAACCACATTAACAAAATAGTTGAAAACTTGAGCGGATCCCGAAGCAACATTCATGTATGCCAGCAGACAGAATAAAATCGAAACAATAAGGGCATTGTATGGAACACCCCATCTGTTAGTCTTGGCAAAAATTTGGGGAGCTTTACGATCGATAGCCAACCCGTACAACGTTCTCGAGGCAACGTACAAGTCTGAGTTACAAGCGCTGAAAACGAACACCAGAACGCACGAGTTGAAGATATGAGGGAGGATTGGAATCTGGGCGTTGACTATGGCAACCACAAATGGCGACGCAGCGGCAGAAGTACTCATCTTCTTTGCACGCAGCAACAGTGGGTCATTGTAGGCCACTGTCATTCCTAGGAGAATGATTGTGACCACATAGAAAACAACAATACGGTACAAGGTTAACTTTATGGCACGAGGAACACTTTTTCTTGGATTCCTTGCTTCCGCAGCAACGATACCACACAGTTCGGTACCAGTGTACGCAAATAGTGCCAGGGCAAAGACCGAGGCGAAAGACACAAACTTACCTTTACTGCCCTCGATTCCGGTGTATGGCTTGAAAGCACCGGGGTCTTTCCAATATCTGAAGCCCGTACGATCGTGAGAGGGACCACCGCCAAGCATAATGACAAAGAGCAGAATGATAAGCCCCAGCATCACTAGGACCTTGACACTCGACAACCAAAATTCGAACTCACCGAAAAATCTCACGCCCACGGTGTTGATTAGGATAATTGCAACGAGAAAGATGGTGATCCAAACACCCGGGTTGACGCGGTCTCGACTGACCCAGTACTGCATAACCATGGCTCCCGCAGTTAGCTGGTTTGGAGTGACAATGAAATATTTGAATAGGTACGAGTAACCAACAGCAAAGCCAAGTGCTGGGTCGCAGTAACGTGTCGCATAGGAGGTGAAACCATCCAGCGGGATGAAGGCTGCCATTTCACCCAGACAGCTCATCACTGTGTATACCAAGAGGCCTACAAACGAGTAGGAAATTAGGATAGACACCGGTCCAGCGCTGGCCAGCGAACTGCCGGTTCCGATCAGCAAACCGGTACCTAGAGAACCCCCGATGGCGATCATCGAAACATGACGGGCCTCGAGTTCTTTTTTCAGCCGGGTTCCCTCTCTCTTGCCGTCCTCTGGCAATGCAATTTTGCTGCCAGAAGTGACAGATCCATCGCCATCACCGTACGACTCGTCGCGGTAGACAACTGTTTGGCCTTCTTTCTCCAAATCGCTGGGCAGTGCAGAAGACATTTTATGGTCAAGTTGAGCTGACTTCCCAATTCTTTATGTCTAGCAGAATCGACGCTTGCTCTGCATCACAAGCACTTGCCATACTTACACACACACATATATACGTAGATATATATATATGTAACTATGTCCATGTATGTCAAAAAACCCTTCCCCTGCTGAAATTCTCTTATCTCATCGAAGTAGCCAACCCACAGGCCCGCAAAATCTTTGTAGACTGGACAGTGTCGAAATGTCACCGATATGCGTCTGATGTACGGTTAGTACGGGCGATAACGACGTTTGGTTTTTTAGTGCCGCTATGTATGGTCTATTCCGTCGGCCCAGTAGACATGACACTCGCTGAGCCAATGTTTTGAAAACAGTTATCATGATAATCCCACCTCGATAGCGTCCCTTTGACTCAGGGCCCTGGGCACCGTCCCTGAGTCCAGGCCCCGCAAGTGGGAATGCCACAATCGGCGTACATCAATCGCATCGCCTAGTTCTTAGAGCTTTTAACGAAAACCCAGCCTCTATACGTCTCCTTTCGTTTTTGTGCTGTTCACGGCTCCACAAAGATGAGTCCCACCTCGTTTTTGTGGACAATCGAATCCCTGACGCGCAGGGTCTCGTTATCATGCTTTCATCGTATGCAAAACAAGGCGAGGTGATGCCGTTGATGTCAAGATTTTTCACACACTGGAGACGAAGCGATGAGCAGGAAAGAAAAAATGTGCTGTAGTTCCGCTCCGCCGGATTGGCGTATATTGCCAGCATCTCGTCAAGAGTAGCGGCGATTTGGCGTTGTAGTTGCACATGGTCTAAGAGTTTCTTGTAATTGAGTGGGCGAGGGACTAATCTCGTTTGATAGAGTAACGCGGCCTTGCAGCGGAAAAACTTGGCTGGCAGCCACAAGAAAATTGCAGGCGAGGGCACTCATAGGCGGACGCCGTTCAAACAGGTTGTAGCTGGTAAACTGGCGGGTCTTCAGAAGGAGGGGAGGTGCCGTTCTGGTGGGCTCTATCGACAAAAAAAATTAGCGTCATCTAACCGGGGACTGGCTTGCCGACAAGAAAAAAGGATGGAGAAGCGAGTGGCTGTCGCCCAGATGGGCCCAACGATCATAACCAACGAAACGCCAGTTCATCAAGAGTCGTTGTTAGTCGCCTCGACTCGCTTCGCACTTGGTTCGGCTCCGTAGGGCTCGTCCTGACTGTTAGATTAGATCTCTATATATAAACAGCTACATCAGGCTCACGCCATGGGTGAGCGCCAGTGCCGTATATCAGGTGAAGCTTCTTGGTGCCAGCTTGAACGTGAGAATGTCGTTTTTCCCAACGTCTACAACGTCGTCCTCGCTAACTCTCACCCCGTTGACCGTCTCGACTGCGGCAATCGTGACTTCGCCCATCACGTAGCGTGCTACTTTCCCCACGGTGGTGCCTTTCTTTATCAGGAAACAGTCCCTAAAAACGTTCTCGCCATTACCACCAGTGAACGTGTTGATGTTCCTCACCGTGTACAGAGGGATCAGGTCCAATGTGTCAGCCGCGGCCTGTAAGACCTGCACGACACCCGTAGATCCAAACCGATACAACACCAGGTCCCGAATGTTTTCGATCCTTTGTAGCAACTTATCGTCCAACACCTTCAGGTTGTCGGGATCGTCCTCGCACGTATCCACAAACTCGGTGCCTTCTTCGTAGCGTATGAAGCCTTGTTTCCGCAATTTTCTCAGGAACACCTCTGTGATGGCGCTAGCTAGGACGGCTTTGGTGTCTGGGTATTTGAGCATAATCTTTGACACGTTTTTGTCTGCGTCTGGGTGGTCGATTTTGTTCAGAGCCAACACCGTGGGGAACTTTTCTATCATAAACGACTTGACCACTTTGGTAATCCACTCACGGTCCCATTGCTCCAGGGGCGGAAGACCCTCGATTCTTTGCAGAGCGCGTTGAATCATTGGGGCATGGGATCCGTACCCACCAAATTGCGCTTGCAAAGTGTCTACCACGTTGGATTTCGTCGCCGTGTGCCTCCGAACAATAGATCCCCATCTTTTCTCCAGGTTGCCCTCGATCCAAAGTCGAATTTCATCTTGTAACCATTCTATATCGTATAACGGATCGTAGCCGCGGGTATTCTTCCCCTCGGAGTCTGTAGTTCCACTGACGTCTATAACGTGTATCAATGCGTCGGCATGTCTTAAGTCGTCTAAAAACTTGTTTCCTAGTCCTCTGCCAGAATGCGCTCCGGGAACTAAACCGGCCACATCTAGTAGCATGATTGGAATGTGCCTTTTACCTTCAGAACACCAACCATAGTTTGGTTTACACAGTTTTTCAAGTCCGTAACGGCTACAAGCACAAGTTACTTGTAAATACCCGGTAGCTCTATTCGGTTCGATAGTTGTGAAGGGAAAAGACCCTACTTGGGCTGCTGCATCAGTCAAAGAATTCAACGTTGTCGATTTCCCAGATGACGGCTTTCCAACTATACCAATCAAAGGATCTCTGGGCATTGTAGTGGACCGGTTTTCGTTGTTTTTTGGATTATGCCAACAGAGCTAAGATACAAGTCTTTCAGGCCCGAAGTACATAGTTGTTCTTAAAATTTGAGATGAACGTGAGGGTTGAAGGCAGATACACCAGAACACCTCCCAGCTGTCTCAGCTCTCTAGATTAGAATTCGGTCTCGAATGTGAAGCGCAGGGGTCTTTCGACGCAATTTCAAAAGTCCATTCCGTGGTATCAATAATATCGTTTTTGCTGCGCGAGGCAGCTTTCTTTGCAGTCCTTGGCTGTTCCTCGACGATTAACCATTTGCAGCAACTGTAGTTCGCAGTAGTGGCAGGACACGAAACACCAGGGAATTTCATTAGGGACCACCATCTTGCTTGGTAGTTACGCTAATACAGAAACTAAACATGGTGATATACAACGAACACATCTTGATACCTGAATGTTAAGGTCACAAGACTACCCTTTGGAAGTATGTGACGAGACCACGAAAAGCATCAAATAGATGGTCTTTTTACGTACTTGTTGCAGAGGCTGCGTCCCAGCCTGTGTCATAAAGTATCCATTTTACTGTTACTGAGACTTAGAGGCCTTTTCCGCATCTCTCTTGGCGTAGATCTTGGCCGTGAAAGGCTCCTCAAATTGCTGTGCAATGTTATACATCAAGTTCACCAACATGGTGGCGAAAAGGCCCGCAGCCTTCCCGTAGTACAGCGAAGTCCCCAAAAACGACAACGTGGACCCGTGGTACATGGGATTATTGCTAACGTTGAATGGGAATGAAGTAACGATGTGGTCCATCAAAATACCGAAGTAATCCCCCAGGTACGTACCGGTCACACCCAATTGGTACATCGAAGTGACGACAAGAACCTGCCCAACGCCCATCACGGCCATCCCCACCTTCTTGACAATGTCGTTGTCCAAAATGGCAGATGTTGGTTGCAGGCCCAGAGCTTGGTGGAAGAAGTAATCACGCACAATCCCAAGCGAAAAGATTGTGAACGCAAGCAAGTAACAACCTCTTTTCGCGGATCCGGTAAGTTTCGTTATAAAATGAGTGTTGTATTCCAAGCGAGCCACGATATTCCAGAAAGTCGGATTGAAAACGATGCAAAACAATGCTATTTGGAAGTTCTTGTCCGTGGCGTCGATGTCCGACAACAACGACACATAAGCTTCTTTAGCCTCGTAGGCCAATTGCGTAAATTCCTTAGTGATATCCACCATTGTCAGATAATTGAAGAATTTAAACTCGATGGCAAAACGTACTTGTCAGCACGGCTCTTTGATAGTCTGATCCAGTTCAGAGTTATGTTCTGATCGAAGCTGAAGATAGTACGCCCTAACTTTCTACTACCCAAGTTACATGTGAAAGTGACATCAAGCTTCACGTGGATCTTCAAGGAAGCTTAGCGAATACCATTAAGATGAGTGAGTCTTCCAAACCACATGTACTGAATTACATGTCATAACTGCGTTGGAAACTATCGCGAGTTAGGTTATATTGGGTAACTATTTACACTTGAGATCCAAGTTGGTTTCGTCTTATGAAAGTGTTAAGTTATTTATATTCATGAGGTAAACTTGGATAGTCTACTTCCTTGGGCACTACAAGCCCGGGACCTGAGGTGTTCGCTTTTGATAACGATAATCCCCCACATGGATACCTCGGTGCCATAACTGGCATTCATGTAAGCAGGTTTATGGGTTCTTGTCCCGGATCATGTTTTGATAAAGGCGATAATAGCACTTCAGTGGAAATTGGAATCAAAAAGGCTAGCGTACAATAACTTTCGTAACTGCCAGCATAGGCGTATCGAGTTGAGGACGATTTAAAACAGTTTTGAGGAAGGATAAAAAATGATGGCAGTACCTCTCAGCACCTCTTAAACCGCATGGCTCTATTGAGCTGAACAAATTGGGTAATTCGGATAGACCTGAGGCCCTTGAACGAAAATGTGGTGCTAATTTGGGCATGAGGGTACATTGTCTATCAGGATGTCTATCCACCTTTCGCTGGTATTTATTGCAAAAACCTGGAAGGGGCAGGTGGCTGTGGGCACTTTGGAACGCTGCGCAAACGGAGGTTCGTTCTCACGAGAAGAAAGCTAGGGGAGAGAGGTAAGAACCAAACGCTGAATTTGAAGTACATTCTCGCCGGTATTTGTTTGTCATGAAAGTGCTACGAAACCCCCAAGTTCGTCATGTGTACATGCACGTAGACATTGCTCAGGACTATGGCGTGCTAATAACAATCTGTATTTGCACAATAATTTACGGTGTTGTGCCGGCTATTGTCTCAATCCTTATGGGACTTGTGTTTGATTTGCTACAAGGGCCTGAAGCTCAGGGTCACGCAGACGTCAATCACTTGATGCATTTGTTAACGCTCAGAAGCATGGCAATATTAGTCACAGGTGTTGCTAGTGCACCAATATGTGCTCTTTCCATATTTTCATGGATGACGCTAGGCGAGAGACAGGCTTTTCGTGTCAGACGAAGATTGCTGCATTCGTATCTTACCAAAAGTATGGCATGGTACGACGCCAATGAACAGCTATCGGGCGATTTCACTCAGCTGAATCGCTGCGTTGAAGAGCTAAGATCTAGCTCAGCAGAAGCCTCTGGAATCATCTTCCAGAATTTCGTTACTGTTGTAGCGCTTTTGATTACCGCTTTTTACTATTCGTGGTCACTGACGCTAGTTATCATGGCAAACTCTCCTTTAGTGGTAGGATTCGCAATATTTTGTTCTCGTAAAGTAGAAAAATATGCCAAGAAAGAGAACTGTCAGACATCTATTGCTGCTGATGTCATGGCGTGGGCTTTGAATGCTGCAAAAATGATTCGATTATGTGGAACCCAAGAATTAGAAACAGAGATATTCCGCAAAAATATTCGTGAGAGTCGTGCTGAATTCAATAAGATGGCACTGTTCTCCTCTCTGAATTATGCCATTCTTAGGTTTCTGACGCTTTGTATGTTTGTGCAGGGATTTTGGTATGGAAATGCACAGATAAAAAATGGGAAACTTACGCCCGGAGATGTGATTACTTGCTTTTCAGCTTGTATTTTACTTGCAAATACCCTGCACTCGTCCTTCCAAGAAATTTTGATAATCCAAAAGGGAGCGGTTGCCTTACGCAAGGTACTCGATTTTCTCGAGGAGCCCTGTGACGGAAATGGGCAATCCATGATAGATGAGCAGATCATTCGTCCTAGGATCCCACTATCCTGGCATCGAGGTGATATCGAATTTCACGATTTGTCGTTCGCCTATCCCACAAGGCCGAATGAATGGGCCCTCAAAAACGCTAACCTAAAATTTCCTGGGGGTCATTTTACATTTATTGTCGGGAAATCCGGTTCTGGTAAATCAACTATCAGTAACTTACTTCTTCGCCTATATGAACAAAGCCATGGTACAATTGAGATTGACGGCTTGGATATCAAAAAAATTGATCGGCGGATGATTTTACAAAACATAATGTTGGTCGAGCAAACTACATCTCTCTTCAACGATACCCTCGAGAAAAATATCACGTTAGGGATGAACGTTGAGCCGGACGAGTTGAACCAAGCTTGTCAAATGTCAATGCTCGACATCGTTGTGCGAGATTTAGCTAGAGGATTAGATACAGCGGTTGGGAGTTCGGGTGTCGATTTGAGTGGTGGTGAAACACAGCGAGTGGCCATTGCCAGGGCAAGACTACGTGACTTTCCTATATTAGTTCTCGACGAGGCACTGAGTGCTCAGGATCGTGTTCACAAAACGTTACTCTTGGAGGCAATAAGGCGCTGGAGGGTTGGAAAGACGACGATCATATTAACCCATGATTTTAGTGACATAGCAGATTTGGACTTCGTTTATCTGATGGATGCAGGCAAGGTCATAGAATGTGGACGTAAACAGAGCCTGCTCGAATCATGTTCATCAGATTTTGCCCAAATGTATAGATACCAGTGCTGCAGGACACCGGCGGACGATGCAACAACTTTGAGAGATAATGATCAACCGGATCTAAGAATGAAGTCCAAAGACATTAACGCCGAAGTAAACGAACTTTATTCAGAGATGGGATCGCCTTCGACAGTAAAAGCAGACAGCATCTGCAACATTGAGGAGTTAAGCGAACCTGTTCGGAGTTCATTTGACTTGCTGCAAGCAAACATCATGCGACACCATCGCAAGCCGAGACCCAATGTGGAAAGGATTGATTTAAATGCTATCTCCATTTCTACCACCTCGAATTGCAACGATCTTGAACAGGGTAAAAATGAGTGTGAGTTATTGAGTGTCAAAAAGATTATGCTGAAACTACTTACCACCCTTCAAGATAGATGGTTGCTGCTTGTTGGACTAGTTACTGCGCTAATAGCAGGAACTGCAAATCCGTTATTCTCGTTCACGTTTTCGAAACTACTGAGTGGGTTAACGTCATCGCATCCCGATCCAGAAGCCACTCAACTTGCTACGAAGTGGTCCTTGGTCGTCTTGCTCGTAGCGCTCCTAGATTCCAGCTTTACCTTCTTGAAATGCTATCTACTTTTGAGAAGTGCCGAGGATTGGATCAGGACTTTGCGTCAATCCGTGTTTGAAAAAATGGTTAGGCAAGATTTGAGTTGGTTCAACGAGGCTAGAAACAGTACCTCTAAGATAACTACCTTGGTATTAAATGACCTTAGGGATTTGAGAGCTTTGGCATCTGAGTTTTTAGCAGCGTTTACAACCTTGATAATTGTCTCAGTGTGCGGCTTAGTGTGGGCCTTTGCATCTGGATGGAAATTAAGCCTCGTTTGCATATCATTGATTCCTATCTTCGTCTTATTCTCAGGATTTTATGGCGGGATGCTTCAAAAATACGAGGCGGCTTACAAGGCTAGTATCGCCACGTTGGAAGATCGCTTCTATAATGCTATCAAGAGAGTCAAAACCATCAGGTGTTTGCAACTAGAAGAAGTGGTCATAGGTGAACTTACAAATCTGGAATTATCTTCTAAAAGTTGCGGTCGCAAACGTGCAATAGGAACTGGAATCGGAGTCGCTACATCTAACGCTCTCACGTTTGTAACGCAAGCCATACTTCTTTATTTTGGAATGAAGCTTGTTCTGATTGGCGAGTATACATCCAACAAAATGCTTGAAACATTAACGCTTCTGCTTTTCACGATAATGACTTCTATCTCTTTGATATCACAAATTCCTGAAATTAGCAGAGGACAAAGAGCTGCGACGTATGTGTTTCAAGTTTTGAATTCACCTACTGTTGTCGAATCCACATCTCTCAACAGGAGAACCAAAGGTATTTCGGTCGAGGAAAATTGTTTGCTAGTTGATATCCAGGACCTACGGTTCTCCTACCCGTTCGCCAATGAATCTTCAATATATCAAAATATCAATCTCAAAATATGTCATCTTGATACAGTGGCTTTAGTGGGTCGATCAGGTTCAGGAAAATCGACGCTTTGGCATTTGCTGGCACACCTATATCCAGTCTCTGAAAACTGCATTCGTATTGACGGTACAGATGTCAACCACTGGGATGCAGAAGTGTTAAGGAGCCAAATAGCTGTCGTTGAGCAACAACCTCAATTTTTTTTGGGCTCTATTTATGATAATTTAACCTACGGCTTACCGCGCCCCGTTGATGATTGTGAACTGGAGGAGCTATTAATTATATTGGGACTGCAGGAGTTTGTGGAGTCGATGCCCTGTCAACTCCGCTCACATGTGGATACTCATCTTTTGTCAGGCGGCCAATTACAAAGGCTCGCCATAGTCCGAGCATTGCTGCGCAAACCCAAATTACTGGTTTTGGATGAGTGTACTTCGGCGTTGGATGCGCAACACGGATTTATCATGTCAGAGTTTGTAAAACAAAATCTCCAGGGCACAACGACATTAGTTATCACGCACAGTGAGCAGATGATGCGAGCGTGCTCGCGCGTCGTTACATTTAGAAAGGGCTCAATCGTGGAAGATGGAACATTTGAATCTCTCGCTCAGAGACAGGGAGGAGAACTCCGTAACATTTTGTCTCTGGCGGAGGTTTAATTAACTGTAGTTCGACTGGTAGTACAAAGGGAGCATTGCATGTCACTCTTGAGTTCATTCCATTTAAGGGCATATTACATACGGACTTTCTACAAATGAATAGTTATGTATGGGACTTCGACGTCTTCGCCTGCCTTGTCGTCCGCGCATATTTCTAAGATCATGGTCTTCACGTGGCCAGGGACCTCAGTTTTAGTGACCAACTTGACCACCTCAGTGATGGGAAGAGATAATCTTTCTTTCAGCTTCTTTGGTGGGAAAAATGAGGCATAAAGTAACGACACTCCATAAGACAACATTGTTATTTCAAGGTCCTCCTTTTCATCAAAGTGGTCAATAATCTCTTTGAGGGTTACATTGCCTTTGAGATCAAACCTGTCCCATATTTTATCATAACTTTTATCGTTATATTTGCCTTGGGGCGAAGCAATGGGGTCTGAAAAGCCAAAAAACGGTAGCGCCATATTAATGAAACCATTACAATAAGCTTCGATGTCAGTATTCCCTGCGACGACCTTGTAGAGCTCCAGGTTGACTAGACCTGTCACTAAACCTGTAGTCGTGGCAATAGCTGGAATAATCCGACCAGCAATGAACTTCGTCTTCTGCCTGTCTGCAGTCTCAATAGAGTAGTTCAAAGCTCTGTCGTTAGAGGCAGCAGCAATAAACTCTATATGATGGTTGGTATCGTCGTCCTTCTCAAATTCAACAGGCACCAGTTTGAAGCCAGCAAGTGACGACTGTTCGGGGAGAGTTGCTGCAAGGGCTTCCAATGCGTCACCACCAACATCGTTATTGGCGTTCGGATCAGGTTCCTCGTCACTGGCTTGTATTTTTACATCAGATCTAGGGGAAAATGACGGGATATCCATTTCAGATAAGGTAGTTTGATAGTAATGCACATCCGGCTCACCTTCGTCACCCGTTAAACCGTAGTTATATGCTCGCAAGTTGGCTCCTGCAACTATGAAGTGAAAGTGATCAGGGTTTTCAAGATCAAAAACTTGAGGTTCGGGGGCGCGCTTGGGACCTGACCAAAATGGAGCGCCGTTCGACGTCTTCGCATCCTTGGGGAAATTATAGAGAAGTTGCTGAATTTCGTGGTTGAATTTCTTCTCGAATTCCAGACGTGCCCACTTGATACAGTCCTCAAAGTTGTAGGGTCTGTTTATCAGTGAATCGGAAATGGATTCCAAGATTCCTTTGACATCCCCAGCTTGCTTCAAGGTTTGTTCCACAAAGTTGGGTTGAGTTAAGTAGAGGTTGACATTTTCAGGCGCCTCCGTGAAGTACGCTTGGAAAAGGGATTTAGCCCAGGCAATCGTATGGTCAATTTTGTTAGGGAATGAACGTAGTGTGCACAGCGGAATTGATTTCTCTGGTGGATCTCTAGAAGAGGAATACGACTCTGTTACATTAGGAATTACGACCTGAGTATTCCCCTTAGTTCCGAGGGTTCCAGATTCTAACAGGGCTTTTCTGTAAAATACACAGCGGCGATCAACATAGGTACGCGCGTCAACATTGTCTAATGCATTTGTGACAAAGTCCAGGCCATTCCAAAATTCATCACCGAATAGGTCCTCAGTCTCGGGGCCAACTTTGTCCGTCATCCAATGAATTTTCCCCTTTAAGTCAGGATTCATGGCAGAAACTGCTTCAGACGCGACTTCGGACTTGTTTCTACCAACATCTTTTGGGCGGAAAAGGAACTGACGATTTAGGTTTGATTTTTCAATAGAATCATTATCGGTAATGTAGATCTTACCATTTGGTCCTGATCCTAAACCCAACAAAGCCCAATTTTTTAGCATTTCACAACCAATCGCCCCAGAACCAACCAAGAAAACCTTAGAGTTTGCAACTAATCTCTGGAAATCTAGACCAAAAATCGCAATTTGAGGATCATAACGGGAATTTATTGGACGCGTAGTTTCCTCTGTTCTAGGAAACTTCTCGGCATCCGGCAAGGCCTCTAAGGAGTCAAAGTACATGTACTGTTTTAAAGGTGTGAACTTCCCTGAACATGCCTTCAAAGTTTCTTGGGCTACAAGTCCACCAAAAAACGCGACGACACCTGGAATGTCACCTCTTGCTTGGTACGAGAGTTCTGTCAAAAGCTTTTCATTCACGGAGTTTCCTTCACCTAATACTAAAGGCTGCTGAGCAGCCAAATCTTCGGCAAGCTTTACCAACTCTTTAGCATCTTCCTGGTGTAATGTCCTTGGGAATTGTCCCTGATGTCTCAATTGAAATTGATGTAGGGCCTGAAATCCAAGATGTAATTGACCAGCCCTGTCAAATTTGGCATAATCGCAAAACAAATGCTCTGGGTCAGGAAGTGATTGCTGTAACGTTTTAAAAGAGAGCTTCAACGGCATCTTGACTTGGGTGAAGACACCGCCCTTTTCATAAGTTCCCAACTCCTTCACCGAACCAATTCTGAATGCAAAGGGTCCCAGGACCTCTACCTTGTAAACTGAGCCATCGTTGAGCTTTTCCAGACCCTCAATCTCGGAAAACTTGACATAGTTTCCATCTTCCAGGTTGTGTCTATTATCGTCCAGCATGGTAACTGTTCCATCAGGCTCGATGTCTGACACTATTCCGGACAGAGGCTCTTCACCTGTAGGGTCAATGACGGTGAACTCGTCACCAAAATCTGTAAAGACGCTGCCAAACAAACCTCTGGTTTCAGTAGCAATGAACATAATACCGTTTGCATGGCACAGGTTGTTCAGCTCTATCTTGCGATCTAACGATAGCGTATCAGTAGCAACTACAACCTGGTATCCCAGAAGTTGCTCTTGGTTTTCTAGTGAGCTGAGCACATCCACCGGGACATAGGAATTCAGTTCGGCTAATTTCACCTGAGAAACCACATCTCTCGGTTTGCCGACGTCGTTTTCAGATAGAAAAAATTGTGTAGACAGATCCTGTAGCTGAACAGGTTCTGGGTCATGTAGAGTTAGCGACTTGACACCTGCCAGGGCGATATTTTTCGCAATCTCAACCCCTAATCCTTTGAGCCCAATAATGAGCACAGTTGAATGCTGCATTTTTAGCATGGCTTCCTTGCCAAGAACGTACAATTGACGAGAGTATAGACTCTCATCAATTTCACCTGGTTTAGTCATTTTGAGAGATAAGATACTTCTTTACTCTCTTGTTTAACGTATTTCGCTTACTTTCGGTTGAGACTTCAAACTTTTAAACTTAAATGTCATAAAGGTATTTGAACTTTTGCCACCGGTCTCAACGACACACACGTACAAAATAATAACAATGTCTGACAACTTGCAGCGACGGGAGCATAAACGAATAATGCAAATCTGTTGTAGTTGTTTAGCTCACTGTAAGTGAGCTTTGCATCCGACTGAAGTCAATGGTCTTTTCAGCCACTTTAAGGGCTATCATGGAAATTAGATAACTAAGCGTAGATCTTTGGCGCTGATTCTTCCGTGAAGCCCTCCAGAGCGACAAAGATGCGAGACCACTCCATCATTGCGAGTGAATTTTTGATTGAATTTAATGTAGCGCTATGTTGTCGCAAGGTCCTGGTTCGACATTTGCCTGTGATAATCATGTTCGGCACCAGACTCAATGCACAGACGAGGAGCTTGCACAGCCATAACTTTAGAAAGGTGTCAGGGAAATGCTGTTTTACCAACGTTGCACTTGAAACCAGGCTTGTGAAAAGATTGTGGTAGGAGGTCATTGTTGGTTTATCAACAATGAATAAATAGGCACCACGGCCTGCTTCAACTGAGTTTCCTGGTCGTTCACACACACTACTGTCCAACGTGGACGGCCAACTTGGCAGAGATTTCTAGGGAGCTCATATTCTACACCGTATATCACTTCGTATAGAATTCTGCTTTCCTTGACACAATCCTGGCCCTAACTTCACCCATCGATCTAGCCCTAAGGTGGTTTTTGCAGGTAAGGTTTAGCCAGTCCGCAACAAAAGATAGAAGTAACTTGATCTCAAGACCCGGAAATAGATGAAAAGTAGAAGGGTACACATTGGGCGATCGAGCTCCTTCGCGTTAAAGCTTTGGTTTGAGCAGATATCAATGAGATATTGGAAGAGAAACCTGATAGAGAAATCCATTACAAAGAAGTACGAAGAATCCAAAACTCCAATTTGGCGGGACCGAGAGATCCTGTGCGGTACAGGGTCCTCTATATACGGGTAGTGGTGGATCGAAATAATGTATTCTCTTAATCCGTGCTTAACCATATTCCTTCAACCACGGCCCTCAGTTGAAAACCTATTTCAAAGATAGTGTGGCAATCCTGACCATTTTTGAATAAGGTTAGCAGTTGCAGGAGTTTTTGTCAACTGCCACTTTAAGTGGCTATTGGCCTTGAAATGAGAGACAATCTGTTGAGAAGTACGTCGATGGCACGGTGGGCAAATTGGAGAGTCATTTGATTATGACATGGAATCGTGGCAAGGCTTACCCAACTGACCGCTGTTGAAAAATTATCACTTGTACAAGACTGGGTATATCATTGCGAGGAAGAAGTGAACTCTTCTGGCAGATTTGGAAATGGCAGCCACCTTTGGGACGTCCTACAGAATACTCAACCTGGGCTTCTCAGTTTCAATCAAGCTCAACAGGTGCTAGCATAGGCTTCGTAACAGGCCTTCGACGCGTCTACGTAGAAGAATCAGGGACAATTCTTGATTCTTTACAGATGGCGACATCGAAAAACTCCTCAACTCCGCTAGATCAGGCGGTACACACACACCGGGTAGCGCCAACGGTGCAAAGTATCATTCCGAGCTTAGATCAGATTCGGGTGAGCGAAAACGGTCTGGGAGTTCGGAATTCGGAAGTCCTCCGGAGATTTCAGCGCATGTTCCAGTGTATGTTTGATGTTTTGTAAAATTTCGAGTGGAGTTTTCCTCTCTAGAAACCCTGAATGATGTAGCTATCTCGCAATCCACACAACCCTGAGCTCTGACAGCGGAACATCTCTCAAGCTTGATCTATGAATCGAACTTTTCTCCGTAGGAACGTTGTTGCGTTAGGGTTGACCGGTTTCGAACAGTCCTGGGGTTGCGAATGTCCCAGCAGCAATTGTCCCGCGATCACTTGGCGATAATTCAGTATGCTGGCTCATTGTCTTAGGCTCACTTAGGAAACCACCAGTAGGTGCCAGTAAGTCAACAATTAGCCGCACTTGAATAGACTGACTCTTTATAGCATGCCATCAACACTTGATAACGGTCCAAAACGGGTTATCAAGTGCGTATTTGAACGGTTCTCGGATTCTAATCTTTAGCGACGAAACGGGTCTGGTGGGTCGTGCAAGCACCTTCTCTGGCTAGGCCCCGGGCTCCTCCTCACTCGACCAACAACCACTTACCGTTTATTGTAGGCAATCCAAATTCAAACTGAGGTTCTAGCCAGGCTTGCGTGGTCATTGTAAGGGCTCGGGTCGTGTTCTTGATGAGTTGGCTCACCATTTACGTATGGAATCAATCTTTTAGGTTCATCACTGATGCTGACAGACAGTGCAGTCTTCGCCAAGTCCAGGGAACGAACATTAACAAACGAAATGCACAAACTACAGCCTCTTTATGGGGGCGCGATTGTCTGCCCGATACCCGAAGGCTTTCTAGATGCCTCAATTCTAAGGGAAGTCCCCGATACACAGGAGGTGTTTGTCAACTCAAGAGATGTGAGCGAGCAGGGCAAATTTGAAGATGGGCTGGGGCTCGATGAAAGCATCATTGTGGATCTTTTAGAACGCGTAGAAGCAAGTAACGATAGAGCAGCCTTAGAGATGCATCTGGAAGAAATCACCGGTCTGAACGGCAGCAACGATTGGACTGTGGCGAGACTCGCAATCGGCGACGGAGTCGTAGCTCACCAGACATGTATAGCGGTAGAAACTGCCTATAAGTGGGGCAAAGAAGACCACAGCGAAACGCTGGTATTGTGTGTGGCGTTGCTGCGACTTGAAGACGTACAGACAGATGTCGTGCTGAGTGTAAATTTGCCAATTAACAAAACAGATTCACTCAAAGATCTGCACGACTGGATCAAGGACCCGACAACAGATGCTCCACGTCAAGTCGAGTCTGCTTATAACGTTTTGACCACAATGGCGTCCAATTTCAAGGTGTTGGACTCCAGCCTTTTCGTATAACAAGATGTATTGAAAAATTTGGTGTTCGCGGGAGCTTTATTGATTATCTCGAGTTCCTAACGAAGATGTACATGATCAACACTAGTGACATTTGTCGCGAATAAGCTGCCAATTTGGAACTGGAGAGTATCTACAGATACGATTACCGCACTAGACAACAGTTGCGAATTGAGGGTGCTGCGCGGTCACACATTTTCGTTTGAATTGACATGGGTAAGAGTCGCAGACCGTCTTGGAAACGGTATTCATTCGCGGTTGTTCCGCTTGTGATAATGGTGATACTTCTGTGGAGGTTTTTGCATACAACGGAAGCCACTGATTTACAGGCGCTGCTGCAAAACCTACCAAGGGAGATCACCCAAAGCATCGACAAAGTTTCTCACGAAAAACAGGATGAAGCTTCCATCGTGGCGATGTTCGATAAGCTGTCGGAGGACCTACTTCGGAAACAAGACGATCAGCTGCGCAAATTTGAAAAGGAGCGCAGAGCTCTGGAAAAGCGGATCCAAGATCTTAGACAACCGTCCACTCACGCTACCTTGCGAGAGAAACTAGCCCACGTATTCGAATATCGCGCATCAGCACGGTTCCCTGCATTTATATGGCAAACATGGCCCTACTCCGATATGGACAGTCGAATGGATCCAGATTTGAAAGCGTATGAAAGGCATTGGGGCGATAAAAACCCGGGATTCGTTCACGAAATCATCAACGACGACACAGCTTCTGCGCTCATTCACTACATATATTCTCATGTCCCAGAAGTCGTCGAGGCCTATGATCTTTTACCATCGCCGAACTTGAAAGCGGACTTTTTCAAGTACTTGATTTTGCTTGCTAGAGGTGGTATTTACGCAGACATCGATACCGATCCCTTGCAGCCGGTCCCTAATTGGATCCCCGAGAATGTGTCACCAAAGGAAATCGGATTGATCATTGGCATAGAAAATGACGCTAGTAATCCTGACTGGAGGAGTAGCTATGTGAGAAGGTTACAGTTTGGAAATTGGATTATTCAAGCCAAACCCGGCCACCCAGTTGTTCGTGAGGTTGTTGCTCGCATCACCGAGGTCACCTTGCAACGTAACGAGGACGGAGAACTTCGTAAGAACCTAAGAAATGATCTAAACATTATGGGATGGACTGGATCGGGGATCTGGACCGATGTTGTGTTCACTTACATGAACGACTATGTTCAAAGTGGGATCTTAAGCAAAATTACTTGGAAAGAGTTTCACAAACTGACAGTTGCCAAACTTGTTGGTGACGTTTTAGTTTTTCCACAAGCCTCGTTCAGCGCACCTGAAAAGGGATCTAAACCGAAGGAGGGCATAGAGAGCAACAAGGCGTTGCATTTTGCGAGACACTCCGGGCTCAAGTCCTGGAAGGCTGCCCCCAAAGTAGGAGGGGATAAATAGGAAATGATCATTTTGACCCAGACGTGAAGCGATGTAATTGCAAGAGACTTTTACTTTTAAGTTTAAGCGCGAATAGTGCACGTAGATTATCAATACTTTTGAAACCTTTTTTTAGACCAATCAGGCAAAGGCGCCCAAGCTCTACTAAAAACTGGGCTATAAAAGACTTTCCTCGTCATTCAAACGAAGTCTGTTGTCCCTATCTGGTTCCTCATCATTTGGTCAAGGTTCAAAGAAAATACATTCCACGGGCCGCAGCTAACTAGTAGAGATATCTGCTTAATCCAGCTGGATTTGTGGCCCCCGAGTTGAGTGTGCGCGTAATTAGGTAAGAGCTAGCTTTCAACTACAAAGAGGCAGCAAGCATTAACCTTTTACAAGCGATTTATATACAAAATTTTTCATAATATATGATTCACCGTCACGTGATAAAGTAGAGAAAGGTTTGTTTTGAGAGTTCATAGGCCTGACGAACATAATGACTATCGCTCTTAGGGCATGAAAGCAGAGAGCTGGGTAGAAGAAGGTCCACTTTACTTACGTCGATTAAGCACAGCGCCGTTGGCAAATATAAAACAGTTCATGAATAAAATATTGCACGCGAACATTAAGTACACTTCGAAGCGACTTATCATTCGTGCCATAGAACTTGCTAACGGGCTGAGGTATTGTTAACTGTTACGTAATTTTTTGCATAAGTTCCCGCTCGACAGGAATTTTGGTTTTCAATACGTTGTGACTTTTATCTTGTACTGCGCGTGCATTCTATTCAAGAGTCCCCATTTCCGCTTTTAGTCTAGTCTCCTTTTCAATCCTTTCTTCGATATCTCTGAGTTCCTGTTCTCTCTGTAATAGTTCTTGTCTCTTCATTAGGAGCTCTTGTTGTACGCGCTCCTCGAAAGCCTTCAATCTTTCTTCTTCGAGTCTTATTTGTTCTTCCCGTGCTAGGTAGGTATCTTGATTACCAGATTGGAGTTTAGAGGAATCGATAGACTCAGAGTCTGCAGCGTGTAGCGATGCCTTCCCTGAGGCGCCTGGAGAAGGAGCACCGGTCTCGGTATTGATTGAGCGGGATCCGTGGCCGTAGTTTGAAGCGCCGCCAGACAGGGCCTCGGTTCTATAGCGTTCGTACAGAATTTCATGGGTATAATCTTTGAGGTCATGCAGATGTGAAATCAAGAGGGTGTTTCTGAGATGCACAAAATCAGAGACCGTAGGGTCCTCGACGTCCAGAGTTCCCCATGGGTACTGACGCCCACGAATCAGAGTACCGTCGCCCAGATCGTACACCTCGTTAGAACCTATAATGGAAAACGGCATTAGCGAGCGTAAGCGCATATTCGTAGCGTAGTCTTCGTCAGAGATATCGGACTCTTCGAAGGGAAAGTTATAAATGGGCAGGTGGTAGTATTCAATGTCCTCCATAATTAGCTTTTTATTGAGCTTGAGCTCAGCAGGAGTTAGCGAATCTGCTTTGCTAATGATTGGGATCACATTGACCAGCGCCCCCAATGTCTTTATGAATTCCACATCGGTCTCCTTCAACCCATGCCCGGTTGGGTTGATGAGGTATAAACAACAGTGTACCCTACCATCTTTGAAGCGCGGGTTTCTCCTAACGCGACTCTCCTCCAGCAAAATCTCATCGTACTGATGTCTTATGTAGTCTGAAATCACATTGAAGTTTTGAGAGTTGTCTAACGAATCACCAAAACCTGGTGTGTCAATTATATTCAGTTGGATTTTGACACCTTCATCGTCCTCCAATTCCACTGTCTCCTCCCTGAGTTGAAGGTCTATCTGTGTCGAAGTATCAGTGGGCAACATGATGGTCGTGGAAACATCTACCACTTGTTGGCCGCAGAGGGTATTCACGAAAGTTGATCTGCCACTTCCTGACTCCCCAACAACCATTAGGGTGAAATTAATTCCTCTTTTGAGGTTTTTACGTTTTCTCAAGGCGGCAGACGCCTCTATAATGCTAGCCATAATGAATTGAGCGCTTTCTGAGTAGGTTTCTGAATGTAGATTTAAGATGTTGTTTGTTATGTTAGAGATCCGGTTGAAATTTTTTTATACAGTATGTTACAGAGAATAGAGAACTCGAGGAGCCAAAACAGGATATGTAAGTCCAGGCGGAAGCTCGATCGAAGGCAGATCCCATTATCTGAAACAGGACATCTTTGCGTAGATGCTAACTCAAGTAAAAGAGATTTGGTCAACTCGAGCCGACACTAACTCAAAAACATGTTGTCGAAAATTTAGTGATCACTAAATCATTAATTTAACGCGTCTCTCACAGCAGCATACATCAAATGCAGAGGAAGCCACCACTCGAAAATACGAAGCGTGACACATATAAGGTTGATATGTGTTTGAACTGATGGTTGCTAAGTTATGGTTGACGAGTTTCTGCAGTTTTAACCTGCCCTCTCTACCCTGCTGAGCAATTGGGATGGTTTCACAGTCAAATCGTGCTTGAGCTTTGAAGTCCGAGTCGCTAGGCTCCAGGCAGTTGTGTAGCCAGCTCCAATTTTTCCCTTCCACGGCGGAGCTACCAGGTCGATAATCACTGGAAATCTATGATGTGTCAGTTCTTCTGTATTACTTGACCGATGAGCAGCTCGCTGTTGTAGCTCGAGGTGTGTGTGAAGAGCTTGTTTGCACCGTTTTGGTGGCCTGAGACGCATTGCTAGTAGAGATTACTTTAATTAATCATAATCATGGGGCGAAGTGCGATGCTGTTCAGTTGCACCGGCATATACTGAGAGCACGACCAATGGGAGCACGACCAATGACCGGACCCTACCTATTCATGGTGTCAGCAGAGCGCTGGTGTGTTCAGGTATTATACCGCTGACACTGATCATTTATTTTCATACTGACACGCATGTGATGACCCATTCTTTGAAAAATTTTGGCAGACAGAGTAACGTTGACTCAGCTAGGCATCGTAATCCTATAGCGCTTAAAAGCTTCAATTAACAACGCAGAGGTGTATCGTTTTGGAGTCCTTTTTTGAGATCGAGTTCAATTCCTTTTGTTCGTGTTCGGAAAATCTCACTCTCAACTAAAATATGACTGTTAATTATAAGAGAAAGGTTGTGCTTATTGATAACTACGATTCCTTCACCTGGAACTTGTATGAGTACCTGTGCCAGGAGGGAGCAGATGTACAAGTGTACCGTAATGATAAAATTACGCTCGATGAAGTCATTGCGTTGGAGCCGGAAGTGATGTTCATTTCTCCTGGGCCCGGACACCCTCAAACGGACTCAGGTATATCCAGAGATTGCATAAGCCACTTCGCCGGAAAAATTCCGGTTGTTGGCGTCTGCATGGGTCAGCAGTGTATGTTCGAGGTTTTTGGCGGTAACGTTGGATACGCCGGTGAAATTGTACACGGAAAGACCTCTCAAATCACTCATGACAACAAAGGCATTTTTAAAGATGTACCACAAGGTGTATCCGTTACTCGCTATCACTCTCTAGCCGGCGAAATATCATCGCTTCCAGATGTTTTGGAAGTAACAGCAAGGACAGACTCGGACGTCATAATGGGTGTAAGGCATAAGAAGTTTACCGTGGAAGGTGTCCAATTCCACCCAGAGTCGATTCTATCTGAAGCTGGCCACACAATGATCAAAAATATTCTCAGCATTCAGGGAGGAACTTGGGAAGAGCATGAAAGACTTACGGCTTCAAATATTGCCAAGAAATCCTCCATTCTTGAGAAAATCTATGCTAAAAGACAAGAAGATGTTCTGTCTCAAGCCAGTACTCCTGGTTTTACAGAACGCGATCTGCAATTCAATTTCAAACTTGGAATTGCCCCTGAGGTACAAAATTTTTACAATAAGCTGCATAATGACTCCAGCGGCGCAGCTGTTATCGCCGAAATAAAGAGGGCGTCTCCCTCAAAAGGTGATATTGACGTTAATGCTATTGCTGCCGAGCAGGCGGTAAAGTACGCGAAAGCTGGTGCGTCAGCTATTTCAGTTCTCACAGAGCCTCACTGGTTCAAAGGAAGCCTTCAGGATTTGGTGAACGTAAGAAGGGCTCTGGAGAATGAGTTCAAGGAAAATCCGGAGGCTCGTCCTTGTGTGCTCCGTAAAGAGTTCATTTTCAACAGATATCAAATCCTGGAAGCCCGTCTAGCTGGTGCAGATACCGTTCTTCTTATTGTGAAGATGCTGCCACAACCATTGTTGCGCGATCTTTACTATTATTGTAAGAATGAAATGGATATTGAACCTCTGGTGGAAGTTAGTTCTAAGGAAGAAATGGATAGAGCAATTGAGCTGAACGCTACAGTCATTGGTGTTAACAATAGAGATCTACATTCTTTTACAGTAGATTTGAATACCACAAGCTCTTTGGTATCCGCCGTACCCAAAGGAACTGTGTTGCTGGCACTTTCAGGCATAACATGCGGTGCAGACGCTAGAAATTACAAACAAGAAGGTGTAAATGGGTTTTTGGTGGGTGAAGCTTTGATGAGAGCAGCCGATGTAAATGCTTTGGTCAAAGAACTGATTAGTCAGTGATATATACTTAATAATTAGTGACCACCTCGCACGCTGCGGCTGGGTTTAACATCAACGATAACGGTCGACAAACGTCCCCACGCACTAATCCCTCTTTGTATCACCTGGTTTAGCGAAGCTGGAGCTTTGAACAAATCTTACTCCTTTGAATGTGCGCTCTTTGTTATGGGTCTGAACCGCAACCAAGAATCCAAGGTCTACAAATTTTGGCCAGTTAACATATTGAACGCCATTTTGAAGAATAAATCTCACCGATAGGCCCAAAATAGTGGTGGAGAAAAACAAAAACGACAAGTTCTTAACACTGGTAAAATGGTCTTTGGGGAAAAATATGGTGGCGGCTATGACTGTCAATGCTGCACAGATAACAGTGGGAACAATTTGTATAGTGAATGGTCTTCTATCGTCGAATGGGGACTGAGCTCCTACTCGATAAGGCAAGAAGTTCCCTAAAAACAAATCGAAACTGTCTTGACGTGGACCATCCGTCAAGTTATTCTGGTAGTAACGCGAAACGGAGTTGACAAAATCCTGAAGTGCTCCAGAATGGGTGCGCTTTCCAGTTCTCGTGAAATCCGTCTTCAAGGCACCTGTTCCCGAATAGGCAGAACTCACAGCATCGGCATTATCTGCCCAAAAGCTCTGGAACTGAACCAAAAGTTTAAGGTCTTGTTCCCATACTAGCTCAGGAGAAATAACGCCAGCTGTCACAAATTCTTGTTGCAAAACCCAGTGAGCAAGAACTGATTGAACCACATTGGTTCTGTCCAAACAATCCATACAATTAGTCCTTACAACGGAACTTTGCTCCCTTAAAACTTCAATGGTCCTACCACTCAAATCCATTGACTTATGAAAGACGTCTTTAGGGTCCAGACCCATCTTTTGGAGATGGTCAATGAGCAGTTTTACCCTGTGCCACTTCATTTTACGACACTCGTGATGAAAGTCGAAGTAAACGTAATGAATCTTAGGATCATTCAAAGCACTCACTGCAGATTCGTAAGAGTTCTTAACCGGTAGTTCATGACCTTTCTGATTCACCAAATTCACTAAGTAGTTTACACCGTACAGCTCCTTCTGTTGCTCAAAATGTTTGGAAAAGGCATCTAATGAGGAGCTCTCCCCCAAAACAAGGTTTGGCTTGTACTTCAAGGTATTGACCTCTCCCCAGTAAACAGGCACTGATCCTCGAGTTTGCAGGAAAGAGAAGAAGTCATTGTGGCCATTTTTGGTGCCGCTTTCGGTTACTAGAAACTGTTCAGTTTCGTTGAAATTTGCGACATTTCCTTCGACATCAATTCCACGTCTGAAATACCTTGTTCCAGCTCGGAATATGCTTCTTCTCGTGACAAGCCCGATCGTGATAGGAGTTCCTTGGAGTGACGATTGAACGAAACGAGCGTAGCCGAAGATCATAGGTTGGATATAGCCAGCAGCGCGCAGATCTTCTGCTGCAATTTTTCTGAGGTTCTCGGTCGCGAAATGGTTCCAGAAAAAGCGAGTATCAGCAGTTTGCCAGGAATAGGCCCCTAGCTTCTCATTCCGTTGGGCTGAATTAGTCAAATCGTAGGTGTATGAAAAGAAGAGTGTCGCATTTGACAAATGTAAATCCAGAAGAGCTAAGTACTGTTGTTCGTCCTTGTCCTTCTTGGCAAGGCTGTTCAAAGGAATAATCGTATGTTCCACAACTTTAAAAACTTTGTGGCCAGCCAGCGTGCCGTACTCCTCAACTCTGTGAGCTATAATAACATATGAATTGGTCTTTAATTTAATACAGCCAATAATACCCGCAACCTTACGTATGTCTGCTAATGTGGGAAACGAATCTAAAGGTTCAATGCTGATATCCAGTTCCGTAGGACCCAACGAGAGCACCCCATCTTTCTCGCCATTCGTATTGCTTTGCTTGAAAATTACTCGATTATTTAAACGAGTATACAGTAAAGGTCCCGCCATAACTAGTTTTCGTCAAAATGGTACTGAACAGCGACACCTTAAGAGCATGGATGTTCTATTCATTTTAAATCCATCCTCCTTTAAATTCTCAAGTTGTATTGATTCTTATCCGAGAGCACTGTTGACGATTTCGCCCATAGTGAAATACCGGCGAATCGTTGCTTCACGAGCCAGTGTGGCTAGCGGCCCAGCCACTGAAACTCCGATTCTTGACAACCACTAGACGTAGCTTCCATTGTTTCATGTAGCACTTTGTTGTTCTCCAGGTCGTTTTACTTCGCAAAACAAAGCAGCGCGCCTTTCAGCAGTTCACTTTCACTATACGATGCGCGTATGAAATACCCATGCGTGCGATGGTCGGAGTGGAATCAAGCTACATGGCTTATGCATTAGAGTACAATAAATAAGTTGCTACCCTCCTTTAAAAACAGATGTGGTCTGTTCGTCAAGATTCGGATGCGACCGCCCAATGGCAATGAGAAAGTTCTTAGCAGTAGCATAAACACTGCATGATCCGAGAGGAAGGTTGTGCTGTCAGTAGTGGGAGCTTAATTAAATAGGTCGTATTGTCTTGCAGTACTTTCAGGTAACGAGGGCAGTTGATACTTCTATTACCGTGCACAACGCTAAATATTTTAACCATTAAAAGGCTCCCAGCTTTATATAAACCTTAAGGGACCTAGAGCACTATCCAAGTTTCTAACATCGCTGACAGTTCCGCATCGGATTAGAATTGTGTCAAAAGTTGGTAATTGAACCGTTCTACTGTAAGGATTTTTTCGCTTTAAAGTAAGAAATCAAGCCAATAGAGAATTGACATATTCAATGACTGGTGGCACTTATAGACTTAGCGCAGTGCTTGTTGGCCATGAGCAAGATGTTAAAGGCGTGGCAGCGGTTAGCGACGAAACTGTAGCTAGTTGCTCGAGGGATGGCACGGTCAGAATCTGGAAGAAAGGAAGCCAAGGCATATGGAAAGATTACATTGCCTATCAGTCTGACAAATTCCTGAATAGCCTTTGCTTTGATAAACCAACTGGACAGTTATATTGTGGCGGCCAAGATTCACTGATAACTAGTGTCTCGCCAACTGTAGATGCAATGAATCAGGAGCCCACTTATGTCCTAGTGGGCCATAAGAGCAATGTGTGCGCTCTCACTGCTTCTCAGGGCTATGTTCTGAGCGGGAGTTGGGACTCAACTGCTCGTATTTGGTATGAAGGTGCTTTGAAGCACGAACTAAAGAGCAAGCAATCCATTTGGGATGTAAAAATGTTGCCTGAAGTAGGCACTTATCTGACGGCCTCGGCTGATGGGACGATTAAGCTTTGGTCGGGCGAAGAGGCTATCAAATCATTTGACAACATTCATACAGACGTTGTTAGGCATCTTGATGTTCATCCTTCAGGAGAGCAATTTGCTAGCTGCTCAAACGATGGAACTGTGAAGATCAACGATCTCAATGGACGAACTGTGCATACCTTGAACGGACACGAGAGTTTTGTTTACTGCGTCAAATATATGTCTAACGGTGACATTGTGAGCTGTGGTGAAGACAGGTCCTTGAGAATATGGGGATCAGACGGTTCCATCAAGCAAGTCATCAGAGTTCCCGCCACTTCAGTTTGGGACTTGGATGTACTGCCTAACGGTGATATCATGATTGGTAGCAGCGATGGAAATTCGCGTATTTTCACTTGTGACCACAAAAGGATTGCCTCACCAGAGGAACTGGATCAATTCTCCAAGGAAGTAGAGCAAAATGCCATCAATTCACAAACAATGGGGTTTGATGAATCAAAGCTTTCGGACAGCGACACGCTAACGAAACCTGGAAATGAAGGTCAAGTCGTTGTCGTGAAAAATCCAGTTGGTGTTAACGAAGCTCATCAGTTCTCGCAAGGAAGTTGGCAGAAAGTTGGTGACGTTGTGAGTTCGACGGGTAATGATCAAAAGAAGGAATTTGGTGGCAAGCAATATGACTATGTTTTTGATGTCGATGTGCAAGAAGGTGCGCCTCCATTGAAGCTACCGTTCAATGCAAATGACAATCCTTATCAGGCAGCAGACGATTTTCTAGCAATGTATGAGCTCCCAGCAAGCTATAAGGAGGAGGTGGTGCGGTTTCTCATCACAAATACGGGTGGAGTAGAATTACAATCGGAAAACCCTGGCTCGGAACCATTAGAAACAAATACTCCTCTGCCGTCAATGACGCAGAAGAGCGTATTGCCTGTCAAAAGCTATCTCGAGATTTCATCTTACAAAGCCGATGCTATATTTTCGGGTATCGTTAAGATTAATGAACAAGAGAACACATTCGATGATGGAGACCTAGCAGCTTTGGGAGCCGCCTTGCACAATGTCCGTGATAATATCGAGCTGCTCTTTGCCCAAGCTTGTATTATGCGCTCGTCTTGGACTAACAAAATTCCTGCCTATGATGTAATGCGACTGATCGTTTTTTATCTGCCAGAGGTAGATATAATGAGTGAATTTATCGAAGAGGGTCTCGGTTCCTCAAGCCCTCAGTTGGAAATGCTAACCATAAGAGCGCTGGCCAATTGTTTCAAAAACAAGCATTGGGGTCTTGAGCTAATGTCGAAAAGTGCAGTCTACGACTCCGTGTTCCATACAATTGAAGCGGAGCGTCAGGCTACTGCAAAAACTGGAAATTTAGCGATAGCTGTCGCGACCTTACTATTTAATTACAGTGTTATGATACTGGAAAGCGGAAATACGAATATTCTTCCGGCAATAGCTGACGCGCTAAATAATAAGTTTGGCCCTTCAGTCATGATACAAAACTCCGAAGAAGCCGCTTACAGAGCGCTTGTGGCATATGGAAATTTGGCCACAATCGAGCCTACACTTCTACAGTTTGCAAAGTCCGTTGCCTGGATAAAAAAAGTCAAGAATAACTATGGATATCTTGCTAGATTCGATCAAGTGCTTGGTGACCTGAACGTTGATTAAGGTAGGGTAAACATATTTTAAATTCAACCTAAATACGTAGTTTAGTCGAAAAGCATGTTGAACAACTTGTGAGCCTATCATATTTGGCACACCCTTGCTACAGCATACCATCAAAATACTAAATGTCTATCGATCAAGATCTAGATAGTATAATTGGCGAAAATGTATGACTACTTACTTCGAAACGCAAATACTATAGGTGACTCTCATACAAGCAAAGTATTAGAGCTGCACTATATCTATCAGTAAGCTGGCTGGATTAATGGGAGACTGCACACATGCTATGGACCGATTTTACTAACATTCGCTTTTCCATTTTTAGAAAACTTCCAAAAGAATAACAGTATGTCGTTGATTTCAATCGATTGGTTTAATGACCCAAATATTAACAGCAAAGGAAGAAATACCGCCGCCGTGACCTTAGGAATGGATTAGCCTCTCGTATTGGGGGTGGCATTGGTCATGAAAGAGAATTTTCGAGACGCGACTTGGAACCAGGATCATATTCTAAATCGGACAGCCTCTACAACGATGTGGGTACCCAGCCTCGAGCGGCTCCCAAGAAAAGGCTACGTATAACGCAAATCCCCCTACAGGTTTCTGACTTTGTGATTGAAGATTTAGTAAAGAAGATAGCCAACCCAGTGTATGCAAATTTTTACGACCATCCAGGTAGCCGCACGGGTGTCTTCGAGTTTGAGAAACCAAGCCAAATGGAAGACGTGGCAAAGGCATTTACCGATAGAGAAGTTGACGGCTCTAAACTTTCAGCGGAGATATACGAGCTGAAGAGCCGCCAAAATCGCCGCGGTCAAAGTATGAGAGGACAATCCGGTTCGAGACGTAGAGAACGTGGTGGTCGCAAGGATAAAGAAGAGCGCCGTCAAAACGAGCGCCCCACGGCAGACCAATTGGATCAAGAGCTAGCAGACTACATGAGAGACTGACCTTTTCGATACGTGATTGAAAAGTCAAGTGTAATAAAAATAAAAGCAATTGAAACTTATATGTTCATGACATTATTCGAATATATTCATCTTTTCTATACTAAAACTGGGTTTACAGCGTAGGTTCATCACATAAATTAAGAGTACACGATTTCCAGGGTGAAACTCTATTAGGAAGTTGAGTAAAGGACTCACCGTCTATCAACTATGACTTCCTTATTTGGCGCTGGCAATTTCGATAGCTGGAGCACAACCCAAAGATTTCTTCAAAGTACCGTAGATACCGAATTGCAAGGAGGTCAAGGTACCAACCATGACCAAACGGGTAGGTAGACCGGCGAAAGAGCCAACGAAACCTAGTTCCTTGGCTAGTTGACCTAACAAACCGATGGTAGATTGACCTGGAGCCTTCTTGGTCTTGTTGACCTTGGACAACAAAGTGTCGGCAGGTTGAGAGACGATGGCAGCAGCCAAACCAGCGGTCAAACCGGACAACAAGTTCAAACCGGTGGTGGTAGAGGCAGACAAGGAGTCCTTTGGACCGGCCATGCCGAAGTAAACTTCAGCAGCACGTTCGAAGACCAAAAACTTGGCGATGTTGTAAGGAATTTGCTTGAACAAGATTGGGGTGAAACCGTTGTAGAAAGAGCTTAGACCCTCTTCTTTCATAATTCTGGAGAAACCGCCAACTAGACCGTTGGAGAAGTTTGGTTGGGAAACAAGTCTAATTCTGGTAGCTTCCAAAGGACACAAGGCAATGTCGGCGAAAAATTCGGCGATAGCGGCAGAACCAATGTAGATAGAGTTTTTGTAGTTAACAGCTTGGTCATAGCCCAAAGTGTCAATGAACAACTTCTTGAAAACTTCGTAACCACCAAACTTGAAGGAACCTTGCAAAGAGTAACCTAGCAAAGTTGGGCCGAAACCAGTCAAAAGGGCACCGGCACCTTCAGCGGAGACGATTTGCTTGAAAGAGCTGATCATACCCTTGTTGTAGACGGTTGGTTCCAACTGGATTCTGGTCTTGACGACATCGATTGGCACCATGGCAGAGTGGGTAACACCACAACCGATGGCACCAGCCAAAGCGAACTTGGCGTAGTCAGACATGGTATACTGAGGGATAGCAGCAGACATTATGATTGGTCTTATGGGTGTGCGTGTTGATGAGTTTATCAGCCAGTAGATTAAGCCCTCCAAAAGTTTACATCGCGAGAGGGCCTTGCTCAAAGTTTTTCTTCTTTATATATACTAATGATCCACCAAGATCGATAACGCCGCATCTAGCGTCAATAAAAGAAACACTCTAGTCGTTATTGGTGATCTCTAATCCGCGAATGTGATTGGCTGAGAGACCAGGAAGTCTCGGACTCTACACGAACCACCATATAATAAGATGAATACAGCTCTTATGATAGAGACATCGTAAAGATGCTTTCCACGCCGCAATCTCTTGATAAGTATACGATTTACTCCACCTTAATTACATCACTCGTCACGAGCATGTGTTCTCGTCTGCAAAGGTGTGTGTAAAGCTACGTCTCTGGGTTGTCGCGTACAACCTATATACTTTAGTTGTTTAGCTGCTACATCTTGTGGATGCGGTGCATCCTGGTTGAGCTCCGGAATGAGCTCATTGTCTCGTCCGTGTGGTCACTGGCGTTAGCACTACAAATTGGGATTTCGAAAACCAGTACGACACATGAGTTCAATGTCCCAATCAGACAGTTTGTGTGGCTACTAAGGCTGTGGATAACTTGTGTGAATCCACTCACTAATTGTCGAACGACTATGGTGTGCCTGCCCTGTAATAACGAATGCGACGTTTTGAAAGAAAATTATTAAATTATGCAAGTGTACAACCCACACATAAGCCTAAGAGTATCCCTCCGCGAAGTTGGGTGGGTGAGGTATTTCCAGTGGTTATTACCTCAAAGCAGCAGCGAATATGATCAGAGACTGCTTATATCTCTGTGCGCAAAAGTACGTCAACCAAAGCTGTGAACAAGCGGCAAGACACTGCTTCTGAGCTGTTATCTCATGTAGGTTGCAACTTGGAAAGTCCGATTTCGCATCAACTCGCGAGTCCACTCTTGATACCCGTAAGCTAGAATCACTGACAGCTACTTAAGAACTCGTGTCATTTGATTATATACACTGCAGGGTAGTAACAGGTTTAACTCGGTATGCTTGCACATACGAAATCGTTAGCCCAAAACCATGCGTCTTTTAGCTGTAAAATGCGGTTCCCTAACATGTTAATAGAGAAATATAATAGGTGATTATATTATTGTGGTGCGCAAATGTTCGAATGGACCAATGCTGCAAACAAAAAGGAATTCTTGGTACGTATGCAGTTTTGGGCCCTTCACATTTATCCCATCATGGCTCTCACCGTTAGGAAGAGTAGCGCCTCAGCGCTGAAAAGTGGAAGTCTCGAAAACAGACACGAAACGTCGTGTTGCGGTAGAGGATGTTGGTAATCAACTCACTAAATACTGAAAATCAATTATAGACTTCCCTCTCAAGTGCGACCTGCGCTCTATTTCGACGATTGCCATATATGAATAAAGACGTGCACTTATACCTTGGGTTTATTAAAATCACTAACTAAACGACTATTTTCTATGTATCTATTTGAACGGCCTGAGCGGTGTCATCCTTTACCAAAGGAAACTTAACTACCGTTGGACGCACAACTGAAGACAGTTCCATATGCATCTGCCTGGTAATTTAGAATAATACTTTGAATGGCCGAGTATAGACCTGGCCCTAAAATGTAGAGTCCAGTGGCTATCAGGAATATGGCAATGTAGAAGTGAAACTTCTCGGTCGCAGTCAACAAGTGGTAAAACTTTGGCGTGCGGTACTTTTCTTCCTTGAGTTTGAAGAAAGCCAACCCCCAAAACACAAACCCAAACCAACAGTCGAACAACGACGACATCAGCGATAGCAGATCCGAGAAAAATGGAACAACCTCTGCAATAATAAAGGCAAGAACCCAAGTAACTAGAATGATCCCAACCCAGGCTATCCATCCAGTAGCGGTATGAGAATACAAGTGCTTCGAACGTTTGAAAATGGTGAAAAACAGTAAGCGGCCTGATACGTTGGAGTACAGGGCACCTGCAAAAATCAAAGTGGGCACTGCAAATGAGAAGGAGATAATCTTGAAGGTTCTTGTCAAAGACCCAAATGCAGGTGCTGTGACGTATTCGTTACCAACATAGACATAAATGATCGCACCTGCTAGTGTAAAGATGATGACTTCCAATAGAGTAACCAGATACAGCACCTTTTTGAATTCCGCTGGCCTTTTCATTTCTGCAATAAACTGGGGGTAAGTAATCTGTCCCACAAACGTGTAGACAATGTTCAGAAATGCTCCCATTCCATCCACAAAAGTGGTGCCCTCTTTGGGGAACGCGCGGAAGGTTACTGGTGTGCCGTCGTAGCCAGCAGGGTGATCTTGAATCCCTGCGAAAATCATGGCTAAAATGACAGCAATAAACATGGTGGCAGCGGAGAAGTACGCAACTTTTGACAGCGACGAAAAGGTCCGTGGAATAGAGAAAACAAGCGAGATGCACGCAACAATGATCCCGAAATACACGGTACACAAAGAATGGTTCGTAACGGTGTTAAGGTACTTGGCTCCGACCAAAACGTGCAAACCTTGAATGAGAGTGTTGTTAGCCAGGAAACAGAACAGCGTGGCGTACCACGCCCACTTCTGGCCCCAGAAAAGATGTTGGCCAATATCACAAATGCTTGTCAAATGGGGGAATTTTTCACAGTAGTCCACAATCGTCAGCCCTGTGTAAAGGACCGTAGCTGCCACAAAAAGCGTTAGAATGATTCCAGGCACTAAGCCCAAAACTGAGTAAGACCACGGGAAAGACATGATAGCCAAAACAATGTACTCCGACAACAGGAGCCCCGTTGTGTGAAGCCACGAACACGTTTTATACTGGATCTCATGCTCGTCCTCGTCCGCTAGCACTTTCAATAACGTATCGGTAGAGTCGTGAGAGGCGGTTTTAGTCGTTGCCCGCATCGTGACATGCTGTGTTGATGCATTTGAGGCCTGGTCGCTATTACTTTCGAATAAGTTGCCGTCACCACCTAGGAGGCCCCTTGAGGCGTGCGTGTCGTTCATGTCGCTACCAGGAGACTGAGATGCTATCGATACGTCTAGTTTTCGTCGAACAACTGTAGTCTCGATGACCTTTTGTAGTTTTTAATCCCAAAGTACATTTTAATTGCTTCTTTTAAGTTTGCATCGCAACCCGCATTTGGCCCTTCGATTTCTTCCTTCCACAAGGCCCTTCCTTGCGTTTACTTTTGAGTACGACATATGGCACATACGAAACGTGCGATGACGGAAAAAAGACACCGAGCTGGTGACCGGAAAGAGAGTAGAGACACAGTAGAGACACAGTAAACAGACAGTAAAGACAACCTGACCGAACGGCACTACTATGACAACACACTACAATCGAACCATATGAAAAAACACCAATTTCTTGTAAGCATGGTGTTCTTGGTCGGCACCTTGAAGATCGCAGTAAGTGTGTAGGCGAAACGACAGCAGGATGCATCTGCCACAGCATCAGGAAGGTCCCTGCGCGAATTTATCTTGGTCCCAAGCTGTGTGTATAAAATAAATAGACAGCCCGCAAACGTGTTTACAAAGATGATTTTGGGTTTCCAACGGTTCCCTGGAAGCAGTAGTTTCCAAAGCAACGACGGGGTTCTCAGTAAACGCTGGTCTGGAAACAGTGCATGGCGACCTTCAGCAGAAGCCATAAACTTAGACCACGGAGGAGCAGATGTATATGGTCGTTTTGCTCAGGATATAAATCGTCTCCAGCGGTTTTCAATTAGTGTTAGTCAAGAACACTAGAGTCGCATGTCGGGAAGATAATCACAAGTGACCGAAGCGCTGCAGTTGTCTTCGAGAAAGGCTTCAAGTTTGCTATCTCAAGCGATTCGGCCACACGAAAGAAATGGCACTCTTTGCTGCTTCAAACTCCGTGAGTAGCGATAGTACTTAAGAAAATACCATGAAGCCTTCGTTAATGCTGGGACTCAGACCACAAGAGATCTATTGGTCTGGTATTCCCTGAACGTGCCCGTTTATGCGTAGTGTCTAGAATTTATAATATGGAATGATGGAGGAGGAGGACCTTGGACGATTCAATCAATCATATTAAGAGGAAGAAAAAAAATGCTGTCGTGCTTGAAGATAGTCGGATCAAAGATAATCCGAAAATGCCAACGGCATAGAATTTCTCGTAATCTGGGCCATCGGGCCTGAAAGAAGGGCCCGGCACGTTCGTTTCTTTCTCATCCAATAGAGTGGACTGTAACTCTTTTGTTGCTCACCACATAATCAGCCTATTTGTATAGTATTGGGTTAAGACAGCACCACCAAGACTTGGATGATGCGGATGCCACCTTCCGGCATCTTTGGTAGTTATTTCAGGATTAGGTTTTGAAAAACCCAAGAATAGCTATTAGACATCTTAGAAAGATGGACTGGTAATTTTGGCGAGTTTCAAGACTTGAGGTCCCGCACCGACAGACTCATGTCCAATGTCAAACGAGGACGTCTTGCTAAGAAGCGAAGGTCCTGATGGACAAGGGTTTTCTAGGCATTTGCACATTATGATGACAAAATTATGATTGGCTCAGATGGGCCGCATGCAGATGGGCCCCGAGCAGTTTTGAATTACCGAGAGTCCAATGCCCTAATCACAAGTTGACGAGACCAGGAGAGTCGAAACCATTAATTGTACCAACATTGGGTGGTGCACGCTGTTATGCTCATCGACATCAACCTACTATATATACGTCAGTCGATTGAATCTTGTAGAATTTGGAACCCAAACTTGAAGGTTGACTGAGCAGATTGTCAACCAGAATATCATGGAAAGCTCTATAATGTTTATGGAAATCTTAACTTCAGAGAAAGCCTGTAAGCTCATGATGAAATCCCTTTGGTTCCACATAACTTAGGGATCATCGACATTAAATTTTGAGGTACCTGATGCTAGGAGACTGCCTTGGTACATATCGTAGAGTTTCTACATCAGGTTTGCAGAAGCATGCTGATGACGGAATTACTGGATAACACAGGCAGTGATCGCAATTGTACTGGTTGCTTTTCCTTTCTGTTTGCACGGCCTAAGAGTACGCTCTAGACTATCTCATAGCGCCCGTCTGCATACCTGTGACTGTGACATTATTATGCAAAGTGGTGAACAAATGGCGATGGTAAAAATGAGCATAAAAGACCTAAAGTTAGTGGTCGGAGGAGCCGGATGATGACACTAGTATGTCTGACATATTATTCCATATCTCTAAGCGTAGTCACTACTGACTGGTATTTATTTGTCAATGTGTGAACACCATCGAGTTGCATGCTAGCTACCATTAGCGTATTAACCTCAAGGTGTCAGGATAAGGTCAAGGATCGGTTTCAGATGAGGTCCCAAGAACAGGTTTAGTCTCAACTGGGAGCTCATATTTAAGTAAAGCTAATAAAAGCTCCTTGATAGTTGACAAGCTGGTCATAGGTAGAGAGAACTAAGCGTGATTTGATCAATTTATTATATTTCTATATCAAGCCCGATCGTATCACGTCAACCATCAACCTAGCGTCAGTATAGTACAGAGTGATGCATGCGACGTCACTAAAACGAAAATGTTCAAGGTGAAGAGCTAACTAATGGGATCCAGAAGAGCAGCAATTACAAAAAAAAATGCCCTGGCCAGCCATTTCAATTACTGAATAGCCTGAAAATCTGATTGTAGGGTGTAATGGTAAGATTTTCTAGCCCCAACTGCACCCAGATCGTTCCCGCCAGAATACTATATAAATACCAGCTATATGTCCCAGATGATGCCGAGTACCCTCGCTCATACAACAAGCATCGGCTCCACTACACCACTCTTACCCTGCAGCTCCGACGATATTTTCATTTCCGCTGCATACTCAGAGTGTTCTCGGGCCAAATAAGTACCTTGCACACAACAATTAATCATTGCAATATCCGTTATTGTAGTCTCTAAGCCCACAGTTCCAATGAACTTCGAAGCTCTACGTTTATTCACATCTCTATATACATCTTTGTTATCCGCCTACAGATTCGCGCAGGGCTTCGTCGCCTACACGTAATTGATGAACCCTTTTAAAATATTTTTTTTCAAGAAAAAAACCATATATTTTCTGGCTGCAATTAGCAGCCACATTTGCTTAAAAGAAGCTGGGTCGAGCCAACAAACTTACAGATATGTTCGATATTAGGTTGATTCGAGCAGTAACTTTTCAGATTGACCCTTCAATTAGAGTGATATTGATTCTTCCGTTAAATTCCAATCTTCCCAACCTTTCATATGAAGAGTGAAGATGCAAGTACAAAGTTACTTGAATATGAAGATGTGGAATTCCACTCCTTAAGTTTTGCAGCCACAGCTGACACATTATGCACAGACTTAGGCAAGGGTTTACAGAATGACGAAGTGGATCGGCGGTTACAGAAATATGGTGAGAATACTCTAGGAGACGAGGGTGGCATTGACTTTCTGTCAATCTTGTTACACCAAATCTGCAATGCGATGATCATGGTGTTGTTTATATCGATGATCATCGCATTGGCGATAAGAGACTGGATCTCTGGTGGTGTGATCGGGTTTGTAGTATTCATCAATGTAGCTATCGGATCGTACCAAGAATACAAGGCGTCTGAAACTATGAACTCGCTTCGAAGCCTGAGCACGCCAGAGGCAAACGTTGTCCGTAATGGCAGCGAGGAAACAGTTGAGAGCAGACTCCTGGTTCCTGGGGACATTGTTGTGTGCAAAGCAGGAGATACCGTCCCCGCGGATATCCGGCTGGTACGCTGCTTGAACTTCGAAACGGATGAGGCGATGCTGACAGGAGAGTCTCTGCCAATCGCGAAAGATCCGCTGGAAGTGTACCCTGCAAACGAGGACATCCCCGTTGGAGACCGTCACAATCTAGCGTTCTCGAGCTCGACCGTCAGCAAGGGGCGCGCGGTGGGTATTGTCGTGAGAACAGGTTTGAAAACTGAGATAGGCCAGATAGCACAGAGCCTGAAAGGGCAAAATAGCCTTATTTCCAAAGATCCAAGTTTGTCATTCTCGAAAAACATGCTCAGGACGTTTCTGAACACCGCTGGGTCGTTTCTAGGCACGAACGTAGGAACACCGTTGCACCGAAAGCTGTCGAAGCTTGCTATTTACTTGTTTTTCATTGCGGTATTGTTTGCTATTGTTGTCATGGCCACACAGAAGTACCATGTTACGCGAGACGTGGCCATTTACGCCATCTGTGTGGCGTTGTCCATGATTCCTTCTTCTCTAGTAGTGGTTTTAACCATTACTATGTCGGTTGGCGCCAAAATCATGGCCGGAAAAAATGTCGTGGTTCGTAAACTGGACTCTTTGGAAGCTCTGGGGGCGATCACAGACGTTTGCTCTGACAAGACCGGTACTCTAACGCAGGGAAAGATGATACTCAAGCAGGCTTGGATTCCAAGTTTTGGTACCGTCACAGTTTCAAATTCCAACCATCCTTATGATCCCACTATCGGTGAAGTCTCTCTAATACCCAAATTTTCGCCATATCAGTACACCCATGATTCGTCAGAGGACGTGGGAATTTTGCAAGATTTTAAGGCCAGGCTATCGCAGAATGCATTGCCAGATGGTATTAACCCAGTAGGATTCAATAATTGGCTAGAGACTGCTACTCTGGCGAATATAGCTACCGTTTTCCAGGATAAGGGATCTGGTGAGTGGAGAGCCAATGGTGATCCCACAGAAATCGCGATTCAGGTTTTCACAACCAGAATGGGATTGCCTCGCGATGATTTGACTACAGGGGCGAAGCAAGACTCTAATTCTCATGATGCTAATGACACCGTGGGATCAAAATTCGAGCATCTTGCGGAGTTCCCGTTTGACTCTGGTGTGAAAAGAATGTCCTCAGTTTACGTCAATCACCATGCAGAGGGCCAGCGTCATGTATTCACTAAAGGTGCATTTGAGAGAATCTTGGAAAGTTGTAGCAGCTGGTGGCCAAACGGTGTTGAAACTGATGCGCAACCATTAACTGAAGCCGATAAAAGTAGTATCATGCAAAATGTTGAAGTTATGTCCGCAGACGGTCTTCGAGTCTTAGCTTTCGCGACTAAAACGTTCAGTGAAGATGAAGCGGAGGAACTCGGTGATCGCATCATTAAAGATCGCACTTTTGTCGAAAGTGGATTAGCTTTTCAAGGTCTAGTCGGTATATATGACCCTCCAAGACCAGAAAGCGCCGGAGCTGTAAAAAAGTTTCACCAAGCTGGCATTAACGTGCACATGCTTACTGGTGACTTTCCTGGTACAGCTAAAGCAATTGCTCAAGAAGTTGGGATCTTACCGCACAACCTGTATCACTTTCCCCAAGATGTAGTTGAATCTATGGTCATGACTGCGACTCAATTTGATAAATTGTCAAATGAGGAAATCGATAGTTTGGTGGTTTTGCCGCTGGTGATTGCTCGTTGTCACCCCAACACCAAAGTAAGAATGATAGAGGCCCTTCATCGGAGACAAAAGTTTTGTGCCATGACTGGTGATGGTGTCAATGACTCACCTAGTTTGAAGATTGCTAATGTGGGTATTGCCATGGGTATTAATGGTTCAGATGTTGCTAAGGATGCCTCTGATATTGTCCTTAGCGACGATAATTTCGCTTCCATTCTCAATGCCGTCGAAGAAGGTAGGCGCATGAGTGACAATATTCAAAAGTTTGTGCTCCAATTGCTAGCTGAAAATGTTGCCCAGGCTCTATATCTGATGATTGGGTTATGTTTCATAGATAAAGATGGGCTTTCAGTTTTCGCACTTTCGCCAGTTGAAGTTCTTTGGGTCATTGTTGTTACGTCCTGCTTCCCAGCAATGGGTTTGGGCCTTGAAAAATCATCACCAGATATCATGAAGAAGCCTCCGAAAAGCTCCAAAGTAGGTCTCTTTACTCTAGAAATGGCGATTGATATGTTAGTCTACGGAACGTGGATTGGTGCTTGCTGTTTAGGCTGTTTTGTGGCGGTTGTTTATGGAAAGGGTAATGGTGAACTTGGATTCAACTGCAACAATTCATATAACGAAAGTTGCCACTACGTTTTTAGAGGTCGTACTGCAGCCTTTGCGACTATGACATGGTGTGCTCTAATTCTTGCGTGGGAGGTTATTGACATGAGAAGATCATTTTTCAAGATGCAGCCCGAAACCGATACTCCATGGACTCAGTGGATAAAGGACATTTGGTCAAATCAATTTTTGTTTTGGTCAGTAATATTTGGATTTGTGTCAGTATTCCCTGTTGCCTACATTCCAGTAATCAATGATAAGGTTTTTTTGCATAAGGGGGTCACATACGAGTGGGGACTAGCTATCGCTTTCTCTTTGGTTTTTTGGGCTGGCGCGGAAGTGTACAAGTATGGTAAACGCCACTATTACCGGAATCAGGGTATAGCTCAAAACCCAGAAGAGGATCTTGAGAAAAAGAGCTTCCAGGATCCATTTGGCAAGTACAACACGAACTCCTCCATGACGATAAATAACTTGAGCGAAGGAATATCAAGGAAAGGCTCATATTGACACAGATAGCAAGCAATATATGTGTATATGATCTAAAAACATTTTAACTATCACTCAGCATACAATAGAGTAACAATTCGATTAAGTTAGAAAGGAGCATTGAACTTTTCAGACAAATGGTTAGCATACGCAAACTGGCCCGCCAAATCAAAACGTACCAGCTCTCTAAAACTTTCCACCGTAAGAATTGGCCTTTTTCTTAGTAGAAGAATATGATTCTGTAGATGTTATATCTTCTAGCCACCTGTGGATATTGGGATATGCTTCTTTTGTGGCAAAACCGCGCGAAAATGCCATTTGTAGCGGGAACGACAGCATGATATCTGCGCCACTTAATTTTCCATCCACCAGGTAGCCCCGATTCTTGACTAGTTCAGCATCAATAAATTCTAATTGGTTTTTAACTTCACCTTTGGAGTATTTATCGCTGATTTTATCGGTAATCTTGCCAGCCAGGTAGGAAATGGGGAATGGAATAGGTGCTTTTTTAACCATCGACAGCAGAAATTCAATCATCAACGGAGGTTGCAACGATCCCTCGGAGTAGTAAAGGTAGTACTCGATCTGTTCGGCCATGTCCGGGTCACTGTTGCCCAACAAGTTGGTGCTGTCGAAATGCTTCAAAATGTAGTTGAAAATGTATCCTGACTCAGCGAGTACCTTTTTCTTACCAGTGTGCTTATCTTCAAGCTCTAAGAGAGGCGATCTTCCCAATGGATGGATCTTTTTGAGTTCGTCAGGGGCACGGAAGCCTTCATTTCTCATGTATGGAATGATTTCATAGTCCAGCTTTAAGTGGTCCAACAACCACAGAACTCTGAAAGCGCGGGATTCATTAAGCCAATGGACGCGAATAATTGGCAGAGTCATTGTCTTTTGTTTCTTAGCAGGGTAGGAAGTGAACTGGGAAGCTATGTCGAGGGGTTATCCTTTTTTGACAACTATTCTATTGCCATCACCTGCTAACCGAAAATTACCTATTTACTTTAAAGTGAATATAAGAGCAAGGCAAGAACATACTTATATGCATGTGGCACGTAAACTAAAGAAGCCACCCCTTCACGACTACCCAGAGATGGGAAAGTAAAAGTTTGTAAGAATTTTAAATAATTCGCCTGTGCAGCTAAACCGAGAACCTTGGTTAGCCTCGAAATCTTGAAACATTAAACGGCGAGATACCTTCCGCGAGCCCGAGGACCGACCGACAGTAAGACCTACAGTAGCGGTGATGAGGTATCTAGCCACAATATGAGAAGTTAGTGTTCATGACATACCAAATTTGTTATCTGGTCTCAAAGTTTGGCAGCGTAGCAGGCTCTGCAAGAGTCTGCTACTTTTCCTCATCCTATATAGAAAGTGATTGCCGAAACGCTGCTAATTTTCTGCTGACCGTTTTTTATTTTGCGCATTGGCCTTTAACCAATAAGAATAATCCCACCCAACCGAGAGCAGTTGACTAAATCATTTCATTTTCTGACGGCTATGTTTCGCTGTCTTGAAGAGCCTCTCTTGTTGAGAATCGTGAGGCAATCTTTAGCTTCGAATGCTGTGTTCAATTTGTCCAAAACCGGGCTATAGCTAGTAATCTTATCTACCAAGGCGCCGCCAACCATAGCTTTGTATACCAAGCTATCTTTTTGTCTAAACCTTGCTCGGAGTGCAATTTCGATTTCTCTACGAAGGCACCGGCCGACCTTGTCAACTGAATGTCAGTCCCCACATTCATGATAGGACACTTACACCAAGTAGCTCTTGGCCAACCTTCAAGTCATTCTCTGGCAGCGCCTCGCTACATTGTGGAACGTCAGCTGATAACTTCCTCGGTCACGGGACTGTGCTCGAGTCCCCGAGAGGTTCGATAACTCAAATCTAGATTCGTAAAGACGCAAAAAGCCACACCACATCGAGCAGCGATCGGTATATGATCAGATCGTATCTCGTACCGTTTGCAGTGGATAAAGCATAAATACGACCTGCTCAGCGAAGATTACTGAACTCCGAATCGTAATCAAACAAGCAGACAGATCGTAGAGTTAAAGCACACAGCCTCTAGATAAGACTAATGACTGTCATAAAAGAAATCAACAGTGGTCTACCAAAGGAAATCAGGTCCGTGGCTGTAATAGGTGCTGGTCCGGTAGGTGCGGGCCTCACCAAAGCGCTAGTAAACGAAAAAAGCTTTGATAAGATCAAAGTTTTCGAGAAGCGCAGTACTTTGGGTGGGCTGTGGAATTATACCAAACCGCACTTCAAAAGCCACTCCGAAAATATTTCTGCAAGTATTCCTTGCGAGGAACCACACGGCAAGAGATTGCAACAGCTCAAGGATAAAAATGGCGTTATATTTCAATCGGCAGTTTACAAGTACTTGGATACCAACGTTCCCAAGGATCTGATGGAATACAAAGACCTTCCCTTTCCAGAAGGCTCCCCGCTCTTTCCGCTTCGCGAACAGGTATACAACTACATTGTATCTTGCTCCAAAGAAATTGAAAACTTGGTAAGTTTCAATTCAGAAGTCACCAAGGTGCATTACGATGATGACAAGCATATATTTTCTATTTTAACCAAGGATCTAAACACCGGAAACATTAACACAGAAAACTTTGATGCCGTTGCCATCGCCACAGGGTTCTACGATTTGCCCTTTGTGCCCAACCGCCCAGGCCTAAAAGAGTGGCACTCGCAATTCCCCCATTCAGTATCCCATGCCAAGGATTTTGATGCCCCGGAAGATTTTAAAGACATTGAAGGCAAAATAGTGGTTGTCGGAAACAGTGCTTCGGGATCAGATCTGGCGTTTGAATTGGCAGGCTTTTTGAACAAGGTTGTCTACAAGTCGAGGCGGTCTGAAAGTTTTATGCCAAGCGGATCCCACCCATTAATAGAAGATGTGGCTGACATCTTGCGATTTGATCCTAAAACGAAATCGTTGCTTCTGGTTAATGGAGAACGCCTGGAAAATGTCGAGAAGGTCATTTTCTGCACAGGCTACTTGAAATATTTACCGTTTTTGCCAAGCGAATCCGAGGTGAAATCGCATGGGGACAAAGTACTACAGTCACTAGTAACAGATGGGGCTCGGCTGCATAATCTGTACAACCACATTATACCCTACAATTTACCTTCCTTTGGTATCATCGGATTACCCAAATACGTGCTTCCTACTCGGCTGAGCGAAACGCAAGGTGCTTGGCTGGCGCGTTTGTGGAGCAAACGAATTCAGCTACCTACAATGGAAATAATGAAGTACTACGATCAATGGTTTCAGGAGACAAATGGCACGGGAGGAAAGTATCACGATATGCTATTTCCAATGGATGTGCAATATTCACAGAGGCTAAACAAAGAAATACGGGAAGCAGGAAATGGCGGATATTTTGGAGTCGAGTGGTCAAGCGAAGAGATAAAACTGAGAAGTTCAATAAAGGTTATTAAAGAGTCTTACTTGTCTTATTTCAGGGACACCGGCAAACGTGCAGAAAACGTTGAGGAACTACTTCACCACAATTACTTCAGGTGGCCAAAAGACGCCAAGTTGAGCGTCGAGCCCTCGGAAGTGGTTCCCTAGAAACTTTTTTTCACGCAAGGAATCACCGTAAACGCGGGAAAATAGACGTTCAAAGACCATACAAATATTTGATACAGATAAATCAATCCATATTATTTTCGACAGCCTGATTTACAAGTAGAAGGTCCAGGCTTTCCGGAATTACGATAGATATAATAGATACATCCAGGTCTGTGAATAAATCTTGCACTATTCGAGTCAGCGCATAACGACTTTTTTCGCCATATAAAAATCCACTGGCGTTCTTACTTGTCTGTACATACTAGGATCGTCTTTCAATTCTCACCAACCGCCATGTGGCAATTTTTGATGAAGCCACACAACAATTTGGGTGAAGGGGCACTGGGTGTATTCTACAGCGGTAGCATGTATTTACGAGCTCTCTGTTTCACTGAACAGTAAGTAAATGCTAATAGTTTTTGTTTCCCACAGTCTAAGTTGTTCTTGAGAATGCCTCACTTGTTAAAGGCCTGCTCAGCACCTTTGTTACGCTATCGTAAGCTTCTTTTTACTTAACGTAGCGTTGGTTACTTCAGCACGGCAAACCGACAGTCAAGATAGGTATTTCGGTTGATATCATAAGGGCGCTAATCATGCTAAAAAAAAATTCGAGCCTTCTCAAAGAAAGAAGCGCAATTTTCCGAAATAAAGTGTCTGTTCTTCATTGCCAAGGCACCAAGCTCATAGTTGCTATGTGCCATGCACTTCTTTAGGAATTAGTAGGCCTCGGCAATATCTCATCTTGTATTGTCCACTAGGATCTTATCTCACTGGTGTCATAAATTGCGCCTGTAATATTTCAGAAGCATGAGAAATGACGCAAATAGCTACTCCGAGATGGAGAAAAGAAGTGTACCATGTATTAAGCTCGATCGATATTTAAGCTCAGGCATTCGAATCTATTCCAGTACAGATGTTCTCATTACCACTTTAGGACAGTCACCTCGAATATACACCATTGAAACTTAGATACGTCCCCTTCAGTTTTCTAAGCAATATGGAGTTCCTTGATAAATCCATGGGTGATCCAATCCAATACATGTCGAACGTTTACGGCTATGGCCTTAAAAACGAACGTCCCCCTTTTACTTTCAAAAGCGACGATTGGGAGGATCTGGCAAAAGAACGTATGTGCGCAAATTCGTTAGGCTACATTTGCGGAAATGCGGGAACAGGGGAGACAAGCAGAAATAATAGAAGCGCTTTTCAGAAGTGGTCCATCACACCAAACCGCTTGGTAAAAACGGAGGGATACCCATCCATAAAGTCTAAGGTGTTGGGTCAAGACTTCGCAACGCCGATCGCCGTTGCTCCTATAGGTGTCCAGCGAATCTTCCATAATGATGGAGAGATCGCAGTGGCCAAAGCTGCAGCCTGCGAGAAGGTTCCATATATCTACAGTACTGCTGCTGCAACCTCGATCGAGGATGCAGCAACAGCGAATGGAGATGGTACTCGTTGGTACCAGCTGTATTGGCCATCCAATGAACACAACGAGATCACAAAGAGTCTTTTGAAACGTGCACAAGAAAATGGCTTTAGCGCGCTTGTAGTTACATTGGACACTTATAAGCTGGGCTGGCGTCCTAGCGATCTCGACAATGGCTATAACCCTTTCTTACATGCCGATACTATCGGAAATGCCCTTGGCTTCACTGATCCTGTGTTTCGGAAAAAGTTCGAAGCAAAACATGGAAAAACAATAGAAGAAAATATGGAGGTCGCCGCAAGGGAGTGGACAAGTGTTATCTTCCCTGAGTTTAGCCACAGCTGGGAAGACCTTCAATTCCTTCGTGAAAATTGGAACGGTCCTATCATTTTGAAAGGCATCCAGTCAGTCCCAGACGCCAAAAAGGCAGTAAAGGCAGGAATTGACGGCATCATTGTGTCTAATCATGGAGGAAGGCAGCAGGACGGAGGAACATCCTCTCTTGACTGTTTGGTTAAGATCCAGAAGGCTATCAGCAGCGATATCGAGATCCTTTTCGATTCTGGTATTCGCTGCGGCAGTGACATCGCAAAGGCCCTGGCCCTAGGTGCCAAAATGGTACTGATTGGTAGACCTTATATCTACGGGCTTGTACTAGGTGGGCAAGTGGGAGTGAGTCATGTTCTCCGCTCGCTTTTGGGAGATTTAATAATGAATTTGCATTTGGCTGGCATACCATCCATTGGCAAAGAGGAATTGAACACAGATTGCCTGCAGTATGAAAGCTGATTTTAGACATCGCTGATCTAAAAGTCTGTGCAGCTTGCTGTAGCATTTTGGATGCGGAACAAGGAATTGAGATATCCTATTTGCGACGAACTAGATAAACTTTAGTGACATTGATGAACAGAAAAAAAGCTTTCGGAATGGAAAAGGCGCTAGAGGTTGATTGCCACAAATTCTCTGGGCATACCGATCATCAGTCGCAGCCTTTTTTCTGCAGCATTGATGTGTGCTTATACAACATTTCCTTCGATGCTTATTGAAGTGGCGGAGCAGAGTTAGGTGCCCTGCTGAATGTCCTCTTAATGTGTTATATATTTGGAGCCGATCCGAACTCGTAAGAGTGAGGGTTGGACTAGAAGAGTTTCAGTCCTTGATACAAGCTTTTACACCCGCCATTGCAATGGCCAGGGATAAGAAGTAGTGATTAGACGCAGATCTTGTTACCCGTCGATTTGAAACCACTTACCGTGAGCAAATTCAATATAAAGAAGTATTAAGGCGGGACTTGTTCGTTTAAGTGTCTCAGTCATTAGTCGAAATAACCATGAGAGCTACAAAGCAGGTTATATACCGAGCTAAACCTGAGTGAACTTTCTGGATTAAAAGCTTGCACAAGGTTGGCGACACAGACCACATTCTTCTTTCTAAATTTAACGATAAAACCCTAGCGGAGCTTTTTACCAAGACATCCTCCTGTGCCTTCGAGACTCACGCGTGCTAGATTCAAGGTATGAGCAGCCAACATAGCTTAAGAGCCAGACTAAAAGTATATTTCGGAAATCCAGGATGCAGACCAGACGTCAATGATAAGGCTCCGATACGCGCGGGGTTCGAAGAGCAGGACACGGGACCAGTCGATGTAAAGGCTGAGCACGATGAAGAAATCCGCACAGTAAGCACAGGGAACGCTGAAAGTGGCAATAATAGTGGTGACGTAGGTTTCAGTAATGTGGAATTCTGGTCAATGCTATATACACTGGACTTAAATTGACTCTTCGGATAAAGTGTTTGATTGTTAGGTCGACTTACTGGATTACAAGTAACAATTTTCTCATTGAGGGTCATTTTGACTGTTTGGATCATCGTGGCTTTATTTACAAAGCGCCTAAAATACTGGCTGATTGTTATGCAGGTCAGTCAGTCGATTCAGTCTTACTTTGGGATACTCTCTTGATGCGCAACGGCTTGATAGCAGCCACAATCAATATGGATATGTGCCAATCTCAGATCACTGGACCATGGAAATGACAGAGAAAGAGAGGTTGGCAACTAAAAACTGGAAATAAGTGGTGCTTCCGGCCAGAAGCCGGTCAAAAGCTGATATATCATGAGTACAACCCTCGAAGCAGATATTTTGATCCTGCAGATTCCTTACCAGCTTCGAGTCTTGTGAGCGTGCTACGGGGCAAGTGTTAATTGACTCGGAGCATCCAATGCCCTTATTCGTAAATCTTTGTTTAAATATGTTTCATTAGAGTGCTCATCTCAACAGCTATATATTCGAAAGTCTAGCTTTCGACACAACGTACTGGAGCTAAGAAATGGGCTCAAAGGACCTTCTGAAAGAAAAGTGAGTAGGATGAAGACCAAGAGGAACTATCGGATTACACCGTTTCAACGGAATGTGGTCCGGGAAGTTCTTTAAAAAGGTTGTTGTGCCCTGCGACTTTATGATGATTCGTTCACTAACAGGAAGAGAAAGATCAAGGTTTCTGGTATAGTTATGCCAAATAAAAAAATTATAGCTCATGGATATTGAATTTTACTCACCGAAATATTGAGACGCCGAATTTACAGGTCAGTAGTTGGTTGGGACTGAACAGACATCTGATTAAGGAGCTAGTACCGATGATCCTAAATAAATTGTTACAAACCTATTTTCATTTCAACAGTCTTTAAGCAAGGCCTCAATATTCCAGCCCACCACACTGCAAATAAGCACAAACCGGTTGTTCTTTCATAGCACCAACAGTAACAGCTGGCGGTAGTAGCGTAGTCAAGACCGTCAGAACATTGCCTTCTGTGTAAAAAAGGGCTTGGAGTTTGGATATTATATCCGGCCTTCTCCGGCCTTCTCCGGTCCATTTTCACATCAATTTTGCGTCGGACGTTTATATTGAAGAAAAATGGGTGTTTATAAAAATGGATAAATACTCCGCGTCTTCCGATTTCTTTCGCCAAGACGTTCAAGATGTTGATCTACGAGTTTATTAAGTCTTGGCAAATCGAATGAAGGATGCAAGCCGGTGGACCAAATACAGACACTTCCTGGCGCCTATCTCAACTTTCCGCTGAACCTATAAGTGACGGAAATACTACTCCAGAGAGGGACTTGGAGGATGAGGCAGAGAAGACCGAAAGTATAGGTCTAGGTACAAGCTCCAATGCCGAAGTGCAGAGTGGCTATTTGGTTGAATTCACAGACAAAGATCCAGAGAAGCCCATTAACTGGAGAGTGAAGAAGAAAATATATCACACCGTAATTTATGGTATTGCTACGTTAGCCGCCCAATTCAATTCCACAACCACTGCACCTTCAGTCGCACATCTAGCTAACTACTTTCATGTGAGCACAGAAAAGGCTTTGCTATGTACGTCACTGTATGTCATCGGCGTTGCTTTTGGACCCATGTTCTTCGCGCCATTGTCAGAGATGTACGGAAGGAAAATAGGTGTGTTTGTCCCTCTTTTTGTTTCAATGGCGTTCACACTAGGCTCTGCTCGATGTAGCGACTATTCAAGTCTTCTTGTTACGAGGTTTTTCGCAGGGTTTTTTGGGGGCAGCCCGGTTGTATCGTCTGGTGGGGTACTTGCGGATATCTGGCCGATCAGTGTAAGGTCGGTTGCATTGGTATTTTATGCGATGTTTGTTGTATGTGGCGTTGCGGTGGGACCGGTCATATCTGCTTTGTTGACATATCAAGTTGGCACAGATGAATGGCGGTGGCCGTTGTGGTTCATTTGCATCGTGCAGGGTATTGTTTTGATAGTTGCCGCACTGACAGTTTCTGAATCGTATGCAGGGGTTGTGCTGGCCAAAAGAGCCAAGCAGATTCGTAAAGAATCTGGTAATTGGGCGTATCATGCCCGACACGAAGAGTGGGATTTGGACTTGAAGGAATACATCAGCATTCACCTTTTGAGGCCATTTGCGATGCTTGCCACTCCTATTGTATTCGCTCTGGCACTCTTTGCTAGTTATGTGTTCGGCATTATGTATCTGATCGTAACTTCGTTGCCATTGACCTTTGAGATGACGAGAGGCTGGGAGGGTACTGTAAGTAACCTTCCCACTCTTGGCATGATGATTGGCGTAATAATCGGCGGTGCGGTCAACGTTTGGGCAAGCTCAAGGTACAGGAGAGTCCTTGTGAAGCACAAGGGGGTTCCAATCCCAGAGGAACGATTCCCGCCTATGATGATGTTTGGATGGCTGATGCCTGCAGGTTTTTTCATATTTGCATGGACTTCACAAGCAAGAATCCATTGGATTGCCCCATGCATAGGTATCGTGGTAATGTCCGTGGGGTTAGAAGTCATCTTTCAAGGCTGCCTCAACTATCTGGTGGACTCATTCACGAAGTATGCGGCATCTGCTATCGCAGCTAATACCTTCTTGAGGTCAATATTAGGTGGGGTTTTCCCACTGTTTGGTCACTCTCTTTTTCGAAACCTTGGAGTGCAATGGGGCGCTTCAATAGTTGCATTTATTGCGCTTGCAATGATACCAATACCATTCGTTTTCTACGCGTTTGGCGCAAGGATTCGCTCGAGGAATCCTTACATTAAACGGGTAGCTTGATATGTGGAACGGTCAGCCAAACTTCGCGTTTTAAGGCTACGTTCCCAGATCGGTTTTTACTTGCTGTAAAACTTTGTTTCAGTGAACTCTAGGGAGTGGTTCGCATTGATTTTTATTTGATTTTCTCTTCGTGACTATTCTGCGTCGCGGTATTGAACTAGGCACGATAGATAATGCCGTTTTGTACATTTGAATATGGAACTTCTTATAGATAATGCCCTTTTGTACGTTTGGATATAAAACTTCTAATTGGAAGGCTAGACACGCCATGTGGTAGGACTTGTTATTTGAAATGGGAAGTGGGACGAGCAGGTGTATAGGAAGCATGCGGCTCTAGGATTAAGAAGGAGCTGTGAAACGCACGGGAACTTCGCTTTTGAGCATGTGTATGTGGATACGTTTGACGATTTAGGGAAACATGACCTGCGACGACTCCTTGCCAAGTGGGGTCTTCCATCACGGGAACTTACTTGGGCATGGTGGTGATTGACGCGTGTCACAATATGTACGAGGAAAAGGAGTTTAGAAGGGTGGCCTTGAAGGGGAGCCCGCTGGTGCCGTTTTACTGTTCTGGAAGGTGGTACTGATGACTGCGACAGCCGGGACCACGGGCATGCGCCGGGTGTTGAAGTGTCTACACATGAACGAGGAGGCATACGTGTGGACCTTGATGACGCTGCCGCCACTGCAGAATGTGCGAAAGACATTTGAGAAGGTGGAGTCCTCGAAGGTATATGAGGTGGCTCGTCAGACGGTGGCCATGGTGATAGGCGAGAAAGCGGGAGGGGAGGTCTTTGCAAGGACTGTAGAGCACCCCCAAATATGGGTGCACGGGGATCTGGAGACTAGGAAGGAGGTGGAGGGGATCCATGGGTGCCAAGCGGGAGGATACCGTGTGTTTATGGGGACGAAACTGGTCTGTGAGGGAATTGACCTTCCAGAGATACGGCTGGTTCTCATGCTTGGGTACGTGCCGAGTGTGCCGACATATATCCAGATGGCGGGACGGTTGAGAAGCACCGGGGAGTGCATATCGCTGTGGCATTAAAAGTGTTTGTACAAGGAGTCGATTCGTGTATTCAGCTCGGAGCGAGCGACATGCGAGTTTTATGGACTAGGAAAGGCACAGTCAGGGGAGGGAGGACAGTAGCAGGAGGGACAGTCATACGTCACCAACATCGCACAGCCCATCCACGGCTCTGTGTATGGCATAGGACAAACTCTGGTAAGTGGTCAACTGGATGGAGAGGTGACGATTGGGACTCCCCTCGAACGCCTCTCGCCTGTGACCCTGAACTCACCACATGGCCACCCTCCCCTAGCCCCTACCCCGGAGACTCCCCCAGCAAAGGAGCAGCACACATCTCCTCTCAAGAAGAAGCTAAGTACCACTATCAATGGCTGTCGCAGATTGTTTATGTTGGGAATAATGTGAGGAAACTGATGATGATGTGCGCATAATCAGCGTCAGTAAATATGTGACACAGTGGTACAGAATGATAGTACACAACAGTGGCCATACAAATAGAGCTACAAGCTAAGACAAACCGAAGAGAACAACTGTAGTCCAATGAAATTGGCGATTGATAAGTTATCGACAGCGTACGGCATTGGGCCGCAATCTATGGATAACAGAACAATCTAGAACGGGTGATTAATAGTTGTGTTGACCAGACTCACCGAGTGTATAAATACCAGGCTCTTGTTCAGGTAACTAAACCAGCTCTAATGCCTAAAATAATCACGGGGAGATAAATAGAATTCCCTAGATCCAAGTTACTCATCTTATAATGACTATGTCCGACTTACAAGACATATTTAGTAAGCTTTCTACTGATGAATCAGATTCGCCTCAATAAATTCTAATGCCAGTTTACCAGAGCAGAGACACACTACGCAAACTATGGAACATTTCCACGGGAAAGCAACAAAGGGAAGAGAAAGAGTTGCTATTAGCTCAACCTTCTTGTGTTATTGAAGGGATTGAGAAGGTTATCGAGATCAGCGTTGAAACGGATGCTAAAGCGCGCGATATCTAATGTTCTGGCGAAAGGTATAATGTGACCCATCAGTAGAAAGCTTACTGAATTTGTCTTGTACGTTGTTCATAGACATTGTAAGATGAGTGACATGGATAGAGAATTCTATCCATGAGGCGAATCTGATTCATTAGTAGACAGCTTACAGAATGTATCTTTTAAGTCGGACGTAGTCATTGTAAGGTGAGTAACTTGGATCTAGGGAGTTCTATATATCTTTCTGTGATTACTTTAGGCTTAGAGTTGGTTCAGTTGCCTGAACAGAGAAGGTAAATCAATTTGTATGGCCCTAGTTGTGTACTATCATCCTGTACCACTGTGTCACATATTTCCTGACGCTGATCTGTTTGTACAAGGAATGCCAACCTTCGCGCAGCCCTTAACTATGTAAATTGCCAACCTTCGCAGCAGCGATTAGATAGCGCTGTACGAAATTGCGAAGGTTGGAGATAGCTCAAAAAGTGAAACTGTGATATTATGAAGCACGTCCCTAGTATCAACAGCCCGCTTGAGCTGTGCATGCAAAAGGAATTCTATTAGGACCACCTTACGTTTTTGCAGCAATCTTGACTGCAAAAGCCCTTTGAATTCACGAACATGAGAGCTTGTGCAATGCAAGGTCACCAATTCTAGATGTTTTTGGCATAGGGGTGAGAGTACCCTTTTGTGTCGTATTTGTAATCATTGGAGCGGATATATAGAGAGTAAACTGTGTCAGTGAACGTCTCTGCTTGTATTATGGAACTCAAGGGCTTGCGTCATCATAAATCGACAATGGAAGAGGTTTTCAGCATAGCTCCGCAACCATCAACTGAACTTGGAAGGTATCGCGTCCTCTCAAGAAATGCAGGAATAAGGGTTTCCCCTCTAGTCCTCGGTGCTATGTCTGTGGGGCAGGCATGGGAAGATCAGATGGGCTCTATGGACAAAGAACAGTCTTTTAAGCTATTGGACGCATTCTACGAGGCGGGCGGCAATTTTATCGACACTGCCAATGCATACCAAAACCAAGAATCGGAAGAATGGATTGGAGATTGGATGGCGTCTAGGAAAAATCGCGATCAGATGGTGATAGCAACGAAGTATACGTCGGACTACAGGGCGCATGCTATCGGCAAGAACAGGAGTGCGAATTTTTCTGGCAATCACAAGAGATGCCTACATGTAAGTATCCGTGATTCACTCTGTAAGTTAAAAACAGATTGGATTGATATTCTTTACGTTCACTATTGGGACCATTTATCCTCAATCGAAGAAGTAATGGACAGTCTCCATATTCTGGTTCAACAGGGCAAAGTTCTTTATCTCGGGATTTCCGATGCGCCTGCTTGGGTGGTCTCAGCTGCAAACACTTACGCAAATGCCCATGGTAAAACTCCGTTCTGTGTCTACCAGGGACGCTGGAATGTCATGGTTAGAGATTTTGAACGCGAGATTATACCTATGGCAAAAAAGTTTGGAATGGCACTTGTTCCATGGGACGTTTTGGGCGGTGGACGTTTTTTGACCGCCGAGGCTCTCGAGGAGAAAAAGAAGCAAGGAGGAAAGATGCGGACCTTTGGCAAATCTTCTGAACAAACGGAAAACGAGCTTAAAATAAGTGAGGCGCTTGACAAGGTTGCCCGCCAGCACGGTCAGAGTATCGCTGCTATTGCTCTTGCATACGTGAGATCTAAAACGTCTCGTGTATATCCTTTAATTGGAGGTCGAAACACACGGCATCTTGAACAAAATATAGCGGCTCTCAGTATCAAGTTGACCAAGGATGAAGTAGAATTCTTAGAAGAAGCACTACCATTTGAAGCTGGGTTTCCACACAACGCCATAGGCCCAGATCCATCCATTACAGGAGAGATTCCTTTCTTCACCGCCTGTTCAGCTCAATTGGCTCTCGATTGAACTACTATCAATTGACCTTAATCTCGGAAATGTTTAATATTTTATTATGCTTTAATTGTTATCAACATACGAATAAAATATTGGTATTGTATTGATTACCAAGCTGGGTGACCTTATCACTAACCCAGTCCCACTCTCTTTGGCAGGACTGCCCGGCCTGTACTTCATGAAACACATACAGGCGAGGTGTGGCTATTAGCGGAATGCAGACGTAGTCCCTAACACAAGAACTTGGGTATCTGCTAATGATATGCTCAACTGGAATCCAGGTGAAAATTTGCCAAGCGGTCTTTTATGCTGGGGCATTTCTGGTTCAAACTGCATGTGAAGACAGGTGTTCTTTTACGTTGTAATTTCTGTGAAGTCCAAGTATATACTAGGCAGCCTGGAGCGAAAGCTTCGCTCTTGGTCGAGAGGGGTGGTAAAGCTGGCAACACTCCCCATTCTCTCTTTAAGAATGCTCGGCTCAATTGAAATGCTGCTCATAAGCTAACGTAATAATTTTGAGTGCCTCTAACAGTTCAGTCTTAGAATTACCATATCCGATCCGTAGAGTACCAGGTATTCCAAAGCACTCTCCCGGGGCGGCTAAAACAGTGGCAAGCTTGGCAGCAAACCTCATAGTGTCACCTATGCTGTTGGCTCGCAATAAACAAACCGAACCACTCTTCGGCTCATTAGCAAACGTGGACTTGCCTTCAGATTTTCTGACGAATTCTTTCAAGATCGCCAAGTTTTCTTTGCACAATGTGTAACAGGAAACTGCATCTTCTACCATGGTCACCAAAACGATATTATAGTCTTTTCTGGATGGAGCATTTTCCAATGATTGCAAGTCTTGTGAAACTATCCATCCAAGTCTGACTCCTACCTGGAACCTGTCGTTATTGCCGAGTTGTTTATTTGACATGGTGACTTTGATTGTTCAGAAGAATGGAATCAAGGGCTGTAAACTTCAAGGCTATTCTACGTAATTGCGCTGAATGTCAGCATAGTGCATTTAAGTTTTAGAGGTAGGTTTCGTGGCCTCTCGTGGTGAACATTGGAGGTAGCTTCCACACCTGAACCTTCCCTCAAGTCATCGGCGGAGCGAGGGTAGTCCTTCTCTCTAAATCCTTCGTCATCATGGGTGTCACTTGTATTTTATGCTCGCTAATTAAGCATTTTATCGAAACCGATTGCTGTTGCCGATTAAAGGACCACAAAAATGTTGATTCGACCGCCGATCAGAAAAAATAATTGTGAGTATTGATAATCTGTGCGCTGGCTTACTATTGAGGCGAATCTGACTCATTAGTAGTAAGCTCACTAGATTTGTCCTGTAAGTCGGACATAGTCATTGTAAGATGAGTTACTTGGATCTGGGGAATTCTATTTATCTCTCCGTGATTATTTTAGGCATTAGAATTGGCTCTGTTACATGAACAAAGGCCTGGTATTTATACAATTCTGACGAGATGACGGTGGCAGTGACGTGGATGGTGTGGTTTGCGAGCCGCACCCCAAGACTACAGCGCCGCGCGAAAGACTCAACTTTCGCCAGATGAGACACGGGATGATTGCAGTCACGCGGCGGTATCTCCGCGACGAGCTAGGCGATACGGAGCCCATGCGGATTGCTGCATCAGAGCTTCTGGCAGGACACTCGGTGCAAACAGGGATGCAAGTGTACGGCGTGGACAAGTTCACGTTTGAGGGAGTGGACCACTCAACGGCATATTCCATGCAGGAGGAGATCTCCAAGCGGTGGATACGGTGGTTGGGGCTTGAGAGCGATCCGGAGGTGGTGTTGGCAGATGCTCAGAAGCGGAGGTTCAATGGAGCGTATGTCCACGACGAGCGCAGCGCAGAGGACCTGGTCATGGCCGGCAAAGAGCTGTACGGTAGCGACTTTGTCTTTAAGAGCATTGAGCAGAGTATGGCGTGTGTGGATGTCTACCTGGGTGGGCCCAAGGTTGTCGCAGTCCAGGCCCCGACCGGGTTTGGCAAGACCCTGTTGTTTCAGCTTTCACTCATCTGCCACGCACGGCGGAATCATGGCATGGTGTCCTTTGTATTTGTGCCGTACACAGCACTTCGAGCGAGTGGTTCTCGTCACCGCGACGGGGGCTCAAAACACGGCTCCAAAAGCACTGCGCACGCTGGGGTTCAGGGGCAGTGTGCACCTTGAGCACACCTGGAGCGGAGAGGGTGAGGATTGCCGACTCAAGAACGTGCCCATCCAGTTGCGGAACTACGTTCGCCGGCCCGCAGTGACCCACGTCTACAAGCACGCGATGCGGCTGGAGGGAGATGGAGTGTCTCAAGCAGCGACGTTGCTGGAGCGCCTGTTTGCGCACGAGCCCAAAGCCAAGGCCGTCCTGGTGCTGGGCAGAAAACACCAAGTGGAGCAGGCTTTCAAGGAGCTCGAGCAGAGGTTCAATGGAGCGTATGTCCACGGGGGACTTGACACACAAGAGAAGGTGCGGCGTGTGCACCAGTTTTTGCACGACGAGAGGCAGCATGTGCTGATAGGCACGAAGCTGGTGGCGGAGGGTCTCGACGTGGCATCGCTGCGGATGGTGCTGCTGATCGACTATGAGCCCAGGGTTTCCGAGTACATCCAGTGCGTGGGACGGGTGCGGGAGCACGGCATTGCGATAGCGCTGTGGAACAGCGACTCGTTCTGGAAGGACAAGAGAGACAGTGCAATGTACATGGACTATACGAAGTGTCCTACGCGGCAGATCTGCGAGTACTATGAGCTGCGCAAGGAGGGGAGGGGGAAGAGGGCCATGCGGGATGCTGTGGGAGCTTTGATAGTGTGACGGGGGAGACCAGGCGGCTGTGTGGGCAAGTGCTGTTCAATGGGGTGGGCCAAGGGGAGGACCGCCAAGAGGGCTGTGAAGATGGCCCCCAAAGCAAAAACAAAAACACCAGCCAACTAGTACGGCAGCTCCTATTGACGACTGGGAGTTTCTCAGTAGCTCTTCCGAAGATGGCCGGTCGGCCTCTCCCCCAGGGGATACCGTCGCCCAGAGCACTTCACTGCTCAAATCGCTCTTGCGAGATAAGTACAAAGGGAAAGCTAGTGTGTTTGAGTTTCTTGGGTTCACTGGGCTGGAGCACCGAGACATGACTCTCTACGGCATCGACCATCGCTACTTTGCTAACATCATCCTCTTCAGATACAACACGGAGGAGCAGTGCGCAGGATGCTTGCAGCCGCGCGTGTCGTGCCTCTGCTGGTCAGAGCGGCCAGAGGGACATGAGCAGAGCCTGCGTAGTATGGACGCAGGAGCAATTGGCCTTTCTCAGTGGAATCTACCGCCAGATCAGTACGAGGACGAGCTGCACCTGTGCATGGAGAAAACGCTGCCCGGCTGGCTCATTGAGTTTGCCATGAATCGGGACACAGTGATGGGCGCGTATCGGCGGGTGTACCGTAACTACCATGCGCTGCTAGACCGGCGTATGCGGATCCAGAGGCCGACGGGCTTTGACGGCGGTGATCTCATGATCAAGAGGGAATACAACAGGCTATGGGAGATGCTGGAAGACAGAGAGATCGCAGCTTATTCAACGCCGGCAGGTTGAAGCGGTGCACGAGCGCACCTACGTGGGAGACTTGGAAGTGCGTCCAGCTGAGACGGCGCAGCCGCAAGCTGCCGTGGCTGCGTGACTTTCCTGTGACAGAAGAGTACCTCCCGGCGCAGTTTGAAGGCGAGCAGGAGATGGCGTACCTGTACAACAGCGCCAAAGACTTTGAGAAGCGCCGGGTGTACGTCAAGGGCGAGCGGCGGGCGCCGAAAGTCAGTGTGGCGTGGTACATGTACAAGCTGATGTCATTTTGGATTGTTTTACAACCTTGAGTTTCGCTCGGCGGTGTACACGAGGTTCCCGGAGTTGCCGGCGGTGAAGCTGTTTACCCACTGGCTGAGACTGATGAGCGTCGGCGTGCAGCTGAGCGACAACCAGAGTGTGCCGCTGTACATGGTGGTGGCAGTGATGTACGCCAGGGGGGTGCGGTACGATGGTGTCCGGGTGTAATATTAGAAGTAAGTAAGGACGTTATAGTGTGGTGCAAGTCTGGGCGGCGTATTTGGAGGTACTCTAGAGCTACTCCTGGGGTGCATAATATGATAGAGGTCGTAAGTTGAAAAATAGTGCGGGAAGTGTGGAAACCTCAGGGGTCTAACTGCTGGGGTACGATGGTGTCTGGGTGGAGGCGGTAGGAACGGGCGTAGTGCTCCCATGACCAGGCAGTGTATGGTAGGCAGGGACTGGCAGATCTGAAGCAGGGAGCTCTCCCAAGGAGAAGTGCGGAACGCTACTTTTGGAGCTGCCGAATCGATTGAGTGCTTAACATCCAGGTGAGGGCGGAAAAATGGCGAAATCTGGAGGGTCTAAACAGCCGAGGTACGATGGTGTCTGGGTGGAGGATCGAGGAGGTAGGGATGGGCACAGTGGTCACGTGATCAAGATGGTATGATGAGGGCGTAGTGCTCCCGTGACCAGGCACCGTATGGCGAGGGGCCGGCAAGTCTAAAGCAGGGCGCTGCATCAAGGGAAAGCTGCGGAATGCTATTTTGGGCGGTGCTGAATTGATTGAGTGCTTAACATTCAGGAGAGGGCGGAAAAAATGGCGAGATCTGGAGGGTCTAAACAGCCGAGGTTCGTGTCGTATATAATGATGTATAAGATAGCAAGGACGTTATAGTGTGGTGTGGGAGTGTACTCGTGTATGGGTGGGGGATTTCGAGGCGGTGTAGCAGAGCGAGGAGGAGTCAGGGAGGAGAGGGAGCGCTGTGGGTAGAGTAGCAGTCGTCTTTTTTGTGCATTTCATGTCTTTGGGTCTTTTCTGCACATCCGCTTCGTGAGTTAGGGAAGGGCCGAAAATGAGATTTTAGGTCTGAAAGTCGAGTTGAGGGAGGTAATATGAAAATGGATTGGCGTTGGAAATCGGATTAGGTATGGCTAGGGAGAGAAGTATAGATGTCGTGTGATAGGAAGGTTAAGGAAGAAGAAAGATAAAAATGCAAAGTTAGGAAGCTCACGGCAGGGCGGGGAGGGTGATGGGAGAGGAGAAGAAGAAAGATAAAATA